ATATTAATAAACCTTCTTAGAAAAAACTTTATCCAAGTAAGTAAATCGCCCGCTACAGCCCTAGTCCTATTAGTAAGAAAGCTAGATAGAGAAGTATAATTCTATATCAATTACCGCAGGTTAAACAAATTAACAATAAAGGATTATTATCTACTACTACTAATTAGAGAGATACTAAGGAATATAAAATAGGCCAAATAGTTTTCTAAGCTAGATATTATCACTACTTTCCATAAGATTTATATCCAACCAAGAGAAGAATAGAAAACAATATTTTAGATATAATACAACCTATACAAATAGAACATCACTCTATTCAGGCTAACTAGTATACCAACAACTTTCTAGAGATATATCAACAAGACCCTATAAGAGTATCTCAACAATTTTGTATCCACGTACATAGATAATATCATTATATATAGTAGTGGATTGCTAGGGGATCACCGATAGAAAGTAGAACAAGTACTATAGAAACTACAGGAAGCAGGCCTACAATATAATATTAGAAAATCAGAGTTTAAACAAGATTCTATAAAATATCTAGGATTTATTATATAAGTAGACAAGGGAATCCATATTAATCTAAAGAAGATCATAACTATCTAAGAATAGGAAGTACCGAAATCAGTATAAGATATATAAAGCTTCCTTAGATTTACTAACTTTTACTATCTATTTATACCCCGATTCGCTAACCTCTCAGCACCTCTAACGAAATTAATAAGAAAAGATACCTAATTTATATAGAATAACAACTACTAATAAGTATTTAAAGAATTAAAGAGCCTCTTTATTAATACCCTGATTCTAGTATATTTCGAAGAGAATAAGGAAACTATTATTGAGATAGATATATTAGGATAGGCCATAAGAGTTATCTTATTACAATATAGACCAGATAAGTAGCTATATCTATATGCCTACCTCTCCTAAAAACTATTACTAGTAGAGTTAAATTATAAGATTTATAATAAAGAGCTACTAGCGATTATATATATCCTCTAAGAGTAGAGACTAGAGTTAAAGATAATACCCTGATTCACTATTATAACAGACTATAAAAACCTATAATACTTTAGTAAAGTATAACATCTAAACAAACAATAAATAAGATAGGCAGATATCCTTATAGAGTTTAACTATAAACTAAAGTATTACCCTAAGAAGCTTACTACAAGACCTAATATACTTTTATAACAAAGCTAAGACACCCCACAGTATATTATAGACAAAAGGCTATTAAATCAGTTCCGAACCCTACTAAAAAAGGTATAGATCAAGATAGGACAACCCAACCTACTAGTAGTAGAGGGAATTAACTTTAAGAAGGAAATACCCCTATTTAAGAAGCCTATACTACAACAAGAATAGAAAAACACAAGATCTACTAATCTAGAGTATTAAAAGATATATAAAGCCTTAGAAAAGGAAGATCAGCAAATCACCGCCGAAACAAACATAAAAACAAGCCTATTAGAGTACTATCTAGACAAATAAGAGCTACTCTACTTTAGATAGTGGATATAGATCCTAGATAATAAGATACTACACACAGGGATTATATAGAAGATCCACAACTCTCACATCACAACACACCCTAATCGAGATACTACCTATGTAATACTATTATAGAGATTCTTCTAGCTAGGAGCAGCAAGAGATATATAACATTTCTTACAAAACTATACAGTTTACAGCCATAGTACTATATAGTATAACACAAAGTATAGACTACTAAAACCACTACCGATTCTGTAGTGAATATAGATAGAATTGTCTATAGATTTCATCATAGAACTACCCCTAACAGCATACACAAGTGCAATAAATTTAATAGTAATCACAGACTGGCTTATAAAGAGCATAATTCTTATAAGTATAGTAAAGATAACTATTAAGAGAGTAGTAAATATATTCTTTACCTACTTTTATATATACCATAGGCTACTACAAGCAGTCACAAATAACCATAGGTCCTAATTTATAGGCGTATTCTAACGAATAGTATATAAGAAGCTGTCGATTTAATGTTAACTATCGACCGCTTTCTATCTACAATCCGATAGCACTATAGAGTATATGAACCAAGAAGTTAAACAAATCTTATATATATTCATAACCTATATATAAAATAATTAGAGTACACTACTCCCTATTATCACTACAATAATTAATAATTATAATACTAGCACAACAGGACTATCCCCCTTCTTCTTTATATATGGTTACTATATCAACCCTATTAAGATAGAAAAGATAGAGAAACCCCACAAAACCTATACACAACCAGGAATCGCAGGCGAAACATTCATAAATCAACTACAAGAAGCCACCGATTAGGCCTAAGCCGTAATCACTTCTACATAAGCTCTATAAGAAGAGTAATCAAATAAGCAACAATAGGTTATACTAGTCTATAAGAAAGACAACTAGGTATAGCTAAATTTACAAAATATATACACACAACAACAATCAAAGAAGCTGGACTAGCTACATATTTAATATTAAGTTTTAGATATCCCTATACCTTATATAATACAATTAGAGGTACCCACCAACGTCCACCTAGTATTCCATATAGAGCTAGTTAGACCTATTGCTTCAGACCTATTTCCATTATAGATCGTAGACAATTCATATCTCCCACCAATACTAGTTAACAAGAAACTTAAGTATAAAATAGAAGAGATAATAGACATAAGACGTAAGAAAGTCAGTTAAGGATACTATAATAAAGCCCTAGTGAAATAAACAGGTTAGACGGAACAGACCTAGCAAAGCCTCAGCGACGTTCGAGATTATTTTATATTAGATACCTTTAAAAGACAATTCAGCCCCGTTTCGACTCTATTACAAGCCCGAAGACGACCGAATACGACTACAACACGTACAAGAAGGACCACCCTAAAGGGGGGATACTATCATAGGCCAATACCCGGTATAAGGTCATATAGCATATGTAACTATAATAACCTAATATATAGAACACCTACTTGGTAATTCTCTCTTTAAGCTTTTTATACACAGTACATGGCCTAGCTCAATTGAACATAAATTCTGCTTTAGCCCTTCACAATTAGTATTAAATAGTACTAACCCAGTAGCTAAAAAGCTATTCTAGATAGTAGAGCTTTTAAAAGTCTTTAATCTTATATCTATAATTATTTCAAGAAAATCTTCTTTATCGATAGAATTGACTCCATTCCGCATCAAGTTTAAAATAGCTCTACTATAAAGCTTTTTTAACACTAAAAAACAGCCTACATCTAAAGGCTATAAAAGATAGGACGCATACAGAGGCATACAGATTGGAATAATCTGGTTTTTTTCTCGCAAAGTTGGTTAAATTTAGGGATTAAATAGCTTCTATAACCATCGAGGACCAATAGATAGTATTTCCTAACTCTTTCCCTAATATTTAGTATAAAATGATATTCTAGCCACTATAAACCAATTATATTAGTCATCTAACTATTTTTACTTATAGTTAAACAAGAGCCTTTTTAGTTTTAAAGAAGATAAGGATATAAATATTCTAGAAACAGTTTTCCTTTAAAAATAAAAAGTGGAGGTAAAACACTTCTAGAAGCTTAAATATATTTAATTATAGTAACCCATTCACAATTTCCAGCTTATAAAAGATATCTTTTACTATAGTATTCTACTAAAGAAATAACCTTTTATATTGAACCAATACCCATAGCAAAACCACTCTTATCAAAATTAAAGATATCGTCCGAAATAATACCCCACTTTTCGATTGTTGTTTGAACCAAATCAAACCATAGTTTAATAATTCGAGAATCTTCTGAAAGAGCTCTCTAATAGTCATATCGTCGTAAGAAACGACTAGAGAGGTTTAGACGTCGTTTAATAAACTCTATAGACCAATTTTTACTAACACTAGGTGGTAGGGTAGTAGAGAGTATATTTTTCTGCGCACGAAGTAGAATATTGGCCATATCTCGCAATATAGACAAATTAAGAGCTGCACCTCTTGAATCCATACTTAATAGCCAATTTTCTATTGATTCTTCTTCAATTTCAGAGAAAATATAGCGACCGTGTCGTTGTTCAACATATGATTAACGTCCATTAAGCCGGGCCTTCAAAGTTGAGACTAGTAGTTGAAAAGACCGCGCAGCGGCAGCAGCAGAGGCATATTTACCATCTTTTATAGCTTGTATAGCTAATAAAAGACGACCCTCCTGTTCGACCAGCTTTTTTTTCCGATCAGAGCGTTGGGGTGGCATCTTTGTTGTGGTTTTAAAAAAAAGTGCTGTTTTGAAAGTGGATTTTTGATGGGGTCGCTCGCCTAACCGGGTCGCCCGGTTAACCGGGAAACACGTTAAATCACCTGATATTAAAAAATTGACCCCCACATTCGGGTAGCTCGGGCAGGTTCGGGTATGCCCCCACTCCCCACCCCCGCTTCGATTTTAGCTGTAAAATATAACGTGACAAAACCGAGATATTCCATTGGTGATTAATCAAACTTCGCCAGAGGGTACTAGGTAATACAATACGCTAGGTCATAGTAGGCATCTACAGTGGGGCGTCATGAGTCTTTGACCCCCTCCCTAATACACCGCCCTTTTCTGCCATCCAAATTCTGCCGGATTAAACCTCATGAAAACGTCAAATTTCTAACTAATATTTAGTATACCAACCATGGGAGTCAATTATTGCTTGTATACGATGCATAGTCTTTGAGAGATGCTCTAATAATAAAAAAAGACGTGATATGGAATATCTTACGCGTGGGCGGCGTGGACGCGTAGGTACACTATAATAGGAAGGCGACATGGTGGGCGGTGTATAAGGGGGGTCACAGACTTATGACGCCCCACTGTAAAGTGGAGAATAGATCTTGCAATCCACCTTGCGAACCCAACACGCAAGGGAACCCAACACGCAAGCGAACCCAACGCCAATGCGGGCCCACACTTTCCCCCATTGACCTGCAACAGGGTCTCCACTCTCAAGAACGATTTACAATGGTCAATCCGGGCCATGCCAGCAAATGTTGTGTCTCCTGTAAGCTTAGGAAGGTACGGTGTGACCTTTCACGCCCTTTCTGTCAACGATGCAGGGATTCAGGGAGAGTCTGCTTGGGATTTGGAGAAAAACAGGCCAACCGACAAATATCAGAGTCTCATATCTCAACGTCCTCTGGAGACGATAATGAATACCGAGCAATTGAGACCTCGGTAAAATCCGCTTTGTCCATCGAAGTGTTGCTTACCAGCGAGAAATATCCTAACAACTCACTCGACTCTGCAGCTCCACGGGGCTCTGATGAGGTATCTATCCATGTGATAGATACTATAAGGAAGTGTCTTCGCTCACTACATCAACCTTTACAATCACTAGAGAAGCGAAGAGCGCTACTTGCCGAGTACGGTGCCGCAACCAATAAGCTGAGGACTACACTGGCTGTCTCGCCGCATTCTCTAGCTCTTGGCAGGTCAGTCCTCCTCTTCTCAATATACGAGGTATTTCTCATCTTTTGTCCTGCTACACTTATATCAATTATTTATTCCACATCCAGATGATTGTCAATATCGACCTAGCAGACCAGACTTGGCAGCTCCATCTTGAAGGACTCCTCATAATCCTATCACAATTACCACATAATCCACATTCAACTTCATCACTGGAAGATATTGGCACTCTACATGCTGCGATCCAGATTTCCAAATCTAAAGGGTACGCTTTTCAAAAGTTAACAACATATGAGGCGAATAGCCTCGAAAAAGCCTTTTTGATATTAGACGTTGCAATGTTATGTTTGCGTCTTCTAGTGTTAGACTGTGAGGGTCTGCTTCAAAGGGTCCCGCGAAAGATTGATGTGCAAAAGCTTCGAGCCTCTGTCAAGCAAATACAAAAGAACCTCAATTTGTTTTCAAAGATTTGTCCTGTGGCAGAGAGTGATAGTGTCAATCATTCTTCTAGGGATGAATTGGTGAATGTAAGCCCATTCTGACTCCAAAAATTAAAGTTGAAGACTTAAATATTGATGCTCGAAACTAGGCCCTCCTTCTGATTAGATGGAACGACTATCACTGCCTACAACTCATCACAGCAGACTTACTCTCCTCTACCGGAACGTTTGTCTCATCTGAGGGCTACAAAGAGACAAGGGAATACCATATTCTTTCCAGCACTATCAATGAAGCAAGGGAGGGCATATGCTCTGCGGTCCCTGTCATCCTCGAGACAGAGCCTGCCTGGATGATAAGTCAATCTCAAGAGCCAATCAAGAAGCCAACTAGGGGCTTATTCGTTCTTTGGCACTTATGCTGCGCTATTAAGGGGAGTAACATATCACAGCCCCGTCATAATTGGATAAGAGAGAGTCTATGGAGCATTGGAGGACAGGCTTTTATCCCACTGGCTTCAGCTTTGGTATGTAGCTTATTTAGGAAGATTTTACTCTGGCACAATCTAATTTGTATAGGCAAACTCGAAAACACGGAATGTGAAATGGGCGGATGTGTTAGCAGGATTACTCCTAATACGCGTCGCGCTTTCGAAGGATTTTCTGGAGCTTTTCAGCCAAACCATATCATCTGACTGTACTGATCAAGATACTGATCATTAATGCATATGTCCATGCTATTTAATCTTATTGAGTAGCTAGAACTCTTTTTTTTTAGAAACCAAGGTAGTCAGCGGGGTTACGCTCGATAATGCACATAAATATCCTCCACGAGCATCTTGTTAAACGAACTCCTAACCTCCACGGCTCATTCATCCCGGTCGGGTTCTGATCATATTGCCAGCGGAATCTGCGTTTATCGTTTTTGAAACGATTATCCCCTCCCCCTTCACCTAAACCTTATCACCCAAAGCCAAAGAAAATGGCTCGAATAGAGAGCGAATCGATTGGCTGTCCTTTTCTTAGGTTTGAAGAACTTGCGAAGGTTGTAGGAAATAATCAATTCCTACCGCACGGGATCTAAAAGGCTTTTTCGTAGATGCGGCCGGCGTTAGAGTGTATTTGAATCCAATGCGTCCAATATGAAATCACTAGGAAATTGAAATGCTCCGGAGCCCACTGACACCAGTAGGAGGTGTAGCTCTTGCGACGTAATCACTTCCGATGGCAAAAGCCAACTCAAAGCTCTTCCCACAATTGACAAGGTAAAACAGATAGTGGCCAATGCCATGTTCTGAACTGCTTGTTTGGTCAGCTCCGAGCCCTAGGATTATACGAGCTGACATCAAGCGAGTACAGCGTTCAATCTACGTCAGGGGGAAGGAGTCAATCATTTGGCAATTGCAAATGGTAATATGCTGGGCCTCAACCTAGAATGTAATAGGCCAATTCACATTCTAAGGGCATCTCATTATTCATAATGCTGTATAATCGATACCACCTTAACTGACACCCGGAGGAATACGAGTGGGGACTAAGCTATGTCGGCGACTGGGATCTTAGAAGTGATAGAAAATTTTTGGTGGCGATATTAAATGTATGTCGTATTGCACTGGTCTTCAATTTGAATTTGGTTTTGGTCACCGCTGCTCTTGGATTTTGTATGCCGCTTAAACATCTGTCATCTCAAGCCATGTGCAGCTCTTCCCTCCGCAATGAGATCCAGACACTTAGCCACCTTCTCTCTCTTTTTTAATGACGCAAGCCAAGCCGTGTATCTAGGATACTTCTCCTCCACGCCATCCGCTCGGTTCAGCTCGTGAAGTAGCCCCTCGCCGACGCCAGCCCATGTGACGAATGACAGATCAGCGTAAGTGCACTTGTCACCTACGAGCCAGCCTGTGGCACTTCGTGCCAACCCTTCTTCCAAAACCCCGGTCACTCGAAGGATTTCATCGAGATACCGATTTGTGGCGGATGGGAGCTTCTCCGGATGGAAGCGAGCGAACCAAGTTGCTTGACCAAAGTACGGACCTTGGCCTGTTGGCAGATTATTAGAGAGTTCTCAGTGCTTTATATCAGATGGAGTATCGCGTACCAGAGGCCTGGAAGGCTAGCCACTGTTGACACAAGTGTTTCTCGGGGCTTTGGCCATACGATAGGATATTCTCTTTATCATACTGCTCTATCAGGTAAAGAATGATCGCAGCAGTCTAAGAGGAAAACCGGTGTATTAGTTTATAGAGCTTTTTGACATTATGAAGATTTCATGGACGCTGACCTCCCAAAGCGTAATGCCTGTGTTAGGATCCTCTAGTGTGGGTAAGCGCCCGTTGGGGTTAAGCTCTAGGTATTGTGACTGCTTGACATCGGTAAACTCCACAATTTGGAGGTCATAAGGGAGCTTCAGCTCCTCGAGAAGCATGCAAACCTTCCTTCGCATGTGTTAATGCTTGTTTAGCTTGCCACCAGCCAGAAAATCTTACCATGGATTAGGGCCACCCCAGTGACCCCAGAGCTTGAGCGGTTGAATAGTAAACATTTTTTGAAAGAGCAGGAGGGAAATTATATTGTACTAGTAGTAGTGGGACTTGGAATTTCAAGATGTGAGATTGAAACGGTTCGAAAACAATCTTTCATCTGGGAGCTGGTGGCCAATATATACTATATCATGACGAATTTCGAATTCGGACATCGGATTTAATATTTATTCAGGCCAGTATACTATCTTTCGTGAGTTCCCCCTGTGACGTTATTTGTCATAGCAAATGAAAGTCACTAAGAGATTATTCATGTCCACGGGGTCGTAGCCCCTTACCCAAACAAGATCTTCTTGCGAGAAATTCAGCACGCCACTATGTAGAAGTGTCCAAATTAGGGTTAGTGCATTCCGCCCTTGCGAGATTTTTAGCGCCAATACACGACCCACTGTCCCGCAAATCTGCAAGAAAACGCATATTGAGGTGAACCATCCTCAATAAATAAAGTCCCGGAAGGATCCCTGCCAATCGGACTTAGCTTCTCTTAAATCCTGGAAATTGGATAGCGGATTCATCGTCGACGTGGATACCGCACTACTACGAACTACTTGATGGTTGGGTAATCATGGAGGAACGCCTCCAGGCTAACTAGCTTTGTGTTACTTGTCATGAGCGAGGCTGGACCGAGGGGAGATTATCTGAGCCAGCCTCTTTAGCAGTCTCAGCTTATGTGGCTTACGAGCTGGAGGTACAATAAACCAGCCAACCTTGCTGTTGTTTGCATGTGTTGCACCCCAGAACTAAAAACCGCATTGCCTAAACTCAAGATTGCAACGTGTCTGTGGGTTAGAACGTGTTAGCTAATTCGACATCCTTGCCAACTAGTCTAAATTAAACTTCGGTGTTAGAAGGATTAAACCGTTATTTGCGGGTTTATTGTATTATAAATCCGATTGAGAACGATCCCGCCTTGAAAATGGAAAGCGATCTGAAAAGTTTTGGGCGGTATTGGTTGTACTATAACTTAGTTGATAGGGGAAAAGATATCGAGTTGAGGTTTTTACTAGAATCCTTTCGAGGCAGGATTATTCGGCATGTACTCGAACCCACTATTTTCAGGTCCATAATTCAGTGACCAGTCACTATGGTCATTTAGGATGTTGTATAGAAAGAGGTGAGAGTCTCTTGATTCCAAGGTTTAGAATATCTCGAAAAAACCGTGACTGCGTTATAACGTATCGGATATTGTCCTAGTAAGTTATAGTATATACGAGCTCGTATCTTCAAGTTTACATTTTCTGATATCAAATGTGGGGGAAAATACAACAGTGAGGTGTACTATTGAAAACTCTCATTAATATCATATTTCAGAGTTCTAAGTGATTGACTAAGTAATACTATCCATCATGCAGTTTTGTTTTGCCAAAAGCTCCCCGTATCTCCGAGCCTGACATGTCAAATCCACACCTGACGTCCATCCGTGGATGAAAGGCTCATCATACTGTACCACAGAAATCCATAACACACGCCACAGATTTCACATGACAGCAATATCGCCCTAACCAGCCATGTGTGATAGGCTGCCTGCGTCTCTACCGGGACGGAGAAAGGGTGCAAAAACAACTAATAACAACGTTGAAGAAAAGAGGAAGAGAGAGAGGGAAGCTCAACTACGTACATTAGGTACCTCCCGCTCTCGGACCAATCCGTTAATTGGTCTGTACCCGAGAGTGGGTCAAACCGAGCAAACGTACAAACATGCAAACACGGTCCCTATGCACTCTCTCCATGTAGCTATACTACACCATGATTCTTATGATCCCGAAGACTCTGTCAAGCTGAATGACAATCATTTGCTGCCATAGATTTCCGAGTAATATGCAGGTCGGATCTTCTAGTGATACTAATTTCTAGCACCTAATCTTGCGCTTTTGTTCTCCTATCACTTTGATATGGTAGTTGAAGAAATAGTTATTCCAGAATGCACACGAATAGAGATCTTAATCAAGTGTAATATGTTCTTATAGATCCATCTTTTAATAGATACAAATTTGAGTCTCCGGGGGTCTCATAATCTGGAATCCATGCTGTTTTACTTTATGAAGAGGCCAAACCGGCTAACCAGATGACTCAGTTATGGTAGGTTGAATGGGGACCTGGCTTTGGGGTCTAGTCCATCCGAGTTTGTTCAAGGGTCCCAAGGTCCAACAGCTCTGGCACCTGTCAGAAGCTCCGGCTCGTCACTGCCACGTACCAGAAAGATATCCTCATGTCGAACTCCAAATTTATCAACGAGGTAGATACCAGGCTCAGAGGTAAAAGCCATACCCCTCTTGAGCATCGTTTGATGGTTTCCCTTATTGAGATAGGGGCTTTCGTGTGCTATTAGGAACAGGTCAGCAAACCCAACTCTGAAATAAATAAATTATTCAAATTCCAAGCGTACCTTTTATGCCGATACCGTGACCAACACGATGAGTAAATGTCCCTTCGTAGCCAGACTCATCGATGACATTGCGAGCAGCAATATCTACACTGGCAGCTGTGCAGTTCTCTCGGAACTGATGAATTGATTGCGTTTGGGCCTCAAATACAATATCCCAAACTTTCAGCTTCTCAGCAATGGAGGGAGCTAGCTCTTCTGTTGCTGATGGCTTCTCTAAAAAGGGAGGGAAAAATGTGCGACAAATATCAGACGAGTAGCCATAAAGATGAGCGCCGACATCAATCAATACAAAAGTCTCCGCCTCGAGAACCTTCGACCCGTTGGTACCACCGTGGGGATTTGATGCGTTCTCATCAAAAAGAACTATGTCGAAGAAAGGCTCCATGCCAGATGCACGGAGAGCGTTATCCAGGGCTGCAGCGATTTGATTTTCGGTCAGGCCTGGGTACAGACCTATTTAAAGATTCAGTCAGCAAGTGTTACTAGCCTGCTGGATAGGGTAGGGGCTCATAAGACATTTTCTCATCTGGCGAACGGCCTCAACTGTTCCTGTATTCACGGCACGGAGTATCTCAACTTCGCCAGCACTTTTGATCTGGCGGACTTCCTCAACACGGCCTCGCAAGCCAACAATATCATATCCCACTGAGCCCAGGCCGCGCTGGATGAAGTCGCGCATTTCTTCGTCGACCATCAAGCGAGGGATGCGGGTCAGGGTGGAAAATACGCCAGACTGCCACAGAGTGGTATAGGGATCCCAGTGCTCCTCCCACGGTACAATCTGAATTGCCTGAGTGAAGGGCATCCCGAGGAGTCGTGCTCGCTCTGCCTCAAATGAAGGGCAAAGGAAGGTCGTGTTGGCTTTGATACTGCCCGTGGCGTCAATTACGGGGCGCACAACCATTAAGAACGGTCGCTCTTCAGGCTATCAAGTACATAAGTAAGGGTAATTCTGCAAGGAAATTGCTTTGTCGCTTTGAATTTACTTACCTCCCACACCTCCCATTCAGGCTGGCTGACATTGCCATAATACTTGAATGTATAGCCTGGTTCAACTACAAAAGCGTCAACATCCTCGGCTACTAAAGCCTCAGCTAAGCGATCGCGACGTTCTTCATAATCCGCAACTACCATAGGTGATGCATTCTGCAGGAATGGTAACCCTGTGTTCAAAAGATTGTCAATTGCGCATTGCTGGAAGTTTTTCAGCTTATTGGAGTCATGTTGACTCTGACACGGAGAAGCATCTCCTTTAAAACCTGGAAGATGTAAACTCGCGCTGAATGCTTTGTTGTAAAATGCGGTTGCTAACAAGCCAGCTGTCGCAAGAAACCATGCTGCATTGCGAAGAGAGAAGCACCCGCTTCTACATTTTTGAGGTCTAATAGGTGCCTCTATGTCGTACGCGGCCCAAGCAACATGTTTGGCCAACATGGTGCGATAAGAATGAATCTTTTCAAAGTCGCTAGTGAAGTTCAGAAGTCAAGCTGGGACCCAGGGGTGGCTTTATCTCGCATTTGCCGACTCCACCCGCCGGCTATTCCCCTCGTTTTGACCTTCCTCCTCTAGAGATGGCGTTTCGCGCCCACCCCACTTGTTAATCTCAATGGTCTTTAGCGTGTAAACTAGAGCCAATCTGTAGATTTAGATTCCGAAATACCGCCGATATTCATGGTCTAACCCCGCATCTCATTAGGTCGGCACTTGAAAGCGTCCGATAACGGTATGCAACAATCTAGCGAATCGGACAGTAGTCCAGAACAGTGCAAGTCCATACGAGCATTTGCCGGTCGCATCTGTATAAAGTGCGAGACTCGGCCAATTTGGAGGAAAAATTGCGAAGACTGATAAGAAGAATAGTCGCGTACCCCGCCCAGCAGTCAAGTATGAGCGTCCATACAGCAGTGGATAGTGCAGAAAATAATACGCCGACCGCGACCTCAGACGAAATGTCGAATGAGGAACCCGATGCGAAAGTAGACTCAGGCCATGAAATCCCCAGCGCGGTGCCCAAGGCGACTACCGATACAACTTGTTCCCCCAATGCGCCCGACAATGTCCCCGACCGGGGGTATTCACGTCTATCCATGGTCATGATGGTCATTTTTAGCGGCCTGGCTATTGGATCAGATGGTTTCAACGCCTCGATTATTGGTAACATTGAATTGTTAATGGCAGTAATCTACCCCAAATCACTGACCACCGCGGTCGCGGCCCGCCTGTCGAATGCCTTCATGGTTGGTATGATCATCGGCATGCTGTCATTCGGATATTTTTCCGACAAAGTTGGTCGCAAGGCTGGTGCAGTTCTCACCACAGTGATCTTGGTCCTGGGAATTGCCTTGAGTGCGGGTGCTAGTGGCCTAACAGAGGATGGCATGTTTTGGATGCTAATTATTGCTCGAGGCATTGCTGGTGTTGGAGCAGGCGGGTAAGTGATTGAAATTAAAATCCGATTTAGTTCTGGTCTCTGTTCTTCTGATTTCCTGACACATGATGTTGTAGAGAGTATCCTGTCGCTGGCGCTGGTGCCGCTGAAGCGACAGACGAAGCACCGGGCATTCGCAAACGACGTGGCTTCATCTTCGCGATGATTGGCGACCTATCAGCCTCGCTTGGATTTGCATTCGGTGCACTTGTTCCATTGATTTTGCTCTTGTGTTTCCATCAGCAAGTTCGCCATTATGAGGCTGTCTGGCGTGTGTCCCTGGCTATGGGCGCGATCCCGCCGCTTTCGATCTTCTGGTTTCGTTATCGGATGGTGATGAGCACAGCTTATAAAAAGAGCTCGATGAAAAAGCAGCCAGTTCCATACTGGCTGGCTGCGAAGAAGTACTGGAGGCCTTTGCTGGGTGTTTGTGGGTCGTGGTTCATGTAAGTGGAAGAAAAGCTACTCCACCCGACCGCAAGGTTGGTCTTGGTCAGCCTCTATGATAAAGCTTGAGATTTGAACATTCAAATGTTCGAATCGGAGAAACGTCTGAAATGACTAGTAATTTTGGAGACTATGAACTAATGAGTTGCATCGTTCAGATACAACTATATCTCTTACCCGTTTGGTCTCTTCTCATCCACCATCGTCGGTCGCGTCAATCCATCCTCCTCGCTAGCACTGACAATGGCCTGGGGCACACTCATCAACTGCTTTTACATCCCTGGTGCTTTTATCGGTGGATTCCTGTCGGATAAAATTGGCCGACGACGCACTATGGCCCTAGGCTTCTTGCTCCAGGGGATTCTCGGCTTCATCCTTGGAGGAGCATTGGGCCCCATCCAGGAGAGACTTCCCCTGTTTATAGTCCTATATGGCATCTTCCTTACATTGGGCGAAGTCGGACCTGGCTCGACTATTGTTCTCACAGCTAGCGAGAGTTTTCCAACTGCTCTCCGCGGCCATGGGGTTGGTTTCGCTGCTGCTTGGAGCAAGGCGGGTGCTGCGATTGGCACACAAGTCTTCAAACCTATTATGGCTAGTTGGGGGGCCGATAGCTTCAAAGGCACACAAGCGGTTTTTCTAATCGGGTCAGGATTTGCCATTCTGGGCTCACTTATCGCGTGGTTTGTCCTGGAGGATAGTAACAAGATCCTAGACCATGGCGATCAGGAGTGGAAGGATTATCTTGTTGCCCATGGATATAATAACATTGAATGGGGTGTTCAAGAACAAGGAACACTAGATCTTGAAGGAAAGATTGTGGATTGAATTATTAGCAGGTACGGTAGTGAAATGGCTTCAGTTTAGTCCGTTGCAACTTAAATCCATAGTAAAAAAGTGAATACCCGCGAGTGAAGAATCTTAAATTTGGGATCATTTGACGATTCTGGGTATTTCCGAATTCAACCTAAAGTTATTCGGTTGCTTAGCAGTCCTTGGCCGATCTCATTATTTGTATGAAACCCAACTAGAAGAGATGATTTTTTTTTGTTCAAACTTTAAAATAGGGGCCTTGCTAAATATTGAAGAAGGGAAATAGGCCTGTATTGGAATACTAGTCAGAAAAACCCACTGAAAAAGATCAATATCTTTCCCCGGTCAACGCGGGAAATCAGAATCGCAGAACGTAGCAGCCATATCATCAAAAGCGTGTAAGAAGTGTGTTATTCAGAACTAATCGTAACGCGATGCTTTATATAGCCGGAAGAAACATAAGGAGATAATAACTCCGCGACCGTAAGGTTATTCTACCGATTCCCCGAGGCGGCCTCCCACAGACACACGAAGCCAGTTGAGGTGTTCTGCTTGGGCTTGCCACGCACTGGAACAGAGTCAATAAGTGTGGCCTTACGAACTGTGGACCCACAAACAAATTACGGGTGGGACTTGGTGTTTGAACCAAATGGCAGCAAACTGGAACTGTGTACTGAGCTAGTGCGGCGGAAATACAGTGGTGCCCGTGATGGCGACGTTCATATTACTAGCGGGGAGTTCGACAATCTTCTTGGTTAGTCAAGCTGTGGTTGACTCGTTGTGTATCTTATTTGGCCCCGAGTTGCTCGCTGCCTACTCATACGTCAAGGTGGTCCTTAACGTGCGTCCCGATGCAAACGCTTCGTATCGGAATTTCTAATAAACTATAGTCGAAGAGATTGATAGATCATGGGTTATATGGGGGATGCAGTGATTCTCTGCAAAGTATCATTGGCTGTATACTCTTATCCGGAAATCTTCCATGGCAGCACCACTAAAGATGCTATCCAGCGAAATTTAAAGCGGGTTCATCGTGACCACTACAATACTGTTCGTGGTATGGTGCCAAGTGATAATTTGTTTGAGTGGTCAGTTGAGAATGGCTAGGAGCCTCTTTGCAAGGTCTTGTTTAGAAGAATTTGGATTTCTCTCAAAACTATAGCTAATGACAGGAATGGTTTCTCAACAAGCCTATGCCTGACGAGCCCTTCTCCCGAACCAGTAATCCGGGAGATTATGCTGAGCACGAAAATAAACACGTCAAAAAGCGCCCCATTCAATTCCTGCGCAACTGAACACTTACAGTCGTAACTTTAGGTGGCACTATCATCAAGTGCTGTATTAGGCCTCACACAAAGAAGATGATTACAAGCATAGCAACCGCTATGCCAACCCAAGTCTAACTCCACTCGCTAAGCACCCGGACCATTGTAAGCTCCGATATTGGGCAATTTGTGTGGAGAGACCATATTGGCCCAAAAGTCGCGTCCTCCATTGTCAGAAATGAGGTTCCCATTACCAATAGCCGAGCTTCCTGAGAGTAGCATGTAGCCATTAACTGAATCAATTGTGTCCATTCCAGTTCCAGGGTTGGTAAATTGTGGATCGCCTGCAATTCCAGCCGTGTCGGTTGGCCTACCAACCGTCTGGAACAGGTTGGCATGCCATTCAATAGATCCACCAGTTGGCAAGGTCGAATTTGCCGTCCCAACCCAAATATTATTGGACAAATTTGTGTGCGGTGGCAATGCAATCTCAAACGCCTTGTCAGGGCAGTAGACCACATTATTATAAAATTCCAATTGTACGCCGTCTCCGTTGCTGTATATGCGACAATCATTTTGGAAGATATTATATCGAACGATCTGTGTTGCTCCTCCAGCTGTGCCGCATCCATCACAGTTCAAGAAAATGCCACCAGCGTTGTCATGGCTGTAGTTGTACTCGACAGTGCAAGTACCCTCATTCCCCCAATCGCAGTCGAATGCTTCGCTATCAACATCCGACATGAGTGAGTCATGGACAACGTTGAGTCGCATCACGGCATCACGACATCCCAGGACCCAGATACCGGCGAAATTGCCGCCTGTGTATGGGTATTTTCCGTGTCCGAGGAACCCCGCAATATTCTTTTCGATGATAGATGATCCCCCGTATGAGACTACAATTCCGTCGCCGCCAACGTAGGAAATATTGTTACCCCATATATGCACGCCCGTGCCGCGGTTGTCCATTTGCCCGACGCGAACCTTGATTCCGCCTCCACCACAATCGTAGACCGTGTTGTTATAGACCTGCACATCATCATAGCGGCTGCCGTTCTCGGTTCCATTAACGATTATTCCGGCAGAAGCAATGAAAGCGTCAGACTGTGTTGCTTTGTCTGTTTCACCCGCGACGTCGTAAACTGTCACGTCATGGATGTAGAGACCCTGGTGCACGGTCCCATCGCTGGATACCCCAACAATGCCGCGCCGCCAGGCATTTTCTGTAGCAGGGTTCACTACTGCAATATTGGAGATGTCCCAGTAGTTTTGATTCGTTAGGCTGACAACTTCCGCTGCGCCAGATCCGTTGATAATTGGAAGTGGACCATCCCCATAACTTGTCATTACAATTGGATTTTCATATGTCCCACTACCACGCGGTGATAGTACCCCAAAGCATGTGGTTCCAGATTTAATATTGAATGATTCTCCAGGGCGAAGTACTGCTTTGTTCGCACTATTCACTGAGTTGAACGGGCTGCTTTTGCTCCCACTTCCAGCTGTCGGGGATCCACAGTCAAGGTAGATGTCTGCAATAGAAGGCTGTATCAAACTTGCTAGAACGGTGATGGATGTGCCAAGCCGAAGAAAACAATTGGTCATTTTCACCAGATGCATTTCCGAGTATTGAATGAAAGTTTCGTTTTCAAGGCGTACAGATAGAACTGACGCAAGTTTCGCCTGGTCAAACCGCTAATTATTATATACATCTCCCACTCGTCGCGGATGACATGTGAGGTCGACTAGTCGTCAAAAATATGGGTATTTCGATCATGTTCACGGGTTCAATGTTACATAGACGCCCCCCCCCCCTCCTGAGTGGCTGAGAAATCCCACGAAAAGTGACCAATCGGTCTAATTCTTTAGCCGGTTTGTATTGATCGGGTGGATCCTTCCCCCGCAGCCGGAATTCAACAGTGGGGAGTTGTGGGGGTTACATCTATAGACTCGTTGAAACATGAGTCGTGTCAGAAAGAAAGCATATAATCAAGTACAAAGCATAGATGATATACGCTACGAATTTTAAATTCATTTAAGATCTTACGAACAAAGGCATTCTACTTAAATATGCTGTTTATCACAAGTGTTTTTTGTCTCATAATCGCTGCAGTCTTTCCGACCGTAGCCGCTATACCATCCGTATCAGCCACAGCCCCCACGGCATGGATTCACCCAGGGGTAATGATCAGCGAATCCCAACTCAACTTCATTCGCCAAAAGGTTCAAAATAAAGAACAACCGTGGACAGATGCCTATAACGCCTTGCTCAATGATGACGGTGTCGCAAATCCGAGGGAGCCATCCCCAGTTACTATTGTTGAATGCGGATCATACTCTATCCCGGATGTCGGATGCCTTGCAGAACGCAATGACTCAATTGCTGCATATGGAAATGCATTAGCATGGGCAATCGGTGGCTCGAAGCCACATGCCGAACAGGCTATCAAGATCATGGATGCGTATTCTGCCGTCATCAAAGGCCATAACAACACCAACGCTCCTTTGCAATCTGGCTGGGTTGGTTCTATTTGGGCTAGAGCTGGAGAGCTAATCCGCTATACCAATGCCAGCTGGTCTGATGCCAACATTGAACAATTTGGGTCAATGTTAAAAAATGTGTATATGCCTCTCACTGTGAATGGAACTGATCATAATGTGGCGAATTGGGAGCTAGGTAAGTGAATGAAAAGAAGATAGGTTACTTACGGCTTATGTACTATTACTGATATTTTTTCAAGTTATGACCGAAGCTGCGATATTGATGTCGGTCTTTCTTGAAGACTCGGCGTCGTACGATACTGCGATGTCCTGGTTCCTGAAGCGGGTACCTGCTACTGTATACATGACATCTGATGGAGAGTATCCAGTAGCCGCCCGTGGGCAGAGCTCAGACCCCGAAGCAATAATTTCATGGTGGTTCAATCAGACAGTATTCCAAGAAGATGGTCAGGCACAGGAGACTTGCCGTGATCTTGAACACACCGGATATTCGTTCGCATCTATGGCGCACGTAGCGGAGACATCACGAATCCAAGGAACAGATTTGTACAAGACGGATGTAGGAACTCGGTTGCAACATGGACTAGAGTTTCATTCGGAATTCGTCAATGGAGAGTCTGTTCCATCGTGGGTGTGTGGGGGTAACTTGAGCCTAACCCTTGGTCCAATTACAGAAGTTGGTTATAATGGGCTGTCTTTCAGGATGGGTATCGATATGCCGCAGACTGGAAAACTCACTTCCAAGCAGAGACCCGCGGGTAATAACGGATTGTTTGTTGCGTATGAAACATTAACGCACGCGGAAAATAGTGCTTAGATTAAGATTCTGGCTATGTTTAAACGACTTACAGTTGTTGTTTTTACCTTCCCTTATACATCCATAAGCGTTATTCTGATTTTTTAAGACGAAGTAGCCAAATGAAGGAACACATTTTATTATGGCTAAAAACTGTCTCCGCATTTTGTACGTCATTTGATAAAAAAAGTCTACCTAAACTGGTATTCAGCTAATGATGGCCGCTGATTCCACTTAGCGGATAGCTCCTCATAGGCGGCATATTCCTTGCCTTTGGCGATAGCAAAAACAGCATTCTGTATTGTCACTTCCGCACCCGGTTGAAGGGTAACATCAAATTGAATCTTTGGAATCAATGTTCTGGGTTCCATCAAGTTGGAATTCGGGTCTGATTTTAAGATCTTTCCCAAAGTCACTCCCTCTGAGACGTGTATGTTCGCCAAGCCACTCACGCCCGCGGGACTTACGACCAGTGCAATGGCTGCAGTCTCCAATGTCCCACCGTGGTCCGGTATGTTTTTCCAATCTTGATCCAAAGTACACATCTTTCGCGGTTGTTTCGCTTGTATTGCAAAGCCTCCTTCCACAAGCGTGAGGGTTGTCGGTTTATCATTTGTTTCATGGTCTCTGCATTTGACACGATGACATCTGATATGCCAATCAGGCCATTGATCGCACGGAGGAATCAATGTCGTCTCAATTTCAATGCCACCAGATTTCCAAGGCTTCCAAAGGCTTCGAAGGCAAGGTACCTCGGAATCGGCTACTTGCAGAGTTATCGGACGAGCGATGCCCACTGTCTCCCATCTCGTGGCCCAATTTTCTCCATCTTGACAGCAGATGAGTGTGCTGTCGGGCGCAAGCTGGCTCAACAAAGGCCCCGTGGGTACACTGAAGCCAAATGCGGAGGAGTATGCAAATTTGCTATATTTAGCGTGTGTCGCCTTCAAAGGCCAAGCGCAAAATTGCCCGCTAGACAGCATGAAGTGGTGCTGACCTCGGGGATGATTGCACAGAATTTGAGACGGAGCAGGGAGAAACTTGACGCTTGCAATGGATGTAGTTTTGACGTGTACATAGTATTTAAAAGGGTGAGGAAGCTCAGATGCAGCCCAGAATTCACTATCGGAGTCCAAGGCCAAAACCACGAAGCTTTTCATTGCCCAGTATGGTGACTGGGGTGAGTTATAGTCCTCACACATGAAGGAATTTGGATACAAATACCCAACAGTCAATGTTCCATCCGAGGCAAATATATTTGACGAGTGACAAGCCCACCACCTTAAATGTCTTAGAAGCATTCCTTTTAGGAATCCAACAGATGTGCAGAGACTTGAATTGTCGTAGCATTTTGCAAGAGCAAATGCGGCATAGAAGGCGCCCATTGAAAATCGGTATGTCAACGAGCGACCGAATGGAATGGAAGCTCCATCTACGTCGAAATACCGCCAGAATTCACTGGCAAATTCTCGCGCTTGCTGTTGATATCGAGAGACTCGCTCATTGTCGTTTTTTGCAACTATGCAGTAAAGCAACTGGCTGAACTGGATTGCGAAACTTCCTGAATAATAGTCTGCCTGTCTACCGTAGCTTTCTTGACCACAGCCCGAGTCTTGTCTCCATATCCCATCTGCTGACCATCCGTCCCTCAATACAAATTTATCAAGCATATCGAAATCGTCCTTAATGAACTGGTCAATATCTTCATAAGGCACACCGCATACTTGAGTTAAAGCGAGATTTGCAAATATTCTGAACCAGCGCCAATTATTTCGGGGCATAATTCGGCCATTAAGACCGGATAGCCATTGAGACAAGTTGCGTCGATCGGTCGGCGATAAGGGATCATAAAATGTTTTGGGAGCCATTAAAAGTGCGACTGAAATCGGTTCAGCCTCAACCATTCGTTGGTCCCAGTCCCCTATCGCACCCCAGTACTCAGAATTCTCTGGATTGATTCCATTTCGAAGGCCGGTGACCAAACGATTGACATAGCGGGTGATCTCTGGAGTGACACTCTTTGAAGGGTCAGCGACAACAGCTGCTATGGCCCAGATTGGCCTGGCAAAACCCTCCAGTTGTGCAGCTGTTTCGTCAAAGTGTGCACCCGAGTAAACGGGCAATTGGACAAGAGCATTTCCAGGCGAGAAGTAAGGTTCGAGTGGCCTGAGGAGCGAGGTTGTTGCGAGAAGCAGGTCATCCCGGTTGCGAAAGCGATTATCGGAGAATCCGGAAAGTGGAGGCATTTTTTACGTGCAAATCATTCAGAAAATCACTTTCAGTAAACCATTGACGCTGTGGGCCTCGTTATTTCTTTTGGAAATACATCCCCAACACGATCGGAAGGTCCTGCCGACCCACGCGATGGAATTCAAGACACCGGCACATTACTTCAGCCGATTGATGGCAACGTCACATTAGCTATGGGCCCACATGCTTTCACCCCGCGCTCTCCAGGCGGGGCCCCGGTGCTAAGGCCTCGTCTCTGATCCGTTAAATCTAAAATGTTCGCGTTCCCTCCGCCCGATCCCCGGGGCCCATCGCAACATGGAATCTTCCTCTCTCCGAGACACCTCAGGCCCACAAGGAACCGAGACGGAAACCCCAGCTTGCCAGTCATGTCGAAGCCGAAAATTACGGTGCTCGAGAGATCACCCGTCTTGCAGCCGCTGTACACGCCTTGGTGGGTCCTGTGCGAGCTTCTGCATTTGAAATCCGTGACGCTAACTTGGAAAGGGGTCGCTTGTCATTATGAATACACAAAGAATAAACCAGGAGTCAAAGTTGGTATAATTCAGACGCTGACTCAACGTGTGGGTAGGCAGCTACTACGAGTCTGTAAATTCACCCAAATTAAAGGCTAACAAGTCGCTCGCAATAGAATCACTGGAGACTGAAATAGAAAGGCTGAGAGGTCAACAAGAGACACCCGGTGGATACCCAAATCCTGGAAATCTTCATCACGATGAAAACCATCTTCGCGGTGTAGTTTCGTCCTTGATGCAAGAATGGCGGGACCATCATGCAATGGCAGAACAACCGCAGCCACACTCCTGTGAATTAATAATAGACGGACGAGGTAACTCACAGTCAAGAGATTCCAGTATTGAACTGCCGAATCCGCAAGTGCCGAATAAGCGACGGCGCATAGAGCCCATCAGCCGAGAGAATAGTACCCTGTCAAACCAATTACCTCCAGATGACTTGGTCAACGCCGTCCTTGATGCTTATTTCTCCGTAGTACACCCCTTTGTACCCATCCTTCACGAGATGCTTCTTCGCGCTCGATTGCGGGATCCAACAGAGAAGCCGAAGCTGATTGTCGTGATACATGCAATGATGGTATGCGCACTGCGATACGTGGCAAATGAGCGACTAGCGGTTGAGCTGTTAGAGTCGTGTCCAGATTTTTTGGAAAAATCACGCGAATTCGTGGTTCTGTCCGTCATGGATTCATTGACAGTAGAAAATGTCCAAGCTTTGATATTGCTTGCCTTTGTGCACATTAATGATGGTAACTTGAGTAAGGCATGGCCAATGATTGGAACATTAACCCGGGCAGTCGTTTACCTCGGCCTCCATGCGGAGCCGGACCAAGAGCAAGACGGTGAATCATTCGCAGGACCGTTATGCTTTCTACCACCAGCTCGAGTTTGGACTGAATTGGAGGAGCGCCGACGGGTATTTTGGAATGTCTTTTTATTAGATCGGTAAGTAAACCGCCGTTGAAGAGAGTGGAGAACAATCATCTTAATCTGGACATAGGTTCTGCTCAATAGTCACGGGGTAGGTCAAATCAACATCTTATCTAAACAAAGCTAACAGTGGCCTTGGGAGCTCAGTTCAAATATGAGTCTATCTAGTGAAGACGTGCAGGTCCGACTCCCAAGTGACGGATTGTACTGGGTGAAAGAGGAGCCCGTGACGACGCCATTTTTGAACATCTGGGATATATCTATGACCAAAATTGGAACATCCGTTTCCTATTTACCCCGACACTTTTCTACCCTGGCAGAAAAAGAAAAATATGCCGCGGCAAGGACAGGGTCATCTGAAAGGATTACTCCTGTTCCCCATGCTCCTGAAGCCCTGACAATTGATGGTTCAACTATCGGGTCATTCGCATATTGTGTCGAAGCGACTGAGGGACTTACTCGCGTCGTGAAATTCTTCCTTCAGCGGCCTGTCAATCTTCAAATAAGGCAGGAATTTAGTTCGTGGCTGGTGCGATTCAAGGAACTGGACCTTCAATTAATTCAGTATGTCGCCTCACATGTGAACCTTCATATTTCACGAACTAATATTGAGTATCACAGCTGGAAGATGTTTCTTCCTCGTCGATGGAAGGATTCCAATATATCCAAAGAGCCAGCTTTCATTCATTTTGATCCCAATCTTACCCTTGCACATATCACTCATAATACCTCGATGATTCTTTTACATCAAAGTATCGCATATCCACATGCATCTATTTTGGAAAAATTGAAGCTTGCAAGTAATGCAAGTGTGGAAACATGCCAACTTGCATCATCGGAGACTGCAAATATTACGCAGAAATATCTACAGTACACACCCTTTGTCGGTTTAGTGGCTCCACAGTTCGTCTTCTGCACCTTTATCAGTGCTCGCGCTATGCTTGGTAAGACCTTACAGTGGACCATCCAATCGAAAACTTAGGACTAAGCTATTTCACTTCTAGTACACGCACACTTCCATCATGCTGAGCTTCCAGAGGCATACGAAAATCTCCTATCCTGTTTACAGCAGATGTCCGACCGCTGGACTTCCATGAATCCTACTCTGAAGTTTCGCACCGATGCGAAGGACTTTGCTAAGGGCCTTCTGTTGCAACTGCAAAGACTCCAGGAAAGTATTGCATCGCCATCATTTTCCCTATCGGCACTTGGCTATATATCGGAGGTCAATTATGCTCTGGGGATTCAAGCACCTGCTCCTAGCCCCGAGAATAGTCAGTGGCTTGAAGAACGTCGAGCCCAGCAACGCCATAGCATTGTACCCGTTAGTACAAGACAATCGCACTACATTAACTCCAATAGATTGAGACGCGGAACAGATCGACATGACTCCTCATCTAACACGTATGTGAACCATTTGCACGTCTAGTTTCCCCCATTGACAGGTCGCTATAGACTTCATACCCCGTCAACGGAGGCTTCACTTGTCGATCAAGCTCAAACCGAGCGCCTTCTGCCAGCACGACGTCCAGAAGCGCAATTGTACTTCCTCCCAACATCGCAACCGAATGTTGTATCTTTTTCCGACCATGATATATCGCCGATGGAAGAAAATATAGATGAGTTTGCTCAGCTGTCGGCCAATTTCCTACTGGATCCGCAATATTGTGACATGGATCGTATTATCAGCTTCCAAGATTCATTCATGCGTTGATCTACATAGAGCGATGGAATATTTAACGACAGTTTTTACAACACACTCAATTTATAGCAAACGGCAACGTTTCATAGGCGTAATACATAGACTATGGCCGCACTCGGGGCGCGGGCTAATTACCCACCCGAGCATACCAGTAACTGCTCGATGCGCAAAATCCAAGCTACTTAACAACTCGACGAATCATCTGTATCCAAATTCATAGGCGAATTTATTCCAAATCGTTTTTGATTTCTTTCTGACTCCTATCTTTGTTTCTGCTGAAATATGGCGCCTCACACACTTGACTCACCATCATCCGCTGACAATAAAGTCAAAGTGAAGCTTGCTAGTGACAGCATGAGCTCACCGAGTGAGGCACCTTATCTTGAAGGGCTTAGAAGTAGACTCTCTGCACTTTTTAGTGAGAACAACTTCGCGAAGATGATTAGCACTGCCGAGGCACTTTTGCAAGACAATGTATGTTGAGCCCCATTCCATCGTTGGGACTCGATACTTACAACTGACTACAAGAAACCCCCAACGATGTTCCCCGAGACCGTTCCTCAGATTGGCCCACACTGTGGAGAATACCAGTGCAGAGATGCTGAATTTTGGACATGTGGGTTTTTCCCAGGGAGCCTTTATTGCCTGCTTGAACGAGCCAGGAGGCACCCGGGATCAATCGCTCGGGGGGGGATTTGCCACCGGTTTGATAAGCAATCTGCATTTGGTGGAGGCCCGTCTCGCTTCTGTGTGTTTGGCGTGGGCCGAACCCATAAAATACATGTCATCTCGGAAGGATACTCATGATCTCGGCTTTATAATCCAGCCCGCAATCAAACGGCATTGGGAGCTATATGGTGACCCAGAAAGCTCGTTGAGCCTTGCAGTCGCAGCGGAGAGCCTTGCTAGTAGATATGACAAAAGGGTCGGGGCTATTAGGAGCTGGGATGGATTTAAAAATACAAAACATGATATACAAAGTATGGACGACGACTTCATAGTCATCATCGACAGTTTGTGCAGTAATAAACGCCCAATTACCCTTCAAAGGCCCGTTTAATGAACTGACTGGCTTCTTATTTAGATCTTGACCTCCTATTCTTCGCATCCTCTTACAGCCAAGCACCTCACCTAGGCGATATTGCCTATGCCCATGCTACCAAGCTTCTCACTACGCATCTTCGCAAGGAGTCCGGGCCCAATAATGAACGTTACTACTCAACATATCATGGTGTCAACTTCTCGCCAACAAATAATGGCGCAGTGAGAAAGGAATTCACAGCGCAGGGTTATTCTGATGAGTCAACATGGTCTCGTGGACAGGCTTGGGCAATTTTGGGATACGCACAGACATTTGGATGGACGAAAAACATCGACTTTCTGGAAGCCGCAATGTGTCTAGCAAATTACTTCATTCTTCGCATGGAACAAGCCTCTGACACAGTCGTTGAGAATGGCTTTGGGCGATATGTTCCTTTGTGGGACTTTGATGCACCAATCACAAGCATCTCAGTCAATGGGACTGAAGCTCCATTAAGAGATGTCTCTGCTGGACTGGTTGCTGCAAATGGAATGCTTATTTTGTATGGCCATCTGGCTGGACTAGGTAGGCTCGATCTGGCAAACCGATTTTTGGACTATGTGATCAAGATTTCTGAGCATACGATTGCTTTGGCGTACAATAGTAATGAAATGCGGTTTGCTGAAGATCGTGTGAATGGAAGATTGACAATCGAGGCATGCGGAGGGGCGGGTGCAAGGCGTTTTGACTCTATTCTTGAGCGTTCTACTGCAAATTTCAACGAGAATCATGCGGATAGAAGTTGGGATCATGGTTTGGTATACGCAGATTACTATTTTCTCGAGCTTGGGAACCGTCTGCTTGATATGGGATTGGCATGAAAAAGTGGAGGTGAATGTATGGTATTTCTCCGGCTTCGATTTTACAGTCTCGATTAGATAGACCAATGATACTCGGATCATGACTCGCAAAAGGCACCCAAAGATGTAAATCTTAATGAAGAATTATTTCCTTGATAAAAACCCGACTGAAATATCCTTGTAAGATTTTTGACCGTAGTATTCTCACTTTTATTTGCTTGCGTATTACTAGCCTTGATCGTTTCTTCCACGCATGAAATGAGGCGGGTCCAATAACCGATTCGAACATTAATTCGCTTCCTGTTCCAACATCTGTCTATCCATGTTTAAATTAAAGGCAATAGAAGACCTACGAAAGGGGGATTTGATATTTTGGGGAAATGGCCAATCACAATGTCAGAGAACATGTGCTTGACCAACCAGAGCATTGCAAATACATTCGCCCCCACGGTCCAATGTACGGACGGCGTCGACTATAAGCCCGAGGTGCCAAGAGCATGGAATTCTAAGCACCAAGCATATTCTGATGCAAAGTTACAATGTTCTTGAAAGTGAGGTTCGGCGAACTGGAGAAATGTGCTGTCGGTGGAATCGTTCCTCCGACATTTGGAGGAAGGGGCGTTTCCCCGCCCGAACTAAGCGCTAACGTTGAGACTTGTGGGCCAACTGTGGATCCACTGAGATGGCATGGGGCAGATATATTGGGTAGGATAAATAGTCGATCAATGCAACTTTGTGTAGGAAGTTTACTCCAAGTCAACTCCTGTTGATATTCCCCCTTCTTGAAATTTATCCAACTTCCCACTACCATCACGATGGGATCACGAAACACCGCAGATGACCAAATATCTGTCTTGAAAACGCCGCTTGAGAAACGAATAAGCCATGATGAAGGCCTTCCAAGCCGCGAAGCTTTGATAGAGGCTCTAAAAACACAGAAGCCATCTCCATGGTCACCGAACTTGAGGAAACTATACGTATTTTGTGTCATCGCATTCCTCTGCTCTTCTATGAATGGTGAGTTTGCAGCAAGAATTATATCACATCCGAGTCTGCCCTCGCACTAACTTGGCCCTAAAGGTTATGACGGCTCTATATTCGGCTCCCTTCCAGCCCTGGATTCTTTCAGAGATCAATTTGATGTCGAGAAGAATGGCTCCAAGATTGGTTACATTTCAGCCATGTATACAGTTGGTGCAATCTGCTCATTACCATTCAGCGGACCCGCATCTGACCTTCGTGGACGTAAATGGGGTACGTTTGTTGGTTGTGCGATTGTGGTCGCTTGCACTTTTGTGTCCGCGCTTGCAGGCGGTGTTCCCCAATTTGTGGCTGGTAGATTCTTTCTTGGATTCGGAGTGAACATAATTCGATCGACCAGCTCCATATGGTGTGCCGAAGTCTGTCCACCTGCCTATCGAGGTATCATTATGGCATTTTATAATTGCACATATGCTGTTGGATCCCTTGTTGCAGCAGGGGTCACCAGAGGATCAGCTGGTTATGCTGGAAATAAGGCTTGGCAGATTCCGCTGTGGTGTCAAATGATCTGCCCAGGAATGGTCTTACTTACTGTTTTGTTCTTCCCCGAGTCTCCTCGATGGCAATTTTCCCATGGACAGGAGGACAAGGCGCTAGAATTTCTTACATACTACCATGGCGAAGGAAACCCAGATCACCCACTGGTTCAACTACAGCTCCAGGAGTACAGGGAATTTATCTCACTATCCGGATCAGACAAGCGCTGGTGGGACTTTAGTGATTTTTACAAGTCGAAAGCGGGAAGATGGCGCTTCATCAATGCTCTTGTCACTGGCATTTGGGGGCAATGCTCAGGCAATGCCGTTGTGACCTATTATCTGCCAGCCATGCTTCTCACAGCTGGCATCACCAACTCTGAGCAAGTTTTAAACGTCAATCTCGGCTATACGGTTGTCTCGACTGTTGCCTCATATTTGGGTGCAAGCCAGATCGAGAGAATGGGGAGGCGGCCAACTATCATATGGACAGCTGTTGCTTGTTCAATTTGCTTCGCCTGTATTACAATCGGTACTGGTATTTATGATCATACAAAGGCGCCATCCGCTGCGTCTGCTGGTATCGCTTTTATTTTCTTGTTCGGATTTGTTTACAACTTTGGAATGACGCCACTTCAAGCGTTATATCCAATCGAGGCCCTGTCGTATGAGACCCGTGGGAAAGGCGTTGGTTTAACATTCTCGATTGCCCATGGATTCACGCTCCTCAATCAGTTTTGTTTTCCAATTGCTCTCCAAAGGATTGGCTGGTACACTTACATCGTGTTCATTGGTTGGGATCTATTTGAAGCGGCTGTCAGCTACGTGGTTTCGGTTGAAACAAAAGGGCATACTTTGGAGGAAATGACCGAGATATTTGAGAGCCCAAATCCTGTCAAAGCCTCTCTCCAGAGGCCACTTGCTTGATTTGTAAATGTTTCATTTAAGTTTTTTATCTTGCTTGTAACATTTCTCTTTGCTATTTTGGGTAATTTAGGTTGCTGGTATTTTCAACTCTCTCCCTCGGAAATCCATCCTACTACCTTAACTTAGGTAGCTAGGCCATATTTTTAGTGATGAACCCTTTCATCACTCATTTAAACCAAAACCTAAACAAACCAGCTAAAAATAGTCACGTTTTCAAAAGTTCCCAAGACGGTCTTGAAAAGCCCCATAGTGCGGTAATTTTGAGAGCAGGTTGAAAATTATGATTTACTTAGACAAGTCATCGAAGTAGAAGTGAAGATGGCACTTGAGGATACTCGAATGTTTATAATGACCACAGACTAAACGAAAATTGAACAGCCAGGCCATACCCATCTCTACTTTCAACATAACGCTATATAGCTGTACTGGGAATATCCAGCCTTCCAAGAAGGGCACCCCAACTACTGGTTGGGTCCATGGCAATCGGGTCCAGGGCCTGGGAGGGTTCAGGTGCCCTGGAATGAATCGACAGACCAGCCGGCAGACCTCCCTATCTGCGTCTCATACCACGATCCGCAAATAGGCAACGAAAACAAAAGAAACATTGTTCAGGCCGTTAGGATTTCTAATACTAAAGCACACCATGAAGCCGGTAATAACGGCAACATTCAGTCATCTGAAGCACGTTACAAGTCTGAGTTCCATCAATGTCGCGTCAATTTGGAGGCTGGTAAGGCCCTTGACCCTGAGCGGTACATGCCGCGGTGATGGCGATGACCGGTGTTATGCGCGGTCCTATGTAGATAGAATGCCGATCTACGTGGATCTTTTGAGATTCTACGCTCTACATCAACAAGCGCACATCACTGCAATCTCCATAAATTTGTCCCCACTTGACATAGGAAGGATCTGCACACAGATCAACTACACATACTCGGCTGAAGCTCTTGATCTAGTATGTAAATTTCCAATCTGAGTCCATGAAAGGCCTCATCTAGTATAGTGTACAAAGAGGTGGATTCAGTGGGGTTATCCAGGGGACATTTTAAGCACACACTTACTTTAGCCGAATGACCAAATGAAACGAAGTATGATATCATAATTCTGAGTTGGAAGTTTATGTTCTAACTTGAATGTTAAAGGCACGGGAAGTGGGTCGATCTATGTCAACAGCGGGACCAATCGCAGATGCGCTTCCGGACCGCGCTGCCCCTCCGGGGCTGTATGGCCCCTATATGGCCCCACCGTAGTGGAGTGTTAGGGCAACACTCCAGGGGCACCAGCATTTTTTGCGTCACTTCACGCCCCCAATCTTTTACCAGCCTCTTGGCTCCGCAATCTTTTATCTCTTCATTTATCACAATTGCTCCCGTGTCTTTTCAAAAGTGTTCACACAATCGGGTGTCATCTCCTTCGCATTTCTCTTCATGTAAAATGGATGCAGAACTTCGTGCTCCACTCTCACCGGTCTGTCTGATCGATGGCCACCTAACTGAGAAAGAGGATGTTCTGTGGGTGCGAAATCCCGACCGTCATCTTCAAAATACTACAGTTGCCAGCAGCGATGGCGAGAAACTGTTTTATGTTAAAGGTCCGGGTGATTATCAGTCAATGACTTTCCGACGCCCCGTAAAGGACCCCGAAGGAAATGCTGTATTCGACCTACGTCGCTATGCAGTGGATCTGAAGATGCGATGGTTCGTGCAAGACTCCAATGAGAAGAAAATAGCAGAGTTGTGTCATGAGCGCTTTTTCACCAGCAAACATACTGCAATCAACGCCAGAATATGCCATTCTGGTGAGGTAGTGGAAATGCGACCACGCGATGCGCAAGGCTCAACGTGCTACGTTAGTATAGGCAATGCTACTATTGCTGAAATTACCGTGCATACCAACAACACGCCAAAGCTTATCGTACGTGATCGCGACATGTCGGTTCTTCGTGTTCGGGTGGCTAGAGGTGTAGATTTGAGTTTGGTAAGTCAATATTCTAACCACGTTGTGAATGAGATTAGCTAACTTCTGATGACAGGTTGTCTTAATGGCATTGGTCAGAGCAGAAATGATGCATATCTGGCGAAAGTAGGCCAAATCGGTACATTATATAAGAGCTTCGACATTCTTCTATCCATATTGCGCGTAAGGGAATACCTATTCAACTCCTCATTCACCTCCTATTCTCCTTCAAGAAAGCAACTTTCTTTATCTTGGAGTCCTATGAGCGAGTTCTGTCTGGAGACACCAGCTTCTCGGATTTGAAGTACCATATGGGCAAGGATCCGCTTTTGACAATTTTTTCTGAATCCTCTTGCCTCTCAACGATAAAGTCGGCGATGCAGAAGTAAAATGACCTTTGCTGTCGTGAAATCCATGCAGAAGACCAGAAACTTGCAGCGGGTTTTGTGATAATAGCACAACCTTGCCGTTTACACTATATTGAATCTTCCAGATGCGTCGCAAGCTATATAATATCATACTCGGCTGGCCGCAAACTAATCACTGAGAATGGGGTCCGCGCCCGTTAAGTTATCGGACTGAATTTCGCTACGAAGATGATCGCGATTTGAAAAATAAGGTGGCACTATCTGCAATCAAAATTTTACATTGTACGGAGACTCAACTATAGCTACTATCGGCGAGCCTGGGTGTGGTTATGAAAAACCAATCTTGTTGGTTAAGGCCTCAATAAATCGGATTCAAGTTATTCACAATACATCCTACTAGTACACAATATAGCTTTGTGTACCGGTAGACTATGTTTTTTTTCTTTATTCTATAAAGCCTTGCAGGATGCATCGGTTTACTCTATGCTCCCGAACCTCCAGCGTTCACCTACTTTTACATCACCAGCATCGGGTTCAAAAAGAAGTTTTTGTGGGCGTACCCACGTGCCACCCTATACTACACATAATTAAGTAGAAAGTGAATGACAGATGTGTTTTCAAAATGTACTCAGTGTTATCCGCAAAGAATGTGTACCCCAAGCAGTAGCCTATGACTCCAGATCAGAGCCACTGTGGGCATTCCAATTATCCACCAAAGCTGGCGGCAGTATACTGTCAACATCTCCTCCCGGAATCCTCAGATTTAGAACGCCCTGAGCCTCATCCTCGTCATGTTCAAGTTCAATCTTGCCGTCTTCTGCGCTACGAGCGAATGATGTAACCATCTGCAACAAAGTGGCAAACCTCTGCAAGGTCGGCTGTTCAATTTCTTCCCATTCCATTATTTTCTCTCGCACATCCTGAACTCGGATATCATTGAACTTGCCGAAGGTGTGGTAGGCGAGCACAAAGTTGGGAATCTGTCTGATCCATAAACGGGGCATCTCTTCTGAAAGGGTATCGATGTCGGCTTTTCGGACAGAACGCGTCTTCAGGTCGAATACCGCACATTGTGGAATATGGCGACCCCCTTTTGAGGCTTGCAGAGTCTTTGAGTCTTGGGCCGTCTTGGATGAGTGAACAGCCGAAATTGTGGCTGATCGAAGAGATGATAAGAGATCTTCAGGTTCCGATTCACCTGTGCTAGAAATAGAATTTTTCTGTGTTTTCAAATCATCGGGCAATAGGTCAGGAAGATAACCGTCACCTTCAAATCGTACGAGACAATTCATGTTGGCAAATTCAAAGTTGATAAGACGCTGATGAGACTCTGATCTCCCAACGTCTTTACCCCACGTCGTGTAGGCCTCTGGAAAGCTATGCCCAAACCCTCGGATATCCGGAATGGTTTCTTTGGGTGAATTTTGTCTTCTGATAAGGAAGACTGTATTCCCGATTACTTCGACCAGCATCCTAAATGTAGGGGCTCTGCCACGCACAAACCTCAACAGATTTCCCAACGTGCTGCCACAAGCCACAATATCCAAATCGTCGACACAGAACTCCGGTTTATCTATGAGTATCGCTTGGAAAACAGGCTCAAGTGGGTATGTGGGATGCCGTGCCTGGTTCAAGTCACGAAAGTAAACACCAGAGTCCACGCGCAGCTGAATGGGTTCAGAAAGCGGCGTCCATTCTGGGGGTTCGCCGGGGATGATAATCTCGGGTTGTTCCTTGCTGATCCAGTTGTAAGAAGTCAAATACTTCGTATTGGTGATTTTAGCAGGTAGAGTAGGTTCAGGCATGCTATCTTCAATTTCATGGCGTTCAATTGTTGCAAGAACTTCGCCGAGTGGTGGCGGTGGGGATAGAAGCACTGATGAACTTCCAATCCTGCCTCCTCTCCTATTTCTTCCGCCTAATGCCCGACGCGTACGATAACCTCTTCCTTGAAAGCTCATATTTCCAGACAGAGGATAAATATAATTAGTGCCAGCACGACTTTGAGCCACGAAGAGGACAGGTCAAAATCAACGCACTCAGCAATGGCACGAGGTTGCTCAGAAGAAAACAGAAAGAGAAAAGAGAAAAGAGCAAAAGGAATCCCAGTTGTGATGACTTCCTTATATTTTCTCCTTTTTCTTTGCGCCCCATGACCTGCGCCAGTCAAAATTTGTTTTTCCTATGATCTTGATATACCCCTGTCGCCACGTCATATCTCGGTATTGGGCTGAGGGATTGGCCCAGAGCGTTTGCCTCGCTTTATCGTAGCTGCGCAAGTGGCGCAGACGCAGGTAACTATGGCAGCCTATTAACCAACCAAAACAAACAGCAGATTTGCATTGGAATACCAACAACTGAGTGGGGGCATGTTGTTGGTTCAACCCCTCACTTTGTACGCCTTGTACACCTCACTGTGCTTTCAAGGCTGAATAAGGCGAAATCCGCTAACACGTACCTTTCGCGCTCACAACAGACATATCCACACAGCCATCTTGATTTCTATAAAGCGCTCTTTTATGTTCAATTTTTTTTCTTCCTCAATATAATCGCATCTTGCCACTTTACGATGTCTACGAATAGCCGGTCGGATCGACTTGCTAAATACTTCACAGCGGTTATTCAAGGGAAGCAAGAGGTTCGAGATCTCAACAACTTCAAGAAGCTCATAGAGGCTATCTTGGACAATAAAGACTCATGTCTAAACATTGAAAGGCTAGTCACCAGTCAAAGTGCCCTTGATGGCCTTCGAAATGGTTTGAGGTTCAACCTCACACCCGCCTTCATCAACAATTACACAGCCAAATTCATCGATGTTCTGCGAAACCCTGAGATAAAGCTTTTATGCAACGGTCTTTTCCTTCAACAACTTCTTCTTATCATACTGGAGCCCCGAACTCTCTGGATCTCACTTTTGGATGCCTTTTCCACCCGAAAACTGGACCAAGATGCGATTCAAACCCTCTGCTGGTTGACCACAGAGCTCCTGTCATTACCAGTTTCATACGCGGTAGATATTACTACTGACACTCAATCTCTTTTGAGCGATGGGTATCTTCTGGAGTCTTCTTCAGTTCCACTCCGGAATCTGGGACACAAGATGAAGTATCTCCTGGATATGAAATCTTCTGCATCGACCCTCCTCGTATCTGAAGACACAGCAGGCAGTCGCCATGATAACGACTTCGCGGATTTTCGTCAAATAGCTATCTTTCCTACGACGGATGAGATGGGCTGTACCGAGAAACCTTTTTATCGTTCTGTGGATGAAATTACTCACCTGGCTGGCAGCGAACGCATCGCAGCGCATGTGGATAATCAATTCCGGCTTCTACGCGAAGATATGCTATCAGCGCTACGGGACGATATTCACGTTGCGACCGGCGCAAAAAAGGGACGACGGTCTGCTTTACGGCTTGGAGGGCTGTCTTTGGCTCGCATATCTTGTGTCTCAGAGGATAGGCAACAGAAGGAACGCCTCCGTCCATGCACCGTTGGCGTCACTCCCAAGTCAGGCCTAGAAAGGTTGAAGAAGCTTTCCAAAGAAGACGCCAAGATATATCTAAAAAACACGCCTCAATTTGTCAAACATCGTGCGTTTGGCTGCTTTTTACGAAATACAGAAATCGTGGCATTTGCTACAATTGAGAGAAACATTGATGATTTGATAACTACTCCACCAGTAGTCATGCTGCGAGTTGAAGGCGCCGAGGCAATGAAGAAGGCCGCTTTGTTCCTCAAACTCTATGACGATGTAGAGTTCTTGGTGGTTGATACGGCGACTTTCGCGTACGAGCCAATCTTGAAATGTCTTCAGGAGAGAGTTGATTTTCCTCTCGCCGAAGAGTTATTTCTCTACGATATTAACGGGCGAGTCAAGGAATCTACCCTGGCACCTTGGGATATCATCAACGATTTGTATCTGAACTACCGGTCTAACATTCAAACCGTCCTGAAAACTTCAATGCCAGTTACTTTGGACCCATCTCAGCGTGAGTCTCTATTGGCAGGTTTGACTCAAAATCTCAGTCTGATACAGGGACCCCCAGGTATGAAGATGAAAAACGTATACCCTTTGGATTTCTCAAGCTGATACATTAATTTTCAGGTACCGGAAAGTCATTCATAGGGGCACTTTTAGCTAAAGCCCTTAATGATCATACCAATGACAGGATACTGGTGATGTGCTACACAAATCACGCCTTGGATCAGTTTTTGGAAGATTTACTTGATATCGGCATCGACCCTTCTAGTATTGTTAGGCTGGGAGCTAAGTCAACCACTAGAACTCAGCCATTGAGTCTCAGAGAGCAACGATCAAGTACAAGAAGGTCTCAGTCAACTTGGGACACTATCAACGCACTAGAATATGAAGGCCAGGAACTTCGCAGCACCATCGAGAGTTCATTTGCAGCATATCAGGGCTTGTCATTGAGCTCTTCAAAGCTTCTCGAGTACCTGGAGTTTGAAGAGCCTGAGTTCTTTGAAGCATTCGATATACCTGAAGATAAAGATGGGATGAGGATAGTGAACAAGAAAGGGAAACCCATAGCCAAAACCTATCTCTACGACCGCTGGGCTAAAGGAAAGTCCCCAAAGCCCTTAACAGCAAACATATCATCGCAAAGCCGCAGCATATGGGCCTTGGAGCAGAACATGCGAGATGAGAAGATCCAGTCGTGGAAACGAGCTTTTCTCAATGAACAAGCCGAATCTCTCGCGGCAAAGATGAAACTACTTGATCAATGTCAGAAGAAGTTATCCGCAACCACAGGGGATAACATAAGGAATATCTTGAAAGGAAAAAAGATCATAGGATGTACGACAACGGCTGCAGCAATGCATGCGGAAGATCTAAAGCATGTATCGCCAGGCATCGTCTTATTGGAGGAAGCGGGCGAGATCCTTGAGTCTCACGTTCTTACTGCGATATCGCCAAAAACGAAACATTTGATACTGATCGGTGATCACTTGCAACTCCGCCCAAAGATCAACAGCTATGCCCTCAGCACGGAAAGGGGTGATGGATATGACCTGAACGTTTCCCTTTTTGAAAGGTTAATCCATGCTGGCTACCCACATACAACCTTGCAGAAGCAGCATCGAATGTGCCCCGAGATCTCAGCTCTTGTCCGCTCTCTCTCCTACCCCCTGCTGGAAGATGACGAAAAAACAAAAGGTCGTCCCGAGCCACGAGGATTATGCGATCGCGTAATCTTTTTCAATCATCAGAATCTTGAAGAAAGTTTTTCAGAGATCTCCGATCGACGCGATGAAGGAGCGAGACAATCTAAACGGAATCTTTTCGAGGCAGAGATTGTTTTGAAGATTGTTAAATATCTTGGACAGCAAGGATACGGAACAGACAATCTCGTCATTCTCACACCATATCTTGGTCAACTTTCGCTTCTGCGCGAGACATTAAGCAAGCAAAGTGATCCAGTACTAAATGATCTAGACTCCTACGATCTTTTACAGGCAGGGTTACTGTCGCATGCGAGTGCCAATCATCTTAAGCGACCGATCAAGATCTCTACAATTGGTAAGTAGCAAGAATTGTGGGACGGTATCTACTACCCAAGCTGACAATTGGATCAGATAACTACCAAGGTGAAGAAAGTGAGATTGTAATAGCGTCACTTACTCGAAGCAATAATAGTGGCGACATAGGTTTCATGTCAGCTCCAGAAAGATTGAACGTGCTTCTCTCTCGTGCCAGAAACATACTTATCATGGTAGGAAATTCGGAAACATTCGTCTCTAGCCGTAAAGGTCAGAAGTCTTGGGGGCCTCTCATCAATCAGCTCAAGTCTAGTAATCACCTTTATGATGGACTCCCGGTTAAGTGCGAGCAGCACGCTGACAAGACCAGCCTACTCGGGACCAAGGAAGACTTCGAAAGAGAGGCGCCCGATGGTGGATGCTCAGCACCGTGGTACGTCAACACTTATGAGTAAAATTGCACTTCCCAATCCAGAAATGCTTTCATCAAAAACATCTTTAGTCTTTGTTTCTTTGAACTAATGTCTAATGTCTGAAAAGTGGCGTCAAACTCAGCTGTGGAGTACATGAATGCCCATCCAAATGCCATCAACTCAGTGACCACTCCAAAATGAAATGTACCAAGATCATCAAATGGAACTGTCCCCGAGGCCATACTTTATCTGTGTCGTGTTCGATGGCCAAGGGCTCATGCCGTTTCTGTAATCAAGAGGACGCCATGAAGAAACGAAAACATGAGCGCGATGCGAAGCTTGAGGCAGAGCGGCAAAGAAAGCAATCAATATACGCCCAGCAGATTGCTGAGCTCCAGAGCGAAGCGTCACATTTGAGACGCCTTAAAGGCGATCAGATTATAGATGCGGAGCGAACAAGAGTTCTTGAACAGCATCGCGAAGAGATCAAGCAGCTACAAAGTCCAGTTCAAATCACAATCGAAAGGACGATCGAAGGCGCAGTAAGCGCGGTCAGTAACCAACGCGATGAAAGTGCCCCCGAAAACGTTCCGAATCTAGTCAATTCGAATTCACGGCCTCTAATCACCCAAACTACTCGAAATCCAGGGGCTCAGCCCGTGGCTTTTAGTAACGATAAGCCGAGGGTGAATCCCAAGCCCCAGGGGCTAATACTCAAAAAGCCTCCCTTGCAGCCCGAGGCCGATTGGGACTACCAAAAAGCATATCACAACGCCCAGAGCCCAGAAGTGGATGCTTTAATGGGTATGGTCGGGTTGGAGCTAGTTAAATCAAAATTCCTGGCGGTCAAAGCCAAAGTCGATACCGCCGTGAGACAGAATGTCGATTTGAGCAGAGAGAGATTTGGAACTGTGCTCCTCGGCAACCCCGGAACCGGTAAGACAACAGTCGCTCGAATTTATGCGAAATTTTTGTCAGCAGTTGGAATTATCCCAGGAGACAAATTCATCGAGACAACAGGATCTCGACTGTCAAACGAAGGCATCCCACCATGCCAGAAGATGATTGAGCAGCTGCTTAAAGATGGTGGAGGCGTTGTTTTTATTGACGAAGCTTATCAGATGGTTCATGGTGGAAGTTTTAGTGGTGGCCAGGTGCTTGACTTCCTTTTGGCTGAGGTCGAGAATCTCACCGGCAAGATTGTGTTCATTCTTGCTGGATATCAACGTCCAATGGAAAAGTTCTTCGCCCATAACGATGGACTACCCAGTCGTTTTCCTCACAGTTTGACGTTCGAGGATCTCGATGACACAGAGCTGATGATGATCATGAATTGTTGGATTGAAAAGACATGGAAGAAGCAGATGAAAGTTGATGATGGACCTGGTGGACTTTATTGTCGTATTCTAGCTCGACGAATTGGGCGTGGACGAGGCCGAGAGGGGTTCGCGAACGCAAGGGCCGTTGAAAATGCCATGGCAAAGGTTTCCGAGCGACAATCCGACCGCTTGACCCATCAAAGACAGCAGGGAGTTTCAAGCATCGACGACTTTTATCTTGATGGTGAAGACATCATCGGCCCAGATCCTTCTCAAAGTCTTAAATCGTCAACATCGTGGCAAAGGCTGCAAGGGATGATCGGGCTAGTCGATGTTAAAAAGACTGTCGAAAGCCTGATAGACACGATTCAATACAACTATCGTCGGGAGATAGACGAGCAACCTATCGTTTGCTACAGCCTCAATAAGGTCTTTCTTGGAAATCCTGGAACTGGCAAAACTTCTGTTGCAAAATTATATGGCCAAATTCTTGTGGATATTGGACTTTTATCAAGCGGGGAAGGTATGTTGGAAAACATCTCAGAATTATCAGATGTACTAACGCGAATTCAGTTATCGTAAAGAACCCATCAGACTTTATCGGAAGCGTGCTTGGAGAATCAGAGAAAAACACAAAAGCCATTCTCGCAGCTACCTTGGGAAAAGTGCTTGTCATAGACGAAGCCTATGGTCTTTTTGCCGGGGGGACTTCCGATGGCACGGGGGCAAAGTCTGACCCATACAGAAGTTCTGTGGTAGATACTATAGTAGCTGATGTCCAGAGCACACCCGGGGATGATCAATGCGTTCTACTTCTGGGATACAAGGACGAGATGGAGCAAATGTTTCAAAATGTCAATCCCGGTCTCAGTCGGCGCTTCCCCCTCGACCAAGCTTTTGTTTTCGAAGACTTCACGGAACATGAGTTGGATCAAATTGTTGACCTTAAACTGACAGAACAAGGATATGGAGCCACCGATCGGGCTCGCCAGGTCATTCTGGAGATGCTTGAACGAGCTCGGAACCGACCACACTTTGGGAATGCAGGTGAAATTGACATTCTCCTCAACGCAGCGAAGATGCAGCATCAGAGGCGCATATCTTCGGATAAGCCCAAAGGCGGCCCTCTTGATTCTATCTTAGATGCCGCCGATTTTGATGAGAACTTTGATCGTGCGGAAAAGAATGAAGCGAATGTTGCAAAGATGTTTGAGGGAGTAGTAGGCTGTGAACGCATTATTTCCAAATTGGAGGGATACCAGAGGCTGGTCAAGAGCCTCAAAGGGTTAAACATGGATCCTCGTGAACAAGTCCCATTCAACTTTGTGTTCAGAGGACCTCCGGGTGAGTGAAAATTTGGGTCGGCGATGGGGACTGGGCTTCTACTGACATGGAAAATCGCGATAGGAACCGGGAAAACAAGCACAGCCAAAAAAAATGGGGCAAATTTACTACGATATGGGGCTTTTAGCTTCGACAGAGGTCATTGAAGCGTCCGCTACGGATCTGATAGGACAATATGTCGGACATTCAGGGCCGAAAACACAAAAGACGCTAGAGCGAGGTCTCGGGAAAATTCTCTTCATAGACGAGGCATATCGCCTTGCTGAGGGTCAATTCGCTGAAGAGGCTATTGTAGAGCTTGTAGACTCGATCACAAAGCCGAGGTTTTCTCGCAAGTTGATTATTATTTTGGCTGGATACGATAAAGACATTAACCACCTCATGTTAATTAACCCCGGTCTCACAAGTCGCTTCCCGGAATCTCTTCAATTCGAGTCTTTGTCTCCAAGAGATTGCATTGAGTTACTGGGCAATCTTTTGGAAAGAAACAAGGAAGATATTCTCAGAAGGTCAGGAAAGAACTTCGATATCACCTGTCTGTACGCAGCAGCTTCTGATCTCAACCAGAAGTTGACAGATGGGTTTGGTACATTGTCCAAAACTGCAAGTTGGGCTAGTGCAAGAGACGTCGACACACTGGTGAAGGCCATATTCGGGAGGACCATCAAGGATCCAGATTCTTTCCGTGGATCAAAGCTGGTACTAGGCCAAGAGGCAGTTATTGAGGAGCTTCAGAATATGATCAACGAGCGCCGCAGTCGAGAGAACTTCCAGATTAAAAGTTCCGGAATGGGTCTCAGCCCCCCGGCAAACTTACCAATTGGTACCCAGCTCCTGGATCCCCTAGCGATAAATATGGAGACTCGGACCCTGAAATTGAATACAGAATCCAGTGACAAGGTGGACTTGCCGGTAAAGGATTGCAGCAACCAACAGAGTCCGGTACCTGACCGCGATTCAGGTGTGACAGATGGGGATTGGAATCAATTACAGAAAGATACGGCAGCTTCCGAAAGGGCGGAGAAAGAGTACTTGGATATGGTACAACAAGGGGAGGAGCATATAAGGGAATTTATAAGACTTAAGGAAGAGGAGGATAAAGCGGCCCAGTCGGTGGAAGAGGCGAGGCGACAGCAAAAAGAGCTGTTGAAGGCGCGCCTTGAACAAGAACGATTACAACGTGAAATTGAACGTAGGAAGCAGGAGGAAATTGTTCGAAAACTTGAGATCAAGCGACAAGCCGAAGCGGACTTTCGCCGCAGGGAGCAAGCGACTCAGGTTAAGCTTCGGAGCATGGGAGTGTGTGATCAAGGTTTTCGGTGGATCAAACAATCTGGCGGATATCGATGTGCAGGAGGCAGTCATTGGGTGTCAGATGCCGAACTTCAGTGATATCACATGTACAGGATGAGACGATAGAGAGGCCGAGAGCTTGATTAGATGCTAGTGATACTAGTACATATAATTGGAGACTACCAAAGTGCCCATTGTCAAGATTAACTTTGAATCTACAGGTTCAAATAATAGCAATAAATCCAAATTTTCCACCAAGAAAACACCTGGGTAGGCTCTTTGGCTCAGTGAGGTATCCAACACTAGCACAGACTCGGATTAACCCATGCCGGATAGTTGCTAGGCCTATGTCCATATAGACTGTATAACATTTAATATGTAGAATTACGTGTACGAGAGTATTCGTCTCCATGTACTTATTCCTATATTCTCAAGCTGCCTCGAGGTAAAATATAGATGTTCGCTAAGCAGTAATAATATTTGGCAACATACTACAGGGTAATGTACTATGTAGTGATTGAGCCTCGGTGTTAGACTCAATCTTATGTTCATTCAGTAGCCCCTGCATCAACCAACATCTTTCTTATGTGACGTGTAGTATGCCTTTTCCTGATCATACTCAAAGGGGTTGCCCCGGCGTAAGTTTGAGCACTCACGTCAGCCCCATGCGCGATGAGCATTTCAAGAATCTCAAGAGATTCCTTTCCTCGGGGAATGTCTTCATTTGCCGCAAACCAGTGCAAAGGACTCCTTCCCTCGTTGTCTCTATGATGAACATCTCCTTCTCGTTCAAGTAAAAGTGCCGTTAATTGTAGGCACCACCTATGGGCAGCTATACAGAGGAGTGTCTGTCCGTGGAGGTTGACGTGATGATCATCTGCGCCTAGTTCCAGGAGCCTTTGTACGGTACCGTACATGTCGGAGGTTGTACGTGTATTTTTAAGGGCCCAGAAAATTGGACTTTCGCCATTTTTGTCATACTGATTCACTTCGATATTTTCCTTGACAAGCATATTTATGAGCCCTGGCATATTCAGCTTAGCGGCGTAGTGTATGACTGTTCCGCCTTCGATGTCTCGAGCATTGAGGTTTGCGCCACGGTCAAAGAATAAATGCAAAACACGGTTACCCGTACCGTCGAGGCGGTAAGATCGATAATGAGAAATGAAAAAAAGGAAGGGTGTTTGTTGTTTCCTATTACGAAACTCAATGTCCAATCCAAGATCCAGAAATTGTGGTAAAGCATCACGTCCGCCGGTGTTGTAACCATTATCTAGAGCCGCGAACAGCACATTCTGGCCATTTGAATCAACAAAGTGCAAATCAGCACCGTGGCGTAGAAGAATCTGTAAGCTTTCGTAATGGTGCCATCTCGCAGCATCTAGAATTGCAGTTCTCCCATCGGGACTAGTAAAATTCACATCGGCTCCCGCATCGATCAATCGTGTTATAATAGGCTCAGGGTGAAAATATTTCTCAGATGCAAGCATTAAAGGAGATCGGTTCTTCTCGTCAACACAATTTAGCTCACTGCCGTTCTCAATAAGGAAATTCATGGCATCGAGTGCCTGCTGCTCTATACATGTATGGAGCGGGGTTGTCCCCCGCCATCCTCTCAGATTCACGTCGGCTCCTCGGGATATCAACTTGAATAACTTGGTCTTTAGAAGGTGTTTAGTTCGTATAGCCACAATCAATGGAGTTAATCCGTACGGGCCGTGGAGATTGGGATCGGCTCCATAATCCAAAAGCAAGGTCATCATAGACGTATCGTTGTGATCCCGTGACTTTTCAATAGCCAAATGTAGAGGACAAAACGAGTATGAAGCATTTTGAACAGGAGAATTCACTTGTGCGCCGTTGTCAAGCAAAAACTTGACCAGTTCAATGTCCCCGGCATCTATCGCTGCGTGCAGGGCTGTTTTTGAGCGGCCGAGACGACCAGGGAAAAGAGGGCGAAAGTTAATGTCCGCGCCCAAATATAACATTTTCTTGATGCCAGGCTGGTCGCACGATGCAGCATACTGTAGCAATTCCTCTCCGTACTGCTCCAGGGTTTCATGTTTGTAAATTTCAGGTTCGAGAAGGTTGTATAGCTGGCGGTTCACTAAAGTCAGACGATAGATATCGCTGGTTGATTGGATAGATTCCGCGATTTGGATGAGCAGTTCCTGTGGTAATTTTAAAAGAGACATGTTGGATTGAGTAATGTTGAATAGCCAATGTCAAGTGCCAGATATATTTGTCCCTCAATAATTCTGCTGACATCCAATTCAAATTCCAACCAGTCTGAATGGCTCGTGTTATCTGTATTCTGTTTCTCGCTACCAGATGATTCTCTCAGTGTTATCTATTCAGGACAAGGTCCTACCTGAAGTCAGCTTTCAGGGGCCAACACGGTGGCTATCGGTATGGCTCGGTGGATATTGTCTCGAAAGCTTCCTTGTTTCGATTCAAAGTATACTCTAAATGAGTTTTATACTGCACAAACATTCAATTCCAATCGAACAAACATATCAAAGCAGAGTATGTCTAGAGTGAGGTTGACCATGTCCCGTATACATGATGAAGGCGGTCAGGCTGATAAGCGATAACACATCGCGGCATTAAACGGTGAGCTCCTTCCTATCTTTGTCATCTTTGTCGACAACTAAGTTACACTGAACCTCCATCATGGCGACCACAACAGCGACTGCCATACAGAGTGGCCGACCGTGAGTAATCAATGTGCATCCAATTTGAATCTAAGATATTCCATGACGCTAACAATTGGTTCGCCTGGTAGTCCAATTCTCCCCAAAGACTTCTCCGCTCAGCAACCCGAAACAATTCGCCTATACCCCTTGTCCAACTATACATTCGGGACAAAGGAAACCCAACCCGAGGAGGACCCATCAGTTCTTGCCCGTCTGAAGCGTCTGGAGGAGCATTATGATCTCCATGGAATGCGCCGAACTTGCGAGGGTATCCTGGTCTGCCATGAACACAACCACCCTCACGTCTTGATGTTGCAGATTGCCAATGCATTCTTTAAGCTGTATGGGAACTCCAAATTCTTCAAATAGCGAACTGAGAACGGCCATTGCTAACTTTGACCTTTTTAATCATGTTTCAGGCCAGGCGACTATTTACATCACGAAGATGATGAGGTGGACGGATTTAAGAAACGATTGAACGAGCGCCTAGCTCCTGTGGGGTCGCAGTTCTCCGGCGAAGGCGTTAACGAGGACTGGGAAATCTCCGATACACTTGCCCAATGGTGGCGTCCAAACTTCGAAACCTTCATGTATCCGTTCTTGCCGGGTCATGTTACGCGCCCAAAGGAGTGTAAAAAGCTGTACTTCATTCAGCTCCCTAAAAAGAGTACGTATACCTTGAATCCTTCACAATCCAAGCCCATAGCTTGATTTCCAATATCCCCACACTCAACACATGCTTTGACCCTCACTCACATGTCTTTTTCTTTTCTTGCTCGTGCAGAAGTCTTGTCCGTGCCCAAGAACATGAAGTTACTGGCAGTGCCTTTGTTTGAATTATATGACAACACGGCCCGCTATGGTCCCCAGCTCTCAGCCATCCCTCACTTGCTCTCACGATACAATTTTGAGTTTGTCGACGAAAACGATAACGTGGTAGCCGTAACTCCCGGAACGCCGCTCGCCGATGATCAAGTTCCTCGCACTAAGGTTCTTGCTGGGGGCGAAGATGGCCAAGACACTGGGATGATGGATATTGGGGCTGAAGGGGAAAAGGGGCCGGAATCTCAGTAGGAATACATAAGCGGTAGAGAGTTTCAAATCTAATGAGTTCAATCACGATCAAGCAGGATCCCACGATGCCATGGCGCCTTTTTTCTGCCAGGTTTCCTTGTTTCTTCCACACCGTCTATTTCGTGCTTATGTTGCATTTGCTTGCATATTGCGGGGTACTCGAACGTTTTACGGAGCTGTTTCCTATTTCTGGTATAATTGAAAGTTAAATAGATCGGGAATACTCCGTAAGTTTTAGTAGTCACCTGGGCAGCGTGATATACTTCCCCACGCTAAGCGGAGTAATGTACTTCCATTCGTCGCTTCACCAGCAACCAACTTCCACCAGGGCAACAGAGAAAGAGTTGGCCCCAACTTGAACTGGACAGCCTCAGAGTCTTACGGAATGACTTCCTTTTTCTTCCAGAAATTGATTGCCAAGGCGTTGATCTTTGAACCACAACATCGTGGCCTGATATGGAAACTGTGATTCTCCGGTAGTTCATGAAGGATTCGGCAACGATCATCCGTCTACTCTGACAACCCAGGCACCACGCATCTAGCATGAAACATCAGCAATCGCTAGAAGGATTTTGACTCCACTATCTAGAAGGATGGGAGTTAGGAAATATCTTTATCAACCAACCAGAGGGACCCCTTCACAAATTCCCCGCTTCCATCGGGGCCGAAATCCATGCTGACTGGTTGCATTCTTCGCGAGTCGCGCGTGAAGAACTGCAGCACTGCCGATCATTCATTAAATTCCCCCGCCAGTCAGGCATGTATGCCGCTCAGGAACTGGGAAAGCCCAACGGGTATCCATCTCTTTTGGCACAATACTACATATGGGCTTGAACTTAACGAAAATGGAGTCCGCACGCTCTCCGTGAACCCCGCTCGAGGATTCGTATACCGTAGTGTCCCGTGGTCCATCTTCACATTTGACGGATCCAAGAGTCAAGAGGAAACAGATGAGAATGGTCCCAGGCTGCGAGAGATCTGCGCAAAGTATAAAAGGCTTCTGGCGACCATGTTGATGCAATCAGGAATTCACCTCGTTCTCTGTGTTTCTCTCTACCTTGACTTCCTAGGACCGACGTCCTCTTCAGCCCTGGTATAAATCGTGGTCATGATGCTGTCTTTTTCACATCTTTGGGCTGTGAGCGCAGTCGCAACGCTGGCCGTTGCTGCGCCAGTACAACTCTTGAACAATCGCGGTATATAATCCCTTCCGCTGCGTTTATAGCAAGGGCCTTAACTGATGTCTTCTCGCATAGATGTCTCGGATGACACGTACAACAGCCTCTATCTGTTTGCCCAATATTCCGCAGCCGCATATTGCTCAGCCAATATCGATGCCTCTGATACAGGTGCTTCAATCACCTGCTCGGCTGGCAATTGTCCAGATGTGCAGTCAGCAACGACCAAGACCTTATATGAGTTTGACCAGTAAGAGAAACATCCGGACTATAGAATAATCTATCCCGAATATGTATTAATCTTTCGCTTTCTCTCTTCAGGGCGAACGACTACGGCGATTGTACCGGATTCCTCGCTGTAGACGAGACCAATAGCCTCATTGTGCTTTCATTCCGTGGAAGCAGTGACATTCAGAACTGGGTTGCCAATTTGAACTTTGACTTGAACGATGACAGTGGTCTTTGCGATGGTTGCTCAGTACACTCGGGATTCTGGGAGTCGTGGGAGACTGTTTCGGATGAGGTTACGTCTCAAATTGACTCTGCACAGAGCACATACTCCGGCTATCAGCTCGTAGTTACTGGCCACAGTCTTGGTGGTGCACTTGCTGCTCTTTCAGGAACAGCACTTCGCAACGCTGGATATACACTGGACCTGGTACGTGATCCGTTCCCTTTTGGATGACCTATCACTTGAGAAACTATGACAGTCAAGCTAATACGTCAGCAGTATACCTATGGTCAGCCTCGCGTGGGTAATGAGGCATTGGCCGACTACATGACCAACCAGGGCAGTCTTTGGCGTACCACACACACCGATGACACTGTTCCCCGTGTGCCTCCGGAGGCTTTCGGATACGCCCATGCTAGCCCTGAGTACTGGATTACAAGCGGTGACGCCGTCAGCGTGACCGACGCTGATATCGAGGAAATTGAGGGCGTGGACTCGTCCGACGGAAATGCAGGCGAATCATCCCTCAGCATTACAGCCCATCTGTGGTACTTTATGTCAATTGCTGGGTGTTCGCTGTAAACTTGAAGGAAATGATTTAAACGAGTGACGTATATATTACTGGGTTGACCCTGGTCCCTCGCGTATTGCTGGGTCAATATACCAGATTTTACACTGCATAGCATGGATGTTTACCTAGTAGTGTCTAGTAGTGTCTACTATACGTATACATCATGATGTAGACCCACCGATCGGCCCGGGTTGTGGCTGGAGCTACTTTGTGGCGCGAACTTTTTAGCGCAAACACGTTTCAATAGTCTCCTGTATTCGAACTGTTCTTCTCTTCGAGGGTTTTTTCCTTCTTTATTTTTTCCTCTAGAATTCAAGGCATACAACCTACAAAGCAAACCCTAGGCGTACATATCTATACCACGAGCAGTCGTTCAACCCGTCCCTGTACGACACACTCCGCACTCCGCTTTCAGCTCGAAGCTTCACCCTTACAACTCCCCGCCTACACGATGCGCCATTAAGCCCGATGCTTGAATCTTCTTGCAACCATGCTGTTCGCTCCCGGCGGACCTCAAAGCCCGCGTCGCCGTAATCGAATCAAAGCCATTCTCATTACTATCGCCATCGTTCTCACACTCTACCTGCTCTTCTTCGCGGGTCCCGACTCGTCCGCCGAACCAGCAAGCAATGATCGCCCCAGCTATGCGCAACGCCCGAATCCTAAATTGAAGAATACAGACGAGCAGGCTCGTCCCGCGATTAGGAAAAGGAAGGATATGATTGTGGCTAGCATGAAGAATGATGATACTTCATGGTTGGCCGAATATTTCCCGGACTGGTCGCGCAGTGTCTATGTAGTAGACAATAAAAAAGCACCCTTGACTGTTGTGAAGAACAAGGGCCGCGAGTCAATGGTTTATTTGACGTAAGTCGAGCTTTTGACGGTTTGATCCTGACTACGAGCTATATATACTTACTTTGGTTCCAAATTACTAGATACATCATCGACAACTATGAAAATCTCCCTGATATAATGCTGTTTATTCACTCCCTACGCTACCAATGGCATAACGACGATCCATACTACGACGGGGTCCCCATGCTTCGCAACTTTCAGGTTCCATATCTCCAGAAGATGGGATATGTCAACCTTCGCTGCGTGTGGACACTAGGTTGTCCGGAGGAAATACACCCGATGACAGACACGCACCGCGATGATGTCCATGCGGGTGAATACTTCATGAAAGGTTTCGCAGAGTTATTTCCAGATACACCGATTCCTGATGAAGTGGGTGTGTCATGTTGCGCGCAATTCGGCGTGACGCGTAATAAAGTGCTCGAGAGACCAAAGAGCGACTATGAGCGTTTCCGAAAATGGCTTGCGGAAACGAGCCTGGGGGATGACTTGAGCGGGAGGATAATGGAGTATTCTTGGCATAGTAAGTCCTTTCTCTCTTTCTTGGTGGATCCTTTTCCCTTGGTGGATCCTTTTCCCTTGGTGGCCTGTGAGCTTACAATCTCTCTTTACGTAGTGATATTCGGACAACCGCCGATTCATTGCCCAAAGGCGGAAGACTGCTACTGTAATGTTTTTGGACTGTGCAATCTCAGCTGTCCGAATGATGCATTTTGTGACAACCGCTACGTTCTACCACCCTTTTCATCATTACCGAAAGGGTGGCCATATCTTGGATGGAAGGGCCAGGAGCAGGACCCGACCTATGGAATTCCTGAATCATGATGAAATCCAGGGAAACCTCTTAACTGAGAACTGTGATACGAGATGTGTTGTACATGACCTATTGATGATGGGCGTCAGCTTACTATCAGATCGTCCCACCCTAGATCGCAAGCTCGCTCTTCATAATGAGAACAAGAAAATTGACTCGCCACTTTTGTCGCCATTGAAGGCACTGAATTTTGGCAAATACCAGGACCTCTAATTCTTGAGTGTGTTCTGATTTCGACTTCCAGTCATCTACGCATACAAATTACTGGTGGAGCTACCAAGCACGTCATGAATTACAGTGTATATAGAACCATTTTGCAGCCATTTTATTTTGATACTAGCGGATTCATGATTCTATATTCATATTGTACATGCAAACTCCATATATATGCTTAGAAGCCTGTACAGTAAAAGCACTCGATCGCCGACCATGATTGCGCGGAACCGAGGTTGTGGCAATCTCCCCGCATTCAGCCTTTCATCTGAACTTGAACATCTTCACCTGTGCGCCTCAACCCACTCCACGCAGAAAACCTTCACCTCTCAGTCTTAACCCCCCCTCCCACAGAGCAAAATGCTCATTATTGGGCTCACCGGCTCAATAGCCACGGGTAAATCCACCGTGTCAACAATCCTCTCATCCTCCTACAATCTTCCCATTATCGACGCCGATATCCTTGCCAGAAAAGTCGTCGAACCAGGCTCAGCAGGCTACAAAGCAATTGTCAACTACTTCGGCCCAAACACACCCGACCTCCTACTCAACGATCCTGCAACCGACACGCCAAATGGCCAACCACTGAATCGACCCGCTCTAGGCCGCCGCGTCTTCGGCTCAACCGAAGAGCGCAAACGCGACCGCCAAGTTTTAAATGGAATCATCCACCCCGCTGTTCGCTGGGAAGTCTACAAAGCCCTGATACACCACTACCTTCGTGGACAGTGGGCGGTCGTCCTTGACGTGCCCCTCCTCTTTGAAAGCGGGATGGATCTTATCTGCGGAACTGTTATCGTGGTCGGGGTACATGATCCGGAAATCCAGATGTCGCGATTACGCGCTCGTGATGCGCATCTTACAGCTGAAGATGCTGAGAATCGGGTTCGAAGCCAGGGTGATGTGCGAGTGAAGGCGGCTCAAGCGGAATTCAGAGGAACAAAGGCTTCGCGTGGAGTGGTGGTTTGGAATGATGCAGATAAGAGTGAGTTGGAAACCGCTGTGAAAACTGCTATGGGGAGTATTGCGGCGAGTAGTCCGCGCTGGTGGGCGTGGGCATTACTTGTGGCACCGCCGGTTGGGTTTGGTGTTGCGGCGTGGAACTTAGTGGTGAATTTTGCTACACAGAAAGGATGGGAAAGAAAGAAGACGGAAGAGAAGGCGAAGCTTTAGAGTGGCTCTTCTTGCTTGAAAATGGGAAGTCAAGCATAATGACTTTGTTATGTGATGTTTGGCTCTATGGCATTGTTGTAAATACGGGATGGAAACCTCTTGCTTGTTTTCTTTTATTAGCCTTGATAGATATTTGGCGTTCATTTGTCTCATCTATGTAAGTTCTGGGAAGATGTTTGTTTTTTTCTTAAAGTAATAAGATGTTCAATTCAGCTCTTGTATTAAGAGTAATGCGATTTGCAGGAAAGAAATGTGCCCAAACGCCGTGGGCCATGCTTGAAAAACGATGCCAGACGCCAGATGTATGCGCTTTTGAGAGAAGACGATGAGCCAAGCAAGAAAGAAGAGATAAATCCAAGAAAAAGAAATCCAACAGAAAAAATATCGAAAGGAGGATTGACAGGTCGGCACCGTCTAGTGGCCTTGGCCACTCTTTCGCTTCTTTTTCTTCTGCGACGGCGCGCCCATTGATTGACCACGACCACCGCCACCCGAGATGGATGTGAGATCTTTGAGTCTCGGTCCACGAGATCCTTGTCCATGACGAGAACGAGCTGAGCCATTGGCCCCTTCTTCATCGTCGTCGCTTCCGTTATTAGTTTGGGCAGACTGTTATAGAAGTGTAAGTATCACCCCGAGCTTATATATGAGAAACTGCGAAATAAGGACTAACAGTATTTTGCTTGCGCTTAAAGTTTCCAAATCCTCGACGGCCTCCATGGAGATCATCTTCAGCATCGAGGGATTCCGCAGCCATAACATAGGGTTGGGCGCGAGGAGTCGCAGCAGGAATATTCAACACCCATTGACTCTCGCCCGCCTCAGCGGCTTGTCGGGCAACGGCCACACGGCGCTTCTCCTCCTCAGCTGCCATCGCGGCTTGCATTCTTTCTAGGTCTGACTGCCCAGTATTTTCCATAGACATGCGCTGGCGCTTGGGAGAATGGTCTTTTCCTTTTGATGCGGGGCTTGATCCAGGCAATTCGGTTTCTTTTGATGCAGATGTCGCCGCGGCGCGCTGCATAAACTGTAAAAAGAACTCATATTAGATTTTGGGTTCTATGACGTGAACGCGACAGAGAAAACATGCAACACACTTTCATGGTCATTAACCGGGATGACATTGCTCCCTTGTCTTGCTTTCCAGCCGAAGCTGGGGAGGCTGACATGATGAGAGAAAAGAAACTAGGAGTGCGACTTGTGATTCGGGGGGGGGGAGGATATGTAATTGTAAAAGTTGTAAGTGATATTTAAAAAAGTTGTTCAAGCAAGCAGAATCCAATGAGAGAGAATTGCAAGGTTAGACCAATTCTCATCCCAAAGGGGTTTAGCGTGGTTAATTCCACGGCAGAAATCCCGCCAGCTCCGATATACGTCCGTATTGGGGAAGCGGTCAATACCCACCAGTCAGACCTCACGGATTATTCAGTTTGCACCTGCGCGGCATCTTCAATTTCCAAAGCCAATTCACGACATCCCTTCTCTCCTCCACTCCACATCCTACCACCATGATGTCCTGCAGCCGTCGTCTCACATCTTTGGCCTCAGCGCCCTCGCGCTTCATGGCCCGCGCCTATTCCTCGACTGTGCCCCGTCTTCACGAGAACCGCATGCAACCTAACGACCCTTCCCCGCCAGCCCCCAAGCCCAATGTGTCTGCTACCAACGCCCCGGAGGCCAGCTCTGCACCCATTGACAGACTTGTGGTGATGGAAAACACCTATGTGGAGAACCCCGCCGTTGGCGAGCAGATCCGCAGCATGCAGGCCCCAAACCGAGCTACCACCTGGGCAGCCAGCCAGCAGCCCCGTGCGCAGGCCATGACTGGTCCCCGTTTCGAGCAGACTATCATGGAGACTCAGGTATGCACAATCATGTCCTCTCGGAATTGGAGCCATTGGACCATTCCATGAGGGGGATGTATACACCAAACCGTTTGGACTGATCAACTAACCCATTGTATAGCCACGTCCCATGGCCGCTATTGAGCTCATTCACAAGCAGCCTGTTCGATGGACCAAGTCTAAGGTTGTTAGCTGCGATGGTGGCGGCGGCCCTCTCGGCCACCCCAAGGTTTTCATTAACACCGACAAGCCCGAGATTGCTACCTGTGGATACTGCGGTGTGCCCTTCGTATGTTGACATCTGATACCCGGATATACTCACCTCTTCTTTCCGCTCCAACATTTCACTAACAATACCTAAACTATTAGGCTCAAGAAAAGCACAAGGCCTACCTCAAGTCTCTTCCCGCTACCAGCTACCCCCTCGAGCCTACCGGTGACCCAGCCGAGGTGAACGAGTCCCAGCGTGTTCCCCCGCCACCGGTGGCTTTGAGCAGCGGTAAAAAAAAATGACTAGCATCCGATTTATTTTTGTCGGCGTTGATTACTCCCTATTGTGCGCGTGTTACAGTATTCATCTCATTTTACATTTCTTATTTTCGTTTTCGGCCCAAGGGCCATGTACAGAAATATCGGCCAATTGGATATGCCGTTCGCTTACAGCGAGGCTCTCAAGAATTTTGCAGCGTATACTCCAGCTTCATATCTATCATATGTAGAAGATCTGTCATCTATGGATTTGGAATTGTTTGTTGTCTTTATTTTCGCAACAAGCTTGTATATCTCAATGATAAGGGGATAATGTCTCTTAACTATAAACCCGAGTTCGTCTTCAATTAAAGATGTTCTTGTGCATCGTTAAGTCACTCCTTCTGGCCCTGGATAGTCGCGACAACCTTGCGCGAGTGTCGACTTGTACGGAACTCCAGGTACCAAATTCCCTGCCAGGTGCCGGTCGCAAGACGACCGTTAGAGATGGGGATAGAGACCGAGGCTCCAATAAGAGCGGACTTGATATGAGCCTACATAACATGATTTCCAAGATTAGCAGGTACTCCATAGCTTATTTGCAGAGCGAGCCCTTTATACAAAGAATCATAATAATGTAGAATTCAAGTTCCAGGTAAAATAGAAACATAGCTATCCACAATCAAATACTACTCACCGGCATATCATCTTCACCTTCTGCAGAATGACGGTATAGATCTCCCTTACGATCCATCGGCGCAATGCGATCAAGAGCATCACTCATATCAGCCCGAACATCGTCATCCCAGTTCTCATTGAGTGAGAGCGCACAGCTAGTGTGCTGCACGAACAGGTTCAACATGCCGACCCTGTAGTCACGGATCTCGGGGATCTCAGACAAGACATGATCGGTGATCAGATACGAGCCACGGCTACGCGCGGGCAAGGTGAAGTTTTTTTGAAACCAAGACATGGTGGGATGTGTGAAAACTTGAAGTGGTGTATGTGGGGTGGAAACTTGGGTGAAGCTGGAGCTGGAGCGGGGAGAGAAAATAAGATGAATTCGATTGGGTGGGGGGGAGCTTGATCTGATGTCACTCTGCGCCCAAGCTGGTTTGGGGTTTTCTTGTTAGAATATACATGTTTTTGTCACTGAACAAATTAATTATTTGAATTGATTATTGATGTTCAAGAATTTATGATGTTTTATACATTCATGTGGCACTACGAGGTCGTTACATACATCTATGGCCAAAGAGATGCAAATCAAGACTAAATCTTCCAAGATACTTTCAAAATCATGTACAAGAGTTGCAATTTATGAAGAATACGGTACTGATTTGATAACTTGAAACGCCACAATAACCAGAGTAAGTCAAGACTCGGAGTCCTTTGGTCCTTTGACGTATTGATGTACTAGATCTGCATCCTCCCATTGAATGTAATTTCCGGGCTCTGCAGTTAAAAAAGGGGCTCAGTATTTTGAAAGGTGCCTTGAAAATCCTAGGGAGATATACTTAAAAGAGATCTGACATGTTGGATCAATGCCGAGGTGTCGTTTCCTCGTATATTAGGTGCCCACATTCGAAGATGTACCACATCGTATTGACCTACTAGGTGAGCAGGTGGGTCAATCAATGAGTTAAGGGGTCCCACGACACATTTCTTGGCCACAGTTCTTTTGATGGGTATTGGTATCTGATATGTCAAAGCCATGGAGTGGGACGGATGGTGGAAGTTGGCGGGCAACATCAAATAACCAGACACTATTATATCTTTTATTAAAGATAAAAAACTCAAGTGGAGAAGGATTCTTTACTTTGTTCCTGTTCCAATTTCGGCTATCTTCATATTGTCGGTTCTTGGAATCAGAGGATGTAACTCGTAGCCCTTGTGCATTTTCCACAACAAATGCTGAGCATCTAGCCTGCTGGAGTCAATGATATTGTTTAAGGAATATTCAAGCTTCGTAGAAATTGTGAGTCTATCGGGAAATGGCGACGTCCCATAGGCCCGACATACCTGACTGAATTTACTAAGCCTCTCCCCAAAACATAATCATCTTCTCTAGTCATTGTTATAATTAATGAGTGGTTGAAATTAGTAATTGGAAGAGTCACGGAGAACTAAGATTGTCTGTTAATATGAAAAAGAATATAAAAAATTGAAACCAAGACGCATATTTCATGATGATAGTATGGGGTATTTACAGGTAATTTTCAACATGGAGTTTCGTGAACTATGACATGGCAACAACTGTACCCCGTGGCCTTTTGCCCGTGAACCCCGTGAATAAAGACTACCTTATTCCGAAATGAAGAAGCAGAGTATGCAGTATTGCCTGCAGCTGATACAGAACAGACCTTTGCATTGCTTTTATACCCATAGCGTGGGAAACTTCATGCGGCCAGGCTAAACAAGAATCCTGAGAAAAAATACTAGGCTACATGTACAGGAATATTTTACTTGAATAAGCAGCGATTACTCTTTACACTTCTGCAAAATGTCTTGGGGTATCTTTCCAGTTCTTTGGAGATAGAGTTAAAGCTCCACTTATCATGCAATCCATGTCACGTTGCATGCAGATTGTAGAGATTGACGAATTCTTTCCCTGTTCTATGACGCCCGCACAGATCTTCGGAGCATAAATCCGGATTAGAATTCGCTTGCATATCACTGAATAGTAAGATTTTATAACAGCCAGTTGAATTTGAACTACTGTTGTGGATGCGGCATATAATCCCGAGTTTATAACTACATTCTCGACGCACGCGCCTCGAATTAACCGGTATTGGAAGAAATCAACTGAGCCTCAACTAGTATGCGTACGTGTTAGAGGACCATATTACATGAAATTCACGGTAACTTCAAGTTCGTAAACTTGTAATGTTTCGTCGACGGGTGTGGAGCTCTTCATAACCGAGGTAATCTTGAATCTCAGAGTATATCATGATGCAACTTCAGAGTAGACTTGAGTACTATGTGCAATCATTATAAATCGAGGCCAAAGACCTGCTTGAAGAATATACAGTCGACAACATGATAGTCATACGCCACACGTACCTATAGACACATGTTAGTAATTCCATGATATCTGGAAGAAAAACATTGAAAAATCAGTTGGATTACCCACCTGATTTAAAAGTTTAGAGCCAAAAAGATTTATTGGTGACCACAAGTTAAATGGTTACTAATTATTTGACCATAGGATTGTCTAAGATATCTATGATCTGTCTGACTTCCTAGCCCAGGGCAGGTCAAAGATAGATGGTGGAACGACTGCGTCTGTCGGCCGCTCTTCTCCCGACTTACCTGCAGGGGACCAATAGCTTCTTTTTCCACTCTGTTCTTTTCCAACCTATCTGCGGTCACCCAAGGATCTTCTGGTTCTGGTACCATGTATTGCACACTGATACATGTGGACAAAATCCGCACCCAATCAACTATATGTCCGAGAAGATTATATTCAGTCTGGCTCGATTGGCAAGTTCAGTGTACCATTCCTCTCGGGCTCCTTCCTTGTTGCAACGAAGCGATGACGTAAATTGCATCGTGTCTGGTTCTTTGCCAGGAGCCCATCCCTGACTGGAAAGGTATTATGGCAGACCAAAAGCCGAACATAGATCGTGGAATATGCTGCTGATGTGTAGTACTATTCGATGGGTATTAACAAATCAATCCTTGGTCTCTGTAGGAGAGAGCCGGAAAGAATAAATGAAGAATGTTTTAAAAGAACTATACGTACCTGCTATAATTGAAATGCGCATATTCAAACGCGTTGCAGTTGTTGATTGGAACATCGAAAGTGGTTATTTCCATAGCATAAAGACATTTCAATTGTTTTGGATCGACAATCCTTCTGTGTGATAGGCTCTGTACAGTGTCGCCAGTTTGGTTCATGAATTCTTTGCATGTCTTTCAAGCTGCGCCTTGACTTGAAAGTCTCCAGTCTAACGAAATCCTTAGTCGAACATGGTTCCAGGTGTTAGTTAAAGTGGGTCACAAAAAGTTCCCTGCAGGCGGCGGCAACAATAAGTGGGTCGTAGGTTCCAAGTATACATAATCTGAGCTGATGTTATTGAAGCGTATAACCTTCCAGAGTAGCTCTTAATCGTCAATGGGACTAGAAATTTGTATATAAAAGTAGCAGTCAAGTGCATTGTCCAATATTGAGTTTCATTCTCACATGCATTGCATTACGAGATATAATTTGTCTAGGAAATTCATGCTCTTCTACACTCAACTCCACAACCTTCAGTCCATAATGTATACACCCAGCAACACCTTTCTTCCTTGGACATCATTTCCCAAGCGCCGCATTCACAGCTTGGCATCAAATTCTTCAAACTCAGTAAGATCAGAAACAGCGACAGGACCAGTGCTGACAGGCAGGCGGGCCTTGAAGCTAGGTACATCAGTAATCTCAATGGCCTCTTGTTTGAACTTGGAAGTACCATTGGTCTTTGTGCCGTTGACCTCGGGCTGTAGTCCCAGCTGCTTCAACTCAATACCGATTTCACGGTCAAGTTTCTCGACCACGGGCCTGATCTGTTCGGGAGACAAGCTGAGCTCAGTTGCCAAGAAGCCCTTCACAATGTAGACGATTTGTGCGTGATCGACCAGCGACATGTCGAGCTCTTCGAACGCTGTTGCCAGTCGAGTATCATCGACGGCGAATCCTGCTGCAGACAACTGCTTATTGACAATTTCAACAACGGGGACGCGTTGGTCTTTGGCGCCGATGTCGCCGGCAGGGAAGCCACTTTGGGCATTCAGGTGAATGGCGAGCTTGGCTCGAGTGCTCGATTCAGGAGCAATGTACTGTTGGTAAAAGGCAATCAGGTCTGCTTTGCTCAAGGTGCGCACGTTCGCCGCGTCGGTCTCATGTTGTAGGAAATCGAAGTACTCCGATCCAACGTGGGACCAGTATCGACCGGTCTCGGAGCCCAGGTTCTTGAGTTTCTCCAATCGCTTGTTAATCACACTACGCTTGTGTCCTTCGAATTCCTCATCAGGCATGTTCTCAAGGATTGGGCCGAACTCGCGGAGGAAGTTCTCGATACGGGATTCAAGGTACTTGGCGGTGCGCTCACTCTGAATGATGACACGGTAACCCATAGTTGTCGCGTTGTAGCGGGAACCACTCCAAACCACGTACCCAAGTTGCTCCTTGCTGCGAAGTTGGTCGAAGGCAGGTTCGTCGGTCATCTGGGAGAAGAGCTGGAGCTTGGATCTGAGAGTGTCGTCGGAGAAAAGTCCAATGTAAAGATAGTACTCAATACAGTGGTTCACGTTTGCGGGGTCCTTCAGTGAGCGTGGGTAGGTGTAGTTGGTACCAGGGGCCAACACCATGTTGCGGCGCAAGTACCACTGCGATGGAGGCAAAGCACGTCCCTTCAAGGTATCCTCAACAGATTTCGTCATACGAAGCGCATCTTCCTTGTACAGGTTTCCATGAGCCAACGCCTCGATGTGAGTTTGCTCCAGCAGTTGAGGGAAGAAGTTGACAATGTCTTCAGCTTGTATGTGCTCCAGCTCCTCAATATACTGCTCATTGATCCAGCTACGCTCGGAGAGCAGGTAGCGAGTGTAATCACCGACCTGGTAGTAAGGCTGCTGGTATTCAGCATTGCGGAATGCACGGGTGAGACGCTCCTTGATGATATTAAATCGATCCTGGTTAACGACAAGATCGCGCATTGTCACCAGGACCTTGTCCAATAGCACAGACATCTTGTCATTGTAGCCACCGACAGAGATGTCCAGTCCCAAGATGTTTGCTGCGAGGTGGTAATCCAATCCAGCAAGCTCGGCATCGTACGAGTACTCGTCCAGGGAGTCCCGCACTAGCTCACTGTAGAGCTTGGTCTTGATGAGGTTAGCAGGTGTGGCCCAGACCAGCGGGTTGCGCAGAGTGACATGGAAAGTCGCCTTTGGAACCCAGAAGCGGTCATCCTTCTTGAACCATAAGCGGACCCGATCATCGTGACGAATGAGTTTGGGTGTTTTTGCTGGTTCTTCAACCTCTTTCTTCTCCACTGAAAGGCGAGTCGGCACAAACTCGTTCTTGTGTGGCATATGCACATCGGAAGTACGGGTTGATTCAGTGGAATCCAGAGCCTTCTGGATACCAGCTAAGAAATCCTTGGGGATTTTCTCAACCTTGTGCTCGGTACCGTACCACTTCTCTTTCTGGTCCCACTGCCCGGGGTACTCTTGGGAGACAATGATAAGGCGAAAGTTGTCAGCTCGGAGGTAAGACATGGCATCCTTAATTAGCTTAGGATCGAAGCGGCGCAGAAGCGATCCGCTAAGCAGCCATTCGCGAGGTAACGACTTCTGCATTACGCTGCTCAGACGGCTGGTGAAGCGACTAGCCGGAGTCTTCTGCTTGAATCGGAAGTCCACGTGAGACAGGTTCTTCATTTCATCGAAGATCCATTGCTCTGGCTCACGCTCCTTGATCATAGCAATATACTCAAAAATGACCTTGACAATCTCTTGATACTGATTCAAGCCCTCCGGTGTCAGACGCACTGAGATGGTGAAAAAGGCCGAGCCGGGGCAAATAGGCATAGCACCCGCAGAGAGGCCGTTGGCCCAACCCTTGGCTTTCAAGTAAGATAGAACACTTCCGGGACCTTCATGGCCAATCAGGTGACTAATATACCGACTTGGTTGAGTCTCATTCATGTTCTCTTCATCCACAAATGGGAAGTACATATCCATAGAGCGTGAATCCATAACAGGCTTTGCAAATACCTGCGTACACATGTCTTCTTCGGAGAATGGCTGCACATCGTCCCAGCGGTTCTGGGCCAGATCCTTGTTCTCAACATCTGCGAACAATTCACCGACCCACTGCTCTAATGTGTCCAAGTTCTCCCGACCCAGAACGACTAACTTCGCCCTGTTCGCCGAGTAGTGCTTCTCATAAAATCGAATGAACTCGCTCCGAATCTCTAGCCCGCGTTTCTGCGGGTCCTCTTTCAGAGTCTGCAAGTTACCCGTGGAGAAGTGGTGATAAGGATGATTGGGGTTTGATAGCGACTTGTTCAGCTGCATCAACCGCCAAAGATCACTCTGGAGGTTCTTTTTGTTTTCGGAGTCCACCGCCTGCAACTCGCGATCTAATGTCGACTCGAGGAAAAGTGGTGATACGAAGAACTGTGCGAATCGATCCAAAGCTCCATATAAGGGAGATTTGGATGTAGCATCTCCATTTGTGTTGGCAGAAACATCACTGACTGTGCCATTTGTTCCATTGGCGGATTCAGTGGGAGTGTTCTGTCCATTAGACTTGGGCTCGCTCGAGTCACCGGTAGCCGATACTTCGAAATAGTAATTTGTTTCGGTAGCGGCTGTGTAGGCGTTGGAGGAACCGGAGTGGGAGGCAAGGTATTGGTTGTAAGCGTTCTCTTTGGGGTACTACATGCGAACGACGATCAGCATCCCGGTCAGCTATATAGCCTCGGCAAAACATCTTGTTTGAATTTGTATTGGGGAGAGAGAAAAAGAAAAGAGGGAAGAAATCAACATACCTTCTTCGTTCCCATGAACAGGAGATGCTCTACCGCATGAGCCATCCCTGGCATATCACCTTCATCGGAGAAGTTGCCAACATTCACGTTGACAGCAGCACTAGCTTTGTCTGTATCCGGATCGTGCACCAAGAGAGCCTCTAGCTTATTAGGTAAACGAATCACTCGGTAAGAACGATCGTCCAATTCTGGCTTCTCCAGGGATTCTGTGATGCGCTCGATTTGAGACATGGTTGGATTGGCAGGTAGGGTAAGATGAGAGGAGAGGGAGAATGAGCGGGCCCAGTAATACGGGGGAGATGAAATCGGACTAGGGAGCGCCACAAGCTTGATGGAGGCTGGTGAACGCAAAGATGGCCGGGTGATTGGAGTGCAACTTAGGCCTCTGTACCACAACCTGGATACTGCTGCAGGTGAAGAGGACCTTGGGAGCATCAAGGGCTGAAAAGCCCTAGGAGTGTAGATAAGGTTCGTTCGCGCGATATAACTCCAATGCACGATATACTGATTTTCTCAATAACTGCGACTCGATTCAATTCAATTATACAAGAAGAAGAAGTTCACGATGACGAGAGCTGAGTCTCAGATTGCAAAAACAGCCGGAGGAGGGGGGAACTCGGGGTCCCACAGTTGAATAAATATGGGTCCGTCGAGGCGGTGTGTGCTTCAACACTGTTGTTTACAGGCGCGAGCTGTCGAGCGCAGTCCAACTGGTTCTAGCGGATAAATGCATCCTAGTTCTAGTCCATAGATTTCGTACGGAGTATTTGGGATATTTTTAGGTTTTACTTCAGCCATTTTGCGTGTCCAGAGCGCTCGGGTTCAATCAATCATCCATTGTTGTGATTCATCGATGATTTAGGTTGACTGCGCCTTATAATAACAAGGAAATATAGCCCAGAATCACGAAGCAGAAAGCCCTGGCCAGTGGCGGCTATGAAAGGGGGTAATAGAATCGAAAAGAACCCTTGTGCATTGGCATTATGCATTAATTAGACCCAACTAGACCCAACTTACTTCGAATCCACCATCCCCGCTATCTATGACTTGAGGCTCTTATTCCTTCTTCCCCCGCAAATTGTACTGAGCCTCACCGGAGAATTAGGCATCTACTACATAGTATACATCATCATCATCATACTAACAACTTCTATGTAAGGCACGTCTAAGAAAACAGTCTTTAGAGCTGTCTCTACATTTCTTTCAAATGTCTTTCTACAGGTCTAGCGCCTACTAGGCAAGAAAACTTGGTAAAGAGCAGACATCAAAATCTGTACATTATGGATAACAGGAAAGTAAATGATTCTCGTTCGCATTATCAAACTAAAAACCTTGACGTCACCCGTGGAGTCAGGCTGCTATAGCCTTGCGTACGCAACCACCATCGAACCACCCGGGCAACACTCCACTGCGACTCCGAGTCGTGCTCAAACCCCCCATATCTGACATCTTACCCAAAGCCCGAGGTTCAAGCTCCAATTAACACTTCTTCGCACAAAGAGTCAAAGTAACATCCGAAGTAGAAGTACAATCATGCGTCTGACTACCACTAGGCGAAACACCCTTCGGCCAACAAATATCCGGACAGCTAGCCACAGAAGGATCGACAGAAAGTCCCTTCCCAGAGAACGGATCTCCAAACACATCAGACAGATCGTACCAGACCTGGCTACCATCAAGGGTATAAGCGAAGTTAGTCTGCGCACTACCGTCATATAGACCGTTTGCGGTAGTGGTGATCTTGATCGCGATACCACCAGATACGGGATCATGGCGGAGGACTTCGGAGTAGGATTTGCCTGCTGCGATGGTTTGTTTTGGGCCGACAGAGCTTCCGACGGACCAGATATAGACGGGGGCGGCGCAGTTGTTCTTTACGATTGCGTGGCCGACGGCGTTGGCGAGGGGGAGTAGAGCTGCCATTGAGGCGAGGAGGGTGGTGGAGAAATGCATTGTGGTTTTCAAGTTTGGGGTTGATTAAGATCTTGGATCAAGATAGATGTTATTGTTGGTTTGAGAGTAGTCAAGTATAGATTGAAAATGACCTGGGAGAGATAGATTATTCTTGAAGCTGGGAGTTGAGGTCACCTTTATAGTTCTTGTGATCTACTAGGAAGACTTAAACCTATCTCCTCCAACTTCTCGTTCTTACTTTTCTTTGTCCCAAGTACACGTCTGATTGAGGTCTGGGATTATCTTCCATCCCAAAATCAGGCCTCTATGCAGCAGCCTCGGTTCTACCTGAGACAATACTAGCATTCCGCCAAACAGAAACAAAAGGAATCACCAGGGTCCTCCGCGATTGGCCATGCTCTATAATCCCAAAAACAACACATCAAAACTTGATCATGCCATAAGTGCCCCGCATAGCCATAAAAAGAGCACTCGTTGGCTTCAAGCGTAAACAGTAAGCAGAACCCAAAAGCAGCACACTAGGACATAACATGACTGCAGAGAATAGTGATGTCTCAGAGCGCTCCGACCCGATTCTCGTATAGAGCAGGTCGCTTGCTTCTAAGAGCCAGGTAGGTAAGTGATACGCAGCCAGGCGATGATGCATGCCAAGACGTGGATAAGGTCTAAAGCTCCTACCAGGAGCCCTGCGTGAAGTGGCAAGCCCAAATCTGGGGTAAGGTCTAAGACAGTTACATCTCGGGACACGAGGTGGATCTGTAGCTAGTACTATGTAGGCTTTAGTCGAGCGCCGTTCTTACCTCATAAAAAGTGGACTATTTACAGGGTCTCTTTATTGCTCGTCACCGCTAGAATCTAAGCGAGGATTATGGTTGGTTGTGTCTCAGTTTTCTTTCATAGGTGCTGGGATGGGAACTAATATTTGAGATCATGTTAATGCATGTCCACTTGGCATCTTTGGATTCGGGCATGTGTTATTCTATTTTGATTGAAGTACATAATTTGATTGCTTCGTTTCTTGGGGGTAGATGTGTTCCAAGATTGTTGGCAAGATATTCAATACATTTTGCCTCATTGGATCTTGGGCTAAAATATTAATTGGCTGTGATGAAATACCCTCTAGGAACACGGCTCGTTTCCCAAGACTTCTTTTCAAGATACTTTATGATGTCTTTCCTCGGCAGGGTTGTCATGCGATGTAACGCCACATCCTATTTTTACGATGCGGGGAATCGCGGGAATGAACCGTGTGTTAATGTCGATGGCGAACTAAACACTAGTAAAAAGCTACGCTGAGAAATACACACAAATCACAGAGAAGGAAGAAAGAAAGAAAGAAAAAACCTTGGAAGAACAAAATTCAAGTCTAAGCTAACCCCATCTTTCTCTCGTCATTAAGGTAATCTGTACCCTGCTGGACAAGACGCTAGAAATCATCGAGAGGTTGACCATAGAAATGAATCGAGGATACAAACGCCACACCCGCTTCATGTATGAAAAATATGTCGCCTTAAGATCCGATAATAACTTACTCTTTCATCTGGGAGCTATCCTCATCCTCTTCCTCTTCTTCATCACTCGGTACCGCAATACGATCGGATATCCATTCGAAAACTTCATCCATGTGCTCGGAGAGCATCTCGCTGAGTTCTGTTTTCTCGGATTTTCTCATAAATCCATACCGAAGTGATCGCTTGCGATCCCAGACTCCATGGACGTGAGAAACGAAGACTAATGAGTTCTGTGGTCGCGAGTTAGTTGTCTAGATATTCCTGAGTTCAATCTTGGCAGCGGGTATCTACTTACATTATGGTACCATCTGGCCAGCCAAGGGTAACCGTGTGATGCAATAGCGCGGACAGGATTGTCAGCTACAAATGAGATACATCCCTTGATGCGCTCATGGAGAGTGTCTCCTGTTGAGGGTCAGCCATTGTTAGCCCTGGTTTCGTTTCTAGTCTTCTCGGTTCAAGCTAACCTCTTTGACATATGAAGTTGGCAACACCCTGAAAAGCACTGCCGATTCCCAGGAAGAAAATCTCGCTTTTATCACCTATCCTATCAGGTCTTTTGTTTTCTTTGTCAGTGTTCAGTCTCCGAAATTGTGAAAGTAGAAGCCTCGTACGAAATGTAATTGTCCCATAGATAAGCAATCAATTCTTCTGTTACGTGGGCGGGGGCGGGATCATCTTCAAATCTTTTACTGGGCTAGAAATTCGTCAGTAATAGATTCGGATACCATATGATGTTTTTAATATTATTGACAGGGGCGTTGGGTTGTGGGGATAATAAGCCGTGGTGTGGCGACGTACCTCGTTTGGAGTGATATGTTTGGGAACGTTGATGTCGATGACCGCAAAGCCCTTTTCCATAAACCATGCGATGTACTCCTTTTGGGGATCAGCCTTAGTGGTTGAGTGTCAGTAAGTCATCTCGTCTATCTGTTCTCCTTAATAGAAAACTTACTAGCCAGCAGTTATGAGCATCGAGTTTATTAGTGACGGGGTGGGGCTGTCCCACGATCTCCGGGCTAACAGGGGAGGAAAGTAAGAATAATGCGCGCAATATCTCGTTAATGAAAGCAGAAGTATACTCACGCATCGTGGAATACAATAACAAGCGGAACGTGCTTATTGTAGTTTGGACTGTTTTAAATCATGAGCGAATGAGACCTTTGCTATCCTTTCAGGAATCTTTACTTGCCTTGCGAGAACCTGGTTTTGAAAAGACTTGGAGATGGCCGTACGATAGATATACAGCGGCGTGAACTTGAAGCTCTCGTATAGCTGCTTACTTTGGACTTCGCGGAGGACATCTTCCATATTCGTGAGCGTTATAGAATCGTAAAAGTTTGGCGATATGGGCATACCGTGGAGTCGATCCGACCAGACTGGATGCTTGGGCGGCTTGGGGTACATGCAACGCCAGTGTTCCCCTTGAATTCCCATTACACGACGGACCGTGTTGATCGCAATATCTGAAGGGGTGGTGATGAGTAGGCGGTCTGGTGGCTCACCCATTAACGTCTTGGTCACAGATAGAGCAGATCTGGAGATAGATCGGAAATTGTATCCTCCCTATTGCATTACCGAGCAATCAGTCATGGGGCCCCACAATGGCAGGAAATAAAAACATACCTCCAGACAAACCGCGACCTTGCCATTGGCGAGGGTCATAAGCATATGGGTCATTTGAGCATAGCATGCTGGTGTCACAAAACAACCACCAAGCACATCACCCGCGGCGGCATCAAAGCCAGCCGCAACTATAAAAGTTAACAACGGTGGCTCGTGGTGGTTTAGGGGCATCAACTTACTGAGCACTAGATCCGGGTTGAATTCGCTGGCAATGGGCATCACGACTTGTTGGAAAGCGTACATGTAATCGCCATCGCCCATTCCCTGATCAGGCCATGGAATATTGACGTTTCTAATACCATTGTCAGCTTTTTATCGAAATGCTTGATGAACAATACTTACTTTCCGATTCCTGCACCCTCACCACAATGATGCCAATCTCCTTCCTCACCGCCAGGATAAAATCTGCCGTCTTGATGGACATGTATGGAGATGTAAAGAATATTTGGATCATTATAGAATGCCTTTTGTATTCCGTTTCCTAAATTTGGAGTGAGTAAGTTTTCCCAATAAAGTGATCGAGTTCATGCACTTCGCCGTACCATGATGAACATCCCTAAGTAATCCATTTAGTAAATTCAATGGCCAAAAAAAAGAACATTTGATGCATGCTTACCAGTCAAGAATCAAAATTTTACGAGCTTCATCGCCCAGTGTCTGTTGGCATACGCGCGCTGCGACCGAGACATTATTGAACAAACAAAAGCCCATTGCCGTATTGTTTTCAGCATGGTGGCCTGGTGGACGAATAACAGCGATTGCATTCTTCACTTTACGCTGAGCGACAGCCAAGCAGGTATCGATCGCACCACCAGCTGATAAAAGAGCAGAATCGAAAGTGAGGCGGTTGAAATAAATTGAATCTCGGTTATGCTCCAAGGTCACGAGTGCATCGTCAGACATTTCTAAACCAATTAGCTAAAATCTTCCAATCAAATAAAATGACAGTTTTCAGTAAAAAAGAATACCTTTCGTGCTCTGAACAAACGCATAGTGGGCGCCTGTGTGGACTTTGATGATTTCTTCTTCGGTGGCTGGGCGAGCTGGGATCCGCACCAGCGTCTTAGGCGCCAAGGGTCGAGTTGACTCTGGATCATCGACAAGACCAGCCTGACAAAGTTCTTTGAAAATGTAGTAGATTCGTCTTGGATCTTCCGGATGTACCTCCGAAGTGGGGCGCACCTCACAGTGATAACGCATCCGCACATCATAACAAAGGCCCGTTCCTAGGGATTCAAGTGGGAGACCTGGTTTACGCGAAGCCTCATCGTCGGACCAGTCAGAGTTGGGTTCTTGCAGACTATCCTTTCGAGTCAGGGAAGCATCTGCAGAGTTGCTTTCTGAGTCGCTCATCTTGATCGTGCGATCAGGAGGAGCCATGCGAGCCATCGTTGAACCCATGTTGGTTTGGTCTGTTGGTTCTTTGGATGATATTTGATCAGAACCAGAAGATGGGGATTTGGGAGCTACCTGAGGAATCAAAGAAGGAGCTAGAATTGGATCTGTCTGTTGGTGTGGCGTCGGGGAAATGACTGGTTGAGTGAGTGAAGCGTGGGAAGGCAACAAGGAGACCTTGCGCGACTCTCCCATCACTATGTCTTGATCTTCTTCCATGATTTCTCGGCGCTCTCAATATAGTATGTATAAGGCCAGCCCTCAATAATGAAGTTGGGCTTGTATTATGCACTTATTGTCTCATCACAAGATAGGATGAACACCTCTGAGCTAACACATAAAAGTTTCGTGTTCAAAGCTGATTCGAAGGGCAAATTGGAATTTGGGGATACAAACCAACCCAGGGACTAGTCAGATAGTGCACAACAATGTCGGCCTATACGTATGATATTGTAATGTTTAGAGTCGATGGAAAGTTAATGGATGTGCATGATGGATCCCTTTTCGGCCAGTGTTTCTTACTGCCGGACATTATAGTGGTTAACCGCCTTGTATACCGCCACTGAATTGGGACTAGCGTTATGGTGCAGAAAGCGGGACAGCTCGATTCAGCCACTGACTAAGCCACTTGTTCGCCCGGGTGGGTGCTTGTATACACGTTGATCCTGTGATTGATGTATGTGTTCATATATAGAGACGAGTCTGGCGGCTCCATCTGAAGAACCTTTGGGGTTTGCCTGCAGCTTATAGCTCTACGGATAAGGGTACTTTCTTGCACTTGTATACATGGAATGTATAGGTGGATCCCACTAGATACCCCGCGGCATTGGCACCTTATAGGTATGCCCACTAGTGCTTCAAGCTATTAGGATGGATATACATTTAGCCATCATAAGGTTGCACCTGCGCAGCACCAGTCCAGTGTTCCAAGGTTAGTTCCTAACATGATACCTACTATCAGTCGTATCCAATGGGAATACCACGTGTCGCGAAATGTTTGGGATGGTATGTACTATATGCAATTTGAATGACTTAGACAAGAGATCTACTGGAAATTGAAGTATTCATGAACGTAAAGGAATTTATTTCTTTCATTAAATTGACGTTATTTGATGGTTTTTTAACTTCTTTCGAATAGCGATTCATCCCGTACAAAGAAGTCCCTTGTCACGATAAACTTGCTAAGTTAAAGAAGAGATTTGACCTCCAGTCTCTCGGAAGATAGCTACTGAGCATCGACCTTAGAGATGTAAGAGATGAGGTCAACAACACGGTGGGAGTAACCCCACTCGTTGTCGTACCAGGAGACCAGCTTGACGAAGTTGGCGTTGAGGGAGATACCGGCCTTGGCATCGAAGATGGAGGAGTGGTCATCGCCGTTGCAGTCAGTGGAGACGATGTCCTCATCAGTGTAACCGAGAATTCCCTTAAGCTCACCCTCGGAGGCAGCCTTGATGGTGGCCTTGATCTCCTCGTAGGTAGCGCCCTTCTCGAGACGGCAGGTCAGGTCAACGACGGAGACGTTGGCGGTGGGGACACGCATGGACATGCCGGTCAGCTTGCCGTTCAGGGCAGGGATGACCTTACCGACAGCCTTGGCGGCACCGGTGGAGGAGGGGATGATGTTTTGGGCGGCGGTACGGCCACCACGCCAGTCCTTAGCGGAGGGACCGTCGACGGTCTTCTGGGTGGCAGTGTAGGAGTGGATGGTGGTCATGAGACCCTCAACGAGACCGTACTTGTCGTTGATAACCTTGGCGAGGGGAGCAAGACAGTTGGTGGTGCAAGAAGCGTTGGAGAGAACGTTGACATCCTTGGTGTAGCTGGAGTTGTTGACACCCATGACGAACATAGGGGCATCAGCGGAAGGAGCAGAGATGATGACCTTCTTGGCACCACCCTTCAAGTGAAGAGAGGCCTTCTCGTTGGTGGTGAAGACACCGGTGGACTCAACGACGTAGTCGGCACCGGAGGCACCCCAGGGGATGGAGGCGGGGTCACGCTCAGCGTAGAAGCGGATCTTCTTGCCGTTGACGATGAGACCCTCAGTGCCATCGATCTCGACGGTACCCTTGAACTTGCCGTGGGTGCTGTCGTAGCGGAGCATGTAGGCCTAAATAGACAAAAGATCACGTTAGTTTATTTGAGTCGTTGTGCAGTGGCGTTGACCAGCCATGTGAATGTTGGGACGTACAGCGTAGTGGACCTCAATGAAGGGGTCGTTAACGGCGACAACGTCGACAGTGCCAGCGTTGATGCTGTGAAACCAGTTAGAACTGTGGGTTGTACCACGCGGGTTGGATTGAATTGAGTGCAACTTACGCATTGCGGAGGACAATGCGGCCAATACGACCGAAACCGTTGATACCGACCTGAAAAGTTGGTGAGTTTAATGAAGGAAGTAGACGAGGGGGATGTAAAAATCAAGTGTAATCTGCGATAATCTTCGCGATCACTAGATAGCGTACCTTGGGGACCATATTTGCGGTTATGATAATACTGAGAGCTTGGTTAGCTTGAGGTTACAGGGATTGAATTCAGGAGATAAAGTTGGGTGGGCTGATGAATAGTGGCGGGGTTGATGAGGGGCAATGGTAGAGTATGTAATGGTGGCAAGGGTAGTAAATGGGAAGGGAAGGGAAGGGAAGGGAAGGGAAGGGAAAGGAAGAAGTAATTGACGAACCTTTTAGAAGAAGAAAAAGTAGATGAAGAGGATGAAGATGGATGAAGAAGAGAAAAAGAAGAAAGAAGGAGGAAAAGAAAAGCGGGAGATCAGAGCAAGAAGTAGTCTGACGCAACGAGCGCTCACCCCTCTTTCCCTCATACACCGTGTACACCGAGCAACAAGACGGGGCTAAGCCAAACCCCAGGTCCATCAAGGTCCATCCAGATCCATCCGGGCGCGAATGATTGATTTCCCGACTGTTGCCGCTTGCACAGTTCCCCAGCAACCCTTTCCGGTTTCATACACCGGGCAAAGCAGGAAGAGTCACGATATTTCCACTCTAGCTGGCCCCTCGGTAGCTGCCGTCGATCCAATGAGCTGCGTGGATGGACTGACCGACCGGGTCCCCAGCCTTTGACCTCGGATCTCATGAATGTTTTACCATCATTATTATCGGGATCTGGGGGAGAGTTACGGGGAGATCACTACGAGAGTTCCTAACTTTTGCCGTGGGAGAGGTGGTGGTATTCCGGTGGCCGAAAAGCTATGACGATGGAGGGGCAGAGTGGATGATGCCTTGACTGAGGGGCACACTACGGATACCTCAGGTACATACTACAAGTATAGTACATAGTATAGGCTAACACCAGTTCTGTTTATACATAGTATATAGAGGCATAGCTTTGTTCTGGCCTAGCTTGAACCAGTAGAATCCATTGGATTGGGCCATGAAGAACCTTCTCCATCCCGCATTCGGCTTGCCTGTTTCCAGCTTCTCGGTGGAAATGTACTCAACCATGTGGTCCCACGCCCTAAATACAGTCACCGGGGGATCTTCCTGGCGTTCTAAATGGGTGGAATTATGCAGAATTTTTATATAACCAATTCTATTAGGAATATTATTTTTCAGTTATTTTTTATACATTTTTATCTATTATTTTAAACGGTGGTGGCAATAACGGCATCTACTATACGTACATTCCACGGTTACTGTACATAAGTGGTATACAATATACATATACTCCCCAATTCAATTCCTGATCTCGATTATAAATACTACATATCTCCGGCACCGCAGATCCGAGACTACTACTACTACTAACACATACATATACTATGTATAGCTACTGTAGATGACTCAGGACAGTGGCAAGTCCTGCTGATTTCCACATACCTGTGGCCACACTTGACCCATTGGAATATCATGGAACCTGACAGATCAAATCTACAGATCAACTCTACATATGTACACCGGTGCAATTGACCTGGATCAATTGATCCTGTCTATCCTGCAGGGACTGTGAAACATAAATGTTCAAAACATTGAATCAATGATCCACTTTAGATGGCGTAAGAAACACTGATTGAAGATCCACAAGACAATAAAGTGAGGCAAATGTGTTAAAAATAATAATATAATAATAATAATTCTGACCAACGTGATCGCGTTCATATAGCCTCAATCGCGATGCCATGCGAACTACAGAATTTGGGATATAATACAATCAGAAAAAGAAAGCAAGTAGCATGATCTATCCCCATCCCAATGTCCAAATATACTAAGTCCACCAGTGGGGGTGGGTTACCAACCACCCAAACTTAACTCAATCCTCCACATTTGATTTTCGTGAGACCCCGGATCTATTCCTCCTTGACACCACCCCGGTAGTTCTTCTCCGCATTCTCAATGGAAGCCTTGTCGCTCTTGGGCTGACCCTGGGACATGAAGCCACCGGAGGCCTTGAAAGGACGAGCCAGATCGCCAGTGGCGGGCTTGCCGAACAGGTGGATCTTGACCAGGTTGCCCTCGAAAGCGCCCTTCAGGGGAATGATCGACTGGATCAAGAGAGGGTTGGTGTACTTGAAGTAGAAGTGCATCACGGCCATCATACCAACACCCATCAGCTGAGAGCGGAACATCTGGCGGACCTGGCCCTTATCGTAGTCCATGTTGGTGGTGGTGACGGGCTTGCCCTCCTCGCCGGTACCCATAGCGGCGGGCTCAACGTACTTGAGCGTGGTCATATCTACATCAGAGAAAGGGATGGAGGGTTAGTGGCGATTCTTTTCTTTGAGGTTGAGTTGGGGGAGAGATAGGACTTTCGCCCCCCCCCCCTAAATGCATGATCACGACATACCCTTTTTAGAATTGATCTTAGCCTGAGTGTACAGGCTGACGGCCAAGATGATCACGTTGGACAGAACGTAAACACCGCGCACCAGGTTCAGCACGTCAGGATCCTCAAAGGGAACCTTCTTAGCCAGCTGCATCATCACCAGGATGATGGCCAGGTTGGTACTGTAAAATCATAATCAGTTCTGAATGAGCAGAAAACATGAGTCGCGTGCCATTTTCAAGTGATACGTACATTTGAGGAGACACCATTTTGACGATTAGACCTTTGAAAATCCGAAAACTGGGGGGTGGAAGAAGGGGAGATGAGGATAGATAACAACAAAAAGCTCGATCGAACCTCTTCTTTGACCTTCCGCGAAAGTGGAAACCACGTATATTAAAAAAGGAACGGATCATCTAAATCCCGGATCACGGGACCCCTCCGCCTTGAATCTCCAAATGCACCACTTCCCCAGCTGGACCTGCATCAAAGGCCAACCCAGTAATCTCACTGACTGAATTGACCAGCATGTTGCTTCCGCATCCACAGACAGGATAAGACTGAACTTCATCCTAAATATTCAAGAGCAAAAAGTCTGAGGATCTTGGACACATCCTAAATGAAGGCCCGCAAGCGGTCTTTCTACTAACCGCCAGAACAGCAACCAATCACTGGGATTTCCCTCCCCCTTTGTTTCATTATTCAGTCAGCTCTGGGGGTACCAGATCTGAAGAATGATTGTACCCCGAGCCACGTATCGTAATTCAAAGAGAATTATGATACATACAGCGTCTCGACTGGCCTGTTATATCTCGCCTTAACTACTAAAGAGATGTTCCAACGGCAGTGGCAGTGGTTTCCAAATCGGGACTAGCGCCGGATCCGCGGTCGCAGTCTTTAGCGACTGGTCCCGGCTGCGACATTTCTGACTTCTTCATCCATCAACAACGCGCGTGCCTGCTCCCTTTTAAATCGCTTTCCCATCCCACTTTGTCTCGGATCGCTTGCGACACCCACTCTACGCGCTACCCAACTATTTGCGACCAATAATCCTCCAAAATGCCTGGCGGAAAGGGAAAGTCGATCGGCGGAAAGGGTGGTTCCAAGGACTCTGCGGGGAAGGCCCAGAAGTCTCACAGCGCGAAGGCTGGTCTGCAGGTTAGTGTGGTGGTCTACTAGCTGGGACATCTGTACTGGTTACGACGGGCCGAATATGCAATCAAGGGGGAATCATATCGTTCGATGGAATGGGATGTCCCGACGCGTCAACTGGGAAGCCCCCTCCCCCCTCACCTCGAGGTTGATTGAGGGGTTCCTTGATATGTTCCTACCTTGTCGCACAGTTTATCTCTTCGTTGTCAGCGATGGTCACCATGCGACCTCGTCTATATCGATACACTAACCATTTTTTGGATTGCTAGTTCCCCTGTGGTCGTGTTAAGCGTTTCTTGAAGAACAACACCCAGAACAAGATGCGTGTGGGTGCCAAGGGTATGTTCTCCTGTCGCTCGCGTACCCCCTTTTTCGCTCCTGTCAATGCTAACCTCACTTTTCAACAGCCGCCGTTTACGTGACAGCAGTCTTGGAGTACTTGACTGCCGAGGTTCTTGAGTTGGCTGGTAACGCTGCCAAGGACTTGAAGGTTAAGCGTATTACCCCTCGCCACCTGCAACTCGCCATCCGTGGTGATGAAGAGCTGGACACTCTCATCCGCGCTACCATCGCTTTCGGTGGTGTTCTACCCCGTATCAACCGCGCTCTGCTTCTGAAGGTGGAGCAGAAGAAGAAGGGCAAGCCTGAGCTGTGAAATTGAGAAATTCCGCAAAAATTGGAGATCTGGTACGATACTATATATTCGGAGATACTATCCCACGATTTCTATACCGTACCCTCCTCCTGTCCCGACCAGGTGAATACTTAAATAGTTTCGCCTTTCTTCGTTTCTCACGGCGTGTGACTTTTGTGTTGTCTATCTATTCCCCGGCTTATTTTTCGCTGTTGTTCTTTTATTTCCTGTTCCTTTTTTTTTCTATTTTGACTCATTTGACATGTTCCATGATCAATTCGAGTGGGCGCTGTAATGGGAAAATGGGGATATCCTGGTAGTGAGTGAAATTATTCTACTTCTTGATTCAATATGCTTTGCTGCATGTTCTATTCCTCTTCGGTGTATATTACCTAGGTAGTCTATGTAAGTTGGCTTATAACTTGCTTGAAGGGAGTCCTGGTAACAAACCTGTGCGTACTATAGTGTGATGTCCTCGTACAAAAGAAAGCATAACAACTTCCAAGGTTAAAACCGAACATTCCCCACGAGTACCACCATATGCAGGGTCACTTCGGTATTCGGAGTCTATCACAAGTTCGTGTTACCACTAACTACAATATAACAATATTTATACTTATTTTCAATTGCAGATTAACTGATTTTTAGACAGTCCTAATAGCGTATATAATATAATATTATATAAATAATTCATGTATTATAGACTAGGGTATTACAATTAGAATATCCACCGATATATGTACATGTATAAGCGCTGACAAGCTCAGGCTAATTCCAACATGCATGGTGGAATTCAGGTGATCGACAGGGACATGCCGGGGCTATGTCAATCACTGATCATAATAAACAAAGCGAGCCCGGCGTCTTGGCATTGTGGAAATGTTTCAAGTTGTCTTTGATTCTGGAACTTCTTTCATACATTGGTACATTTATTTCACATTCTTGATGATTATTAGAGGATATGTTGGTTGAGTGTCAACTATATCCATTCCAATGCTTATAACTAGATTCCAGGAGGGTTTTGGTTAACCTTGAGCCGGAGAGTCACTATGTACTACCTAGTACTATCATATCATAATCCAAGTTGATCTGCATATCCACTGAATTTATATTTACCTAGATATCTTTACTTGTAGTATGCACCAAGTACCAAGTTGCTTGGACTTGAAGGCTCCATAACTATTAAATTATAACTTGAAGCTCAACAATACCATAGTATCATTTTAAGATCGACCTAGGCTGTAGTACAGCTGAGTTGCCCATCGCTGGCCTGGAGGTGAACTTTGCGCTTAATATACTAAATATCGGGCTCAAGGTATCTACACCATGAAACTACGATCTACGAGTCAACACTCCATGGATAATATAAACCTGAACCAACATTGAAACAGTAAAAGGTACATTGATCGTTCAAATCTGAGTACAGCATTCAGAGAAAAGCCCCAGACCTGCAGAAAATACCAAACATGAGAAAAGAAACCCTTAAATCAAGAGGATGGAAAAGAAGATGGAAAAAGACCATCCGACCCATATATGTAGGTAAGATGAAAACAAGTCACTTGAGTCTTGTCACCAGGCTATAGAAAATAGGATTTAATATACATCCTGCGAATCTATAGCCATAGTATACCATGATGATCCATCCCGAGGTTCTGATGTTTAAATTGTATCAGAGCCCTAGATCCAAAAAAGATCACCAGATCATCGACAAAATCAAACATCCAGTAACCAGATCAAGAGTAAATATCCGCGCAAAAGGCAAAAAGAAAAAACAGAGTCAAATGACCACCGTCCCCGGGGTCAAGTCAACGGTCAAGTCATAAAAAACCGTTGACTTGATATATTAGGGGATCGGATCGCCTGAGATAGGAAGAAAGGTGTGCAAAAAGTAGAAATGAAGAAGGGCTTCAACGTCATTAGATGCGAGTCGCCCCATGTACAACACTAAAACAGGCAAGAATATGCAAATGCTGATATTGTCGTGTCTCCTACCAGTGGTAGGGTCTTTTGGTCATTCTTCGTATGCATCCCGCGTTCACCAAGCGGCGGGGTCGTGATCCGCTCCAGCGTTGCTAAGGAACACAAAACAAGCCATGGGATTTGCGTGCAAACGGCGCCCGCAGGAATTTCAAACAAAGTCCAAAGGAAAAATAAAAATAAGAGTTGAAAAATAAAAAACACAAATTGAAAGGTGAAGAAACAGAAAAAAGAAGAAAAAAAGGCCAGTGCACTTTAGGTGACCGTTAGTGGAAAAGACCTGCGCGGCAAAATGTTTTCCTCCAGAAAATTTCAAGGAAAAGAATAAAACATCAAGTCATATCCAACAGGAGTCGTCAAGAGCGAGAATGGTGTATGTCTGTGGTGGATTTGTTGTTGGGCTGCCCCAAAATAGTTAAAAAAAACGTCTAAACTTGGCTGGATCAGCGAAACAATGGATTTTTCTGGTCTTTTTTTTTTGGTTGGTTGTCATCTCGTCATCCCTCATCGAATCGTAAGCCGGTAATTTCGCAGAACAGGGCCTCGTGATACAAGTTCGTATTCGTCTCGCGGCAAAGCAGTCAGATGCTGGCAAAAAAATAGGGTGGGGGATCGCCATTTCGTTTCCGTCGCGCTTCGGGTTAAAACAAATAAGAAGATAAAAACCAAAGAATTATGTTTGTTCTTTCTACTCCACAATGATTTCGACGCCGGAAGTAGAGCGAAGCTCGTCACTGCCGCGAGCCTGGTGTCCGTTTTGGCGCCGGAAACCGGGGCCCTTGTCGGGCGTCGGGCCACGCGGTTGGCGAATCGGCATGCGCTCCTGCTGAGCGGTGTCAAATCCCACTCCCATTCCACGGTTGCTGCCAATGGCACCTGCGGACGAGGGCTGGCTGTCCTGCTCCCAGGAGAACATACCACGCAATCGTCGGGGGCTTGAGTTAGGCCCACCGATGCCTGTACCCAGAGAAAGGCCACCCAGACTGTTGACCAGTAGATTATCATCACGCTGCATACCCAGAGAGGAACCGGAAGGCGCGGAGGTCAAGGTAGGGGTGTTGGATGCGCCGGTGGGCGCACCTTCGTACTGTAGGCGAGTCCCGTTGGACTGCAGAGCGGCTGGGAAGCTAGCGGAGGAAGGAACGGGGGATGGGGTATAAGAACGCAAGTCGGCGAAAGACTTGGCGGCACGGAGGTTCTGGGGGTTGTTAAAGTTGCCCGGCGAGTCCAAAACACCGAGGAAGCCGGAGGTCTGCCCACGTAGAGTGTTAAAAGCACCAGCACCACCTTCATTACGAGCCTCACTAAAGTCAATGGTGGCAGCACGGTTCAATCCTCGGCGAGAGCTATCGGACTGTCCCGCTGGGGGAATAGGCTGCAAAGGTGGGCTCACATTACTGCCGGCAGCGACTTTAAAAACCTGGACCTGGCGTTGATCCCCGCTTCCACGGGAGGCATGGGCCAACCCCATGTTGTGCGCCAGAGTGTGAACCGTGCGTCGCTGGGTCGGGGTCAGATTGGAGGGGAACATGACGGAATCGCGGGCGGTGTCTTCCTTGAAGAGAAGGAGCTGAGAGTAGTAGTGAAGGGTCTGGGTGTCGTTCAAGTTCACATCTAAAATAACATCAAGATAATAATTAGCGAACAAGATCAAAAATGTCAAAAATAGTTTTCCCGTCATTCATATTCAGTTCTTTTTCGTCTGATTCCATCTGTGATTGGTATCTTCAGGCTTGGGAAGAGTTTTCAAAAAAAAAATTTTGCTTACCGAGTTTCTGGCCACGTTGTGACACTGGAGAGGGCGAGCTTGCTGGAATATGCGAGTTCAGAGATGTCATAGAGCTCTGAGTGTGTAGTTGTCCAGAAGGCATAGGTCGGTGCTGCTCTTCGAGCTGACCGCGACGCTCTCGCTTCTCCCGTTCGATCCGTTCCCGCTCTTGCAGGGGCAGCATCTTCTTATATTCCACCCGCAGTTTCCGGCCCTGAAGCTCAAAATGGTTGAGCATTTCAATCACGGTAGCCGTTTCCTCTGCAGATGTGAAGTTGGCAAAAGCCAGACCGCGAAAGACTCCGTTGTCGAAGTGGTAGTTGAAGGCGTATGGGAGCGGCAAGTTCAACTCCGTCATCAGCTGCACTAGCTGCTCCTTCTTCACAGCAAATGGGATATTCTTGATGACGATCGCGGTTGGGATCAGTTCGTCATCGCCGTCCGATGAAGCCGAAGCTTCCGGGCGCATTGCAGTGCTTTGGATGGGACCGGGGCCTAGGTTTGAAAATGCATTTGGCATTCCCGGTTGCTGATCAAGCCAGGTCTATTATTGATAAAGAGTTGGTTTGATTAGTCAATGTTACGATGGAAAGGGAAGGGAATTAAGAGCGAAAGAATCTAAACTGGATGGGTTGTTGAGGTGAAGATGAAGATGAAGTTGGAGTTGGGGATGATGGAGAGTGATCCACATACAGTAGGCAAACCGGTGCGTCCTCGGGCAGCCGGTTTCAAGCTGGCGGAAGCAGAACGGATTCCAGCCAAACTCTGGGGGTTGGCAAAGCCATTTGGATTCCAAGTCTGCGAACCCGAGAGATCATACGAGTAGGAGTTGTTGTTTTGCTGCTGCATGGGAGGGTTCAACCGCTCCAGCCTTGCGGACTCGTATCGGGCCATCTGATCCTCGTACAGGTTGACGGGCATGGGACCGTAGGCGTCAAACTGTCTAGAAGGTTGACGGTGTAGAGGTTGTTGATGCCGCTGGGAACCAGGGGAACGCGCGGAGGGATCGTGATACATGTCCGGTTGTTGATAACTCATGAGGAACGAGGATTCCTTGGCGAAGACCCGAGGAATGTGGGCATGCAAAATCCACCACAAACACGAGGTCGAACAAGATACCGTCGCACGGAACTAATGGGACATGAGGCTAACGGTTGAAGATGGAGGGAGAACACACCACGGAGGGGGGGGGGGGATAAGGGGAGGGTGGTTGTGGTGGTTGGAGGTTGGAGGTTGTGTGGGAAAAGGCGGAAAGAAGCAGACGAAGAGGAAAAAAAGGAAGGCAAAATGGCTCACGGATGCAAAGTCGTGCACGTTCGGATCATGAAAAAGGGGGGGCCTTTTTTAGTGTAGTTTTTTTTTCCTTTTTCTTTTCCTTTTTCTTTTTTCTTCTGCTCTATTTTCCTTGTTATTTCTCAGAGAAATAAATTAAATATAGAAAAGGAGTTATAACTAAATAACTCTTGTTTTCTGGTTCTTCTCAGAAAAGTTCCTGGAGTTTGGGAGGGAACAGCAGTAGCAAGTAGTAGCAGCAGAAGCGGGGGAAAACGAAATTGCTGGGAAACAGAGAGAGACGGATCTGGTTGGTCAGCCAAGAACCGGGGGAGTAAGGGAGTCACAACTGTACAGAGTACAGATGGGTTGTTGTGAGATTGTTGTGGGAAGATGAGAAATGATATGGATCAAGGAAATCAGAAATCAGAAGTCCAGAAAAAAGAGCAGACTTCAAAGTTCGTGAGCGAGACATTTATATTATATACAAGTACTACTACTGCTACGGAATAGTACTAGAAGCTGATCTCCAGTGCAATGAACTAATTGAAAATAATAATCAAAATAATAACCAAATAGAATCAAATATACTAGTCTGTACAAATATAAAAATATCTAAAAAAGACCAGACTAGATCCGCATCGAGATTGACGCCCCTGGATGGAATGACCCGGTTTGTTCCTGATGCCGGTACTTGCCTTCACTACGGGACTTACATTGTAACCACAAGTACCTTTCAACCTTGGTACAACACCCGTGAACTATACATCTACATCTACATTTACTCTACATCTACCTCTATATCTATCTTTATGGACTATCCAGAGTATACTATTTCTACCTTGATGATTCGATTTCTCATTCTGTCTCTACAGTATAACCCCTTTACTTCCAGGTGCCACACTAAGATCGCCCCCCTACCAATGGCCCGGCTCCTTTCCGGTGCCTCGAACCCACCGAATCAGCGTCCTTTTCGCCTCCCAGCTCCAGTTCGTCGGCTCCCTTCCCATTCCTTTTGTGGCTGCTTCTCTCTCACTGGAGCCTACGACTCCATCCACCTCCATCCGCTTATATTAGACTCGCCCAGTGGGAACACTCCTACTCCATCTACTAGTAATGGTCGCGTCACGGAGTATTTATGACCAATAGTTCCAGTTTGCCCACAGCTGAAATTAAATAATTAAATAATTAAATAATAACCGTGTTTCATCGACCTGTCAACACTTTTCAACACTTTCTCGCACGAGCGGTTTCAAATATGACATCGAACACGTCGACTGTCTAGCTCTAGTTCGAGTTCTCGCGGCTCGCGCCCTGCCTCGTGCTTCCCGCACTATACCACTATATACACTACGTCTGCCAGTGCACATCTGATCTTCCAATATTCTGCAATTCCTAAAAGGAACTATGATGTGTTCCTAATCCGGGATCTGCTACGGATCTGCTATCTATAATTGAGCCCGACTCCATCACCCATCCTAAGTTCCTTAGGTTCTTTAGTCTCCAACCAATTTCACTAGATAATCCCCGAGACCTCCTTTTTCCCTTTTCCCTTTTCCCTTTTTCTTTTTTCTTTTTTTCTTTTTTTCTTCTGGGATAGCGTCACTCAGGGGATCTTCGACTCGGACTCCATTAACTCACACTACTCCGTACTCGCCACTCTATTCCGCAATAGACATAATGACATACCCAATGATTCCTTTATTTAGTACCTAACTTCCCTTTTTCTATCCCTTTTTCTTCTTTTATTCGATACAATATACCTCATACCTAACCCCATTGCAGAAATATGGCGTGAGAGTATTTTAACGGCAATTGAATCTCCCCCTGATTGACGGCGCATGAAGCTATCTCAGCCAGGGCCCACTTCGAGAAATTGAAACTTGCGCCTGAGCTCCACGATCCGCGCCTTCCCCGTTTCTAGTGTCTCTGGAACTTCTGGGAAACCTTCCTAGCTATTCAGCTAGAACCCGCTAGAGGCGGCTTAGAACCCCCCTGTGGAAACGTCAGATTCAAATTCGAATGGTTTGCAGCCGGTGGAGCACTATAGTACCTTCCCCTCCAACGAGGCAGCCTACTGGATTCAATTCAACTCCTTATCCTGAGAGATTATTGGGTCTTCGGAATCTGGCAGATTGGGTCACGGAAAGCTCCAGGGGGTCTAAAGTGGAAGGAACTGAAATAGCTTCCCCGGGGATTTGTGAGTGTTTTCCGAATGGCTTTGCCCCTTTTTTTTTCTTGTTTCTTTTTCCTTTTCTCCGTTTCTTTCCCTTTTACTCCGATGGGTTATTTTTATTTTTATTCATTAATTAACTGTTTCTATTTGTGGCCTTTGACACTGAGGACCTTGTGAGCGTACTTTATACGTCGTAGATGATCGAGGTCTTTGTCAATTTAGGTTATATCTCGCATATGAGGTTTTTATACTCCGTACTGGCCCCAGGAAGCAGCCGGGGGCTGAAAGCTTATACCAAAAGGTTAACAGGGTTCTAAAATCTTATGAACCCATAAATTTCTTGTGGTAGCTTGGAGCTCAAAATGAAGATGACAACCCATGAGCTTGAATTTTAATCAACAAAATAGCTTCAAATGCCAAGCCCCTCCTTAAGGGCAGACTTCAACTCCATAAAAAGCAATCTAGCCCAATCAGTCTAGACAAAATCGACTACTTCATCTCCTTCAATCTCAAAGTCGAATCAAATACGCATACGAACTCCCCCCTTTTAAGCTTAGCCTTATACATTGCCTGGTCGGCATGCCCCAGTAACACCAGCGGGTCCAATCCATGATCCGGATAACGCGCAACACCAAGACTCCCTCTGATCTTCAACAAAATCCCATGCTCCAACAAAAAAGGCCTCGCAAATATGCGGCCTAGAATGCCCCGAAAAACAGATTCCTCCTGTTTTTGCCGCTCGATGCCTTGTATCGTAGACTCGATACCAACTGCGTCATTCCATACTATTAAGAATTCATCACCGCCCATACGAGCAACTGTATCTTCTTCTCGACAGACTGCTTTAAGTCTCTTGGCTGTCTCGACTAACAGTGAGTCTCCGGTAGAATGACCATAGGTATCGTTGATGTTTTTGAAAGAGTTCATATCGATCATTCCGATCGCGAAGTGGTTTTGCTCGGTGCTATTTGAGGCTGAGATCTTCTTTTGTATGTGCTCTAGTAAGAATGTACGATTGTAGAGTCCTGTCAATGAGTCGTGACAGACTTTCCATTGGAGGTTTTCGATGATTGTCTCTTTGGAGGTGATGTCAAATGAAACCGATATGAAAGCTGTTGTTCCTGGTGCGTTGATGGGTATTATAGTACAGTTGATCCAATATAATGTACCAATTTTGGTTTTGTGGCAAATCTGTCCCCGCCAGATTGAGCCTCCCGTGACCTTGGTCCACATCTCATGGTAGAAGCTGGTTGGGTGATGCCCGGACTTGATAAGATGGTAGCTTTGCCCGATGAGCTCATGTCTGGAGTATCCCGATGCGGCGCAGAACAGGTCATTCACGTTGGTGATGGTCCCTTTCTTGTCTGTTTCCGCAAAAATAGTGGCGCTGTTGATAGCCAACTTGAAGAGGTCGTTCATGGCCTGAGAGGGTGGGTTTGGTGGTTATTTATGAGGGAAATGACAACCTTACTTGCATGCATCGAAGTAAAAGCTTCCGGCCTATGTTTGGATGACTGCTGTTTCTATTGCTTCTTTTCTCCAGGTCACCCACAGCTTCACCGCACTGTGGGATAGACTTAAAAATGCATTAGCGAGCAGCATGCTGGTCTTGTAAGTATTGGTCAGTGGATTCATATTATTGGCTGGCTGTGTAGGGTATTACCAGCATGACGGGAAGAGGCACTAGTAGTAGCCAAAGTGACCAATGACTGTTTCTTGTTTTTAGTGGGTTGTTCTTTCTCATGCATAGAGGTTATTCCTTGTCATGTAGAGAACGCGAGGGGGCCATGTTGCGTAACTTCGACAAGAGGTAGACGTAAGACACCAAAAATGCAGATAAGATCAAGTCTGCTCCGTTCATCAAGGGAGTATCGAGGTGGCTTTGATAATTTCCAGACTCGGATCAATTCCTCTCTAAAGCATCTCCTGTCCTGTCCTCGAGGAAAGTGTCGGTCGGCGAGGGGATCTGGTCGTCCCAGAGGGTTGTGAATCTCCCAACTGATTTCTTTCTCACTGCGAGCGCCCAAGTGGGATTCGATTGCGGAATAGGACTTAGAAGACTCGGATTTAGTGAGCGCCACTGTGTATATTCTGGGGTTTCCACCTAGCATCACTTTGATAGTTCAATTCAAGTTCAAGTTCCTACCATCCACTACTAGTACTAGTAGTTACTAGTATAGGGACGGAGCACCGGGTTGCGGACTGATGTTTAGACAAAATACTAACGACTTTAGGTTTCATTAGCGTCCCGTTCTGACTCGTGCTATTGATCATTGCCTTTATAGGGGTAATTCCAATTCAGAGCGATGAGTATGGCAACTCCGAAGGCCCCAACGGAGTCCTTGGTGCTTAACTATGATCGTTAAAATCTTCAGGGTAGTACAGTAACATTATCTGGAGAAATGACGGAGTCCGAATTGATAGCCTACCATTTCTCTCCATGTGATGTGAATAAAGTCAAAAAGACAGCAGATCTACATTGTTCCTGGATGATCCTTCTCTACTCCAGACAGTCCGCACGGAACCTCCGTACCCTGAATCCAACAAACATCGAAGATTAAATGCCGATCAAAAATTTAACCCCTCCTCACTATAATTCTGTAACATGTCAAGCGGGGGTTGCATTGCATCACCCGGGGCGAGAGATCGGCTCAAGCCACAGTGGTCTTTTCGAAAGATCTTCACGCCCCAGTTAGGTTCTAGAGAAGGCAATGCGGGAGATAGCCCCCGCGGTGATAGGACAAATGGTGTGAACAAGCCTGAAACAGACCCAAGCCGGCACTCTCTACGCAAATGGCTGACGAGTCGTGGACCCACTTGTTCCCTCCTGCACTGAGCGAGAGAGAAAAACTGGGTCTTCAGACCCCTTCACGTCATGTATTCCGTAAGTTTAAAGGATGGAACACCAGAACTGCGAAGGATCTCGTTTTTAACTCAAGGAATCATCATATAGACCTGGTACTACTACATGGTGGTGAACAGTCCGACTCAACAGGTAATTCTACACGTATCACTAGCCGATTCCCTACCATCCCGAACCGTATACGCGGCTGAGGCGTCGGGATGCAGACGTGGCTGCAGTGGGGCCGATCCAAAAAGCCCGGAAAACCCGCCACGCCTTTAAAGCTTGCTTGATTCCCTCGTGCTGCGCTGCTCGATAAGAGTTTCCACATGCCACAATGATGGTGGTCACTTTTCGAGTGGTCGTCGCCATCACTCTGGTTTTCGCTTTATTTCTCGTGAAGAACCATTTAAGCTCCATTGACGATCAATGGCAGTCGCAATCCGGTCGCAGCGCTGGTCGCAGCGCGCAAATTACTTGGAGAGATGCGGGCGCCCGTATTGAGCTGGTCTCGGGCGATGATCACATTTCTAGTTCCCCTATTCCATCTGTCCACGCGACACCTACCCCGTCCTCTACTCCCACGGGAAGTTCATACGAGGAGCCTACTGGTAAACCGGTTGCGGTTCCTAGATTTGAACCCCAACAGATTCCCGTGGAAGTCCCCGGGGAAGTGGAAGATGACTATGATTTTTGGTTGGATGATTATCTTGATGAGTTGGACAATGATCTGGGGAGATATGGGCATAATCAGATGCCGGATCCAAGGCCTCCACCACCTCAAGTGCCGAAATTGGAAGATCGCATCATTGTACTGGGGAGAATGTCGTGGGAAGATTCGGACTGGTTGGACTATGAGTTGCCAGAGTAAGTCCATTTAAGACGTTTTTCTCACCTTTGCCTTTTCGCATTGTCACTCGGAGTCTCTCCTATCCATTCCTTGTCTATCTCGGATATTTCTATTTAGCACTCATACTAATCGATTTGCTCGTCTAGATGGCCAAGTGCAGTCTACGTTGTCGACGACCCAGATGCTGAGCTTACAGTCGAAGAAAACAAAGGAAAAGAAAGCAATATCTATCTCCAATATATTCGCGACAACTACGATGACTTACCCGAATACATGGTCTTCCTACACGCCCATCGTACCAGCTCACATGTGGAATTCGACGAGCAAGACAATGTTCTAACAGTGCAACGACTACAATTGGACTACGTCAAACAAATGGGATACGCCAATCTACGCTGCGATTGGGGTCCGGGATGTCCGGATGAGGTCTACCCTTTCCGGCAAATGGCTGAGCGCACAACGGAAATTGCATTCGCAGGTGCATGGATCGGTATCTTCAACAACACAGATATTCCAGAGGTGGTTGGAACACCTTGTTGTGCTCAATTTGCCGTTACGCGGGAACAAGTACACGCCCGTCCATTGAGTGACTATGAGCATTATCATACCTGGCTCATGGAGACGGAATTGGATGATGAGACCAGTGGACGTGTTTTTGAATATCTGTGGCATATTATCTTCGGGCAGGATCCCGTCTCGTAAGTTTCTTATTTCTGCTGATATCCGCTTGGATGGCTTTGTTAACCTATTGTGCAGTTGTCCAGCTAAAGCGCAGTGCTATTGGGATGTATATGGGATGGAATATGTGGAGCCGCCAGTTCCCGATTGGATATCCGATAATCCATTTCTCAGCATGGGGAACTATGATGACGAATTTGGAGAATTGGACTTTGATGATGAGAACCAGGACGAGATTGAAAATGAGGATGAGGAGGACCCATTCGACCTTGATGGTCCTTTGGATGACTTGGATCTCGATGATTCTCCGTCAGAATCCATGGTTGTCAACGTCAGCGAACCTGATCTGCGACAGAATCAATACGGAAGCCCATAGACATCGATATTCCATTCCAGGGCTCGCGTGGACGCGGTAGACGTGGAGGCGGACCTTTATCGGGTCTCAGAAACTTGGAAAAATATCCCATTCTCTGTATATATTGTATGATATTTCCTGTGTTCTATTTACTGGACCATCGTGACGAACAGATACCCTCGTGTTTTCAAATATTAGACCGTTTGAATTTTGAACTGTTTTATTCCAGACCAACATTTGAAGTCTTATCTCGATTTTTAGTCATTTCCGTGCCATATATACTTCAATTGAGAGAACCCCGTAAGACTTTTAACCATTCTAGTAGGTACTATTTGTAAAGCTACAACCTTGACATGATGATTATATATACAATACATCTTCAGGAGTCGTTCTGAACCTCTCGGTTTACTCTCTTACCATGCTACTACTACCATGGAGGCTATATCAGAATATCAACTGCTTTAACCTAAATACATAAATCTCATAAATAACCCTCGAATCCAAGTGGTATCACAAATCGTCACAAATCAACGTATTTGCGGACACTTTAGGACCTTCAAGTTGATGAATGAATATCTCTGGTGCTATACTTATAGATTCTGTAAGGACTGTCAAGTCGCGTACCATAAAAGCAAACATCCATGTATGCCACGATTGAAATCAGACCTTCTCAACGGACTCTTCATCTGACATTCCACAGAAAACCGAATAAGAAGAAGGCCATACAATCTAGAGCCATGCCAATGGCATCATTCCAACCAGGGCAGCCATATACACGGCCCCATTGGCAGAATGATCAGTCACTGCACCATTGGTAGGAGTAGCGGAGGTAACAGAACCATCAGAGGTAGCGGAGCCATCCGAGATAGCAGAGCTACCAGACGAGCTTGAGCTATCTGTGGCAGTGGCGGATACAGTTGCGATTGTTCCAGTGCCAGTTTTGGTAGCAGAGGCACTCAGAGTTGTAGCAGCGGTAGGGTTGTAAGTTGTCGTGCTGAAAGAACACGAGCGAACGATATCAAGAGCGTCTAAGAAACTAGATAAGTATTTGTGCTATATATGATAATAAGTCAGTCGGATACATACCATTGTCATCGTCGTCGTCGTCGTCGTCGTCGTCATCATCATCATCATCATCATCATCATCATCATCGTTGTCGTTATCATTATCATTGTCATTGTCATGATCATGGTCGTGGTCGTGGTCATTCCCATATTGGGAAATACAAGCTGCACAGAGCGGAATCTGCGTCTTGGCTGGTGCCCAGTCGCAAATACAACTTAATTCAGCAGAATCATTGTCATGCTGTGCATCACACTTCTCTGAGATCCCTACTACAGGACCACAGGCATCCCAGCAGTGATTTGGAACATCGTCGTGCTCGAGCTTGGCCGCAATAGCCACGTTTCCGGCGAGCACAAGACCACTAAGGGCAAGAAGTTGCTGGGTACGCATGGTGATTGCTTTGGAGAGTGATTGAACTGACGAGTTCAGGGTATTGCTTGAAATGAAATTGCAGTGAGATAATTGCTGTTTGGAATGAATTGGACCTCTCGTGGAAATGATGCCTCTTTATATAGCATAAATCCGTTCAACATGCTCAGATGAATGTAGGTTTCTATTAATGGCTTCATTTTGCAACGCTCTATTTCTTAGCTATGGATAGAGGCTTTGATGAGCTCATAGACGAGAACGTATCGGTATCAAAGTTGGTACCTGGACTGCTAAGCCCCTCCGAGCTATTTGGGTATACAGAAGCATTCATCGTTAGCTGTACAAGCGAGATAATCGACAGAAGTTGGACCCTTCTTTTGACCTTGCTGGCATAATTCCAGGAGTCTATGGCCAATCTGCATGTAGAGAAATAGGCTGCCTGCTCTAAACACCACCTGCCAAGAACCCTTGTTGATCTTTTCATTGATACTTGCGGAGACTATCAAGTAATGTACCTTTCTGCAGCGGGCCCTCGCGCTCGTGATCTACCCACTTTGCAGTGGCTGTGTCGAAATACACTACAACCCAAGACTTTAGCTTCCTTTTGATAGCCTCTTTAGCTGATTTTCAAATAAACAATAGACTAGCAGTATTTTGTAAAACATCCAGACTCTGCACCATGATGTTTGCCAAGGAACAGCCAAGGAACAGGCCGTAGACCCTGTCATCTAAGCCACACTCACTCTGTGGGGCCGCTTTCAACGGAACTCGGCAATTAGGTGGCTGCTAAGTGTTCGCTTCGAGATTAGTGCGCTTTACTTTTTAGTGTCGGCACCGAGCGCAAAATAGTACGGGGTTGGCCGCGACCGTACGATGAGGAATTTCATTAATAAGGTCAATTTCTTTGAAAAAGGACCCAAAATAGATGTCTGTGGGTATCCATGCAGGAAATAATGCCGAGACGCTCCACTCTTGTATACTATTGGCTCCATAACGGGAGCTGCATAGATAATGCACATTGGCGTATTTATAGCAGAGCTAAGATTGTTGCCTAGGCGCCAATGCTCTTTCAATATATCGCCAGACTTGTGAAAACACGTGCTTAATTTAGCAATCAGCGATAATATTAATGAACTGAGGTGTATCTTAGTAGATTTGTTGGAATTGTGTTCTGACTAGGGCTCCATGTATGCTGGGTGCCTAGGTAGCGATCGAGCGGGTTTGTGAATTACGACATCACTTTCACTTGCAACCCGACTTCCGATAAGCTGGAATATTGAATGACTCGGAATGAAGACACAGTGATATTATCGAAACATAGTATGTTGTGTATCTCAAGTGTATCTCAAGTGCACACATGCTCACTTTACATTGGTGCCCTCTCAATTTGCTCAAGCGCCGGCTTATCATAATCTGTGATTGATGGTTGAGTAAGAGATTGTATAAGGTGGCCTAGCCCGATCTCATGTTGTATAGTTTGTAAAAGCTCAAGGTCTCCTGTGGAGGTACCACCGCCGTCAAGGAGTGCGTCCATCTCTTCTAGGGTGATATTGCTGGTTTCAGGCGTGAAAAACCAAACAAATCCAGCACCGAGCGTAATCATGATACCAAATACCAGGAAGGTACCATAACCAAGCTTCGTGAACATACCAGGTGTTACCTGGCCAACGACGAAGTTGTTCATCCAACTTGCAGATATCGCAAGAGACACTCCATACGAGCGCACCGATAAAGGCCATATCTCTGCAGCAACAACCTACTCACATGGACCTCATGACCAGCCAAAAAACATCGTATGAATTTAAATGAGGACAACGCATGCCCAGGAAGAAGACTGCTCGGTTTCCCATTTATCCGAATTTCGAGCAAATATGACAGCAATTGCCAGGCGACAGGAAGCCATTCCTAGGAAGCTCACGAATCGTAAGCTTGCGTCCAATTTTGTCAGGATAGATTAGGTTTGGGATCGCTGCAAGGAGCATGACAACCCTGATGACACCTGTTGCTAAAGGAGATGTAGTGTTGGAAGAATAAAGCCACCAATGCAAGCATATCCAGCGATGGAAACCATACAAAAGTTCTTTCACATCAGCCAAAAAGCTAATGTCTTTCCGGCAACCGTAAGTAGCACTACACTTATCATCTTGCTAGTACATGATCTGGAATTTATTTTGATTCTTAATCCATCAGTTAAGGTCCACGACGAAATAGCAGAATTAAAACAAGATCTGGATTCGATGAACCGGAACTTTGAATTGAAAGGGTTGATCATCGCTCATGACGCTGAGTTCGATTCTTATACAAATATACACGATGAGTGCCTCCCAGGAACTCGGACAGAGGTACTTGATGAGATTGAAGAATGGGCAACAGCGCCAGGCAAGAAGATTATCTCTTGCATACAGGGCATGACAGGCACTGGGAAATCAACAATTGCCAAAACTGTTACAGCCCGCTTCAAGAAGAAAGGGCATCTCGGCGCAAGTTTCTTCAAAAGGGGAGACGAGGACCAAAGTGAGCTTCTTCCTCATATTCAAACGATAATTAACGAAGACCCTCGCATTTCAGATAAGACACTTACGGAGCAATTTTCGGGTTTATATTGCAACCTCTTCGTTCGGTTCAGGGAGACAGAGATACAATAAACCTTGTGGTGATCGACGCCTTAGACGAATGTGAAAGGGATGAAGATGTCAGAACTCTTCTTTGCCTTCTTCCACAAGTTCAACAGTCAAGCTCGGTTCAAATACGGTTTCTCTTAACCGGTAGACCTGAATTACAAATTGAACAGGGCTTCCAGCAAGTTCCCCATGACTTCCAGAATGTTATCCTCTACGAGATTGCTGCACCTATCATCCGACGGGATATTTCTTTCTATTTCGAGCACCAATTCTCAAAATTGAGAGAGGAAGAGGAGCAAATTCTACCAGCCGATTGGCCTGATGATAAGGCTTTGAATATTCTCGTCGAGAGAACGATTCCGTTGTTCATATCAGCTGCAACCATCTGTCGCTTCCTAAGAGATAAAAACTGAGATCCAGACACAAGACTGAAAGCCCTTCTGGCCGACCAAAGAGTTTATGTGTCTAAGATGGAGAGAACATACAAGCCCGTTTTGACCCAGCTTCTTCATGGCCAGGATCATGAGGAGATTCAGGTCCTGACGCAAGATTTCAAAAATTTTGTCGGGATGATTATCGTCCTTGCATCTCCACTGTCCATCAACGCATTGTCCCGATTATTGAACCGGCAGGCAAGAGAGGTAGCATATAGGCTAAACTGTCTTCACTCAGTCCTTCATATTCCAGTCGCTTAGACAAACCTGTCCGATCACTTCATCAATCATTCCCGGATTTCCTCTTTGGAAGCTATGAGCCTACTAGGCTATGCATTCGAGGTGGTAGAAATGATCGCTTCTTTACAGACAGCTATTCCGGTTAGTAGTTCCAAAACTTCATGCCGATTCTTTAAGCAAAACTATTTAGTGAAGATGAATCGCTATCCTGTCGTGGCCGAACTATTACGAGATGCCCAACACTACTTCCTGATGAACAGCCAATTACTTGATGAGACACCCCTCCAAATCTATTTTGCAGGTCTGATTTTCGCACCTCATGAGTCAATAACACGTGAAACGTTTGAACAGTACATCCCTTCCTGTATATGCCGGTTGCCTGAGACTGAAACAGCATGGGACACAAAATTGCAGTTTCTTGAAGGCCATTCAGATTATGTTGCTTCCGTTAAATTTTCCTATGATAATCAAATCTTGGCTTCAGGTTCTTTCAACCAAATGATGCGGCTTTGGGGCGCTAAGACGGGTGCGCTTCGCCACACTCTCAAGGAACATCTGGACGTGGTGAAATCCGGTTCCTTTTCACCTGACGGTCAGCTATTAGCCTCAGGCTCTAGAGACAAAGCTCTGCGGATATGGGATATAGCGACTGGTGCACTTCAGCAGACCATTGAGGGCCATTCAGAAGACATCAATTCCGTATCTATCTCGCCTGACAGCTGTCTAGTAACCACAGGGTCGGACAATATAGTCCGGCTCTGGAATATCATAGCAGGGGAGCTCCAGCAAACTCTTGACGGCTACTCGAAGGGAGTCAATTTGGTTGCCTTTTCACCCAATGGGCAATTAGTAGTATCAGGCTGTGATTATCGGACAGTGCGACTTTGGGATCTGGCGAAGAAGCTGCTAGCAACTTAATAGCTTTAGGGCATAATTCAGGCCGGGTTTCCTTCATTGAACTTTCTTTGCCGTAAACATTATCAAACACGCGCGCGTGGGTGCTCTTTTCTTTTCTTTTTTTGATTTCAGGCTGTATCATTCCCATTGCACCTATTTGTCAATATGACGGAGAGTGCTATTAGCAGCACTCAAAAAAATCATAATCAACCATTCTGAGGCCCTCCTATTACCACTCCCACGTTGAAATTAATAAACGCTAATATCTAATATCTGTTATCTAAACATTTTATATTGTTTCCATAATACGACTCCTAGGGAGAGTGGCGATCACTGTTCAACGCGGCACTAAGGAAGGCAAATACACGCACTTTTCACCCCAAGCAAGTCGTTTTGTCAACATCGCTTGCAGGTGTGCTGTTTATCCCCGAGATTCCTGGTATCGGAAATTTCAAGAGAGAAGTGAGGCATTTCACCCAGAACCACGCCTCTCGTGAATGGATTGGCAAAAAGGTCTTAATCGTCGGGACCTCCTTATTCTGATTTGATACGGCCTATGACTTTGCTCGCCGAGGTATCGATGTCACTTTGCTTCAGCGGTCGCCCACATATATCATGTCATTGAGTGAGGCTATTATCGATGGTAGCATCAAGATGGAGCACGGATATACTCTTCGATTCACCGAGGACTACGTCTTACTCAACGTAGAACGGGAGTAGAAGTATAATCTCATTATTTTGGCCACAAGCTTTGCCAACACTGTGAAGTCTATTCGCCATGTTTTTGGCGGTAGGGTTACCGACCAGTGTAAGCAACTAAGTTAAGAAATAAAAAATAGGTTCTCAATAGTACTTAGAAGGTAACTGGCATTGATAAAACCTCGGGCATGCCCCATACCACTCAAATGTATTGGCACCGAGAACCAAGGCCATATTTTGCCCCTAAGCTATACTTACATTAATCCAAGCATTCGTCCACATAATTCCTATTTTAGTTAATATTGCGACGAACTTTATTCTGACTTCGGAAAGTTCAAGCATTCACATGCATTGAACGCCTGATCTCGCATACCCTAATTCCAATGTACGCGTGTTTACTGAGGAAGAGTTTTAAGGATACAATCCGTGGTTGGTGGCCACACATTACATATGATAGCCTAAAGACTAATTATTCAATGTGGAAGAATCGATTTATGACTCATTCATAAGGCTCCAAGGGTTGCAGTATGGACGTTAGTGTGTTGTGGTAGATCAACAACTCTTCTTTCCTGGTACCTAGCATCTATTGTACCACATATCCATCTGTTGTTGCAGTGTTAACCTGGACAATAGGCTTCCACATTCAAGAGCAGACTGGGCCTATTTATACCTGTTGTGCCTAATTTTCATGTTAATTGAAGCGGTGGATGATTTCTTTGATAGTGGCACTCCACACTCAAGCTGACTCAGCCGCCACAGCCAATAACACTTCGACTCCACAAGTGAATTGACCTCATCGTCAAGCGAGCGAGAAAGCGCAACGCAAGATTTCTTGCTCTTGCGCGCCATTCCACCCCCCCCGCCTCGATCGCTTTCATTCACTGCCCATACGTCCTTATCTGGGCTGTAGTGAATGGTCCTTGTTGGCCCTATATCTCAGAGCCTCAAGTTGTTCTGAATGCTGCTCCCTTTCATTCGCCGCTGACTGTCGTGACTGCCCTGTCGTACAAAGGTAGCCTTTCGTCTTAAGCCTCATTCATCTTCGCTAGCCCTTCCACGGTCGCATTCAACTGATACTTGTCCTTGGTTTTCAGATCTGCGACCCGCTGAGTTTCGGGGCAATCTTGATTCCGCTATCAAGAGTCGGCCCATTTTTTTGCCCGAATTCCTGGTGGAACCCAACTTTTTTTTTTTAGGCGTGGGTCAGCGCGCCTGGGACGTTACTGACGGCCCCTACAATCGAGCTTGCAATCTGCATAACTTGAAGCATTGGTTTATCGATACCCCGTCGACTCGATTCGCCTACTCCTCTCTTTCGTCGCCAGTCGGTAAATTCTAGCGCAAACCCCGCCCTCGCGATACCCGAAACATCAACATCATAGATCTCATCGATTCATCATGAGTTCCCAAGGAATAACGCGCAAACGACCTGCTCCGGGCACAGCACCTACGGTCCGCCCCCAGATGGGCACCGCCCCTAACTATCCTCCTCCGAATCCGGACTCACAGTTATCCAACGACCAGTTCTTGCAGTGGGGCCAAAATCCTGCTCCAAACTCTGTGAATACATCTTTCCACGAGAACGCTGCCTATAACCCGGGATATGTCGACTCCCACGATATTGCAGCCTCGAATGCGAACAACAACCAGGTTGCGCGTCGCCAGCAGCCGAACCAGCTAGTCAGTCGGAATCGTGGATATGAACAATCGCCCGTCGCCTATTCGGAACCTAACACAAGTGGTAACCCGGGAGAGTCGGGAGCATGGGGCGAATCGCTAGAGCAGTTATATTTTCGAGCTTTAGCTGCCAAGAAAGAGTCACAGGCGAAGCGAAAACAAATTCCACCTTTTGTGCAAAAGTTGAGCAGGTAAGTGACATTAATTCTTGCGTGTCTCCTTATGGCCAAAAACTAATAAAATCAACAGCTTTCTTGATGAATCCAAAAACACCGAATTGATTCGATGGTCTGATGATGGAAATTCTTTCATTGTACTAGACGAGGATGAATTTGCGAGAACCTTAATCCCTGAGCTGTTCAAACACAACAATTATGCATCTTTTGTTCGCCAGCTGAACATGTATGGGTTCCATAAGAAAGTTGGTCTTTCCGACAATTCCATGCGCGCCAGTGAGCGAAAGAACAAAAGTCCCAGTGAATACGCAAATCCATACTTCAAGCGAGGTCATCCGGACCTGCTGTGGCTGATTCAGAAACCAAAAAATACCACAGGCCATGCTAGCAAGGGAAGTAAGAGCGGACCGCGTGTGAAGACCGAGGATATGGATGAAAATGAACTGGAAGATTATGGCGAGGAGAATGTACCAACATCTCGTGAAAGCCGACCCCGACCTCAACAGCTGTCTCTCATGACGGACACTCCTGTGCCATCAGACCAGCTGTCGGGTGTCTATCGAGAACTGCAAGCGATCCGTCAACAACAACAAATCATCTCAAACACCATCACGCGGCTTCGGAAAGAGCATGAGCAGCTATACGCTCAAGCTGCAAACTTTCAAGAGCAGCACACCCGTCATGAGAATTCTATCAACGCCATTCTCACTTTCCTCGCAACTGTCTATAACCGCAGTTTGCAGGGCCAGGAAGGGAACCAAAACATTGCCAACTCTTTTGCTGGTGCCATTTCTGGGGATCAAGGCAACATCGTGGATATGGGCGATGGGTTTCCTTTGGGTTCCTTAGCTGGACTCACTAGTCCAATTGGTCAAAGAACAATAAAGAAACAACCGCTACTTCTCAAAGCCCCACCTGCTGCAGATGGAACCAATCGTGCCACTACCCTTTCTCCCGGAGCCAGCTCATATGACACGCGATCTCGAAGTCATAACCGCCAGCCAAGTGCTTCCCAGCCCGGGCATGTTGAGGAAGTATTCGACAACAGCCCGCGCCAGAATACTACCGTTCCGCCATTGAATAATACGGATGAAAACTACCCCCAGCAAGATATTATGTCCGTTATCCAGAACACCAATGCACGGAATGGTGTCCCTACCAACTTTTCTGAGTTTCCTAATGTTTTGTCTTCCCTCGAAACATCTGGTGGTAATGTTCCTCTTACCGCAAACCAACGCGCTGATATGCTTCGACTCATGGCTCACGAGACAAACACGGCCGATCCTTCTGGTCAAGGATCTTCAAACAATGCTCTTATGACTCCAACACCACCCCCGATGCCCCACAATTACTCCAACCGGCTTGCGAACACTCGTCAAGAGATTGACAATTTAGTCAAGATGCAAGCTGAACAAGATCGCTCCGTTCAAAACCTTACCAACCTGCTTCAACCATTAAGCCCGACTGGTGCTATACCAGGTCTAGATGCTGATGGAAATGGTGCACCTCCTCCACTTGATCTAGACACTATATTCAACAACGACTACTTCACGGACATTGGAGATACAGATCCCGACAGGAAAGCCATGAACCTCGGTGACAATGGTCAAAATCCAGAGTTGGGTGGAAACATGAATGATTCTTTGGATACTGGTCAAGGAACTGATGGCGTCACAAATGATCTCTTTGACTTCGGTCATATTCCAGGCGATGGTGATCTCTTTGACGGCACCAACCATGGCCAAGATCATTACAACTACAACTTCGATGGCGCTGGCGCTGGCGTTGGTTATGGCGGCGATTCCGGCTCTGGTAACATGGACTCGGGCCGAGTTATCGAGCAGTTGACAGACAGCGAAGCTACAAGTCCCGCGGCGCCAGAAGAAGCTGTTGATGATGGGGGTAGCGCAAAGAGGCGCAGGAAAGCGTGATGAGGCAGACGAGCTAGAGTTGAGCTTTGATGCGATGGACCTAAAAGAACTAATCTACCGAGAAGGTGGGAGGATATCCTAAGTGATTACTTGATCACTGGCGGCGTTTTTCTGTTTATATGGGTTGCTTCCTGGGGTTTGGGGGTTAGGAGCCGGTTTTGTAAAAACTCGAGCTTGATATGAATGATCCACGTTGATCTTTGAGATCAAAATTTGAATGAGCTTATTCGGTCGCTCATGACTTGATCAACTTGACAGTATCTCACTTTTCTCCCTTTACCTTGTAGATCTTTCAACATCCTTCCTAGACATATACTCCTGTAGTCTAGCTTCAACACTCACCCCATTCCACAACTCAGTATCTCCTTTCTCGACCCTCTCCGGCATACCTATTTGCTCCAATGCAATTGATGCTGCGACGGCGCCATAACAAGCTGCCCTCAAAGCATCATTTGTCCGAAGATACCCAACAGCATACCCACCCAGAAACGCATTCCCAGCTCCAGTCGGATCAACAACCTTAGACACTGATAGCTCCTTAGAGCCAGCTTCAAGTTCATCTCTATAGAACGGGGGTAGCCATGTCGCAGGAAGATATCGAGCTTGCACAAGACACCCTTTCTCTCCAGCCCTAATGAGTACTATGCCTCGGTTATCCGGCCCAACACCATTATCTACTAGCTTCGTTGCTAATTCCTCAATCTTTGTAATGGTAAGATCAGTTTGTTCCGCCCGGGAAAACAACCTCAATAATTCTAGGTGATTTGGACTGAGCACATCAACGTATCGTGCTGCATCGAAGCACGCTTGAAGATTATCTGGGCTGCATGATAGAGGAGCCGGTTCCCAGATGATCAGGGGTCGATCCAAGATACCTGCTTTATGTCGAAGGGCAAGCAGATTTGTAACGCGTATCTTGATATCTTGGGGACTTGCAAGATAATGGTATACATTTGACTTTAGCAAAGCAGTTTCGCCTATGCTTAACTCGTCAACGACTAGAATGGGCGTGGTATATTGAAAAGTCTTCGCTGTAGAATGCTTTAGTAAAGATCTTCGCTCATTCAATGTTGCAAATGTAGTATTCCAAGGTTCTAGCAACGAGTCCTTACGTCCAAAAGTCGTATCTTTATATTCGAGTAAACCTCGTGCCGATAATCTCTCTAATTTCTCGTCGATATGCAAGGTGATATCCCAACTTTGTAGAAGCTCTTCTATGGATTCTGGAAAGTCATTTCCCGTGTGAATACGCCAGGCTACGCGACGGCTTTTTGGCGATGGTAGGAACAGTAATGCGCCCAGTGTTGCTGAGATAGGTGTTAATTTTGAGCTTGAAATGAGATAATAGTTCAATGAATATAATAGTACTAACCGTAAGCTCCTGAGCCACCCAGAATATTGGTCAATGGTGCTCGGCCTGGAAACCGGATCTCGTCGAGAACCACCAAACCGAAACTTGCGAAGAAAATATCCTGTTCGTCCATGGCGAATGAGATATATCTTATTTCGAGTCTGTTGGCCTTCTTTTCTATATGTACCTACGTGTGTAGAAGTTGCCACCAGTGAGGCTTTCCAAGCACGATTTCTGAGTGGGGGTGGAAAGTGGCCCACACTGAAGTTTGTTCTTCCGTTCCGAATTGGCATTATCCATGGATGGACCTGTTTACTCGTCGTTACTTACAGAGGTATCTCTTTCGCAGATATACAATATTATGAGATACTGCAATGCTTGCATAGATTTACAATACGGCAACAGCGCTCGCTGATTTGGCACAACATGGTTTATGGATGATACATTTTATGATGTGCTATAAAAGATACAGAAAGGTAGGGTATCTTGCCCAAGTGATGGGTGCAGGTTGTTGAAGTCCATATATACAATGCATATGCATTATTAGTCGCTTTGAATCACAAAATGCGTTTTGGATCGATATCCATCTGTTATGTAGAAGGTCGCGAAGGGTTGAAGAGATGTGGGGAAATGTTGAGGCGCTTGGACTGAAGGGCCTAATGAGACTCGTCAGACCGATTTCCTTGTCGGCGATACAGGATTCCTTAATTGTTTAAATGATGCCTCGTTCAGCTTATTTTTTTCAAATACGAGATTTGCAGGTTCAGGGGGGAAGCTAGACAGACCTAAGCTTATCGACCAAAGTTGAAAGATGGCCGTAGAAGTATTACTCTAACCAGCAGTCAATGGTCGACTACTAGTAATCCAGGTGGAAGGATTCCTCTTTGTATCGCATGGGGAGAGAAGAATTGTAAAAGTGTTTGTCGCATATGGAGGTGTGGTTTTGACTGTCGCGTAAGGGAAGTGAGAAAGAATCCAGACAATGGCTCTAGGAGGATCATTGTTGTCGCGTAAGGGTGAAGCTGATGATGAGTGAGATATATGCAATGGAGCCGAACACAGCCGCATTATATCTGTGGGACTTCTTGCGTAACCAGCAAGACTCTCTGGTGCCGATCATGATCTAGCGGAGTTCTGGCATGAAGTCCAAGTTGAAATCGTAGTCGACGTAGGGTGCGTTCGGAAATATCATATCCATCTTGTCGTAGTAGCTTGAGCATTGCTTTGTCGGTCAGTCTATCTTGCATGAAAAGCAGTCTGATCCGTGCGTGAAGGGTCTCATCAGCTGTTGTGGTTCGGTGTCGCTTGCGGATACCCCACTTTCGTAATCGGGATTGGATGGTGCGTTCCTTCACTTGAATGTTGTACCGGCTTTCTAAAGTACGACTTATTGAGTCGCTACTAATACCATGTTGGAAAAGTGTGATAATCTCGTCCCGATAAGGCTCGAGGTTGATTTGTTGACGAGGCATTGCTTAGACGGTGTGGAAGAAAGAAAGGGAGAAAGCGGAGAAAACATTATGTGGGATGGATGAAGGCGGTGAAACTATACTTCCATCATGATCACGCCAACTATTTTCTCTTTAAGACTATTCTGTTATGAATTTGTCAATTGGATATAAACTTTGTGATTCGATTCAAGGTACGGTTACACTAATGCGGCTACTACAGGGATTAGAAGAAATGAAGTCTGTATGATTAACAAGCAAATATATGCTATATTAGGGAATCTTAAATACTATGGGATCATGTTTACCCATTAGAGTCATTACAACGTACAGCAAGTCTCAATCCTGGGAGATATCCAGCAGCCTAGAACGAGAAGTCCTCTATACAAAGCCGGCAGGCGGAAATATCCATCACATTTATCATTTTCACCCACTTAAGCCTTCTTATCCGAAGTCAAACTAGATGAAGTAGCCATTTCAGGGCTAGCCTTGCTACGCTTGGCGAGGCGGAAGCCACCAACCAGGAAGAAAAGAGCCTCCAGACCCAGGATGACTGCGAGAGTCACCATGGCACCAATAACACCAGCGACAGGACGAGAGATACCGCCGGAGCCGCCTGTGCTTGACTTGTTCTCGGTTGAGCTAGTGCTGGAAGATGCACAGGCGCCATCAGTGTTGCCGCACATGTCGCACCACTTGCTGGTGGATGTGACGGCGACCTGCTCCATGTGCGAGGTGAAATCATTGTAGGAGAGAAGGTCAGTCTCCTTTCCGAACATGCGGAACACAGTGGGCTCGTCGGAGCCAGTAATGGTAGCATTGTGGAACAAGAAGCGCACGCTGATATCATCGGTTGAGGGGAAGTCGCTCGAAGTGTCGTTGGTGACAAGCTCGAAGGACATGGATGAGGCGTAGTCAGGAATACCGTAGAAGCTTTCTGAGGCAGCGGGCATATCCATCAAGCCGAAGAAGGACATAATGGTTCCGTAAGAACCAAACTGAACATTCAGAATCGACTTCTTACCCCCAGTGCTAACGAGTTGATCGAAGTTGTCAAGAATTCCACCTAGGACAACCGCACCGCTGATGGCACGCACTTCGTCGGACGAGTTGTAGGCCAGGTTCCACTCGTGAACACTGGCGAGTGACAGCAGCTGCACCTTGTTCTCATCGGTCATGTACTTGGTCTTTTCGGGGAACTCGGAAGACGAGTTGTGAATATCGCCCACGTTCAAGTAATCATAGATGGTGTAGGCATTCTCGAAGCTCATGTCTTCGGAAGAGAAAGTTCTGTTCAGCACAGGTGAGAGCGACTGGTAGAAGCTCGCGGTGGACTTGAGCATTTCATTATAAGAGTCGGAAGAATAGTAGTTGTTGCTGCTCACAGTCGCCTTATTACAGCCAGTGGAGCCCTGCAACCAGCTAGAAGATTCACTGTTGGAGCCCGATGCAATTGGCTGCAGCTGAATCAGCTGGTATCCATTCAAAGGCGAGTCGACGACGGTGCCGTTGCCCAGAGTCGTATTGGCAGAGTCATGGGCGGGAGGATAGATACCCTGCAAGAAACCGGTAGCCGAGTTCTGCAGCACAGCATCAGATGGAGCACTGGCATTGACCTGGTTTGGAACCACAATGGGGTCACTAATGCCGTGGATCTGCTTATCGGAGCCAGTAGCGACATAGCGCTTGTTCCAGTAAGAACCGGCAGCAAAGACCTCATGGTAACCCAAGTCGGTCAGTTGAGTGTTGCCGAGGATCTTTGCAGTGCGATCTCCATGGCGAGCATAGATATAAGCACCTAGCACACGCTCAGCAGACACAGCAGGTGCAGCAAGAGAGGCCAACAGTAGGCCGGACTGAATAGAAGAACGCATGGTTAACAATTCGAGGATTTTGCAGTTAGAAGATTAGAACCCAAGAACCAGCGGTCTTTTTATTTAGACGTGAGACAAGCCGGAATGATCACCACGATAGAAAAAAGAGGATTCACGCAACGCTATATATCCTCGGGACTTGAATTTTTTGGGTACCACGCTTTGACCTCAAGTGCTTGATCATGTAGCTAGCTACTTCGTAAATCGTGCATAAACAACGTTCCAGAGCCCAATGAGTGCGGACCAGAGGGAACAATTCCCCCGCAGGACAAAGTCTAATGGCAATTGTGAACGGCGATTACCGGCCACATCCACTCATGGACTATCCTGATCTGGCACGAGAAGAGGCTACTGCAAGCCAAGACTGGGCGCTTCCGAGGAAATGCAATAAACTTTTAGGTAACTGAAATGGCCGAGATGAACTAATTCCCCTCAGTTGATAACAGGCTAAGCCGAGTCCCCGCGGTGGAGACCGGAAAGGGTCCAGAGACCCTGATTAGCCTTGATTAGCTCCGGTGTGTTGTGATTTGCTGTGGTTGACTTTGACTGACTTTGGCTGGATGTGATTCATTATGCTCGACTCTGATTTGAGTGTTTTCTGCTCATTAAAGTGGGAATTTTTGTCAGACGCTGACCATCGTGTATGTGTTCGGACCTATAATATGCTGCGGATTAGCCCTGGAGGTATTTATACCGAGAAATCGAACACACTTCATATTTCCCCGCTTGAACTTATCTTTCTTTCTTTCTGTTGCATTCTAATTTCCAAATTTCCAAATTCTCTGATATTTGCTTCATCCTCTCTTCGTATTAATTCCCGGGTGTGGCAAGTGTTGCCGTCCCAAGGATGCTAACGCTAACAATGTTAGTATTCGCGAACTAATGCAACGCTAAAAGTATAGAACGGATAACGCGGAATTCCTGTTTTCATCTTCGTGTTGATATGCTTTGTGCTCGTGACCCAAATGGTATTACTTTCATCTTAAAATCTAATTTCCCAAAAAGTCATTTTTTTCATGTCAATGCAACGCCTTTCTCTCCCATCAATTCACATCCACTCCGCACCACGCCAACTAGTCCGCCAGTCTGGACAGCCTCCGATCCGCCACTAGACAGTCGCCACTCAATCTCAGCGAGCCCCTCTAACCAGGTAATACGGGTGTGTGCGGGGACCTCGAGTGTTTGCAATTGATCCGCCAGCGCGGACAAAATATCCGCTAATGCGAGACCTTTCGTGGACTTGAGGGTATTGATGGTATTGAGACAAGAGGTAACATCGCTAGTAGTCAGGAGTGTAGTCATGATTTCTTGGATATCAGCGGGATGAGGGGCCGCGATACAGTCGTAAATTGTAGTGTTCGTGATTGTCTCCGGCTCGGGGAGCGGAGCATTGGGTGCGTCTCGCATGGGAAGAGGTTTACCTATACAGTGTGATGTTAGAAGAATCATACGTGGGGTATTTGGTGAGCCGAGGAAAACATACTACTGGCGTGGCAGGCCTGAAGGACATTCAATGCCCGTCGCATATCACCCTTGCTGAGTGTGACCAGACTACCCACTGCCTCTGGTTGAATCTTGACACCCTCTTTCTCAACCACCTGGTTCACAATATGTCTGATGTCGGCTTCTTTGAGAGGGCTAAACCGGAATCGTGTGCATCGAGACAATAATGCAGGTGAAAGCTTGTGTGTGTAATTCGCGATGATACAGAATCGTGTGTTGGCCGTGTAGCGCTCCATAATGCGACGAAGAGCCATTTGTGCTGTTGAGGTCATCGCATCTGCTTCGTCCAAAATGATTAACTTGAACCCAGCTAGGCCTTCGTTGCCAGTCTGGGGAGCCATAGAAAAGATTTGCTTTGTGCCTGGGGTTTCCCAGTTAGTAAATAGAGCCATCAAAATAAGAAGCCCAAGCAGACGTACTAGCAAATGTTTTGATCTGCTCTCGAACGACATCAATTCCACGATCATCACTAGCATTCAGTTCCAACACCATTTGTCGCATATTCTTGTTGCCATATATCCGTCGGGCAAGAGCCAGAACCGTGGAGGTTTTACCAGTTCCGGGAGGGCCATAAAGAAGAAGGTGAGGGAAACGCTGTTATAGTTGTGAGTAACAAAATTCTCTCACATGGTCCCTGGGTGTACATATCATACTTTGGCCTCGACGAAGCGGTTGATTGTTGCGAGAATATCTTGGTGTCCGGAAACATCGTCTAAGCTCTCGGGGCGGTATTTTTCGACCCTGGGCAAAGAGGTTAGAAAATCCTGTAATCCAACTCAAAGGGCAATAGTGATTATTATCCATACCATGGAAGATTATCTTGAGCTTCAACGGGGAGATCGGCTGCTGTCCTCTTCTTTCCAGCTGCATTGTCGGACCCAAATTGGATGTCTTTGGGCGCATCCACGTCCATTGCATCCTCGTAGTCGGACATTGTGAAATGAAACGTCCACTGTCAGGTTATTTGAGGTGGCTTTCAGAAAGATGTAGAAAGAAAGCTGAAAGAGAACTAGAAAAAAAATATAGAAGAGTCGCGAAAGCCGTAGTAAGACGCGTTCCGCGCGTAAAGAGGATAAGAGGCCCTCGGGGCGGAAAATCAAGAAAGAGCTGGGGTGAGTGTTCCGTGCTCCACTCCAATGACATCCTCACTGCCTAAACCCAAGCTCTCCGCATCAACACCATCCCACCTCTGTCCCGTCGCCTTCCACAATGCCTGTAAGGATATATCATGAACTATTGGCGGACTCTTGAATTAATATCCTTGATTATAGGCATACCACTCTATCTTCCTGGAGGACCGAGATGTCCCCGTGATAGGTACGAAATGCCCCACCAAATGCACCCATCCTCCCCATGCATCCCCTCATGCGCTACATCACTCCAAGAACCTAGAATTAACGAATACTGTACCAGGCAACTTCCCAATTCTGCCATTGCGCACTCGCACTCGTGGCCCCGCATATACCTTGCCCGCTCTTCCCCCCAATACAGCTGACATCGATGTTGCCCCGGACAATGAGTCCTACGACTGCGTCGATGAGATCTTGTCACTTTTCCGAGCCAATGTGCTTTTCCGCAACTTTGAGATCAATGGCCCCGCCGATCGAATGCTCATTTATGGAACCCTCTTCGTGAGCGAATGCCTTGGGAAAGTAAAGCCTACTATGAACGCCCGCGAGGCTGAGAAGGTACGCACTACGAATAACTGCTTGATTGAGGAGATCTCGCATAGCTAAATCATTCTTATCCGTGACAGGCTTTGATCAATGCTGCGCTTGACAATTTTGCTATTCCTGGCGATGTGTCCTTCCCGCTCAACCAAGCTTTTGAGCCCCCACGCGACCGCCAGGATGCGGAGAGCCTGCGGGCGTAAGTCCCATTCGATCCCTCTTTCAGAAGCCAGAACTAATTAGCGTGATCCCGTTAGATACGTTTCTCAGGTGCGACAGGAGGTTGCTGTACGGTTACATGCTAGATTATACCCCGGTGGAGAGGGCCCGTCCAAGGTACGTCGCATGCAATCATTTATATCGACTTCCTGGTTACATATCAGATGCACATAACTAAGAACCCAAATTCTACAGTTCTGGTTGAGTTTCACCAAGAGAAAGTTCATGGGGAAGAGTCTGTAGATGAGAAACTGGTTGTATATTGTTTTATGAAATCCAGCGCATGAATCAACTCTTTTCCATTTCTTCAGGGTGTTTCTTATATATCATTGAACATGATGGGATCTGTCTTAGCTGCCAAAGCAGGATCTTGGGCAGCTTTGCTCACACTTATATGAAAATTTGAGGCGAAAAATAGTTCTCAATAGGCAACTATATAAATCATGATGAATGCTCTAGTTCTATGGTAGCCCTTGGATTTACTTCTCTGGTCAATTTCTAATTATCAACCGCAATTGGCAACAAATGGTAAGTCTTGCTTAGTCTGATTATCATAATATCATACATCTATTTTTCTTCTTTTGAATTTGGTCTTTGATCCAACCTAACTCCAGAGGTTAATGCAAAAGGGGTCATCAAGGAGAAAAAAGTCTAAGACAACATCACAACATCACAACATCACAATATCCTTATCACTTGCAGGAGTGGATGTTGTTTCCAACTTGCGCTTCTTGCGGAAGTTGCCAGCAGCTTGAACGTTATCTTCGGCCGGAATAACCCGTATGGCATGAAACAAGTAACCCTCTGCCCCGCCACGCCCTGTCATCATAGGGTGAGTTCGACCAGGAAGGACCTGCCAAGGTCGCACACGAATATGATGCAGAGATGGGCTCAGGATTAAAGAGGGGTTGAGGGTGAATTCTTCGTATAAGGAGGATAAGTCGGCCTCGCCGTCCACGGGTGCACGAGACTCCAAATCTCGCTTGCGGTTAATGAAGGCGGTTCTACGCGCAACCGAGTAGAGATCCATTAGTTCGACAAGTGGCTCGATATTAGGGGAGTAGATGGACACTTGGGATGAGCCGGCAAGTAGTGGGACAACGTGCTTCAAGACGCTAGATGGCTCGAACAAGGTGCCTACGATCAGGCCGTTGAACCCACCTGCGCGGGCCTCATCGGCCACAGCCTTGTTCCTCGACCATCGGTTGCGCTTGAAGTAATATCCCTGTCGCTTGTTGCTTTTCATCTCGGCCAATTCCGCATCAGGAATAATGGGCGGTTCTGCTGAAATGATGGGGTCGCGAGAGGGGTCGACCAATTGCAGCCAAGAAATGGATTTGAGATGTGTGTGAAGAGGATGGGTTTCATCGGGACTGCTTGTGTCATAGCCGAAATATTTCAGAAGTGACAGATTCGGTTGCGATTGTGCAGAAATGACTGTGATCGTGTTTTCGAACGCAGTCATTCCTTGAATGTGCTGACGGCGGCTTGGCTTAGTAGTGCTCTGTGGTCCTTGATTACCATCACCAGATGAGGGCAAAGCCTCACCCGTTGGGCTTTGATCTTCCTCGTCCTCGTCATGGGGGTATAAGATTCCCATTCGCTCAGCCATGGCGGCAACAATGAGGCCGCCAGTATCATCGACCACAATATATCTACCATTGGGTTTGACATCGAGGAGGGCTTCGACATCGGATGTTCCAGCAGAGTGCACATTGCCCAAGCAACCAAGAAGACCAATATGCTCATCGCGTAGCTCCATAGTCCTCCCAGCATCCTTCTCCGCCAGCATGTAATTGGCGAGGACGCTGACGTCAAGAGGAAGGATTGTAAATCGTTTGATATACTTCTTGCGCTTCCGAAGTGTATATTTAGCCAGCGAGAACGCAGTCTTCTGGTCGATAGTCGAGTGCGACTCCATGATCTTTGCGACAATGTCTCTGCCCGCAGCACCACTCTCCTTCTTGAGCTCTTCAATCTCCTCCATGGTTAGGCGTTGGGCGGAGTTGTCGTCGTTGATTCCCTTATTCGTGCGCATTTCCTCGCTAGGTTCCCCATCGTCACCCTCGCCATCGGCCTCCGCTTCTTCAATGAGCGTTTCCGCATGCAATTCAGTGGCTGAAACGATTCGTAGCCCATATCCATCGGGTTCCGGAGTGTCAAGGATCTCGAAAGTCAGGTAGAACGGGCGACCGAGGATCTGATTTGCGGCAAAGCTACCATATTTGCCTAGTTGGACTATACTGGTTCGTGTTAATAGTGTTTTATGGAATGACTGGGGGTTTTATTTTCCCCTTCTCTCTTTGAACGTACGTGTTTGGTACTGGCCGGATAAGTTTGAGCTGGTCTGACGGCAGCTGAACCATGCAATATTGCAATGGTCGAATGTAGGAATGCATAATGAGATACGAAGCTCACAGACCTCGACTCTATGATTGCTTCGAATGAAAAAAGATTCCGGGCAACTTTTTTGGCCGATAGTGCACGGGCCAATCAAATATCGTAGCGGGGAGCTGCTGGATCAATTAATCTCCGGTATAGTCATGACTAATCGTCTTATTCTGCCGTAGCATCTCCAGATGTACCAGACCGCCTTTAGCCCTGCATCATAAGTTGGTGCCTTGAATATAAGGCAGGATATGTAAATTTATGCAAACACTGCAAACACCCCAGGTGTGGAACCGTTAGGCGGAGCAATTGATATCATCGCCCCCAGAGCTTAGACTGTTCCACACCACCGGGCGCAATCCAGCCAAGGCAGCTTCGTTTATTTCCTTGGGATCACCTTCGTTTCTTTTTGGTTGCATACAAAGCCTTGCATGCTGTGATTCCTTTTACTCCAAGCTATCTCATATCTGGGGAAGCTTTGCGACCCAGGCGCAGTATGTGTTTCTTATATATCAACCTCTAATCCCGGACGCCTAGTTATGCCCGTTCCTATCAGATTCCCGAGAAAGCCCCATGGCCACAAGACTAAATATACATTATCTATATTCGGGTTTAGGTCATCTTCATGGTGCTTCGCAAACAGCCCCCACCACGCCTAGAAAATCTTCACAAAGGGCATGCTCGGCCTAACTTTCGTTCTCCAACCTCACCGTCCGCGACATCCCCGCAGTCTAGACGCCTTAATCAACCACCTTCTCAAGATTCAATTTATTCGCCTGATCTGAATACCTCCCCAGCATTTGATCTAATGCCGTTGGAAGAGGCTCAAAGATCCCCGATGGGCTCACCGACAAACCAACCCCCAAGCTCCTGGTCAGAGGACAGGGAAAGTCGATCAAGCAATACTCGCCCTAATTCAGAAACATACATTGGAAGCACAGTACATACAGTACTACCAGGAACAGTTGTGTATGGTCTACCGAGGGTCGTAGAACATGATCCTCATCCAGCGCCTACGAGGCACCAAGAAGCTCGGTACGAGGATCAATATACAAGGAATGAGGAAGTCCCTGTCCAATTACAGTCAAACAATCCGTTCTTGCAGCCGAGAAAGCCAGTGCCCACAAATGAATCGGTAGACCCGCATGGGTGGAATGATCGCCATTCACACGCCACAACCAGTAGTGAGCCATTAAGCCAGTGTATGGACATACGTAATACTTCTTTTCCAATGGCACAGAAGGCTAACTTGGATGCTTTTAGTTGACGGTTATATCCCCATGACAGCCAGGTTATCATTACTAGACCCAGCGGGGCAAGAATCCCCATGGGCAGATGACATTGCTCACTCAGACATGGATCGCACGGGCCAAACTGATGCGCCTCGTGGCCCGTCACCATGGGGATCGCAGCATTCAATTCAGATTTCAGCGTCCGAAGACCTGTATTTACAAGGAATTCAATCCAAACCATACGCTCCAGCGGTGGCTGTCCAGCCTTCCGAGTCGGCCAATGACCCCTACGGCTTACATCCATCTTACTCACACGGCAGATTGGGCTCAGATGCAGGGGTCCATACTCCTTCAGCCTTCTCTTCTGCGACATCAGCAACATCACATGAATTGATTGATCTAGATCCGTCTGATAATATCGGCATGGAGAATAGATCTGAACAAGCAGCTGCGCCCGGCCATGCCTTCCCTAGGCTCAGTGGGGATTTAGAGAATTCACCCGCTGAACCACACTCACAGATGGAACCTCCAGCACTCCCTCAAGAATCCCAGAATACTCCGTACGATCAAACACCATATCAATCGAGGGCCCCGTTAAGTCCGGCTGAGCAAGCGAAACAACAGGAACAGCGATCTGAAACATATTCCATTCGACATATTAATTGGAAGGATCGATCAGGAAATATGATACAATCCCCCATTCTAGTTCAGAATAAAAATGGGCCTTGCCCCTTACTTGCACTCATCAATGCTATGGTGTTGCGAGCAGACCAAACGGCACAACCGCCGATTGTCAAGGCCCTGCAGACTCGTGAACAAATCTCGTTGGGGCTGCTAATTGAGGCTTTATTCGAAGAACTCATTACACGTCTGGGTCCTGATGATCCGTTTCCTGACATCGAGGCACTCTCTCAATTTCTGACAATACTACATACTGGCATGAACGTCAATCCTCGACTGACCTTGGTGGGCGACCTCACTCGTTCAATTAAAACGGAATTGGATGCAGCTAATACTTTGAATAGGATACTGTCGACTCGCTTGGCTCATTCTTACAAACCCCCGACCTTCAATTATATAGTACGTTTGGCATTCCTCTGATTCATGGTTGGCTTGCGCCGTGGCCGAGCCCAGCCCATGATGCCATGACGCGGGTCGCCCAGTTCCATGAAGATATTCAACTTCTGCATTTCCGAAAACAAGAATTCGAAGACCAAATCATGCGAGACCATTCGCTATCACCTGAAGAAGAGCAGAAGATGGCAGACATACACATCATTCAATACTTTGTTGACGTCGAAAACAAGACGCAATTGAGCCCTTTTGGATTGACACAGCTGAGCACCAAGCTGGCCCCAGGATCGGTTTCCATATTCTTCCGGAATGACCACTTTTCTACGCTCTACAAACATCCTCAGTCCCATCAGCTTTACTCGTTAGTTACCGACGATGGTTATGCAAACCATGCTGAAGTCGTCTGGGAATCCCTTGTCGATGTGACTGGGTTTAACTCTGAATTCTTCGCTGGAGATTTCCGTGCTGTTAGTCATGGACAACCTTCAGGGTCTGAAGGACCTGCTGGCCCTCGTACTTCCAGTATCCCACCAAATAATAGTGGTAATGACAGTTTGGCTCCAGCCAACCAGACCTCAGGCAGACTATCTCCACAAGAACAAGCTGATGCAGATTATGCCTACGCGCTAGCACTCCAGTTTCAAGAAGAGGAACAGCGTGAAAGGGACTCCGGTCAACAAGGATCTGATACCCAACCTCCCCCACCTGCTCGTTCTCCCAACTCATCTAATCCCCGCATGAACAACCCGTCACCTCGAACATCAAGCAATGGACATACTGTTGGCATTCGACCACCTCGAGAACCACACCATGACCCCGATCCCGATGACCCTAACGCACCTCCGCCTCCTTATGAACAAGCAGCGGGTCGCCAGCAATATAACCAACGCCCATCTCGGTTTACCGAGTTTCCAAGCGAGTACTCTACATACCCAGGAAACCGATATCACCGCAATGGCCGCTATCCCAACCAAGGAAGCCGACCCGAAAATCGATATCCCCCCAATCAAAGAGACAGAGACAGGGATTGTATTTTGATGTGAGGCTGTTGTTTGGAATTGTCCATAGCTGGCCGCTACGCATTTAGGAATTCTACGATTTATGACACTTATAATGCCAGCTATATACTTCAATGAACGGCGGACGATCCCCCGCTTTTTTTTGAGGCAATGAATCTTTTCGATATTTGACGCCGCGATTAACTTGCTTACCTCTTATTTTCTCTTCTCGGTTGTATCTCATGTACCTATTCAACTAAATTATTTCAACGTCGAATATCCAAGATGCTCAGTCTCACTAGATTATCTACGTCTCAGTCCTGCCATCGTTGGTTATACGCGAGATTGATTTTCAGCGGGATATCTATTTTTCATGCCAAAGTCATTTTCCAACGTGCCTTGAATAGTATACAACTAATTGAAACAAACAGATACACGCGGACGCCGTGTATTCGGACGATGAGGATTCGTCCCACGACAAGAGTGAGAGTGAGAAGAGGAGGATGAGGATGTTGGAGCTCTCAATGCTGTGATGTGTCTCTGAGCTTCGTGTCCAATAGTGCCCTATTGGTTACTGAAACTGTGCGAGGCCGGCTATATCCTTCCTAATATAATTCAAATTCGGAAAGTGACCCAAGAGTCGGAGGATACCTTGAATACCGTGACTGCAGTGGCACTGACCGCCGCTGTTAAATAGGGTATGCAAGATGTGCGTGAGCGGGGCAACTAAAGAGTTTTGAACATCGCAATAGGATCGTCTTTACCAACTACGGCAGACCTTCCTAGTGCTCTGCTTGTAAAAGTTGTCAGCATTCCTTGAGTGTCCTGGTTATATCGTAACCAGTTAACTTTGATCGTGTTGCTCAAGGTCAATGCTGAGCTCATACCAAGTGCCTGCAGTGGTAGGATGATACTACCGAGGAGTTTCTGCTTTGACCATCTTCATGTATTAACGAATTATAATGTCTTCTATAATTTCCATGTGAAGTATCTCTATTAAAGTGAATGGATCTTTTCTTCTGAATTCAACTAGACCCTTGCGAAGTGTCCCCCCATGAGAACTATCGTGGAGCAGTCACCTACGTCCTTTCAGCCTCATGTAGTGTATAGGTCATCATAGTACATAAAAAAAGCCCTGAAAAGTAAATCCGTAGTCATTAAGTATCATTATTCTAATCACATTCAAAGCAGTGACAATTTCTGCGCTAATACAAAGTCTTCCGTTCCCGTATCGGAAGCTGGGGATCATATTTATCCCACACAATCTTATTCCTCTCATTGAGATGGGCACCCTCATCCGTAATACTGATAATAGAATCCGTCTCCAGCACTTCATGTCGACTAAATCCAAACTTGTCACGCGGAATCCACAAAGTAGGGGATGGAGATGAAATGCAAGGCTCAAAGTATGCAGTTCGCATTTCCTCCGGCGTGTAAAAGACCTGCTCAACATTCTTGCGCACCTTGCGTCGAAGAGCTGCATAATCCTTGTACACGTTAGGGTGAAACCAGCGCCAAAATGCGATGCTACGTGAGCGACGGTTCTCGTTGATTTCGTTTCGGATGTCCTCTTTTTCTTGTAGGTACTCTTCTTCTGCGTCTAATGATCGCGGGAGGAAGCTGTTGAGTGGGTTCAAAGCTTCTTTGAGGGAGATGTGTGCTAGGATGTTTGCGATGAGAAACATGACCATTATTACCACTGGTCCGACGGCTCCTTTGATGGCACATAGACCGATCATGCAGACTTCGGCGATATATAGGCCTGTTAAGAGATGACCAAGTGCTCGTGGGTAGACTAGGCCTTTGGTGTCGACTTCGATGTCATATACGAAGAAAAAATTGTAGCGGTAGGCTTGGTACACCATGTACAAGCCGATGAAGGAGAATCCGAGAATCAGTGGTGCGATGCAGGAGTATGATAAAGCTGGTTGAAGTGTTGGTAAATGAAAAATAATAATTGGAACACGCAAGGAGGAAAGTAATCACATACCAATGACACCCATGTTAGTGAAAACAGGAAACACACTGCCCCAGTTAAGACTAGCAAGCTCGGCCCATTTGTTATACAGTCGACGAGGGGAACGAGCGAAGAATTTAGTTATGAACTTAAAGATGAGCGCGCTGGCAATTTGCACGAGAGCCATAGAACTCATGCTCAATCCTTGAAGTAAGAAGTATGAGATATAGAAGTTTGTTGCCTTTGGGAGATTCTGCGCCAACAGATCCTTAACGGATAACGGATCTTTGATGATTTGAGAAGTTGCTGCAGATGCTGCAGATGTCAAAGTTGTCACTAGGAAAACCTGGACGACCTGGAAAACGAATACTGCACTTTGTGTGAATAGCTCAACCCGAGCTAGGGATGGTACTCCAGATTTTCTAGCACAGACTATGAAAAGAGAGGTTAGTTAGAAGCTTCTTTGACGATGAAAACATGGAAAGAAAACACATACTTCGGCAAATGATCGGAACCAACGACATCAAAAGCGCAAGAGCCGCTGCTGGTAATAGACCTTCGATAGCCCCCTTGACAAATTCGGGTAAACTGAGAATAAACTTCAAGAATGGGATAAGGTTGCTAAGATAAGTAATGTTGGAAATAGTCCCAACAATCGCAGCAGGGAATGACCAGAAAATAACCATGGCGCCAATGAAAGCTTGGACAGCAAATCTGCGAGAAACGCGCTGCTTCCAGCTGAGATTCAACGCAGACCAGACAACCTCCTTAGGAGATATTCCAATAAAACGCGGCGTCATGTGGAATGGCTGGTGGTGGGATACAGTCTGGAAAGCAATTTGGGCATCGGCTTGAGTATTGAACTCGATGAATATGGCAGATAATTGTTTCGCATCTCCTTCTTGGTGTTTCCGTTGGAGTCTTTCCACTTCTTCCGTGACTCGGGCTAACTCTTCGCGATAATGGTGAATAGAGTCGACTTTCTTGCCAAACAAGTACTTCAACCTGTGGGTTGGTCGCTGCACCTTGTGAGACCATGCAGGATTACTAGACTCGCAGTCCAAACAAGTATCCGATGAAAATTCTCCTGTCTTCACAGCCTGAATGCGAACTTTATTCGCCCGTCGAATGAGCTTCGTTTCGTTTGTCTCTAGCTTGAAAGCTAGCTTGTCGCGCTCATCAACCAGTTTAGTCAATTCGTCGCACTCGGATGTGATCCAGATCCGTTGAATTGCATTACCAAATACCTGTCGAAGTTTCTTTTCATTTCGGTAATCTGGTGGGCACGACATAAAGAGGACAGTTCGTGACGACATTCGAGACGCATACGCTGGTGAGTTCAGATAGACTTGACGTAGGTTTGTGTAGTACAAGCTCTCCCGTACCACAACGTAGAAGACGAAGGCTAATTTTTTTTTTGATAAGTAAATACCAGAAGCATTAGAGCGCCAAGGACTTACCGAAATAGACACATGCACAGAGAACATTGGCATAGTATCTGTTAGGGTTTGCGACATTACTGAAACTCAGAACATCAAGCTGAGTATTACCATTTCCACCAGTAGCATGGAGTGGAAACAGTATAGGCCATGTAATCACGCAGCCGGTGAAGCATATAGCGCATAGGACGCGTAAAAACCGTAAGAATAGGTATCCATCGAGGGACGAGTGGTGCAAAACGTGATTATCTTCAATTTTCAAAAATTCGCCAACCCAGTTGACCCAGCCTGAAGGTAATTCCGGACTCCTCTGATGTTCGTGCAAATCTGGTAAATGGGACCTTGGCGCGTACCATCGTCTTTGAGTTCGGCGAAAAATCAGGAACAGACCGACCCAGAACAGTGCATAAACCAGTGCAGGCAAAAAAGTCATCAATAGCGCAGAGGATGATGAGCTTCCTCCACCGGTGAGGCCGCCCGCAATATCGCCTGAGGTAGACGAGGCATCGCCGCGAGAAGAACCAACATTAGGATCACTACTTGGGTCCTAAATTGCATTATTTCAGTAAGCGCTATTTCACTCATTAAATACTAAAGGAACAGAAAAGGAACCTTACCGTAACGCCTGACATATTGAGGCGGGGTGGTTAGACTGTAGTAGATGCTGGTTCTTGAACTCCCTCCTTCAGCTAACATTTGAATCCAAATAAGGGACCGGCGATTATTTCATTCTAAATGGAAAACTGAAAAACTAGTCTGAAAGCTCAGGACCCATAATATCTCCGCCAGAAACTAAAAATCCAAAGCAGGACGGCCCGCTCCTGACATTTTGAAGAAACCCGTGTGCGGGTCCGGGCCTTGTGTAAGATTTTTTTGGACCTGTCAGGTAATTCGAAATTGATATAGAGGAACATACTTCAGCTGAAGGCTCTGATAGGTGGGTCGCATTGCACCAAACCATTGGAACGCGATAGTCTGTCGATCTGCTGGTTTTGTGCGCCACACCTCAGCTGTGCATACGCAATGTGGTGCATTATTCGGAGACCCAAGCATTGCCTATGGCACGAGAGAGAACTACTATCTACCGATCTCGCATGCCACAATGGTTGATCTTTTTTGTCATGATCAACCGGAGGAAAGGGGAAAAAGAAACAAGAAAGGGAAAAGATGGGAGGGAAAAAAAGCAAATCGGGTGGATCCTGTGTCTCGTAGCAATCAAACTATCGATATAAGTGGGGACGTGCGTGATCGTGGGGGGGAAATGAGTTTCTCCTGAACGCATGAATCGTAGTTCGTGCCCTCCAAGAACCAATGACCATGAACTGACGCATCTCGGCCGGAGCTAGGACTGTCCAAGCACTGTCAGTCTATGGCAGAGAGAGCGATAGACGCTGATCTGGCGTTGATCAGCGCCAGATCAGCGCCCGAATGCCATTATTCCTCACTAACCAACCCCCTTCGTGCAACAAGCGATTGTCTTGTCTTCCAATAAGGCTGAAAAGGGTGTAGGAGAAGCTTTCTTGACAGCGTCATCGGTGGATTTCCACCACATGCCCTCGTTCTGGGCTGTCAGTTTCTTTTTCCTCTCTGAATCCAAATGCAAGGGGTTGAATTGTGGGCTAGCTCGGTTTGTTTAATGGCTTGAGAGGGCTGGAAATTTGGGTAACAGTGCATACCGCGTATCAACCTGCGAGTTCGCAGGTTGAATCTACACCTTGGCTGCAGCGCCAATGCTGTGTACTTCCTTGCGTGTTCTCTGCTTCCTTGGTTTTGTGCTCTATCCACCAATGCGTCTATAGATACTTGATGTCACTGCGGTGTGACGAAGATGATCTGAGAGCCTCGGGGGCAGGTTTTGGCGACCGGGATACGTGCAGAATTCTGCATAAGCTGCATGAACTTGCAGTCTAATCCATGCACCTAATTCCCGTTCAAGAAAGCGTCTCTGCACCTCCAAGAAGTCTAAATTATGGATTTCACAGGCAAATGGAAGCTTCTCTCCAATTCTGATCCACTTTTGACATGACATGGGATCTACTTCGCCGGATCTGCACTTAGATGGACCAAAGGTATGTATGTCTCTGAACAGGAGACATGAAACTTGTAGGATAAGAGCAGGGAAGTTGGAAAATTCGAATACACACACTACCCATACACGTAAACACATTTTCTGTCCTTTTAAACCACACCCCTACGCTGCATGCCCGTCGGTAGTTTTACCTATAATTTTGATTTTGGCTAAGCCTACAGCACGGAGATGAGACCGTAGACAACACTTAGTTTGGCTTAGTATTACCAAGATGAAGTAGGATACAAAATGTCAGTAAAGTATCATTGAATATTTCCTCACGCATACGTACAAGTATACTACCCAGGCTCCTATACGCCTAACTTTCAAAGACCTTACGTACGAAGCGAACAATTTTCTGGGTTCTACTAAATATCCAAGTGCCAGTGGAACTCGAACTTCAATTTTAATGAACACAACAGCCAGTACTATATATTTGCAAGTTCATTACATTTAGCCTGTTCGGATTGAATTTTATTTCTCATGATGCACTCAAAAACGCCGCTATCTCACGATCCATCCACTCAATATCCTCTTGGTTTGCTCCTCCCCCACCCATATGACCCCAGATAGATGGTATAATGGCAATTTCTCCATTCTTCAAATATTCAACTTCCTTCTTGCTTGCCTTCCACGTGAAGTATTGATCGGTAAGACAAGGCATGAGCAGAATTCTCGGAGCCAAGCCGCCTAGCACGTCTTCCAGAGACATCTTACCGTCCCCGACGACACTCAGATCTGATCGCTGCCACATCCCCAGCATAATCAAAAGATCATCAGGATGCCAGTCATCATAACTTTTTGCCCCGGCATCGGCCCAGTCATCGAGTGTTTTGAAGCCCCACTTTTCAAATAAGCGCTCTTCAAACCATTCAGCACTTGCTAGCCATGCTGAGTATGCTCTTCCAAAAGCATGCAATCCTCTGGTGGGCGCGATATTCTGAGCGCGAAGCTCCTTATCATTGTAATCAACAGAGTTTAACAGGGCAGCCTTGGGTCCTTCTAAACATTGGTAATTGTGAAGACTTGTTCTGGCTGATGAGCATATGATGACTGCATTTCTAACCACCGCGGGGTACATAGCAGTCCAGTGATATGTGCATTGACCTCCCATAGAAAAGCCAACAACAACATCGAGGGATGGAATTCGCAAATGCTCTGTGACTAGCGTATGCTGCGCCCGAACACAGTCTCTGTAGTCGAGGGTGTCGGGGAAACCCGGGGTATTGGAGGGACTTGCAGATTCGCCATTCCCCAGTAATGCGACTACGATCACTCGATAGGTCTGCAATACTCCAGTGGTGAAATTGAAGGTTTCATTGATTCTCCCGCGAAAGCATGTTGGGACCAGTGCAGTCTTTTGTGCGGTCGGGTTGAACTCGCGAAATGCGATGCGGATGCTGGGGAGAGTAGCACCGTTTTGGAAGCTGAAGTCTTTCAAGTCGAAGTATTGAATTCCGGCGGTATCGGATGATGCTGCCATGGTGGAATACTGGAGGCACAGGTTATATTAGCATGGAATTACGATTAGTTGGAGGGCGAGAGGCTAGCAAGGCTTTGGGACCTTATCACTAGCGCAGTCTTACACATCGTGACAGGTTATATAATATTATTATTATCTCCAGGCTAAATCCGATATTCCCAGAGATTTGGAAATTATCAACTTGAAGTTCAACGGACAGTACTAGTATCATGATACTGAATGGATCATGTACTTGCTTGGAAGCAACTTTATACCACAGTATAGTACTAGTCGTTAGAGATTATGGTACTTCAAGAGTGGCCAATTTGAACACCGGTTTTCATTTTATATCCATCCATAATTTCAATCCAAACTATTACTAGTAATTTATTAGTAATTTATCTTAAGTAGACCTGTGATGTTTCCAGCTGTGTCTACTAGTAGTACTGCTAACATCAGGATATACTATCCATGGATATTCAACTTCAAATTATTCAAATATGCTCTAGAGCTAACAGTTGAAAGATTAGAGCCCTGGAAACATTGTAATTGATAAACGAAAAGTGAAAATCTCTTGAAATATCAAGATAGGTGAATTTGAACGCGCATAAGTAGAAAGACTGACATCTTGGACGAGGTGGAACTATGCAGAGTACATGTGCCAGTGTGGGTGACAAATCCTCCCCGCAACAAGCTCAGTTCACGCCGCCCGAAGATAAACAGAACAACACCTCTCTTCAAGTTCTCCCCCAACCCCACAAATGGAGGAGGACTCGGGCTCGGGCTCGAAAGGGCCGGGGTTTGAACCCTCATTTGAGCCCAAGCAACCATTCCCTCCGTTACTAGATGAGCTGGTCTCGCCCACAGATACCCAAGAAGCCTTCCCAGAAGATGAAAGCGTCACCTCTCCAGGATACGATCAAGTGGAGGTAGAGGATGACGCCGATTTCCAGTCTCATTATTCGTTGGACCCATCATTATCCGACACAGAATCCGAAGACTCCTCAGACGAAATTGGCCGACATCACCCTTTTCGACAGTCGTCAAGCTCCCTCCACGGTCCCAATGCCTTCGCGCCCCCCTTTTACAATCGACCACCCACGCCACTACCACCTTCGCCCTCGTTAACCTCCCTTCTTCGACCGCCTTTTTCTACCACAACTTCGCGTCCGACGACACCAGACAGCTCCGATGTGGAGACACCTAATGACACGGAGGCTGCCGTAGCCAAATCGGCCCGTCGAGCAACCACTGTCCCTCGCGCCAGCCCGAAAGTGCCGACCTATGAATATTATGGATTTGTTCTCTACTTAGCCTCGTCGCTGGCTTTCTGTACGCAATTACCTTAGCCATTGACGCTTCCAGCGTATTTCAAGACACTGGCTAACCTCTACGCATTTCCAATAGTGATCTATGTTCTTTGGTCATACCTCCCATCGCCGTTCCTCCACCAGCTCGGAATATACTACTACCCCAATCGATGGTGGTCTCTCGCAATCCCCTCATGGCTAGTGATGTCCATCGTATACATCTACATCGCTCTCGCCTCATACAATACAGGCTATCTTACATTGCCCATGAACAGCATTGAGAACATTGTCGACGAAGTTGCGAACGTCTCTGTGATTGACGGCAAAGCGCGACGAAGACCTGGAGGTGCAACGAAGATGAAACCTGGTGCAACCTCCTATCAGATCATGGGGCCTCAAAATCGCAAGGTCAATTGGCCAGAGATATGGAGTGAGGGGACGGACGCGGTTATGGATATTCCGGTTGGTGGAGTTTGTGAAGTTTTATACGGACAAGAACGGGATGAGGACGGGTCATTTGTGAGCGACACATAGCCCTCAATTGATCTATACAACGTGTAATTCCGCGAAGCAGAGGTTCAACAGCTCAAGGTTCGGCCTTGATCAAGTGTTCACTGCTCAGAAGATGTACTATATGATTTTTTGATGTACTTTTACTAATACTTTATGAGATATGACTATACAACCCTTTTTGAGGTGCAGGATATCTATTTTATGAGAGCCTCCAAGTCTGTTTAAGCGTGTAGATATAGTTAATCTTCCCCACAAAATAAGCAGACACCTGGTTAATAAGGCCACAAACACAGCTATGTTAGTTACATAGATCACTCATATTCTTAAGCTGTGACCCCAATTTCTTTGAGCTATATATGAAGCTACTATCTCATCCGCTAAAGCAAACGAATTTCGTTTATACCTCTTCTTTTACCTCTTGCATAATATCTCACCTCTACAACTCCAGTCAAGTCGGTCTGGACTCTGTGATCAATTTCCCGCCGAAGCAGGCGGTGAGCACCACGTGAGGCTGCCCCCCCCCGAAAAGCCACTCTCAACTCGCCCATAACAAACGAACCCTCGAACCGTTCTGCAGACAATCATTGGCCTCCTATCCTCTCATTCCCGTCTGAGTCATTCTTCTATCTTCCTCCGCTGACACAGCGTTGACGCGGTTCTTTTACCGCCGTCACCCCCAGGGGGATCTCGAAGCTCGCTTACTGGTGGATACGACGGGTCAGGAGAACACTAGAAGCTCCTAAAGCCCGACGCTTGGACGTCCCGGGGGACTACGACCGCTACGCCCTCGACTTTCCCAGTTACCCAGTCCAACCCCGTCGCGTGCTAAAAGCCCTCACTGTACATGGCCTGGCCATCTCAGAATCCCATGGCTGGCGTTGGAATGCCCACAGCAATGGGCGATGGTCCATCCAATGGCGGACACCCGCAAGGGACGGAATACACGCTCCAGGGTGAGCATATTCTTGACCCTTGTGTTATGGTCGGGAGCTAATATGATTTTCATTAGGTGTTATGCGGTTTTTGCAGACAGAATGGCACAGACACGAGCGCGACCGCAATGCCTGGGAGATCGAACGCGCGGAGATGAAGTCTCGCATTGGCCGATTGGAAGGAGAGCTGCGGACTAGTCGACGTCTTCATGAGTCGCTAGGCAAGCATGTCCGGCTTATGGAAACGGCTTTGAAGAAGGAACGAGAGAAAGTGAAGAAACTCTTAAACAACGAGAAGATTGACGACATCAAAGACCCCAAGGAGATCGCGCGCGAAAGCGTGAGTTTATTAAAGGGTATGTTGGATGGTCTCCTCATTATTCCAATATGTCATGTGTTATTATATCTGTTCTGTTTACTAACTCGGAACTCTCCTAGAACAACGGACAAGCTCGGATCCCAATGCGAACCCAGAGGATCCTACTTCGAATGAATTCCGCCATGAAGACGAGAGAGACAAATCCCGTGTCTATTTGTCGAAGTGTGCACAAGAAATCGCTTACCACGTCATCCCTACATCCCACCCACCTCCGGATCTTAGCGACCCCGATCTCTCAAGTCATATTTATGGAAACCAACAGTTGTCACAACAGAACTTGGAGGAGGCCTATCTTCAACAACAACGGCATAAGGCAAACCACATGATGACACAGGAGGTGATGATACCCGCCCATCACTCTGCGGGCAATCAGTATGTTGAAAATGCGCCTATGGCTCGATCTGCCAACCAGTACGGCCCTGGTCCTGGAGCTCGCGAGTCCATGGATCGACGACAGCCCGAAAATCAACAGAACCCCATCGACGGACGAAAACAATCTTACGAACAAATCCTGGCTGGTGAACGTGCAGGAGACTCGCAGACATCATGTGATGGCGAAGGACTACAAGTCGCTGTGAAGGAAGATCTGCCATCGCAAAGGGGAAATGAAGAGCGAGCTGAGGATATGGACGGCTGGAATTTTGATGAACCAATAGAACACGAACCGGTTACCGAGCCCATGCCACCTCACCGACCAGACACTGACGCATTCCCTAACGCCAACTTTGTTCGTGGCAAGTCTCCCTCTCGGGGCGGTTCTCTTTCACATCGACGAAAGAGCTCTGGATCTAGGCGCAAGAGTGAAGGCACATCGGAATCTCGGGATGCTGCTGCTGGTTTCGGCCAACAGGACACCAACTTTAAGGTTCGATTTGCTCTTCGCGGACACCTGGATGTCATCCGGTCTGTGATTTTCACTGGCGGTGGTAGTCCATCGGAGCCGGAGATCTGCACTTGCAGTGACGATGGAACTATTAAGAGATGGATTATCCCCGCGACTTATGGCACCTTTGGAGCGCAAGGTCCCAGTTCCAGTAACGATTTGGACATTACTAGCTACTTTACACACCGTGGTCATGTAGGCGCAGTAACCTCACTCGCGGCTTGTTCACCCGGGCAGAATATCTCGAACGGTGGCCGAGTCATGGGTGACGGCTGGGTTTTCTCAGGCGGGCAAGATGCAAGTGTCCGGGTATGGGAGCGAGGTCGGGTCGACCCTAAGGCTACACTCGATGGTCACACAGATGCTGTGTGGGGACTCTGCGTCCTTCCGGGGACAGCTGGCTCTGTATTCGGAGACTCATGCGGCCACTATGGTGGAGCAGATCGTATGCTGCTGGCATCCGGTGCCGCGGATGGTCGCATATTAATTTGGGCCGTCAGCCCCCCTCCTCTTGCTTCCTCACCCCAGGCAGGATCCCGGCGTCAAGGTGGAAGCCGTCGTGCGAACTCGATCTCGTCTGGCTCCAATTTCCCATCCTCTCCACAGCCAAGCGTTGCTACAACCACACCCTTCCACTATACTCTTGTGCACCACATCCTGCGCACCGACTCTCCCTCCCCAACATGCATTAGCCCCTTGTCTCTGGCAGGTGTTAATTTTGTTGTTTCATACACCGATGCTTCTATTCTTGTCTATGACACACGAACTGGCGAGGAGATCGTGGGAATGGCTAGTCTCGAAACATATGATGGAACTCCCTCGACTGGGGTGAACTCTGTAGTTGCGAGCACCATCGGATTTGACGGCTCTGCCAATTTGGATCCAAGCCGTACCATGGCCGATGAAGAAGTTGTTCACGGAGCCACTGGCTCCAGCAGTGTTGAAGGCGTGATTATCAGTGGTTACGAGGACCGATACATTCGCTTCTTCGACGCCAACAGTGGTAAGTAATTTTCTTTCTTCCTTTTCAATATTCTATTTTGCTTACCATTTCACCAATAGGTCAATGTACGTACACCATGCTGGCCCACCCCGCTGCCATCGCTTCACTCTCTTTATCTCCCGACGGGCGTGAGCTCGTTTCAGCTGGCCACGACGCGAGTCTCCGATTCTGGAATCTCGAGAAGCGCAGCTGTACTCAGGAAGTGACCAGCCATCGATTGATGCGCGGCGAGGGTGTCTGCGCCGTCGTCTGGAGTCGTGACGGACGTTGGGTCGTCAGCGGCGGCGGAGATGGTGTAGTCAAGGTCTTCTCCAGGTGAATACGAACGACGAGACGATAACCTTTGTATGATTTCTCTTTTCTCTTTTCCGCCCTACCTGTATCATTCTTCGGTCTTTTCGTCAACGATATGATCCATGAACCGGATGAGCGATTGGCCGGACCAGTTCTTTTCGAGCATTTGCAAAGGTGTCAATTTTAGCTGCCTGGCATATGGTACTCTTCTATGTGGTTTTTTTCTTTCTTCTACATGTGTACTTTTGAACCTGACCTGACGCTGATAATAAGCCTTCTTCGCGATGATTCCCTGGCGTACATTTCTGATCATGTATTCTTTTCTTCTTCTTCTTTCTTTCGCTTCTATGTCTTGCTTCTTGCCCATTCTAGCTTTATTTTCCCTTTTGCTTCGGTGCATACCCTGGTGTCCATATTACATGGGCTCGTCTCTATAGAGTACCTCCCGTCCTCTGTTCTCTGTCCAAGATTTCCGTGGATCTAACACCTCAGCGTTGAGTATCTTCTGGTTAAATATCCCGTGTACTGGAGACCGGGCCTGTTATTCTCAGGTCTCGTTGATGCCCTCACAAAGAGCTTCTCATGCATGTGTATAACAACATTCGAAATCCATTTCCACAGTTCCTCGGAGCTTGGAACATTTCATGTAATATTTTAACTTGAACCAATAATGGGTATTATGAAGACTGTTCTTAAAGTAACGACATCCTGAACAAGAGAATTCCGATCTGATCCGATCATACTATCATGATATTACAGACTCGAGCTCCACGCCTCCTTAAAAAGCACCCGTAACCGCTTCGCCTCCTGCTCATCCTTCAGCCTCTGTTCCAGAAAACCCTGTAAATCATTCCAAAATTCCTCAGTCTTCACCACCTCCGGCCCATTAGGTCCAACAGCCGCCTTAGGCGAAGACGTCTGGCTCTCCCTCACCACCTCCTCATCTGTAGTCGTAACCGGTAACGCCTCCGCAACATCAATCGCCTTAGCACCCCCAAGCACCATAACCCCAAACTCGATCTCCTTCCCACCAACCAGCATCTCAGGCTCATCCGCCAAAATCTCAGCTAACGTCTTTCCAGTCCCACTAACCGGCTTCCGACGATATAAAATCTTAATTTTCTCCAGTGCGACGGGGTTACCCGCCGCATCGGTGATGCGTTGCTTCACAGCGTCCCGAAGATCTTGAACAGAGGTCGTGCTGATAGGAACGTTTGGGAGGGGAAATTCGAGCTCTGGGTTCCGGGATGATTTCACCTTCACGGTGATTGATTTGGATGAGCCCGGTGCTTGGGTTTGTTGAACTTTCTTGGGCATTTCTGGGTGCGGGGGTTGGAGGCGGGGGAGCGTGTACTGTTGTTGTTAGATTGGGTATATTATATGTATATGCAGATGCAGCATCATTATCTGGATGTGAATCTGGATATATTATGGAGGCGCGTCTTACAGGTACACGGAGCCCGACCTGCTCTGGATCAAAGATATGGTCGGCTCGCAGCTTGATGGGGCGGGAGTCCAGAGCGGACAGAAATGATTTGGTGAATGTAACCTCCGACATGATGAGGATTTGAAGTAGAGGGATGGCACTAAAGATAGGGAGTTGGAGTGAGGACGATTGAGAAAGTCCGTTGTCAAATGAAGCGTGAGCTGTTCAAGTTGTTGTCTTTTCTTCCCGCGGATGTGCTGAGGTGGGATAGTAGTTGGGTCATGTGGCTCGGGCCCCTCATAAGCAACGGCAAGCTCTACTATGTACTATGTATAACCGAACACAATGCCTAATTTTACTTGTTATATCATGTTAATTAATCAGTGTCATAAACAGGTTACAGTAGTACTAGTGTTCTAGTATAGAAGAGTTATCTATATAATAGTACCCGGTATTTTGAAAAGCCTGGTGTCAGATTAAGTGACTTTGGTTCTGGATGCTAGTAAATGGGAATGAGTGTCTTGCTAAATTTGTTGACAGGTTTAAGATGAGATACTTGTGATTTATCGCTGCAAAGTTCCTGAGCAATGATTGATGTGCCTAGATACACTTCCAAACAAGATCACTAGTAAATGCGATTTGGACTAAGGAGCACGACAAAGGATTTGAAATGGAGTGATCCAAATAACCTGGACTTTATCACTTAGGGTGGTGAGTCTACGCTTCAAAACTAAACCGATTTGTACAACATTTGAATTGAAATTAAAATAAACAAGGTATATGTCTAGTGCGCCGTCCACCGAACAAATAAAGATGCTTTTCAAACTTTCCCAACGGACGATGCCATAGTTATAGGTTATAGATACATGAGACGTGGCATGTCAACAGATCATTTCATAGCCTTCTTGGGCTTTCTAGCCTTAACAGTTAAAGTCTTCTTCTCGCCCTTGCTCTGATTGGATGACTTTTTGGCAGTCTCGGGCTTCTTCTTTGGGGCTGGAGATGTCTTTACTGGCTCAGTTGGCTTGGAGGGTTCCTTGGTTTCTTCCTTGGTTGCTTCCTTTGCTTCTTCCTTAGACTCTCCCTTGGTCTCCTTGGTCTCGGCCTTGGCCTCTCCCTTGGCCTTCTTAGGCTTGTTCAGAACACCCTTGGGGTTGAGACCCTTGCGACGGAGACGGTTACGCTCGGCACGTGCAATACGCTCAGCATCATCATCACCCTCGAAGGGGCCGAAAGCACTACCCTCAAGTTGACCCATGCTGCTATTCTCATCACGAATAGGAGTCTTATCAATCTCCTCATCATCCTCATCGGTAGAGGTAGCCTTAGAGCTAGCACGTCGGGGATGACGATCCTTAGAGGTCGTATCATCGGCCTTAGTAGCGGGGGTAGGACCAGTCTTCTTCAGCTTGCAGACGTAGAAACCATCAACGTTCTCACGGTGAGGGAAGTAGCGCCGGGTAAGAGCCATCTTAGCATCGAATTTCTTGCCCATGTAGTTGGTGAAACCGGGGCTACCAAAGTTGCCGAGACCAGTGTCGACAATCTTGACGTTGGGGCGCTTGCGCAGAATATACTGCACGACAGCCTCGTTCTCCTCAACAGTGACACTACATGTAGAGTAGACGACGTATCCACCAGTTTTGGAAGCGTGGTCGACAGAGTCAATGGCGGCAAGGAGTAGCTGACGCTGCATGTGAGGAATGGCGAGGAAATCACGCTCATCCTTAGAGGTCTTCACACCGGCATCCTTGGAAATAACACCGGTACCGGTACAAGGGGCATCCAGCAACACACGGTCGAAACCACCGAGGGCCTTGGGGAACGCGGTACGGGCGTCCAGGTTAGTGACAATGGTGTTCTTGCAGCCGAGACGGTGGATGTTACCAATCAGACCCTTAGCACGGGGCTTGCTGGCATCGTTGGCGATAACGCAACCAGTGTTACGCATAAGCGCAGACAAGTAGGTAGTCTTACCACCGGGAGCGGCGGCCATATCAAGAACACGCTCATTAGGCTGGGGAGCCAGCGCCATCACGGGAAGGAATGAAGATGCAGCCTGTAGAATGTAATGACCAGCCAGATACTCTGGGGTGGCACCAAGGGGCACAGCGGACTCGAAGACCTGCAAACCGACCTTGGACCACTTGCCAACGGGCTCAAGAACAACACCACGGTTGATCAAGGCTTGAGCGAGAGATCGACGGTTGGTTCGCAGAGTGTTGGTACGGATAACGACGGGACGAGGTGTCTCGTTGGCTTCGAAGAAAGCGAAAGCTTCCATTGGTGTGAAGAGGTTCCATAGTTTTTCGGCGAGGTATCGAGTGTAGCCGTAGTAGGTACAGATGTCGTTAAGAACGAGGTCAACGTAGTCGGCGCGGGACTTATCGTCTTGACCCAGAGTCTTCAGATCGCCAAGAATACGAATGGTATCGGTGATACGCTGACGGAGAAGCTGCAGATCGGGGGCAAGTCCTTGCTGGGCCTGGTCGTTGAAAACATCGGGGCGGTCGCCAGCGATATTGGTCTGCATAGCAGCATCCTGCAATTCCTGCTCGGCCTCTTCTTCCTCCAGCTCTCTGGCGGCGTCGAGTTTGCGAGACAATCCTTCGATGTTGGCGGCGGTCAACTTTTCTTCGGCGTCGGACAAATCTTCATCGTCAGAGAACATCGCTCCGCGGGGGTGATCGGCCTCGTCCTCGTCAGAGTCCATGATCGAGTCATCATCATCACCCTCCAGATCAGAGAGTCCCTCCAGCTCATCCTGGCTACCCAATGAGCCCTCACTGACTCCATCAAGATCATCAAATTCATCGTCCTCCATCTCCTCATCGTCTTCCTCCGAATCCGACATAGGAACAGGTGTCTTTTTGCTGGGCTTGCTCGACTCGGTTTTTCCGCTCTTCTTGACAGGAGCAGCATTGACCTTAGTCTTCTTAGGTGCAGCCTTCTTTGACACAGGCTCTTCCTCGTCGGCGTCTCTCCGGCGCTTCTTAGCAGCGACAGCCTTGGATGTGGATTCGGCGTCGCCACCCTTGCGCTTCTTCAACATGGTGATTTTTGATTCATCGAGCGGGCCCGGGGGGCCCTGCTTCTTCATACGACGTCCGACACCCATGATGTGCTGTGATTCAGTATTTGGGGTTGATGGTTCTAGTCCCGAACTTTTTTCTCTCACTTTTTTTCTTCGGCAGCGGTCAAGAGGGGCAGTAAGTAAAAAACTAAAAGCAGAAGGCGGTCGGGACCCACCAGGTACCACATAGTGCCAGTCCGTGCCCACTATGTATACACTCCAAACAGTTCAGACTAGGAGCTATTTAATTAGGACTCTAGCTACTTTTTCTATGCAAAAAAAATGGAATAAAAAGTAAACTGATAATTGAATTCATCCATTCTTGATGGTGGGATATATTCTTTCCAGTATGTCCTGTTCTTGAAAACAGGAAAGGGCAAAAAGGAGCAAAGCTTCATAAACTCCGAATGTAAATATGTAAATCTATTTAAATGCAATCAAAAATATCCAAAAATGCTTCAAAATCATAAAAACTGTACCGTGCTCGAACACGATCAGCTTATGTTCTATAAATCTTAACAACGCTCTTAATGCTCTTCCGACAGATCGGACAAAGATCCACCTGCTTCGCACAAGTCACACAAGAGCAAACATGACCACAGTCAATGAAGACAGCATCTTGTTCTTCCGAGTAACAAATCTGACACAGATCCATTTCCTCATCAGCAACTTCCAAATAATGGATACCCTTACCAAAGCGTTTACCATCCTTGAAGCCGCCAACATATTTGTTGCCTGTCTTCTTTTCGGTAAAGGCTCCCTGACCATGACGGACATCCTCTACCCAGTCACCGTCGTAGATGTCGCCGGTGGGATAGTCCATTTTGCCTTGGCCATGGCGTCGTCCGAAAATGAAGTCACCTTCGTATACTGTGCCTGTGGCTGATAGGTGCTTACCACGTCCGTGATAGTAGCCCTTCAAGAACTCACCACTGTAGAAGTCACTTGTAAAGGTGGCTTCAACAGTCTTGGTACCGGTGAATCCTTGAATTGGATGGTTTCGAGACTCCGCCCAAAGATACTGAACTAGTCGATCTGGGCTAGAAAATAGACCGGATAATCCAAGCTGAGAGCGCCTGTTTGTTTGTTAAATTCGGAACTATCGTTATCTTAAGAGACTTGCAAATTACTTACTTGTCTTTGCTCAGTTTGTCTCCAACAATAATGCAAGCCCCATGTGGCACGACAACATCCATGAAATTCTCAGCTGGAGAGAGTGTGGTGACAGTAGTCCCATCCACTCGTTTCCACATGAGGAAATCCCGTCGAATAGGCCACTGCAAATGCTTCCGAATGGATGCTTTGACATTCGCTTCAAGTTTGGAAAAGAACGAACCAACTGTGCGCAAGACCTGGTTGTCTGCATCAAACACTTGAATAAAATAATAGGCATGCCCAACGGGCCATGATGTCTCAGAACTGGCTGTTGAACCCGTCGCGGGGAGTGGCTCGGAAGCAGAGGCAGGGACAGCATGAACATTCACCTGAGCACCAGCTGAAGCTGCATCATTGGCGGTCGCGACAGCCAGAACGGCATCGTGTTCAGCGCGCTCTTCAGCCATCGCATCAATTTCTGGAGATGACGCCCCGAGTGGCGGCGAATTATCTGTAGGGCTTGCATCGCCACCCGATGAGCTGGCAATTGCATCCCCATCATTGACTGCCGGTGGTAGTTCAGCGGCCTCAGAGCTCGGGCTTTCCGTAATAGATTCTTCAAGTTTGTCTTCCGTAGTAGCAGCGCAAGGAGGGTCGGGGATAGCAAAGAACTTGGCATCATCCCCAGAGATAGTTTCCATCCAGAATCGCATAGTCTCTGAAGAGGAGTCTAGCGGGGCATTCAAGTCGGTAATATGATCGAATGCAAGAGTTGGACCACACTGAGAACGAGTATGACCAATATGCCACAAACGAACTCGTTCGGCTCCAATAACTTCCTCGCCGGCTGACTTCCACATCGCGATCTTCTTGCGTAGCTCAGCAAGACGTGACGTACTAGGTAGACTCATGTACATGACCCCATTGTTTGACTTGGCATGGGACATAAGATCGTAAGTGTCAAAAAGACTCTTCAATTGATCATGCTCAGGTAAAGAATACACTTCAACCTGGACGTCCTTGGTTTTATCACTGGCCGCAGGAGTGGGGCAATGCACCCCCGTTTCATAGTACTCTTTCAAGGCATCAGAGACTTCCCAAGGCCCCTGGGGACCGGGTAGAAATTCTGAAACCATGTCACCGCGAACATACATGGCGACAACCGGGATATCATGTCCCTTCTTATGGTCAACCGTTTGAGAATCGTCTAAGCCGAGATGAGGTCCAAGAGCCGTCTTGTTGGTCAGGCATTCCACACGGTTATCACTTCCATCATCGAATGCTAACCATCGGGTGCCAGGACCAGCAGGACGAAGGATACTGAAGAATTTCCCAGAAGTACGGCGGCCACGGTGGACGACATAGCCGTAAAGCACGTACTTGCCGCCATTGCTGTCAACAACCCACCGTTCTAAATCCAACTCCTCATCCAGTTGTACCTTATTGAAATTCAACTGCCAGCGCATGTTCTTGTCCAAAGAATGACGTCCAAGTTCAACATGAAGAACTGGGGGAAGTGACCAATAGCCAGACTTTGCATCTAGGTATTTAGCCATTAGTTCTCCTGTAGATTTCACTTGGTCGGCTTGCATGCAGACGCGAGAGTTAAAATCAGTAGGCAAGGTGTTGATAGAGACCACATCACCAGCGGTCAGAGGCAAAGACTTCGACTTTGGGCTATCGAACAGTTTGCTAAGCTCCTGGCCCGCATCCGTACCAATGAGTTCCAGCTCCAGAGTACGGCGAAGTCGTTCCCAAAATTCAGAAACATCACCCGAGAATTCGCGCATATTGCGCAAAGTAGAGGTAATAGCATCGGTGTCCACGTATTGAAGAGACTGAGCGCGACTACGAAGCTGCCAAAGCAATTTTTGAAGGGCATTGCACAAAGGCTTCGGCTTGACTTCGCAATTATTGAGATGCTCAAGAACATCCACACTCTGAATAATCTTGGCGAAAGGAGCAATATGCAACCATGAAGCTAGACCTGCAACCTCCGCGCTATGGTTGATCATTGAATCGCCGAGCGGGCGGTAACCAGTCAAAGCCAAACTGTCCCAGGTTGGCTCTGAGTCGCTTGGGTGCCACCACAGTGACTTGGTCGGGTCATCAATAACACGGATATAAGCGTCGAATGCCAGGGTATCATTGTTGAGGAGAGCACGATGCTGACCTCGTCGACGAGTGTGGATTTGGTCCCAAGGACCATGGAAGTATGTCCAACCCCAATCTAAATTGTGAGGGTTGAATTGATGGGACGAGGACTGCATCCATCCCGTCCGAGGCTCATCTGGATTGTATGCAATGACCCCAACCTGTGCTGAGACTCGCCATGGATCAGATGCATTTGATGTATTCTCCTGAGTACTAGCCAATTCTGCAGATGAATAACGGGATTTGTAATCCTCTTCCCAGGTCTTTATGTCATTTGTGGCGGCTGTGTGTACGTATATATCGGGTAGAGTATCGTTGAGGTTAGACTCGGATGCGCCACGACGAACGGTGAATTCAGTATCCGGAAGTTGCTCGTCCGGACTGGGCATAGTAGTCGAACATTCGATGTAGACGCTCAGGGAGCCCACATTGTTGCCGCGGGGGTAAAACTTCATTCGCCACCAATATCCACCAATGAAAGCAGGCGGAGAACGCATAATCTTTGCGCGATTAGGCGACTCGGGTGTACCTCGGACACCATTAATCTTCCATGTTAACCGAGCTTTTTCCTTTGGCCGGTATTCTGGGTCATCCAAATCCCGAAAGAAATTTCCCTCCCAGTATGTGTCTATACCGCCGTGCTGTTAGTAAATGTTTCTATGGGCTCGGAGATTTCTCATTTTCGCTCCGTTTTTTTTCTCTCTCTCTTTCTTCCTTGTTTTAAGCTTAAAGATTCGGGTGTAACCTACGATCACGGGCACTGTAGTCAGCTTCCGATCCCTCGATCTCTTTCAATTCTTCCTCGTCAGGTGCAGTAGTGTCCTCCTCATACTCGGCCCAATAGGCATGTTCGAGTTCCTCGGAATCTGTCGTAGGTGGAGTTGACGATTGAACTTCTGATTCCGAATCGGCTTGTGATTGCTGAGAGGCTACTGGAGCCGGTGGTACAGAGTCCTCAGGGGCAAGACTCGGCATGACTGTAGGTTCCGAGATGTTTGATGTCGGGGATACAAGGTCGCTATCAATCTCGAACTCGATGGACCCTGGATTGCCTGAGGGTTGAGATGGATCCATGCTTGTATATGAAATGCGACTCGTTTCAGTGTCAATTGAGCGTTGCAGAGCTTTTGCAGAGCGCTTCCTCTCTTCCACGTGTGGTCTCCGTGTCTGTTTCTTTGTTGCCGAGCGATCAAGGCTTATCGGAGAATGGATATGGTCTCAGGGGGATTGAGGAAGGGATATAGAGAGCGGAAGTAAGAGAGAAGCAAAGGAGAAGAATGCAAGAGGAAGAGGAAGAGGAGGAGGAAGAAGAATAAAAAGAGAAAAGAGAAAAGAGAAAAGAGAAAAGCCACAATCTGCGCAAAAAAGTCCTCGCGATAAGAGAAAAGCCGGGGGATTGGCATTTGGTTCCCGAGTGGGTCTAACACTGTGGGCCACGCGGTGACTCTTACCCCATGGCCTACTCAGTCACTCGGGAGTTAGTCTGATTGTGTGATCTGGTGCTTTTCTTTTTTTTTTGAGTAGCAAATTGATTCTGAATTTTTGAATATTATCTGCATACACTGTACATAACAAAAACCACTCCCTACTTCTGCAAGTCGCGGTGAAGCCTTTCTATCCCCTCCTGATCGACAGTGGATCCGGAACACCCAAAGGGCTCCACCTCAGGGCAGCCAACGGATCGAAACCTTAAAAATAGGCGGCGGGTATGGAATTTGGAGAGTTTGGGAGGTTTTTTTCTTCTTTTTTTCTGTTTCCGTTGCCACTTCCTATGTTAGTCACTTCCGATCGGCTCCTCGTCCCCGGGGTGTGGGTTGCCACTCCCCTTCCCGCCCTTTCGTGATCGCTTATGTATGAAAGATTCCCACAGGATGTGGGACTGACAGGGGGACCCAAGGAGAAGGCAGGAATTAACAGTGGCTGACCGATTACACCACGCTGAACCAACGTTGGCAAATACGGACACAGTCATCTGGCCCATGAGAGATATAATAGACACGAGCAGGTCACAACAAAAACATAAAGTATCGAGACAGAGAAGGGGTCAACTGCATGGATGTACTCCGTACAGGAGACCACTCTGTGTACTCCGTACTTCTGTGCACGTCTGAGGCGAAGTGGGTCATGCATTGTTCTGATTGGATAGCCAATCCTTGTTGAACACGGGGTCCTGCAGCGTGCGGCCAACTACATACTTAGGGAATCTCAGCGCTCAAATTGGCACTTTGAGACCGTCCCTCACTGGGTTGATGCTGGAGGGGCCGGAGGTGTTGCTCGTGCAAACGAGGCTGCCACAATTAGAGGGAAAGCCACGGTGGCCTCGGCGTAGACTTTGACGGCTTCAGCATCAGTCTTGATCTTGCCCCAACTCACCGCCTCGTCGGGTCGGGCTCCGGCATCGCTGCCATCGAACTCTTGTGCAGTATTAACATAAACCGCGTGCTCGGCACCGTTCCGCATCAGACACGCATTGGCAATGTGATGCTTAACCACACCGCCACCCAGAATGATCATACCCGCCCGTGCGGCTCGCACGGCCATGGTGTTAATACGACGCACATCGTCCACGATATCCACTCGGAGTCGCTGGGGAGAGGTTTTAAAAGTGTGGAAATAGAGCATGTCGCCAAGGGATCCGTCAGTCAAGGCGGGACAGAAGATAGGAATCTTGTTCTTTGCGGCCCAATACAGCACTGAATCCTCATTGTCGATCTCCCGACCGAGTCTTTCCGTAATGAGGCTCGGGGTCCAGTGGAGTTCATCCTCCTCATCCCCAGTCTCCAGCGCCTTGCGCTTAGCAGCCTCTTGTTCCTCTAGCATCCGATCCAAAATGGGGATCAACCAATCCTCAAAAGCACAGTAGTTGTTATTGGGTACGACCAAGTTGCCAATACGGTTCAGGCCCTTGGCACGCAATCCAGCGCCCGGAGTCGCGAAGGAACCCATATAGGTTGGCGCCAGACACTTGATCAGGTCCTCTTCCACTCCACCGGCTGTAGTAACAATGGCCGAGACATGGTTATGTTTCACAAGGTAACGGAGAGTGTCGCGTAGACCGGAGGAGATGAGGTTGGAGGTATAACCGAGGAAGATGGTAGTCTTTGCACCTGTTTCGGGGTCGCGGAAGGCACGCTACTCAGAAAACATACCCACGTTAGTCTAACCTGGCGTGTTCCATTGACAAGAAGGAGCATTTACCATATCATTAATGATGCGAGCAGCTTCCGCAACAGCACTGCCTTGGAAACCCATATGGGTCATATTGTCGACCATTTCTGCCACGGTGATATCGCGGCCCTGGAACTTGTCGAAATCCACTCCGCTCACTTCATGAGTGCCCTCGGGAATGGGCTCGGAGGCCACAAGCACCGAGGCGGTTGCCGAAGTTGGTGCACCTGTTGGCTGGCTCATTTTGTAGTTGGTAAGATCGAGTTCAAAAAGAAAAGAAAGGTTTTGCAAGGCTAGCTAGCTAGGCATAAATGAATGAATTTTATGGAGATGGAGTGCAATTGCTTGCAAGAGTGTGTAGTGGGGTTATCTATTATGATCTGTAGAATTCGACTTTTTTTTTCTAACGCGGGGAAGAGATGACGGCCTTGTATATCAGGCAGAAGACTATAGACACCTGAGGCATGAAATAAGACCAGATAGTCACGTGGATCGTACTGACCTGTAGTCACTTCCAAAATCTTCCACAATGACACAGTATGTTCGGAGAGAGGCCCTTTCAAATGATTATAGTTATAGATTACTATATACTATATAAGTACTACATGAATATACATATATAAGTCAAACTAGTTATAATTTAGGGTTTCAATAATTTAACAGGTCAATTTTATGATTTAGATTAAATTCAAACTACAGTACTTTGCAGCTTCTTCATCATTATGGCAGATAGCCGGAGCCTAAGTCAATACTAGTCATGGATAACGCGTCCTTTCACCACCCTGAGCGGCTAGAACGCATATGCCTAGAAGCAGGCGTCAAGCTGGTATTTCTTCCACCTTATTCTCCTGATCTGAATCCTATCGAGGAATTTTTTGCGGAGCTAAAAGCTTTCATTAAACGCAACTGGCAGTTGTTTGAAGATAACCCAGATAGAGACTTTCAGGGGTTTCTAGAGTGGTGTGTAGACGTGGTTGGCGCAAGAGAAGAGAGTGCTGAAGGCCATTTTCGCCATACAGGTCTGACAATTGAATATAGTTGATTAACCTGGAAAGTATAACTATAGAGCCTCTGTATGTTGAAGCATAATTCCAGCTCGTAATAAAGTGTTTTTATTAAGTTCATAAAAGGCCCCTAATCAGGTGGAATTTATATCCAGCTACCGCGAGATACTGTCTGCCATCCCGTAATTGGATGATACAGTTTCTTGAGCCCCCACCTTGTAGTGTGCTGATTGGTGCCGTTGCTGCGTAATCACATATCGGTCGCCAATAGCACGAGGTACCTCATGCAGTTCGAGATCCACGCATGTGTATGATTTGTCGAGTTGCCTCGTCCGCTGATGGCCCGCATCAGCGGACGGGCGCTTACGAAGTGCACCCCTTCACCCCCCATGCCTTGGGCTGATGGCAAGGCATGCCCGCGGTCGCAAACATTCCTCGTCACCCCTCCCATCCTCTGACCGATCCTGTTGAATGGCTAAGTTTCCAAACTTCGAACTCATTTAAAGCCAAGCGATATCTTCGTATATCTACTCATTCATCGTTGTTTTCGCTGTGGTGCCAGCGGTGCCTGTTGCCAGACTGTTCGTGGCGAGTATGGCGTCCGCAATGTCATTTGGGTCAAATTCGGGGTTCCAGATAGGTATGAACAACGGTCAAGCCACTTACCACCTCCACCTACCTAATACAGAAACAAACGAGACAAACATCAGGCCATGTAAGTCAATATAAAACCCTAAGTGGGATATTAGCTTACTGAGTCTTTCCAAGGTGATTAATCTTAAGTCCACTATATAATTCTATCGTTGGACAATTGTTACTTTACTGGCCGTGAATCTACGCTAGATAAGCTTAAGCAGAAGTTATTTCTCCAAGCGAACACCAAAAAACTAGCCATATTCGGACTAGGTGGCATTGGAAAAACTTAAGTTGCTCTTCAGCTTGCCCGTTGGGTGAGATCGCATATACTAGACTGCTCTATCTTCTGGGCTCTTGCCTTTAGTCTCGAAAGCTTTGAGCAGGCGTGTTGGCAAATCGCGAAAGAGCTCCAAATTTATCGGAATCCAGATAGTGAAAGCGCGATGGAATTGGTACGCCGGCAATTAAGCTCTGATAAATCCGGAAAGTGGCTTTTTATAGTCGATAATGTAGACGACGTGGATTTGCTTTTCGATGAGTTTTACTAGTATTTCCTAATTGGCTAGAATGGTATAACTTTACTTACTACTCGTTCTCGTGAGGTGGCGAAGTCTTTTGTAGAAAAGGATACTGTTCAGCTCCAAAAGATGATAATAGAGGAAGGGATTCAATTTCTTACTAAGATTATTGGAGAAGACTTATTGTGTGGCCGAGAATCTACTATATAATTATTGGAGGAGCTAGAATTGCTACCTCTAGCTATTGTATAGGCAGCTTACTATATTTCTCGGAACAATGGAACGACCATGTGGTATCTCGAACTTATGTATAAAACTGAAAAAGACCGGATGCGCCTAGCGATACGAGAATTCTGTGATAGCACTTGCTACCCTAAAATGTTAAACGCGGTGACAGCTATATGGTAGATCTTATTTAATTAGATCAAGAGCTCTGATCCTTTTGCTGTGGATTTATTAGAATTTATCTCCTACCTTGAGCTGAAGGTAATCTTACGATTACTTCTCCCTACCCTTGATTCGGAAGAGGAGATAGAGTTTGCAATTGGTACGCTATGCAGCTATGGATTCTTGACTAGGAGAGATAATAAAAATAAATTTGATATCCATAGTCTTGTACAGCTATCAATACGAGTGTGGATAGTAGAGGCACAGAAGATACTAGAGATTATTGAAATAATAATGTAACATATAGATAATTGTTTTCCATCTAATAAATACACCAATCGTGGGATATGGAGAATATACCTATTATACGCCCTTGAAATTCTTAGGAGGGAGGAGAGTAAATGGTTAAGTGAGAGGTATAGCTTACTTTCTAAGATTAGACAATATCTTCTAGCGGATGGTTGAGCAAAAGAAGCTACGGCTGCTTTAAGAGATGTGTGTGTATGGACCGAAGCCAACTATAATGAAGAACATCCCTCTCGACTGGTGTCCTAGTATGAACTTACTCTGGTATATCAATTTAACGGGCAGATTAAGCAGGCCTTAGAGCTACTCGAGCATATAGTTGTAGTGCGCGAGAGAACGCTTGACGAAGAATATCCAGATCGACTAGCATCTCAGTATGTACTAGTAATAGTATATTGATCCAATGAGTAGATTAAGCAGGCCGTGGAGCTACTTAAGCATATGGTCGCAGTACGTAAGAGAACATAAGATAAAGAACATCCTGATCGACTAGCATCTTAGCATATACTCGCATTAGCATATCAATTCGACGGGCAGATGAAGCAGGCCTTGGAGCTACTTAAGTATGTGGTTACAATGCGCAAGAGAACGTAAGATAAAGAACATCCTTATCGACTAGCAGCTCAGCATGTACTCGCAACGGTATATTAATCTAACGGGCAGATCAAGTAGGCCTTGGAGCTACTTGAGTATGTGGTCGCAGCGAGAGAACGCTTGACGAAGAACATCCCGATCGACTACTATCCCAGGAGGCACTTAAAGATGCGAAGCAGTTGATCGATGCTGAGATTATGGAAAACAGGTCCTTTTTACCTGCTTCTGAAATTGTAATTTCTTCAAACCGCAGTTACTAAAACATATTATGTGTACATACTCTCCTTAAACAATAACTCTTTTTCACATTATTGCTCATTTCTCCTATGGTGGCACCGGAAGAAAAACAACCAGACAGTCCGCTAGTCTGAAAAGAACATTATTACTGTTTTTTTTAACAATACTATGTAATATAAAGAGACAAGGGTGGTAAAAGGGCTAACTAATTGCGGTTAGAGCATTCTTGGCACTCGGGCTTGAGACTTGTAAAGTAGATCTCAAAGCGCAAGGCGATTTTGCAAGCTACTGGACATCTGCTACCTAAATCTCCATGCAGCTCAGGCTCCACTCTCCCCAAAGTGCACGGGTCGCTTTTTCTTCCTGTTGAGATTCACACTTGACTTCACATGATCCAGCTTATCCCAGAATATCCAGCCGCGTCTTTGCTGGTTCCCTCATGAACTTGGACGGCACTACTGTTGCTTGACTTATATATACACTTTTTTGTTATTTTATCTTGATTTTTTGGTTTCAAAGACTCTTTACCTTCCATCCTGTACAGATATACACACAAACAACTTTACTCCCTCGAGAATCTCGAGAATTGTACACACTACATCGAAGGCGCCTGCTTGAAGTTCGTCCTGCATACTGGTCCGTGCACCTTTGACCCCCATCACGTGCCAACCTGGGAACTAGAGCCAGAGCGGGTTCTCCATTCTGGATTCTGCGTTCCCGAGACCCTGTTTCAACCTTCATATTCAACTTGTTCAAACGGCATAGTGAATGCTTACCTGCCCAGGTCATCGTAGCATGACCTGGTGATGTCGTCTCGATTTCCTCCATCGTCCGGGTTTAACTCCCGTGACCGCTCCCCCCTCCGATTTGGGGATCGTCGCCCTCCTGCCGGTCCCCGTGGTCCTGACGACGGTAGTCCTCCATTCGGGAGAGAACCACCGCGCGGCCCGCGTGCCCTAGTCGATTCTCCAAGAGGGGGTCATTTTGGTGGTGGACGAGGCCGTGGATATGGCCGAGGTGAATTCCGAGATCGAGATCGAGACCCACGAGACCGCGATCGCGACCGCGATTTTCGAGATTCTCGCGATGCGCCTCCTTTCCGCCGCGACATGGACCGGGACTGGGGTCGTCGAGACCGGGACTTTGAACCACGAATTGGTTTTGGTAGAGGTCGTTCGAGATCCCCGACACGCGACTTCCGTGACGTAAGAGAACCCCCCGGTCGCGATTTCGACCTCGTTCGCATGCGCCGCAATTCAAGAGACAGCATCCTTTCCGCTTCATCTGGTGGTCCAGACGGCCCACCATCTAATGGAGGCCATCATCCACGAGGCGGTATGCGCGGCAGAGGCCGGGGTGACTGGGAAGGTGGTCGTGGTCGTGGTCGTCCGAATTTTTTTGATGATCGCGAGCCGTTTAGACGCCGTAGTCGATCCCGAGATACATGGCGTGGCAGAGATCGAATGAATGACCGTGATCGTGATCGCGATATAGATCGAGACCGTCCTCCCATGGACCGCGGCGATCGTGTTCTTGACCGAGATAGGGATCGTGACATCATGCGGGATCGAGATGTAGATCGACGTGAACGGTTTGATCGCCGGGAGGATTGGGACATCCGTCGAGCTGATCGTGAGGATCGTGACCGTCCTATTGAGCCGTGGAAGAGAGACCGCCCTTCAAGCCGAGCAGAAAATCGTGCTGGCTCCATTGCTCATGGACCGCCTGCGGCGATGGGTTCTTTTTCTTCCGATCTTTTACCTGACCCGACTCCCTCGGAACAATCCCGGAAGCCATCCATTATATCCGGACCAGGTGGTCTGGACAGTAGACGAGAGAGCATTCGATCTGAAACCATACCTTCCTCCCTTCGCACCGATGCATCCAAAGACTTGGGACCTTCCACCCAAAACTCCCCACCTCCATCAGCACCACAAGTTCCCGCGTTTGGATCTGTATCTACTCCAATACCTTCTTTGCCTCCTCCCAAAGGCCCAGCTGAAGGACGCAGACCAAGCGACGCGTCGATCCATGCAGAGAAGAATATCAAAGAAAGCCAGCCAAAAACCACCCCTCAACCCCCAACAGGGCCGAAAGCCGAGCGCACAGAGTCCTTTGCACGACAAAATACAGAGCTTCCCAGCCAACAACCAGACAATCGTCAAGCACAAGATGATACCGCACGATTACCAAGGGGATCTATACCGGGATCAGACATTTCTCCCCCAACAGCACCGGCTGCGATGGTCAAGAGAGACTCAGTACACGGTCCGATCGAATCCCATGGACCACCTTTCAAGCCGGCCTCCAAGCCGGCCTCCATGACCACTTCTCCCACAATCCCTCGATTACCTCTACCACCTCGTTCAATGTCTCGAGATACTTCAGTTTCGCCTCGAATGCAAACATCGAGTATTCCCACAGGACCACGGTATCAGGGACGACAAGGCTCATCACCACGAGGACATAATAAAGGTAACAAGCCATGGAATCGTCCGGGGTTCAATCATGCTACTCCTGCATCTAATGGCCCACCCAAGAAAGAGGTTGATGAATCCGAATCATTACCGCCTTCGGACGAGAAGCCCTCGGACCGAATCCCGCATGAGCCAACCAAATCAGAAGAGGAGCAGCGCGACGAGGATCCTATGGATTACGAACCTGCTGAACCAGCTAAGCCCGCTGAGTCTGCTGAGGCCACAGCACCTAGAGAATTTGTTGAGCCCACATCACCTGCTGAATCTACTCAGCCTACTGAGCCTACTGAGCCTACTGAGCCTACTGAGCCTCCTGAGCCCACAGGACCTGCTGAACCCACAGAGGGTGCTGAGACTGCTGAGCCCGTTGAGCCCGCTGAGACTCCTTCTTTAACCTCCCCATCCATGAAACTCGCCATCCGAAGCAGTCCACCGCCAATATCATCTGTTGAAGTCACCTCGCAGAAAGAAGAGCCGGAGGAGGGGCCAAAAGAAGAAGGTAAAAATGAGTCTGCTATTATTTCTGGTCTTGCAGAATCAAGTGACGAAGAGGACGAAGAGAACGATGTATTCAGTCACGAATATTTGCAGGAGCGAAAACGATTATTCGAAAGAGATATGGAACTTCTTCGAGCAGAATTACCTCCCTCGCCTTTGGAAGACCCTCACATTGTCTCTCTTCTCATGAAAATACAATTATTGGGCAAGATTGCACAGGAGGAGACTGCAGATCCGGCTCCGGCAGAGCCTCATCCGTCAGTTGAAATGGCAGAAGCCCCCGTCGCATCGCCTGGTGAACGAAATGTAACTTTTGATCCCGAAGTCATTGGAGACAAGGATGACCCAATTCCGCAGGCCTCCAAAGTCCCCGATGTACTGCACCCCGAAGTTACTATTGAAAGCCTACCTTTCCTTGCGACAGGCCCTCCCACACCACTGTCAGACATGGAAGTATGGCATGAAAATGACTCTTCCCAAGAACAGCTCAAGGATGTATTCCGCGCTGAATTGTGCAAGCGAAAAAAGGAAGTTGCGAAAAAGAATGCAGCTCTAAGGGAGGAATACATGTCGTACTACAAGCCTTGGCGGTTAGCCATTTGGGAGTTAGATCGCTCTAAGGACAAGAAGCCCATGACTCCCGGCCCAGCATCTCCTCCACCGCCCACGGCACCAGTAACGCCAACAGTAGTACCGGATATTCGTGAAAGCCGCGAAGGTCGTGAAGGGCGCGAAGGGCGCGAAGGACGCGAAGGACGACGATACAAAGGAAACAGCGAATTGGATTTCCTCAATGCGTTGAAAGCCTCTGAGATCTCTGCTCAAGAGGAGCTGGAGCGCCGAAGAACAAAAATGGCAACCGCTCGTCCAGACTTGGCTCGTGAAGCAATCATCCCTGACATGCTCGAGCCCCAGGATGAGAAATCGCGTATCTACAAGGACGTCAACAATACTGTGGATCCTGACGAAGCGATGAAAGTGTTTGGTTTTGTTCCACCACCTAATGATTTCACCAAAGAAGAGCATACGATCTTCACAGATGCTTTCATGGCCTACCCGAAGAAATGGGGTAAAATCGCAGAGGCATTGCCTGGTCGAGACTTCAAGCAATGCATCATTCACTACTATCTCACCAAGGAGGAAATCAAGTACAAGGCCAAGCTGAACAAGCGATGGAGCAAGCGAGGCAGAAACAAGCCTAAGTCTGCTCGTCCAAAGTCCAATGCTCTTATTGCCGACCTCGGTGTAGTCAAACCAGATTTTGATGGAGAAGACGAAACCCCCGCTGTCACTGATACCGGGCGCCCGCGTCGCGCCGCCGCCCCAACATTCGGTGATTCAAATGACCCTGAAGGCGCAGCCACCGGTCGCCGTGGTCAAGCTACAAAAGAGTCCGAGCCCATAGAAAAGCCCGTTTCTCGGCGCGGCGGCCGGACCGCTGCTTCTCGTGGTCAAAAGCGCACTAAGACCACCGAAAAGGACCAAAGAAGCCAAAGCCAAATCCAACTCCAACCACCACAACCACCACTACCCCCAGTTCAAGGCCCTCCTCCTCCTATGAGTGCCTTGCCCAAGATGGAAGTGGGTGTGGATGGTATTCTTGAATCTGAGCTACCCACTGAACGAGAACCCATTGAGAGAGAACCCCAACCTCCTATCTCACGACCCAGGGTGGGGCGTGGAAGGGCGAAGGAAGGTGTGTATGTTTTCGAGTCTACCGAATCTGATCCATCTCTCCCACCCAAACAACAAGAGACTGGGTACGGATCACTCCAGCCGACAAGTTACTGGTCTGTCCCAGAACAACGCGATTTCCCCCGTTTGCTTGCACACTTTGGCCGTGACTTTGAAGGAATTTCGAATTTCATGAAGACTAAGACTACAGTAATGGTATGCTTGCTTTCCGTCTTCAGAACATGGTTGAATTCAACTGACGTCTCTATGTAAGGTTAAAAACTACTACCAGCGCCGACTTGATTCTGGACAGAAGGACTTTGAGGACATCATGATAATTGCAGAGGAGAAGAAAGGCCGCGGCGAACCAACTGGGCCCCTTCCTGTGCCTAGTGTTGCTCCCAAGCGGCGCTACGAGGCGACACCATCTGCAATCACTCCTCGGCCACTTGCTCCCCATGGTGAGTTAATGGGCGAGGGCGACGAGGCGCGATTTCCACCAAAGGGCAAACCCCTTGCAATGTCTCCTCAACCAATGCCGCTTCATGGTCGGCCTCTACCTGAGAGTGAGCGAGGTCGTTATCCGCCCTTGGCACAAGCATCTACTTCTGCCTCAATGCCCCCCGGTGCCCCAGGTTTGGTGGACGATGGCAGAGGAGTAATGCGCGGACAGGCGAACCAGCCTCAACAACGGATACAAGGGCCACGGTTAGGGTATTTCACCAACGAGGATAGACGGGAATCTTCGCTAATGCCCCATTCAACTCCGCGGATGCAAGAAATGCAAATCTCATCCCGGCACACCCCTGCCGCGCCCCTCCCTGCAGAATTAGCTCGAATGGATCCTATGTCCACGCAGGCGTATATGGCTGCTCAGACTCCTTCTCTTCTTCCTCCGAGCCATTCACGTCGTCCAAGCCTTACTCAAGCCCCTGGCTCGCCAACGCAATTGTCTAGACCCGAGCTTGATCTATCCTCTGTCCACCGTGATCCATTTGGACAGAGGCAGTATTACCCACTTGCAAGCCAACCGGTAGGACTTTCACAGTCTCCTCATCCTGTCTTGTCGCCCGTCAAAGATGTTCCACGACCGAGCGCTACTCCAGTACCCGATTCCAAGGTTCCGGCGAAGCGTTCTAACATCATGAGCATTCTTAACGATGAGCCCGAAGACCCGCAGCCGAAAAAGCGTTTTGCTAGTCCTCAACCCCCATCCAGTCTTGTTTCTGGCTCTGGATCTGCAACACGCCCTTCTTACCAACCTGGTGGGCCAACTCGTGCCGACGAGAATATCATGTCCGGTGGAACGCAAAAGTCCCCTGGCTACAATAGCCAGCAAAGTCAATACCAGTCACAGACCCCGTCACGCGGCTACGCAGATTATTCCAACTATGGTCCCCATGCTGGTAGCTCAGGATCATCGGCAAACAATGACTGGATGGCGCGTTTCGACCCGCGGGCACAGCAAGCTGGCTCTCAGCCACAGCCCCCACCCCCATCGCAGCCAAGCAGTCGTGCAGCCGCATCAGCGACCCCTCAAAACCCATACTCGCATTACGCTTCTACTGCGCCTCAGTCGGGGGGACCTGTTGTTCCTTCTGCGCCTACGCCCCCGCCGGCTTCTCAGCGACCTGCTTACTCTAGTATGTTTTCGCAACCGTCCAGTGGACAGAACCAGACGCCTTCCAACTCCCGTGACCCTCGCGATATGCCGGCGCATCCTTCGGCCTATCGACCAAGTTCTCCGCCGTCGCGTGCCAGTAGCGTTTTTGTTTCAAGACAGGAGCCTTCATCCGCAAAATCATCTGGAAACATGTATAACATACCACCACGCCAGTCTGGTGGACAGTCTTCCTATTCTCCCGTCGCTTCCAGCCCGGCGCCTGTGTCATCGCTCAACCAAGGCTACCAGCACCATGTTCAAACCTTAGTGAATGGATCTCATCAATCTCACCGATCCACGCCGGTCAGCTTAACTGGTGGCCCCCCACCATATGGACACAGCACACCTCCACCACAAGGTCAAAACGGCCGATCGATGCCATCGCTCTCAAGTCTAGGACGGTCATACACCCCGCCAGCTGGAATGCACCATTCAGTTGGTGGGAATTCCTTAGGTTATGCTCCACTTCCTCCATCTTCAGCAGGAACGATGCCACCTCTTCATCAACGACCACCAGGACCGGGCTCGCTAGGCGAACCCACGTCCACACCATCCCATCATCGTGTCTACAGCCAAAGCTCAATGCAAGGCGGAATGCCAGGCTCATTGCACCCTCCCTCCCAACCTCCTCGCTGATGCGACTGAGCCTGTGTCCATTTTTATAATTCTTTTCTCGGTTCTACGCCGTCATGAGCTGGATTTTGTGTCTTTGTATTTGGAAACAATTGGGTTGCGGATAAAATCGGTTATAAACAATGGGAGACCTCTTGTCACCGGGACTGGCTCTTGGAAGCGATCGTCATGGGTGCTGGCATTATGATGTTTCAGTTTTCTTTTATTATATGTACAATTAAATGAATGACTTGATGTGCAACATGTAATTAGAATTTTTTTTCTCATTTTCATTCTATCCGCTTCTTGTTTGACTGTAACTCAATAAAGTAATTCAAGCTGCGCACCACGAAATTCTCACGATACTTCCTTCAATGTTGTGACCCTAGTTCTCTTTTAGCTATTCTAACGATATTGACATCTCTAAAGGTTTATTTCTTTTTTTTCTTAAAGCTACTAAAGGTAAAGAATATATTAGTAGTTATATTACTTTAATCTTTTATTAGTTTCTTATTTGTTTCTTAAATAGTTTAAACTAATAAAATACTAGTTCTTTAAGATAGATTGAGGTATATAGAATATTATAGAATGTATTTCCACTTCTCCACTTCTTAGCCCCTGCTTGTATATGTACGTACATGGTATATTTCAAGAATGTTGACGTGCTGAATCCTTAGTGCCAGAGATACATGCGCTATTGATGCACCATCCCCAATTTTAGTTCCAAGGCCCCTCTTGTAATTAGAATATCCTTGTCGCATCCCTGCCAGAGGTGTAGTATTCTCGGCCTTTTTGCTGTTTTAAGAGAAGACGAAAAGAGAGAGGTCGCACAAGCCCCCATTTTCCTCGATCCTCGGTAGGAGACCTAGGAAGTCTTGTCTACCTAGTAAATTTCAGAAAATGCGATACAATTGGTATTTCATCTGGCCAGGTCGGAATAAGCGTTTTGGTGGGGCGCTCCTGTGCCTTTTCAAGGTTTTCACCCACAATCGTCGATCTGCCTTGGGGAAGCAGCCGCCACTAGATCCACTGAAAAGGAAAAATAGCCCCGGAGTCTAAAATTGTATTGTCCACGTTCACTGGTAATTTATTTCAAATAGTTATTTTCCCAAATTGTTACTTTTAGTTACTGAGAAGACGCAACCTCAGAAGCCAGCATGGTTTGACAAACGCTTGGGTCATTTTGGGGGCCAAAGGTCGATCAATATGCGACCTCGGGCGGAGCAAATTAATGCTTCGAAGTAGTATCTTCCTTCCCGCGCTCTCTATTGAAATTCACCTCCCCAAGGGCCAACAGGTGGTTCTGTCTCACATTGATTACCGAATTATCACCTCGCCTCAACATGTCGTGGACAACAGCTGAGCAGTCGCCCAAAATCCTCACCCGGCCTCTTGGTCCCAGTGAAGTGTTTCTCTCAGTGACCCTGGCCACACGATTGGTCGTGAACATTGGGCAGTCAACTTCACGGCCACCATCAGTCCACGAGGGGCATTCGCGGCATTGTCAAGCTCACCCGGCCTTCTACCAACCCTCATCCACTACAGTTGGTTAAATCTACGATTCGAGCACCCCAGTATAGCTGCTCACCCAGACTCATCCAACACTCACATCGTCTGCACAATTCCTAGCTCTGGAAACGATCTTAGCGAATGGGCTTCGCAGACATTCGTTGTAGAGACTGACGCCGAGTCCGTCGACGAGGTCATTCCTACAATTGCGCCAGCTGCCGATGCTCGACTGTACTATTTGCCCCAATCGAGTGAGCTGCTCCTGCACACCGCTCACTGGCGCATGGATGGAGTGGCTGGCATGCTTCTCCTTGGCCAATTGGTAGACCTGATGGTCTCGCACGCCGACAAATTCCTCTTGAACAGGCTGCCAGACCCATTCGATTCCTGCAATTGGGGATCGGAGGTTACACGGCTGACACCATCCTTCGAAGACGCCGGCAACATACCATTCACCGTCAACAAGGCGCAGAAGGCTATCGCCGACAGATCTGTCGGCACCTTTGGTCTGGCGGCGGGCGCTCTCGGGGTACCTTATACCGGGGACGCTGTGACTGTGCCTTCCGGCACGAGGGCGGTTGAACTCACTTTCTCGTGTGCTGACAAGTCTGCCATTACGTCCGCCGCAAAATCATGCGGCCTTGGTGTCACAGCCGCCGTGCATGCCAGTCTGGCCACAGTCAACTTCCGACATGCGATCGCCGAGCACCGTGGCCGCCACTATACTAGCTCCATTAGATATTCGCTGCGGCCATATCTACCCGAACAATACATGACCCCCGCGGTGGCAGCTGGGTTCTACTCGACCGTTTGGTTCGCGCGAGCCGACGCCTCTGCCAGCTGGGAGGATCATGCTCGCATATATCAGGCGGAGTATCGGAACGGCCTCAGCAATAATTTTCTCCAGGCCCATCGGGAGTATGCGTCCACTTTGATCGGTGTGTTTAAGAACTTACCGACCCCGCGGGAGCCGCCCAGTGAGATAGACATCAGTAGCCTTGGGTTTATGGAGAAATATCTAGAGCGCGAATATGGAGCCCCAGAGCGCGGATTTAGTATCGCACATGTAGGCTACAGTGTGGAAATGCTTTCCCGCGAAGGAGGAGTTTTTATGTGGACATTTCGTGACCAGTTAACACTAAGATTGGTGTTTAACCAGGCTTTCCACACTTCGAAGCAGATGACGGAGTTTTTGAGCGACATTAAGACCGACATATTAACGCAACTGCAGGTGGACTAGAGGCCGGGCCTATGGTTGTAGTAGTCATCCAATTCGTCCGGTTGAGGACTTTCCCCAACAAAATATCACGATTGGATGATATAGGACCAGGAAGTCTTGATTTATGTCAGTATACATTGAAGTTGTGAAATAGATTGGCATCAGATCGAATGTTCAAGTATTGCGAGTGCGACGGGGTATAGTAAGCACCCCATGCCAATGCGCTACTTTTAGAGGAAGATTTAGTGTCTGATTTAGCCAGATTTTAGAATGGCTGAACATACTAGTGATACCTCCAAAGAAAGTTTACTACAGCACATTATATATACATGAATAAATTCTCGTTTTGGCAGGATACCAAGATTATTAGGTATTCCAGAGTATTAAACCACGCTATACGAAGGACATTGATTGTCAACTGCTGTAACTGTGACTGACCGTTTATCAGTTTGTCGTTTTCCAAACACTTTATATGAAAATACTTATAATCTATATCTATCTACTACTTAGATTAGATCTATTCCTATTATTCAAGATATCTAAGTCTCTTAAGTAAATCCCTTCTTAGTAAATCATTGTCTAACGATCCAACTGATTCATATGACTCGGAAGATTCCACTCATCATAATCCAGATGCACAAACGCCCTATCCACAGTCGGTACGCTCTCCAGAATATACTGTAAGCTTTCTCCAACATCATGGCTATCGCGAAGACTAGTCCTTTCATCCACAACAAGATCAACCTCAACATTCAGCTTGTCACCCGCGTAATACGCTTTGAGATCCTGAATTTTCAAAATCACCCTCGAAAACCGCATAGTCATATACAGCAGAATACTGTGATCAGTCGCAGAAGCAGCAGCACCTGTAAGACGAACAATATAGTCGCTTGCTGTCTGGCCCCAGTTCCACATAATATAGACAGACAAGAAAACACCACCAAGGGGATCAAGATACCAAAGACGAGCAAATGCCCCAACTATTGCCGTACGTTAGTAAATAGTATCTTCGTAGACAAAGAGAGAGTTCTGGCTAGGAACGCCAGCGGCAATACATACTCAACGGGAATATAATACTAAAAGTATTAAAAACCACATCTGTCATAGCATCCTGCGCAAGCACTTGAACACTCGGACTAGGAATAAGCCGACACCAAACCCAACAAGCCAACTTAACAACCACCGTCGCAGCCATAAGTACAATCGAAGGCAAAGAAAGCTCAACAAGCTCACGATCATCCCCAGTCAACCTATTAATAGAAGTAAGAGCAACCTGAAAAAACGACGTAACCATAATAACCGAGAAAACCAAAACGCTCACAGGTTCCAATCTGCGCCGACTAATAGGGTATCTATTCCGATCTTGTCGACGAATAATAGTCGTCGTAATCCATATAATCAGTGTGCTGAGAAAGTCCAGTACCCCATCAACTAATCCTGCAAGAACGGACATTGAACTTGTTAGAGCCATGATGGCTACCTTTGATCCGAGCAGAATGACATTCGCAGCGAAATTGACTTTGATGGCGAGGTTGATTAGCTGCTCTTCTTTTTCGGGGGACATAGAGCTGTGTGGTTCCATTTCTGGTATGTGGTGAATACAGTTCTCGTCATCGTTTGAAGGGAGCAGTGGGTCTGTTTCATCGGGGATGCGGTATAAGTTGTGGGCTGTGCGTTTAACTCTGGAGTTTTTAGAAGCATTTTGAGATTCATTGGCTTCGTTGTTGGGTTCCACGTCTGCTTCCGGTTGTAGGCGGGTGGAAGATTCAGATGGTACGTGGTGATGGCATCCATTGTAATCTTCAATTAAATTGTGTGGTAAAGAAGAATCCAGCAAACGATCGATATACAGATATTGAGATATCAACGAGTTATTACGCTCGTAGTATTGTCGCCTAAAAGGGTAAGAAAGAATCTACACCGAAGACGTGAAGAAGGCGCGTCATAGAAGAGGGGGAGTGAAAAAAAGACATTTTCAGAAATATCAAGTACTTCATCAATAGAGGAAAAAACTCACACTGGCTTCCGAAGATTCTTCAATGTATCAGATGGCCGATAATAGCGTTCCCTGCTCTCATTCCATCAGTATCAACAATGTGATTTAGTGGAGCCGTCTGACTAAGTTAGTGCAACATGACGCACCATTTATAACGGGGATTACTATGCCCAATGAGATGTGAGCCTCGTCGGAGAAATGTTGGCGATGCGACTTCTTCATTGAGTTCATGCAATGCGGCGCTGGATGTACGACTGGGCAGTAAAGACCAAGTACGCTGGCCACGCGTCGTCAACATATCCCGCTCGAGTTCCAGACTGGGACGTCGCGGCAGCAACGTAGAAGCTGGCGACGAGGACAATGGCAGGAAGGGCTGAGAAGACATGTTGTTTACTGATTAATACAGTCTCCTCTCCTCTTGTTTGTCTGTGGACTGGTTGAGAGGTGATTATCGCGAATCCTGGGGCGAAGTTGAAGTTGATACCCACTTCCAAGTTCGTGATGGATGTGGTGTCTGAACTTGACGCCTGGTTTCTCAGGCATCAGACCTCATAGTTATCTAACTAACTAACCAACGAAACCACAATTAATACACGACCACAGAAAACTTGGGATGCGGAAATTGAACTTAAATTTTCATAATTTCCAATTGATCCACCTCAATGCTGGACGAAGAATCACGATTGATGCCGTTTGAATGATCAAAAAAGGCATAGTTAGTTGACTAACTAGTGTAAGGTACCTGCAAGACCCACTACCCTGTGACTGACACAGCCCCTCTAAGCTCTAAGATAAAGAAGGCCCAGAGCCCCAAACATTTCTTTATTCAGCACCAATACCCATAATGCCCGCAAAAATCGCATTCATATCTGGACCCATCGACACCGGGCCACAAGAGATCTATTTCCACGAACACTACATACCAAAGCTCAAAGAGGCAGTCGAACGAGGCGACAACTTTGTCATTGGTCCTATCCCCTCGGGTGTCGATGCAGACGCGCTATCTTATCTACTAGCATTCCCTATAGCACCTACTCGGATCACTATCTGTGTGACTCCAGCAGAGAATGGGATGTGGGGTGTCAGGTTACGCAGTACTGGTGTCCATGTACAAGTTGTGGATGGTCAGATGAGTCGAGAGCGAGACGCGACGCTGACTAGCATCAGTACCTATGATATTCTACGAATACGTACAAAAGAGGAGGCCGGGGCTTTTTACGGTCGCATGTCGCGAGAGGCGTATGTAACTAATACAGAGCGGAATTGGAAGCGCCGGCGTGGGATTGAGGAGTACGCGAAGGTGGATGCGGAGGAGATCAACAATTCTGTGGGGATGAAATAAGAAATGCCTGCTGTATATCTTGTATAGGTATTAGAAAGAGATATCCAAGGGAATTCAATGGTCGATGATCTCCCCGAACGCGACCAAGATATAAGCAGAAGGCTTTAAGCTTCTGTGAATAGCCCAGACGGTTCAAGGGTGTTGTCGTCCTCAGTTAAGGCGTCTTCCAACTTGATATCAGTGTTTTTTTTCCCGAATAAAAGTAACGCCGCCATGAAAGCTTTTGCAACAAGCCTATGCTATCTGGAGCAACAGCTAAGATACCATCCACCGCTGTTCAGGGGTGTACTAGTAAGATGTGAACGCATGCAGGGGGGCTGTTGTATCACATGATCAAGCTGGGCAGAGAGGATTGTCAGACATAGTGATAGCACATATACGTACATAGTCAGATAGTCACCTAGATAGTTAGACATATATTGAGTTATTTGAGGCCGAGCATGAACGTAGAAAATATCGTAATACCATAATGCTGCAGTTTGTCATTTTATGAAATTCTTAGACTCAAAAGTTGCTGCAGCTTCAAATCCAGCTGTTCTCGTGCTTCTATGTCGTAACGACTGACCGCGGAATTGACGGAATACCCAGCGCGCTAGCCACTGGTATGTGCCTCTGATTCAAAGTGGAGAACAAGCTCCAATGCTTGAGTGGATGTCAATCCTGCGGTTTTGTCATTTCTCCAGTCGTATTGCAGGCAGTGGGGCCGTGGCGGCGGTCGGACCATAGGATCCCAGTGCGGAATCAAGTGATTCGACCCCGAGTGATCCGCAGGTTTCGTGGGGAAGCGTTATCGCGGAATGAAAATGGCCAGATTCCCGAGGTGGTCATGACCGGCCCGCGTGCGGAGCCTGATATGAATTGCGTGTTCGATGACTGGCTCTGCTACCATGTAGCTAGACGTCAATCTTCTCCCATCATAGACACTGCCTGCATTAGGGACATTAGGCACTCGGAAAAAAGCCGCCAACGTGTTGGAGACCGGTTATAAGGGATGCTCTTCCCCTCCTGACCCAGTTCCTCCAGTGAATTAAGTTCAATATCTTTTTCATTCTTTAACGACATAGAACAGCACCCCATGGCGCTTCAAACAATTGCTGTGGCCGTTGTGACGGTCGTGTACTTCCTCATTCGCTATTTCAATCGGACTGACGTCCCCAAAATCAAGGGTATCCCAGAAATCCCGGGTGTGCCTATCTTTGGAAACCTATTGCAATTGGGCCAACAGCATGCCACGGTGACGGCCAAATGGGCGAAGAAATTTGGGCCAGTTTTCCAAGTGCGCATGGGCAACAAGGTATGTTTTCGGTGCAACCATATGCAAAGTCGCCTGTGCTCAATTTAACAATTGCCGTAGCGAATTGTGTTCGCGAATAGTTTCGATTCCGTTCGTCAGCTATGGATCAAAGATCAATCAGCTCTGATTTCCCGCCCGATGTTCCATACATTCCACAGTGTGGTCTCTACCTCGCAGGGATTCACAATTGGTACATCACCTTGGGACGAATCCTGTAAGCGACGACGTAAGGCTGCAGCTACAGCTCTCAACCGCCCTGCAACACAGTCTTATATGCCGATCATCGATCTCGAAGCCAACTCCAGCATCAAGGAACTGTACCGGGATAGCAAAAACGGAACATGCGACATCAACCCCACTGCATACTTCCAGCGCTATGCATTGAACACCAGTTTGACCCTCAACTATGGATTCCGCATCGAAGGAAACGTGGATGATAACCTACTGAAAGAAATTTGTGATGTTGAGCGTGGTGTTTCGAACTTTCGCAGTACCTCAAACAACTGGCAAGACTATATCCCCTTGCTACGGATCTTCCCTAAGATGAACAACGAAGCTCAGGAATTCCGTGCTCGTCGAGACAAGTACCTGACATACCTATTGGACATGCTGAAGGCCCGTATTGCCAAGGGTACAGATACGCCTTGTATCACCGGAAACATCATCAAGGATCCTGAAGCTAAATTGAACGATGGTAAGCCAGACCTGGTCGCATTACTTTTGACGCGAATATCACAAAATTTGAGACTAATCAAGCATTGCAGCTGAAATTAAATCTATCTGCTTGACCATGGTCTCTGCGGGTCTAGACACCGTACCTGGAAATTTGATCATGGGTATCGCATATCTCGCGTCAGAGGATGGCCAAAGAATTCAAAAGAGAGCATACGAAGAAATTATGAGCGTATATCCCGATGGCGACGCATGGGAGAAATGCTTGATTGAGGAGAAGGTGCCTTATGTCACAGCGCTCGTCAAGGAAGTCCTGCGATTCTGGACTGTCATTCCGATCTGTCTGCCTCGAGTATCTACCAAGGATATCACCTGGAATGGCTCAACAATCCCCGCTGGTACAACATTCTTCATGGTATGTGTTCTCCATCTTCCCTCTCTTTAATGGTACCATTGTCATTTACACTATATTTAGAATGCCTATGCTGCCGACTACGACGAGGACCACTTCAAGGAGGCCCACAAGTTCATCCCCGAGCGTTACCTTGACCTTGGGGAGGCCTCAGGTACCCCCCACTATGGATACGGAGCTGGATCCCGAATGTGCGCTGGCTCACACCTGGCAAACCGAGAGCTCTTCACAGCTTTCCTTCGCTTGATCACCGCGTTTGAGATGAAGCCCGCTAAAGAGGCCAGCGATCGCCCTATTTTGGATGCTATTGACTGCAATGCCATCCCCACTGCTTTGACTACAGAGCCTAAGCCATTTAAGGTTGGTTTCATTGCACGTGATCCTAAGAAACTGGAGCAATGGATCGCGGAGAGTGATGAGCGGACCAAGGACCTGTAGTTGATTGCGATTTCATGTCCTTTATTTTCTTTCACCGCCGGTTGGATCTGATGATCAATGACATACTGCTTATGTTAGCGTTTGTTTCAAATTGTTGTATATGGAGACTTCGTGATTCTTTGTATATATTTTAGAAAAATAAGACAAGTCTACGTATAAATTGTTCAAATTCAAATTCAAATTCAAATTCAAATCTGAATTATATTAGGCCGTCACCAAAATGACCATGATGGTCAGAGATACGAATATGAGTGGAGCAGACAAAAGAGTATAGGTAAGAAAAAACACAGAATAGATCTTTCTTGAGAGAAGAAACACACGTCTTAGATTTCTGCCCATTACTAAGGCACTCCCGAACACTGGTTATTGGATTTAATATAGGCTTAGTATGTATCATTAGTATGTAGTTGCAGAACTTCGCTAGTCATCTAGTAGGTAGGCCGGCTCTAATCTCCTTCTACTTAGAAAGGAAAATGATTGAAGAATCTAACGCATGCAGGTCCTTTACCCTGAAGATCGAAATTTTAGCAAAGCAATTCTCCAAGTATAACCCAATAGTACGTCAGAAGAAAATTGGTAAAAAGCAAGCGTATCGCAGCCCGGTGTATACGCTGTGTATGTTCTCCGCACCAATCCCGGCCCGCATTTATGCTCTGACCGCGGAACTGCATCCCCGCACTTTTCCCTCTTCCCTCAACTCAACCTCCCACGAACCAACCTCTCCAGCAGAGTCTTAATAGACACTACTTGTATCAGTTGTTCAGTTTGAATAAGATGGACGATTTTCAGGATGAAATACAAGACAGGGGGAAACCGACATCAATGGATGAGGCATATGATGAGCGACCGCGCAAGAAACGACGCAAGTACATTGCAAGAGCATGGTATGTATATTTCCAATTTTAGTGCCCAGGTGAGAGATCGAGAAACTGACATCTACCAGTAATGAATGCAAACGCCGCAAGATCAAATGTAATGGTGAAGCGCCATGTTATCGTTGTGGTCGGCAGCGCATTGAATGTGTCTATGTGGAGAATCCCCCTAACGACCCTCTCGGGGACCAAGAGTATGTATTTCGACGCTGAACTTTCCATAGACCAGAATATTCGAATAAGAAAAGCCAACATGAAATTGACGATTTATGTAGGAACTTTGAGAGGCTGTTTGAACAAATGCGATCGATGCAGGACCAGATCGCGTCGTTATCTGCAGCTGTCCGCACGGTGACGCACAGTGACGCGTCTCCCCTTTTTGGTGCAAGGTCCAGCGTAGTCGCGACTGCATCAGGATCTTTTCCAGCTCAAAGATCCATACGTCGAGTATCGTCAGCTCGCGAGGCCCCATTTCAAGGCCCGACAACCTCAGGATATAGTTTTGATCTTGCTAGATCTAGCTTACAGCAGCATGGAATCGTGGAGCGCAACGAGACAGGGGATGAGGGTGAATTCACCCAAGAGCCGTCGCCCCTGACATCGCCTTCCGCTCCAAACCATGAATTAGAAGTGCATCAGGCGGTAGATCCCCTATGGGCTCTGCCGAAAGATGAAGCCTTGCGACTTTGTCGAGTCTATGAAGAAGAAATGGGAATTATGTACCCTGTTTTGGAACTTACAGAGCTTTTGGGCCAAGTACATCAACTATATGGTTTGATGGACAACACTGGGAACGTTCCAAACCCAACAGAGGGAAGCAATCACTTGGATCGGAATGACATCCATATTCTTAGATTGGTTTTTGCGTGTGCTTTGACGGCCGAAGCGAGTGGTCGCAGTCAGCAGGCAATCGCACTTTTTGATAGTGTACGGGAAGTGCAAGACAACTGTGTGTGGGGACCCCCAGAAATCAAAAGCATAATATTTTTGACCTTGGTGGTGCGTAATCATACCAACCTAGCGAGGATTTGTGTGAACTAACATTCTTTGCAGTCGATTTTCTATTTTCAAATGGACGAAGAGACTCTTGCATGGCGAACAATTGGTATAGTCGAGCGCATGTGCTTAGAGAAAGGTCTGCACAGACGGGAGACTTTGAAACACCGATCAATTGAGGCTGCGGGAAGAGAACGAGTCCTTCGTCTTTTTTGGTCCATTTATATACTTGATATGCGTTGGAGCTTTGGAACAGGTATGCCCTTCGCGCTAGAGGACACCGACATTGACCCTTGGCTTCCGGAGCCAGAGGAAAAAACGCCCTATTTGCGTGTCATGATTCGCTACAGTCGCATTGCTGCTAAGGTGTGGAAATTTATATCGGCATTCAACAACACGAATGAAATTAGGAAGGACGAAATGAACTACTTGGATTGGCAAGTACTCCGTTGGGCACAGACAATTCCCGACTCTTTACGATTAGATCATCCCAGCACGCCAGAGTCAGATGCTGCCATTGAAGGCCCGAGAAGCCTGCGAAGGTTGCGCGCACTTCTTTACCTGCGCTCTAATCAACTACGGATGCTCATTCATCGCCCAGTACTACATACTGCTGGGCATATTGTCCGATACCCTGGCGAATCACATACTGTCGTTGAAATTGCCAAGGACACAATACGGTTCATCACTCGATTGAATGAAACCTCAGATATCTACAAACTTCAGCAAGTGACCTTCAACTGGTTTTTGGTTTCTGCACTGGCGGTTCTGTTCTTGGCCACTTCCCAGGCACCATCCCAATTCAGTGCTTCGTGCAAAGCCGAGTTTTATTTGGCATTGGAATTAGTCAAGGGATTTTCCACAAAGTCATACATCTCTCGAAGACTGTGGAAATCTATTCGGGGCCTTCGTAAATTGGGCCCACAATTAGGATTGAGCGTGCAAAAGGGCCGACCGGATGGATCAGCCCCTGAAAATCACAATCCCCTTGAGTCCTCCAATCACTTCGAATCACCGAACGTAGCTCCGGATTCAAGCATTCATAGCCAAACACCTTTGGACGGAGCGCAAATGACACAAGAACTAATGGAGTGGTTTGAAGCTGTCGGAAACTTGGAAGATCAAATCATGGGGGTAGGCACAGGGCTGCTACCAGATGAAGGTGCTTGGCAGCAAATGCCCAACGGGGCATATGTCTATGATTACGGAGGGGAACTCTCTAGCATGATGAGAGACTGCTTTTGAGCGGATCCTCATCATATCATACATATATCCGGATTACATCTAGAACGCCATCGTCATTATAGACTTTCTATCTATGAAGGACACTGCTCACGGTCATTATTGAATTCAAATCCCTAAATACTGCCAGACTGAAGGCTCTCTAGATCAGCAGCAGTCCAGTCGGTTACCAACATGTGTCCTGGCTCATGAGCGAAGACAAGCCCTTCAATCTTCTCTCCCGCAGCTTCCACTGCCATTTGAGGCGTGACACCGCAGGCCTGCGAAATAAATCAGTTGATTCATTCGGCAAAAGAGAAATCAATGTTATTTTAAACATACCCAAAAGACAGGCACCTCATCATCCTCAAAGATCTGGGGCTCTCCAAAGTCTGGCTTAGTGATATCAGTGATACCAAGTTGTTTAGCTCCGTCCCATCCCCAAGCGACAGGCTCGCCATGCGTAGAAAGATACGGACGGGTCACTTCGCGAACACGATCGATCTGCTCCAATCGATACGGTCGCATGGAGACAATACAATGAGCCCCTGTGAATATACCTGCAGGTAAAATTGGAATGTTCGACCTATACATAGCGACAACAGATTTAGTTCGCTGGTGTCGAGGAGGTAGTCCCGCCGCCATCAGCGCATCTTCAAAGGAGTATGAACATCCTATCAAAAAGGCCACATGACTTTCCGTCCATAGACTGGCTATCTCAGTGCGACTCTCCAGGTATTTGCCTCCCTTGTACACTCTGTATTTAGGGAAATCGGTGCAAACATCGAAATCAGTAGAGAGAATACAGCCCGCAGGTTTAATTGTATGTGGATTACCCGGCGTGGAGCTCATCCCCAGCAAGGGACATGCAACAGGATTTCGCAAACATAAGTTATGAAAGTCGGAGGCATATTCGCCCGGCAGAATCAGCAAATTAGCTTGTAGATAGCCTGGCGCCACGCCAGATGTGTTTGTCAAGCTGTTTTGGCGACATAGTAAACGTGCCTCATGCGATACAGTCGTGATGCTTCCCATGGTGATAACACGATTCGGAAAATCGAGATAGGACAAACTTGAATCGCGATAAATACGCCATTTATGATTTCGATTATGCTTGATTATTGGAAGCGTGTAAGCGTGTAAGCGTAGCCTCGGTTATCTTTGCATGGGTCCTCATTGACCGCAGTGGAGACTTCGTTATCATCGGGATCCACCTACCGATGGGGTTCAAGCGTGGGTTGGGGTTACTCCGCAACATCCAAACCTACAAGCGCCAATCAGCAGGATCCAGCATAGATAGGGCCACAGAGAGACGGGCAGAGTGGCAATGCGAAACTTTCATCCTTCTCTTCCTTCCCGCTTCCCCCTGTCTTTTTACTGATCGGACTGGTTCCGACGCCGGGACATCGGTCCGACAGAACCTTGACTGGCGCTGGCTTGGAGAAGAGGGGTCAAAGATAGACAAAAGATCAAGTATCCACTGATGTTTATCTTTCATGACGTTGACTCCGCTCAGGTTTGGAACCTTCAAAATTGGAATATATCTGTTGCTTGAGCCTCCGGGGATTTCATCAATATTTCTAACGGTGTATTTTCTGTCTCAACTACCATCATCACACATTGAAGCATTCCCATGTCCGTCGATAACAATGAAACCCAATCCTTCAAGTTGGAACCAACTGGTTCTAATCATAAAAATGTCGATAAGGAGGCCATGATGACGGATGAAGCATCCAATGGAGAATCGCTCGACGTCGTGCTCGATCCCAAAATGGAACGAAAGCTGTTGTTCAAATTAGATATGGCCTTTGTGCCTATTATCATGCTTGCATATCTGTCCTGCTTTTTAGATCGATCAAATATCGGTAAGAAATCCCCGATTTAGCTGGAAATTGACAGTATCATTCTTGCTAACTGACTTAGGCAATGTCAAGGTCGCTGGGATGCCCGAGGATATCAATGCGTCTGACGGCGAATTCTCTACGGCTGTCTCTATTTTCTATGCGACGTATGTGTTATTTGAATCTCCATGGGCGGTCCTCATGAAGAAACTCACGCCACGAAACATTTTGACCGGCCTATGCATTGTCTGGTCCCTGACTACGGTGTTCACTGGATTCATTGAAGGGGTCGGCTCATTATATGCCACTCGACTAATTCTAGGAGCCTGCGAGGCTGGCCTTTTTCCTTGCTTGAATCTTTACTTGACAATGGTATACCGGCGCGAGGAACAAGCTAAGCGAGTTTCTTACTTGATGAGCTGCGCTGCTATATCCGGTGCTGTTGGTGGTCTTCTCGCATACGGTTTACTTCAAATGGATGGGATAGGAGGAAAGGCCGGGTGGCGGTATGCTTTCCCCCAAAACGAATACATTCAAGTTGCGATAAATAACCAACTGACTCGTTGTATTCTAGATGGGTGTATATGATCGAAGGTATCTTCAGTTTCGTGATCGCCATCCTCATTTGGTTTGGTTTGCCCAACAACCCCACAGAGGCATATTTCCTCACGGAGGAAGAGCGCTGGATGATGCGCGTGCGAAATGAACAGCGACGAAAGTACATGGGCAGTGAAGAGTTCAGCTGGGAGGAGATGCGCATTGCCGCCACCGATCCAAAGCTACTATTCTCTGCAATTGTTCAGTTCTGTCAAGATATCCTTCTTTACGGATTCAGTACATTCCTGCCCACCATTCTCGAGAGCATGGGGTACAACTCGCTCATGAGCAATGTATTGACAGTTCCAGTCTACATATGGTCTGCGATGATATTTATAGCCATAGCCGTGTGCGCCGATCGATTTTCAAAATTTGCATCGGTAAGTTTAATCAGATTACCAGTAACCATTCCTCGGGGCCCATGCTAACATAGAAACAGTATATTTTTGCCGTGAACATGTTTGGCATTGTTGGCTATGTCTTGTTGATCACCGTCAGCAATCCAGCTGTCAAATATTTTGCAACCTTTCTCATTGGAATCCCTACTTATACAGCTGTTGGTCTGAACCTCGCCTGGTTGAATACCAACGTCGCCCCTCAATACCGACGAGCACTAGCAGTTGGACTGCAACAAACGATTGGTAATTGTGCAGGAATCGTTGCGGGTCAAATATATCGAAAGTCCCCATACGTCCTCGGGAATTCCTTCTCTCTGGGTGCGATTGTCGTATCTCAAATTGCTGTTGCTAGTCATGGTTTATACCTGCGCCGACAGAACAAATTGAAGGAGCAGATTGAGAGCGGGGAGAAGGAAGATACCCGGCGTATTCACACTGGGGATGGCGATGTAGACTTTAAGTATCATTACTAAATTATTTAGCTCAGAGAAATGGCCAACACTAATATAAAGTGTTAAAGATCAAGTTCAAATTGCATCCGTAGATGATAGATGTGTAGTTATGTAGTTTTAAGGAGAATGGGCGTGCTTGTCCGGATAATTTCCTCCTTAACGCCTTCAGTTAAACCGTGATATCTAATATAACAAAATAAGCTTGAAGTCCAGCTTGCAGACTTCCGGTCCAGGCATCAGAAAAGCATGCGAAAGCGACTCCAGACGTTGCAGCGGAAATAGCCGTAGCCATGGGCAGTGCAAACTCGGGATTCACAGTGTCGACCATGGTGGGTTCAAGAGCAGAGCGCCGAGTAGTAGCATTATACAAATTAGGAAGTGGTAGGTGTTTCGCAGTTGGAGCATCTGTTCCAAAAGCTAGAGATGCGCCGCCATCGAAAAAGTCGCGATAAGCGAATGCTCTTTTACAGATCTTCCAAAAAAGTAGCAAAGAGAAGCCGGTTTTTAATGTCTACAATGGCCACGCTAGACGCTCAGCATCTGATAGGCATCTCTTATCGTCTTATCATCTTATCGCATTATCTCCGATCGTCGGGTCGTTCCTTCCGTTTTCCCCGTCTTCCCCATGTTTCCTCTTGCCTACACAATCTGCTTGCATGATCACATATCACTGAAGCTGCCATGGAAACAAGAGCTTTGATTCTTCAACGCGAAAATGGGGTCCCTTGACAACGCGGCCTTGTCTTCGACAGTCGCAGCTTCTTCACCTAAGCTTTACCGCCAACCGCGTCGTCGCCCGGCTCATCTCCGGACTAAGACGGGATGCTTGACCTGTAGGCCTCTATGTGAGAAGAGTTTAATTGTTGATTATACTGATTCAAGTTCAAGGTCGAAACCGGAAGAAAAAATGCGATGAAGTTCGGGCGCCGTGTCTGAATTGTACGAAGCGACATATTGAATGTGTTTGGCGGCGTTCGCCTAAGCTGCAGCGACCCGATGAGAATGTCAGGATGATTTCAGAGACACTGAAGGGTGAGAAGAGATCAATTGTCGTTGAAGATGGCTTTGCGATACAACCATTGCTTCCAAGTACTTTCTATACAACGCATAGGGTGGAAGCAATACTTCGCATGCCATTCACGTACTCGACAGCTATCACCCCCGAAAGTGGAAACCTTTTCGACTTTTTGAAGCAAAAGTTTCTGCCTGAACTCATCAGACCAGCGGCAGAGACACATGTTATTGATACATTAAGCAAAGAGACATTAACCTTAGCTCTCGATTCGCCATTTTGCATGCATGCGCTACTTGCCTGCTGTGGTGCTGAGATTCCCGCCTACGATCAGAAACCTCGTGACTTAGCGCGCACTCATTACACACGCTCAGTAGGGGCTCTGAGAAAGCATCTGAGTGACAAATGTCTCCGAAGCCACTGGGTGGCCACAACTCTAACCGTCATGATGCTCTGTATCTACGAAGTATGCTATGCTCTCCACTGGTTGCAGACCTTGAAAGTTCTGACATGTTTTCATATAGCGATCGAAACCTCAATCCTCAACCGGCGTCTCAATTCATCTTGCTGGGGCTGCTAGATTGATTCACCTTGGTTCCTCGGGTCATTTAGATTCATCAAGCCCCACTGGCATAGAGAAAGCGATGCATCGCCTCGTTCAAGAATCTTTCATATTTCATGTTGCAACTAGCTTGCCATTTCAAAATGATTTCACCCAAAGAACCGAAATTGAAACAGCCTTCAGCTTAGCTGAAGAGGCTGTTCTGCCTCACTTTCGCCCTGAGAATCTCTCTTACTCCAGCTCACCAGTTCTTGGGTTCCCGCCCAAACTCTTCCGCTCTATCTATACGGCATATCGTCTATATCAGGAATCCAAATGGGGATCAGTGGACTTTGAAACATGTCGCAGTCTCGAATATGACCTACGGCAGTGGAGCGATCATATCGCATGGCTAGAGTTTGGGTCAGGCAGCAGCAGCGGACGCGTACCGCAGAATCACGACGTAGCTTTGCAACAAGCCACCGGAAATGATCTCCCATCTACTGCACTTCTAGGACCAAGACTTTATGTGATTGGCTGTCATATCATCCTCTCGCGTATGATGTCGCCAATCGATGGGCGGCGCCAACCTGACCTGGAGAAATTAATACAAAAGGGAATCAAGGCCGTGGGTGATTTACAGCCAGGACAGGATTATTTTGCAGAATACTACTGTTGGCCACTTCTTGTTATTGGCATGCATTTAACAAGCAAACCAGATAAAGACTTACTAATGGACCAGGTCCGCGCTTTTTGGAAGGCGACCAACAATGGCACTATGAGGAGATTGGCCGACATGCTGGATATTTTCTGGAAATCTCTTTGAAAAATTTCGCATGCAAGCTGTTTCAATTATCCATAAATACCAATAAATTCATTGATTAGAAATGTCATTATACGGTCTGAAGTTTTAACCGAGGTGGGGTGTTGAACTCAAGTATAATGGTGTTTCCAGATGTCGTCGGATAAACGGATATTTGGATTTGTAAGCGGCCTGTTGCCATTTAAGTCAGAAATTATGACAACCATCTCACTTTCAACTTTCTATCAAAGCTTGATATTCACTCAGATACTATGGGATCTATTGCATTCGGATCGCCTCGAGTCTTGAGGGCTGCGGGCCTTCCTTACTTCACCCCGGCCAATAATGCCGGCGCTGCTCTGAACCCTCAAGATCCCAACACCCCGACCTTGTTTCGACCACTACAAATCCGAGATGTTACACTTAAAAATCGAGTCATGGTCGCGCCCATGTGCATGTACTCAACTGAATCCGATCCAGCCTCACCAGCAATTGGTGCTCTGACCGATTTTCACGTTGCCCACCTTGGTCATCTAGCAGCTAAGGGTGTGGGGCTTGTGATCATCGAAGCAACGGCCGTACAGCCAAATGGCAGAATTTCCCCAAATGACTCTGGCCTCTGGCAAGAAGGGACTGAATCCGAACAATTCAAAGGCCTTCAGCGCGTGGCAAATTTCATACATAGCCAGGGTGCCAAAGTAGGAATTCAATTAGCCCACGCCGGCCGGAAGGCCAGTTGTGTCGCACCCTGGTTGTCATCAGAAGGGAAAAAGAGCAGCATTAAAGCCGACGAAAATGCTCATGGCTGGCCTTCTAATGTCGTTGGTCCGTCTGGTGGCGAGGAGCATATCTGGACATCAGGAGACAAGTATTGGCCGCCTCGAGAGCTGAGTACGTCAGAAGTGGAAGAACTTGTGCAGGCATTTGCACGAAGTGCGAAACTTGCTATCCAGGCCGGCGTGGATGTGATTGAGATTCACGGAGCGCATGGATACCTGCTGAACGAGTTCTTAAGCCCAGTCACAAACCGCCGCACCGATAAATATGGCGGCGACTTCTCGAACCGCGTTCGAATTGTGCAGGAGGTTAGCAATGCCGTTCGAGCTGCTATTCCAGCTGGAACACCTTTATTCCTCCGCATCAGCGCCACAGAATGGTTAGAAGGACAACCAGTTGCAGAAACAACCGGTAGCTGGGATATGCCCTCGTCGTCAAAGTTGGCAAAACTACTCCCTGAACTTGGCGTGGACCTTTTGGATGTTAGTTCCGGTGGTAATCACAAGGACCAGAAGGTTCAGCCTCATACCAATTATCAAATCGATCTTGCTGGTCAACTACGCAAAGAGATCCGTCAATCTGGTCAGAAGACGCTAGTTGGTGCTGTAGGTCTCATTACGGAGGCCGACGCTGCTAAGGATATTATCCAGGGCGCACATGAAGCGGTTGAGACCGAGGGTCTTCTTTCTGGACCAGAGCCTAAAGCTGATGCAGTGTTGATGGCGCGCCAATTTCTTCGAGAGCCTGAGTGGGTCTTTACAGCTGCCAAGAAGCTGGGCGTCCCAGTGTCTCTGCCCCATCAGTTTGCGCGCGGCTTGCTTTGAAATCTGACTGTAGAACATGCCATTCATATTTGATACATACAACTGAATACATAGAAATGATGATAATTGGAGCCTTGCTTCAAGTTAAACTCGAGTCATTATCTCATTCACAATATGCCTATATTTTGTCGTCATCCTCCCCGTCAAGCAAGACCTGTAATCCACGAGATCTTCGTATACATGGGGGTAGAGTCTCTTCTTCAGCCACACTACTAAGAGCCCATAACTTATCGAGTCTCCTGAGCACTGTGACTGCCTGTCCACCCAGTCGTGACACAGCGAGAAGAGAGATATAATCCCGAATAACAGCACTCTCATCGCCCAGAGAGACCGACCCTATAACAGCTAGAGGCCATAACAGAAGACTAGTAAAGTACCGATCCTGATCAATACAAGGTATAATTCGCCTCCCTTCTTGTGCATAATGCCCAATATTATCACTAACCACACAAAATCTCGGGTCTGGAGTCGACTTCAAAAGCAGTATCTGAAGCGCCAGTACATATAACCTCATACACAAGTCTCGCTCCCAACGCATCAGAGACGCATATCGTTCGACCTGAGATTGCAAACTCACCCACTCACAAACCTGATTTCTATCCAGTGAATCCTCTATTCTGGCCAACCTGGTCGCATCAGCTATAAGTAAAAAGAACTCATAAGATGTATGAAGAATAGGCTGAGTAGCGAGTGCTTGACTTGGCGAAAGCTGACTCGGACTAGCATGTACTGAATATGAAAAACACCTCGATAGATCCTCCCGGCAATGACTATCAGAGAGATAATCCAGGGAAGGATCAAAAAGCATCATCAACGACGCATGATAAACAAAACTTTCAACGCATATCCGGTCAAAGACAGCAGTTGCTTGTGGGGATATCCATCTTACGCGACGCTTTCCAAGAAGATATCCTGAGGCAGTGACATGTGGTGCTACTCTCAGAGTTGAGTCGATGCGCGAAGTCTGTCCATAATCAAGTTAGAATCATTTCAACCAGGCGTGAGTTAATTGCGGGAAGAGGCTTTAGTACCTCGAATACAGAGAGAGTTATAACCGTAGCAAGCAGAGCATCATGGGATCCAAAATCACAGGGTTGAGAAAGTGCTTCCCGGAGCATGACTAGTGTTTGCACATAGCTTTGAACTGCGCGAGATACTGTCCATTTAGAACATGAATTTGAAGATAGCGAGGCGAGATGCATTCCTGCGATTGAAATAAAAGAGCCCATCAAGGGTGGAAACTCTAAAGCTAGACGTAGCATATATGTCTGATCTGTATAACGAGATAGAGAATTTTGCCGTACGAGATTCGGTAGAAGGGTTGAGCCAAAATATTGATATAGATATCGGTGATGCTCCAGCTGAAATGGAGACGGCATTAATCCCGGTGGGCATAGACCCGGACTGGGGATTTCGGGTTTTATTTTTAGTTGGGAGGGCGTTGGTCCGGTATATTTTGATGGACTGGTCACTCTTGTGATACGTCTTTTATCTGTTATCTTCTCGTTGGAAGGCCATGAGCACTGCAGTGCATTTCGAGTACAAGCTATACATTGAGGCCGTGCCTCGTCGCATTTCTTCCGTCGCTGACGACCTGTATAGCTCGTTGTCAGTCTAGATTGGCTTATACAAATATATTAAACTGGAAACCTACATCTTAAGCATCCCGTCTGGGTTCTGATTTTGGCCAAGGATACAAAATTCATGGTGTTGATCAGACCGTCGAACAGTTAACCGTGCGGGGTTATCGCTCTCCCTCGGCTCTAGTATTTCTTGGCACTGGCCTCATCTTATATAGATTACCATTCTGATGAAAGACAAATAAAAGATTGATACATGATTTTTTTCAACTTGAAAATCTAAGCTGCATTTTGTGACAAATGATTGACAATCATGTTGAGATAAAATCCCGCTCGAGGCGTAGTATCCTCAACCCCAACCAGCTTCGCTCCATCATCCCATAAACGAAGCGCAACCATCTCATCACGAAGTGGGTCTTTCTCAAACTTCTCCAACTCGCTACCCTGAAATGGACCACCTTGGAAGGCCAGAGACTTCTGAGAAGCAGAAGACAAAGATGCGTAGTACGCATTATTGATAGCTGTGAGATATCTGTAGCGTACTAAGTCAGTCATGGCACAAGGATAAAAAAATATATTTAAATGAAAATAAAGACAAACGCACCGCTTGGCAGCAACATGACTATTAACCAACTGACAAACCGTCTCATGGAATCCCAATGATCGTAGATAGGCCGCACCGATAGCTTCATGGCCTACGCGGCCGACATTTTCCGGACTGTCGAGAAGATTCATACGGACTTCCGTTGTAGATTGCAAGGGGATGATTTGGCCAATATCATGTAGCAATGCTGCAATTACCAATTCATCACGCGCGCCTGTTGAGAACGAAGTTAGTTTTCGAATACACAATCAATTTCAATTAGACTGGCAGTCTGACCTGATTGGTTTGCATGGTGGGCTGCTTGTAGACAGTGCTCGAGTTGACTGATTGATTCGCCAATATAGTCTCCTTGACCGTATTGCTCTAGAGCGCTGATCAGAGTTTTTGCTTTTTCTGATGGGCAGTGTGTATTCATGGTGAAAGTACAATTGGAGGAACAGAAGTACGGGTGGGGAGTAGAGAAGGGAAGGGGGACACGGGGGGTTTAAATAATTTCCGTGGCATCTCTGGTCAATTCCTAAAACGGGGTCTTTGGTTTGGAAAAATTAAGAGAAATTACTTTGAATTAATGAGCATGGATTTAATAAATTCCAGGGACTTTAACTCATAATTTGCGTTAGTAGTTTCAAATAGTAGAGGCAAGCGTGGGTACGAGTAGGTTTATTATTCGAGAATGTTCAAGTTGGCAGTGGATATTCTCTTATTTTACATAATTCCTATATTTTGACGTTAAGTATTGATTTATATACATTAATCTACATGGTTTTGATGGATGTGTGTTTTTTTCTTTTGTAGCCTGGCAATGTGTACACTAGATATCTAGACTGTATCAGATTTAAGCTGTTGAGATGGCAGTGCCAGTAGGATCCACAGTTAACATAGGAGATCCATAAGCATAACGAGCCCGACCTTCCTCATACGAAACCCCATCCTGTCGCATATGTGTAGCAGGCCAAAGTTTTTGTCGGTCGGCATAATACTGATCGTGGAGATTGCCTTCAGTTGCGCAGTTGTAGGTCGCGTAGATGGCACGGCGATCTTTGCTGCTGGTATTAGCACCACTGCGATGGGCCAGATAGGACCCAAAGACGAGAATATCACCTTTGAACATCCACTGGAATTAGTTTGGATTGAGGGTTAAGTTGGAAGGAGGTGCGGTCTTATCACATACCGGGTTGTAAATCGCATGATGTCCATGGATGAGTTTTCACCCATTCGGGCTCAATGCATCGATCGTTTCCCAAGGGAATTTGCATGCGATGGCTTCCTTTGACTACATCCAGACCGCCATTTTCGGAGGTCATCTCGTCCACTGCGGCTAAGATGGTCAAGTGTTTGATGTTCTTGACATGGGTGTAAGCATTGGCGTCGATATGTGGATCAAAGCCGCCTAATAATCTTTTGTTAGCTGATCAAAACCAGATGCTTTCCACAATAAAGACAGCTGTAGTCACTCACCACTTCCGGCTAGTTTGTAATTGATCTTTTCTTTGAACAACAGCATCTCTTCTCCGGCCAGCTGTTGTAAAATGCTGGTGGCCCGGTCTCCGCGCAAGAAGCTTTCAAAGCCGGAATGGGAGTTGACAAAGTTCTCCGTGCGGCACAAGACCCGATCGCCATTGCCATTGACCTCTTCATAGGGCATCCAGGGGACACCGGGGGTTCGAGGCAAGTCGTGGACTTCTTGGGCCCATTGCTGGAGAGTCTTGGCTTCGAGTTCTGTGAAAAAGGCCCGGATTAGTAGGTATCCATTGTCGTGGAAGGATTGAAGATCCTCTGGGGTCAAGTTGTAGTATGCGTTGTCCATGGCGAGGTTTCTTCTTTGATTAGTCCAGAGGGGAGACGAATCAACAGAACTAGCTGGTTAAGGTGAAAGGAAGTTTCTGAGTATTATATAGATGGCTCATTGTACCATACCGTGGCTAGGCAGATGCCCATGTGCCCAGGTGGTTCAGGTAGTACTGTATACGAGATGGGCAAGGTTACACTTGCCTCAAAGGGGATCAACCCCTGGTCCCACCTTGCGCTTCGCACCGAAAATTGCAGTGATAGAAAGTGACATGCATCGATGGATCATGTTATACGCCACTTCGTCTATAAACAGTGGAGACATACTACATGGACGGGTTATAGTAAAGGTCCAAGTGTTGATGTTGAAGAAGTGTCATGGAGATCACATGGGGCAATGAAGCACGATGATTGGTCGATTATGCGTTGGCTGGAGACCCACGTGCAGCTAGATTGCTGAGTCATGTGTTGCCTAAACAGGTTAGACCACGGGTACCTCCGCCAACCAGCCAACCAGCCAATCAACAGTCTCTGTTGTCTTCACAAGGTTATTGCGTAAACAAAGCATCGTTACTCTTCAGCGCTCAAGTGTACAATCTCCAGGCTATCAAACCCGGTACATAACTAAGTACCGACCAGGGTCCACGCGCGCACTTCCCTCCGATACTCGTGGTTCAACCTTCTCCGGTCTCAGCTCGTGCCGGTAAACAAGCTTATCATTGGACCTTAAGAGCACGAGAATGAGACTGTTACATCGTCAATCGTGCAATTGTGATAGAAAGAGAGAGTTTCCATTAGGTATGTAGCTAAGGAGATGTCTAAACGTGCTGTCTTGGATCTACGGGAAGGTGAATATGCAGATGAAGGCCATATCATGTACGTAGTAAGCCGGAGCATACAGCTATAAACTCTCTCCTCTTCTCTTCCTTCCTTTCCTCTTCTTCCTCAATTGCATCTTCCCCTATCCAAGCTTCCCAAATTAATCGGCCGCAAGCTTCTTGATTCTGGGTTATCCAATTCATTCTCGTTGAACCCCGCCTCTATCAGACGCCCTCATGGAGAACTCACCCGCCGATTCCGTGATGGTCAAGGAACCTCGCGAGAAGGCGCAGGAGGATGAGTGGACTCTGGAGCAGCGCCAAGCCATGACAAAAACATCCAGCACCCTCAATGTTTTCATCTCAGGAACCGCCCTGTTCAGCGATGGCTACAATGCGCAAATCGGTGCGTTATGGAACCTTAAAAAATCCCCACCAGCTCAATCTTGCTAATGCCCCTCAGTCGGCTACATGGACGCGCTATTCGCAAACCTGTAAGTGAAAAGGTTCTCATAAAAATGACTAAAGAATCAGAACAGAAGGGCTAACAGAGGATGTTCAGTTACAAACACACCATGTCCAAGACCATCAAAACACGCCTATCCAACTCATATTTGATCGGCGAAATCTTTGGAATGCTCTTCTTCGGCTCGCTCATTGACCGTCTCGGTCGTCGAATGGGTGTCATCGCAACTACCCTCTTTCTCATCCTTGGTATCGTTCTAGCCACTGCCGCACATGGCACCTCTGAACTCGGGTAGGTCTACTCCGTACTGATCCCGCACGAATCTCGCTATCTCCTCCACTCTTCTTTCTGGGTGACGTGATTACTGACCGGGGCGATGCAGAATGTTCTGGATGATGATCGTGGCACGTGGTATAGCCGGCTTCGGTGCCGGAGGAGAGTATCCAGTCTGTGGTTCAAGTGCTACTGAAGCAGCCGATGAGACCACAAAGTTACGCAGACGACGAGGAATCTTAGTCGCCCTGACCACCGACTTCGCAGTTGACCTAGTATGTGAAAGAGAATATTGATCGAACTAATGAACACTCGCTAATTTGAATCAAAGGGAATGGTCGCAGCGGGAATTGTTTCTGTGATTGTCCTCGCAGCCTATGACCAAAAGGATGCCGAGGGTGTTTGGCGAATTACCTTTGGACTCGGTGTTGTGGTGAGTACAAAGCCCTCCTTTTCTATCAAGAAATGCCTCAAATCTCTAATCCAAAGTACCTTTACAGTTTCCACTGGCAGTTTGCTTCTTCCGAATTCGAATGATCAACTCCACCCAGTACAAGAAACATTCAATCAAGTCGAACTATCCCTACCTCCTGGTTCTCAAACGCTATTGGAAACCAATGCTTGGAACATGTAAGTGACGGTTTTTTCTCTTATCCCCCACTGTTGAACCATTTTTGACTAATTACAAAATGTCCACTAGCCGTCACTTGGTTCTGTTACGATTTCGTGGCTCTTCCATTCGGCCTGTTCTCTTCAACAATCGTTGCGCAGCTAGTGAAGGAAAACACCAGCTTTCAAAACATTGCATACGGCGTAAGTTTCATCTACTGTGATGTCTACACATCCTCAAAATAACGTCGCGCTGACTAGCTCCATTTTATCAGACTGCAATCAATTGCTTCCTTCTACTGGGTTGCATAGTCGGTGGATTCCTAATGGATCGCATCGGCCGAAAGCAAACCATGACTCTCGGATTCTTCGCCTGGGGCATCTGGGCATTCATCCTAGGCGGTGCATTAGGACCTATTCAAAGCGTCTTCCCACTCTTCATCATCATGTACGGTATCTTCCAAGCACTAGGAGAGATGGGACCCGGCGTAGCCACCTTTCTCTGCACAGCGGAATCCTTCCCAACACCCCTGCGTGGCCACTTTCTGGGCTTCGCCGCCGCTGCTGGAAAGGCAGGTGCAGCAATTGGTACTCAAGTCTTTACGCCAATTCAGGCTTCATTTCACACCGTACACAAGGGTCAACAGGCTGTGTTTCTGATCGCCGCAGCATTTACAATTGTGGGAGGAGTTGTTTCATGGATTTTCGTTCCTGATATGTCTCGTGAACTGGAGACTGAGGATGCCCGTTTCAAGTCGTATCTGGAAGAGAATGGTTATGATATCAGTTGTTATGGGGAGGCGTTGGTTGTCAGTCACAGGGAGTAGGTGGGAGAGGAAACACCAGGCGCAACAAAGTTTGCTTGAATACAAAAGAACAAAAAGCAAGAGACTACTGCGTCGAGGCTATGCACAATGAGTCCAAAAAGTTTGAGTTATTGATCATTCACGTCTGTTTTTATCCCTTTCTTTTTTTTTTATCCTCGCAATTTTCGTTGTCGAACAGCTTTAATCTATGGTTAGATTCTGTTTAGCTCCAAAAATCAAAAAGCATATTTGAATCAACCCCACTCCAATATAGTATTCCCATATTCTAACATGTTCCTCTACTTCGAGGACATTGAGCGATTCAAAGATGACGATCCCCGCTTCCCTCCCCCGCACGCCGAGTGGAGTCCCAAAATGCGCAGTCTGCAGATCGATGCTATTTGAAGCATAGTTATCTCATTTATTCAAGGATTATCACTATTTGCCGGCGGAGAGTCTCTATCTTGCGACCCATTCAATACTACGGTTACCTCAGACCGACCTGACTAGTTCAGGACGATGAATCTACCCCCACCGTAGGCCTCAGATCACACCAGCGTTTAGGCTGAATTGCCGCTCGGATATTTAATATATAGTATGTACTAATCCTTATTTCGAGTTTGAAATCTCTCAATCATTCAAATATTGCTACTTGATTATGCGTATTGCCAATGGTAGACAACGCAGCTCAAATATCATGATGAACATAGCCAACAGCCTGAGGTGCCAGTGGCTCGGCAGGCTTATGCTACTTCTGCTCTGTTTGCAGATGCCCCAAATGTGCCATGGAAAATACACGTCAAGCCAGGAACCTCATGGTACCAGAGACAGTGCCCAGAGAGGAATCCGTCGCGACATCTTAACAAAATCGGCATTCATCGATAACCTTGTCATGAATATGACTATTCCCGACCTGGGTGATTCGCCCTCCCTGACTGAAAATACGTATACGCCTACTAACCTCGCGATTAATTAATTACAGTTCTGCAGATGCATCTAATGTTCGCAGATAACATAATTGGACCAAACTCCGACAATGCACTTTATGGTAAAAAGCCCGAAGAAACAAACATTTGATTCTCTATTTACAATATCATTTGCGCAGCTCAGCTAACCAAAATTCCTTCATAAAGACCAGGCAATGGAACCAGCCCCAGGTTCTCCAATAGGTATAATGCACGATTGGTACCCAACCAACAAGTCACAATACAATGATATGCAAATGTTAAACGCAAAAAAGTCCCACATTAAAGTTCCCTTCATGCAGACAGGAGAATGTCTTCATGGCGTCGGTTCATTCAAGCAATCCATGTTTCCCCAAGCGATCGGAATGGCCGCCTCATTTGATACTGATCTGGTACACCGAGTTGGCCGAGCAATCGCGACCGAAGCAAGATCAATTGGTATTCATGCGTGCTTTGCGCCAGTTCTTGATCTTGCAAAAGATCCCAGGTGGGGCCGAGTTCAGGGTATGTTCCAGCATCATATGTAGATTTAAACTAGTGAGCTGATTGAATCTCCATATTAAGAGGACTGGGGCGAAGATATGGTTCTAACATCCCACATGGGTGTTGCGCTTGCTTCTGGTTTATCGAAAAACAGCACATGGTCTGACCCCGATGCAGTGGTTCCGGTTATGAAGGTTTGTTAGATCGCATGGAAATAATATTACGTCTTGAAAAAGATACTTATTTGATATTTTGAATTTTAGCATTTCGCAGCGCATGGAAGTCCGCAGGGAGGTCATAATGCAGCGCCCTTCATGGGATACGGAACACGAGAGGTACTTCAAGAGATGCTCGTTCCGTTCAAAGCCGCTGTGGATATGGGTGGAGTCAGAGGTGTCATGATGTAAGTTTGGCATGCATAAAATGGTTTCAATGCACGCTCACAGTTTCAAAGGGCATACAACGAGTTTGACGATGTGCCTTCTTCGGTGAATCCCCTTCTTTACCAAGCTCTCGAGGACTGGGGATATGATGGTTAGTTTTAACCCATGATTAACTGACAAATTTTCATTCATTACTGACATTCTCTCAGGATTCATAACAGCGGATGATACTGGTGAGCCATGAGTCAATTCACCCAGGTGAAGAAAACCCGGTATTAAATTATTTGTCTACGAAAAGGACTCTCGGAATTATTGAACACACATCTCGTCACTAGCTCTGTAGCGGATACAATTGAGCAATGGCACCAAGCGGGTGGAATGGTTCAATTCTATGACTTCCCTCTAAGTCAATATGTTGAGGTCAGCTGTCCATCTCATCCATCTCAAATTCTGCTCTCTAACAAGCTCTAGTCAACAATCTCCTCAGTCTCAAATGGCACGCTCACTTTGTCCGAACTTCAGTCCCTCGTCAAGCGTATCCTAGGAGTAAAATATGACCTAGGCCTTTTCGACGACCCATATATCGGAGATGATATAGACTCTCAAGAGATCACTGACTCTCACGTTCCTCTAACCCTAGAAGCAGCCCAGAAGAGTATCGTATTACTCGAAAACAGAAACTCAACCTTACCGCTGAATCCCGATAAACATAATTTAAAAAACATCGCTTTAATAGGACCATTCAGCGACACATTCAACTACGGAGATTATTCAGGCCAGTTCGGCGGCTATCCAGTCCGGAACGCAAGCACGATCAGAGAAGGCATTACACAACATCTTGCTTCCAAATTCCCCGAAACGAATCTTCTCACTAGCTGGGGCGCAAATTCATGGAGCTACAACGAACAATACAACATACCACCTTATCTACTCTCCGCGAACGGCACCTCGGGCGGACTACTGGCAACCTATTACGCCGATACAAATTTCACCGATGCAAGGGTTCAGAAGATTGAAACACCAAGTCTAGACTGGGGACTATACCCGCCATATGGACTTCCATCGAATAATTTCAGTGCTACATGGGAGGGAGAAATAGAGGTCCCCGTTGAGACTGAAACTAATGGCTGGTTCGGCGTAGCAGTTTATGCCAATACTTCTGCCAAGCTGTATATTGACGGCGTTGAGCATGTGTATGTTAAGCCAACCACCGCAGGAAATCTTCTCTCAAACATTCCTGGCCTTTCATATACTTCGGTGAATGAGACAGTTGCACCGCCTGGTTCGGCAACTTTCCAGTTTAAAAAGGGAGCTAAACACAAGATCAGATTGGAGTATCAAGCTTGGAACTACGTGCAAAAGTTGGAGAATGTCAACTCTCTCAATGCCCAGGTTATTTTATTCTGGAATCTGGTTGATCCCGTTCATGCCGTTGATCAGGTAGGCGTTGGTCTTAACTGCGCCAACATTATTGGGGTCTTGAAACTGACTGTTTGAAATAAAAAGGCAGTCGAAGTTGCTAAAGCATCAGATGTAGTGATTTTGGCGCTTGGTGCAAACTGGAATAGTGATGGAGAGTCAGGAGATCGTGCGACACTTGGATTTTCTCCAAATCAAAGTATGTTCCCTTTAAATTGATGGCTTCTCATGACATGGCGCAATTTATTAACTCACATACTTAGCATCTCTGGCAAATGCCATTTATAATTTGGGCAAACCAGTAATTCTCGTTTTGCAAGGAGGTCGTCCTTTTGCAATCCCAGAATACTATAATCAATCGGCTGCAGTTCTCAATACTGTGCGTACAAGAGATAAGCAAGCTTGATTGGGTCCATATGGATATTTTCTAATCATCAACAGTTCTTTCCTGGTCAATCTGGCGGACAGGCCATCTCAGATGCCCTTTTCGGTGTCATCAATCCGGGCGGCAGGGTACCTATCAGCGTCCCTTTCGATGTTGGTACATTACCTTGTTTTTACAAGTAAGTTGATTCTTAATATACCATTCATCTAGCCGGGTCATTTCTTTGAAGTTAACATTGAGCAATAGTTACAAACCATCTGTTCCCCGACCGTATACGGATATTGCATACTCACCAATCGTAAGCCTCGCCCCTTCATGAATGAGTCTGAATCTTCTACTAAATGCATCGTTTTATTTTCTAGTACCCATTCGGCTATGGCCTCTCGTTTACAAACTTCTCAACCTCGAACTTCAAGGCTATCAGCAATTATCAACAGGATAGTAACGGGCAAAACTTCGGCTCCAAATCCAACATTACATTCTCTGTCGATGTCACAAATTCGGGTAATCTCGACGGAAGCTATGTAGCGCAGATCTATCTCTTAGGTCGCGTTTCTTCCATTGTACGCCCAGTGAAGCAGCTCGTCACTTTTTCTCGGGTATATCTATCCGCCGGGGAGAGCAAAACGCTTTCTATGAGTCTAGATGTGAGTCGGTACCTTATTATCCTGGATCGCAAGTACGATTGGAAGGTGGAGTTGGGGGAATATACCTTTGCGTTGCTGGATCATGGAGGAAGTGATGCTGATACTTCAGCGAATGTCACTATGATGTGTGTTGAGTGAATAAATGCCTGTTCCGAGTCGCTTTGAAACAGTAGGGGGTTGGTTTCCTTGTTCACCTTTGTGGTATGAATAGATACCGGTATAAATTTGACATTGGAAATTCAACATGCGAGGGGTGAAATGGACTGGTTTTATTATTGTTTTTGATGCTCAGATGCCATTATTAATTTTTTATTTTCCAACCCCTCCTTTGGCTTAATATTCCGAGGTCCGTGGATGATCTGTTCCCCGCAGACTACGTCCGGACCGTGGAAGATGGCAAATCACGCCAACCATGTGAGATGAGAAGAAGAAAGGAATTATAAATAAAAGATAAAGAATGTATAAGTAACCCACTGGGTAAATCGATAGATCCACATGTGGTGACTTTCCCAAACTTTCTATCCTACTAGCTCCAACGTGCCAATGGGTCTGGAGCACTGCCAAGTGATGGCGGAGAAAAGGTATTCTGCGATGGGCTCTGCTTCGGATTCAAATTCTCAACAAATATTTAAAAGGGAAGATGTGCTCTTCCACAACACAGAAGAATCTACATGGGTGATTATAAATGACAGAGTATTCGACCTAACAGAATACATGAACAAACATCCCGGAGGTCGAAAAGGTTCGTCTGCCACAATACTCACCAATAACTTGGGGTATGTAATCCCAGTCACTGACATTCAAGTTATCTATCACCCTCACAGTTCTTCTTGACATAGCGGGCACCGATGCAACAAAACAATATCACAAATATCACAAACCCAATACAATGACTCGCTTTGGGGATGCCCTTTGTATTGGAATAGTGGAGAGTGGTGCTCAGGGGCACGGAAGACGTGTATGGGAAAAAGTGCGAGCGAAAATCTTTCGTCCAGTTGCAGAATGATACTATTCGTATCAAGGTTGAAGGCTAGTATATATAGACTCTGAGTTGGGTTGAAAGTTTCCCGGGTAATGATTTTGAGATTTTAATTAAAGATGCTTGTATATATTCAGCTGAGTTGTTTCACTTTAAGAAAGGAAATTGATTGAATACATGTCACTACTTAATCTGGGAACAATGGTGAGACGTATGCGTCCCCACAAAACTTGGTTAAAATTCGTCATGCAGTTAGTGGGTCTCGGGCCATCGAGCTTCATTCGGACAGTTGCAAGTTTCGGCCGAGCTTTTCGTCGATGGTACTTAATAACAGCTGTCCTGAAGATTTTAAACGTTAATTTTTTTATCAGATTGAATTGACATACCTGTTCCAGAGAACCGACATAAAGAGATATGTTACGTTCACTCGTCTCCCTATTCTTCGCCGCAGGCGCCCTTGCGCAGACTCCAGTGGGGAGCTTCGCCCACACAACACATAATCTCGGGGCAGCCTATGAGAACGCGACCATAACCCCTGGAGTCTGGATTAGTCCTGACGGTATGGATGGGATCTAAGTCATCTTTCGTTTCTAGGGATAAAGAAAATGCTAATTCCCAGTGTAGATGTTAGCGACCAGCCTTCGATCTGGCCAGCGAGTCACAAAATGCGCAAGGATATCAAGTACATGCTCTTGATGCTTGACCTCAACATTCCTGACTCCGATGTCACAACTGCCGCATACTATGACACTTTGGTGCCTGGTCTCGCTACTAATACGACTACCCGGCTCCACTGGTGGGGTGGCAACTATACCATCGAGAACAGCCACTTTGTCAACTCCAGCGACAGTCTTGCCCAGTATACCGCTCCTCGCCCTCGCGATAGCACCAATCACACTTATGCTTTGTATTTATTTGACCAGCCAGCCGACTATGTTCCTTCCAAGGAGGCGCTGGACGGAACGTACTATTCACAAATGACTGGTGCTCGCTTCAACTTCAGCTTGACACCAATCATTGAGGTTGTTGGTCAGCCTGTTGCCGCTACATACTTCTTGAGTGACGAAGTATAAGCTGATGGGGTGGAGAGTGCACTGAAAGAGCATCACATTGTCGCGTAACGTGTGTGTACTTAGTTCTTCTTGTTCTTATATCATGCCGGGGCATTTGAATATACTAGTATTGAATGAAGGATTCAAGTTTAACCATTTGGTTAGCGTTGCTCCTTTTGCAGACAATGGCCATGACGCAGATACAGGAACTCCGTTCAAAACTTGAACAAAGGCTAGTATATAAAGAACATTCTATAATTTGCTAGTGGTGGAGTTTTTTCTACGGTCAGAAGATTTTCTCCCAATCACCTAGGCCCCCGTGGGGGCCCGTGGGGGGTAACTCTCGGAATCGAGATTCCCTCAAGTACTAGCTACAAAGTAATGGACTGACGACGACGACTTGGATAATGCATTAAATTATGAAGGTGATATGTCAGCAGTTCGTATGTGGTCAATCCAGGCGCCGGTCGCACCGTTTTGGTCATTGAGCAAAAGGCCAGACTCGTGAGTTGGAGAAGACACTTTTACAACCACGCTGGAATCAACGATCAACAAGTTGAATCAACAGATTGCTTCAAGTTGAGAACCAAAAAAAAATCTGCTGGTTATACTCCATTGGGCAAATTGCAGCCTCAGGCCAAGATTGTACCCGGACAAGCCCCGAAGGTCCCTTCATCAGGATATGGAGTCTCCACAGAAATTCCCCCTCAACCCTGGACACTTGAGCTGCGTGCTGGGGCGGGCTGGAGCCGATCGGCATTTTCCATTTCCCCACGGCTCCGACACCGCAATCCAGGCACATAACACATTAGGCTGGATGACTATCTGAACAGAAGAGGTAGAGAGAGAGAGAGAGAGGGATTTCCTGGAAATCAGCCTCTTACGTAGTTGAATATATGGAAGTGGATATAAAAGGCTTAGCCATTTGGATACAAATTACTGGCTTAACTTTTCATTTATATCAACCTTGGAAGAGGCGTTGGATCCTTCAACACCCAGGTACTCGCTTCTCACACCTGGATCTTCTTAGATTCACCGAAAGAAGCAGGTGATCATGCAGAGAATGCAAAAGATCCATTTCTCAAAAATTAGTAATCTGTTCACCGAGAGCGGATGGGATTGACCGAGTGGGGATCGCACAGGCCCCAGTTCCAGCTAAGCATTGGTCCTGAATGCTTCTTTCTCGGCACGCCGACCCGCTGAAACGATGTGGTTTGTCTACTTTCCCGTCTCGGCACTCGGTTGGGGAGAAACCTGAATGAAAATCGGGGAGTCGGGGAAATGATTTTGGAGAAACGGCTTCTGTGTGGAATTGTGGGATTTGCGAGCTCCGATCGGGGGTAGAGGGGTTCATTTGTCAACGACTCCATTTTTTTTTTCGCCACAGGGTTCTTAAACAAGGCTTGTCCCCTCTGATGTCGAGACTTGATTGAAGCGTGTTTCTTCCCGTCGCCACTCTCGAATTTCATAGTATCAACTTGAGAGTTATAGCTCAGGAGTCATGGCTTCTTCACCAGAAGTAGAGTCTGGTCCGGGCGTGACTGGCGATATGGAAAAGGTCAGCCACTCGTTCAAGGAGGACTCGTCCTTTGTTCTCTCTGAGGAACAAGCGCTTGCGAAAGCCAGGAGCAGCCCAAATGAGGCGTTTCCTATCCTCATCACTTACGCATTCGATGATCATGACAATCCTCGACACTGGCCGAAATGGCGCAAATGGTATATCAGTATCTTCGTCAGTATGCTGAATGTTTTCACGTATGTTAATGCTCTATCTTGCCCCCGTTCTTTCCTTCCAATGCTTCCGGAACCAATTTCTAACAGATAGGAATCTAGAACATGGTGTGCTGGTGGAATCTCATCAGGCGCAACAGGCATTCAAAATGAATTTGGTGTCTCCTCCGAAATTACTACACTAGCTTTATCCCTCTACGTGCTGGGTTATGCCATCGGCCCTGTTCTCTTAGCGCCTCTCTCAGAATACTTCGGTCGCCAACCCGTTTACGTCGTATCCTGGTTCATCCTGTTCCTGTTTCAACTCCCATTAGCACTCGCCCCTAACATTGGAACCATCCTGGTCTGTCGCTTCATTGCAGGCTGCGCTGGAGGCGCACCATTGACAAACACGGGCGGCAGTATCAGCGATTTGTGGGAGCGGAACGAGAGTGGTGGTCCGATGGCCGTCTACGGACTCAGCAGTACATTCGGACCTCCAATGGCACTCGTCATCTCCGGCTACATTGGGCTCAATCTGGGATGGCGATGGATATTCTGGATCCTCATGGCAATCTCTGGTGGTGTTTGGCTTGTGCTAGTTTCGACAATTCCCGAAACTCGCCACTCTGCTATTTTGCAGAAGAAGGTTCGTCGCGTATGCAAGCAGATGAGAAAAGAGAACCTGCGATCTGCAGAATCTACAACCGACATTCATGCCAGTGACCGCAAGGGGCTGCGCGAACTATTTGGAATTACCCTTACCCGCCCATTCCGGTTCTTGTTTTCCGAACCTATCACCCTTTTCTCGGCGATTTACAATGGTTTCTTGTACGGCCTTGTCTACTTATTCAACGAGGCTATCCCCTTGGTATTTGGAGCCCCTGACGGGCACCCCTTCAACACTGGGCAACAGGGACTGGCTTTCCTAGGCATGGCCATCGGCCCTATCATCGCCTTTTGCTTCTACCCCCTCCAGGAGAGGTACTACCTTCGGCGTGTTGCAGAAAATAACGGCAAGGGTGTCCCCGAGGCGCGTATGTGGATGGCTCGCGGTGGTGCTATCTTGATTCCGATCAGTTTATTCTGGTTCGGATGGACTAGCTATAAATCCGTTCATTGGATTGTGCCCATCATTGCCTCTTCCTTTTTCGGCGCTGGTATTTATATCGTGATTCTCAGTATTCTCAACTATGTGGTGGATAGCTACCAAACCTATTCAGCCTCGGCCCTTGCAGGTGTGATTTTGATTCGCAATATTGTCGGAGCGGGTTTCCCCTTGTTTGCGACCCAGATGTATGAAAAACTTGACTACGAGTGGGCTTCAAGTTTGCTGGGATTCATTTCCATTCTGTTGGTGCCAATCCCCTTCATTTTCTTCTACAAGGGTGAAGCCATTCGTCTCCGCAGTCCTTGGGCTAGAGAGCACTTCGACCAGAACGAGGACAACCCTCACTGATTTCTGAATTGATCGCATTCATGATTTCTGTCAAGTTATATTTCAAAGCGGAGAATAGACTGTAGAACGCGGCAAACTAGTTTGTCCTCAATTTCACAATGAACTACTACAATATCAACTGTCTTCAGACAATTCACAAAATACTAGTTCCTCCTTCTCCCTCCGTCTTTCCAGACTCCCGAGATCAAACATAAGTAGCATTCAATCGAGCCTGCAAGTGTTCCTTCGCTGTAATGATCGTTCTCTGACTCGTATTCAAAGCACTGGACCCTCCACCATACCCGATAGCGATACTTGCATTCTCCGCCTTTCGTTGACGATACGAAGTGACTAAATCACTAGGTATCGGCCCAAGCTCCGTAGATTCAACCGGCTGACAAAAGAAAGCAATACTATACCGGTCGCGTGACTCGGAACGTTCAAGTTGATTTTCCCCATCAGCATTAGGAAATACAACACGATGCACCGTTGACTTGAGCAGTCCATCAGTCCAATAACTTAGCATATCACCAATATTGACTAGAATAGGCGGAAATGGGAAATTCCTTTCGACCCCCCTCGGATAAATGGGGACAGGAGCCCATCTTTCATCAGGTGTCAAGATCTCTAGTCCTGGCTGACCAGGTAGTTGGAATAAGAGCGTAACACTGCCGTAATCTGAATGGGCGCCGGCTCGAATATCTTTCCCGGGGCAGTAGCCCGTGACATCTTCTGGGTAATATAGAAGTCGGAGGGAGTTTCCTGTTAGTCCTTTGGATGGGTCATGTCGAGAAGTGAAGAAGTCGCTTGAAACCTAACGAAATGTTAATTTATAGATCGTGGGAACATCTTGGGCATCATTAGAGCCGTACCTGTAAGCCGTGTGCTAATAGTTCTAATACTCGATTGCATGTTTGATTGCACAAGTTGATGAAATTAGAAATTTCTTTTTCGCGCTTCATTAGAGACGGTGGTAAAGATTGATTGATCTTTTCATCATGAAGTTCCCCAATATTGAGGGCCCTGGGGGTTGTCACATAGTCGTCAGCAGTATACATGTAATGCCGGAAAAAAAGCACGCATACTCTTTAAAGTCACCTCTCTGATCGAAGAAAGTGGTGAGAAAAATTCTTACAATGGAGCGAAATCATATCATAGAAATACCTCATGATGTTCAGGGTCTAGCGTTTCAACCATCATCCCAACCCATCCTTTATTCTGGCAAGTACACGAGTCAAGTTAGATTCACCCGCAAGAGAGCGTAAAAGATGGCTTACATCTGATCCTCGCTTGTATAAGGCCTTTTCATCGCGAGGAAGGTGAAAGAACTCTTTCGACTGGGTATCTGAGGTTAGCTGACCGGGAAACGAAGAGGTGGATCCGACATGAGAGTCTTTTCCAGGTAGTAGTACTAGTATAACCTACTAGATTGAATACCCTCTCGACATCGGGCTGAGTGAAAAAACTAGATCTACTATCAACATATAGGAACCCGAATTTCACTGCTGCATCCAGCATCGCCTTCCCTGCGGCATGGTCATTCTCGGTCGCGATATCGATCAAAGGGATATCCAACGGATCAGTCATGTTGAGTTTCTCTGAATGCCACTGCAATGGATTTTGTTGGAAGGGTAGGATCTTGTGAGATTGATTCAAGCAACCTTCAACTCCCTTGAGCTGCAAGGGGGTTGGTTATGCGAATTTCGAATCCCAATGAGATGTGACGGACGACGCCGAAAGCCTATTTGCTGTTTTGGAAGAAAAGGAAGGATAAACGAGAGGATGCGAGAATTCGCGCAAACCTCGGGAGTTGTGACTGGTGAGACGTCAAAGTTCATGGGTTCGACTCAATACGACGTGCACACGTGGAATGTCTATACATGTTAGGTGGGACATAGCAGCCATGATAAGCGGATACTCTTATCCCGATATGGATATGTATATGCCTAGTTTGTGCCTGATGATCAGCCACAGAATTTGCAACCCATCTCTTGTGCGCTTGAACCATTATGTTCTGACATGAAGAACGAATATGGATAGAATATAAGAGCCTACCAGGTCATATGCTCAGTCAGACGAATTGGCCAAATGCTATAGTAATTTGTTCAGATGTTGAAAGTTCTACTGTGCATTAGTCATCGTCATCTTGGCAACTATCCAATTAAATCCGCCCGATAAGTATTCGCTCAGCATGGCGACTATACCCCTTCATCGTGTCTTCTAAGACCATCGCAATAGATCTTGGCATGCAATGCTTATTCTCACACGGCTTTTACCCCAGTTACCCCAGAAAACACCATCTCAGACTCAAATGGTTAACAGTTCACGCGTCTATTACTCCATAAACAACCCCATGATCTACTCTGTAATGGGTCTCGGCGCATTCCGTACCAAGCGTGCCTCGACCTACCAAACGCGGTTCAACCCCGCTCTTGTCAGTTTTCGGTAGTCTCTTATATTAACAATGTGGGGAGAACCCGCGTGTACTGCACGGGTTAGGCAAAGCGAGAAACTTTATATCAGGGCCGAATGACGCCGGAGACTCGGTAAGGGTCTAGAGGGAGGCACATTTCGCTTATCTCTATTTTTACGAACACATTGAAATTAGACCACCAATTATCTCGCGAACAGCTTCGAGATAATAGCGCACCTTTACTTCTACTACCATGTTTACGCACGGTTCACTTGTATCCAAGGATTCAGGTGGCGATGTTACAGACATTTCTTAATGACACATTGTGGATGTATCTGGTTCCAATGGGTCTCAAGTGGAGCGGAAATCTCCGTGGGTCTGTGAGAAAAATCACAATTGAAAAGGCCCCTTGAACCCACTTATTATTTAGGAATGTGTATTTGGCAATCTCCAAATCATACATCCATCAACTATGTCCCGAATATTGAATCACGATGTAGAGAAAAGGGCTGGCGAGCCAGATTCTGCGCTTTTCGATGATACGACTGGCGCCGTACCGGCAACAAGTTTTGAATATGGTGACTCAGTCTATGCAAAATTGCAACGACTAGTAGGAAAGATCAAAGTCGAACAGAGAGGAATTGAGCGGGTCCCGGAGGATGAAAGATATGACAATTCGTATTGGAATATTGGCTCAATGGTATTCCCATCCTGATCGGTCATTCGAGATTTCTCTAATGCGCGCATCTACTCCTAGTGGCTCGCGGCGAACATGGTAGTCCCTTCATTTACAATTGGAGTCTTGGGCAGGCCACTCTTTGCGCTGGGATTTGTGGACTCAGTTTTAGCCATTATCTTCTTCAATTTCATCGCCGTATTCACGGTTTGTTTCTTCTCCACATTCGGCGCCGCGTTTGGCCTGCGACAGATGGTTCTATCGCGATTTTGGTTCGGTTGGTGGGGGGTGAAGCTAAGTATGATAATCCCATTCTGTCCTACCACAGCTTGATCAATATTGAACTAACTTGGCTTCTAGTCGCATTATTCAATGTTTTAGCCTGTATTGGATGGGCAGCGGCAAATATCATAGTCGGTGCGCAATTGATCAATGCAGTGAACCCAGATGTCCCTGGTTATGCTGGAATCCTGATTATCGCATTCTGCACACTTCTCGTTGTTTTCTTCGGCTACCAAGTCATCCATGCCTATGAATATTGGAGTTGGATCCCGACATTCATTGTCTTCCTTGTTGTTCTCGGCGTTCTAGCCCATTCCGGGGACTTTGTGAATATTCCAATGGGCTCGGGTAAGGCAGAGCTTGGAGCGATTTTATCTTATGGATCCACCGTCTTTGGCTTCGGCACAGGATATACTAGCTTTGCGGCAGACTATACAGTTTATCAACCCAGCAACCGTCCTCGCCGAAAAGTGTTCCTTGCCACCTGGTTGGGCATCTTCCCAACTCTGCTCTTTACAGAGATTCTTGGTGCAGCGCTTGCAACCACCACCTCAATTAATGGAGGCGACAATGCATATCAACGAGGGTACGACGATTCAGGCGTTGGTGGCCTACTCGGTGCCCTTCTCTTCCCCAGAGTAGGAGGCTTTGGCAAATTTTGTGTGATAATCCTCGCATTGTCCATTGTTGCTAATAATTGCCCCAACATTTATTCCGTCTCCCTAACTCTAATGGTCATGGGAAGATGGACGCGTCACATTCCACGTTTTGTTTGGGTTATTGTTGCAACTGCCGTCTACATCGCCATTGCGATCCCAGGATATAGCAATTTCGAGGCAGTCTTGGAAAATTTTATGCACTTCATCGGATATTGGTTAGCAATCTATGAAGGAATCGCGTTAACCGAGCATTTCGTCTTTAAACGTGGATTTTCTGGATACCGTCCTGAAGACTATGATTCACGTGAAGCTCTTCCTCCGGGGATTGCAGCCCTTCTCGCATTCTGCTGTGGTGTTGTGGGAATGGTGACTGGAATGAGTCAGTCGTGGTATGTCGGCCCAATCGCTCAAAGTGCGGGAACTTCATCAGCTGGAGGCGATGTTGGATTCGAATTGGGATTTGCGTTTGCTGCAGTATCCTATGCCATTTTAAGACCGATAGAAAAGAGCTTTTTTAAACGGTAGAAGTGATCGACAAGAGCAGCTTGTGAGAGGCAGAGACAATAGCACCATTATTATATTTACATTTACATCAATGATCATCTATCACTTGAATATGAACGATAGCGATTGCTACAGATCTGCTATAGTACACGTGTTCCTGTATGTTGGTTTAATTCCTCCCATTCCTGCCATACATAAGCCCTCTTTGCCTGAAAATACCTCTATAACGGCGATTGCCATAAAACACAGGAAAAATCTTCGTATACTTATCAACTCGGCGACCTCGCTATACTGCTATCCAAAGAACCGTCGTTCTTTGCTACGGGCTATGCACATAGAATCTTTGTTGATGAACGACAAACTTACGTATGTTTCAAAGCTACAGTTGAAGAATATATTTAACAACTATTGGAAATAGGCACTATACGGGATTAAGGAACGAAAAGAAACCGTTCTCACGAGTTTCGAGTGGATGAACGACCCTCGAGTATATCATGAGAAAAGCCCCAAGGATCTTCTAATTGACCTGCTTTTGGGCCTTCCTTCAATTTATGCAGAGATTGATCGAATGAAGGTGGATCTAGTCGCGAATAAAGTCCAGTATCTCCTCAATATTGAGATGAGATTGTGCAAAGTAGTCAAGGGTTTTTCGACGTGGAGTCTCAAGTTCGGACACAACGCTGAACCTTTCAAAAAGATTGGAAGTCACCGAGAGCCCCTTCAGTCAAAATGATCACAAGAGCACATTTGATGACACTCTACTGCGCAGTCTGCATTCTTGTCTTTGAAGTTCTTCATGAAACACTCCAAGTGGATGTCAAGCATATTCATATTCAACCAGGATATTGTTGGATATTGTTGCCAGAGGATTATCCAATGTCTGCCCTTATCCACACCCTTCAACTGGGATATTTCGCCAGCATCTCATTCCTTTCTCCTTGATAACCGCTTTGGGGTATTTAACATCGCATCCCACCATTCGATTAGAGGATGAGATCAACTATTTGATCTCGCTTTCCCAGGTACCCGAACTGGCTTCGATATTTTAAAATATAAACAGCTTAAGGGTGACTGCCTCTGCCGACATGCTGGCAGCGCAGGCTAGGAACCGTTATTTGAAAACGACTACTTCTACAATATGTGGCACTATATTGTCTCCAGTTACCCATGTAACCTCTCCAAGAATGAAACGGATATACTTTATACATGTTCACACTTGAGTATATGTTAATATGACCGTGGAAGACGTGATTCAAATAGCCTGGACAGAGGTTCGTATTAATGGAGTATCTATGCAATCCAAAACCAGATTCGTTCTAATCTTGTTAGTTGTGTCGCTCAGTAAATATATAGGCAAGGGAGAAGACATACCAAGGAAATTGCGAGGTTTCGGCTCTACCCAGGTCGATTCCAACTCATCTGCTTCCTCTTTCCCAGACCAAAAGTCCATATCTTCAATGTTCACGAACTTTGTTTTTTTGATGAATTTGTAACCTAGGAACAGACTCGCAAAGATGGGGATATCGATGTAAGGCGGAACGAAGGTTTTGGCGCTGAAACTCCCTGGGAAAAACGCATCAAAGCCATTGAAAAGCGCAACCGTTGAAGAAAACAATACAGCAAAGTACGCCAAGTATGGTTGGAAAGGCGACTTGAAAGGAAGCGATGATCGCGGAATGCCATGATGCTTGAGCCCCCTATGGAACCGTATGTATGTGATTGCAATAGAAGACCATACAATCAGTGTGCTGACGGAGCTCAGGTTGCTAATCCAGAAGAAAACATCCGCCGAACTCGATGAGACATTGAGATAAACCAGTAGGCTGAGAGCAGCTGTAACGGCGACACATCCGTATGGCACGCCGAATTTCTCATACTTAAGGATTGCAGGCGCTTTGCCATCCAGTGCTGTGGCGTAGAGAATGCGAGTAGACGCGTAGAAAAATGAGTTTCCGGCTGATAATGCTGAGGTGAGGATGACTGCGTTTATAATGGATGGTAACACTTTTATACCACCGTTCTCAATAGCAATGACAAACGGGCTGGCTCCAGCTCCAGATGCACCGGAGTTTATAGCATTGAGCAGTCGATGGTCGCGCGACGATACGCAGAGACAGACGAGAAAAATACTCCCGACGTAGAAAATCGCAATACGCCAGAACACTCGCCTCACGGCTTTCGGGATGTTTCGACGCGGGTTTTCAGTCTCACCCGCCGCCACCACGACCATTTCACTGCCTCCATAACTGAATGTTGCTTGGATAAACACCTTCCAAAACGCCAAAAATCTCCCCAATGACCCAACTTCGAGATACGTATTCATCGGACCTGGAATTTGCCAGTAACGAAACCCAATGCGATCATGGTTAGGAGCTCCCCCTAAAGTGATTATGAACATGAGCAACATAAGACCTATTATGGTGAGAAGCTTAATGGACCCAAGAAAGAATTCCAGTTCTCCATAGACGCGAACAGGTAAACTATTGATGGCGAAGATTGCGATATATAGAACTGTGATCCAGACCGCAGAAGAGACGCCGTTGGGCCAGTAATCGATGACAAGAGCAGCGGCGCTGATTTCGATGGGAACACCGATAGCGAACTGGTACCAATAATTCCAGCCCAGGGTGAAACCCAACGCTTCGTCCACGAACCGGCTAGCATAAACAGGGACAGCACCAGGAAGTGGAAGCCAGGTAGCCATCTCGCCCATACTGTTGATGACAGCATAAAGATTGAAACCAGTAATAAAATAGGCGAGGACGGCGGATAATGGCCCAGCTAGGGATATGACCTGACCTGCTCCCACGAAGAGGCCCGTTCCAATTGCTCCAGACAAGGCGAGGAATTGAATGTGTCGAGACTTCAACCGTCTTTGAAGCGTACCAACATTTGCCTGGTTGAGACCTTCCACTTTATTCACGTTAAACTCGTCAGCAGCTTGCGACTCGCGTCTGCTATCCCCAACTTCCCCTTCCTCGATACCATCTCTCGTGGCCATCTCAAGTCGACACGTCGTATTATTCCCTCGGCGTAGGGATGTTTGGCAGAAAGGGCGGAGAAAGGGAGAGGGATAGACCAAGACCGAGACACAAAGCTAAAGAAAAGAATAAAAAGAGGACAAAAAAGTGTCAACCCCCCAAGATACCCCAGATCCCCTCGGGTTTGAACCGTTGCGAAGTATGCTGTTTTCTGTCCACGTGGGGGTGAAGCCGGCTCATGTTGCATCTGGATACGGGGAAAGCGTGGGGTAATGGAGCGAGAAGCTCCAAGATCAGCAGTCTTTTCGCTTATCGCTAACCCGAATGGTCCCACGGAGTAAAGACTTCAGGAAGTCATTCAGACCTATCCCAAGAATAGATAACGATGTCGGCAAGTTCCGATTGAACCAGTCTTCAGTGCTCGGGATTTCACCCGATATCCGACGTCTGGATCAGCGCGTTTGGGCGTATCGCGGGATTGCAGGATTCTGGATCCACAATTCCAGGTCCAAGCGCTGTACAATCTCACGGATGACATGAGCATGCCCCTCACCCCGTCTGAGCTCCAAGGTTGTATCATGTGGTGGTATCTTCTCATTGTGATTGGGGAAGGAGGAGAGGTTGAGTGGGTCATTGACGGAGATACGAGGAAGAGTCATAGCAAGGATCCTCTTCCTTCCATTATAACCATTTTGTACTGATTTGCAAACCAACATCCTCTTGACATTGCTGTTTACCACAAAAATGGGTTCTCAATCTCAGGAGCCAACACCGTTCGGTCATGAAATGCTAAAGCATTTCTCCTTTGCGCCAGGTTATCGAAATCTCAATCATGGTAAGAAATATCGCATTTATTGTTGACTCGTGTTTTTTTTGTATCTCTCTCTGTGCCATTCAATACTAACAACCCATAGGCTCTTATGGAACATCCCCTCGCATAATCCGCGACAAGGCAAATGAGTTACGGGACGAATGCGAAATGACTCCTTGTCCTTTTATCAAATACCGATTCCTAGACCTTCTAGATGAGTCGCGGGCTGCCCTCGGCAAATTTCTTGGTGTCCCCGAATCTACTGTGGTTCTTGTTCCGAATGCTACAACAGGAGTGAATACTGTGCTGCACAACCTTCGATGGAATGATGATGGAAAAGATGAAATTATTCAACTGGACATCATCTATGGAGCGTGTGGAAAGACGGCTAGCTATATCTGCGAAGCAAACCAACATAGAGTTCGCACCCGGCAAGTCAATTTTACCCATCCAGTTGAGAACTCTGAGATGGTTTCAATCTTCCAGCGAGCTATTCAAACTTCAAAAGCCGAGGGCTATCGCCCGCGAGTCGCCATTTTCGACACCATCTCCTCAAATCCTGGAATACGACTACCATTTGAGGATTTCGCTTCAGTGTGTCGCTCAGAAGGAGTCCTCAGCTTGGTGGACGCGGCGCATGGTATTGGACAAATCGAGCTCAATATTCCGTCCTGGGATCCCGACTTTTTGGTCTCAAATTGCCACAAATGGTTATACACGCCTCGTGGATGCGCTGTATTCTATGTGCCGGAGCGCAACCAGGGAATGATCACAACTACCCTACCGACAAGTCATGGGTACATTGAAAAACCAAGTTCTGATGAATTCAACACGAAGCCCAAAAATTCAAATGCAAAGAAATCCTCATTTGTGACCAACTTTGAATTTGTGGGGACTACAGATATGCTTGCCTATTTGACCATTCCTCAGGCCATAGAATGGCGTCAGCAAGTCTGCGGAGGAGAGCGAAAAATCCAGGATTATTCCATTTCACTTGCCAAGAGAGGAGGCCAAAGAGTGGCCGACATCTTGGGCACTCGTATTTTGGACAATGCCACCCACGACCTCAGCAACTGCTTCATGGTCAACGTTCTTCTTCCTATTAATCGACCAACAAGTGGGGCTGGAAGTGTGGTTCGGGGCAAAGACAACATCGAAAGGCCCCTCAATGATTGGATCCAGCGAACTTTGATCGAAGACTGGAAGACTTATATGCCTGTTTTCCCCTTCCAAGATGGCTGGTGGGTCCGACTAAGTGGTCAAATTTATCTTGATGACAGTGACTTTGAGTGGGCTGGGCAGACTTTAAAGGCAGTTTTAGAGCAACTAGAACAACAAACTTTTGTTTGAACTAATTGAAATGGCTGCATCAATCAGTATCCTCACACTGAAAGATACGCATCCACACAGTGATGATTTTCGCATAACAAGACAAAATACAATTAGACTTTTCAGATTAATATCAAACTACAGTAACTCAAGCCCGCATAACCTATACTCACTTTTGGACATTCATGAGCTTTTTTCAAAGCGCAAAAAACTAGAGCGAAGCTAGTATCACATCTATTCAGTGTTCTTAAGATTATTATGTGCCTGCGTACTAACAGCAAGCCTATCATCCACTCTTAGCAACTTCAAAGGAAACTAAATTATTGAATGCATCGTATCCTTCAAAAATAGTTCATACATACTATCTTGTCCCACGCATTGAAAGTGTATTCAACTACAACTTGAGAACTTCAATATCAATTCAGATATCTCTCGGAGTCCTTGGAATGTGACTGGAGCCCAAAGAAAGGCCGCCCGGTCCAGACGCGATATTTGGAAAATGTTTAATGCTTATTATAATAAGCATACCAAGCTTTGTAATGCGTGAAATTAGCGGCTCACACATCGAAGAAGACTTGAGAAAACGTTCTGGACCTATCAACCTGGTCAATCAAATCATGTCAAACAAGTCCGTCATTACTAGTAATTTGCGGCAATTTCCAACTCCGAAGGGGATCGGCATCCATGATAGAAATTTGGAACATCCATTGGCTACGTAACCCGACAAATGCCCGAGCTCTTGCAAAGTGCCTTCGGAGTGGGTCTGTATTCCCGGGTTGCGGGGCTCCACAGTGTAAAGCCTGTGAAGCAAACATGACCTGCGGCAGATCGAATCAAATGATCAGCTAGAGTGTAAGCAGGACAAAGCGGAGTATGATTTCATGTAGCGCGAATATCCCAATTACATCCAAGCTTTCTGCTGAAGGAAGGCGGGAATGAGAGGGGTAACGATGGAGCCCTGGAGAATTCCCGGAAAGACTTTGCCATTTGGACCCTTCAATCCAACCAAACGTGGAAGGATTTGTGTTTGCTGCATTAATCCTGGCAAACGGTGAGAGGTATTTAAACACCCGCATACCTCTTCCTTTGACCCTCAACACCTATCTCGTCTCTTCTCATCCTACCTGAACGATGGGGTTCCGTTGGCTATTCCTATTTCTTTGCGCAATTTATGTTGATTTTGTCCATAGCGCTGCGAGTTGCCCAGGATACAAAGCCAGCAATGTGAAATTAAATCATGGAGCAATTGTCAGTGCCGACCTTACACTCGCTGGCACAGCATGCAATATTTATGGCACCGATTTACACGACCTCAAACTAGAAGTAGAGTATCAAACAGGTATGTGCATCTTTGGATACAGACATATTGAAAATCGTCTTACTAAATCCATACCATCTCAGAGTCTCGTGTGCATGTCAAGATTTATGACGCAGCCGAACAGGTCTACCAAGTCCCTGAGTCAGTTGTTTCTCGACCGAATAGCACAACAGTTGACCCTTCGAAATCAGACCTAGAAGTGAAGGTTGTTCAGAATCCATTTTCGTTCAAGATAACCCGTCGATCAAACAATGAGGTTCTCTTTGACACTTCTGGCCATGCCTTGGTCTTTGAGTCTCAGTACCTTGGTCTCCGCACGGCTTTGCCAGACTCACCGAATTTATACGGCCTGGGGGAGAGTACCGACTCAATGCGCCTTCAAACTGAAAACTACCAACGCACATTATGGTCCCGAGATGCTTACCTCACCCCTCAGTATACCAATCTATACGGCAATCATCCTATCTACTTCGATCATCGTGGTCAGAAGGGTACACATGGAGTATTTCTTTTGAACAGCAATGGTATGGATATCAAACTGGACCGAGACTCTGATGGCCAGTACCTCGAATACAAAACCCTAGGTGGTGTTTTTGATTTCTACTTCCTAGCTGGTTCTACTCCGAAAGATGTTTCAGTTCAATATTCCGAGGTGGTTGGAAAAGCTGTGATGATGCCGTACTGGGGTCTTGGTTTCCATAACTGCAGATATGGGTATCAGGATATTTTCGAGGTTGCCGAGGTCATAGCAAACTATAGCGCTGCGAACATTCCACTTGAAACTCAATGGACCGACATAGGTATGTTCAATCCACACATCGCGTCAATTGTGAACTTGAAAACCAACTAATAGCTTTTTAGACTACATGGACCTAAGAAAAGTTTTCACATTGGACCCTATACGGTATCCCTTGCATCTTGTTCGCGAAGTGGTCTCGTATCTACATGCCCATAGCCAGCATTATATTATGATGGTTGACCCTGCGGTGGCTTATGCTGAATATCCACCATTCACCCAAGGTGTTAAGGATGGCGCATTCTTAACCCAGAACGGAACTGTCTATCAAGGGGTCGTCTGGCCTGGTGTAACCGCGTTCCCTGATTGGTTCGCCCCAAAGATCCAAGAGTACTGGAACAACCAATTCTCCACCTTCTTTGACGCAGATAGTGGAGTGGATATAGATGCCCTATGGATCGACATGAACGAAGCTTCGAATTTCTGCGACTGGCCATGCACAGATCCAGCAGCTTTTGCAGTAGAAAACGACGACCCTCCTAATCCTCCTGCGGCTCGACTGTCAGCACCACGACCGATTGCCGGGTTTGGGTCCGACTTTCAACCCACTTGTGTTGCTCAGGTTTCCTTCAGTGTCGACGCCGAAACGTACTTGGGAGAGAATATCTACATCCTAGGTGGCTCCCCCACGCTGGGAGAATGGGACAGCCATAATGCAGTGGCAATGAGTGCAGATAACTACCCTGAGTGGCAGGTTACTGTCCAAATGCCAGCAAATGGAACATCTAGCTACCAGTATATTCGAAGAGAATCAGACGGCAGTTGGATTTACGAGAGCAAAAATCGCACAATCACCACAGGCGACTGCAACAGTGGCATTCAGGCCGTTTCTGACAATATAACTACGAGTTCGGGGTCACAAAAAAGGTCATTACATCATCCTTCGCTGCCAATTGTCCATGCAAAGTCGAATCACGTTCTCCAGAGCCGAGACGGTTCCAGCATGGGCTTACCAGGAAGAGATTTGATCGATCCACCATACCAAATCAACAACACTGCCGGGTCAATCAGTAACCTGACTATCCGCACGGATCTCACCCATGCAAACGGTCTGAAACTGTATGATACACACAATTTCTACGGTAGTATGATGAGCTCAGCTAGTCGCGACGCGATGCTCAACCGAAGGCCGTCTGTACGGCCCCTAGTGTATGTCTCTTGATACCAACTTGAAAGCTCTTACTAACGAGTAGCAGTATCACTCGATCAACGTTCGCCGGCGCTGGAAGCAAAGTCGGTCATTGGACAGGCGATAACAATGCCGATTGGGATCACTACCGTTGGACAATTGCCGAACTTCAAGAATTTGTGGCTCTCTACCAGATACCTATGGTTGGAAGTGATATCTGCGGTTATGCAGGCGTTACGACTGACACTCTGTGCTCTCGATGGACATTCCTTGGCGCATTCTCACCCTTTTTCCGTGACCACCAGTCAAACGATGAGATACCGCATGAGCTTTACAGAAGCCCCATGGTTGCTGCAGCTGCTAGAGCTGCAATCGACATTCGTTACCGCCTACTTGACTATATCTACACTGCGATGTGGAAACAGACAGAGACTGGAGTTCCAATGCTGAGCCCGATGTTCTTTCAGTATCCCTTCGACGAGAATACAGTAGATTTGCCATCTCAATTCTTCTGGGGCCCAGATATACTGGTTGCACCTGTTACGGAGGAGAATTCAACCTCTGTATCCGTCTATTTGCCTAAAGATCTATTTTACGATTTCTATACTGGTGCCCCAACGGAAGGACAAGGGAAGGAGGTCACGCTGAATGGAATCGGATATGACACCATTCCGTTATTCTATAGAGGAGGCAGCATTGTCCCGCAGCGTATATCATCGGCAAATACTACAGCGCAGCTACGCGAGCAAAATATTGAGATTGTCATTGCACCAAACAAGGCTGGGCATGCATCAGGTGTGTTATATCTTGACGACGGCGACAGCATTGAGCAGCCCCATACGTCCGTTATTCACTTCAACTATGCCAGCAAAGAGTTTTCGATGGATGGGGAGTTCGGATACAACGTTGGAAAGGTGGTGATTGGCCAGATTACCGTTCTAGGTGATCACGTACAAAGACACACAACCAATATCAAGTTAACGGGGAAACACTCTACAAAGCTCAACTAGCTGTAGCATCAGGATCAAGAGAGTGGGTATGAGCAGCAAGATGGATGAAATGATTACAAAGGAATTGAAGACACCATGGAACTGACTGAACATCTGGGGTTTCCAGTAGTGGAATTTCATTCGCCAAGTGTATATAGCTTTTGTTCTTCCATCCATTGCCAATGAGTGACACAGAGTTATTATTCATTAGGAGTCATATCAATAGGTCTGTCCCATCCGCAGGCAATATTCCTTTTGTCACCTCAGCAGTCATTGAGTCTTCCCCCGAATAGGCACCATGGCCCTCCGAATATATTTATAACAAACGGTCTTCAATCTCCGAGGCATTCCATTCGGGGAACCACTCGTTAGCTTGCGATGAAGGGGACCGGCATCAAAGCTTTTTCGGTTTATTGCGGAAGCTTCTTGTGCAGATTCCTGATTTGATTGCGTTTGCGCGGCTGTGGCTTCGCTTTGAGTATCGTCTGCGGGGGGTGTGACAGGGGGTGTGATAGTATATACAGGTGGGTGGGATGTGTGTGTGGTTTGAGTTTCGGTTCGTTCTAGGGAGGTCTGATTTGGATCTTCGAGTGGGATGAATATTTGCTGTAGGGCAGCAGTAATCCGGTCGTGCATCGCTTGGTCTTGAAGGATCGAAGTTGTAGATGGTGGAGTCGGGTCTTTTGGAAGTGCTCTCTCGCTTGTGCTGACGATATGGGGAATTTTATGGTCCTCGACCGGGTCTTTCGCTGAAGAATGAGTGGCAATATTATGTGTATCGACAGTAGCCAACTCTTCGAGTTCTGAGTCCGCATCCGACCCTTCGTAATATTCGTAGTACTCGTCGTCCGTTTCCTCTTCGGATTCCTCCCAATCATCGTCGTCTTCTGATTCCTCCTCCTCCTGTTCTTCGTAACATTCCTCTTTTCCGATATCGCTAGGGGGAATAGTCTCGTTTACGTCGATTGCCAGATTTTCCTTCTCTTGGTGGTCCAGGGGAGGAGGGACCTTGCAAGGGTGTGTATTATTAGGAATCAGAGACTCGCGGCCTTCCCTGTAATCGATTGCCCTGCTTTCTAACTCGGAAGTCGCTACCTTCAAATCCCAATATGAAGATGAAAGCCTTTGTATGTACAAGCTGTGAACAGCCTGGTAGGCTTGTGCTGCAAATTGCATCACATAGTCAGCCGAGGCAGCATCGCTTGGGTGTCTCGCAGCATGATCGAAGACTTTGACGCAATGTAATTCGAATTCACGAGCCAATTGGAAAGAATCTTGTAGATTAGAGCTATCCAACTCATCATATCTTGGCCATTGGTTTGCCATGGTTGCTGGTTATTGATGTATGTATTTTGTTGAGTTCTGCAAGAAGCGTGACACGCGTGAGTCGCAGCTTCACGCGTTAAGTAGCTTCCGCGTTCGGCAAGGAGCGTGACTTACGTAAATCCGCAAACCCGTAAACCCGACAGCTCCAGACAATATGTAAGGGGGAAACATCTACGAGACGTGCAACAAGGCAATTTGTGATTTTTCATTTAACGTTGCGATGAACTGCCGCTTGCACAATCCAGATTCCCAAACCTTCTGTCGGGAAGAATGTGCCATCTCTCATACCATTGGCGGGTGGAAACATTCGCAATGTCTCTTTGATGACAGCGCTAGTGTACGGAAGTTGATTGATTATTTCAGGGCGCCCCTTGAGAACCTCCTGTGCACTTGATGCCCCGGTGCCAAACACACTGCTATGTTCCTGACGAACCCGGGCAAGCATTTCTGGAGATTTCGATAAGAGGTAGAAGCAATTAAGTATTGCAGTCGCTTCAGAATCATGCCCAACAAATAGAAAAAGGCGAACATGAATGACGGCCCAAGCTCTGAATCCCGAGTCAAGATGCAGGTCCCTCTGCGGTCTTGTCTTCATATATTCTGCAATAACAATATCCATAATGAACTTGGGACGAGAATAAGGACCTTGCGTTGTCTTCTTTCCATTTTTTATAACACTTGTCGAGTTCAATTCCGATAAGATTGTTCAGAGTGCGTCCACTTTTCCATTGTATGTATAACCGACGGGGGCTCCAGCGCTTTAGAATGTTGGTCGTTCCAATGCCCTGAGACAACTTGTAGGTATAGCATATAGACCAGATAGTTAATGCCTGGTAACGCTTGGCGTTCCTTTTCCGTTCTAGTGCTTGAATGACCACCTATACTATAGAAGAAAGTTTCTCGCGACCACGGAAACATCTCTACTCTTGCCCTCCCAAGCTCTGGCATTCAGTCTCCCATTAGCAAAGCAACTCCATTCGGTGGTCAAAGCCTTTTCTCCGCCTTCTGACGAATTAAATTGCAGTTATTTAGATTCCAAACCGAACTTTCTTCATCAAGCTCCATGCAATTAGGCTCTACACCGTTAATGCCGCCATTCACCAATGTTTCACTCAATGGGTACTAGCCTCCAAATTCCCAATCAATAAAAGCCGAGCTTTCCCCATCTTTTGACAATATGTTTCTTGCTTGGAAGTCTCCGTGAACAAGAGCAAACGGCTCGTCAGTCATATCGATTCCAGCAATATAGTCTCGTTTCTTTCTTTTGTATCTCCACGATAAAATCCTGTATAGAGGTTTCCGTGAAGAGATCCTCGTCAATATCATGTTCAGTTGACAAACAATGCTTTGTGTTAATGTTAAAGTGAGCAGCTATGAGCTTGAACAACTTCAAGTTGAAGGTATTTATACACTCCGCCCTATTCACGTTCGAACTATATACTCTACCGTCAGGTCACGCTTCAGCTTGGATTGAAGTCAACATATTTCAATATTTCAATATTGAAGCCGCGTGAAATGGGTATAAGTATCGAGTGGTCTCGTTTGCAGGGCTGTACAGTAACCTTGGAGCTTTATCGTCTTCAGCTTGAACCATACAGAGCATATACTAAATATGAAAGGACAGCTGATGGTAACGCGGTGGAAACTTGTAAGTAGTATACGTAATGGCTCCATCTCCATCGACCGAGTCCTGCGTAGTAGACATACTCATTGGCTACGGATGCCGCTGCCTAAGTCACAGTATGTAGTACTCAAGATAATCACTCCGACGGTTTCATGGAAGTTGATCTAATAATTTCGCGGGGGACAGGTATAATTGAAGCGATAAATGCTAGATTACAAAGCATCAGTGAATGATGCCCGGGATAAGTCCATGTATCTAGGTAGACCAGCGCGGAATAAGAATAAGATTATGGAGTGTGTGCCTTTCTCCCAACTAAATGATGATAACGTGCTACGCAATATTCAGGGTCTAAACCTGTGGACGGAGGGTATGTATGTATGTATTTTTCCCCAGGGAAAGCCGAGTATGCTAAGGGAATACGTAAGTTGAACCCGCATTCAGATGAACATCCCCCCCCCCAATAAATACTTACTAGTAGCTTCAAGTTAGAAACAAACATGAGGGTCATTGACGAGTAAGTTTTCTGCCGAGGATAGATATACGTTATCTTCATTTGTAGACGAGTGTAATTACCATCGCTGTAATTCAAGATAGAATTATAGAAGTGTGAAAAGCCGAATACATATGTACTGTTATAATATTCTGCTCCATACTAGTGCATGTTATATTCTTGCGATCCCTAAGAAGATGAGCTTACAGAGTATGAGTTCTCGAGGTCAGAGGTAACGTACGGGTCTCTTGGTAGATAAGGGCTCTGACACAGAAAATGACACAATCATCCGTGTTGGCCCCCTAAATAAGCACCGCTAAGCAAATACTAAGATATCAGGATTTTCGGGAAACACGTAAGGTCAAAGCCCCTGGGGTTACAGGGGGTACGTGTTTTGAAGCGATCAATAGCAAGGATTTGGTGCTTTGAACTCCCTCGCCCCCGGGGCCGAAAGCATCGTCGATTCCATTTGGCCAGCTACATAGTGAAGGGCGAAACAAGTTTCATGATTCAAGCAGAGAAATGAATCTGGCTCTTTGCGAATGGAGAGCAATTTCTCTGCGCTGGATAGCATGATAATTCGCAATTGAGTAAACTTGATTTTGCGCAGTATGTACACAATAGACAAGCTTTCCTAAGCCCTCTCCTAATTTAGCTCAAGATTGATATGAACCGAAAAGTTTTACCGTGAGAGGTGATAACACACGGGTCTTAGTGTTCTCCTTCTTTTTCTTGGAAAGGTGGGGCATGTTCCTGTCAGTTGTGACCAATTATATTCTTAGGCGTACTACCCACACGTTTTTTCCACGCGGAAACCCTGCCAGGCCGCGCGGAGGGGACAGATACGGGTACGAGGCACCGCCCCTTATCGAGCGCAGTCTCCATAATTGACCCTAACTGCGCCTAATTTAGGGTGGTGTATTCGAGTGACATGTAAAAGCAATTCCCTTGTATGAATGAAGAGCCCTGCTTATCATTGTCTTAATAAAAATTGCTTCTATGTGAAGAGGCGGACGTCGATGCAAGCCTCATTATGTAGCATCTTAGATCTTCGTGGCGGATCTCCGAGTCTTGGCAATTTATGAATTTTTAGGTTTTGGGCTAGAAGGACACCAAAACACCTAATAAGAATATGCTAAGCTCCTTCAATGCTGTACATCTGGGTAAATAATTTCCAATATGGGAGGAGGTTAAACCTACTTTGGAAAGTATCTGCGTCATTCGGCTTTATCCCACATTAAATTGCGGAGTAGGGAAGATAACAGCCACAGAATTTGCGCAAGTGCGTCATACGCGTAGAGTATACGCGCAAGCTGGTGGGTCACTAAGTCAACACAAGGGACAGAACCGACCCATACAAAGACCCAAAAAAATCCAGGATATGATCTGTGTATATAATATATAAGAAATTGCTTTCGGAGGGCCGATGGGACGCTAGTCTAACTAATATTTCTTCCAACGTTGAAATCCAAAAGTTCTTTTCTTCTTCCTTGGATCCATGTAGTATAATGACATCAGGTGTCTGTATGGTTATACAGCACATCTTATCGACTCATGGCATTTTCAATTTCTGAATTCCTGCGCAATAGGCGAATTCAAGCATCCTCATCGCTACTACACTCGTCGCGTGATCCCTCGTCTCGTTCGTCAAGCCCCAATCCAGAATTCGACGGCAACCATGGCACACCATTTCTTTCAAAAACGAGCACCCGAGGAAGAAGTCGCCAAAAGCTTCGAGTCACACTATGGAGTATCGGCATCACAATAGTTGTTATTCTGGGATATCGTCTCTTGCTCCCTCAACTCCTCCGTTTCCGATTTCGCTCAGATCTCACTTGGTACGACATTGGCCTTTACGGATTTTTTCCCACTCAGGGGTATAACAGCTTCCTATACGACTCTCCCCTCTTGGGCTTCATCGAGACGGATTCCCGATGTAGTCGCGACTATTTCTTCTTTGCGCCAAACGGAGATTCGATCCAGGAACCAGGGCCAGTGCTTCTTGACGCCGATGGGGAGCTGGTGTGGCAATTGTCAGAGGGCTTGGATGGAGTGACGCAGGACTTTAGAGTGCAGCGATATAAAGATGAAGACTTTTTGACTTTTTGGGTTGGCCATGAGATTGATGGGAGGAAACAGGGCTACTGGTATATGGTATGCGAGCATCAGTCTATTGGACATCAAAACAGTACAGGGAATTCCAGACTAACAGGCTTGATGTTGCTATAGCTCGACTCCTCTTACAGTCTCCGGTACACGATTTCCCCAGGTGGGAATTTTACAACAGGAGATATGCATGAATTTCATCTCACCCCCGATGGGACGGCGTTGGTCGTGGTATACGACCCCGTTCCCGCAGATTTAAGCGCGATTGGAGGGGCGCGTGATGGCTGGATTCTGGATGGAGTTGTGCAAGAGCTTGATATTGAGACAGGCGAAACTCGCTTTGAGTGGCGTGCATCCGAGCACTTCGCCGTCGAAGATACATTCCATGGCATGGCTGGTTGCCACGAAACACATGCTGCCGCCTTTTCAGGGTGCGGGAACGAACCGACTTCTGCTTTCGACTTTTTCCATCTGAACAGCGTGGAAAAGAGCTCTTCCGGGAACTTCCTAATATCGAGTCGGTATACCCACACTATTAGCGAGGTAAATGGTATTGATGGCAGCGTTTTGTGGACCTTGGGAGGAAAATCCAACAACTTCAAAGACCTTTCTGCCGATGGATCCGCGACTGGTATCTCTTGGCAACATCATGCCCGTTGGTATGGTGATAGCAGTATCACATTATTCGACAATGCTGTCGAGGACAACTCCGACCCATCTTTGGAGAGCCGAGGGCTCATCATCGACTTGGATATCGAGAAACGAGAAGCGAATCTACGAGTGGCATTCTCACACCCCCAACGAATGGAAGCCGTATCACTAGGGAGCACGCAAGTGCTAGAAGAAAGCGGAAATATTTTCATTGGCTGGGGCCATAGTGCCGCCTTTACCGAATTCGCGCCGGATGGTAGCGTACTATGCGATATGCACTACGGCCCATCAGCCTGGAACACTTTCGGACGTATCAAGTCCTACCGAACGTTCCGGGGTAAATGGAAAGGTTATCCGACTCAGCCCCCCGATGTTGCCTTTGTAGATGATGCTTTATACGTCAGCTGGAACGGGGCTACGGAGGTGGAACGTTGGCAGTTAGAAGCCATTGAAGAGGATGGCGGAACATCCCACACCGTATCTCAGGTGTTTAAGAGTGGATTTGAGACAGAAATGATTATCCCACAGCACCTTCAGGGATCATCAATACGCGTCCTTGGGCTGGATTCCAAGGGCAGTATTCTTGGGTCCTCAGACGTGTTGGAAGTATCTTCAGAGGATGGTACAACCGCCATTCTCCGCAGTATACTGGTTTTCCCAGTGCTGCTCGTCTTGGTGGGCATTGTCTGGTTGGCGTTGAGACAGCGACTGAGAAGAGCACCAAGAGGAAGAAAAGACTATCAACTACTTCCCTTGCGCACTTGAGATAAAGTGGCATCCCAGCCGATAATTTTTGTATATAGAGGGCCGCCTTACCATCACCGGATTAGATCTCGAATTAACCTTAGAGTAGCACCTTTGTGGACCCTTAAGAAAGTCTCTTGTATGTATAAAGCTGTGAAAGCAGTCAAGACGGATGGACGTGATTTTGAACACTAATGACTGGAAAAAATATATTATATAGAAAGTGATTATTGATAATTATGGAGCCTTAACAGCTGCCCAGGTGTTAAGTGACTCGGACAAGGCAGACCAATTTGTCCTGAACATAAAACCCCTTTGAACAAAAATTAAAAAAAGAATGATGACACCACCGTTAACAAAATATGGAAAACGCCCTTGCCGCAACACCAGATACCACAAACTTCACGGTTCTTAATTTATATACAGAGTGTCAATCGACATTAGTGGGAACATGAACTATGACTGGTAGATAACAGTGAACTCAGTATCGCTCTGAACATCAACCTTAGCGAGCACCTTGCCATTCTGTTGAATGTTCAAAACCTCGCCATCATTCACACCATACTCTCCAACAGAAGCTGCAGCCTGGGCACCACTGAATGTAACCTCTCCGAAATTGACAAGCGGGACCATCGAAGAACCAGAGTTGAAGTCCTCAACAATCCACTCTGCGTTCTGACCACCAAGAGTAGCCGAGGTGGAAGGTGCCGAGAGTGTTTTGGTCACAGTCTCGCCGGAGGACTGGTTCTCAATAATAGCAACACCCTGGCTAGGCGAGGAAGATTCAACCTTGGCAACAATCACATCACCCTCTGAAAGGTCTAGATCGAAGTTCTCCGCACTATTTGGGTACCATTCGTACCAGGCATCGTAGGACTTCACTCCATTCTGGATATAGGCATCGATTCCTGTTTGCAAGATCGACTTGGCATAAGTATCACCATCGATACCAACCCAGGCAGAAGCCGCTTGCATATCACCGGAATTGTCGGTGGCTGTCGGGTTAGGCACAGTGAAGGTAGCCGAGACGGCTGTGTATGTGCCACTGGCTGGTGGGTTCTCACGCACTACACCAGCCCAGTTCTTGCTATACTGAACGTTGGCGGAATCGGAACCGTCCTTGAGAAGGACGCCGTTCTTCTCGGCCGGCACGGATTGGCGTCCTAGAACACCTCGCGCTTGTAGACGATCAACTAGCCCGGGCCGTGGAGCTGCAAAAGCGCCAGTCGCCAGCATGGTGGTGGCAAGAGTTGCAGTGGTGAACTTCATTTTGGCTAGAGAAAAGGTCGGTATACTCGGCAGAGGACGAGGCGGCAAGGAACAGAATACTGAGAGCGTAGGGTGACAGGGCCGGCCTGTTCGAAATATGGGACGAAGAGAGTTTTATGTGCTCAAGTTTGCAAGGTTGCATGCAGTAGTCCAACCGCATGGGGATGTGGGACATATGGTGTGCTCATGTTGACCCATCATGGGTTGTAGTGGAGAGGCACTGCCTGGAGACCCGCAAAGCGAATGGGGATGAGTTAGAAAACAGGTCATGGGAAACACAGCAGCCCAAATCATTGCAAAGAGTGAAATTTGTCAATTTTTCAGGGTCTTTCTTGGAGCAATGTTGATCATTTTCCAATTCGTGTCAGTTGTCCAGACTGCGTGAGCAGCCGGACTGATCCCAGAAGTGTGTTTCCGGCATCATCTGCTGCTCCAAATTACCGGATCGCAGAGTGTGTGAGTGAAACAAGACTTGCGCGTCTGTGTGGCAGAGACATTCCTCATGAGCCAGGCTAGTTGATAGCTGCAACATGACGCATTGGCTAAAGATCGACGCCAAAAAGCGATCTCCAAGCCTAAGAGCCACGAGGCTCACTTGTTTGGGCACCAAAAAGCATGGCATAGCGTGGAGGAGATTCGTTGTAGGGGATGGGAGCAGTATCATGCGACTAGAAACATACCAGAGAAGGAATGCTGGCATTCTTCACTAGAATCGCGTATGCTGGTAGGTGCGCGGGGCTGTGGTATTCCCGAAAACAAACAGTCTGTTGCCGATCATTACTTACTTTTGAACACCCGCATCGCCCAAATCGGAGCCGAAAAAGGAAATAGAAACAGGAGCCTTCCTACCCATTCAATTAACTCAATATCCATACTTTGTTAACTTTCGTATAATAAATAAGGACATTGAATTTTTGATTTGTTTTTCGTTTCAACCTTTGGTAGGATCGAAGCAAAGAAGATTTTTTTTTGTGGGTGTCTTATTTCCAGATTATCGCTCATTCAAATTGCTACTACATACCGAAAATGCACACGCAAGATTCACTGGTCCGAAAACGTATACCGAGGGTCTGCCAAGGTCCAGGCGCTGCAAAATAAAACCTTCAATCAGCGTACACTGTATACAGAGACGGAAAGAAGAAGGATATAATTGCGAGGTGCAGTTCAATTCAAGTATTGGCTGGGGCCATAGTCCGCACCTGGGAAACACAAGGTATACCACAAAACCACCCACAATGCCACCGATTTGGAAGTTCAATTCAATTGTGTCAAGAATTAAAAATAGGGAGCGGTCCATGGCTGATATCGACTCGGAGCGTAAGTTATATCCAGGATATCCGAAAGAAGAATGATAGATCCTGGAGGCACATAGTATACAAATGAAACTCCGGCAGAACCGATTCATACACCTCCTTGACATATTGACCTGAGTACGTTGGAAACGTCTGGGAAAGCAATGCGGCGTTGGAGTAATAGTCAAGCTGCTTCTTGCACGTGGCATCGGAAATCAAGGAAATCATATCGAGCATATGAGCCTTGAAGAAACTGAACCTATTTTTCTAATTTTGTGAAATGTTGACCATTGTATCAAAGGACTCTACTGAAATGTCATGAGGAGCTACTAGAGGCTTACCTTGGTTAATTGTTTATTTGAAATAACCGAAGAAAAGGAACAAAAAAGAAAAGAAAGAAAAGAAAAGAAAGAAAAGAAAGAAAAGAACGAAAGAACGAAAGAACGAAAGAACGAAAGAACGAAAGAACGAAAGAACGAAAGATGGGCCATGTTTCTCCCGCTAAGTTATATTATTGTGTCCATCTTAGTTGCACAATACACATCATCTTCTGCCGGCAAGAAATTTACCATTTATAAATGTGAGAAATAGAGCAGCACCATCAAGGATATTGAAAAGAACTGGGATTAAAAAAAATAGCCGCATAATTGGGATTTTGTCCATATTAAAGTCCTTGCTTGACTTCTTTCAGCCTCAGGGTATGCCGATTACACACTCCCCGATAAAAATGTCCATAGATCGCAAAGTCATGAGGGAAATCGATGCGGATCGTTCCCCAATATTTAATGAAAGCTCCTGATCTTCTCATTATACAAGGCTCTATCTGAACATTCAATATCCGGTCCCATATCCTCCATCTTGCATTTCAAGAGTTGCACCTGGACAATCATCAAAGTACAAAATACATGACGGATCCTGCACAATACCATCAGACACTTCAACCGTCAGCTACTGGGATATAGCAAGCGAAATAATTCATTTTGTCGCCTTGCAGTACGCCAATGTGCTTATAAGTCCTCATCTACAGGTTGAGCAAGGCCTCCACAACCATAGTCACTTTCGTATCAATCCCGTCCGGCGACTGTACTATGGTCGATTTTATCCGTCTCTATCTTCAGGATGGTGTTGTATAGTATATTACTACCCTCCGGGGCTTGCCTTCGCTGGAAGCCATTGTCCGCCACATTTGCACAGCTAGATACGGACTTAGCCCCAGTTCCCAAATTGCCAAGGTTCATTTTTGGCAGGGTCTTTACTTTCCCTATAGTACTGCCCACGTATCACAGTGCATTGCATACTAGTATGTACTATCACTAACTCGAAATATACAGTGGAAAACGATGACGCAGAAAGTCTGGTCAAGTTACTCCATGAAAAAAAAACTGCGTATAAATCAGAATGACAATTCTGGTCTGCTTCCAGTTGAGAACTTTAAAATCAAGATCTACACTCCCTTCTACCCGATTCTATTATTGAATTTAGGAGCTTTAAGGGTCACCAGTTTAATGCATAGTATCAAATTTGTCGCCTGAAATTGACAACATATATTAGGGACAGAGAAAGAGAAAGGACTTCAAAATCGCTCCAGAGCTAGACTAGTCAGTGACGGGGTAAGTGATCTAGGGTCAGAAAGTATGTCAAAAATGACAACGGTGAAAAGTGATATTCTTTATCTAATTCCACTGAGGCCATGAACTTCCATCACCCATATCGAATAACTCCGACCGGATCAGATCAGGGAAGACGAAGTCAACGCTGGTTACTAAAGGAGACATTTCACGACTAGATAGCGCTCGATAATCTGGTCCAGGGCTATCCGGAAAATCATGACATACAGAACTGGACCCCGAGCGGAGCTTTTTAAACCGTGATAAGATAATATCACCCAGTAAGTGCGCGGCGTGGCATGACAAGCCAATTGAGTGAAGCCAAGTTATAAGCTTCAAAACTAGACGATCAATGTCAATGACATCTATACTGGCAGCCAGAAGTTGTGAATAATATTCGTGAACAAGGCGGCACAAAGTGAGGGCGGAAAATGTCACAACATGATAGATATGGTCGGTAAGATGGCGAGTCTGGCTATCTGTTGTGTCCATAGCGAGATTGATGATGGCACTGGCGAGCCCGATCATCTCTAGGATAACGGATGCATCTATATTTGACTTGCTATATGCGAAAGATTGATAGTAAGCGAGAAGGTGTGCGAAATGGAAGCCCATTTGAAGAAATTGAGAGCGGGGCTCATCTAAATTCTCATTAGCACTTGAGAACGCAGCGCCAGGTGAGACTTCTCACTAAAAAGGTTTTCCCACTCCTTTCTCCAGCCTTGCAGCGCCATTTTGGCCTGTGGTAAATCCACTTGATGGCGTTGTGGACAACATTTTTCATATATTACCCAGTACAACTTGACTTCCGCTACCATTCTTGTTTCGTAGTTTGGAACATCTGCATTATCAAAAATCCTTTGACAGCTGTCGATGTGGTGTTGATTAAGCATTGCATGCCTGCGTGTACCGACGCAGTATCTAAGCTATAGTCAGCACGCGCCTTATTAACCGTCAACAGCCGTGGAGCATACTGGAGATGAGCAACACATAAATGGACCCATAGGCACGATGCATCCAGATGCGCCTTGTCAATATTCCAATTTCGACTTGTGTCTGAGAGGCCCGGAAAACAGGGACTTGCGAGCCCCTGCTGAAGTGCGTAGCCGGTTAAGAGCCAGCTGTCTATGCTCAGAGGGAATTGTCCTATCGTTGTAGACCAAAGACTTAAGATCAGCGTAGCCTGAAAATATTCTATGGAGCGTGGAACCTCTAGGAGACCTTTCGAAATTAAGCTTTTAGCTTCATAAAACAAATGTGGTGCTAATTCATCCGCAAGGGCTTGTGTGCTGTGCCGCACGGCGATTAAAAGAACGCTGCAAAGCAACAACGGTGAATTTCTCACTTGAGTTAACAGAACCTCCGTTGATACATAATCCGGGAATCTGACCCATCGACCGTAGTGTACTTGGAATCTAGGTATATGAGCAAAAGTGAAACAAATCATTCGAAGATTCACACCCACAGCTTCAACAAGGAGTGGGCGGTTGGCATCGTTATCAGTCCGGCTGAAATGACATCAGATGGATAACCAAGCTGGGAGGCCGATCGCTCTTTTGATGCAACTCCAGCGTCGTCCGCAGCATCGCGGATCAAAATAACGGGTGCTGGATTAAGCTCAGATGGTGTCACTGGCTCCTCAACTCTAGGCGATGCAGTGTGGGCTGCGAGATTTCCTTGATCTTTGGACTGTGCGTCTAGACGATCCATCAACATCACAACTGTTCTCTCAAGCCTTTCAAGTCTATCGTAGCTGTGTTAATGTATGACCATTTAATTCAAGCACAGGACATACCTTTCATCTGTAGATGACTTTTTATTGGAACTTGAGTTCTTGTCATTAATCTCAAACTCATTTTGTGTTTCAGGTGGGGATTGAAATGGGCCAGCCTTGAGGTGCTTCTCTAGAGAGCAGGGAAGCGATAAGGTATGACAGCGTAGACAAGTGTTTCCAGCCCCAATCCCGGAATAGCAGCGAGTTTTGTTCCTGCGGCAGTGGTCACATGCTTTTGAAGCTCTTCCCGAGCGAATAGGTGGCATTATAACAGAGTGCTGGTCCAAATTACCTCGCTGGTCCATTCAGTTGATCCACTGGAGTCTGCAAAGTCAATGATGATGTTTGGTGATGGATCATTGATAAGAGATGGCGCCATTCTTGGTCACGTGGTATTTTGCGAGAGGAGTCAAGTATAGATTTGATCACCTAACTCTAGACTATTTCAGGTAAATACTGACTCGGAGTTCTTGCTGTTATCCAATCCTATTGATTGCTTTCTAAAGGTGTGTATCATTCTCAGGCCGCTGCAGGAAACTTTAGTATTCGATGATCCCTCCGTGTTCCCAGGGATACTAGATAGTAATGTAGTACTTGACGTATAGATAGATCATATCAACAGCCCTGTAGTAAGCGCTCTAGTACTGGTTCCAAGAGGTAGTACTACTAGCCCTGGAGTAGATACTGGAGTTTCTTCCAAAGGCACAATCGGAATGTGTGAGGTTTTATATTCCCAACGACAAGATCAAGTTGATTGAATTCTATTCTACATATAGGTGTCTTCGGAGGTATTTCCGATACTTTGGACCCACTCCTGATCTGCTCGAGCCTCATATAACGACATCGTGCAGTTACGTAGCAGATTATTTAATCCGAAGTATAATTGGATAAACTATACGTTCGCATCAGTAGTACCATTTTCAAAGTAATGATCCTTCGACTTCAGCCCGGCGTCTCCACCATCGAACAAACGGTACAGCAATTTCCACACCAGGATAACCACCGAGGCCGCGATAGCGCAAGCAGAGGCTATTATCAGACCGTTCCTGTAGCGAGGTGCGTCTATATACTAAGTTAGCAAATATAACTTCACGTTTTCGCAATTTATCATACCTTGTGTTTGAAATAGTTGGTTTCCAGGAAAATTCGCTAATTGGATACACATAACATACGCAGCCAAGGCCGCAGGACGTTTATAATCTTGCATTTTGGCAGTAAGCCAGGCTGCACTGATAGCCTGTGCACTTCCCATTCCCATTTGAGTCCAGACGACCCCTCCTAAAGTGAGCATTAATATCTGAAATCTCTTCATTGTGTATGAAAAAGTTCGAACTAACCGTAGAGTACCCATTTCCCGACATCTTCCGGCGCTAGTGCAAGCCAGAGAAGACCAATCGCTCCCCATATATATCCAATAGCGATATGGAAGCCTCGCTCTTGGAACTTGTCACTACTGAATGCAAGGGACACAGACCAGATTAATGCACATACGCTGCCCACGGAGTTGAGGCCATTTGCCTGAAGGGACGTAAACCCCAAAGACTTGATTATTGAAGGTGCATAAGTATTCATCGGCGATATCATGACCATCGAGAGCAATGCTGCCACAAGATGGCCGTACAATCTCCAATCCTGAAACGTATCCAATATGTGTGATGGCAAAACCGGCTTTCCGTATCTGAGTGCCTTTGTCGGATCATTGTAGATTACTCGAGTAACAAGGACAGAAGCCTCTCGAGGCGTAAAGATTGAGAACGATTTTCCAAAGATAGATTTCGGTCGAGCGGCATTGTGAGGGAAATAAAAGTAAGCTGAAATGCCCAAGAAGCAAGTCAAGACCCCCTCTACTAATTGTCAGATGATTGAATGTAGTGCTTCAGAGAACTCACGTACCAATGAGAAAAAGCCATTGCCATCCACGCAATCCACCTCTTCCATCAAGCGAGAGCAGGCCAATCGACAGCGGACCACCTAGCGCCCCAGCAAAGCTATTCGCAGCCCAGAAAATAGCATACCGAAATGCAAGTTCCTGGTTTGTATAAAATTTTGAAATATAAAGAGCGAATCCCGGGATGTATCCCCCTTCGAGTGCGCCAATCAAGAAACGTGTCGCGTAAAGGCCTTTTTCATTCTTCATGAAAACTTGTGACCATGTAACTATTCCCCAGAGGAACATTGTAATAGGAAGAAATCGCTCGGGGCCGATGTATTTGCTGATCATGTTGAAAGGCAGCTCTGTTATAATAAAACCAACTGTGAACAGCGTTTGTGCCAAATTGACTTCTGTATTCCCGACGCGTATGTCATTTTGCAGGCTGCTAGTGAGAGCATTGCCAATATTTGTGCGATCGAACTGTAGAAAACAGAAGCATAGCACAATAGGGGGCAAGATGAAGAAATCGACCTTGAATAAGGCCTTCCGAACTTCCTCCTGCTCAAAATGAAGATCAGCTTCATAGCCAGGAACGTCGTTGCTTTCGTTCAGAGTGGCCTCGTGTTTGAGTGTGTAAGCCTCATCTTGGATAGAAGAGCCCTTTTCAACCACATTATCCATATTTGTATTATTCAAAAATTGGAAAACAACAACTTCAAGGGTCGTTTTAAAGAGATTGGATGACTGAACTGCGACGATTTTCTCATTCTAAGCGAAGCCCTTAGGCGATAGCAATAATTTAATACATTTTCCATGACATGGATTCCCAAGGCGACTGATTATCACGATAGATCGATATCTGAGGATATTGAAGATACCATGAAAGCCAAGATGACGTGCTTATCAGACTCACCTATCTCAAAGCTCGATATGAGCCCATAGATGTGGGTCTTCAGTTGATAAACGGGACGTCTGTTGTCCAGCCGCCGGAACAAGCCGCGGTATGCCGCGGTCCGTAGGCATGCCGCCGGTTGGGCTCTATGAGCCATATCACAACATCAAAAACATAACAGGTGTTTGTATTCGCAATTCTGAGAGCTCAGATTAAATACCCCATGAGACACGTGCTTTTCCTTCCAGTTCATTCACCACCTTTTCCGCGATAGCAATGGAGCAGAATACTCTCAAAAGACGGGGTGTCGGCTTGACTGGTGTAGATAAGCAACTCTCGTTTGGAGGCTTCACTCTCTTCTGTCCCTTGACGAGTGACACAGCTCATCTCGTTGATATTGATGGGAAAGAGGTGCACTCTTGGAAGCTCCCCGGCAGAATTGGTCGCCACGCCAGAATTCTACCGAATGGAAACCTCGCCGTCAACACCCTTCGCCCACCTTCCGAACAGACAACAGCAGATGGAGGACCTTTTCCATTCCCTTTCTTCAATAAATACGGTGGAGGGGTGATGTCAGAGCTCGACTCAGAAGGGAATATCGTTCGTCAATTCATCGATCCTTTGGGACATCATGACCAATATCATTATGGCGATGGGCGGATCCTTTATACCTCTCTCGAACCCCTCTCACTCGAAGATTCAGCAAAGGTCATCGGTGGTATACCAGGCACTGAGATTGATGGAATCACCTACGCAGATACCATCAATGAAGTTGATGAACACGGAAACCTCGTTTGGCAATGGAAAGTTTCCGAGCGATTGCCGAGGGAGGAATATCCCCTTCAAGCGCACTACACACGCGAACATTACCCCCTAATCAACTCAGTTCTTCCCATGAGAGATGGAAAACACATTCTTATCTCAATGCGATCCGTTTCAGCTGTGGCCATCATTGAAAGGTCTACAAGCAATATTGTTTGGAAAGTTGGATCCGAGATCCTGGCACAGCAACACAACGCTACCGAGATGGAGAATGGGAACATCCTCATATTTGACAATGGCGCTTTCCGCAACGGTGAATCGATCACATATACTCGAGCAATCGAAATTGATCGAGTAACCAAAAAGATCGTGTGGGAGTATCGCGATCGGTCACAAATGCTCTACTTTTTTACTCCGTTCATGGGAAGTGCCCAGAGACTTGCTAATGGCAACACCCTTTTGTGCGAGAGTGCATTTGGCCGCCTTTTTGAAGTCACCATGGACGGCTACATCTGCTGGGAGTATATCAACCCTCATTTTGCCCCTTACCCAGATTCCGCGACCGCTGCTATCTTCCCGGGAGAGTCGAATGCATTGTTTCGGGCTTATCGGTATACGTTGGAAGAGATACCTTGGCTTAAGAAAAGGCTTACCAGATCCAATGGTTCAAAGTTGATTTGATTGATTCAAGGCAAAAAAAAAAAGTGAAAATGGGTGGGATGAAGCTAAGACGGAGAATTGGTGTTCAACATTGCATGTCAGATTTCAACTAAATGAAGAAACGATCTTTATTAGGAGAAAGGGTATAAAACTACTATCCCCCCAGCATCGTCTAGTTCAGAATAAAAGAAGTCTTCAGACCCTCGTCGTCAGTTTTGTTCTTCCTTTGAAGGGCCACATGTTCTCAATAGAGTCGAGGAAGTGTGAGATTTCCACTTATGTACAAAATCAAGAATTCCACAACTGCTGAGACTGCCCGGGATATGGTGCAGGGGCAGGCAAGGAAGCCCCAGGAGAAATCGATGTTCAGGAAGGACCCATTAAACTGGCTTCTTATTTTTTACAAGTACAGTTGTGTGTTTGCTGCAGTAAATAAGTTTGAATGTTCTGGTGTCACTGACACAACAGTTTAATTCAACTCTACCTTCGATAGCTTCTCTCTATGTCACCAATGACTTTGCTTCTGATAGGATCCATATGGGCTAGCACTACCTTGAACTAGTACGGAAATGTGATTTTTTTCGTGCATTGACAATTGCCAGAGAAAGTATGTTAGTCAATAGTGGGATGGATGCTTGTGTGAACGGAATTTAGCGGCTATCGGCGGGTATTTTAGCATCCGGCTATTTTGTCCAAGTTATTGAGCCCCTTCAGGATTGCTATAAAGGAATTCCGACGTCCAATTACTTTCTGAGAAATGAACAATAAAACCTCAATTTACTACTATAGACCACTTGAACCAGAATTTCGTTAACAGTATCATGGGGTCGATTTCAGATGCATCAATCGTCAAAGGAGGCAACCCGAAGGATTCCCTCTTCATCAACCTCCCTTCAACTCCGGCAGATGAACCATTTGCAGTAAATGGAGCTTATATACAAGACACAGACCCCCAAAAAGTCAACCTGGGAATAGGAGTTTACCGAACGTCCAGTGGATCCCCTTGGCCCCTACGAGTGGTCGCAGATGCCGAAAACCAACTTCACCAAGCAAGTGATGTGAACAGACATGAATATCTCACCATACAAGGAGACAGAGAATTTCTCAAACTAGCAGCAAATCTTGTCTTCGGATTTGATAACACGAAGAATGCATCCCCGATCAGTGGAGAAAGTGAGAATAAAGATAGAGTTGTGTCTATCCAAACAGTTTCCGGCACAGGCGCAAACAGACTTGGTGCGGAGTTATTGGCACGCCATATACACCCAGGATGTGTCTGGATTCCTGACCCAACTTGGGGAAATCACTATACAATTTGGGATCTGGCTGGAGTCGAAAGAAAGAGCTACCCTTACTATGACAACACTTTGAAAAGGTTCGACTTTGAAGGGACGACTCGGACGCTATCTGAATTTGCCAATGAGAATGATATTGTTGTTCTTCATGCTTGCGCGCACAATCCTACTGGAGCAGATCCAACAAAGGAACAATGGAAAGCGATAGCCGAACTATGTCAAGCTAAGGGCTTGATTCCATTTTTTGATCTCGCATATCAGGGCTTTGCTTCCGGGAACCTCGAGCAAGATGCATGGTCTATCCGACATTTCTTCAACTTGAGTCCACGACTGGAATTCTGCGTGGCGCAATCATTTTCAAAAAATTTTGGACTGTACGGTCAACGTGTTGGTGCATTGCATGTTGTGAACTCTATTAATTGCAGCGAGACCTCCCAAAGACTGCTTGCCAATCTTTGCCACCTGGTTCGTGGAGAGTACTCTATGGCTCCGAGGGGTGGTTCAGAGATCGTCAGAACTGTTCTGGCAAACAAAAAATTGAAATCCAAATGGTTTGAAGATCTCATGACGATGAGTGGGCGAATCCTGGAGATGCGAAAAGCCCTGTATGACGAATTGATACGACTCCAAACCCCCGGAGGATGGTTTCATATACTGACACAGGTCGGTTTCGGCATATTGTACCCTTTTTTCTAAAGTTATGGACTAATGATTCACTAGATTGGCATGTTCACCTACGTCGGACTATCAGAAAAGCAAGTCTCTGAGATCAGATCCCGGCACCATATTTATATGCTTAAGTCTGGTCGCATCTCAATCTCTGGCTGTATGTAACTTCATGCCTATGGTGCTCTAAACCCAAGAAATCATTTGCTGACCGTCTCTTCAGTAAATGAAAGCAACGTCAAATATGTCGCACAGAGCATAGATGACGTTGTTCGAACTGTGAACTAAGTTGACCTTCATGCATGATTTGTCGCTACAATCTTCTCAGGTGCAAGTTATCTTGGTTACCTCAAAACTATGTATTTATTCATCGATATGGGAATTGGTTGTCTCCGGGATCTTTTGAATTGTGTAAGTCATACCTAGAGATTAATTAGATGACCTGCCATACACACGGACTGGATATCTCTCAATACACGTTGAACAAATCAGGATAGGAGTTGACAAAATCCGCTCTCCAAACACTTACAGCATGGAATTCATAATCTGAAGAGCTATTGCAGAATGAAATAACGCCTCCTTCATTGCTTTCATCAACTGTTTGACAAACCGCTCTCGTATTATTGATATCGTTAATCAGAAGCAAACCCCGAATTCTTGACACCCAACCGCTCAAATGTCGATTTAAACACCTTCGGCAGTCCCGTCTCATCATAATCTCGTTCATCCAAAACCATCCTCGCAATTCCCCTCGAAGCAGTGCAAATCATAGTCATCCCAGCCCCATTAAAACCAGCCAATAACCACTGATTCTCTGAACCTGGAACCCTTCCAATATGTGGGAAACTATCTGGTGTCTGTCCCATGACTAGTAAATCAAAAAGTCAATAAAGTCTTTCGGGTATGAGGGTAAAAGTAGAAAACAGTTCTTACTTCCAGTCCAAACTGAATCATGCTGAGCTTTAGCTTCCTCCCATCCCTGAAAATGGGTCTCCATCACCAAGTCAAAATGTTCCGTGGAGGCATCATTGATCAAATTTGTATCATCAGTTGTATTCCACCATTCGGCTCGATCTAGTTTATCTTCGTAGGTCCATTTACCACCCCCAAGGATTATCCCATTATCCGGTCTTGGGTTAAGATAGTCGGCATACTTGCTGTTGAAGTGCAGATTATACGTATAATCAAGGGGCTTCGTCGGGTGAAAGGACGGAATTGGAGAAAGATGAGAGTTCTGACCCTTGAAGGGTGTGATGACACCTTCAAACTGGGGTAGCAAAGCCGCGGTATAGGCGTTTGTTGCAAAGATGGTTTTTCTTGCGTTGATACTACCTCTTGAAGTAGTAAGGTTTGTATAATTTCGCAGTTCCTCCACTTTCTCGACGTATGTCTCGGTATAGAGCTTCCCCCCGAGTTCCAATACCTTTTCTAGTAAACCTGTAACCAACTTATATGGCCAAAGAGAAACTGCTGGTACACCCAAGGCCCCTTTGGTATTTTTCATACCAGTTATCTAGCAGATACCGCACGTCAGACTCTTATGGAAACTCATTTTCCTAAAAATATAAGAATAGATATTACCTCATCCGATCTAGACGCCTCGATCCATTCGATGTCTTCAGCCCATGCGACTCCCTTTTCCTTACAAGCAGAAATAAACTCTCTCGTCTCAGAGGCATGCGACTCATCAAAAAATACATCAAAAGAGCGAGTCACACGGAGTTCACAATCGATATTTTCTTTCTCTGCAATACCATGGATAGCAGACAACTGATTTAGCTGGTGTGCGACGACCTCCTCCGCAGCCTGGTATCCAAAATTCAGGATAGTGTGCCGAGCAATCCATGCTGCCAATTTAAGATGTCCTCCTAAAATTTAATTAGGAAGTGGTATCTCTAAATAATCAAATGAGTCTTACCATTACGCCCGGTCGCGCCCGAGCAGGCTTGACGCGCTTCCAGCAAGACAACTTTCAATTTTGCTGTATTGATACTCGGATCTGAAAGTATATGATATGCAGTTGCCACGCCAGCTAGACCGGTGCCAATAATCGCGATGTCGCACTCATGTGGGACATATTCTGAAGACCTAAACGATGCTAACGGATGAGGATCCTTGAGCCAGTAAGAAGTCAAGGGATTATGGGCTGGGAATCCTTGTTTATTTTCAGACGACATATTGAACAGCACTAAAAGTTTTCGATTCTTGATGACGCGGTGGCATATATTTTCTCATGGGGTCAGTCTCTTATAGATGTAGAATAATCGTCGAGATTGAACCCCTCTTTGCTCTGCACCCCCGCTTACAAGGCTCCAGGAATAGTCTAGTAGGCAACGCCGTATTATATTGCAAACTTTGTGGCGTATTAGCCCCCGGGGCCGTGTTCGTACCGTTATTCGAAGAGAGCCTCGAAACTACAATCAGCAGAATTGACTTATATCAAAAGTATCTTACATGAAGTGAATATTCTTGACAATCGGGACTCGATTATGTTTGTAGTAAGTACAATGTTCCCAACATCTCGAAGGTTGTAATTAAAGGGAATTTATCGTTTATTAAATTCGTCGATACTAAACATCGTAGATACAAGCTAATGCTTCATTCATCTAAATGTGGTGTTATCATTCATAAGTCTGTATGTACAGCATTATATCTAAATCATAAATAGAGCATCTATGGCGCATCGCAAACAGTCTCCTGTACATAAGGTGGATTACTAGTGGCACTCCCCCAATCAGCAGCAGCAAAGGCCTTTCCAGCATCAGTGCTGTTATCAGAGAGGATCTATAAATTCATTAGTCACAATATTCCAATAATGAAAGAATAAATCACACGTACATAATACTGAGGATCAACATAATACCACCAGTCATCACTGCGGTATGCATCATCCAAAGATTGACTAGCAGGATCCAAGAATGTAGTATCTGTAGTATCGAAGTTTGGATGCTTTGACCAGGCGACATAGACCTTCGGATGATCCTCGTTCTGGACACCATCTGGATCCTTCGCATTACCAGCATTAATCTGGTCCGTAGTCAGGGTACTGTGAATATCACCCCATGCAATATTATTGTAGCCACTATGTGCGGATAGTAGAGCGCGTGACGGCGCCCACATGTTATTATCGTCACGCGAGTGAATGATGACTACACGTTCCCAATCACTTTTGAAATGTTAGTTTCAGACCTGAATCTCATGGAGAAAAATAAAAACAAAAATATGATACTTACTAGTCATGGCCAGTCTGAATAGCCCCAATAACTGTAGCCCCATCCTTCTCATAGAAAAGGTTATACACAACACGGACTTCAGTCTCATTACACTGCACGAAAGTGTAATAGATTGGGAACGCAGGCCCGGGGTTACCAGTGTCAACACCTGGATTTCTGCAATTACACCCAACATCAGGGTATTCGCATTGTCCCGCTGGAGGGGTTATAGACGAGTTCTCAAATGTATCGGGTGTTGTTGGGGACCCACTAAATGCCCATGTGGGATAACAAGGGGGTTGGTCCATAGCTTGAGCGAAGAACCACAAAGGCGCATAACGATTAGCTAGATCCGCAGCACCATCAGCAAGTAACGACTGCATAGCATCATCACTAATCTGAGTAACAGCGACCACAGAGCCAGCTAAGATGGCCATGGGGGCCAAAAACTTCAACCACATATTGTATACCTAAGGCGGGGTGAGGGGAGATACTCATTTCAAAGTGTTGGGTCGGGTTCTACAGTCCTTTTTAAAATAAGTTGCTCTAGAAGGAATGGTCATGATCAGAATGCTCCGAGGAATCAACGGCAGACGTTTTTCCAATTTGGGTGAAGATGATCTTGCAAGGGTCACATCGCGTCGGAGGGGGTGTTGCATGTGCACGGAATGACCGATGGCGAGAGGCCCATCCCTGTCGGAGATGCAGGAACTGGCAAATGGAAAGATCGGGAGTGGGATTTGCCAAGTCTGGCAGGTTCCTGATCTTATCTCAGGGTCCATCACTCCTTCAGGCTCTCCACTAGTCATGTTAGTGGGAAGGGAAGTTGTGGATACGAAACACGATCTCGGTTCAATCCCGATACAATTTGATCAACGTGTTTACACTGTAGGCGCATTCGAGTGATCTGCAAGCACACGCACAAATGAAACAAATGCATGAAGTCTGGTATAACAGGGTAGTATCCAAAGAAGCACCCAATATTGCTATGATCTATCGTTATTGCCCAGGGTCGCTGAAACCCCCAATCCTTGACAGATAAAACCAATTTTTCATATCACATCGTCTTGTTCATATTGACACATCATCTCCCGTTTTTGTTTATTGTTTAACAGGTTGGCCCAAATCATCAAGTAACTGACTAGAATCATTCATCCCGGACCATTTCGGGGTTCCATCTGTAACATCGAACATGCGCTGTTCATAAAAGATATGACATCTGTGGATAACATTAGAAACAGGATAATTCAAAAAAGACCAATTAAGACCAGAATAATAGTCGAGTTAGTCACTCACGAAGGTTTAAACGCCTCTAACTGTTTCCTTTGCTCATCCCTCGAGCCTTTAAACCGAATCAACTGTGGAAACAACAAACACACATTACGCCCCTCATCCATGATCAAAGTATGACAAAAGTCACACGACACCTTAGTGGGCATCTCATATTTCGTGGAGTTGTGTGCGGACGAAAAGAAGGCAAGACCACTGGAGCCCCTGGCGAAAGAGATATCATTTTTATGGAAGATGGATGCCCATTGGAACGGTGCACCATGCAGGACTTGACATCCTCGACAGTGGCAGAACTTGGAATTTAGAGGACGCTCGCGTTTCAAGGCATATGTGATCTTTCCACATTGGCATGATCCTTCCCATTTCACTGGACCGAATTCTTCTTCTCCTTGTATGTGATATGGTGGGCGATGCTTCCATTCTTCGTGTTCGAGGGTATTTTCTGGAACATTATTTGTTAATGCTGGGGATGGAAGTGGGAGCTCGGAGTTTTTGATTCCCATTTCAGCCATGTTGACGGTCGTGGCGAGTTGAAGGGTATTGATAGAGTAGAGAAAGGGTAGATAAGGGTCAAGTAAAGTATATAGGAGGTTTGCGATGTATATCAGTAACTTGAACTGCAAAGACAAAATCACTCAATGTCAGCGATATGTTGTAGAAGCTGTATACTTGGTGATGCTTACAAGGCTTTTCTGGTCTTCTCGGTTGCTTTGCGATTTTTCTTTCTTCCTTTCATCCCGAATCGAAAGATGCGTTATTCTTCTCTAGTTAAGTAAAAGTAAAATAGAAATGTCTGTGTCAACTTGGTGATGTCATGATGGAGCTGCTGGTGCCAATTCCTGGTTTATACGCAGCGACCGAGATCGTCCTGGTATCTGGTTCCACCAGTGAGAGGACAATGTGAGTTATTTGGATTATTTAGATCGAATTGTGGGTAATCTATTATTCTATTGGTGCCCTGGGCCCACTGTTTAACGTGTCGATGTCAAATTCTATAGAAGTGTATAGTGCTGGTCACGGTACTGTATACTGTATAGCCTCACTATACTCCACACAGTAAGTAACTAGTAAACGTATTGTTACCACTTACCCCAGAATAAATAGAAACTATAATAATGTTAAATATAGCTCTGGCGTCAACTATAGAATCCCAAATCTAAATATAATCACATCAACATTCACATTTGCCGCCAACGCAGTCTCCCCGCGTTCATTGGCGTGTTTCATCCCTGCTCAAACAAAGCGGAGTCTGCATCTGCATTAACAACAGTTCAGGCCCTTTGTTAACTCTCCCTTCCCAATTCCTCATTCCTGACCCCCCTTATTCCCTAATCCCTTAATATTCCTCCCATCTCTCATAGAATGGGTCTTCTCGACAAAATAAAGGCCAGTCCCCGTCGTAGTCGACGCAGCGCAACACCCGCGACCGAACCACCGACCCCGCCCCGCTCCACAGGCCACGATGCTACTAGCAAGCTACCACATCCCGTTCTCGTCCGCATCTTCAGCTATGTGTGCCCTCATACACTCGACTATTCCTACGATACCTCTGAAGATTCTATGAACGATGGCTGTATGCTATGTGATATGCGCGACCTTGCCCACTGCACTTTGGTCTGCAGGCGATGGTTCGCGGCGTCACAGGCGCTTCTGTATGTCCCACTCACGCGCGTGAAAGGTTCTTCTGCTTCGTGAAGAGAAACAGAACAGAACTAACGTAAAATTGAATGCATGATAGGTATAAGAACGTCCGAATCGACCCGGTACACTATTGCGAACGCGAAATCACACTAGCTGCGAAACGAAAGCGCCGTTCCTTCTTCGATCGCAACGGAGACCCAGTCGACGTGCCTCAACTTCGTCTTGAGCTATTCATGCGAAGCGTCCGTGAATCGCACGACCTAGGCAAAATAGTCCTATCCCTCCGAATGCCATACATGACCCGCGAAGCGAACAAAACCAACATCGCCCGGACCATCTCGGTGCTTCCCCAACTTCGCTATGTCGATCTCCCGACCGGGCTATTCAGTGACGAATCGTCATGTACAACTCTCAAGCAAGAATTAATCGCATCCTGTCCCGATCTAAGACGAATGAGCTACCGACGCGGCGCTGAAGGAAGCTTTGCGCGATTACCCGAAGCACCACAATGGGTGAATTTAGAGAAATTGGAGATAACAGGTCTGCGGATTGAAGAATCAACGCTTCGAAATGGGTTAGCTGCATTCAGAAATCTTCGAGATCTGACATTGGAAGATCTCCCATGGCTTGAGGACTCTGCTTTCGCAGCTAATACCACTTGGCCTTTGTTTCCTCCTCTCGAGAAGCTCACCATCCGAGATACTCCGCAATTAACAGCAACTGGACTCGTTTCGTTTCTATCTCCGCAAAGGAACCGTCTAGCTTTACAAGAATTAACAATTTCATCAACAGGCGTGCTTCCATCAACGCTACATCGGATCCTAGCAGCCGCCCCAGGCCTGTCGCATCTATCCATCATCCAAGAGGTATCGCGCTCTTTTCCTCAAGAACAGATCGCGCCTATGAAATCGCAGTCCCTAAAACTTTTACACTACGAAATCACATCCGAATCAGATACACCGGGCTTACCTCCGGTCGCAAGTTCATACTACACATACCTCATTTCATCTCTGATGTCTCAATGTTTACCAAGACTCCGTGATCTATATGTCCGCGACGCCCAATTCCCAGATACCCTGCTACTTACACCTCCACCACGGCTTTTCGGTGGCGGCGAGGATGGTCCACAGTTGAGAGGTGGTCTTATGCAGCCATTGAATGTGTATAGTAAAGGTCTCGACGAGCTAGAGTGGAACTTTACTCCCTACGAGCCGAACCCTGCTCTTGGTCAGAGTGGTACAAGGACACGCCCGGTTAGCTTCCAGGAAGCGCAATTGAGTCGGTCTTGGGGTGGTGAGGCGCGCAAGAGCGTGCTCGTTGGTAATGGGTTCGGTGGGTATCTTGCTGTGCCGGAGGATGATGATCGGCCTAAGAGTAGTGGTGGATCTAAACGATCGAGTCGACAGGATTTATGGCGTTGATCGTTACATTGAAGAAAAATCCGCCCACTGGCTGTATGAGAAATGCACTTTACGACTAAATGAGAACATGTCCTTTTCCCTTTTTGTAATTCGTTTGAATTCAATATAGTCAATTCACTGAGAGATCGCATCGCTTGTAAAGATATATGGCATAATTCATGTATACGTGAAGTCAATACTTCACAATTGCATAGTAAGTATTAATATTCGATAAAACTCGTAGACGTACTAGAATTTGAATCACAACATTGAATGCTCATAAAGATAGATGATCAGATTTCTAGTTTAGTTCAAATATCAACCAGTATGTACTACGGACTTCCAAGGCTGTTCAAGCTGAAGTTGGCTATACACTGCTCAACTTCTTATATGCAAGGTTCTATAGTTATTGTACAGATTATTTCCAAAGTTTTAGCAGGATCTTATTCCGCCAGACGAGCACTATTGATAGTGATCGGCATTCCCATTTTGGCTCACATCTTCAACCTCCGGAGGCTGTACTGGCTCTTCGGGTTTTGGCTCTGACTCCGACCCTATCTCAGGTTGTTCAGGTCCAGACTCAGGTCCAGGCTCAGGTACAGGCTCAGATACAGGCTCAGGCTCCGGATTCGGCCAACTAGGAGGCAATACCATCCCACGCCAAACCCATTGATTCGCCAAACTATCATCATCCAAATCACAATACCCATAAGTATTGCAATAGCATTCCCTCGCATCAAGACACAATTGCGGCACCTGTCCAAACATAACTGTAAAATAAGAATATTAGCAAAGTAAACAAACAAGCACCACAAAAATCAAACCCTGGAAGGGGTACAGATACATACTATGCCAAGCATATTCAAGAATGCGACCGCTAGTCGCCGCATCCAGTGGCGACTCCAACAACCACCTCTGCATGCGAATATAATCCCCCTTCGACCTGCGTCTTACTGCCTCCTTCGAAACAGCAAACTGACTACAACACGGTACCCCAATAACCTCCGGCAGTTCTTCACCAGGAAATAATATTTGGAATTGGTCCGGGAATTCCATCGCGGTCGGATGATCCCTGTCGTCGGGTCGTTCACGGAAATAGCGTGCGGGCTCGAGTTCAGCAGGACAGCCGATTGCCCAGGTACATCGAAGGTTGACGTAGCCGGCTTTTTGGACGTAGTGGAGTTGGAGGTCTTTAATTGAGACGACGGAGTCTGTGGGAGAATTAGGCATTGTTAGATTGAATTAAAGTCAAGTTGTGGACAGGCTGGCGTACCATATAGAGGGTTGTCGTTGTGCCATTGGTATCGGCCGCCGTGGACGAGGACTATGACGTCGGGGAGGGAGTCATATCGATCAATCAAATAACTATATGTCAGCTGAAGATTAGCGAAACGGAATTTGAAGCGCAGATGGAAAAATTGATCAAACGCACGTTAAATACACCATCGCTTCATTTCCTCTGTTCTCTGGTACCGTGAACTGCGCCTCGCCAGGAGGCATATCAGCACGATAGATATTCGACTTCCAATCGGGGACGTTATCTTCCACCCAAGACATATTACTGTAGCTCATAGCTGCAACAACAAGCTCCTTGGTAATAGGAATAGACCCTATTTCAGGCTTTGGCTTTGGCTTCGGGTTCGGGTTCGGTTTCAAGCTAGAACTCGGTGGGCTTGAGCTGATAACGGGCTCCGGCGCGGGCGCAGGCACAGATTCAGATTCAGATTCAGATTCAGATTCAGGCGCAGGCGTCGGAAATGGTACAGAGTCTGTGATACTCGAACTTCCCGCTTGCTCAACCGCTTCTTGCAATGTACCATTCATGGCGGATCCGGCCCAGCCGTCCGTGGCATGCTTCTTGTCATCAGTTGGGGTACCGGCCAATAAACCGGATCTCCATGGCGCGATAGCACCAACCGTGTCATGATTCAGAACCAGCTGATATGCCAAGAGGAGGGAAAATGCTGCTAGACCTAGATATATGAAGACCCTTGAGCTACCGGTTGATCCGGACTCGTGGGGTGGGCGGGAGAAGATCCTCGACCAACTCATGATGATGCTATCATTGTTTGTGGAAATGATATAAGGAGAATGGAGGAGGGATATTCAAGAACAAGAATATTTTAAGGTAATTGAAAGATGAAAATAAATAAGATAAAAAAAAAACGAAATAAACGAAGAAAAAAGAAAAACAGGGTTCGGATTGACGTAAACCGCAAGCAGCAACTTGATTTCAGGGTACAAATTGGAATTGAGGGACAAGCTGGATTCTTTATCGAATCCCTCCTTTTTTTTGCATTAAGACAAGGCTCCGCAGGATTAGAACCCTGGTCTAGGCTACCGGATTGGAGGGTTTAGTGGGGTTGATAGAGGATGATCATTGGGGAATCGAAGAGAAGAGTTTCAAGCAATGTGATTGGAAAATCGCAACAAAAACTGCAGAAGTTACGGAGTACAGAGGTCTTGACATTGACTCAAATTACTCAAAACTCCCGAATCCATCCATGCCCATGCCAAATGAATTCGTTTGAATTGAGAGGGCCAAAACCCTGGTGGAGTCAAGCCGGTTCCGGATAGAGGAGAAGATTGCACGAGGCAGTGCGAACTGCCGTGATTGGGGAAAATCAACACGCCAGATTCCGCACCAACAGCGCTAAAACTAACACTATACTGTCCTATCTCTACTCCGTACTCCGTAAATATCCAATACTAAACAAAGTAATAATGTTGACTCACAGTAAGTCGCGCGGCACGGGCACGGGAGCTAGGCGATCGGGAGGTCCGCCACCCGTAGACTATGCAGATTATGCACGTCAAGGTTTTAGATCACAATCTCTTGGTATTTTTATTTTTATTCTTCCCTGCGAAGCTTGAAATGCCATTCGGGCTTGTTTAGGGGCAAACTTAGGAGGGAAAGCCACCAAAATACCACCAATCAAGTATACTGGGCTCCGCCATATGTGGAGCTTAGTGTAGCCGCTGGGGCTAAGAACGTGCATACTGAGTCTCCACTAGAAGTCCAATCTCTCCAATCAAACACACCATACTGCCGCTGTCAACATTCGAACTTGAATGCAACAATGCAGAATGCTTCATGAAAAGGATTCGCGCTATATCATATATGTCATACTGTTTCAATAATGCATTGATCTATCATAAATATCATAAATATCATCCATTTGAAACAATCACTTGTTCAAGTTTGCTTCCTTCCCTACACTAACACCACCTGTAGGCATTCACATTATCAGCGCTAGTTGTCGAGACAGCATAGGTTGGGGTGGACTGAGTCACATAATCTTGAAGCACTTGAAGCACAGTTTTGTGTACTCCGAAAAGACGGGGTTATTCAAGTAGCGACTCGGACCGGCCCACCCTCTCCATATCTGCAGAAGAGTATATCATAGCCAGCCATCTTTTTATCACACCCGCTCAGTCTTAAATCTCAAATCTCAAATCTCAAACTTGGAATTCAAACCTCAAGCTTCCTATTCTCCCGGTGTCCTCTACAATGAGAACAATCACAGTGCGAATCGCCGAAATTCAAAACCCTCCAATTATTCCTCGCCCACCACTGACGTTGGCGACTTTGTCCCGACAGACCCCTAGCTCCATAAGTACCATTCAACTCCTTAATATGCTGATCCATTCCATCCGCGTACGGATCAATAACGCCCAGCAGCCTAATCCTCCCCACCTGTCGACTGACCATATAAAGAAGTTCCATAACTTCTCCAGGGTCCGAATCGCGAAAAAGTACCAGCGTTTCACGAAGACTGCCTAGACAGGAAATAATGCGGGAAAGTCTTTCTTGGGCACAGTGTGCCGACTTCAACGTAGCAGTATGACTCAGGGTAAGTACTAAGGAGGCGATATCGTATATTTCCGATTGTAGAGATGTTGCAATGTCGCTATAATACCGGAATCCATGTTCACAGACGTTAGCGCCATATTCATCTAGGGCGCTTACGATCTTCGCTCTTTGATCGAAAAACTGTGCAAGGGAGACTTCCATTATGGGATGGAATGTAAAGAAGTTGGAGTGTAGGTATGAAGTCAGGATATGGGAACTTGAAAATAGTTAATGGGACTCATGCAGTATGATTATTCAAAGCAAAGGGATATTTCCTTTATATACACTTTTCTGATGGTACGTCACTTTCTGCAGGAGATCTGCAGACGAAAATCATTCATTCTTCAGACGCGCGCTGCATGGCAATTGTTTCAGAGACAAGGAGGCTTTCTATGAATGTGATTCGTTGTTATTAAATCACCCGTTTCAAGCTGGATAAATTCTAAAGTTTGATTTAATAGTGCGTCAAATCAATGAGTATATTTTAAAAGAACACAAAGCAATGGATGCCATGATGGCACTAAATTTCATCTAGACTCAGGCCGAAGCTTACTATCCTCGCTCATAAGAGTACTATCTAGATTATACATACTAGTAGGGGTAGTACTATGAACCATTGAGGACTATATTATTGTGCAAAAGCGAGAACAAAGAAATTAAATGAGTTTCATGAATTCAAAACCTATATGATATTAACCCCGTGCAATGCCCAGACAAAGAGATTCTACCGCTATTTCAAATTACAAAGCCCCATGAAAGGTAAATATTGACCCACAACCGACCATAGCGTCACATGATGCCCAAAATCAGGATACATCCTAATCAGATCCTCAAACGACCTAATCGGATCAACAAAACCAGGCAAATCCTTCCTCAAAAAACTCAAAGGATTAGCAGACTCAAGTTCAGCCCATTCTCGTCTCATAAAATACATCACAGCAGGAAGTACAAAGTGTTCCCGATAATCAATAAAATGAGCGATTCCATACACATCATTCCGACCAGGATGAACAAAGGGCTTATAGCCATACACCAGATCTATTGCCCGACGAAGAACAGCTAATGGCGATACCTCGAGAACACCATTCAATTTCTTAATGGCAAGGAGTTCTAGACCCTCAATGTGCATGTACCGGGCTGCTTGAAAAAGAGAGAAATGAAAGTTCAGCAAGCGGAGGAACTCATCGCATCTGCGGCAGTTAGTCTCACGGCCCTTGAAACCAGTTGGAATGGCAAAAATATCAGTGGGAAAAACAGCATAATCTTTAGCGTAGAGGTAGTTAGCAATTTTTGACAGGTGACAAGGATCGACTGGGTCTTTAAGCCTAATGGTATGCCAGTCGGCATGCTAATTAAGGAGGTTAGATAATCTATAATCGTGTGGAAGTGAAGAGAATTATTACCTTAGTATAAAATTTCTGAAGGTCAGGAGACTCCAGCATCAGCTGGGTACGATGAATCTTCTCCATTTGCCCCCCTACAGCGATGTAGAGATCGGGCGGGCTGGATTGAAATCCCCTAAAGCGAGATATTTCGGATTAGTCTTCGTTTGAAATCATCTTTTTTTTTCGATCTCAACTTACCTTTGCCGTGCTGATCGCACAACCTCCGCATGCACTGGACCTTCATTGGGGCCCAAGAAAACGTTTCGGCAAGTTTCAAGATCATGCCATTTGCAAGGCCTGTTGTTTTGGTTGTTGTAGTTGACAGCCATTGTGTGGATCAGATGAATTCAATGATATGGAAAGGCCGAAGACTCGCTGGGCTATATGTATACTTGATATAGTTGGATAGTATGCTTTTGAATGTATTATTCTATTGCCAAAGTGGAAGTAAACAAGTGCCTAATATACAAGGGTAGTTGGTTCAAGTTCAAGTTCAAGTCTATAGATAGCTCTGAATCCTCTGAAACATTCAGATTATTGGTAAACAAAGACTTGACTCGAAGTGAGTAAATCTAAAACAAAGAGACGAAAATACACATTCAGACTTACTCGGTACTCGCTTTACATTGTTAGCCCGACTTCAGAATTCTAAATCGGGCATTAATTATCCTCAGTTCATCATTCGTGTTTCGCTATTTTCTTTGTTATCTTGATCCATAGTTGCATTACCATGATACTTATGTTCATTCATCTTAGCTAAATACAATAAATTTGATCTTTGTGTTCAAAGCCCTTGTGTCCTTTGCATTTTTTCGCTTGGAGTTTCGAAGTTGAAATTGTTTCTATTATGAATATTTGCCCAGGTGACTTGCAGAACAAACATCTTGTCTCCGACTGCCAAGATATCCTTACAAGTAAGTAGAACACTCCCTTGCACATAGTCTCAAAACCAAGGAATTCCAATTTGTTCAAATAATGCTCTGCGCCTCTGAGTCTTACCAATAGAAAAAGGTTCGTCGTCGTCGACTAATCTATGTGCCGCCACCGCCAGTGCTCGATGAGCTTAACACGAGCCCTTGACAATAAGAACAGAGACATCATGACTCTTCAAAGAAACACTGTGCGATTTCTTCACACAGCCTAAGTCCTTTCCAGACCAGGCATCGATAACATAGTATGAATCCTTCTTACCACCCAACTCCGGGATCTCCTTCCACACCGCAGTACGGGTTGCAGTCTTGTCCTCTGAGTTGAACATCAAGACCAAAGTTCCCTCCAAGGTAGACGAAGGACCGGACCAGTATTCTGCAGGGTGAGATGGGTCAAAAGTCCAATCGGGATTATATCCCCACTTGTATGGATGAGCAGGACGACCGACGACGGGGTCCTGGTGGAAATCAATCAAATACTTGTTTTTGAGCGTAGCCAGGTTGTCATCGCTGATTTTGTCGAGCTTCATATCATGTCAGTATGAATATTTCCAACAAAGAGTCGGGAGGAGCAAGAGGGGAGAAGGATAATAATGGCAACATACCGCAGTACCGATAATCAACGGAGACTTCATAATGGCCCATAGAGCAAAGTGGGCCCGGTTCTCCTCAACAGTCAAATTACCATTGCCTACTTCCAGCATATCAGGATCCGGGTGACCCCAGAAGTTGACATAGTTCATCAAGAAACTATTCTCATTCGCAATCTGGGCAATACGGGTCCACTCAGCTGAGAGCAGTGGTCAGTCATCTTGAAAGTGAATGAAGACGGGAAAGAAAACAAACCTGTAATATCACCAGACATGCGCCACGAGTTGCCAGTCTCATTACCCCAAGTGTTCACATCGGCATTACCCCAGTCACATAGAGAGAAGAGAATTGTCCGATTCTGATCCAGTAGTGCATCACGCATATGCTCATAACGGATAGAAGTGTTAGATTTTGACCAGTCGTATCCTGCTGGTGCTGGGTCTGTCAGATCAGGACACGTCCCATTGGGATTCGTCCCGATCGTGCCATCAGGAATGCAGGCGTTATATTTGTCATCCCAGCTGCTTGGGTAGCCACAATTATCGTATTTCAGATCTGGATCCAAGTCAGTTCTGTAATAAATATGGCATTAACATTGTCTTTACTTACAGTCAATACCCCATTCTGCGAACGCTTCTGCATCAACCTGCTCGTATCCGAGACTAGCTGGATATCCCGCGCAGGTGGTCTCACCAGCACCTGTGTGGATAGTTAGTTTTTGTTTGCATGAGAGCGTTGAAGGAAAAATATTTGTTTGTCAACTTACTACTGTAGATACCGATCTTCAATCCAAGATCATGGACTTGGGAGGCAATTCCAGAGATGCCATCTGGGAACTTGGTGGTGTCTGGAATGATGCGCTGTGTAGTACTGTTGCGCACGTTCTGTACAGACCAACAATCATCAACTATTTTAATTAGCAGCTGATATCCAAAGCCAACCGACAATTTCCGAGTGTCAGCTCACTATTCACATATTCATATCCCAAATCTTTAAGCCCAAGCTGGACAATCTCATTTGCCGCCGTAAGAATAGCGGTAGCATTCACGTCGCACGCGAATGCATTCCACGAATTCCAGCCCAGAGCAGGGAGTCTCCCCTATAATATCACGATATTTAGCAAAATATTAGACGATATAATAAAAGAAAAAGAATACTAAAAAAGCACAACATACCACACCATCTTCTCTGACAAGAGCCTCCGTAGAAGGAAGAACAGCTGCCAAAACAGCCAAAGTCAAAGATGTCAACATATCGAATAACAAGCAAGTCAGCGATGAGAAGAAAAAGCTTGGATCACCTTGTGAAAGAAAAAGGGCCCCAATTATATACTAGTACATATTTTCCAAGTGCGGGGAATGTTCCAGCAAATCTGTAACCCAAAGTCAATGGTGCTTATACCACGCATACCTACGCAGGCAAACATGGTGTCGATCCCCGCGTGGCGTGCAGATGAAGAAGCTCCGGATTCAATAAGATTGGCGGAGCGTAATGAACAACCATATTAGGCCCGGAGTTTAAGTACGTGATGAATCCGAGTTAATTTAAATTTTATTTATCCGAAAATATGCCAATTATCCGATCGTTGTTGGTTGTGTTGGGATTTAGAACAGGGACTTGACCCCGTATTTCCCCACTCTCCACTGTGTACTCTTCATTAGTACAAAGTAGGTAGGAGGCTCATCTTAAATTATCGCATGGTGGAAGATCTACATGGGCAATTACTACGGTAGCAATGAAACAAGCTTTTTACTCCGTCATGATACATTCGTCTATCGTGAGATCGTTACTCATACACTATACAGCCATAATATAACCTCTTATAGTAAAGGGTCCTTTTTTGTCTTCGTGTTTTCCCCTTCTTGTTTCTTACGCCGTCGCAATGCCATGTCCAGAACGCACTGAAAACATGGAGAAGTAAAGATCTATTTTTTGCCATCGCCCATAATCAAAGCACGGGCTTGGCGGGCATCGGTACCGAGAACAGTAATGAGATATTCAATGCTGAAACATGGTTAGTAAAAGGGGATCGGAGAGAACAGGAAAGTCATAACCCAAGTCTTACCTCGCCTCAGAAGCCAGGCGGCGTTTCTCAGTCTGGAACTCTTGTTGGCATGTTTCCCAAACAACAGCCCGTTCCTGGGGCAGCACAGTCTTAACGCGAACCTTGAAGGTGGCACTGACTGGCCGATGATCGGAGGCACGGACCTCGTGTCGGCGGTAGTTGAGCTGTTTGACGCGGCCAGCGCCGCGGTAAAGAACGCGATCGCACCAGGCGGGGGATCGTTTTTTCTCGCTAGAATCGTATTCGTCGGTGCCAACGTCATATTTATAGGTTGGAGCAAAGGTGATGGGGGCTTCGATGAAGCTGCGAAGTCGAAATCCTGGATTCTTCCGTCTAGAAGCCAAAAGCTGGTCACGGTCAAGTAATTTAGCAAGGTTGCTCTGACGTATAGCATTGATGATGACATGGCGAGGAATGGAGTCAATGCGGTAGTTCAGGTCTCCATTTATGATGCAGACTTCATGGTCCATAATCATAGAGCCATCACCGCCACTTGCGTACTGATCGCTTCGTGCCATGGCCTTATTTTCCGCGGGCAAACATTCGGCCTCGAGAATGGCGGCAATATCATTGTTACGATGAGCTGTCTGGCTTTGACCCGCTGCAAGATGGCAGTTGACAAAGCACATGGAACTGTCATCGAGGACAAAGCGACAGATTAAAGCACCCTGGAAACATGTTAGATAATTTTGCCAACTCAGACTCGGAAAAGACAACTCAAACCTTATTGCCGTGCATTCCACCCATTCCCCGTTTAATTTCAGAGGCATGTATACTCTTAATGTTGTGGCGTTCCTTATGCTTGACAAAGATGCAAGTAAAGAGGCCAACCATATTTGACGTGTGAAGAAGTACATAGGATTCTTCGAGGGGCATGCAGTCGTGCAAAGTCTTGGTCAAATGATCAACCCAAACTCTGTACTGTCGACTCATATGCTCTTTCTCTCCGTTCTCTTTCTTCTTGCTGCCAAGTAACAAGCTCTCTGGTACAACGGTTAGTATGGTGATACATATCGGGTGATGATTTATTTTTCCCCCAAGACTTACTCGCTGTAATCTTCTTGTTCTCGAGGTCGACCAGTTCCTGAAATCCAAATACAACAATATCTGGCGGCTCCTCTGGGTTGAGAGCTTCTTGTATAAAGCTTGATGTGCGCACACTTCCAGGAGTACAAGCGCCAGCGTTCCATGTAACGATAACGGTTTTGAGCTCCCGGAAACTACAAAACTCCACATCTTTGCTTTGCATGCGAGCATCTGAGACTGTTAGTGACCTTGAAGAGGATGGCTTGAAGAACAAAACATACCTAGCCAATCGTCCTCCAACATGCCATCCCAAAGACGAATGCAATTGTCGGTACCAATCGAAGTTACCTGCAGACGATTCATAGTCCAAACGCTGCTCGTGTCCACCACAAAGGCAGAAACCGGACTATCATGTGCACGCCAGTCTTTTCTCACGGTCCATGGGTTTGTTCTGACATCGTATACGTAGATCATGCCGGTCTTATAAGCTGCCCAAAGATACTCCCCCACGAAACCGAGGCAATTAATTTTGTAGACGCTGACATTGACTACTGCTATGCAAGCATAGTCAGTAGCAGAGTAAACAGTCACTTTACCATCTGCATGACCTAGGTAGATTCGACCCCCATCCTTGGTGGTATAAGTACCAGACGTCACATCACCTGAATGTTGAAGACCTAACGGCCTCTTAAAAACACGGAATGAGCCATCGTCACGCGCGTTGGGGCGATATACATGCACATCTTTACCAGTAGCTAGTAAGAGCTTATCTCCTATGACCATCGAGAAAGTATGCCCACGCGCGACTCGCTCCTGAGGGCTATGATAGCTATACTGTAAGTTTGGCACTCCAGTTTCATCTGGCATCCATACCAATAGACGGCCTTCGTCGTCCAATGTCCACATTTCCTTTTTATGACGAAGAATTTGAATCACCTCACGACGGGAGGGATATGAGCGAGTGGTCACAATTGACCCAGATAGAATGTCCACTTCATGAAGCTCACCCGCACTGGTACCAAGCCAGATGCGTTGGCCTTCCTCTTCAAGTGTATTGCCCGGTTTGAAGGCGATTGAGAGGGATTTGGTCGTTTCGCCATGGCTAAGGCTCATTACTTGTTCGCCGGTGCTAAGATCCCATACTCGAGTGATATAACCGGTAGTGCAAACGTATTTCCCGCATACGTCAATAAGCCGAGTATCGTATCGTGTAAGGATATCCTGGGGACCATTTTTGAAGAACGGCGGGCGTCTGTTGGCCTGGGAAGCATCGGGGTAATCAGTTCGTGAGATCGCTGGCTCATCTGCCACTACTTCCTCTTCCTCGGTATCCGTCCGTACAATACGTCGCTCGGTATGCGATATTTGGCGGGCCAAAGGCGGCTGTTGCTGTGCAGGACGAGGGGGTTGAGGAGGCTGTGCATCAGATTGGTGGTGATAAGAAGGCGCAGCCCGTGGCACTGGTGTTGTTTGGGCCGGGCTAGCCATCACCGGAGGGAGTTCTCGAGAGGGAGAGATCCCTGCCCGACGAGGGTGGGCAGACGTTGGCCTAGGCGGAAGGCCAGGCCGATCATGAGGACTATCGCTAGCCCGAAGCCTTTGCGCAGACAATGGTGGAGCGGTGGATGATTCAGGGCAAGCAGAAGATGTCTGTGGAATCTGCACCATCAATGGTCTTCCGCCTCGAGTAGGCTCGGGGGTAGGATGAGGCTGAGACATGCCCCTTTCACCAATTCCAGCCTTCCCATTCAAAACTGACATTGGAGGTCGTCGATCGTCGAATGAACGACGGGTTGGTGGTTCTGTGGAAGGACGTCCAGGAGGAATGCGCGGAGGCACTTTCGTCGCAGAAACTGGTTTAGAAGGGGTCTTTTCTGGACTACTAGGCGGGGTATTAAACGGCGATACAAGCTCATCAGACGATGCCACCTCGGTCCGTGGAGTCAATGACCTTGTATCGGGGTGTGAAAACATCGCGGGCTTTGCTGGAATCTTGGGCTTGTCTGCTCGATTCACCGGCGGCGGCATCGAGGTACTCTCCGATTTCCGGTCTTGTGAGCTTCCATTGCCATTAAGGCGCGATGAATTGGGAGAGAGGCGCTGTACGGATCCTGCCTCGGGAACAGAGGATCCCAGCTTCGTCGGAGTGATTGGCCTGAGCGAAGGGGCCGGTGACATAGACACTGATTCTCTAGAACGGTGTAAAGGATTCCGCGATAACCGATCATCTTCCCGACTTTGTAATTGGAACTCTCGTTCCTGACAACGGGGCGGCGAATGGGGAGCATGAACAGCTAATGTTGGTGGGAGGTGAGGGGATGAGCGGTGGAAGTTTGAAGCCATGGGCCGGCCATGTTGACTCTGACTTCCAGGAGACCCACGAGGTCGCAAGCTTTGGTAACTAGCTAGGTTATTTCGACGTCCCTGTCTTTCCTCAACCGCTGTGCCCCAGGGAGATTGTGGTCGAGGTAGGTCCAAAGAGGCCCGGCTTGACCGAGGATCATCACCGGGTTCGGGAGTCCTCAGGAGGTGATTTGCAGGTTCATGTGGGCCGGATCCAGTTCCAACTGTAGACTTGGTTTTCCGGTGCGATAGGTTCTCAAAATGGGATAATAGGGAGGAAACCGGTCTCTGTTGACATGGTTAGCCTTGGCCGCGTGGCATATTCAACAAGCTGCGCAAGCTTACAATAGGAACATCATCAGAATTCCCCGGGTCCTCTGTATGTCCCGCCATGGCCAAAAGCACAGTTATAGTCGCCGCAATCAGTCAGGCAGATCAATCATAAACGCTGGTTGTGGGTGCCTAGCGAGTGGTGTGTCGGATCAAATATGGGGGAAACGATGGCGTAAGAGGCTCCGTGGGGGTTATAATGAGGTCGGTTATTAGAAGCGGCTGAAGATCAGAAGGAAACAAAGAAATAACAGATTGCAGGCGGCACTAAGGCCAAGGTTATAAGAACAAGGTGACCTGTCCACACGGTCATGAAAGTTTAAAAAGAGAGAAGCAGCGAAATGGATGTGGCGGGGAGGGAAGTGGAGGAATCACGGGAATGGCAGATCAGTCGGTTCCTGCGCAACCTTCTTCCCACTGTCGGAGCCTCATGACCTTTGACACTGCCCACGACATCTCGCTACAAACGTCGTCCTGCCTCCTATTCTAGATGTGGTGAGTCTCCTACCACTAAACTTCCCTGGCTAGGATACACTTTACCCCCTATCGCCGTGAGGAGAAACGAAAAAGCTCAGGCGCTAACACCCCACTTTGCAGTAAACACGTTCTCAACGCCCAAGTGGCCATTCGGTCGCACTGCTGTTCGTGAAACCAAATCTTTATATCGGAAACAAAAACTCATCGAATACTGTCCAGGCCGCAAATGGTTCGACTGTGCTGAATGCCACCAAGAGCAGGAGACGCATATGCTTCAGAAGGCGCAAGAAATGGTGTGCCCCCACTAGTTCTACGCTGGGAACTCTCGAGAAATCCTAACCCTTGGCAATCTAGATCTTCGCGTGCAAGAAGTGCAAGAAGTGTTTCCGCAAAGACGCCGCTGAATTCGAAGAAAGGTTCGTTATGCCAACTTTGTCGTCATCAACATTGCAAACTAACCTCTTTGCTTGTTTGATCTAGCGACGAGTTTTGCCCTCACTGCGATAACCACTTCGTCCTCGACGCTGTCACCCCGAAGGCCGACCTCAGAATAGAGGGTGACGATGCACGAATGGACAGCCGGTATGTTCCAACAACCCGACCATGCGTTGTATAGACAAGTATACTAACGAACACCAGAATGCTCAAGGATGACCGTGTTCGCGCGGATCAAGAAAAGTCCATCTTCAACTTCAAGGACCTCTCTGATCGTATGGGCTAAAAGAAGAGCCTCCTGTTTCTTGTAAAATTCTCATGAGGTCGACGATATGATGGTTCTTGATACTTTCTGCTTTACAACAATCCCCCTTTTTCAATGTTAGCGGATTCATTCACTTGGCGATAGACCAAGCTTTCCCCTGGCATCGATACCCTACGTCTTCTTTGATTTATATATTCTTATCTTCTAAAAATTGGCATTTACATTGTACACTAAAAGCATACAGAAAATAAGATGGCTAGATAGCGAGTTGTGAAATAATATGGTGGTTTTCGATTCTCGTTAATAAAAGAGACCAACGCTCCGGTAAATCGACACATATCAGATATCCAGCCTCTGTCCAAGGTGCTAGATACTCTCTAATCTCTTTATTCCGCCGACTCACCACTGGGCCGAGTAAGGATGGCTGCGGAAGTGGTGCCTCCACGGGCGGTCTTCTTCTTTGCGGCCTCCTCCTGCTTCTCGGTCTCGATGCTCTTGACGTAAGACTCGATTTGGTCATCTGGCAGCATCTCGACACGCTGGCCAGGCGCCATGATAGCTACCTCAATGTTCTTAGCACCCGTCTGCACAACCTCCAACAATGACTTGATAGTCAGCTGGATAGTCTGCTCCCGGTCCATATCCTCCTGGTGATTACGTTCAAGGAACTCGCGAACCGTCTTACTGGATCGACCGATGGCATTGGCTTTCCTATAAATAGAGACACTTGGTGTTAGAAAATTGCAGATAAATTCTTTTGGTGGTTGTTTGTGATGAATGACTTACCATGCTGAGTAGATACCAGAGGGCTCGGTCTGGTACAGGCGCGGTGTGCCGTCATTCTTGTCGAAACCAACAACCAGCGTACTAATACCGAATGGACGGACACCACCACTCTGTGTATATCTCTGTTGCACACTAGCGATGTGTTTGGTGATATATTCGATGGTAACAGGGTCCTCCACAGTCAAGCGGTGGGACTGGGCTTCTAACCGAGCCTTGTCAATCAAGATGCGAGCATCGGCGTTCAGTCCAGCAAAAGCTAGGCACACGTGGTCATCCACCATGGCGATCTTCGAGGGCGTAATTCGGGTATCTTGAAGTTTAAGAGCAGAGCGCTTCTCGCAGCCGAGGACGACGATGTCCTTTCCTTTGACACCGACGGCACATGTTCCTATTCAAGACCAGATATCAATAAACGCACTTGATTGGTGATACATTGTGCCGAATGAACGGTCTCGATTGAAGGACTCGGGGATAGGTGGGATGATCGGGCACTCACCTCGCTTCACGGCCTCCATGGCATACTCCACCTGGAACACGTGCCCATCAGGGCTAGAATGGGGTTAGATAAAGCAACAGAGAGCTGAAGGCGGTGATAAAATCTTCATACCTGAAAACTTGTAGGAGTTAGCTGGGTCATTCTTGCATGGGGGATGGGAGCAAAGGGAGCTGGGTAGTTGAGGAGCTAGCTGGCTTACCAGAAAGAGCTCGGTCGTAACCGGACATTGTGGGCGAATGGAGGAAGAATCAAGCGGGTATCGGGAAAACAGAGGCAGAGATGATCTAGATAGACCAAAAGCAAGGTGTGAGATATAGGTAGTGTTGGAAGAGCGCTGAGCAGAGAGCTGTGATGTTGCGGCAAGCAATGACGGACCGTCATCTCGGCGGGCGGTGGGCGGTGGACGCGAAAGCCTGTGGTTGCCTTGGCGCTGCCGCGCGGATAACGTTCTTTTAGATCCGCGCGCATAGACATAAATGCGAATTATGAGGCCATTAAGTGATGGAAATTATGTTAAATATTGAATGCATGGTGCTTTAAGCTTTTGAATTTTCATAGGGTCATTGGTTGCTTCAATATCTAAAATATTTCCTTTTTCTGCTTTCTTGGGTAGGCAAGTGGGAGAAATTCACAATGATATATCTCGAGCTACAGGACAATCGAAATCATCCCAAAAATTAAAAAGATCTATACTAGACATGGAACCAGCATTATTTATGAAGATTAAAACACTCCTTGAAACAAGGAAAGTTCAATATTATGTCTGGTTCAAAGAGCGTCAGTGATTGGACTAATGGACCAAAGTAGTAATCATTGATATCGAGGCTGGAGTCCGGAGATTATAACATTTGAACTAGACATAAGGCTGGCACACCTGGCGATAAATTATCCAAATATATCATGAGAGCCTACTTATGACAAACATTCGAGCTCTTATATTAATATATGTAACCGGTTGAATATATCACACCGACTCGCGAAGAGTTGTGCAAGACAGTGCGATATTGAAGGAAAAGAAAACCAGTAGCGAGATAAACCCAGACCACAATATATTCCATCAACGAACCCATGGTTAAAAATGGCGCTATTGGGCCAGACAGAGCGTTCCATCTGAGATCAGACGCCTGGAACACCGATAGAAATAGGTGAAGCGAGCACTGCATCAAATCTGTTCCCAACCAACTTTCACTTCGCAAATATCAAAATTGGCGCAGCCTTAACCTTGCTATGGGCGACACGTACCATACTTTGGTCGGGTCTATGCAATCTTTATGATCTTCATGACAGAATTCATGCTTTTTTGAATACGACTAGTGTGGCTGTAGATTCCAGCTCTACCCCCGTCCCCAGGACTGGCACGTCTGACTTTCTTCCCGCTTTGGGATATTGTAAACACTATTTGGATATGGCTCATAATGTCAGTCAGTCAGTCCAGAACTTTCTCCAAGGTGATCTGGGCTTGGTGGGAATATTGTCTATCAGTCCAGCACTTGGTATTGTGATTAGTAGCCTTCAAAATCGACATGGGCATGACCTGAAGGTCTCCTGGCTAAGAGCAGGGTTGAATTTACTGCGTCAGAAGAGCGGTGAATGTCAAAGATCTAGGATGAAAGCCACGATAGAAGCATGATAGAACGCTTAGGGGCGACCATAGTGCCCAGAGGAGAAAACCTCATATTGCCTTATTTCGAACCGGCGGGAACTACGCTACCTATAATACAGTCATGTTCCTACCGGCCCCGACTATCGCCCAGTTGAGCTTCAAACCTGTGGGCCTACTCTCTTAAGATCTGTCTTGGAGATATAAGCTTTCTTTTTTAACAACTGTGTGAATGTCATCTACAGTATCTATGCAAGATATTTCTTTACTTTGCTTCTTATTTGCCTTCCCACTTGTCTACTTGATTTTCTACTTACTTTCTATTAACTTTTCGACTTGTTTCTTTAATTGTCTTTTACTAGTTTGGACCTTGATCCTGAGTACAAGCTGGAAATTGCCTGGACATTCAAATTGGCCAATGGCTCGCTAACCTGAACTGAACAAATTAACAGAATTACGACAAGGAGTTCTGTGGAAAGATTGCGGAAGATTTCACTTGGATTGCAGGTCCGAGGTATCGGAAGGCTGCGCACACGTATGTGGCTTATGGATATGAAGCAGGGTTGACTACATCGTATTCTTACGCGACTATTGTCGCACAGGTTCCTCCATTCAAGGAGCGTGTTCAAGTTTGAGAGTATGAGCTCAGGATGGATAGTAGTATATATGGGAGGTAGGGGGGTTGCTTCTTTCTATTATTAACCATGATTTTAATATGCAATTTTTGCTCTATATGGACACAACTTGAAGGCAGGAACCAGGGTTATAGCTAAGAATTCAATCATCGCCGAGGAACTCAGATCTCTGTGCTTGTACATAAATCTCTACTGTATGGATAGTGAGGTCTCCATCTGGAACTTCTAGTAGGAAAAGGGCCTTTGGCCCTATACTAACCTTTAGTGTCTCGTATACTGCTATATATACCTTAAGCTTTGCACAGATAGAAACACAGAAAGAAAGATAAATCGGAAGATATTTTCGAACCATGACCTAAAAGATGATCCGAAAGACAATATAGAATTATTCTTTTTAGCTATTTTTAGATTACGCCGGTAAGGAGGTTACCAAGAAAGAAAACCTATACTTCAAAGATATGGATATCTTAAAAGACCTAATAGGTTTGGATCTTAACTGGGCAATATCCATGGCCTAAAGGTATGTGATTGTATTATAAGAGGTTCCCCCCTTCCGGGCGCTCTGGTCCCACCTCAGCTATGAGAACTTGAAGCGAATGAACCGATGTTGATGATTTAAATATTAAAATCTCTGTGCTGGTCCTCTAGTATGGTCATTCATGCATGGAAATGTACATAACTAGCATTTCAATTTGAAGCCTTTGCTGGATGGAAAGTCCCAGTTGCTGGCTGTTCGTGTCATCACTGTGATAATAATCGAAAATCGTTCTTGTCTTTCAAGTTCTTTCATCCTCGTCAAACACTGGATATGATCTGTCTCTTTACATGGACTACAAAGACGGAAGCTACTCAATCCTAATTGACGACGGGAAACTTTGAACGTATTATGGTCTCAAATGCCGAAGACCCTCTACACCGCGCTAGATGAGACTTCCATGGCCGCATACGCAAAACTACCAGAGCCTGAAGCCAACTTATCTGCACATGGAACATGTGCGTAAGTATTTATGTCCACGGGGAGGGGAGTTTCACAACGCTGTACCTGACAGCCAAGGTACTGAGGTCCCAGACGACTATACTGAACGAGAGTCGTTCGAGCTTCTCGAAGAATTATATGACAGGGAGGAATTTTAGACAGACCAAGTCGATTACAACGGAGGCACAGAGTCGAGTTCGGGAAACTGAAGTGCCTGGCGACGGAGTCCCTAACCCCCATGCACATTGAGGCGGTCTATATGGCTAAATCTTGGAAGCTGAAGTGTCCAAAAGATATTCTTCTAATTCGCTGTCTACTTTTCTTTCTGATTCAAGTTGTCTTTCTAATCCTCTTTCTAGTTGTCTTTCTAATGTAGAGCTTATAATATCAATGGCAACTTGGATGTACTAGGCAGAAAAGGTTAATATAGGGCCAAGGGCTCTTTTCCTAGTCCCGAATACGCCAATGTCGAGTCAATGCGAACTTCAAGTTGCGTAGTATACACTTGGCATCTGCTAGTACTTATTAGCTACAAATATCCATTTGATCTTAAGTTGTTATCAGCTCCCCAATCTCTCCATTCATATGCGAGTTCTATATATCACACGCTCCCCTGGTATCATGATAGGTAACAGCGGGCTACTAAACTTGAACAAGTACAAGAAAGATACACGAAGACGAAGAGGAAAAGAAATAGGAAGAATCAGGGAAAAACCAATATAGACAGAACAATCTTTTTGTTGCATTCACAGTGGCTGGCCCATTGAATACCAAACCAAACCAGTCCAGTCCTCAAAGAAATGAAAACTTGAACTCTGGATTCAATCGATCCACATCCATAAACTGGAAGCCGGCGCAACGCAAGCGCAAGCACAAAAGGAAATCCCCCAACACCCCCAACGGAGTCCAGTCCGACCCATTGATATTGATTCATTGTATATCCCACCCGTGAGATCAGTACCGTACCGAGACCGAGACCGTGACCGTGAAATTCTCCGACGCTTGCCATGACCTAACGCAGAAAGGGACCAAACCAAAGATCTAAAATGCAAAGCAGGTTGAGTGCGCAACCCAGGCTCTCACAATGCGTTTGCGTCCGAAACCCACACAACACAAGACAAGACAAGATAAGGCAACGGTGAAGCCCTGTCGCCGCCATCTGAAACAAGACTATTAAACAGACCAAAAAACCCAGAGTGCTGCAAGATGGAATGGAATCCAATCCAGTAAAGAGCGGGATATGAAGAGACCCAAACCCGCTCCAACGACCAAATGAGGAGATGAAAAATGAGAAATGACAAAAAAAAAAAGACACAGGAGAAAATGAAAATGGAAATGGACAAAAAAATGGAAAAAAAACAACCAAAATAGAAACAGAAACATCCCACAAATCACAGGACGGCGAGGCGATGAAAAATCCGGAACCACAACGCTTATCCGCCTGCTCCTTTCCAACCCGATGCACCGGAACCGCAGAAATCCCTTATACAAATGCGTATCAACGAATATCAACCAACGCATATACCTGCCACAATGCAGGGATGCAATATGGACAAAGTAAGTGTGATGTTTTCGCCCGGTTCGTCGGGCTTCAAATAAGTACTAAGTACAGCTTTTCTTTCTCTCTCTCTCTCAAACATTTACGCAGGTGACTTGTTGGCACCAGCGCCATTCCGACGAGAGTGAGGATCGTCAGAAACAGTCAATCCTCCCAAACCGCTGGAGAGGAAGGCAAATGGATCACTGGAGCTCTCGGAACCGTAGAAGGCACCGTTGGAAGCGCTAGTAGATGGCACGCCATGATCAGCTCCGCTGAAAGCGGCCTGGGTTGCAGGGTTGGCAAAGGAGGCAGCGGAGTGGGAGGTGTTAGACGAGCCGTAGCCGGAGTTCACCTGACCCATGGGAGGGTAGGCAGCTGGGGCGTTACCAAGACCACCAGTAGGGAGAGCATAGTTGTTTGGAGGCGCACCGAATTGCTGACCGAATCCACCAAAGCCACCAGCGGTAGATGCGAAGGGTCCTGGGGCAGGGGTGCTTGCCATAGAGTTAGGACCCATATTGTTGAATTGTGAAGGAGGATCCATAGGCGAGGGGAATGCGGAGTCGGCCACAACAGCGGCACCTGAACGAGGTGCGCCGCAGCGGAGACAGTTGATGTTCTTCGCGAAGTTGTGGTAACCGCAGCCCTCAGAGCCACACTTCCAATCACCAGCACGGAAGGGAACCACACCACCGTTACCACCCATGCCACGCGAGTGGCCCATGCCGCCGTGACCGTGACCGTGGCCACCCATGTGAGGGGGCATCATGTTAGGGGGTCCGTATCCGTATCCGTAGCCCATTGGGTCTGGTGTAGCAGCCATCGCAGGGAACGAGCAACGGAAGCAAGCAGTGCGACGCTGGAAGTTGGAGAAGCCACATGAAGGGCAAGTCCAGTCACCGGGGCGGGGGCGGTTCTTCGATGGCGGGAATGGAGTCAGGATCTCTGCTGCGCGGTCCAGAACCCGGCTGGAAGATGGGGAAACCTCGATGGCCTTCTCGTTCAGTGCGCGTCCGTTCATACACAAGCTCTCGGCGGCCTAAGTAGAATGTCAGAAAAACAGGAAAGATAAGAAAAAACAACTGCATGGAGCGGGAGGATACGGACCTCTTCGTGAGATGAGAAGACAGCGAATCCGGTACCGGTAGGTTTGTGTTGATCGGGGGTACGCAAGGTCCAGAAAGCGATAGGACGACCACCGAATTGAGTGAACCAGCTCTCCAATTCAGACTGAGTGGTATCGTGAGGGAGACCACTCAAGTGAAGAACCTTGCTACGCTCAGCCAGGAATGCCCGGACATCGGCGTGAGCATCCATAGGACGAGTGAGGATCTCCGGGTGCTCATGAGGGGGCTGTGACTTGCGAATCAAGCCCCGCAGGACACGGGCCAAAGTGATGGATTCCTCCATAGCACGGCGTGGCGAAGCGGGGGCCAGTGCTTGCAAATGGAATGGGAGGTTGTGCTTGATAGGGGCGGAGGATTGCACGGGTTCGACCTCGAGGGCAGCGCAGATGTTGGAGAGAGAACTGGGGCCAAAGGGCAAGGACTCGGGGTGGTGGGTTTGCCAGCGTTGATATTCAGTTCGCAAGTCGAAGGTTCTGGAGTGCTGGAGGTATGCGGGCAGCACGACTGCCTTATCACGGGCCTCGCGGGGCAGCTGAACGCGCAGATCCCACGAGTCCAAGGTCACGAAAGCAAACTCGAGGTGTTTGCTGGTGAGGTGTTCCGTGGCGAAGGCATCGAATCGGGAGATGGCATCCCTAAAAGTACCTGCAGCGCGAACATGCTCCCATGTAAGAGTAGTCAAACTCGCTGAATTTCGAAGTTAGTTTATCGTTGTTCGTGAGTTAACGGTAGGGCCGTTCCATTCGATATTGTTGGTTCGGCTTGATGTGGATCAGGGATAAAAAAAAAGCTTACTGCACAGCGGAGTAATGGGAGTGTTGACGGGCTTAACCAAGACACTTTCACGGTGCAACTAAATGAAAGAAAAAAAATGTACATGTTAGCTGGAATTGATTCCTGTCTGTAATTTGTTGGTTGATCTCTATTTCGGGCTGTGTGATCGGACCACGCGGGCGCAGGGAATTGGTTGGGGCGGGCAAAAGTGTGTTGGCCCAGAGAGAGAGAGAAAGAGGGGGAGAGAGTATGTACCTCCTCGCAGGTCTTGGTGTCTAACAAAATCCAGCCCAATTCAATGACTTCCGCAGAATCCTTAGTGACATATACGCCATGCTCGTCACAGGTTGTTGCAACGTGGATGACGATGTATCGATCCAGCTTAGGAGTGGGTGCTGTCACGGCCGCCATCGCTGACTTGTCGACTGCCAACGGAGCGGCAGGGGGAGAGATCCCGGAGGGTGGAGAAGGAGAAAGGGATTGTCACTGCAAGGAATGCAGGAGACAATTAAAACAACGACCGGGAGAAGGAAGGGGGTGGTTAAGTAGAAGAGAAGAGAAACCCGGGAGAAGAAGAGGAGGAAGAGAAGAAAGGGAAAGGGGGCAGAATAAGTTAAGGTGGGGAGAACACAGAGAGAGTACAGTAACACGCCGGTGGTGGAGTTTTCACACAGCAAAGAAAATAGAAAATAGTTCTCGGATTGGACGGATTTATTTGTTGACTATTACTATACTCAGATACATTTTCTAATTTTTATCAATATCCTCTCTTCCCTTCCCCTGATTAAAAAGACTGCTGCTTTCTCGCGTCTCTCTGTTCGACTACCGTGCAACCCCAAACGCGGGACCCCTGTTCCCCGGATCACACTCCAGCGATACTCGTACAGAGCTCCTTTTTCATTTCTGTCCTTTCTAGGCTGAATTCACCATTCAAGATGCTTAAAGTCCAAGCTCTATGAGATTTGCAGTGTTTCAGATTGTTGCCTTCGGATGGGATCCGGTAAAACGAGCATACCAGGAAGTGGATCCCTGTCAGAATGGGGCCATGCTTTCAACATTTGAAACGTTATTGGAGTCAATTGAGACTGTGGTGTGCTGATTCAAAGACTCGCGGCACTCCCAATGTATATCCAGGCAATATAAATCATCAAATATCCCATCTGTGATCAATGAATGTCTTTAATGCAAAAATCAAAACAAAAATTGTACTTTGTCACGGTCACGTGGTGATTAGTCAGGTCCAGTGATCAGCATGAACCAGTTGACACTATCTCGGAGTACACTGGAGTACACTGGAGTACACTTGGACTTGGATTTCAAACTGGAAGTAATATATTCTAGTCTACTTTTATATGGGCAGTCAACCTACAGCCATAAGAGCGCATCTACTACATACGTAATGTAACTTAAGCTTGCTCACTAATCATCGTGACCTCTCCGCGGGCATGATTATCCTAGCCTCAAACTTGTATATTAATTAGATTAACCATATCAAAATCTCCACTTAATACCCGGAATCTGCTCTCCGTAAGCTAAGAACAATAAAAATACAGAAATAATAAGTTATAAGTAAATGTGTTAAACCCATCACTGTCCGATCTCGTCGCAACTCGCCGAGTGCGGGGGCAGCGGGGTTCAATGACTTCAACCCCCACGCCCATTCCCCGACACTCTCAGATTGGTGTAAAAACACGAGAATCAGTGGGGGCATTGTAATCAGTCATCCAATTTATATTGTGCAACTCTCCTCTTCTCCCCCTCTCTTAAACAACTCAATGTCCCACCTCCTTCGCCAATTCAAACCATACACCACATCCACCTCCATAATGAAACTCCTCTACCCCACCTCCGTCAAGCTTGACGTCCAAAGTCTCCAAGGCTTCTCCGTCTCCCTCCACCCCTACGACGTCAAACTCCCAATCCCAGAAGAACACACCGACGCCGACATCCTCATAACCTGGGCCAATGCATCCACCAACCTCCAAGACGCTGCAAAGCGCCTCAAAAACATAAAATGGATCCAGTCCCTCGCCGCAGGCCCCAACGACGTCCTCAGCGCAGGATTCGACAAATCCAAGATCATCGTAACATCCGGTGTTGGCCTCCACGACGGCCCAGTAGCCGAACACGCACTCGGTCTCCTCCTCTCCGGCGCACGCCGCTTCCACGAAATGCGCGACTACCAACTTCAATCTAAATGGCCGGCTCATCTAGGCGGCTCATTTCCTCGAAACGACTTCACTACTGTCCGTAACTCGCGCATCCTAATCTGGGGCTTTGGAAGCATCGCCAAGAAACTTGCTCCCTACCTTACAGCGCTCGGCGCAGAGGTAAAGGGTGTAGCGCGTAGCCATGGAGTCCGGAACGGGGTCGAGGTATTCGGTGAAGATAAGCTTTCCGAGCTTCTACCTGAGACGGATGCATTGGTGATGATTCTGCCTGGATCCGAGGCGACGAATAATGCTTTGAATGCTGAGAGACTGAAGTTACTTCCTAAGCATGCGTGGGTTGTGAATGTTGGTCGTGGTACCTCGATTGACGAGGATGCATTGGCGGATGCGTTGGAGAAAGGGGAACTCTCAGGAGCTGCGCTGGATGTGTTCAAAACTGAACCGCTTCCCGAGTCCAGTCGTCTTTGGAAGACGCCTAATCTTATTGTCTCGCCTCATGCAGCTGGAGGAAGACCTGAGGGATGTACGGAGTTGATTGCTGATAATCTGCGCCGCTACCTGGCTTCTCAGCCATTGAAGAATGTTATCTGACTAGTGCGAGACTCCAAATTGTAAATAGAGATAGATATGGATGAGTATGAATCAAGTTCTGTTACGGTGTTATGTATCTTTTCCATGGATTATTCCCTCGAATCCAGTTGAACTGATCTAGAAACATTCTGACGGCCGTATGCTTCCCTCGCCCCTAGAACCAGATGCCGTCGCCCACGCCTCACGATTCCACGATTCCACAGCACGACACAGCTCTTTACTCTGTGATCTATCACCACTATCATTCATAGAAGTATCCTCGCTACTCGACGTATGAGATTTGATGAAACTCCGACACGAGCGGAAAACAGGTGGTATCCCGGGAAGACAAGCAGCGCCAAGGACGAAATCATTCTCAATGCTACTTCATATACCAATAGTGATACTACCGTCTGTAAAAGGTTAGTCGCGCTTAAACTTCTACTTTAAAGTAAACTCATTACCGAAGAATTTATCCAACCCTTGACTTTTCAGAAGTTTCTTCATCGAAAAGGCAAACGACCTATAAACCTATCAGTAACTTAAATTGCTTAAGGAAGATAGGCAATAGTAATCAAAGTCGTAAACTCACAAAATTCCAACCCCCACCAAAGCCATAATATTAACCTTCTTACGCCGTGACATATTCAAATTCCAAATAACAAAGCCCGGATAAGCAGCAAAAGCAATATCAAGGAACGCAGGGAAGCCTATTCAAACAGAAACAATGATTAACCAACGAACTTGATTTCACCCTGACAAATGCAATGAGAATATTAATATTAATAGGTAGATAAGATATACTACTTACAGGAATATTACTACTCTTCTACTTTATTTTTTTGTCCCTCTGCTACTCCTCTATATATAGTGCTTCCCGGATTCTATCAGGAATATCTTAGTAGGTCTCTAGGATACTACTTTTCTCTATATAAGAGACCAAACGTCTTAATATTTGTGTACAAAGTCGATAATACTTTTTTCTATTAGATTAAGCTAATAGTGGGGACCTAAGTAGTATATAGCTAAATTATATTTCATCAAATTATATATATAGCGCTAGATTAATTTCTGACCACTTACATTTTCTTTAATATCCAGCTGTGTATCTCGATCGTTAAGAATTCTCTTTGTTATATATAGAAGACCTATCTCTCTTCTCCCCCTTCCATCTAGTATATAGAGAAATATAGTTCTTAATATAGTTAAAATATATCCTTAACGTAAGTCTCTTTCCTCGACTGAAGTAACTAGACCACATCTGAAGCTATTTCTCGATAGTAATTGAAATAATGTCGATCTTATTAAATCGCTTATTTAGGTTACACTAGGACCGATCGTTGACTAAAACAACAATCGCTGTATTATTAGGCCTGATCCTTTTGTTGCCTAAGACTTTCTCTCAAAGGACTTTTTACAATTTGTTTTCTAAGAATAATTACCAATAGGCGCCTGGAGCCAGTACGGGGTCTTTCTCTATATTCTTCACCACAGCCTTATTGTTTAGGGTGACTCGCCATTCTATAAAGTAATAGATATAGCTTAGCGAATCCTTGTCGTAGACTTTATCTTTCTCCTACTCAGAAAGTTAGAGTAGTAGTATTATATTTCACCTGAGCCGGCTTGTGTAGTCGGGCTCATTGTGGAGCATAGATGGGGAAGGACTGTAGTTAGATTATATGGCACAAGGGCTACGGAAGTATCCTAGGGTTGGGGTATATTGGGAATTTTATTCCTATAGCTTGAGCTCTTGAGGCTAAGTGGTGCTATAACGTAATACAGGCTATCGCTTATATTTAACACAGGTTTAAGCTCTAAAGATCTTCGTCAGCTTACGGCGGGACCAGCTATGGGGAGACCCCAAGTGCTAATAAGAGCGACAGAAGAGAGTTGTACATAGCCATGGCAGACACAATAGAGAAAAATCTTAGCCTTCTAGGGTTAGTCCACTACAGCAGTAGTATAGCCTTTGTTATAGAAGAGGTATATGGAGACAAAAGGCTATGGAGGAAAGGGAAGACATAGGCACGGATCAAGCCAGATCGCTAGATCTCCCAGAACCTGCCCAGAACATTCCGTAGAGCTTTACAGTATTTCACAATGACTCATTGAGCATTGAAATCCAACACGGTTCTAGACGCGATATAGCTTAGCAGGGTTTATATATAGATTAACCTAACATGGACTAGTGTGGTTTCGGGTACGGGCAGAGAAACACCTCGTGAGTGTCCTTAGGGGAATCTGTTTTCGAATTCAACTGTATCATGCTGTTCATCCACCAGGGGGTGCCCGTTCATCATGTTGAGTCAATTCTGTGGTGTACTTCGCGCCACTCATTAGTATTGGGCCGTTACTCCTCAAACGAACTTGAAGGGACATCCATGAATATATCCGTTCGGCGTCAATCATGGAGCTGGTCGAAGTGATTGCATTGTCCCGGTAATAAAACCGTGATATTTTGATCGTTGATTGAGAAAGGACAGTCAAGTCCTGCGGAGATCATGCGATCCAATAGATAGCAACTCCAGAAAGCCCATCTCCGTTGCTCCAGCTCTTCAAATGACACAGAACAAGTGGGCTGTTCCTGGTGATATCCTAGAGAAATGCACTTATTCATAGCAAATCCAACAAGATGCCAAGACGATCCAGCAGCAGAACTGTGTAACGAGAAAATAACTAGGAGATGTAAACATTGTATAATATCCACACCATCTTCCTGATTGAAAACATGATCTAGCATTTGAATGCATTTCGCCATAATGTGTATAGAGACGAAAGATCCATGGGCAGTGGAGTGATTCGCGGAGACAAGCGATACAATCGCAATCACTATACATGCCATAAAGATATAAGCTGGGTTTCTCTTCAGCATAGCCTCGTATTTGCTATCCTCTGGATCGGTAATGGCCGTGATGCCTTGTTGGACCTTTTCTATTGATAAACGAGGAAGCGGAAGTCAACTGTTTCCATATATGCTTCGAGGTACCCTGATGCCTCGACGTGTGAGATATGAAGAAGACCACGCTGTCCACTAGGGTGTCTGATATATTTAGCAATCTCATCCCGTAATATATATATATATCATACGTGGCACGGATAGCTCCTTGAGAAATTCCGCAGATCGATCTCGTGGCTCGGCCATCGCTTGCAGCGACAATAGGCCCATATTCACGTTCGTATCGCCGAGCTGTGATCGTGCGAGGATTTCCTGTAGAGGCCCGTCATCATTCCTTGGTGTCGGAGTGAGAACTGCAGGAATCTTCTCACTTCTGGTCGCATTATGGGTGTCTTGTCTTCGATTGGCCAGGTGCGACTCCAGAAAGGTAATTATGTCTTCTATTGTGGTAATGTAGCCCTTCCGCGCAATTTCATTGTCGCTCAAGTAGACCACAGTGTCTTCCTTTTTTGAGCGACGGCAGTCGGAGTCTGCACTCTTGCATTGCGAACAAACAGGGATTACCCTGCGCACTTCTGTTTCCGTCGAGAGCACCTTTGATAGGCAAATGCGCGTAATGACAGAGAACTACGGATATCACCATAAGTAGCGCTGAAACTTTTCATGTTTCTTCCAGCATGCGCTACATTTTGACAGAAAGGATTTCTGTACAAATTATAGGAACCCGTTGACTTGGACTTCAGAGTCGAGGCCGAGCGGCTCCGGCTCCGATAAGTTAACGGAATTTGCCTCAGGCTTCACATTTAGATCCCCATCGGAAGTTTAAATCACAATCTAGATTTTGTTGCTTTCGTTGCGTTGATATATTTCATACTATTCGGGCTCCTCCGACCCCTCCAAAGAAGTCCAACAACTAGGATTGCGCTTCGACCCTAGGAAAGGATTTGATCATCGTAGACAAATTTGCATCTATGACTTCGATACGTCCACGTCTTATTACTCAAAATACTATCAAGCTTCTTCAAGTGCTGATCGTGATCCTGCAACTTGTTGTGTATAATTTCAGGACTGCCCCAAAGAATCCCCAAAGGCGTAAAATCGGTCGCGTGATATATTATAACATGTAGTCGATAAGGCAAAATGCGATACCAAAAGATCGAGGAAAAGACCATTGGATCCGCAATTGCGAGAGTAAGCCAGAAAGTCCCATTGGCCCATCCGTTTCGTATTATGGACGAAAGCCTTTCAGGAGTCCGCGATTTGAATAAGGGCCGAACGAAGTGTGATCAATCTCATCAGTGTATTGTCCTCCTAGCCAGTAGGGTGGCTGCTGGAATTCGAGAGGTCACGAACAGGCGAACTCGAGGTCAATAATGCGCACGATGTTCCAATCATCGTCGGCGATGATATTACTTCTGTGAAGATCTGTCAGAGTGCAGACGAAGGGGCCGGAACGGAGGTCTCTCTGTAACATCTGCGGAAAGATGGCTCGTGCTGCGGCAAGACCTGCCATTTCGAACCGTCCGTCGATATCGTTTGTCACAGTATTGGGCTGGTGCAGTAGCCGGTTGCTAAAAGCGTCTAGTTTTGCAAGAGCGAACTACACGGGCGTAGGTCGCGTGACGTGGGGCGTTCAGGGGAAGGTCTTCGTTCTCTTGCATAATGACTTCGGTGCTGAGTAGGCGATTGTCAAGGTGGATATGGCCGGCATCATCAAGTCGGAACGCACCAATGCGGGGAAGAGGAACGCCTGCGAGCGAGAGTAATATTTGCGCGAGGCCTCGCTGGAGATTGCTATGCAAGCGTTCATTCCCGCGCTTCTCATCCCAGGAAATTCGAAAGTATTCTTCCTTCGGTATCAGCGATAGTCTCAATCACCAAGTAGCCCAATCCGAGCGAAGCCGGGGCGCTTGAGTTATGCAGGATGTAGTGGGTCAGACACGGCCAGCCAAGCAAGATCCAAAAGTGTCGCTGAAGTCCATGGAGCCAGCGTGACGACCACAGTAGGTGGCTTACGTGGGTCAACTGCAGAGGGACGCAAGGATTAGCGAGCTCTGAAGTTTTAACTACTATGCCACTAGTCGTACCTGCTGGCCCGTGGATAGTCCTACGCCGTATAAATGTGGTATAGGGACCAAATGACAGTGTTCCTGAAGCTACGCATAGGTAGCGGCTTCACATCTAAGCTTCTCGTCTGCGTTTCCAGATTGCGTTGCCTTTCCGACACGGTAAGGTAGTGGAAATCGGATCATGACGAACCTGGGCTGCTCCGGGTCGGGGGCGTCGACGCCAGCCGGCACGCAGACATTAAAAGATCCATGGCGCCAGTATTCTGGAGGCGAGACATTGCAATTCGCCGGGTCATCGCAACAAGGGAGCGAATAAGGTGACTTTGGCTTTCAAGGCGCTGAAAGAAAGCTTGTTGGAGCTGCGGGTATTCAAGCTCGTGGATTACGTTGAACCCCTCCTCTTATGCTTCGGAGAGGGTGATAGGCCCAGAAAACAACTTGCGGGTCGCCATATGGGATAGAAGGTGGAGACAGGAGCAGGGGAAAAGATGGTTAGAGCAATCGATTTAAGCACGTGACGCTGCATCCTAGTAAGTAGAGTACAGTGGTTCTATTCAAGCACAACTTTTCATTTGACATTTACTAATCGCCCGTACAATTCCCATAGTCTCGGTATCACCACGACCATACAGTTGGAGACCCATATGTTCTGCTCCCGTTCCGCCTCTCGCAACCCTCTGGACACATTAAGCGATCGGTTGATATTACATAGTAATTTCAGAGACCTCTCATTGGCTGTCACATTCATAGAGTATACCAGAGTAAAAAAAACAATTAGCTGAATGTTAGGCATCTTCCACTCTGATACTTTTATCAGTATGTGCATGACTTGAAGATAAATGGAAGTTAGTGTGATGGGTAGGAGGAGTGACGATCTTGTAACTTAGGAAGAGGTCTTACTAGACTGCTGGGAATACTACTACACGGAGAGATAAATAAGACATGCACATGCCAAGGATCTGGCACTCACCATCATAAAGTATAGGGCCAGGGCGCAAGCGCCGCATCGCACGGGCGATCTCCTATAGGAGACCTTCTGATAGGTCGATCATGGTTCGGGGACCTATGGTGCGGCCCGGCCCCCGGGGCCGTTTTGAGCCCCGTCGGGACTTCCCCACCCTACTACGCTACATCTAAAAACAAGATTCCAAGATTACGCTCAAAAACAACATGTTTTGCAATTCTGTGGTGAATTCAACCTTGAATCTCAAGACTTGCAGCTCGCAGAAACGGCCGTGGTCATGCTTGAATATCAACCTCAAGACGCATCATCGCCATCCACCAAAATTCCCCTCCTCCCGCTCGACCTGAGCCAACACAAGCTGCCCATCACCCTGTACTGGGCGCCCATAGTTCTGACATCATGTCTCTTACCGATAGTCGGATACTTCGCCCTGCACTACGCTACTTCACTGTCGTTGACGATAATTCTGAGCATTTTCCTATCCATCATGGGCGGCGTATCGCTTCTGGCTTTTTTAATCCGGGCTTGGGCGCTGTGGCGCACTAATTCGGACTGTCGTCCGCTAGGATCAAACAATCGATGGGCCTTCGACTATTTTTTCTGGAATTTTGTCTTTATGTTCTGCGTGCTTACCGCGTTAATCACAAGCGGTATCACGACCGAGAACCTCCAAATTGTATCGTTACCGCTGTCGATTTTGATTCTTTGGGTCTCAGCGCAGATGACTATTGCAGAAATACTACTAGCTCTGCAAATCAAAGTCCCCTTTAGGATGTCCTCTCTCCAGAAGAGCGATACGTTACGACCGGGCGTGTACGTTATCGTGGAAGATGTGGTGGCTGTTGACGGGAAGCAAGGGAGGGCGTGGAGACAAGCGTGGAATGATCGCTATATTTCTAGTCCTATATTCAAACAATTCTTATCCCAGATTGAACGTATATGGGCTGTCACTGGTCTCTCGGTTGTCGCCATTATCTGGGGTGTAGTCTTCGGCCTGGAAAATCATGAAATTGGTTATGCTTTAGGTGAGTACTTACTCTATATCTGTATCTTGTGGCTTGTACCAACACTATAAAGGATGGGCTCTTCCTTTTGCCTGGGGAGCAGGCATGGCGCTCATCACCACAGTATTAGCAAAGAGAATGCTCAGACAGGAGAAGATCGTCGAGCTTGATCAATAACCGACAACGACCCCGAGATCATCCCGGATATAACATCGTTTTATTTAGAGGTCTCAAAAAATTGTCGATTTCTAGTCGGCATTCTCCATGAATCCATGTTCATCCAGACAAATACTCATCGACTCACGCTGCATACATGGCGCCGCCCTTACAATCAATTCCTCAATTCATAGCCGACCTCATACAATTATACAATGTATTAAACCTACACATCTCCCAGTACTATTAACACACCAGACGCACATCGCTTGCCCAGGTTACATGATGACAAGTGATTCATCTCGGTCTTCTGTCAGTTTCGCATCCTCCAAGAAAGAGCATGACTTGGAAGTATGATCTGACGTAAAACCAGGTTTAATACTATATTTTAAAGAATCAAATTATTTTTTGAGCTTTCCTCACTTCTTATTAGATTGAGGACTTTAACATGCAATTCCTTGTCAGTTTAGTTGTAATTTAAAATCGAATTCCACCTTATCTCTGAAGTTTTCCTCAGTAAAACGGCCGGTATGCTGGTCTTTTTCATTTTGAGCGGTATTCCGCACGATGATGACAATGACACGTTCAAGCGTAATTCTCTCGACAACAGATTTCTTTGATCCACTTTATGAATTCGACCCTTAGCATACATGAATCAGGGATTGGTTGTTGGCATGCGGAGCAACAACTTCCACATTGAGACGCCGGGAAATCCATTACCTAAAAGGGAAGTGAGTTTCCCGGTTTCTTTAACGTCTAAATCACCTCACTTCTACCGACAACGAGACAAAATATTCTTCCCTTTCTCTGAATAAAAACAAAGCCCGATTGCTACCTTTATCCCCGGTCCCCATGTCAATACACAAAATGGAAAATAGTGGAAGCGAAAGGGAAATAATGCAGCAGGACACAGAAAAGGTCCCCTCACACCAAACCGCCAGCACTAATACTGGAGAAGCTCCAAATTCAGTTGCGGTGGATTGGGATGGTCCAGATGATTCTCGAAATCCGCTCAATTGGCCGGTCTGGAAACGAGTTCTACTCGTCGGGACGATCACATGCGTCGTTTTCTCAACGTAAGTTATTGATCCAAGATCACATTGTACATACCTTGATCGGCTCCATATTAATAAAATACCAGATCAATAGCATCATCTGCGATCGCACCCGCAGTACCCCAGATACTGAAGCATTTTAATTCGAGTAACGAAGAGCTTGGAACATTGATCGTCACAATCGAGGTATTCAGTCTACAATGCACAAAGAGCCAAGCTGTATCAAACATCCTAACAATATGAATAGCTCCTAGGTACGGGCGTTGGTCCAATGTTGATGGGCCCATTATCTGAAATATTCGGGCGTCGCATCATCTACAACTGCGCAAATATCGGATTCAGCGCTTTCTCGCTCGGGTGTGCCTTAACGCCGTCCCTAGCTGGTCTGGTAATCATGCGCTTTCTACAAGGCTGCTTTGCATCATGCTCACTCAACAATGCACCAGGGACGATATCAGATCTTGTCCCAGTACATCGAAGAGGCTTCGCGATGTCCATATACTCGATGGGATTTCTGCTTGGCCCAGCAGTTGGACCTATTGCTGGCAGTTATTTAGCTGCTGCTGCTGGATGGAGATGGGTATTTTGGCTACTACTTATCTTTGTAAGTGGGCTCTCCAGAAATGATGCAGAATATTTCGAGATTCACTAACTGGAACATCTTGCAGAATGGTACCATGGGTATTATCTGTGGTATTGTTTATAGGGAAACATACGCGCCTGTTCTCTTAGAACGACAAGCCGCAAAACTTCGGAAAGCTACCGGAAATCCAAATATCTTTCCTAAGGGACAATCTAAAGTACCTCCAACGACCCTTTTGAAACGAGCAGTCAGTCGACCTGTCAAGATGTTTCTTTTCTGTCCCGTTGTCACTGGCCTGGCAATATACAACGCAATTGTCTATGGGTTCACTTACCTTCTATTCTCTACATTTTCCGTTGTCTTTCAAGGACAATACAATTTTGCCGAAGGAAGATTGGGTCTCGTTTATCTTGGTCTTGCAATTGGCTTTTTGGTCTCTATCAGTATTGCGAGCTATACCAACGATAAAACTTATCAACATCTTACAGCAAAGCACGGCATTGCAAAACCAGAGTAAGTCTACTTAGCGGATAGATCTCAATTTTGTTCCTAATCATTTACTAATCATTGTGTAATACTCAGATATCGTTTAGACTCATTGGTCTACGGAGCAATTGCCATTCCTGTCGGGTTCTTCATCTATGGCTGGACCGCAGAAAAGCACATTGACAGTGCTGTTCCCATAGTAGCGACTGGTCTGGTGGGATTCGGTGTCATGTTCACATTTGTAGGTTTCGTCAAATTACTTATATACATGCTGGACTGCTTGACTAATCCTTGTTTCCAATTCTAGATACCCTTCAATGTGTACATGATTGATGCATACACAAAGTATGCTGCCAGTGCCATTGCCGCAGGAAATGTACTGAGAAGTCTCTCTGCTGCTCTTTTGCCTCTTTTCGGTATCCCACTTTACAATAAGCTAGGATATGGTTGGGGGAACTCTCTTTTGGCATTCATCTCCTTGGGGCTGGGTGCAATGTGTTTGGTGTTCCGCAGAAACGGTGAACGGTGGAGAGAGAAGTTTTCCATTCAACTCGACTGAAGCAGCGAACTCTATGTAAGCGAACTCAGTTTGACAAACTACTTAGATAGCTTTCCATGAATTTTCAGACTAGATAGATATCAAAAGCCTATCGCCTGATTGTTTTATTTATTTCCGTCGAAAAACCCATGAATTATCTCAAATAATTTCTTAAAGCTCGCAACCGCCTCATGCAAGTAATTCATATTAAGCTTATTCAAGCAATTCGGCGACCGCCCCATAGCCTTAGCTCCTGGCTGATGTTTTGACTCCATATCAAACGCAAGAGAAGTCAAAGAATCTAACAAATGATCAGCCTGACCAACAAGATCCAGAACCAATATCCGTTTGAAAGAAGCATCGTCAGTTTTCGAGATACAGTAATTGCCAATACCGACTTTCACGGTACCATCGAAGCCCGATTTAGCGATATAATCAAAGCAAACAGCCGTCTGTTCGAAAGTGGTCATGATGCAGACTAGATCAACTGGGCCTTTGAAACAATCACAATCTGTTGACTTCTGGCAGCTTTGGATGATTTCGCCCGTGAGTTTGAACATGGTGTCTAGTTGTGGTTTTGGTTGTTGACGAATTGCGCTTTCAAGTTTTGGGACGTGGATCATCATATTTGCTCGGCATTCGCAGCTTATTGATGGTAGCTGGATTTCTTGAGACAAATCCGGGAGAGCAGGTATTGATGGGGGTGTTTTGTCATTGTTTATGTCGTTATTTACAGGGTCAAAGTGACCAAGATCATTCTGGTTCGGTTAACACAGAGACTTTCAAGATTAATTACTGTAATAACATGTTGTGGCGATGAAGATATACTCACGTCTAGAGTAATTTGAGGCTCTGGGAAAATCCAGTCGAATTGTTCGAGAGCATCATTTAGTGCCCTCTCGTTCCAATTTTCTACCCCATTGAAGGTAGAATCATATTGGGGGCTTTGTTGATTTGTAATTGTATCATGGCGAGGAATGCATCTGCTCTCGGGGATTTGGCCAGCAGGAACATCGTCTGTGAGGAGAGAGGGCGTGACAGAATTCCTTCTTCGATCATAATGATCTCCATTTATCGACCCATTCCCCTCGTTCGATATCGGATTAAATTCGCATGATATACCACGCTTCTTGCATCTCTGGCATTTCGATTGACCATTACACTTTGCTTTGGCTGAGCGACATGCTTGACATGCAGTCATGGGGCGGCGTAGGCGGGGTCGCGGTGTCCGGGCTCGCCAGTCGAGCACCTGAGTACCAGGGATGGATTTATCCTGAGCTTCATGTTCAAGAGAATTGCTTTTCATAGAAGTTGACGACATTATTGTCTATTTTGGTATTTGAGGATTCTGATGCAAGACTCGAAACTAGACAAAGGAACACTTGAGCGGGTGAACCGTCTGACTAATTCATCCATCACGTCTTCAAACGTTCACATGTGCTTGAATGTTCAACCCTGAAAGATGTACGCAATTACCGCCCACTATTTCCTATCTTTTAATAATGGCACTCTGCCTTTAAACCACGGACTGGTGAAGGGTTTCAAAGTTCGAGAGTTGAAAAATCATAACATGAAAGGAATATCAGATTATGTACACCCCGAGTCATCTAATCTCCACCTTTAAAGATCATGAATATCACATAAACCTGGGAATCAAAACACAAGTAACGCCAAACCCCCCAACACATGAATTTAAAGGTCTTCATCATTCATCACCTTCATCCTTGATCACGGTGCCTCGACTCGTGTCATGGTCATCTTCTTCGTCCTGCTCCATGATGCTAGGCTCTACAGAGACCATGCCACGGTTGACAGCACCACCTTCAACGGATTGTCGAACGCTACGAGATCGAACCTGGGTATTGTCGTGTTCGTCTTCATCCTCCTCTATAATGCTGGGTTCAACTGAGAATCCGCGACGGCTAGAGGGCTCAACGGAGCGTCGGACGCTGGCCGAACGAACACTGCCAGCATCACTTTCCAGATCTTCCGTGCCGGCACGGGGACGTACGCTGGCAGCACGAGCATCCTGGGCAACAGCGAGAATCTTCAAAATTGCGTTCTTGGTCTTGACGAGCGCGTTCCGGCTTGAGGCATCTGCAGCGAGACCTTCTTCCATAGTTTGATCAAGTAATTCTTTAACCTCCTGTGCCAATTTGATATTATCAGGTTCGATCTCAATAGCTGTCGCGCTGTTGATACTGGTGCGGAATTGATCCTCGCCCTCTGGGGCACGCGAAGGGGCACGTGAACCAGCACGAGAAGGCACAGTGGGAGCAGCAACGTAAAGTTTGCTTAAGAGGGTGAAGATCAATTTTCGCTCTTCCTTTGAGCAACGATTGGGGCCAGCGCTGACACCAAGTACACGTTCCAAGATGTCCTTGACCAACGCAAGATGTACCCAGCCGCAGGCAGTCGAACTAGCACTTCCACCCATCATAACGCGTTCACCTCCAAGACCAACCACGCGGCGTTCGTCAGTCCACTCAGCAAGCATTCCAATAACGCCAGTCATGAGCGCCTTGATCTCACGTTCCCCGATACTTTCATCAATTTCACCATCACTGTCCTCTTCGGCCTCGAGAGAATAGTGCTCCTCGGCAGCATTGATCACTGAACGAACCAAAGGCACGGCAATGCGTCGCATATGTTCTGTATTCTCCAAGCGGGAATGACAGTATACAGGGAAGAAGTAAGCGAGCGATTGCCGAAGGGCAGGGTTTTCCTTTGTGCGAGGATGGAAGAAAGCCACCACAAGAGACTGCAACAAGGTCTCTACTGCATTTTGGTTATATTCTTGAATAGCGATTGGGATATGAGCACCTTGGGGTGTGAAAGTGTTCGTAAGTAGAAGCTTGGAAAGGGCTGTGGCTGCTGAAGACTGTACACTAGCCGGCGAGTTGGCTTTCAGAGCACGAGAAAAGACCTTGAGCAAAGGCTTCTGGATAGGGGGAGTTGACACAGTCTCGCCATCGGATTGAGTGACTGGGGCAAGGAGAGAAGGATGGGTCGTAACCATGTCACAAATAATTTGCAACGCGGTCACTTGCAAACCTTCATGGCCCTTGCTGTAGCAATGAATGAAAAGAGTCATGTTCTCTTCCGCCAAATTCTGTGATGTGTTAGCATAAACAATTTCCATGGTGAACTGAAATTGGTGACTGACCTTATCGAGCAAACAACAAAGCCCCAAGCATAGCAGGCCGCGCTCCCGGATAGGAGCTTCATGGCTGCGAACAGCGGGGACAACCAGGTTATTTAACATCGTAACAAGGTTCATGTTCTGCTGCAAGTCTCCCTCGACGTTTTGGAGCATACATTGGGCGATGTGTAGACATTTCATGTTGACCACAATCTCTCGCACGATTTTAGCCTTGGCTTCTTCTTTATTGAATGGAGTATCATCGTCTCCCGGAGTTTCGGAACGATGCCGACTGCTAGCATCATCGCTCATCTCAGATTTCGCAGAAACAAAACTGTCCTCTGTCATAATGGTGTCGTGAACTTCAGCGATGGCTTCAAGCACCACACTACAGAATTCAGCCTCACCAGCACGGTCGGGGCCACACACACATCGAAGGGTCTCAACAGCAAGTTTGGTGCTGTCCTCTGGAAGTTCAGGTACAGCCAAAGACTCCCGCAAGAGTGCAAACATCTTCCGGCGACCAACCTCGTCGCTGTAATCCAATGTAATAGCGATATGAAGGAGCTGCTCGACAATAAACTCTTGTTCAACAGCATCTTCATCATTCGCATCACCGGACTCCTTAGCAAGTTTCTTGCGCTGCAAAAGCTCGTTCATATATTTGGCGAGATAATACCCGAGTGCGGTGACTTCCGGCATCTTCTCATCCGCAAGATTCTCGTACTTTCCTTCATTCTCAACACGGCAGAAGTCATTGAAAGATCGCAGCAAAAATGCGGACTCTCCTGTGAGAGAATCCCAGAAAGAGTCGTCGAAAGTGATTGCCTCTCGGTAATCAGATCGACCCTCCCAGAAGCTTTTCATCGCCTCGTGGGCAATTCCGCTCTCAATTCCAGAGTTGACAACATCGATTCTTTCCAGAAGTTCGAGTAAGGCGTTAATATTGGGCGGCGACTTTTGACCAGTTGCGCCGTCACCTGCTTCATTATTGGTGCCAGCGCAGTCCTCTACCCAGCGGTCGTAGAATAGTTTCCCGGTAGCTTTTCGAACACTCTCATCACGATCCCGCAGACCCCAACGAAGCAGCTTCTCTCTCATAGATAGGGACAGGTGGCGGAAGTCGCCCAGTGTAGGCAAAAGGCGAGAATACAAGGTACGTCTTGTAGGTGCGTCGAGATCGCGGGCTCGTTCGAGTAGGAAGGGTAGGGTGGTCTGAGAGAGTGGAAGGTTGGCGAGAAGACTCTTACGGACATCAGCGCTTGTATCGTTCTGCATAATTTCGAGCAACTTTTCCAAAAGTGCGGTGGAGCTTTCATCGTTGCTGTTACCATCTCCATCATCGTCATTACCGGCCAATCGTGCAAGACCTAGCACAGCCTGTACACGAACGGAGGATTCCTTATCGCGGATTCGCTTCAAAAGGCCTTGTCGGATGGTGTGATACAGCTCATCGTCAATTGATTCCAGTGTATTGACAACGTGAGCAACGATTTGAGTGGCGCGAAATCGCACCATTTTATCCTTTGTGCCCAAGATAGGTACCATCAACGAGACGAGACCCGAGGTCAAACGGGAAGTGGGAGTTTCTGGCGACATTCCCATCTCATCCTCATCCTCTCCCGGTCCAAGCAACTCATTGTCCTTCTCTGAAGAATGAGCGAGGAAGGCGTCCATGAAGCGTACAACTCGGTCGCCAGCTGGCTCTGATTTCTTAACAGTAAGAATCCGCAGCATGCAACGACCAAATTCAACATTGAATTCCTTCTCTGGGATTGTCTCTTCCTCCGAAATCACAACTTTCTCTGGCTCTTCCGTCTGGTCTTTTCCCTTCTTATTCTTCTGGGAGATGCCAGCGCATAGTTCTTGGAGTTTTCGCAATCGCACCACAAGCTTGCGGTGTCCGGTAGTTGATCGTTGGGCATCCCCAAATATGGCGCATACATCTCGGCGGAGATTTGGCGATGCTTCAGGCAAAGCGGGTTCATCGGGAATCGCGAATGACGGGGTCACTGAGGGAGCACGCCCCGCGGAGGGTTGTTGTGAGGATCTGCGTGTGGCCGCAGAGGTCGAGCGGGCGGCGACTCGGCCGGGCATGTTGGATGTGTATTATCGGGGGCGCGATTAACAAGAGACGAAACGCATTGCAGGTCGCGAATCCACAGATAAAGCAAGGAAGAACCGAGCAAATGCGGGCGGTAAACAAACAGCCCAAACGGGGAAGGAGCGATAAGCGGTCACATGATATTCAGATAACTGACTAATCATAGTATCGGGGATCCGCTATGGCGTGCTACTCGTTCATTGATACTCGCTTTACTTCACATTGCACTTGTGTGAGCAGACATGTTTCGTCAGAGTGTTAGGCGCTTTGGTACCACGGCCATTCGTGCCGCTGCTAATGAGGGTCGCGCCGCATACACCTCTCGGGTGTCCACTGCACAGGGCGTTACCAATGGCTTAACGGAAGGTATGTCATAGCTCCGAGCTAGGTCCGCGAATATGAGCTAAGCAGAAATGTGTCTTTGCAGCAATTGGAAACACTCCTTTGATTCGGTTAAAGCGCCTTTCCGAAGAAACCGGTTGCAATGTGCTGGGCAAGGCAGAATTCCAAAACCCTGGCGGTAGTGTGAAGGATCGGGCTGCCCTGTTTGTCGTCGAGGACGCCGAGAAGAAGGGACTACTCCAGCCCGGCGGTACCGTTGTCGAGGGTACTGCAGGAAACACCGGTATTGGTCTGGCACATGTGTGTCGGTCCAAGGGCTATAAGCTCGTGATTTACATGCCCAACACACAGTCCCAGGGCAAGATTGACCTGCTCCGTCTTTTGGGTGCCGAGGTGTACCCGGTCCCTGTCGCGCCATTCGACAACCCCGCAAATTTCAACCACCAAGCACGCAGACATGCAGAGTCTCTAGATAACGCAGTCTGGACCAACCAGTTCGACAACGTCGCCAATCGCCAATCACACATCGAGACCACTGGTCCTGAAATCTGGGCGCAAACTGGCGGTAAGCTTGACGCTTTCACTTGCTCTACCGGCACTGGTGGTACTTTGGCCGGTATCACTCGCTATTTGAAGGACGCCAGTAACGGCCGTGTTAAAAGTTTCCTCGCCGATCCACCTGGCAGTGTTTTACACAGCTACATCCAGAGCGGTGGTACATTGATCGACCGCTCTGGTGGCAGCATCACTGAGGGTATTGGGCAGGGTCGTGTGACGGACAACCTTAAGCCTGATCTTGACCTTATTGACGACTCTCTGCACATAAGTGACGAAAAGACTATTGAGATGGTCTATCGCTGTCTGGACGAAGAAGGTCTCTACTTGGGTGCCAGCTCTGCTCTCAATGTTGTCGCCGCCAAGGAAGTTGCGGAGAAGATGGGCAAGGGCAACACTGTTGTGACCGTTTTGTGCGATGGTGCATACCGATACGCCGACCGATTGTTCTCTAGCACATGGCTGGAAAGTAAGAACCTTCGTGGTTCCATCCCCAAACATCTGGAGAAGTATATTGTGTTGCCTTAAATTGGTTCGTCAGATAGTGTATATAAACAACTGTATTTCTGTATAGTGCTACCGGTCCTCGGTATTTATAAAAAGTCCTCTGGGGCTAAAATACCGGCGAAGAATTTATCCCATTTCAAAGTCCTGAGGAGACAGCAATACGAGTGTTCAATGTCCCAAGATACGACACGTATACTAGCTAATTGGCCTCGGTAGTACGGTTGGGTTAGTCTCTAATTATACATATAACATAGACCAGGATCACGATAGTCATTGACCAGGTGGATAGTATTTCCAACCTTACTTCCAGGAACTAGTACTAGTAATCTTCAACCTTCAAATTACGATTGACTCATCAATTCAAGTTGTATTAAAACTCTTTCGTACCAGGCGAAATCACACTGCACTGGCACTGCATAGTACTATGTACTACTACTACTAGTATACATAGTACTAATAGTACCCACCGAGCTAGTTTATACTACGCAGTGATACTATGTAGTAGAGTCGGACATCTGGACCCGCTAAATCTGAATACTCGATAGTATCGAAAATTTCAAGTTGATTGCACTCGACCAGGAAGTGAGGTGGCTGTATCTCGTCCGATATCCCCAGGCCCGTCCATAAATTAAGACTGCTCAAAATAAGGATGATCTGCAGACTCGGATTCTTTAAGGCCCTTTTCGATCACGGAGTATGGGCGTCTCACCTCGGTCACGTAGCGATCGATCGTATATTGACTTCTGAGGCGCAAGTCGGACAAAGTTGTTGACTTAGCCTTGCATGGGTCCAACACCAGCATTCTGAAAGAACAACCAGTTAATCATCTCACAGTGCTCAGCAGAACCGACTAGAAAGCTGATATTGTGGTCCTTGTCGTATTGTTCCGCGAGATAGAGAAGGATGCTGCCAGAATCGAAGATAACCACATCGGTGCTATCTGCAAGGGTATCAGTGACTGCAGGAATGCGGCCTTTAAGATTTATCTCAAGGAACCAAGGTTTCTTTTGTCTGTTGGTGGAGATGTCGAGATGCTCAAACTCGTAAGGGATGCCTAGCTCTTCCAGTGCAATGGACACCTTCACACCACTAAGGGTGGAGCTGGTGTACAGCTCGACATTAGATTCCTAGACGTTAGAGGTTTTTGATATCTTAGACGGTATTCAATGTTCAAAAAAATTTGAAAAATTTGAACATGGCCGATTGGGACATCATTATACTTTTAAATTATTATTAATATAGAACTTGAGTTGATATACACCTGGCAACCTTATATAGATTTAGCTTTTTTTTGCTCCGAATATAGGTATTTGACAGCCTCATTTATACGAGACACCTTAGCTTCAATAGAATCGGCTATAGTTGGAGTAGTACCTTACAGCATTAAAGACGTACAAAGAAAAAATTACATTATAGTAAGAATGACATTACGCTGCAGGACACCAAACATGGACTAGCCGTGTTTGGTGTCCAGACCGTAGGGTAAGGCACGGCTACCTACTTCCATCACCCGAGCACCATCCCTCTTTTCGCGTCGGCCATGGAGAACACAGGTTCATCGCCAATGGCGCCCTCACTCATGGTTTCCTCACCAGGCAAAGTTATTGTCCTTGGTAAACACGCTGCCGTGTATGGCAGGCCAGTCATCGCCGCCGCCATCTCGCTCCGATCCTATCTCAGCGTCAAGACCCTTTCCAAGTCCGAGTGTACTGTCACTCTCAAATTCAGGGACATCAAGATGCATCATACATAGGACATCGCCAGCGCCAGCTTGCCCAGGGAGGTATTCCAGCAGGCGCCCGACAGGAAGCTCTATAACTCAAGCATCGACTCTCTGAACAAGACCCTACTGGGCGCCATTAAGCCGTATGTAGACCTCGTCTCCCCAAATTTTCCCGAAGAGGAGCGCAAGATTCATATAGGTTCTGCTACTGCCTTTCTTTACCTCTTCCTCTCCCTCGGAACATTACACGGTCAGTTAAATTTGCGCCATTGCCACTGAGTATATTGCCGCTCAAGCGTTCCATACTACTCTAGCTTTTTCATAGACTATCGGTTATAACCTATACCTATACTAGTCGAAGATACTGATCGTTCTAGCTAGTAGCCGTGCCTTACTATACGGTCTGGACACCAAACAGGACTAGTCGCATTTAGTATGTAATTTAATTCTTACTATAATGCAATTTTTCGTTCTGTGCGTCTTTAATAATACAAGATACTCATCAAGAAAGGTCAAGAAAAGGGCAATCTTTTGGGTCGGCGTAGAAAATTCCTCCTAGCCCTTCAATCACGATGCAACGCTCCTCCATAGTACGGGCATTATACAGCTTTGCTCCACCTTTCTCACTTGCGCCCTTCTCTGTTGTCTTCCAAACCCACGCCCCACTATCCGGAGTCCAACCGATCCGAACATAATTATTAGACCTTTCATTAGGTATACCGGAGATTTCACTTTTAACCCATGCTAATTCGCTTGGCCACCATGTTGGGTCAAGACGTCGCACTGTCGGGAGTCAGAAATATACAGCGTTTCAATACATAGAAGCATGATTATCACTCACTACGATCGCAATGCGTATTCTCCTTCTTCTGCCATTCGGGGTCGGAATTTGTTGGACGCCGCGTATTATTAAATGGGTCCAATTCCAGAAATTCTATCTCTACTCGGCTAGAGACATCAAGCGTATATATTCCGCCTTGAGAGGGCCAATCTTTGACTATGATGCCAGGCCCAGACGAATAATATACCCAGAACTGCGGCTCTGGTGGAAAACAATGTTGAGGGCTAGTATAGTCACTGCTCACTTCCTGGAGCAGGTCCTGTAGTATATCCCGGGGCATGGTGCGTGGAATTTGAGGGGCGGAACTCTTGAGCTTAGTTTGATAGCCTAGCCAGCCAACTGTAACTGATATAAGCAGTGGGAAAAATGTCCACCAGTTCAGCATTTCCCAGTTTCAGAGACAGATAGGTCATAGAGGGCAATATCGGGGATCCGGAATATAGAGAACCAAGAAGAAGCGTGAAGTTTAGGCAGAGAGAGTTGCAACTTCTAGGTGAGTCACAAGTCAGCAGGGGTCTTGCTATACGCACCGCCAGGCTCCAGTTGTGCGTGTGTAGGATTTAGTGTCCAGTATGTGCAACCTAATTCCACGGACTTGACCCCACTTCGTGAATCCTTAGCAGAAGCACGAGGGAATACCGATCATGATATTGGTAACCTACACCGGAGACACTCGGGAAACTCGATCTACCACCGCTTCGCATCGTATTTCACTTTTGACAGTCTGTAACTCGAAGCTCTGTATGAAATTTACACAGCTGGTTTCCGGGATATCGACGTTGCTAACCATGATGGGATAACTCCATTAATGCGCTGTTCACTAAGTATAGATTCTTTGAAAGTTGCCACTTGGCTTATTTCCAAAGGTGCAAGTCATTCGCGGAAATTGCCACATTCCAGTGCGACCATCGTGCACGCCTGGAGTGCTACTGTTGCCTATCAATTCTGGCATGGCGTAGGAAAATTGACCCCCGAACAGCCACAGCGGTCTCGACTTGAAATGTGGAAAAGGGTTCTTAAGAACATGGCAAATCGATCTTCTTACTGCCTTCCGGGGGAGACGGTTATCTCTGTCCATGCTGTCCTGGAAGGTGTGACACTCTGTCATTTTCCGGCGCATGGAACGATTATTTAACTGGGTTAATTTGAAAATGAAGAGATTCACAGAGATTTTCTCGCCCTGGATCACTAAAGAACCACTTCCCGAGATTGGCAGAAGATTGAATTCGGCTGCATTGCAAGAGTTATTGAAAGTTGTGATGGAAATTTGCAAGGAAAGACCAGGCTCTGAGCAAAGCATCATGAGATCTATGACATTCGAGGCATTGAGTCTCAAGCATGTGTGTTGTGTCGAGATGGATAAGCATCATGTAACGAGACTGTATCATGTACCGGAATTCAGAAGAGCCAGAGCGAGATTGAGGAGATCATGTCAGAGGAAAGGGAGCGGTATCAAATGTTTGAACAACTGATGGTCGAGTTGACAGCCAAGTCTGATGATCTTGGCCTTCTCATAGCCCAGTTTCTCGCAGGTTACTGGCATACACGGATGATTGAATTTCTTTCGCAGCGTGACTCGTATGATGAGGAGCATTACGAAGAAGCCAGAATAGCTGGCATCATTCTGGAAGAAGGGTCGGTTGAAATTCCTGAGCTGGTATATGCAGTGGCGAATACTGTTGAAGAAGAAGAATGAGGATACACTATCGTTTAGATCATGCTCAACTTGACAATTTCATTTTCCATGTTGTCAAAGGTGACACACCAACTATATAACATGCAAATATAATACATAAGAGTGGTGAGATAGTCATATGTGCAGCAAGAGCATATCACAACATATCACAAAAAGCAACCCAAACGCCATCTATGCTTCCGTTCTATTAAACAGTTCGCCGCTGAAAGTGCCCAGCAAAAAACAAGTAGAAGGGTAGAGGTACAGAAAACAGAAGCAACAGAACAAGGTATCAAAACAAGGCTCTGGCGTACGGATAGAAAACGACAACCGGAACGAAACGAATCTAATCATCCGATTCTGGCATGCGCATATAAGCATCAATAGCAGCACTGAAAGCCGCAAAGCCCGCACAACCAAAAGCAGCAGCCTGGGGACCAGCTTTAGCACCGAGAATTCCACCAGTCATACAGCCAGCCGCGACACTGTTTGTGAGATCGTTCTTTGCGCGGAGACCCTCGATACAACATTCTGTTCCGGAGTAGAGAGCACCGACGATACCGAAGTTCTTAGCGGAGGACCAGGAGCGGGCACCCATATCCTTGAAGCCGCGGCGGACTTGCTCTTTCCAGGGGAGATCGGAGATTGCGCGACCTTGTGGGGTGAAGGCTGAATCGTAGGACATCTAAGAAGCAATGATTAGAAAATTTGCGAGAGAGATTAACCATATGGATTTTTATAACTTACACTGGCCATGAAAAGACCGAATGCACCACCAAGACCGAAACCCATTGTACCAGCCATGACAGTCTTCACGGGGCATGATTCCATGCCGTTTTGCATCTATTCGAGCAGAATAGTTAGAAAAGAGAATCCAAATAGCTTCTTCTGTCAAGGTATAGCATACCATTTTAACCATTGCCTGTTCTTGGTCGTTCATGCCGGCTGTCGAGTTTCCTCCTAAGCCCATCGGCTGGTGTCCACTACCCATCCCCATACCCATACCGGAGGGATTCATGATGATTTATAGCGATGAGGTATTGATGTGAGTTCTTCTGTTTTGTTTTCGGTGCAAGCTGGTGGTACAACTCGAAAAGGCTCGCGGGCTAGTGAAACTCCACCGAGCGATACAAAACACAATCAAGCCGGTGGATCGCGATAGTTTTGCGGAGGCGGCGACTCGCGCAAATTTATTTTTCGGCGATCCAGAGCGACCAACTGTGCAGCTCTCACGTGGTTTAAGAGACAAATGATGACTAAGATTTCCGCCGACTAGTTAGTTAGATGTTCACAATGTTCCAGACTCGAACGTCCGAGTCATTGTTGGTTATTCGTTTGGGACATGTACTATATTTTTGTGCTAATACTCGTCTTTTTATGTACCTGTTTTCTATCAATCTATATCTATAATTATCTTACATCGGTATAATCCATCACGAGTTCCCAGGCTAAGCAGGGCAAACTTGAAGCCATCTCAAAAAGATCGCAACATTTGAGGGCTCAACATTGAAGCTCGAGCTGGTTTATATGTATTGAAAAAATGGAAGACATTAAACGGTGTCATTGAGATTTCAAATAGGGCAGTAGTAGCCAAGCAAAATAGCCAAAGTAAATATAAATGAAAATCAGGACGCTCTGATTATAAAAACCAAAAAGACGCAACGCTCTCGTGGGTGCAACAGTCGTAGCCCTACATGATTCGGTGGATGCTATGTCATGCCAACTCGTCCAACGGAGACCCTCGAGAATGGGGCCAAAGAAGGAGATGGTGAAGATAATATATATACATGAAGAGGTAGTAAGAAGAAGATCAGGACAAACCGATAAAAAGAAAAAAGGGCGGTTAGTCCTTTTTACTGCTTTTAGTGGAAGCAGAAGATGAGTCCTTTCGTTCCGGAGAAGGCGAAAGACTGCGCTCCCACTCAGCCATGAGATTAGAAGCAGTTCGCTGGAGTTTAGACGGAGCCAGCTTGGTAATGGCCGGCCAGGGGATGCCTTCGGCTACAGTAGGATCATTAGCGGTGGAGAGGGGGTTCCACTCGCCAAAGCTGGGTAGGGAGAGCGAGCGTCAGCATCAGCGCATGACAAGGTTGTCATAGATGAAATCAGAGAAAGTCGAAATGTACCTAGCACTCGTTCGTGGACTACTACCCTGCGTCGTGGGTGACTGGTCATGTTTCGATTCGACCGTCGACCGACTAGACGAAGGGGTATGTGTCTTTTTATTCCTGGACGACGGCGTATCCCATACGTCCCAATTATCGACCGTTTCATCCTCCTCGTTGTTGACTGGGCTGCCGGAGCGGTGATCGGGTTGGTTGTCGGGTTCGTTCTCGTTCTTGCCCCGGGGGGTCACGGTTTCGACGGTGTTGTTGGATGGGCTGCGGCGAGCGCCGGGAGACTTCTGCGCTGGTGAATCAACACCGAATTCATGCCAGAAAGACGTGGCAATGTCCGCGGGCTTGGAGTCTTTACCGGATGCAGGCTCGGCCGCTTGCCCTTTACCCCGCGATGATGACGATGACGATGATCGTGATATACTCCCCGCGACTGATAGTCGCTCTCGGCTCCCTGACTTTGCGATGGAGCTTCGTTTGCGTGTATTCGGTGGTGCTAAAGAGTTTGGCGATGTGGTTCGTGGTCCCGTTCCGTTGATAGCTTCTTCGCCAACAGTAGCTTGTCGAATATCCTCTAAGAATGTCCATAAACCCTCCCGTAGATCCGAAGCCATCTGCTTGCCAGTACGCACCAGAGCCTCCCGAGATGGCGGGGGCATGGTATTCCGCCACTGAGTGAGTAAATGCTCGGGCACTTGACTTTCATCAATGGCAGTCACCATGTTAGGAGTGGTGTTATTACGCTCAACCGAGGGCAACGTAGCTGATCGCGGGGTTCGACCCGGACGCTCGGAGCTACCCAGGCTGGGACTGGTACTAGCAGAGTTGGGAACAGTGACAGGGGAAAGAAGAGACAATGTACGAGTGTGAGAGCCTTGGAAGACGCGCCGACCATTAGATGAGATGGAAGTGCCTGCAGGAGGTACAGGAGCCACGGGAGCAGCAGCAGCAGCACGAAGACTTGTTCGGCGCTCCAGATCCCGACTAACTCTATCCTGAGGCACAGCCGAGCTACCGACGGAATTCATGCTTTGTTCCCGACGGTGTGAGCTCGTACTCGAACGGCCCTCCGCCCCACTCGGGTCAGGAGACTTGAGTGGTAGCATTGGCTCGGCATGGTGATTAATCTCAGTGCGTTTCCTCGACCTCTCAGACAGCGCCCACTGCTTCTTGAGGGTAGACAGATCAGTCTCAGCCCGTTGCAGCTCCTCGCGAAGCTCCATCACCCTCCGTTCCTGCGATGCGATCGCCCGCAGGAAATCGTAGCCATCGTCTTGAACATCGAAGGGGATTGGAGTCCCAGCGGGGAGCGCGGGGGACGGGCGAGTTGAGGACTGTGTGACGGGGGTCATGGATCCCGGAGACGCAACAGCGCTATCGGGAGTTGCGGTTGGGGACTGGTTTAGAGGAATATTGATAGGGAAGTTCAGGGTCAAGCGTTTGGCATGTCGTGCTCCCGGATGAGCACGAGGAGGGAGCGATGAACGTTTCTGCAGAAGGGATGAGGAACGAGAGAGACCGGGTGAACCGTGTGACTGTTCGGAGACAGGCTCCGGCTTTGTTGGGGAATCGACGGTGGAAGTCTGGGACGCATCCGGCGGTGGACCGTGGGCGAGTAGATCGCCCATTCCGGGGGAGCTCTCCATGATGGGCCAGCCAGCAAGGAGAGGGGAATCAAAGAGCGAGGTTATGGAGGAAAGAGCATATGAACAAATAAAGAAACAAAAAAAGAAAGAATGCACAATATGTACAAGAGAGTCGAGAGGTTGAGAAAGGGAAAAAAGGCTGACAGCCGAAGTCTGGAAGTCTCCGTTCTCTCCTGAGAGTCCACACTGTGGACTGCGGGTGGGTCTCTTAGTCCATCCTGGCCACGAGTGTTTCAGGGGGTCCGAGGCAGCTGGTAGACGTTGTTTACGATGTTATTTATGTTTACAGTTATTATCAATTGGATACTCTGTGCCTGGAATCCTCTACTTTTTAAATCAGTAATTAACTTAAAATACTAGTATCTAGATCTCTTCTTTTGGCCTTCTCTGCTCGAGTCCCAATGGCGGCATTCGATTGGGGCTGATCGACACTCTAACCTTCCTAGATCTATTCACAGGCTGCAAACCCATTGGACGATTTGTTCCGACCAGCCTTGGACATGTGCAGTCTTTGTTGCTATCCTTTGATAGTAGATAGGAAAGCTTTTTGACTATATACAGCCGGTCACACGACTTTCAACTACAAATACTAGTACTCGAATGCTTAGTATTTACACCGAAACTTTGTTCATCAAGGACATCAATTTCTTTTAAATGATGAGAAACATATGCCCAGACGCTAAATTAAGCACTCGCAGCCCCGTCCACCCGTATAACTCTAGTATTGGTACGCAACACGTCCGCTCTATAGATCAAAATTGATTCAACATTGTCAATGTAGGCATAACCGGAACTTAAGCATGAAACAGAGCTCTTAGTAATACTGGAACCTCATAGTTCTGTTCAAGCATACGGAAATATTCCCTGCTCAAAACACAAGATATTCCATAATCACAGAGCTATAGCTATGCAAGCCCCTATGTCCTGCAAATCCAATTACATACTTCCAAGTAAAGACACTTTTCTCCACACCTAATTTCCTTTCTCCACAGCCCAGCGACACCACACCCAAAATAGCTACGGCCGCGGTTGCTCCGTACTCCACATAAACAACTTGACGTCGACAGCCCCAGCTCTAAACCTTTCGTATGCCGCCCTAGGTGCATTCAGGACAAATTTGCTGAAGTCTGCTCGGGCGTCAGGATTGACAAATAGTAACTGTCGGTAGCCGTGGAGTTCAGCACCATGTGTGTCTTTATTAAGGCTGGGCCAACCCTCAGTCACATGTTGCTTGAAAATTTTGAACACTGCAGCCCTGGCATCATGTATCCGACGTGTAGAATATATACGCCACAGTGGATTCCATTCGACAAGCTTGAATAATGTGGCACAGGTCAAATCGTATTCCCATTCTATCATCTCCCGAAGGCAAGCTGTGATCTGCCAGCGCCTTTCTAGTGTTGTGTTCCTCAAGTTCTAGATGGTAGGTGTCAGGGCGAGTACTTACGGCTTTACCAGTGTCTTCGAGTTGCTGGCAACATGTGCATTTGCCAGGTGATAGCATGTCTGCATAGGTCCGATTTGTTGCCGGGAATAGATCCCCGAGGATAATGAAACAAACACTGCAGATAAAGATGTCTGCTGATGCTTCTGCCATTTCGCGTCTCGGTTTTTGCCCAAATAGTAGGTCTGCGGGTTGTTGATACACGCTTAATAGAAGAGGGAGGAGGGAGCGTTCAGAGGTTCAAATTGATGACCCTTTATATACATTTAAGGACCTACGGCGTATTACTAAGTTTATCAAGAGATTTCCTATAAGATTCATCCTAATGAGTTCCGTTCGAGTCTGTAGCTTGGCTCTAGTATATAAGAGAGCCAGATCCCTGTCAGTGGTATGGGCTTCGGTTGCTTCTTCAAGTTTTCCCCCTTCTTCTCTCTATTCACTAGCACCCCTATCAGTCCAGCAAAGGCTCCCAGGTAGGAATGAGAATACCAGGAAAAGAGATTATGTAGAGACGAAGTCTAATTTACCATTAGATTCAATAGCGTCTCAATTGCCAGAACAATCAAAGCATTCTATAGTCACAATTTGAATGATCGGCGATTATATCTTTGATTTGACCGCGTCGGGAGCAAAGCTGTTCAGCAACTTTCTCATCGCAGGACTGAACTCCTGGCCAACACGTTCACCATTCTCTAGTCGCTTCACGACGCTGTTATTGAATTCCTGCTCTTTTTTAATCCACCGCTCAACTTCTGCGTGAATCCAAATAGCACATTCCGCCGCAGTCTCGTCGACCATCTCCAAAGGGAAGAAATGTGAGCCTTTTTTGAACACTACTTTGGACACACGACCTTCCGCAACGCCACCCGAGCCACCCAAGCCAGATCCGCACCTATCAACCCCTTCATTTAGTTCACGGGTGCTTGAATATGTTCTTCCTCCAAGAATAAACTTCGCAGATGGTCGCAGTTCTGGCAACCTATTCCATGTAGCTCGCATCTCAGGGCGATACAAAGGATCGTCGCGCGCGGCATCAATAGGATCAAGATCTGGTGCATGTTCCCGATCAACGGTAACAGTTCCATCCGTCTGTCGATTTACTAGGGCTTGTCGAGACATATACAGTATGCCTTGTGCCTCGGATGTTGAAAATGAAACAGGAGGGTCGTCCAGCTTTGAGTTTGGCTCTGAAGTCTCTAGTAAGGAATGTTCAAGAAACCTCTGGAGGCAGCGTTGATCCCAAGTAGAATAAGTTGGCCATTTAGCAATTGAAGCCTCTGCTTGCGAGCGAGACGGCCATGACTGCTGTCGATTCAGAATGTACTTATGAAATACAGGATGCTGTCTGAAAGCTGTCGGGGGCGTTTTCAAAATAGTCGGATCAAGAAGAATAAGGCTTGAGAACAATCGAGGATGCATAAATGCTAGATCGGCGAGTTGTACGCCACCAGCGCTATGACCAATCCCAATAAACGGACGAGGCATCTGGTCACGAAATTGGTTGATCATCAAAAACAGGTCTCGACTGAGATCAATCCAAGATGGATCGTCACCTAGTTTTCCTCCATTTATCACCTCTCCCTGTGCTTGATTCACTGGGTCCGCTATCCAAATGCTACTGACCGAGAATCCAAGTTTAGAGGACTGTTCATGCAAAACCTCCCAAATAGGCTCGTAGGCTTCCTTCGCAGTTCCAACAGAGGCAGCAGCAATAATCGTGACAGGCTGTATTTTCGAGTTTGGGTTACGCGTAGCGTATTGCTTCACAGGAATGTAGAGCTTCTCATCCTGGTTGAGTAGTGTTGCGCCAGGGTATTCACGCACGTAACTCGAGAGAACTTTGTGTTCGATCACGTCAAAATATTGAGAACTCATACCTGCGGGAGATGAAAAGACAGAAGGTATGATTTTTTTTTTCACAAAAGTGGCTCCCCTTAAATCACCCAGTCTTCCGCAGAATTGTTAATCTCAAAACTGAGCGGGGATGGGTATGGAAATGGAATCCAAATTGCCCAGGTGGCTCACACCCAATTCCTAGCGATCGCGGCTCGGTAATGCGCTATGACATAGAGCTTACAGGGGTTGTTCCCGCTTGAGAGTGTTGATTAGTGAGTTGGAAACAGAGACAAAGAAACAGAGCTTGCAAATAAATTGAGTCGACTTGCATGGCTGGGTCTGTACTCGACATAAGGCTGGACATTGGGGGCGAAATTGAGCCAATCAATGACGTTAAAATCTGATCAAGATCAATCGATCTACAGATTTACACGTGTATCTACTGGGCAATAAGTGCGTACCATACCCCATAGTGTATGTCGGTCAGCCTTGAGGGGGGGGGGGATTTGGACATGTCCCTGCTAGCTACTATGTAAAAAAGTTTTAGGGGCCGGTTAGGTAACATCTCCGAAGAACACCCTGAACAGTTGACGTGGCTGAATCAAAGAGACCCTGCAGCACTGGGAAATGGCTGTAATTAGTTGGACGGCCCCGAAGGAAAAATGGAAATTAAAGGGGAAGCCAGCTGATGCGAAATAATCTGTCCCAATTCCTGTTCTAATTTACTATATCATATTATACCTGCCTCTGGACAATCACTTCACGATGAATGAGGTTTATGAGAAACACATGCTTCGCAATGAAGTGGAATTGTCTCGGTTTGTTCAAAAACTTCTAACTTTGCGTTCACTGAGCTGACTATGAAAGCCTGACCGGGCAATATAACACTATTACTGAGTAAGTACCATATTCAAAAGTTTAATACCGGTACTACCGTTATATAGAAATCTGGGGTACCACATTCATCCAAAGATTGCTGCTCGCCTTCCCGAGAACCCATATTGGAGCAGCATCTGGAATTTTTCTCTCCAAACTCGCCCCCATGTATCCAAATGAAACGCTCCATGGCTACGATATTTCTTCGGCGTTCTTCTCAAAAGAAACGCCAAGTAATATGAAGTTATCGATCCTAGATGCACGCTAACCCATCCCAAAAGATCTCGAAGGAACATATGATCTTGTCCACGTTCGGTTTCTTTGTACGGGTCTCTTAGAATCAGACTGGAAGCCTATAGTTGCTAATCTCAGCCGGTTACTTAAATCCGGCGGTGCGTTACAATGGGAAGAATGTAATTTCCTAGCATCGACGTGGCATCGCTTTTATCCAGAATCTACATATGATTCATTTTCCTCTTTATTTATGCATGCCATCGCCTGTACCGTTGTAATGATCCCTAGATGCTCGCGGTAGAGGACATCGATTTGATAACGGGGATGGCTGAAGTTTTGGCAATGGACGAGGTCGATGATATGGAAACACAACAACCATCTGGCAAACTTGGCAAGGTCAAGGAATTTGTTACAGTACTCTGGGAGTAATATTTGGGGTCGATTTCTTCAAAATGTATCCTATATTGTCCTATTCAAGTTTTTTGAAAATACATGACCTTGTTTAACGATATACTAGTTATTATATATTCATCCTAGGTAGTATCATGATCATGGAGAATTCCTAGTATAATGATATAAGCCTCAAACTACTAAACAAATGTGGGTAAGATCACACAACAGCTGATGATAGCGCTCAGCTTTTTTTGATAATTTGTTTCCCCATTGGCGAGGTCGTCCTGAATCCAGATGGCCTCAATCATTTTTTGAACCAGATACAAAGACCGTGACGAGGGCTGTGCCTCGGTTCTCGCCATCAAATCCAAGATGATGGACCGCTCGCGATCACTCCGTGCTTCGCAACCTAAAATAAATAGCGGGAATTGTCGCTCACACGTAGTATCGAGCTGGGATAATATGGCAAATGCATCCTGGATCCGGCGCTCAGTCTCAATGGCTGGTTCCAGGAAATTCAGCGTGCGATTGAGATAAACGAGCATGGTACACTGAAATAGTGCGATCACTTTTCGGCCTCGACTATTGCTAAGGGGAATTTCCGATAAAGAAACATTTTGGATGCGGAATATGAGGGTCTTGAGGAACGTTTAGTAATCTTCCCGATCGCCAGTGACTATTATACCAGGGAACCCAGCCACCGTTTCGTATATGTCAGACAAAAGTGCCAGCATGGAATTGTATATAGAAGATGTCCTATGAGATAGGGATAAGGCCTGGTCATTCTTAGTATCACTGTACAAGATGCAGTATACGAGGTTATTCTTCACATACCTCCGCGCTGACTTCCGATAAAGGAGAGTCTGGATTTGTTGTTTTCGAATTCCAGTAAACTTTACTGAAGCGCGATAATACATCGTGGTAGTAAACCCAATTTAGTAGGGACTCAAACTCGTCCGACGACTGAAGGGAGGAAGCTTGAACGATACGCTTCGCACCTGTGAGGTAGGTTGTCCATTGCTCAGAAGTGCAAGATGCGCGTTGAATCTAAGGCGACGAGACCATATAAGCATTAGTCTCATGACTTCTTGGGCTTTGGGGCGTAATCAAAATGCTAACCTCAAAGGAACATAATAGCATCACACTGGCAACATGTTGAGCTGCTTCGATGGAACCGATGTCACACTTGGGAGCGGTTATGAGCGCTCTAAGAGCGGAAATTTTGAGATCCGCAGCTTGGGATTGAAGCCCATCGCGATGCACAGATGACAGGGCGGGTATAGACCGTAGCACAGCTGTGGCTGGTTGGGGATCATTGACCAAGGCCAACCGCATAAGTAGGTTCCCAATATCGACCGGGTCATCCGCAAACGTTGTTAGGGAGCGGGAGGCAACACAATGAACTACAGCTAAATTGGTTTCTTCACACTTATTGAGTTTCAAAGGTGATCGATTGGACTTACAGTATTGTAACAAATGCTTTTCTTCAATATCCATATGAGTCCCATTGAATGGCATCGGCGATCGTAGGATCGGCTGTGGTGAGGCTGTCCGATTTTTAGCCTTTCGTCCCACTGGCCTTCGCAAGTGGATCGACCGCCATCTTACAGTATACTCCAGAGCCTGCCAGATGGTAGTGGAGATCTATGTCAAACACGGAAAAGTTGACCAAACGAACGTGCTCGGGTCGCTGCAGGGTTCCTCGACTCTTTGGTGACGGCCTGCCAACTATGGCGCGCCTTTGATCTTTCGGTTTCGGCCAGGACAGACGGACACCGTACCCTTGGCAAGTTCGATTGGAACGAGTGAACAGCAGACAGGCAGGGGCTGTCCGATCGCAAAGTATTCGCCGATCTATATTCGGCATTGCAATTCGAGTTAGCTGTCAACGAGGGAGTCTCCCGATGTCATTTAGAATAGCTGATACATACCGCGGCAGGTCCCGCAGCCTCTCGGCATTGCCTTGACTCGATTTGTGAGGACACGGGGTGGATGGTGACGATGTGACATATAAATAGAACCACGAACAAGAAGCACTATGCACAGAAATGATGGAGAAGATAAGGAGAGGAGGACGACATAGTATGAATGGTGAAGCGTGGCTCAAGGTTGTCGTAGTTCAATAACTTCATGTTCGCTGATATAATCACTCCCTGTTGCTCTCATGCAGGCTTAGGACCACTCACTGGCAGGGACATACTACAGGTACTAACTTGAAGTGGCTAGTATTCCTCACTTGGCGCGGCTGCAGCCCAGAGATTAAATGAGAAGATAGGCAACTTTCTGCGATCCTTCCAAACTACTGTAGTTTAATCGACACGGATTTCGAAGCAGTGTCTTTCGTAGCTTCTATCGCCTGTCATGATGGGTCATGGCCTTCAATCCACAGCAGTCGCGCAACGCATAAATACCCCCCTGCGCCCTGCTCTTTTCACCTTCTCTTAACTCAATCCTTGACATTCGCCAGTTCATTCGTCTTGAACTAGAAGATCTTCGAGAATGCCGTCTTACCTTATTACAGGAGTCTCCAAGGGCATTGGGGTGAGTCTGTTCTATTCCTCAGACGATAAAGACAATCGAATGTACTTAATCAGGATCCGCAACAGTGGGAATTCTTCCGCCAGATCGCCCTCAACCCCAGTAATACTGTCATTTGTCTGGTGCGCAACAAGGCAGAAACGGAGAAGAAAGTTGCAGAAGAGTTTCCAACGGGGAATCATCTCCATATCATTCAAGGGGATATCACGGACTATGCCTCCCTTCAGGTGAGTCACTTTCCTAGCCACTTTTCTCTTTCCTTTTCCCTCCGGATGCTCTCCTTTCGTAATGAACCGAACTAACACCCGTCTTTATTTGTTAGAACGCAGTTACCCAAACTATTGAAATAACTGGAGGGGGCCTTGATTATCTAATTGCCAATGCAGGTGTAGTACCTCATTTTGATGCATACGATCCCATTGAAGTACTGTACGTATCCCCTTCAAATCTTCATCTTCCTCTTCCTTTGAAAGTGAGTGAATCTAACCAGAGCTACCTGCACGTTATAGCTCATAGGGGCCAGAATCCAGCCCTCCTTGAGGATGAATGCCTCAACCTCTTCAAGGTCAACGCCATCGGCAACATCCACCTCTTCAATCTCTTCGTCCCGCTTATCCAGCGTGGAACCGCCAAGAAGGTTTTTGCCATATCCAGCGGCCAAGCTTCTTTAGATATGATACCCAGGCTCAAGATTGAAGTTGCCCCACTATACTCAATGAGCAAGGCAGCTCTCAACGTCGCTGTGGCTAAGTTCAGTGCCCAGTATGCGAAAGAGGGGATTCTCTTCATGAGTATCTGTCCGGGAATGGTAGATACGGGCCATTTTCTTGACGGTAGGTCCTTCTCCAATATCGCTCCCCTTCCTGAGTTATCTTCTTGGCGTGATCTGAGGCAATTTGGTTAACTCTTTTCTACGCGGAATTAGCTACTCCGGAGCAGATGAAAGGTTTTGGCGCGATGTTGAGTTCCTTTGCTGAATATACACCGATTTTCAAGGGACCTGCAACGACCACGGCGGCGGTTCAGGATGTGTTGGCTGTAATTGAGAAGGCAAGTATAGAGAAGGGAGATGGAGGTTCATTTGTGTCGCATTATGGCAATCAGCAGTGGCTGTGATGATGCTATTTTGTTTTGTTTTTTAGGCGTTTCTTCGATTTGTCCGGTGAGACGAGGGGAAAGCGCTCGGCTGCTTGTTTGAATATCTCGAGCGAGTATGTTGGCAAAGGCGACTACTACTGGTTCTAGACCCAGGAAGCATACTCGTTAGAACTTGATCATCAAAGTCAATAAGTGAAGTCTAGCTATAAACTTTTCCAATGATGATCTCAGTACATACTGCCACACGGCGTGCAAAACAGGGCCTTCCGTGCGCTCAGCTGTGCTTAGGCCATCTACTGAATGCAGTGAATTCTACAAGAAGCCTAAGTCTTGAAACAGCATTGTAATCTGTCTTATGCTAAGTGCAGATAGTATGGGTGAGGATTGGGGCAACTGGGGATAGAGAATGGGTGCAGTGACAGCAGGGTGGGAATATCCGTTACTATGTGTATGCTATCTGAAATCTTCTACGTATGTGTCTGAAAAGTTGCAATTTTCAATATCCCGGCAATCAAAGCGTGCCTACCGGCTCTGGCACACTCAGGCTCCTTGTAGTAAAGTTCAAATTATCAATCATGGCATATATTGTACAGAAGGCAGATTATTGTAGATCACTTTACTTCTAAGCTATGGAATCATCCTCGCAGAGAGGCTCCTTCGTTTATGACACAGCGGCGAGATTATTATCAATAAAACGATCCGCCTCCCTCTTCAGCATCAAGATACAACTCGCTACAACGAAAGCCTCTACCCCATCAACCTCAACATCAGCACCCTTCTCGTTCTTCCGAGTCCACATACGCAAATCCATCACTAGTCGACCACCATTACCCCCAGAGTACCTCACAGAACCAGGGGTACGAAATTGGTCATTTCGAATAAACTGAGCGATTCTGGTCCCACTCTTAGATTTCGACCCATCGGATAAAACAACACGATCAACACGCTCCAGAATAAGCAGCGAATCAGCATTACAAGCCTTCCTTTCTTCTCGACTGCCATACCGCCACTCGAATTTGCCAAGCGACGTATCGAAAACCTGATCACGGCTGATAATCGACCGGCTTTTGACTTCGATCAATTCTCCGCATAGGTTGTCATCATCTATAGCCTGCTTAACTGAAACACTGCCAGTGGCATCATGGGATAGGATACGCATTCTAGGATGTCTTCCCGGGCCCCATCGATAGATAGTTGAAATAAGAGCATTCTGATATGGATCGGATGATTGCACCAATGCGCACGAGTTTGAACTGCTCTTTAGGCGGATAGAGGTGTACTTTTCTTGTACCGGTGTTCCGGATTGCACGCTATAGACGGAGATATTCTCTAACGTTCTGTGACCGGTGAGTGCTTGATTGGTATCGTATCCGATGGCTTCTATTTGAAGCTCGCTTGTGGAGAGAAAGCGATCCGAGTCGGGAAAGGAGGATTGGTTACTACTGATAGTGTAGTCTGATGCAATGGCCTCCTTGTAGTCGGGAGGAGACTGGGACCGTGACTTCCAGTGCTCTATTGACTGAGAATGGCTCATTCTTGACTTTCGCGAACAGGTAAATATGCCCATTGTGTTTGGATGTTGAGATTTAGGATTGAGTTCAAGTTATTTGAATATCCGAATCTAGTATGCGTCGCGGGATAAAAACTTGCTAGATAATATGACTTTAATGAACTGCCAATGCGGGTTTCCCTGTAATTTTATAGCCATAGATACAAAACTTTATCTCGCCACGCTAAAAATGATGGCACGTTTCAAGATCATGCTAAACAGGTGATCTACTGCGCCGTGCGGCGATATTGGTGATGGTTATGATTGATAGGGTTTATAGTGACGTCATAGTATCGAGGCTGAGCCAGATTTTCCTAAACGGGAATCATCTGGCGCTCGGTAGATCTGCGGCTGAATGTTATACCAGCATCCGGCCCAAAGACCGGTTTATGGCCCTAAGCACTGCCACGCGGCGCATAGGAACACACAGGGTAAGCACATATGTATTTCATAGTACGAGAATCGCGGGGGCTATGATCCATGGCTTTGAGAACTTGAAGCTAAACGAGGGCAACATTAACAAGTACACCGATTTCGGAAAATACTCTACAATTACTACACAAAGACAAATCTCAATCTTATCTCAATAAACCAATATTTCCATTTTGACTCTCATCACAGAGATCTTCATACATATTGCACCTATCAAACCCCTTGCAGACAAAATGCAAGCAGGGGACATGTACAAGGGGTAGGTAACAAACAACATCCAAGTTGATACAGATGCAAATAAATGACAATCCGACAAGAAAAAAGCTATCTATAGCGAAGACCGTGTCAAGGTACTGTGCTGTATCGGATGCAATCCAATCCAATACCAACAGACAACGGATGAGGAGAAGAAAAGAACCCCATAAAATATTTCCATAGGGGAGAAAAATAGACAGAGGTACCAGAAATATTACACCAGATGATCGGAACTCCGGGACTCGTGAAACCGTGGCATAGCAAATGACAGAATGAAGAAAGGAGAAGAGCAAGAGCAAGAGCAAGAAAGAATGGACACCAAGATGCAAGCGAGGAGCAAAACTCGGACAGAACGCGTAAGGGTTATACAGCGGGTAGTCTATTAACGAACGCAGAAGACACCGAAGGAAGTGGGATTGTAGAAGGGTGGGAGAAGAGGGAAAAGAAGAGGAGAAGAAGGTGAGGAGGATGATGATATGGGATGGTGTAAAAGGGAACATTTTAAATTCCCCATCGATTGCGGAGCCCTTCAGCCCATCGCGAGTAAAGAACATCAGACAACTGCTTCGTATGTTCCATCCCCGACGGATTCTGTCCCGGCAGATTTGAAAGAGGAGAGGGAGGTTGAGGCTCAACAATACTCGATTGTCGTCGTCGATGACTTTTAAGATGAGGATTATTCTGCGCTAGCATAAGACGCGGACGACCAGGCGAGTCCGGCTGAGGAGGCGAAGCAGGAATAAGCGTTGATAATTTCGCATCAGCCTGGAGTCTCTCATTCATAATGCGAACAATATGATATAGACCTTCCGGATCAACCATTTCAAGATCACTCCATGCCTCAGCTAGTCGAGAGATAGCTTCCCTCTTTTCACCATCTCCAGTCGTAGCAAGGACTTCTTGACAGGAAAGTCCGACTGCGCGACTGTAGGCTCGGCGACCTATTTGCGCTTCTTTGCTAGTAGTCTCGGTGGAAGAGACCTTTGGACTGGTGTTCTCATCAAAGCCTGGAGGGGGCTTGATATGTGAGTTCTCAGTGCTGGGTACTCTGTCTGAGACGCGGCGGAATTGGCGGACTGTGGATGGTGTGTTTCCGTAGCTAAGATCGAGGCCTAAGGGCTGCTTGACACCGCTTGATCGGCGCTTTGTGTTTGCTCGACGGATAGATGGGGATCGTTCGGCATTTGTTGTTCGTCGGACTGTGGAGTTGGCTTGGTGTTTTGGTGGGGGGGGTGGTTGCGATGGTTGCGAGACTTCAGGTTGTGAGATGTGCATATCTTCCATGAGTTGGCTTGGATCTTGCTCTTCCCACTCCTCATCGAGTGTACTCCAATCCGTCCCCTTTGGCACCCACATACTAGGAGCCTTAACGGTATCGAACACCCAGTCTTCATCGTCTTCTTCGGTGGGGGGCTTGGTGATGGTATTCCTAAGAAAATCACGTTAGCAAATAGACCCCCAACCTTCCGCAAGAGAACTCAACATACAGCGACTCAGCATAGTACTTGACATCCTTCGTAACTCCCCTCCCAGCATCGAAATCTTGCTTCCGATGAATTAACTCCTGCAAAGCCTCAGTCTTACCCGCATTTCGAATAAACTTATGCCGCAGTAACTCCTTTGCACTAGGCCGTCTCTCAGGGTCCTTAGTAAGACACTGAGCAATAAAGTCCTTGAAAGTACTACTATACTCCGGACCCTCCAACCTCGGCGCCGAATTCTTCGGAATAAGAAACAACACCTTCATCGGATGCGTAGCCGCATGCGGAGGCTCGCCATTAATCATTTCAATAGCAGTAATACCCAACGACCAAATATCAGCCTTGAAATCATATCCAGCCTGCTGGATAACCTCCGGCGCCATCCAGAACGGTGTACCGACGAAAGTATTTCGCTGAGATTTAATATTGACGAGTTGAGCCGCGACACCGAAGTCTGCAAGTTTGACTTTTCCCGTATGCGATAAGAGGACATTAGCTGCTTTGACGTCGCGGTGGATTTTTCCTTCGCTGTGAAGATAATCGAGACCGAGGAGGAGCTGTTGGCAAACGATTGCCACGTGGGCTTCGTTGAAAACACCGGGTTTTAACTGCAGCGAGAGAGAGGGGAGGGTTAGCAATTGCCTCGTCTCGCATCGCCTTGCAAATGGGGACCAGGAGTAGGGGACAGGGATTTAACGTACCAGGTCCAAACATGATCCTCCACCGAGATACTCCATGACAATCCACAGCTTATGCCCCTTGAGGAAACTTGCTTTGTATTGTGTAACAAACGCACTGGCGCAGGTAGCCAGAACAGAAATCTCCTGCTGAATCTCCTGAATATCATCTTCGCTGGACTCGAGATCGATCTAAAGCAAACGGTGTCAATCGGGTGGTTTCTTCAAACGTGAGATTGGAGGACATGGATAAATGCATACATGTTTGATTGCGACAATTTCACCTGTAGTTTTATCAATTGCCTTGTAAACGGTTCCGAAACTTCCACCTGTAAACAAAGAACGGATCGGATCAGTACATGTACATTATTCCATGCAGAAATGCGAATGCGAATACTCACTTCCCAACTCCTCCATCACTTGATAATGACTCGCCATATCCTCCGCCATAATTGCGCAATGATCTCGGTCTCAACGTTCACTTTTCCGATCGGACAGGACTAGCTGCAACGAAATTAACCAGGTTCATCCACAGACGAATTAGTTGAGCTAAGAGCTGTAATTGTTAAGCTCAGAAACCGGGACAGCAATTGACAAACAAAAGAAGGAAATCAGGTAAAGGGGTGGAGCCTTAATGCGCATTGTCCAGGCCAAACAAAAGCTCCGTCTCGCATGGCAACGGGTGACACCTGACAGGTTAGGCAGCAATGTGGGGATATATTATGCCTATCTGGGACTAGTGGATATGCAAGGGCTGGGTCACGGGATTCGTATTCCATTATTCTATTCAATAAAATAGTTAGATGGATGAAGGGATGTTGACAACAGGATTTGAGTGTGATTGTACATAGACTATATACTACGTAGGGGGAACTATTAGTTAATTATTTCCATCTAAGTTAGGTGTGGCAGTTGCCTAGGTAGCTCGAAAAGTTTATAATGTTTCTCTATTTATTTAGGTATTTGTACACTAAACGAAAACACGCTCAAGATCAAGACAGAAAACTATATCCCAGACTTATTTTAGATGTACTTGTAAGGGTTCATGATACCATTCTACCAGAAAATAAAAATTAGTATGACGATCACGATGAAAAAAGTTCAATAACAAGAAAAAGGAAATACTCACAGGGTCATAAAGATCCTTCAACTGCTTCATCAACTTGACCATAGTCTCATTCTGGCTGTAGCCAATATAGTCCTTCTTAGCAACACCCATACCATGCTCAGCACTAATACTTCCATTACGCTTCTGAATCCACTCATACACCCAAGGCTCGATAGCCTTCTCGACCTCCTTGTTGTATTGACGAACAGCGACATTCAAGTGCAAATTAGAGTCACCCATGTGCCCATAACCGACAACAGCACGAACAGGGAAGGATTCATCATCTCCGACAAAGCCCTTCTCTGTCAGACGAGCCTTGCAGTCCTCAACAAGCTGATACAGCTCAGAGAGCGGAATAGACACATCATACTTGTATGTACCGCCGAGATGGCTCAAAGCCTCGGTAATACCCTCGCGCCAGCGCCAAAGAGCCTGGAACTGAGTCTCATCCTGAGCCAAAACACCATCAGCAACGATACCTTCGCCCATGACATTCTCCAAGAATGACTCCAGCTTAGCCATATCGTGTTCAGAGTTCGATCCACTAGTCTCGATCAAGCAGTAGAATGGATACTCTCCCTCAAGAGGGTGCTTGTTACCAGTAGATTCAATGACAAGACCCTGACTCCGGCCATCCATCAGCTCAAACGCAGAGAGAATCTCGGAAAGCTGTCCCTTCGCGGCCAGATAAGCCTGTTGCACCTGCTCGAAGCTCTCGAGACCAAAGTACGCAACATTTACAGCCTTAGGACGGGGAGGACAAATGATAGAGACAGCAGTGACAAGACCAATCGTACCCTCGGAACCAATGAAGAGCTGCTTCAGATCATAACCGGTGTTGTTCTTGCGCAGAGTAGAGAGCGACTCAACAATAGTCCCGTCCGGCAGGACCGCCTCAAGACCCAGCACAGTTCCATGCAGACTACCATAACGGAGCAAACGCAAGCCACCCGCATTGGTAGATACATTACCTCCAATATGGCAGGAACCCTTCGCGCCAAGATCAAGGGGAAAAAGATGCTCCCGCTCAGCAAGGTATGAATCAGCAGTCTCAAGAATAACACCAGCATCAGCAACAAGTACTCCAGAAGCCTTATCAAAAGAGCGAATCTTGTTCATGCGAGAAGTATTGACGACAATCTCATCGAATACAGGCACCGAACCACCGACAAGACCAGTATTTCCACCCTGAGGCACAACAGCCAGTTTGCGGTCATTGCAGTACTTCAACACCTTGCTAACCTCCTCCGTGCTACCAGGCTTCAAAACCAAACGGGTATGACCACGGTACTTGCGCATCCAATCGCTGTTAAAAGGCTCCAGATCATCGGTCGCATCGGTCGTAACACCATCAATGACAGCGGATTCGGAACCCAGCAGCTCCTTGAAGAACTTCACATCGTCAGTGGAGATCTCAGCGAATTTAGGATCCCGCTTGATATTGGGGTAAGCGTCGCTTGTGTATTTGATTTGCTTTGTATCGGCGCGAAGGGAGCTAGCGCTGAAGCTTCGCAGGGTGGTTGCGGTCGCGGTCGCACATGGTGATGTTGAGAGGATAGGACGGGCGAGAATGCGGGGGCGTGGGAGTCTTGTGCGGCGCAGGGCAGCTGAGAGGTTCCTCGCACCAGACATGATTGGAGTGGAGGGGAGGGGGGAGGGTATGTAATTGGGGAAAAGAGCAAGAGCACTGGAGAGAGGAGGGAACGGCTGAAGATAAATTCTGTGAGGATTATTATCCGGTCAACGAAATTGAAGAGTGGAGATCCCGTTCCGATCTACCCCCGACGGAAGAAGGCTTATGATTGATTGATGCTTACGGTCGGTGATTTTCGGCTTTTAATCCCGGGGGTGTCGGTTGTTGACATCTGGACTTGAAGGGGAATCTATTTCAATTCTATTGGATGGGACTCTACTACTGTGAACAGTCAAATTATCCTATATTAGGCACTTTGTCACGTACTAATTAAGCTTTGGTCGGGTTCAACGTTGAGCCGCGAGGTTTAGCCGTAGATAGTATTCCCTAGGCTACTGCGAGGTTATTTTGCTAGGATTTTGCAATTAAGTGTCCTAAGACTCGGAATTCAATATTAAATGGCCGAGATACACTATTCCTTGATCTTCTTATGATTTCCGTAGCCACTGAGCATGTAGCATTCCGGGAATTGACACCGAACACGGAGACCTGCACTCGGAAATATGAATTCGATCAATGCTGGCATATATGAATACTCATATTGATTTTAATAGGCTCTGATATTAGCAAGCACTGAACACATCGTCTTTTCTACTTAAATAATTAGAGATTTGCGAGTAATTTGAATAATTATAACAATAACAGCTTGAACCTGTATAAGATCCACCTAATATATAAAGCATATGTTGCGTGACCATAACATATAATCTCGCCATAAATAAAAAGCACGAAGCTCTATTGCGCTAGAAAGCAATACAAAGGATGAAGGATAACTAAGTAAGTACTCAATTAATATCAGCCGCATTGTAGCAGTAAGCTCCCAACTTTAAATAAGCTAATTCACGTCCATAACACTGCAGCCAAGCTACAAATATTCCACAATGCCTAAAACATACCTAAATCCCTCTTTACAACTCAGAATTGATTATATATATTTCTATCTTTTACATATAATAAATGAATTCAATCCATCCTACATAGTATATGAAGTACTAGTAAACAATCTCCATTTGCAGCCAAATCAGGACACGAGAGTCAGTTACGTCATGCAAAGCCCCGCCAGTCACCAAGCTCAAATGGAATTTCTCACCGAAATCAGACATTGGCATTAACCTCACCTCCTAATACCTGAACATTAAACATTGAACATGACTTCAATTGTTCTCGTCACTGGTGCCACTGGCCTTCTCGGTCGCCAGGTCTTCAACATCTTCCAGCGCTCCGGAGTTCTAGTGGTAGGACAAGGATACTCGAGAGCTGCTCCCCCCACTATCCTGAAAGCGGACCTAGCAAAGTCGGAGGAGGTCAAGAACCTCCTGGATGAGGTGAAGTAAGTACCAATGATGATAAAACTACTAGTAGCTATAATTACCCTCAAAAATAACAAACACTAACATAAAACCAGACCACAGATCGTCGTGCATTGTGAGCTACCCCTCATATCCAATCAAAATCATTATAATGATTCGATTCCACCACTGACAGTCCAGGCGCCGCAAACCGATTCCCAGACCTATGTGACAAAAACCCCGATGAAGCCCGCAAGATCAACGTCGACGCCACTCGCGTCCTAGCAGAAGAGTGCGCCTCCCGCGGCACATTCCTAATCTACATTTCAACCGACTACGTCTTCCCCGGAACACAAGGAGAAAGCCCCTACGAAGTCGACTCCAAAACCAACCCGCCAAACCTCTACGGCACACTAAAGCGTGACGGCGAGATCGCAGTGCTAGACGCATTCAAAGACTCCGGTCTCGGCGTCGTCCTCCGCGTACCAGTGCTATACGGAACGGCGAAAGCGAATTCCGAAAGTGCGGTTAACACGCTCGTCGATTCTGTGTTGAAATGCCAAGATCCAGCTGCAGGTGTGAAGATGGATGACTGGGCTCTGAGATATCCTACTAATACTGAAGATGTTGCGCGTATTTGTCGGGATATAGTGATTAAGTATATCAAGGAAAAGCATCGGTTGAAGGAGTTGCCGCATATTCTGCATTTTAGTTCCGAGGACCGGATGACCAAGTATCAGATCTGTGAGAAGTTTGGGTCGATTTTGGGATATCCGTTGGATGGGATGATTGCGAATAAGGAGGGCAACGATCCGAACGCTAGTGTTCAGCGACCGTATGATACTCATTTGTCGACTAAGGTGTTGAAGGAGTTGGGGATTGATGTGAGGACTGTTGATTTTGAGGCTTGGTGGTGAGTATTCTTTCTTTGCTTGCTTTGCTATCTATTGGATGGGATTGAGATGGACTGACTATGATGTAGGAAACGTGAGCTTGAGGCTTACCGGAAGTAGGATATATTACCTAGCTCTTGCTGTTCAAGATCATCAAAATTTTCTTCGCAAATCGAAATTTATTAATAAAAAGATGTATCCCTTTGCGTCCTAGACATACATTTACTAAACAACACTAGTGATGTAGAAAGTTAGTGCTGAGACAGGTACCCACGTGTATCCACGCTTGAATTTAACTTGAATATTTGAAAATATTAGAATCTTTACATATTTATAACATCCATAAAATACCAGAAAGGTAAAGTTACTAATAATCCGGTAGAAAGTCCTGGTCGATCCCCCACTTAGGTACCTTATGTTAGTGTATGTGGAGCGCACAGTGGATCCAGTCCCTGACCCTGAGATATGCAATCGATCGACTTGATCGACTCCTTCATTTCCCTTTTCTCATCTGCAGTAAAGAGAGTAGATAAATAATAAATCATGAATAGTGTTAAATTGTCGTGGTACCTGAACACGACTATTAACCGGAAACGTCTTCCCGCTCCACAAACATGAACTCTTCCACCTCAGCACTTGAGGACTTCAACATTAAAGTCTCCCTCTATTAAACTCACATCCACATAACCTCCACACATCCACCTCGTGTACTTTGTACTCGCCATTTTAACTTTGCGCCTCACTAGTACGTACAGGACCATTGCGAAACCAACGTGTTTGATCGTGTATCCAGTGAGTTCTGGTGTTCTAGTTCAAGCCCAGTGCCTTGGCGCATGGGAAAATTTGCCTTTTAATTTCCCTGATTCCCTTGGGTTGCTTCCGTGCGATCTATCTCATTTCTTATGTTTCGATCTTTTCTTTTCCTTCCTTTCCCCCTCTCCCCCCTTCCGGGTTCTCCCAGCCACACTCCCTCCATGTTCCCTCATATCATTGATCATTGATCGCGCCTGGTTTACAATGCACTGACCCCCTACCCTTACCCGCTTCCAGCGCTTAACCCCGACAAGACAAGGACAAGGGATCTATTTTTTTTTCATTTTATTTGATTGCTACGCGAAAAGCCAAGCCCCCCCCCCAAAAACAAAACACCAAAAAAAAGTCTCCAGAAGCAGTATTTGTCTACCTGGACCCTCCAGGGGGTCCTGTCAACAAAGACAAACTCTCCCTCCACAACCATGGAGACACACACAGCGACGTTCGTGACACAGCCAGCCTCGCGCAAACCCTCTCGGTATCGCTCGACGCGGGAAGGGTCTCGCGCTGCAACCGATCTAGGATGCGGGGCCGCAATGACAAACACAAACACCCGTCCAGGCAGATCGCAAAGTAGTGCTTGCTCAAGTGAACCTAATCCTAATGCCAATCCCTCAATTGCAAGAAGTATGTCGAGATATCGTCGAAATCGACCCCCCACCGCGAGTAACGGCAACACCCGCACGGGAAAGAACGCGGTTTCAGATCAGGCACGTGCTCAACCGGTTCTTGCTCCGCCAATGCCTAGGATAGTTTCCACTGCACAAGAGGAGACATTAAGGGAGAAACATAGACTGGATGCGATGGAGCAGTTGACTGGAGGCTCGGGACTCTCGAAGTTCTCGGCCGTGACGAAAATACCCAATGGTTCATCTTTTTCTTCTCAACCTGCTCCAAGTCCATCTGAGGAATCGTCGTCGCCAATGAAATCACTTCGAGGTCATCGCCCTAGATCGAATCCCTCAGTAAATACAGGCGAGCGCAAGTCATTTCTCCAGAAAGTGAAGTTATCCCGAACCAAAGAATCAAGCGCAAAAGAACAGCCAGTCCCAAGGTATATCGGCGTGGGAGGCGGAGGGATAGTCCCCGGGACAGATGCCCCCATCTCAGCTGTTAATGCTGGAGAGCGCTATGTGCTATTGCAGTATAGTGATGTTACTCTTTATATGCCCATCACTCCCTCAACGCTAGTCTCAGATCTACTTTTGTCCGCATCTGAACAGCTCCATTCTGATATTGATCCGGAGAAATTCATTCTGATCGAATCATTTCACCAAGTCGGCCTGCAGAGACCTTTACGACGGTATGAGCATGTTCGGGATGTGATGAACTCATGGGCGCACGATGGCGATAACCGCCTCATAATTATTCCTCCTTCCAGCATCGATGCTTTGGATCAAGTAGATGCCCAAAAAGTCCCAAGTGAGAAACCTGCTGAAACAACCGTATACCTTTATCACTCCCAGCGACCTCGCAAATGGGACAAACGCTACGTGACTCTACGTCCGGATGGCCAGATTGTGATCTCCAAGAAGGAAAACTCAAAGGATCATACAAGTATATGCCATCTCTCCGACTTTGACATCTATTCACCAAATCCACGGGCCATGACAAAGGAAATCAAACCTCCCAAGAAGATTTGCTTTGCTATTAAAAGTCAAGAGAAGTCTTCTATGTTCCTGTCAACTGAGAACTTTGTACATTTCTTCTCCACAAGTGATCGGAATAATGCCGATAAATGGTACAATATCGTCCAGCAGTGGCGCAGCTGGTATTTAGTGCATACACTGGGAGCCCTGCAGTCCTTCGAGAGTGAATCCCCTCATACGAAACACTACCCAACCGAAAATGGATCGCAAGGGATATCAACCGATTCCCACCTACTGAACCGTATCCCAGGTCCCACAGACCCAGGATCAAGAATGCGACCATCGATGGACCAGACCCGTTCCTCAGCCTTGAAAGATGCGTTCTCCCGCAAACAATCCACAAGAGAACATAGACCACCACCAAGCAGGCAATTCCCCGAACTCCGTGCAATCAACACACATACCTCAGACACTTCCGACGACGGTCCACTAGTGAAAGGCATCACCCCGGAAGAAATAGAAGAAGAAACATTTTCGCCCACAGGACTCCTAGGACGAAGCTACACACAACGACACCGCGCAATGCGCGAGCGACAAGAGAACGAAAAGCGAGCGAATCAGGATCCCTTCAACCCAGAGGGCCTATTAAACGAAGAACAAATACAATCTCCCACCATCGCCCCGCCTACAAGTACCCTAATAACGCGCACAAAGTCAATAAAACAATCAAATAAACCTCTCATCGACCTAACACCGGTCTTCAAAGAAGCACCCCAACATATCCGCAAAGGCCGCGGCGTAACCGTCGACTCGGGAATGCCCCTAATCGAAGCCGCTACAGGCCCCGAGCTAACCCCAAGCTGCATGTCAATACCCCCAGCAGCTACATGGCGACGTCCACCCGCACCTGCACCTGCACAAGCGCAAGTCACCGACATCCCTCCCGTGCCTCAGATCCGAACACGCGCAAATACAATCCGCAGCGTACGACACGCTTCACAACCTAGACCAGGCACTAGTTCTGCCGGCGCGAGCCCCAGTTCCCCGGCTGTGCCATTCTTGCCAAATAGTCTGTTAGCAAGTAATGGGTATGCATCAACTGGCGCAGGAGTACCTATCGGTCACGGCGTAGCGACAGGGGACCGAAACGCTACCCGTCCCATGCTCGATATGTCTCCTCAAAGCCCCTTTGCGGAGGGAAGTTTGCTTCATCAGCTTTGATTCATATGCGTTGCTATTTATTTTTCTACTTTCCCATTTTCCTTTTCTTCGACAGGATTACTTGTTCTCATACCCACTTGTCACGATGATATGATCTTTTTCTATGGGCTGTTATCTTTTCTAGTTCTTTCGATCTACGCACCATTTTCACGGTTTTCATTTTCATTTTCATTTTCATTTTCATTTCCATTTGATACTGATACTGATACTGATACTAATGAGGATCAGCTACAATATTTAAATTTGAATAAAACGATATTAGAGGCCAGTCATGGAAGATACAGGCAAGGCGATTCGGTCTGCCTAACACTATCTTGTCCATTACTATGATTCGAATCATACTCATATCATGTACTGGCTTATTTCTTCTTGTTCGATACCCCGGTTTTCCTTTTCCTTTTCCTTTTTCTTCCTTCTGTCTAATCCAAAATACGAATCTGATAATAATTCAATAAATCAATTATAGAAAGTAAACTACTTATTTACTGTACATGATGAGGCGGAGCGTCCCCATAGTGGTTAGGCCATCCCAACCTCCCCATTGAAGAATGGGTGGGCTTTGACGGGTAAGAACAGATAGCAAGGTATGTTGTGACTGGAGCAATCAAATGTTGGATAATGCCGTTGAATATCCAGTTCATCTCAAGTCATGATTGCCTTGATTGCCTTGATATAGAGAAGTGTAGGAAATGCAAAACCATGCGTAGCGACTGACATCTTTGCATCGCGATATTAAATCCCACGTTGACGCCAGTCAAAGTACACAGTTACACAATTTAAAACCTTGTCTGCAAGGCCTCGGAATGATAATTTATATTTGACAGTTTACAGGTAAACCCTTGCTACCCCGTAGTTGAACCTGATGCTGAGTCCATACACTCATTGGCAACAGCCTGTTCTCGCCAGTTTGGTGAGCTGGTTGGGATATTGAGCAACAAAAATTACAACTCGGGACGCTATTCCAAACCTCGACTTGAATATTACCAGTTTGAGCTTTGGACGCTAGAAATTGGTGCTCGTCATGGACCGACTAAAGTCTTGTCCCTAGATCATCGATTAAAGAAAGCGCCGAGCTTGGAAATGGAATTGCGAAATAGCCTCTCAGCACTAATAGATGCTGCGAAAAACAGTACGAATCGCTGAATTCAGTTCAAACAGCGATATCGACTGACTGCTTGATATAGTGGCGCTTATCGTTTCGAATGATGCTTCTGACGGGCCATATCAAGTTATCATCCCCGAAGACTCGGACCCGAATGAAGAATGGAAAACTTTCAAGGGAGAAGAAGAGAACCAAGAATATTCAGAGTCGGATGAATATGTACAAGATATTCGTCACACAAATAAGATCCTGTAAGTGGGATTGAAAAAGCCTCCGCTACTGGGAAATTACTAAGGCTAAACTCTCCTCAGAGGCAAGTTGTCGAACGCTTTACGGAACCCAACCCTGCGTGACCAAAGGGAACATGCTGCTTTGACGCCACGAAAGGGATGCTGGCCAAGGAGAGATCCCTGGGCTGAGCAATAGTCCATACCAGGGTTACCTACGCAAAGCTCACTCAATATTCATACTTCTACTATTTCTCCAATTCCAAAGATATCCCAATTTGAAGTTACTTCTACGAGCTCCAGACAATCAACGACCAAAGAAGACAATGGAGCAAATATCAGTTTATACAAAATATGTACACAAAAGAGGACGCCAGCATAAAGCATACAATCATTCGCTCGACGTATGACGGTAGACATAGTGCCAGCCCTCTTTCCGAATATCCTCTCGAACCTTATAGTTTTTCTCCGCAATATCCAACACTCCCAAATCCATATCAGCGACGAGTAAGCCTTCCTCACTACCCATCTTAGCTACCGGTCCCACAAGCGGCAGGGTAACCTGTGACATGCCCAGGAAATCAGCAGCCGGACCAGCCGCATTCACAAAAATAATGCCGCAGGTGTTCTCATAACAACGAGCAGTCAAAGTTGAAGAGAGAAACAGAGCCTCCGAGTCAGGGTTTTGCTTCAATGCTTCAGGAGATGCATCACGTGGTGTCCCTAATAAATAAATTAGTCTAGCGAAACAACAAGGATGTATGAAACAAGAAACTGTAAGAACATGGGTGCCATACAGAATGTAGGGATGATGACTATTTCCGCCCCATCCGCAATTAATTCCCGGAAAGCTTCCGGGAATGCTAGGTCCCAGCAGATAAGCATGCCGACCCGACCTATCGGCGTATCAATAGCTGCGTGGCTCTCCAGCCCCGAAGAGGTGAGATGTGGTCGCTCGGGATGCCAAATGTTCTTCTTGCGGTATCTGCCGAGGATGCTACCATCGTTGGAAATAAAGTATGCCGTATTATAATACAGAGTTGACCCATTTGGTCCTTCATGCTTTTCGATAATGGTCCCTGGAACCAGACAGATGTTCAGCTCCTTTGCGAGGGATTGATAGTTTGAAAGGTATTTCGCAGATTGGCCTGCTTGTTCTGCCCAGCGGGGATCTGTCGGCACCCAACCGCTTAGGTGGTACCTGGCAATCAGTGTTAGTTGTGTATTCTTTTCTTCTGTTGCTTGGAAAATACATACTCGGGTAAGACAGCCAGTTCAGCCCCCTGGGATGCTGCATTTCGAATGTAATCGCATGCTGTGCTGTGGTTCTCTTCAATCGCGAGCTCCTGAAGCCGACTGTTAGTTTTGGGTTTTGCCTTGCGTCATAGACAAAGAGGCCGAAAGCAAGTTTTGGATTGCTTCAGAGAGTGTTTGTTACCTTGATGTGCCACTGGATTACTGCAACTCGACGTGTTGGTGCCATTGTGTGAATAGGTTTAGATACAGTGTAGACAGTTATAATTGCGAAGAAGCTTTGGAGATGATTTATATTGTGTTGCAGGGTTCTTGATAGTCCCCAGTACTACCCCAGTGACTCCAACAAGTTGGAGAAAGTGGAGTTCACGGACCCGACAACCAATCAAAACTCTCCAAATGTCACCCTCGCGCCGAAGCTGTTATCGTTCTCATTACACATTACCCCAGCGATATTAACTGGTATGGTAGGATATACTAGAAAAAGAAACTTCATGAAATCAAGCAACAAAAAAGGAAAGCATATAGACGATCACCAACTTAAAGTCAATTCGCCTCAAAAGAAATGCCGATATCTAGGGACAAAATTATGATGCCGTTCATGCCAAACCCGCAGCCTCCAAGGTGAAAGTTGGCTTCTTGCTGACTCGGTATACCAACCGATCGGTCCAAAAGTGAAGAAATACGGCGTGGAAGGCCGGAATGGCACCATAGAGCGTTCCCGCAATCGGGAAGCAAATCTTCTCCAAAAGATGTTGCGGTTTGTACCAAACACGTCGAGAAAAGCCCGTATCCAGCAGATTCGCTTCGTGCATGTCTTGCATTCGCGAGTTAAGGCAAAGCGTGTGCCATCGCTCATACAATGCTATACAGACGTTCATTCCAATGAATGATCCCGTTCGAAGTATATCGTTCACGAAGAAGACGCCTGCCAACGTCGGGTGCAGCTGTACAGTAGGTGTTAAAGCTGTATACAAAACAGAAAAAATCATCATGATAACTCCGTGACATGGCAGGAAATGCGCTTCCCAGAGGAGATGTAAGAGGGCAAAATGTCTTGGGCTCAGAAATGAGCATCCTTGATTAAAACGGAGGTACCCGAGGGTTCGTCGCGCTGCGAAACCCGAGTCCAAAGCTCCCCACATGTGTCGGAGCGCCTGACGATATCGAGCAATACAGGTGCTCAGAACCCCTCTCCAACCAGGACTTCCATCTCCGGATACATTGCACTGGCTAGCTGGTATGTATATCACCCGGGAGATAAGATTGCCAGCCGTCTCGAAGTAACACTTGAGAAGCATATGCATATCCTCTCCGATTGCCGTTGGATCGCTGTCCCATCCTCCTACCTTCTGTGCAAGAGTGAGAGGTAGAGAATATACAGACGTGGGAATTGAAATAAGAGTTCCAGGATACATAGTTGAGATGCCAGCGAAGCCCCAGAGCAAATCGGCGCATCGTACTAAGACTGGAGTTTCGTGCGAATTTCGATCAAATATAATAGGACAACAGTAGATTGCGCGATCGGCTTCTTCGATGTGTTGGTAATGTGAGCGGCGAATTTCTGTGAAGTAATCAGGTGAGAGATGAGTATCCGCTACCATAGGAAGTTAGCCATGTCACCGCATATTTGCATGATCAGTCTACGTACCATCCATAACTGTAACCATCACATTGCAGGAGTCTACTTTGAGTTCCTCGTGATGAAATTCCACAATTCTATTTGCGGCAAATGCCACATTTGAACTCTTTCCCGCGATCTCTCCTTGTATTCCAGACGGGTGAAACGTTGGGCGGACATGGAGGAAGGTCTGTTCGAATATGGATACGAGATGCGCAGCTTTATCGAGCGAGGTAGTTTCCTTTTGTTCCATAGCCAAGTATACCTAAATCCGCATTCTATGTCAGAATAGTTCTCGATTAAACCTTGAAGATCGCGTGGACTCACCTCATATCGGGATTTGGCCCTAGGGTGACTAGCCAATACCCTGATCGTTGTCTCCAACGTATGGATGTCTTCGCAATAATTCGGTAAAATTATAGCGTGAACAAGTTCATCCCCGACTATTTCTGTCTCTGTTGTGAGATAATCAAACTTCTTATCAAACGGAATCGGAGATGGAAGAGAAACTGGCGACCGTGGATGACTATCGTATCCTTCATCTGAAGTAGATTGAGAAGGTGAAAAGGAAGGTCTTGAGATCGCTCGCCTTTGAAGCGCTTCCTTTGTCTTGGTGGTCATTCGAAGAAACGACCATGCTAGACGAATAGTGAAGCTGAACATTTGCAAGTGAAGGATGAGCGCATATACCACAAAGAGACTCTGCGCCAGGTTGAGTCCTGCCCACCACCCTGTCTGAAACGGTTGAAGAGCCCATGGTGGTAAAGTTCTCTTCCAAAGTGGGGAGTTCAGGAAATCAGAAAAGGCGCATATTAGTAGAAGGGCTAATGAGATGATGCTAAACCCTGGCAGGCACCTGGTAAGCCATCCCCACACCATCATGCCGAGAAGGGGATGGGTTTCGTGAAAAAGGGGAGGAGAAAGGAGATAGTTCAAGTTGTAAAAAGATACTAAAAAGCACAGTCAAACATTTGAATAGAACAAAAAGTCTTAGACACCGGTCAAAGATGAGTACAAAGCACCCGACGGAGAAATATCACGATGAGTATAAAGCGTCCGACGGGGAAATTTCTCAGGGGGGGTATTGTTTATGTTCCTGAATTTAGTGACTGCTTTGACTGAAATTGAAAGTGAGCTATAATACTCCACCATTTGTTCAATTTTCCATACATGCTGAATAAACGAACGAATTAGACGCTGTAGATAGAGCGGATGGGAGAGGCCCAGGAAGCTAAGTACCCATCATGGACCCTGAGCGCGAATTATTTCTTTTGCAAACTATGTAATCCGTAAGAAGACATGCACACATGTAGATCTGCAGACATCCTAGCTAGGAGATCTTTCAACCACATCACAAGGCTCGCTGCTTTTATCACTGCGCGCCCGCTTAGGCTTCCCAAGGCGATGAAGGTATGAGGATATCGTTAACCATGCTTCATAATAGCTGCATACTGGGCTATCCTTGTTCTACTTATGTGTATATTGGTCAAGCTAAGCCGGTCGCTGTATCCATCAATATCATTATGGGACTTTGGGCTGAGCAGAGATAAGAACAATTCCCCAAATATCTCCTATCCCTTTGGAACAAGTCATTTCCTTCCTTCAATATTGTTGCTGCTTACATACAAAAAAAAACTTCACTTCTTTGGCTTTTTCCAATAACTTACTCGCAATAACTGCTAGGTAAATACTCAGCTGCAAAACGTCTCAAATGCCCAAGGAGCTCGGCATCAGTCCCCAAGCCCGAGTTCCCCAAGACATTTAGTATTTCATTAATTTAACCCAGTGCTCACAAAGCAGCGAGCCATAATTACGATATAGGAAAATGAAGGATGAAAGAAGGGCAATAAATAATTTACCAGAGCTCCGTGCAAACTTAACAATACATACTTCTTCACCCTGCAAGAGCGATCCCTTAAAGCTTGGCAAAGCGTGCTCCAATTATTGGTGCCGAGGGCACCTATTGACTGCCCATCAACCCGCAGTGACCCCACTATTAGACCCGATCTACAGCCACCATCACCAATCAACTCGCCCATTGTATAGGCGTGGTGAACCCTGATAATATCAACGATTCTTCATAATCACCTGAAAAAATTTGCCTATAATACGAGTCGAAGTCAAGTGAGTCCCCTCTCTCAAGCCAACAGCCCGAAAATTGTCCAAGCGGTATTTTCATCCCACCGTCTCCCAAACCCATCCGTCCCCAACCGGCCCATATCCCTTAAATCCTCCTAAATGCATTATGTGCATCGAGCGCCCAATACCCCCAGCTGACACAGATGTGCCCAAAGCGTGCAACAAATTCCGCGAGTCATTCTCATCACCTTCGCTAGGTTGATCAGGTGTGCTGAGCTCCCCAACCCGAAAGGGCGCATGGGCGACCGAAGAGAGTGGTAAGAAGATAACAGATATATAATCCTCGTATTCCTTCTGATCAAGATAATAGATGTCAGCTCTGCCTAGATTCACATGATTTATGAAAAACCTTAAACTAAGATTAAGCGACAGAAGGGTATTCATTCCAATGGGCCCCGGACGCTGTCGTACTGGTGGTACATCCGTCACTACATACTACTAAGTAGTCGGTATAAACTTGAATAACGAGATGCTACTAGTAGTACATTTTTCATGGTCACGGTCTTGGCTAAAACTACCTCCAGATATCTAGTATATCACCATTCCGAAAGGACAATCAGCAAGCGTTCTTACTATGGTACATCAAGGTCACTTCGTCGGTCAATGTTCAATTAAGCATCCAGCACTTCAATGTACATAGGGGCATTAGCTTAGGGTATTTTGTATTCCCTGGAGGAAAATACAACCAACCTGATTACTACTTGACAAGTTGGATTTGGAAAATATGGCATACGAAGGGTACTAAATAGCTAGAAATATTATCTTGACTTCTACGCCGCTCTGAGAACGATTCAAAAATCACCAGTGGACCTCAAAACGGCGTGAACTTGAACTTCCAACAGTAGAATTGCTGTGCTGCCGTGTTTACGCTTCCCTATTGTATCTACTGTATGTCCAAAGATCTATAGTCCAGTGCTGCTGACAGCTTTTTAATTCAACAGGGGTCTCTTCCGGGTCTCTTCCCTTGCGGCAAAAAAGATAGTGAATGATCGCACCCGGTTTCACTGTAGGGAAAGGCATCCCCATCGTCTATGCCACACGGACAACAAAGCTCACGTGCCGCAAGAATGTTGAGGATTTTGTTCCAGATTGGGACGGAATAATGCAAAAGATAGGGATACTATTTACTGTCGCTCTTGTCGATAGGGCATCTATTCTGAAGGGTTGGGTCAAGGAGATGAAAGAAGCTAGGACTAAACAGAAGAGATGCTTCAGAGGGACCTCAGAACTTGAATTTGTCATAGATAATTAGAATGGAAATCATTGATCCAGGACTCTGAGACGAGAACATGGGCTGTCGCGTGTTCAAATGTTGCCTTCTGAGACTGTATAGTAGTCACGAATAAATACCCCATCACATAAGCCATACCGGGTTTAAGGCATAGGCAATCGCAATCCTGTACCATTTTTGAGGCCTCCTGCATTTATAAATAAAATTTTAGGATATCTACATACAATAAACCTAGGCGCTTGAGGATGGCCTTAATCTCGGAGATAATGGGTATACTTCCGCTAAACCGCTCCCCGCATGTCAGCACAGACAGTTTGTCATAAATTTCATAAATCCGATGTCATAACGCCGATCCCAGTGGAGTTAGCGGCGGGGTTAAGTTAAATGTGTCTGAAATTATTGGATTAGCAGTAGAGAATAGTGGTTCTGCAGCTTTTGAGGGATCTGTGCAGGTTAACAAGGTGTCGTGTGTTCCGCATGTTCGTCATATTCCCACTTGCATCATGATCCTGCATAAATCTTGATCGCAGACAACCATAAAAAGGCACATCCTTGCCACGAATTTTTGGAAGTCAAGATCAAACTTGGCTTTTGAATACGATATTACCATCCCTCAACTAATACCCAACAACCAAAAATAATCCAACATAATGTGGGCTGCCGCTGCTGCTCCCAAGTCGCATCTTGGCCGTTATCGCCTCCTAGCCCCTACGGCTGCGGTCAAGGTGAGTCCGCTCTGTCTCGGTGCAATGAACTTTGGCGATGCTTGGTAAGTTTCAATTATTCAATTGGTGTACCACGAACCAAAGCTTATATGTCACTCAGGAAGGAAAGAATGGGCGAGTGTGACAAGGAGACATCTTTCAACATTATGGACACTTTCTATGACAATGGAGGCAATTTCATTGACACGTGTGTATACCGCCTCCTCAAATATCAATAACGCTTACCGAAGCTCAAATTACTAAGTATTGTTTTCTAACAGTTCGAACAATTATCAAGATGAAGAATCCGAAGCCTGGGTTGGTGAGTGGATGGAAAAGCGCGGAGTGCGAGACGAGATTATCCTAGCCACCAAATACACGTCTCCATACGTTCTGCATGATAAAAGTAAGATTCAGGCCAACTATATTGGAAACAATGCAAAGAGCTTGAAAACTTCTGTGGAGGCGAGCTTGCGGAAGTTAAGAACGGATTATATTGATCTGGTAAGCTTGAATCAAAATTTTCGATGGTTGTTCATGAATTCTGGATACAAAATTCTACCAGCAAGAAAATTTCTGACAAAACAATCTAGCTTTACGTCCACTGGTGGGACTGGAGTACTTCTGTCGAGGAGGTGATGACCTCACTCAACCACCTCGTCACCTCCGGCAAAGTACTTTACCTAGGAATCAGCGACACTCCCGCTTGGGTCGTGAGCAAAGCCAATCAATGTAAGGTGCCCCACAGACTAATATTAGTACACCAATTATTCTAACCGAGTTTCAAGACGCCCGAGACAATGGCCTACGACCCTTCTCCGTCTACCAAGGCCAATGGAACGCCGCACGCCGTGACTTCGAACGCGATATAATCCCCATGTGCGCCGCCGAAGGCATGGGTCTATGTCCATGGGGATCACTCGGCAGCGGAGCCTTCAAAACAGTCGCGCAGCGTGAAGAGCTGGATAAAAACGGGAACCCAGGCCGACAAGTCGCGACACGGGAGATTGATATCGAAGTATCGAAAGTATTGGAGAAGATTGCTACTCGCCATAATAGCACTATCACAAGTGTGGCGTTGGCTTATGTTATGCACAAGTTCCCCTATGTGTCGCCCATTGTTGGTGGACGGAAGGTTGAGCACTTGCATGGCAATATTAAGGCCTTGGAGCTACAGCTTGAACAGCAAGATATTGATCATATTGAGGGGGCTTATGAGTTTGATATTGGATTTCCGATGGCATTCCTCCTCTCTGACAGCACGGAAGCGCATCCTCAAAATTCGAGGTTCTTGAAGTCTGCGGCGAGAATGGATTATCCTGATTTGGTGCGACCTCCGTCTTTTAAGCCTTTGGATCGGGTTTGAGAGCAGTTTATGTAGATTGAAAGAACCGCCAAAGTATCCATAATGGATGATGCATCATTTACATCGACATCCCAGGAGGACTAACCTTAGGATTACTATGTATGTTCATTTCAACTTGTGACATGTGCAACTGATTATATCTGGAAAATCAAAGAATGTTATCACTTTCAAGCGATATTGGGTCTGCCGCTATTGTAGTCTGACATGTAGGGGGTATTCAAAAGATGACCACGCTTCCTGCAATTGGAAGTGAAATCATTATTGTATTCGAAATAGACCCGAAGGATATCATAGAATGCTCATCCAGTATTGAAATTGTTCTGAACAACTGTCTGCATATTCCCTCTCCTCCACCGAGTCCCAAAAATGGTCAGCACGTCCATCGCCGTATGTTCTCTCAAGTACCCTAAGCAAGTCATCCATGGGTCCACCCGTTGCATCATCACCCTCAATATCGGGGCCTTCACCTTAATCGACCTCAAATTCGTAATCGAAGATTTCATATTCCAATTTAATTCCCTTGAAGAGCCCCTGGAATTCGACAAGACGGTCATTTTTGGATTTTTTCTGACGGGCCCTCCGGTCCACCGAGCACAATTGGCAAAGCCTCATCGTTGGCAATCATCTTAATCCCGGTGAGATGCGGATTAAGGCCCTTCCGACAGTTCTTTGCGATATTCTCGGTTATCTATTTTCGGTTATCTCGCGAATAGAGGAATTGCAATCGTTATACTAAGCTGCACCATGGAGCTAGGGAACCCAGGATGAGCATTGAGATACGCCTGGAGGACGAGGATAGTCTTGAGCACAGCGAAATTTCAATATTAACCACCATGTATGGATGTGTTTGCATAAAGCTATAAAGCTTTGTTCTACCGGTCATCAAGAGCCCTCATTATCTCAAACGCCAGATACTAGTATGTATGGAACAACTTATTGAACCCTACAAGAACTCAACTCAATAAGAAAGCTGGGCAATACCCTGTGATTTCGCATCAGTATCTTTCAAAAAGCAGGAAATGAAACATGATACTGGACTCACGGGACGAGTGAATGTCCTTCTTTTCCCTCCCAACCAGAGTCCACTAACAATGAAAATGATACCAGCTGCGACAACGCTGACATAGTTCATGCTTTGAAACGTGGTAGGATATTGAAATGGAAAACGGAAGAAAGCAACATACATAGTAACCCACGCAACGGTGAAGCCATTTACGAAGTAACCAAATGCCCCGAGCCGAAATTGGCCTCTGGTTATGACTCTTTGCCGACCGCGGAACAAAGCAATACCTTGAGGAATGGCATAAGAAACATTCATCACGAGAATCGAAGCCGATATAAAACTGCTAAAGGCCGTAGTAGATCCCACATAGATAATACCATAAAGCGAGATGACAATTGTGCATATAATGGTTGCGTTAACGGGCATCCGTAATTTATCGTGAACGATCGCGTTCCAAGTGGAAAACGGGAGACCATTGTCGCGAGCGAAAGCCCAGGTCTGGCGTCCGGTCGCTGCTAAACAACTCAGTGTCGCTCCAAAGTAGATGACTATTAGCCAGCATTTGAAGAGCGTAGAGGTGGCAGAGTTCTGTGTAGCCTGTTGAAATAGCAGCATAATAGGTTGCGTAGAGCTTCCAAGGGCTTCAAGGTCACCACCGGCAAAGAGAAAGCTTAATGCCCAAGGAATTGAAGTTAAATTCCCAATAATCATAGTCAAACACATTGTTTGAGGTACAGTCTTTGTTGGCTTTGGTACTTCCTGCAAATCTCCATTAATATGCAGAAGAAAGGCTAAACTGTCATGACTGACATACCTCAGAAATGTGTATTGCGCTGTCAGTACCAATGAAAGCATATATGGTGGTTCCACACGATATCATGAATGCCACGCCATCACTCAACCACTTTCGTATTGATATCGGCAAGTACTGTATACGCACTATGTGTGTGGCTTGTTATCGCCAAAACAGTTATAAAAAAAACACTACAAAGCCGATCAGGCTACAGAAAAAGAAAGCCTTTTCCAGTAGTGGTATTAAGGACGACAGAAAGCAAAGAATTGCAGCGCATGCCGTAATTTTAGCAACATATATGAGCCATATCTGCCATGCCGAAGGGGTATAGTCTTCATTATACGCTGCTGCTAGATAAGCAAACATTTGCGGTTGTGGAAATCAGTACATGTCAATTTGCGTAGTTGAGGATCTTAAAACGAGCCGAGGTAGATTGTGGATGCCGCAGTGCACAAGATCCAAGCGAGTATACTCAGCCAGCCAGTGACGAATGCGGCGAAAGCGCGATTATTTAGCGTCGAAAGCATGAATGCAAAGTGATACTGCCCACCACAGGTTGGATATGCGGAGGCGAGCTCTGCGAGTCCTAGAGCTATGTTAAAGTCGTCAGTGATGACCATTGGGGGTTTGCTTGATTTAACCTACTGATTATTCACGTCTCAACACGGGATGGGCGCGTTTATCGAGCGCGCAAAGTCATCTGCGCAGTGCCCTTGAATGTCTTGAAGCATCTTAACTTCGAACCTTCCCTGTCGCCCCTTCGTCAGGAGGCAGTTGAAGCTGGTCACATCAACTACATGACCAAGATCCACGCAGTGGTCAAGGGACCCGGAATGGCATCTTGGAATGGATTTTGCTACCCAAACAATATCCTGTATGCATACAGAGATGGGGTTCTTCCCAGTGGCGACGCCCATCTAGTTTGCTTTGGTACAGATGAGAGACCTCACTTCGTTCCTGAGTGAGATCCCTCAAAAGTTTTGAGTGCGCTACAAAACTTTCATCCAATGGAAGTCAAAAAACTTGTATGTTACCTCGGTGTTTTCCTCCCGACTCCCTGCCCTACATCTGTTTTCTAACGTCGCTTCTGAAAGGGTTTCCACAATTGGAACACATATCCATATTCTCAGGCAGGCCCCTGTTTTTGGCCACTAGGATTTATGACTAAGTACCAAGATGAATTGCAAAGTCGACATAATAATGTTTTCTTCGCCTCTGCGGATTGGGCCAACGGGTGGCGCGCTTTCATCGATGGGGCTTTAGAGCAGGGATTTTTGAATGCCCAGAATTTGCTGAATGAGCTTCGTCAAGAAGATAAAGCCAGGCAATCCGGCGCCAGATCTATCCTTTAAGGTGATCATTCAATTTCCAATCCTTCAGTCATTAGGACTAAAATTGAAATGATTGGAAAGCTGGTGTCTTTGGGAATTCCGAGCTTGCTTTTAACTTGAAGCGGATTGAGCTCTATTGCTGGTGCCCCCGCTGATGTTGTATCTCAGGCTGGTGATATACTCTTGAAATTTGAAGATCCAAATATTGTGTTAAAAGTTGGACGGAAGAACAAAGTAAATAATAAATAGGACCATGGAATTTCAACTGTTGTTAAATAACATACACTCTTTCTAGTAGACCACGAAGTTTATGGCGAAAGTTGAGGAAAAGCGTTGGTAAGAGGCCACGGGTCCTGTAAATTGATCTCGGAAGTAAATTTCCGCATTAACCTTCCATACATATTGGTGATATTTTAGTATACAGTAACATTCGAAATTTGTATGGTTGGTGGGGAGCGGGTAGTGTCTCAAAATGTCCTGGCGACGATGAGGGTTCAAAGTCTCCAGTGATTTGGTGTGAACCTGTCTGAAACCTTTTCGTTCTTTATTTTTTTAATGTTTTAGCATTGACAATGCAAACATTAATGAAACACTAATGAGCAATAGTCGTGAACTTGAACGTGGTGGCTGTGGCTCTACGTAGGATTGGTCTTTGCCCCGCTTAACCTGACGTCAGCCAATAACCCCCACCTTCCCCCTTCGCTTTCCGTCGCTTTCTCTTTCTTCCCCTCTAGCATCACTGAATCTTCCTCTCTCTTCTTCATCTCCATCAATTCATTCAAAATGTCTCAAACCTACTTCGACGTCGAATATTCCGGTAAGTCGTCTGTCCTGATACATTTTTCTACTTGCATATGGGGAGAATACCAACCCAACGACGTTTTTTTACCCCTCATCAGCAAATTTCCCAACATTTTCCCATCTCAATTCGTTCTTCAACAAGCTTCAATTCTTGACCATGACCTCTCACTGACATCCTTGACCACTGATTATTAGGCAAGACCGGTCGTATCATCTTCAACCTCTACGATGATGCTGTCCCCAAGACTGCCAAAAACTTCCGTGAGCTCTGCACCGGGCAGAACGGATACGGCTACGCTGGCTCCGGTTTCCACCGTGTGATCCCCCAGTTCATGCTCCAGGGTGGTGACTTCACCAAACACAACGTAAGTACTCATTCCTTATACTAGCTATCATATGATTCTTCGCTCTCAATGCCCCCATCGTCGACCCCCCTGAAGCCTGAACCAAAGCTAACAATTCAATGATGTAGGGCACTGGTGGCAAGTCCATCTACGGTGACAAGTTCGAGGATGAGAACTTCACCAAGAAGCACACCCGCCCTGGTCTTCTCTCCATGGCCAACGCTGGTCCCAACACGTAAGTTTTCACTGTTTCTAATTCTACGATTCTCTCAAATACTAACGAAATACTTTTAAAGCAACGGCTCCCAGTTCTTCGTCACCACCGTTGTCACCTCTTGGCTCGATGGCAAGCACGTCGTCTTCGGCGAGGTTGCCGACGACAACTCCTTCAAAGTTGTCAAGGAGATCGAGGCCCTCGGCTCCGGCTCCGGCAAGCCCAAGAGCCCCATCCAGATCGTCGCTGCTGGTACCCTCTAAATGCAAAATCCTACTATGATTGATAGTAGCTTTTTTCCTTGCAGTTAGCTCAGGTGATGGGGAATGTCTTTTACTCTGAGTAATATAGACTATTTATCAATACATTGGCAATAAGCTTGGAACAAATCACACTTTCAGACATTCATATATCCTTGTAGGCTACGACTATAATTTGGTATGGTCATTATGATATGTCAAGCATATATCTCACGTCTAATATACAGAGTAGGTTCAAATCATGGCGAAATGACCATGATTCCCAGTGCGCGGTCTTTATCCAGCGCTCGCGTTCAAAAATTGTTCAAGTTGGCGCATCAAATAACACATTAGCCGAATTGGGCTTAGCGCCATTACTGACGCAAGTCCCAGCAAGCTGTCACCGAACCCCAAAGCAAACAACGATAGGTCTGGCTTGTGGAGGGAAAGATTATCAGAAAAAGACCTCGAAATAATGATGTGAATAATTGCGAATAATTGCGAATAATTGCGAATAATTGCGAATAATTCAGCAGCGATGCTACCTATTTACCGTGAAGCATTGAGCTACAACATACTCGACGGTCAGACCGCATCGACGAATCGCAGGGTGCCTGACCCTCAACCAGGACCACGACAGTATTAAACACATCGATATCAATTACTACCCCCCACGGATGACACTTGCGCGAGCATTACTAGCAGCAAGAGCGTGACCGTCGCTCAGATTACACAGTGGAATCCTAAAGTCGGAAGCGATTCAAGTTGCACGGATCTTTGGTTGCATGAGTATATTTGTGTTGGGATGTAAGCCTCTATAAGGTGATTTTGGGCTTTGACTAACTTAGTGCAAGATAAACAATAGGGCTGATTGATAATAAGTAAGCCGCTCGCCGTCTAAAGTTACAGGTGAAAAGGCAGGCGTTTCTGGCGTCAATTTCACAGATTCTAGTAAATATACTGTATAATTCCGAAGTGTGGCGCAGTATCAAGCCCCTCTAACCACTCTAGCCACTCCGTGGACCTCATTCGGCTCTTTGGTACCTGGTACCGAGGATAACCACCTAGGCGTTTGTGGCCCTGGAGAAAATAGCGAAAGGCGATATGTCACCTGCACCTCTATATCGAGTATATTATTATCCAGGATATGATACGTGCGTTGTTTGGCTTTTCTCATTGGCAAATATCTCCCTCGACCCAGCCATCATGCAGTCAAGATCTCAAATGGAAATGTGGATAGACCAATAATACCACGAGATCATTTAACTGGCGCGACCGGGGGCTGAGCTATTCGCCCCCCGACACGATGAAAAGCTTGGCCAGGAGCTAGTTAGTCTAGTCAGCGGGGGCCAGAGCTGAATCAAAGGTGTGAATGGATAAAGCAGTGAATCTTATGTCGAATCCTCTTTGATTTGAGTGTAATCCACGTATAGAGTAAAAGAGAATAGAATTATCAACAGTCTGATTTAGTTAATTTAACATCTTAAATCAACAAAAAGATGAAACAAACTTAATTACCACTCGATTACCATCTCAATACGTACCTCACGCCACTCTCATCACCCAACACCTGCCGTGCAGAGAGATCGACAGTGCACGTTTTTGGCACCCGTTACCAATGTGGTAAAATTACCGTTCCGTGGCTCGACTCCGTTTGCGCCTTTTTATTTTTTCTGCGTTCGCCAGTCCCTAAACCTTTATCTCGCCTCCCCCATATTTCCCTTTCTCTTCTTTCAATAATGCCTTCAATCTTAATATCCATGCGCTGTTCAATGCCTCGCGGCTAACAGCGGCGTTGCCCGTGCCCTCTCAGTACGACTCACGACTGGTCAAACTATTACATTGCCCGTGCCACATGTATGATCCGCCCAAAGAGAAGGAAATATCTTCCCTACCCCTAAAAAAAAAAAGAAAGCATGGGGCGAAAAAATAAATAAATACCTCGAATGAAAAACGCTAACAATGGAAGGATGCTAGGATTGAAAAATTCCCCTCCTTTCGAGAACACTTTCTCCCCGACTCTCCTCCGCGGACTGAGCCCTCCGCCTGGGAACGACGGTCTCGCCGTCCGCATACACGAAATATGTTCTCAGCCACCGTTCGTCGGGTCAACGCCCTCAAACAGCGCGTCCCGTTCTTAAACCAGTTACATCTCAACTTCATATTCCTCCACTACACATATATTATATCATGGGGAATCATCGGCTCCATCATCATCTACCCCGCAGGAAACATCGACTATACCGATGCACTCTTCATGGGGGTCGGCTCCGCCACCCAAAGTGGCCTGAACACCGTGAACCTAAACGAGCTATACACCTATCAGCAGATCGTCCTATACTTCATTACATGTCTATGTACGCCGATTTTCATCCACAGCGCTCTCGTGTTTATCCGACTGTATTGGTTCGAGAAAAGATTCCAGCACGTGGTTCGGGATGCGCGCGCACTGCGCACTACCCGTTCCCGCATGGACACAGTGACAGAGGATAAACCAAGTGAAGATCTCAATCGTGCCGAATTAGGCGTCGGTGGTCGATCCATCGTGGTACTCAGGAATAATTCCGGTGACGCACGCGAAAGTCGGCTACCAGACCCCACCGCCAAGCAAGGGGACGGATCATCAGACTCAGATTCCCCTCGTGGAAAACTTGACGACGTCACACCACAGGAGAGCATTCCGGAAGAGACAGAGAATGACATTGGTCACCGGTTCGGCCTGAGCAATTTACGGGTCCCTACACAGCTTAGCCCGGAGCATCATATTGCGTTTGTTGAGAATCAACGAAAAAATAAGGGAGCCTTGCGTATTCCCAGTCCGCGCGAGTACGATTCTGGCGGTGTTCCAGAGGCGTTGGAAGATGGAGATGGAGGTCGAGAAGATGGAGAGGTTGAGCAGGCTAATGAGCCGGTTAGCCCTAAAACTCAGACGCATAGTTCTGCCAATTCGGAGGCCGATCAAGTTGGACCGTTGGAAGGACCTCATATCACTATTAACGAGCCTGATTTTAATCGCACTCGTACTCGTGGTAATACCTTTACGCGATTGGACCAACGACCAACTATGCGTGATACAATGACAAAAGATGCCAATGATGCAGACGATGCAGGACTGGGTCCATCAACAACAAGAACTACAGTTCGGGGAATTTGGCGATCCATCACTCACGAACGAGAACGACCAACCCAACCCTATCTCAGTTGGAATGCGACTGTTGCCCGAAACTCGAACTTCGTTGACCTAACAGAGGAGCAACGTGACGAGCTAGGTGGTATTGAATACCGTGCTCTGAAAACCCTCGCTGTCGTATTAATCGGTTACTACGTTGGATTTCACATCTTCGGCATGATCAGTATGATCGGATGGATCATGACAGAGCCTAAATGGGGCAACATCGTCAAAGCAGATGGCGTCGGACGACCCTGGTGGGGAATCTTCACATCTGCCTCTGCATTCAACGATCTTGGATTCTCTCTTACGCCCGATTCCATGTACTCATTCCAAACCGCAATCTTCCCCTTACTCCTCTTAGCCTTCCTGATCATTATCGGAAATACCGGATTTCCCTGCATGCTCCGATTAATGATTTGGATACTATCAAAATTCACCCGACAAGGAACTGCTCTCTGGGAAGAACTCAAGTTCCTACTCGACCATCCTCGCCGCTGTTTCACGCTCCTCTTCCCCCGAAACGCATCATGGTGGCTATTCGCCATTCTAATCGCCCTAAACGGAATCGATGTAATCTTCTTCATCATCCTTGACGTACGTCTACTCTACTCCTCTACCAAACCGAGCAACAAAACTAACAACCCCTAGTTAAACGACTCAGCCGTCACAAAATTATCCCCGGGAATCCGCGTCCTAGACGGCTTCTTCCAAGCAGCCGCAACCCGAACCGCCGGCTTCGGAATAATAAGCCTATCAGACCTCCATCCCGCAATCCAAGTCTCCTACCTAATAATGATGTACATCTCCGTCTTTCCCATCGCAATCTCCATGCGTCGCACAAACGTCTACGAAGAAAAATCTCTCGGAATCTACGGCTACGGCGAAGAAGACCACGACGACGAAAACCAAACAGCACCAAGCTACATCGGGGCCCATTTACGACGTCAACTTTCTTTTGATCTCTGGTACGTCTTTTTAGGACTCTTCGCTATCTCAATCGCAGAAGGAACCCGTCTCCAATCAACAGACGATTACAGTTTCCAACTCTTCACCGTGTTATTTGAGGTTGTTTCTGCATACGGTACTGTGGGTTTATCCTTTGGGTATCCTACAGCTGATACTTCGTTTTCGGGACAATTCAATGTTGTTTCGAAGCTTGTTATTATTGCGATGCAGATTCGCGGTAGACATCGTGGGTTACCGTATGCGCTTGATCGAGCTGTGTTGCTTCCCTCGGACGCTTTGAATAGGCATGAAGCAGAGGATTCGGAGCGGAGGATGCGTCGTCGTACTTCTAATCTTAGTGGTGTGGAGTCGCTGGGGAGACAGTCTAGAACGTTCTCGCAGTCTCGTACGGATGCGGGGCTGGCGTCTGGAATGGAGTCTCGCGATTGGCAGAATAATGGGGATGCTGTCATGCAGCGTTCTGGAACTATGCGGTCGAATCGATAGGATAAGGGACTTTTTCCTTCCCCTTTCCCTCCTGTTCTTTCTGCCTTTTCTACTTCTTTCTCATACATATTCCTCATGTACTCTTGTTTGTTTTTACCCTGTATCATCTAGAAATATCGGAGGCGTTGGTGTTTTCTTGGAGAATGGTGTTATATACATGTCATGGTCCGTGACCTTGCTACTCTGCTGGACATATTGAACTTGAAATTTATCTACAATCAGCCTATGAGCGGACTTTGAAACAGCGCTTTTCATCAATTTCATACTACTGATTCAAGCTTTCTTCAAGTATACTAGTAGTCAATCATACATAATATGTACTAAGCAGTATAAGTAGCAAGATATAGTCCAAGTATTTATTCAAAGCCATAAAGCATAACAACATTCATTAATTGATACAGTCGTCATCTAGAATAGGCGCAAAAGAAAAGAAAAGAAAATGACCAACACAAAGAAACGGTATAGAGCTCTCAAATTCGGCAGCAAGCAAATGAAAAGGGAGGAAAAGGGATGGGATAGGATGAGAACCCATCATGGATATCTTGAATAGCAGAATGTCCTCTCCAGAGTCCGAAATAACAGTAATGACATGAGCCTCCCAATCCAATCCAATCCAGATGCGAGAAAAGCAATAAGAGCAATTTTCAAACACCCAATCAAACCAGACCAGCACTAAGCCCTAAGACAAGGCCGAGGCTATGACCAGAAACGGGCAAGAAGAGAAGAGAAGATACAAGCACGGAGTTGAAGATCGAAATCGAAATCGAGATATAATTTCTTTCAAAAGAATGAAACCTGAGAATTTCCTAGACCAACTCCGGCGTGCGTCTTAATTTAATCAATCATGCAGTCGGACCGGACCCACCCCAGAATATATGCTTTACCTACTGGACCTGGCTGACGATTTCGCTTGCGCGACCCAAGCTTTCAACCATTTGCTGACACTCCTTTCGTCGGCGGATAGTGTAGTCACTTTCCTTGAGGAGGTCATCCAGCTCGTTGGTACGGTACATGTACTCGAGCAATTCACCTTGCATGGAGTCCTTGGTGAATCTAGATACTGATTAGATTGAACACGAAGATGAAGATAAAGACGATGAAACAAGGGAACATACTGGACAAGAGTGTACATGACAGCCTTGGGAACCATATCGATCATAGTACGCTTCACGATGTTGAAGTAGGAGGTGATGAGGAGCTCTGATGTAGATGTTAGCAAGCAATCTATAAATATAGACCGAATCCATCAGATACTTACTGATAACCTCAACCTCGGTTGATTCCCGCTCAGACAAGCTAGCAGAAGCCTTGAGAGTAGGAGGGGGAGCCTCCATAGCAGCCATCTTCTTCTTGTTCTTAGAGGCCCAGAAAGAACCAAAGAATCCGCTTCCATTGGGAGCTTCGCCAGTAGTATCCAGAGAGGGACTCTGGGCACGAGCAGGAAGGGGCTTGCCAGTCTTAGGATCCACTTGAGTAGGCTTAGCGGCTTGCTGACGCTCGTTGACGAGGGACATAGCCTGTATGAAGTCAGGTCAGTTATCATATATTGTAAAGAGGTAAAAGGTGAGACGAAAGACGTACGCGATGTCCGTTGAGGAAATCAGGATGACCGGTGTTGATGTAAGTAGCTTCCATAGCAATCAAGTCCTTGACCAGCTTGTTAGTGGGTTCCATGCACTTCTTGAAGAAGCCAATGACGACAGCATGGAACTTCTCCTTCAGCATGGGATAACGACGGAATAATTGCTTGGTGAGCAGCTGGCCCAGGATGCGAACCAACTCATCAAAGACAAGTGAGATACATTTCAAGCTAGGCTCTTCCAGACGCTTGATCTGCTGCTTGACGATTAATTCGAAAGCAGTCGTGCCGACGAAGAGGGCAGGAGATGAACCAGATGAGTTGTAAAGGATGGTACGGATGTCAACGTCCTTCACTTGGTCGAAAGGATCAACGGCCTTGACACCGTTGGAGTAGAGCTCGTGGAACACGAAGCTGATACGGGCACCACCGGAAAGCTCAATGCTAGAGAGCTCCTGGTTATTTCCTTCCAGGACGGTACGGTATTCATTGCTGAACTCAGTGATGATGTTGAGAATGATGTTTCCACTGTTACCGAGCATGGAATCACCCAGCTGGCTCAACTCGGTCGTATACTTTTGGAGAGAGGAGGAAATGCGGGCCTTGATATCGGGCAGGGTCTGCTTGATGTGCATCATAAGGATCTAGAACACAAAGTCGAATGTTAGCTTCTAATCCCAACCTCCGTATCTCATCGTAGGAGAAAGCCTACCAAGTTCAGCTTGCGGGCAAGATAAGGAGTACCGCAGTACGAAGCCTTGTTCCTGTACGCCTTGTGGTTCTCAAAGAAGTTCTTCTCATTCTCCAAGGCGTAAGCAATGAGCTTCTTGTTCTCAATATCACGCTGACCACGGTTGACAACAGGGACATAACCCAGACGCAAGGGGATAATCCGTCCAGCGAGAATATCCACAACGTCGGTACCATCATCCATAAGATCGACCTTACTCAAAACACCAATAGTGCGCTGTCCCTCTGGATCAACCTCACGCGCCAACTTAAGACCGTCGGAGTTGGCCAAATCCTGATTGGCCGAGGTAACAGCCAAGATGATAGCATTGGGCTTGCTGATATACTTGAGGACCATATCCTTGATTTGGCGCTCAATATCCTTAGGCTGGTCACCGACAGGAACCTTAGTCAAACCGGGCAAATCAACCAGGGTCAAGGTAAGGACATTGGGCGAGTAGATGCGCAGATTGATAGGAGCGGGCGAAATTCCAGCATTCTTGCCGACCTTAGTCTCTGTCTCGCGAACAATCTCATCCCGAATCTTGTTGAAATCGAAGTACTTCTGGCCAGGCATGTGCAGGAACTCGCCGTACTCATCGACATTGGACTCGCTATCTGTTGTTTCCAACTTGTTGTCGCCATTTGTTTGGGCGCTCGCAGGTTTGTTGATCAGCTGCAGAATAAGGGGTCTGCGAGTGACGATTCCAGATCCACGGGGGAGGCTAGAGAAGAAGTGGGTTGTTAGCAATGGCTGACGACGACAACGGAAGAGCCCCCGCCACCATTATATCCATAAGACCATATTAGGCGGCAAGAGGCTCCTTTTTTGCTGGGAATACGAGCGCATACAAATCGCGACCAACAATGTTCTCTAGTACTGAGCTCTTTCCACTTGACTGTGATCCAACGACAGCAATCTGGGGCAAGTCGATTGGGTTGTGTACCTATAATCGAAAGCGGCGGTGTCAGTTCGGAGGCAAAGAGACCACGGTTTCCGCACATGAGAGCTCAAGGATACTCACGCCAACTGTAGAGAACACATCCTGGAGCTTGTTGACCAGCGAAATCAGGCTTGGATCATTAACATTTATGCTGCGCACGAGGTTAGCTAGGCCGCATCGGAGTGGAGGGGACAGGGGCCGGGGATACGCACGAGTAGCCGGTAGTCGGACTTGCCATGGCAGGCGATATGGAAGGAAGCAGAACAGAGGACGGAACAGGGTATTATTTTCAAATGAAAATTAAAAAGAGACTTTCAAGAGAAGAGAAAAATAGAGCCAAGAGATCAAGTCTCGCAGAGGTGGAAGGCGGAAAGAGATGTTTGTTGGTGTGAGGGAGCCAAAGGCGGTGATGAGAAGTGGCGGCAGTCGTAATGAGCAGGCATCCACAGTGCCGGTGCGGTTGGTGGTCTGGGCTCAACCCGTCCCACATCAGGTAGAGATATACGGGAGTGGAAGGTCATCTGCTAATATTACCTTTGTCGCCTGATAATTCTACACGACACTACTAGTTAGGCATACTATTACTCATTCGATAGTTCATGACATCAGTACAATACTGGATTCAATCATTCTATGACATAAAATAAAACAAATCTGGCCCCAAAGAAAAAGAAATCGGGTTGAACATAACTACAGGGTAATGTGCTAGTGAAGAGCAGCCGGAAGGTCAAAAATAAACATGGGAACTTGAGCAATGCAAAACGCAAAATTATGGCGTTTACTCGTCCGAGACAGAAGCAAATCGGTCCGACATAGACTGCAGGATCTTCTCGTACTTGGCGGAAACCTCCTGCTCGTCCTTCGGCACCTCGAACTTCATGCTTCGCAGTGAGCTTTGGATATCCTTTGTGGCCTCGCGTACCTTGCTCCATTGCTGGCCCTGGGCAATAGCCTTCTGAGCCTCGTCGTGGAAGCCCATGAATGCCTTCATCATATACTCAGTCTTCCACAGGGGGCAGAACTGATCGTAGTCACTGTAACCGTTCTGCTGGAGGAAATCCTCCTTAACCATAGCAGCAACATCCAGAATAATCTTGTCGGAGTCACCGAGAGCGGCCTTACCGACCAGTTGCACGACCTGGTCAAGATCCTCGGACTTGGACAACAGTTCACGAATGTGGTCACGCAGACGAGGGAATTCGGGGTTGTGCTTCTCGTAGTACTTGTCCAGGACGGAGTTGTACTTGCTGTAGGAGATGGAAGTGTTGACAGAGGGGAAGTGCTTACGTTGAGCAAGCTTCTTATCAAGACCCCAGAAGACCTGGACAATACCCAGGGTACTGCTGGTGACGGGATCGGAGAAATCACCTCCAGGAGGGGAGACAGCACCTACGATGCTGACACTTCCCTCACGCTCAGGGCTACCGAGAGCACTGGACTTACCAGCACGCTCGTAGAAGGAAGCCAGCTTAGCACCAAGGTAGGCAGGGAAACCCTGGTCAGCAGGCATCTCACCCAGACGACCTGAAATCTCACGCAGAGCCTCGGCCCAACGGGAACTGGAATCAGCCATCATGGCGACGTCCTTACCCTGGTCACGGAAGTACTCGGCGATGGTAATACCGGTATAAATGGAAGCTTCACGGGCAGCGACGGGCATGTTGGAGGTGTTGGCGATCAGACAAGTACGCTTCATAATAGGCTCTTCGCGACCTTCAACGTTAATAGAGAGCTATCAAAAAGAGAACAATGGTCAATAAGAAGTTCCGCGCAACAATTCAGAGCATAATCAATTTACCTCGGGGAAATCCATCAAAACTTCAGCCATCTCGTTACCACGCTCACCGCAACCAACATAAACAATGATATCACTGTTGGAGAACTTGGACACAGACTGAGAAATGACAGTCTTACCACATCCGAAAGCACCAGGAATACAGACAGTACCACCCTGAACACTGGGGAAAAGAGCATCCAGCACACGCTGGCCAACAATAAAAGGTGCGTCGGCAGACAGTCTGTCGCTAACGGGGCGAGGCGCACGAACGGGCCAAGTCTGCATCATTCCATACTCGGTCTTCTTTCCCTCGAATTCAACCTCAAGCAGCTTCTCCTCAACGGTGAAGCTACCAGCAGGAGAAATCTTTGTAATAGTACCACGAGCACGTGGGGGCAGGAGAATCTTGTGGTCATTCACCAGACTGTTCTCAAAGACAGTACCCCAGATATCACCACCAGTAATGTGGTCGCCAACCTTGAAGCCAGCGGGCTTGTAATCCCACTTCTTCTCACGGTCCAGCGCATTGACAGAAATACCGCGAGGAATGTAGATACTTCCGGACTTATCGGAGATGGCGCGGAGGGGTCGTTGAATTCCATCGTAAATAGTTTCCATCAAACCGGGACCAAGCTCGACGGAGAGGGGCTTGCCCGTTCGAGTAACGGGATCACCAACTTTCAAACCAGCTATTATACGAAACGGGGGAGTCATCAATTAGCAATGCCATTAAAGAAGGGAGGGGGAGCGGGTCTGTAAACTGGGAGTGGTGTATACGTGGCCCAGCAATGGAGGTGTCGTACCAGTTTCCTCATAAACCTGAATTGTAGCTTTATCTCCGTCAATTCGAATAACTTCACCAACAAGTAAATCATTTCCAACGTGACACTAGACACAAAGGGAAAGAGATGATCAGCATAGATCCAGCTTCCGGAGGTGGGAGGGAGAGCTTCGGGGAGAACGTACCAACTCGTACATGGCACAACCGATCATTTGTTCGGCCACGACGACAGGTCCAGAGACCGAGAAAATCGAGCCATGCTCATGAGTGTCGTCCGAAGCCATCGTAGAAGTCGTGGTAGTAACTGAAGGGGAGGAAACGGGAGAGACGGAGGTGGTCGTGGTCGTAGTCGTGGTCGAGATGGTTGGAGCGGGCGAGTCTGGAAGCGGTGGCAGCTCAGGCGGTGGAGATGTTGGCGCACGCTCAAGCTCGCGTCCTCTAATCAGCGTGAGCAAGGATGGCCGGCTTTTCAATCGAAGGCTCCCCAGACCTAACATTCGCTAGAGAGAAGAAGGAAAAATTATGCAAGGTTAAATCATAAAATCGTAAAAGAGAGATCTAAGAGTAAGTTGCACTTGGGGGGCTGCCATGCCATCTGCACCGATAATTCGACTAAGAGCTGAGCCGTGGAGTCCCCCTAAGCGCTGTCACCCAATCCTTTGTCGCTATTCAACGGGATTGGCGCCCTCCGATCGATCTTTTTCTTGAAAGAACAGACCGCTATGTTGAATGCGAAGATCGATACTTCTATCCTTGTAAAAGATGGGCCTGGAAGGTGTATTCTGAGCTTTATATGAGCATCCACCAAAAGCCTCTTCCCCCACAAAGAATCAGGTTGTTGTAGTTGATTGTATTTGAAAGCCTTGGCTACCCCTCATCTAATTCTTTCAGCAATTTAAATAGTTGTATTTGCTTGTCCTTGAAGCTTGTTATAGCTTGATTTATAGTCACGCTTTCAATTTCAAGGCTTAACGTAGAAATGGCAAGCATAGTATTGTGTATACTTCCTAGGTCTCTCCTCGATGGTTCAAGTTGTTGTGTTTTATGAGTAGTTTTTAGGCGATTATAATCTTTATATACAAACTTGCCTTTGCACAAGGGAGGATAATATTGAATTTAATCTATTGGGCTCTCGATTGTTGTTAGATATTTCGATTTATTAGGGGAAGAGTACGTTTTTACGCTATCAAAATGTGATATGTAGTACATCAGTACATCCATGCAGCACGACCTGCAGAAAGCCGCCATTCAGTGACCTCGGGAGTGAGAGTACAACTTGAAGGATCTCTACTTTACGGACATACAAATACTATTCTATATTTTTGATACATAGTTTCTTACAGTGTACTCAGTATCCGGTGATATTATAATTTATATTAAAAATAAGAATTTTCCAAAATGTGGTTCACTATGGGCATAGCATACTCCGTCCTAAATACAGTAGTATACACAGTATACATATACTGCAAGCCAAAGTAATCACGTCGGCACAAAAATTGTATAATCTCCACATCGATAGCTGAATCTACAAGAAAAGTACTTAAGAAGTAGAAAATACCCGTTCAAATTGAATTCCATAATTCGTAACTCCAACAATAAGTACCCAGGGTAAACTAAGAAATAAGCAGCGCAGCATAAGATAGTAAAAAAGGGATCTTGCCCAAGACCCGTATGTCAAATTTCAATTAGATGATATCATGAATGCAACTTCTACAGTGCATATAGTTAGCAAAACGACCCAGGAAAAGCATTTAGTTGATAACGACGGCTTCTCACTGAATCATATTGTTTTCCCTTTCCTCCACGCGAGTACCGGCCTTGCATTCTGTTATGCCGAGAAACCGAGAAAAAGAGCCCCCATTTTCCGATGCAATATCACATCAACTGCAGCTGAGGGTCTCTGAAATCAAGCAAGCGTGCATAGCCACAGAGCAAGATAGTACCAAGTCACAAGTCACTTTTGTAGCTCGTTGAAAGACGAAAGTTAAATACAGCGTCGTCGTAGCAAATTATGAGAGAAGATCCGCAACTAGAAGATATCATTAGTTCATGAGAAACATGCAGAATAACCGATCCAATATTGATAAACTCACCATTCATAGGCATCTCGTCGATCTGAGTAGAGTAGTACAACTCAATATCGCGCAGAATACGGACATCATCAGCAGTAACGAAGTTGATAGCCACACCCTTGCGACCAAAACGACCGGATCGACCAATACGATGAATGTAGTTTTCACGGTTGGTGGGGAGATCGTAGTTAATAACCAGCGACACCTGTTGAACATCGATACCACGAGCCCACACATCGGTAGAAATGAGCACACGCGAGTTACCCTGGCGGAAATCTTGCATAATACTATCACGTTCCTTCTGTGGCATCTCACCGTGCATACTTGAGACAGTGAAATTGGCCTCACGCATCTTGTCAGTCAACCAATCGACCTTTCGGCGAGTGTTGCAGAAAATCACTGCTTGGGTGATCGTCAAAGTATCGTAAAGATCGCAGAGGGTATCAAACTTCCACTCCTCCTTCTCGACGGCAATGAAGTATTGCTTAATTCCCTCCAGAGTCAACTCGTCACGCTTAACCAGGACACGCACGGGGTCTGTCATAAATTTGGTCGTCATATCCAACACATCGTAAGGCAGAGTAGCGGAGACCACCACAACCTGCGTCGCCGGCGGAAGGTAGCGGTAGACATCGTAGATTTGTTCGCGGAAACCACGGTTGAGAAGTTCGTCTGCTTCATCGAGGACGAGCATCTTGATGTGACGGGTGCGGAGGTTGCGGCGGCGAATCATATCGGCGACACGACCGGGAGTTCCAGAAACGACGTGCTGGCCGTAGTCGAGCTTGCGGATATCTTCACCGATGTTGGTTCCACCAATACATGCGTGGCATTGGACGTTCATGTAGTCACCGAGGGCCATGATAACGGATTGAATTTGGGTTGCGAGTTCACGAGTTGGGGACAGGACCAGAGCTTTGAATCTAGATATCAGCACCTCATTTTTTTGCCAGGACTATTGCTTCAAATTATATATACCTTGGGTCTCACGAAGGGCAGTATCGATAACTTGCAGAGTACTGATCGAGAAAGTAGCGGTTTTACCAGTACCGGACTGGGCCTGCGCAATAGTATCACGACCTTTACAGATCTGAACAATGGCACGAGACTGAACAGCCGATGGCGACTCGTATCCATAAGCGTAAACTCCTCGAAGCAAGCTTTCTTTCAAGTGCATATCCTCAAAGGTCGGGGCCACTGTGACCTCCTTGGAGGTGTTGAATTCCATGCGCTCTGAACTACCGTTAGAATGATTCTCGTCACCAAAAAGGCTCTTGAAGTGGGCGCATACCTTCAGCGCGTCGGTCGATTCCGTCCGCCATGATGAATAGAGGTATCAAAAATTCACCTGATGGCAAGGCAAAAGTCTGGGGTATTGAAAGACGTCAAGTAGATGTGAGAGTTCGACTTTTTGCGATGTGAGCGGTACAGTCACATGACTTTGATTAAAGCTGCACATGTGCAGCTTTGATCCGCGAACTTTCTTCCTTCCACGACAACCTTCCACCAACCCACCCTTCACATCTCGTAATTCGAGAACGTGATTTGAACCTGCATACGGAACATTTTATGTCAATTGATTACGAAAACGTGAATCTCAAGCTGCATACTTGCGTGATCTAGTTCGCATAGTAAACATGGTTCTCGAGGAGCAAAGATTCCTCCACGAGGACAGGGAGCGATTGGAGCAGGCTGTTGCAGACCGCATCATGAACGAGCCCCGAGGTGTAAGTCTTGCGCTCCACTGACATACCTCCAGATGCTAATAAAAGTCTTCGCATGATAGGTTCGTGAGCGACTCGCAAACGAACATGAAATTGCTATGTTCCTAGACCGCATCGCGGTCCAGTCCCAAAGACTGCTGGAAATTTACAAGGACGCAGATGGCCTCCGTGACAAAGAAATACAGTCGATTTCTACGGGTGATCAGTTCGAAGAATTCTACAGGCAACTCGAGGATATCAAAGACTTCCATAAACGCAATCCAAATGAAGCCGTTGAGAACCTCGAAAAGGCTTACCAGCCCCGCCAACCTGGTGAGGGCGAATTCTTGCAAATTGACAGCATGTTTACCGGCGAAGAGCGATTCGGAAAATTTCTCGATCTGACGACCATCCACGAACAATACCTTAACCTCCCTGGAATCAAGCGCGTGAACTACGTTGACTACCTCGGCATCTTCGATGTTTTCACTCCCCCCACCATGAACATCAAGCGGAAGGACAAGGTCTCAGATAAATATTTCCGCTACGTCGACGAGCTAGCCACATATCTTGAGAGCTTCTTCAAGCGAGTGAAGCCACTGGAAGACTTGGACGCGTTGATCACCAGCTTCGATGAGGACTTTGAAAATAAATGGGCCGCAAATGAAGCCCCAGGCTGGGCGAATGAACACGCAACCAACGGCTCTGCTAACGAAATCTGGTGCTCAGATTGTGAGAAGGGGTTCACAAATGAAAACGTTCACCGAAACCACTTGACAGGCAAAAAGCACATCCGGGCCGCAGAGGCAAAAAAGGCGGCAGGCACCTCAGAAACAGATCCAAGCTCCCAAACTCCCGCAAACCAAACATCATCTCTCGCCAAGGATCTGAAAGAACGTGCAGTCGCCAGCCGAGAACACCGCGTGCGTTGCCTGACAGAAAAACTCCAGGTTGAGCGAGAAGCTACCAAGCACGAGGTAGTACGTCGCCAAGGTCTCACAGAGCGTGAGCGTCGAACAGACTGGGAGGACCTGATGGCTGAGCAAGAAGACCGCGCCGAGGGCCGTGGCGGCGAAGAGTCCGACGACGAAGAGGACAGAATCGCAAACCCCCTCAACGTACCGCTAGGATGGGATGGAAAGCCGATCCCATATTGGCTTTATAAATTGCATGGGTTGGGCGTCGAATACCCTTGCGAAATTTGTGGCAACTTCGTTTATATGGGTCGACGGGCGTTCGACAAGCATTTCGGAGAGGCTACACATATCTATGGTCTGAAGTGTTTGGGCATCACATCAAACACCAACTTATTCCGAGAAATCACCGGAATTGACCAGGCCATGCGCCTCTGGGAGCAACTCGAAAAGGAACGCAAGCGGGAGCGCGACTCGCGGGATAATGTCGTGCAGATGGAGGATGCTGAAGGCAATGTCATGCCGGAGAGAGTATACTACGATCTCCAGAAGCAGGGCATCCTCTAATTGATGGCCTATTTCTTCAATTGGAGAGGGGGACAGACCTAAAGGAGCGCAAGCGCAAGCGCGACTCTCGGGACAATGTTGTCCAGATGGAGGATGCGGAAGGCAACCTAATACCGGAGAAAATTTACTACGATCTCCAAAAGCAAGGCATAATTTTCACTGAACTAGACCATGTATGCATGGGTTGGGCGTCGAACACCCTTGCGAAATTTGTGGCAACTTCGTTTATATGGGTTGACGGATTCGACAAGCGTTTCAGAGAGGCTACTCATATGCATGGTCAAGTGTTTGAGCATCACAGCAAACACCAACTTATTCCGAGAAATCACCGGAATTGACCAGGCCATGCGCCTCTGGGAGCGACTCGAAAAGGGGCGGGAGCGGGACTCTCGGGACAATGTTGTCCATATGGAGGACGTGGAAGGCAACGTAATGCCGGAGAGAGTTTACTACGATCTCCAAAAGCAAGGCATTCTTCAACTGGGCTGGCCCATCGTATCTATATTACTTTACCACATTTTGCTTTGAAGAGGGTTACTCTCATATAACAGCTTGGAGTTGGGCGAAATGGCATGTCACTTAATTTGAGTCTATTGGGTAGCATTTCAAGTTCTTTGTACAACACCAGGCGATTCATCTGCTGTCTAGGTGATCGTCTACGTCATAACCTTTGATACCAACATTGATGTACTGCTAAGAAATTTGCAATTTTTCTCTATACAAGAAAAGTTGCACATTACCGCGACGGGGTATTCCCGGTTCATTTGGACTTTATTGTTTTACTTGCTTAGATTGAATATGATTTCAATAGCCTTGAATAGTATCACCTTCTCAAAACAGTACCTACGCATCCATACCAAGATAACTAGATGCTCAATACGGCAAGTACACAAGACAGCAAGTTAAAGATCAAAAGATCAAGCAAGATCCAATTCCCATCTCAATCGGACAAACAACGCCATTCAGCAAAGTGTAAAACAGGAATCAACATTCGACAAAAAATAGCAAGGGTAAAAAAGGTAAAACATTGGTGTATTTACTATACCGAACAATGATGCGACCAAGCAGTGCAGTTAGTTAGTTCCCAGAAGAGAAGAGAAAAATAAGAAAAGAATGATTGAATGGCGCCTTTCCTGTATTGACTGGATGCTTTAGGAGAACGTTAAGTGTGGTTTGTCTGTTGGGCTATGGGAAGATATAATGGGGTAGGTTGGTTGGTCATTGAGGGCTGGAGGGAGTTAGGACAGGGAGGTGGGTCGGTGGGAATATAGTGTATACGAGTTGGGTGAGGAAGGGGTTGCATGCAAGATAGGTAAGAAGAAAGGCAAGGAAAGTAGATAGGAAATCAGGTGTATCGGTCTTTCTATCCAGAGGTGGATGTGGTATCAGTATCCCATCCCATCCCAGTCCGTCCTAGCTTGACTAAGTCCGTGGTACAAAATTGGAGGTGATCAGACGCATAAGCATGACAATATGCCGTTGCTATCTGTCGTATTGAATCGAATAGATATGATGTTTCGGTTTCAATTTGTGGTTATTTGAGCTTGAGCTAAAACGCGGATGTTGTTCTTAGTGCGCTTGTGCGTGGGAAGCCGTTTTTGGAGATATCTCTGCTCTGGATAGGTCCACTTGTTGTACGAAGACGACTGCGATCTCGAGACCAACTAGAGGTTGGTTAATACACGTGCAATGGAAGGAATCGGGGGTAAAGGGTATACAAAGGGTGAGGGGGAAAAACAAAACAAAAAAGAAAAGAAAACAAGAGGAGGATCATACATTCGCACTGCGCGGTCATCACCTGCCGACGCAAACATTGTGGGGTCAGCTGGATTCCACGATATTGAATTCACACATCCCTTGTCGTGACCGTGAAGAGTCTCGACGAGAGATCCATTATCCTTATGCCAGATGTAGACACAGGAATCTGAGAAATCCAGTTAGCAGGAAGGACCATCTGTATGAGGAGAGGGGAAGCATACCATCGCTGCCGCTAACAACGAAGTTCTCGCCTGCTCCACCAAACGTGCTGCGGATAACATATTCGCCTTGCTTGTGGCCCTTGAAACGCCTGATCACAGCAGTGGTCTCGAGATCGATTAGATGGATTTCGCCCTCTTTGAGATTCACAAGCATATGTTTCGAGTCCTGACTGATAGCGATGGAAGTTGGTTTGCTAGACACCGATAAACAGTAATCTTCTTCATATGTTTGGAAATCAAACACATGAATTTTCGAATCTGTGTCCGCTGCAACCAGTCTCCGTCCATCAGGAGTGATCGCACAATCTTGTACACGGAAACCACCTTTCCACATATGCAAAGATGAGCCACGTAGACTCCAGTGGCAAAGTTGAGAGGTAGGGTCAAAGGAGGATGTAACAAAAGATTCTCCATCTGGAGCCCAGCCTGCAGATGTGACAGGTTCAGAATGGTGGTCAACGGTAATGAGGCAGCGCCCAGTCTAAAAGCCACCACAACCATTTAGTTAAAAGACGTTCTTGGGTATGTTTAAAATTAGCCTAAAAATCTTACCTCGACATCCCAGAGTCGGGCTTTCTTGTCTTGGGAACATGTGATGAGCTTCGTATCGTCGGGACTCCAACTCGCAAATGCAACTCCGTTACCATGATCATGCAATCTATGGATCACCGAGAAATCAGTCGTATCGTAGATGAGTACCATTTTGTCACTGCCTGCAGTGACTAACTTGGTGCCATCGTGAGAGAAACCGCAGTACCAGACCTCATCTGTATGCTGGGTAAGGTCAACGCCTACGTCTAGCGGGAAGTCATTTCGGTCACAGAGATGGTCCGAATAGAGCGATGGCGGTTGAGCGGTGTTGTGATATAAGCAGTTGTTGATCTGGCTTTGCTTCACATGGTCTAGCAAGATAGCTAGTCGGTGCTGAGGGATCATAACCGATGGGGAGATAGATTCTATAATGTATGTGATTAGCGAGCGGCAAAGTTGCAAAATATTCGAGTCGCTTACTAGATAAGTTCCCTAGGAGAAGTTCTCGAGATACTTTGGTGGAACCTTCCCAGCCTGCTTGGTCATGTAACAATTCCGTTGGGGACATGAGTAGACTAAATACTCGAGATGTTAGACATATCAAATATGTGCAGAATAACAGGGGTATTTACCTGGAAAGAGCATGCAGACGATCGACATCGTAGTTTAACGGTGTCAGTTCTTGCCGCAGCACACCAAGGGCTGCACCTAGATCGCGTGCCTCAAGAAGCTCCAAGAACTTTTGTTGCCGCAAATAGAACAGCATCTCGCTCTTATTTGCGTCCTCGGCCAATACAAGTGTCTCCTCGGAGACAGGCTTTGGACCACCCTGTACCCCATTCCGGAATGATTGAATCAGAATCTTTTCAGCCTCCGACCAACGTCCTCCTAATACCGCACTTCGAAACGTTGCAACCCCCGATGTCTCCAGCTGATAGCCGCTCTCTTGACTCAACATAGATGCCGACCCATCGTAGCCCAACTCGTACAAACTCTGAATCAATATCCGAGTTACTTCCTCACGATTATGACCATAGTATGATTGGTTAGGGAGGGGTTTCCCACCGCCATTCAACTGAGACTGAGAGTCTCCATTTGAAGACGCGGCCTGGCCGTTGGCTTTTCTAGAGGTTGACCCTTTGGACACCTGTGAAAAGCCATTTGTGCTCGATAACCCATCAGCACGCATGGTGAGCAGGCGCCTGCGCTTGCGAGAAGGAGGATGGCCGTCGGCTTGGCCGGATTGATGGGTCTGTTCCTGCTGGGCCGTGGTTTCCGCAGCCCTTGCTTCTCCTGTGTATGACGAAGTTGCTGTTCCCAGTCCTACGTGTTCAGCAGGCGGGATATCAGGACTACTCGATTGTAGACGACGACGTCGAAGGTTCCGTGTTCGGGATGTCGTGTCGGGCGGAGGTGGTTGGGAGACTGCGGAGACGAGATGGGCGGATGGGGTGTCGTCGGGATCGGGATGGGGGGAGCTGGAACTCGTGGATTCGCGGGGTAAAGGAGGATCAGGGAGGTCGGGGATGATAGATCGGTTTATAGAATTGTTGGCCAGGTCGATAGTTAGGATCTGCCCAGTCCCTGGTTCTTTACGAAGAACCAGGTGAGCAGACCAAGGGCGGGTAAGTAATCCCCGGAAGGTAGCTCCAGCTTTACTGCTTCGGAGCTAGAGAAGGGCGTCAAGGGGGAAATGTGTTCATAGGATGTTGAGGTGACGTTGAGGTTGATCGTTGATCTTTCCGAGGAGGAAGGTCTTGGGGGACGGTGGGTTAGTCTCCCCTCCTTGAGTCTTGATCATTGATTGTTGGGCGGAGATGCTTATCGGAACTTCACCCAGTGATGTGATCGACTCTCGGGTCACAAGAAAGTCAGTGGGTCCGCGTCACAAGATGCTAGTACGGGAAATGGGCACAGACTAAAAAAATAGAAGGCCATTTTTTTTGTTTCTTGTTTCTATATGGAGCTAAGTTCTATTTGGGGGAGATTATCTAGTGTTGTGCTGCACAGAGAAGAAAATATAATGAGGGCCTTGTTACTAGGCTGGGGTAAAATGTAGTATAATGAAGGAGAGGGTGGGGGCTACAGAAGAGAATAGCACTAGTGTATATGAATGGGAATTTCCTTTTAAAAGATAGTTCCTTTCTAGATTATATCTGTTTTTTATGTATATTCACCAGCAATGTGGCACTGCTCTACTATACCCATCTCGCTGTCTTGTATAGGTTATCCAGAACTGGGGAAGAAGTACATCCATATCTAATACTCACCTCTAGATCTATAATTACTATATATTAAGTCCATCCTATTCTTCCTCTTCACTTGGCTTCGGTTTCCAATTTGTTCGCATCTTATGGTCCACTCTCTCCACTGACGCAATCATGATGCGGCTGGTACTACCGAACCACTATATAAGAAATAGAAGAAACCGATTCTTCCTCCTTTTTTCATCTCCCATAAAGATCTATATCTGATCAAGAAAAACCATTATTCTCAAATTTTTTCTTAAAAAGAAAGACCAACCTCCCCTTCAAATCAAAAACCATGGGCTGTGGCTGCGGATCTAGTTGCACCTGCACCGGTGCCCAGGGCTGTACATGCACCAGTACCAACTGTGACTGTACGGGATGCGGAGTATGTGACATTACTACCAGAACCAGTTGACCTTGCGTTTAAAGGGTTCCCAGAACGCTAACGAGCTTCTAGAAATAATTTCCACGTCCCCTTATCTTTTGTCCCATATCGAAAACCTTTCCTTTGATCTACAATGATGTTGGGGCGCAGAAACTGATGCTAAATCCGAACTTCTCGACTTCTTTCTATCGTTAATGTAGTTTAGTGTCTCATTATTCATTCTGAATAACATAATAAAATATATCAAATGCATACCACTCTACTTATTGTTAGATTTATAAGCATTTAATTGTGTCTGTGAGGTTTTTCATTCATACAATTGTCTCAACGTCATACTCGGCCTCCCGGGTGGTACTGCTACGCATGCAGCACATCCATGTGTATATGTATACCTTAGAGACTATAATATCTACTACTATACATTGTTCCAGGGTTTCGAGTATTATGTATGTATACAGGTCCATCATACTTAAGTATAAACTAGTACATGTGCACTTGAAGAGCTTAGAGGCCTTCTTTACGCAGATTGGATCTTTTATCTCCTTCCTCAATCTTCACGCTGCCAAGGTTCTTATTAAAGCACCTACCGCCTCTCTTTGTCCGCATCTCCACTCCCAACAACAAGTCCAAAAAGACCTCCAGGGCTACATTGTCTTAGCCAAGATGCCACTCGCTGGCTGCCGGTGCTCGCCACCTCAACTCTCACTATATTGCCCTCGGCGGTCGACCCTTAACCTCGATCTAATCTACAAATCAACCACTCGCTGACCGCCGCTTTAACCAACTCATTCCAGACTTTTATAATACCGAGGAGGTTGCACCATCATTCCCACTACTCTTATTCCGTGTCACGGGATTCCTGAATCCCCTCGGGTACGACTCGGGTACGACTCGGGTACGATTCATGGCCGCTCCGCGGGCGAATCTACCTCGATACACCCGCTTATGCATGACGGCCCTAAGTCCTAGCAATATAAAAACGCACGAACGATAGCTACGATTCTTGTTCGACAAGAATCAGTCTGTGTATCAACTGTTCTATTTGATCTATACCATCCGATATCCTTGCCTAGTCACAGGTCTCTAGCCTGACAACTTAGTAACCATTACATTTCGAGACGAACAAGAACAAGTAATGACTTGACCCTGGTTCCCTGACGGGAAAGCAGAAGAAATTCCCTCCGGTTTGTATGTGGAGCTCACCTGCAAAGATTTTAATTCGAAATCTGATTAACAAAGTCGACTTCTGCTTCCATTCAGCATCAGAAGCAATAACTTTTCTTGAAGTAGCAGTAGCATTCCATTCAAAGAGAATCAGCCTGATCAGGTATACCAGGAGGATTCATTCAGCGATTATAGTTGTTTTCTACCTTGGGATTCACGTAGCTCGTATCTGCACAATGTTTTGGAAAGCTGGGCTGAACGAGTAGAAATAGGTGACTGGCAAGTAGACGAAGACAGAGTTGTAGATAGTATTAACAAGTTCAAACAGCTGATACTGCAGAACATTAGAAAGAATATTTTATTCCTTGGTGAGGTCTTCAATCTTATCAATAGTAGTGGAATTTTGAAAAGTTAGGATATGTTTGACATTTCTAACCTATTGATGTTCTGCTCATAAGTGATGGATTACATGCTATAGTAAACTGCCCACTAAAGTCCTGTCTTGGGTCACGCAAGTGGATTTTGCTGGTCCCTGGAAGCTTTGGTCCACCACTAGATGGCTGATGCACTATCTCAATCTGAAGCTGCGTGACCCATTCGTTGAAAGGTATGTTCGCCTTCTCAGCATCAAAATAGAAACTCGCGGGATTGACGCCAGGACAACTCTCTGCGCCCTGTTGTCCACGTTCCATATAAAAGTTGTCATGCAATGTTATGGATCTCCCCCGGTACCCAAGCACGGACAGTTCAACATATTGCAGGCTGAGGTGATCTGCCCAGAATTCGAATACACGCTTCCAGAGCCCCTGTATCTCGTTTTTAGCCTCCGTAGACATTGAAGTGACCCAACTACTGGTGTTTTGAGTCAGGGGCCCTAGATCGGGTGCTGATGCTATCCCATCAACTAAGCTGACTAATCGCAGACTCAGGCGTTTTAACGTTGGAGCTGCTTTCCGTAGAAATTCCTCGAGGCTATTCACTGTCACTTCAATTGAATGAAGATGAAGTTCCTCTAGTTGGGTGAATTGAATTCTTCGAGACACATTCTTGAAATAGAGAGGGGATAGTTCTTCTATGGGGCTCCATTGAGCAAAGTGTAGGGTCTTCAACGTCGGTGAAGCCGTGAACATGATATTAAGAAGACGATTAAACGTGTTTTCGTCGAGATTTTCTTGTTCGTGATCTCTGAGGCGAATACAAATATGCAAAGTCGTCAGATCCTTCAAGAGTGGAAGCAGCGATTGATCCTGTGACTCTGGCAGTTGAAAGGATTCTAACGCCATGCCGCAAAAGTTATGGCCGCATGTGTGGAGAGATTTGACTTTTCGACTGGATTTGATTACGGCGTTAAGTAGTTGTGAGAATACCAAACTGTAAGGTATATGCGATAGGGTCTGAATATGCATTGGAACAATCTTGAAGTTGAAATGACTCTTCAATGCTTGTAAGCCCAGACAAGTAAAGTCAGTGTTCCTCGCTGTATTAAGGAGGAACCTTGTGTCATAACGCCGTAGCCCAAGGGTGATAGCGTTCTCAAGACGCGGTAGGCATTTTTCAAGGCGACCCAATAGTCCCGGAGATTCAAGAATGGCACGATGTTCTACCATTGTAGCTTCGAAGACGGCGAATAGAGCCTCGAGCGCAGCCTGATCTTCATTTTTTTCTTCTACTGTCGGAGGACGTCCCAATCTCAACACCCATTTCATGTTATTTACCTTTGTAAAATCTGCCTTATCCAAGCCTGCCCAGTGATCGAACAAGTTCGGAATGATCCAAATTTCTTCGACTGAGCGACGAAAGATTTCACTAGATGCAACATGCTCCAAGCGATCAAGACCTTCACGGGTGAGAAGAAGTGTGACTCTTTTGAAATATCGCGTTGCATAGGCTTCCAGTGTGTGGTCATATATTTGGCGGCAAGTGATCCGGAGTGCGCCCCATTCTTGAGGCTCTACATGCTCACAAATACGAGTCAACAGCTCTAAAGGCAGATCTGTGATCGACATGTTGCGCAGGTTTATTTAGGCCACACCAAGGTAGGCACTATTGGTACCCTTGAATATTGTGATTACGTGAACCGTGAATGATGATGGTATTGAATGAGATTAGGATTCATAGAGGAAAAATTCCATGCATAGTTCCGATTCAAGAGGTGCCGAGACAAACCTTTAGTACAGGGAATCCCCCCAGTCCCGGTGGCTGTGGACCTGCCAGTGGCCAACTCCCGCGAAGAGGGGTAATTCCCGAGTCGCGGGGCCACTTCGGCTGTAGCAGAGCCCCCGCTTAATCACCAATAAAAATCAAATAACATCAAAATAAAAATAAAAATAAAAACTACCTGATTTTGAAACCAATTTCGAATGTATTCCCAGTCGCTTTCCATGTCCACGATTGGATTTGATATGATCGTGATTGTGTTTGCAAATTGAACTTCTAATTGACCCCTAGCAGCAGAGGGGATGGGACGTAATATTATAGTATCCAAACATTTGACAGGTGACTGAGCCAAAAATTCCATCATAATCACCATTCAGACGCCGCTTTTAGGCCTCGTCTAGAAATCGGTCCAATCTTGGAGGAATTCAAAATAGAAGGTGGCTGGTGTTGTGCCTTGCCAGTCCGTTCGGGTGTTTTAGTACCACCAAGACACAGCGAAAAAGACACAGTTTTTAGTATTCTGATAAGCATATTTCGTCACAATGATACTGTCCGTAGCCTATCTGGCTTCTGTCACAGGTTGTATCGCCATATCGAGACAGTTAACAATGTTGTCTGCGAGTGGAAAATCAGCATTTGTTAAATGGGAGAATAATCAAGTACATTTTAGTGATGTATGTTAACTGAGTAGGTGGGGCGTCCTTTTCTGCACTAGCGCCATGCGTTTTATTGGGGGTGGCTAGCTCGAACCGTTGGCTTTCTACGGGGCTCAGTTCTACTCAGTGATCAAAAGCCGCGAGGCAGTGAGCACTGATTTCACAATTTTGACAAGTGACAAGTCACTAGAGTCCTCTCAAACAACTTGAGCTTTGACTTAAAAATTAAATTCTTAGCATTCGAAGTTTCTTTGATTCTCCATCTGTAGGTCTTAGTAGTTGCTGATATAGGACTCCGAACTCACGTGCTTTCGTGTTCCATGTTCCCGACCACCACCCGAATTACGTGGGTTTTCGCGTTTCCATTTCTCTCGAATGTTCGTGCTTTCAAGGTTTCAATTTCAACTCACTGAACAGGAGTTAAACGGATATCGAATATTACCCATGTGACTCCTTATCTTCTATCCCAATGGGATTCAAATTCGCCTTTCTCGGTGAGCTTCTGTCGAGTCTCGAGGATCACCGGCTCCCCAATACGAATTCGTCAGGCAAGAAAGACGAGTCGGATTTCCAAATCATCGCAAAATGGTTCAGTCAACATGCTCGCCATATCAATCACCCAGACACCGACAGGCTAGCTCTACTATCGTGCATGTTTCCCGAAAGGCGCCCTGATCGAGTTTACTGGCTACAAGCGACCTCGCTTGCTCGCGTCATTGGCCGCTGCTTGGGACTAGGATCATCGCGATTATCGGAACTAGATCAGTGGAGAAAACCCGGGGGTCCAGATCTAGGCCAATGTGTCCAAAATGTGATGTGTCAAGCCGAAAACCATGTTTACCTTGAGAACGAGGTTTCAGTTGAAGAAATCGATGAAGCACTCGGTCTCATTGCCTCAAGATGTCGCTTCTCTGGTCCTCAAGTTCGCCGACAGCATGCCGCGGTCGATGTTGATATGGTTCTGTCACCTATCTATCGTCGACTCAGTAGTCGCGATGCAAAATGGCTCACCCGTATGATATTGAAGAACTACGGTCCTGTATCTTTCCCTGAACGATATACCCTGGAAAATTTCCACTTCCTTCTTCCGCATCTCTTGCATTTTCAAAACACCTTTGAAAGTGCTCTTCAAATGCTCCAGTCTAAGCCATTATGCCATTTCCCGCCTCGGCCAGATCCCAAAACTACAACGGCCCTGTGTACTATTGCACTGGATCATTTGCGCCCGAGAGCGGGAATAAAGATAGGCCGCCCGGAATACTACAAAGCGCGAAGCATCAAACATTGTGTTGAGATGGCACGTGGTCGCCGAATGAGTATTGAGAGGAAATATGACGGCGAATACTGTCAGATTCACATTGACCTTGATAGTAAGCAAATACCCATCCAGATATTCTCAAAAAGTGGTAAAGACTCCACTGCAGATAGATCTGGGATCATATCAAGCCTGGAGAAATCACTTGGAATTGGAACTGCCCAATGCAAGTTTACACGTCGTTGTATCCTTGAGGGAGAGCTAGTGGTTTGGAGCGACAAGAGACATGATATCGCGGATTTTCATAAGCTTCGAAAGTTCATGTCGCGTTCTGGAACCTTCATTGGAATCGAGAGTGATTCTCCACCTCAGCCATATGAGCATCTGATGATTGTTCTATTTGACGTACTACTTCTGGATGACGATGTCTGTCTGAGAAAGCCTCACCGGGATAGGCGGCTTCTCTTGAAAAACATGATACATCCGACCGCAGGACGAGCTATGATTTCGGAACAAGTAATACTCGATTTTGGCCAAGCTAGATCTAGCATTTACAATCGTTTGGAGACTACCTTCTCAAATGCAATAGCTCGCAGATGGGAAGGCCTTGTGCTGAAGGCATGCGATGAGCCCTACTTCCCTATCTACTCTGCTGGAGTAGACAATTCATTTGGACGATGGATCAAGCTTAAAAAAGACTATATCCCTGGACTTGGCGATACAGTTGATCTCGCTTTGATCGGTGGATATTATGATGCCCATGATGCTGCAGCTCATTCATCCACAACCAAGTTAAAATGGACACATTTCTTAGTTGGCTGCCTGATGAACAAGGAAGGTGTCATGAAATCTGGCCAAGTTCCTCGCTTTCAAGTGATCGATGTAGTCAATCATCACTGCATGCACAGAAGTATAATGCAGCATCTCAATCATTCCGGGGACTTTCTTGCTCGGGATCCTTGTGATCTCGATGAATATAACGTTGAATACGGGAACCAGGCTATTCCGCAGGCATCCAAACTTTTCAAGGACCCATTCGTCGTGGAGATGATGGGAAGCGGCTTTGAGAAGCCCTCAGGAGTCCGCTATTTTGCCCTACGTTTCCCACGTATCCTCAAAATACATGCAGACAGAAACTTCAAGGATGCAGCGTCTTTTAGGGAATTGCAAAATCTAGCAGAAGAAGCTAGGTCTATACTCACAGAAGATCTCCCAGAGGAAAGAGAGCATTGGCGCAAACGCCTCAAAGTTGGTAGCGGACTTGATCAGTACATGGTTCAACGATCAGAAAGCCCGTCATCTCGCAGCTCGAGTGCTGAACCAGATCATCACTCAAGTACAGCCAGTACAACGAGTGTTGAAGAACACACTCATAAACACATAAGCTCTCCCGTAATCTCCAAACCCACACAGTCGCAAAGCCACAGCAGTATTAATGCTCCACCTGCTGTATATATCGACGAGACGATAATACACTCAGATCCCGCGCAATCACAACCGGAGGCCAACGTGTTGACTGAGAATGAGAATTTATCCCAACGGCAAAATTACAGCCAGGCAGCGTACACTACTGAAAGCCTCGATGAATTGGTACCAAAGCTAAAAGCTAAACAAAATGTCCCTACGAAAAGAAGTCAGCCCGTCAATACCCTGGTATCTCTGCACCAGACACGTGCAACAAAAGATGAACACCATGATGCAACGCCATACGAACAACCACCTCAGTCTCCATTAACTACGATCCCCGTATATATGTCTGGAACATGTTCAGGAAATAGAGCGGTATCCGAACCAGATAATACAGGGCTACAACAATTTTTGAAGTCACTGGGCTCCCAAGAAAGTAGGAAATCCTTACGCAAGTCCAACCCCCATGCAGCCTCTCAGGGCACGTCAATCGGCATCGTTCTCGTCAATCCGGCCGAGGCAACATTGGGCCGAGAGATTCAGCGAACGGCAAAATGCCTTTCACAGACCTTCAAAGATAAAATATCTTCTCCTTTGAAGGGAAGGATATTCTTTTTAGACTCTCTTCTCTTGGAACAGAGTCTTCATCCCGGGGATCTCAAATTTTGTTTGTCCGGAACTTGGTCTGATCTCAGCAAACAGTATTATTATGCTTGTCTTCATTGGCATCAGAAACAGCCGGATAAGAAAGACCACTCAAGAACAAGTGATCAACAGAAAGAAACAGTTAGCCCAGTTCTAGCAGTCAGTTTCGAACGAGACAACCTATTAGCATTGGGGGAGTATATTAGCACCAACCCACCCATCCATTCTCGTGGTGCTGGCAAACACAACATTGTACATAAAATATAGATAGCTACATCCATAGCAAAAGAGATTATGTAAAATTCGTTAATTATTAACTATTGAGCGAGTAAAACTAAATCCCACGCTATCATGACAGAGATAGATACCTGCCTTAAACACGGACACCGGAATGCAACACAAGCCTACATAGAATGGGAAGTTAACTTAACCCCCGCCCTCCCTCCTAGCTCGAACATCACTCATGAGCGCCCGCGCCTCTTCAACCTCAAACCCGTCCTGACATAACTCTCCCGCTAACTGATCCGCGCGATCTAAATCGCCCTGCCGTAAAGCATATTGTGCCAACCACAGCCGCGCCCTAGACGTGGTAGCAGTAGGACCTGTACCATGATGCCATGTTTCACTAGCGCTGGAGTCATCATTCTGCATCCCAAAAGATGATGTCCTCGGGCGGGGCTTGCGGCGACGACCTTGGCGCGTATCTCCATCGTCATCGGAGTGATTGGCTTCGTCGTCACTGTGGGCTGCATTCTCAGATGCAGAGGAGTATTCATCCTCATCCGAGTTAACTTCTTCATTAACAGGTGCACCTCCAGATTCTTGCTGAAGAGTCAACTCCATATACGCAGATGCTTCTTCTTCATCACCAAGACGCTCGTAGAGAGTTGCAATTTGATGTAATGTTTCGATATCGAGAATCTTCCGAGTACCAGAGCCAGGACTTGCACCAACTGCTTGTCCGCCGTCTGCATTGTATGCGCCCGCAGCAAGCGCGCGCTTAAGAGCTTGAATACTTTGTTCGACACGACCCATTTTTGCATAGCAAGAACCGACTGCTTGCCACATCTTAGGGTCATATGGCTGTAAAGCCGCGGCTCGTTGGTAGTAGAAGAGTGCGTAGAATGACATATCAAGAACTTCATACGCTTGGCCTAGACCGTACCAGGCACGATAATCTTTGCGGTTCACGTCGACAGCACGGCGGTATGATTCGATGGCGGTATGGGTGTTTTTCATTTCAATGTACTCGTGTCCCATTAGGGTCCAGGCGGACAAAAAATTGCGGTCTAGTGTTAGGGCGCGTCGGAAATACATGACTGCTTTTTCGTGTTCGGACTTCAAGGAATAGTAGTTGCCTACTACACAGCAGGTTTCCGGTCGAAATTTGTCAGTGGCGGTCGCGATTTGAGCCACGAAAGCGAGCTGTGGTCGGGCACCCATGACATATAGGATATTGGAGTAGTGATCAAGACTGTCTAGGCGATGTGGGGAGGTAGCCAGAATTTCATTGAATATTTCAGCTGCTTTGTCAAAGTCTGAATATACTTAGTAATTGAACGATCAAGAGAGCTATTGCATTTGTTCTTACCTTTATCATGGTAATATAGGAGAGCTTCTTGGGTTTGGAGGAATGCATTGGTGGGAAATAGGGCCTGTAACTGATGGAGATCTCTGTAGGTTTCTGGTGTTGTTTGGTAGAGTTCCTGGCTGCTGTAGGTGTGGAAGATTAAGGTCATGACATTTCTGGGTAAACGGTCGACAATTTGTTTAAGCTGCGAGCAAAAATTAGTATGAATATTAAATGTCACTGATGCCGCGGACCGGCTCACATCTTCATTGTTTGCCAATAGATCCCCAAGTTCTTGCCATGCACCCCAATGGAAGGGATTGCGATGCACACTTTTGATAAGCCATTTCTTCGCCAGATCCTCATTTCGTCCTTTGAGCAGGACAACGGCATATAGATACTCTAGCCATCCTTGTCCCTGCTCTTCAAGACCTTTTGCGCTGCGATCCATCAGCCACCCCTCTAGGCCTCGGGCAAGATCTGGTAATTCTCGATTAACAGCCATTCCCCCATCGGCCGGACCTAGGACCATTTCTGTTTCCTCATCTTTACGCTTCTCTCCTGCAATGAACTTCGCATAAAGCGCAAGGAATAGCGATTTTTGACTGAGATTTGGATAGGGATTTTGGCGGGGCTGATTTTTGGAGGGCGTGAACGGAGAGGACTTTTCTTTGCTCTTGAGCGATGTCCGGGATTGTCTGGATTTGGGATTTGGCGAGGCAACGGTGAGAGGAACTGGGGATGTAGTAGGGGGAAGGAATACGGCAGCACAGCGGTCGTACTCCCGAGTGTCGAAGTAGGATTTGGCGAGGAGGTATTTATGGGTTTCTCGGGCTTCAAGGGCTGCTTCGGTGGGGTCTTGCGCGCCTAGGTATGGATTGATCGGTGGGATGGATGATTCCGTATCCATGGGTGATTCGGAATCAGTGTCGTCTTCGTCAGTTAGTAGTAGTGAATCTAGCATCTCTGCTGCCCTAGATACCGACAAGCTCGTTAATTTTCCTGCGTGCTACTGCGTGCGGGAGGGATACTGGGTGTACCATTTTGATGACTGATATAAACATCGCTCTGAGCATTTGATTGCCGCTTCTTCATATCGGTGTCTCAATTCCTGGATGACATCTGTTGTGATCTCCATGGTTGCCATCTTTTCTTTGCGACGCGGTGGACGTCTGGATCTTTTATATACCGCAGGGCTCTGAGCAGGTGGAAGCCGAATAGCGAGTCCACGTATTCAAACAGTCGTCACTATGGCCTTGCCGCGAGCTCCGGTAGAATTGGCGCAATTCAACAGTTTCGGTGGTTGTCGCAACGATGCTGGAGCACACAGTGGGCGCGTGTCAGTGCGGTGAATTCAGAAGGAACGGCGGTCGATCCCGGCCAGCAGACCATATCAAGGCCAGACGGTATTTGGTATTCGAGGTGATTCTCCCCGAGAGACAAATGTCCAATTGATGCTCACGGTAGATAGACGAGACCGAAAAATGATCGTGATGAAGTTCGAATCGCGCAAAGCAGCTACAACTGTCAATAAGACAAACACCGCAAACAAGCCAAGACGGAACTAAAACAGACTAGCGTGAGCCCCTCTTCCGCGGGGGAAAATCATTTTATTAGCTAATAAAACAATTAATTAACTCAATTGTCTATTTGTGCCTGATCCTTCTCCGCCATTCACTGTCTTTCCTTTGGATTGTGTCTTTCATAACCCCTATCAATCATGGCTCTCACTACCAAGCGCGCCGATTTCGAGGCTGTCTTCCCCAAGCTGCGTGAGGATATTCTGTCCCATGCTAAGCGCTACAACCTCCCCGCCAACGCCCTTGAGTGGTTTGAGAAGGTGCGACACTTCGTTATTGAAACCATTGGGCTTGAATATATGAGACCAATTAAAACTGATGGAAATTATATAGGCCCTAAATGTCAACGTTCCCGGTGGAAAGCTGAACCGCGGCCTCTCCTGTCCCGATACTGGCCTTGCGCTACTTGGCAAGCCCCTGACCGACCAACAATTCGAGGATCTCAGCGTTCTGGGATGGCTCACCGAGCTGCTCCAGGCTTTCTTCCTGGTTAGCGATGATATGATGGATGGCTCAATCACACGTCGTGGCCAGCCTTGTTGGTACCGCCAGGACGGCGTTGGTCTGATCGCCATCAACGACGCCTTCATGCTCGAGGCCTCCATCTACCTTATCCTCAAGCAGCGCTACCGCTCCCACCCCGCCTACATCGACCTCGTCGAGCTCTTCCACGAGACTACCTGGCAAACCGAGCTGGGTCAGCTCTGTGACCTGACCACCGCCCCCGAGGACAACGTCAACCTCGAGAACTTCTCCATGGAGAAGTACATGTTCATTGTTACATACAAGACCGCCTACTACAGCTTCTACCTTCCCGTTGCTCTTGCCCTCCTCTACTTGGAGCTGGCCTCCCCCGAGAACCTTAAGCAAGTCCACGACATTCTGATCCCCCTGGGCCAGTACTTCCAGATCCAGGATGACTACTTGGACAACTTCGGTGACCCAGCCTTCATTGGCAAGATCGGTACCGATATCCAGGACAACAAGTGCTCTTGGTTGATCAACCAGGCCATTCAGCGTGCTTCTCCTGAGCAGCGTGCCGTGCTTGATGCCGCCTACGGCCGCAAGGACAAGGAGCAAGAACTCAAGGTCAAGGCTGTCTTCGACGAGCTGAAGCTCGAGCAGGTATACAAGGAGTACGAGGAGAAGGTTGTCGGTGAACTCCGTGCCAAGATCGCTGCTGTGGATGAGAGCAAGGGCCTGAAGAAAGAGGTTCTTGAAAGCTTCCTGAGCAAGATCTACAAGCGTACCAAATAAGTCATTCGAGCTATTGATCTTTTGGTGACATAAAAACATTAATACCTGAGAATGGGGCAGTGGGAAGATAATGTGCAAGTCTGGCTATTTAAGCTCCCAGCCTCTATTACGAAAATAAAACCATTAGAGTTTCAGCGTTGAATATATCCCTATTATACTTATATACTGCAATTTACAATATTTCGAAATTATTTGCCCAGGACGAAACAAAAACTCAGGTGCTTCAACTGGAAAAGCCCTGCATCATATCTCCTATTCCCCCCAGGAAATCGGATTCGCCAGAATGACCTGGTACCGTCAAATTAGCGCTTGGTACCTCTAGATCGAGGAAGTCTTCGCCCTCCAGGTCCTCATCGACCGTAATACCCCTTAGTCGAGGAACAAGGTCAATATTACATCTGACCTCCGTGACCTTCTCCTGGTCCAGGCTTCTGAAAACCATCTCCACGAGAAAATTCCACCTCATGAATAGGTTGTACGTTTTAAAAGTCGGAACACAGCCACGTGGGATTTCAAAAGTTACTTTGCACGGCGCATCTGAATATGATTTGCCATCCCCTGCAGGGGTAAATTGGTGTCTTGGTGTCCAGCTCTTAGTAGCTGAAGCGGCACCTGGCAATAAAAGCTCATGCGTTCCACCAAGAGGCGTTTGCTTCCCACGAACGCCCAGCGAGTCACAGAGACGCACGGTGACTCGATGTAGTGACACAAGAGGAAACTCAAAACCAGGAGTTATTCCTGACAGCTCCATCTGGATAGATATTTCGACCTTCTCTCCTATCACGGCGTAGATTGGAACTTTGACCGTTGGTGCCAGCCAGATCCGTTGCGTTGATTTGAAAGCGCTCTTAATTCGCGAAGAGAAGCTTTTCCTCTTGGTAGGGTTTTGATCAATACCGAGGAGACCCTTGCTAAGTTGCATAACATCCATATTTGCCTCGAGGTCTTCAACGGTCACATATGGCCCAGTTATTCGTACCATCTCTGGATACGACTTCATTTTAGACGTTTGGTCACCATCGCCCATGAACACAGTCGCAGTGACTTTAAATTTGATTGTTCCCCATGCAACTGCTGGATCCCCGCGTGATGCCCGACGAGGCATGTTGATAGATGGCGGCAAAGGATGAACGTCTGAGCATTCAAAGGCAGGATCATCTGGCCACGAGTGTCGCCAGTACGAGCGCCCTTCATTGATATTCTTCGCTGAATTGGACGGATTTGTTTCCACAGAAAGAGGCACGGTGAGTGAGAACGGAGTGATAGTAGATCCCACATAATCCGATGCCTCCAGACGAGTTGTTTGATACGTTAACAGCGACCGGCTTTTATTGACCACTCCCCCTCCAGGCTGGATGTAGGATTTGCTTCGCCCTTGAAGGGATATCTCTAAGAAGCCTTGATTTGTCCATGGATCCCATCCATGAACACTCCCAGTGATGCTATCGCCTGGTGCATAGAGGCGGTTTGGGTAGTCAATAGCTATATCTAAATCGGTCATTTTAGCCAGTGATGCAGAACCAATATGGAAAATTATTCAATGCGAGATTTGATAGGTAGTATGTATTTATGGGTTGGTTGAAGGCCGAGAAGCCAAGGCGGGTGTCAAGCTCCTTTTAGCATGAGGGGCAGACATCAATGCACTGGAATGTGTTGATCATTGCCTATAGTGAACATGACTAGAGCCCCATTGATGAAAATAGACGGGAATTAAGTGGCTAAGCAAGTCAAAGCGCTGTTCAGCGGCTCGGACTCAGCTTGGACCCGTTCCTGTATAGCATCCGAGTTCTGCTTGATGTATTCAGACCACGCAGTACGTACATAGACAGACAACCAAGTGGAAAGAAAACCGCAAATTCGGGTGTCGCCATACTATTATTAGTTTTTCTCTCTATCTAATGTAATAATGCTTGAAAGAATTGATGTAGGTTTAGCTTCAGGAAAAGACTGAGGCGGGCGTGGTCAATGGGATATTGTTCTTGGTTGACTAATTAGGACAGCTGATTCACTTTTTGACTTCTTTGCTTCCAATTGAACATTTTGCTGCCGTCAAAAGAATAACTCTCCTTGATTTGGGTCAATTTTTGGGGGGGAAAGATGATCACAAGGTGAACGTTTGACCCGAATATACCACTGCGTAGTGTGATGGCCAGGTAGAAATTTGAAAAGAATAGAACAATCTAGTAGTTTGTATCATATCAGTTAGGAAACAAGCTCTCGATCCACGAGCTAGCAAGAGCACAAGTCTCTGAAACCTAAAGCTCGATAGTGTAATCATCTCATGGCCAACATTGAACTTTGACAGGGTGTGTTAGTACAGTATTTCCGGAAATCGGTGTCACCCCGCGCACTCTTTCATTGTTCCCCAGACCCTAGATGCCAAGATAAACTAAGCTACTTTCGGACAAGCTATATCAGCCTCATTTGTTCTTAAACCGTACCGTAAATTACCGGGTTATCGTATTGGCGGGAAAATTGTTTATTACCTGTAAGACGAGAAGTTCTCGTCAACTTCCCCAATCCCCTCACTGAGTGGTGCAACGAACCATGGCTCCCAACCTAGCAAGGTTTAGCGCCCGGCAGTCACCTGAGAGCGGGGTAAAGACAAGGTGACTTTCAGGAGGTGGAACTTTCGCTCGGCTTGGAGCAGCCCCATTTTACGCACTGAATATTCAGAATGAGCCCGATGTCTTTTGGTAGTGCGAACTCGGGTCTCCAACTTGGAAATAATCATGGGACAATCGGGACAATCAACTTTTCATCCGGTATGTGTCAAGAGTCCTCGAAAAGCCGTAATAAGGTGACTAACACTTTGGCCCAGACCGACTGGAAAACCCAGTACAGAAGACAGACAACGGTTCGCTCCACACTGTACCGGTCAAAGACAATCTGACTTACCACAGACGCAGAGCTGCGCAGGTCACTAGCATTCCCACATATGCTAGATCGGAGGGATAATATCGAGCCATGTCACACGAATACCTGCCAATGGATTTTAGAGCTGGACGAGTATCAGTCCTGGAGGAATCAGTCCTGTGGTCTATTATGGGTTAAAGGAAAGCCGGGTGCAGGAAAATCGACCTTGATGGCCTTCCTACATAACAAACTCAAAGAATCACAGGACGGCATTCATAATATTATTCGACTGGATTTTTTCTTTACCGCCCGAGGCACGGAGATGCAACGTACACCACTTGGAATGCTTAGATCGTTATTGAACCAGATCTTCGACCGTGACGCGACCATACGCCCTCAGGTGCGCGATATTTATGAGCAACGATGTAGGCAGTTTGGGGGAGAACGTAAATGGGAATGGCCGCAAACGATACTTGAAGAATTATTGGCAACTGCGATCCTGGCATCCGCCAACGATCAGCCTGTGATTATCTTTGTGGATGCTCTAGATGAGGCTGGGGCTGAGTCTGCTCAAAAGCTTGCAGCATATTTCCACCGTCTTGTTGATCGTGCTGACAAAAAGAAGCTAACTCTTCAAGTCTGCATCTCCTGTCGACACTATCCTATCTTGGAAAGTGCCCGGGCAAGAGCGATACATGTCGAAGACCACAATCAAGATGACATTGCTACATATATCAAGGATACGCTTCTTGAGACAGAGTTGGAAGATGTTCCTGATCAAAAGAAAATAGAGGGGCTGGTGGAGGAATTGACCAAGCATTCCAAGGGTGTGTTCCAATGGGCCCATCTTATAATACCCCTTGTCAAGCGAAAGGTTATCGAAGGGGAGTCAATCAGTGATATCCGTGATTGGCTGGGCGATGTACCAGCCGATCTAGAAAACGTCTACGTATATATTCTGAGCAACGTGATCACGGCTAGCAATCGAGACCAGTCATTCCTATTCTTTCAATGGGTGTGCCTGGCCGAGCGACCCCTGACTCTAACAGAAATTCGATACGCACTGGCAGCGAAGACTGCTCAACTAACGCCATCTCGAATCGAATGGGAGAAGCTCCACGGCTTTATCGAAAGCAATGAACGCATGAAGAAAAGAGTCAAAGTTCTTTCTGGTGGACTGGCAGAAGTAGTCTCAAGTGGGAAAGATGAGGAGACCGTACAGGTGGTTCACCAGTCGGTCAATGATTTCTTCCGGGCAAAAGGACTGGCCTTTTTATACCATGGCTTCAGCGCTAGCATGGGATCCGTGGATATGGACAGTATTCTCTCTCAGTCTCAAGCAACTCTTTATCGATCGTGTCTGGTATATCTTGGCGCGATGTGTTCAAACAAACAAATGAGTAACTTTCCGGGCTCAAGGGAGAAGCTTGTCTGTGATCACCCATTTGTGAAATATACGACCATCAATCTTTTTATCCATGCTGAAAAAGCCACCGGCTCACGAGGTGCCTTGCTGCAGAATGAAATAGACATTCTACAACGAATGATCAGTTATTGGGTTGAAATCTACCGATGCCTTGATACTTATTCCACAGCATGTCCACCCACAGGCACAACAATTTTACATATAGCTGCCGCTGCCAATCTGGTTGACGTGGTGATATCTGCGTTGTCGGATGAGGAGGATATAGAGAGAAAAAACGAAGTTGGAGATACAGCATTACACTTCGCTGCACGAGCAGGGCACACGATAACCGGCAAAATACTGCAGGAAAGAGGAGCAAACCGAGAAGCGAAAAACAACGGTGGAGCGACTCCTTTAACGGAGGCGGCCAGATGTGGACATTTGGGGTTTGTTGAATGGCTTCTACACGAGGGCGTGGAAATTGAGGCAGGAGGTGGGGGCGCGCTACAAAAGGCTTCATTGGAAGGTCACAGTGCGATTGTAGAGATTCTACTCGCGGCTGGAGCGAATGTCAACGCCCAGGGTGGTCAATACGGCAATGCCCTACAAGCTGCTGCATGGAGAGGAAGTGCTGAGACGGTCAAGATCCTGCTCGACGCTGGGGCCGATGTCAACGCCCAGGGTGGTCAATACGGCAATGCCCTACAAGCTGCTGCATGGAGAGGAAGTGCTGAGACGGTCAAGATCCTGCTCGACGCCGGGGCCAATGTCAACGCCCAGGGCAGTCAATACGGCAATGCCCTGCAGGCTGCTGCATGGGGAGGAAGTACTGAGACGGTTAAGATCCTACTCGACGCCGGGGCCGATGTCAACGCCCAGGGTGGTCAATACGGCAATACCCTACAGGCTGCTGCACGGGGAGGAAGTGCTGAGACGGTCAAGATCCTGCTCGACGCCGGGGCTGATGTCAACGCCCAGGGTGGTGAATACGGCAATGCCCTACAAGCTGCTGGCGTTGCATGGAGAGGAAGTGCTGAGACGGTCACGATCCTACTCGACGCCGGGGCCAATGTCAACGCCCAGGGCAGTCAATACGGCAATGCCCTGCAGGCTGCTGCATGGGGAGGAAGTACTGAGACGGTTAAGATCCTACTCGACGCCGGGGCCGATGTCAACGCCCAGGGTGGTGAATACGGCAATGCCCTACAAGCTGCTGGCGCTGCATGGAGAGGAAGTGCTGAGACGGTCACGATCCTACTCGACGCCGGGGCCAATGTCAACGCCCAGGGTGGTCAATACGGCAATGCCCTACAAGCTGCTGCATGGGGAGGAAGTGCTGAGACGGTCAAGATCCTACTCGACGCCGGGGCCGATGTCAACGCCCAGGGTGGTCAATACGGCAATGCCCTACAAGCTGCTGCATGGAGAGGAAGTGCTGAGACGGTCAAGATCCTGCTCGACGCCGGGGCCGATGTCAACGCCCAGGGTGGTCAATACGGCAATGCCCTACAAGCTGCTGCATGGAGAGGAAGTGCTGAGACGGTCAAGATCCTGCTCGACGCCGGGGCCGATGTCAACGCCCAGGGAGGTGAATACGGCAATACCCTACAGGCTGCTGCACGGGGAGGAAGTGCTGAGACGGTCAAGATCCTGCTCGACGCCGGGGCTGATGTCAACGCCCAGGGTGGTGAATACGGCAATGCCCTACAAGCTGCTGGCGCTGCATGGAGAGGAAGTGCTGAGACGGTCACGATCCTACTCGACGCCGGGGCCAATGTCAACGCCCAGGGCAGTCAATACGGCAATGCCCTGCAGGCTGCTGCATGGGGAGGAAGTGCTGAGACGGTCAAGATCCTACTCGACGCCGGGGCCGATGTCAACGCCCAGGGTGGTCAATACGGCAATGCCCTACAAGCTGCTGCATGGAGAGGAAGTGCTGAGACGGTCAAGATCCTGCTCGACGCCGGGGCCAATGTCAACACCCAGGGTGGTCAATATGGATCGTCTCTCTTAGCGGCTATTTCCTTGGGCCATGCTAATGTTATTGAAGTTCTTTTTCATGCTGGCGCAGATATTAGCCTTACAGATGCGCTCGATCAGACCCCCCTTCACATTGTAGCTTCAAAAGATATGGCTCACCTTCTCTTTCGATTTCCGCAACTTGCTTCAGCTATCAACAAGCGCAACAAGCTCCTGCAAACCCCTCTCCACCTGGCTATCTGCTTTGGCCACATCCACCTTGCTATAAAACTTCTTCATCTTGGTGCCGACCCTTCTCTTCCAGACGGCTATGGCAGACATGCTATGGACTGGGCCATTGGGCAAGGAACTTTGATGCGGGAAATACGTGAACTTTGTCCTCAGCTCTCATTGACACCTCACGAAACTCAAGAATCAACTGTACAACAATCCCTCTTCCACCTCTCCGATTATCTTCCTGAGCTCTGCCCGAACTATGCATGGATAATTTTGCAACAATTAGCTCGGTATTTTCTGTTTCTTCATGAGATGAGCAACGCACGCCATCTCTTTCAAGTTCGCCTCCCTCAAAATAACACCCGTCCCACTCATATGTGCAAGGCTATGTGTAATTTCTGTGATGAGCCTATCACTGGGACTCGTTTTATATGCAGAATCTGCGCGAACATGGATATCTGTTCTTCCTGTGTTCTCAAGTATACTTTTCACCACACATTATACTCAGATCAAAAGCACGAGGTCTTTGATATTTCTGGCCTGCCTGATAACGAATCTCAACTCACTGGACCAGTGTCACAGCAATTGATTCACTTCCTCCAATATTCTTATGAGCATCTCGGGGAGAACAGCAATCAATCTGAGATGAAGCTATCGAAAGATTCCTCATCTTTACTATCACTACAAAAGAACGCTCTGGATCCAAACACTTCGTTGAAACCAGTATTTTTATTCTCTGCGATCTTGTTCGGGCTGCTAGCCACCTTCTTGGGGTCTTGGTACTTCTAGAGCTATCTTAACTTAGTCCGTACGGTCAGCATGTCCCTTTTTTACTCAACAGGCTGCAGAACGAACACATCTGTATGGTGGCTTCCGGCTATAAACTATTCCGTGTCTTGTTTGTAGCTAAGAATCTTCCGTACAGCCTAAGTTTCAGGAAATGCCAGTAGATGTTCAGTAATGTAGCCATTCTCCTTGCATTTACGCATCTCAATATATCTTGCCGCTAAGTGATTTACAAATGTGTCAAGCATAATCTAGCAATGAGACGAAGGAGATAGTGACGAGGATACTACAGGTGGCGGTCATTTACGGCCAGGGGTAAAGGCATACGAGGCAGTAGGGTCGCGTAAATTGGGCAGACAAGGTTGGTAGATGTAATCATTATCGAAAGCAGTGTAAGCTATCCCCTCCAAGCAGTAGATACTAATGAGGAGCCTATTCATGGTGCCATCTTCAGTGAGCTGGAAATAAAGAGGCTGCCATCGCGCATAGGGTAAGAGGAGTATGTGTTTGACAGGCTGAATATGGTGATCAGCAGGATCGCTGATCTTCTCTGATTGGAAAGATCGGCCCGTGCAGTCAAATTGTGGGGTTGTTAAGGTCGTAAGATTGCGGTTAAGTGCTAGGATTGCCACTTGGATACGCCGTGTGGATGGGGAAGCTGACAAGTTCTAGCGTTGCTGGAGCTGTTTGAACTGTTTGCATTGTGCCGGTTCCAGCAAAAGTCGTATCTGCTATACACACATGAGCATAGGGTATGTAAATTATATCTGCAAGTGATCGTATTCGTAAAATACCGGAAGATTGCTATTTTTATTTCTTGCTAAATAAGGTCTAGTGTATCTTGGCATTTAGGGTCTGGGGAACAATGAAAGAGTGCGGGGGTGACACCGTTTTTCGGAAATACTGTACACAGCGTTTCGCCCTCACTATCTAGTATAGCTATGCTTTTCCTCTCCTGCCTCTCTCATATACAACTCCACCCTCGTCACAACTCATCCGGTGAACAGTGACCAGACCACAGCATGTGCAATTGGACGCTCATGTTTCGTTATACGGCGAAGCTATCGTCGTGCTGGTAGCTACATATACCCTGTCTCCGTGTGATACCGTGATTTAAAGCTATCGGCTCGGCCACGAGGTAAAATAACCTAGTATAAAGAGGTGAGTAGAATTACGGGGCGTTGGCACAGTGGTAGCGCACCTGATTGCAACATTTGGATAATTCTATAACTAGATTACTGCCAAGCTATCACGCGTTCCATCCCCTCCTGTCCCTCTTTTCTTCTTCTTTTTCCTCCTTTCGCCGTCGCCTATCTTTTCCCTCTTATTTCAGTTTAGTAGTTTTCCCAGGAAACTCCGATAGCAAACAGTTTGTTTACTAATATCTCATCCTAAGTTAACTTTAGAGCTTCAAAATATAACAAAACTCGGATCAGGCTGGGTTAGTCAGGGCTTGCTTATTTTCAACTGAGCATACGACTTCCCTAAAAGAGCAAAAGCGTAGAGTATAAAATACTCAGAATAACTGTACGTTGTGAATATCATGATATATGTACATTTACAGCATCATCATGATCCTGCTTGTGTTGGATAATCCGTTGACTCAAAAAGCCTGCCTAGTAGGTGCTTACTTGGTGGATCTTCTGGATTTTATGGCTACTAGTACAGCTTGATATACCCAGGCTGACGACATGCATTCCGAGTCCGGACTGTGACAATCAGGACAATCAAGACTCTAACACTACGGAGGTTTCATCAATACAGGTTTAGATTTCAAATGTACGCCTAGGGTGTAGAGATGCGCAATGTTGTTTAGGTAGCTCATCAGCGAAAATATTTGCGAGGGAATGAAATAGTCTGATTTATGGATGGAGTCTATCAGGATCCTTCTATAGGCGCTTTCAACAATGCTTCATCATCCCGATCTCCAAATTCAAGTTCCAGATCATCTAGCTCTTCCCCACGATCAGCATCACTCCATCCTTGATGCTTCTTCGCATGACCACGAGATCGACCAGAGCCCCGGCCACAGAAGCTGCCCGGTAGGCATCTGTAAATGAGCCATGCACAAATTGCCAGAGCCCCAGCAGTGATGAAGCCCATACCAAAAAGCAAAGCAGGTGCAATATGCCCTTCACCAAAAGTTTTACTATCATCAGAATCAGTATCCTCGTCGCCCCCAAACGCAGCAATCTCATCATTCATTTCCTCAGGCTTCCACTCCATCCCCTGCGTCGCAACCAAGTATTCACCAAATTTATCAAGAGCCACAATACGCAGCGTCGTATACTCCACATCCAAAGGAAGAGTAATTCTAGTCTCGAACCCATTCTTCGGAACAGCAGTAATGAAACTGAACTCGATTGATCCAGATCCCGTCCCATTCGAGCTCAATCTCTTCACTCCCTCCAAAACCCAAGTAGCCACCTCCGTCGCTCCATTCCAACTAACAGCCGCCACAGTCCCCGACAACGCAACATCCGGCCGCGTAAGAGGCCGACCAATCCACTCCTGCTTAAAAGCGCGATAAGAAATAATCTCACCCAATTCAAAACCCACCCTCGGACCGAAATTCACGTCACACAACACCTCCCCGTCTTCTCCGAATTCAGTCCAGGCAGCATTATACCCGTATCCAAGGAATACATGGCCATTTTCAAGAACCTGCATTGATCCCTGAGACTGGCTACTAATCGGGACTGGGTTCCAATATTGTCCGCGAACAGAGGCAGTCATATTCACAGTGTCGATATTAATGAAGAGGCCTCGACTCGGATTTTGAGACGATTCTTTCCCCCCGAGAACCATTATCGAAAACTGATATTGCCTTCGTTGTATTCGGGACATGATCGTACTGTGGCTGAAATCGTGCATGATGCTGCCAGCTTACATTTGTCGCGGCGCCAGATGATAAATCTTCGAAGGAATTGTGTTTCCCACCTATTTGCCAGAGGACATTGCCGTTTGATCCATCAATATATGCGAGGGAATTTGTATATCGTGATGAAATTAGGTAATTGCCCGACTCGTCTTTGTCGACGCTGTTGATATGGAACCAGTCCCATGGTTCATGGAGCGAAGTGCCCGCGCCATTATACTCTATTTCAACATCTGAATAGTCGAAGTGATCAGAAGCGCGCCATTGAAAGAGTAGCTCGTTGGTTTCGATGTCGATTTCCTGGAAAATACTCTCATAGATCCAACCAGCTTCTGGGCCTCCGATTGACCGTAGATCCACCGATCGTACATCATATACAGTAAGCAGACCTGTCTCATCACAAGTAATATGAAATTCATGAAGATCAACAGGACGCCCGCTCGAGCCGCGCAGTTTATATTTCTCTTCATAATGAGAATTCAACTATAATAATAATCAGCATCAGCATCTCACCCCTTCCATTTCACATTGAATAAAACGATCTCACCATATACAACGTCCCCTCCCCATGTCCACGAACAGTATCATCCCCGGCCCAAAAAGTCAAATACCGTTCCCCCTTGTATTCATACACATTCGCATTATACGTAGTCTTATACTCCTTAAACCAAACCATATGGCCCTCATTATCAAGAATCATAGGTCCAGAATGCCGTACCGAAGTGCCCCGCGGCGAAATAATAGTATACAACCCATCATCACACGCGGGACTCTTTTCCCAGTAATTGAGGATAGGGCCTTGCGCGAAAAAACTGGAAAACAGCTGTGAAGGGAATGGACCTTCGAAGCCGTGGGCGTATTTCTCGGAGCGGAACCGATTTTCTTGATCTGCAGCGGCTATCTCGGAGATAAGAACCCAGACGAAGAACAAGAGCCAGGGCCAAGCCCAAGGCTGGAGTGGTTGGGTGGATGACATTGGAGATTGAGCTTGTTGTGCCAAGGACCCCAGAGGCGGGAGATTGTCACATTGGACAGATCATTATGAAGGATTGTGGGGAGTGAAAAGGAAAATGGACAGAGATTGAAGCGGAACTTGGTGTACGTGTACGAGTACGTATACGGAGTGATAGGGTATAGAGGCCAGGAGTTAGTTGCCTGATTGATGCCTTGACACCGGACTATGTGATAACTAACTAGTCTACTCCTGAAGCAAGAAAACTTGAAGTTTACGCACGATTGATTAATCAATTTACGAATGAAGAAAATATCTGCGCATGGTTTAATTTCCTGAATTCATTTCAATATATCAAGGAAATCAGACTAAAAGAGTGAAGTCCGACAGGGATAGGTAGCAACCCACAACCATCATCATAACAAATATGAAGATAGTCACAAATAAACCTAAGCAGAAGCAGAAACCTCCAACCGCTTAAATCCTCCCTTAGCAGCAATCTCCTCCTGAAGCGCCACCATCCGCTTCTGATCCCCAGTAGGATCAGCCGAATCCTCATCCAAAGTCCAAGAAAGATACTTATTAGTATAATTCGCCTCAAAGCTCTCATTCAGAATCCCCAATCTCTTTCCATAACGCGTAACCTTCTCCCAATCACGCTGGACATTCTTCAAATCACGACTGAAGTACGCATAGCTCCGCTCAAAGATCTTCCGATTAACCGCAGTACCCATAATAGGCTTAACATCAATATACTCCTCATATGCCTGATCAGGGTTGGCAAGAACATCATCCGTCGCACGCTTAACAGCACGCATAAACTTCTGAATCCGTTCAGGATTCTCAGCAATGAATTTATCATTTGCAATGTAGAGAATGGAACAGAAGCAGCAGCATCCTAGCTCAGCGAGCTGGTCGATACGGAGCATTTGGACGTCGGACTTTGGACGACCCTGGTCAGCAAGCCATTCGGCTAGCTCGACCATTTGGACGTTCTCGAGACCGATTCCAGCGTCGATGTCGCCGCGGATAATGGCTTTGGTTACGTTCATTCCGCAGCGAACGGCAGTGTAGTCATCTGCTGTCATGCCGTAGTACTTTGTCAGTTCGTCGATTTGAATTTTTCCGAATTCACCGACGTAGCCGATGCGTTTGCCTTTCAGGGAGCGGAAGTCTTCGGTTATACCGCTGGACTTGAGGTAGACGACTCCGGTGAAGGGCTCGTCGAGGAGGGAGCCGATGGAGGTCACGGGGAAGTTGCGTGCCTTGGCCTGGTGTATTATGTTAGTCTTGGATACTAGTTTTGTTTGGCTTATGAAGGTAAACGGACCGCCAGAGTGTGGATCATGGCCTTAAAACCCATGTCGACTTTGCCGCTGCCGATGATCTCGGTGACATCGGAGGGGTCATTGGGCTCAAGGAGAGCAACCTTGAGTCCCTCATCCTTGAAGTAGCCACGCGACTGGGCAAGGTAAAGGGGGGCGTGGTACGGGGTGGCGTGCCTATACAACACTTAGCCTATATTTTCACAGATCCGCAATACCTTAAACATCACGGAGTCTAATTCTGAAACAGTGTCTATTAGCATACCAGTTGGTCAGGAAGGTGATCTTGTCTGTAGCCATTTTGGTATAGGATCAAGGTCAACTGTACTTGACTCTGGTTAGTATCCCTGGAACAAGGGAATCCACATTCAACGATTCCAGCACTGCACTCGGATGTATATACCAATTCCTCTTCCTAGAGAGTAGATGTGTATATAATATGCAAGAGCCAGACTGAAGTCAATTGAAGCAGAAACCAAAGAAAAACAGCAAAGGGGGAACAGTTAAAGTCACGCATGTCCTTTCGCTAGTATTATCTAGATCAAGTTTTGACAGTATAATCTCAGAACGAGCAGCCTCTGTACTTGTACTTGCAAATAATTTCACCAGTACAAGTACAAAGACCAACTCGAACACCTGTCATGCGTTGCAGTGACCGTTATACCATGTACAATACCTTGATCCTGAGTTATTATAGCGAGCACCAGCGTAGAGCGAGCCCCACAGTATGCGGGGCAACACCCCGCAGCTAGGACGTGCGCGGCTCCATTGCAATTGCAGGAGAGTCGTACCGAGGTAGACTTAGTTGAGATAGATACCGTAGGAGGTGAAAAAGAATCAATTGATGATGAGAAGAAGAAGAGAAAAGAAAAGAAGAAGAAATGGCAAGGTTGGACCGGTCGGTAGAAATAAGTACCCTCGGAATCGGAGTGGGGTAGTCCGTCACGGTCCAGATTTGGTCATTATGATTACACGACTGAAACAGAAGCCTGAGAAGTTCACCGGGAAGATGCACATCACGAAAATCAGTAGTCCATTTTCCGAGAGCCGGGAGTCTCCAAGTACCCTTGAGTTTCTCCAATTGGGCGAAGCTCGAACTCTAATACAGAGATGTCCACATACTTCCGAATCCAACCGGGTTACGGGAATAAAGGCTTGGCCTTGTAAATCGCTACAGTTAGAACAGAATCTTAGAGGTTGTTGTGAAATAAGAAACAATGAGATTGAAATGCACAGGATTCACATCGAACTTCAAATTTCAGTAAAAGAACATATGGAGGCTTCAAATGCAGGAATATGAAGGGCAAATATCAAATATCAATTTACAGTGAAGCGGAACATCCACTCTGGATCAAAAATGAGGGGCAAGAAAGGAAATAAAATGAAAATGAAAAGGGAAAGGAAAAGAAAAGAGGCAGAAACACCAAATGCAAAGCCCAAGAAAGAAAAGAACTCATGAATCAAGAACAGAAGAGAACATAATCTCCAGCATCTTCATCTTCATCTCATCTTCACTCGTCGTCAGTCTTAAGCCCCTCGCCGCCATTAACGGATATACTATCCAGCGGGGATTGGGGCCGGTCGCCATTCTTCCGGGTGCGGAGCGTGAGCGGGTAAAAATGCTCTTCGGGCTCTTCTTCCTCTCTGTGGGGTGGGTTAGTGGCTGATCTGATGTGCCGAGAATAATCCGAAGGATCAGGGTCGGAGGGGGAGGTGGGTCTAAACATACGGAAGCTTCCAGGCAATGTAGTCCTCTGTGCTCAATCCTTCGCGGCCTTCCTGGAGAGAGGCAAAATCGCCAGGGGTCATCATGCCGGACCTGTCGCGAGGAGATCCAGGGATGGAAAGAGGTCGAGAGATCTTCTGGTCTGTTCCGCCGATCATGTCGAAGTAGTCCTCCTTTCCATCGAATGAGGAGGGGTAGGCTGGGACGAATGTTAGTTATTTATTGGACGAAACGAAAAAGGTAATAGGGGACAGATGCGGGGGAAAGGGACGAAAAGGGAAAATGGATTAATTTTAAAAACTCACCTCTGCGTAGGGCCAATTGTCGGGCCTTGACGTATTCCAAGCCCATTCGCTTCCAGTCAAGCAAATCACTCAGACGCTCGGTACGATTACGCTGGTTGATTCGTTGACGACGGCTCTTCTGTGTGAAATTGAACATGAACTCGGCAAGCTGGGTCACTGAGTCATCGACTCCCTTCGTACGGCGATCCACAATGTAGATACCATAGTCGGATGAATTCTCAATCAATTCCTCCATGTAGCATCCGAATCCAGACAAATTAGTGGTGATACTGGGCACACCCATAACAGTGCACTCAGCAGGGGTATAACCCCATGGCTCGTAGTATGAAGGGAACACTCCGAGGTGAGTTCCGCGAACAAAGTCGTCGTAGTCCAGGGGCAGGACGGGGTTGGAAGCATTCAAGAATTCAGGATGGAAGACAATCTTAACGCGATCGGAGGAGTTGTTGAACATTTCCACGCGACGCAGCTGATTCAAGATTGGGTCCTCGGTATCGTTGACCATGTTATGGGTGACAATGGGTGGGAGTGAGTGACGCTTCATGGCAAACAGGCGACGGCGCAGAAGCACGCGGTCCTGGCTGGTAATGAGATCCTTCTGATCAGGCATATTTTCACCCTCCTTCCAAGAGAGACAACGCTCGTACATGCGCTTTCCAATGCCCTTTTCGATGTTCTCAATTGTATCGCGCAAGGATTTCACCACAGCTTGTCCCTTAAGGGACTCGACTGTCAATGAAGATGTCTGTGCAGGCATGATGATAAATGCGACGACAGTCATAGTCGATCCGCTAGCCTTCAGGCGGTGGTTGAGACGAGCCAGACCTTCAATGAACATATCCACACCCTTATTCCGGTACTCATACCGTCCAGCGGTAAACAGATACAGGGTATTATCTAAATCGAAGTCATTGTGGCCGTAAAAGTGCCCGCGAACGAAATCATTAATCTTCTCCTTAGCTTGCGAGTGCAAGTTCTGGAACTCGTGCATAGCGGAGAATTTCTTGACATTCAGACCATTAGGCAGGACACCATCAGGCTTCCGCTTGAGCAGATGCTCACTTTCAAACGCGGTGATATGAGAAACGGTAGTGAAGACATCAGCGCTGTGGGTAGCAGCGCGCTCGATACAGTATCGGTGATAGATTCCACGCTTGCCAGCCTCAGCATCCACATCGAAGTACTGGAGGTTGTTGTAGAAGTCCACGGAGCCGGCACAGAGATAACGACCCAGCAGAGTAGCATGTGTAGTGAAGATGGTGGTCAGATCCATGTGGCGTTTCTTAGTCAATGGCAAAGCTACACCGGCCAGCCATTCGTGGAAATGAGCGACCACGGCGCGGCGACGGTCATGAGCAATGTACTAAAGTGAGAAAAAGTTAACATGGTAAGCTCGGATCCAACTTCCAACAGGGATCTAATAGAGAAAACATACTTCTCCCAAGAACCACGCGACCAGGTAACCAAATACGATTGCCTCATTGGTCTCATGATCAGCATCGGGGGACGGGATGCCGGAGTTGTTCCACAGATCGCCCTTCCACTCATCCAACCAGCGATAACCCGTACCCGTATTGATGAGCAAGACCCGTGGGGCCCCCTCAATCAACCAGCGACCATAGACGATCTCAATGCCTCGCTCCTGCATGACTGCGATGGTGTCGCGCATGGCCGGGCTAGCTGGAGTCAGCTCTTCAACCTCAACCGCAGCCGAAGCTTTGTTCAAGGGCCCGATCAACGTATAGCGTTCACCATACTCGGCTGTTGTGACGGGAGCCTTGGATTTCAGAACCGAGTAGATGCCGCCGACACGGTTTGCCACTTCGGTAGCCACCTCAAACAGCATATGATTGCGGACATCGCGCTTGATCGGCTCAGTGCCGTTCTCGTCGGACATGGTGTATGAGATGGAACCAAAACAACCCCCAGAGAACAAGATAAATTAAGAAAGGGGACAAATAAATAAATCCCAAGTTTCAAGCTCGAAGAACGGGGAGGGAGAAGAAGACAAGAGGGGGAAGAAAAAGTGAGAAGCAAAAGCTTGGGGGGAGGTGGGATTGAGCTCCGGACTCGGTCTGTGCGGGGGTGAGAAGACGCGGGATCCCGGTTTTCTTTCCTTTAACTCTTAAGAAACTTCTTGGCTGGGGGAATATTGCATATTGGGGGATATTGGGGGCAAAAGAAATGTTTTTAAAAGTACCAGCTCGGTATCTATTGCCTCTGAAGGCCTGAAAAGGATATTCCTATTATTCTATGCAGATTGTTGCAATGGTCCCAGTCCCAGTCCCAGTGAAGCTACTAGAGATGCAAGATGCGGGTTGATGCGGGTGGCAACACAGTGTCACTTGCTATTTTCCAATTCAACGTTCATTTCAACTCCATCTGCAGATACTGCTGCAGATACTGCACACTTCAAAAGGAGAATTATTTTAGTTGTGGTGGGCATGTTAGCCTATCCAGGTGTGGTATGTAACGGCAAGCGTGGCAGAGTGAAAATTCAACGTTGATGAACCTTGGAAGAGGATCTAATTACCCCTGACAGTGGAGACAATCGAAATGTAACACTCCCAAGCTATGAACAAAAGGAAAAAGAAAACGAAAAAGAAAAAGAAAATTCCCAAAAGACTTCGGTCAGCTCGGCCGCTGTAGATCATGTCAAGCCTCTTATGCACTCCAGTCGTTCTCTATTTGCTGGAGGGTTGGTCATGGCTGTCTTTCTTCCTTTTTATTAGACGGTGACAGGGCGCCACTTTTACAACCCGGTTTGGAGAAATTGATCTGGGGAAAGCTGGCGTTTCGTGATGTCAGAGACCCACTTGGAACAGTCATCCCCAAGATTTCTAGCTGCACAGATCATCTTCTCTACTGTGCGGGTAGTTGGAGATGGAGAGGCAATCTATACGAAAAGAGCTGGAGTTATGTTGCTTGAGGTACTGGTTAGTTTAATAATTTCAAGTTGAAGGTATGTGACGCCTCTTTAGTTCCTTGAGCCACTAGTACTGTACTAGCTACTATACTATACCACGGGTGTATAGTCTTTAGCATTCTTCTCCACCACTCACACTTCATACTTTTACGCTTACTTGTGTATCTGCCAACTCTTCTCAAATCAAAGAACAAAACTTTCCAGCTGTCAATTTGTCCGAATCGAACGGTTTGTCAACCCCTTTCCGCGATTTGTCACGGTCGCACGAACAACTCAGTGTACACTGACCATCATGTATACATAGCGCATGTTAAAGAAAATCCATTGATACCTACATGTTGACTCTACCTTGATCGCTTGGCATAAAGAATTCTTGAATCATGATGCTTGCAAGGTTACTCAGGAAGTAGAGTCAGGGGAATTATCGTAATGTTCCCTACTGTACTATATAATAGTATTGCATACATTCTATGAATTCACCGATTCTTCTTGACTTTTTCATATAATTATTTCTCTAGACAAAAGAGAGGAAAGGCGACCAACTAAATCTCATGGAGACATATAACTATCCGGATCCATATATCCCATCTCGTCATTCCATTCAATTCCCCTTCAACCTAGCATCTCGCATCTGGCAACGAATGTGGCATGGAATCCTCTTCCCTTGCCAAAAACCATCGCCATCACCATCTTCCTCAGTGCCATCTAGTCCAACATTCGCTAGATTCCCACTAACTCCAACTCCAGAGTCAGGCATACAAGAAACAAGCGGCTCATCTCCGATCTTCCAACCCCTTGCATATGATCATATCTCATCTCTCTTGAACGCGGACTACTTTCGCGGAACGATCAACCAAGACGGAATATCCCAGAACGGAGAATGGGACGCATTACGAGTTCTGAACCCAGATTTAAGTAGCCAAAATACCATCTCGGAATCATCGCATGATATTCCCAAGCCACTGAGAATAGGCAGACCGAAATCTCTCGCTCCTGTTCTCCCGGATCTCCCTTTTATACGCAATGTAGAGCCTTCTCTTTCCGTCAGCTTTGAGCTAGGTCTACGAAATTTGCGATCATCTGTGACATACAACGAATTTCAACAGAGCACCTATAATAGATTTACTCCTAATCTATGCTCCGAAACCATTCAACAGGAGCTAGCGGTGTCGCGTAGTTTGAATGAGCGCCCGCGCCCGGCCCCTCTATCTCGTATCTTTCCCCGCAATGGACTAACACGCGCATTAGAACTATTTTGCCAACCACAACTGCTCATTTCACCCGAACCAGACCCTGAAGATGAAAGTGAAGATGAGAAATACACTGATCCCAGTATTGACACACCTTCATATCTAGGCTCACAATCTTGCGACCCCTCATTAAGCTCTAGTATAGAATCTGCATTCGACCTCAACAGATTTCGCGGACAACGGGTAAAAAGCCATGGTGACTGGGTGAAGCGTAAAGGGCGATGGGTGAAGAAAATACAATGGTCCCAAGCAACCACTCACTTAGAACAGAATTCCCCACAGGGTGAAGTTACAACTCCAGAGTCTCAGCCCCAATCCCAATTCCAGTCTGCTACTCCGTCTCAATCAAGCCAGGGGATTACAACTGAATCAGGAAGCCAATGGAGTCGGTCTAGAAGAAGCTCCGACAATTGCTCCGGTTCTACCGGTACATCTCCCGGTCTCTCATTTATTCGAGATATTATCAATCGTCGGGACCCCGGAATCTTCGTGAGCCTCAACAGTATGGAATCTATTCAATCAACTTTGGCTGCGGGAACAGCCGCGCAACAGCGCAGAATTATCCGAAAGCAAGATTAAGAACCAAGTTCATAAATATCTTCAATCAACGGAAACAACACGAAACCAGCAACAAGAATCAAAGCCTTTTGCATGTTGTGGAGCGTTTCGTGGCATAGACTTTGGAGTTAAACTAGGTTCATCTTTCCCGCCCGTATACTTTGAATCCGACCACAAGCACACCATAATCATGAAGAATGCTATCCAGGATTTTTCCGACAATGCCTTCTAGAACAAGGTTGATGACATTATCCCCTCCAAAGACCCTGTGTAAATGGGTCCACATATCCGATCAACCAAAGATCAATGCCCATTCGTTGATGAAGTCATGTCCCCACAATGACTTCATCATGTTGTCACGAATATCTATGAGCTCCATATGCAGGTATTTAATGCTGGCATTGAACTGATAATTCTCAATCAACTTCTTCATCTTACTCACTTCAATAAAATTTCAAAGTTCAAAGGTACGCTGAGAGGTTTCCCGGCTCAATTCTTATTAAATTGACATACTAATTACCAACGCGAGACTACAGACAAACTACTTCAAGTTACCTTTTTACATCACCCAATTTCATTCAAAATGGTTCGCGGCGCAGACTACGACAACGGTATCCCCCAGAACGACAACGGTATTGAGGCCGGTGCTACCAAGGCTCACGGCGTTGGCAACGACGTAAGCCACTTATTAAACAACCCAAAACCGAACCAATGAAGTCTAACAAATACCAGAATGCCCCTCTGAACCACACCCAGAAGGTCGCTCCCATGCCTGAGGAGACCGGCTCCCAGCGTGAAGTCTACGGTGGATTCCCCCATGCTGGACCTGGCAACTCTGGTAGCGGAAAGGGTGGCCATGAGCCCAAGTCCCTGGGCGAGCAGAAGGGTTTGGGCGCCCAGCCCGGCAACTAAAGCATTATTTTATGATATCCGCTTCTACCTTTCCTACGTTGAGTCCAGCAAGATGGACTTCCAAGTTTTGATAGGATGAGATGCCTGGCGCATCTAGAAGTACGAGTTACGCATCACGTTTCGTTGTATACTATGTGATGATTGGAGTTTGAGGATGCAATTTTTTCGATTTGCTCGCTAGCATAGTTTGAGAATATTGTATTAGTACAGCTCGTTTAAATGAATCTTCCAATGCACTGGCCTACTTTAGCTAGGTGTATTATTCTTCACATATTGAGTATATCATCTTCCTTGTGTAAGCTCTTAATAGCCCACTGCACTACTAGCAGAGTACCAAGTCGTCCACATGGCATTGAAGTTAAGCTGCGTTCATGAATTAAAGATAAAGTAAAATGTGTGAATGAAGATGATTAGAATACGCAAACATTTCGCGTATACAATTGTCAGCAAGTAAGAAGCCTTTGATCCCTCAATACAAAACGTGGGGGCCAGAAACCGCATTAATAATCCACGACAGACACCAGCTCCCCATCAACATTCCAACACCAGCTTCCATACCCTACCAGTAATTCATCGCAACCCCAACGGAAAATGTCCTCAGCAGATGAATCGTCTACTGGATTCACATTCTTGAATACAAATGAATCCAAACTATCCCAACCCGCTTCCAAGCGCATGAGAGCACATATTACAAAAGCCAATTTCGCCAAAAGACGCCAGCGACTTAGCAAGGATGCGATTCAACAAAACCCGACAAGAAAACCAACTACTCTGCCCGAAGATGAACCAGAGACACGAAAAAGAAAATCACAGACCTTAGCAACCCATAATAACCCAAGTTTATCAGATATATCTAATCTGCTCATTTCGAATCGCGATATCAAAGCTTGTATGTCTTGTTCCATCGTGAAACGCATACAAAAACTCTAACTATACCATATGCAGTCCACGAGCTACAAGAGCTCGTCTTCCTCCAAGGTCGCCATGGACCAGACACTCCCAGCGAAGCAGCATGGTTCAATCTTGTCGCGTCCGAACCAGCCCTCCTCGAAGCCTCAATGGCAGTAGCCGTACGACAATGGTCACCAGATGAACTATGCCAATTAAAAGCAGATCGCCACTCCTCTAATGCAGTCAAAATCCTCACACAAGTTATTACATCTACTCAAGCCCGTACAGACGGCGTGCTAGCTGCTATTCTCACAATGGCTCTTGGAGCATCACTTGCAAGCGACGATATAGCGTGGAAAGTTCATATTAACGGATTATGTCGTATTGTACAAGATAGAGGATCTTTTGGGCGCTACGCTGTTCCGTCAATGCTAATAGATCTTATAATTGAGTGGGTGCATTCTTCAGTCTAGATCAAAAAAAGAAATCTTACTAATTAACCATTCTCTTGTCCCAGAGATTGTATTAACAGAATATTTGGCTTTCCCCGCGTCTACCACGAAAGTATCATCCACTCATTAAGCTGGTGGCACGATGCGAGAATCCTCAAAATACCAACGATTTGCGACCGGGTAATTCAACTACGGAAGCTCATCGACTCACATCACCAGTATCACTTCGATGACACCTTCGTCGCAAGAGAAATCGAAGAACCATTGGCAAAACTCCATTATGAAGCGCGTGATCTTCGAGACGAAAACAACTCTCAAATTGATTCTGTCGGACGGACTATCGAATTAATACTTTATCTTTTGTGGCCTTCTCAATCTGCTGCGCATCTGACACTGCTAGCTGAGGAGTTGAAGGGTGCGATATGTAGATACCCGTTTAAAAGATGCGTTGTTATGGATTTAACGTCGTTTCAGTTGATGATTGGGGCTTTGGCTGCTGATAAGGGCTCGGATACACGAATGTGGTTCATGGATAAGATCTCGATGGCAGTGCAGTTTATGCAGGTACGGGGTTGGGAAAGGCCTTTGGAGATTTTAGAGAGAAGATCTTTGTTGGAGGCTGGGTTGATGGATCGGTTTAGAGGTGTGTGGCAGGAGCTACAGTGTCAATGACCTGTGCAGCTTCGAGATGTGCATACGTTCTAAAGGGTCTAGGCAGTCTTGATCGGATTTGTCAGTCTGCTCTGATGAATGCTAGTTATATACCTCAAACACCGAGAAAATCATTACCAATCATTGATCATCGTCTCAGGTCTATTAATTCAGCAATTTGCGCGATTAATTCAGGAAGATCATTACATAGAGCTCGTTTTAATTACTAGGTACACCGTTCTCTTCATAGTCGTAATGAGGATTCGACTAGATCCACAAAGAGCCAATCACATTATAAAAGGAGCTCCACATCTCAATCTGATTTTCCTAATTGGGAATGTCAGATTGAAAGGCTTTCAATTTATATATGAGTTTCTTTATATCCATAAAAATACGAGACGGATTTTGTAGAGACTTCAAAAGCGTCGTTGTTCCCAATGACTAGCTTTGATCCTCATCTAAGTCTCCTAATTGGGAATATCAAATTAACATCTAATTCTCCTAATTGGGAATATCAGATTAACACAGGCTGAATTTATATCACAGCTTCTTCCAGTCTGAAAAGATATAAAAAGTCCTCTTGAAACTTCCAAGAGGGTGATATTATTTAACTAGTACCAGCTCATTATTTTACAACTTCCAAGCTTTCTTCCTCGAAAATCCAACCACATCCCAAGATGGCCCGACAATGGATTCTGACAGCTCAAGATGGGTTCAAAACTTCGCTACAATATCAGGAAAACATCAGTGTGCCTTCACCCAACGAATTAGGCCCTCGCGATGTTCTAGTACGAATCTATGCAGCTAGTCTGAATTATCGCGAATTAGAGATTGCCAGACCGGTAAGTTCTCTAATCCCCCCGACAAAAACAATCTACTCACATCATAACAAGTCTCTCATCGGGAACATCGCACTCCCGATAATTCCAGGATGTGATGGCGCTGGTATAGTTGAGGCTGTGGGATCCGATGTCCAAGACTTCCGACCAGGCGATAAAGTCGTCACTCACGTTTCACCAAAACATGTAGAGGCTCATGGCGACGATGCCCCGGTTGGTCTTTCTGGTGCTCTCGATTCCCTCGGACTAGGAACGAACGGCACATTGAGATCCCTAGGTGTATTCAGCGAATATGGACTCGTGCATGGTCCGAAATCTCTGTCTTTGGAACAGACTAGCACTTTAACCTGTACCTGGCTCACAGCTTGGAACGCCCTGTTCGGACTAGAGAGTAAAAAGCCTGGACCTGGATCATTTGTTCTTATACAGGGAACAGGAGGAGTCAGTATCGCTGCACTTCAAATCGCTGTTGCAGTTGGCGCGACGGTTGTTGCTACTTCGTCGACTGCAGAGAAACAAGCACGTCTCAAGGAACTAGGCGCGACTCATGTGCTAGATTATCGCACCAGTCCCAAGTGGGGCGAAGAGGCTCGAAAACTCACACCGGGAGACAGAGGGTTCGATATTATTCTTGATGTTGCTGGTAACGAGTCTTTGCCTCATTCACTGGCTGTTGTGCGTGTTGAGGGTGTTATTGTCGTTATCGGACATGTTGGAGCTGAAGTTGAGGTTGTCCCTCTTTTTTCTGTTTTGCTGCACACGTGTATTGTCCGTGGTATACTTGGTGGTACCCGTACTCAATTTAGGGAGATGATTCGCTTTATTGATGAGAGGAAGATTGTGCCTGTGATTGATGATGTGGTGTTTGAGTTGTCGGAGGCTAAGGAGGCTTACGCTTTTCTTGAAGAGAAGAAGCATTTTAGCAAGATTGTTATTCGGATTGATCATTCTGCAGCTAGTGCTTAGTGTTTTATTGAATTGATTTGAACGGGCTATCTACTATTCGGCTTGCAATCATAACATCAAATTTCATGCAAAGTTGTTTACCAATTATTAAATTTGACGAATTGTTGCGACATGAATAATTTGGCTCGTTATTTTGGGTGATGTGGCAACTGCAACTCGAAGCAATACAGCCGAACAAAGCAACAATTTGTATCCACAACGTTGAGTCCCGTCGCGAGGAATTAATTTTTTTTTTTTGAGGGCGACGGAAAACTAGAGCGCAGGAAGTAGTCGCATTTTTGAGACTCTAGAAATGACGTCCTAGAATGCTGTGCTGCAGCTGATGATTATTGTTCCGGTGGCGACCTGAAAACAAAGTGGTTGAATTCGTATCATTCAACAATACCAAGTCAGACAGGGCCCAGGCATTGATCGCCGTTTACACTTGATATTAGTAGCAGAATATGGTGAAAATTTAGAATATCAGGTCATTATTGACTAACCCCGTGCATCAAGACTTCTTAATATCTGCCACTCGATCGGCTTCACTTGTTTTTTGATCGCAGCATTAAATGCCCCACGCATAATATCATCAATACAGAGAACAACAAGTTATCTGGTTAGTTACCTGTTCTACCTGTGGAGCCTGAAAAATCTGGGGCTGTGGCAATCGCAAACTCTAGTTATACCCACTCGGAGCTTTGCTATGACTCGCAGCTCGTAAATAACAGCTTGTGGTGTTTCAACTATTCCAGATGAATATTAGCTCGTAAGAGAGAATCAAGGTATCTTCCCGTATTAGCGAAAGTATCGATGGCACCACGGACGGGATACATCTCGATTATTCCGGTCCGTGACTATACAAGGACAGATCTTCAGGAGACGGTCGAACATTCTCTATTCCCTCCAAATAGCAGAGCGATTTATGGCAAATCCAAGCGGCTAAAAGAGGAGAACCTATTTATTTTGGACAAATGAACATAGAATATACGTATCCTAGCCTAATAACCATTGACAATTGTATTCTCCGTCGGTACGTACCCCCTCTCCGTGCCAAGGTGGGGCCAGACTCAACACAGTACGCCTGAGCACATTTCCTAGGCTTATGGCGCTAAAAAGAAAATAAATAAATTGACAGAGCGAAAACTGATCATAAAGACCATGCTCATACTAGCCATTGACCATTCAAAATCATGGTGGGAAGAGCACTATCGGAATGTCCTTGTCAGGGTGGGCTGTTGTGAATTGCCACAGCAGTAAGTTGACGTTGCAGTCTAGAGCCCATAGAGCCTAGAGCCTCTAACGAGCTCCCCACATGCTCCTCCACAGGCCCCTCTTTTGACCCTCCACACCCTCTTTGGCCTCTCTGGGCTGCATGTGGGCTGCCCCTAGGCTGCAGCTAGTTGCTGACGTACAGCATGTACATTAGTTAGGAGGACTGGCCTCCGGGGATCCGCAACCATAGCATCCGATCCACGCTGTTGGTAGATCGGATACTAGCGAGTCTTGGTTCAGCTTCCCCTCATCTCTCCTAATTATGTACTTTCCCCTGCAGTAGACTATGATTTGAATAGTGTTGCGGAAAAGGAAAATCGCTGTCAAATTCTCCAAAAACGGGCCCAAAGACTTGAAGATTAAGTGTCAGCCGTAGACAAGACTATTACTTAGGGCAAATCAAAAGCTGCCATAAAACCAGCTAAAGAGACACGGCCGTCAAAAGAGCTGTAGAGACTCCGCTGACCCTGGAATGCTGTTCCACCAAATTTAGAGACACATCCTTGGCTCAAGGAGAAAACTTTACTCAAAGATTTTACGAGAATACATTATGTTTGAAGTATCGTATATCGCTCAGCATTCGTCCGAGGCTGTCTCTGTAAACCTGTTTTCTGTTGCACAGACATTTAACGAAGAGAGCCAATGCGCATGCAAGCAGACTCCGCAACTAACTATGCACGCGGGATCTTACAACGATGCCATTGGCGATGGTGAGGTGAGAGCATAGTTTTGTCCCGCTGGGCCAGCCGATCAGCGAGGCAGTGTTCAAGACGTTTCGATTCATAATAGTAGATCATAATGGGGTGTGGAATTCAAAAGTAGCTGTTATTGGTATTTTTTTCTCCGTGGGCTGATGATCGATATGGCATACTAGAAAAACCCATGTATTAATACCGGTAGACGCTTTTTATAGCTGGCGCCACAGAGTCGGAGGGGACCGGGAATAGTTACCCACCGACATCATCGATCGTCAACGCGGCATCGTTTCGGGAAGGATTCGCGAATAACCCCGCATCTTTGCGTGATACGCCAGTGGTCTGGAATATTTGTATGGGAAAATACTAATACATGTAGTTTTCAAACGGTATAAGAACAGGCATGTGTACGGGAACCAGATGAGAAGAATCAAACCAAATTCATTGTGCTAAACAGAAAGAACACTCTCTAGGCACTCTTCAATTGAAATCACTTAACTTCGTTTCACTTGACAAATTGTTTTTCTCCATATTCAACATTTCTATCAACATGTCCCCTGCAATCCCAGCCCCTCCTCCAGCCCTTTACCTTAAGCAGGCTCGAAACAGCCCTAGCTCGCAAGAATGCATGTCTATCTACGATAAATGGGCTGCCACATACAACGACGAGGTGGGAGACTCCGCGCAAGAATACGTGGCTCCCGTCCTTGTCGCACGAGCTGCTATCAAGTACTCAGAAGGCAATGGCCCTGCCAACACCATCATTCTCGATGCTGGCTGTGGAACTGGCCTTGTGGGACAAGCTCTCTCAATTGCCCGTCCTAAAGCAATTGATGGTCTTGACCTGTCTGTGCCAATGCTCGACATTGCCAGAGACACTGGGGTTTACCGTGACCTAGATCAAGCAGACTTGAACAAGCCCATTAACAAGCCCGATGGGACCTACGACACCGTGGTCTGTGTCGGTACATTTACTCTCGGCCATGTCGGTCCTAACCCTGCCTTGCGAGAACTTGTTCGTGTGACGAAGATACACGGAGTTGTTGTTGCTACAATTCTCAAGGAAATTTGGATCTCTGGTGGCTTCAAGGAGGAAGTTGCCAAACTGCAAGAAGAAGGTGTGGTTCGTGCCACCGAGGAGCTGATAGACTATGTAAAAGGACACGGTGACAAGGCAGTTCTTCTCACCCTCGAGAAGCTCCCCAGCGCATAATCGACCCCAAAGCAACTCGATTCCAGCACCCAATGCAACAACTTTTGATGATTTATGAATCCCAATGCGACAAATACACGACCGACCGACCGATACAACCCAAAGCGCTTCGGTATACCTTCGTGAAAGCGGGTTTTGCTTTTATTCTGTATATTTTCTTTTCCCCTTCTATTACTTTCTGTTGTCTTACTTGATATCTTTTTTTCTGTTCTCTTCTTTCTTGTCATTAAAACCCAAAAACAGTATAACCCTGCCCGCGCAATCAATATACCGAGTCTCTGTCGTAGACATGCCGCAGCCAACAAGACCGTCGGATGTAGAAATGTACAACCACCAAGTAGAGAACAGATTTTGTTGCATGAAACTTGTAATATGTGAATGATATTCTTTTCGAAAAAATAGAAAAATAGCATTAAATCTAGTTAAATTAAATATACTCATTCATGCCTTTTTATAAATATATTCGTGCTGATTCAGATTCTCTAAGCCGGCAAGATCGCAACAGAAAATATTAGATCATAATCTTGCTACTTCAGCTTTGGATAAATCGCTCGGATGGCCAAGTAGATTATTATGCCAAATACGACATTTCATGACTCTCAACACCGTGACCTAGCATAAAATATCTTCAAGTCAGTAAAACGTAGTCCATTCTCGAGACTAACTAACCAGCAGATAAGTTGATGCCTGAATTTGATGCCTTGTAAATGACACATACAAATCTTTACATGTGACATGTTTTATACATAACATGTTTGACCTAAGACATGTTTTATATTCAGGAATATAGAATGTTCTAGCAAACCCCGGATTCTAGAGATCCAGGAACTCGGAATCATAAGCAGCTTAACTTTACCTCAACCTCAATATGACTACTCGCTAAACAAAAATAGCTCTATTAGTCAACTCTCGGCCAATAATGGCTTGACATCACTCGGGCATGTATTAGGTCGATAAACACGCCCAAACAAGAGAAATTTCGAATATCTCACGTATTTGTTAATTTCCTGGTCGACTTCAGGAAATAGCTGGATTTATTTTGAGAATGAGTCCTGTTTATGTTTGCGGTTGAGGACCTTGGGTATGTATCATCAGATTCATCACCCCGCAACAACTTGAAGCTCGGACGCCAAAAACAGTGGCCAGCCGTTGATGATCGGCACGTTAAGTGAATGCCAGAGAGCATGTTAGTAGACTCTAAGTTCTAATGAATGCTAGGAAAAGCTAAGTGCTGCAAAAGACAACGTTTCATTTTAAACGTTCATCTTAGAAATATATTACTACTAGTCAATTTAGAGTCATCGGAGAACTGAGGGATTCAAGTTGCAATGAAAGCTCTAAAAAAGGCACAGATCACCTGGGCAATAGTACTAGTTAGGGTTGAATGTCACCCAAGCGGTGTCAGCGCTCCATCCATCTGGATCAGCCTTTGCAAGCTTCAAATTATCTTCAAAGGTGAGTCCATCGATGTTCCTCAGCGTTAAATTACCTGGATAAGCATTGGTCTTCTCTCTTGTATCTACCTGCCATCTGCTAGTGTGAGAGTGTGAGAAAGATAGCTTGAACTGCTTGAGTCACGGTGAATTTTAGTGCGCCGGTGAAAACTTGAAGGTATACATATTCTCAATTTTCTGATGAGCTCACTTTCTCCTTCCTTGCCTAAGCACGTCTTCCATTCTTTCGGGTAGCGTCTGACCTCCTTGCCACATAGGGACTGCATGATCCTACTGATGGAAGCACAGAATATGTGCGCAGGGCAAAGAAACGGGGGAAGAACCTCTGTTTTGACGCGAGCTATGGTGGTTGTGGAAGGTGAAGCCATCCACCCCCCTTGGCCAGCGTAGCTGCGCAAATGGGGATTTCGCAAGGGCCCAAAGCTTGTGATCGCGTATAGCAAGGGTGGATTATTTTAACAGCCGGCTGTCCAGGACATCTCGAATGATGTGAAAGCGTGGGAGAAACACAACGAAGATTTCATCACGCGCCTGGTTACACTTATCAACATGATTATCTCGTACGTCAGGGAACTTGGTGGGAATGCTACAATCATGCACGATATTGCGAACGACGAGCTGATATCTATTGGAAATGGGCCGCAAACACGCCCGAGGTCAACTCCCAGAGGCATCCAGGCACCACTACGACCACCAAAAACGATGAACTCAAGCGTCGAGAAACTTGGAAGAGGGGGGCAAAACCAGGAGAAAATTTCCTGGGCTAGTAAGGAGTCAGCCGTACTCCAAATGGCCAGATTGCTCAAGCCCACTCGCTACATCCTAGCGTTTTTTAACAAGGCGATATTATCATTTTCAATTGAAATCTAAGTGATTTTGAAACTTGAGACTTTCAACCACCGCTATGGTCCCTAGGGGAGGAACGGTAAATTTAGTATACCTATAAGGTTGAGGCTCTGCACCACCAACCAGTAGTTGAATTCAATCAAAATAAATAACAAGCAACGCCGGGATATTTCTATTAATGCAACACGTGGATAGGCTATGTGATGAGAATGCGTGTCAACAAAATTGCAAAAGCCTTTCTGTACAGCTTCTAACAAATCCATGCCAGCAGCTGGCACCACCGTCGTAAGAAATCAATTATATGTATAGGGGCCGAGTCGTGGTACCCATAATGCGCCCGAGGAATGTGTACGAGAAAGCAACGTAAGATGAAATCAGGATTGCGCAGAGTCAGATCCTTTCTCTTCCTCTTCCTTCTCTTCATCTTCACCGTTCACGAGATCAGGCGAATCTGCATCGAAAAGTGCTGTGGAGACTGTCTTCGCTTGTACGAGCTCGAGCAGTTTATCGCCAAGAGCAGCGGCACCGTAAATCTTGCTGAGCTTGGCTCGGAAATGTTCAATATCATTAGTCATACTGTGAGTGGAGGTTAGCATAAGACAGGTATATTGATTAACACCGAGACTGACCTCTTCTTTCCAGTCTCTGATTGGACTTGCGCTTCACCGAAGGCCTTGACCCACTGGTCGCGATAACTGTTGAAGACAGGGCCCATGATCATGTCGACGGTCATTTCGGGCAGGTGTTTGCTCAGAACACGATGCAGAGTACCTGTCTCCTTGGCGAGGGTTTCCATGTAGGGATGGACCGCACTAGTTTCGGGTTCAGCATCCCAATCAATCTTCTTCATGGCGTTCACATGAACGTTTGAACGTGAGGTCATGATATCCATCAGCTTTTCATGAATGCCATTCTGATGCTCTTGGCACAGGCGCTTGACTTTGTCGAACTCGGCCATGACCTGGTTACCTTGTCCGTGGCGACGAACGAATTCCCGTACATACGGAACCAGTGCGACGACGAAACTCAAAGCTTGGGACGAGAGAGCAAGATGTTTTGTTGTAATATTCTTCAACCCCGCACTTCGCGTGGCGCCAGCGCCGAGGATGAGTTGCGAAGACCGCGAATTGAAGAGCTTCAAGATCTCAAGAAGTTGAGGAGCGATGTCTTGGATCATGTTGGGAATATTCGCCATGAGGAACTGGAACTCTTCAATAGTACGCATTATGGCGAGCGCTGAATCAGGCAGGATGTACTTCTGCTCGTCAACAACAGCACTTCGAACCTTCTCTTTACCTGATCCATAGGTCGCTGAGGTGGGTGGCGAAGGTTCCGCCTTCTCCGCCTCACTAGCAGGAACCCAGATCTTGGATGCTTCCGTCCATGCTTCAACGTCCTTGGTGCTTGCGTCCAAAATACGGGTGAGAATCATATTTTCAGGTTCTCCAAAGTCGCGGGCATCCCAGCGATCAGCATCCATGACGTTAACTATGCGATGTCGCTGAGCTTCGCCAAAGCGTGTAATGAAATCACGGATCTGGTTGCCAACCACTGTTTTGAGTGCAGTGCCGCCTCGACCCGAGATGGCTTCACACTCGTCGGCAAAAAGGCGGTTGAGAGTGAAATATTTCAGGAATTCTTCCTTGGGAAGTTGTGCTGTTTGTTCTGATCGGACCTTCAAGACCTTAGTAATTTGAGATTGAGCAATATCAACCGCTTGTCCAAGAAGGCTTGACATGTCCAACACCTGAAGAATTTCATCCTGTGCCATCTGAGCAGATGTTACCAATCGTCCATTTGGCAGCTTCAATGGCTGTTCAAAAGTTTGAGGATTAGGGCTGCGTGGGGACTTGGCGGCCATGGCCTGAGGATTTTCAAGGCCACTAGCAATATCTAGAAGAATTTTGACTTGAGTGCTCAGTCGGCGAAGACATTCACTGATTCCGGTATAGACAACTAAAAGCATCTGATAGGCATCCTCGGAATCAAGTGCTCGGAGATTTCGAGCCAGAATGGAAGACTTCTCTTGTTGGGACCTTTGGCGGTCACCGACAGTTGAAACAGAAACCATAGACTCATTGTCATCGTCGCTAGAACTAGGCAAATGTTTCCTGATAAGACCTTTCATTTCCCGCAACACAGCCCCTTTGAAGGAAGTAGCTGCAGGCGTAGTGAAATACGCTCTAGCAAGTCCAGTGAGTTGAACACGCAATTTGGACCGTAATTCATTATCAAAGTTCATATAGGCTGGTGATACCATTGATACAGGTCGGTTACCACCACGCTGCCGTAGGAAAGAAGAGCCCCATCGCTGTAAGGTAATATCCGAGGAGACATTTTGAACATGATCACGCAGATCTCCAAGAAGATCATTCAAGAAACGAGTTTCATAGCCCGCACCAATGCGCTGTCTTAAGTGGGAAAGATCCTCAGATGCCCCCTCGAGGGCCGTCAGGCGCCTAAGATCAACCGCACGTCGTGGAAGATCATGCTCCTCATCTGCAGGGGGACGATCAGATATCTTTTCGCCTGCCATTAATCTCTCAACTTCCTCCAATTCGTCAGAGGCAACTTCAATGTCACCTTGTTCAACCAATTCTTCACAGCGAGAGACTGATTCAACTACATCGCGTAGTTGTGCCACAGCGGCAGCTAACATTCTCACATTTTCTCTTCGTCGTCGAAGATTGACAATTTTCAAGCCGCCCAACGCCATCTCCTTATCGATTTTCTGCAAGTCTCGTCGCAGAACTTGAATTCGGCTCACTGAGTCTGCCGCCTCTGCATGAAGCTCCCGTAAAGATCCCAAGGCTGTAAAAAAAGACTTGGAGGCAGTAGAAATCGATGAAATAAGGTGAATTTCAACCGTATCCATATACCAAGAGAGCTTTTCTTGGAGGATGGCATTCGTGGCAAGCGCTTTCCTCCCCGTATGAGCAGGCTCTACTAGGCCTCCATTCGAGTGTTTGTCATCTTTTATCGGAGGCCTGGGTGGCCTCACAACCTCTGACTTCTCCGATATCACATCAAAGGTGCGTGGATTCTCAAGGCGGAAATCCCCATCAAAATAAACAGGTGGGATCGTTGACAATGGAGTTACTGCAGGCCCGCGGCCACGACCACCCGAAGATCGTCGGCCTCGCGGATCGTATGGGGAGGTTGGTCGAGAGGTGGAAGATACAGCTGAAGGTCTCCTTTCTGGACTCCATGGCATCAAAGACTCCATGTCCTCAGGTTTGGGCGACTTGACCTTTGGCGATGCGTGGCCTTCTTCCCCCATGCTTTCTTTTGATTGTTGAAATACATCATATAACGAGCCAACCTGCGACAGGTACGGCTGAAACACTTTGGCGTCCACATGTATGATATTCGTCAGGGTCACTGGCGCAATGTCACGAGATGATGGGGGCTTGTATCCGGTGGCCGTTGCAGCGGAATGGGGCGTTAAGCCTGTTCGCACGATTGGTGGTTGTAAAAGAGTCGAGATCGCTATAGAACATCTTTCTGTCAGTAATTATTCCCACTTCAACAGCTATTACTTCTTTGAAACCGAGGCCGTACCATTATGTCCCGATTCTGCAATAGATCCTTGGTGTTGCGATGTGTCCAATATCCCTCCAATGCTTACAATGGAGCTGGCCGTCGATCCCCTCCTTACGGGGGGTCGATGCGGGGGAACCCGGGGAGATTCCACTTGTGTCATGGAATAATGGGATATAGATGGCGTGGAGGCACCAGATGCTAAACTATCAATTGACTTGCGCGGAGCGTTCGTCATCTTGTTGACGTCCGCGCGGCGGATGCGACAGCCACCGGGTCGATCTTTGGGGAAGCTCGGGGTTATCTGATCATGACAGATCAACCAAAACAGGACCGAGAAGCTCAAGGCTTTGAATCCTCCACCACACTCGAGGCCCAGCAAGAGGCTCCTAGTCGTATAGCCTTCAAACAATGATTTGCCCGTGGAATTCAATCAATACAATTATGGGGGGGGGGGGACTAGGGGATTGCAGGTTGGCCGCTAGCGACGAGCCCGGTCGGATTAAACATTGTCCGAGGTACTCAAGTGTCAGAGAGCAAACACAGCAAACACTGTACTGCGTATTAGTATTCGTATTCGTATTGCCTTGGCAGTGGCTGCTAAGATTGAAGGCTGAAATTCCAGGACACAATTGAACGAAAGACGTTCTTGATGTTTCCCACATTCTCATATATGGTCAAAAATAGCATAATAGATGAAATTTTTCTTTCCTCTTCTAAACATCAAGAACCATAATCGACTTTATACCTTTCATCCTTTGCCTACAGCACGTAGTTTTAGCTTTAACTAGATGATTATCTAATCCAAAATCACTTAACGCGGTCGCGTGTCCCCAATAGGGATGGTACGTGACGGGTCGCGTCGCCAAAGGTTTTGATCCCTTAATTATTGTGTTCACAATCTTTCCTTCCCCTCCACACAACACCATTCCAACCAGCACCATGGACAGACGTACACCCTACACTCTGAGCGTCCTTGCGCCCAGTACCAATGGCGCCGATGAGTCTCGCTCAACCATTCAAAATAAATTGAAGGATTTTGTGCTCGAATTCCAGCTAGACAACGCATTCATCTACCGGTACGTCTTCGACCAATTCTGCATATTCCGGAGAGACTTGTTCATTTGAACTGACTGAAAATTTCCACAGTGATCAATTACGACAGAATGTCCTAGTCAAGCAATACTACTGTGATATCGATATTGCCCACGTCATTTCCTATAACGAAGAGTTAGCCCACAAACTCACCACCGAACCCGCTGATATTATCCCCCTGGTGAGTAAGAGGTCAGCATACGAGGCGCTTCACGATTCTAACCTGCAATCGAATAGTTTGAATTGGCCCTTCAAGACTGCACCCGTCGCATTGTATATGCCGGTCAGCGCGATGTCGAACTCCCTTCACACCAGCTCCTGCTTCACTCTTCAGCATCACACATTTCCATCCGCGATTTGAACGCCACCAATATCTCACACCTTGTCCGCATCCCCGGTATCGTTATCGGAGCCTCTACCATCTCGTCTAAATCAACCGTTGTCCATGTTCGCTGCAAGAACTGTAGCCACTCTGAAAATATTCACGTCGATGGTGGCTTCGCTGGTTTGACCCTCCCGAGACGTTGTGGACGTAAAAAGGAAGCTGGTGATCAACCTGGCGAGGAGTGTCCCCTCGACCCATATGTGGTTGTTCACGAAAAATGTCAGTTTGTGGATCAACAAGTTCTCAAGCTGCAGGAAGCCCCTGATCAGGTCCCTGTGGGTGAGTTGCCCCGCCATGTCCTGATTTCCGCCGACCGATACCTCGCAAATCGTGTTGTTCCCGGATCACACTGCACGGTTATGGGCATTTTCTCCATCTACCAGGCGAAAGGAGTCAAGAAGGAAGCAGCTGTGGCCATCCGCAACCCTTACCTTCGTTCCGTTGGAATCAATACCGATCTCGATCAGACCGCCAAAGGAAACTCGGTTTTCTCCGAAGAAGAGGAGCAGGAATTCTTGGAGTTGAGCCGTCGCCCTGATCTGTACGATGCTATGGCTCGCAGTATCGCTCCCTCCATCTACGGCAACATTGACATCAAGAAGTCTATCGTCTGTTTACTCATGGGTGGTTCAAAGAAGATTCTGCCTGACGGAATGAAGCTTCGTGGTGATATTAACGTGCTGATGCTTGGTGACCCTGGTACCGCCAAGTCTCAATTGCTGAAATTCGTCGAAAAGGCTGCCCCAATCGCCATCTACACATCTGGAAAGGGTTCTTCAGCAGCTGGTTTGACTGCTTCCGTGCAGCGTGATCACACCACTCGCGAGTTTTACCTGGAAGGTGGTGCCATGGTTCTTGCCGATGGCGGTGTTGTGTGTATTGATGAGTTCGACAAGATGCGTGATGAGGACCGAGTAGCTATCCACGAAGCCATGGAACAACAAACTATCTCCATCGCCAAGGCAGGTATCACAACCATTCTCAACTCTCGAACTTCCGTCTTGGCCGCCGCCAATCCTGTGTTCGGTCGATATGACGATTTGAAGACACCAGGCGAGAATATTGATTTCCAAACCACCATTCTGTCTCGTTTCGATATGATCTTCATCGTTCGTGATGATCACGAGCGTGGACGTGATGAGAAGATTGCGCGCCACGTCATGGGTGTTCACATGGGTGGTCGGGGCTTGGAGGAACAAGTTGAGGCTGAGATTTCCGTTGATCAGATGAAGCGCTATATCAGCTACTGCAGAAGCCGCTGCGCTCCTCGTCTTTCTCCCGAGGCTGCCGAGAAACTATCGTCTCATTTCGTCTCCATCCGAAAGCAAGTTCATCGAACTGAAGTGGAAGCTAACACTCGATCATCGATTCCCATCACTGTGCGGCAGCTTGAGGCCATTGTCCGTATTACTGAGTCTCTAGCCAAATTGTCACTTTCTCCTATTGCTACTGATGCTCATGTCGATGAGGCGATTCGACTTTTCCTTGCATCCACCATGGATGCTATTACTCATGGCGAGGGTCAGGGTAGCAAAGAGCTTATGGAGGAGGCGTCCAAGATTGAAGATGAGCTCAAGCGCCGTCTCCCCGTCGGCTGGAGTACCAGTTTGGCGACACTCCGCCGCGACTTCGTCGACGCGAAGGGCAACTCAGAATCAGCACTCAACCGAGCATTGCTTGTGTTGCAAAAGAGGGAGACGATCCAAATTCGATCTGGCGGTTCGCAAGTCTACCGCAACGCAGCATAAATGCTCCGCTTATGATGATTCCGACATGTTGAGTTCAATACCCCAGTATGTGCTATTGGTGATGGGGCGGTGATTTCTTTTCCAGTATTGTGTGCATTTGTTCCTGGTGCGTGGCATCGGAGTTTATAGGAGTCTGAATTTGTGATATCAAAACTAGGGTCATACTTTCTTTACCGAAATGCATATTATTTTCATAATACCTCGAGTATACATCATATTTCCCCTCCAACGCAACTCAATATAGTACCAATAGTCCGATAACTTCCAGTCAGGCAGCCAAATCCATTCGTATGATTTACTAGAATTCACAGTTCGAAATTATTGAAAATTCATTTCAAGCTATATTCCTCGACATTACTAAAAGGAACTGAGACTACGGCTTCAGTGACTTTCCTCGAAATTTCTAAAGTACTCCTAAGCTCCTCCCTCGTTGTGCGTCCTATACCACACCCAGTCGCCACTCCTAATTGTCTCCCAGTGGGTAAAACACTCCGCGCCGCTTGAAGTCTCCGTAACGTACCCTCTTCATCATTCAGATATACAAGCCCAAGATACAATTTCGTTTCGTTACCAGCAACAAGTCACTTCAAAGCCTCAAAGTAAGCTAGATTATTACGATCCTAGGGAATAGGTATCTAAATCTATTTCAAGTTTATATCCCTCGGGATAGCTTGAATTAAATTATTTGCAAAATCTACTACAAGACTCAATCCGGCTTAATATAATTCTTATATCCCAAATCACTATAATATAGATGCTATTCAAGTGGAATATCACTTAGTACCTAAGTACATAATTTCTTTGCTTGATTAAGTACCTCTTGGCAAATAGGAGAAAAATAAGGCTTCCAAAAGTTATCAAGTAATCAGCTACGCTTATACTCTAGAGTACTAACGACAAAAGGTATAGCAAACTAGATTCCGAGATCCTCTGCTGGAATAGCATTGAAGATAGACCATATAGTATTGGCTATTCACTTTTCGTCAAATGGATTAAGTTAGGCCCAGAATTCCGCCTGTAGATAGACCTGGATATACTTTTAAGGTATTAATTAGTATAGAAACTTGAAAGTATACATTCAGCGGGATAACACCTTTCTCACGAAGAAAGAGAAATTATTGTTATGACTCTTTTACAACCTTGCCGTAATTACTAGGCTTTATGTTATCTATGTGAAAACTCCGCAGTGGCCTTCGGGTAAGTGTATCCCTCTATACCACGGGTGTATTGTTTCGACAGGGAATTGAGGACATTCCCAGGCGACGTAGTTGCCCCTATCCCCAGTTTCCCCATCTGGAATTGAAAACAATCGACCGGGGAGAGCTTCGAACAAAGTGGTAAATACTTCCTCGCTGGTAGATAGGGGTACACTACCAAGGAAGCCGAAGCGATGCTTGGAAGTCCAATGTCTCAGGCTCCAACATCGACACCTCATGCCTAGTAGTAAGGCAGCTTCAACTTGAAGCTACATCACGATCATGCATTAACTTAGAACGACCACACTTTAAGGTATGTAGTGGTGCGACTGGAACCTTACATAGTAGGTAGTGTTCAGGAATACTTAAATTGTCCCCAAGTGGATAGAGATGTGTTACCAGTAACCGCCCACAGAGTGGGTTCAATATCACTCCTCCACGTCCAGAAACGCCCCAATCTTGATGAAAAAAAAAAGTGAGAATCCAAAATACGTAGTAGCTTACATGTGGTTGCCATTTTTATGCACTACCATTTCACCAACTGTTTAACATTTGGAGAAGTCATCGTATTGGTAGTATTCTTGTACCATGATCCAACCCGGGCAACGCTAAGGCCATTCGAAGCACTTTTACCTCCTCAAGCGGATTTAACCCACAAGGGTACAATTACAAAATCAAACACATCAAACAATTTTTCTAAAAAGAGGACCATCACAACGTCGGTTATAAGTCAAACAGTAGTGTGGGGCAAAGTCCGCTCAGATATGGAAGAAGCGAATATGGAGGGGTGGTAAATATAGGAACCCGATTAACCTCCGAGGAACTAACCGTCTAACTCCCGAATCATATTTCAAAAGCGAATAGCGAATACCCTCATAAATACCAACTCCCACCTCCAACTCAACCGCCAAGCAACTACTATCCCACCCGCATACCCTAGTGCCCGATCCATCCGAAAAACCCCCTAGGCACCAACATTCTGTCTAAATAGCTCATAGACATCACCTCATTTACAAGGTGTACAAATCCCCAAACTAGCTGCATAGCAAAACAGTTCTTGGCCTGCATCGCCATTGTAACGTCAAAGCGCCAAGCCAGCGCCAGCCTTACCATAGAATGATCTCTGTGGCTGAGGATTAGTTAGGGCTGAATAATGCGCCACGACAGGAATATCGTGGCACATGCGACTTATTCTTGGCACTTTACAGTTGCATCCTTTACTGGAGATTATTCCCTGTATATAGTACATATGTGTGTGGTTGTTCCTCATTTGGACCCACTGTAGTTTCCTAGCGAGTCTGTCCACTTGTTGGGAGCGAATGAGTGGGAGACATGTGTTGTACATTGAGCATGCGGGTGCGGGGATCCGCTGGCGAGGGGAATAGTTGTTTATGTATAGGCTTGGTCGGGAGATGGTATATTGGGAGTTGGCTACTCGAGGGTATAAAGGGGGGTTTTTCTTGCTTTGATTCCGATATTCTGATCATCATCATCATCCTTCGAAGTTTCTTTCTCTCAATACCAATAATAATAATACAAAAACTTCCAACGCTATCTCGAGCAGTTCCAAACTATGAGTTTCCACGCATCTGCCTCTGAAATTGAGCTTGAGGATGATCACATTCTCAAAGTGACATTCGAAGATGGAAGCGAATCTACCTTGGATCTGAATCAAGTGATTGGGAACAACGATGGTATGTGAATATAGCTCTGTATCATCCCTAACAAGATGATCATTGTTCTGATTCCGCGATAGGAAACTTCCAATGGGGTGGTGAAAACTTCGCAGATAGTGCAAGCGACATTGAACTTCATCGCGAAGGGGACGACGATGTTCCTGTTCTTCGGGCCAATCTGGGAACCATTGATGGGGATGAGAATGCAGCTGATATCAATTTGGGAGAGCGGATTGCGAATGAGGATGGGGAGTTGGTGTTCAAGGAAGAGGAGTAAATTGGTGCTTCATGTTAAGTTATTAGGGATATATCTCGCCTAGATAGACGAGACAAACCTTCTGTTGTACAATCATGTCACATCTTGCATCATCAACACAGTTCGTCCTTCGTATTTGGCGCCTGTCTACCAATGCAATCATTAATACAAAATGAGGTGTGATAGATAATGTAGGAGGTCTTCAAACAATCCAGCCACTATCGGACAAAAGAAACAAAACAGATGACACCAAAGTATCATACACTTAAGACGAAACATGTACTTGCATAGAAGTACCCCAATATGCAAATGAAGTATCTCGAAACCCTGTTCGCGGGCCCATCATCAGATCGTCACAAACCTCTCTATATCAAGATGTAGAGGGTTTTTGCTTCCCGCTTGGCGCGACTTCATGTCTATGCGCGCAGCGGAACGTGCCTCGCGGTCAGCTAACTCATTTCCAAAAATGCCAGAGTGTGCAGGGACCCAATGCAGCTCTATTATAACTCCCATTTTCCTCAGATCTGTCAGACAACCAGTGATCAGTCTTACAGATGAGAGGTATATGCGGGGGGAACGATATCGGTCCAGATAATGGTCCTCGATCATATTAAGGCAGGATGTGCAATCGGTCAGAATCACAACCTGATCCGTGAGAGGGGTTTGCCGTACACCTCGGTCCTCTTGAACAAGCTTAAGAGCTTGCCCCACTGCCATTTCAATTCCATGAAGCTCCGTAAGATTACTGTGGTCTGGTTGTCTGAGTTGACGCCTAAGCGATTTCCATTTCCCCCATAACTCAGCTTTCCACACGACTGCCGCCCCTCCATTACCATGGCGAGGAAGTGAGCCATCCGTCCAAAATATGTGGTAGTGCAAGGAGCCAGAAATGGTGGGCATATCAAGCATTTCTTTAGCAAAGTCCAACGCATTGGGCCGCCTCCTTATCTTGAACAGGATTTCATATGTCGGCTCATCAATCTGGACATTGGATGGATAGGGCAAGGTGGGAGAAGTGGGTGCACTAGAGATCAATATAGATTCGCTTTTGTCTGTGTCTGAATCATCTTCTGTTTCCCAATCATCGCCGGTGAGATCAATCACAACATCACAGTCTTTCGGCTGTTCTGGCAGTAGATCCAACCCGTGGGGTCTTTTGAAGGGCAAGCGGAGATCAAAGTTGGGTCTTTCAGGGAGTTGATGAAATTTTCGGGGTAGCTTGGAAGAGATAGCATTGCCAAGTTTGGGCTTTTCAGGGAGTTCGTGAAACGGTGTCCTGCGAGGCATAGAGTGATCCACGTTGGGTCTTTCAAGCAATGGAACAAGACCCTCACTAAATAAACTCGCCGGTCCATTTGTGGTGTTACCTCCATTCCAATCAGGGAAAGTGTGTTGATCCGAGATTGACGCATGGTAATTTGCACTGACAGACCTGTATGCAGGGGGAAGTTCATGAACTAGCACTGGCGTTTGACCGTATTCTGTTACCTTCATAACATTCCGGACTTCACCACTGATAATGGGTCCAGGTTCTTGGGAAGAAATAGTCAGATCAATAAAGATCCTTTGGCTCCCAACCTGCTCCGGAATAGGGGTGGTCAGATCAATAACAATTCTGCCTTCGGCCGATTGCTCTATGGGAGAATAAGTGAGATCATTGGATAAAGCTGAGCGCCGGGGAGAGGTGAGATCGATAATCTGTCGGCTTCTGGCTCTGTAATTGCTGGTCTGTAACGGGTATCGAGATCTTCCTCGGCAATCATAAGGTTCGACTTTCGAGTTTGGGTTGTTGGTGAATCCTGTTTGTTGTCAGGCTGTGTGTTGATTTGGTGGGCGGTGGAAATTGTGCGTGCGCTCACCATTTTGTCCGGTTTGTTCTCTCACTTTATGCCCTGGATGTAACGGCTCATTCCGTTCGCTCAAATTTGTAGTACTCGCTAGGGGACTCCAGTCTTTCGAACGACGAGAACGTCGTGACTTTTTGTGTATATTGCTGTGTGGATTCGATCGTAGGTTGTAACGTATGTTGCCAGGCAACATGGTGTCGGGTGTCGGGACTCGAGGCCACAGTGAAGCGTGGTGCCTGTGAGTATAGAGGGTCTGTTGTCAGTTTGAAAGGTGTCTGGGTAGATGAAACATACATTTTTTGTCTCACTTTCAGATATTCAACTCGGATCAAAGAGACCTAGTTGAGTGTGAGATGGAAAGAAGAAATTTGAACTTTTGAAGATATGAAGGAAGGTAGATGTGCAGGTAAATGTGCAGGTATATGTGCAGGTGTGTAAATATCAGGAAAGAACAAACTGAACTGCCCAGCGGAAGCCGCTCTACACTCAGTCAATACTTCAGATGACTATACATTATATAATGCACATTAATAAAGGTTTGTTTGTTCCTTAGATACTACTATATAGATGCTTGATTACAAGTTAAAGGAGACCCCCACCACATCTCCCTTATGAATCCTTCAAACTCCCTTGCAAGCAGTTTTTGATCCATTTTCGACTGGTGTCAAAATCGATCAAAGTAGCCGTGGAATCATGGACAAGAAAATCAAATCCCTTGCGGAGCAATGCTAGCTGTCGAAATGAATAGACCAAGCAGATCTATCTGGCTCCAGTACGGTATTTTATCGTGCTTGTATTTCCTGAGCCTAAACTTGGAGGTTCCTTGTCCATGCGGAATGATGTGTTGAGGCGGGTTCAATCTAGCATCAGACGATCTATATTCTGATCCAGCGGGTGCACTACATCACATAATCCTCTTCTTCTACAAAGCATCGTCTCCCTTCTCCTTCATGGTCTTGATGATCCCATCCAGGGTTTTCGGAGAGGTGATTTCAAAGACTCCATAACCAACGCAATCCCACAGGTAGAATTTTCCCCCAGCTTCAAATAGGTAGCAAGAGATTGTACAATCATACATGATCGGACGGCCTCTTCCAATATTCAGCTCTTCACAAATCTCTTGGGCCATACTATCCTCCGCCTCCCAGTCATCTTCATACTCGAGGTCCTCAGGCTTTGAGCTCCACCCGGGCGGCGGGTCATCCTATGATCTATATTAGCGTTGAATATTATATTATGACAGTGACAGGCTTACCACAGTGGCCATAATGCTGGTTTAGTGAATAGAGTGGAGTTTCGGGGTATTTGAAGTGAGTGGTATTTGAAATGAGTCGTGATGAGTGCCTAGGTGACTACATAAATAAATCGGAAATGCGTCATTATTGGCGGAGCGAGGCGTCAGAAGTGCTCCGAACCCCAAAACCCGCCTGGCAGTAAAACTGATAGATGGTAATTGGTTACGTTCCCTGATTGGCATAACCTGGACCTAAAGTTTTGACTTGGAAAGCTAAACATTGAAAGATTCGTTCGGCTTAAACTTGAATGACTGTTTACCCATCCTGTACACCGAAGCCGAGAAAGAATCCTTCAGAAGCCAAAGTAAGAACTTAACAGCATATAAAAATGATCGATCTTGCCCGTCTACAGTATTCCGATGTTCTTAATTTGAAGTCTATTCATTTATCCAACAGGAAAATAAATACACGATCTACCTATCCAATCAATAATCCTGGCTCATAGTTTCCCGCGCGCTAATTTATCTATCGCTAACAGCTAGTGAAGATCCCTAGAGCTCAGCTTGAAACAAACTCGCAACTAGATCCCAAAAGGAGACTACTAGGCCCCCACATTATGCTATACAGGTCGGTATAAATAAACTAGCTCGTATAGCAGGAAAGGCTATAAAATGCTAACAGGTAAGAGTAGGATTGTAATTAACCGTTTTTCTGGTCTAGTGTAGCGATTAGCACCTCTACCAAGGGAATTACAGTTGTGGATGAGGGAAGCAACCTAAGCCCAATATTTCGATGGATGAAAACGGGTACCGACCTGGTTAAAGCCAACGCGAACCCATATACAGAAGTAACTAGCTTCACTATTATGTTCGGCTCCATGGAATTTCATTGTGCTAACTCACGCTCCCCCCTTATCCATATGGTACATAAAAGTTGCAAGCTTTATGCGATCAGAATGCATCATGGAGACGATGTTTATGTTCTCCCAGAAAGCTCGGCCAAAGAGTGGCGAAACCTTCCCCGGGAGCATGATACCTTTTATGGTGCACTTTCACTGGTAGGTCAATTTCAAGAGATGTCTTCCTTTCAGTATCTATCTATGCGATTCAAACAGCAGGCATCATACCAAGAACTTGAAGAATGTTGTTACCAGACAACTGGCCAAGAAGTATACCTACATGATATGACCACGACTTCAGCCGATGCTTTTTAACGCTTGCAACAACAAATTTACATCAAGTCAGTGACGATTACGTTGGCAAATACTTCACTCGGACCTCGTAATGATCAATAGTACTAACTTAAACAGACAAGTTCCATGAGCATCTTATCTCTGAATTGGATAAGTACTTGCCGTTATCCTACTTCCCAAATCCAACGATCAGAATGCGAGCTCGACCCCGGAAGGTTCCAAGTTAGGTTTTGATGGAAGAGCCTGCACATGAGATGAAGGAAATAGAACGATATTATTTTACATATCGAGGTCAGACCATCAACACTCCAGAGCTATACATACACAGATGGACAAAGTAAACTTCAACTTGATCACCCATCATACAATCTCAAACAACTTCCTATTCTCCCCCAACCACTCCTGAAACGTAATCGGCTTCCTCCCCGTATACCTCCAAATATTCCCCACAGCCTCCTTATAAGCCGGCGCAAGCGAAATATCCCTCCTAACCCCCATCATATTATCAACATACCACCTCGCAAAAGCCTCCGTCAACCCCGCCATACTCCTAACATCATCAACAGCCTCTTCAACCCTAATCCTCCTAACCTTAACATCAACCCCAACAACGAAACAAATAGCTTCCACAACCTGCCTCAGCGACATCAACTGCGCGCCCACAAGACTAACAACCCTCTCATGCCCAATAGATCCTCTCGCCAGAATACATCCACAAACTCTCCCCACATCAGCCGGTACAATCCAATCCAACACCGCGTCGGGATTAGGTAACCGTACTTCACCACTAAGAACACCGTTACGCATTTGCAAGGCGTTAGTAGCGAAGTAAGCTGGCCGTACGGCTATTCCGTTTGTGCCGAATACATTCATTAATGAAATTTCAGCTTGTGCGTGGCGGTATGGTACGAAGTCTGTTCTTGATATGGCGTGGATGTCGTTTTCGATGCTGAAGCTGCTGAGTAGAACTATTGTTTGGATTCCGGAGGATTTGAGTGTGATTAGGGCTGTTTTTAGGGAGTCTGTTGTTCCGGGTACGATGTATAGGAATGCGTGCCTGGCACCGCTGGATTGGATGGCGTATGCGAGTGTTGAGGGTTTTGTGAGGTCTGCGTGGACTCGTGGGATGGGGAGATTTTGGAGGGCTGGTATAGGCTTTGAGGGGTCTCGCATGGCTAGTGTTACCCTTGCGCCTGCTTGGTGGGCGCTCAGGGCAGTTATTGAGCCGACTGCTCCTGTTGGACCGAAGACGATTACGTTTCGAGATGACATTGTATGTCTATATGGTGTGCTGAGGCTGAGTTCAGTGGTTGGCCGGTGTAGTTCGATGCTTCTGATAATCTGGATGATATGGTATTGCATGGGGTCCGGGTGGCATTTTCTTGCTGGAAAGCTTGGTCTTTTGAGGTAGGTACATTCGTGGTATTTAAATTTGACTTGATCGTCGATCTATAGTTTGGTCGGATTTTCGGTCGACCGATAAACCGCTGTCCGATCCAGGAGAGACCTTGTAAGCGTTGTGAGGCTTGTATTCTGTTTCAAATGCGGGTCAGTTTAACTCTCGAGCGCTATTTAAATTGCCCAAAATAGCAGCTGCCGGTATATCTTCATCCTGGATGGATGAAGTCAAGGTGTCGAGATCTGAATGGCCGAAAGGTCGTGTACAGTCAACACTTCCACCTGGGCAGTTGATAGGATTGGGTCGGGTGATGGTAGTGAAACGCGCTCGTATCGGATTTGTCGAATTTACTGCAAGAAAAGACTGGTTTACTACGAAATTCCTACTCCGTATGGACATATTGAAAGTCTTAAAAGGCTCGACCAAGGCGATATCATGTCTTCGGTGCTGGTCTAGAACGAAAACTGGCAACACTATGAAAAGCCGCCAATCTTGAAAAAAAAAGTGGCAGATTGAAACGCCATTCGCACCCATTTTCCATACCCGAACACGGTTCTAAGACGAGATCGAACTCAGATGTCCGCTCAGTGATCATGTCTTGTACGAGTTGATCACAAGGGGAAATTGCAGAGAAATCCATGTACACAAAAAGAAAAGGAAAGAAAAGGAAGAGACAGATAGTAAGAAAGAGAAAATAAGTAAGAGGCACAGGGGGCATCAATTCGGGCGGAGTCGAAAATCACACAAGAAAACATCGTTGCAGCCCGTGTTCGCTATGCCATTTGGTTGCAAAAAAGTTCAACAGAAGTCAAGTCACATATCCATGGCCAACCCCCAATCACGCGCAAGAAAATCATTTGGTAGAATTGCTTCGATGCAGAATCTGTACATTTGTTGCACTGGTACCGCTTCCAACTGAACGTCGTCGTGGGCGAATTTCGCTGCCGCTACCGCTACGTCGTCTGCGAGAACCACGGATAGAGCCACGGCGTCGAGTCTGAAATCAAACGGACGTTTCCACATTAGAATCACGCTGGCTGTACATGGGCGGACGTGGTCTCTTAGCAAGGGACAAATAAGGTGTAACGAAGGCAAGAGTGGCATGACAAAGAATTGAGACCCGCATAGATTGAAAGTAGGGGGTGCAATGATCTCGATAATATTATACGAGATCAAGAGTGCACAGGACTCACCGAATTAGGGGTGCCTTCCCGAGCAGGTCGCTCCTTGGAGGTATCAGATTCATCCAGCTTCAGAGTGTTCAATCGCTTTTGACTCTCGTTGGTCATGGCCTCCACCTCATCAATTGGCTCGGGCACGTTCAGGTTGGGAGCGGGCGGCAATGCTGGAGCGCCGTTTTGTCGCTTCGCTTGCTGCTCAACCAAGTCCCATCGGTCCTGTCGAGTCTTCTCGCGCTCGTCGGCAGTGTTTTGGTGCTCAGTATAGTCATGAGAGCATTCGTCGAAGAGCTGGGGATTAATCTCCATGAACATCTTCATGGCATTGTATACCATGCTATGGATGGTTCTATTGACAGAAAAGGGAAAAAGTTAGCCTGTTATCAAACGCAGTGTTCTTGATATCGACCCATACCTGTTCCAGTGACCCTTGGAGTTCTCATAGAGTGGAGCAAACATAATTGGAAGAATGGTTTCCACATTATCACTGACAAGGTTGCAGAAGTACTCATTGTTCCAGAAATAAAGTGCGCGCTCAGCAACCTGGAAATGTGGGCTGGCGACCGACTTGGCAAGCTGGTGGAACAGAGGTTCTTGCACCTTGGCAAACTCAGCTGGGTCCATGACTTCAAAAATGTCCTCCACTTCGTTGAGATACATGACTTCCTTGGTGCTGTTTGTCTTCGGCCAATATCGCAATAGTCCAAGGACAACCTGTATTTCGATTAGCATTGAGTCATTATTTCTTTGGGAGGAAATGGTGGTCCGATTCTGGCACGTACATCTTCTGTAAGTGTAGAATCCTTCTCCAAAAACTGAACTATACAGTAGGCCAGTTGAGGATGGTACATGCTCAGGCTCTTAACCTTGTGCATAGGGAGAAGAACCCGAGTCAAAAAGAGCTTGTGTTCCTCCTTCAGGGGCAGCGCAAAGCCATTGATAATGGAGCCCAGAATCTCCAGCAACTCAGCAATTCCGTTATGTCTCTCTGTTTCATACATAAACTGGAAGAAAACGTTGTTGATAGATCGACGAATATATGAACGCAGATTCAAGAATTTGCCGTAGATGCGATGCAAAGTTGTCTTCAGGAAATCACGCTCACGTGGGTCTTCTGAGTCGAACAGATCCAGTAGCTATGGACATAGATGTTAGTCTCGAACGTTTGACAAACATATAGATGCACCGTGCGTGAGATAAACACGAGATAGGAATCAAAGGAGGATAAATTACCTGTAACACGAATTGATGGTCGATGTACGCCTTTGCAATGTTGGTGTTGAAGTCCTGGCTCTCGATAAACCGCAAGAAGAACTCATAAACAACCTGGATATGAGGCCATGCAACTTCCAAGACGGGATCATCCTCCTCGGGGTCAAATGCCTCTCCCTGGGGTGTCATAGGGGGAGGAATTGGGCGAAACAGGTTCTTTGCGAACATCTCAACAACACGAGGATACATGGGCTCCGTGATCACCGATCGGTTATTAGCGACGTAATCTAAGAGCTCGTGAAGCGCCAGTCTCTTGATCTCTTTGGACTTCATGTCTGCGGTGGGGTCATTGAAATCGAAGATAATATTGCACTGGTCGATCTTTTGCATGAAGAGGTCCTGGCGGCGGTTGGGGGCGACTTCATGGAAGCCGGGCAATTTCTCTAGCTCTCTCTGACGTTGATCGGAAATGTCAAATCGCGATGAATGCTGGCGCTTCGGGGTCCGGATTCCTTCCGACATGTCCTTGGGAGTAGTTTGGAGGCGGTCGAAAACGTGAGACTTCCGTGGGGGAGCGAGATCTCCGGGCATGGTCTCGGCGGCACCTGGGGGAGGAGCATGCTGAAAAAAAATGGCGATCTAGTTAGCGCACATCGAAAAACGATCTTTCGATATCATGAGCTTACCGGAGCACTTGGACTGATAATCACGCTCGGAGCTACTGGCTGGCCCTGTCTTGTTGGGGTACCGGGACCATTATTGGCCGGCTGACCAGCCGCCCCTTGGGGTATATAATGCTGAGCTGCTGCGCCAGGGGCGCCTCCCGATGGGGTTACAGCTGGAGATGCATCATCGGGCGACTTGTTCCGTGTATCATTCAGGGAGGTGGTTGATGATGTCGGGGTACCTTGGTTCGGTGAGGCCGACTGTTGTGTAGGGTGGATACCGAGAGACTGTTGTTGGGGTGTGGAGGTGGTGGAATCCTTCTTCTTCGAGGACTTGTTGTCCTTTGCCCGCGACAACTGCTCATGCTACAAATTTGGGCTTGGATTAGTTTATGTACGAGCAAGGGGGATGACAAGTCACCAGCTGCATGGTGGGGGGAGGGGGCTTGACGATCGTGCGGTGAGAACACGAAGCAGAAGAGAACGTACCACTCTCTGCCTGAATCCCTTCATTTTTGTGTCTTTAAGATAGCAACATGTACTCCACTAAGGGTTTCTCGGTGCCAGTGCAGCCAGTGCGCTGCACTCTCGCCAAAGCGACTCGAATGGGATCACGGAGGGAGGATTGGGGCGTTTTGTATCGATCAACCTAAGAAGTGGAAGACATGAGCGCTGTATCATGAGAAAGGCAGTAGGAAACGTGGCAGTGTATGGGAAGAGTGTGCGCGACTATATTTGTAGCATTCCGATGAAATATAATCGACCTCCAATGGCGACCAGTCTCAACGGCCCCGAATGGGCGATGGGCGATGCCGCAGCACGCGCACGGGGCAAGCAAGACGCTTGGGTGTTGGGAGGGGGCAAAGGGCGAGAGCGACGACAGGCGATTCTAAAGAATAGACCAGACATACCTCGGTGACTTGAGATGGAACAATTGAGGTGTCGGGGATAAAGGAGACGAGCCGAACAGCGCAGGGACCGATATGGGATGCACGTTGCTTGATCCGCTCAGAAGGATCTCCGTGTCGCTTAGTGGCAGGGTGGGAGCGGGGAGGGGAGGGCCTTCGAAAGCGCCAGGACCACCCGATTGCAAACCCACGAGCAAAGTCTGGATCGGTTCGGTGTGAAGATAAACGGCGGATGGGGAGGATGGAGGGTGAATCAGAGAGTCGTTGGCGGGAAGAGATGGGCTTGGGTAGGTGGAGGGAGAGGAAGCGGGTGTAGTGGTGAAGGAAAGGCGGGCTTCTCCTGGCCGTGATGGTGATAGGGGGAAGATTCATTACTAGGTTATTTGATTTCATTTTTAAGATAATATGCCACATATAAATGTCATGGAACAAGAGTTATTCAATTAATCTACACTTTTGCTATCTTATTCCAGATGTTTTCTCTCCAGTCACTATGGGCTTTCGTCATGGCTCGCTCTCTGTTGTATGCGATTTCCCGCTTCTTGACGCTTGGCTGTGCAGTCACGTGGCCCCCAGGGGAATCGCCCCATCTACTACTAATAACACACTAGTAGTGTATGGGAGAAATCTCATCCACACGGATTTGAGTAGATACCAAATTAATATCGTCATTAAACTGGTTTTATTTTCAATATATAGTTCAATATCTACCGACGTAACCTTGGAAATAAGCTTAAGTCGATTTATGGTGGCAAAATTGGTAGTGGGACGCTAAGCCTGGGCCAAGATATATACTTTACCGAGTGTGATATATGGGCAATGTCCCTATACATAATAGTTCATATGAGATGTTGAATTAATTACAGTAGCACATAGATTACAACAGTCCTGAATTATCAGAAGGAATAGATGCAAGTTACATATGATAGTTGTTTGTTGTTCTTGCCCATCAGCCAATTCCCATCATGTTGATTTGTGCAGAGAGTCGGGTCGGTTAGTCATCATATCTCCACCAATGCCGTTCAGCCTGAAGAACGAAGAACGAAGAATGTAGATTTGGTCACAGGAGAAGCTAGGACCAACATCAACTGTCGAGCGTTGAACCTTCATATCGAACCAGGTTCTGTTTGTTCCACAATATCTACACTCAAAAACAAAAGATGGCGCCGTATCGAGAGCCGAGAACGGCCCCAAGCTATCCCATACCGTCCAGGCGACTGGTTAGCGTGGAGCATCCAGCCGTGATTCGGAACCTTGATAAAGCCGTGGATACCTTACAAGGAAACATAGGAATCGATAATGTAAGGGCATTCACATTTTGCAAAGTTTCCACATCATCTGAGAGGAATACATACTGACGCGACACAGATCTTGAACCCACTGAAGGCGGACACTCCAGCCAAACTATTTCTACGGCCTGAGGATCCAATGTCCCGGCCTTTGCTTTCTACAAGCAACCCAACCAACAATGTTTTACTAAAAGTTACAGTACCCAAGAGGACTGGCCGAAAGCGAAAGACAGGCTCGGATGGGCCGTTTATTGATGCGGCTCCTGAAGACACCGCGGTTCTTCAGCGACCCACTTCAAAAGATTTGTTGCGTTCCCTTCAGGATAATCCCTCGAAGTATCAGATTGAGGCAGTTGGAAAGATTCAGCGCACGCATGTGTATCGGGGTATGTCGAGCTTCGTCACCCAGTTTCATGTTTCTTTGATCAACAGTTGCTGACATTAAATAGCAATGCCGGACTTTGTCTATTCAACGAGCAATAGTGCATTCACCCAGAAGTTCCGAGATCATATCTTCCCATATCAATGTAAGTAAGAGTGCCATTTAGATCAATCGAACCACCAACTAAGATGTCAACAGTGGATAAAATGAAACAATTCGATCTCGACATGAGCAAGGGTGCCCTCACTGCCGCAGATATAATTCCGCCGCCATCGCTAAGTAACGAGCAAATCCCATTCCTGTACATGTACGTACTTCTTGAACCTACACTTCATACAATAACACAAGTCTACAAACACTAACCGAAAACCAATCAGGTACCGCCAAAACCCAGGTGTAAAACACACAGTCGATGAAGCCGGCCAAATAATCACTACAAACACCCAACAAAGCATCAAAGTCCGCACGCACCTCATCTCACACGACGTCGCCAACATCCCCACTCAACCGCAAGAAAGTCTCGAACCATTCGAAACACTTGACAGCAACCTGCAACAAACAATAAACGTCATCCGTGCTCTCTTCGAGCAACGTCCTGCCTGGACACGTCGTGGTCTCCGCAACCATCTCCAATCCGAAGAACAGCAATATCTTCTCCGTCTCGCAATTCCATACGTAGGATACATTTTCCGCGCCGGACCATGGCGCGATGCCATCGTGAAACTAGGCGTGGATCCACGCTCCAGCCCCGAATACCGTTACTACCAGACGTTTATGTTTCGCCTTCTTCCCCGTGAACCAGAGGTTGGGCGCGATGGTGGCCGCGATGGTGGCCGCGGCCGTCAAAGTCAATATAACCACATCGATCCGGAGGGTCTACCTGCACCCGGAGCAAAGGATACCTATATTTTCAGTGGTAAATTGCCAATGCACTCTGATGGTCGAATCTGGATGGCCTGTGATGTCACAGATCCCCTTCTTAAAAACCTTCTCTTCCCGCCTGATCTGCCGGAGGGCGATTTAGGTCCCCACGTCCGAGACACATGCGAGGTTGTTTCAGACGGCTGGTTCGGGAATGGTCTTCTCGCCAAAGTAAAGATTATTATGCGGATGAAGATCGCTTCGTTGATGGACGGTATTCAGCCCTTGGATGAGGATTACCGTGATGTTGCTGGATTCCCTAATTATGCTGAAAACGAGGCAGATGTCATTACTCATTTTCAGCTTGATCCTCGCAAGTCTTCTCAGAAGGAAATTGCAATGGCTACTGAGATTCGCGCGGCTATTAGAAGTGTTCCGCTGTGGAGAAAGAAGACTGAAAAAGATAAGCAGGGTGAAGAGAGGACGAAAGACAAGAATGTTAAAGGTAAAGCCAAAAAGGAGGCAGCGAAGTCGAAGAAGAGAAAGGCGGTTGAGTTTGCTGATGAGGAGTACGGTGAAGATTTGAATCACAGTGAGGGTGAAGAGGAGGAGATGGAGAGAGCAGAAATGGCTGCTGCTGCTTTGGCAGCGCGAGATGCCGCCGAGGAAGATGTCAATGATGGGCAAAATCAGGAGGATTATGATGAAGACGAAGATTACGAATAGGAAGTTATTGCCCGAAATATACCCGTTGAATTCGATATGACCACGCCTTCAACTGTGCTTGAATGAACCAGAGCCGATTTAAGACCCCTCCACCTTAAGGGGTGCAACATATAATCCAAATATTTAACCAAAATCCGAAAAGAAAACATATAAACTCTTATCGCCCATTGTAAAAAACAGTCCAATGAAGCGATAGTCCCCTTCAAGTTAAGCAGAACCCGCACTGTCATTCCTCTGCATTCGTAAGCATCAGCCAACTCCTCCGGGTACCACCGCTGTCCCACTTCCGGATGACTAGTAATCGAATTAACCAGTATAGCCTCATTATAGCTCGTTTTAAAAAAAGCCTCGAAGAAAGTCTCAGCATCCGACTTTGATTTTGTCCGCGTTGACTCAAGATATGAGATGGCAGATCCAACGAAACATGCTCCGGCGTAACATTAGAACTGAACACCTGAAAGAACGCAGTACTAATGCGCTTTCCAAGATCTTGACTATCAGCTCCTGTGAACTGTTCACTAGTAAGCAATACACGATGCGTAGTCGCAACACAAACTCCATGCGTGATTGACTCCATCATTGATCTACTAAAATAACAGTCAAATAATCCTCCAAGCCTATCAAAAACTATTTTAGATCAAATTATCAAGGGCTACTACCTATCGCTATACAATACCATATTACTAACATAGGAAATCATAAATCTACATACAACTAATAAGAAGATTATTAAGAAGCGTAAGTAGTTATATAAAGTAATACCCTGCAAAGGGGGTTTGACTATTGAAGAGGGCCTACAGCTAGCTATACAACTAGACTTGCCAGCAGAAGCATCTGTAGTAGAATCATATACGCAGGGCGAATAACCTATTCAGGCAGATAGGCCAGCTACTGGATTGGGAGCATGTGGGTGAACTTTGCCGGCTCCCAAAGAAATTCAAATCAGCTCCGATGTATGAACAACGGCTATTAACCCCACATTTAAAGCGATATTTCCTAACACATCCAGGGCCTTTTCGTTCGAAATATTCAGCATGTTTCAAGTGATCCATCTTTAGAATCTTCACCAAACTGGGTTTTGAGCTTTCCAACCCCACCTCAAGTTCACCCATTATAGTGTACTCACCGAGCCTCGATTATCCTATTCATCAGTCAATTCTCCAGTGAGAGGCCTTATTGTCTGCTGCTGTAGTGGTGCGATGGTTGCTATCCATGGCTTCTCTGGTATCTCGACAAATTTAAAGATTTTGTGAATTTGATGGGCCAGCGCATAACCAAGAGCCCTATGCAATGGATTTATTATCCGTTGAATCAACAAGAATCCATTACAGCAGCTTGGGTTCGGAAGTTCAGCATTTGTCGTGGGGTTTGGCTTCCAATCCAGTCTTAGTTGTAAGACCCACCGTTCTTATTTCACTTTCGTGAAAAGCTGGAAATATCTTTGGGAAGAAACATAACATTTGGACCTCAGTTTTCAGTCAGTATTATCGATCAAAATGAATGGCTTCCGCTGACCAAAGATGGTGATGGCCCTATCTCTGGCGTTTTTCATGATATATTTGACCCGACGGCCAATTTTATTCGACAATTCGGAGTCACTTGCAGATATACAGATCATGGTAGACCGGTAGACTTGCTCCACATGCGGCCCGTTCAAAGGGGTCCTCGGGCACGAGTTGGTCGATCTGGGGCGGCCTACCCTCGATGTGTAGACGAGTTGCGAGCATCGCCCCACTGCTGGGTAGCCAATTGGATCACCTTTGTCTGCGCATGGGGACATCTGGACTTCAACGGAAGCTGGCTTTGAGGGCACTGGTGTGTGCTGAATGAGGCACGTGGCCGTCTGACTTGCAGATCAGCGTAAAGAGCTTGGCGTGCTGTGATCACGGCGCTAAAAAAAGATAACCGTGTATAACGATGAGGGAAAGGGGGAGAGAAGGGGGTGTATGGAAATGCTGGAAGGAGAAACAAAGAAAGAGGCAGAGAATCAACGACGAAATGGATCGATACAGCGTGTTGGCAGTTGTGTAGAGCTGGTGGAGAGGCTCGCAAGTTGATTCTAAAGAGCGAAGAATCTCAACCGTCGAGGGTATACTGTTTCGGGATGCGAGGTGGTCCAGAAGTTTCAAAGGCACGAGCAATCACGTTTCAGGAGTAACTTTGTTTGCTCTCCTTGATGCATGAGGCTTTTTGAAGCCCAGTCAGGGCGTGGAAGTGAGGCTGAGTGGGTCTAATAGAGTGCACGGTCCCTATCCGTTGAGTCAGTAGAGCCTCAGCCTTTCCTATTTTGAGAGCCCGCTCCATGCCATCACTGACTCATAGAATGAGCTTGAGAGCTTACGCGGTGATATCGGAGGTATGAATTGTTAGGCGAATCGCTCCTAGTTAGACTACATAGCATTTCGTCAGTTCAGATCGTAGACGAGTGGTGACGCACACCTCCCAAGTGACTCACACACCCGCTACCATCTCTCTCTCCGTAGCTAGTTGCATATATCATCATTTTATATCTGTTGATCATTCCCATAACTGCCTTCTGGACAGATAATTCTGCGAGCGACCAGCTCAAAGCAACAGCCATGGAGCAAGTACGGAAAACTTTCTTCAATCCACTCGCGACGTCCAAGTCTGAGGTGATAAGGATACTCGAAGATCTTCCCGTCGGCTCCTCACATCCTTTCAGCCCTGAGAAACTTCTTCTTTGTCGAACTGAGAGTGGCATAAAAGAAATTGACATCTCAGAATACCCGGAAGATTTCTTCTTCAATGCCGTGAATTTGGGGGAGATGAGTGATGTGCTATTGGAACGAATGGCGAAGTTTGACCAGTTGAGTGAGTCTACATTCATCAAACTACTTTTTATACAACCTCGGTAATGGTATGCTAACTGTATGCAGAGGTATTCGAGGACTTCCAAATCACACAAGCACCGGATGCGACATTCAAGATCCCTATTGTTTCAGACCAAATCACCATACTAGCTGTTTCGGACAGAAAACCAACATATTGGGATTTCTGCTTTGCGGATGAATCATATAACGCTTGCTGCTGGTCACAGAGGAATACATTCCCTGGGATCACCCACAGTGGAGACACTTTAGAAGGATTGCATCTCCTTCACTATGTTCGGATCAACGAGACCTCACTTACAGAGAAGGAAATTTGCGTGTTTATCTCTGGATACCGGATGACGCAGATTACAAGATTCTTGGGTACCCACCCTGCGTTAATGGTCGCAGACCATGTAGATAAGGTATGTCCTAGATACCATCATCTGAGAGAAATGAAGCTAACGCAGAACAACAGATTCTTTACATAATCCCAGTTCCTCTAGATGCAGCGACAATAGAGGACGCCACTATTTGCTGCCCTTTGGTCATCAAGAAAGATGGTAGCCTGTTGATTTGTTCAATATTGCCAGCTGCAACTACCGACCGAGGTATGATGTGCAGCAGTAACAGGCTGGTCAGCCCCAGTTTCCCAGAGGCTATCAGGCGTGCCGATTTCACTACCACAGCTCATGAAACCACCAAACGACGTGAGTCTCAGCATCTGCAAGAAAATCAACCATCAAAGAAACGGAAGCTCACTAATTTAGGGTCTGAAGACAATTTTGTGGAAGAGTATACCACAAAAAACTCAGCAAATACATGTATGATTGTCAGCAATGAGCATGCCGTGTTCACCACCAGCTCGGTTGTCATCCCGCCTTTTATCGATGAGAAACACACCCAAATAATACGTTTCGGGACTGGCCTTGAATTTAATTTCGCGAATAACCAGCAATTTGCAAAAGAGCAGGCTTCCCAAGTTGTCTTTCCATGCATATTCGGCACTCAACTCGAAGGGCCGATTCTGCTAGCGACCGGCACGTCTCCTTCAAACACCCCATTCACCGATGGAGATTCTCTGAGAAACTACTACAGACAATTAAAGAGTGCCGTGGTCATTGTTGACGAGAAAATGACCGACAACGCCCGCAACCTTGCGTCAAACTACAGAATCAACGCACTGTTCATTGTGCAGCTCACCCCAGAAATTGCGCCCAAAAATTTGGATGATGTTTGTTCATTAATGAATTCTGCAAATATAAATGCTGTGACAGCTCATGCGGGGCCACAGTCTTTGGTGCTCGCTCAGATTGCCGATAGGTTTTACTTCTACAGGGGGATCGCGAACCGTGTATATCTTAAGACGTCGGACCTCGCTTTTGGATCCGACGTGACATCACTGCTGCAGACCATTACCTTGGATTCAATTCTGGACCCCAGAATAGAACGTATCATTGATCTAGGAGGGAGAAATTCAATCATTCTTCCTACTTCTGGCCAGCGTGTGGAGCCTCAAGATCTCCAGAAGGTTCTTGACGGTATCTCGATTGAGAAGGTTCAAAGTCTGGAAGAGGATATATTTGCAGCCGCCCCTCAGCTGCAAAGCCTTCTAAACCAGAAAGATCTACAAGAGCTTTCAAAGAATCTGGTGAATGAACTGTCGGCCAAGATAAGCCACGCAACAACCCCCTTACGAGAGAAATTGAAACGGTTTTTGGCATATGAGTACAATATGGAAAATTCGCAGTCGGTAATGATGAAGAATAAAATGGTTGGCGAGCTGAGAAAGATCACCAAAGATATGCAAAAACTACTCGAGCCAGTCATATCTTGTTTGGCTTCTATGATCTCATCCCAAACGACGTCCAAGCGAACGCATGACCTGAAACGACTCGTTAGGCAAACCACAATCCAAGATAATCTCGAAGCCACTAAGTCTATGACATTCGAGACTCTGGCCGGATTCCTTGAAGACTATGCCGGAGACATGGGAGTTATGCTGACGAATATCGAAACAACATCTTATCGCGCATTGCTTGGGAACCTCAAAGCCAACACAATGGACGCAAGCGAATGCTGTGCTCTTGACTCCCGAATTCTACATTTAGAAGGCTTTGATGCAGGAATTATCATCGAACAATCGCAGGCCAGTCACGACGGCCCACTCAAAAGCACCATCGGATCATCCCAGCCCATCCTTGCACTCCCATACCTAAGCCAGCTATCTGCAACTGGGTCAATGCTAGCATGGGTATGCTGGGACGAGTTTGTCAACCTAAAGAGTCCCTACAAAGTCCGTTGGATGGAAAAGTGCAATGAGCCACATATCGCTGCACTCCGAATAATAATGAGAAATACACTCAGTCAAGCGGTGGCGTCTAGAGAGTATAACTTTCAATCCAGCAGCCCTGAGACAGGAAATCTGATGAGCACGCTACTCATGGCAGCCATGTCGAAGCTAGGAGCTATGCGAACCAGTAAGCCCATTGAGATGGAGGGGGCCGAAGACACGGTTACGAAACTCATGCGTGGGCTATTCGGTAATCTTCTCACCATCGCTGGCTCGGGCGTTCGGCCTCTAAGTATGGTATGGCAGCTTTTTGGTCTACACCCACAGTTCGACGTCCCATCTACCCCTGCAGAGTGGGTCTGGTACGAGACGGTCGTGGCATTATATCCATATACAGGCTGGCCGCTGGCGCAGTTTCATGCCAACCTGGAGAAACTGCTTGACAGAACGCTGGTTCGGGTCGTCACTAAGAATGAGAACTTGCAGAATATAAAGGCGAGTCGGAGAGAAGAGAGAATTAAATATTGCAAGCTGCGCAACATTCAACTTGATCACTCCCGTTCTATCATCACAGTTCTAATGCGCATGCTCACGGACGCAAGAACTAGTACAACCTCAGACCAAAATGCTGCTGTCGATCTCCCCGCCATCGCATCGCGCCTACTAGCCTACCTTCCTCATACACTCGAGAACCAATCGCAAAGCTACACGAAAATGATCGCCTACTTATCGCACCTTGCCGATGGAGGGGGGCGCGATCCCAGAAAAGACAATCTAGCCGCAAACGTGTATACTAGACGCTCAGCTGCGTTCGCACAATTGAAAAAGAAAGTCCACGACTCATGCCAAGAGATGAACTGGGACAAGGTTATAGAGTATTGTGAAGCGATCGTTGCGAAACAGAACGAGGTTGCGACTGTATGGCAGGTTACTTCCGATAAGGTCAGGGTGCAGAACATTCAGCCCTACAAGGCTCTTCTTTCCATGAACCTCAGCGACGACGTGGATGAAGGAACACGGACTAAGAGGACTGGAGCTATCAAGAAGATAATCGGGGATGCGGAAATCAAACGTGTGCCCTGGCAGGTGGGCAAAGATGGCCAGTACGGTGTTATCCAGCCATTGGATGAGAGTTTTGTCCACGAGATTTTGAAGGGAGAACGACCCAATGTGTCTGCCCCTACAAGGGCCAAAACTGAAGAAAAGAATGAACAACGGGCGGCGATGATAAATTTCGGTGACCAATTTGCCGGCTTCAAGGGCGCTTTGCGTGCAGACTTCATCCAGACTATGCAGAAGGATCACAGTCCTGAAGAAGTCTGTGCCATCATGGGTGTTCCTGTTTCTGCTATGCGGGTCTTTGTTCACGCGCTCAATCCAGATTTTGCTTGGGTAAACCTCGCGGAGAATTTCAAATTTGTCATTCTGGAACTGGTGAAGGAGCGATCGGGTCGAGAGGAAAGTCGTCCTGTCAGGAGATTGATGAGGTTCGGGGAAGGGAAGCTGCAGCTCCAGGAGTGAGGGGTGGTGGATTCTAATGATCTGTACGGCCGTACCTTTTTTTCCTTCTTTCTTCCTTGCATTCATTAGCACTTCTTACATGATAATTGAGCGTTCAATGATGTTTCATCCACTAGAATATCTTTTCGCTGAAACTCATTCCTCGTAATTTCACCGGTAGAGCCATGCAAATACCATCAAATAGTTTCTCACATCCCTGTTTCCCAACAGGATTAATAGATCAAGATACTTCCCCTCAACTAGTCAGCTTAATCTATAACAGTATGAGTTAGGAGAGTAGTTTGGCGGTTCAGCCTCATAACTTAACTACGGAATATCGGCCTGGGAAATAAGGCAAGAATCATACTTTCAGTTAACTAGTTAACATAATTAGAAGCACATAATACTCGCTACTCAAAGAAATCCAAGTTCGATTCATTTTCATTCTCCCCATATTTCGTATCCTAAGGTTGTATACAAAGCTTCTGTGGTTAACTGTGGGTCAGCCATTCTCCACTAGCTGAAGGCGTCCCCGCGAGTCCGCGACCCCACGTCGCTCCCAACCTCGCCTCTTCAACAACACCTGCTAAACCACGACAATTAATGAACTACACAAGACTGGACAGGCAATTCACATAAGCCGTCAGTTCCTCACCCCTCCACCACTTTACGTCGAGATCACAAGGTCAATTGAGCTTTACCCCACACATCTACCCCACCCCCCGAAAGCTCACCGACTCGACTCAACTCCAAAACCTCAACGATCAAGACGAACTGAACTCCTTCACTCTCCCAGCCATAAACAACCAAACATCAAACTTCAACAATGGCACCCACAATCCGAGTAATTGGCTCCCTAAACGCCGACATGGTCTCAGTGACCCCCCGCTTCCCCTACCCGGGCGAAACCATAACCGCCTCATCCTATTTCCAAAGCGCAGGCGGCAAAGGCGCAAACCAAGCCGTAGCCTGCGGCCGAATGTCCCGCGAAAAGCCCTCCCCCGAACACACAGGCCTCAACACCTCCAGCGACGTGCAAGTCGAAATGGTCGGTGCCGTCGGCGGCCAAGACGGCCACTTCTCCGCGCTACTAAAGCCAACACTTGAAAAATCCGGCGTCAACCCATCCCGCGTCCGCATAATCTCAGACGCCTACACAGGCGTAGCAGTGATAATTGTCGACTCCTCCGCTTCCGGCGAGAACCGTATCCTCTTTTCCCCCGGTGCAAACTACACAGGCATGCAACCTATCCCCGACGTCCTGGGAATGGCACTCGCAGCTCCAGTCCCCGATGTAATTGTCATGCAGGGCGAAATCCCAGTTGAAACAATCATCTGGACACTAAGGGAAATAGCAACATTCAAGACGAAGAACCGCACATCTGGTAAACGAGGCATCGAGCGAGGTCCAGACGTAATGCTGAACCCAGCACCTGCACCACCATCCGGTCTCCCAGAAGACGTCTACTACGCAGTGGACCATCTAATCCTCAACGAAACAGAAGCGGAGCTAATGACTCCACCAGCCGAGCAATTACTCCGCATAGTTCCCGAAGCGAACGGATTAGAGAGCAAGGAGAAAGTAGCTCGGTATTTCCACAAGCTAGGCGTGACTTATGTGCTTATTACGCTTGGCTCGAAGGGAGTTTGGTATAGTGCTACGGACGGTGGGACTTCTGGGCCTGCGGATGGGGTGAAGCGCTTTACAAATGAGATTCCGGCTGCGCCCGTGTCGAGGGTTTTGGATACTACTGCCGCGGGCGATACGTTTGTGGGGGCTTATGCAGTGAAGATTGCGAGGTGGCGGGAACAGAGACGTGCGGAGGGGAAATCAGGACAAGATATTACGGATGAGGAGAAGCCGGGGAGGTATGGGGATGTTATGGATGAGGCCATGCGGATTGCTGCGCGGGCGTCTGCTCGGGCTGTAGAACGACAGGGTGCGATGGATAGTATTCCGTTTGAGGATGAAGTTTAATACTCCCTATGGGCGGAGGAGATTGAGTGGCGATTTTCCCTCCCCCCCCCCTTTCCAAGGTTGCGGAGCATGTAAATCCGCGAAATCGTGTATGTATTGTACATTAGATCATGATCATTTCATCAGATCATAGGTCAATGGAGACGATCGGCACTGAAAGTACACTTTTCCTCTTTTTGGGGGTCATGATCGGTCGCGATCAGTGTGATCAGTCTGTAGTTACCCCTTGAGGCAATCAAGGATGGAGGAGCGTGAGTGGTGTGCAGAGCTCGGCGCCAGTTTAGCTCAAGGAATGGAAATAGACACTAGCCAATCTCTTCCTAAATAATAAGTAATCTAATGAGCAATGACCTCAAGATTCCTCCCAGCCCACGAGGCGCGTCGTAAAATAGCATTGAAGACATGCATAAGTGCAAGTCCGGTGCATCTGACGCATCAGACGGGGAATCCACCCCTTCAGCACCTACGCCTCAAACCCATCCAAGGTGGTTGGCATATGCATTCTCCAGCCATTCTTCCATCCTAATACTCGCAAAATCAAGTCTCTAAAGTGTGACTCTAATCCAGTCTCTCTAATGTATCACTGGATAGAACCTGTACTTCATAAATTCACCGCTGTCTCAGCGTCACGGTGCAGCCCAGTCAAACACGGTATGCAGCATCGGCATCTACCTGCAACGTATCGTTTCAAGGTGAGTCGAATACACTACTCAGGACCAATGGAGAAAGGATGCGATGCGTTGGCATCGAGTTGAGGGGCTTATAGTTTAGTTTTCACGATATGTGTACAGTAATTGTAATGAAGGACGCGAGGCGTGTCGCGCGTGTAGGTATCGAGTACATGGTGTAGAGTGGGAATCCGGTATGTGGAACTTGTACACGGTGGATGTGGGTGGGTATTGAATACTTCACGACATTGACGCGTGAGATACGCGCTAAGTGTGATGGTGATGGTGATACTCTGTGATAAGCAGTGGCCTCGCTGCTTTAATTAATTTTGGTAGTCTACTTCAGATCCTATTGTATAGTTATAAGTTATAAGTTACAAGTTAAGTGTTGAATAGTATAGAATAATCTAATCCATACTGTCTAGACTAGTAGATACAGTAGAATAACCTCACATTCCCACAGGTTCACATTGTTCTGCAATTTCCTAGAAAGAATGGGTACAATTGGATTGTACCAGGCTGCATGAACGCCACGTCTGGTATGATCCAATGGTCTCGTTCAAGGGCGCCTTGCATGCGAACGCGAGACGAGAACGCGCTCGACTGGGGCTATTACAGTAGTGAAATAGTCTTGAAATAGTCCGCTCCACCCTGACTCCTTGCTCCTCGCTCCCAGAATTGTTCACAGGAACTGAACTCTTATAATAATCCTCCCGCCAGACCTAAACCTGACTGTTAACTCTTCAGTTCATCGGTGTATACGAGTAGTACCACAGTGCCAGTACCTTATCCTCTCCTTGATCTACTCTACCAGCCTATCTACTCGTCTATCCTCTCCTTCCGATCACCACCACCACCATCACTCTCTTACTGTCTTTTTATTTATTTCTATCGATTACCTTTTCTTATTTTAATTTCGCAGATTGATCGATATCTTCTAAGAAGATCATCTATAAAGATCAAATCAAATCCTGCGATCGTGTCTGTGTCAGCGTAGACCGCCAATCATCCCCACTTAGCGTCACCCAAAACAACCACCGCGCGCCCTGTCTCCCTCCTCCATCATGGCCACTCTCACCATGACACCCCCAACCCGCCAACCATTCGCAAGTCTGGACACCCCGCGAATGAGATCTATCATGCGGTCCAAGCTGAACCGCCAAAACATGCAAAATGGTATGCTATCATCTAGTTCACCTACTACCTGCCTTATTTACTTCCCACGGGTACCAACATACACCCAACCCGACCCAAACAAACCATTAACAAACCCTTATAGGGGCCATTCTCTCCCAAAAGAGCTCGAACTCAATCTTCATCAACGAAGACTCCGAAAACATAGACCCCTACACACGCAGTCTATCGGCAAAACGCAAGCGTACATTCGACGACGACGAAATCTCCAAGGGATCTCCCAAACCCCTCAAAACATCCCGTATAGCCCTCTCAACCCGTACACCCTCAACCCTTTTATCCACTACATCTCGCCTCTCAACACCTCTGCAGAAGCCCCCCGCAACACCTAAATCAGCACCAGCCCCAGCACTCAAACCAGCCGGTCGCACTCCACCATCAAAGTTCCTCAAGCCATCCGGTGGTCGCAGGTCGACAATCGGCAAAACACGTCCCGAGTCCGCATCGGCAAATGCCAAACGATCCGTCGCTCGTCCTTTCTCTCTCGCTACAGCTCTAGCTCAATATACTACTCCTAAACCTAAACAACCAGCTGGCTGGTCCTTTGATATCCATGTTGATACTGAGGAAGAGGAGATGACCAATCTCATGCAGCATTCTACTGGTGTGCTAGATATTAGTGATGATGAAGGGAAGGTTTCAAAGAACGATGGTCGAGGCAAGGAGAATGTTCCCCCAGTTGAGTTGGGAATTGATCTTCCTCGTTCTGCTCAGGCTGTCTCCGTGTCCGTGGCTACTGCTGCTGCTCGAAAGGAAGAAAAGATGGAAGAAGATCGTGCGCCGCTAGGTGAACTTACTGCTTCGGATTATTATCCTGAAGACTGTAATGCTTTCTCTTATGCTGTTGTTTATGATGATGAGAATGTTGAGGCGAAGAAGATTTCTCCGCCTTCGAGGTCTTTTGTTCCTGATATTACGACTTCTATTGCTTCGTTGTTGGAGACTGCTATCCCGCCCGCGGAGAAATCTGATGTCGATGCGAAGACTCTTGCTGAAGTTGGAGAGAACAGTTCTACCTCGGAGAACTCTGAATCTTCTTGATTTAATATATTTATTGCATTAGTCTTGGCGTCTGCCTGTGTCTTCGGTCTTGTCATCTTTCGTCTCGTCTGCTCTGCCTGGTGTTCTTCGGATGGAACGGTGTTTACGATTTGCAATGATTTATGGAAAACAGTCTCCGGCGTTCTTGTTCTTGTTCCTCCTGTTTTGTTCTTGATGCTTGATAGTTTGTATCGAATACCCTGTTCTGTCGACCCTCACGTTCTTCTTTCATTCATCGCAAGTCCCTATCTGCCTTTACTATTTAATTCATGTTTGAATTGTCATGTCTGATGCACGTTCACGATATATGTAGCTAGTTACTTGAATTCATATGAAAAACATCCTAGATAAGAAAACCTCCGAAGTTTGTTTAGTGGCTCGGATTCAATTACCCCAAGGCTTTCGCTGTACGGCCTGGGCGTTCAAATCATTGCCATATAATTAGGTGAAATGGATCTCGGGAGCAAAGCCCCACTTTGTAGTGTACATGGAGGCATAGCGGCCACGGGAAAAAACCCCCATTTCTGCCTATGTTAGACCGGCAGAAAACTACGATACCTGTAATACAGTGACATGTCGATCCATAGGCCGGGGTATCAGTGATCACAAAGTGAAGCTTCAAACCTACTCTCTCAATATACCTATAAGGTATAAACATTTTTACTTTTGAAAGAAAACTAATATTATAATGTAAGATATCTTTCAAATTGTCTCTCTAAATATTAATGTTTACAATTGTATTCCCACTTGTTTTTCTATCAACGTACAAAGTGTACACTACAGATAGCGGTGTATTAGGCGGTAAACATTAACATAGGGCTTAGAGAGTTTTTTCCCGCTGGCCACTGAGGTTCCCCATAATAGTGGTGCCCCGTTTAATTTGTCCAGCCTATTATAGAGTTCACTGGTTTATATAGATTTAACATCTATAGGTCAACCCCGGCCTACGAGTAATTATAATTTTAGTCTGTAGGTAGGAAAGGTTGGAATACGAATTTTTCGTTCGAGAACAAAGATGTGTGGTGTGTTGTGGCTAAAGAAGGAAGAGGAGAGACAAATCAATTTTTGGGCAAAGGAACGTGAGGGTAGGAGGGGTTTTAATCCATCAGTACCCTGTAGAAGCTAGTCCAAAACAGGACGCTACATAGAAGTTGACAACCAAAATGGTTGTTTGACTAAGCGCCGACGGCAAGTTCATCATGAAACAGGCCAAAGCTGGAGAACATGATTCAAACATTTGAAAGGTCAAGATTAAAATCCGTGTGCCGATTCGATCGCCATCACCCTAAGCGCCTGCAGCACTGAGCGGCTCATGTTACTATCATACAGTAACTAGTACATATGTTCATATTTAGTTGACATGTAGTATTGATAGGATTGATCAATATTACCATAGGTATTAGCGATGTTGGGAAGTAGAAGCGAAAGAGATGAATCTCACCTTGAACAGAGACTCAATAGGGGAGTCGGGACTCTTTCACTTCAGTGCACTTCAGACAAGTCGAGTGTCCACAGGAGCGACAAGCCCAGCCTTCGGCTGTAGCAGTGCACATGTGGCAATGCCAACCTTCAATTCTCATTGCCATGAGACGGCAGGTCTCCCAGTCGGGCCTGTCGCAAATGGTATCGAGAAGTTTCATGTCCTCTGTATAGCCAGGGTCGTGAAGGCAATGCAGGAGTTTACCATATAGGTCTCGTTGATTCGCATCCTTGCAATCGTAAGGATTAACGGGAATCATTTCGAAGATGGTCGGATGACCGCATCTCCTCCTCTCTCCGATGGCCTTGCACATCTTGAACGGGATTTTGGGAGGGATGGGCTGGATAAGACAGAGTAATTGAGTTCAAGTTGATAGGTATGGAAATCTATTGTATCTGGGCTGCTAACTAGCTATTTATAATATTTTGCAAACCTTTAGATTCGGCCACATATAGTATCAAAATTGGTCAAAGCTGCCCAAGGGGCCGAAGGTGTTGGATGATAGAATCATGAGGCCGATAGATAAGCAATGAATAATTCTTGTTTGATATCTACGGTCCTCAATACCAGAAGTGGCCCAACGGAACAGATATGATTGTTGGTTTTGACGATTCGGTGACATACGTGGTGTGTGATGGGATATAACTGAGGCTCACGATGAGCAGGTAAGCTCCTGACGGCAAGAATATCAAGCCCATTATTAGAAATGGTGCCCAGGTGCCAGAGCCCAGCTGTTTCTATATAGCTGGGAATAAGTGAGGCGGACAATGGAAGTATTTTCATAGGTGAGAACACATTCTTACCGCTGGCTCGAACTCAATCGTACTGATGAGGATGACCAAAAAAATAATGGGACTTGTTAAGATCCATTTATATCAAACTCGAACAGACGTATCATACCAGAATTGAGTGGTGGGAGTGATGCCCCAACATATAGATCGATGTTCATAGGTCTCCAATGGCTGCTGATCGTACAACGCCATCACGTTGCATGTCGTAGTGCATATTGACTTTGAACTGCCGGCGTTGCGTGGTTAGTTCGGAAGGGACGTATATTGCATGGCTCCGTTCGCTGAGCTTATAGAGGGTGGCTTCGTTCAAGTTGCCCTGATAGTCAGGCTTAGTATAGCCGATGTATCAAGTCATGTGTAGTTGCGTGCAGAATAATTAACGGAAGCTGAGTGGCAGACAGAGCATTCTGTGTGTCAGATCGTATAGGGCAGCTATTGATATCATATGATAGCATGGTATTTGTCCACCATTGGAATTCCCAAGAACGCACAATCTATATTATAGTGAGACTAACTACCTGTTGACCAATTATGAAGTTTAAAATCCTCCAGGGAAGTCTACCTACTGAAGAGGGGAAATAGGCTTGTATTGGAATACTAGTCAGAAAAACCCACTGCAAAACATCAATGTCTTTCCCTGGTCAACGCGGGAAATCAGAATTGCAGAACGCGAGCAAAAGAGTGTAAGAAATGTGTTGTATTTATTCAGAACTAATCGTGCCATATATAGCTGGAAGAAAAAAAAGGGGATAATAACTCCGCGACTGTAAGGGTCATTCCTAATAGGCCGGAGACTTTTTCTACTACAATAAATAGAGCCTACTTCTAAGTATTTGTTATGCCTAGTTTGGTATGTTTAGCTAGGGTAATCCTGGAGTTTTATCGAATTTGGATATTCTAATTGGTCGATTAGTATAACTAAGCAAATATATGAGGGAAGAGGGGGTGATAAGTGTGAATATAACAAAAGTGAGCATTTTATATAGAAAAGGCAGTAAAAGTAAATCCATTTGGTGAACTCAAAGGACAAGCATCAATCGATACGAGCAATGCGCTTTCGGTAAAATAAACATAGACTATATAGATCCACCGTATATGTGTTCACTTCAACAGAATAACCTGGAACACTAGAAGTGGTTGAACGTAGGTAGGGTAAAGAAAATGACTTGATTTCAATATCATATTTTCATAACTTCAATTATCTATATGCTAACTACTTCTCCTACAATCAAGGAAACATGAACGTCTCTAAATCTCAACGGTTCCTTTTAACACCGGATTTTGCGCATCCGTTCCAATCCACACCTCCCGTATCCCTTCAGACAGCACCCAAGATCTGTCCGTCTGATTCCAAAAGCTCAACTGCTTCTGGGAAATGGGGAAGGTGACTCTCCTCAAAGTACCTGGACGCAACTCTATGGAATCAAATCCGGCAAGGGTCGATACAGCGAACTGAATTCCAGGATATGCCCGCGCTGCGTTGGAAGGTGGCCCAATGTACAACTGCGGTACATCTCCTCCAGCTACTGATCCAGTGTTCCTCAACGTGAAGGAGACATCAAAGGTAGACTCTGTTGTCGGCAAGATCTCGAAGTCACTGTAATCAAAAGTTGTATATGACAGTCCAAAGCCAAAGGGGAAGAGAACGGGGGTGTTCGTACTCAAATACCAACGGTAAGAGGTATTGATGCCCTCGGAGAAAACAGCTGTGCCATTTGCTCCATCGACTCGGCTCGGGTATTCAGGATTTCGCGTCATACTGCTATTTACCGAGAGGGGATATGTGACGGGAAGCCTGCCTTGGGGGCTGTGCCGGCCGAGAAGGAGGTCGGCGATGGCAGCTCCACCTTCCTGTCCAGGGTGGCCCATCCACAGAACGGCAGAGACCTTTTTGAGCCATGGCATCAAGACTGGATCAGCGTTGTGCAACACAACCACCGTTTTGGGGTTCACTGCAGCCACACGTTCAATGAGATTGTCAAAACCTTCTATCAGCTGCATTCCAACCTGAGCCGGGCTGTCGGCATGTGCAAAAACAATTGGTACGTCAACTGAAGATGCGATCTGAACAGCCTTCTGGATATTCTTCTCGCGTTGCTCCGGCGTGACCCAGTGAAACCTTATCTCAAGCGCGTTGCCGAACAAACTCTGTGCGCTGATACTCAAGTTGTGCGCACCAGCTGCGAGGTAAACGTCCGTCCCCGTTTCGTCCCAGAAGTCAGTAGTTGGCAGCGGCGAGCTCCACGGACGAGTTCCTCCGTCACCGAAAATACGGTATCCATCGACTGTATCATCATCAACAGTGAAACTGTCGTGGGAGAAGATGCGAAAATCAGAACTATTAATCGGTCCTCCTGGGCCGGGGAATCGCCGCTGCAGAGCAAGGCGGTAGTACCCACTGGTTGGCGCGATGAGGTCACCTGTCCAGGTAAAGCTAGTATTCCCTGGAAGAGCGGTCTCACCCTGGAAGTTGATGACAGCATCGACATTGGTCCGTTCCATTGAATCATTGCGAACTATCCCGGGCTTGCCATTGACGGTTCTCAGAGCAGAATTTGGTACAAGGATGCCGTGCATGTCGACGCCAACTGCTGATGATATACGAAGGTCTTTGGATGCTTTTTTTAGTGCGTCAATTGGCGGAACCTTCCGCTCCTGAAAGCCGAAGGCTCTTTCAGCGAACCCGGCACCATTTGTCAATTGCAGTCCCGTCGCACCAAGTATAGCGATGCTGGAGCGCTCTTCGAGAGGCAGGGTACCGTCGTTCTTCAGAAGGACACCCGATCTAACGGCGATATCGTACGAGGCTTCTTGTCCAGCCTTGACGACCTCAATAGGTAGGCTTTCCGAGGTCAGCATCAATGCAGTGGAGTTTCCTTGGGCGCCGTTGCCATCTAAAATACCGAAGCGGTCGTAGACCGACAGAATGTGGTGGACAGCTCTGTCAAGGTAGGTCTCGGATAGATTTCTGTAAACATAGATCTGGTCGTATAGAGGCTGGGAATAGTAGGTGTTGGCGCCCATCTCCCAGTCCAGTCCGGCAATTATAGAGGGTGCAGTAGAGTGTGTTGCTGTCCAGTCACTCATCACGGCACCAGAGAAGTTGTAATCTCCGCGAAGGGTGAGGTTGAGAAGTTCATCATACTGACAGGCTGGGATACCATTTACTTGAGCGTAAGAGCACATAATGGTTGCTACACCAGCGTCGATAAGCTCTTGGTGAGGAGCCCAGTAGACCTCGTGCAGAACTTGGAGATCAACTTGGGAGTTCGTGTCACCGGAGCTAGCTCCAGTGCTACTTGGGCCTGTTTGCTTTGAGTTCGCCAGAGTTCCTTGGTCTTGAATTCCTCGAACTCCCTGTGCACCTAACTGTCCATTTAGGTAAGGGTCTTCTGAATAACCTTGCCAGAAGGAGCCTTTGAATGGGTCGCGAAGAATATTCACACGAGGAGCTAGAAGCACGGCTATTTGCACAATCAAAAAGTTAAAAATATTCAGTCAATGTATGGTGAGGTCTTACTTACAGGCGTTCAATAGGCGCGCCTCGCTTCCACCAATGACGGCGGCAATGTAAGCAAGCTCCCGAGAAAATGATGCTGCGATATTCAGCTGACTGGGGATAGCAGTCGCATTTAAGACCCCATTGACACCACTATCAGCAACAGTGTGAGAAGTCAGCATAGCCTCTCAAATAATAACAGGGTCAAATGCCATGCTTTTCTTACGCTTCGCCATCAGTCATCTGAAGAGCCGGTATCCCTAATCTGGGAACCGCGTTGATATACCCGGCAAAGTCTTGGCTTCCCATCCAGCTAGTTTCATGCACCAAAGATACTTTTTCTTCGGGGGCCAAGGCGAGAACAAGGTTGTTAACCCTTTCATTGTTTGTTTTCCAGGGCACTTCATCGAGAGCTTTCGAGACACCTTGGCCCCAACTGGTCCCAATCTCAGCAAGTATGTAGACACCCAGTAAGAGAGACGAAGCCATTGCGGATATTGCCTTTGAAATTGGGCCCCGGCTTTCTTCTAGTACATCTACCGGCGGAGATATTCGATTATATACCCTTCCATCGCGCGTTCATCAAGCGGGGTAAACTAGACGCAATTGATAAACGCCTGATGTCACAGTGTTCCGGGTGAAGGGGCGGGGTCAATGCGATGGAGGCTTTACTACATGGATGATAATACCAGTACCATAGTCCCCGCACTATATATACCCGGAGTCTGTAATATCGCCGAGAGGCCTCCACGTCCGGGCTCCTCCTTTGAGCGATAGCCCCTTGGCTCTTTCTTTTGTTGCGATTGTTTTATGTACGTACACACGGGTGAGATAATCGGCCAATTCTGGGGTACCGAGGTAATGGAAGATCGAAGAAATTAAAGTAGGAGGAAGGTACATCGGTCGTATCGTCACCCAAAGATCTTTCGAAAAAAGCAGTCGAATATCAGAAAGGGAAAGGAGCATTATGAAGTTGAGACTCGGTAGTGCGGTATAATAACAGCAAATGCTACACGCGTAATTGTAATTGAGGGGCTTGGCGGCAATTGCAACATTTCGCGTGTTCACTTTTATCGAGACACCTTAAAGTATCGTGGTCACCATTGACTTCCCCATATTTCCCCACGTTTCCGGAATGCGGGGCGCCGGCTATGGTGGCATATTACGGCCAAAAAGCTCGCATGCTTACGGATCGCACTTTCGCCTCTTTGAACTTTTTACTAAGGCCGAAAGAGTATAATACTAGAATTACCATAGCACACATAGGAAGAATATAATCAAGACATCCTTTCTGGCTACTGTAATAAACCTTATGCATGCATTTTAAATCACTGTTCTGAAGTAGTCAGTCATTTAAAATTCACTTTTTCTACGCGGCATTGAATTGACAGTTATCAATGATCAGAATCAAAGCTAGTCGGACAATACAGCAAATTGAATCTCTATAGGAACGGGCGGTTGGGCCCGCATTTACGTTCTCCGTCGAGCTAGCGAAGCAGAATCGCGTGCTCGCTTCTACCCGACAAAACCCTGTTGGCACCGTATCCTGTCCTCCTTCCTATTGTTGAAAATAACTCTCACGCCCCACTCATTAAGTCAGACAAAGCTGGTGTGTAGTTATATTTCCAGGACTAGAATACGGTCAAGTTTGTGAAATCGCTTTTATTGCTATTAGTAGATGAATTGGTGGTTGAAATGGCAATGGAGGGAAAGGTAGCTTGTTTTTTTGAGTTTGGACGAAACTTGAAAGCACATTCGGCCCTCTGTTCGGCTGATGTTCCTAATCCTAACTACCGCCTGTACTACGCAGTGTTTATGACTTTCAAAACCCAAGGTCAAAGTTAGGGCAAAGAATCCCTATGTAGGTGTGTTTTTTCATTATAAATACGTGTTTTACACGTAGAAAATTTTTAAAAAGAAAAAAAAAATTTGCTATCCGAAATGTTTAGCCGTAATATGCCACTATAGCCGCAGGGTTAGAGGTGGGGGCACACGCCGAAGGGTTTTAAGATTATAACTATGAGGCCAACAAAAGGCATATCAGGATCCATAGTTGAGTATCTAGGTTTAAATTTGCCCGCTAGAGTCACCGAGCTCCAGGTCGTAGCTGCCGCTATAGGTGGAAATATCCGAGTTTGAAAAGGGTAGTGCGGCGTACTCCTCTCTCCAGTTCTTATATACTGCACGCCCCCGGTTCCATTCAAAGAATCAAAACATCGAATTGATAAAACACGCGGCTTCTCGCGCTTATAAATTTAGATATACTGGCCTGCCGCCTTCCAAGGTTTCGGTTCGATTATTCAAAGTCATTTTTGGGACAACCAGTGACTCAAATCAAAAGTTTACGTAAATGCAGGGTGAAATTAATTAGGCTAGAGGTAAAATTCATGCAATGATGCTTTGGGTTAATTAAGTTATGTTGTACTTTGTAATATACCGAGGTCAGGGAACGATTTTCCCTTTCATCCCGAGATCGGATGAAGGGCATGAGGCTCTTTAGAGGACTCTCTGACTAACCACGTTATTTTTCCACTATCACAAGTAGATGATAAGCCAACCATCGTATGACCCTATGATCGACTGTCGTGGGAAGATCGTCATATTTAATGTGAAGGCTATCGTCAATAGTATAGAAAGGTTTTCTCGGTCCTCTTCTTTAAGCTTGTTGGGGTGCCTAGAGCGCGGAGACATCTTATTCTTATTCCCAAGCCTCACATTGAACGGTATTAGTCATAGTAAGATATGAAATAGAAAAAAGTTATGATTTGATCTCAAAATAACAAAAAGAGAACATCCACCAAAGTGATGGGGCATCCGGCCACTAGTAGACTGCGGCAAATCTGGTCCGTTGGAAGTCAAGGTGATATCCGCATCCAACTGTTGGACGTCTGTGGACATCCGTTGGATCTCCGCAAAATCCAATAGAAATCCGCACTAGCATAAAATTCGCCAATTTAACCTGTTTAAGTTTCTCATGTGGCTCTTATGTCGCTGACTACGCACTCTTTTTTTCTTTATATTACAGGGGTATTAGTATTTTATGGTTATTAGTGGTGGAAATGCTACCTTAGGTATGATTTACTTTTCGTAATAATATGAAAGGATATTGAATTTAACTAAGAAGTTCACATTATAAGCTGGCTATAGCAATTTGATTATTATATTCTATCGTGGTTATTGGTAATTTCGTTCTCAGAAGTGGTAGCTCTTGTTATTTTGGTTGTGGTTGATAATATATATTTGGATGCCAGAGAAATAGTTCATAACCCATTTTGGAAAAGAGTAATGAAAATATGAAACCCTAAACAAATGGTATTAGTACTACTTGATGCGTATTTTATAATATTTATAGACTAAGGGATCAAAAAACGGAATTCAACCAGTTGATTGTCTTACAAAAATGTCAAGGAAAACTGTGATGTTTATTAGAATTGTTGGACTTGGAGACTTTGTAGTTACACTCATGCGGGTATCTGTTGGGTAGTTGTTGGTTATCTCCTGGATGTCCAATAGATACTCAATAACTATCCAACAAATATCTACGTGAATCTTCTGGGCCAATCGGAGATTTCAATAGGGTACTATACTACTCCATCCTATTGGTCCTTTACCATACTAATATGGGGAATATGGTATGTCGCTGTTTCATCTTCTAGTCGCATCTAAGCCAGTCGCATAACCTACACCTAACACATGAGTGACCCCCTAGTCTCCCTAGCTGAGTTGCCTCAGTAAGTATTTGAAGTCCTTTTTTGTTTCTCTGGTTATGCTACAAACCTTGCTTCCTTGCGACTATGTCTCAACCCCAGCATTCTGATAGTCAATATCCAACATCGCAATATGCCGAGTCACTTATTGATCCAGAAATCCTACAATCAGACGAAATCCTTGACTTTGGAAGTCAAGGACGTGGCACTTCAACTCCTTTTTCTGATTACTCTCTCCCCTCACACGACACTATTACACTATTCGCGCACCAGAATCGCTTGACCGGGTGGGGAAGTATTGTTACGCGGTGCTAACTGGTCACAGTGAGTATCGCTCGTATGGTTCGTATCACAATCGTACCGTTGCCAGTTGGCCTTACACGGGCTCAGTACTCTACAGTTGAAAAACAGAAATTCATCATCTTCGATGTGCGAATTCGATTGGGTTATCCTTCAATGCCTGACACGAACTGCCAAGCTCGATGAATGGGCTTCACGTAAACTTCTGATGTGCTGTACTGTACACCGAGACAAAGAATAAAGCATTTAGTACCTGTGCATCTTCAGTAGTCCAACCTGATCCACTATGAGAAAGTAAGCCTCGGCATCATCAACTTTCGCAACTTTCTGTACTAACCCTATTTACCTCTAAACGATCCCCTACAGTAACCACGTTTCCTGTAGCTGTCTTAAAGCCAGCGAAGAGTTTCTCGGCGAATGCCGAAGTAGTGTTCACCGTGGGCCTTCCATGTAGGTAAAGGCGTCATTTTGTAGAAAACGTGTACCATTGGATGAATTCCTTTATCAAGGTAATATTGTGAGCTGAAGATCCCTTCTCCAGCTTATAGTCAATTGGAACACTTCCGCCATGAAGAACCTGAGGAGTCAATAAAAACGGAAATTTAGAAAGCATATTGCGACTACTCACTCAATCCAAAGCTCAACGTGCCTCTGGTAAAGGGCTTTCACCTTACCAACACGCTCATGCCTATCATGAATGGGACCCTCTCGGAAAAGTTCCTGGCGGTACTCAGGGAGCTTGTATTGCGGGGTTTGGATTTTACTCGGTAAACGAAGGGTTGAAGATGAATTTCCATATCTCAAAATTGGAAATGGACATAGGATGGGTCTGAGGACTCAGATCAATACAGTAAAAGTTAAAAAAAAAGCTGAATTGTTGTATTTATGATTTTCCCGTGGAATTTCTGATAGTTTACCGTCCATGGGAAACAGCCAGTACTTATAGCTCATCCTTGAAACTGATAGCCCACGGAATCGTTATAACAATAGCCAGTAATAAGGCAAATCGTGGCGTTAAACATTCTCAGGATCACCAGGGCCGAGGTACATACACATATCCAGACCGAACCGCATTCAGTTCGTCCTAGGAGCAATACACACGACGGGAAATCGTGCAGCCAATTTCCAACCCTCCTCCACTGGACGCTTCATGGTGGTTATGATCATTCCTAGGAACAACAATAATCACTCTCGGGAAATTTATGGCTCATAGTAGCCAGCCAAGGGTACTCCAAGGAGCCCATGAATATGCAAAAAATATAAGTTGTTCTTAAATTGATTATTCATCTCGAGACAATATCCATCTCTAATGACACATGAGGCCTTCTCAAGGACTGCTAGAGGAGCCAAAACTGCGGTGGCGGAAAGCTTCAGAGGGTATTTTGTCACATAGACTCAGTATTGAACAATCTATTACGTATACTATTTGGCACGAAAAGGTTACTCTAGAGTATTGCTCAACAAGAAACGCCGCAGAGTGCACCTCTATCACGGTAGAAACGCGAAGATGTTGGTTCTCATTTCTGTTAATAATAGCTGTTTCCAATAAAATCGAAGACTGTCGAGCCACGGGATCCTTGGAATGGTCGAACTTCACGATCCTGCTCTCGGGTGGTTGGCGACTCGAGGCTCTGGACTGAGTTTTGTAGCGAATGAATCTTGGAGGGAGAAGATCTGACCCATTCTGGTTAAGGCGTATAGATAATGTTTAAATGTTTACTTGCGCGTGTAGACGACAGGAGAATCACGATGGTAGTCAACAAAGACTCGACGTTGGTTGACCTGGCACAATGTGGGCCGAGGAGAAACTTTGACCCGCTATACGGCCTACTTGTTTTGTAATTCGATCTTACATTTATTACGCGTGAGTTACTTTTGATTAATCTGATATAGCCCTATCACCGATGTACACCGCTTCCCGAGGCTCGCGTAATTCGGGTACAGAATGATCACTAACCACTGGGAGGCCAGCTGGATGTTGATCGGGGGGTGGGCTGATTTTTACTCAGTGAGCGAAAGTGGCGAGGGCGTTAATATATGCACGGTTTTTCTCATTTTTCGAGCGTATATGTAGTTATATAGACTGGATAATGTCTGCCAGGTGGGGCTTTCCTGTTTTGGCTGCCGCCGCTTTTATGAGGGCGCTCAGGCTCAGGCTCAGTGAGTAGATTTCAGCACGGGCTCAGACTCGGTGATCAGGTCAGTGGACTTATGTGAGGAAGGGCCAATGCTCATGGATCGCTCAGTGATCACTCAGACTTGCTCAGTGTGATCAAAAATTGCAAAACCGATCGTCCCTGTTGCTAAATCGACCGCTCTTATTTGCGATCATCATAATCAAGGCACATAATGCGGAGCTTCCGGATAATTTTAATTTGCAATATTAATCAAAATCCCTTTGAAAAGCTTAATGATAAATAGTAATTACGTTACTCTGCAAACTTCTAATTCTTTCGATTTAAGATAGTTGAGACATTTCCACTTAACTAATCAGATATGATCACTGCCGATAGCGAGCCGGACTTTCGCGATCAAGGTCCACGATATCATGACCTTGGAACTCGCACTGCGACACAGGCTTATCCACATTACCAGGATCACAAAGCCAGGCCACAGCGCACAGGAACCCCGTCATAATATTGTATACATCCGTTGCCCTAAGCTGAGCATCGTCGTATTTCACGGTCAGCCGTAGCAGATCACCCTCCATCATACCCGGAATCCAGAAAAGACCAAAGTCGGATCGAGAAACGTTTTCGATTACCTTGATTGGATCGGACGCGTCTTCTTTATATCCCCCCATCCTCCAGTTGAGGCTTTGGCGGAAGAGGATGTCGAGGAAAGATTTGGAGTCTGAATCATCCAGCTTCCGGCATATTTCGTCCATAGGAGCATATATATTAGAAACAATATCATCTTGGTCCTTGCTCATCCTGGATAGAAGCTGGATTGCCCTTTCGTCTGGTGTAATCTTTGTGCGACTGAGACATTGGTTGATTGTAGGCCCATCGACTTCTAAAATATCGATACCTTTATTGTCGGGGTGACTGTCATCCGCAGCTGGCCAGGTTCTGCCCGATTCAACGAGGCCAAAGATTGCCTCTTGAGCTCCGGTCATGCGTACATTGATCAATGCGCAGGCGCATTTCGCAATTATCGGGGGTGTTATCGCGAACTTGTGTTGTAATTCCGAGATCTTGGGCACATGCACAGCACGGGTTATACCTTTGGTTCCAATGCTTTTATCTCCATCTAGAAGGGGCCGCTCACTGGGATGGCCTGGGGTGTTGTCACTGTGGACCCATCCCTGATTATCTCCCTTAAACCAGTGTGGTACAATCTGCCGTGGCCAGAACGCATCAGTAGCAGACGATACTCCTCGAATCCTGTTAACATGAAAGTCAACCGCTCTGCGGGCTGCTGGCCCAGTTCGGTTCCTTTGGTAATCTGCGATATAATCACGATATGGGTGAAAATTGAGAAGCTGGTCCTTGCGGTTCAGAATATTTTTGAGGTCTTCAAACCATCGAAACAGGATGTGGGCATCGAACATAAGATGGTGCAGGTGCATGACCAACCCGACAACTGATGAATTCTCCACACTTAGAATAGTAGCCCTGAACAATGGCCCCTTCCCATCGATGTGGTCATAGTCGGGATCATTCAGCTTATATGTTTCGACACTGGTTATGTCTTTAACCATCCCGCCGTCCATAACTTGTAGTTTCATCCAATCCTCACTGGGATGCATGACCAAATATAGGTCTAGTTCCTCATCGTATGTAAGAGGCGTGGACCGCAGCAGTGGGTGACGTTGAAGCCAAGTGTGCAAGGCTGCCTCGACATCTGCGGCGCTGATTGATGAGTTCGCAATCCATGACATCCGGGTGTTCCACGAGTTTGGCCGGTGTCCATAGTGTGTCCGTTTCACACAGTCTGCAATCGGAACGACTTCTTCCACGTCATCCCATCTAAATCCAAGCCCGTACAACTTGGAAAAGGCCACCTTTTTTGCCCGCTCCATATCGATCTGCGCTGGAAGAGCATGGTCTGTATCACGGCAATGAGAGTCCTTGATATGCTTTCTTTCGTTGAGAAGTTTTGCCTGTTTTCGAATCGTGTTGAACTTGATCAAATCAATCTGCGTGATCACAACTTGCAGCTTTTGGCTTATCAGGTGGCAAAACTGGATTTGCATCATACTGTCGGCGAAGGTTCGTATAGAAACGTCCGGATCGATATCTCTGGGTGCCAGACCAGCTAAGCCAGACCATGATGTCGTTAAGTCTGTTGTAATGTCGTCGGAGGAGATTGGATTGTTGACGATGATCTGATTGAGATGCTCAGTCACCCATTCTCGAAGCACTGTTTTCTGGATTTTGCCAGATGTTGTAGTTGGATAGTTATCCTTTCCAAGGTCATCTTGGAGATCAAGAATGCGTGCTGGAGCAAACGATTGACCAAGTTCATTCGAAACCATTGTTTAAAGATTTGTTTTCATTGGCATTTGGCCTGACGGATCTTTTCGTATCACAGCAACAGGTATTTCACCAGCAACAGCATCTGGAGTTCCGACAACATATACATCCTAATCAGACAGTCAGTACCTGTTGCGTCAAGACCGCGTTCGATAACAAACTAGGTTCGGCTGACTCACCCTTATTCCATTTACCTCGCCCAAACACTGTTCTATTTTCAATGGGGATATGTTCTCGCCACCGCGAATAATAATATCTTTATACCTGCCGAGTATATAAACATAGCCCTCAATATCCATATACCCCTGGTCTCCTGTAGCTATCCAGTTCACTCCATCCTCATGATAACATGAGTTATTGCTCCCCACAAGATAGCCCCCGAACACTGGAAGACCACCGATGTGCACCTCACCGACCTCCTCTTTGTGAATGGGGATACGGCTTTCCTCAGCACAGATCCGGACTCGCCCACCGTAGAATACCTTCCCAACAGACACATCCCTTGTAGTCAGGCCCATGGACATTTCTTCGAGAGAGGTATTGACAAACGGTATACCCTCAGTCATGCCATATCCTGCCATAACCCTTGTCGCCCCCAAATCCCTACAGCACTTTACTACGTCCAATGTCACTGGAGCACCACCTAGAATAACTTCAAACGAAGGATGGGAGCCGTGCTGAGGCAACGCACAGTTCAGTAAAGCATGTATCATGGCCGGGACACAGGGGGTTGTGACCCGTTGATAGGATCTGATCAGCTGCAAGGTGCTTTGTGGGTCGAAAGAAAAGTTTGGGAAGATGACAGTCGCACCCGCGAGCCAGAACGCAAGAGTGAACGCAATATTGAAGACATGAAAATTGGGTAAATGCTGGCAAAGATTTGCGCCAGGTCCCAGTTCCAACCTGTACATAAACCCCAGCCCTTGAGCACCGATGGAGATGGTCGTGTGCGGACAGCCTTTGGGAAGTGCGGTGGTGCCACTCGTGAACAGGATAAGTATTGTATCATCTGGGTTCTCGGGCTGATGCAAAGGAGGATTATCTAATAAAGGCTCTGACATGATGTTGGACAGCGTCGTCCACCTGGCCGGTATAGCAGTCTCTTCATTGTCGCTGACAACGCACTGAACGAAGGGGCGATGGTCATGATCGACTGTGATATTGTTAATCCGATTCGCCATGGTCTGGTTTGATACAAATATTGCTGCTGGTTCCAGCTGGTCGAGGAGAAACAAAACGTCCCGTGCGTCGCGATCGAGCACCCGGAAATCCAGTGGCACAAATTGACAGCCCAGGCGGGCAGATGCCCAAAAAAGCAGTGCCCACTGGGCTTGGTTATGCATAAGGGTTATCATCCGACTTCCATGTCCAACACCTCTGGACGATAAACGGGCGGCCAGTTGGATGCTCTTCTCCTGCAGTTGAGCAAAGGTCCAGCGCAGGCTGGTCTGATGGAGGGATATGATGGCATCATGATCTGGGAATTGGTCGGCGACTTGATCGAGAAGTGTAATTAAATGGGTGGTTGGTGCCTTCTGGTTTTCATGGCAGGCTTCGGCCAACGTAGAGGGGTTGTTAGCCATTCTTGATGAGAATGTAAGATAGATGGTGTAATAATAGAAGAAAGAACAGACGGTGCGAAGAATCGTCTCATGGGCTTCTATCTTATCTGGGCCCCACTGGACGTAAGGGCTTGTATGGCTGAGCTGAATGATCGTCCATGATCAGCGGTGTGGGTAATTTAAAGCTCAATAATTATTACTAGCTTGAAGATTGAGGATCGTCCATGATCAGCGCTGTGAGTAATTTAAAGTTCAATAAATATTACTAGCTTGATGATTGAGGTTCCAATGAGGGCTGGAAGTCAACTGTAGAGGACACCACCTAAAAAGATAACCTCAGCAAAATTTGTACGTATTTTTATTTCACGTATTCACATAAATAAATTATAATAAATAAATGAAAATTTAATTGCATATTGCACTGCAATGTTTTCTTAGTTGTATAGGTAGAGCTTGCAGGATTTATAGATTGATGACAGCTGGCCACATCGGCTCACTACTAACTTCAAGATGCTTTGAATTTCGTTTTGTTTCAACGCCAATAAGCCTGAATCCCATGAGAGAAAGATATCCAACTCCAAGTTGCTACAGGTAATGTCCTGTAGAGGAAAGCTCATATTTCAGTAACTATATTAAAGTACACCCCACCAAACCCCATGTCACTTGAAAATTCAAATATTTTGGTTACAGCCGTGCCAAATTGGGTTCACCGTCCCATGGAATAATCTTCACTAATATAGTTGCCAGCTCGTTCAACTTATCAGGACTGACCGATATTTTCCACCTCCACAGTCGAGCGATATCTCCCCTCCTGATGGTATGCGAGACTTCAAGTCCAGTTTTTCTGTAATAATTCAAGACGGTGGGATGGGTGGTAGCACTCGAGCCCAACATGCGTGTCCGGAATTGATTTGATCGATGCCCAGACGGGCGTTGAAGCTGAGATTTGTGTCGCTTTTGGAACGTCTGTCTGTCCTCGCTGACAGCTGTTTGCTCAGCTGTGGCAAAGGCCTCTAGAATCATGCCCCGTTGCCGGTGGTGAGGAGTAACAAACGAGGTTCCTAGGAACCAAGACGATTCATTACAGTCGTTTTCATTATCGTGGTACGGTTCGTGGTGACAGCGCGGGCCGTAGAGACTTGAAATCAATGCCCACTCATTTTCCCACACCGGAGTCTGGAGGGCACCATCATCTGCTCGGGGAACAGCGATGATGACTCGAAAAGCAGGCTCGCAGAGCATTAAAATCCATTCTGCTTCGGACATGTTTGCTTCTTTTTCGTAGGATGACCCGAAGCTGTCAGGGGCTGTTTTGAGGGCGTTCAGGCGGAATTCGATGTATTTGGGACCCCATTGTTGGACACTCGCCTCGTTGTGTGGTAGTACTTCGAAGTGGTATTGCGATAGCGGGGGCATGATTCGAATGATTGGAATGGGTTTTTGCCTGAATCAATAAGGAATCTTCAGGACAGAGCACGAGAATTTATTTTCGTTTAACGAGTATCTATATCTTATATTTTATTGAGTAAAAATCCTGCAGCATCTAGTTTGGCTCAGCTGAACCTCATATTCAGTGCTAGTGGAATAAGTGGACTCGGTGGAGAGCGAAATCTCCATTCATGTCGGCTTGAGTCACCGATCATCGAACGTAGTGTGACGAGCATACCCCTTACAGTACATATTAAATATATCTGGCTGATCTTTGCGAAGATCTGCGTGTTAATTACCTGGACTATCAGGACTTACAATAATAAGTAACCGCGCTGTCTTACCGCATCTCCGCCCTACCCTCCCGGGTAAATAATGTCCATTGTACTCTTCAAGGATAGCTTAAGAATAATCTCTATTTTCTCTATAAAGTCTATCCTAATGATTATCAATTATCTTTGTCAAGATTCAAGACTGCATTAATCGTGTGGTCGTGAAATACTCTATACAACCGACCCCTCCGCCTACGATTCAGGATCGCGTGTACGGAATTTCCTTTCTTCCTTCCTTTCATCTCTGTTCTGATTACCGATTTCCGATCTGGTGTAAGGGAAGCATCTGAGATCGAACACGTCGAAAAAGCTATTCAGACTTTTGAACCGTCCCGTGTTCCCGTGTCTGTGCCGCATTATATAGATTTCAGTGGAGACGCCCGGGCATCTATTTCCATTCGTAAGGCGGAGATCCACAGCTTGGATGGCACTACTCCGTACGTACAGGGCACCCAAAGAATAAATGTAATTCTCCCCTTTTTTTCTGCCAGCAAAATTCTGTAATAATACTGTTTTACCAAATCTGGTGTGGCCCTTCCATCTCTATCAATAATCTGCTTTACACGGTGTAGCATAGATTGAACTTCACCCTCCAAAACATGCTCTGGCAGTGCATCCCATGTTTCTTGAATCAGTGGAATAAGGTCATTTATGCGTATAATATATGGCCCACATCTCTCAGAAATGTAGTCTCTAAATCAATTCCAGAGATTCTCTTGTGGGTTCAAATCAGGAGAAATTGGTGGATGGTCTGTTTCTGCGATATCAAGACCATATAATTCCGCTGTGGTCTCGTATGACCAATGGCAGGGAACTCCATCTTGCATAAGAAGAGGGTCAATTCTATATAAATCCCAAAGCTTCGAGTCAAATTGATTAATCTTTGGCACAATGTACTTAATAAAATTCTTGGAATCTAAAGCACCCTAGGAGCAATCCCAGATCATAATTGGACCTTCAATATTCCCAGAAAAGCATGCCCAGACTATTATTCCTCGGCATTGGCCTGTTTGGCTAACGACCGCCGTCTCATGATATTTTTCGTCACTGAAACGTAAAATTGGAGGCATTCGATGGAAGCCAGATCGAAATAAAGCTTCATCGCTAAAGATAACTCTTTCTCCAATTATCAACTGTCCAGTTTTCTCGAGCGGGAGCCCACGCGAGTCGTCGTGATTGGTGGTGAGCGAGGATTGGAGGTTTTTGTGTAGCAGGATGTGAAACCATCCCTCGAGCTTTTAAAGACGTACGAAGTGTCTCTGCGCAGACTTCAAGCTATTGAATACCACAGATTGCTTCACATTTAAGAGCCCGGCGTTCGATTGACCCTTGTATCCACGATATAACCCCATCAATACGCTCAGGGGTGAGCTTTAATAACCTGCCAACCTTCTTATTCTTTTGTGGTGTGATTCGTATAGATTCGTACTTGCCGTCGGGTGCAATCCATGCGGGCTGCAATATCTGGATATGAATATCCTTCATCTCGGAGGATTTGACAACGTATACGCTGGTCACGGGTAAGCTCTGTGTTACGAACCATGGTTATGGGTGGAGAGATTTGTGTAGAAACCAAGAATTATAAGGCGTTATGTACTGTTAAATTACAGACGGTGTGTAATTTAAGGGGTCAAGCGGTGTGGCGAAGTTACGTTTAATCTTTGGGTGCCCTGTAGTTGCTATGGTACCATCACAAAAGATTATCGGCGGGTCTGATATTTGCTTTTGAATTCTCCCTCCACAATCAATTAAATTATTCTATAGAATTCAGACAGGTAAATTAAATGTAAAGAACTATTCTATAAAGCTTTCGAACTTAAACAGTTAAATTGCTCATTGCTGGAATGCTGATGGTGTAGTGGTCTAGGCGAATTGCTGATGATTCCCTTGGAGCTACAGAGTACAGTAGTGCATCATTTTAAATACCCAAATGCGACCGTGCAAATCTCTAGGCTATCTTTCTTTTTGTTCTCCATTCTCCACTCATTGTCCCACTATCATTCAGCCGCAGCTTGCAAGAATGAATAAGATAGGCGATCACGTGTAAATGTGCAGACTGCCTCCCTTGATTCGCTTCGTTTTTGACGCCAATATCTTGAACTCTTAACAACTATATCGCCACACCCACCAACGGAAATGGAAAAGCAGTCATATGATGATACTTCCCTGTTCCTGACGCCCAGCCAACAAAAGATGCCTGTAGCATCAGGGGGAGAAGATGGCAAAATGGATAAGGCTGAAGAGCAAGAGCCAGCAATGAAACGACAAGACTATATCACTGGCTTTAGGCTTGCGTTGTTGCTCTCGGCTTTGACGTCTGCAGCCCTTCTTGTGCTTATTGATTCTTCTATCGTTGCCCCGGTAAACTTGCTTTGAGATACTAGGGACTGCTAGTTAGGTATCTGTTCCTCTTGACTGATGACATGTCATAATAGGCAATTCCCCGAATCACAAGCCAATTTCATTCTCTTTCTGATGTGGCATGGTATGGTAGTGCATATCAGCTCACTAGGTACGTCAGCTATTACTATCTACTTCGAAAATAAAAAGAAGACATAAAAATTGATTAAAAGAAAAAAAAAATCAAAACTCAAAACTTAAAAAGAGAAAAAAGAAAAAAGAAGACTTCACTGATATTCTACCTAGTGCATCTTTTCAGCCACTCACAGGGAAACTATACACATACTTCAACACCAAGGTACTCTGGCACATATCTCATGCTCTTGCTGGCAAAAATAGCTAACAGCCACCAGAAAATCTTCATTACGCTGCTGGGCATTTTCTTGGTCAGCTCCTTGATTTGTGCTTTAGCATCTAGCTCGAAAATGCTCATTGTTGCAAGGGCATTGGCAGGCATCGGAGCTTCAGGTATTCAAAATGGTGCCTTGACAATAATTACGAGATCGCTTCCCCCGAAGAAACAAGCACGTATGCATCATAGCGTCTTACCTCATGTTTAAAATATCACTAATCCTGCTGTTTGATAGCCATGACGGCCATCTTGCTGGCGAGTGAGTAGGCCAATTTGATACTTTTTGGGATATTTCTTCTAACCTGTAATTTTCTAGTTGCACAGCTCGGCCTTGTCCTCGGGCCATTGATTGGAGGGGCGCTAACGGAATATGTATCATGGCGATGGTGTGAGTGCTCTCTCTGTGTTTGTCTCTTTGCCTGGGATCTTTTGCCGATTATTCATTTTGCAGGCTTCTACATCAATCTACCAATCGGCGGCGCCATTACTCTTGTCTTGCTTTTCGTCACTATCCCAGAACCGAAAGTTACAAATGACCCTCTACCAACCCTTCACATCATCCGAGAGAAATTAGATCTGATTGGATTTTCCATTTTCGCACCGGCCATCATTCAGCTCCTCCTGGCACTCGATTATGGCGGAAACCAATATCCTTGGGAAAGCTCGACAGTCATTGGTCTGTTCTGCGGTTCAGGCGCCATGTTCGTTCTGTTTCTGGGGTGGGAGTACCGCACCGGTAGAGTGGCCATGTTCCCTCTACAAATGGTCTCTCAGGGAACAGTCCTTTTCTCCTGTCTCTTTATGTTCTTCCTCGGCGGTATGAATACCTGCGCAACATATTATCTTCCTCTTTACTTTCAGGTGGTGAAGGGAGTGTCCACGATGATAAGTGGTGTTTCTACACTCCCTGGTATCATCAGTCAGTTGATTCTTGTCATTTTCTCTGGGTTTTTAGGTAAGGAATTCCTCCCACCTCCGCAAATAGCATTGATTCTAATGGCCATACAGTGAGAAAGGTGGGCTACTATCTTCCGTTTAGTGTCGGTAGCGGGGTGTTATTATCACTTGGAAACGGGTTGCTATCTCTTCTCTCATCATCGACACCAACAGCAACATGGATTGGATACCAGATCCTGATCGGAGCTGGACGGGGTCTTGGTACTCAGGCGGTGAGTTGGCCATTTTCCAATATATATATATATATATATATATATCCATACTAACATATGAGTGTAGCCCATCCTTGCAGTCCAAAACATCCTCCCCAAAGCCGAAACCTCCATCGCCCTTTCTCTGCTCTTTTTTAGCCAAACTCTGGGCCAGGCTATCTTCCTCACCATAGGCCAAGTCATCTTCATCAACAGCTTGAAGTCCGGCCTGGCGGTATACGCTCCGTCCGTGGATTCCGGAGCCGTGGTTGCTGCTGGGGCTGGAGCGATCCGGAGCGCAGTATCAAAGGATAAACTGGGTGGAGTGTTGATGGCTTATAGTCAGGGGATAGACCACGTCTTTTATTTGTCTGCTGGTATAGGTGTCTGCTGTTTTTTTGTGGCATGGGGAATGGGGTGGAAGGATATAAGAAAACCCCAACCTACAGGGGATGAGAGGTGTAGATAGATTCACAAATTTTGCCTCTAATCTTAATTAAATATGTTGCTTTGCTGCCTGGCTCGATGCGAGATATTTCTCTTTTTCTGATTCGATAATATGTACGACCACAGGGCATGGAGAACAGGGCTTCAAGTCACATGCCGGCAGGTGAATTGTTGCGTGCGTCACAGCCAGCGACACCCCGCTGTTGTATGTTTTGGTCTTTTTTCTTTTCTAGAAGGACCAACACAGTGTTTATATGTTGTGTTCAGCGATCGGATTATGGTCTCTGAACAGGGACTACATCTGTATGGGTCGACTGGTAATGCATATTAAACGGCAATTGATTTCCTTTCCGGCTCTTCGCATGTACTGCCCGGCTTGAGTCTATATTTTAGGTGAGACAAAGCCTTCGAGAGAACATAAAAATCACGTTAGATCGAAAATCTTTGATGGGCATTCATCTCAAGTAAACGACCCCTGGATATGTGACAAAAGCGAGCGCTGTTCCGGTTTCCACCCCAGCACTGATCGTGTCTTATGGCTAGAGATAAAGTTATCAACGGCCACTATATTAGCCAACCACCCGAAATGTGCTTGAACCTCCTCCCATCTCTTACTCTCCACTGGTCCATTTAACGATTTACCAACACCCTCGGCGATGTCTTTCAACTGGACACCTTCCTCAGCCTCGCCGTGGAGGGTTGAGCCAGCAGGAGCCTTTTCCAAGGCCAGTCGAAAAGCACAATGGAATGACACCATCTGAGGCAGCAGCCCCCTTTGCCAAACTTTCAGAGTCGTCGAGGGTTCCGAAATGCACGTCGGCGCCGAGATTGGCTAGTTGTTGTGCGCCTTTTTCGGAACGAGTGAGGGCCAGCACGGTGTGCCCTGCCCCTATCAGTTCTTGGATGACTGCTCTGCCGACGAAGCCGGTACCTCCTGTGACGAATACATGCATTTTTCTTGTGCGACAATTGACAGAATGATAATAGCCCGTGAGATGGAATAAGTGATAGAAGAGAAAAAAATGCTATATTGAGATAAGGATGAACCATCAAGGTTTTATGAAGCAGTTTACAACTCTTATAGCCAAACCTTTCGAAGCCAGCAGAAACACACTCTGTCACTACGGACGATTCCTAGTTCGTCCGTTAAGTTGAAATCGCGTCCGAAAATTGAAGACCCAGAGTACAAATATCTGGTCGGTTTCTGGAGAATGGCACTCCGAGGGAAGCTTTGTTGATCTTTATCGATGCTCAGTCTTCTCAGTGTCCTTCGGCCCGAAGTGGGATCATCTTGTTCCACTCTGCCTTGATGTATAGATCGAAATCAGTTATAATTAGGTTGAACTTCTCGTGCAAATTTGAATGCCATGCGGAAACCCCGCAGTCCGCAAACCTCCAAATCTGTATTTTGCAGCGAGAAATCATACTGTTCGTGATTGCATGTGGGAATAGAATAGACGACCCGTAACGAAGTGGATGGCTCCATTATCAACCCCACCAGCCTTGGAGAACATAACGTAGATCACAGTAGAATGAACAATCAAGAACTAAGAACCAGGTTACTACAGGGACGAAGAAAATGGATTTGAGAAAGATCAATACTAACGATTTCTTTCTCACAATCCGCAAGAGTAATGTGTTCAAACTAGCAAACACCACCCAGGTCACCTGGCACAGTGACCCTGCGAATATGGGCACTTGGCCGCTTGATTGGAAAGAGAGCGGACCAATAAGAATGCCAATAAAACCAATAGCAGACAAAGAGAAATTGTATCCCTTTCCAACGTAATTCCATACCCACTTTTAGGAGGTAGTGAATCTCTGAATTTGGGAACTGGGGTATCGATGATGCGAACTGGGCTTCTGCGCCATCTCTTTCATGTTGTTTGCTATACAAGTCTAGACTTGTGTAGGATGGAAATTTACAAGGCTAGGTAGAAGACATATCTACGCAAGGACTCGAGACTTCTTTAACCACACATGCGCCTCTTGATAGATTTCCCGCGTAGTCTCCTCCCTCTTCCTCCTATTGTCACCACCCTTCTTACGTCCCGGTGACTCATGGGTAAACCCATGTGGACATCCCCTTGCCAAGGTCCACTTGTACGTACCCATTTCAAAGTCCTCCTCCTGCTCCACGGCACCTCTATCCTCCAATCCAGCCAACTCATGAATCATCTGTTGCGCCTCCAGCCGAAGCATATCCCACTGCGCCCCGATCATATAAATCCACGGCGGGAGTTCATTCTTCCCAGCATAGATAGGACTAAGGATTGGATCCCTCCGATTCTGCCCCACGCTCACATATGCCCAGTCCAGCCACCACGAGGATTTCTCCAAAGATTCCTTCGGGCCATCTTTGTACGGTCTCGAATCCAGCTTGACATTGGGTGGGTGACTGAAATCCACGATGGGGTAGTATAGTACCGCTGCTTTGATCAAGCCTTTCAGACCAGGTAATTGCGATGCAGATAACGCGAGGGTAGCGCCTGCGCTGAAGCCACCAATGGTGATGCGTGAGTGGTCAATTGGGAGCGAGTCGTCTGCTAAAACACATTTGGCTACTTCGGCAATATCAAATGTGGCCGTTGGGAACGGGTAGAGTGGGGCCTTGCGGTAATTGAGGCTAACGACTAACATTCCGGTGCGGTCGGCCCATCCGCTACAGAACGGGTCATCGACAGTAGCATCGCAAAGTGCGAAGCCGCCGCCGTGGATGTTTATGTAGAGTGGGAGAAGTTCACGGTGTGCGGGGTCGTAGGAGCGCGGGTAGAAGATACGAGTCTCTAGGTTTGGACGACAGGCATAGCGCTTGGTGACGGTTGGTTTGGTGCCTGGTTGAGGGGGCTTAATCAAGCGAAGCACGAGGAAGTAGACAGCAGCCAGAGACTTGAGTAGCCACAGTTGAAGGAAACAATTCGTTCGGTGGAGCAGGGACAATCGCTCCTTGGGGAGAACAGGGATTGGGTTTTTCATGACAATTTAGTTCGTGCATGTGTGGTCGATCATTATGCTGGCCCTGGGTGGTGCAGGGAAGAATCAAAATGTTGGTGGAGCAAAACCGATATCTTATCTGTAGATGGATCTGTTGGGATACCGGGAGACTGACTAGCGCACATTTTTTATCGAAGGATCTTCACTAAAGCGCTTCGTTAGGCCAGTCGAGTGGCTTGTTAATGTATAGACCAACAAGCTAGCGGCACCAAGCCCTTTCCATCCGATCGCTTTGCATCCTCAGAAGATAGGGTGAGAATAAAACCGTCGCGATTTGCTTCTCTCTGCATTGTTGTCGATGAGAAATGTATACATCAGTCTGCATCAAGTGCTGTGGGTGGGTTTTTGGCCCCAAAGTTGTTGTTTATTAGTCAAACATGTTTGGCGGCTATTTTTGAGATAGGCCCGGATTAAAGCATTTCTCGGAGCCAGTAAACTATGTATTAACGAGCCCCGCCATGGCGCGACGGTTGCAAGTCTCTAGAGGCATAGATTTCCGGGCGAACACAAATGTCTAACACGTAGCATTTTATATAGTTATATACTCCTCCTTAGATGTCTAACTGGCCGGCTTTATGTGCATATACAGCCAGCACATAATTTTGCTGATGCCCCCCCCCCCCCCCCGGGTGGGAAATGGATTATTGCCACTTGAATGACACACGATAAAGATTGAGACGGGTTAAAAGAACGAGGATCATTTCGTAACGTCGAATTTTGGTCAGCTTTCGGGGCAGAAGCTTCGATATCACTTGCATCTTTGTTTGAAGCGATTTAGGACTTTCAAGTTCCAATCAAGGCCCTGACTCCGGCACGGTCACTATCAGTGGTTCAAAACCCCTAATTTCTTAATACATGAGTATGAGTGTACCACACACCATATACTAATACTCAGAAGGTTAATGATATTGTTTTCTCTTGCTCTTGCTCCTTCCACTTTCCCCTTTCCCTTTCAACTGATGGACCTTGAGATGGAAGGAAAAAGGAACAAAGTCTCCTATGTGCATATTGAATAACGGATCCTCAATGTCCTGAAAAGCCCCCTTGTCACCATAATATTCAGTCCTTGACTCTACACGCTAATATTCGAAGTTGAAGAGTGATTGCACAAAATCAGGCGACAAATGAACATAGTACATCTTCGAATCTGAAGCTATTGTATAAGAGTCTAAGCTGCATGATAGGCTTTGTAAGCCAATCAATTGCGCTTCTCGTCATGAAATGCTTTGGGCTGAGCGCATTTTGCTGGGTCTCGGTCCGAAAGATCTAACTTTCGACCAAAGTTTCATAAAAAGATACGAAGCTGCTTTGTAGAACGTTTGAGTCTTTTCAATGAATCCGACGAAGTCTTCTCCGTATACCAAGTTCGGATATAGACAAACCAAGGATGTGCTGCTACCAACGTTGCGTTGATCCCACAATACTACCTGGATCGGTTGCTATGGGCTCTCCTTGCTTTTTTGCCCTTTCTCTGTCTTTGATATTCTATATTGACATGAAAGGAGTTTCAAGATGTGGATCTCTTTTGACTATTGCCGCTGAAGGTGTGCTGCGATGATAATTCGCTTTTAATGAGCAGCTACAAATGTCAGGGCTCAAAGAGATCTCGAGACTTCGATGTATTTTAGGAACAATGAAAATCACTTGTTTGCGCCCAGTCCTAGCTTTTTATAATGCACTGGCACTCCGGATGCGAAGTTTAACCATTCTGGATAATCTTCAAGTCAGACGGCTCATCTACCCACAGTTCAACGAAGGAAAGACTGGATGCAGGGCATTTTGATTTTTATAGATAGCCAGTCCACATTCAATCTGTTAAGCCTATGTCTCCGTCCATATCTCTAGCCAAGCATTATACTTTCAGTTGAGTTGTTTTGAGTACATATTCTATGTCACTATGGCGGAATTAAAAGAACCTACAGATATTGATCTACAGCCAACCGATATAAAATCAGAGCGTATGGATGTCGCGATGGACTTGGACCCTGAAGTGATGCCTATTGAGCTAAGGCCTCCAAAGCGGAAGCACAGGCGCAAGTCAGTCAATTTACGCTCGGGGGGCATGGTTGCTAACAAATATAGCTCAACTTGAATCGAATGAAAAGCAAAAAGTAGAAATAGAATGCGCGGGTGATCCTCCGGCTTGGGCACAGGTCAGTGTCTGATTCTCTCCACTTTATGTTGAATTCACTAACTATTTACAAGAATCGGCCTGATCTTTGCTATACTATTCCATGGTTCAACAGCTGGCAATCTGGTGTCCGATTCACTACCAAGGTTGGCGTTACTGGGACTTCAATAGATAAGAATGCAGAATGCCTCTATATGGACGAAGAAGTCATTATTATGCGACCGTATGTTGAAATGCATCAGTACCCAGAATTTTTCAAGGTCCTCTTCTAATTATACAATTCAAAAGTCCTGGGGGATATGTAGAGAAGAATGAACAGCGGATTTTGGCACAGGACCAGACAGTGGAGACGTCAAAAGCTGTGCGAGCAATGGTTCTCAGTAAAAGACTACAAACCCCCATTGGCGTTATTATCGGTAAGAATATAGCGGGTTATACTATAGTTTTGACACAGCTATCTAGGCAACCAAAATACCATTCTCAAACAAACAATGCCACATCGTTTCAGTGTTATGGACTTCTTTATCATCACAGACATGTGGCATGAGAAAGTAGGGAAGTTTGCGGCGGTCAACGTCAGACAGACTTCAAAAGCTCGATTTAACGAAAAAAAGCTGGTGGGCTGAGGAAGGGCTCGCCTGATCCTCCTCTAGAACGAGACTTTGGGTCCCCACCCCCAATGAGGACGTGTGATACATGTGGTGTATACACAATGCGGATTTATAAAAAAGGCTTGATGTGCGTGAATCGAAAGTGTTCCCAGCTCGGGAAAATTGATGGAGCTGAAGTCGACGACCCAAAGGCTTTAGAGTATGATGACAATTTTCTGTCCTATCGGCTCCAATGGGACTTGTCTGAATTCCTACAGAGGGCTGAATTTCCTCTCATACCGCCGGTTCCAAATATCACTCCTGAGAATCAGAGACAGCTACAGTACGGAAAGGATGCCACTAAAGGCATGGTATGCCCATTGTGCTCCAAATGTGTTCCTCGTGTGTATTTTCTGGGCTGGAAGTGTGACGTTGACCTTATAGTTGGTCCAAATGTCCCTGACAATGAAAAGGGGTGTCCCTGGGAGCTCATGTTCAAGCCCAGTCCCATCGAGTTTGGATCGCGCCCAAAGGAGGAAGTGGAAACCTTTCATAGAGGCCGTAAATTTTCTGTAAGGTGGCAGCTACCTGCTGACGAAGACAAAACCAATCTTTTGCCTGAACACAAATATGTATCTGAACAACCCTGTGGTGGCACAGTCACTCACTTTGCGTCCAATGCGGTTATTAATACAAGAGATCACGGACCAGACTATTTGTTTCACAGCCTCCAGGCTTCTGATCTTGGTCTTCGAAGGCATCGTCTGTCTATCACCAACTGTAAGCTTTGCGAGACTGGGTCACAGTGAGCCCTTGCCAATACGATTTCTAACATTCCATAGGGATGGGAGCTATGACGAATAGCTTTATTCGAAACTTTGTAAGCTCCTTATTATACAAACTTTCCTTTCTTTTCAAAATCTGACCTGTCGTTGAATAGGGAGCACCGTTTAAGTTCTGTGTTCCTACTATCTCAACATCGTTTCACGAGGCACACCCGGATATTTTACATGCTTATGGGCGTCTCGACTGGGCTTTTCGTCAAGTCAGTGAATCCTCCGAAGTACCGTATAAACGACCAAATGAGATATTAGTCATGGGATATCTGGAAAATCAAGAATTGAGTGTAAACAACAACTCGCCGTCCCAGCATTTACAATTTTCTATGTACTAACCAGCTTAAGTATCATGATGACGGCTGTGGAAATTTAGGACCAACTATTGTCACCCTTTCTTTGGATACCAAAGCTCATGTGTACTTCCATATGAAACCAACATACTACTACGGTGTCAGCAAAAGGGGTGTACCACTTTCCGCCGATCCTGTATTGGAAGGTTGTGATAAGTATGCAATTCGAAAGGAGTTAAAAGAAAAGTATTTGGCCGGTCAAATAGACGAAGACTTCTACGATAAGGAGCGATGTAGAGTTTTGAAATGGAAAACAAAGAAGGCCCAAATATATATCAAGAATGGATCTTCATCATGGTCAAGTGGCGGTCATGAATGGAACTAATATACAGGACATACTACGAAGTAAGCTCTACACCTCGTAGCCACTGCCATTGATTTATTCGGTTCTGACCTCTCTAGCATTGTGTAAATGCCATTAAAGGTTTGCGATTTGCGGTTAATGCTCGACATGTTCTGCCAGAGACACTTCCTAATGAAGCAAGCATTGCTATGGGAGATTGCGAACTTGGCCCTGAGCACATATATGACGGGAAATGACCTCGCGATAAGTTGGAGTATGATCTTTGTGTTATTTGGGATTTCCATTTATGATCAAGTTATAGAACGAGTATTTTGTATCCTGATCTCTCATTCTTTTGTTATTTAATTCCTTCACATTCTCTGTTATCCGAGACTGAATGTACTCAATCGATTCATTCGTTTTTCATCGGCACCCACCATACATTACACGAGCCGCGTTTCAGAAAGCATCAAGCTTGAAGCTCTCTAGCATTCATTTCCTTCGTAGATCATATTATATACATCCAATAATCATCCAAAATGATAAGACTTTGCAGTTGGCTTCAAAATTTGTTTTATATGAATAGGAAATCAAAGTTTCAAATCATGCGCAAGGCGGGCATCGTATATGATTACTACCATACTACTGACTGGCCGGTATATATCTTGAACGAGCTCCGTCACTGAAGGCGGAAAATTCATTTTTCAAAGGAACAGAAGGAATTATTCATAATACTTGACCTATGTTAATATCAATTCTTTTTTTAATGCGTAGAAGTATCTTCTTATTATACCTTTCTTTTTCTCTTTGCTATTCCACGTTTCCTTTGCCCATTGAGCATACATCATGCTTCATAACTGGCAAATCAGGATTATTATATGTTTTGTAGAGGATATTAAAACTACTAGTCACTTGAAGACAGAACATTCGGTACTCTGGACTATTTTGTATCAGAAAGTCTATCAGAAAATGAGACAGCTTGAATGTAATAGTTATGTATCACAGGCATTCCTGATCCTCAGATTATGGTGACTTGCCTTACGCTTTGTGCCGGTGGGCAAAACTATACTGGATTTAGACATCGATACCTAATATAGTAGTATGTGGGTGGTATATCCAGACAGAACCTTCAGTGCCATACTCCAGGGCTTATCTTCTCAAGCACTAAACACACCAAATTAAAGATCTCATCGAACAACCCACTCCTCAAGACAAACTAGGGCTATCTTTCGTCCTGTTCTCTATCACAAACTTTATAGCTTTTGAACTGCCGTGTTGGTATCTGATTGTCGAACATGATATCCAACTCCCGGTACGTTCGGCCCTTAGTCTATGCTTTCGTTAGAGTTAAAGATCTTCAAAATAGTTGGAATGGGCTACATACCTCCGGTAACCGAAAGTAGCTCCATATTAATGAGAATATCGAAATACCACCAAAGACAAATTCAATCTTTGCACCAGCATTGATGGCTCCCGGATTGAGGAAAAAGGGGCCCAGTATATCTAGAACCAAGTAGGAGAGACCATTGATAGTTGCTGTCAGTGAGAGCGTTCTTGCTCGTAGTTTTGCTGATGGGACCTCGCTCGAGATAGTGAACCCCAATGGACCAAGTGTCAGAGCAAAGACAAACTGGAGACTAATAAGCATGGCCGCCTGCGCCCAGGAGTAGGAGGGCATGGACTTGTAGTTTTTTGCAAAGCATAGAAGAGCTACAATCCACATGATAGTGACGCTATAGCTCAACCCGATCAGCCAGGTTATGCGTCGTCCGAACCAGGCTAATGGGAACACACACAAAAGAGTACCAACAAAAGAGACCGCGTTGAGGGCGACTCCCATATCAAATGCACTCTCAGCGTTAAGTCCAACCTGTTCAAACAAGTATGTAGCAAAACCAGTAGGGTTACCAGCAAAATTCTGAACAACGAAGAGCATAGAGCAGATCTCAAGTCGTCTTCGATTGGATCCGCTGAAACAATCTCGATATGTTGTACCAAGCTCTTGTTCACGCTCGTACATATCCGTCTGAACCATCATAGCCAGCGTGTTGTTATTCCGACCATGTATGGCTTTAGTTGTGAGTTGGTCCAGGGATCTTTTTGCGTCTTCCAGGCGATTCTGTCTCATCAACCACCAGGGTGACTCGGGCGCCCAAAATAATCCAACAAGTAAAAGTACTGGCCACACCCATTGGATTGCGTACGGTATCTTGTATGCCCATTTGTCAGTTCGATTTACAAACCCTCGAGTAATTCCTGTTTGAAGGAATTGGCCAACAGTGTAGCAAAGTTGAACATATCCTGTGAAGTATCCCCGAAGCTGCAATGGAAGAACTTCAGATGCGTATGTTGGCGCTAGGACATGATATCCTCCCCAAATGAGACCTGCCAGATACATGGAGGTTGTTAAAACACCGATGTTTGTGGCGAATACTTGCATGAATATTAATGCAATAGTGGCACATAGATACAAAGCTAAGGTCTTCTTTCGTCCGATCCGATCCATTGGAATGGCGCAGGCCCATGCTCCAACAACCTGCCCAACAATCGGTCCCATAGACATTGCCACCTGCCACTTGGCTGGAATTTGATATCCGCCGCTAGAAGATGCTTCGCCAAAATGTTTTTGAAATGCTGGCAAAGCATAAAAGTTGCCGGTGATCTCGATATCGTATGCTCTCATGATAATACATAAAGAAAAGAACAAAGACCAAAGGGCACCTGCCCGATGCATTTTCAGTGCTTGCCAGGTCGAGACATTATGTTCCGCTTCTGTGGCTTCGTCGGCCATTTCCTGGGTAACGGTATCCAGCTTCTGGCCATATTCGACAACCTGTTGCAACTCAACTCCGGTGGAATCCACAGCCGGGAGCTCACCAGTGGAAGTTTGGCCCCCCATCACGCGTAAGAATCCGGAAGCTTTTGGTCGACAGTAGTAAAAGAAGATACTGACAAGCTCAAAATATCAATTGTGAGTTCCTTGGGTTTACTGGAAAGTGGTCCTGCGGCCCATTAATACTTCGTTCCTCCATCCTTCGTAAAGCTTACCCCGCACAGTGGGTTAACTTCGGAAGACGAGCTAAGACTTGGGGAAGAAACCGATTGGCTGCCATATTCTTGGAACAAATACTTTAGTGGCCTTTCAAACAGTCTCCAAGTGAAAACCCGATAAACACGCTATGAGCCGTGCGGCATCCAAGGCTGAAAGAAGAGTTTGAGTTCACTGGCTCCTTCGGGATTGCACGAGACTATTACGGGGTTTAGAACAAGGAAAGCAAGGATATTTAATGCAGTATTTACGATTATTTCTATGCAAGATATCTACAGAGAGCTTTTACTGTTCAATATTGTTTGGGAACTTCTGACTGGGAACTTGGTCAGGCATTTCAAGGGGGATTTTGTGACGTATTATGTGCTCGCCCCCTGTGGCTGGTAGGCGCCAGAGCCTCATCGAGTCACGAAATAGAGCTCAAGAGAGAAAAATAAATATGGACACGCAGTAGCACTTCTCTCCTTTGAAGAGCAGACTTGAAATCTAATAACTCAGCTCAAACTACTATCCTGAGCCTAATCTCTATCATCCTACGTGAAAGTATGCCTTACGCAGCCGACCGCTAGTACTATACCCTGTGATGTATATCGTAATGAAGATAAAGATCAATTGAACATAATTCTAAGATTAAATGTACAATGACTCAAGCCAATCTAGAAATTTCGGGCATTTTCATCCTCGTCAAGATGTCCGAATTTAGCTCAAGAGTGGGGAAATCGAGTGCAATAACCATAACCAAGATAAAGAAGGGGATTTTGGTTGGCTACCAACTCAGCAATTTATCGATCCCTCACCTGTGGGACTTCTTTTGTTTATTATCCGATAAAGGATCTATTTTCCGACGGGTATTTTAGTTTGACTCGCTAGATTGTCAGTTTCCCGAAACATGCCAAGGCAAGGGCGTTGAACTCCGTTACTCGACGCCTTCCAACATTCCAGCCTAGCTCCTTTCAAGATCTCCGAAGAGAGTATACAGATCTCTCTAGCGCTGGTCAAATAACACTTTCTTTGCCGCCCCCAGAAACCATCTTTGACGCAATGACTATCAAAAAACACCCTTCCTTCGGCAGCCCAATGCTGAAGCACTGGCTTTTTGACCCCGCATACAAGAACCTCAACCATGGTCTGTACAACATGTCACATTCCAAGGTTATAAGAGAACAACAACATATTAACATTCAATGACCAGGTTCCTATGGTGCACATCCATCTGCTGTCCGCGATGCACAGCGTGCCTTCCAAGAACTCGCAGATGGGCGACCAGATCCATATGTTAGACAACAACATGCAGTTCTGCTGAATGAGGCGCGTCAAGACATCGCAACGCTCATTAATGCCTCACGAGATGAATGTGTATTTGTCAAAAATGCTACAACTGGTGTCGCTACAGTTCTTTATAACCTAAATTTCCAGCCAGGAGAGGCACTCATCTACTTTCAACCCGTGTACGGAGCCGTGGAGAATGTGATGACTTCTCTTACAGAGCACACTGCCCTCCAAACTCGGAAGGTGCATTTCCAGTATCCTATTTCCGAGGAAGAAATTGAACGAAGATTCCGCGAGGTTGTCCTTCAGACTCGGAAAGAAGGCCTCAAAGTTCGAGCTGCGGTCTTCGACACAATTCACAGTGTTCCGGGGGTCCGGTTTCCGTTTGAGAAATTCGTCGGCATCTGTCACGAAGAGAGTATTCTGAGTGTAATCGATGGCGCACATGGTATCGGGCAGATCACTCTTGATATGAATGCGGTTCAACCTGACTTTCTTGTCTCAAATTGCCACAAGTATGGGCGTCTTGACCCTGCAATCGTCGATTCTGAAACTAATCCTTTCTTTCAGATGGCTATATACCCCCCGCAGTGCAGCTGTTCTTTACGTTCCTAAGCGTAACCAGCATCTTATGCACACAGCTCTGCCCACCTCATGGGGGTTTATTCCAACAACAGGTTCTCGCGATGTCGCTCAAGTCACTGAGAACGATTCCCCGTTCGAGAAACTGTTCCAACTCGTCGCTACCGACGATTACTCTGCCTACACATGTGTGGGAGCTGCATTAAAATTCCGTCAAGAAATCTGTGGCGGGGAGGAAGCACTCATGCAGTACTGCCATAGGATAGCCAACGAAGGGGCAGACATTGTCGCCGCCGCCCTTGGAACAAATGTCCTCCAGGAGCCCAATTTGAAGCCTGGTGAAGTTAGTCGGATGCGTCAGTGTGCCCTGACAACCGTGCGGCTGCCAATTATGGTTTCAGATGATTCATCCAACGTATCACCCGCTGGTACACTGGTCAGTTTAACAGCGGAGGAGGCAGATCATGCTACTGAATTTTGTCATCAAACTCTATTAGGGAAATATGACACTTTTGTCCCTGTCTTTCGGCACGGGCCGTGGATGTGGATGCGGCTGAGTGGACAGGTATATCTGCAGGCTTCTGACTTTGAATGGCTAGCAGGTGTTCTTGGCGAATTGTGTGAGCAGATTGTTCGAAAGGAATTTTAATTTCACTGCCAATCACTGACTAGCTGGATTTATGTACGGAATGAATAATTCAAATGGGCTCGAATCAATGGTCACAAGGAAAGGATAATGGATAATTGGTTTTATTATAGAAACGAAATACAGATTACGTATCGCACATTCCTTGGGTGGTCGATGCGACTGAGACACGATAAAATAGCGATGTTGCGGGTGGGAGGGGGAGAGGTGGGGGCCGACTACAGCGGCCAGCGCCAATACGCTTGTAACTAACCCGATTTGTGCCCTGTTGCTGTCCTTTCCCGTTGTTCTGTCTGCTCCAATTACCGCGTGTCACGATTACCTCTTTCTATATGATGGGTTTTGGCGGTTCTATATCTCTGCTATTTCCAGTATAGAATTCGTCCCTTCGGAGAATAACCAGGGATCCCAATTGGAAGGATATAAATACTCTTCTGTTCCACTATCATTTGTCCATATACTGGTGCCAGGACTCAACTCAGCATCAGTCAATTGTTTCAGCGCAGGAATACCAGCATCAAATTCCCCCAATTTTGATAATGGATATTGCAGCATATCCATAATGAGGTAATCAGAACAATGGTGTCTCTTCAGATAAATGCATATAGCAGCGCATCCGACAACGGCTCGTCGGTGCAACCAGTAGTGCACATGAAACATCTTCGAGTACCAATAAGCGAGGATAACCATTGCCCGGGTATCCTTCTGTACCAACAAGGTTTTCATCTCAGGGGACATCAAAGATATGAAGGTGAGAAAACGGAAAGCGGTATGGGGTGTTGATTCCATATCCCATATCTGAGCCAGCAAACGCACAGAAGCATGGTAAGGAGAATTCTGGGCATTCGACATGGGAGTCAGGCCACACAAAGTTACGAACTGCGAGGGGATACCCTCAATTCCATCACGAGTATCAGCAATCCATTTGTCCCTGAGGACGTTGTAAGTTGGATGTTGGAGGAGGCTATGAAAAAGGCCACCTGGCTCGTTGGGGGCACAAAGACTGTAGAGAGTTCTCATTCCTATGTGCATATCCAGCCAGTCAAAAGGGTACGCGGACGATGAAGATAAAGGCCAAGACATCTCGGGATCACATGACTCCATTAAAAAAGATGTCATGTTTCCAAGGAGAGATGCCGTTGTCCATATAGCGTTACGATCGACCGCCTTGGAGGCCGGTTTGGATAGCCTCTCATTAAAGAGCGCGGCAGCGCACTGGCTGTGATAGTGGTATTGCTGTCGGCTGCCTTCAGAGCAAGTGGCACCTGTTAGTAGTTGGGAAGATCCATCCTGCAGGGCGGCCATAGCCAAGGCAGCATGAAGTAAATAAGGATACTAGATATCTATTCTTAGACACCGCTCTACTTTGTTAATCCCATGAGTGAACAATGATCTGCTTACCTGTGTGGCATTCTTGCTCACTGTGAGTTGGTAGCACATTGACATGTGATGTGGCCCCATCGTAAATACTGTTTGCGTGTGCCATCTACTCAGCCGATCGATATCATATTTTCCCAGCGCGCGAAATTGGTCTGAAGTCCAGGTCTGGGGGTACTGGGAGTGTACCATTTGATTTAAGTCAGTGACTAGTGCATCATTGGCTAATTTTGTCTCGGGTATCGAGAAGCTCAAATCATCAATTCGTATATCAGTGGACGATGAGGCTCTAGATGAGGTTGGCGTCGAATCATAATTGCATATCACGCACTGCTTGATGCAGTTGCAGCAGGCCGGTTGGGTTTCATCACACTTCACGCGACGGAGTTTACAATTCCGACAACCAGAGCGTGATTTTTGATGCTTCTTGCGTGTTCGCAACGCTAGCTTCTTCGAATCCATATTTTCCTTGGTGCGAAGAGCTTGCAAATCAGGCGCCAATATTCCGGCCCGGCTTCCATGGGCCAATTTCAAGGGGGGGCAATTTTAGGGTGATGAGCTGTCTCCCATGTCGATCCTCATCGACGCTAACCTCGTGTCGTGTTGAAGTGGGCTGCACGTGGTGATAAAGATTGATAAGGAACCACGCTAACCATAGTTCGTATTTCAACATTGCACTGCGCCAATCAGCAGTGAGAACTGTCAACCGCCTCCACAAGTGCGACAACATCCAGATGCAGCAGCCAGAACAGCGCCATGAAAACTCGGGGTTTTCGGAAATATACTGATGAGAAGTCAAAAATGGAAACAGGATGGACTTGTCGGACGAGCATTTGTTCAGGTATAAAAGGCCCCTTTCCCACCTGCGATAGACCAGCATCAGAACAAGAAAAACAATCACAATCACAATCAAAGAACAACAAGATATTTCCTTTAATCTCAGTTTATCCTTCCAAATTTTCGATATGTCTTTGCCAGCTACCTATCTCGCCCTCGTCTGTCGCGAATATGGCCAACCCCTCGCGCTCGAAACGCGCCCAACCCCCGCCGCAGTGCCTGGAAGCGCAGTCATCAAAGTCCTCTCAGCTCTCGTCGATCCATCAGAGAAGAGTCGGTTGCTCATGAACAAACGCAACATTCACTTCAGCCAACAACCCCCGTTCGTCCCAGGTAACTGTGCTGTTGGACGAGTCGCTGCCGTGGCAAACGATGCTACAACCCTGAGGGTTGGCCAACTCGTTCTTTTGGAATGCTTTGTGCGCGGACGCGACGATCCCAACGCCCAAGCTCTCAGAGCCGTCTTCGAAGGACCTTCACCCTCTGCTAAACGACTCACCCACCAGGAAGACCTGTGGCGTGATGGTCATTGGGCAGAATATACTCGCGCCCCTCTTGAGACCTGCTGGCCCCTAGATGAAAAGGCTTTGCTTGGACGCGTGGAGGAAGGAGGCCTTGGATATAAAATGAGCGATATTCCATACTTGGCTAAACATGCGATTGCCTATGGGGCATTCAGGACTATCGACCTCAAGGCCGGTGAAACAATCGTCATTGGACCTGCTACTGGTAACCACGGTGGAGCCGCTGTCCAAGTTGCTTCGGCCATGGGCGCTCGAACTATTGCCGTCAGTCGTAATGTCGATGCCTTGCGCAAACTCCGAGAGAGTATCCCTCGAGTTGAAACTGTCGCTTTAACCGGAAACCCAGGGGAGGATGTCAAGCTGCTGTCTCAGTTTGGACCCATTGATGCCTTCCTGGACTTTACGCCTGCCGGCATACAAACTCCACCATACCTGAAGGCCTTTGCTTTATCTCTGAAGCCCTATGGCCGAGGAGTGCTTGCTGGATTCCCACACGGCGATGTGTCGCTGCCTTATGGGCTTATGGTTGGCAAAAACATCACCATTCGGGGGTCATTAATGTATCAACCGGAAGATGTGAGAGGGCTGATCAAGCTTGCTGAGCGAGGACTACTGAAGCTCGGAAAGAGCAGTGGCTCAGAGGTTTTCGGTGGATACACACTTGACCAGCATGATGAAGCAATTACCAAAGCCCACGAGCATCAAGTGTGGGGAACGCAGGTCAGTTTCGAGCTGGAAGAGTAACTTAAGAGGCCATTCGCTATCACATGTTCTGTGCCGACAGGCTTTCAATCATGATCCTTCTCAGATATACAATATAACTCAGGCGATTCTTCCCCTATAACTTTTATGCTTTCCATGCGCATCTTATAACATTTATTTCAAGTTAGCACTGAGTCCGCTTTGGTCGCCGGTACACATCATCGACTGTGTACACTAGTACAGCCAGATATCCTCTATCTTCAGGCCTAGATAAATCCAAGAGCCTCCGACACGTCACCATGCATAGGATATATGTACGAAGATCGATACAGATAGGATCATGAGCGCCATGCATATTTTGAATGCACTCATTGTCACATTCATAGCAATCTATAGCTCCTGGTCCTGGCCACGCTGTATAAGGCATCTGTATTCCCCACCCTCGGTCTTGGCTAATGTTCAGCTTACTGCGGGGTTCTACAGATACTAGATATGGTATTTGCCAGGGGCCTCTACAAAGTGCGACATCATGTCAAGCGTATACGTCCAGATCATGTGGTAGAATATAATTATGAAAGTATTTATAATGACGCTTTATTGATAAAGTTCAAATTGATAAAATTCGAGGTCCGGCGGATCCTAACCATGCGGCGTCCGAGCTTTCCACCCGGGTGTTATCCACAGCCAACGCAGGATTGTAATAAAAACGCTTCGCAATGCTTATTGGTTAGTGGGGTTACAACATTCATGCATCAGCCTCATTTGAGGCATTGGATGCATGGAGTCAACCAATCTTGGAGGTCGACCGTCACCCATTGCAAAAGCGGCCCAAAAGTGCGTTCGTATTTACAAGCCCCATCTGATCCTTCCGCACACTAAGACTCGGTATTCCGTCTCCAACAAACCATTTTGAATGTCTGTGGTCAAGGGTTCTCGCAATCTGCCTTACATATATTCCCTCCTAGCCCGCGAGTATCATGTCCAAAATAATACTTAAAATCATATTGGGCTTTCAATCCTATATCCAACTTTGGAACGGTGTTTCCTCTTTTTCTCTCCAAATCCAACAACGAAGTCCTCTTGTCTTCATTAAATTTTATACTTGTTCCAAGGTTGAATTATCACCAGTTCGAATGTAAGAAATTTAACCTTCTCTTCTACATGATAAAGACTGACCTGTACAACCATTTTTGCAGCACGCAGCAGCTATGCCTCAAAACCATGGCCATGGTATCCACACCTTCTCTGTCGTCGGAACATGCTCTAGCTGCATTCACGATATAACAACGGTGGTCCATGCGGGCTCTGCATCAACAGCTGAAGCCATTGTTCTAGGGATGACCTGCACGGCCTGTGTGGCTGGAATTATCAGTCATGTTGTTAGGATAATAAGTGAGGATTGAGTCAACAAAGGATTTCGGAAGGGTGATCAGCTCCCCCATGTCTTCGGTGAAGGAAAAGATATCTGGCAGAGAACGTTTATATTTATTATGAAATGTGTGAACTTGAATCAAGAAACCCTTGCCCAGTTGTGGATGTGCTATCTATTCAGGTTAGAGACTCAGACATATGTACCTTCAAATTTTATATTCGAAGAAAATTATTTATGAGCTTTGCATATTTTCAATCAGGGAGACAATATTTTTCTAAAAGAAGAAAAGACATACGCAACCACTATTCTCATACATCATCATTAGCTTTATAAGGGTTATGGCTGTGCTAAATTTTGTGTACATATCAATAGTACACGAAGTGAATAATTGAGCCGCTACCCTCTATCTCTACGAATTTGTTTTCGGGCTCATCGATTATTCCTCCATTCTGTTATGCATTTTTTAGAACGAAGCTAATATGCCCCTTGGCTTGAAGTTCTAGTTATTTAACGTGTTTCACTACCGATTGGATCACACCACCGAGTGGATCAGTGTCAAGGTTGACGTCAAAGGGTTAGGCAGACAAAGAATGATGATATTTGATGGAACTCTTTGATGAATTAGGTACAGAAACTAATCCTTGGAAGACTACAACTTCCAAGCATTCATGCATTTTAGATCGACCACGGTTGGTGTTCCTCTTGTGAGGAGTCCAGGGCTAAAACCCTCGGTAATTCATTTGTCCGTTTTTTGATCATTCCTTTGGAATATCAACATGCATGTATGCCGTAACTGTTTATATATTTAGACGTTTATACGGTTTGACCCACTCTTGGGTACAGACCAATTACGAGTTAGTCTAAGAGTGGGTATCCGCCTACATATATACATATAGCAGAGCTTCCCTCTCTCCTTCCCCTTCTTCAACGTTGTTATTAGTTGTTATTCGCACCCTTTCTCTTCGACACATAAGGTTTGATAATGGGGTAACTGTGCATTCTGCCCTATGATATATGAATTCCATTTTCTGTTCGGGCGTTTTCTACGCGGATTCTCTAATTTAAGGTTATTGGGTCGACCAAACTTTCAATATTGAGCGCGTGTGCACACTTGGAACGTCCCAAATTGGACATTTCTTAGCTTTGATCATGAGAAAACTTGAACATTTTATTTACTTGATATTGATGATACTCGTGTTGCATGTGACAGTCTTGGGAACTTTGAAAATAATATCGCCTGAAATTTCAAGTACTGTCTTTTTTAATTCGAATGTACTATGGTGGTGCTAGATTGCTGATATATATCCATGCATTTAATTGTGAACAAAGCTCTGAAAATCCATAAAAGACCGGGAAAGCCTGGGCCTTCCAGTTGATGGAGCTAGAATCTAAAACTTTCATATGATTTTTAAAATACGATTGAAGACACCTCCGACAAGCAGTTTCTTGACATTGGAGGTAAAGAGCTTGCTTTTGTTCGTCTTGGGGTGTCTCCTTATACCACACACCGCCTGGGCAGTATATGGTGGAGCGCGTAAGGTGGCTTTATAGTCGCGCGCCATGCCGCACGCTGCTGGTGGAAGTGATCACGTGCGAAGGTTATGAACCGGGAAAAAGTCTGTAGAGCACTCATAAGTGTGAAAAACGATCATAAAATCGAACAGGACTAAGCGCTGTCTATTACCAGGACCTGATATCCTTTTTCCTCTATTTTACTTACCATTGCAGCATTGTAGTACATACGAAAGGTGGGAGTTTGTCGCCTAGCAATCCAGGCATGAATAATTGACCGGAGCAACGTTTTGTCCGGATTACCGAAAGCAGGTTAGCGCGCATATGCTTTCTGCCAGGCCAGGGCCCCAAGGTCTCTCTCAAAGGTCTCACAGGCCTCGCGCGCTCTACGATCTTCAATTCCTCCACCATCCTTCTTTCACTCCCATTCCCCTCCCCCACGGGGTTTCTCACGATTCCTTTTGCGCTGCAAATCCATTCTCTCCTTCAAATGGACTAGACGGCCCATACCCTGTAATTAAACGACCTGACGAGTTTCCACCGATTTCCTTCCTACCTTTAATCGATCTTTTCGGCATATCGCACGGGTCCGCAGAGCTTCGTGAACACGCTCCGATTCCGCACATGACTCCCCGATTTTGACCCCATACTTTTTTGCGGGCTGGAAAACCATCAGCCGGCCACCTGGCCTGGCCGTAATTGCAGTCCCTTTCGCTTGGCTGGCCCTCCCGAGGGGGCTTGATCGCATCCATCATGGAGCGAAATATCGATGTCTATGCCAACAAATTGGCCGACGAGAGGCTCGGTGCGTGGAACCTAAAAGAAATCAATGTGTCATGTTGATATGCAGCAATGCTGACTTTTCTTTTTACTCTGGCGCAGATGTGAAGGTGCGAGCGAATGTCGCGACCGAACTTCGCGACAACATTGAACCTCTTTGCTCCGGCACAAACTACCCCACATTTCTATCCAAACTATGGCCGGTCTTCAAAACGATTCTGAGTGGAGACCCGGTCTTCTTCAGCATGTCACACGAACAGGTGGGTCTGAAACGAACAATGGAGAGTCGGCCTAATAACGATGGGACGCGCTCCGTCGGGGGGAACTTGAAGCGCTAACTTGACCCAGAAACTTCGCAACTGTATCCTAGAAACTCTACACCGGTTACCGACTGCCTCCCCCGATGTCGAATTGTACGCTGCCGATATAGTTGACTTGTTGATGGACCTCGCACGAATTGAGAACGAAGACAATGCGGTATTGTGTATGAAGACGATAATGGACCTGGAACGCAACCAACCGAAGGCCACCTCAGCACGTGTGCAGCCTTTCCTGGAGCTTATACAAGAAATGTTCCAGACAATGGAACAGGTAGTTCGGGATACCTTCGACACTCCTAATCAAGCAACGCCTTCCGGAATGCCCTCAACACCAAACGCACCTCCTCAGAATTTCCAGTCACCTCGACCAAGTTCACCCGCTACCTCTGTGTCAGACCTGGGCCCTGAGCAGCAATCCAGCAATGTCATCTTGAAGGGCATGCAGTCATTCAAGGTTCTTGCGGAATGCCCAATCATCGTTGTTTCGATCTTCCAGACCCATCGGAATTCAGTACCAGCAAATGTCAAGCTCTTTGTACCTCTCATCAAGACAATCCTGCTGTTACAAGCGAAGCCTCAAGAGAAAGCCCACGCGGATGCTGCTGCTCAAGGCACCATCTTTACTGGCGTCTGCAAAGAGATTAAGAATCGGGCCGCTTTTGGAGAATTCATTACTGCTCAAGTGAAGACGATGAGCTTTCTTGCTTACCTGCTTCGCCTTTACGCACACCAGCTCCAAGACTTCTTACCAACATTACCATCAGTTGTTGTGCGCCTGCTTCAGGATTGTCCTCGAGAGAAGTCTGGTGCTCGCAAAGAGCTCCTGGTTGCAATTCGTCATATCATCAACTTCAACTACCGCAAGATTTTCCTCGAAAAGATTGATGAGCTTCTTGATGAGCGAACCTTGATCGGAGATGGCCTCACTGTTTATGAAACTATGAGACCTCTAGCGTACAGCATGTTGGCAGACCTCATCCACCACGTACGAGACCACCTTAGTCGTGATCAGATTCGCCGAACTGTTGAAGTTTACACCAAAAATCTTCATGATGACTTCCCCGGCACGAGCTTTCAAACAATGAGCGCTAAGCTTCTACTCAACATGGCGGAGAAGATTTCCAAATTGGAAGATAAACAGGAAGCTCGCTACTTTCTCATCATGATCCTGGATGCCATTGGTGACAAGTTTGCTTCTATGAATCATCAATTCAACAATGCTGTGAAAGTTTCCAAGGCTTACAAGGAATCTCGCAAGGATACCGAACCTTCCCCAGAAAATTATCTTGCTGAGAAGGATCAACCTCCGGACTGGGATGATATCGATATCTTCTCTGCGTCTCCAATTAAGACTTCTAGCCCGCGCGATCGGGGCGGCGATCCTGTCTCAGATAACATCTTCCTTTTCAGGAATCTGATCAACGGGTTGAAGAACATTTTCCACCAATTGAAAAATTGTAACCCAGATGATGTTCAGATCGACCCCAACATTGTTCCTATCAATTGGCCTGAGGTCTCATTTGGATATAATGCCGAGGAAGTTCGTGTGATCAAGAAGCTCTTCCATGAAGGTGCTCGGGTCTTCCGGTACTACGGCGTCGATCAACTTCCGGTAGAGATGAACCACGCATCCCCATTCGAATTTCTTGCTAGCCAATACACAGCACCCATGGGGCGCGAAGAAAAAGAGCTATTAGAAAGCTTTGGAACCGTTTTCCATTGCATTGATACAGCAACATTCCATGAAGTCTTTCACTCGGAGATTCCGTACCTTCACGAACTCATGTTTGAGCATGGTTCACTTCTTCACCTCCCCCAGTTCTTTCTTGCTAGTGAAGCTACTTCGCCAGCGTTCTCTGGCATGGTGTTGCAATATTTGATGGAACGCATTGATGAGGTTGGCACGTCAGATATGACCAAGGCCAAGATCCTGCTGAGAATGTTCAAACTCTCGTTCATGGCAGTGACATTATTCTCTGTACAAAACGAGCAGGTTCTCCATCCACATGTCACAAAGATTGTCACCAAGTGCATTGAGCTATCAGTCAATGCCGAGGAACCTATGAATTACTTCCTTCTTCTGCGATCTCTTTTCCGCAGCATCGGCGGCGGCCGGTTTGAGCTCCTGTACAAAGAGATCCTTCCCCTTTTGGAGATGCTTCTGGAAACATTTAACAACTTGCTGAGTGCTGCTCGTAAGCCACAAGAGCGGGATCTCTACGTTGAGCTTACCCTTACCGTCCCAGCACGGTTGAGTCATTTGCTTCCTCACTTGAGCTATCTCATGCGCCCAATTGTGGTGGCATTGCGTGCCGACTCTGATCTTGTTGGACAGGGCTTGCGCACTCTGGAACTTTGCGTGGATAACCTGACAGCTGATTATCTTGACCCAATCATGGCCCCCATTATGGATGAATTGATGACAGCTCTTTGGGATCATCTCCGACCTCACCCATACAACCATTTCCATGCACACACTACCATGCGGATCCTCGGAAAGTTGGGTGGCCGGAATCGCAAGTTTCTCAACCATCCACCAGAGCTGTCATTCCAGCAATACTCCGATGATAACCCAAGCTTTGATATCCGACTCATTGGCCCAAGTGAAAAGCGGCCATTCCCCGTGGATATCGGTATTGACCTCGCCGTTGGGAAGCTAATGGAAGCTCCAAAGACAGATTCTGCTAAGACTTCAGACATTTATTACAAGCAGCAAGCTTTCCGTATGCTGAGCTCTCATCTGAAGCTGCAGATCGGTTATGAGAACCTTCCTGATGATCTAGCATCTCTGATTCGCCTACACGCCAATGATCTCTTCGAGAGCAAAGTCAGTGCCATGGGTGATATACTAGAGAAATCTGAGCGCTCGGCATCTATCCCCAAGAAGGTGGCGCAAGAAGCCACTGTGAAGAAGCTGTTGAAGGCCTGCATTCATGCCACCACCATTCCCGAACTCGAGCCTACCGCAACTACTTTTGTGGCCGATGTTTGCAAGCACTTCACTATTGTCGAGGTTGGCCGCGCTCTTTCTCAAGCTCGCCACGGCCGCAAGGCATTTGATGTATCGAATGGAGAAGGCCCTGTTTACTTGGACTCACGAGTCCTGGCTGAAGCCATCGTCGAAACTCTTTCTTCTGACGACGTGCATGTTCGCGAATCTGCTGAGCAAGCTATGCAAGTAGTGAAGGAAGCCGCTGGTGTTATATTCGGTTCTTCTGAGAAAGCATCAAAGCTTCCATTCTTCCAACATCTTGGTCGTGTGTTCTGCCACAGCTGCTATAGCGAGGAGTGGTTTACTAAGGCCGGTGGTAGCCTGGGAATCAAACTTCTTGCCACGAAGATGGACCTTGGAGAGTCTTGGCTTTATGAACGCCATGTCGACTTTTCGCGCGCTCTTTTGCATGTGATCAAAGATACACCATCAGATCTTCCTGCGTCTACTCGGGTCCAATCCCAGGAAACGATTACTTTGATCCTGCAACGGTGCGGAAAAACTATACCCAAGGATGACATCAAGAACGAGAAGAGCCGCCTGTATGCCCTTTGCGGGTTCTTCGTTTATGAGCTTGGCCATATGAACAAGTATGTTCGCGAGACTTCTCGTCGCTGCTTTGCTACGCTGAAAGAAGAATTGGGCTGCGAGGTCCACGAGCTCATCTTTCCGGTTAAGGATCGCTTACTACAGCCGATATTCAACAAGCCTTTGCGTGCCTTGCCATTCGCGACCCAGATTGGCTTCATCGACGCCATCACATATTGCTTGAGCTTGCACAACGACATCGTCACTTTCAACGAGCCACTTAATCGCCTAATGCTGGAATCCCTTGCGCTTGCAGATGCGGATGATGAGTCCCTCGCTTCCAAGCCGAACGAATTCAAGAACGCAGATATGATTGTCAATCTGCGTGTTGCTTGTCTGCGACTTCTTTCCATGGCGATGAACTTCCAAGAGTTCGCCAACACCCCGCAGAATACTAGTCGGGCTCGGATTATCTCCGTCTTCTTCAAATCCCTGTACTCCCGCTCTCCTGAAGTCATCGAAGCTGCAAATGCTGGTCTCAAGGACGTTCTCACTCAGACAAATAAGCTTCCAAAAGACTTGCTCCAAAATGGATTACGTCCTATCCTTATGAACTTGCAAGATCCCAAGCGTCTCAGCGTTGCTGGCCTAGATGGTCTGGCTCGCCTCTTGACCTTGTTGACAAATTACTTCAAGGTTGAGATCGGTGCTCGTCTTTTGGATCACATGAAGGTCATTGCGGATGATACCATGCTTCAAAAAGTTTCCTTTAGCCTTGTGGAGCAAAATCCTGCTTTGAAGATTGTGGCCGCTATCTTTAATATCTTCCATCTCCTCCCTCCCGCCGCCACTTCCTTCATGGATCACCTTGTCAATAAGGTTTTGGATCTTGAGAAGAAGTTGCGAAGGACATCGCATAGTCCTTTCCGAAAGCCCCTCGTCAAGTATCTAAATCGTTACCCTACAGAGAGCTTGGCATTCTTCTTTGCTCGATTCAAAGATGAACGATACGGTCGTTTCTTTGGGCAGATTTTGGCTGACCCCGAGAGCGGCGCGTTACGCAATGCGATTGTCTCTGACACAGAGAACTTCCTCACTACTGCATTTGGACAAGAAGGAACCGAAGCCAAAAACACTGCCGCCATTAATGGTATTTATGTTGCTCACTCTATCTCTTCATATGCATCAACCAAGAAATGGCTTGTCTCACATGCAGACCTGCGAGCAAAACTTATAACCTCTGGACGAGAACTGGAAAGGAAACTTCGTGGTGACAGTCTTCCGCCCGATGAGCGTCTCAGAGTGGAGCAGGCTGAGGATCAGTTGATGGACATTTTCACTACGTACTTGACAGAGGCCTCACATGACCTTGACTTTTTGTTTGAAGTCATTGATGGATTGTCTGCAGACGAGCTCAAGCGAACTCTGGCTCTTCCAAGATTCATTTACAAACAAATCATTACAAATGAGTCCATCGATTACCGTCGCTCTGTCATCATGCGCTGCCTTGAGCTCTACGGACAACGGGCCTGTTCACAACGGACCAAAACATATGCGTTCCGTAATTTAGTGAACCCAATCTTGGCTATGGATGTTCAAACCACATGGAGCAGCCCACCCAATACTCCTAGACTGATGGACAAGAGTATGACTGAATCTATTCAAAGTCGTCTGTGGAAGCCTCAGCTAGCAGATCTCAGCGAAGAGTCCAGCCAGGCTGGAGTCGACCATTCCAGGATGGAGTTGCTTCAGCTTTCAGCTCTGTTGATCAAATATCACTCGCAAACAGTACAAGACTCTCGCAAAGATATCATTAAGTTTGCTTGGAACTACATTCGTCTTGAGGACATCATCAATAAGTATGGCGCTTATGTCCTCATCAGCTACTTCATCGCCCACTACGAGACGCCTTTCAAGATTGTCATCCAGGTTTATGTTGCCTTGCTGAGAGCCCATCAAAACGAGGGCCGTGCCCTTGTCACTCAGGCGCTTGATGTCTTGGCCCCTGTTCTTCCAAACCGAACTGCCGGAAATCAAGGTGCCGAAGCTCGCTATCCTTTGTGGGCTAAGTGGCCTCGTCGCATTTTAGCCGAGGAAACTGCCAATTTGCAGCAAGTGATGAGCATCTTCCAGTTCTTGGTTCGACAACCTGATCTGTTTTACGAGTCGCGCGAGCATTTTGTACCTCTCATCGTTCCCTCTCTCATCAAGATTGCTGGCCCACCAAACGCATCTAATGACAGCAAGAAGCTTGCACTTAACCTTATTGGGTTGGTTTGGCATTGGGAGGAGAAGCGTGCACGAGCGGCAGATAGCAACAGTGTGCCCAATGGGTTGACAGACTCCCCCAATACCAAGAAACGCAAGTTGGATGAAGCTCAAGAAACACCATCACCCGCCTTAGCACCTCCCCCAAGCCGAGGTGGATCCGACTACACAGTGCCTGCTGAGCTTCGCGCTGCTCTGATCAAATACCTGATCACCTTCATCACGACTATCTCTGAGCGTTTCTTAGTTCCCGCTGCGCAGATTCGGTTATCCCCGTCGGCCAAGCAGGCCCCAGCAGTGCCTACTGGTGAGATGATTAACAAGGCAATCAACCTTCTCAGGAAGCTCCTCTCGCCAGAGTACTGGGGTGACCTTGATATTGATCTGTATCAGAAGGTTACAGAACCAATTCTTGCCGGAGAGAAATCTGATAAACCAGATGAGAAATTGGTCACACCCATGGTTAACGCCCTTCAAGTACTGCGTGTTCTCATTGCAGCCAAACCAAATGAATGGATTTCAGCTCGTCTCTCAACAATTCAAAAGTTACTCGAGAAGCCATTGAAATGTGACAACGCCGAAATTCAAGACTGTCTTCACGGCTTGGAGGACGAGATGGAGATTTCACCCAAGCTGCCGCCACCGGTTCGTCGTGTGCTTGAAGCCATTCCAGATGAAGCCCCCGATGAAGAAGATGCAATGGAGACCGAAAGCACTGCATCTGAGTTTGCCACATTCTTGTCTGCTGTTGCAACAGAAACATTGTCCGCCAACAATTATGTCTCAAGCCTGAATACCCTATGGACACTTTCCAAACATAAGCCTGCCGAAATAGATACCCATATTCCGGCTGTTATGAAGGCTTTCTCCCAAAAATTGGCGAAAGAGCATGTTGCGGCATCAACTCAGCAGAATGGTGCGCAGGCTCAGAGTGGCGCTGCCAACAAGCCCGCTGAAGCTGTTCCGGACCAACAAGAGGTCGAGATTGGTGTTGATCTCATTTTCAAGACGATTGAACTGATCTCCGTACGGATGTCTCACCTTGGCGACCAACGGCGCCCGTTTTTGAGCGTGTTGGCCTCTATTGTGGAAAGATCACAGAACCCCAAGTTATGTACCAAGGTTCTAGAGATGGCAGAATCATGGATATTCCACTCAACCGAGTCATGGCCTACGTTGAAAGAGAAGACGGCTGTCTTGCATAAGATGCTGCTCTTTGAGTCGCGAACGGATCAGACAATGCTCAAGAAGTTCCTCGACCTTGTGATCCGGATCTACGAAGATTCAAAGATCACCCGCACAGAGCTGACTGTTCGGTTAGAGCATGCTTTCCTGATCGGTACCAGAGCGCAAGATGTTGAGATGCGCAACCGGTTCATGAACATCTTCGATCGTAGCTTGACACGTCTGGCTAGCTCCCGTTTGAGCTATGTGCTCACATGTCAAAACTGGGACACTCTCGCCGACTCTTTCTGGCTGGCTCAGGCCTCACACCTTGTCCTTGGGTGCGTTGATATGAACACCACCGCTCGTCTACACCAAGATGACTTCACCTTATATCCTCTGAGCTTCCTTTTCGCCGCAGGTGAGAAGGACCCGCGGAAGTCAGATGTTATGGTTGACAATCAATTGGAAACTTTCGTTGCTGAACGCAGGCGCTTCATGTCAGAAGTTGGCGATGTGAAGGTTCGTGATTTGATGGAACCATTGTTGCAGCTTCAGCATACCGACTCGAATGTCTCTTATAAATTGTGGACTACCATCTTCCCCATCTTCTGGTCAACATTATCCAAAGATGATCGCATTGATCTTGAGAAGGGCATGGTCACCCTGCTCACCAGAGAGTACCACCAGAGACAACTTGACAAGCGCCCCAATGTCGTTCAAGCTCTGCTGGAGGGTGTTGTTCGTGCTCGGCCCCGGTTCAAGGTTCCTCCACATGTCATGAAGTACCTCAGTCGTACCTACGATGCTTGGTACACTGCCGCTACGTACTTGGAAGAGAGTGCTGTCAACCCAATAATCGACACTTCTACAGTTCGTGAGAGTAACCTTGATGCCCTGGTCGAAGTCTATGCTGGGCTTCAAGAAGATGACTTCTTCTACGGTACATGGCGACGTCGTTGCAAGTTTGTTGAAACCAACGCGGCACTGTCCTATGAACAGCAGGGCATGTGGGACAAATCTCAACAGCTCTATGAAAATGCTCAAATCAAAGCACGTTCGGGAGCTATGCCATTCTCTCAAGGTGAATATTTCGTTTGGGAAGACCATTGGTTGATCTGCGCTCAGAAGCTCCAACAATGGGAGATCCTGAGTGACTTCGCCAAGCATGAGAACTTGAACGATCTTCTGCTTGAGTCTGCCTGGAGGAATATCGAGAACTGGCAGAGCGAAGGCAACCGTGAGCAGTTGGAGTCTTTGATCAAGTCCGTTTCTGATGCTCCTACGCCACGACGCACCTTCTTCCAAGCTTTCATGGCACTTCTGCAATACCACACCAAGAAGGAGAACATGCAAGACTTCAACAGTGTCTGCGACGAGTCCATCCAGCTGTCTATTCGCAAATGGCTTCAATTGCCGAAGCGGATCACCAATGCTCACATCCCCATCCTGCAACATTTCCAGTTGCTGGTTGAACTGCACGATGCTAGCCATATCTGCGGCAGCTTGGCCCAGACCAACGAACGGAACCTCGATACGAAGTCTGCTGAGTTGAAGCTTCTCCTGGGAACCTGGCGGGACCGGTTACCTAACCTGTGGGATGACATTAATACTTGGCAAGACCTGGTGACATGGCGACAGCATATCTTCCAGCTTATCAACGGTACTTATTTGAGCCTGCTGCCACCCCAGACAAACAATGTGGCCAGCAACTCCTATGCTTACCGCGGATACCATGAAACCGCCTGGATCATCAATCGCTTTGCCCATGTTGCTCGCAAGCACCAGATGCCGGAAGTCTGCATTAATCAGTTGAGTCGCATTTACACGCTGCCCAACATTGAAATTCAAGAAGCTTTCCTGAAGTTGCGTGAACAAGCCAAATGCCATTACCAGAACCCGAAGGAGCTCAATAGTGGATTGGATGTTATCAACAATACCAATCTTAACTACTTCGGACCCCAGCAAAAGGCTGAATTTTACACCTTGAAGGGCATGTTCCTTGCCAAACTCGATCAGACTAATGAAGCCAACGAAGCTTTTGGTGTTGCTCTCTACTATGATCTTCGTCTTGCAAAGGCATGGTCTGAGTGGGGTCAATACAGTGACCAGCGCTTCAAGGCTGCTCCCGCAAACTATGAGCTGGCTAGCAATGCTGTTAGCTGTTACCTGGAAGCAGCCGGTCTGTACAAGAGTGCCAAATCACGCAAACTGCTCAGTCGCATCCTTTGGCTCCTCAGCTTGGACAATGATGAAGGTCAGATTGCTAATGCATTTGAAAACTTCAAGGGAGATACGCCAGTCTGGTATTGGATCACCTTCATTCCCCAGCTTCTCACCAGCTTGTCTCACCGTGAGGCGCGTTTGTGCAAGGCTGTTCTGGTCAAGATCGCCAAGCTGTACCCACAAGCTCTCTTCTTCTTGCTTCGAACCAATCGGGAGGACATGTTGAGCATCAAGAAGCAACATGACCAAAAGCAGGAGAAGTTAAACCGTGCTAGACAACAGCAGCAACAGTCATCCTCGCCAAGCCAAAAGCCCAACGGGGAAGCGTCCCCTGCTCAGAAACCTCCAACTAGTGTACCTGCTCCCAGTGCTTCTCCAGCGAACCAAGCTGCCAACTTGCCAACAGCTCAATCGCCTGCACAGAATCAATCCGCCCAGCAGTCGCCCGCGCAACCTCAAAACCAGGTGCAAGCTTCTCCCAGTCAAGCTCAAACCCCTATCCCTGGTCAAGCTCTACCCCAAGGTGCGCCAGGTCACTTGCAAGTTCCGGGACAAGCTGGAACGCCGCAGCAACAACCTGCACAGCCACCACAACAGAACCAAGGTGCCTCCGCCGGTGAGAACGAGAAGGAGCCTCTCAAGAAACCATGGGAGTACTCGGATGAGATCATGTCTGGTCTCAAGACTGCCTTCCCGCTTCTTGCTTTGTCTATGGAAACAATGGTTGATCAGATTCACAAGAATTTCAAGTGCCCGCCAGACGAGGATGCTTATCGACTTATTGTCGCTTTGCTCAACGATGGATTGGCCTATGTTGGACGCATGCCTGGATCATACGCGCAGGATTTCAAGCTGCCTTCTGCGACAGAAGCAAACATCACCCGCTTCGCGGAGACCATTCTTCCTGCTCATATTCGCAAGTCGTTCGAAGCTGACTTTGTCACCAAGAAGCCGACAATGTACGAGTACATCCAGAAGTTGCGTCGTTGGCGTGACAAGTTCGAAGAAAAGTTGGATCGTCGTCCCCAGTCCGGAAATCTTGAGAACTACTCGCCCCACCTCAGCGAGTTCCGATTCCTCAAGTTTGACGAAGTTGAGGTGCCAGGACAGTACCTTCTCCACAAGGATAAGAACCAGGACTTTGTTCGTATCGATCGTTTCTTGCCTGATGTCGACTTGGTTCGGGGTATTGGCGTTTGTCATCGTCGTCTCAAGATTCGTGGACACGACGGTAGCATTCAAGCATTTGCCGTTCAGCACCCTGCTGCACGTCACTGCCGTCGCGAGGAACGCATTCTCCAATTGTTCCGCATCTTCAACGGTCTGTTGGCGAAGCGCAAGGAGAGTCGACGTCGCAATCTCTACTTCCACCTCCCCCTGATGGTTCCGCTGGCGCCACATATCCGCTTGGTTCGTGATGACTCTTCATACATCTCGATGCAAGGCATCTATGAGGATTACTGCAGACGTGTTGGCATCAACAAGGACGAGCCGGTGTTATTCACCATGGACCGAATGCGTTCTCTGGCAGAGACAAAGCAGAATGTAAGTTTTGAAAATGTTACTTCCGATTCGGACTTAGCTAACAATCTTTTGCAGCGCTCTCCCGATCAACAGCAAGTGCTTCGCACCGAGATCCTGACAGCGGTTCAAGATAAATGGGTTCCCAGCACTGTAGTCTTGGAGTACTTCCAACAGACATACCCCAACTTCGCAGATTTCTGGCTATTCCGAAGACAATTTGCCTACCAATACGCGGCAGTCGCTTTCATGACCTACGTGATGCACATTGGCAACCGTTACCCTAACAAGATCCTCATTTCCCGCTCAACAGGCGACATCTGGGGTGCAGAGTTGATTCCCACCATTAACCCCGCCAAGGCAATCTTCTACAACCCAGAGCAAGTGCCATTCCGATTCACACCAAACATCCAGACACTACTGGGTCCAATCGCCACCGAGGGTCTCTTTGCCTGTGCCATGATGGCCATTTCTCGCTGTTTGACCGAACCGCGCCACGAGCTAGAGCAACAACTCAGCATCTTTGTACGCGATGAGATGATGTTCTGGGCTACTGCCCAACATCGTGGTTCCTTGCCTGTGCCTCAGCTCCGCGAGCTAGTCAACAACAACAGTGATATCATCGTCAATCGCGCTGTTAGCCTTGCTAGCCCACCTGAGGGTAACCTGCCTGCCAATCAAACCACGATCGATCTGATCTCCAAGGCAGTGAACCCTCAGCATCTGTCGTCGTGCGATGCGTTGTGGATGCCTTATCTCTAAGTGCCCCTTTGTGTTTCTACTTCTGTCTCTTTTGCTGTTTGCTCCGTTGTGGAGGTGGTTTCTTTTTGATTTTGCATGGGGAAGCATGGTTTGTGTGGGATGATTGATACTTGATTTTGAGCGTGGCGCTTCGGTTAATGAGGGTCTACAGAACCTCTTTTCCACTGGGATTCAATTTTTGATACCGATATTTTCTTTCATTGTATGTTTTAATGTATTCTACTTCATTAGGATTTGTATTAGTCGAACAATAGCTTAATGCATTGATTCTCAACTTGCCGATACTTAAATAAAGTTACCTGAGAACATTTGAAGTGGATTGCTACAGCTGTAAAAAGGAGTTAGGACGTATAAGGTACGAGCTGTTACACTGTCTATGCTTTGCTGCAATAATGCTCAAGTTTCGGTATCTACCAGTGGTCAAAAGAAGCTCCACAAATAAAAAGTAAACTGAGTATGGTATTTTCAGTGTAAAACATCATTAAACGGACGCCAGCGCCAGTGATATCAAAATGAATCAATAAGTCATTAAATAAGAGAAGGCTTCTTCTTAATCCCTAAACCAGGAATACCAGGCCTCTTAGCTTTCTTCACCCTCGCAAAAGAAGTAGACGAAGGCGGCGGCATAGAAACAGAAGCAGAAGCAGTCTTCGAAGCCCCAGGCTGGGGCAGATCCGAAACAACCTCCTCCTCCTCCTCAACAACACGTTTAATCCTCTCACCCGAAGCAGTCATAAACGCTCTTCTTGCAGCCTCCTCATCCTCCTTCTCCTCCAACAACTTCGCGTCATCCTGCTCATCCTTCACAAACTCCAAAGCCTGCTCATCACCCTTTGACTCGTTACGTTGGATGCGCGCATTCCGTGTCCGAATCTCATCGAGCGCATCAGCAATCGCCATTTCGCGCTTCGAATCTTGCATTTTATCCTCCAGCTCAGCCATCTTGTCTCTTTCCAACTGCTCCTGTTCATCATTTTCTTCGCGCTCAAGTCGATCAAGCGTTTCTTCTTGTGTTTCGTCGTATTTCCCATCTTTAGCATCGCGCCATGGTTCGAAGTTTCGCTTTGCGCCTTTCTCACACATGTAATCCATATCTGATAGATAACGATAAAATTAGCCTTGTTGCCCAGAAAAACACTCAAAAAAGTAAAAAGAGTAAAAAAAAAACCACTAGGCTAGATAGAAGATTGGGACAAACATACTCTTTGGATCCGTTCGGAATGTAATTTCTCCACTGCATCGTGTGCACCGGATATAGAACCGGTAAATCGGAATAGAGAGGTACTTTTCTTCCAGGTTCTCTTTTCGGGCATTGAACTTGCGTCCTCGGTATATGTATTCGCCGCAGTTTGTGCATTTCATAGGGAACGGTGCCATCAATCGAACAGTGATGACTTTTGGACCTTTCTGGCGTAGGTGTTTGGGCGTGCGCCCGATCGCAGACGGATCGAAATCCGGGGGGTAGTATTTGGAGAGAACCTTTCGCTCGGACATGGTGAGGGTATTGCGGGTGGTGAGGTGTGAGAAAGGAAACGTGGTGGCGTTGAATGTTGAATGAGCAAGATGCTCTTGCTGATTTCGATAAAGATCACGTGCTGATATAAGGCTCACGTGACTAGGATTGTTGTATACTGTGCTGTGGTTAGTAGTAGGTACTGAATTAACGAATTGTTTGCGTAAAAGTGTAGATTTTAGATAATTCTGATCGGACTCTTGAATTTGAATGGTGATCTATTAGTCTTTGCAGTGTTAAGTCTATGAGTATCCCTCCACGGTATGTACTGACTTGCTTATCATGATTGGATGCAGTGCACGGGCCATTGTTTGTCCACACTATTCGCGACCCGCTCATGCGCTCCGTTTATGACCGCAGTGTTTTGAAGGCAAATTCTCCGAGAGCAGGTTGTTGGGGAAATTCCATGTCCGTCTGCTTTCCTCACATCACATTACCGTCACCCAACCCCTCCGATCTGCGGTGATGGAGCGGTACCTTCGATCCTGGCGTCAGGACGCGTTCAATCGCGGCCAGCATGAATCTGCTATTTACATCGGCGACAAGGTTCTTGCATTGACCAGTATGAGCCCCCATATGGCACCAAAAAAGAGAAGAAAACCTAACTCAAACGCTTTAAAGACAGTGACTCCGATGCTTTTTGGTTGGCACAGGTCCATTTCTCCAATAACAACTTCAGTCGCGCGCTAGCCCTTCTCTCCCGCGGCGATCTAGTCTCTCGAAACCCCGCCTGCCGTTACCTTGCAGCTCACTGCTACATAAAACAAAATCAATTCGAACAAGCCCTCAGTATACTCGGCGAGCATAACCCTACCGATTTAATTCGCGACCATAATAGCCGGAGGAAGATTCAGCATCTAAATGGTCAAAGCCATGTTACGTTACGCAATGGGAAAGCATCAACAGGGCGGGGCGAACGAAGTGAGGAGCGAGATAGGGAGAGAGACGAGGATAGCAATGTTCGATTTGAAGCATCAATGTGTTTTCTACGAGGACTTTGTTTCGCGAAGCAGAATGCATTTGACCGTGCGCGGGATTGCTACAAGGATGCGGTGCGAATCGACGTGCAGTGCTTTGAAGCATTCGATCAACTCATGAAGAACTCGCTCATGTCTCCTACTGAGGAGCTTGAATTCCTCGAGTCTCTCGATTTCGATTCGGTATCCTCACCCGATCCCTCCGTAACCCAAGAAGCTGCCGACTTCACGAAAATGCTCTATACAACTCGACTCTCCAAATACTCCTCTCCTACCATCCTATCCAATGCTACCGAAACCTTGTCAACACACTACAACCTCTCCCAAAACCCAGATATACTCTTGTCTCGTGCGGAAACATTATACACACAATGCCGATTCGCAGAGGCTCTGGAGCTGACATCTTCCATCCTCTCCACTGCCCAGTCCAATGACCTGGCCAGCACAAATTCCAGTGGCAGTCCTACACATAACCATCTGGGTCATGCACCAGGGATTTATCCTCTCCATCTGGCTTGTCTTTACGAGACAGGTGCTACGAATGCCCTTTTCTTGCTTTCGCACTTGCTAGCCGATCATGCACCAGAGGAGCCATACACATATTTAGCAATTGGAGTATACTACCTAGCTGTGTCTAAAATTGCCGAAGCCCGACGCTTCTTCTCCAAGGCCTCTCTACTTGACCCCCATTCGGCCGCAGCGTGGATTGGATTCGCTCACACCTTCGCCGCAGAGGGAGAACACGATCAAGCCATCGCAGCATACAGTACAGCCGCCCGACTCTTCCAAGGAAGTCATCTTCCCCAGCTCTTCCTAGGCATGCAGCACCTAGCTTTGAACAACATGTCTCTCGCCCACGAGTACCTCTGCGCAGCCTTTTCCATGTCAACAGGCTCTGTACCAGGCCCCGCACCTACACCCGGGAAACCCCTCTCCGTCCCCCTTGGCGGTGATCCATTGGTTCTAAACGAACTTGGCGTGGTATATTACCACCAAAACAACCTTACACCCGCAGTAGACCTTTTCCGCCAAGCCCTCGCTCTCGCTACATCCCTCCACTGCGAACCCGGTGCATGGGTCGCAACACGAGCGAACCTAGGCCACGCCTTACGCCGTATGGGCAATCTACGCGAGGCTTTACGAGAATTCGACGAATGTCTCCGAGTCGGTGCCGGAGGAAATAGCATGGGATACTCACCATTCCTAGGCGGGGGAGCCGGTGGCTCTGCCTCAGTAGCGACCGCATCGGGTGTTGGAGGCTACGAGGATCGGGGCTTAATTGGATCCCTCCACACATCACGAGGACTATTACTCTTAGAGCTTGGACGGACCGGCGAGGCCGTCACAGCCTTACACGAAGCGGTGAGAGTGCTAGGCGCAAGTGGTGGTGGAGATGCGGCCGGTGGAGCTGGCGTAGCAGGCACATTATTATCTCGTGCATTGGAGCTATGGGCTCTTGAGGGTCGTGAGCAGGATCGCCAAGGACTAAAAGCATTAGAAGAGGGGAAACGATCAGCACACGCGCGCGGGGGAAGTTCATCGTCTCGATCGCGAGATACTCGTACCAAGACACGGCCTACGGAGGACTCACGACGTGGTCGCGGTGATGCATATCGCGAGTCATGGACTGATGAAGTGACGCATGGCAATACGCCAGAGCCCGGCGAGCTAGACAGTGTGGATCAGCATATCGAGATGGATCTAGACGAGGAGGCAGATGGATTACTGCGTCGGGCATTAGGACGAGTTCGTCCTGGACGCCGTCGGCTCCCACTCCCTAATACACCAGAGCAGCAGCAGCAACAGATGAATGAAACGCCGGCCCGAGGACATCAATCAAATCGGAGCCAATCCCGACAATAGCCACAGGGCAATTCGGCTAAGATGACCTAAAGAGGATTATTACGATTTGAACAGTGCCACCAGGCTTTGGTTGCCTTTTTTTCTCTTTCTTATTTTCTTTCACAAATCCCTGTTTTTATTACTAAGGTTTAGTTTGGATACATGCATAGTCGGCGTTATGATGGTGTAAAAGGCGATCGATCGGGTCTGTACTAGGTGCGGGGATGGGAATGGGGATGGAAGGAGTGAAGGAATGGAAGGATGAACAAAGTTCCCATGTTTCAATATTAGTCCACGTTTCAAAATGAAATGATTGGTCCAAAAGGAATATTTACTGTGTTGCCTGCGAATGTTACAGAGAAGCCCCAGGCAGAAACAATCAAGTCCCATTCATATTGTAGTGGAGCCGAGTTAATCTTACTAGCTCCAGTTTACTATACACCTCCAGGAATTAAACTCATACTGTATCTGCGATTGAACTTTTATTACTTCCACTGTAAATGTGATGCCCTGCTATAATTTCCATTTTCCAGATAACTTGAGATGACCTGTCAATACGAGTTTATTGATCTATTTCTGGACACCCATTTGGCTCCGCGTGGCGCTTTTAGATGCATGTCGGACCCGTGAAGAGCCAGAGCTTCCCGTGTTAGCTATTTGTCTCGTGATAGACATATACAGTGGCGTAACAAAAGTTCTCATAAAACTTATTTTGCCAAGACCCACCTTACGTAATATTCTGCCGGTCAAAACCTCGAAAATATCTCAAATTCTCTAATAGCTAGTATACCACCCTTTATTATCAATAATCTCCTTCACACGGTGTGGCATAGTAATAGCTAAATTCTCTAATATAGAGAGATCAATCTCTGACCAAGCCTCCTGAGCACAGGCAACTAAATATTCGAGAGTATCGTCGTTGTCTGGCATAGTATGAAGCTCCGCATGTAGCTCATAGATTTTGGCTTTTAATAACGCCCAAAGATTCTCAATAGGATTTAAATCAGGAGAATGAGGTGGCCAAGCCATTACCTCAAAGTCTTGATCTCTTAGCCAGTCTCTAACAACATATGCCGTATGAACAGGGGCATTGTCTTGCATAAAAACTGCATTTTCATTGCCATTGATTAAGGTTGGAAGAACTGATTGATATAGTTCAAGAATAACCCAGCGATTAATTCCTCCGACAATCTCACCCTCTTCATTGACTGGTGGATAGAGTGGAATTAAGCCAGTTCGACGTCCACAGCCTGAAAAAGCAGCCCAAAACATTTGTTTAACTCCTTTATACGAGAAAGTTTGAACATCGCGAGTTTCAGCCTGATATTTTGGTCTTGTAAAGGTCCATTCCTGACGAGCACCCTTTCCCCTTTCAACTGTTGATTCATCAGACCAGTAGAGTCTTAATTTCCATTCTTCAGGGGTTAAATTTTGCCAGGTTAAGGCCCACTGAAGTCGTTTTGAAGCCCATTCATCAGTTAACTCAGGACGGTGCATACATCGCCATTTTCGCATATTTGCTTCTTTGAGAAGGCGCCAGATTGATTGCCGATGGACCTGACGATCACAAGCATCCATTAGATCTTCAATTTTGGTACGTGGATTGCCATGGATTGCCTCAAACATACGATCACGATCATCTTCAGAGATCTTGCGCGGGCGCCCAGATCGCGGCGATGTAGTATTATTTTCTCGCTTATTTTCGAGATAACAAGTCGATGCAATTGTTCCGAAAGGAATATAAGGCAGACGGGCGTGAATTTCTTTATATTTGAGACCCTCTGAGCGTAGAGTAGTAATTTTAGTACGTGTATACACGTCTAATTGCGGACCGCGACGCCTCGGTGGATTTAAGGGTGCGCGGTATGGCGTAGAAGATGGCTGTCGAGGCAGCTGACGCACACGGTTTGGAGGCATATTGAGGATGCTTATAATGTGTTTTTTAACGTGCTTTTCGACGTGATTTTAACGTGTTTTTTTAATATAGTATAGTATATTGTTTCTACGCGTTATTTACCTTGAAGGCGGTAAGCCCTGACCGCCCGATTACTAAGGCTTGGCGAAAATAAGTTTTATGAGAACTTTTGTTACGACACTGTACATACCTGTACAGATATGTACAGGTATATGCATCGATTATGCAAATGGAATTGTTCACAGAATTTGCCTAATCAAGATCTCTAATGCTTGTTGCCTACACTACTATGCTCTGTCCCCATATTTCAAGCTTAGCGGGTCCAACAAGCACAGATAGGGGCCAGTAGTGCTCCAGATGTCCGTACATGAATTGAGCGAAGTGTTTGATTCGTTGTAGGTAGCCACGTTTGTGAAAAGTACTATATGCACCTAGTGCAGTTTGTGTTTATTTTGCCCGGATATGCAGTCCATTATGCAATGTCGGTAATAACCCGGATTTCGTGTCGTGTTAATAACACCAAGAAGTGCTAAGGAGCCCAAAGCAACCAACACGTGAGCCAAGAAGCCCGAAGCCAAGAGGTACTGCCTGTTTGGGTTTAGCGTGTGGAAGCCTGAATTGGGATCTTTGGGTGGCGCTAGGCCTGTTTGGGATAATATGCCCTGTTCATCAGGCAGAAAGACTAAGTTGAGCACTGACACAGTGGTGGACACAGTGGTGGACACAGTGGTGAAGCATTAAAGTAAAGGTTAAGGGATTGATACTAGATAGAGATAGAGTACTTACATGGGGCACAGCACATGGGCACTGGGCACAGATCTAGTTTCTTACTGGCTATTAAAAATAACAAGAATCTACAACAGTCCGCCTTGTTCAGTGCAGCAGCCCCTAATGAGCCTCCGTTATGACCCCGAGATGACACCAGCAGGGAAAAAGCGCCCCCATTTACGCCGATGATAACTGGTCAACCAGTCCGTGCAGTGGAGTCAGGCACCGCCTACTATCCCACACTAAACTAGCAGGCCACGAAGAATGACGCTACTGACCCCACTGTTTTTCTTCCTGAGGCTCTATCCAAAGCCAATGACTTATCCGACGCGATGCTGATCCCTCGGGAAGCCTTGTCAATCCTCTCCCCGTTTGGAGATGTGGAGTCCGCAAGTTTCAGGCCCATTTTGCCTTCCCTATTATTCTCCTTTTCTCTCCTTGTCTGCTCTCGCTCGAATTAATTATTTTCCACCCACACTACATCCCACCCCCCATCCCACCATTCCCTCTTCGTCCTTCTTTCTACATATTCCTACGCCCCACACTCACCACCAGGAATTACCCCCTAATTCCAACATCGCATGATCGCCCCTTCCGATTCATCTCCAGCATGTCAAAAAGGCCCTGAAGTTTACTCTCTCCCCTTCTCGCGCGAGATGACCGCGAATCACTACAACTTCCCCTTAATAAGGTCGCGTCGCGGACGCGGCCTCTCCCTCCTCTGCCTTCTCGCCTGTCTATCATGTAGTCTCATTCTAGCCATCTGGTATGGCATGAACTCCGACCGCGACTATATCCACCCAGTCCTAACCCAACTCATCCCCGCCGGCCACTGTGCTTGCCAAACCTCCACAACCTTCCAATGCTCAACATGTCTCTCCTGTCCCGAACCCACCCTCCAACAACCATCCGGGCTCGCAGAATCCAAAACCTGGAAATGGGATTATCCCCGCGACGCCCCCAACGAAGCCCTCGAGCACTCCCAATGCCAAGCCGCATTTCCAGGGCTCTTCGAAGACGTCGTCCGCGGCCAACGACACTGGCTCACAAACGGACGAATAGCATCCGAAGATCTTGACGCAATCCATATACAACAAGGAATGGTTCGCGCATCAATAACCCGCGGCTACCTGCATGTGATGGCCGCACGAGCGAAAAATGAAGACCACCGTCGCAAAATCCTGGGAGTATTAGGATCTATTCATCGAGCGCTGGCCGCCGATCGAGACCGCGCGTCGAGAAGAGATATCGAATTTGTATTTTCTGTCGAAGACAAAGTTGAAGATGTTACTAGTCCCGATCGACCTGTTTGGGTCTTCGCTCGGACCCCTCTGGAACAGGGAGTGTGGCTTATGCCGGATTTCAGCTTCTGGGCCTGGGATAATCCAAACAATTACATTGGACCTTTTGATCAGGTCGTTGATCGAATTAAGCAACTGGATATTCCGTGGGATGCTAAGAAGCCTCAATTGGTTTGGAGGGGAAAACCGAGCTTCGCCCCCAAGCTTCGTCGGGCGCTGATCGAAGCAGCCCGGGATAAACCATGGGGCGATGTGAAGCAAGTGGAATGGTCGACTGGTGAAAATGTACTAAAAATGGAAGACCATTGCCAGTATATGTTCATCGCACATGTTGAAGGTGAGACTAAGACCTCCTTTTCCCCTTCCCTTCTCCGTCCCCATCCCCTTCTCCTCCTTTTGCCCCACTTTCTCCACCAACGAGACCAAAACTAACTTCATTAGGTCGTTCATATTCCGCATCTTTGAAATACAGACAAGCATGTAATTCTGTCATTGTTGCTCACAAACTCCAATACATCCAACACCACCACTATCTCCTAGTAGCCAGTGGTCCAAACCAAAACTACGTCGAAGTGGAACGCGATTTCAGCGACCTCTCCGAGAAAATTGAGCCACTGGTTCGAGATACCGAAGCCGCACGACGTATCGCTCACAACAGTGCCAAGACCTTCCGCGAGCGCTACTTGACTCCAGCAGCTGAAGCGTGCTACTGGCGCTCTCTATTCGACGGATATGGAAACGTCTGGAATAGCAGCGGCGTGGCTCCCTGGGCTGAAAAACGTACCAAGACACATGGGCTTCGTTATGAGTCCTTTATTCTCTTGGAGAGTTCTCATATGTACGAGTTCCGTGCAGATGTCTTTTATTCTGGATCGGGATGATCATCACAACATCCGACATCACACAGCATCACTTGTCCTGCTATACCGCATTCCACCCATCTCCATCGTCATTCAAGCTCTCTCTCGCCCGCCTCAATGACTTGACTCTCCAATCACCAACCACCAAACATCCAAGTCATCACTAGAGTGCCATGACCACGATTTCTATACGTCACCTCATAAATAATATAATCCCTCGACAACAATACCAACCGACAACAACCGACACCTGGCCTCCCCCTACTCACTTGCATGCTTACACCAGACCACAGGCGTGCGCAACGATAAATTTATTTTCTTCTTCATCTTCATTGGGGGCGTTCAAGCAAAATTTCTGAGATACCACCACAGTTCTGTAAATATTTCATTGTCTCGCTCGGTGGTGACTGAACTGAACAGATAGAATGGTGTCTAGTAGGCCTTGTCCTTCTTTTCCAAAGGAAAGGAAAGGGTAGGATACAGGCACTTCATACCAACCGTATATAGGTGTAAATAAATACAAATCAAACAAATATTGAAATATTCTTTTCCTTCCTTTTCTTTTTGTACTTTATCTGTGTGTTCATGTTTGGCGGTTAATAATTTACATTTGCTTGTAGTTGTATTATAGTGGATCTAGAACCTACTTTAAACTGCATCGAAATGCTGTCATGTCTTAGTCTCACGTTATTAGGCGTCCACTGGTCCCACTGTGGGACTATGAAGGAATCTGATAAAGCTTTACATCATGTGCCAGGTGTTTAAATAAGGTAAGAGCATCTACTCGAATTAGGTACTTTGAACTTGAACTTGAAACAATCAAATCCCATGCATAATCCATTCAAAGTGCTGATACTACTGGTGAAATTAAATCTTGCCTATACAATAGTGGCTCCATTGTCTATTGTCTCAAAGCCCGTACCCAAAAGCCGACCTCCACATCGACGCGGGGGCTTCCATGGATACTCCATAAAAAGTACGGGTACCTATATTCTTCCCATGGATTCTGGAACGCTACAGCGTCTAGACCAGGGCTTGAACCACGAAACATTGACAAGTGAAAACAATCAATTATAAAGATACAATACCCAATTCGCGCCTAGGTTAAACCATTCACACATGTAGAGCGTGAATTATATGCACTCAAGCCCTGAAAGTGTCCACTGGACACCTATATAACCCCAGGCTCGAAATGCGGATGTCCAAGTACCGTGTGCCGCTGACAAAGTATACAACAGCTGGACCCTTTTCCTTCAATGTTTCCTGAGGTCAAATTCTGCCTCATCACGAGTGGAACATAGCCACTCGGTGTATTTGCTGCATTAGCAGTGACCAATTGTAGAAAATTTCTGGAACAGAGTTTCGTTGGTGGGACGGCACGGGGACACGGTGCACTTTAAGTTTTTAGCTTAAGGCTGCAGGACCTTAATTACCTTGAATGGGGCTGTTGAGTTTCTTCTTTTGGTACTTCTTGGCTTACTTTGATCAAGTACTGGAGTGCCAATGCTTTAGCACTTGCCTAAGTTGAAAGTGATGCTTGAGCCTATTCCAAGTCCTGGCCCAATTAATTCTCCTATCCCATCTGGGCACCAAACCATATAATTTGTAACAGATATATGAACTTTCCCAGTTCCCAACATGACCTCAAATCTTAACACTGGAATTCAACCGGCGCTCTACTCCAGGGCTAGTACAGGAACCAAGGAACCCCGATCTAAAGTAAGAGTCGGATGGTGAGACAAGAAACTATAATGAATGCCCACCAAACAGAGGCCACCGTCTTGATTATCTTGTGCCTGATTACAGCCACTCGAAGCTAGGAGCTAAGTCTGTGGTACCTACCTTATTCAAGTGGCTCACTGTTATTGCTGTTGTGAGAGTACATATAGTGATTGAGGCCTTTGGGATGGATGTTCCTAAGCCGACTCGGAGTGAAGGGAGGCCGACGGGTTGACTAGCTTTCTGCTCATTATATTAGGCTGTCTTCCTCTATTGGACCCGTCCTAGGAGATAGCATATCCGAAGGCCTCACTGAGCTCTTTCCTCGGTGTTTACTGCTTTCCACAGAGTCCGACGTGCTTTCCTCTTTTGTCATCTTTCATCACCGTCCTTTCCTTCTTCCTTCTTCTCTTCTTTCTTTACCATCCACCTCTTGTGATTCTTCCTTCTTCCACCTGTTCCCCTTCTTCTCCCTCCTTGCCATCTTTCACATCTTCTTTTCCTGTTCCCTTCTTGATCCACCATCCGTCTTCTTCCTTCTCGAGCTTCCACTCTTTCATATCCTCTTCTCCAACTTAAGTCATTCTCTTTTCTTTTATCTTCACCCGGTCAAGATGGAAGAAGATCCAAAGTACTTGGCCACTGAGTCCGCCAGAAACCAGCAGCCTGTCCACAGAGTCCATGTGTCGCCATCCAAGGAGCTCGCGCCTGCTCAGGAGGCAACTGTCTCTCCGCAGGAAGTGAATTTTCATCAAATGCATGAGGATGAGACTATCAACGACGTTCATTATGTTAAGGAGGATCTCCAGAAGCGCGTATCGAGACCCGTGGTACGTATTTCATATCTCCCTTATTCCGAATATTTGATCTAATTCACCTTGTCTTCTAGTGGTTTCTTATCGTCGGAACCATCCTTTCTTCATGCTTCCTCTTTGCTCTCGATGATACGATAGTTGCGGATATCCAGTCCCCCATTCTCAAGCGCTTCAATGAACCGCGCAAGATGAGCTGGATTGGTATTGCCTTTGTCCTCGCGTCTGCTTCAACCGTAATCACTTGGTACGGGAATATATACCCCCTCCTCTTGACTCGTCTGCTAATTCAACCGATATCAGGGGGAAGGTTTATGGAATCTTTAGCGCGAAGTACCTCTTTCTGATCTCAGTCGTGCTCTTCGAAGGTGGTAGTGCCCTCTGTGGTGGCGCAAATACGATGAACGCATTCATTGTCGGGCGGGCTATCGCGGGCCTCGGGGTACTTTGACCATTTATCACTTCCCGTCTGACATAGTGCTAACTGGCCTCTAGGGTGCCGGGCTATACCTAGGATGCTTGACGTTGCTGACAATCACTACCTCAATCCATCAGCGGCCGGCCTACATGGCATTCACGGGTATTAGTATGTTGTGAGAACCTTGGGCGACAATGAATGATAGGGCTAACTGTGATATAGCATGGGGAGCGGGTACTGTTTTAGGGCCTGTGTAAGAAAGCAACTCGAAATTCCATCGATCAGTCAACATCAAACTAACACGAATTGGCAGGGTCGGCGGTGCGTTTTCCGACAATCGTCATGCCGGATGGCGTTGGTCCTTTTACATCAACCTTTGCATTGGCGCGGTGGCTTCCCCTGTCTATATCTTCATGCTACCCAAGGCTGATCCCCATCCCGAGGCAACTCTCAGAGCCAAGCTCCTTCAGATTGACTATCTGGGAGCCTTTCTGAATGTCAGCTCCTTGGTTTGTCTGACGATGGCGCTCAACTTTGGAGGAGATCTCTACGACTGGAACTCAGGCCCGGAGATCGCGCTGTGGGTAGTCGGTGGTGCTTTGCTGTTGTTATTCTGCCTACAGCAGGCATTTACCATCGGCACCACCAAGCGCGAGCGGATATTCCCCCTGGAGTTGCTCCGACAGCCCTTGATGTGGCTCCTCTTCGCTCTTATGGCCGCCGCTGGAACATGTGTGTTCGTAAGTGTCATGAAACCAACAAGAACACGAGCTCTGTGCTGATAAACCACCTAGGTCCCAACCTACTACATCCCAATCTACTGCCAATTCGTCCTAGGCGATACACCTCTAGGGTCCGCGGTGAGGCTTCTGCCTTTCATCATAGTGATGGTTTTCGTTGGACTTGCAAGCGGGGCAGGAATGTCCATCCTCGGCTTTTATATGCCTTGGTACTTTTTCGGTGGAATTCTCACCAGCATTGGAGGTGGCTTGATGAGTATGTTTGACCAGAATCTCTTATCTGGGAAAAGAATATTCAGCATCTAACATTATTTGGTAACCAGGTACAATCAAATTGTCCAGCCACGTCGGGAAGATCTACGGATACTCGGTCCTGATCGGACTCGGCGCGGGATTGTTCATTCAAACAGGATATTCTGTTGCGCAAGCCAAGGTCCCAAGCTCGCGAGCATCAGACGCATCATCATTTATTGCACTGGCACAGAACATCGGATTTATGCTCTCGCTGGCTATCTCGGGAGCAGTGTTTCAAAACGAGGCTGTTGACAAGCTGCATGTGCTACTGCCAACTCTGACACGAGAGCAGCTACATGGTGCTATCACAGGAGCTTCTAGTGGTATGATGCAGCATCTTCCAGACGAACTCAGAAAGAAGGTTCTTGAAGCGATTGTGGAGGTGATGGGACACACATACTACCTTGTTGCCACGGCGGGCGTAATGGCAGCTGTCGGATCCCTCTTCATGAAGGTCAGTTCCCATTTTGGTCTATTCTCTTGAACATATTCTTGAAACAGAAAGCTAACTTGCATACAGAGGGAGCGTATCTTTGTTGAAGGTGCTACTGCTATGGGCTAAAAGATCCAGTTCCAGAAAGAGCACGAATGTTCTCTGCATTGAGCAGATATGAGAGTTGCAAGTTGGTTGAACGGTGAGGGTGAATCAGCCACCGGGCATTTTGGCAATATTGCTACATTTTTACCGCAGGGTATTTCGGGTAGATATTTATGTTTAGCCTAATAGTTCAATGAGAGTTGATTACCACTTGCGCCTTCTATTGACTGCATTATGCCCACGAAGCCCCATACCCACGCCAGAGGTAGATGTTTCAAGGAAGAATACTCGAATGGTGTGGTGAATCTCGATATGTAAACGAAAAGCTACAAAAGTTTGGAGCAAAGGAAAGGAAAGGGAAAAAAGAACCTCATGGATCGAAATAATTTGCTCCGATAAATTTCCCTGCACAATAAACACGTATTCTAGAGCACAAAATTCCATGAGAAATCCCAGTACCCCATAGCCAGTATCCTAAAACCCAGCAAGAATATTCGAAGACAGCCTAAACCCATACCAAACCGTAGCAACGAGCGCGATGGCGTTAAAGTGAATGGACATGGCATGATTGCGACTAAAAGAGCGATTCACTCGCTCCGCTCTGACGGGATCAACATAATCGGCGGTCTTATCAATTTCTATTGGAAGAAATTAGCAATACGCATCGCGTCGTATCAACTCGCAAAACAAAAACAAGACAAGTTCGAAAAGGATCCCCGAAAACAAGCAAGAAAGGACAAAAGAGTGAAAGAAAGAGATACCTTGAACAGCCCGTCGAAGAAACGACGCAGTCATAGTCCTCGGCCCAAAGATGAAATAATTCAGACCCCCCATACCCACAACAATACCAAGAGGAATAACGCTCCACACATCCTTCACGAGCGAAATGATCCCGTAAGGCGGATGGGTAGCGGCCGTCAGAACGGCAAGGCCAATTTGGCATCCGAAGTAAACCGGAAAGATATGTTTCTGGAGAGCTAAGAATTCGCGCATGGGGAGGTAATGGAAGCATATCTTTGTGTTGATGAAGCTCTGCTGATGGTGTTAGTTTCTTTCTTTGTGTGTGGATGTGGGGGTTCAATCGTGAGTCCAACTCTACTGACTGAATCATTAGCTTACCTGGAAGAGCTCCGTGCCGAGAAGAGTTCCGTATGAGAGGATGTGGTAGGGGAGGAGACTTCCCACGGTACTGAGGACTGTGCCCATCATCATGGGAAGTGGAGGGTGGTTGGTTAGTTTTGCGGTTTGTTGATCAGTTGTGCGAACAGGTTTAAGTTGGAGGGAGAGGAGGAAGTGAATTAGGTAGACGCGATGTGTTGGGAAGTGAAGTAAGCAAGGTTGCACGCACTGAGAAACCTTGGGAATCAGGATCCCACGTAAACATGGACGTAAACATAAACATTGGAAGTTTCAAGTCGGATTAGAGGCTAGGTGGCTTTCCTGGTCATTTTGAATTATTATATGGAATTTTAGACAGGCTATTACCTATTGCTGCGATTGAAATGTATGAATATTTTTATTTTACATGAGGACTATGATGGGGGTGAGTTGTATGCTTCCATTTAAGCAGCAGGTGATGCGACAAAGTTGTCCAAATATTCTGTTCATTTTGGATCATCTTAAGCGGCTGATATACTATCCATGAGAATTAATAAGGTTCAATCCCATTCGTTAAGTGATGTATTTCGATATTACAAAGATATTTGGAACAAGATTAGACTATAGGCCTTGTATACTAGCCCTGGGAAATCCACATCTAAGCACATATTCTAACGGAAGGACAAACTTGAAGCACGTTATTGTAGTGAGTAAGCTTTTATATTTTCAAAAGCCTTTATAAACCGCCTCCAAGCGTATCAGCTGCCCAGAATAGTTCTTCACACAGGACTGCCATGGATTCCCCGTCCTAGTTGACGGCACTTATCAAACGTCCAAGTCCAACTTCATGATCTTCAAACCCGAGCTTCCAGAAAATGAATGACGCAATCAAACAAAATCAGAGAAAAGAAAAAACAAAAGAAAGCAAAACGGTAAAAGTAGATCACTTGAATTCCGCGCATCAAACCTCCGCTCGGGTCACACAGTGTACTGATCGTCCGGTCCAAGACCATAGAACAAGAAACCGGCGACTCCGCTGGCAAATACCAGAATCCCTCGAATCTCACATGCATACTCGGAACAAATCGAGCCAATGCGTTATTCCAGCCCACATGGCCTCAGCCAGAGGATCTGCATCTAGATCTGCACATCATCCAGGTTGGGGCATGCATTCTGACGTCCCGATGGGAGGATGGGGTAGCGGTCAAGAACTAGTGGGTCTTTTATGATGGATCTTCAATAAGGCTCGTACATACATGATTGGAGTGGCTGTGTAATTGATTATTATCTATCATATTCTTCTGGACCTGCACGGGGTATTCGGTGTCGGGAACTTGATTAATGGCCGATGAATAGAAGATTTCAAGCTCAAGGCAAGGAAAGCGAGATAGATGAATTCTATTAATACAATTTGTTGTGCCTGTTCTAAAGAATCTGGAATTGTCGATCTATGTTGACGGTGATCATGGTTCAAAATTGCCCAATGGTGTCCGGCGATTATTGTAGACATTATGTTAACATTGATACTAGCGCAAGACTTCGGACTTACCCGTCATTCTCAAAATATACTTAGCACAGAGCTAGAAAAGTTTCGTTCGCCATATAGCCGCGTGATCATTGTGAAAGGGGAAAAAAGAAAATGAACACTACTAACCTTGTCTTTTCAACTGGTAGAGACCAACGAGGTGACCCCAAACACCGGTCACACAACTCTTGCCACGCCAAATGCGCCTAGCCAAGGGAAAGAACGAAATATAACATAAAGCAAAATCAAAACACGGCGAACTCAATCCATCACCAGCTCGATGTGCAACATACTGTTCCAGACCGCCGGTAACCGGAGACAAAGCTGGAAAGAGCAAGAAAAGCCAAGGGCCAAGGGCTCATCCATCAACCCAAATACAGACCCACCACGCGAAAAGAACGGTCAGAAACGTAGAAATCCAAATTCAAATTCTTGAAGAAAAACCCTGATCCTGATCCTCAGAGCCGGCGGTCCCCGTCGTGGAACAACATCCGCCACCGCCGGGCTCAAAAACCAAGAAAACCGGGGTGGTCCACATAGGAACGCATCCATTGAGCCTAAGAGAGCCAAGAGAATGTAAGCCAACAAGAAAAAGGAAAGTAGCATGGACCAACACATCACGCGGGTTAATAGCCCTGATGGTGGTCCTTCCAAGACCCGTGCCTTTCAGACCGACTCGAATTTATTCCTGGGGATTTGTAGTACAGGCGCGTGTCACGGTGAGATTCAAGTTGAGTGAGTGAAAGATTCATAATATAGAGATTGAGACGGTGGTTTGTAGATCTCGTAAATGGAATTTGGATTGAAATTGTGGCGCTGCGAAGAAAATCTTTACTTAAAAGGAGAGGAGGATTACTTTCCTTTTTCTTTTTCTCTGGGAGCATTTTCGTAATCTCAGACTTTTCCTTTTCTGCTGTGACTGTCATCCAAGGGGTTTACCAATTCACACACGCTCGATCTAAATAAAATAGAAAAATCGACATGGCAGAAGAGCGAAAGTCGGAATCTCCGTCGAGCAGCGAGGATTCATCCGCTCAGAAACAAGATCCATTAGAAAGAAGAAGACTACAGAATCGATTATCCCAAAGGAATCATCGTAAGTGTTCTGCCACCTTCCAAATGCAACAAATGCTAACAAACCTCATTAATCAGGACGAAAGATCAGAGACCGCATCGCCAAGCTCCAAGAGCGTGTGGTTGCAAATGAACTGCGAGCAGCAGCAGCGCTGAATGGATGGGATCAGCCATATACATCTTCACAACCCACCTCGACACACCACTCGCATTTCACCCCATACAAAGAACCAGATCTGAGCTTCGGCTCACCAGATCACTCACCACTGAGCACGGAACCATCTACGCCTTTCTTCCCATCTTATCCCTTCTCTAGTCACGCTATAAGCTCCGCTGATATGAACATCTCTTATTCTGGTGATGCATTCTACTTTCTTGACTCTGCCACATGTTCCCCATCTACATATTCAACTCCTCGCAGCAACCATGGTGTCCCGCTTATAGTCGGAAACAATCCGGATCTCGAACCACTTCAAGATCCGTGGGCGCTCGGATCAGGAGTTGTTGGAAATACGGCTCTCCCAGAAACAGAACTCCCAGGATGCACGAACCAAAATATCTTCTATGTCACAACGGGTACGCTGAACAGAGTCTCAATACTTTAAAATCCAGAATGCTAACAAGGTCACGATCCAGAAAACGCATTACCGCACATAATCCAAGCCCTCAAAACAGCACCGTCCACTTCAAAAATAATTGTCGTCCTGCCTCCAACGTCCATACCCTCACTCCCAACCGGCCCAACAGGATGCAATGGCCCACAAAGCTCACACCCACCAATACCCACGCATACAATGGGTTGCCGCGGCATTGAAAACCCCCCACAAACAGCATCAGGGATGTTTAACATACCCTGCCAGTGCCAAATACACAGTCCCCATTCATGCTCGAAGATAAACACAGTATCCCAAACCTCTCGATGCTGGGAAAATGCAAATCCCAGATCAGGACCCTATATGATCGGATGTCCAATACATCAGAAACAATCTATTTCTCCAAGCGAGAGCCTTGCCAACATGTGTATCTAGGAGATTGACCGAGAAGAGCAGATCAGTCACCAAAGCTAAAGCTTCAGTTTCAGCTTCAGTTCAGATCTAGGGACGCTGATGTTTCAAGTGATGAACACGGTTTGAGTTATGAGTCACAAGATCCCTGCAGTATGATAAATGACACACGGACTTGGAAATAGGGACTCAGGAGGAGCGGTGTGGTTTATGTGATACACGTACAACAAGGAAGACTTGATTTACTACTCTGAGAAAGAGGAGGTGAAGACTAGCATGTAGTTCATGTGTATTCTTTTGAATACCCGAGGGTCAATGAACTATCTGCCTGAGTCTTTGCTTGAGAGATTTATTATAGATATGAATAAGATTGACTTTCGAAATAACCAGCTTAATTGAATCAAACCTACAGGAAGATAGAACCCAGTTCGATAGCGGTGAACTATTTATACCATGCCACGTTTCAAAGTCCTCTTTCCGAGGTCCTTACAGTGTAAAACTAACTTGAACAAGTCAAATAAAAGAACTTGGCGAAGTTGGCATTTCCCCCGTAAATTTTCTTGCAACATTTTGAAATATTTTCTCGCAGTATCGGAAAGTTGAATATATTGGATCTACATGATTTCTACTGAATTAATCGCTTTTCTTACTTTCAAGTTAGCCCCTCCATATATTTGGAACTATGCTCTCCATCCATTTGCTGCCTACTTTTGTTAACTCGAGTCTATCAATACTCGATTCGGTGGCTTCATTGCGCTAATTTAAGCAGGGTGTTCAAGCATCAATACCCTAAAGAACGCTTGCGCAAATCTTGATAATATGGCATTCTGAACAGGAAACAAAAGGGAGAACCATCCCACTTGAGGCGTGTAGATGAGCCCTTTATCGCCAAAAGCGACGGCGCAGCTGCCGGAGATGTATCCTAGGGGAACGGTAGTCAAGCCTACTACACTTTTACTACTGAATACAGAAAATCCGGAGCCTTAAAAAGGGAAAAGGAAGAAGAATAGGAGTGATCCAATAATGTCTATGATAATTCTGGAGAAGGCTAGCTAAAAGCGAAGAACAAGCTTCAAGATGGAGCTTTCCAAGGCACATGGGTCAATCAAAGCTCTTACCAAAGAGCTAGACTCCGTATCCATCATAACAATTTAGTTTGGGAGTTGATATGTTCACCGTTAATAATAGTTGTCTGTGCTGTGGTCATTGGCACCTAATGCGATGTCGTGAGGGAAAGTCGCGCTGCATTTCAACATAGCCAATCGTGGATACCACCTCCAGGGAACTACAATCAATTAGACTTGAACTCCGACATGTAGGCCCGAGTCAGGAAGAGATTCCTTCTGAGAACTGTGTCATTTTTTGAGAAGAGGAAAAAAGATGATAATTAACTGAGTAGGAAGGCCATAAAGTACCCAGCAACTCTGGAGATGTCCTACAAGCAAAAGTCAGGCATCATCAGGCACCAACATACCGGATTGGGAATCCGACCTTGAGGAGCCTCTGTCCGGTTGTACTCAGCTGCTCGGATAATCTAATTGTGGATTCAAATCAGATCAGATCAGATCAGATTAAATACAATGAATACAATAGAAGTGTTAGGAAGTTGGGGATACACTGAATCAATAGCTAGCTAAACCAAAGAGGGGGCAAGAGAAAGGATTTCTTAAGCTCGATCAAGAAAAATAATCATTGAAAAGGAGTCAGCAAGTGCTTGAAGGCCACGGTAGCTTGTTGCGACAAGTTGGTTGTCATTCGATTGCGCTGGTGGTGCATTCCTTCTTGATGGCTGCTTATTCGAACTGATAGCACCCTGAATGGAGTCTGCCGTCATATACTGTGGCAGAGGCCGATTTGCTGATGCCAATGGTATCCCTTGCCACTTGGAGACCAAAGCCTGAGGCCGAACCATTCCTCACATTCACCTCGCAAGGACTATCCTTTCTTCCTAATTTCTGGCCATGCGTGGAAGATCAATTGAATTTTGGGGGTTCAAATTGAGCAGACATCAAGCCTGTGAATTAGCCAACGAGTACTCAGTACTCTTAAGTTGAAGAATTTTCATATAACAAATCAGGAACAGGACAAATGTAGCTGCATGATTTCTTTAGACCTACTTTGTTCAGAAAGTACATCCATGTACTGTGTTTCATCCGTTGATCTATATTTCGGCTAGAAGAAAACTTGAGAATTGTTATCCAGGTTAACTTTTGAGTATTTGTCAAAAGTCTCCTTATGTTACTCTTGTGCTACTCGGGAAATTTACTCAGTATGCAACTGTGCTGAAAGCTCCTCCCAGCACTAGCCATTCCGACGTGTGGCCAGTAGATACAAAAGGAAATAACCCGAATGATTAAGGTTCAGAGTGAATACTTCTATCTAGAATTTGAGCCTCTATGTTTGGATACTTGGGCGATAACTTCGAAGACATCGCAATTTGGTTTGCATAGGCTAGATAAATGAACACAAAGACAATTGTCAAGCTGTAATGATAGTTTTTGAAGAAAGAAACATGGCTGGGAACAAAAAATAAAGTCAGAGTGTTATATAAGTTCAGTCAAAATGAATACGCCAAAGTTCGCGATTGCAATCAGAAATATAGCCAGTCCGGGTATGAAGCATGGCAGTATTATCACTGATCAAAAGATCCCCTTTCTCCCACTCAAACCGAAGACAAACTCGATGGTCATATGTAACGCGATCAATAACCTGAACTAACTCCGCATCATCATTTTCAATGGTCACATCGCAAGTTGAAAACTTTGTCTTCGTAGAATCCCACGGCTGGTGCCAGCGAACGCACGGCAGCCCGGAAACAGGGTGTGTCACAGTCAACGGGAGATTCTTCAGCTTGGCATCCCAGAATCCATCATTATTCATAGCCCAGGTGACTTTCTGAAGACGTTCAGCATTCCACGGCAGAGGAAGATATCTGAAAAGGAGCCGGGAGCTAGCGAACAGTGTATAACCACTTCCCTTCGGAGCGGTGGCGGGACAAGTAAAGAATTGATAGCCGGGCGGCCTTTGAACTTTCTTTGTTTCTCCCGTAACAGGATCGGTGACTTCTTCGAATTTGAACATGCCGTCGAAATGCATGGGCATGGCTTCATTCGAGGTAACGTTATTTCCTAATCTATCTGAGCGGCCTGCGTCGCGCACTTTTTGAATTAGTCCGAAGCTCCATTGAACAATCTTGCCGAGCTCCTCGCCAGCTTTGACGTATAGATCTTCCTCAAGTGTTTCTCCAAATCCGCGCAGAATGATAGGCGACATTCCATTCGATAGTTTTCGGACTTTGTGCATGGGGATAGCACTGATAGATGGCGGGGGGTTAACATTGTCAATATCAGCAGGGCGAATGATAAGACCGCATGGATATAAGTGTTCGAACTTGACAGATAGACCGTCAGCAGCCCAGTCGAACAGTTCGGACTTTTCACGGAAATAGTAAGGTCGTCCGTTCTTGTAAATTAGATCATGTGTCTCGCGAACATCTTCGGCATGAACAGTACGATATGATCCATCAAGTGCGATAGCCACAGATGCATGCCATGGAGTAAAACCTAGCGTCCCACGAGCCTGTGGAATCAATGATACCGACAGCTTTTTCTCGCCGGCTGAATCGTGAATCGATAAACGCACATAGTCCTTACGGTTGGCACGGATAGCAGCTGCGAACATCTTCCCGCGGATAATCATCTGACGGGCAATATGAGCGATCTGGGTTTGCCGGCCACGCTTGGAGATTGATTTGGCGTGTTCCTGATGCTCAAGGTCCTTTGTCAAGAATTTAATGTACCCGCGATATGTCAGACAGGTGTCATTATCTGTCTTGATTGCTTCATCGGCATTGAAGGTTGGATCCCCGAAGACAAACATAAGTTCACGGCGTAGACAGCAGGCATGAGCCATGTAATATGCTTTAGCACCTTCTGGAGTGCTGGACTTAAACCATGGATGCTCTAGAAGCTCGAAAAGACGGATGAATTTCACATGAGTAAGGCCCTTTTCTATGGCCATGTGGCGTAAAGTCTCTCCATACTCCCAGACAACTTCATCTGGAACTCCAAGAATATCTAAGAAAAAGCATTAAAACCAGTCTCAAAAACATGAACATGTAGAAATAATTCAATTAGAAGGATCACTTTTGAAGCTTACCATTGTAAACCAGTCCATCCGAGCTAATGTATACATCCGCGCCGGGTTTATATACCTGTCCAATATTCTCACACAAACCATTCAAATGAGCGAGAGCCAATTCTTCTCCAAGGTCAGGTAAAATACCCAATACCTTGTCGTGAGCATTCGGCGATTTAAATGGGAAAGCAGGAAGAATCATGCGGATCGGCTCCTCTCTCTCGACCTGCCCCATAACAGTGGAGACAAAGGATTCGAGCCCCTTCCACGACTCACCAGTCTTCTCATGATCAACACCATAACTTTCAATGATCTTCAAAATATCAAATTCCATATTGCGCTCATTTGAGGGGATTTCAGAGATGAAAGTGGTTGTTATTTTGTTATTCGCACCGTCTTCATGTAGTTTTGTCAAGCCGTTGCCGTTTGCGGTAACGACTACAGTATCCGCCAGGGGGTCAGCCCTGGCGGAAGCGGAAGAAGTTGCCAAGTCCGTTGGATCGTTAATTTTCGCCACATGACTACTAGAATGAAATTGTTCCTTATGACCAAAGGCATTCATGGTCGGATTTTCCGGGTATAAGGTGGTGGTAGTGTCGACGAAAGTTGTTAGGGCAACCATGGTGACCGGAATTGAAAATTGGGGATCTAAGGTTGCACCGACCAAGTTGTGTATGGTTGAATAACAGCTAGATTGTAAATAGGTAGTGAAGGAAGATGGGAAGGAATAGTTATGTTTTCCTTCGAAGTTGAGTCAAAGGGATTCAAGTTTTGATTGCTTGAGTCTCGAGGGTAGCTCGCTTCATAAGGTTCTCCAGAACCACATGGCGATACTATATAACCAGCGAAAGAGAGTTCAAGAAAACGGAAAATAAATACCTCGGTGTGATGTCGGCACCCGAGGATACTCTGCCAGATGACTGTATCATCTGTTGCGGACTCAGACATCGGGATTGTAGCTGAACCTAGACGGCCTGAAGAAACAGGTCGTCATTGGTTCTGTACAACTTTGGCAGTGGGTGGGTCTCTTCGAGTTTGTTTGAATGGATGTCCAAAGCGCCCAAAGCATGAAAACATAAATAAGGAGTGAGCTTAGTCTCAAGCTTCTGCTGAGGCATTAAGGGACCGAGGACGAACCAGCGATATCATCTCGATATGTGTCAGCGAAGGTTGTATACGAGTTAATGAAGAAAGAGGCTAGACAGGATAGTCCCAGCAACTTTACAACTCACCGTAGAAATGTGCCATTCCAAGATGACTAGATTTGCATGGATGTGCCACAAGTGACGATCTCGGCATAGTTTTGCGCCAAAAGCGCCAAACCCGACGCTGTTGTCCGGGTCGGTTCGAGGACCTAGCTCGCAGAGTAGGAAGAACCAGAAAGTCAAATCTCAAGAAATGAAATAGATACCGTGTAGTACATATGTAGAGTGTAACGTTAAGTCACCTGAGACGTTATAGTTTCCTTAAACGATGGCGACTTATGTGGTTGCGGCAGGGCAATGTCCGAATGAAGAAGGAAGCGGTTCTTTTCAATTTTGAAGGGTTCGCAAAAAGAAAGCCGAAATATTTGGAATAAAATAGAGCCAAAATGTTATCTACATTTGGAAAACTGCTATGGTTCACGCGGGAAGAGGCATACATGAATTGAAGAATTCATAGATGGAGACAGATAGATGTAAACAAACATTGAATATTGCGTTCAAAACTTGACACTCGCTGCAACTTCAACATTCCCAGTATAAGCACGAACAACACGAAAGTCAATGAAAAAAGCACTGAATCGGGAAGTTCTAGACAACTGGTTACGAAAGATCGTTTTACTTAAGTAACCCCTTCAACCCAAAAAAAACCCTTTTACTTCTTAAGCTCGGTCCAATCATATTCCATCAACCGGGACACAAAGGCAGCCATGTCGGAACCCGCCAGCTCACGCACGATATGGAACGTGGCATCGATACCTGAGCTCACACCGCCAGCCGTAACCAGACGAACAGTATCCCCGACCATGTAACCACCATCGATGTACCGCTTATGCACCACAGTAGTCGAGGGGTCGGTTTTCTCATTGAACCGTGCGCATACATCCCGCAGCACATCAACTGCACGATGATGCGTGGTAACAGTCATGCCAGCAAGAATGCCCGCGCCACCAAGCAAGAGAGCACCAGTACAGACAGAGAGCAGGTAGCGTGGGTTTTGCGATGGTGACCGAGTGAGAGTTGCAAATCTGCGGATTACATCCACTTCTGCAGAATTACTCTCGAGCAGAGGTTGGACCACAGATGGTGGTGCACCAGGAACGACTAGGATGTCGTACTCCGCCAGATCTTTGACCGCATCTTCGATAACTTTGTCGACCTTAACAGTGAGTGAGCAACTTGAGCGAATAATGGGTGCTCGAGCAATCGTTTCGATTGTGAACATTGGATCGGGATCATCCGGGTTATGATTATGCAGGGCATGAGACAGGACTTCCATCGGACCTGTAAAATCGAGAAGATCGGCAGCTTCATAAACTAAAACTGCGACTTTAAAGTACTGATTCTGAGATTCGGAAGCCATGATCGCTATTGCCAACGACCAGAAAATCGATTATGATTTTGACTCGGTGGAATGAATGGCGTACGAAGGTTCGGTTATCTTTTTTTCTTCGAGTGACAATGAGCTTGCGATATTTTAGTTTTCAACCCTGAGATCGATTAACAGAAAGGATTCCAGATTTAAACCTTGGGAGTGGCTGCGTTTGGGCTTACTTCGCCCAAACACAGCGGCTCAAATTCAAAAGGCTAGACGGGCATCGCGGTGAATATCAGACCGACGTTGTATCACGTCGATACTTCCGCATGCGCCCATTTGAGCATCTTGACACAATTCCCAAGGTTCGAGTCTTGTTTAATGCAAATGAAGCATCCGGCGGTATGTGAATCGGGTCTGAAGTTACAGGGATTTCCGTTGTTTATCCCCATTCAACCCAGGAAGAGAGTACAAGAAAATCACTCACTTGAGGACTTCTGCGATCTGGAAATACCACATCTGACAATTTATCAATTTTTTTCCCTCGTTTGTGACAGAAGGCGTTGGAAGTATTTCGGAATGTGGACTGAAACTCCCCGCTTCCGCGATGCGTGAAATAGAAGGTTGCTGGATCCCCGCAGCTGACTCGGGATGGTGGGGGATGTAGATAATAAGGCCCCCTTGTCACCTGCATTTGTATTTACAATAGGCCTATTCCATGTTCATTGAAAGTAACAAAAAGAAGAACATTCATTGGAATCTATAGATATTTCAATATGACATCACCAGAGTATAGCAGCCATTTCTCGCTGGCCAATATTCCATTTGGAGTCGCATCATCTACATGTCACCCAAATCCACAATGCGTGACTCGCTTACAGAACAATGTCATCTTCTTAGATGTACTACATCAGTCTGGCGTTTTCGCAAAAGTCTCGGGTCTACCTAAAGATGTGTTCAACAAACCAGTTTTAAACGAGTATGCCGCGCTATCCAAACAACTTCACCGTGAAGTACGGAAAATCCTTCAAACTGCATTAAAAGAGGAATTGCCACAGAACAGTATACAGGATGTTCGAGATGTCACTCTCCATTTGCCCGTCGCCGTAGGCGGCTTCACAGGTATGTAATGTCATCTTTTACATTCGATCGCAAATCCAGATCTGACCCGCATCAACCCGGAAGACTTCTCGTGTAGTCTCCACCATGTCCAAAGAGCAGGAAAAGCAATTATCAATGACGAGAGACCTCCGCCCGGATTCTTCAACTTCCCAATCGGATATAGCGGTCGCGCTAGCACGATAGTGGTTTCGGGTACTCCCATCATCCGGCCGAAGGGACATTTCTTCGATCGCACCTCGACTTCAGAGAAGAAACCGATTATATACGGGCCGTCAAGGGTGATGGATTGGGAATTGGAGATGGGATTCATTGTCGGCCAAGGAGTTTCACGTTTGGAAGGGGTGAATGCGAAGGATGCAGATGAAAATATCTTCGGTGCAGTTATTTTGAATGATTGGAGTGGCGAGTTTTCCCAAAAGAAAATATACTGTTGGTGGATAAGCGCTGATATTTTTAACTAGCTCGGGATATCCAAGGTTGCGAGATGATCCCACTGGGTCCCTTGAATGGCAAAGCATTTGGAACAAGTATTTCGCCTTGGATTGTCACGCTTGATGCTCTAGCTCCCTTCGCCACGCCAGGACCCAAAGCAGAAGCCGTACTCGCCAGTCACCTGGAAGATGTGGTGAAATCCAGTTACGAGATTGATTTCAAGGTGGAATTGATCATTGAAGATCAAGTGACGACTGTCAGCGAGTCAAAACTCCAGGACTTACACTGGAGCGGCCGGCAAATGTGTGCCCACCTTGCCAGTAGTGGGGCCGATCTTCGAACTGGAGATATCCTGGGCACAGGCACAATTAGCGGCCCTGATGAAAGGAGCATGGGTTGCCTCCTGGAAATCACAAGTGGTGGCAAGGAACCATTGGCTCTGGATAATGGAGAAAAGAGACACATGTTGCAAGATTGGGATACTGTTCGTATGACAGCAGTAGCTGGCGGATCAACTTCCGGGGTTGGGTTTGGAGAATGCGTTGGTCAACTGCAGCCAGCAAGGTAGATGTATTGGATTTAGCAAGGGTGATGTCTAGAAACGTTGCGTGTATATAGAAAATTTGATGCTGGTAGATTGGGCTACATCGATCAGCGCGAAGTGCTTGAATTCAATTGGGCGAAAGAGTCATGTGAATATTTGGGTAAATGCCAGAGTATCAATTCTTGAGACGACGATTGTTCGCGTTTGATAACTGATATATTAGTAAATGACTATAGGCAACATAAAGTTCATGAAATATGTTCGCTGATTTATGAACGAGATGACCCTCGAAATGCACCTAGGCCAAGACAAGAACACCGTATGCAGTACGGGAACCGGGAAATAATCAACGCCAGAGAAATGCCCCCCCTCGCGCCGAAACAAACAGACCGACAAAATCAAAGTATCTAACCCCAAAGGGGCGGGTGGATGTATTCCTGTGCACGATCCATGATGTTAGGCAGTGTCCATTCACCACTGCCCGAGCTTTCTGGTGTTGGGGGTGGAAGAGATGCAACACTTGGTGTCATACCAGCCGAGCCAGGAGCTCCATATGCACCCATGGCCATCGCGGGTGGGTTTGGATTAGATTGAGACATGTATGCGGGACTGCGAGAATTTCTGGATCGCTGGTGTTGGTTTCCAAACGCCACAAGAAGCTTCTGAAGGGCCCGGTGGGTTTTCGCGAGCGACTTTGCCCATTGAGTTTGTGCTTCAGGGGCGACAGCAGGGGACGTAGGATCCATAACAGGTGCAACATAGGCCGGGGGATTCGTTGTGCCCGTAATGGGATCATAGCTACCCATCACCTGGGCTGTAGTGTTCATGTTACCAGTAGCAGGATCATCGGTATCATAGGCTCTCTCGTTGCTAGCTCGCTGGGCAATGATACCCTCCAGTTGTCGCAAAAGGTGCCATACGTTTGGATCAGATTTAGCCTCTTCAATAACCGCTAGCAAGAAAGCAGAACTGATTGCTCGTTGTAATGCAATCCATGATCGAGCAGCGTGAGTGCTGACATTATGGAGCTCGATATAGGCTTCCACCGTGGTCATTAGATTGGATACGCAATCCCTGCGCATGCTAGCTGTATCCGAGTCATTTGGATCAATTGATGGTTTGAGCGCTGGCCGGCAGAGCTCGGAGGAAATGTAGGATGAGTGCAATTTCAATACAATCCGCTCCAAATGTTCTGTTAACGTGGTGCATAGCTTGGCATCACGTAGAGCAGGTTTTGCCTTGACCATGACATCTCGGATTCGTTCCTTGTAGCCTTGGATGCTGTCGAATGATATTTGCTCGTGAGGGCTGAGCATGCGAATACGAACAACCTCAAGAGCTAGCGATATGACCTGACAAAGAGTTTCAAAATACGACAGGTTTCCTGGCCTGGAGCCGTCAACATATGGTATTTCTGGTTGACTGACGGCAGTGGTAGAGGGGCGATCGTAGGAGAGAGAGAAATGGCTATCTTGCCAAGCCATGGACCACCTGTAGATGTTAGTTAAGAAAACGCGGGCCAATCTCATGTGGGGAAGTACTTACCAAACATAGCGGCGACGATACTTCTCTAGCGACTGGAATTTGCTGGACTCGACGTGTAGACCGAGGGCCAGCCCCATTCGAAGAGTCATTCCCAACAAAACATATGAGATTCCAGGATTCATATTGTAAGACAGGACATTTCCAATCACGAGGAGCGTTTGGATTGCTTCGACTGTTGGTTGGGATAAGAAATTCGACATACGGAGGCATTGGTAAGAACAGCACACTATATTGTAATTAGTAAGAGTACTCCCCGTCTGAGATTTTCAACACATACCGTAGACTTGAGAAGTCAATTCTCGATCTTTGCTTCCAAGGTCTGATGATTGGCACCCAGATGCCAAAATAGCGAACAATAAGCCCAAGTAAGGAATACTCACTCCGAAAGGATTTTGTGCCTCGTCGGCGTCTTCTCGATAGACTCCACCTGAAGTGATCCTGGTTTGCAAAAGCAATTCAAGATCGTTTTCAAATCCTTGAACATCTTCGACGACGGGATATATCGCGCCCGCGATGTCCCTGTAATAGTAAAAGAACCTATAGACACACTGTTAGAAGTGGTCGAAATTTCAAAGCGTATAGAGCTTACTCTCTACATTGCTGATCTGTCGGGAGCGCACTGCAAACTGCGCTTATGTCAAAAGTTGACATATCCGACGACCACAAATCCACAAACGGATAGGTCGCAGATTCGTTGTCAAGTCCCAACTTGGGCAATATTCCGCCTTCCATTAGAGCCGAAAGCTGATCCGTCCCAGTTTTGTTATTAAGGATATAAGCCAAAACGGAGCGTGACCCCAAATGAATAGTTCCCTTGCCAAGAGTATTTGCTGCATGAATACCCTCGCGATCTGGGGAGTTACCCTTGGAACGGGAACCCACATCGCCGCTCTGTACACTTCCGGATTCTGCCGCCACTGCAGGTCCCTCTTCAGCCCGTTCAAGACCCATGCGTAGATTCGATATAGTCGATTCCATTTCCCGAAGCCGGTTACGCACATTCTCCCATTCGTCTCGCGCAATCGAGACCCGGCCACCTGCGTTGGCTCCATTCGATCGGGTCGGTACAGACATGGGCTCGTACTTCATATTCGTGGTACTGTCATCATAACCATACTGCGCAAAGTGGTCTATGTTGGCAGAGGCAGAGCTGCTTCCAACAGGGCTCTCGTGAAAAGCCTGAGATCGCTTTTTAGAGGGACGTTCATAAGAACAGAGATCTGCATGGTCGCGTTTGACGCAGCCGTCGCATGGAAGATTCCGATCACACTTCACCTTGCGCGCATGGCATGGATAACAAGCTTTTGGCTCACGGGCTTTCCGTTTGGTGCGAATAATGGCGTCAACTTGGGACTGCGGTAGGTCGGAAACAGATCTGCCGGGTGCTCCAGGCACCTCGGAGGGGGAAATTGAATTCGATGCCGTATATGGCGACGCCCTTGTATTTTTCATATGCTCCATTGCGTTCGATCGGGGCTTTTCGATTTATCGGGCGGTGGGTTTGGATGCGCGTCGATGCGACTGTTCACCGATGGCCAAGTCGGTGGTTGGCGGCAGCTCCGAAATTCACAATTTCCACAGACAGCCCCTTTCTTATTAGCAAGATTATCAGGTGCTCGGGCTAGTCCATGATTTGAGCCGGTAGTGTGATGGATGAACAATTGCGTTGAATTCGATGTGGTTCGCAGACCGGCAATCGTCGCTGCTTATCGTTAGCTAGCGGGGCACGTGATGTGGGGCATCTAAATGCGGAAGGTTGCTATACGTCAATCACATAGTATAGAAAAAGTTGAGGTTTTGTGTTTTTTGACCTCATACTAATGGGTATAAGAGGTAAGAATAAAGTACTATCAGTGGATCGTCAGTGAAAGGATGACATACCTCTATGAAGGCAGTGTCACGCCTCAATAATTTATCAGGCATGATTTTTGTTCCCGCATGCCGACACTCAAGGAGACTTGTAACTGTATTACAAGAGGGACCAACACACCCGCCATTCAGAGTAGGAATGTTATGTTATTTTCGGTAATACGAACACCACAGTACTCAAGACCACCAGATATCCAGCATTTCCATGTTAGTTCCAATATCACAGATTTCACTTCACACAGCGAAAATGTACATATGGGAAACACCTTCAATGGAGATTTGATCCGTGGAAACTATCGCGAAAATTCTCTGATAAATGGACAATCTATGAACAACGAAGTCGTCTTTCCTTGGCGTCTTCGAGATTTCCTAATCTGGACCGGAGCATTACTCCCGAAAGGGTAATACATTCCGGACAGAGGCGAACGATCTAAACTGCATCGACCACATGTGCATGCAACATGAACTTTTTTTTTCTCTGGCTTCATCGTGGAATTCTTCCTTCAAACTATCTCTCGACACAAGGAGTAATCAAAATTCTCGATATGTCGTCACCCCAAAGCCAATAACCCTATACATGCAGGAATTCATCATATGAAAAACTCCATTGCATGTCCATACTCACGAGAATGGCGTCGATCTAAACCCATGACCAGAAGTATATCTTGATTCTCATTTTAGGTTTCATTTAATGTCTAGAACATTGAGTCATCCATCTCTTCTTGCTCAGTTAACCTGTCTGAGCCTGCGTGGGGTATCAAGATAAGCCCATGCTCCACCCGAGCATATGAAAGGAAGAAAAAAGCCCTGACAAGCTAGACAGACCCGCAATTCAAGACGCCAAGCTGGAACTCGGAATGATTAGTTGATGCGGTCCAAAGTTTGATCACAGTATCTAGACTAGCTTCAAAATCTATCCGTAGCTATTTACTAGTACCAAATTACCAGCTACCAGGGGTAGACTGTGAATGAAGGACCGGTATGCGTAACCTACAACCTACAAAATCTGATCTGATAAGACCAAATGAGTAAACTCTTGTATAGTCAATCACATCAGTAGCCATGCAATTATCTCGGACTAAACTCGATCTCTTCGAAGCATATTACCACATTCGGTTAGCGCAGCCGGGCCATATAAGGAAATATGCCTGAGAGTGGGTCTTCATCTATAGAATGCTCGGGACTCAGCCAGTAATTGATCATGCCGCATATCCTCGCCTTCTATCAACATTTTCTCATCATGACAGAGCCATTGTGATATAAAAGCGTGTACATCCCCCGAAGTATCCATGTTTCACAATCAGGGGTTTAAAACTTTCACAACTTTATCTTACTTGGGAGCTCGGACATACAAACATCGGAACATACTAGACGTTCCTGAACTGTCCAACCTTTACAACTGCAGTATGAATACATCTCCCTCAGATCAAACCCACACAGCACCAACCAGCCGGACGGTCTCTGTGGGTTCCACTGGTGAACGAATCGATTACCTTGATCTCCCCGTTCGAGAAGTTAGCGATGGCGCCGACTTTCGTGAATATACGACTGAGACGCGTGCTGGCGAAATTATCAGACCGATCAAATCTAATGTCACCGGTCAGTTGGAGGACTGGAAACTCGTGACTTTCACGATCGATGATCCTGAAAACCCGAAGAACTGGTCAAAATTATATAAATGGTACTGTACCATGGTTGTCGCCTTCACCTGCTTCGTGGTTGCATTCGCGAGCAGTGTTATCACCGCCGATTTGACAGGGCCAGCGGAGGACTTTGGCGTCTCTCGCGAAGTTAGTCTCGTTGTCGTCACCGTCTTCGTTGTTGGGTTTGGCATTGGTAAGCCGGTTTCAAGTTTGCTTTCGATTAATCCAGGAAACACACTAACATACCCCTAGGTCCAATGGTCTTTGCACCTATGTCCGAAATGCTTGGCAGAAGGCCAATTTATGCAGTCACCCTCTTCCTCGCCGTGATCTTCGTCATTCCATGCGCAGTATCAAAGAACATTGGCACTCTGATCGTTTGTCGTATGATTGATGGTATCGCCTTTAGCGCACCGATGACCCTTGTCGGAGGTACACTCGCAGACCTATGGAGGAACGAGGAGCGAGGTGTTCCAATGGCAGCTTTCAGTGCCGCTCCCTTTATCGGACCAGCTATCGGCCCACTCGCAGGTGGTTTCCTTGCTGATAACTGTGGCTGGAGGTGGCTCTACTGGCTCCAGCTTATCTTGTCATTCGTGGCCTGGATCTTGATCACGTTCACCGTCCCCGAGACATATGCTCCGATCCTTCTCAAGAAGCGAGCAGCTAAGCTGCGTAAGACAGAGAATGACCCCAAGTTTACTACCGAGACTGAGCTTGATCCTCGACCTCTTGGACAAAAGCTGCGCGTTTTCCTTTTCCGACCTTTCCAGCTGCTATTTTTGGAGCCTATCGTCCTATTCATCGCTATTTATATGTCAGTGCTATATGGTCTACTATACATGTTCTTCGTCGCATACCCAATTGTCTACCAAGCTGGCAAGGGCTGGAGTGCATCGTCAACCGGTCTCATGTTCATTCCGTTGGCTATTGGCGTCTTGATGAGTGCCGCATGTGCACCATTCGTGAACAAGAACTACCTCAAGATCTCTGAGCAATACGGCGGCAAGCCTCCAGCCGAGAAACGTCTCATTCCGATGATGTGGTCATGCTGGCTTATCCCTGTCGGCCTGTTTATCTTTGCCTGGACCTCATACCCCGGCGTCCATTGGTTCGGGCCATGTATTGCCGGATGGCCCGTCGGATTCGGTTTTATTTTCCTGTACAACTCAGCAAACAACTATCTCGGTATGTTTTCTTCGCTCGTCTTCTCTCACGATTTCTTCATATTAACATCCTTTATAGTTGATACCTATCAGCACCAGGCTGCATCGGCCCTTGCCGCCAAGACATTCCTGCGATCTATGTGGGGTGCCTCTACCGTTCTGTTTACTGAGCAGATGTATGATCGTTTGGGATACCAATGGGCCAGCACTCTTCTGGCATTTATTGCTCTGGCCTGTTGTGCCATTCCATATGTCTTTTATTTTAAGGGTGAGGCCATTCGCCGCTTTTCAAGATACGCCTTCAGCGATGATGAAGAGAAGGGCATTAAGGCTTAGACCGGCAGTATTGCCACACTAATAGAGGAGTCTCCAAACATTCAAGCGAGGTTATGACTTCTGTGTTTTTTCTTTTATGATTCTGCACCCCAATTTCGACTCTTAAAAAATAAAATGGGTCATGTTCTCCTTCAAAATTTAGTATCATGTGATCTACTGCACTCTTTAATAAATAATAATATCAATAGATATTCCATTCTGAGAGGAGATTGAAATTGACAATGTTACATGATTCATAAGAATACATCCTTCAAAAGCTTGCAATATCACCCTGCTCTCACACATGTATTCGAAAACGGATTCTTGACGTCTCTTTGCGCAGCCCGTTGGCTCTCAGGAACTGGTTTTCTGTTAAGATTTGGACACTCGAAGGAAGTTCCAGAAATATTGATACGAAGCCTATAGGATCTCAGGAACTAATCATTTGTTAAGACTTTGAACAGTAAAGCATTCCCAGAAACAAAGACCAATACTTACCTAAAGAATAATGCAAGCCACGGTATGGCTCAAGATTTCGAAGTTCATTTCCTAGCAGTATTACCATCTTATCGCGGTCAAAAACATTACCACTGGTCTATGGCGCCTTTCTCTGTTTTCATATCTTCCAAGCTTCCGCGTCCTTTGAGATCCCTAGCCCACGGTTTGACAATTGTGAAACATGAATCCGTGCTCATGTGAGCGTCCAGGCCTCTTTCATAAAGAACCCACAGAACACCCCTATTGGCTGCTAGCAATTTAAGTGTAAGAATATTGAAGTAGTTAACTAGACGCAAATTGGTAAAGGATGAAGTTAGCAAATTGGTAAAGGATGAAGTTAGCAAATTAGCAATCAGCAGACAGTTAGCCGCATTATTAAAAGGTCGCATAATGGAATCGAAGGTCCCAGTCTCCATCGCTATTTTGGTCGGTGCCAACGATGTGGGACACATACCGTGTGCCTTGAGGGAACGCACCACGCATGATATCGTTGACTATATAACCAGTTGGAGTTCGCATAATCGTCGAAAGGGCTTAATCACCGCGAATCCAGGTATGCACAACACCCAAACTATAGTCCGATAGGCGACTAAACGTTCGCTCATTATAAATGTGAGTGAAAAAGTCGAAGCGCAAGTCAGCTAGACACATCGAGTTTGGAAGTACAACGCGAGAAACACATCTGTAGGCCGAGGCACGATTAGGCTGTCAAAAACGTTGGTACCTGTAACACCGTCGATAACTATCGTTTGATGTCCAGTCCGACCCGACATCCTACCGATGTTTTCACCAAAGATAAATTCCCAGGATGTGAAAGTAGGCACAGTTGGCATGCGCCACAGACCGTTCGAATCTTGTTCCGAAATTCGACTACCACTACCACTAGGCGTAGAAATACTAGGGATCTGTAGAACTCGCGATGTGTCTGGTAGAGTATTTTCGGGATTGACTGGTAGGTGGTCTAGCAATATACCAAAGGTTTGCCATGCATCATTCTTGTCGGGTCTTGAAACAGCATATCTTCAATATGCCTCGGTCGTCCTATGGCGGCAGATGTGGCTCACTGTTACTGCGACTTACCAACAAACATCAGCAACGAAAGCTTGGAGCAGGGCCATGGTCCAGAAGGCCAATGGAACAGTTCTTTATCATCACCTATAGCCGGCTTCATCGCCTTTACACAGTTATACAAAATTGCGGCGGAGGTGCACCGGTTCCATTCATCCTTCAGAATGAAAAATCGAAACGGAAGCAACACAAGCATTGAACAAGCTTTACCAACTGTGAATTTATTAAATCCAAGAACTAGATAATTGGCTTCGAGAGCTTCCGGACGAAATGAAATCCACAGCGAATAGTCTCCAAAGTGGGCCAAATCTCACTATGAGTGTCGTGGTTTTTATCTTACGTTCGGCAACAATTATGAATCTGTATCGGTATGTTACCTCGCCCCGATCCTCAATTTGGAGCCCGAAAGTCAACTTTATCCACTTTTCTGACGACATGATGTAGGCCACTTGTCGGATTGGAGGTCAGGGGCAAGATACCAGAGAACTTCAGATACAATGATCCATCGGCGGAATGTATCAGTGGTATCTAGCAGCTGAGCTTATTCACGATTCCCTTCCGCCTTCGCATTATTTGGCAATTTGCGTTCAATATCTTACAATTTCGGGAATACTCATGTTAGGTGATATATTGAGACTCGTTTCAAGATCCGGCCTATTCTAACGAATTCAGAGTGGATATGGCAAGGGATGACGAAATTTCAGACCGAACAACAGAAATGCGGAAATCTATCCATATTCTTTTAGAAATTCAGAAGACATGGCCGGGTGCAAGTAGAAACCGGTCTATTTTGGAGAGTTTACTGCGTAATACTCGTGGTAAGAATGGAAATGCTCAATTTCCGTCTATACCTTTATTCGAGGGCTTGCTATGGGAGTAATACTCAGAATCGGATACATTAGTAGAGGAGTTACTACGCGGCGATCTTACTTCCCCATAAAGATTACAGCCTCCAGAGACATTCACCTTCCAAGGTGACATCTACAGATAAATAAGTAGTAGAATGCAATATAACAAGAGGGACATGGGACTACACCCCAACAAGGACTAATTGCATACCTTTATCTATACTTTCAAGCCTCCACGCATTGAAAATCAACTAAACAGAGATAAAAAGTGAATTTGAACTATGATCTTTTTCTTCATCAACCGAATCCTGCGCCGATATAATCGCTCAATGGCGGTCCCACTTGAAATTGAACCGGTAACTCTATTTATTATTATAACCCCGCTTGAACTAGCACAATCTAGTCGGTGCAAAGAGAAGAAGCTTACCCCTCACCATGGAGCTCGGACGAGATCCGAGGAGACTCAGCCAGAAGGATCTCGAAGACCATGGAGCTTCGACCTTTCCATCCTAACCGACCAAGAGATTTTAGTCGACGATGTCCACGGAAGAGTTTAAATCATAGTCTATGTTACTATAAGTGGCTTGTTAAAGTAAGGTAAGTCTCTTGGTAAAATAAGGTTCATGTTTGGACTACTTCGCCATCCTTAAATTACTTCGCAGATGTCGCAAATGTAGTATTCGGTTAGGAACCATGGAATCAATCACTCTATTCTAATTCCCACGAAGATTTTACCACCTTTGCAAGGCGAGAGATTCCCAATTCCATTGCCTCCATCTGGATTCAAGTCAGTTAATGGTAAGCCTTGCAAGCAATAGTCATGGTACTCACAGTAGCCATAGAGAAAGAGAATCTGAAGTTGACGATTTCGGGTTCCGTTCCTCTAGCTTTGGTGCTAACTTTATCTTTACCTTGCCACGGGTAATAGTAAGATCCTGGAGTGAGCAAGACCTAAATTCAAGTTATAAATTCCGAGACTTTATCCAAATCTACTGATATGAACTTACCAACTCTTCCACACGGGTCTCCCAAAGGGTATGACCAAACAACTGTTCCGGATCTTCAATCGTGCTGTCAAGCCGAATCTTGTTGGAATTCGGATTTTGACCCAAATAAAAGGCCGTCCATATGAACATTCCACCGGTCGGGGGAACAAAGGAAAAAATTGGGACTGATTCAATAAGAGCCACCATGCCCTGGGAGGTGCTGATCGCAGGAACCTCAGCCGCTGGCTTCAGCGTGAATTGCTGCGCGAATGCCTTGATGATCCAATCACGGCGGGTCTGGTACTCGATTCGTAAGTTTTGGAGCCAGATGAGGTAGCCATCTGTACCCCACTGGTGCACAAGGCCGTAAACCAAGGCCTGAGACATACCAGATGGGTCTTGAGTTTCCACCTCGCTAGCTCGAAGAAGTCGTTCCGTGAAGATGGAATTCGCAACGAAGTATCCCAGTCTCAGGCCAGGAGCGAGGGTTTTGCTAAAGGATTCAAGACGAATGACTCGGCCTTGGTAGTCGAACCTGAGGAAGGATGGCACCATAGAAGCAAGGAACTTGTCATTAGAAATGACTTGACCCTCGACATTTTCACCCAGATTGTACTCAGGGTACTGCAAGAAGAAATAGGGATCATCCTCTACGATGATGACATCTTTAAGGCAAAATATCAGCGCGAGAAACTAGTGTCATCAGAGGAAAGAAATCACTGACCAAATTTGACACAAATCTCGTAAATTTTTTGACGCCGCTCAGTACCCATGGTCACTCCGGTAGGATTCGATCCTACACTGACAAGGTAGAGGACGTGGGGTCGATTGACCCCAGGGTGAGTGGCCTCCCAATTTTCAAGGATCTCCTCAAGCGCATCGTCTCGAATGCCCTCCTCGTCAAGGCCGACAGGCGCTGCGAGGTTTCCCTGAGAAATCCAATACGCCTGAGCCGAAGGGTAGATATGGCTCTCACAAAGAATGTAGTCGCCTTCTTCGCAAAGAAGGCCAACTACCTTGCTCCAAGCGTTAGTGTTTCCGGTATGAAGTAGAGTTTCAAAGTCGTCGTAAAGCGGCTTGTGAACCTTTCTGGTGAATTCCTCACACCATTGGCGTAACCCTGCATTTCCAGCAGACGTTCCTAGTCAAAGAGGTATCTTGTGAGTTGAAGTTTGAAAAAGCAAGATTCGGATTGAAATTACTTACCGTACTGCAAAAATCTTGAAAGTGGATTGTCAGTCAGTTCATTTGACAGACTCAATTTCATTTCCCCCGTCTTGGAAGGATTTGAAATGAAGACAGTGGCACTGTAAATTGGGAATAGGGACGGGTGAGGAAGACCTGCACAACTTATCAGTTATATTCGACATCTTGGGGGGTCTTGCTCTCAGTGCTTACCTCCTGCTAAGCTGACCATGTCATTCACAGTCATGAAACGAAGGATATCTTTAAGTGGGCTGCGATGTCTGCCCTTTGACCTGGTGTTCAAATGGTGAGACAGGTCAAGGGCCTTCAGACTAGCATCATGCTTGTGTGGCGACATGGTTGGTTGGGGAAGGATGGGGTCGGACGATTGGAAGATAACGAAGGTAAGTAAGGCCAAGGAGATATCAAAAAGGAACATTAATACTCTCCTCGAGGTAAAAGGCCGTGATCTGGCTTGAACTAGCCCGGTGTAGATAAGAGGTCATAGTCATAAAAGACCCACTCGTCCCACTCACTCCCATGGTTCTTTTTGTTTACCCCATCTTCTTAGGGACATTCGTCCATAATGTCACAAGATATCAAGACCTTGCCTACGGCCCAGGAACTGCTCGATGAGGCGATCGATTCCTTCGAAGAGGGCAAGATCACCTAACATCACCGCTGCTGACGTTGTACAATCAGCGGAGGATGGTTATACCCAGGAACAATATAAGAGGCTCTTGAGAAAGATGGACTTTGTGCTTTTGCCTATGATGTGGCTCATTTTCGGTATTCAATATGCCGACAAGGCATCAATCTCGACACAAGCTACATTCGGCATCCGAGAAGGCACTCACTTAGTCGGACAACAACATTCCTGTTAGTTCAATTCAATTTTGGAGTAAAGATTCAGAAATTAATTTGCAGCCGGGCTGACCTCAATCTTCTACATTGCCTACTTGGTGGCAGAAGCGCCGGGGAATTGTGTGTTGCAGAAGACACGCTTGGGCGCGACGGTGGCCGTCTGCATGTTCTCTTGGGGTCAGTAGGATTGTTTTTTCTCAACGGAAGGCCGTTTTCGCTGAATATCTCCAGGCATTATGGTCCTCCACATCGCATTCGCGAAGAACTTTGCTGGGCTGGCGGCTTTGAGATTTCTTGGGGGTGTGGCAGGTAAGTCAAAGAAACTGTACCTCAGAATTCTAAATATTTGCTAACGATGAATTATTCATAGAATGCACAACTTATCCCGCTCTTCTCATCATCACTGGAACATGGTATACAAAGGAAGAACATGACATCCGTTCTCTCATTTGGGGCAGTTCGAATGCCGGGATGGACATCTTAACAAGTTTGATCAACTATGGAATTGGAAGGGAGGCCTAAAGGCACCCCGGTGGCCTCGCTCCGTGGAAGGGCATTTCTCTCTTCCTTGGTTCCCTTACAATTGTACTTTTGGTGGTTGTCTTTTTCACCGTGGGTTCACCGCGCGAGGTGCGCTGGTTGACGGAGGACGAAAAACGTATGGCATCCGCTCGGGTTGTCCCTTCTCAGACTGGTTCTGACGCGCAAAGGCGTGATATCGACTGGCGTCAATTCGAAATCACATTCAAAGACCCTCAAACATATTCTTCTTCCTGGTAATTGTGAACTCGATTCCAAATGGCGGTACTACGGCATTCGGTAACCTGGTTTACGTTTCCTTCGGATTTACGCCCCTGGAAACCATTGTTGAAGGCAAGATTCCACAACAAGCTTTGTCTATCCTCACCTTTTTGCTGGCTGGATGGTTAACATTGAAAAAAAAGCGTATATCATGATCGCTTCCGTAATTCCAGCTTTTATTGGTATGCTTGCCTTGGCCTTACTGCCTCATGAAGGCCATCTATGGACGTCTTGGGGAATTTTCTTGATGACGATTGTCGGGAATGTTGCCGGGCCTTGTATGTTTGACCCCGAATTCGAGCTCTTAAAGCATAACTATTTTATTCCCGCAGTCATTTGGACCTTCGTTCCATCCAATGGCGCCGGTCGCACTAAGAAGTCAGTCACTGAAACTGCCGGTTTTGTGGCTTACTGCGCTGTTGACTGCGTTGAAGCTCAGATTTTCCAGAGCAAGGACGCGCCGAGGTGCATTCCGGCGATCGTAGTGTGCTCAATCATGTACGCCTTAGAGATAGTCATTATGATAGCTTGGAGAACATACTGTGAGTTTCATTCGCCATCCATCGCGTCCCAAAGCTCTTGCAAGATTGCTAATACTTTTGGAATTATTAGATATATGGCAAAACAAGCGTCGAGCGAAGCTGATCGCTGATCTAGGCATGTCCGAGGAAGAGTCGGGGCATCAGGGTCGCTTGAATGCAGAATTGGATATGACTGATTACGAAAATATCCGTTTCAAGTACAGTGTCTAAATTCTTGGGCCATTTCAATAACGCATGCGCCCATATTTCAATGCTCGGGCATTAATTTCCTAGCTCTATTGTCGGAAGATAGTGGATAAGGCTATGTTTCTAATGTACAATCTTGACAGAGAAGATTCGTCATCTCTATATCTTTATTTCGAGTTGCCCAAGATATCAAAGAAACGCCATTCTTCTTTTCATTTGGATTTGCGCCATACTTGATCAAAAGCTTGGCCAATTCAATATCCTTTCTCATCACCCCCAGAAATAAGGGGAACAAGTTATTATCCGTCCGAATACAGCTGTGTCTGGTCCATGAGTTGCTATGGACAACAGAAGCTCGTTCGGGATATCTAAAGACTCCATTGCAGAAAAATGTTCATTAGGTAAAAAGACTCTCCCGGTCGAATGGCGACTTGAAACCTATTAAATGCTCAAGTTATACATCCTGGATACACTATGTGTCTCCATCATGTCCATGGATCACTCTTCACTGGATGGATCCACTACTACTGTAGTAGTCATTCACTTGGATATATACTAGTCTCGGAACGCTAGACAACCATCATGCTGCACATGTAACATTAGCTTTTGCTTATTAGAAAGCCATGGAGATCTCGTCTATCCCTACACTCTGTTATTTTTTAGTAGTAAATACAATCCTCAAGCAACATTAAAATGCATTTCCAGTGTGCAATGTGGGATGGGCGGATAAGATAAGATAAGAGAGTACACCTATCATCACGTGCAGCATCCGATAAGCTCTCCGTAATCGGGTTAGGGCGGGGCCACTCAGTTTTTCTCTAAAAAAAGTTACGAGTCATCGCGGGGTTTTTTTTTGCTCAAGCCAAAATTTGAGAGGCCTGATCCTCCTTTTTCTCAAAGGAGGGTATTCACCGACCCAATCTTGTTCCATCGGGAGAAGTATTCCATCACCATGACTTCCGCCGATTCCTACATTGCCATCCCGGGCTCGGTGGCGTTCTCCCACTCGCGAGGACATGCCATTGCAGCCAGCCTAGGCGTCAAGGATGTTCGCGCCCAGTGGGTTCACTACGTCCACACCTCGCAACCCTTGAATGATTCTCAGCATGCTGTTCTCGAGCAATTGCTGAAATACGGCGACATCACCGACATCCCTCCCACCTTCAATTCCACCGACGGTCAATTCGATACCTTCTATATCTTCCCTCGTACCGGAACCATTTCGCCATGGAGCTCCCAGGCCACCGGTATTTCTCACGTTTGCGGTCTTCGTCAGTCTGTGAAGCGTATTGAGCGTGGTATGAAGATCTCATGTCTTCGTGATGGATCTAAGGACTACAATGCCAACTACAAGGATCTCCTGCACGACCGCATGACACAGATCATTAGCGACGAGGAGCCTGATCTGCAGTTGATGTTCTCTGAGCATGCCCCTCTTCCCCTCAAGACAATCTCCCTGCAGGGTGGCGACAAGTCTCCTAAGCAGATTCTCCAGGAGGCTAACAAGGAATTGGGTCTCGCTCTGGATGACTCTGAGATTGAGTACTTGGCTGAGGCCTACGGCCCTAACGGAGCTATCGCCCGCGACCCTACCGACGTTGAACTGTTCATGTTCGCTCAAGTGAACTCGGAACATTGTCGCCACAAGCAATTCAACGCCTCATGGGTTATCGATGGTAAGGCCATGCCTAACAGCCTTTTCGCCATGATTCGCAACACACACAAGAAGCACCCCGAGCACACAGTCAGTGCCTACAGCGATAACTCTGCCGTTCTGGAGGGCTCAGAGGCCGCCTTCTGGGCTCCTAATCCCACAACTGGAGAATGGATGCATACCAAGGAAGTCGTTCACTTCTTGGCCAAGGTGGAAACCCATAACCACCCAACTGCTGTATCTCCCTACCCAGGTGCTGCTACTGGTGCTGGTGGAGAGATCCGTGATGAAGGTGCAACTGGTCGTGGCTCACGCCCTAAGGCTGGTCTTTCGGGCTTCTGTGTATCTGACCTTTTGATCCCCGGCTTCAGGCAGCCCTGGGAGCTAGAGGTTGGCAAGCCCAATCACATCGCAAGCAGCTTGGATATCATGCTGGAGGCTCCCATCGGTAGTGCTGCTTACAACAACGAGTTCGGTCGCCCTTGTACTGGTGGTTATTTCCGCACACTTCTCACTGAGATTGATGTCGGCAATGGCGAGAAGGAAGTCCGTGGATATCACAAGCCTATCATGATTGCTGGTGGTGTCGGCACCGTTCGACCCCAAGATGCCTTGAAGAACCCTGATATTGTCAAGCCTGGTTCCTTCCTGGTCGTCCTTGGTGGCCCTGCCATGCTCATTGGTCTCGGAGGTGGTGCTGCCTCCAGTATTACCTCTGGTGAAGGCTCCGCCGACCTTGACTTTGCCAGTGTTCAAAGAGGTAACGCCGAGGTTCAGCGTCGCGCTCAAGAAGTCATCAACGCCTGTGTTGCAATGGGCGACAACAACCCCATCAAGTTCATCCACGATGTTGGTGCTGGTGGTCTGTCTAACGCTCTTCCCGAGCTGATCCACGACTCTGGCCTTGGTGCCAAATTCGAGCTCCGCGAAGTCGACAGTACCGACAAGAGCATGAGCCCCATGCAAATATGGTGCTGTGAAGCCCAAGAGCGGTACGTTCTTGCCGTTGGTGAGGAGAGCATGAACAAGTTCACTGCCATTGCTCAACGTGAACGCTGTGGTTTCTCCGTCGTTGGCCGTGGAGGTGGCGCATCAGAGGAAGAGAAGAGACTCATTCTTCTTGACCGAGACTCCAAGGAATACCCATCTCCGATCGACCTCCCTCTGTCCGTTCTGTTCGGCAAGCCTCCTCGCATGACTAGAACCGTCGACTCGCGCAAGTTGACTCTGCCGGCCGTGGACTCCAGCCTCACAAAGTATCTGCCTTCGCTTTCCTCCAAGGTTGAGCTTATTCACGAAGCTGCTACTCGAGTTCTTTCGCTTCCTGCTGTTGGTTCCAAGTCTTTCTTGATCACAATCGGCGACCGTACCGTCGGTGGTCTTACTGCCCGTGACCAGATGGTTGGCAAATGGCAAACCCCCGTTTCCGACGTGTCGGTTACTGCCACTTCCTTGCTCCAGGGTGTCAGAACTGGTGAGGCTATGGCCATGGGTGAGAAGCCTTTGCTGGCCCTGATCTCCCCTGCTGCTTCCGCCCGTATGGCTGTGGCTGAGGCTTTGATGAACCTTTCCGCTGCCGACCTTGTTGACCGTCTCAGCCAAGTCAAGCTTTCGGCCAACTGGATGTCTGCCAGTAGTCACCCAGGTGAGGGCGCTGCTATCTACGAGGCTGTTGAGGCCATCGGTCTGGACCTGTGCCCCAAGCTCGGTATCAGTATCCCTGTTGGAAAGGACTCGATGTCCATGAAAATGAAATGGAAGGACGAGGCTTCAAACGAGGCCAAGGAGGTTACTGCCCCTATGTCGCTCGTCATTTCATCCTTTGCTCCTGTCGGTGATTACCGTAAGACGTGGACTCCTGCTCTTCGCAGCGTTGAGGATGTTGGTGAGACTGTCCTCATGTTTGTTGATCTATCTTTCGGTCGCAAGGCACTTGGTGGATCGGCCCTTGCTCAGGTCTTCAACGAAGTCGGTTCTGAGTGCCCTGACATTCGCAACGTCGATATTTTCCGTGACTACTTTGATGCCACTCAGCAGCTCCAGGATTCTGGCATCGTCCTGGCCTATCACGACCGCTCCGATGGTGGTCTGTTCACCACTCTGGCTGAGATGATGTTCGCCGGTCGCTGTGGTGTTGAGATCATGACTGACAACATTTCCGCATCATTCCACACCCCTGATATGGTCGAAGCACTCTTCAACGAGGAGCTTGGTGCCGTCTTCCAGGTTCGCAAGGAGCACGAGATTCAATTCCGCTCCTGCTTCGCCACCTGCGGTCCTCCTCCCGGCCTGATCCACAAGATCGGTCGTGTCGCCGAGAAGAAGAAGCACGACCTTGTCATCTACCACAAGGCCTCCCTCATCTATCGCAACAACCGCTCCGATCTTCAGCAGACTTGGGCCAAGACCTCTTACCAGATGCAGAAGATCCGCGACAATGCCGAGTGTGCCGAGCAAGAGTTCGAGAACATCGTGGACAATGCCAACCCCGGTCTGTCTTGGAACCCTACTTTCGACCCCAAGGATCGTGGTCTGCCCATCATGACCAGTCTCTCCCAATACTCTCCCTTCGCCAATAAGCCCCGTGTCGCCATCTTGCGTGAGCAGGGTGTCAACAGTCAGGCCGAGATGGCCTTTGCCTTCAACACCGCCGGCTTCTCCGCTGTCGACGTGCACATGACTGATATTATCTCCGGTCGAGTCTCTCTGGCCAGCTTCGCCGGTCTAGCCGCCTGTGGTGGTTTCTCCTACGGTGACGTCCTCGGTGCTGGTCAAGGATGGGCTAAATCTGTCTTGTTGCACGATAACACCCGCAAGGAGTTCAAGGACTTCTTCGAGCGCCCCGACACCTTCTCCCTGGGTGTCTGCAACGGTTGTCAATTTCTTTCCCGTGTCAAGGAGCTCATCCCCGGTACCCGCAGCTGGCCCAGCTTTGAGCGCAACACCAGCGAGCAATACGAGGGCCGTGTCTGCATGGTCCGCATCTCTGACCCCGACCCGTCACGCCCTAGCGTCTTCTTCCACGGAATGGACGGCTCCTCTTTTCCCATCGCCGTCGCTCACGGTGAGGGTCGTGCCTCTTTCGCCGGTACTCCTGGCGCCTCTGCTGTTGATTTCGCCCGTGAGGGTCTTGCTCCTGTCCGCTACGTTGACAACTCTACTCTCAAGCCTACTACCCGCTACCCCTTCAACCCCAATGGTAGTCCCGAGGGTATTGCCGGTGTTCGCAGCCCTGACGGCCGTGTCTTGGCCATCATGCCTCACCCCGAGCGTACTGTCATGAACGGCATTGCCAGCTACCTGCCTGATAATGCTGAGCAGTGGGGAGATATCGGCCCTTGGGGACGTATCTTCTTCAGTGCCAGACGCTGGGTCGGTTAAAGGGTCATCAAAAGCCTTGGACGCCATGAATATTTTAGTTTCTTCTTTTTCTAAATTCTGCATTGTGCTACATTCTGTTGTTTATATTTTCTGTTCATGGTTACGGCTATATTGGAGTGGAAGGATTTCGAAACAAAAAAAGAGGATTCACGAAAGAGTACGTGAAATGAGATGTGACTAGCAATGCTACCTAGTCTTCTATATGAAAGATAGTAAAGATACACCAAATTTGAGCAAATAAATTCCATTATTTGAAAATACATCATTCCTAGTGCTGAATCTACATTGTAACTAAATTCACAAAGAAAGGGATTGCTAATCTGAAACTAGAAAACTAAATTTTCATTTCAATCAGTCGTTAAACGCTTTATCATTATGGTAGATCGTAAAGTCATCACTTTCCGCAAAGCAAACCACCCAAAGCCCAGTTAAGTAGATCAGTCGCTGCGTCTTCTGCAACGAAAAGTCAAATTCAATTCAAACGGTGTCGGCTTCAAATCTTCCTCCACTCCAGCCTTTCCGCCAGGATATTCCAACTAGGAAGCCCCTCCGCACGAGCGATACCCTTCAACCCATCCGCAACAAAAGCAAGCAAATGATCAAATTGACCCTTCACGTTTCGTAGACGCAAGTCAAACGGCGATTCCCTAAAGGATATGGTCATAGTTTGTTCATGGTCTAGACCATCATCTTCATCCTCTGAATCGCTGTCAAATTCATGATCATCGCCAGCGTGTTGTCGCGATGTACTTGGGATAAAGCGGGAGTCATCTTGAATAGCAGATATCTCAAACGCGTGCGCAGCTTGTAAATCTGCGAAATAGACGCAGAGGTCTAGAATGTCGATGATAACATCACGGATTGGTGAGAGATTCTTTGCAAGGAGACATTGGTTTTCGAGAGAGGACATGTAGGATTGGTGAGCGGCAATCATGGCATCGACATCCTTAGCATGCGAGAGGTCAGAGCGTAGTGATTGATTTGCGGTCGATATGACTAGGTAGGTAAGGTGTGAGTAGAGGATGTCGAGGAACCATAAGAGATTATGGTGGAGGCCGTGAACGAGGGTGTGGTTGGTGTCATCGACTTGCATGCGGGCGTCTCGCACGCGTTGCCTGACAAGTGCATATTTCGCTCGTCTGATTTGCATGAGAAAGGTGGCAATCCGCCGAAATGACTGGACGGCGTCTTCGGTGATGATGTTCGCCACCGGCCATGGGAGGAGGTAGTCGATTGAAATTGATTCGAGGTTGCGGACTGATCGGGCTTGGTTTTGAGAGTCATGCTGTGAGGATCCTTCAGAGCGCACAACTAGCCTCGTCGGGTCGATCTCAGGCAGGACGCTGAACGCCGATCTTGTGGACTCAGTGAGCAGGAACTTATCATCCCAGGCCCGGCCACGATCCATCAATTCAAAGATCTTGGCATCGACCGATCCGACTATACCTAGGTCTTTGCCGAGATACACGAGGTCCAAAGCATCAAGGGAGCCCCAAAGGTCACACTGCTCGTCAAGTTCCGATCGTAATAGGGCTGCACTGACAGAATGGTTGGCGTTGACCAGTTTATCGAATACCGCATCTACCAGTGCAGAGAATGGAAGACACATCAAGGATGGTTCCGACAGTCTGATATCGTTGAATGTACTCGGAGGTTGTTCAGAAGGCTCTGTATCATCTGGGAGAGCGTTGAGGTGTCTTAGAAAGACCATATTCTTTCCTGTCGTAAATACTTTGTTGACGGCTGGCTCCAGAAACTTCGGGATATTATGTCGCTGGAATCCCTCGTCCAGTACATACCAGTCGTGCCACAGTGTGCGCAAGTCGCCATTCTCTTGTTTCAATTGTACGAAGAAAGCACTGTCGAGCGGATCGACTTGTCCTGTCTCCATCCAAAGCTGAATAGATCGCGTATATGTTTTAAAGCAGGAGAAAAACAAGGCAGCCAGTACTTCCGAGGTTTTCTCATCACCGAGTGCTTCAAGCATGCACACTGTGTCAAAGAGAGAATCAAGGCACAGCATCGGCTGTGATTCGTTGTAGCTCAATTTGGAAATCAGGTTAGCCAGCAGCAATAGATGGTGAGCACGAGGCCGCGCATCATCATATAATTGGAGAAGGCTGATTGTTTCGCCAGGAGACAAATATTGGCATTGAGTTTGAGAGAGGAACCCATCGTATTCGAGCAGAAGTTCCTCGAGGCCTCGGCTGAACGTCTGCATATAAGGGATTTTCTGCGGAAGGCGGGAGAACACGCGCACCATATCTAATTGAGATCCAATGTGTGTAAACCCATCCAGCAGAGACAAAATGGCGTCGGATGATGCATGGGCAAGCGTGTATCTGCGGTCGACCTCAATCTCATTATCCAGACGCCAGAAAATGGATGTTGGCAAGCCCTGAAGCATGAAGATGACTTCTCTGGCAAATTGTAATTCGGTCACAGCTCGCGTTGCACTTGCTTTGTCTCGAGCGATCAGAGGATTATTTTCCGGTTTCCAGAACTGAACTTTCTCTATGGAAGAGATCAGTTCCCTGTCCTCTCCTGACACGAACACCTCATCTGGAATGACGTAGTCTTCAGAGATGCTAGGCGTCCGAGGCATGGCAGGCGGATGCGATCCCTCGCTAGATACGTAAACCAGCTCATCATCTGAAGATTCCGCAGCAAAATCCACTGGCTCCCAAATGTCTTCCTCGTCGAAAGCGCCGCCTAATTCTTTCAAGTCCGATAACGATAGTGGTTTCTCGTCAGAGGTCTCTACTGGCTTTGAGAGATTGTCAAGCGTAGACAATGTGGCCGGGCGATCAGAGAGCTGCAAAAGCAGGCTGAGCATTTCTGGTTTCCATGAGCTGCGATTCTCCTCTAGCTCGAGGAGGCGCTCATGTAAAGCTCCGGCTAGGTCATCTCGATTCACAACCTGAAATTTCTCTTTCAGGCCTTCTAGTTGGCGTGCCACGACAAATTGATCAGTGAGACCATGAGCGCCAGGACGCAAAGCAGCTCCAACACGTCTTTTCAGGTTCACAACGCGCGTGAAATCCTATATTGAAAGTAAGTATTGGGTGTCGCACAATCATAAGAAATTAAAAACATCATCAACACTCCACTTGCCTTCCGATCAGCAGGGACTTTCGTGACGGTGTAGATCAGCTCATCAACGAGGGGGCCCAAGGCCGCAGCCATGATTGAACCCTTGTATCCGAATCACCGAAAAAGAGACCAAGTCCGAGGTTAATAAAAGGTCGAAGTGGATTCAATGTTTAAGAGCGGCCGCGCGGATGCCAACTGGAGTCGATTGGATGACGCGGCGGAACCTAAGCCTGAAGGAGTAAAGTGGCTCCGGAGTCCATCAAGTTGTTCCTTCAATGCATCTTCCTCTCCCCCCTTTCGCATCTTATCATTCCCCGACCATCACATCATGGCGGTCGCACGTCCGATTCGCATGCTGGGTGCAGCATGTATTCTACTTACTCTATTCATGATCTTCAATTTGCGCCAATCTTCCGACCAACCCTCCACCAAATTGACTAATGGGATGACCCGGGATCCCCTTCTAGACCGTGCGTCTCTCGCCACTCATCTTCCCTACTGAATTATTAGCGCCCACGCACCCTATACTGACTCCATGATTTAGCTACGGGAGAACCGGAAGGAGAATTATGGCGAGCTGATGAGCATGACTATTCCCCTGATAGCGAGAACTCCGCACGCACCAATGCCGCCCTGATCTCGCTCGTTCGCAATGAGGAAATTAACGACTTGCTCCATACCATGCGCGACCTTGAACGTACCTGGAACAACAAGTTCAACTACCCTTATATCTTCTTCAACGACGTTCCCTTCACCGAGGACTTCAAACAAAAGACTCAGGCTATCACCAAGGCCAAGTGTCAATATGGTTCGTTTTCCAATTCATCGCGGCCTTTCAATATGTTTCCCCAGGCGCTTATCTAACTCATTGCGCTCTTGTAGAATTGGTTCCCAAGGAGCACTGGGATGTCCCAAGCTGGATCAGCATGGATCTTTTCCGCGAATCCGCCCAGATGCTGGAGGATGAAAACATTCAGTACGCCTCGAAGATCTCTTACCACCAGATGTGCCGCTGGAACAGCGGCTTGTTCTACAAGCACCCCGCCCTCGAGGGATACCGTTACTACTGGCGCATCGAGCCCAAGGTCAAGTTCTTCTGTGACGTTGATTACGATGTGTTCCGATACATGGAGGATCGTAACAAGACCTACGGTTTCACTATCAACCTCTACGATGCTCCCCAGACCATCCGCGAGCTCTGGCCCACCACCAAGAAGTTCCTTGCCGCCAACCCATCCTATCTGAACGAGAACAACATGTTGGACTGGATCACTGAGGACAAGATTCGCCCCGAACACACCGAGGGCGCCAATGGCTATTCCACCTGCCACTTCTGGTCCAACTTCGAGATTGGTGACATGGATTTCTTCCGCGGCGAACAGTACGAGGCGTACTTCGAACATCTTGACCGCGCCGGCGGCTTCTTCTATGAGCGTTGGGGCGATGCGCCCGTCCACTCCCTCGGCATTGGTCTGTTCGCAGACTCCAACAATGTGCACTGGTAAGTTTGTCTTCGCCTTTCACCTCAATATCTTACTAATACTTTCCCTCTCAGGTTCCGCGATATCGGTTATAATCACATTCCCTACTACAACTGTCCGAACTCACCTAAGTGTTCCGGCTGTGATGCCGGCCAGTTCTTCGCCGGTGCCGACTGGCTCCAGAAGGAAGATTGTCGTCCATCGTACTTCAAGTATGTTGGAACTCACTAAGTGACAAATTCTGGCAACGATCCACCTTCAAGGCCTGTCCTTTGATGACTTGATAACCCTGCATTATCTTTTGCATACCCAATGAGTATATTTTCCCTTCACTCGGTGGTTTTGGTACCCGGCGTTTAAAGCGGATACGTCCCTATTGATGAACTGTTGTGCCCATCTTCATACTGTTTTGCCTTTGGTGCCTGATTATCTGCGGAGTTTCTTTTTTATCTTCTGCTATTTCGCTCTTGTCTCTTTCGGCACCATTCCCCTTTTCATAAAATATGTTTCTGCTAGCTGCGGCCGATGACTCCCATGAGTACCGAGGCAAAGCCAGTATTCTTTGTACTTATATCGATTGCACATTACGGAATTTTCTTGGACATGGATGTCTTCTATATATGCCAAGGTTCTAGCCTTCGGATGGTCATTATCTGAGCATCTTGTGTTGTCTGTTCCAGACAGAAGATGTCTGTTTATCCAAGTACGAAGAGAAAATATAATTTGGTTCTTAAAATCACATGTCGCATTGCATCAAACCTAAACATGCTGTGTGTGGGCTCTGCACTAAATCTACGCGATAATTTACGTTTACAAGAACAAAAACTCGGTATCAGCAGGACAAGAAGATGAATTAAGTACCAATCAAGGCACGCAAGACCCTTTTCCAGACAGCAACAGTACTAACAACACAGGAGATCTCTAAAAGTATGTATACAGCTTTCAATCTTCTACCCGATCAGCGTCCCAGCCAACGCATACCGATGTGTACTATAGCGCGCATCGACGACGGGTGAATGGAGGGTGTGTATGGGTACGGTACGGAGTGAGAAGAAAAAGTGAAAAGGCTCGGGGGGGATTCGGCGTTGGAACACAAAAGAAAACGAATTCAAGACGCTAATTTACTCCTCCTGGGGGTAGAGCTCTTCACGGAGAGCAACGCCCAACTCCTGGCGCAGGCTCTCAAGAGCAGTCAGGTATTGCTTGTACTGCTCCTGGGTCTCGACCTTAGCCTTGATGCCTATAATTGAAACAAGTTAGCTAATGCTTTCTCTCGCGAGACATATACATTCATAAGGAATGATTCAATGCTGTCTTGTTTCACTTCATTTCGCATAGGGGAGTGCGCATACCCTCGAAAACACGGACAGCGGTGGGGAAGTCGTTCACGCGGCGGGCGGCCTTCAGGGCAGCGGTGAGGACCTCAACGGAGGGGACGAGATCGTAAGCGAAGCAGTTGTTCAGGTTGCGCTAAGAAGGAGTCGAAGTTAGATTTATGCAAATTGGCATTATAAGGAGTCAACGATGAAGATTGGTGATCGGGCAAGATCGGCAACTGATATCGCATGGTTTCGGGGAGGATTGCAGCATAAGATAAGTGAGATGTGTATCTTACCTGAAGCTCGAAAACATCCTGTACACCGTCGAACTCCTTCTCAAATCTACAATTGGAATATCCAGTCAGTATAACAACTTCTTATCGACCACGAAATGGCATCGTCATGGGACTCGGCTAGCGATTATTATAGACGCAGGTTCGAGACCCCATTCCGCAGCCTCCCTAGGCTCTACAGATGCCAATGGTATGCAGGGCGTATCGTACCGGGCGGAGAACTCCTCATATGTCTCATCCTCGTGGCCGGAGAGCATCTTGGAGGTGGTGCCGAAAGTGCGGGCGCGGGCGGCCATAGTCACTGGGACCTGAACCCGGGAGCGGACGATAGGAGCTCGGACGAAGCTGGCAGGGCGGACGGCGCGCGTGGCGATGCGGAAGATAGAAAGGGACGACATGGCGGGTCGGCTGGTTGAACCAAATTGGGAGGGAATTGGTGAGGGGAGAGTGGATGGAGATTGGGAAGGGAGAAGGACGAAGTTGTCGTGTAGCCGGCTGGATTTTGCGGGTGGTGTGGTGTCGATGCCTGAGGCTGCAGATGAGTCAGCGCGCCGAGATGGCCCGGGGCTGTTTGATCTCAAACACTCGGCTCTGATTGGTGGAGCCGTCGATGGCAGCTCCGAGTACATGTCATCTCCGCCTCGTCGACTGCACATGTGGTATTTTGTAGCTTTAAGGTTGAAATCAAAATTCCCTACTCATTCTTCCCATGATATATAAATATTCTAAAAATAAAGTATTACTCAATTCTCTCTTTACTCGAGACATACCTAGCCCTGGAGCGAAGTAACAGAACCTTGGAATGTTTATTTATTTTTTCTTGATCAACAGCGCTGAGATATAGCTATGTATTCCTGAGCAAAAGACCGGTTGATGCTTTTTGTACTGCCGTTTTGTCCAAAAATGCTGATCAATTCAATAAAAAGCTAATTGGAATATCAATTCAAACACAGGAGATAAAAACCCAAGAAAGCCCTCTCCAGCCGGTCGTGTGTTCGATTCTGGTCGCTTTGTAGTCTCTGAAAGTCAATTATACTCAGAGGTTCGTAGTGGCCCCAACCATATTAGATCTGAGACTCGACTCGCGCACTAGTAACAAGGTATGAAACTACAAATAATTGATTTGAGCTCGGACTGTAAAAGCATACCGAGACTTCTTGATTATTTAAAAGGGTCATCAATTCATATGTACATCGCTTACTGCGTTTCTTTTCTATATACAGTTTTAATACTGTCCAAATTTACCTTTTTATCCATCTGACATATTGACTGGCATATTGACGAACATACGAGCTTGAGTGGACAAATAAACAGCCAATTAGTGGTCCATAGACTGCCCAATAAACCCCAAGGCTGAGCCACAAAGTGTAATTTGATCTCCAGAAGCGAACGGGCAACTGACGACCGTCCACATAGGCCAGAGCAAAATATTGCTGTTTGCGAACTTGGAAGTTCACATGGGCTGGAAAGCACCGTTCAGATCCAAAAACCTAATGGTCGAGGAGACGGAATAGCAGATTATTTCGAGAAGGATGGCTATGCGGTCTTCAATACTCTCACAGAACCCCACCATACTGTCGGGAAGATTGGACATGCTGAATCCTGGATCATAGCTTTGAACCTCGTCACAGCATGTAAGGACGTTAGAATAAAACACAATTTGAGCGGAATGCGTAATTGCTAAGAAGGTTATGGTCCAGAGATCTGAAGACGGAGGTGCGGAGCCTGATGTGAGAATGTTGCTGTCTAGAAGGTATTGCCCGCGACAGGCAACTATTCTCATATATTTCATGCTCCTCCAAACCATGACCTGATTCAGACATGATTCATATGAAGGTTTTCTGGCTATCCACATTGTGTTTGCCGTTGCCGCGCTTGTCGGTCTTTTCATGTAAGTTTAAAAATGACAATGAGACAGTAAGAGCTCATAGCTAATTTTAACTAGGGACACGAGCTTTGGCAGACAGGAGTTTGTCGGGTATCTGTGGACTTCCGCTGGACTTTGGATCTTTGATAGACTTCTCCGTGTCGTTCGTATGGTCTACTGCAACATGAACGCTCATGTTGGAGGTGGCTTTTTGCGGGCCACATCTTCCACGGCCACTTACGACCCAGTCAGCGACCTCATCAAGATTGAGATAGTTCCCGGAGTGACGACAAGCCCAAACCTGGTCAAAATTACTTCTTGTACCAGGGAGGTATTCTTAAGTTTTTGGAGAACCACACTTTCTCACTGGGTGCTTGGGCATCAGCTTCCGAAGTTAAAGCGGAAAATGGCTCGCCGAAAGATAATCTAAAGAAGCTCATTTTCTATATCCGCCCTTACGATGGATGGACTCGCCGTCTTCCTGATCAATGCCGCAAGGCTAGTGGGGTGTTTCACCCCAAACTTCTCCTAAAAGGGCCTTACGGGCATACCGAGCCTATGCACCATTTTCACCGGAATCTTATTGTCGTCGGAGGAACCGGTATTGCTTGCATCGTAGTCAAGTGAATGACCATGCGACACAGAGATATAAAATCAAAAATGAGAAACCTGTATTATTTTTCCCAGAAGTATCTTTGATATGTCCGGGTACTTCAGTCGCAGGGAGTTTGTTGTCCGTAAACACAAGAATCACGATACATATCGCGATTGAGCCAAAAACTAGAATCTGGTCCCTTACCTGCTATCTCATCTGGAACGTGTAAAAGCGAGCGAAACCAAAACCTCACGGTTTCGCCTTGTTTGGGTCATGTGCTAGCGTGCAATGTGGAATCAAGTATTCACTGATGAATTGGAATACATTTTAAAAAGCCGTGATATCACTGTAACTGCCTACTGCACTAAGCTCACGGGCAGCCTTGAAGATTCGAGCTCACAAAACTCGAGCTTGGATGAGATGAAGATACCCTATGAGAAAACCTCGGCAGTCTTATCTACGCCGGTTAGCACAACTAGCTAGACTGGAGAACGCTTTATGTCGGGTCGCCCCAACATGCGTTAGCTTTTCATCGCGGAGGTGGCAGAGAGCAAGGACAGCTCCTCAAGTCTTGGCGAACTGACCTGCGGGCCTGCTCAAATGGCCAATGAGAGTCTATCTTGTGTTTTCGAAACTATGAAGCATGGCTTCCATGAAATTGATTACTTTGAGGAGGCTTTTGGATGGTGGTCAATGGAGGAACACCAAGTGATATGTAGAGGATTGATGAGATGTTTTAAAAAGTTGTACAATTTCACTGTTTGAAAATGTTAGAACCTCTTTATGTAAGCCCTTAGACAAACCCTAACTTAGAGCGCATCGCACTCAGCTCGTGCTCGTGCACGTGTGGCAACACCCCAAGGGCCATCGTCGATCACCATGTCAGAAGTCTATCACAACTTGCAATGGGTCGTAATCTTTACCGCCCAATACACCGCTATCTGTACTGTACCCTCGACATGGCCCTGGAGCCCTGGGTGTTACCGTATTACCGGTATCGTAGTTTCTGCCTGTCTAAAATAGTACTTTTGCCGTGGTTACTGTGGTCGTAGTCATGGAGAGGTAAATGGATTTAAACGCAAAAAAGTTACATACAAAAGTGGTGTAAAAATGATCAAGGTCCGTTTTTTCTACCGTGAGGTCTGCCTTTCTAATACCACTCAACGACTGTATCAATGTATCTCTGTAAGCAACGCAACATACATCTAAATTTCTGTAAAGCAAAGAATTCAGTGGAAAGCAGCAACAAGCCTGCTATAAGCACCTATCCCAAATAATAAGGGGTATGAAATCATCAATTGATTAGATGGATGGAAATTCGAAAGTTTTGATTGGCAGAAAGAAAGGTAACAGAAGAAGAAATGCGGTTGATAGTTATCGGACCCAGATTATTTCAACGCAACTGCACTGTCTGGAACTATTGATGTATAGTACAGATGGATCAATAGCTGTTATCAATACAGTATGTTTACATAGGGATAGAAAATGATATATCGTAAATGCAAATTATTTTTACGCCCAATGAAGGCCATAGAGGTACGAAAGGCGACCTACGATTGGTACTCGGACCCGCCGACCCACCGTTCTCCCGTTCTCCTGGGAATCTGGATAGGGGAATTTACCCGTTCCCCGTCCAACCACAGATCTAATTCACCTGAAGAACCCCCTGTCACGATCACGATCTACACGACATTATAACACACTCGTCAGGAAAATGTCCATAAGAAGAATAGCCCGAGATCACATTGTGGCGATGCAGTAGATTGGCGATGCTCCATGATGGGTTACTTGCCACTAATTCACATGGTAATCTAAGGTAAATCGTTCACGAGACTTAATATTTTGTCTACTGTACGTACGTATTGAAGAGGGGAAATAGGCCTGTATTGGAATACTAGTCAGATAAACCCACAGCAAAACATCACTATCTTTCCCTGGTCAACGCGGGAAGTCAGAATCGCAGAACGTAGCAGCCATGTGATTAAAAGAGTGTAAGAAGTGTGTTATTCAGAACTAATCGTAACGCGATGCTGAGCTTAACCTCTTGGTCCACTTCCCTCGTGTAACAATTACAGCAAATACGGATTAATCGGATATGCCAATGAAATCATGGATCTTCTGCTCCGTGAAGAGCTGAAACTTGTTATGTATTTACTCGATGATCCTTTTTTTTACCAGGTGTTTTATTTTTAATGGGGACTCAGCTCTTTTCAGCTTGTAGATCTCTTTCTGGACCCACCTTCCACCCACGTTTATCCACAGTGCACTACGAAAGCCAAGAGTGATTGGCGATTCGGATCTCGCTGCTCCACTGACAATACCAAGCCACTAGTGCAATGCTCAGTAATATACGTGTACAAGCTAACTTGCCACAGGTATGGTGTGTTGTTCATGTATCCCTTGCTGTTGCCGTATTGATCGTCGCGATGCCCCGGTCGAACTCTTTGCACTCCGCAAGCATGTCATTGCAGACTACTAGCGATGATCTACCCCATGAACTAAAAGCTCCTTCTTCTCTGAACGGAGCCTGAAGACAGATTTGTCTATGTGTGATTGGTCCGGTGTTCCGCTTGGATACACCTCTCCAGAATGACAAGCGACACAGAGAGCTCGGCGATGGTGTCTCTCGTCGCAAACTCCCTCGGCTTGGCCGGTGTCGCCGTCTGTAGCATTTCGGCCTTGAGGAGCATATTCCGTCAGATGATGCGAAATGCAAAGTCCGCAAGCTATGAGCGCATCCCCGAAATCTACGAAGATCGAGATGGACCCGCGGCGTCGAGAGCAGTGCCTTATCTCTCCGACGGGATTCTGCGACAAATAGGTGCGATTCTAGTGCTAATTGGGACCATGGTGACATTATCGCGTGCCGTCCTGACCACGGACAAAGCCAACTCGCCGTTCATGATCGAACAGTGGCTGCAGTTCTCTGCCTGGGTTTGTCATTCCACTTTTTCTAAGCTTCATCGCTGACAATCAATTGATCAGATTCTTCTTTCAATGCAATGGGGTGCTATCCTGACTGAGCCGCTTTCCACGATCCGATTCCGTATGGCCTGCCATACATCTATTGGGAGCGCCCTCTGGATGGCCATGGCGTTCGCCGAGATGCTCGCGCAATTCAAATCCTCGGTATTTGACAAAGTCCAACTGATCCTCGCCACGATCCAATTCTTTCTTGCCACCTTCTCCGCCGCCTTAGCCCTTTTCCTACCCCGTCGTCCGGATGTTTTGCGAAACGGGACCATTATAGACCGGCAATTCACCACTACGGCTCTGGGCCGACTGACCTTCAGCTGGGTGGAGCCTTTGATGAATCTTGCTGTTCGGAACGAATCTGTGGACATGAAGGATCTGGCAGAGTTGGATTACGATACAAGATCAAAAACTCTTCACGCGTCATTTAACGAGCAAAAGACACAAGATTACAGAAATAGGACTCCGCAAAGATTATGGAAAAGGGTGATCCTCTGTCACAAATCTGCCATCATCCTCCAGTTCATCATGGCCATCACTGTCTCGTTTCTTAGCTTTCTGCCCCAAATCGCCCTCTTAGGAACCTTGAGGGCGTTGGAGGCACGGTCGCAGAGCACCGAACAGTCGACTCACGTGTTCATTTGCGTGTTGGGGTTCGGAGTATCCATGATCTCGTCGTCGACCCTCGATGTATGGCTACTCTGGATTTCCACCAGCCGTCTCGGCATGAAGATTTCCGCACAGCTCACAGTGGTCATATTTGACAAGTCTATCCATCTACAAAATGTCAAAGATTCCGTTCAGTCAATCGAAAATTCTCAAGAGGAAACAAGCGAGCATTGTCACAATTCAGACACCTCTAAGAACACACGCCAGAGTACCCTCAACCTGATGTCAGTAGACGTCAAGCGAATCGCCGACTTCGCATCCTTTAACTACTTCCTTTACCAGTGTCCCCTCAAGCTGGGAGTTGCCTGTACACTTTTGGCTAGCCTCGTTGGCTGGGAGGGTCTTTTGGCTGGACTGTCCGTCCTAGTCATTACGATCCCACTCAACGCATATGCGGCGAGGAAGTATTCTGGGTCCCAGGCTCAAATCATGAAGACACGAGACCTTAAGATGGCGGTAATTGTCGAAGCTCTACGAGGAATTCGCCAAATCAAATTTACTTCGCTGGAGTCCTCGTGGGAGGAAAAGATCAATGCGTTCCGAGATACCGAGCTTCGAGCACAGTGGAGAGCCTTTATCTGGCAGACGGCTCTCTTTGCTCTATCCCTCTTTAGCCCTCTCATGCTTTCTGCGGCAGCACTTGGGGTTTTCGCTCTCGTAAATGGGGGTTTGCCGGCTTCTGTTGCATTTACAGCTGTATCGGTCTTTGGGTCGATTGAAAACACTCTCGCTGTTTTCCCGGAAAGTATAGCTTGGCTTGTCGACTGTGCAATCAGTCTGAGACGCCTCGAATTTTTTTTGAAGCTGCCCGAAAACACATGCCAGTTGATCCCAGCTGATAGAATTTCATTTGTAAATGCTACCATATCTTGGCCATCGGGCGCCGACGAAGGATCGATCAGAGGCCGTTTCGTACTCGAGGATATTACCATGGAACTCCCCAAGAGTGGGTTGAGTGTTATTTCGGGACCGACAGGATCAGGGAAAAGCCTTCTGTTATCCGCAATTCTTGGCGAGTCTGACGTTCTGAGCGGAAGTATCAAGGCCCCTCTGCGGCCTACCTTCCAAGAACATTTTGATGGAAACAATGGGCAATGGATTATAGAATCAGCAATGGCCTATGTAAGCCAGGTTCCTTGGATTGAGAACGGATCCATTAAAGACAATATTCTCTTTGGCCTGCCCTGCGATTCCGAGCGATACCAGGATGTTCTGTTTGCTTGCGCCCTGGACAAAGACCTCACCATACTCTCAGATGGCGACCTCACCGAGATTGGAGCCCAAGGTGTAAACATTAGTGGTGGGCAGAAATGGCGCATCTCCTTGGCCCGCGCGCTCTACTCTCGCGCCGGAATTCTCGTTATGGATGACGTGTTCAGTGCTGTTGATATACACACGGCTCGACACATCCTTGACCACGCCATCACCGGCCAGCTCACACGGGGAAGAACACGTGTGCTCGTTACCCATCATACAACCCTTTGCCTCTCGGCCATAGACTATGCCGTTCATCTGGATAACGGTAGAGTTTGCTATACCAAAACAGGGAATGAACTGAGACGGGATGGTGGACTTCAGATTCCAACCAACCAGGCCCTTGATGCGGAATTCGATGACTCAATATTGATGGATGCCACGCAGTCTCCTGGAGTTACCAATGCTTCGCGGCCCTCCTGTGGGATAGAAGATACACAAGATGGCGGCAAACAACCATCCCGTAAACTTGTGAAGGATGAGGGTCGAGCGAACGGCGCCGTTAAGTGGAAAGTATATAAAGGCTACCTCGCACAGGGTGGTAATATCTGGCTCTGTGCTATTCTACCGATTGTTTATCTGGGTTACAGTGGCCTGATGATTGCCCGAGTAGGTCTTCAATCCTTCTTAAAAGATTTTCTATCACTGACGTCTTCCACAGGCATGGTGGCTCAATGTTTGGACTAGTCACCAGTCAGCCCCAGAGCAAGACATATCGGTCATTCATCAAGCTGTGAACTATATGGCTGTACAGAAGATTCAGCTAGATGACGATATAGGCTTTTCGATCGCCGTCTACGTCGGAATTTCCCTATTAGCATGCGTCGCAGGTTCCCTGCGGGTTTATTTCATGTTCTCTCTTTCTCTTCGTGCATCCCGCAACCTTTTCCGTCATCTCCTGCATGCCATTCTCAGAGCCCCACTTCGTTGGCTGGATACGGTCCCTCTAGGACGAATCCTCAATCGCTTTTCGGCGGATTTCAGTGCGATCGACACCCAAATGGGATTGACGCTGGGTAACACGATCTATTGCGCAATTGAAGTAATTGGAGCTGTTTTTGCCGGTGCCATGGTCAACCCTGTGCTCGCCGTCTTAACTGGAATCATAGTTATAGTCTCGCTTTCCTTCTCCCGAAAGTACCTCGCGGCTGCCCGTGAGGTTAATCGATTAGGAAGTACAGCCAAGAGCCCCATCTTTGTCCAGTTTGATTCCATGCTAAGTGGCCTCGACACTATCCGGGCGTTTGGAAAAAGCGAAAATTACATATCTCGTGTTCAGGCGGCGGTCGATCGCCATGCACAAGCCTATTGGCATGGTTTGCTTCTAAACCGATGGCTTGCTTTCCGCATGGAGCTGATGGGGTTTCTCTTCACCTTCACAACGATGGTATTGGTGACATTCGCTAAGGGAATCACCGCTTCGGTTGCAGGATTTGCTATTAGTTTCGCGCTGCGCTACACGGGGGTAACCTCCCGCGCAATCCGGGTATACGTCACCCTAGAAATGGCCTTGAACAGCACCGAACGGGTTCAGGAATATTCCGATATTGATATTGAAGAACCTTACGGAATCGATCCTCCCGCTACTTGGCCAACTGAAGGACGTCTAGATGTATCTAACCTTGTGGTGGGCTATGCACCAGATCTGCCACCTGTCTTAAAAGGGCTCAATTTCCAGGCGGAACCAAACCAGCGCATCGGCGTTGTAGGACGAACTGGCGCCGGCAAATCCTCCCTAGCATTGGCATTATTCCGTTTTTTGGAAGCTCGCCAGGGTCAAATTCTTGTAGATGGGATCGATATTGCTAAGGTGAAGCTGCATCATCTTCGCAGTCGGCTAGCCATTATTCCCCAAGATCCAGTACTCTTCTCAGGTACAGTGCGATCCAATTTGGATCCTTTCGATCAGCACGATGACATGGAGCTACATAGTGCTCTTGAACAAGTTAATTGGGGTGGTGGCAGTGCCACCTCTAAAAGTGTCACTGATGAGAGTACCATTTTGGGTACCGCATCGAACAGCTCAATAGCCTCGGCAACGACTCGATACTCTAGTGACGGACTTTTTAGCAAGGTCGGTTCACTGCTCGATCAGCCTATCTCCCAAGGGGGTCAAAACCTGTCTCAGGGCCAGAGGCAGCTTCTATGCCTGGCGCGAGCAATCATTTCTAGGCCGAAGATCATGGTCCTGGATGAGGCCACATCGGCAGTTGATGGGGACACGGACGAGTTTATACAGCAATCAATCAGATCTGAGTTTGGACGCAATTCCACCCTTCTCGTCATTGCTCACCGCATCAGTACGATCGCGGACTTTGATCGAATCCTTGTTCTTGACGCTGGGAAGGCCGTTGAATTTGGACCACCGCGTGATTTGATGAAGATCGATGGGGGTGTCTTTCGATCGCTGGTGGAGGAAAATGGAGATAGAGAGGTGCTTGAAAATATTATTTTTGGGTAAGGCGAGAGGCGTGAATTACACTTGAACATTGCTTCGTCTTCCATTTCGGCATTCAATGGCTATAGATAGGTATCTAGGTCACTATATAATCAGACTTAATGTACAACAGAGCCGACAGGCAAAAAATATATCTATTCAACTTAACGACACATTGAGAAGGGAAGCCTAAATGTTCAAGTTTTGTGGTGCGTCTTCAGGGAATAAAAATGGTGCCTCAGGCTGCTTCATTCAAATGTTTCATCTCCACATTGGGTTAGATAAGGACTGAGCCCCACCTCATGAACACTTCGCAAAAGTTATAAACAAAGTCCGTTTGTTATGATTCTCTGCGGCGTCACTCTTTTTGTAACCGGCAGGCCGTTTTCTCACGAGATCCGATGAGCATCATTAAGCATCGTCAATAATGCTAGACGAAACTGCTCCTCTCCTTTCTGGACAGCAGAAACACACGTCAAGATGGCACTCGGTCTACTGGCTGTGCACTTCCGTCTTCTGTGTCTGTATTGCGACATCTTTCCTCAATGTACCCCTGACACAGCTCATTGAAAACAATATATGCAATCAATACTATCAGCAAATCCTGGCTGAGAGAAACTGTAAGACTGATAGAATTCAGTCTGAGGTAGCTTACCTGATTGGGAACCTCAATCTCGGCGAAGCCGTTGTCGGTATGTGCTATCCATAGCGGTGATGAAAACCCGAACGCTTACACTGCCAGGCCTTTTGGTGGCTTTTCCTTTTGGAACCTTGTCGGATAGGTAAGAACTCTCTGAACTGGTTACCCATAGGACTTCAAGCTCATCTGGTCGTAGGGTTGGTCGAAAGCCAGTGCTTATTTTATCCATAATTGGATCAACTCTCAATATCGCTTGGCAGCTGGGCGTCATCGCGTTGCCAAAAATTATCAATATTCAAGCAACTCTAGCTGGTCCGCTATTGATGATCATTGGTGGTGGAAACACTGTGCTTTTAGCTAATATGTATTCCATCGCGTCAGACTTGGCAGATCCGTCAGATAGGTATTATTATAACCTTAACTCTTACATTCAACTAGATCTTAGCTAACTGCTGAAATCAGGACTTCGACTTTCTTTTTGATGGCATTAGCTGCCTTGGTGGGAAATTCCATTGGCCCGGCCATCTCGTCAAAACTCATGGAGTCATATGTTTCATGGATCCCCGCTGTCTTGAGTTTATTCATGATTATGTCTTCTTTGATTCCACTGTTCTTTGTGCCTGAAACTTTATCTTCCACCAAGAACACGATTGACCAAGAAAGTGATGAAGTCGGCTGCGAGCAACCACATCCCAGGTCTATCCGCTTCCAACTTTCACAATCACTCGATCAATTTCTCGCGTCTTTCTCCGCTCTAAAGTCTTACTCTTTGATTATCGTATCGTCGATATTTCTAGCCGTTACGCCAGACCTTGTGGCAACTTCTCAGTTTATGGCTCAGTACATAAGCAAGCGATTCGGTTGGTCACTCGCCAAAGCAGGCTATCTAATAACCCTTCGTGGGGCTATTAACCTCATAGTTCTACTTCTTCTCCTTCCTCTTTTATCCAAAATCCTGCTTCGTTACCGCAGTCCTGCTGCAAAAGATCTAATTCTTGCAAGTGTATCAATCATATTCATCGCAGCTGGGGCACTTCTCATGGCGGCCCCGCAGATTGGAACACTGATAGTTGGACTGGCAGTGCATAGTCTAGGGTCAGGCCTTTCACCGATTCTGCGCTCTCTCGCAACAAGCTACGTGGCAAAGGAAGATATGACCAAGCTTAACACTATTCTCGGGATGGTTGAGATGTCGGGGACCCTATTTGCAGGACCTGTACTTGCCTGGTCATTTGATGCAGGAATGAAGCTAGGTGGTATTTTAATGGGGCTGCCTTATTTTGGCCTGGCAGGATCATTCATGTTGTGTTTTGTTGGTTTACTATTTGTTCGATCCTCTTCCTCAGAGCCAGATCTTGATGAATAAAGTAGAAAATACACGACATCGCAATTGCATCAAAGATCTTTTAGAATTTTTATATCAATGCCCGTGATGAGATCATTAGGAAATAACATTTAAGCCGGCCTTCGAGCCAAGGGTAGGTATTTCTTTAATTAAAAAACGCTCAGCGCTATTGTCCCCCGTAGCCGGGAGTGATATCTGTTCTATAATCCGGGGTGAATCAAAGCTAATTAATGTAAGGTTACGGGCGGTTCATCCTGACAAAATACCCCCAGTCAACGGCCAATCAGCTTGAACCGAACGCCTTATCGCTTATCAGCTTATAGGTTCTCAATATACTCCTAGTTTGACCAGGGTATACAGACAAGTGCATATGTCGAGATAAGCCCGGATGGACGCCAAGCCAGCCTTTACTAGGGTACCACCGGATCCCCGACGGCGAATCTCCAACGTACATGGACCAAGCCAAAACTGCGAAGGCGTAATCACTAGCCGCATTTGATCTAGGGATCTATTCAAGACAAAGAAAATTGCCTGGTTAAATCTCATGCCTTTCCAGGCTGCACTGTTATCCCGTCTACTTAGGGATCTGCATCTGCATCGTGAAATTCTAACCAAGATCTCAGTTTGGACACGCAATACCCGTCAGGCTGCACCTCAATATTGTTGAACTCCATTATGGTACAAGCTCGGGCCTTGGGCGTATGCGGGGACGCCCAGTTTGGCCCTATCGTCGCTACAACGGAATGTCGCGATGGATTCGATTTCACTGTCAATTTTGAGTCGGTGATGATGAGCATCATCCCCGCCGCTTGCTTTCTCTTGTTAGCATTTTTTCGAGCGCTTCACTTGCTGCGAAAGTCACGGACTGTGACCTCTTCCACGTTTCGAGTGGTCACACTAGTAAGCAGTTTCCGGCTATCTGCGCTATCTAAGATTCAGCAGTCTCCTAACATTGCGCGGTACTAGAGCGCGTCGGCAACATTTGCAGCTTTGCAAATTGCATTAGTGGTGCTAGTTCTCAAAAGTCACCCCATTTCAGAACCTACCCTACTTACAAGTGCCATTCTCGACCTTTTGGCGGCACTGCTCATTATCCCACTTGTTGATCTAGAACATGTCAGGTCCGTTCGTCCGTCATTTCTAGTATCTGCCTATCTGTTCATCACAGCACTTTTCGATATTGCTCGGGTGCGCACATCCTGGCTCCTACCAGACAACTATGTCTACTCCGCTGTGCTTTCTACATCGCTAGCCATCAAGCTGGTTCTCTTGCTGCTGGCCAGTGTGGAAAAGAAGCACTGGTTTCGATCCGCCAATGAACCCCACTCAGTAGAAAGTTTGAGCGGCCCGTTCACACGTGGTTTATTTACCTGGCTGAATGGATTACTTTTGAGAGGTCGATCTGCGGTGCTTGCAGTAGATGATCTCCCAACCGTTCACGAAAAGCTTTTGTCTTCGGATTTGTCGGATCGATTCGCAAATGCTTGGGCTGGGTGCGACCAGACCAAAGGAAATGCATTTTTCTGGGTGCTGCTCAAGTCTTTGCGCTGGGAAATGATATTAATTGCCTTTCCTCGGATTTGCGTAGTTGGATTTAGTATCGCCCAGCCATTCTTGATAGGGAAAGTAGTCAGTGTTTTACAGGAGAGCGATGATTTATCTTTAAAAATGAGCTATGGCTTACTTGCAGCAACTGGGATTATTTTCACCGGAATCGCTGTACGTATTTACTGTTCTCCTGAGTGCTGATAACCAGACTGATATTCCTTTTCAGGTCTTCAGAGCTTCTTATGAACATCTGGGATACCGTGCTGCCACCATGATCCGAGGCGGTTTGATGAGTCTTGTCTTCAAGCACATGATGGCTCAGCCTTTGGGAAGTACAGACGAATCCAGAGCCATGTCTCTTATGGGATCTGATATAGAGATGCTAGCTGAGTACTTCTATTCGGTCGCGTGTGAGACGTGGGCGAACGTGCTCCAATTAGCACTAGCTACATGGTTGTTGGCAACAGAGGTCGGTGCTGTCTGTGTTGCACCCGTTATAGTTGCGATCGGTCAGTTCTATCTATGTGTCTATCCCCATTTATCCCATAATTTCACTATCTCACAGACCTACATCAGCATTTACTACTAGTGCCTTCGCCATGGGGAATATCGTTTCCAGTCGGCAAAGGGACTGGCTTCAGGCCACGGAAAAGCGCATCACCTTCACAAGTTCCGTCATGGGTTCCATTCGAAACGTGAAATTTCTCGGCCTATCGGAAATAATGAGTTCCAAAATTGAAGCGTTGCGCTTGGAAGAACTTGTGGTCTCAAAGAGATTCCGACGAATTCAGTCAATCCGTGTTTGCATGAGTGAGTTAAAATACCTGTTCTTTCCTCCCACGAGTTAACCACAGCTATATCAACCTTCTGGTATAATACTGATATCTGTCTAATAGTCAATGCTCCCTTAGCGATTGGACAGCTTGCGACACTGGCTGCCTATGCAGTAGTTGCTTTGCTGCAGGGCTCTGGCGGTCTAGCCGTTAACCAGGCCATTACATCCTTATCACTTATAAGCCTGATGATTACGCCACTCAGCTATCTCATGTTAGCAATTCCTGATACATTTTCTTCAATAGGTTGTCTGTATCGGATCCAAGACTTTCTAAAAAGTCAAAAGTATATTGGTAAGATGTTAGCCCTCTGGTCGCGGACTGGTTGGCTGCGGTCCGGTTTTCTACGCGACGATCATCCTGTATGATAGTAAAACTAATCAAACTATTTGGCTTGCAGAGAAAAGACTTCTTCCGAATACATTGGACAGTCCTTCTCTTTTACATGAAACTGTTTCCGGGGTTGAACTTTCTACCTTACCACAGCTTCTACCCATCGATAACGATGTTGTCGTCTCTCTTGAAAATGTCATCTTTAGTTGGAAATCCCCCAGCACATCGGAGACATCTGGCACATCGGTCAAGTTGAGAGAATCCCCTACTGGGAACCTGGTTGTTCTTTTGGGTCCGGTCGGGTCCGGTAAATCCACTTTCCTCAAGGGTTTGGCAGGTGAAACGCCAGTGTTAAGTGGAGAGCTCTTCGTGAAGTACCCAGACATCGCTTTCTGTGACGACACACCATGGCTATCCAACACATCGATACAAAAGAATATTGTTGGCGAGGATTCAGAATCTGATTTCGACCCTGATTGGTACCGCACCGTTGTGAGTGCATGTGCACTGGACCTGGATTTCATGAAAATGGCAGCAGGCGATCAGACATTAGTCGGCAGTAAAGGATCCAACCTGAGTGGAGGACAGAGACAAAGAATTGTAAGTGACTTTCCGGTATACCCCTACCGATTCAAAAAGTTTGGGTCACTCATTTGGACTTTGCGATATTACATAGGCGATCGCACGAGCAGCCTATGCACGCCGACGAATTGCTTGCTTCGATGATGTTCTAAGTGGCCTTGATAATTCAACCTCGCGAACCGTGTTCAACAATGTCTTCGGTCCGGCTGGACTATTGCGCCGATTGGGTTGTATTGTATTTTTAGCCACACACAGTAGTAAGTTCATCTCTCTCGTAGAATCGCGGCTTGGCTCACCATATTCCAGCTTTCTGTCTACCACAAGCGGACTTGATTATGGTCCTTGGTGAAAATGGAAAAGTAGTCAAACAAGGCACTTATCGCCAGATCCAAGGCGAAATAAAGGGAAGCATTGAAACGGATTATCCTCAACCATCAAAAATGGATAATGAGGTTGAAGGTGACGAGAATCTAAATATGCCTGTAGAGGCTTCCACTCCTAGCACAAACACCGCTTCGTCTACGAAAGCCCGCCAGCGAAAGTCGACCGAACTGGCTGTATACAAGTATTATTTTTCTGCGCTTGGTTGGTCTCGAGTTGCTATTTTGCTTCTTTTTACCGTTACTGAGGCTTCGACGAGCGCATTCCGCTGTAAGTTTCATACAGAATTTCCATTATCCGCATGTCACCAGGCTAACTTTTTCTAAGATGTATGGGTCAGCATGTGGTCCTCCAGTAGTGATAATGCTTCGCGCCTTGGATACTGGCTTGGGATGTATGGAATGCTCTCCGTTGTGCAGACTGTTTCGCTTGTTCTTGCTGTATTGTAGGTTGGCAACTATCACTCTTTCTGGATTATCATGCTCTCTAACATTATCAAGTTGGACCTGGGTCGTCATCGTTCCATTCGCCTCTCGGAACCTCCACACAACGGTGCTTCGGACTTGCATGAGGTAAGACATGTTTGCGTCTATTATGATCCTAGCTAACTAGCGTAGTGCCCCTATGTCCTTCCTATCAAATGTAGATTCCGGTGATCTTATCACCCGCTTTAGTCAAGATATGAGACTTGTTGATATGATCTTGCCTCGCGGCTTCATATCCACAGGCCTTCGTAAGTAATATGGAAGAAGCCAGAATGAATTGGTCCATATTCTAATTTTCACTGGAATGCAGAACTCTTCGGGGCCATTGCCCAAGGCGCCACTACGATAGCTTCTTTGCCCTATTTGGCAGCGACTTTACCCCTTCTGATTGGACTCTTGTATTCCATTCAAAAGTTTTATCTCCGAACATCTTCACAATTACGACTTCTTGAGTACGTCATTCATTATCTTCTCATTTAATGCCATAGTTTTTTATTTTACAACCCACAAAGCTAACACACGCTCTTACAGAATTGAACTTAAGAGCCCTCTCTACACACATTTTATGGAGTCTCTGGCCGGAGTAAATACAATCCGAGCTTTTGGTTGGACTCATCATACAACAAATCGGATGCTATCAATTCTAGATACCGCACAAAGGCCCTATTACCTTCTACTGTGCATTCAAAGATGGCTAAGTCTCGTGCTCAACCTGATTGTTGCCGGCATAACTTTGCTACTCGTAGGGCTATCCATCCCTCTTCGGTCTAATATGGACCCAGGTCTCCTAGGCATTGCCCTTGTGATGATGATGAATCTCGGGCTCGTTTTATCAGAATTGATTCAAAACTGGACTCTACTCGAGACATCTCTGGGTGCAATTTCCCGTATCAAAGACTTTGCTGAGCAGACCCCTCGTGAAGAGACTCAGATCGCCTCTCAGACGGATAGTCGAGCAACAGAGTGGCTCACAAGGGGTGAAATTCACTTCCTGGATACCAGTATTGCTTGGAACACCGTTGATCCCAACCCACTTCTCAACAAGATCAATATTCGGATTGGAGCGGGTGAGAAATTTGGCCTGTGTGGCAGAACTGGAAGGTAAGAAACATATTATTTTGTTTTCTTAAAAATAAATACTCGATTCTAATGTACTATGCCCGAATAGTGGAAAGAGCACGTTGGCACTATCTCTCCTTCGTCTAAACGAGATCGTATCCGGACAGATTCTCATCGACGGCCAAGATATTGCTTCTATGTCTCGATTTTCAATCCGAGATCAAATCAGCTGTCTCAGTCAAGAGCCATTCATCTTCCAGGGCACAGTGAGAGAAAATCTCGATCCACAAGGCAAGAGTTCTAGCTCGCAAATTGTTGATGCTCTTCATTCCGTGGGTATCTGGTCTATTCTCGCAGCGTCTGAGTGTCTTACCGAGGAAATATTAAACACAAAGCTAGATGAGAGCATCCTATCACAAGGCCAGAAGCAGCTATTCTGTCTAGCCAGAGCTTTGCTGAAGAAAAGCAAAGTCTTGATTTTGGATGAGCCAACCAGCAGGTAAGCGCATATTGAACCTCCCAGGGTTTTTTCTTTCTACGAATTTCATGATAGCTAATTAGTTGTGCAGTTTGGATCCCGAAACAGATGCCAAGGTGCAGAATGTGATTAGGGAAGTTTTTAGTGGCTGCACTGTCATCATGGTCGCGCATCGAATCCATACGCTACTTGATTTTGATCAGGTGGCTGTCTTGCATAGCGGTCAAATTGTAGAGATGGGCCATCCCCACGATTTGCTGGGGAATCCTGCTGCAGAATTCACGAAATTGTCAGCCCTCGAATCGTGATATGCCAACGCATGTGGAACTCAGACTAGATGAAGCGTTTGCAACTACACCACATTTATTGATTTTCGACTCGAATATTAAACCTTGGAAGCGATATCAAATTGAAATTCAGCTTATTATCTAGTAGCATTCAGTAAAAAGTTTGGAATTTAAATCCATCCATTTTTAATTGCATAATCGTGGAAATCGATGATATATATATTCTGGAAATATTAAACATCCGAGAATCTACTCGGCATCCGTTTTCAATGCCTGAACACTGGCAATGAATGGATTTCAATCAAAGAGTAGGATAAAATTTGATTCCACTCCAGTTGGTTAGTCTTCACTGAAAATTCAGGTTGATTCCCTACGAATGATTGTGGTTCCATTGTTCCGATTTCTGGTCGAGGATCACCTTGAACATGTGGCCCCGACACTGTATACATTACATGCTGGGGAAACCATCCAATTAAATGCCAGCTAATTACACCCGTATCCACAGTGGGCCATTTCCACCGGCGCAGAATTCTCATATTTGATTGTTGGGTAATCATCAAGTGGACAGCTAGGTTTACAGTGCTGTTTGCTATATGCATGAACAGCGAGAATTCCGTTCGTTATTTCTTGGTTAGCCAAAATATGAACCAACGCGCCCTGGTGAGAAGTTAGGATTGACGATGTATGCCTCGGCCGGTTCCTGGTACCTGGAACTCTACACCCCACCGTTTACAGCCTATATACTCGATACTCAGGTCTTAAACCTTGATGTGGAGACCATCATTGTGTTAAGATTAAATAAAATAAGGAGAAAATGTGAAGTTCTTTACCACCCAAGCGATTGATCATGAAAAGGGGTTGTACAGCCTCGGCTTGAAGAGTATACAATTTCTCAATTGCACACTCTCCGGTACCCTGGAATTGTAACCCTCCCATGTAAAAAAGAGCCAGGAGATTGGTTTACAGTTGAAAGAACCTGTAACAAGCTATTTGAATCTTACTTGATAAAATTAGATCAATTGGGGGCAAGTAAGACGATACCTGAACAACAAACCTTGGGGGCTGACAGCCGCAAACAGTGAGCATGTGACTAAGTGGACAGGTGTTTATATTTGCAAATACAGCCAAACCAAGAGAGTAAAACGTGCAGAAACTTGATAGAAACGGATTATAGTTGTAAATAGTCCCAAGAGATGCTAATAATGACCAGAGAATACAAGTATATACATGACTCTGTACACATCTCGGAAGCCCACGGGGGATTATCCCCCCTTTTACTGTTCGCGCTAGTCCCGATTGGGATCTCCACGCCAAAAAGTGACTTGTTCTCCTGTTCTTCTCTTTCTTCCTCTTCTTCTTCCCCTAGAAAAACATCCGGTCCTTTACATCTTTTCTTTTCTTTCCTTTCTGGCTGGTCGCAATTGCTCCTCCTTAAAGAGAAAAAGAGAGAGCATTTGCTTGCTTCGACCTTTTTCTTACACCTTTTAATATTATTTTCTTTTTCGGAATTTTACGTCAATCCCTCGTCCCCCGGACCTCCCTTTCACAATGGCGTCCGAGTTCCTCCAGAATGTGCCCCTCCCATCAATTGAGCGCCCTTTCGGCGTGCACCTGTGGCCGCTCTTCGATAAAGCCTTCGAGCAGGTGAAGGGATACCCCGCCAGCGAATTCAAGTTCCAGGAGGGCGTTACCGCCATGTCCACCCTTAAGGAGACCGCGATCATGCTCGTCACATACTACATCGTCATTTTCGGCGGTCGCGAAGTGATGAAGAACTTCCCTGCCTTCAAGCTGAACACTCTTTTCATGCTTCACAACCTAGTTTTGACCATCATCAGTGGTGTTTTGTTGGTTCTGTTCTTGGAGCAGTTGATCCCCACCCTTTGGAACCACGGTGTTTTCTACGCTATCTGTGATTATAACGGTGGATGGACTCAGCCCCTCATTGTGCTGTACTACGTGAGTTTATCTTTCGATTATACGCGACGAATCATCGCGCAAAGGAAAACTGAACCTGACTGACCTCGATTTCCTCGCTAGCTCAACTACCTCAACAAGTACTGGGAGTTCATTGACACCGTTTTCCTCGTCCTCAAGAAGAAGCCCCTAACCTTCCTCCACACCTACCACCACGGTGCCACTGCCCTTCTGTGCTACACTCAACTCATTGGTTTGACTGCCGTGCAATGGGTTCCCATCACCATCAACCTGCTAGTCCACGTTGTTATGTACTGGTACTACTTCCAGAGCGCTCGCGGTGTTCGCATCTGGTGGAAGAAGTACATCACCATGCTTCAGATTCTCCAGTTCGTCATTGACGTTGGTAAGTGGAAAATACAATATTTGCCGGTCAATCTGAATTACGTTAACACTTTCGCGCAGGCTTCATCTACTTCGCCTCTTACACCTACTTCACCTCCACCTACTTCGCATGGGCACCCAACATGGGTCACTGCGCCGGTGAGGAGTTCGCCGCTTTCGCCGGTATCGCCATTATCACCTCCTACCTCTTCCTCTTCATCGGTTTCTACATTGCCACCTACAAGAAGGAGGTCAAGGTCGGCCGCCCTCGTCGCAACACTGGCAAGAAGTCTCTTATCGACATGCGCAACTTCGAGATCCCCTCCCCTGCCGCCGGCGCCAACGGTACCGCTACCTCTACTGGCCGCTCCAACGGCCCCGTCACTCGCTCCCGCAAGGCCTAAGCGGGTCGCCAATTAAATACCTACGTGATGCTATATAATCAGCACCTGTAGTCTGGCGGGACGGAAATTCGCATATACTCGAGGAATGTTGTGGATCAATTCCTGAGGAATTGAAAGGAGGAAAAAAAACCATTCTATCATCATTGAATTCCGACATGTGAGCCCTGTACAGAACAGTGCGGATGCTACCCACAATGATTCATTCACTTTATAACTGTTTTTAATGAATGACCTTTCACAATGCCAGACTCGACGGTCTGTTCGTCTATGCGACATGGACCCCGGTTGTGAGAATGGTATGTCGAGATGGGCCATGATGTCAGACCACGACCGGGAAACCCTAGTCCTTGGGATAAGGCATTTTCTTCTCTCTTTTTTTTACTTTCACTCGGACAGACTGGGAAGTTCTGTGCTGGTTGTATTCTATAATGCCATATTCTGTTCATGTTTGTCGTTGTTAACCCCCCTTTTGGCCTGCCGGTGGCAGGCCCTTTTGATTGCATCTGTTCACCCTTATTTGTTACTATTATAGATGTTAGGTTATATATCATGCTAAATGTAATCATTCATATCAATTTCGCCTGACAGTAACTCGGTGGTTGGGATTGTAAGGACTGAAGCAAGGAATAATAGCATGGCATTTTCATGACTCCATTTGATATTGCTATAGACCCGTGTGTACTTGCAGGTGGCAGGCATATGGGGCATGTACGGAGAAGTCTGCATTATGCGTACTGTACATCTGAGTGCATCAAAAGAAATGAGCTATACAGACAACGCAATAGGGGATATCACATATCACATATCACAGATATCATAACCAACAAAGTAGCACAGACAACACCATAACCTCGACATATCATCTCCAATAAAACAACCAAAACAAATAACAACGTTGATATGGAAACGAAGAACCTTCGTTACTCGTTGTGCACTATCACATCCACAGTCCCACAGTTATGCAGGAACGAACCGGGGTGTAGATCCCAAGAGGCTTGTGCAGCACAAACAAACGCCAGGAAGTGACAGATCCAAACCGCGTGAATAAACCGCAAATACGGGAAATAAAGATCATCATATGCCGACGGAAGGCAATTGGATTCGAAATCCAACCTCCAGCTATTCCGTCCATACTTTAGGTTCCTCGGATCGGAGACGGAAAGCATAGGTACGGTTCAGCGCATGGCATGCCAATAATTGAGTTTGAACTTCTCATCCAGCCTTCTCTGGTCTCACGCCAGCCTCTGTGCTATACTAACTTATGTAGTATGTTCAATTTAGAGGCAGGTAATTGCTTTGTCTGGCATAGTGGAGAGAAGTGACATGTCGATCTCTCATCATCGCATTGACCAGCCATCTAACGTGGCCGGGAGATATTCAATAGTCCGTAGATCATGGAGCTGGAGGCTGATTTTCCACCTAAAAAGCAAAGAGATTCGTCCGCGAATCAATAAAAGGAAATATAAATGTATACCTTGCGTAACGACCAAGAATCAAATCAATGGACCCAGAAAAAGTCCACGATAACCCATGCGAAAACCATGCAGGGCCCCAGCTCGATTACCGATAATTACTAGGAGCACAGACAAAAGCAAAGGCAAACGAAAGCCAACAAAGTCAAGAAAAGGGGCAAGGAAGGAAAAGCGAAGATTCTTTCGAAACAGAGTGTAGAGTGTCAAGTTGACGGGCCAACACGCGTGGCGCCGACATCATGGCAGAAAGTCTTTTTTATAAAACCGACCAGACCAATTTGAAAGCTCTACGTAAAGGCATGCATCTATATTGGGAAATTAGTCTAAACTGCGTTCGAACAGACGAAACCGGTGGAGTCGCTCGTGGACCCCGTACATAGTTAGTACAGGTAATAGCATCACTGTTGGGGCCGGCGGCAAGACGGATAATGAAAGTCGAGTACTTAGTGGCGGAGGATCAGCTTCATCTGGATGTAAGCCGCTGTCAGATGAAGGTTGGGAATGTATTCCGGATTTTCAAAGCGGAATATTCAATCAATTTGTGAATTAGACTTGGTGGTCCTTGCTTGATGTGGCTGCGATTAGGGAATGGTTTGGCAATGGTTTATTAAGGTGCAGTTGATAGATGATATCAATGCTGTATCTGGAGTGGTCGAATTAATTTTTTATTTTATTTTATTTTGTTTCTGTTCTCAAACGGGCTATAAATAACATTTGAATCGAAACAATAGCGCGCGCGACTCGGGACAGTGGATGTGGAGAGAATTCGCCGATAATCACTGCATGCAAGGAGCGAGTCGCTTTGCTCCATACTAATTCTGACGGAATCATTCTTCTTTTCTTCTTTTCTCATACAAACTATATTACTTTTGATTAAATTACTTGATGATATTTTATCGAACATGCCATTTCCAGGTTCCTACTCTGGTATAACTGTTCTGGTTATACTATTTATGCTCGATGATCTCAATGGCGTCGGCCCCTTAGTGAATGCCCCTAGTGAATTAGAACGGCCGCGATGAAATTCTTCAACTACCCGATTTACATTGAGAATTCTCCTGGGGCGAACATGCCTACAGGAAGATGATCCTTTTTATTTTTTTTTTGACTATATAGAATTTAGTTGAAGGCGAAATTCATGACATACATAGATCACTTGTCTCCTAGGACCCCTGAACTTCTCCTTTTGCATAGCACAGGCCCTTAAACCCTTTAGGGTGACAGGGCGGGGGATTATCCTTATGCCTGTGTGCCTGGACCTGTGTACCTGCACTAGGCTGTGTACAACCCAGTGTCCCGATGTGCCCCTGGCATGAGATGAGGACCGCGCGTTATGCAGAGCAAGAAAAAGAAAGAAAAAAGAAAAGAAAAGGGGAGAATTGTTGGGATTGTTGAATGACCACGGAATAATAACTAGGTGGCATTTAGAAGCAAATACTTACTCATGTCGTAGTATTGAACTGACTCATGTCGTAGTATTGAAGTGGATTCTATTCATTAAGAAGGCGATCTAGTTTCATAAGTTCCAAGTTTCAGACTGCACAATCCCCAAACAGTTCGTCGTAGCGTGTTTGAGTTATACATGTCTCCACTCTTCTGGAGCGGCGGCTAACTTGGCAATTCCTTAGGTACATTAGGCACAAGGCCAAGAGTAGCTAGAGCAGGTCGTTTTCTATCTCGATTCTCTTCCGGATTGACATCTCCACCGCGGGCGCTTCCAAACTTGGTCCCTCCATCCGATAATCTACGAGCCGTGGTGTGATCCTATATCCATATTCCTTGAAGATCTTCCCTTTCACGGTGTTAACAGAAGTAATATACTTCAATTTTCTCTCTTTTCATATTGTGATATTTTTTTTACCCCAACCCTCTCATACTTTCCGTCCTACATTGCCCAATTTAGCTGCCGCCACCATCTTCCTGCGGCTAGGAACTGGGAAGCGAATGATATTCCCCCATGCTGACTTGCTGCAGGCCCGGCGTTAATGCACATGTGTGCATGGGCCAATAAACCAACGACAGCTCACGTTGATCTATCAGATTATTCAATTATTTTTTTCTATTTTTCCGCACAGAGTCCAAAACAGTAAAGTTTGACCCTAGCCTCGCCACGATGTGGAGGGTGCGCGTTGCCGAATGGCGCAACTGTGCATCCTAAGGATCCATAGGGGAAAAGAGGAGTGGACCAACCCCTCTTCCCACCCCCCAGTCGCTTGAGCTAGTCTCAGCTGCAAGGGTGATACTATCCCCACTTTCTCTTCTTCCCCCATCGCCAATCATATCCTGCGTGCATATACTCCGCCAATGGATAGTTCGCTAGCTGGGGACACTCCCGGCCAATCCAGGATGTCCACTCCTTCGTCCTGCAGGAGATAACCAAAACCCAAAAATGAACAGGAGAGAAAAGGCGTAAAAGAAAAGGAAAATAATAGAAAAATAAAAAAGCCACCGATAGCTAGGGACTCATGCATGCTGCCCAGTGGACGATTACAGGATTTTGGCGTCGACTACACGTGGACAGGGATTGAAAGTGACTGTCCCCTCTTTCTCGTCCTGCAGTTAGCGCTGGATCTAAAAAAGGCCTTCTTCGCCCCTCCTTCTGTGGATCAATTCCTGACGGGTGGGACTTTTTCTATTCTTCATACTTGCGGTACCTTGAATGGCATCGAGGGCGGCTCCCCTGTTCATCATCATCAATCCTGGACCGGTTCCACTAGCCTTAAAAACAGACCTTGGTACCCTTTTGCATTCCGTCTCCTGAAGGATCTGATCTCCTTCACAGACTAGTCTGTGGCATCTTCATAACTTGGGGGTCTGGCACATCATATTAGGGTTTTAGATCTTCTAAAAGTTTGAGGGGCTCATTCATCCGGTCGTTTTCCTTTTATTCCCTTGAGCCCGGGCTGGTTTCATCTTTTTATTCTCTCGTTCTATTCTATCGGTTTTGTATCAGTCGTTTCGACGTTTCGTCCGCTGGCACTCTCAAACCATTATTTGGAACCATTTGCTGATTCTACATTGAGAACCCCCATTCTTTGTTTGACCCTGGAGTGTCAACCATCTTTCTAGCAAAGATGTACGAATCAACTACCTCGTTGGATCTTCACCGTCTGAGCCGGCAGAGCCTCCAGAAACGGTACGAGTCCGACGAAGAAGATGTATCGGAATCCGATGCCGGTGGACCAGACTTCGTCCCCTCGCTAGTAGGCTCACAACGGGCTGGAACTATCGATTCAGATCTGAGTGCCGATGAGAATTCGCATATGGATCCCGACTCTGACCGGGAAGATCACCTACTAGCCCCATACCATGTGGCTAAACGACCTCGCCCAGTCTCAATGGATACAGTGAAACGAAGCAGCGATGCAACATTCGTGGAAAACACCCATGTATTCGATCCAGAAGATGACATGGTTCTTGAACTTCCTCACCCACCAAGCCCTCCAGAGCTGGGCTCAGATCATCTCTTCTTACAACCAGCCATCTATGTCTCTCCGAACACGCCACCAACTCATCATCAACGATCTCGGTCTTCATCCCCGTCGTCTATCTTCTCAGTGGAAAACGCCGAGATCCACGTTGCAAAGAAAATAACATTGATGGAACCACCAACCCGTCCGACACTGGTCTTCATTAACTCTCTCGGATCTCGATCCAAAGGTTCCAGATCAAGACCCACGAACCTTCGACCTCGGGGAAATGCTCGAAACCGCGAGTCTCGGATCTTCGACGGCAAGCTAGAGGGCAATGTGCAAGTCCCACGCCTAACAGACGTCAAGTCCACATCATCCCCCAGGGCATCTGAACTCTATAAGCCACCTACCGAGGAACCTCTTCTAGAAAACATCTCAACCCCGACACCACAAAGTGCCACAATAAGCAGCGTTTCCGACATCCCCACACTCCCCTACTTCCCTCCATCCCCAAAACAAAAGCCAATCTCCCGCCCCCGCCCCCGCCCCAATACCTCAGGCTCAACAGAGAAACAATTCCCAACTCTCGCCTCCCGCTCTTACCACGCCCGCCGCCCCACAGACCCAACCCGACGCCCGCCATCAACACGCAGCAACAGCAATAGCAGCGTCCCAACTTATTCCCCACGTTCCGCGTCTCCATTTCCAGACGAACAGAGAGGGTATATACCAGATTACCACAGTGAAGGTTCAGGATCCTTCCTCTCTCGAACATGCAGTCCAGCCTCGACTGCCCCCTCCCCGCCACAGCAGCAATATGTCCACTCTTCGAAACGGGGTCCCGTTCCTTCGTCTAACCCATCAGGGGGCTTTTCTCATCGTGCCCCAATGATGCGACACATGACGCGCAAACACTCCGCCACCTCTAGCATTCACTCAATGGCTAGTATGCGTTCGGAGGTGGATGCTTATCCAACGCCCTCGAATCTGAATATACTTTCCTCTGCATATGCGGCGTCAAGTCAACCTGCTGTTAATGTTATTCAGGATCGTGAGCGTCCCACACGGAAATCAAGCCAGAGACGTCACGGGAGACAGGCTAGCTCGAGCACAGCACGCGTGTTCATGGGGCTGAAACTTGGGAAGAGGGCTTTTAATAAAGTCTAGCCTACTACTACGCCACGGGTAGTAATTTATATACCCATCCAACCCTAGTAATGTCTTTTCTTTTTGGTATCATTATATCCGACGCGATACCATGATATAATCTGTTTCTCAATTTGTTTGGAGGTATTCTCTCGGCGCGCAATGGTGTTTTTCAAGTTTTGACTTTTGATCAAGTTCTAATATATGATCCAGCACGAGAGTGGTGATCATCTGCGGCGTTTTGTTCTATCAACTAATGATACGATTTGGGTCTGGGCGGATGAATTGTTTTTGTTTTTTCAAGTTATTGCCATCGCAGTTTCAGGGCTGGATAATGTCTATTTCTCATTTTGGTCAGTATCTTGGGCAGATTGGTTTGATTCTGGCGAGGATCTCCGAGTCGTCTCTACTATTTTTTGACTTTGGCATCGACGTGCTGCCTATCATTATCATGCGACTCAGAACTAGTACCAGCGATACCATGATGTAAATCGCCATATTCAAAAATATCATCAAACAGCATAACTATTAGCCATAATTTCCATGTGTGAGAACATTTAAGTACTCCAAGCAGCTACAACTCCCCAACCATGAAAAGCCCCGGTATGTATCTGATGTCTATACAAGGAAAGCTGATTGGGTACTTAAGTAGTAGAGCAAGTTTAAGCCTTTACCGTACAGGAAAATTGTTCCAAATAGCAACGGTGCCTTCGACCTGACTTGTCAACATGTTTCGAACACAAGGAATAGTCATCGAAAGTCAAAGATGAAATCTTCATCCCGGAGCTTCTGAATAATGTCTGTAAGAGAGGGATGGCAGCCTTTAACATGAATCCATACCGCCTCGTCAGAATCGAAGCTGCGATGGTCTTTTCCGCTGGAGGATTCACATGCAAAACAAAACCACAGGTGGCCATATGAATCATACTATTTGTATGGGGATCTCCTGATAATAGTCTCTGAAAGGAGATGAGGCTGTCTCGATTATATCAACTGACAGTCACTACGTACATGGTAATATAGAATCATTTCGAAACTCCTAGGAGCTTCGATTCCGATGACCCATAATCAACGTCAAATTTCAATAGGCGATTCAAAGAAATGACTCGAAATGACTCTAGTTCATCCAGAACAACTTCCTCGTCAGCAGCCCTACTATCTCATCCCCACATCCAAGGCCCACAGAAAGAAAATAGCAGCAAAAATCCCAGAAAAGCACGATAGCACAGGCTCCTAGCGCAAGTGATAGGGAGAGAGAACAAATCAATACACAATAAGATTCAAATCCTTATCTCGCACTCTCCAAATGCACCCCGCAACATCGGGATGTTTACGCATCGGATAATTCCACAGCTCCTCGTCAGAATCGAAACTAATGTGGTCTTATATCGCTTCTGACATTTGAAACAGTACCACACATTACCGTGTGAATCTCTTGAGCGATTAAATGGATAAATTCTGTCACGAGGATTCTTAATCCATTTGGCGCGGTGAAGTTGAAGGTGAATGAGTATTTCTTGTAGGGAATCGAGGACATCTGACCATCCGTTATGCTCGGTACATCTGTGAATTTCGACCATTTTCGTCTTTCTCTCTCTCTCTCCTTATTTTTGGATCTTCAAGTTCTTCTTATCGATTGGTCGTCAAAATATAGGTGGTGGGCCGACTGGATGCGGTTGGAGATTAGTACCCTTCAGGGTATGTTGAGGCGATATGGTGATCGGTAGGATTATGAGTTGGAGTGATAATGACTACGTATTCGAGCAGGAAACTAATTCGCTTAACCTGTAAAGACAAAATGCTACTAGGCCGAGAGTGAATGTTGGCTGGTGGGAGCAGCTTTTACTTCGGGGCGCGGCGCCGTATTAGTACGCGGAGCTTGACGCTCATTACGATACCGGGCACTTTCGTTAGGTTTCACTAACCTAAATGGTTCGATTTACTCTGATTTAAGCATTGAAAAGATCTCACAATTGAAGCAGGTGCATAGATCCGAGTACTGGGTGGAACAGATTCTTCACAAGCTACAGCAAAGCAGTGGTATATTGCCATCGTACTAGTCAAAGGGACAAGACGAAGAATCAAAGCACGTGCAAAGAAAAAATGGACGAGGAAAAGAAAATAAACCGCAAAGTGCAAGTAAGAAGCGCACAGAAGGTGCAACCGAGGGAGTGATCCCACAAATGTCTACTTGCGTGCCTCTAGCGAAGCTTTGATAGCTAAATAGAAAGAAAGATGAGTTAGAATGTGAGATCTAGTTGTTGAATTGAAAGTACTTACCATCACAAGATGTCTTGGCATCACCAAAGAGCATCCTGGTTCCAGGCATGAAGAACATGGGGTTCGGTACGTCGGCTGCAAATTTGTCAGTGACTTGCAATGCTGGGATCTGATTAAACAGAGACTTACCATATCCACTGGACATTCCTCTCTTCATGACGATGACTTCCTTACTCTTCCATGCATGGAGAACAGGCATGCCAGAGATAGCGGAGTCCGGCTCCATAGCGATAGGGTTGACGGTGTCATTGGCGCCAATGACAAGTGTAACATCAGTGTCATTGAAGTCCTCGTTGATTTCATCCATCTCAAGAACGACTGTATAGCGTTAGCTATGCTATAGGGGTCATGGATGGGAAAGCTGGTACTTACTATCATATGGCACGGACGCTTCAGCAAGAAGCACGTTGCATTGACCTGGCATGCGACCAGCAACAGGGTGAATAGCGAAGCGGACATTGACTCCCCGGGAACGCAGAATGCTGACAATCTCAGCTAGTGCGTATTGGGCCTTTGCCACGGCCATACCATAACCGACAATGATGATGACGTTCTCAGCACCTGACAGAGCTTCAACGGTGTCATCAATGCTGGTCTGGGTGACTTCACCTTCGATCTTCTTCTGGGATTGCGCTGGTGCAGAAAGACCACCGAAAAGAACATTCGTAAGAGACCGGTTCATGGCGACACACATGATGTATGAAAGAATTGAACCACTGACTCCGATGAGCGATCCGACACTGGTAAGGAGCGGATTATTGAGCATTAGACCCTCGGCGACGAGCGCGAATCCAGAGTAAGCGTTCAGCACGGTGATGACAACAGGCATGTCAGCACCTCCAATAGCTGAGGTCGTGGTATATCCTTTCAGGAAACTCAGTACAGTATTTGCACCTAAGCATGCTGCTGCAATGCCTGGGTTCGCAGGCGCCATAGTCAAGAAAGTTCCCATAGTCGCAATGTTACTACCAAGCAACGTCGAGTTGATGATATGTCGCCCAGGAAGAATCTTTGGACTAGAAGACATGCGACCGGCAAGTTTCATGAATGCGACAATTGAACCAGTAAAGGTAACACCGCCGATCAGAACACCCATATAGGCAGTCACCATGTGTAGAGTTGTGATGTCATTGATGTCAACCAACACGCTACCGATACTAGTCAGAACGGCAGCAAGACCAACGACCGAGTGTAACGCAGCAACTGTTTGAGGAAGTCCTGTCGGAGTAATGCGACGACCAATAAGTCCACCGACTAGGACACCAGTTCCAGCAACGGTGACAAACTGAGTCATAGTCTCGGTAGTGAAACCCACTGCAGCCAAAGAAGCCAAGATACCAGAAATCACACCCAGGATGCCAAAGATATTTCCTCGGCGCGCAGTTTGTTGGGAGGCCAGACTGGAAATAGAGCTCATACAGAGTATGGTGCTGATAAGATATCCAGCTTGTACTAGACCATCCATACCTGTGGTAGCCGCAGCCACGAAACCACCACCGAAAACTAGTGCCGGGATCGCATATAGCCAAGGGTATTCTGCGGGATCGGTCGGGCGCTTAAACATGTCCAGCATGCGCTTTGTGATCACAAATCCTCCAGAAACGTTCACGAAGGCCAGAAGCACCGAGGCTGCACCGAGATATTCAGGAAAGCTAGTTGGGTAAAAGCCTCCGCCCATGATGAACAAACCACCAATACCGACCATTCCCGATATAGCATTGGTGACACTCATCAGTGGCGAATGGAGAGCAGGCGCTACTCCCCATACGGCGCGATAACCGACCAGACCCGCGAGTCCGAAAGTCATCATGTTGCCCATGAAGATGGGTCCGGTGGCTTTTCCAAGAGCGAGAGTGGCGCCAATTGCGCCCGTAACACCGGTAACATCTCTAGTAGCCTTCTGCCATGGGGTAAGAGCGAGTGCTTCATCTTTCTTAGCTGCAATTGCCTGGGTATCGGGCTTAGCAGGGGCAGGGGCAGCGACCGGTGTAGCGGGAGGAATGATCTCGCCATTGAGAGTAACGATAGAGCCACGAACAACCTCATCTTTGAAGTCGATGCCGAAAGACTTCTCCTTTGGTGCCATAGAGAGAAGATACTTGATGATGTTGTTCGAGTACAGTGTGGAGGACTGAGTTGGAAGACGAGAAGGTAGATCAGTATAGCCAATGATAGTCACATCTTTGTACTTAGTTAATTGACCGGGAACCGTAGCCTCGCAATTGCCTCCTGCTTCAGATGCAAGATCCACAATGACAGAGCCCGGTTTCATCGCAGCAACCATTTCCTTGGTGATCAGTTTCGGGGCCGGTTTTCCAGGAATAAGTGCAGTTGTAATAATAATGTCAACTTCACGAGCTTGTTCCATAAACAGTTTCATCTCGGCTTCAATAAATTCCTTAGACATTTCCTTAGCGTAGCCGCCTTGTCCGGCACCATCCTCCTGGAAATCCACCTCAACGAATTCAGCACCGAGAGATTGGACCTGCTCACGAACAGCTGGACGAGTATCAAAGCCACGAACAATAGCACCCATGCGACGAGCCGAGGCAATTGCACTCAAGCCAGCCACACCAGCACCAATAACAAGCACTTTACTTGGAGGAATCTTTCCAGCAGCCGTAACCTGACCAGTCAAAAAACGACCAAAATGATTGGAAGCCTCTAAAACCGCCTTGTAACCAGCAATATTGGCCATGGAACTCAAGGCGTCAAAAGTCTGAGCACGCGAGATACGCGGAATACGATCCATCGCGAAAGACGTGACACCACGAGCAGCCAATGCATCGACAAGACTCTTATTTTGAGCAGGATATAAGAATGAGATAATAGTCGATCCTTTACGAAGAGCCTGCACCTCATTGAATGGACCTTCAGACTGCGGGTTTCGGACTTTCAGAACAATATCGCTTTCCGACCATATCGCATCACGGTCAACAACCGTTGCGCCGGCCTTTTGGTATGCATCATCCAGCAATTGGGCTCCTTCACCAGCTCCACGCTCAATTAAAACGCGTGAAAAACCTTTCTTCAGAAGCAAACCCACATTTTGTGGCGTTATCGCTACCCGGCGTTCATTTTCGTGTGACTCACGAGGGATCCCCACAGTGAGCTCCGAATAGGCGGTAGTCGGAACGAGCTCTTCCGGAACAGCAGTTGACGAGGTTCGCTTGGAGAGGACGGGCCATTGAGGGGTCTTGTGCGCGTGTTTATTTTGCGATGAGGCAAGGAAAGAGATTTGACGGACTTTCGAGGCTAATAAACAAGTAAATTAGAGGTGATGGTTCATTTTGTTCATTTTTTTGAAGTGTGTAGCTGTTGTGAGGAGAAGCTTACCGACGTGCGTCACCGGCAGGAACGTTTTCCCCGCGTGAGCACCAGAAACTCCTCGACACGGTCCCAGGGTGGACCGCAAGGAGAAGGAAACACTCATTATTGAGAGTTTCGTCACAAATCAAATCACAGGTTCCCAGAACACATCGGAAGAGGGGGGGTGTTCAGCAACGAGGGGAACAAGGGCGACGTAGCAAGGAGGAAGAAGGAAGAACTTGGAAGAGGGGAGTTGAGAGGAGAGGGTAAGGAGAGAAAAAGCCGCCTAAGGAAACAGAAGAGGAGAAGAACACTCGGACTCCCACCTTGCGATGGAACGATGAAACGGTACGCGCTCCTTTGAATCACGGTTCCCCCGGTTATTCCACAAGCCACAGCCTTAATTGTTCCTTTGCGCTGCGGGGTTTGGTGGAGTCGTGGAGAACAGATCGGCCGGGGCGATTTTATCTCCACATTGAGGTTTGGGTTGTTGACCACTCCACAACCAGACAACGAAGGAAGATACGGCTGTTTGGGACATTTCCACGGATAATATTGAATACTTTGGCTTGACTGCTACCGAATTAAACCTGAGCACGGTGGTCTCACAGACCTCTACGACCTCGTCCCCCGCAATGGATCAGAACTCGGCCAAGATGCCGATAGCCGGAAGCTCAAGGTCAAGGCGGAGTCGATTGTGCCGTGTTTCGGCACTTAATGAGGTACGAGTTATACTTACTATATATTGACAAGCTTACTATCCAATATATACTGACAGGGAGAATAATTTGAAGGAGGGAAACGAGCAAAAACAACAGATGTTAATATAGAAATCTATAAGCAAACCGTTCGGGCTGATCTCTTTCGACTTCAAACAACACTATAACCCTGCTCTGCCATCCACCCGTTATTGGCAAATTTCGTTAAATAATTCCGAAGACTATCAGCCAAGATGCCAACAATGACTTTATCCTCCACATTAAGTTCACGGTGAGACTTGACAAGCTGTGCCAACGCTGCGATAGTCGCGCCCGAGGATCCCCCACACAGAATCCCTTCCTCCCGCACAAGGCGACGCGCATAATTGAATGAGTCGGCATCAGACGTTTTGATCCACAAGTCAGGTCCATATTGATCCAGGACTTCTGATAAAAAAGTCATACCAAATTCCTTCGATCTTGAATTCTGCCTTGAGCCCGTTCAGCTCATCTGGTAGGGCAAGAATTGACCCAAGTGGATCCACGCCAACGATCAGAATGTCCTTGTTATGCTTTCTGAGTCCTCTCCCTGTACCGTTTACTGTACCTCCAGTACCACCTGCGCTGATAAATGAATCGATATGTCCTTCTGTCTGATACCATAGCTCCTCTGCGGTTTCGTATTCATGCGCTGCGGGATTATCAGGATTGGCGTATTGGTTTAGGATGAATCAGTTCGGGATCTCTTGATGCAGACGTTTTGCAACACTGATGATGGAATCTGGGGAGTCGATAGAGACTCCAGCTGGGGTGCGGATGACTCTTGCGCCTAGTACTTTCAAGATCTGCTCTTTTTCCAGCGACATTTTCTCGGAGAGTGTGATGATGCATTTATAGCCCTTGATAGCCGCCATGAGAGCAATTGCGATCCCACTATCTCGTTGTCGTGAAATGAGCACCGTTCATCTATTTTCAATGCGGTAAAGACATAGAGAAGTAGAAAAATAGAGTGACTCACGTATTACCGCTCGAGGCTTCGATCAATGTCCCCCAGATTTCACCTTTCCATCCTCTTCCGCTTTCTCCAGCATACGCTTCACGATCCGATCCTTCACTGAGCCGCCGGGATTCAAGTATTCGAGATTCGGAAAGACTTGGGCTTTTATGCCTAGTGCGGTAGGCAGATGATTAAGGCGGACGAGAGGCGTCGCACCAATGCAATCCGCGACAGATTTGTGTTTGAGTCTGCCGAGAAATGGTGTCGGGTTGTTATTTGTTTTCTCCATCGTTGAATCGGTATTGGAAGGGAATCCGGCTTTATGTATTTATAACTAGGTTGAACCCTATATGCAATTAACGGGCTAAGGATATGCCAGTGCTTCGGGATGTGGTGTTCGGTCTGGGAATTGAAAGGCGTGGTCTTGGTACCGTCCCAAAAGGGAAAGCACGAGGGCCTGATCACCACCGAGAGCTTTGCGTTGATCGGATTCCCTCAACAGAATAGGATTTCGAAATGGATCACAGTTTATTTAGAAATAAATATTCCGTATCTTAGACTCGTGAGGCTTTCCACGATGTTCGGTGGGGCACGATTCACTTTTACGGCATCAGATTGATGAATGCTATATGCTTAGGCACCACCTATAGGACACGGCTATCAAGCTTACAAGGTTGCATTTGAACGTAAGAAATCAGGTCCACGAAATATGTACAGTAGAATATAACGGCATCACTTCATCTGAACATCATGATCTCGCCAAGTCTCTCCTAATCCCCTTTCCGAAATAAAACACGCTTCACGTTATCAAAGTTAAAGATCCCCTTGCTCTTCTGAGGACTCCCTTCATCATCGTAACGATCGAACGGGTCCTCAATAAACGAACCAGGCATAGTATCAGGTGACTCAGGTGGAGTAGGCGGCAATATTAAAGTCTCTCTCACACTCGGCTTCTGACATGGTGTGACCAGTTCAGGCTCTAATTCCTCCCTCGAAGCCCGCGTGCGTGGATAAAGACTCGGCATCTTAACATTTGAATGAAAATGTCCCTTTTCATCATAGGCTTCCTGAACATAAGCACTCCATTCTGTAACCGCATCAAGGAGAACAGTCTTCTCAACTTCTAGCCATTCACCATGGACCTTTTGGCATTTCCGACAACTATTCCTAAGACTCCTGCGTTCTCTAGCGAAAATATTCAAAATAATTTGTTCAAGTCGATGAGCATATTGAATGACTTTCTCGCTAAGTCCTTCTTTTTCTGTTAACCAGATGATACCCGGGTAACATATCTCATGTTCTGGGAAACGTCCTGTTTTGGTGTCTCGTTCAGTATATCCGACATGGAACATTCCGCGATGCGCTGGGTGGAAACCGACGTAGAAGAAGCCCGGTGCTTGATCAGTGTTGCCAAGACGTTTTACTACCACTTCCTCGGTCTTAGATGCTGCCTTTGTGGGACTCCGTGATGCAGAAGTGTGAGGATCGAACGCAGGAGTCTCTGGTGGGGTCAGAGGAGACGAGAAAGGGCTAATTGAATTTGATTTATCCGATCGGGCTTCCGGTGTAATTGGTGGCGAGGGATGAGAATCCAATATTGAGAGAATGAGAGCAACTGTCTCGGGGTCTCGAAGTTCATAAAACCACTGGTACTTGACATAAGTGCCCAGCGTTTTGATATGTGTTGGGCAAAGAAAAATTTCAGCAAGCTCGGAGAGGGCAGCCAAGAGGGCAGCATCATTTTCTGGCTCAGCAGAATGCAAAAGAATACTAAGATGGGAAAGCAGGCGTTTGATTTTGTTCAAATGGTCAAATCGATATTGCTTGCCACTGGTACAAATTTCGCGCTCTTTACCACCCTCACTCTTTGTCAATTTAATGCGGACGCATCGACAATCGACATCGTTACAGTATACTCCATTAACGACACCGAGTATACTTCGGAACCAGCTGGCTTCGGAGGCTTTTGCTTGGGCCGCGGAAGACATGATAACTCAGTCGGATAGAGTTCCCGTTCAAATCGGCGAGTTGGCGGTGACACCGCGAATAGAGACATCCATCGAGATGGGCGCTCGAGCCCGTATTTAATTCGAGCATACCCTCCCAGTTGGCCTCCAATACTGAGCGCTAGCTAGTTGGTTCACCAGAATGCCTAGTAGGCAGGTAGCGAACGATAGGCTAACCAGGGGCGGTGCTCCTGCCATTTTAGAGATAGTTATTATTAGTTGCCCCCTTGAAGTCACAAGAACGCTTGCATATCTACATATTTTGAGAGATTTGAATAGATATTATTGGAGGGTTCCTTCGTGGGTCAGGAATTTTGCGCGCTTGGGGGCTGTGAGCAATCCAGGGTGCATTAGCATGGCGCGTGTGCAGGGGTATACAGCGAACCGTTGTTTCAGGTAATGAAGGCAGCAAGGCAGATTCATCGGGGACGCCGATTTTCTTCTTTAGAATAACGAGGTGCTCGGTACCTCGTTTTTGAGACTGTTATGAAGGATATCTAGATGAGGGTCGAGATCATCCATGCACCTGAGAAATAAGGTGAAAGTATAGTTCGTTGGGGCGGGGAATATCGCAGCGGGGATGAATTAGATCGGAAAACCCCCGGATCAATACGCTTTAGGAACACCTGATTAGTTTTAAACCTTGAAATGTAGACTCAAAGGGATATACGTATTACCGGAGAATTATGCACAATATGTATTGTGTGTACGGCGGACCTGTGAATTACTGCAATAATAAGGCAGACACGATATTGGTTAACTAGTGTTGCAAAGTGGACACACTCAGACACTGATTGAGGTCAGTGTTACTCTTTTTCGGTTTCACTATTCTTATCTCATTCAAAATGAGCAAAAGAAGCACACTGTTAACTTCCAGCTGTAGCATTCGTTGTGGAGGATCTGGATTGTGATTAGCAGAAAGTTGCTTCCAGAGAAGTAAGCCACTTGCACTCGTTTAAATTCGCTTCCAGCAGTGCCAGAAAAATAGAAGCGATCGATCCTAAGAACACAAAACCAGTCTTTTCTTCACCACTTGTTCCTTTGCCAGTCTCACCTTCCTCCGCGCCTTCAATATTAATACGAGCAATCAAACAATTTCGATTCAAGCCCTTTTAATACCAAGCAGGGGGCCACGCGTCGGTGGAAGAAACAGCCCGAGCATCTCGAGACGGAACCTCCTCCCCTAGTCTCGAATCCAATGACGATAATGCTTGTTCACGGAACAATGATGACATATCATTCGACGATCTACGACTCTTCCACCACTTCATCACGGAAACATACCGCACTCTGGCTGATCAAGCAACCGACCACAATCAAGTCTGCAGATCCATCTACCACAATGGGGATTCTCTTCGTCCTCCATCTTCCACCTTATCTTAGCAATGGCAGCTTTTCACAAGGCACACCTACACCCAGAGCTCCGAAATGGGTATGTGATGAAAAGAGATGACGATTTCACATTTGGGGTTTGGTCTGTGACTGCCATCCTATCTATCCTTGACTCAAATAACTGTCAGATAATCTACATGTCTGCAGTCCTGATATGTTTTGTTTATTGCGCACACAGTCCAAGGCCTGGTGAATACCTGGTCTTTAGTGGGGCTGGGCAGGCTGAATGGTTAGTTCTCATGAGAAGTGTCCGATCAATATTGATGTCCAGCCATAAAAGGATCTTCTCTGACGTCCTGGAGAGTCAAGATGTTCCAGCTATCCAAGGCGTGGGCACATGGCTGGAACCCGAGCTTCGGGAACCTCAGTCATGTATTGACGAAGTGGAATGCCTCTTGCAGCCACAAGTTGCTGAGAGCGCATCGCACGAGATATACATCGAGGCTCTTCGGGATTTGCGGGGGATATTCGAGGAATTACATCAGATGCGAAGCGCTGGAAAATATGGTATCAGCTTGATACCATTTTTCGTTTGCTGGATATATCGACGACCTGATGAGTTCATTGGCTTGCTTGAGAGGAAAGAACCGTGTTCTTCAATTATTCTGGCCTATTGCCGTCTGATTTTGAAGTTTATGGAATCTTCGTGGCTCATGTTAGGTTGGGATCGACATGTCATCACAGGAATCCAAGAGTCTTTAGGATCTCAATAGAATTAATGACCCATGGCTGTGATTTGTCACACGGGTGTCATTTGTATAATAGGGCCCCCATAGTGCGATACTGAAGCGAACAACGGCCAACCACCATCCACCGTTATTACTCGGCCTTATTCCTTGCTTTTCTTTCCAGTTATCGATCCTTCAATCCACTGTGATGAAATTAACTTTTTTATTCTAAGTCTAAGCAGGTCAGAGTCCTCACCACTCTGCAATAGAACCGTGGAACTTCAACTTCGACACGAATACGCCAGGAATTTCCACTTCGGGCGCCCAGATGAGACCCACATAGCTTGAATGGTAACTGATCGACGATCAAATTGCGACTACGTACGTTTTCTTCATTCCCAAGGAAACGTTTTACCTCCACAGCTTTCTATTGCTAATTAATATTTCCCTTTAGGCCTGGGCCTTTTCATGCTCCTTAGTCGTGTTCGTATATAATTTACCACGTGGATTCTGTAGCTATAAGTATCGGGTCGCCCGACATGTAAAATTTTGATCTGCATCGAAATCAGTCAACAGCCTCCTAGATCGGAAAATCAAAGCGACTATGGTCCGCTTCTTCTGCAAAGCAGCTACCTCATATCTGCTGCTAACGGTCGCAGCTTCCGCCAGCCAAGATTGCAAGACTTCTCCAAATGACTTGACCTGGCCATCCACCAACGAATGGCGTGCACTTAACCGGACCTTACAGGGAGCTCTCCTCAGAACTTCCCCCGCAGCTTCATCTTGCTACCCTGGAAATCCACTTCAATCTCCCGAAACCTGCACGGATGTCGAGAACCACTGGACTTATGCCTCATACCACTCTGCCTGGCCCGAGAGTATTGATTACCCGATCTATACCAACAATTCCTGTCTACCACCGAGTGCCACTGGGTACACCAAGACTAGAGGATGCACAATTGGCGGGCTTCCACAGTATATTGTGAATGCCACCACCGAGACCCAGATCGCCACAGCAATGAAATGGGCTTCTCAGCGCAATATTCGCATTGTTGTGAAGGGAACCGGGCATGATCTCAATGGCCGGCAAGTGATTCAATCGCAGTTTGTATAATGCTTCTTATTGATGATTCTTCTCTTCTAGCTCTACTGGTGCATTTTCGATCTCCGTTTGGACTCACAACTTCAAGCACGCCCAACACCGACCAACCTGGAAGCTACCTGGTTGCAACGAGACTGCAGACGTGATGATACTTGGCAGTGGAAACAACTGGGGATCTGCGGACCTTGCAGCAAACAATGTGAACAGAGCTATCGTGGGTGGTGAAGATTCCACGGTCGGACTGGGTGGTTTGATCCAGAACGGTGGTCACGGTTGGCTCTCCAGTCACTATGGTCTTGCATCGGATCAAGTATACCAGGCAACTGTCATCACAACCGACGGTCGCCGCCTCGTTGCAAACGCTGCTCAAAACCAAGATCTCTTCTGGGCTGTCCGTGGTGGCGGTGGTGGCCAATTCGGTGTGGTGACAGAGTATGTTCTGAAGACACACCCGGTCCCCGAAAACATGGTTACTGGCGGTGTTGCTTTCTATGCCGGCTCCCAGTCCAACGCTAGCGAGGCTGGATCATGGAATGCATTAGCTCATGTTGTTTCTTCAATCCCCGATATTATGGACACTGGTCTCACGGGCAGCATCACCGCCCTTACAAAGGAAGAAATTGTGACACTCCTAGGTCTGGATCAAACCGTCCCTGGTGCGGCCGCGTCCATCAGCTTGACAGGTTTCAACATGACCACTGCGCAGATGAACGTCACAATCAAAAAACTCGCAGAACAGATCCGAAACGTCAAGTACGGCAACTACTTGAACTTCACTTTGACCACACCAACCACCAAAAACTACTACACCTACTCTGGCTCAACCACCGAAGCCGGAGCCGTCAGCCTGCTCACAAGCCGTCTTCTTGGCCGTCGAGAGCTTTCCGATATTCCCAAGAAAGATCTCATTGTATACCTCCAGCGGATTCTTTCCAGCGAAGAGTCCACTGGATCAATTCTTCTGTTCGGCCTGCAAGCCGGTCTTGGTCCCGCCAACGTTCCCGAAGAAATGCGTGGAAGTGTTCTTCCAGCCTGGCGTGAGGCCTACACTCATGTCATGACATACGGGGCATCAATCAACGCAACTGAAGACGCGACCGCGGGCTTGAAAAGCGGGGCCGATTGGTATGAAGCACACAGAGAGCCTGTTTGGAGAGAATGGGCTCCCAACACTGGTGCCTATATGAACGAAGGAAATCCTTTCAGTACCACTTGGAAGCATGACTTCTATGGTGAGAATTACGATCGGCTTCTTGAGATCAAGCGCAAGTATGACCCTAGTGAGAGTCTTTATACTTGGAGTGGACTTGGTAGTGACATGTGGCACTACGACTTGAGAAGTGGGTTATTGTGTCGCACTACAGAGAGTTTAGCTTGATATTCACACTCTTTAGATTTCCAGTGACACTTGCAGTCATTATTCCTTCATTCTAACTGTTGCGCGAAGTTGTACCATTTTTTTCTTCTTATTTTTCTCTTTTCCTTTCCACTTTCCTTTCTCCCGTCAGTTTTCCTTTCTCAATTCTGTCCAGCGATGCATGTTCTTCACATTGCAATGCATATACACAGAGCTATATATTTACATCTGTAAAATATTGAATATACATTGCACTCGAAATATTCTCGATGACCTGGTGATTGAATTATCGGAATGCCGACCAGGTGGCTGCCGTCATACCATACCTATTGTATTATCGGAAAATAAGCGATGCCAGTCTGACTATCAACACACGTGCAGACACAAGTAGAAACCTACCTAGGTATGCGTAAGACTATTCTTCAGTTGATTTCAAAGTTCCAATGAGAATGTATACTTATTTTATCTACATATCATTTACCTACGTGATGGTACCCACTACTTCAATTTTGATCTTCAGACCTTGGGAAGTCAAAAAGCTTCAATTTCAAAGTATTCACCCTTGTAAGTCTGCTATAAAAAGCAGTATGAAGATGGTGCTATCTACTCCTAGGACCCTCATAGTTCAATCTCCAACTTCACAATTGGATCCACTTCCTCATTTCCAATGAGCCCATTATCAGTCATAGATGGCCAATAGGAGCTGCCAGCTTGAACCAGATACGAACTCACGCCACCGTTCGTAATATCAAGGAAGATACTTCGAATGTAATTCCACATCGTAGTTGGAACAACAGCGAGTATCTCGTTCTGGCCTGTGTGCAAATATTTGGAAATGTCCATTCGTGGCGCATTGTAATCGACAGGCGGGAGGTACTCTCCATTGACCGCAACACGCAGTGCGTGTGTCACCTTGGGTAATTTAAGGTATGCGCCATCGGCTGTCACATTGACGTTACTTGCAGGAAGCCAGGTGAGTTTGGTGGTATAATACCCAACTCCGGATGCGTTCTGAAATCCCTGGATGGACTTCCAAGAAACGAGCTTGTGGAGATTGTTCGTGGCGTTGTGCTTCTCGGAAATCACCGAGGCGTCGCTCCTGTTTGTAGGTGTTTCCCAGTGTTCTGCAATCAAGGTCCAATTGGAAAGACTGAAATGAGGCGGTGCCATTGATGAGCTGAGCAATTGAGATTTCCGATTTGATAATTTGAGAAGCCTATCGGTTTGACCAGCTCCAACATGAACCTCGATCCTTTTATCGCAATCATGCATGCCATAGCCGATCACTGTCTGGGGAGCTTCGAGTACATGTGCAGACAAGCCCATAATACCTGTGAGTGGCTTGTTGCTCCAACCAATAACAGCGGTTTGATTGGCGGCCAGGTGCAAAGGAACGAAAACAGACCCGTTCTTGCGCTGATATTCAAAACAAGGAATGACAGCTCCACTCCAGAGGTCGAAGTAATAGGGAGCCTTATCAGTATTGACTTCAAGCTGCCCGGCTGTTGAGCTCCGGTCAGTGAAAATGAAGATGTAATCCAGATTGTCACTGCCTCCGTTTCTCCAGGTTGTATACCAGGTTCCATTGGTATGCAAGCAAGTACCGGGTCTTCTCGACTGGGTCTTCCGTCTTATAACTGGTGGAATGAAGCACTTCATGGGGTAGGCATCTCCGAGGGTGTGGACTTTGGTGTGAGCTTTTCCATTGTCATCGAGGATCCTGTGGGAGAGTACCCATCCGCTACTTCATTTGCTACGCCTCTGCTACTCGCCGCTGCCTTTGATGATGAGATGATCTACCAGGCTGGGCTCGACTTCTGGACTCCGAACGTCAACCCATACCGCGATCCGCGCTGGGGCCGTGGCTCTGAGGCACCTAGAGAAGACCCGAGACAAATTAAGGGATATGCCGAGAATTTTCTTCTTGGACTTGAAAGAAACCACAGCTCCTCCATTAAAAAGACACTGGCAACCTGCAAGCACTACGCTAGATATGACCTGGAAACATGGGGCGGATACAGTCGCTACGCCTTCAAGGCAAACATTACAATGCAGGACCTTGTTGAGTACTATTTGCCCCCATTTCAACAATGTGCTCGTGACTCTAAAGTCTCTTCCATGATGTGCTCGTACAATATGGTAAACGGCATCCCGGCCTGTGCCAACTCATACCTCATAAACCGCATCCTGCGACAGCATTGGAACTGGACGGCCTCATCAGTATGTGGTCACAGATCGTGGCCTTGTGAATGAAACTGCGAGGCGAACAAATTACACTTCAAGTCTTTCTGAATTCAGTGCATTAGCTTTCAAGACGGGGATTGATCTTGTATGCTCTGGAGATACCCCAACGGGTATTTCGGAAGCATACAATCAGTCACTCCTCCCGGAAAAGACAATCGATGCCGCTCTGCGTCGCCAATTTGAGGCCTTCAGTACGTGTTGGCTACCTTGGGCCCAAATCCACGGATCCTTACGTGTCACTGGGTTGGTCGGCAGTAAACACAGCACGCAGTCAAGCTTTGACACGCAACACGGCGGCGCAAAGTATGGTTCTGCTCAAAAATGACGGAACTCTACCTTTAAATCTTACGATGCACACCAAGACAGCGCTTATTGGAGCTTATGCCAATGCGACCTGGGAGATGCTGGGTAGCTATTGGTGTGTCGCCCTACTATCACAGTCCCCTCTATGCGACAGAGCGCAGACGCCTCGAGACATATTACGCAACTGGACCAGACACCTCACAAAATGAAACAGACAACTGGACTGAACAGATCAACGCTGCCAAGAAATCTGATGTTGTTCTCTACTTTGGGGGCATTGATGTTACAACTTCAAGTGAGCTCAACGATCGCTCATCCATCGCCTGGCTTACCTCTCAGCTGAGTCTGGTCAAGGAGCTATGTGCTCTTGGAAAGCCCTGTGTGGTGGTGCAGCTTGGCGAGCAACTTGATGACACAGCTCTTCTCAACAACCCCAACGTTTCTGCCATTATTTGGGCGGCTTACCCCGGTCACGATGGTGGTCCAGCCATCTTTGATGTTCTGGATGGCACAGTATCTCCCGCAGGTAGACTACCGGTCACCCAGTACCCGGCAAAGTACGTTGATGAGATTCCCATGTCGGATATGGCCCTTCATTCACAGAATGGCCAACCGGGACGAACCTACTAGTATTACAATGATGCAGTACTGCCTTTCGGGCATGTATTACATTACACAAACCTTTCGACCTCATTACAGGGTAAGCTGGCACACCAATGGTCATCGTCCACCCGGAACGAGTTCGTGCATCTGGGTTCTTATCAACTCAAGAAATTGCTGGCTAATTGCGACGCCCAATATCCGGATCTGTGCCAGTTGCCGTTGATTTCTGTTGATGTAAAAAACACTGGTTTTCGGGAATCCGGCTTCGTTGTGCTTGGTTTCATTGCTACCAAGGTTGGCCCGCCTCTTCATGCCATCAAGAAGCTTGGTGCGTATACGCGCGCAAAGAAGATATTGCCTGGAGAGACACCAGCTACGACGCTACAGTTCACGCTTGGAGACTCAGCTCGTGTGATGAATCGCGGGGGCCGTGTGCTTTATCCGGGGCTTTATGAAGTCCTCATTGACGTGCCGACGCAGAGTACGGCAACTATCGAGTCATTGGGAGATGAAACCCTTTTGGAATCATGGCCGCAGCCTGAATAAGTCCTGAAACTGAGTACCGAAGTTCTGAATGATGCTTGTTAGGTACCGAATTTTTGGTTCTTCGCGTTCAATTACACATTGTTACTTGGAACCTACAGTTCTAGCTTCACAACTTGGGTGTTGACAATATGCGACCGGATGGCACCTCGGTAAAGTGCGAGTGCCGCTTTATGGGTAACAAGAGAGTGGGTTATAGATGGGTGGGATTTCCCTTAAAATGGTGCATGCGGGACCGGGTTCCACCTTGGAAGTCATACGCGCTAAGAGTTCACTAGTCTCGACGATTTCAAGTCGATTTCTCTCTTCCCTTTGCAACCTCGATACAGTTCGTAATGGATCGCCTTCCGATTGAAATTCTACAGCAAATATGCCTCAATGTACGTCCCTAACGGGACCTCCCTAGTTCACGCCATTCCTCATGCTGATGAGGATTAGCTCGAGGGTCCTGCATACTGTCCACCCAAAGACCTGTCATCTTTCAGTCAGATCAACCGTCTTTGCAACCAGGCGACAGTCCCTATCCTTTACCGAAACATCACACTGATATTCAATACATTCCAAGACCTGGAGGCTGCATTGTCGAAAGTGACAGAAGCTCCCCGGGCGAGTATTTTCGCGAAATTTGCTAGGAGGTTATCCCTTGTCTGTATTGAATTGTCGCCGGAGTCTGAATTCAGAGAAGCCCGGCCATGGACGCTAGAGCCATGGGCACTCAACATGGTGACTGACCCAAACCCGGCGACGAGAAAAGGCTTCTTGGAGCATTATATGACCTCTTGCTACTCAACAACCGGCGGAGACTTACTTTCGAATTCCCACAGAAGCATTGGGAAAACTCCAAACTGGGCACCGGTCGTATCTCTCATTGCTAGCTTGAACCATCTTGATCAATTCGATTTTATCACGAACGACGACTTCACAGCCGACTTGACGGAAGCATTTTGGCGCTACCATCCCGATTGCAGGCTGAATATTCTCAGCAACCAAAAAGTGGGACCTAGTCCACTCTATCCAGATACTACATCGGTGTCTAGATATTCTAGCGAATTCAAAATGGATACTCTTCAGATGCCGGGCCTTCACACCCTGACAACGGCGATTTCCATTTATTACAGGCGGTCGGCCGAACACCAGCAACTTTGGGAGATGATGCCTTTCTTATTCACCAGCCCGGGGCTAAAGCACCTCTGTCTGAAGCCCAATGATGGTGTTCATAAAGCCGGAGTGGATCTACTGAAAGCGACATGGCAAAGCTTGATTGATAAAGCCAAGCCGAAGGCAATATCCCAGTTGGAATCAGTCACAATTCCCTGCAACCGGCCCGAAGGAATTATGCTTTCCAAATTAGCTGCCGCCGGAGACCTTTCTCAACTCCGCTCACTCGACATTGGTTGTGTTTGTGAACCAAGGAAACTTGTCAATGTTGCCGACTTGTTGCCAAATCTAAAGAGGCTTTTCCTTGATCTCGGCAGAAGGATCGAGAGACCTGCGACCATCGGGACTGACATCGAAGAATCAATGGCTGGGATACTTGCCTTTCGCCCCTTGGAATATCTTTATGTCAGGGGCCTTCGCGATGTTGAAGCCTTGGACAGAATCATCCAGCGTCATGGACCGTCATTGAAGGGACTTGCTCTCGTGCCCAACAAGGTCCACCAGTATCCCAGACTCAATTCTTCCAAGCTCCTCGAAATCATGAATCTTTGTCCGAACATGGAAGAGCTGCGCCTTCAAATGAAGAGGTCAGCGGGCAACCAAGCAGAGTGTGAGTTGTACAAAGCGCTGGGTACCCTCCCCAACCTCCAAAGACTATTTCTAGATTTGGATTTCGATGCTCGACCAAAGGTACCGAGGATGGTGAGCAGCCCTCCCGAAACAGACGATCTCGATCTCCGACGAACTTTCATAAATGCAGCCATGGACGAGAGCCTGGCTCTCCAGATTTGGACCAAGATCAAAGACAAGAGCCCCAGTTTGAAAGACCTACGAATTTTCCCATACGGAAACGTGCGCTTTGCCCAAGAGGAGCATTACTTGCTCGACTGCTTTGCGCGATCATATCGACTTACAGGTAATAAACTTGAGAATCCAGGAGTACCTGTCATGGAGCAGATTGGGAAAAGGGCATTGGAGATAAAACGAGCCAGGCAAAAAAATTGGGATGAGTCTCCTAGCGATGAAGAGGTCCGCCTCTCTAGTAGAGTTGTGTCCGTCCTTCAAAGTATCTGGCCCCAGGTGCTCGAGCAGACTTTCAGAAGCGAGTGGTGGGATTGTTGGACCAGCCTACCTTTACAACCGGACACCCAGTCTTGGTGAATGTTTGAAAGAATAGTCACATCTAGGAGATCGCATCACTTTGAATACAAATGGAGTAGTTTTACCACGGGTTTTGAGATTTGTTGGAAATACAACCTTTGGAATGCTTTAATGAGACATACAGTGACATTACAATACACCTCAAAGTTATGAAATTATCTAAACGTAATACGGACTAGCGTGTTTCAGTCTCGGAGATCCAAAAGAGTAGCACTTGAGCGCTGGAGGTGAAACTGATTTCGCCTCTGTAGCAGCTTTGATACATCAAGTTCTGTATGTATGTTCAAATTTATACTGAGAAAATTGCCCTCAAGTATCCATAATCAAACGCTGGCAGTGGCTTCGGCCGGTGCCAATGGAGTGGAGACAGCCCTACTGGTAGTAGCGGTCTCAGTCCAGTACGCAGTTTCATTCCAGTGAGGAACCGGCCCAACGCAATAAGCATCACCAGCAACCAAGTTATTGTCACAGTCAGTCGCCAGAGAAGGGTTCGCCGCCTTGAAAATTTTCGCCGAAATTTCAGACTTCAAGCAGATCTGGACGCATAAATCATCAGCCGTCGCGGAGTACCACCGACCGCATTTCGTCGTAGTTCCAGGTGCAACAATAGAGTTCGCAGGTGGTGCAACCACGCCTTGTGCATAACCTCCATTTCCAGTAGTTGTTGTGATGCCGTCACCAGTTGTATTATAGGTATCGCGATGAGGAGAAAGGCAAAGGACGCTGCCGAGAATTTCGCGGGCGCCTTGCATGTTCAGACAATCCGAATCCAGCCAGGGGTTGGATTGGCGAATGGAGTCTGGAGCGAACTCATAGTCATGCTCGAGTTGCCAGCAGTTGTCGTCATCTTGGAGCGTATATTGCGTGTCACAGCCTAGGGGCATGCAGATATCGCGACTGGCTGGCAGATCAGAACAGTTTCCAATTATAGTTGGGTTGGCATAGGGGATTGCGGCTGAAGCGACGAAATACTGCTTTGCTAGCTTGTCGCAGGTATCTCCGGTTTGGGTTGTATAGGTGGTGTTTGAGACACAAACGGGGTCCGGGGCTGGCGTCACAGTATAAGGCGGATCGTGCAGCTCGGTGGGTCCAGTCAGGCCGCATGTTGATTGAATCAGCTCGAGGGTCCCTTTGTCGGACTCCGTGTAGCTGCTGTAGATACTGGCCTGTCTCATTCAGAGCACGTTTGGTGTAGCAGTACGAGCACAACTCATCAGTTGGCATGTCCTTCGCGCTTTCCACGGTAGTGAAATCCATGATAGTACCAAGACAGTATTTCTTTGTATCTTGATCCATGAAACAGGTCAAATTGTACTTGTGGTACATATATCGTGCCTCCATTTTGGGTTGGGATCGAGCTGCCGATGGTCTGGTTGGCGCAATATGTTTGAAAGGCGGCCGTTTCTGGCGCCAGAAGCAGCCCTTTTCGGCATCGATTTCACAGGTCCTCGTATTCATAATATAATTCCGAGGACAGTGATGACGAAATCTTCGGAGTATTTTAGTCTCGTAAGGTGGATTTTGGAGACTTGCTAGACCTGGCAGTTGGGCGGGTTTGGATCAGGCCGGTAGGGGCCCTTGTGCGGGCTTGTACATGGGCTAAATAGGCTACCTACTGGCCGGCGCCAGGTTTATGTGTGTTCACACTTTTTGTTCAAATATCAAATTCTTTGAAAATTATGTTTATTTGTTTAGAAAATTTGAATATTACATAATTCTATTTATTCATTTATTCATTAATCATTGTAGAGGCTCCCTATTCATAAGTCTCATTTGCCTTGACCATCAACCCACCATCCTCCGTATCCCTAAACGTCAGCCTCAACCGCCTGCGCACATCCAAAACTTGAACCTTCTCGCGAAACACAGCCGCCGTGGATATTCCCGCCCCAGTATTCTTCAAGACATCAGTAGGGCTAGATTGAAGGGCTAAGGCAACCAGCTCTGGGATAGAGTCCCAGCTCGACGAAGTCCAGCCCGTCCACCATACGAACACGGTGTGAGGAATAGTCATCGCGCAGTACACCAGCAGAACGACCATCGAAGCTATCGAGGTGGCCCCACTCAGCCCGTACGCGTACCCATTAGCAGTCGCCGTCATAGTGAACCGGGTCATGTTTGTCGTGTCGACGCCCGTCATATCCCACAGCGTTCCTGCGCCTCGACCGAGTCCGCTAGGCTTCCGCGGGAAGAATGTGTCTACCCAGGTGGTGGAGCAGTTCTCTGGCCCTGGGAGTGTGCCTTGGATGGTAGTCTTTGCGTTGAGGGTGGAGAGGCCGTTGGTTATCATTCCTGCGAGGATAGCTTCGAGGACGTGGAGGGAGTACAAGGGATAGGTATCGACAACATCTCTGCCTTCTGCTTTAGTCGTTGTGCCGACGGAGTCGGCGGCCCAGATACCTGCGGCTGCGGCCATGTCTCCGAATAGGGTGCTGTTGTCGGTTGAGGAGGAGGGGTTTAAATACTGCGCCCACCTGGGATCAATGTGGATGCGTGGCAAGGCAGAAATAAAGGGCCGCGATTCGCTCTCGCGTTCGTCGAAATCGGCCTGAACGGCCCACATGGTATTGATCTGATACTCCAAGCTCATCCAGTGGGAGTCGACCTCGCAGGCTAGGATCCTGCTGGTGTTCTGTCCTTCTTCTCCTGTTGCGGGCAGCATGACGATTGCCCCGATCGAATTGTTCCCAAATACGGACTGGTCCAGGTCCAGCCAGAAGACTTCAGGCTGAGAGCTGTTCTTTTGGAGCTGATCAAGAACCTGGGTTGCTAGCGCGGAGCTGTTTAGATTTGCTATTGTGTACGTGGGCACGTTGTTGGCGCCTGGCACGTACGTGTCCCATACCGGGAAGCCAATCATTGTGTCACCTTGAAGGAGATCGGAGCTTCCATCACTCAAGTCTAGCTCGTTGCAGGCGACGTTGGTGATAGGCTGCTGGAGATTCTTGATACTCCAGGTGGCCGAGTTACGCCAGGCAAAGTGCTGCCGCGGGGGCCCACATTGGCTAGCATGCGCCCAGTGCATCCCTGACAGGGCGAGCGAATCGGCCACCACCATGCTCGGACAGAACGCACTCGTAAAGGGGATGTTGGTGGGAGATCTGGCATTCAAGACGCGTGCGCCATACTTCCCCGGCAGAGACACTTCGTCCGGGGTCCATGCGTACGAGTTGTATTTTCCGGGGGGGCTCAGATTCCGAAGGCCCGGTAGAAACGCGCCCAGAAAGGCTTTTAGGCCCGTCCATGGACAGTATAGCAGTTCTTGTGGGCTATTATCGTCAACCAGGCACGAGGGGTTGACATCGCTGTCTGTGACTTCCAGCGGCCAGAGCTCATCTCGAGTCGCGTTGAGCCAAAATTCGGTTCCTCCTGCGGGCCAATCTTGGAGCTTTGGGACCATCAAGACGGCAGAGGATGGACCCACGGTGGGCGCGAGGAGCATTCCCAGAAGCAGAGTCACTATGAAGAGTTTCCCGTGCGGTTGCCCCCATTCGGAAACTATCACTTCCCACAGTTCCTTGGACCAGAGATAACTTAAACTTTGAAACTGAAGACCAGAGAAGACGCTGCCAAATGCGACTTTCTGTGAGACAAGCCTCATCTGAACCAGGGTGAAGACGATCATGCTTAGCGAGGCCAGGATAGTGATTTCGTGCAATTTGGCTGCGAATTGCAATGCGCCAAGTTTGGCGCTGTTGTAGCCTTCTATCCCGCTGATCTCGGTCCCAATGAAGTATCCAATTATGTTGATAGTCACGAGGAAGATTGATATGCCGAATGGAACAATATGTAATAGCGTCTTTGGTAGTGCCACTTGGTGAGATTTCCAGACCACCACCTTGGGGTATTCTTTGTCGCGCTTGACGATTTTAGTGAAGATGATTCCTAGACCGAGTGAGCGAAATATGGCCTCCAATTTAGAGGGCTTGGTACGAGGTTCGCTTGGTGAAAGTGGCTTGGCTTCCTCGGGCTGATCATCAGGTATTTCAGCAGACCTGCGATATTATGGTCAGTATTTCTCCTCCCCCATTATAACCCCTGAACGTGAGAAAGAATGAGGATACAAATACTGACAGGAGCTGGAGCTCACTTTCCTCGCTGACTTTATTTGAGGAACCAGAAATGGAATCATGGGACTCGCTTTGCCAAACTGGCCAAGTTTGGTTTCTGTGCGCCATCTTGAGTGTACAACAACCCTACTTGTATCATACACATTCTCCTTTCCCCTTCTTTTCTTTTTGACTGGGAGTAGAGCCTCCTTTTAAAAGCAGCCCAAGGGGAAAATGGGCACTGTTTGGCCCCCAAGAGCCACTGAGCCCCTAAGCTCCTAAGCCCCCTCTCTATTCTGCAGATGCATTCTCTAACCGCTGGCGCTAACATTCAAGCGAATACTAGGCACCAGGCGGTTCCTTGGCATGCGAGGTCACAGCACCCAGCTATCATAAATAGCCACTTCAGCCTAAGTACTCGCGGGCGCAAGACTAGCAGATTTCTAATCCTTGGCAAACCTCGCACAGCCTTATTTTCGCAGCAAAGCGTTCTAGGCACACTGCTGACCATATTTATGTATTTACTTTTGTTCATTATTGTGGTTTATATAATTTATAAGATTACACTGCAATTATTCTTGTATCCACCTTGAAGTCTTTCTCTTTCGATGTTGATATTCCCCCTCCCGCCTCTCTGTTCCTTTTCCAAGGTTGTTTGTACACATATTTATTATTAGTGTTATAAGACATTTAATATATCCAACACTACTGGTATAAATACTATCGATGCCAGTGGCAGTAGAAGTAGAAGCAGGTCTACCTTAATAGCTTCTGTCGCCTTCAAGTTGAAGACATTTAACACATTCAACATGTCAGCAGGGATCGATCTGATCACGTGACACGGACACATACTCACGTATTGCCTCTACCACCCTACTTAGCCTTCTACACAATGCGATATACAGTACTCTACACCTAAACTACTGCCTTAGGCAACATACACTCCCCAATCCAGATATATATATGTTGACACAACTTCCCCCACATGGAAATATTTCACAGGATAATATAATAAGAAATCACAATATAGTATAGTACATAGTAGGGTATAGCCTTTCTTACAACTTGAATATAACACTTTCGCAAATCACCAACGCATAAAACAGAAACTAATCATATTTACACCTCGCACGTCTCTTGGGGGCTTTGTGGATCTCCGGGGCTCATAAGGGCCACTTATAGGAATTGAAAGCTGTTAAAGAGTTTCGAGTCCTCAGCACCGAGAAATACTTTCTGTAACTTGAACTCGAAATAAAAAGCAAATCCTCAGTGCGTCCTCCATCCCTTCGAACTACTACCTATTCGCAGATATACAAGTTTCAAAGTGCATGTTTTCTTTTGCCTAGTTTCGGGTTTTTTTCTCCATTTGATCTGAATTTAGGGGGTCATCCAAGCTCAACCTATCAACGCAACTGGATATCTAACAATCGGGGCACCTGCAGCCTGATGAATGGGGTCCATGCACTGCAAGTCGGGGCCTCTAATCCAACCGCGGAAGCCGCCACGACGATCTACACGGTGAGTGTGAGTGATTAGCCGAGGGGCCGTTGAAGAAGCGGGAAAATGTCTATTTCGTGAGGGTATAATATCCCCAAATATTAAAATCAAGGTCAAGAAAGATAAACACCTGCAAAAAGGCAAAACAATCTCAAGCTAGCGACGTGGCTGAGTGGGGAGAGTTTAAGAGTGATCAACCACTAGAGACGATCGACCTCGACCCCAACGACTTCCGACAGCGGCACCGAATAATATTCAAGCTTCCCGGGCGCCCTTGGCGCACTTGAGGACTTGGGGTTGTTCAGCCTTGTCCCTCTTCCAATATTTTGGTCTCTTTCCATTTTTCCTATGAGGTCGTTCTGGATGTCTTCACCCTATCCCGCGCTCCCCCGAGTCGCCCTCCCCGATGGACATTCGCCCAACGAGCGCACCAGTGACGTCCGGATCGTCTGAATCGCCTGAATCCCACCCGTCCTCCGCCCCGCCCCGAAAACGAGTCCGCCGCTGGCACCACCGAGGATTTACAGGCTGCTCGACATGCCGCCGACGCCATGTGCGATGCGACGAGGCTTCACCCACATGCAATAACTGTACGAGGTTGGGGCTGGATTGCGATGGCGCACAGGGAAGAATGACCTTCAAGGTCTACGGGCCCACACAAACGCAAGAACCGGCGCCGAAACCGCCCAGGGCACGGAAGAAAGCTCTGGACTCTACTAGCTGCGATGGTATACCGGGGACAGGAGCTTTTGCGTTAAACATCAAGGAGGAAGATGAGGGGCCGGTTGAAGCTGTGGTGGTTTCACCGACCACTGTATCTCAACAATCGCAGGCCAACTTCTGTTTCCAGGATCCTATATCTTTGGCTCCCAGAGTACCTGCGAGCATTCATCGCACGAATGAGCGCTACTTTACGCATTTTATCGACCAGGTGTCGACACTTCTCCTTATCTATGACAACTCTATCAACACCAATCCTTACCGCAATTACTTTCCCGATTTCGCTCGGTCGTCACCGTCCATGGTCGGAGCTATGCAGGCACTAGGCGCGTTGCATCTGGCAAATACAACTATCGGACCACAACGCAATTCACACCTTCAACACGCAATGAGACAATATGGCGAGGTGGTACAATTGTTTCGCGCGCGCTATGCGCGTCCAGCCCAACAGCTAGGAATGACCGATTTCGCAACATGTCTCTTACTTTGTTTATTCGAGGTTTGTCCATCCACTAATAAAAATGGAAAAGAATGGAATAAAAATATAACAGTCCACTGACAAGTATCCAAAATAGATGATGGACTCCCAAAACTATAATTGGGCCGTTCACCTCAAGGGTGCCCGAGAGATCTACAACCTTCTTTTCTATCCACACACAGGCGGTACATCTCCTCGCGAGGTGCAACGCGTCGCCGAATGCAACCATCCCCTTCGATCTTTCCTTGTCTCGCTACTGTCTTACCTCGACGTTGCAGGTGCATGCGCTACCCCCGGTGGCACAGTTGTAGAAGGAAATTACTGGAAGACCCTCGGAGGCGGCTGGGAATACAACCTCGGAACGCCTAGCCTATCCTCATCCTCCACCCCCGAACATCCAACCTTAGTGGAACTCCGACAAGCATGGTGCGGGATGATGGAGGTGCAAGCTGCGATTAGCACATTCGCGCGTGATAAGCAGTGGATGTCCCCAGAGCACCAAGATATGGTTTACAAAGAGATTTTCCACTCCCTCGTTGCTTGGAGAGCCAGCACACCCACTAGTCTCCAATTACTGGGGGAAATGGGTCTTGATGATGAGAGTCTTCGACGGTTTCCATTCCCTGATATGTTGGAATATGTTGGATGCGTTGAAGCGTACGAGAAAGCTACATTCGTGCATCTTCATCAGATAGCTGGCGCGGGCCGACCACGTTGGATCACAGATAGAGCTTATCTGGATATGCTCATTACGCGAATTCTGACATTGATCCGCAAGTTATCGAAGGGAGTGGGTCAATTAGCTATTCTCTGGCCTCTGTTCATTGCTGGGCAGGAGACTCGAAAGGAGCACGAACAACAATATGTTCGCCAAACGATGGAAGAGCTGAAACGTTTCGGCTTCAAGAATGTGGGTAAAGGTCTTGACTTTCTAGAAGCGGTGTGGTTCAAGCGACGCGCTTTTCCTGAAGGCTGGACGGAGACATTGGATGAAATCCAGTCCAATATTCTCTTGCCTTGATCAGACCTCTCACTACTGAGCTGGGAATTTTATCTCATTGGATTTAATGTTCTCGTTCCCACAACTGCTACAGAGAATCCCATCTCATCCGAAGACGCCGTCTCGACGGGCCGGTCCCCATTGACGACTCACGCAAACCTTGCATCTGAATATACGACGCTTGCATCTCTCACAATAGACATACCCAACAACTCACGATGATAAGTGGTGGCTTTTGATATCTATGCCTGTAACACTTCCATTTTGTACATATTCTGTAGCTCTTACGCAATTACGCCCATATCTTCTTTGCACATAAACACTGCATCTTTTGTAAGAACTGACCCATATTGCTTGATGAATTTATGCCCAAATGCACATGAGAATCATACTTATGCAATGAACTACATCTTCCCTGCATCCCATATTTCCGTCTCTAGAGTCCCAGAGTTGATATTCGTCCTTCGCATGCCAACTTGCGTTCCCTCCCTTATCCTCCCGCTCCTTTACTTATTACTTCACGAAGCCAAGGAACCCGAGCATGCAACGTGGTTCTGGTCACACAACTAACCCTGAGATATGCACCCCAGAATCGCACAACGTGTATAGACAACGATTCAAAAAGCAACAGCTAACTAGCGTCAGCTACAACAGAGCAACCGAGGAACATCTGATTCTGATTCTGGTGCGATCTCAACAAGACTCCGGCCCGCATGTGGACCCTGGCCGCACTGAACCGGTTTTAAGTGGATCACTACTAATTCAATCCAACGAATCAACATCGCGAGATGATTTCTTTTCCCTCTTCCCGGATATCTTGCGCCATCCAACCTGATCTGATCCTCCGCAATCATGAATGTTTCTCAGGCCACGAACCACGGATTAGCACAACTCATTCCTGTTCGCCAAAAACTTTCCACCTTGACAACAAGACTGACGAGAATCGAAAGAGAAAATACTTAGAACGAAGAAAAAAGAAAAAGGAAGAAGAAGCACAAGAAAAGAAAAGAAGAGTTCTCCGAACTCGCTCGCTCACGGACCAGACAGCTCCGAGAAGTGGAAGCTCCGAAAATTAAAGCTCTTCGATCGTATAATCTCGTACCATTACTCTAGCTTGAACTTGAACTTGAACTTGAAATCCTAAACTAGCTCCGAGTCTGAGGTCTCTTTTTATCAGATTTCGCCCTGTGCAAGATCGACAACACTTCCTCTCCCCTAGCACAACCCGCAAACCCCTCCAAACCACCATCCAAACCAAGCACAAGCACAATTAATACCTCGCTCCAGCCTAAGCTCCGCAAGTACGGAGTCTAGCCAGACCAAGTGTTCTCCATAAGTAGGGTAGGGCGGACTCCTACTCTTCCCGCTTAGTGGGGTTAGCATCGTTCCTGACCGGGGGCGCAAAACGGCGTAAACCATATTCGGGGCCAAAGTTAATTTACGGAAATTTTTCACATTCTCCGACGTTGTTTTTTTCTTCTTCGATCGATCGACAGGATACTGGAGCCATCTTAAAGAGAAGGTACATCCGCGCCCGTCAGATTCACAGAATCAGCATCGGCATCAGTGTTCTTTGCACTGGCTTTTTGAGTTTTCCGCTTCCATAATTGGGTTCTCGGGAAAGAAGCGAAGCGCTGATATCCGAGATGGCGCGGGACGCTCTTGTTACGGGGTATGATGACCCGGTCGCTGAGGGCGAGGGTGAGGCTGATCGCAGTCAGAATGAGGCGAAGGATGATGCGGCTTTGCTGGTGAGTACTTTGTGATATTAGTTCTGGCTTAGTAGGGTGTACTGACTGACGCGTGTATTAGCAAACTATGGGTTATAAGCCGGTGGGTTTGACCTTTTGATCTGATCTGATCATATCTGATCTAATATGCATAATGAGATCGGCGACTGATAAGGTGTTTGGATAGGTTCTTCATCGAACATATACCCTATTTGAGAACTTTGCAACTACCTTTGGTAAGTGAAATTGATGAGATTTATCACCACGACGAACCTAAGACTGATTCCTATAGCTGCGTTGTACTTCGTTGGTGGCGTGCGTGTCACGTACAGCACTGGTATCGCTGCTGGTGGAAACTTGGCCTACTGGACTAGTTACTTGGTGACTCTGGTCTTCACCTTTATCACAGCGGCCGTTGTTGCCGAGGTCTGCTCTGCTTCTCCGTCCGCTGGATCTATTTATCTTTGGGCTGCGGAGGCTGGTGGTCCGACATTTGGTCGTCTTCTTGGATTCGTCGTTGCATGGTGGAGCACGACGGCATGGACTACTTTCTGTGCTAGTAACACTCAGGCTGCGGCCAACTATATGCTTGCTGTAAGATTAACCCATCCGAGTCCAATATGAGGATCGCCAGTTCTAACAATATTCCAGGAATTAACTGTGTTCAATGTCGACTTTCCCAAGGACGCTGACAGCGTCAAGTTCCGCGCTGTGCAATGGATCTGCACAGAGATTCTGCTTGCCCTGGCTGCGCTTCTGAACTTCTTGCCTCGTACGTTTATTCTGTTCTAGGGATCTTGGATGTTCCACTGACCTTGCCTTTAGCTCGTTACTTCAGATACGTATTCTGGGTCTCAGCAGGATTCGTCATGTTGGATTTCTTCCTGAACCTCATCTGGCTGCCCATTGGAGCTGCTCAAACCTGGGGCTTCCGCACTACCCATGAAGCTTTCATGACCACCTACAACGGAACTGGTGCCCCAGAGGGCTGGAACTGGTGTCTTTCTTACCTTGCCACAGCAGGTATCTTGATTGGTTTTGATGCCTCTGGCCACGTTGCCGAAGAGACCAAGAACGCCTCTATTACCGCTGCCCGTGGTATTTTCTGGAGTACAGTCGCTAGTGGTATTGGTGGCTTGGCTACTATCATTCTGTTCTTATTCTGCGCAGTAAGTAGCTCTGATGAGTCGGATCTTTTCAAAGTATACCCATGCTAACGTCATTCTCTAGCCTACCAATGATGTTCTTATGAGCTTTGGATCTCCCCAGCCTTTTGTCCCACTATACGCTGTGGTTCTGGGCAAGGGTGGACACATCTTCATGAACATCATTTGCATCGTCGCTCTATGGCTGGTAAGATTGATAAATACAATCAATGACCGTACTCTTCTAACAACCCCTAGAATACCGCTATCGCTATCATCGCCGCATCCCGTCTCGTCTTTGCCGTTGCCCGCGACGGAGTCCTTCCCTTCTCCGGCTGGGTCTCCAAAGTACACAACGGTCAGCCGCGCAACGCCGTCATCGTAGTCTGGGGCGTTGCAGCTCTCGTCACCTGCACGATCCTCCCATCAAACGTGGCTTTCACTTCCCTCGTCTCAGCCGCCGGTGTTCCCAGCGCAGCAGCATACGGCCTCATTTGCCTGGGCCGCCTATTCTGTACCCCGAAGCGGTTCCCCAAGCCCCAATGGAGTCTTGGTCGTTGGAGCAAGCCTTTCCAGTTCATTGGTGTCTTCTGGAACGGATGGGTTGTTGCTGTCCTCTTCTCTCCATATGAATGGCCCGTCACTGGAGCTAACTTGAATTGTATGTCTGGTCACTTCTTATCTATTTGAGAGTATACTAATCTTCGTTCTAGACGCTCCTATCATCATGGCTGGTGTCACTATCCTTGCTTTGATCTCTTACTTCGTCATGCCGGAGAGTGCCTGGCTTCCAAATGATCGTATCACGCACTTTATCGATTCCAAGGGTGCTGTCGAGACGGTAGAGGAAGTTGAGCACCACAGCGAGGCCGAGGCTAGCAACACTCGATGATGAACTCGCTCTACTTCTTGCTCACTCACATCTCATCATATGCAACGCACATAAGATGAAAAATATTGCTCAATAGTTCACCCCATGGCATTGCTTATGGGACAAAATTTGGGCAATAAAAAATTATAATCTATTCCTCATCAGGCCCTGCTTAATATCCACTTCTGAGTATCCATTCGAAGCCATGCGGGGTTGGCCGATGACTGTACATGTGTCATCATAGCTAAACAATACAAATTCTTACATGAATACTTAAATCGTTCTAATAAACAGGATTGATATTTACATAATTCGGGACCAGCAATATGTAGGCTATATCCCAAAGAAGATAATGGCCTTGGTTGTATGCCAAGAACCTTGGGGGTACAAAACGGCTTTATGAGGCAACAATGCGGGGAAACGGAGTGTAGTCCGATTCTACCCAGCCGATCCCCCTCTTTAAATTCAGAGCTGTTGGACCTACCCCGGCTTCAGTTTATCAAATTCTTTTGTTGAAACATAACATTCTAGCACGATGTCCGCTCAAGGAACAAGACTTCAAGGCAAGGTTGCCATCGTAACTGGTGAGTTACACCTACATCCATCCCCATCAACGACTCAACCTCTCAGGAAAGGAAGCTGACATCTGTCTGCTAATTTAGGTGGCGGATCCGGATTTGGCGCTGCAATTGCCCGTCGCTTCGGTGAAGAGGGCGCGAAGGTCGTTGTCGCTGATATCAACGTCGACGGGGGAGAGAAGGTCGCCGCGCAGAACCCTTCGAACCTAATTTTCCAGCACACGGACGTGACACAGGGAGATGCGTGGAAGACGGTTCTCGACCTTGCATTCTCGAAGTTTGGAAGATTGGATATTCTTGTCAATAATGCGGGGACTACATATCGGAACAAGGTTAGGACCAGACAATGGCTTTCATCTGCAATAAATGTTAATATTGTGTAGCCTACGGCCGAGGTAACAGATGAAGAGTGGGAGCGCGTCTTCAAAGTCAATGTCAAGAGCATTTACTTAGCTTCGACAATTGTTATTCCCCGATTGATCGAGCAGGGACAAGGAGGCTCAGTGATTAACATTTCTTCCACTGGAGCGAGTCGTCCAAGACCTGGGTTGGTGTGGTACAATGCCTCTAAGGGCGCAGTCACAAATGTACGTCTGATTCTCAGATGATTTGGTATACATGAATGGCAGTTCTAATCATTTTTAATAGGCAACTAAAGGTCTCGCAGCGGAGTACGGTCCACACAATATCCGAGTCAATAGCGTTGCGCCTTTACTTTCTGGCACTGGGCTATTCGCTATGTTTACCGGGATGGAGGACACACCCGAGAACAGGGAGAAGTTTATCAGCAATGTACCTCTAGGCCGTCTTACTGAGGCCGACGACATTGCCAATATGTGTCTTTACCTCGGTAGTGATGAGGGACGGTTCATCAATGGTACTGAGATGGTTGTTGATGGTGGAAAGTGTGTTTAATACATTTATTAAGTCTAGAAATCAGGCCACTTCGTCTTATTATTACTTCCCTTGTCGGAACACTATTTGTATTGCAAATATACTATCCAAGCTCATCTATCTATTCGCCTTTTTTCATGTCTCAGCGTTCTCGTTCTGGTCCTCATTCTGGCTCTTGTTCCGTCTCTTTCCGAATGTGCTAAATGCGACATTTCCGGCTCCGCAGTATCTTTCGCCGTGTCAGAAACTGATTCCGGAGGGGAAAAGTATGTTGGATCAGTTGATACAGATGGAGATGTGGTACCGCTTGTCGTGCTGTAATGGCTTCGCGAGCTTCTGCTTGTCAATGATTCATCGTTCACTAGCGTTGACGATGCAGAACTGGAAGCCGGTGTCAGATGCATATTTTGATGAGTATATAGTCCAGATTTTGAATCTTCTTGTTCCAAAACCTCTTGTCCGCTGTCTTTCCAACGAAGTTTGCATGAGAAATTATGACCAAAGACAACAGCGCCATCAGCTTCCAATTTTTCTGGACACTTCACACGGGATAAGTGACGCGATCTCCTTGGATAGAAAACTTGCACAGGATCATGATGATGTGTGCCCTTTCTGGCATGGGGTTGGACCCTGCGTTGACCTTGGCACGGGCAAGGTAAGACAGGGTTATTAGGAGAATGCCATAGAAGGTTGTCAATGGACTTGTCAAGACCATTACATCCCTTGCCATGTTTCTCCATAATATCCTTCATTTCACGGACACTCGCAGCGAGATAATATTTCTGCGTCGGAAGTTTCTTCCAGCTAGGGCACATTCCATCGAAATCGACAGGCTGAATTATTTCACCAAAGTCGCGGCCAAACAGTGTTACTGCACCAATGGAGCGAATGAAGTCTACCCAGCCCCACCCCATAGCTTCCAGTGTTGCAACACGGGGCCTTGGGTCGTGATCTGTCGCTAGTTCCACGAAGTCCCATCCTTCTAGGTGCTTTCGTACTCTGAGCTTGAGATTCACTCCATTTTCCCCCGCTTTGTGAGCATGATATTCTATAATCTGCTCTAAGATTGTGAAATGCTGCTCAACGAGATCCTCGAACAGATAATAACCACGTTTTTTCTTTTGGGTCTTTGAATAACCCGTATTATTTTTTGGAGAGCTTATTTCCTCTTCTTCAGATCGTTCGCTTTTGCCTGGGTAAATCTCAAGTTCCTTATTGCCTTCATGGAGGAGAACTTTGATGGCAGAATTTGGCTTGAGTTCGTTCGAATTCATCATTTTCTCGAAGTCAAATAAAAATGCCGACGAAAAATCATCTTTGCTATAATGACGAAGGGAAGCCCGCACGAGATGAAGCAATGCACTGATTCCGTTAACAAGCCAACCTCGCTTGTCCTTCTCATCCCATAACATAACGTATTTGGTGTATATCCATTTGAGCTTGAGAACATATCCATTTCGAGCAAGGTGGGGTGGATTATCTCTCAAAAATATCGAGAATGAAAGCCCGCCCGTTATGATTTTGCCCCCTGACAAAGACACCTTGTCGAGCATGCAGCCGGCATGAGGCTGGGGAAGACCTGTTCCGCCTATATCATACTGCGCATTCTCCGCTCCTGTTCGCATTAGCGATGAACTCAGGATTCCAAGGCTGGCCTCAGTAAACTATGGAGGATGTCACTTACCAGCATTATATTTGCAATCCACGCACCACCCCACAACATGCCGATATGTCTCAAGCTGAATCAGGCTGATTTTCTCGACTCCTTGAAGAGATTGGTCGAGGTAGGAGATTCGACTACCATCCGAATTATAGAAATAGTGCCAAACTAGGAGATCCTCCACAATCTTTGTGGCCACCAGCATTACTGAGAATCCCTTTATAAAGACTTTCCCATCAAATTCGGTTGCTCGGTCCGACTCAGTGAGCCCAGCCATCATGTTAAGTGGCATCTCAAGCCCTAGGCCATCCTCCTTCTTGGTCAAGATAGGATATCCTCTAACAACAACAGGGTTTCTGAACATATCATGCCAGCATTGCCCAGGCAATTTCTCTCCACTCGGATAAGACTCCATTTTGAACCCGATGACATATAGGAACTCAAGGCTAGGCAGTACACCGGGTAATATTGTTGAAAAAGATTTACTTGTAAGACGCCGACTGCTTCGGATGAAAGGGGTGCAGGAGACCACACCGTAATCAACATGTGATGGTTGAAGTGCTGACCCAAGCCATGCAAATTGTTGAGCAACCTCGGCCAAGGAGTCACCTGTTCCGGAAGCTATGACTATGAACTTGCTCTCTCGAATCTTTACGTCAACGCTTGTTCCATCTGGGAAGGTGGCTGTAAGGAGTTAGCCAATGGTTCATCTTAAAAATAAAGAGTACGGATCGAGTACTCATCGCTTGGTGGTCAGTATTCTTCACGACATCTACAACAAGCTGCATCACAATATCCCCTGTTGTGGGCCAGGTTTGTGAAAGGTATGCTCCAGTTGTTATTGCCTGTCCATCACTCGACGTTCCTGTTAGTGTAATTGCCTTCTTTACCGCTTCATGCGGTGGGTCAGTAGACTGCTGCTCCAGAAAATGCAGAAGATCCCAATCTAACTCGAAGATTCCTCTATACCCCTGGGAAGGCTGTCTTCTGCTGACTTTGTGAAAGGATGGTAATGCCTTCAAAATCCCTTTCCCAATTTCATCCATGATGTCCGGAGATGATCTCGTGATGATTGCTTCCTTCTGCAATGTTGCAATGAGCCAGGAATATGCTGATGTCCCTAAAATGAATTCACGATAGGGACCAGTATCGGGCTCTGACTCCATGTCATCCTCGAAAGCGTCATCGTAATCTTCTGGTTCTGGGCTGATCAGGCTAGACACTTCTCCTGGATTGCCATGTACAGTCTCAGGTTCCAACAAAAACCGATCTATTGCAAACTGCCTAGTCTCAATCTTCTCGGAAACCAGTCCTGGGTCAATCTCGAGAGGTAGCATGTCCTCAAAAAAAGTCTGGATACGGCTACCTATATTTAGCGAAATTCCGACTATGCGGTAGTATTATTACTTACCTGCGATATCTATGCACAAAGAAAGAAATATCAAGTTGTATTCTCGTCCCCGCTTTGTATCCCATTTTAAGCGCAAAGGCTCTTAATAGGTCCGGGAGCATTCCAGAAACATGCTTCATGGTTTCCTCGTTAGACTGGGAAGATCTGACTGCATCAAACAATTCTTTTGCAAGGCTGATCATGTATCCGCTACCCTCTGGGGGTGGTAAACTTGAAGTATCCGACGCAGAGTATTGTGTTTGTGAATCATACAGTCCTTCAACGTTCTCGGCGTGGTTTTCGTCGGTCCTCCTTTTAAAATTACCCGGTGCACCACTTTTATGAGTCAATGAAGTGTCTTCTGTGAAGGTATTGGTACCTTGATGAACAGAGCTGAAAATTTGAGTTGATATTCCATCTGTTCTAGATCCAAGGTCGGATTCAGGAAAAGCTTCACCATTCTCATCCTTCGTTTTGATTTCACCTCCCTCCGCGTCCAGCGAGTTCGGAGTTGATATTCCATCTGTTTCAGATCCAAGTTCGGATTCAGGAAAATCTCCCCCGCCTTCATACTTCGCCTTGGTTTCGTATCCCTCCATGCCCAACTCATTTGAAATTAAAACGTTTGTGGCAAAGTTTGAACGTTCCAAAGCGATGCGAATAGAAGCTGTCGCACGAAGATTTTCTATTAGGTCCTCGTATACGTCTTGCGAAAGGACTTTTCGCAATGACCTAATACTTGGAAGTTCAGTGCTAATGGGCTATCAACTTCATCAGTTGCGAGTACCAGAACAATAAAACGGTACATAGTTTACCTTTTTCATATTCTCGCTAATACCCATGTTCGTAGAAAGCCGATCGAGCCGCTCCCAGAGGCCCCTTGTGTTCGCTTCGAAAACATCATAGTTTCGGCCAAGTTCTATACGAAGCTGCCTCTCCAAAATCGGATCTTCCCATTCGTCGCTCAGTGGATTTTTCATGAGGTTTAATACCTCATGTTCGCTTTCCACCATTCCGTCTAGGACGCGTTCTGCTGTGTCCAGCAGAATTGCGTGGTACATTGCTAGCTCGCTCGAATAGCGTGCAAAATCCTTTGGATAACCCCACAAAAGGTTCATTTTTCCCATATGTCCCGTTTCATGCACAAGCGCATCGAGATAGTGTATGATAAGCGGTATTGTAGCGATAGAAAGACCTAAAGCCCGGATCCCAGTGACCAAAATCCGGAAAGGCTTCACACATAGAGTTGTTCTCACACATCTAGCTGTGACTGCGACGAGATCTGGCTGTCGCGTGGTAATGACAATAGAACCATGGGAGACTGACGGATAATATTGCTCAATTCTGAATTCTTCAGAATGATCATAGTCATCGAATATTAATAGCCAGCGTGTGTTTTTTGGATCAGATAACCACGTGCGAGTAAGAATCAGAATATCCTCATTCGCAAGCGTTGTCGGTTCTTGTAAATCAAAAATTTGTCTTGCGATCGATAGAAGACAGTTTCTAAGCTTCAATTCAGATTCTGCATTTACCCAAAGAATAGATTCGTAGTTTTCAAGGTGGCGTTGCGCGTAAGCAATGGCAAGCTGCGTCTTGCCAGCACCCGGGTTACCGCCAATAACTAACAGCCGCTGTTTTAGGGCTACATCGCCTGGTTCCAAGATCTGTCTCAATTCATCAAGCTCCAAGTCACGCGCGATAAACGATTCCGGAGCAATATGAGGTGCGTAGTCGAGGTGGGCACCGACGGGTCCTTTGTAGTTGGAATAATAACCTTTCTGCTTGATAACTATGAATAGCGTGGATTAGCTTTCACCATCCAGGAACCGCCACCACGTCACTTTTAATTCTTACCGGACTTCTGGGCGTGAAGATCTTCATCATCATTAATTTGTTGCCCACTCGCAGAGAGGACATTATCTGCCTGTGCACCTTTGCCGCTTTTGAAAGTATTGCTCGAGCTTTCGAGTTGTTCCTCGTGCCCTAAGCATTTTACTAACTTCATCTCTTTGATAATGTCTTCGCGCTCAGTCTTGTCCCCTAGAAAAGTAGAATGGAGTACGACGGTGTTTGCAATAATTTGCACATTGTCAGTTATTGACAACATGAGTTCTTCGACCATTCTTTCTTTACCAAGTCCCCGGGCCAGTTTTAGATATCTTTTCCAGGCATCTCTTTCACTGGGGATGACCTTTTCTAATATCTCTCTCAAATCTCGCACCTTTTCATCGCAATGATGAAGGCTGTCCTCTAAAGCTTTGCGATTCTCCGGGTCCATCAAGGTCTTAACCTTTTCTTCGTATTTCATGCACGCTTGGAGGGTAACAAGGATAAGGGGTAGTCGAGATCTCACGTCTTCGAATGTCTCTGGCAACTTGCCTTTCGGTACATGCTTGAAGAAATTGATGGATGACCTGAGAACAGGAACGACCGCGAGGACTGCGCCCGCTACCTCGATGCCTGACATTCTTGTGACCAGATAATGGGAGGCTATATGGAATACGACCGATCCTTACCATTCCGAGCTTGCAATATGTCAAAGTTGGGTTTATCGTTGTAAAGACGAGTAAAATTATCAAATTTCTCTCCTCGAGAAAAGAGGGGTAGGCGTTTGGCGTTGATTATTATAATTGGCCACTGCATATGCAGCTTTTTGCTTCAAGTTCTGGCCAATGCCCTCAACCGGGGCTGCTGATTGGGGGCGGTGCGTGGACACGAGATTGTGAGGCTGAGTTCGAGCCCAATATCAAATAGCTAGCCGCCAATGAATTGGGATTTGTGAGGGGCGATGAGCAAAACCTGGGCAAGGCAGAATTTATTATGACACCATGAATTCAGTGGTAATAGACCTCCTCCCCCCCCCCCCCCTAATGTTTTTCATTGACTCCTTTGAAATGCTAGAAGATCGGCCCGTGGCTGCTGTATATGCAATAGCAATCACCGGGAAACCCCCTCTTGGGCCTTGACACCGCTACCTGTACCGTAAGCTCTAAATATATACAATATCAGGTGGAAATACACATAGAGAATGGGGTTTCCCCCGATGATCGCTATTGTCCCCCGCATCTGTGTGTCTCAAGGATCGTGAATAGTTATTCGTCGGGCCAAAGTCGGTAGGGATCACTTTTTCCACCTTGAGGGATTTAATGGTGACACTAAATTTTGTGTTTGTAATTTCAATTTCTCTACTTTATCTGACCATTTTTCCAACTTCCTATAAACCCCGGCATTCATTTGTGATAGCTGACTTATGTATTGCAGATGCGGCTCTTATCCATACAAAAAGAATCCTTATCGCTGCCCCGCAGCCTCGTTCTCCTTACCCGAAGAACCTTGGAATGGGAGTATTCCTCATATCTCTCTATCAAGGGTGCGTTTACAGACACTCACATCCATAACCAGAAAGAACCCATATGAAGCAGACCCTGAAAAAATCCCTGCGACCGACTTGTACGCGGATGTGGCCTTCTATGGCCGCTACCACCCGCAGCCCGATGACTTTCGTATCAACCTCCAACATTCCAACTCGTCAACCCCTGCCTCTTTAAAGCGGCAGAAAACCGAATTTATCCGGCTGATGAAGGTGGTCGTGACGTTTTCGCTCTCGGTAGTGTCATCATAAAGTCTACTCATCTTCATGAACACGAGCACCCTGGGTCTCGAGAGATCGACTTCTCCTATGCTGATGCGAATGAGGCTTCCGCAATCTTACAAGCGAAGGCCATCCTGACTGATATCAAAGTTCCGGCAACATGGTTTTATGGCAAGGTATTCATCATTGGTTTCTCGACTATGTAGATACCCGTTAACTTCTTAGATCAATGATCGCCAAGTGCTTGTCCAAGAAAGGCTCCCTGGCGTCGCTTTGAATGTAGCTTGGCCATATTTATCTTCCTGCCAGAGAAAAGATTTTAAAGCACAAGCTAGAAGGATACTCTATCAACTTTCCACTATAAAACCATCAGAAAACCAAGCAATATGCGCACATATTGTCCCCGATCCAAATCTACTTTTCAATGGCAGGATCAGCTCGTTGGAAGCAGAAAATATTTTTTCGAACACCAACAACGATCCGGACATGTGTTTCGTGCACAATGACTTAACACAGTCAAACATTATTGTCGACGACGACAAAATTGTGGGAATCATTGATTGGGAAATGGCCGGGTTCTTGGGCTGGAAAACTGCTGCCGAAATCCATCGTCGGATCAGAACTCCCCAGCGAGATCATTTTGTAAATGCGAACTTGAGTGAAGAATTTCTTCAGGATATGATGTACTGGAATGATCTATACAATGAAAATTGACCAGGTGATGGTCTCACAAATAACAGCCTCCAGCGATAGCAAATGGAAATGATTGTTAGAACAAAAGCATCGTGCGTTTATTTTTCTTTGAAGTTCTCTTCTCGCTAGTTTACATTAGCTCCCCAAGCACTCGCAGAACACATTTTAAAACCTGCGCTTCTCCTCAGCAGGCTGGTTACCCACAGCCTTCTCGATCTTCTCCAACACCTCATCAGTCAACTTATCAACAACACCCAAAGCACGTACATTATCAAGCACCTGCTCCGGTCGCGAAGCACCAGTAATAATAGACGAGATATTCTTATTCTTCAGGATCCAAGCCAACGAAAGCTGAGAAGTGCTAATACCCAACTCCTCAGCAATAGGCTGCAAAGCAGCAGTCTGCTCCAGCTGGCGGGTCCAGTTATCATCACCAACAGTCTTGCGCCAACCCTTAACGTAAACATCCTCTGACTCCGCTAATCTAGATCCAGGAGGAGGTGCGGATTGACCATTGTATTTTCCAGTGAGGATACCACCCTTCAATGGTGACCAGATAGTCAGACCGAGTCCGTAAGCCTCGTAGAGCCAGCGGTATTCCTTCTCGACGCGCTCGCGCACAAGAAGGTTATACTGCGGTTGTTCTACGATGGGTCCAACAAGACCTAGCTTATCGGCGACGCGCCATGCATCTGCGATCTCACTGGCGGACCACTCGGAGGTACCCCAGTAGAAGGCCTTGCCGTTGTCGAGAAGATAGTTGAAGCCGCGCACGATTTCCTCCATGGGTGTATCGCGGTCAGGACGGTGAGCATAGACAACATCGACATATGGGAGGTCCAATCGCTTGAGGGAGAGGTTCATGCCCTCGATAATGTGCTTTCTTGAGAGGCCATTGTTGTTCAATGGCTTATCGGGGTTGGCGCTGTTGGCTTTGCCCCAGTAAATCTAATTGCGCAATCAGCAACCCGAATTACATGTATAGAGATTCAGCAGGGAAGTACCTTGGTGGTGATAACGAGGTCGTTCTGCTTCCATCCGAACTTCTTAATAGCCTCACCGAGGACAACCTCACCCTGGCCACCAGAGTATGTCTCAGCGGTATCAAAGAAGTTAACACCAGCGTCGTAGGCAGCCTTCATACAATCAAAAGCAATCTCTGTTCAACTGAGTCAATATTCATCCCATCAGAATAAGAAAGAACAAGGTCCTACCATTTCCAACATGACCACCATAAGTGAGCCAGCTACCAAGCGAGATAACCGAAACTTTCAGTCCAGTCCGGCCAAGATGGCGGTACTGCATTTCAGGAAGTGCCTCAGACATCGTGAGAGTTTATTGAAATCAATTGAATCCGAATGAAGGGTGATTGTGAAGAAGCTTTCCGTAGCTCTGAAAAAAAGTTGGCAACCAAGGTCTCTTATGTAACTTGCAGCAGTCTTCACGCAATTAACGCGGGCCGATGCGGGGTTCGTGCACGGGCCTGTACGTGCGGGACTTTACGCTTGTTTCCCTCATTAGGACGCCGAATGAGGGGCTTAGGTGCGTGGCGTGTGGAATGCTCCACCTGCCTTCGATACGATGGCTCTGTTTCGTTGGAGTTAAGGAAAGGTTGATCCGTTGCTTTGAAATCAGTTTCCTGATCTGAATTAGTTTCGTCATTTTGGTTTGGGATGGAGTGATTTTTGCTTCGTGGACCTTTCTCGAACTACGGAGATTGAAGTAGGTGGAGTTTCCCCTTTCGATGAAAAGGATGAAGTACATATTCACATATTCAAATGCAATTACAGGGATGGATACGTAATAGGGTATATTATTGAAAGATGGATTTATGCTTAAATACCCTTGTATCACCTAGACTCCATGTGGAAGGTGTAGAGCACAGCTATTCGCCACTTGGAGGGGCATTGCAGTTAATTAGATGCAATCAATACATACATTAATCTAGGTATCTTTGTCTTTCATTAAGAATCTTACTTATTAAGAATCTCACACAATGATAGTGTGCCGGCTTATTTGACTGCATCGGGCCATTCAAGCAGACCTATTTAACCGGTTCGGCGAAACGTGTCTTGTTTCACCGGCATCCCGTGGGGGTGTGCCGTGGTGTGGGGCATTCTCTACTGGAAGGTCTGATGTGATCTCCTTGGGTAACATTAAATGTGGGGGTAGGAGGAATGAGTCAGAATCGAATATAGATGGTAGGTTAGTAGTACACTGTTATCGTTGAACGCTGTGTGCATTCCTATGGAAAGAAGACTGACCATATCTAGTTGTTCAAGAACAAAGTCTGGTTCGAGAAATTGAGAATCGATTCAATTTCATAGATCTCGCGTCATTTCTAGCAAGTGTTCCAAATATCGCTCCTAAAACTTTCCGACGTCAACTTGGATCATTCTTTGAGCTTGTGGGAGTTATTCAAAACACAAATTCTGAGTTTAACTATTTAAAATCCACTTTGTAGCTACTAAATGAAATAAACTGAAACACAAAAGGGCCAAATTAAACATTAAATATCCTCAGCTCAAGTGAGTCTTCCCAACTTGGACTTAACCTTCATTTTTACCAACATGCCCAGAACTTCAACTACTTCCCCAGCTCAAGAACAGAGTACCATCCATCTTCAAGCTCAAATCGAGATTCCTACATACATCCAATAGCAGTAGCACCAGGCCAATCTGGATAAATCGGAGTTTCAGTCGCTTCAGCACACTGACAATAAGAAGTCTCAAGAGGAACGTCCTGACACTCTTCCGCAGCGGCCGTAGCACAGTACGCATCAGTACTGGTCAAGATCGTCATACCTGGCGGACAATAGTCATAGGGCATGCAGTAAGTATCGACTATCGAACTTCCATCGCGCACAGACATGCTATACCATTGATCGGAGGCACATGAGCAGGAAACCGCTAAGGAAAATGTTAGAATCAGGAAGCAAGCTGATATTAGGGATTCAGGAACATAATACCTCGAACAGTAGTCGACACTCCTCCAGCTAGTACGCCATCATAAAGTGTCTTGGTAGAATAGGGAATCAAGCCATTCGAACATCCAGTCGTGATCCATGCAGCATTCAGAGGGAAGCAAGTTGACTCTTCCATACAGTGATCTGGGTGCCAGACCGTAGGGAAGAATCCTTCGTCGCACTCGATCGGAGGTTGTTTCTTGTGGCAGTAGACAAGTGGGGTTCCCATTGTACAATCCGTTGTATGCAGGATCGTTGAGCCATCTGTACAGCGAAGTCCACCCTGGACGGTGACATCTGGAGCCACGGCTGTAGTGGTCATTGTGGCTTCAAGTTGCTGAGCTAGATCGGGGCTTCCGGTTTCTCGGGGGAATGCCATGACAGCAATCCATAGCAAAGGAAGGACGAAGATCTTTAGAAGACACATTTTCTGCAGCTCGATTGGAAACTTAAATATTGAGAAATGATGTATATGAATTGAAATAGGACTGATAAACTGGAAATATTTCGACAATGTCATGAGTGTCTTGATTCTCGAGATTAATGGCTCTTATATACAGCTCCCCGGTGCTTTCTCTTCCAAAAGGCTCATTCACTGGGCATACCAAAATCTGACAGCAACCCTAGATCTAGAATCCAACATCAGCACACATCAGAAACATTGTAGCTGTAGCTCTGCATGATGTAGGTCTGCATGAGCTGATGAGCTTATTCTCTTTCTCAGACACTGCGGCTACAGCAAAGCATCAGATATCACCATATGTAACCCATCCCCTCAGTTCAATAACAGAATACAAGGTGTGCTAGACAACACACATCATAAAAATAGTAATGAATGAGGCAATTGAAGTCCAATCGCCGGTTGGCCAGGGTCTAAGGTTGCGAACAATCTTCCCTTCAATATGAGTGACCTCCTGATTGATAAAACAGACGCAACCTAGTTCATTGGCGGGAGATAAGTTCGTTGCAACTCGTGTCATCGGGAGTGCTACAGCCCGCTGCGGATAGCATCGTCGACCCAGCACGTTGCGACACTGTTTGTTCTGGCTTGTTGCTAGAATAATATCTATGCAGGGGGAATAGCATTGAAAGCTTCATTGCTGGAAAATGTGCTTCCCCAATATGCTGGGAAACTTGTTGAGTACCTTGTCGTTGGTTCTTGCACCGCATGGTCAAGTCATTCTTGTGTCTCATCTGTCCCGCCTTGGGTCACACAGTGGAAATCGCCCGGGCCCAGCTCAATAAGTTTGTATATGTGGTCTAAGACAGCAGCTGAGATGGTCTGAGGCGATTCTGAGTTGTTTAGGTTTACAGCTGGTGTGGGTCCATGGAACAAGGACTGCGCTATTATTACCCTTCTCCTAACTACTTCGGTATTCGCTTTGTTCTAAGAAAACAGACTTCGTACATCCAAGACCTGTATCAGGCCAATGCAAGACAGTCTGCTGTCGTTCAACCCCCAATTTCGATGCTTCATATTTCCCGGTAAATTGCAGCGATACATCGGCAACAGTCTTGAAACAAATTCCGAGATTACACATAAATTTAGGTATTTACCTTGAATCGGGTGATTGAAACAGGCCACTTATTGCGCTCAACCAGGATATATTGAGATTTTCCTCTTAGAGAATTCCAAATAAAAAGTCGAATGACAGTATAATCACTAACAAATATCACGAGTACCCGACGTGAAGCATCCAATATAGGCAAGAGAAAATATGTACACGAATGGAAAGTCCTGGTTGCAGTCCAATGAACCAGCGAGGAAGCTGCTAGACCTGCAGTAGAGTCACATTGGCAATTCAAGAAATCCACGCCCAGCGTAGTCTTAATATGCCACCCTTCAAATCAGATCGGGTTTCAATCTCTTTTGTGGTGCAAATGACCGTGGTGGTGGACGTGGCGGCGAGCGTGTTCTCGAACACGGTCCTGGACTTCCGGCTCTGCGAGAATATTCTCCCTCTTCTCCACATATGAAACCACTGTGGACGTTTCAGTAGCGGTGGTTATCGCTGTGGACATTGTGCGCACTTCCCCTCTGATTGTTGAATATGGAACACCATTCTCATCAATAACCACAATGACATCCTGCTCCAGGTAAACAATCTCTTCCGTGATAGGATCAATAGCAATGGATGTTGTGGGTGTTGGTATCGGGCTAGAGGTAGATGCAGAGGTAGCGAAGGAAGTAGTGGGCACAGCCTCCCCAGCAGAAACAGCGACATCCGCCTTAGCCTTCCCGAGAGCATTCGCCTCCGCCGAGAAGCTAATCGAGAGAGCGGGAATAGTCAAAGTCGGAACAATATTTGGCCATGTGGTAGCTGCGGGTTCTGCGGAGGATGATGAGGAGGAGGACGAGGACGAATTGCAAGACAAGGCGTACGCGGGACCCCACTCAATAGACATAGTTCCCGGCAACCCGTCAGCATGCATATGGTCATTTTCACCTTCAAGCTGATCGGGCACATCAAAGAAGCACTGACGCTGATCGGCTTCGGACTGGATATCAAAAAGTTCGCAATCGCCCACATTGCCGGTTGCACTTGTACAAGTATCAACGGCTTCCTGCAGGACGCCATCTTCCCAACCAAACATGAAATCGCCATGGTATCCATATCCAGTGGGGTCCCCATTCGCCAATGCAAAGTAGCCATCAACATCTTTGAAAGCGTATGTATTCCAAATAGTCTCGTAGAATAGTGAGACCAACTGCGTCTCGTACCCTTCCGGGCATGTTCCAGTCATCACCAAATCAGGATAAGCAACGTGGGATTTGTGATCCTCCGAGTCAACATCCTTCCCGTTCCAGCATGAAGGGAACATGAGCTCGAGTCGGATTCCGTCAATACAGTTCTCGTCGAGGAAAGTTTTGTTTGGGAGAAAGTGGCGTTCCAGGGATCCTTCGGGAGTTTTGTCGTAGTTCAAGCAATTGAAACCCAGGGCCTTTTGGCGCAGAGCTTTTTGGGATATCTGCGCGCCTGACCACGAGGACTTTGGCGGATCGGGAACGGGCCAGGTGAAGTTTCGTTGGAAAGGGTCTCCTGCAAGCATCCGGAAGTTATCTGGGAATGCGGTGATGTTCTCTCCATAAAGGAGATAGTACCTTTGTGAGGGTTTAGCATGGCCTGGTAAAAGAGTAAATATTCAAGGGTCCTAAACATACGCTAGCATTCCTCCAACCTCTGGAACCACCTGAGCAGAACCATTTGTATGCATGAAGTATAGCGCTGGCGTCCAGTACGCAGACATGTCCTGCGTAACACCACAGGAAGTGCAATCCGATTCACGCAGGGTATCCATATCAGAGCTTAAACCAAAGTCTATACCACCGGTCAGTATAGCTGTTCAAACTTTCGAGTGCATAGAGGTTAACTCACTGCCTCCACCATGGACGGAATGCACATGCGACGAAACCTCGCCAGGATCAACAATGGGATCAATACGGGCAAGACCAGTTCTTCCACGGCAAGGGAGACGCCAAAACGCATCAGCATAAATGGGGAAGATAGCAAGACAGGCCATAAAGGCCGTCTTGAGCTGAATGTCCTGCATATCGAGAGATAATGATAATGATAAAAGAGAGAATAGAGCGCGATTCAACGAGCTCGAGAATAAAAAAACGAGTGACGTTATTTCACCAGATGATCGAAACGAAAGAAAACTCCCCAGGAGCACCGATTCAATCGGTAGTGTCTCGCAAACGCGAAATAGAAAAAGCAATATCAGACAAATAGGTCGTATAAGGTTGTTGTCGAGGGCGCTGGCGCATTTATGTTAGTATTGAAAAGAGAAACAGGGACCCCGCGCGTAGTTTGGAAAGACGCGCAGTGCAGGGCTTAGCGGCAAGCCCCAGAGTGGGATTCCATATGTCCAATCGGGCGTCATCGAAAGGGACCCGTTTGAGATCCTACAGAAGAACTAGGTGGATGCTCCCTTCGGCGGCGGAATGATCCCTTGCATCGGCACTTTTCACCCTTGGTAAGGGTGGACACCTGTATAAGGGACAGGGTAGGATGGCAGAATAAGACTGTGATGGCATGTAGCTTACCGCTTGATAGTCAAACGCGTTCTCTGTGACGTAAACAAATAAACACGATCGTGGATGAGGCTTTATCGGTCGTATACTTCTGAGGCGGGAAGTACTATATAGACGTATATTAGAGGCTGTTCTACCCCGACAAGGAAATTATCCCTATCGGAATATCTTCTCACCTGGCAAAAAAAAGATATCCAAAATTTCTTTCAAAGGAGAAAAGGATATATAGTAGTGAAACGAAGGACAAAAAGCCGCAATGGCAAGGAGTGACAAGTGTATACCCTTCAACAGGGCCTGAGAAAGGGAACGGACAGCCAAAGCAAAGGACTCGACAGGGACAAAGAACAAGAAGAGAAGTGAAAAGAGAAAAAGGGCCAAGACATCTAGGAATAAAAGGTATCAAGTCCATGGGGTATCAAGGTCAAGGCTCAAAACAAGGCTAAAGGGCGATAGGGACAACTTCATCGCATCGACCTTGATCTGACCAATCCCTAGACAGCACGATATTAAGTGACCCCTCTCTGGCCTCCGCAGGACCAAGACCCAAGGCGGTACAAGGCTCAAGCGATTGAATTTATCCGTAAAGTAAATTAGAACCCGTTGAAATGGAAATGAAAAGCCCACCGGGGCAACCGAGCGGATCTCGTAAGATGAGATACGAGTCGTGCAATCTTACTAGGAAACCCGGCATATTGTAAACCTCCATGAGACCATAGGATCATCGTACACCGGTAAGATTGTGTCACACCATGAGACGATGAGATCCATGCCCACCGTTCTAATTTTCTAGTTCGATGGAGCCGTTTGAGTGCAGGGCATGTTCCTGGTCTAATTTGTTGGTTCGGCCTCCGCCGTCTCGGGTGCCCCCACGCTGTGGACTGGGATTGGTTGCGCGGGCGCATGCTGAAACGGTGCCTAGATTAAGGAACGTGTTTGTCGATACTCTGCGATGTGGGTGGACAGAACTTGATTCAGATGGAAATTAGATTCAAAATTCAGAAACTGCATTTAAGATTGTACCTAGTTAAAGCCCTGGAGGGCTTGGTGCTCTCGGAGGAAAATTTTTAAATAATCCAAAATGTGTTAGAGTAGAACTTGTTGAATATATAATATAGTAGGGAAAGCCTCCATCCTATCAGGAATAACCCTTACGATCGCGGGGTTATTATCCCCTTTTTGTTTCTTCCGGCTATATAGTATCGCGTTGCAATTAGTTCTAAATAGTACACTTCTTACACTCTTTTCGATTATATAGCTACTATTTTCTATAATTTTGACTTCCCGCGTTAACTAGGGAAAGATAACGTACATGTAATCGGTAAGCGAGTGGTCTATGTAAGCGGGTGGTCCACCCAAACTAACTAATATAATTCAAATCAATTAAACTCAACCAAAACACCATACAATTAATAATATAAGCTATCTAGGTCTATCAGTATATATTTCAAGTTTTAAGGTATATCAAATTATTAACACTAATCAGCTTTCTACACCACAGGTTATTTCCCGCATAATCAACCAAGCTAACTTTAACTAGTAACAGGAATAGATTCACATTCTAAAATCATACATGTTGATACTGACATTCTCAAATGTGCATATCTCTCAATGTCTGTTCCAAGTCATGAGCATGACTCACACCAGCGGTAGTCGAATGGTTTCGGCCACCAACCGCTGATCCACACTCAGGACACCTTGATAACTCCATAGCTCCTCCACACTCCCCAATGGTGAAAGGATGGCCGTTCTCACAGTAATACCAATGACCGGTACTTCTGAACTCTTTCGCCATTGCAGCCAAAACAGCCATTCGTTCCTCATTACTCACTGGTGTGTAGAACACCGAGCCCCTGAGCATCGATCTCGTGCCCTCAATCTCCTCAGATAGTCCGCGTGTCTGTGTAGGATGCTCATCGCAAAGCCTCTGAGCTTCTTCAATAGCTGCATTGCCACTCTCTCTCAGTGATTCAGCGAGTGAGGGCTCCTTTACATGATGTAGTTCTAGTGCATACAGCTGAGCCAGGAAGATGTTCCCTTCAGTTCTTTGTGGGATGCGCTGTGAAAAAGACGCCTCATTGATAAGACGCCCGCTTTCTGCTCTGTTCATCTCCAGGTTGATGAAAAATTCTTTCTGGTTTGAACCAATCGGAGTGAGTCTCATCAGTGAGAAAAAGTCACTCAGTAAAGCTGTATCAAGGCGAAGTAAGAGTGCGGTAGCTTGGATCTGTCCCTTAGTCTGAAGCACGCTCTCATCAAAGCTGAATTGACCAGAGGTCTTCTTGCGCCGACGAGCATTCTCAACCATGTTGCAAACCTGGTTAAATGGCTGCTCCTCCACCTTGACCTTAGCTTGATACTCGCTTATCTTGCGACGAAGGGCTAATAAAGCACGCCAACGTGGCTTAGATGCTTTTTGTATGAGACTCCTCATCGCTGATACTTGGTGTGCGGGCGTACCCTCAATTCTAATTTCGCCATCACCTTGGAATGCTAGACTAGCGCCTGCCGTGGTGCGTGTGTCATCTTGCAACTTAGACAAGAGGTCAGGCAACTCCTGTGCGAGGGGCACATATCCCTGGTTCGCATACAGGATGAATTTCTTTGTCGCTTCATCTAGCATTGCACGCCTTACTAGCCTTCCATAGCGAGAAAGACTTCTCAAAGAGCCACGACACGTGGCGCATCTCCGGATATCTTCAATCGAGAAGGGCTCAGAGGATGAGGCTATTGAGATTGGTTTCTCCGTTTCATCGAGGTTGTAATGCTTTTTGAGATCCATTTGACCATCCATACTCTCGATAGTCAAGAAGTGTCCGCACCGGGGGAAGACACAAGGGGCCTCTGTCAGATTAATTTCCCCGTATGTTTTCATTTCCAAAAAGTCGACGATGGTCTCTTTGATTTCGGGATATCCACAGGTCTGGCAGTATTTCTCAGGAGGACAGGTTTCACCGCACACCGAAGGGCATTGATGGCCACATGGAAGAAGCTTTTCGCAGCGCAAGGAACATGGAATGTGATCACAAGGTGCGGCACAGGGCATTGAGCAACTGCTATGAGAACAGGAAGAGAGACAATGCTCGACTGCGCAGGGTGGACATGGCTCCGAGCATTTTTGAGGGCACCGAGAATGCCCGCATTGAACATCACATGGTGAGGTACATGCAGGACATGATTCCTCTCCATGACACTCAGTAGCACAGGTATGAGAACAGGAAGAGTATAGCCTTCCACACTTCTGTTTGCAGGTAGCATGATTGACCACCGATTCTTCCGGTGTTACCTTAACACACTGCGAGCAAGATGACTTGCAGCTATGACCACATGGCAGCGGTGCATTGCAGACCTGCCTGCACGGGTAGTTGTCACCATTAACATCTATATGACATTCGATATTGATAATGTGGCCGCACTGTAGAACTTTCTTTTCAACGAACATCTGGCACTTGACCGTGGTGAGATCTTGCGCCTGCCAGCACGGGAGTGTGACTATGGGATGATCACAAGGAAGAATTCGTTGTAAGTCAACAACAGGGACCATGCATCTTTCGGGACATTTGTCTCCGCAGAACTTGGGGCAAGGATGCGTACAACCCTTTAGAGGGCGAGGACAAGGTTCTGAGCAATAGGCAGCTTGGTGAAGCATCTCGGAATGACACTTTTGCTTGCAAGGATGTCCACATTGAAGGCGCTTCCCACATTGCAGGCTGCAACCTCCTTCGGGAGAAAATTGTTCGAAATGCTCTGGCTCTTTTACTTCGATGGGAGTGTCAGGATGACGAGGACAGGTCAATTCCAAGTGGGGACCCAGATTTCCATCTTTCTCCAGGATATCAATCACCTTTCCCCACATATCAACTTTCCTCGAGGTCTCTGTGTTCCCAATGATATACATACCATGCTTGGCACGGGACAAGAGGACATTGATTCGATTTGGAGTTCGGAGGAACCCGCACCGGTTCTGACTGTTGCTTCTCACCAGCGAAATAACCACGACCTTTGCTTCTTCCCCTTGGAAGTTGTCGACAGTTGCAACTCTGAGGGTCTGAAGTAGTGTAGACTTGGACAAATTCGCTCTTTGTTGCTCGCTCCCCTCTGCTGTAAAACCTGCATTATCCAGGTCCTCCTGGTCCCTTTCGCCAAGGGTGACAGCGTATGACAGTGCTAGCTTTCGACGCATGCGATGCAGCTGGCCAAGATAGGGTGTGAGTACGGCAATATCCCCGCTCCTATAGACTCCCTGCTTTAGAAGGTGGTTGACCAGAGAGACTGTCAGCTCGATTTCATGATCGTTCCAGTGTGACGTAGCTGTTGGATCATGGCTCATGGCACCAGCCTCCGCACAACGGTGATCAAGCCAGAACAGTCGTCTCCGCATTCCAACAACATTCGGATAATCCATTACTGACGGGGAGTCTTCTAGTTGCGGATACACAGTCTCGCGAATGAGACGAGATATCGATGGATCCATTCGTCGTTGGGTTTCCAGGGTACAGAGCGGAATCTGAACCCCAACATCCTCATCGGGCTCAACGAGTCTCTCAAAAAGTGATCGATCCAGTGCATACTGTTTTCCCTCACTGCTTTCTCGAGAGAGTTCATAGTTTTGAATCTGAGGCCGAAGTTGTTGATGATCGCCAATGAGTATGAGGTGCTCCACTGACGGCAGCAAGGAGGTCAACATATGAGCTTCCATCACCTCACCAGCCTCCTCGCAAATGAGGACTTTTGATTTCAGTCGACGAAGCATATTCAGGTTGCGAGCCAGCCCCGTTGTGGTTACCCCGATGACATCTGCAACGCGAAGGCAGCGCAGATCCAGCTCATCTCTGATTTTGGCCCATTCAGCCTTAGTTTCAGCGTGTGAAGCGAATACTGACTGAGCTCGATCATTCACATTCTCTCTCTGACTCATTACCCAGTATTCATAGAGAGTTCTCCGCTCCTGGGTAGTCATCACGTCTATGTGGACGTTATAAAGTTGACTCATGCTGCGTGGTGGATCTTCGCTTGTGTTTCCACCGATCAACCACGACCGTATTGTTTGGCTTGGATCCGTATTTGATTGCCGCCTAAATCCATCCTCATCCTCTTCAAAGAACTGGCAATAGTGTTTATGGTGGAAGCGTTGAAGGTAATATTTGAGACTTGCATCTGAACCGGAGGAATTAAGATGAAGCTTCTGAAATTGCTCGTCATGCAAATCAAGCTTGTTGTATAGTTCACACTGAGACTGTCTTTCTAGTCGTGTCTTCTCCACTTCCCGAGACACCGTTCGAAGATTGAACGGTTCTAAAGTCTCGGACTTGGATTGAGACCCAATGCGGATAATCTGGGTGGTAATCTTATTTTTCCGAATGTCTTCAAGAAGCTGATCCAGTGCATGGTTTGTGTAACATACACAAATTATTGGACCCAATCCTGTTCTGACCTTGGCCTTATTCGCCAGGAGCACTTTGATGAGCGCCACTCCCGTGTAGCTCTTACCAGTGCCTGGTGGGCCTTGAATACATCCGATTCGACGCTGTAAAGTTCTGACCAAGGCCACCGCTTGTGCTTTATCGAGTGTAGAGTGTTGCTGGAGTTTCTCGATATCTACTGGCTGAGAGTGCCTAACCTCAAGGCTAGACCGATCATCCATGAGACACTTCAAGTCGAAATAAAAGCCCGGAGAGGCCGCATAAATTGGGGGTGGGATGTTTGTCATGACAACCCGTGAATCCAAGTTGTCGGTTGCAAGAAACTCTGACATAGGAATGTCTTCAGCCTTCTGCATTCTCTGAAGAGCTAGCAGAGTGGGCTGAAAGGATGGTAGAAGTATACCTGGAAACTCGACAAGTGAAAGTGACAGATTCTGTCTTGTATTCTTTGCAGCCTGGCAGTCGAATACATACTGCCAATTTTCTTCAGTGGGCTCGACAAGCTCCAGAATAATGGATGCAGTCTTAGGATTGTCCGAGAGAGATGGTGCTATATTCCACTTCTTGCTTTTGTCATTATTTTTCTCATAAGCCCGATCGGGGGCAGCCACTGTGCAGAAAATTGCGAAGCCTTTGGGGTCAAGAAGACACACAAGCGCACTTGACTGGAGACGTTTGGAAATATTCCACCATTCTGCTCTGGCTTTCTTCCCAGACTCACGAACATTGGGTGGCTGGGTGAACGTCACTAGGAACTGCAGTCCAGCGAATCTATGTAGGCACAGGCTGTGCACAACGACTTGCCTGTACACATGCGTTCTCGTTTGGGTTCTACGAGTATCTTGGCGCGTACCCACCTGAAGCTCAGCATGTATCACATCTCGGAGTTGACCAATCGTATCCTCTCTGAGAAGGCGGAAGTTCCTGTCAAGCAGTCCAGCAATACCATTGAGATGCCATTGCCGACAATCTTTGACAGGAAGGTACTCTGCCCGTGAACTTGATATCTCCTGAAAGGTTGGCATAACCCTGACATTGGAAATGTCCGCGTAGTCATTGTCGTGGCGACCGCCAGGCGGGGCCCTCTGTGTGATAAATCCAGTAGTCGCCCGGGTCGGTTGAATGCTTTTCAGACCTTCCATTAAATTTGGCAAGGAAAGACCAATCTTGAGGCGGCGCTGTATAACATCCAGGTATTGGAGTGATTGATAAAGAGAGCAATCACAATCCAAAGCATGGAGTGAATTGAGAAGGTCCGCAAATCTTTGTGCTGGACTCTGCAAAGAATCTTGGACAAACGCGGTGGAGTTTAATCCGATAACCTGGGAAAAGGCAAGTAGACACAGCTCGAGATGATTGCTCGCCAGGTTTGGGTCTTCTACGAGCTCCATATGAGTAATATCTGCTAGGAACTCCAGAAAAGGTCTTGCTCGGCGACCTCCAGGTCCGAATATGCAGTTGTAAATAGTGACAACAGCCTGCTCCAGTACCAAAGATGCGAGAACGTCAGGAGATGTGATGATTTCCAGAAAGGCAATCATACCATCCTCAAATATTGCCTTCTTCTGTGAATCTGAGAGGGATGAGAACTCTTGTTCGATCAATTCCTGTATTCTCTTGAGGCTTCCTTCGGTGGAAAGATGTCGAACAACATTTTGTCGAGTACTCTCGTCGATTTCGATGAGGTTTTTAGCCTCTTTGAAAAATTGACCCAGTTGCCTTGGCCTTCTCATCGAAGGACCAAAACGGCCCAGAGATGTTTGTGCTTTCCAGGCTCCAAATGCATGTTCGTCTGCATTATTCTTCCTCTGCTGTGTCTGTCCGCTGCCACGCCTCTGGGTTTTGTTCTGGGAGACATGTTCAAATCGACAAGGGTTAAATCGACAGGAGCCAGTGGCCGCAAATTGACGACATATCCTTTCACAGTCAGCATAATGGATTAGATGACATTGGGTCACAGGTTCATACTTTCCAGACATTTCTACTAGCCACAAGACAGAATTGGAGTTCTGATCTCTTGGAAGGAACAGTCTTTCTTGTAGTAATTTCTAGATATCAACTGCGAGCGAATAAGATGGCCAAAGAGTCTGAACTACTTTGAACGTCACAACTTGGCAGAAGATGATAAAAACTCTTGGATGGTGGAGTAGTTCGTGGAGTTAGAAATTGAGTTCTATTTATGTTTGGTGAAAAAGGAAATGGACATGAGGGGTAGAGCCTCACTAGATTCAGTTTGTTAATATCCATGCATTACCGCAGTGACTGCGCCTACTGCCACTTCTAAGGCTATAACAGGCCCACGTAATTTACATACGAAACTTACTCTGACCGACGAAAATTACGTGAGGCTGGTTAGATAGTACCACAGCAAATACTAGGACTAGGAGTGAATGTCTGCCAATGGATATACCGTCTATCCTATCGGATAAGACCCACGAATCGGGATCTACTGTGGCGCGATGAAATGCACGGGCCAAACCAACGCGCACCGTGCCTCACTCCACAAAATGAATCTATTGGGTATGCTGCAGAGGGAGTTCTCAGGATTTTGACAAGACAGGAGAAGATCATCGAAAACAAGGCATTTTTATAGAGTGACGTGGCTTATGGAGTCGTTGGTGTGACTAGGTAACCGCCCCATTTCAAATATTTTTCAAATGTTACTGCGGCGATTGTTATGCGCCGTGGAAAAAAAGCCGCAGACGGCGCTGACGTAGATTATTACAGACACTACAGTGTATAATTTTATCTCAAGTACACAGATAATCTTAAAGAATTTGAGTCTTTTATCGAATGAGTCGGAAATCCTTCTTATCTAATGCCGGATATTAAGCAACCGCAAGGCCGGTGGGGCTGTAGCTGGACCGGCCCGTAAAGGACGATGAAAGTTTAATCCAAAATGTTCTACTGAGAGAATGTACCGCCTCTCCTATGGTAGCGCGACGTGGTCACCCTACTCGATTGGTTCAACTGCCCCTCTTGCTCATAAAAATTGAGGCTACCTCATTGGATACCTCTTCTTTGCGAGGACCGAAAAATTCCTTCTCTGCTGTTTTTATTTATTAGGCTCTCATTTAGCGTAATTCGATCATGAATACCGTTGATCATCAATCAACGATAGTGTTCGTTACTTTTTTTTACACCCTTCGATATATTATAGTGGTAGAGATAGAGAGAATGCAATACTTCTAGTATAAGACAATATAGGGTTTCGATACGTAGAGAGTACTATCTTTATTCCGTAGGTAGTTAAAAGACAAGAGTCAGAATTATAATAGTTACTAAGTTATTAGGCTAGAAACCTGTGACTAGGTAAAGAACCGAAGTTTCTGAGTCCTATGATCGGTCCTGTGATAATCCTGTGACATTCTAGTTAGAATATTTTTGTTGATTCTGTTTATTTTATGTTCTTTATTTGGTTCTTTGATACTTTTGCTATTAGATTGGCCTATATCTTTCCTTTTTTGGGGGGGGGGGGGGGTTGCTACTCTAGGACTCTCAGCTATATGTTTAGGTAGTGTATAGTAGGGAAAGCTTCTCTCCTATTAAGAATAACCCTTATGATTATAGAGTTATTATCCCCTTTTTGATTTTCCCCTTATATAGTATTGCGTTGCAATTAGTTCTAAATAGTATATTTCTTATACTCTTTTCGATTATATGGCTACTAGGTTCTGTGATTCTGACTTTCTGCGTTAACCAGGGAAAAATATAGATATTTTTCTGTGGGTTTTTCTGAGCAATATTCTAATATAGGCCTATTTCCCCTCTTCAATACCTATGAAGTTCTAGATCCATTTCTGCACAAATGCAGATCAACCAACGCTGAGAGATTTGGAAATTCAATTGATTTCGTCTATGGGAAACGTTTAAATACTCCAAGGCTAAACAACTGCAAATTAGCACTTATTGAGATAGATCACTCCAAGGATGTTGATGAAGGCTGGGGTGTAATAAGCATTAGTATCCACGTCTGTGCATCTACTACTAAATCCCCCAAGGCGATTTCAAGTTACTAAGTGCCGAAGCGACACGGACGCGATCCCTCGTTTGAGATATACAAGAGACCCGCGAGTTCAAAAATCCACAGACATGGAAGAGAACTTCTTAAAAGTCCGATTCCAAATACTGCGGGGAATCATCTCAGGCTCATACTAAGCTCCATCTCACTAGTATCGACCCAGTCATAATTATCCCGAGATGATCCAAATTGAACAAAAGAAGCGGCCTGCGAAGCTTTTTTCTGTTTGATACACATAGATTATGAAGTCTTACTCCACCCCGGAGCTCTGCCTCGTACACAAACACTACAAATAGTCTAGCAAATTTCAGATGATGCGTGTAAGATCAGCGCATAAGAGTTGATTGATTGTACATCTAAGAAAGCTCTATTGCAAAGTCAAAGTCATGGTACATATACAAAATGTTTCACCGAGAAAAGTAAAGTAAAGCTCAGACTTTCATATCCTCCAAAGCCTTTCGGGCCCGGGAAACAGCATCCCGAGCACGGTGATCAGTCAGGTCCTCAACCTCCTTTCCACCCTCACGGACGATTGATCGCATGAGATCTTCCGTCTCACGTAGAGACGTGCGGCCTTCTTCACGGACCTCTTCCTCCCAGAAGCCACGGGCTGAAGCCCATTTCTTCTGCTGGCGACGTAGACAGTAGATAAGACCCACCGCTGCGATTGTGCATGATTCGTACATAGAGGCAGACGGGATAGAGAGGTAGGTTAGAACAGAGAGGGCGGATGTAAGAGTGGTAGTAGAGACGCTAAAGAGGACAAGACGCTGTGCAAGGGCTTGAAGAGAGGGGACGGTGTTGGTGAGCAGTTTTGTGCGCATGTCGGGGATCTGTGTTGGCCACGGAGATGGAATAGATTGTGTCGGGGTAGGTGAGGGGGATTCAGAAGAAAGACTAGGCTGATCCAGCAGGCCAGCCTGCTGGTATTTGCCCGAGGACCAGATAGCTTCTCGTTCTGCGCGACTAAGGAAACGCTTTTCAAGAATCTCAGATGTAATCATGCCCACGTCGTCTACACGCCAGAAAAGCTTCCACCATGCTAGTCCCTTCCAACGGGAATCGGCAAAGCCTGCTTCAAGAGAGCCGCGCAGCTCGGAGTGTGCGCGCTCAGCCCAACTTGTGACTCCACGCTCTAGCTCGAAGCGCACATTTTGATCGACAGTTCCTGTTGTTTGGGTTTCAAGGGCCTTGGCATCTCGAGCGGTAACGCCCTCATCGGCGGCATCGAGTAGAGACTCGATTAATGGAACCAAAGTAGGGTTCAGAGAGTTTTCATTCATACTCTGTGAAGTCGATGCAAGCCAGTCAATCACTGGTTGCACGCCGCTTCCGGTCCAGCCCCGCTCGTAGTCTGTAGCGTTCTTTACAGACTTCCGGATACTGTCCAATGCCCTGGTCGCACGATCGATATCTACAAAGGAGAGCCGGTCCCCATTGATCTTTTGTTTCTCCACAGAAAGCTCTATAGCACCACGTACAGATTCTACCTCATTCTTCAAATCTGACTGGCCAATTAGCGAGCTGAATGCAAGAAGCCCGTCCACTCCCTTCCCGCACACTATGCTTCGATGTACAGGGTACCGGATCAGATTATGGCGACCGGAATGTGAAATTGGTATACTGATGGTGGGAACGAGGAAAGTGTCGGCGGCAAGGGTTGTGTTTTTCGAATTCGACTCGGAACCAATCGAGCTAACCAGGATCTCAAGATTGCCTTTCTTCAAGAGGGGTGATCGAATCGCAATGGTAGGGAGTAAGTCGTTGGGAATTGACTCAGAGGCTTCGCCGTATCTACCATCCACACGTAACATTAGCAAGTTTTCACAATGACCCATGTAACGCGATTCTCTCACCTGATCAGTAACCCGCGAGAAGGATCGGCCTCATGCCCATCCAATATATCCTCCCAGTCCTCGCGCTGACCTAACGGATCAGCAAGAAGCAATCGAACAAGCTTTCGCGCAGAGTCCACATTGTCAAGACCAAGAACTAAACCATACCAACAATCAGTTATCTGAACGAGAAGAACCAGCAGACAATCCCAACTAAGAGAGAGCCAGCAATTTTACAACTGCGACTGCAAATTCAATTGCTCATATCTCCACTTACCAGCAACACGAATCAAAGGCTTCTCCGACTCCAACCCCCTCAAAGCAAGTTGTAAACGACTAACGCTAACCTGCTGAATAGCCGCATCCTTGACTCCACTCAAAGCATCATGAAGCTCCTTAAACCGGGGCGGAACACTCGATATAGCCGTAGAAGTAGTAAGTGATCGCGGAGCAGGGCGGAGAGAGTATATAGGGAGGCGATCGGTTCGGCGCGCTGGCGCAATCGTGCTAAAGCGAGCGGAATTCGTGTAGGCACGCGTCGAAGGTGTTCGGCCGCATTTCGGTAGCGAGTGGCAGGCACTGTCCAGGGGGTGCGCGAGGCTCCGTTGGAGCGTGCTGCGTACTCTGGCAGGCATTGTGGGTTCCTTAGATGCCAGGGAATTGGGGCATATCCTCGTGGGACCGGTTGGTGGTGAATCGCAGGGCTTGAAGATTGGGAGGTGAGAGCGGGCAGGCGGGCTTGGCACATGCAACTTTGGGATTTGATAATCTGCCGTCATGCGTGAAATCAAGTAAAGGGAGAGAGAGAAACGGGATGTGAAAAGTATGTTTCTTCAAAAAAAAAATTTATAGGATAAAGGATAGAGTGGAACAAATTTTGCATTACTGTTTAAAATAGGCTAGTATTGTCTGCGTGAAAGGAATATGCCTCTATAACTATAACCACAGGATCTACAGAAGCCGCAACAAGCCAGGAATCCAATATACGTAGACATTCTATTCATCTTAATTTCGTGTTTTGCTTGCGATAAATAAATTGTGTTAAAATTAAGCCTTCATTACATGATATCTTTTTTTCCCCTAAATTCCCTTTGCCGGTGTCCAGTCCGGTTATAGCGGCGAAGATTTACTACGTACCGTTAAGGCGCGATGTACAATATAGTGGACCAGAGGCATTCTGTTGGCCATAATCAAATAGGGGTGTCCCATATCTGAATAGCCAGGCAATGTGCGAAGTCAAGTAGATAGTTCGGGGTATCGTATCGATCATGTCGTGGCAGAAGGGCGTGTGCGCTTGAGGGGCAAGGAAGAGGAAATGCGTAGATCGTGTCATAATATCAATTCAGCCCGATTCTTAGCCATCCTAGGCCTCTCGGGTTGGAGGGGGAGGGTCGCGTTGGCGACGATTGCGACCAGAGCCAGCAGACCTAATATGTGTTAATATTAATTACGATCGTGAATAATGGCAGCTAGGAAGTGAAAATTCTTACATGCTGATTCGGCGGGCAACAGTGGCCAGCCCTGTGTCATTGGCAGCTTCCTGCTCGGCACGCTCCATAGCTGCGCGACGGTGCTCCTCGGTGGTTTTGATAACCTCCTCCTGGCTAGGAGGTAGTCGCTCGTTCTGAATATCGACCTTACGGGCATCCTCGAAGTTGTGAATGGCCTGCTTGATACCCTCGGCACCCAGCATGAGTGTACCAGCTGGAAGACGGCCGCCAGCCGCCGTCTTCAATTCAGTAACACTCTCAGACTGCTCACGCAGCACCTGGAAGACACGAGATAGACGACCAATGGCAAGAATCTTGTTCTTGATAGCACGTCGCTTGAACTCGCTGGATTCCGGATCCACTGGCAAAGGAGGAGAGGCGGGTCCTGCCTCGGGGATTGTCTCTGAAACAGGAGTGTCGTCTTCTTCCAGTTCTTCCTTTGAGCAAGTGTTGAGGATTGCCATCAACATATCAGTAATCTTTTCACCAACGAATGGAAGAGACCAAGTGAAAACATCCATGAAGTTGGGAAGCCAGTAAGGGTGCGGTGTGCAGTTGAACTGGCGAATATTCATCACGTTGTTTTCATACTTCAGCACTGCAGCCTTGTTGTTGTATACATCGAGGTAGTTGGGAGCGCTGAAAATAGTCATCACACTAGGGAATCCGGTCGTGCGAGTCTTCCTGTACATGCGATATCCGGCATCCTGAGCCTCGTGGGCACGGATAATCGACAGCAAGTTATTTTTCTCCAAGAACGCACAAGCTGCGGGGTAGGAGAAGAAATAAGAGCAACCGCGAACACTGTTGTGAATGAAGAAATCGCCAGTCTTTTCTTGACCAAACTCTTCTAGGGGATCGGCCCAAAGAATATCGCACATCAAACCGTGGGTAGGAGGCTCCCTGAATCGATCAATCTGTCTAGAGTGTTAGCGACCGCTTCAACAGCCCAAATCCAACCTTATACATAGAGAATTAAAGAGACGTACAGCTTTGATATCCTCGAGAGTGTGTAATTCGGGGCTAAGACCACCGTGGATGCAGAGGAACTGCTTGTTCATGACCGCCGCCAGCGGCAGAGAGCAGAACGACTCGATGCAGGCCTCGTAGATCCGTTCGCTGTACTTGTGTTTACACTCCAACTTGAAGGTGAAGTAATCCGTGAGATGGCGACATTCGTGGTTACCTCGCAATAACCAGAGCGAATCGGGATACCAGATCTTCAACGCCCAAAGGTAAAGCACGCACTACAATCCATTCGAGTTAGCGTCGCGCAAATAAATTAAAAAAAAAGTCTTGCCTGCACAGATAGAGCCAAACGAAGTGGAGCAAAAACACACCTCAATGCTGAAATAACCGCGGTCAACATAGTCGCCCAAGAACAAGTATCTCGTCTCCGAAGGGTCTCCGCCAACTTCGAACAGTTTCATCAAATCGTAGTATTGACCGTGAACATCACCGCACACGGTAATCGGAGCATCCATTTCCAAGAGATTGGGTTCCGAGCGCAGGACCTCTGTACCGGCATGGATGATCCATAGCGCTTGTTCCTCGGTCAAACGACCTTCGCGATACAAGTGCTGCTTCAGATAGGAAAGGTTGGGCTTGGATGGGTCGTCGGGGGACCAAAACATGTCATCGGGAGGGGTAGTCAAGGCCGGCGCTTGGACCTCTATATTATCATGATCAATATTAGAGATGTTTCAGTTGATGGAAGGGTCTGAAAAGTTCCCCAGTTGTGTGTTCAATTTACCTTTCACCACCCGTTCCAATGTGGACACTTGGGAGCCATCCTCCATCTGATGCAGAGAGAAGTCGATCTCAGGGACCGGTCTCTTCTCCCTCACGGCGCGCGCAAGATTCCGATCCATTTTAACTCTGATTGAGGTATTTGTGGAAATTTGGTGATCGGAGCAAGGGGCGGGAGGGGGGAGGGGTGGTAGAAGATGGAGAGGGGATTGGACCGCGCGGAGATCGAGTGGCGGGGGATGATGATGATGGTTGTGGATTTGAGTGTGTGGATTTAATAGGGGGAAGAAGTCCCACAGATGGTGAGAACAATGGGATAATAGAAGATCCCTACAGGAGAGAAACAAGAAGGATAGGGTCGCGTGTTTGATGGAAGTTGCAGATGGGAAAAAGAGAAACAAATCGGATAAGCGGACTGGGGCCTCTTAGCTCAATCGCTCCTCCCAAACCCGCTTGAAATGTGTGGACCGCAATACGAAGACAACAAGAAGAAAAGAATATAGGGGAAATAGAGAACAAATGAACACCTGCGATTATTTCCTACAGAACAAAAAGAGAAAAGATCCAGAGACTCGAAATTTGTTCAAAACTGGCACACACAAACAGCATAACGCCAACATCATAATATCATAATATCAACACTATCAAGCATGAGGAACACAATTGACACCTCAGGCATCAAACAAACACGGCAAGACCATTCAAGCTCCACTGATTTCTAACCTTGGAACCAGATCTGCCCCGGATGACTGGATAATGAGGAGAAAGGGTTTATTGTGGATACAAAACACCCCTATAATGATTTTGTTCATTCACCATCTGGGCATCTCATGTTCACTGCCCAATGCACTGTGCTGTGCAGCTCGCATTGCCTTCTTCGTGTACTAATCCCGATCGGTCCTAGACTCAGATGCAACGATCGGCACACAATGAAAACAGAGGTAGATAGACATGGGAATGAGGGTCTGACTCGAGGACAGTGGACTCGCTCTAGCATTTTTTCGAGGCTATATCTCAGGTATGCGAGAAGGGCTGACAATTATAGGACAAGGAGGTTCAAACACTATAGACAGAGTCAGCAAATCTCTGGACACTCGAGGAATGCACAACAGCTCTCGCGATTAGGATATTATCGTGAAGAGGGAAAGACACTCGAGAACTACCCTAGTGTCCACTCCATTTGAAGGCTCGAAAAGTCAAGAAGTCTCACCAGGGACCATGCTAGTATACACTCAAGCTGATGGGTGGGACAAAACCCAGAAACCCCTTATGCATCCAAACGGCGACACAGCAACAGTGGGGTAGGACCTAGACCCCGGGAATACTCAAAATCCTTTACCGGTCTACTAAACCCAGATCCAGAAAGCTTGTCTATAATTACATGTGGGCACAACCTTAACAGCTGCCCTCGAGATATATCCAACGTCCGGGGTTACATGACACCATCTTGGCCAAATCAAATCATCGGGGTTGCATCTCTACATCTGGGCAGTGGGACATTACCTGGGTAGAATCCAGACCGACCCGGAACTTGAAAGACTGGGCAACGAGAACTTGAACCTTGGAATCTGCGGTGGTTATATCCTCACAAACCAAAATGACATCCGCCGAGAGGGTATGCAGTTCCAAGGTTCACTCCACGGCTACGAAAAAACTATATACCGACTGCCTAAGCGTGCAGCTGCATAACTCCAAGTATCAACTCCAGGGTCTATTTCTCATTTCCTCATCTCGTTAATCAATAATCAACGAGTCCCAGAAACGATGCGGCATTCCCATATCTACCTTATATCCATATTATCTGCCCTTTTCGGGGGCAGTCAAGCATTCATAAGAGCATGCATCTACCAATCCGACAAATGCGGGTTCACATTAATGTCAACATTTGGTAAGAGAACTTGAAGCTGATAGAGGTCCAAAATACATTTGCCTCCTAATCTCAATCCATCGCACTTAGGATATAACTTGACCGAACTCATCGCTGCCGTCAATACGACACCTTCGATTCCCCCGCTCACAGTAGAACAAATTCCCCAGGTTGTATTTCACTGCGGAGATATCTACGGAAACATCACAGGAAATTCCTTCTGCATAAACGGATGTCTGCCTTCAATCAGTTTAACTTCAGATGATGAATGCCAAATATCTTCAAGTGGATCATGTCCCAGTACAGTCACGGTTACAGTTGGGTCTCCTACTCCTTCATGTTTTAGACAGTGTCAGACGTGGTGTTTTGGGGGGACAGGAATGGCTACTATGTCTCCGTCTATTGCTACCCCTCAACCTGTGCCAGTTTGGAGTTGAAGACGGGAAGAAGGCAAAGTCTGAGTTTGCAAAAGAGATACGAATTGTGTGAAGAAAATAAAACGTCGCGGGATGACTATCTTCGTTTCTGTCATATGAAGAGGAGTAATGTAGCAGTTTTTTTTCTGATAATCAACTCTGTCAATTTTATTTGATATTGATTCGATTCAAAGGCTCTAGTAGTAATTCTAACAGACAAATCATGAAGCTCAACTCTACGCTCTTAGACACATGAAACTTTTCTATCAAAGTCCTCGAGCACATATGAATCTCACAGTTGGAACTACTGCATAGACCTCAAAATCATCAATAGAGTCTCTGACTCAACTTCATTATCAACTTCAACTAAATAAAAGATAGTCTCGATACTCCCACAACGAACGAATACCCCTTGTCCACTCGCCGAATAATAAAAGCTGGCTCAGATGGCCCAAGAGGAGATGCTAACTAATCCACACTGAAACTGGAAAAGCATGAAGGAATACCAAGACTTGACAGACTCAGACTAGACTAGACATTCTCAGTCAAATAAATAGGACAGACTTAGTCACATTGTAAGTCTATCTCAATATGTTGAATAGCAACCCACTCTCTACAGGATACATTGGTCGTTACGGGTACCAGGCTTGGTATCGCATCCAGCGAAGCAGTAGGCATTGCCGGTGATGGTTCCGAGGATGTCTGTGCAGTGGAACAGGGTCTGAGAGAGCTGGCCAACTGAGAGGGATGGGATGGATGTGGTATCATTCGCAGCGGCGACGAGCTGGGCCTCGGTGTAGCCTGAAAGTTCAACGATTAAGTACATGATCGTATTTATAATTCATGATATAGAAGAGTGGGTGAGAGAAGGGATCCATATACTTACTGTAGGGAGCTGCGAGCAAGACCGAACCGCACTTCAGAGATTGGTATCCGCAGTTGACGGATTGCTGGGCCTGAACGCCAGCGAGGAACAGACCGAGGCAGATGGCTAGTTTTCCGATCATTTTGATAGATGTGAAAGAGTATATAGAACTTGTCTATTCTTTTCTTGTCTGTTTGAAATAAAGGAATATTCCTATCGACTCCTGAGATGTCGAGAGAACGGACAAGTATTTATAACACTTTCATTCAGGCTAACGGTTCTCAAAAGCTCGAACCGTCTACCGTTGCCTCGAACAAAAGCCACTGACGAGTCACTTTAGTCAAACGTGTATCGTGAGCCTACATGGTCACTGCCGACAAGCATAGGGCATGTGAAACATACGATTGTGGTATCAAACGCCAAGTCAGAAATATAGCAGTGGAAGATCAAAACTGAGTCTCAATGTTACTCTTCGGGGGTGAAGTGAAGGTTTGAATGTGAGTAACCCTCCGCTTGGATCTAGCTCTTCCGGCTCTTGGTCATGAAGCTTAGCTTCGGCAATTAGAAGTAGCACTGTCCTAAAGGGACTCAAAAAGCTTAGTGCTTCGCCTTTGGTAGTTCTCTTTAAAGTCCATCAAGAAGCTAGTTGAAGCGTTTCACAGATCATAAGATCCTGCTCAAGCAAGGTTCAATGTGCTACGACTGGTCTTTCCCCAATCCAGCCGCAATTACCCCCGAGCTGTGGGGTTTAAAGTAGTATCGTTTACATACTTGTACCCCGAACGTCGGACTCGGAGTAAACAATCCAATTATTCAAATGAAGTCAAACAAGGGGTATTTGGCGGATCATCAAATCATGGAAACGTTTCATTCAGACTTTTAGTACAGAGTTTAACAATAGCAACCTCTGTAAGACTCAATTACCATCTAAATTCAAGCCCGAGGTTTTCCATCCGCAGCAATCTCATCATCAAGCGGTTTCTTCGCCCATATCCTCGTTCTAGCAAACTCGTCAGTAAACAACCCAACCACATCACGATATTGATATTGATATATCCAAGATTCAAAACTCACTGCTTATGATAACAATGTACTCGCGGGTTTGCAAATGCTTTTCGCATCTTCGCCACTAATACAAGTACCTCCTCTTTTGACCAAGGCTCTGGAACTCCAAACTTTGTCAAAAGCCACAAACAATATCCTTCCATCCCATCCACCCAGTGATAATAATTGATGGAGCCAATTTCTTTCAGCTGCTTATCCTTTGGCCACGGGCCAATGGGCAACTTGTAGTTTTTGACGTGAACATCCACAAAGCCGGCTTCCTCCATTGATGCCCGCATCGTGCGCATTATACCGAAGCTTCGGCCTGACCTTTCAGCTGACATGGTCATACGGGGGCCCCAGCTTCGGATGATACTATCTTCAGGTATGCTTCCATCGTCGCTCTCGAGAAAGGCACTTACCTCCACTTGCTCGATCCATCCTCCTGGCTCTAGATGGCTATAGGTCGGAATCTGTTAATTTGCCTCTTCCTGAGTTGGCCGAGCAAGCGAAGGGTTTGAACTTACTCATAGCATTGTTTATAAACTTGTTTTGTTTCTTCGGGCGTGAAGGCACAATCCAATATTCGAAGGTGAATCAGGTCAAAGGGTTGTCGCCATGTCCAACTCTTGAGGATATCATCTACTTCGAGGATGCAGTTTGGTGGTGCCCAATTAACTGGAGGGGGGAATAGATCCACCCCACGGACAGTCGCTGGTATTATTAGCACTCAAGATTATCACAAAATCAAACATGAGTGCCTTACCCTCTGGGAACTTGTCTGCCACATCACTGTATAACTAATTAGCGTCTTGCGATAGTGTGAAAGGGTTGCGAGCATACATAGGCCATGAACCACAACCAGTTCCAATATCAAGAATATGCTATCTAAATTAGATATTGTCGGCAAATAGACATAAAAGATTACTCACTTTCGGGTTTTTGCCTATAGGGGCACGAAACAAAGGATTCTTACGATGCGAATCAGCTATTAAGCAAACTAGATGACTGCGCAGTATTAGTTAGGCTATACACCAAGACTTGGTGGCAACGCCGGGGCTCACACTATTCGATAAACTTCAAACATCTGTTCATCAGCAGGCACACTGGATATGTCAATATTTAATATCATCTTTAGAATTTTGGTCGCAGGCTTGGAGGCGCTTACTGGACCCCGCTCTCACGGAGAGTCTGATATCTGCAACTGGTGAGCACAGCCTTGGGAGCAACCTTGCTAAATGTGCTACTGGGTATAGAATCGTTACCTTCTTCCATTGTCTATTATCCCTTTATAAATACTTTCTCCGACAGATGTCGTTTCTCTATATCCATCGTATTAGTTATAAATTCGCCCTGAAACAAAGACAGACACATACGATTGCCAATCATCGGCGGCCTCATCATATTGCGGATAATAAAGATTAGAATCCTATAACACCTGAGTTAACAATTCAAGATAACTTCCATAATAACTCGCACACATACAGGAAGTATTGTCTCGTCATCCATGTTGAACGTCTATGTCGCCCACTGAGTGAAGAATTTCGTAGACAACAGATAGTCGGACGGACGGACGAACGAACAGAGAAAGGAAGAATTACAATTAAGATTGGGCCTCAGCAGGCTGTTTTCAATTAGAGTGGAGATATTCTCGGACCTTCCTGACATTAACCGGTCCAAATACAGTCGAACACTCCTGGGCGGGGCAGTTGGAAATCCTTGAGCAGGGATTATGTCCACTTGGAGCAAGCGATCTTGGTTTACTGGGGTGGCATGACGAATAGCAAAAGTACATGGGGCGGAAACGATCTCCACCCTGATGACCAGGCCGAGGACACCGATTCTTTCTTTGTTTGTGAAGTGGATCACCAATTATAAGCGTATGTACCGGGCAAGTACATAATGTAAAGTGTGATAAAGACTCGGGCCACGACGCAGCCAAACAGGGCGGCCCTTGATCTGCGCACATAGACGGCTTAGTCTATTCTCTTAACTTTGGACTTCGCATTGGCTTGCCTATAGTATATCTAGTCATATTAGTAGGGTGTAGCCCTAGATATTTTCCCATGCCGTAGCCTTCGTTGTCATTGTAAAAGAGAAGAAAAAAAAAGTGGTTGATCTTTGTTTGTGAGCCTGCAATCAGAATGAATCCATCGGCGCATGAATCTGTTTTCAGGCAAGACAGATCCACTTCTGGATGGGACTTGTAGCGTGTCAACTGCGCTCGGCGTTCTTAGTGGATCGATGGATCTTACTCGCACTGCAGGATGGGCAATGAATAGAGACCTGCCGTAGAGCCGTTGCCAGAGCTGCCAATCAGAATACCAGAGCAGGCTGCAGTTAACTAACACATTTTTGATTATGTGGGCAAAAAAAAAGGCGTCGTGCCAAACAAGGCACAAGGAAATTCAACACTAGGCCCTGTATGTAGAGAGGAGGTACCGTATCGGTCGGTCGAGTAACCGAGAGCGACGCCCGGGGTCGTTGGGCGGTGATGGCCTTCTCCGCATCTATTCCCACACCTTTACGCCATCGCCATCATCATTTACAGCCCTAGCCCAACAATCGTTCCAGGGCAATAATACACTATGCATGAATCTTACCGTTCGTATCCCTTATTATAAAACTTTATCGCGCACAAGACTAACCCTCAATCCCAGGCCCGCACCTCCTGCTAGCCCAGGTTCCCCTCACCGTCTCACCGTTCATCAATCTCCCCACCTCGGTCACGCTACCATACACCTACAAATCCGTAACCACCACTCTCCCTCCATCAGTGACAGTCGACCCCAGCAACCCAGATCTAAAAGCGCGCTACGTCTTCTCTTCCAGCGGCGAACATGCCGCACACCCGGACGAGATTCTCGCCGCATGCCAATCGCTCGAGCAACATCTAAAGAAGACGAAGACCAACGCGGAAAATGCAATCAAATCCTGGGAAGAATCTATTCAACAACGAGATCTAGCTGAAAAGCGACGTGTCGCGCCTGGGTGGTTAGACCGGGAGGAAAAACTACTTCAGCCGAGTCATGCTGCGGGGTCCCCCGGTTCTAAGGGAAATATCGAGACTTTGCTGGATAGCTCGTCGGCGGATCAGGGATCTTCGAGTATGCCGTCAATGGTACCGAGAGATGAGGGAGAGGAGCTGGATAGAGCATTTGGAGGTCTTGGTGTGAAATGAGCTGATGAGAATACTCCCTCTCACTAAATCCTATCATACCCAGTCTTGCTCTGAACACCTTACGCGATCCATGCATCCGTCGAAGGTCTATTGCGCCAAACTTCACATACATTGTTAGCTTCGAAGCTGATGTGTTAATATGGTGACATCTCCTTCCAACCTGGATGGTCTTGAACTTCCTGCCCCATGTCTTTAGGGAATTCCGTACTCGTTCGACCACGGATACTCAACCTGCCATATACTTGCATCTCAGTTGCTTCTCGTTGAAGTGCTGGTGGTTCAGCAATTGCTCGTCCCATATGAGAAAATATTTTCGAAGTTTGATGGATGTTACCTCCATTGATTTGGAATGCAGGATTTGAAGGGAAATCAAGGGGCGTCCCACAACCCCCGACTCCTACATTCCAACCATACTTCAATTGTCTCTAAGTAAAAGACTTTATCCGGGTTGTGTGCCAAGGCTCGATATGTGAACCAGAGACGTGCAGGAGTTACGCATACTGCCTGATCGTACCTCTCGGTGTAATAGATCTTGTATTGAGCTTCATGATATTTAATAGATACCAAATGTAAACTGAAAACTGTCTACACATTTGACAGTTGCTTAGAGAAGCATATCCGAAAGTCTTCATAAGACATTTGTATTTTATACTCGTAGTTTCATAAAGAGGCGTTGCCAATTTGTTGGTTATATATCTGTGAATATTCCAAGGTACATGTACCTTCCAGGGACTCGAGCTCCAACATTTAAACAAAACCACTTATGTATAATTATCAAGGCTTGAATTAACTTACCCACAGAGCAAATATCTTCCAAATTTTAGAAAAACCAACAAATTCAGGTTAATTTGCATCGAATAAACTAACCTTGGAAACGGAACCAATAAACGAACAGCGAAGCTAAGGAACAAAGCTGAGGCTCCGCAACCAGCTACTGCACACCTCGGAACGCCCCACGCAGAGCTACCAACCTTTCTTTTCGCCAACCTCAACCTCTACACCACATAGGTACCACAAAGACCAGAAACCAAATCCCACCTGTCACAGTACGAACCTAAACCAAAACATCATGGAACCTCTTCGCACTGCCCCCGAGGCATCCTCTTTCGTTCCTATCGCGGAACACCAGTCACGGACACCGAGCTCATTCCACGAGGGACCCCCAGTGCTTCACTACCACAGCCAGCGATGCAAAGTAGTAGTTCTCGAGGGCGATCTATTATCCAACCCGGCTCTGAACGCATTGCGCGGCGAAGTAGCAGCCAACGGAACCAATGCGCAAGCTGATGGGGAAAGTGAAATCTCCATCGAAGACGTGGATACATGGGTTGGATCTGAGTAAGTTTCCACCTACAAGCGATACAAATGTATTTCAAAGATAGTATCTGTATCGGTTAAATGAGCCTTTGAATACAATGATCCATTGCACCAAGAGTTCAAGTTCCCAGCTAACGTTCTACAGGAAATTCATCCTCTACTCCCCCAAAACCTCAACCGGAATCTCAATCCCCTACCCCTCCATCTCAGTCCATGCCATCCAGCGCCTCACCCCGCCCGGCTCCGAAACTTCAACCCAACCTGAAGTCCAAGGGCTATACATGCAAATCGCAACACAAGCCACTCCCTCCGAAGAAGACGAAGAGCAATGCATAACTATAACAGTTATCCCACCGCCTCAAAGCGCAGAAGAACTCGCCCAAAACACAGAAGATGGGGACGAGCCAGAAACACCAATCCAGACACTCTACAGCGCTGTCTCCGCATGCTCAAACCTTCACCCTGACCCCGTGGAGCCAGGTGATGAGGAAGAGGACGAGGAGAAGAGCTATTATCAGCTTGGAGGAGAGGGTATTGGAGGAGATGAGACTGGCGATGGATTGCCGCCTCCTGTTGATGGGAGCTCTGGGTGGATTACGGCAGAGAATATGCATGAGTTTATTGATGAGGAGGGGAATTGGATTGCGGAGGGTGAGCCGCCTGCTTTTCCGTTGGGGCCTGGGGCAGGGAATGTGCATGAGCGGGAGAATGGAGAGGATGAAGATGCCGTTGAGGAGGAGGATGAGACGAAGTGGAGGCGGACGGATTAAGTTGTTTGATTTATTAGATGACTTTGTCTTATGTTGAAATATGGGCTGAGTGTGGTAGGCTTGAGTTGCTGATTTCCGCTCTAGAAGAGAAATATACAAAAGTGATATATGTTTTGCTCACGTTCTAATTTAACTAAGAATATTCGATTTCAACTACTTGATGAATTATATGCACAAACCCTGGAGATTGGGAAGCTACAGGGAGAATGGAAGTTTGGAGAATACTAGTAGGACTCTTTGTGAGTATTAGTATAGAGATGGTTCATTCATAATTACGACTACCTAGACTGGTGGATATCAAAACATGATGTACGTTACACATCAGATGAGAGAAAATAAACGAGAAAACAGAAGAAAGAGAGCAAGTGCTCAGACGAGAAGAAAAGGTATAAGGCTTTTAAGCGCAAATGGAAAGAAGAGGCAAAAAGAATGCCATATGATGTTCCCGGAAACAGGAAAGAAATAAGAGGAAGCGAGGATGAAAAGAAACAAGCAAGGATCTTACTCTCTTAGGAACCCATCACCATCATACAAGCTGCCCGGAGTAGCCGTACACCCAATCCCAAGACCAAGAGCTTTCCCAGTTGGAGTTGTCATGCCTCTTCTCGCTGAGTTGGGCGTAGGCGGTCCTCGCTGGCTAGGAGCACGTGTGGGTGAGTGTCGACTTTTAGACAGGGATCTGGGAATGCTGTTCTGCAGACGGATCGGGGAACTATTTTGATCGGAGATCGTATAGTTCCCTACAAGGTGAGCTGCTTCTGGCTTGGGTGGCGAGGCACTTCGATTGGCATCTTCCCATATGGTGACACGGTCCCGAACTGTTCCACTTCGTTGCCGACCGCTTTGTGATGGAGGTGAAGGAATTATGGATGAACCAATGGCGCCTACGAGAGAACCACGGGATCCACGGCTTCGTCGATATGATCCGTCGGCTCCATCAGTGTTATTTCTATGCAAAGTGTCTGTTGATTTCCTCCAGTCGCTTCCTTGAGTGCCTGTGATAAGGGGTAAACCGACCGGTGATCCAGGACCCATTAGAGACTCCATAGGCTTTGGGGTTGAGTTGCTTCTAGCAGACCGTCCAGGTTGGCTTCGGGGGCCCTTCACGGCTGTCCGGCGAGGGCTACCGTCACCGCCGAAATTTTCATGAATTGGAGATGGGGCCTCCTCATCGATTGCCCACATAGGTAGACTATGCTCAGGAGAGGGAGTGTGGGAGAGATTGCCTCCATGAATAGGAGAAACGGAGGTAAAGAGCTCTGGAAGGGTTTGCTCCTTTCCGAATGGATTGACATTGGGAGACACAGCTGGTTGATGTTCAATGGGATCTTTCTTCTTTGATGGGCTCTTGAGTGCAAGAGGAGGCTCCTCGGCTAGCGGACCCAAAGTACTGTGAGCAGGTTTGTTTCGGCGACTACTGCGTTTTGAAAGAGGAGATGGGGAGGTGGTGGGAGGAGGTAAAGTTGGGAGAGACTTGAAGTTGCCGTTTATGGCACTCTCTCGAAGGTCGAGTTCTTCCATTGCATCGACATCCTCGGGTTCTTCTTCAACCGTCGGCGAAAATGCAGGACCACCGAATGTCATCGGAGGATGAATGGAAATTCGTACACAGTTTTGACGTCGGTGCCCCTTTCGTTGAGAATTAGAGCCCTTCAGCGCTGACGGCAAAGGCTGGCCTCGCAGAGAGAGACTAGATCTCTGCATTGGGCTTGGAGGCTTTGAGCCCAAGGTTTGCCCAGGAGACCCGATTGAAAATAATGTACCATTAGATTGAGGAGATCCACCATAGAATGGATCTAGATCACGATGTTCTCCTTCCCAAATAGCGGGCTGCTGGTACTGACTGAAATGCGGAGCGAAAGACAGGGAGGAATTGGAATGTCTCCAGTCGATGACAGGCCCGGTTTGATAGCTTTTAATCGAACCAGTTCTACTTCGTAACGAACTGTGCCTTTGAGGATTGGAGGAAACGGATCCATGTCTTTGCGGGTTGGAAGATACTGAGCCATGGCGCTGTGGGTTAGATGATACCGATCCATGGCGTTGAGGGTTGGATGATACCGATCCATGGCGTTGAGGGTTGGATGATACCGATCCATGGCGTTGAGGGTTGGATGATACCGATCCATGGCGCTGAGGGTTGGATGATACTGATCCATGTCTTTGTGGACTGGAAGAGGCCGAATTATTTTGTCGTGGAATGGGAGTAAAGCTGAAGCGATTATCACTCGAACTACTGACATTTCGAGAAGTGGTTGTCATGCTGCGACGGGGAGAGCCCAAATGATCTATCGATGAACGGTGACGAGTCTCAGCCGTAGAAGATGAACGCACGGGAAAATTGTGCATAGGCGGCATTGAAGTATTGGCTGATATGAATGTCCTACGACCATTCTTCACGCCGACATCATTGGCGCTGAATGGGACAGAGGTTCCACCGGATGGAAAGATGGGTGAAATCATATGGGTATCGACGGGTCTTTGTCGACCATCATCCAGGATAGAACTGTTGGTTGTGTCCAAGCTCAAGGAAGACAGGCGCATAATTGAATCATTCCGCATGTAGCTCATTCTGTCAAGTGGGAAAGCGGTTGGAGGTGGCGGAGGAATGGGCCCGTCGGGTGCACTCCCTGGAGTCTGACTTGTAAGACTTCCTCCTCGTACTCTGGATGGCGATTCTTCGAAGATTCTTGGTGGCGGGTCAAACATCTCCTGTGAACTGCGGCTTTCCAAGACAGGGAACAGGCCAGATCGCTCTTTTTGACTGGGCAGAGGCCAGGATGGCGATACGGGACGCATTCCCAAGTGGAAGCCAGGCTCCTCATGGCTCAAATCCGGAGTTTGTCGAGGTGTTCGTTCAGCAGGCAATTCCAGCACTCCCTCTACAGCCGAGAGGGGAATATCTTCTCTTGATTCTGATCCCCACGGTGGACTATGGTGAATTATCGATTCGCTCATAGTTGCCATAGAACTCATCCGGCTGTGCTTATGAGAAGATCTTGATAGTCGTTTGGAGCGGGAGCGGGAGATCGAATTGCGGAATGACCTTGCCTTCTCAAGCAATGGAAATGACGAGTCTGACCCATTCTTCGATCGCAATAGAGCTTCGCGAGAGGACAGTTGACCCCATTCTGTAGGTTTCCCATAGGGTAATCCATGGCCTCGCAAAATAGTGCCTTCTTCTTGCGACAACTCGGTCAATGTATCCCCCGTAAGCCCTATACTGCGAGTATATTGTCCATGTTTGAGTCCCAGCACGCGAAGTGCATGTCGTTCCTTTCGAATCCTGACCCAGACCACGATAACGAAGACCGAGGAGACGACAAAGATAGCCGCGCCAGAGGCGGCGATGGCGACCAAGGTTCCAAGGCTCAGCATTGCCGCCTCACTGGCGTTTCACCTCGTAAAGTGCTTGAGAGCCAGGAGCGCCTTTACCAGTGAGACCTTTGTCCAATATTTCATTCGTCGCCGGTGTAACCTTTTCAATGATCGAAAACCGGCCTTGAGGCGTTCTCCGTTACCATCAAGTTATGATATAAGCTCAAAAACAGTAACAAGTTCAGAAACACAATATCACAACAAAGGACCCAGCCCTGAGAGGATGAAGAAAGAGAAATGCAAAACTAGCTTTGGGTAGCATTCCCATGTAGCGGACCTGTTTTGTTATGGGAGCATCGGTTGTTTCCCAAGAATGTGGCCGCATCAGCGGCGGTACTTGTCAGGAATGCTGGCGACCACATTGACATTCCTTCTTTCAACTATGATAGAATGAGTTAACGAGTTAAGAGCGCCCAGGAAATGTTTTGAAAGTCCGTGCGAAACTACTGTACTTGATTGGAATGACTTGTCCCATATTATACCTCATGTATAGTGATGATCAACATGATAAGATCATCCTCGGAATGACTAGTCTCCAGGTGCACATCCACGATGTCTCTCTGCCCTACCATGAGAGGATACAGAAATCGATAACCTGAGATGATCTCATCTGTTCAAGCATCAAGATAAATCGGTTCCAATGGATCACATTCGACCTGGTTTAGCTGTCATGATGTATGGCTTGGTCGCATCGGAGGGCAGTAAATTTCTCCTTCAGCTTGGAACGTTGATTGCGAGGAAAGAGGCTGTATAACGGCGAGCATGACTGGCCTGGATATCGAAGCAACTATCGACACGACGATGAAAGCAGAATTAAGGGGTTGAATCATGTTGAAGCCGGGACGTTCGTACAGCTTTCGGGTCGACGGGCGGCAGCTTCCCTACGTGGCAGGGATGCGAATGCCAATGCCGTTCAACCAAGGCATGTCCGATCGCCATGAACACGACAATTGTCCTGAAATCTCTCAATCAAACACTAAATTTTGACAATCGCAAGAACCTATCAAATGTAGGAGCATTCAAAATCCCCGATCATCTCCTATCCTATGGTGGATGTCAAATCGATCACTCTGGGATACAATTTCCGAGGTAAGCAGCCCCTTGCCTCAGAAGGGCCATCTGGCAGCTTTATTCCCAGATCCACCACTAAGTTGAAAGATTCAAGATATCTTCAAGTTTACAAACTCGAAAATCCTAGCATTGATCGAGAAAGCCACTGTGACCGACATGAATTAGACGAATTCAAGATAACCAGTGTAACATTGAGAGATCCTTCCAGCAGAACCTTCCAGCAGAAGAACCTCGAGATTTGATCATGTCAATTCATCGACAACCCTTATTATTACCGGATAGCTTCACTAATCGGAACCTGGGATCCATATTATGTTTGTAGATTCAAATTGCAGAGCCCCTCTGCCTGGCCACAGAATATCTGAGTCGGTTGATGTTCCCTCCACCTGAAATCTCTCTGCCGAGGTGCGTATCAAGCTCAATAACGAGGTTCTCGTGAGCTGCAGTGTAATCCTCGAAGTACGCGATGAGGGTATCAATAGTGGCTTCGTCAGAGGGCCAGTTTATTAAGGTGTAAGTGATGTGTTGAGTACCGTTGGAGGAATCGACGGTGGTGAGCGTTGCAGCGTCCGAGTTTGAGGATGAAGCGTCATACTGTGAGGATGAATCGTCGAGCTCTTGCGTGACGTCGATACCTTGGTCATGCTAAGTTTTGTTAGCGCATGGTCTATCTTCACGTCGCGTGTTTTCAGTCAAGCTTACTTCTGGAGTCGATTGGTTTTCAGCCGCACCCTCCATATTGTCAGATATCAGAGGTTCCCTGGACAAGTCGATTTCAGATTCGCGCGTAGAAATGTCGCGATGTGACGGGCCCAGCAATCGGATACCCTGCAGTATCAAGTTCCAGAAGCGACCAAGAAGCCGAGTCACGAAATTGACAAGCCCCTTGATGTGTTCTTCCTTGATTATGAGGATGCGATAATAGAGGATCGTAAAGGTGGCAGAAAACACGACAAGTGAGGCGATTGCAATGTCGGAGGGGGACATTTGAGTGGAACGGGAGACCCTCACACCTGCTTAAGGGGGGGGTTTGGATGAGAAATAGATCCGAGGAAGCAGTTTTGCGAGCTGTCTCTCTTTCGCTGAGGTGGTACTCTTGCTGGATACGTGATGGTTGGATGTTGAGCAACGAAGATGTCTTAAACAAAATCATGTGTTTTTGTGATTGACCGTTTTGGGTATTTGACTTCTCTCACTTCCAACTCCGAGGATAACGCCAGTCCTGGACACAAACTTGAGCAAATCCGCACGATAAATGGAATAATGAGAAAGGAGGGGGATGAAGAAAGAAAGGATGGAAAGAAGGCACTTGGAAGTGATATCAATATTTAGGTACTAGTATCTGTATGAGCCCTGGAGACTTGTGTATCTTTCTATGTACATAGTAAGCTTAGAGCCTTTTAAAAGCTTGGATAACCTCATTCAAGTTGAAACACAATCAGTAGAAACCTGAAGGGGTTAAGTGAATGTTCCTACAATCTATAGTCAATCTCGTAGATTATGCAAAGTTCATCACCATTTGCAAGACTTCTGTTGTCTCATCGGATCTAATCAAAATGCTTCATATACACAAGATCTTGGACATTGTGATCCAGGAAATAGGTCTCCTGGATAGATATAGATCAACATTAGGGACTTAGGAACTCAAGCTTTGAGCTCGTGGTTTAATTTTATAGAGCAATCTTCTCAAGTAAGCTAGCTCTTCAGATGTTTACATCACCAAGTACAGAATGAAAGACATTAGCAGGGCATCACATAGGCACTTGAATATTCTATCTAAGATCTGCATATGACAGCATCAAGTACAGAACTAAAAAGCAGATCTACAAGCATGATAGCATTAAATTTTGAGCGGAGGTCAGAAGCCCGGTGGGGGTAGTCAACTGCACCACAGGCCCTGGTTAAGAAAGTTGAAAATCAAGTTCTCGGCTTCCTACAGAAAACATTTGGAGGTGGGGAAAGGCATGTTTATGGATTCGAGCCTTCACAATAAACTCGGCAAGGCAATGACCTCAGTAGATATGCTCCATGTGCAAAGCAACCAAATCGGGGTCACCGCAACATCGAAGTAGACCCAGTGATCAAATCACGGGCCCCCCGCATTAAGCCCAAGCTCGGATGACCAACCACGCTCAGATGTAAAACAACATCAGTTGATCGGATAAACTACGCAATAGAATCTAAGGGGATTTTATTAAAATAAATAGCATATCCGGTTTCATCAGATTCTGAGATTCAACTAAGTTTCAACTCATCGTTTTGTTGCCAATTTTTACATTTGAAGATAAAGACAAAGACCTAAAACGGACTCTTTGTTATAGCACTTGTGATTCACTATATTAAGCATCATCCTAAAAGATCTTTGTCGGGTATAATACAACCAGAAACGCTCAAGGCGGCCCGAAAGGAATTAATTCAATGCATCAGATTGTTCCCCTTGATTTACTGAGAAGGCGGCATTTATATTCAAGTCAACACATTATTAAATAATGTTTCGCTCTGCGACTCCGTCTCTCCTACTTCCACAAGGTTTCAACTTTAATTTGAAGTGCTCTGAATGAACCTGAGTCAGAGTCTCAATTATCTTCAAACAAACCAGAACATGCTCCCAGCTATCAGCATCATGACCTCGAAGAAAGACTTCCGAAAACTCCAACATGATATCAACTCCCAAGAGAAGCTATGGGACACAGCCGAGGAAAAAGTCATGGTAAACACCAATCATACCCAACAGCCAAAATCACAATATGGATCCTAACTAACCACCGGCACCATCTACCAGTCCAAAGCCCTAGAAGAAGCACTAAGCTGCCGAAAATGCGCTTTTGGCATAACAGAAACAACAATGCGCATCGACATCGACAACGGAAAATACATAGCAACTCGCTACCCACCATACTTCTCGAATCCACACAAAAGAGACGAAAACATCTCTCCACTCGACAACTCGCCATCACCACCTGAGCTATCATTTTGGAACATCATCACCATTCCCCAACGTCAGCGCTACTACGACCAAGTAGAAGCAACCCTTAATAACATCCTGAACGAGCAATCTCAAGCATCCACTTTCACCAAAACTCTAACATCAACTTCAACTTCAACTTCAACTTCAACCACCCTCTCACCAGATGCAGAGCTCTCCGTCCTACTAGCCCACTACAAAGTAGACTACCACATCCATCAACACTACCTCTCCTACCGAGTACCAATAACCCTCTGCCGCGATGCACACGACCTCCACTCCCTCCGAAAATGGAACTGGAAAATGGCCGAGATAGACGCCGTTATCCACTCCGAATCAAAACCCGAACCAGGATCCGAACCCAATTCTTCCAACTCAAATACTCGAGAATGGCCCGTTGGCTGTCGAAAACTCGGCTGGCCAGATGATGAAACACTAAAAATGGTTCATCAGACGCTACTTTGGAAGAGAGCGTGGAGGGGACGACAGAAAAAGCTAGAGGAGGTTCGGGCACGGTGGGTGGTTATTATGGAGGAGAGGAGGAGGGAAAGGGAGCTTTTGTTTGCGAGACAGGCTGAGTTGTTGGTTAAGGAGGCTTCGGCTTCGGCTTCGACGTTTACTGTGAAGGTTTATTGTCGGGGGGAGTTGAGGGATGTTAGAGAGTTGAAGAGGATGGCGTATTCTGAGCCCGGGTTGAGGGTTAAGAGGGCTGCACAAAGTTTTGGCGTTTAGGGGATTTGAGAGGATGGTTTTCAAGTTGTTTGGCTTGTATGATTTGCATGGTATTGCATGGCGTGGACCGGTATGCATGGTGTTTGGACGATGAGCTGGTCTCTTGCCAATTCTGTTTCTGTGTAAACAGTTACATTTCTGAAGATATTTCGAATTGTTGTGGAACAACTGCATTCAAGCTATATAGTACCAATGGTATTTCCTAGGTTTTCTTTATTATATTCACATGCATAAGTGACTGTGACTGTGACTGTTCCCAATAATCAAGAAGACACGAATGAAGATCATGGCAAGCAGCTGCAGCTGAATCTTCTTTGTTCTTCTTCGCGTTCTCGTTCTTCTTCCTCTACATCTGACCTGCAGACAAAGTCGCGTAGGACATCCAAACGAAGACGTTACTCAATCCCGTGCTTGCATTTTCAACCTGGAGATATGCGGGGATGGTCACACAAAACGTACGCTGAAATTCCCAGAAACTCTAGCGATTGGCTCAATAATCCTCTCTAGACTGAAAGAGTCCAGACAAATATGCTTTATCAGTATCATCCGAGACATGTACCTGTGCCTTTCGGAGGATATCGCCCGGGTTAAAGGATTGAAGCGGATTGACGGGCGTGGGGAAGAACCCTGAATTATGTATGACAGGGTTGCTTACTTGTGTCTTGCATTTGAAAGAAATGAAGCTTTCAACAACCTGGACGCCAATGTTTCCGGTATATCAAATACATCATCAATCTAAGGAGTCCAGAGCCAGAATATTCAAATTGTTCGAACTACTAGTACCTGACTACTAGTACTCGTATGTGTGTGTCTTAGTAATGTACTAGTAGACTAGCATCATGAATATAGAAGCTTCAAATGTTTGGAAGGCTTTGTAACAAGCAATTATTAGATAATCTGATACTATAGTTTTGATTAGAATAAGCTGCATGAAATGGGTCTCTAATTTAGTCCAATCTAGTCATCAAGTACCATGCACTGCCAACAACGTTGAATAGTTCAAGTGCTTGTGAAACAATAATAATAGCTGACATACATGAATGTCCATGAACAAGGTACCATTGCATCGCTGTAAGACAAGACTACATTGAATACAACATTGTATTCTCTACTAAGATAATACAACCAGTCCCGAAGAGTCCCAATAAAGAGCACCATAGTCCATTCTAGCCATTAAAAATTCTCAACCACACTCGGGTAAATCAAGATACTCCTGTGATAAGCTATTTCAATCATACTCAAGATGCGCTTCTTCTCCATTATAACCTTTACCATGGCCACCCTGACAATTGCCGCTCCACTAGAAGAGAGCGTCAACGGCGAGGTTACTCTAGATGGAGAGGTAGACCTTTCCCGATGCCGACCACGATATGCCGAGTGTATTGAGGTATGCACCACTCAATAACTTGAGTTCAAGTTCATTTAATGTCTTCCTTGTATATGAACTAAATAATTAACCCTAAATTTGGCGATTCCAGAAATGCCGCCGAAGTGGCCGAGGACAAAGATGCAGAGCTGTAAGTTGATTAATGCCTGTCCAGCCAAGAAATAGTTATGTGAGGATGGATCTATATAATCTGACACTTGAGATAGGAATGCTATAAGCTCTATTGCGGATTTTAAAGTCGTGAATGAGAATCAGTTTTCAACAAACAGAGAATTAGCATTATGGAGAGTGCGACACAAAGATCCCCAAACCCAGAAATTAAAAGAGAAAAGAGAAGAGGGGAGAACAGCGAAACATGGTATCAAGGACTTTACCGTTGAACGGGAAGGAAAGGAAGGGCAATGCGCAAGGATCAGGATCGTCTGAACGGAAAATATCTCCAAGTCCCACGATTGACGGAGTAGGATGATTTCTAGCCACATCCCGACCGGGATAGAGTAACAAGGACTTGAAATGAAGGAATATGTTACGCCGCTGAAATCACAAGCACATGCATGCATCTAGTATTTGTTTCTCCTTGACCAAATAGTGATAGTATTCTGCAGCTATAGCTTAGTATAACCTGGAAGTATCCTTTGTGCATCATGTACGAAATAATGATAAAACAATAGTCATCCTACCTATCCAGTTTGCTACAGTACTCCTTACCTAGGCTTGTAAGTGCTGTCATGTACATCATGAGGCAAGGTGAGGCAAAGCAATGCGTCAAACTGGAACCTAACCCCGCCATTGATCATCCATAATCGATCATCAGCTCAGCCCGGGGTACTTACTGACCCCACCACACCTCAGCGTAGGCCCCGGGGTACAGTAAGGAAAGTACAGTGTAAAGTAAAGCATGAATGATTTGCGGGGGAATCCCGCGATTCAAATTTCAAAATTGTCTCATGCAGTGTTCACGTTCAGTGGCATTCCCCGGTGACCGATGGGCGGGGATGGAAAGATCGCCATACAATTTTACTGGATTTGAGTGGAATCCCAGCGTTGGCCGACAAGTAACCTGACCCCACCCTGGGGAATAGACCAGCCCGAAAAATCCGGATGAGATGGGTTTAAGATATTGTGGACAGGTATTTAGACTGAATATGTTCTTGTGATATGAAATGGTATGACTCGTGGCACTCATAAGGGTTCAGGTTCAATTCAAATCAATTCAATCAGGTTACAGGCACCGATCTCCCGTGCCAGGGCGGCTGTGGCTGGAGGAAGCTTCCAGCCCCCTGTCTGGATCAAGTTGAGTGCAAGAGCGGGAATTATGGGAATTACTGGCTCTCCGATTTGTCCATTCATACCACAGACCACAGACCGCATACCGCATACCGCATACCGCAATACCGCAAAACGGCAAGACCGCAGTCTCAGTCTTAGGCTTAGACTTAAGTTAGGCTGGAGGTAGTTCCCATGGGTAGCCGCATTGTCCGCCTCTTCCCTGATTGGCTTTCACCGACCGTGAACCGGGGAATCTCCGTGAATTTGTTTCTGTTTGGTCTGTGGACACCCAATCAATTTTTGAACCTGATGGGAGCGCGTGACTAATCTGGTTTACTGGTTTCTGGCTGCATTTTTGGTCACAACACGAGGCCAGTGTGTAGTAGCCGGGCTGTTGTATGTGCAGTGAAGTGGGAGGTCTTGAGCCCACGCCGATCGGCAGATCGCTGACGTGGGGTTAGCAAGAAATCATAAGCGTGTAACTGGTTTGGGGATACTGTAGTCTTCTCTCTGTGCAGAGGGTGATCTTACTGGGGAAGTCGGCCACTAGTAAGAGGCCGAGGAAGGTAGAAACCTTCCTGCATGAGAGACTCGCTATTATTGAGACTAGTTTACAGAGTACTGTCTACCATTCTTCATTTTCTCTTTCTTGTTAATAATAATCATTCTCTTGTAATACCCAGTTAATCCAGTATCCAGTATCCATATCCAGTATCAAGTACGGAGTACAGGGCACCGCAAACATCATTATGAATCAACCGGGAAGCCGTAACAGGCATGACGTAAGGCAGCAGACCCGATCCATGTTAGGGTTCGATTCCCGAGTCAACCGGGCCGTGAAGAGACTACGATAGAAAGGAATTTGTAGAACGTAACTGATTTGGAGTGATCAATTCCTAAAAAAAAGTATAGTAAAAGATCCCATCCTATATCAGACTCATCCATTTATTGTATAATCAGTAGGGCCGATCTCCAAAGCAGGGAGAGAGAGAACAGAACCCACTTCACAGTAACAAACCGGATAATGACGTCCTTGCGACCCGATTTTCTACAGTGAAAAAGCAAAAAAGCCCCAAAAAAGCCCCCCAGTAATTCCCAATAATTCCCCAAAAAATAAGTAAAATCCGAAAAATCCTCCAAACGAGGGGAACCAACATCCACTCTGGCGACCCACCATCGTCCACTCCGGATGGGAATGAAAGTGGGTAGCATCCTTGGGTTTATAACGTCCAAGGGCTCCAAATCCCTAATCTCCTAATCCTTTCCCCGATCTTTCTTCCTTCCCTTCCCCTCCCTTCCCCCACCATCTACCATTATACGATTCACATTTGAACCCTACATTCTTAAAAAAAACCTACTTGATCTGCTATTCAATTATCCGATCTATCCCACCCGCGATCATGTCAAAGACCAAAGTTTTGTTGGTCGGCGCTGCGGGTGAAACCGGAGGTTCCATTGCTAATGGTCTACTCGAAGATGGAAGCTTTGTATGTTTGGAAATCAATCTACCCCCCGCACACCGTCCTTCCATGCAATTTGTTTGACAGAAAACTAATTCAAATCGCTGCTATAGGAGGTGATCGCTTTGGTTCGCCCCATCTCCGTACACAAGCCCGCCATCTTGAGATTACAAGACCGTGGTATCGCAATCCGCAAATGCGACCTGAAGGCATCCGAAGAGCAACTCATTGAGGCCCTCGCCGAGATCGATGTCGTCATCAGCTGTGTCGGTCCCGCCGAGCAACAGGATCAAATCCCACTGGCAAAGGCCGCAAAGGCTGCCGGTGTCAAGCGATTCATCCCGTGTGGTTTCATCACTATCGCACCTCCAGGTGGTGTGATGTGGCTGCGTGACGAGGTACGAACTGATCCCGGATTGTTCCAATTAATGAAAAAAAAAGATGACCTGGCGATAAACCCAACTGACCACATTTCCTTTAATACAGAAAGAGATCGTCTACAACCAGATTCGTCAGCTCTGGCTCCCCTACACGATCGTCGATGTCGGTTGGTGGTACCAGCTGTCCTACCCCCGTCTTCCATCCGGACGTGTGGATTATGCCATGACTTCCGGTAACGATGAAATTATTGGAGATGGAAGTGTCACCACCGCCCTGACCGACCTTCGGGATATCGGTCGCTACCTGGCTCTGATCATCAACGACCCTCGTACCCTGAACAAGAAGATCTACGCATACAACCTCACCTCAAGCCAGAATGACATCTACAGCCTGATGGAGGAGATCGCCGAGGAAAAGATCGACCGAAACTATGTATGTGCATATTCCAAACTCATGATCTGATAAAAAGCCTGCACGGAAGGATTTCGAACTAATCACTTTTTCCTTTTTCCGGAACACAGGTCCCCGAAGAAACGATCTGCAGCAGAGTCCTTGCGGCCCGACAAGCCAGTGAAACATACCCTTTTGACCCCATCAAATTCATCCCCCGTTACCTCGCCGAATACCAATACTCATGGGGCATCCGAGGTGACAATAACCCGGAGTACGCTCGCTACCTCGGTTACTATTTAACCCCTGAGCTGTATCCCGATTTCCAGCCTAGCGACTTCCGCGAGTATCTCGAGTCTGTGATCAGAGGTACTGCCAAGGGTGTCTACACCGACCGAGTCATTTCCCGAAAGCACCAGCGTCACTTTCCCCGCACGGAATCCAGCGATTCGCTGTACACTCGCATTTTCCCTCGGACCGAGTCCAGCGACTCGCTCATGTCGCGATGAACGAAAAAAAAAAAAAAAAGAAAGAAAAAAAAAATCCTCCCAACCCCGCATCACTTTCTTATCTCTTTTCATTTCTCGTATCTTTGATCTTGATCTAGGGAACCGAGACTGTGCTCCAGGCTGATGCAGGTCTATTCTATTCCCCTTTTCATATAGTTTCGCTTTTTTACTTTCATTTTCATTTTCGCTTATCGTGCTTGAAACAAATTCATGATATCTCCACCCCTCGAACCCCCCATTGAATGGGGGGCCCTCTTGGTTCGTTTTGGGCGTCTTGATAACATTAGGCGTTTATGATCATTCCATTACATTACGGCTTCCAATGATGGGGAACATAGACGTGGGGCCAACTTAGCCAGTTCCCAACTTTCGAGGCTGCTGTGACCGTGACCGTGACGATGATAGAGAGTTGCTGGCATGCAACATAAGATGTTCTGCTTTATTTCCACCATGTTTCATACTTTGTTTCTTTGAGTTTGATCGTGTTCCACGGATCCGATCCCCGTTGCATATAGAAGAAATTCATATATCAGATCGTCGGTCATTCTTGTTCCTTCCGTTTCTGTTCTTATTAAGTCCCTGTTCTGCTCCTGCCATAGATCTCATCTTCAACCCGTGTGTCCCAACAACCAACTAACCAAGCCCCACCCTCCTAATTCATGATCCCTACGTAATACCTAACCTCTCTGTTCATGAATCACTTCAACCTCCATTCCCGTATGTCGGATGGAGTTACCCGATCAACCACGCCGGAGAAATCGGTCTTCGCAGCTGGATCACTCTTCGCAGCTAGATCACTCCACGCAAATAAATCACTCGACATACAGTGTTGGCGCGATCTCGAATGCCTCTGCGACAACTGCCCTGGAACATCAACAGCACCATCACCACCTCAACTCAGGTGACAACAGGGACCATGTCCAACATGCGGATATCGCGTTGGGATTCGTCGATATCTATCAGTCATTGACACCGAGACAAGTTGGAGTGATCGGTTCGTGAGGCCGTCCTCTCACATCTCATGAACGCTTTGCTTATTCTTTTAGCGGTCGGGTCGGCCATCGGAACAGGGCTTATGATTGGGACAGCGAGGGCTCTTACAATGTAAGTGCTAGATCACATCTGAGCTGGTGATGAGCAAGCGCTAACCGGAAAACAGGAGTGGTGTAAGTGAACCGAGGATCCCTGTCCCGTCCAGCTGCTCCTCGATTAACTCGTCATAGCCAGCTGCCATGGTGATATCGTATACATTTGTTGGGTTCGCGGTTTACCTGGTCTTACTGGCTTTGGGCGAAGTCGCTGCTTGGTTACCTCGACCTTATACAGTGGCAGATCAAGCTGTGCGATTCGTGGACCCAGCTCTAGGATTTAGTCTAGGTTGGATGTAAGTGACCTTCCACGGGAACAAGATCATTGAATGAAGTCATCTAACGATACCGTCTAGATACTGGCTCAAATATGCGATTGTCACTCCGAACCAGCTTACAGCTGCAGCTCTGGTTATTTCATATTGGATTGACCCCCAGTGGATCAACCCTGGAATTTGGATCACAGTCTTCCTCACCGTTATCACTCTTCTAAACTTTCTTCATCATAGACTACCGAGCCAAGTCGAGTTTTACGTTTCATCATTCAAGCTTCTCGTCATGTCCGCTTTGATGATTCTCTCACTAGTCATTGCGCTGGGTGGAGGGCCAGATCATGATCGCCGAGGATTTAGATACTGGAGCCAGTCGGGGGAATTCAATACGCTCGGCTCTCATGTGAACCGCACCTTGCTCGAGAAGTTTCTCGAGATCTGCGCGACGATGTCATCGGCTACATTCGCTTTTATTGGAAGTGAACGGTCGGGAATCATGGTCAAGTCTCCGAATGTACGAAAAGCAATCTCCCGCGCTATCAAACACACTTTTTACCGTGTGCTGGTTTTTCATCTACTGGGAATCACGCTCCTTGGTATGCTTGTCCCGCGAAACTCGAGCGCATTATCGTTTTCCGGAGAACCTGGCAAAAGACCTGGACGTGGTTCTGCGGCTTCTCCATTCGTCGCTGCTATCTACTTGTCCGGAATAGCAATTGTACCAGACGTATTGAACGGATGCATTCTCCTCTTCGTACTTTCCATTGCGAATTACGACCTCTACCTCGCTACAAAAGCAATGTGCGACCTCTCACTCAAACACCGCGCTCCCTCTTTCCTCCTCCGAACCAACCGCCGAGGCGTCCCCGTCTACGCCTTAGGAGTTTGTTCCATCGTCGCCACACTGGCTTACGTCAACGTAACCAAAGACTCCAGAATCGTCTTCGGATACTTCGTCGACATGACCACCATGCTCGGTATCCTAGTCTGGGTCTCCATCCTAATCACACACATCGCCTTTGTCCGAGCGCGCAAAGCCCAAGGTATCCCCGAAGATACACTTACTTTCCGTGCTCGCTTCGGTCTTGCCGGTACCTGGCTAGCCCTATTCCTCTGTCTTTTCATCTCGGTCACTCTGGTTGTTGGCTCTTTTCGGTTTAACCAGGAGGGCAAGCTAATGTTCAATTTCCGAGCTGTTGTGGCTACATACGTTGGACTCCCGATTTACTTAATTTTGATCATCGGGTACAAATTGGTTATGCGTACTAAACGCGTGAATCCTAAAGAGGCAGATATGTGGACTGGGAAGCTGGATGTTCGTCTGACTCGTCCGGGGGCTATAGAGATCGTTGTAGCATAATTCCAAGTTCGATGTTCATAGTTTATGTTCTTATGTGGCTCTGCCAACGAATATACATTGTGTTATTTGCTTCAGTTCGAGTTCGAGTTCATGACTAGAAATATTCTACTCGTAACAGGGATGAATTAGATAGGTAATAATTACCCGGATCTACTAATATACCCTAGCCTTCCCTCTATCCAAATTGAAAAGTACTAACTCAAACCCTGCAAGTTCCCAGAAAATAGCTCAATTAATTCCCATATACATCCAACCACTGGCAGTGAATCCATCACCAATTAGCCGCCAAAGCAAGTAGGGCAAAACCAAACCTCCAACATACCCAGGTAGCAGCAAGCCTGCCAGTGGATCAACTGCATAATCAAAGAAACACGGGCGACAGGGTATAATTGCTTTTTCTCTCGCGCGATTTGTCAATTCCCCCTCCACGAGATAGTCCCGTTTGTCGACCACCCCTGACGCCGCGCATCGCACCTGGGTGCCTGGCCAGATTTGAATTTGGTGTGTTTATCGTTTTATCCCCCGCACCCGCACCTGCCCAGCAACGGATGTTGATTCTGGTATGAAGGTGAACTTTTTCAATTGAACTCGGGACTACAGATTAGGATTCAGATCCAGATCCAGATTCTCAGATTTTATATTCGATTTTAACAGTCTTTTCGATATTGTTAATTCAAGTTCAATTCTATGCTTGAGGGAAGTTATTCTTATCCATTCAACGCTGTGGGCGTATTCAAGTCAGTTTCCCAGGCTTGCAAGGGGCACCAGGCAGACTTATCCTGAGATGATCAAGTTCGCCAACTACAGCATATGCAATTAAACTGGTAAGAAAACACACCATGACGGTGATACGAGCCGTAACGAAGAGAATCCAACTAACAGACCAACAGGCACTGGCGCGGGCAACATCAAGTTGCTTAATCGATGAATTGATTAGTCCAACCAATTTTCGCTTTCATCCCTCGAATGTCCCCACCCCAAAATCAAAATGGCCCTTCTAAACACCCCTCAGAGGAAAAAAAGTGACGAATTCGCTCACCTCCTCTACACCATAAACGAGGACTACGGTCTCGAACTTCCCCATGAGAAGAACATAGATTGGTCCCCGCGTGCATGGGAGGGGATCGAAAGAAGCAGTTTACGCTGGCGATGTCTTCGTGTTTTGCGAACTTTGTTCTTTCGAGATAAGGGTTCTGTTTATCGGGCGCTTGGGGATTTTAGTGAATGGGTTGCTGGGAGGAGGGTTTTACCTGGAGCTGTCTCGAGTTTAGGCTCAAGCTCAGGTTCAGGTTCAACCAGGGCACAGCGCGGATCGGCCCGCAGAACAAGAACAACACGACAAGGAAGTGTTGAGGATCCTGACCTTGACCCCCCACTTCTAAGTGATGATGAGAAAGATGCGCGCATTGAGTATTTTCTGCGTGTGCTTGGGGATCAGATGTATTTGCTGAATCCTGATGGGCACAAGAGGATCTCTGAAGAATTTACCTCTGGTGAGAGTGAGAGGGTTGTGTCGCCGAAGAGGCGGAGACTAGAGTGGGATCGGGATGACTATGAAGACGAAAGTGAAGAGAAAGAAAATGAGAGTGATGTCTTTCATACTGCACCGAATTCACCAACTACATCTAATGGGTCTGTTTCTGCTTCTGCAAAGGCAATGCCTCCGCCTGCGAAATTAGATCTGGGCCTGGGCCTGGACTTTGATCTTGATTCCGAGATAAGTTTGGCGCTCGAGCTCAATGGGTCGAGTGATCGGGGTAGAGATCGAGATTCCGTGAAGATGAGTTTCATGGAACGACTTACGCAGAAGCTTCCATCTTTCACACGATCGCGCGATGAGCGGAGTTTCGATACAGTTGTTGATTCTGTCTTTTCGTCTCATGGACGAATAAACGAGTCCTTCGATACTGATACGGCGGAGCCGATTGATAGACAATCTAATACACAATCTACATATGCTGATTCAATCGTTGAACTTTGGCTTTCAGAAGGGGGCGATGATCTCGATGCAGCATTGGAAGCTACAAAGCAACGAATTATCAACGATTTATTGGACAAGGGTCCCTTTTCTCTTGCAAAAATCTTACCCAACACCATCCCACTCTTACAACGCTATGAGCTGGAGCGCATAGGAAGAGCCTGGAATGTCCCTCTCGACAAGATGTTGATTCCGGGTACCATTCCATCCCAAGAGTACACCGACTTCTGGACCAGCATAGAAGGTCACAACCAGCGGAACTACCAAGCTATACCGGAGAAGCCATCCCGGCGAGCCTGGGACGCAGCAGTCGGAGACTTTAAAACAGAGCGACATTCCGAGGCGGTAGTTTTCACCGGCGAGATGAGCTGGGTCCCCTTGAAAGATGGCCTTTTCAGTCTAAAGCTCCATCCACCAAAAACAGAAAAGACGTGTCGCTTTCATCGCCGTTTCGGTTCAGATCGATTCCTTTCACTTACGATACCAGATCTATCGCATCCACAAGAGGATGTCGGGTGTCCGTCTCATCCATCACTTCTACGAGAAAGTGTTTCTGCATGGCTTACCCGAAACGATCACCTATGTATCGGAAGACGATGGAGACCATTTTTCATTGAAGAAGTGAAAAGCAAAAGTAAAGAGAAGCGCGAGCCACGATTCCGTGTTGATTTTTTTGCTGTTGATGGCATAGACTTTTGTCGGAATGTATCGTCTATATCTTTCGTTTCATTACCGGGTCAAAACAGTGATGCACATACACGGATGAGCGTGAATGATTTACTCGAGTGGCATATGCCATCTGAGCAAAATGCAGACCAGAAGAACTGTAAATTATTCCAGCGACTTTCACTCGGACTGTCGAAAACTTTTGTCTCTGTCACAGTGAAGCCTACACAGGTACTCCATTTACGAGATAATTCTCGCTGGAAACAATGTATGAATGATGGGTGTGCTTTAATGTCGAGGGCGCTGGCAAAGCAAATCTGCGAGGTATTGGGGATCACGGGGGATGGGAACAAGCAGATTCCGAGCGCGTTTCAGGGTCGAATTGCAGGTGCTAAGGGGTTATGGATGGTCGATCGGGCTCAATCACGACATCAGAGTTTCAGCGATAATGGAGGCGATGATGTGTGGATTGAGATATCTGACTCGCAGCTGAAGATCCATCCTCATCCACAGTATTGGAGTGAACCCATTGATGAGGAGAAATTGACATTTGAAGTTGTTAGCTGGTCAAAGCCTTTGCGTCCGGTCGAATTGAATGTTCAATTATTGGTCATATTGGACCATGGTGGGGATGTGAAGGAGTACATTGCTCAGCTGGCGAAAAGAGGTCTTAGCGAGTTAGCAGAAGAACTCAAGACTGTGCTCGACGCTGATAACAACCTCCTTTGTCTCGGCCTTATGCAGAAGCTAAAACCACCCGGTGAAGCGGGGAACAGATCTCACCAGCTAGGTCGTGGGCATTGAACGATGGAGAATTTGTTGTCCGTTTATCGCAAGCGGGCTTTACGCCTCAGACCTTCTTCCCGCTCCGTCAAAAACTCCAGAAAGTGTTTCAAGAGGCTATCCAGCGTCGAGTCGAGGAACTGCATATCCCAGTCCCACTATCGACATACGCATACTGTATCGCCGATCCATATGGAGTTCTTGAGGCAGATGAAGTCCACTTCGCCTTCTCGAGTAACTGGCAAGATCCAGACGGGAACTTCCAAGAATCCGAACTCATGGACACAGACGTTCTCGTCGGCCGATTACCAGCACACATACCATCCGATATCCAACGACGCAAAGCAGTCTATAGGTCTGAGCTTCGCCATTTCAAAGACGTGATTGTATTCTCAATGAAAGGCGATATCCCTCTTGCTCACATATTATCTGGCGGTGACTACGATGGTGATACGCCATGGATATGCTGGGATCCTACACTGGTGAACAGTTTCCAGAATTCGAACCTACCCGAGAAAGAATTCAAACCTGAACATTTCGGTCTCACGAGCCATTCAGTGAAGATGTCAACGTTAAGAAATGCAGGAGATTTCCTTGAAAAGTCCTTCTCATTCAACTTGACTACATCTAGTCTTGGACGATGCACCGTTGATCATGAGAAGATTGTTTATGACAAGTCTATTGATTGTCCTGAAGCATTGGAGTTATCATGTCTACTAAGCCATCTTGTTGATGGAAGGAAAGGCGGATTCTACCTCACCGAAGAGACATATCAAGAACTCGGGAGGAAAAGAGGTCTCCGATATCTTCCATGGCCTGCATACCGAGAATCCTGCAATGAACGCAGGAGGAGACCGAAAAGAACAAATATCGTCGATTATATCAAATTCTTCGTTGCAGAAAGCCATAGCAAAACCCTCCTAACAGAAATCGAGTCTCGATATCCCGCTAACGACAGCTTCAAAAACCTAGACCAAGATCTAACCCGACCCTACAAGGAAGCCCAAAAATGCGCAAACGACGAACGTTCCTCCAACGGAAACCTATACCAAGCACTAGAAACCATCACCACATGCATAAAAGAAGTAAAAAAGCAATGGGACACGTCAAAAAACGACCAAACAACCTACTCCCTCCGTGCACAACATTTATCCGACACAGCTAGATCAATTGACCCACCAAGCAATTCCTTGCACTCACTAGTGCATACATGGCAAAACAGTCGGGTAGAATGGCACCGTCTCCTCGCGTCAATGGCATACAGACTATGGCCTTCTACCCCGTTTGTCTGGTTAGCGTTTGGAGATGTGTTATGTGATTTGAAAGCGGAGACATTGCCTTCTCGAAGCATTACGAATGTTTCAATGGCTTGTTACAAGGTTAATCAGAAGTTTGTGTCGCAGCTTACTGCTACTGAGCTTCCGGCGAATAATATGGAGAGCGAGGGGTTTGGTGAGTTTACTTATGAGGGTGAGGAGGAGATTGAGGCGTTGATGTTGGGGGTTAATATGGGGTATTACAGTGGATTGGATGATAAGTTGTGCATCCAGTAGATCTAGAGAGAGAGAGAGAGGCCGATACGACGATTTACGAGCTACGTACATATCTGTTTGAAAAACATGTTGGAGTACATAGTAGAACCCGAAGCACTTTGTGATTTAATTGAGATATCCCGATGGATCCGTCGTTGTGGAAATGATAATGCAGGGCTATGTATAAGATTGTTCTACTGTACACTGGTATAACCTGAACCTAAAGTTTTGACTTGGAAAGCCAAAAGATTCATTCAGCTTGAACTTGAATGACCTTTACCTATCCTGTACACCGGAGACCGGGAAAGAATCCTTCAGAAGTCAAATTAAGAACTTGAACTTAACAGCATATGTAATTGATCGATGTTGCCTGTATACAGTATTCCGCTGTTCTCAATTTTGAGTCTCATCATTCATTCAACGGGAAAGAAAGTACACGATCTACCCATCCAACCAACACTCCCAGCTCATAGTTTCGCGAGCGCTGATTTATCCATCGCTGACAGCTGGTGAAGATCTCCGGAACTCGGCTTGAAACAAACTCGCAACTAGACCCCAAAAGGAGACTGCTAGCCCCCCACATCACATGCAGGTCGGTATAAATGAACAGGCTAGCGGGAAAGGCTATGAAATGCCGACGGGTAAGAGTGGGATTGTGATTAGCCGTTTTTCTGGTCTAGTGTGGTGATTAGCACCTGCCTGATTCAAGTTTGTACCCATATGAACTGAAGTCGTGCTTTAGGTTCATTCCAAGTGATCGTGATATTCAGATGCTACTAGTAGTACATAGGCTATACCGTGGACGTAAAGAGTATACAGGATGTACATACTATGGGAGGCAAGGGCATGTGATTTGCACGGGACAGAGTATTCCGATCATGTCAATATCGATCAATAGTATTATTCGGCTTATGTGTAGATTGTTCTGTTCAAAAGTATTCGTTTGTGTACTAAGGGTTCGTCAAATCAAGTGGGGGTTCTCATGTATAGTCTCTTCGTTAGATTTGTAGTAGTACGGAGAACAGGCTCGGTAGTTGTTCAAGATACCCCAACAAACATGGATTCCCATGATACTAATAAGGGTATAAACCACGAGATGAAGTACCCGGGTACCTAATTTTACTATGTATATACTATGTACGGTGAAGTACCGGTACATCTCGGCTTGAATCCGTTGGGGCCTGGGATTAACATGTGAAGCGTGTCATGGTCCGTGACACTCTTAGTCAGTGGAACCTCCTTCACGTGAAATCCGTCTCTTGCCACTTCTGGTTCATTATTCTGCGACTCCACTTCTCTGAACTCCGATCTTGAGGGAAAGAAATAATAATGCTCCTGCCGCCGTGATGGACCTTGACTCCCATCCCGACGATCGCGCTCGTCGAGCTGCCAGTGTGCTCTCTATGGATGATCTCGAAGCCGCGCAAGCACTTGAGGGTCTTCGCTCCGGTACGTTTACTTAGCGCCGAGTTCGGACATCCATCCCACTTGATTTGATTTTTGATCTCATATTTGGGGATCGGTCTGCGAAGCCTACCTCCAGCGACAATAATCGCTTCCCCAAGACTATTATATTGAGGGATCCGCGATCCTGGCAAATTACCAGCGTCGCTCGAGTCCAAGAGATGGAAAATAAAGTAACTCGCGTATACTAATTCTTCTTGATCATCAGATTTCGGACAGTCACCTCAAGCGTCGCGACAACCCATCCAAAATACAAATACATCCCCAGGCTCTCCGCAGTCTGAACCGCTACTATCCCTCCTCACCTCATCGCATCCTCTCATCTCCTCCGCTATCAACGGTTCCGTCTCAGCCTACACAACGTCAAAGTCGTACTCGGCGCGTTTCAAGTCCGGCGCAGAATTTATCGAGCGCAATATTGGATCACCAGTCGCGAATACGGTTGGATCTGTTGGGCGCAAAACTGGCGTCGAAAGTGGTCTGCGCTGGGCGCTGCAACGACGAGAATCTTCGCGGGAATCGAAGCATAGTAGTAAGCGTCGGAAGGTGAACGCGGAGACATCCCAGGATATGGATGTTGAGAGGGGACCAGAAGAAACTGTCGACCAGGACCAGGGACCGAATCACAATCACAGCCGAAGCCAAAGTCAATCTCAGCCACGGACACGAAGCTCCTCTGACCTTTCGATGGCCGATACACTTCCACCATATGACGATATGCGGTCTCCACGGTACGAGGAGAAGCCTGGACGTCAGGCACCGCCGACATGGCAGAGTCGACTTGTTATCTCTACATCGGGATTAGGTGTGGCTATGAGTGAAGAGTCACTCCGCAGTTTGACGTACTGTTTGACCTGGCTGCGCTGGGCAAATGGCCGACTTGGCAAGTCCATAGTTGCGCTTCAGAATGCCATGACAGAATGGGAGAATCAAAAGAAGAGCCAGTCGCAGCAAAGTGATGCCGAGGGCGGAGAAAGCGCATCACTATTGACGCAGCGTATTGCGGCAGTCAAGGCGGATGTCCTTTCAACCCTGAAGCAGGTTGTTGATGTTGTCTCAAAGTACGCTGGAGGTGCATTGCCCGAAAACGCACGTCACCTGGTCCGACGACACTTGACATCTCTTCCACATCGTTTCCAGATGGCGAGTACATCACAGCCACCACCTGGTTCCGTTGAGGCTTCTACAGACGCCACAGTTGGCGCTCACCGTATCCTTGTTCTAGCCAATGAAGGTCTGGATATCCTTGGCCAGGTCAGCGGTGTAGTGAACGATACTCTTGTCAGTGCTGAGCACTGGTGCGAGCGACTTGGGCGCAAGCGCCCTGACAACAAATCTGCACAGGATCTGGAGAAACAGAACCCATCTGCCACCCCGGATGCTCAACCGTACGATATGGACATCAAGCAACCCATAATGACTGAGTCTGCTGATGCTGCCCAACACGATGTTCAGATGGCTGGAACCGAAAAGGTTTAATGGAAATTTTCCATTACAGTCTTGCGACGGGAAACATTCTCTTTTTTTTTCCTCTTTTTTTTTTTTTTCTTTACTGTTGATTTATCTATGGTTCTGTGACGGTATTTATGACTGATATCCTATAAGTGTTATTAAGCCTTTCTTTCAGCTGTGCAATTGGACAACCCTATTCAAGGACATATGGTTCTTGAGACTAATTCAATTTCCTTGGGTTCGATTCGAGCTTCATTTTGCAAAACTACTTTTCCTTTGAAAAAAAATCTGTTCCTCAAGTCTCTACTATGATTTCATTTGGTAGATCTTGAAAATATGATTAGTCCGAGAAAAAGCTACCTATCGAGCTATGATCCATAGCTTGCAGCTTCTAGCTCCAGGAACCATGACGTGGTTCCATATAAACTTTTATGACATGTGCCAAGCTTCGCTCGTTCGTGGTTCCTTCTTTCCAAATGTGGACAAGGAAAGCGACCTCAAGAGACAATAAAAACGCCAAGAGGAAAAAGAAAGAACCCGAATAATCTATTTGCCCTGATACAATGCGCAGACGCCTAGTAAAAGCCAAGCCCTAATGCAAACACTCTCAAGCGAACTGACGTTATAACCCCGACATCGTCTCACTGTTAATATAGAATGTGTCCAAAGAAGAACTGAACCCATTGAACCTAGTTGCCGTCGTACTAGTGTATGCTGGACGCACTGGCAGTTAGCACCATTCTCACACGCAGATGCAAGGAGGAATCCATACCACCCATATCATTGTACTTCAACCAATCTCCAATCCGAACCTCAGATCCAAAACTAGCCTCCTTGGCCACACAATCAACCCCATCACATGTCGGACCCCAAATAGAATATCTATACTCCTTCTTTTCCTTCAAGATCTCTCTCTTGTCCGTATTCCCATTGCCTTTCCCATTCAGTCCACTACCTCCGCTCCCCCTCACCAAAACAGGAACCATAACCTCCTTCTCCATAATAACATTCATAAAACTCCCATAAACCCCATCATTCTGATAAAGCATATCCAAAGCCCCATTCTGCGCCGCAAGACCCATCTGCCGTCTTCGGGAAATAACCCTCGACACAAGCGTGTATGCGCTTCGGGCATAAAAACGGCCCGGTTCAGCAATGGCTGTTACACCTGTGGGGAACTCTGCACGGAGAGATGATAATATGTGTGCGGATATGGATTCGAAACTGCTATCTTCGAAACCACCGCCTATATCTAGGATTGTTGGATTGAATCCTAAGAGATTTGCTTGTTTGAAAACTTCGCCGGCGTGACGGATTGCGCTGCTGAATGCTTCTGCGTTTTTGGCGCCAGTTCCTAAACACCTGTAAGCACATGAATGTATAATTAGGTATAACGTGCAAACTTGAATCTCAATCTTACCAACATGAAAACTAACTCCCTCAACCTCAAATCCCAACTCCTTCGCTCTCGCCAACAAAATACTTGTAGTATCAAGCGGAGCACCGAACTTATCCCCAAAACAAATAAGAGCACTATCGTCATTGGCGTAGATTCGAAGCAAAAGTTTAGCTTCAGGCATATGCATCTTTATCGTATCTAGTTCATCGATATTATCGAATGTTGTGCGTTGTACACGCATTTGGCTAGCGAAAACCAACGAAGCTGCTGATTTACATGGATTCGCAAAGAGGATACGTGCAGGATCAACGCCTAGATTGAGGACTGTTCGGATTTCTTCGATGGAAGCACAGTCGAAGCCTGTTCCGTGGTCTGCGAGGGACTTTATAAGTGTAGGATCTGAATTGCATTTTATCGCTAAAAATGAATTTAGCAAAGTTCAGTTCAGTCCAGTCTTCTTTGCGTTTGAAACAGCCCAAGAAGCTGGAAAATTAATACCTACCATAATAAGGTCGTATATTTGGTAAATTTTGCTTCCACCGTCTATGTTGTCTAGCGATTTGACCGAGGTCTGCAATGAAGAATGACTCGTCTCCACCCACCGCTCCACGTTTGTTTATCCGAGAAACATTGCCCTCAATTGCGAAGTCGATTAGTTCCTCCGGCGTGTGTCTGTATTCTAGAGTCGGCATGATTCTATCCCTTTGAGCGGGTTTCTCTTGTATAGGGAGTGAAACAGGGACGGGATCCTTGAGAAAGGGTAGGAAGTCCATGATTGCAGCGAAGGCGTGGTCTAGTGCAGTAGGTGAGGATATGAACGGCTTCAACTGCAAATACATGTATATGATGTATGATGGAATTAGGTTCGGGTCGGTAGGGCCGCTCGGCTGTGCTTGGGTGACTTAATCAGTGGCGAGAAGAGTAAGTGTTGGGGATAACTCCTATATGTAAGATTTTAGAAAGCGATGGCAAGAGTCTCGGCTGAGATGTCGAAATGCAGCCGTTTATTAATCCGTTGAGTCCTTTTAGGCCCCTCTAGTCTGAGCTGTACACCTAGGTACCTATAAACCGTGTTTCATGTGCAGATGGGGCGCCGGGAGCTTGGAAGAGCTCCGAAGCTGATAGGTTTGCGTGCCAAAGGCGCTGCATGGCGACGCACCTATAGGCTAGCGGAGTAACACAGAGCGAGGCTATTGTCTGAGACTAAAAGACCTGATCAATGCAAAGCTAGCTGCATGAGAAAGACAGATAATAAGTGGGTTGAGAGGGTCATTTACGTAAAATAAAGGGGAGTTCATGCGGCAAAAGCCCGCTTAGAAGGTTGAAGATGCGTTAGCTCATGTAGAGGAGTGGGTATCGAGCTGAAAAAAGATCTAATAAGATTTCAATGTGTTATGGGGCAGATTCGCGAAGCCGATACGGACAAGTTATGGCTGTAAATAGCGCACTCGTCACATATGTCCACTGATGTCAATTAACTACGCGGCCTGTGCTGAGTACATAGGTGCATAAATTCGACAATTTGTTTCCAGCGATTCCGTCACGGTTGATAAAGATGAGTGCAGAATGGTGAGATGGGGATTCTTGTTGACACGAACTTGAATGGAGCTGGGCCCGGGATGTGGGTCGATGGTCGATCTTCTTACAGATCGAGATCGACATGGCAATGTCGGTGAGGAACCAGGCTTGATCCCGCTTGGTGGCAGGAAAGTTTCGGCTCAAATGGCTGAAATTAGATCGTAGACGACTACAGAGTAAATTACAAGCACATGAATCGGATAGAGTATTGAAGGATTTCTCCCACGGTTGAACATGCACAGGACATACACAAATGCAAACTTGAATGCATTAAATAAGTACAGAAATGCTGCGGGCGTAAACCCCATTCTCACCCAACCCACAAACCAGGATCCAGATCCGCAATTCTGGTTTAAGCAGGTGCTCCTGTGATCCATACAAAGCAGCCGAAGGCCTAGATTCCGCAGCGTAGATGGTAGCTACAATTAGTTGAGGGATTGTTTTTTTGTTCGCGGTCGCCTCTGCTGGAGAACCTGTAAGCTGCAAGTGCGATATGCCGACGATCTTGCCAACCCGAGATGATGTGATGCCCGGCTCAAGATTTCAAGTTCATGTGTAACAAGAACACGGTGCCCCTGCATCGATAGATAGTGGGTCAAAAGGCGGACAGACGAAAGAGACTGCAGGTGTTTGTTTTATTGGAGGAAGATTGACCAGTTTCCTTGATTCTTCTCTTTTGGCGTGGTGGCTAGCTGATCGATCCCTCTGTTTGCTCCACTCCGAAGAACTTGGAAGAAAAAAGCTGAAGATCGTACAGATCGTACGGAGGACGAATTTACTATCGTACTTGGCACGGCAGTCGGACACAATCAGAATCCAGATAAGCAATGTTCCAAGGGTACAATATGGAATATGCAGTATAACCTGCTGTATTCCCTTAAGAAAAAAGTTCCAAGTCATAGTATCTCCTTCTCGATCTGAAAATATGATATCCACACAGTCTACCGATTAACCTGACTCAACCACCAGCCCAGCTCCACGCCAAGATTGCCCTCTTGATCGTACATCACTAGATGACCAGCCTCATCAATTAACACAACTTCTCTAGCATTCAATTTATCTCCCAATCGCCACGCGGTTTCGACTGGAATCCAACCATCATCTTTACCCCAAATAATCCGAACTGGTATCTTCCGGCCAACTTCCGGATAACGAGACTCAACCTCCTCCGTACTGCGACTATTTGCCTGGACCATCTGTCTCACAAAACCCTTTCTCCCTTCCTCGCTCACAAGCCAAGGTGCTTTCAAAACATCCATCATCTCTTTGCTCAGAGGCCGATATGACGCATCGCGAATATAAGACTCAACAACCCCCTCAAAAACAGGGCCTGTCAAAGCCTGGAAAACATCTTCATTCTCCGCAACTAACTTGAACAGCGGCTGTCCGAACGGGCCCAGAGCAACCACGTTAATCAGACACAAACTCGCGAACTGACAATCATGAAGGATATGCGCCCGTAGACTCATCAAACCACCGTGATCATGCGCAACTACATGTGCCTCTTTCGTACCCCAACTGGTTGACCAGTACTTGTAGAGTGCAGCAAATACCTCCGATTGCTGCGATAAGTCTGCGTCAAGAGCAAGTTCTTTACTAATGCTGTTTTCTTTTCCCGGGAGTGCTTGACCCAGAGGGCTATCGCCGAAACCGGGGTTATCGAAAAGATAGACTTGAAAGTAATTCGCGAGGGATTTGGCGTGGGTATGCCAGACCTTTGAAGACCATGGTGTGCCGTGGACGAAGATCAAAGGGGGCGAAGATGACTTGCCGAGAGATGTCCAGTGGATTTGATAGTTATGCGTAGCGCTCGAATACTCGAAAGTTTGGTTGAGTTGGATTGTTGATGAAGACATATTGGAAGTTGTAATATTGTCTTTGAAAAGCCAGTCTATAGGATAGAATATCTGGGATGTCTCATGTTCTACGTTATAATTATACGACTTATTGCTCGTTGTTGTAGATGTGACCAATCAACATTTCGTCAAAGCAGAAACGCGTCGGGTTAAGTCAAAGTGCGTATGCAGACCATTGGTAAGCACGAGCCAACATTTTGAAAATTGATCTGCCCCTCATTAGCCGGCTTCAGATTTAATTGCAAACGCCCTGCTACTGTGTGGAGCGCGTTGAATGAAGTCGCGATCGAATTGTTCTTCTTCCTCTTTCTCAAGCATTTGGTAAGAAAGCACCCTAGTCATGACAGCTCTTTTAAAAAATCTTAGATGTTACTAAAAACTACAAAAAAAGCATCTGAAGCCTAGTGCGTCGGGTAAGGTCAATGTGTGTGGCACATACTGCTAACGGCGGGCCGATTGACTGGTTCCGAACCAAGGTTAATGGTCAGATATGGCTTAGATATGAAGCTCAGATGGAAGAAATATGTGGTTCAATGCCATCTCATCTTATGTGGACTCCATATTAAAGTGCAAGCGACGAGAATTGCGAGGATTGCTCCATTGGGAATTCCAGATGTTTAAAGTTCTTCTTTATTTAGAAAATAGTAAAGATTCTCTGGGAAGATGTATGTGTCTTGAATCCAACGCCTTAACCAACTCGGCCACACTTGCTGGGTCTTTAATAGGCATTAGAAGCAATGCAAAGTCGATATGCGGCTATTTGAACAGTATGTTCGTCATCATGCTGTCGTAAGGAATGGGATATCACTAATCATCAAAGTCATCATCATTGAAGTTGTCGTCATCGTCGTCGTCGGCTGTGTCTGTCACAGCTATAGTCCGGGTCTGCATAATAATCATCAAGTCGTCAACCACCCAAAGCTGCATCTGGAACGCCGAAGTTCTAAGCGCCAAGCAGTGGCTGTCTCTCTGCGTCCTCATCATTCCGATTCTTGGATCCGGCACTCAGCCAAAGCATAGGTGCGGCTGTAAGTAGAGCTAAAACACCCAGCCCGAGTGTCATTACTTTCCATCCATATGCAAAGGAGATAAAGCCCCCTTGGATAGGGCCGAGTGCGCGACCCCCAAAATGCGCCACGGTTTGGAGACCAAAAGCTTGTGCGATTGCTCCACTCTTTCCAAATATCCCGGGGTTCTCTGTTTCAATATCAGAGAGTGCTCGTTGAATTTCAAGCAACAGTGCTAGTCCACAGATATCAAGACAAAGTCCAACTGCAGCCAAGAGAGCGTAAAAAATGGACTTGTGAAGTGTAGTGTTTTGCTCAATAAAATGAAGGGAAATCAAGGCAGGCGACAGAAGAGCGAAGCTGCCAAAAGCAATGGCTCTAGATCCGAAACGCTCGCACATCCACGCTACATTATTTGTTAGTTTACATGCATGATACTGTAGGCGATTGCCAGATAGTTCGACGTACCAAATAAAGGCTGGAGAAACGCGCCAAAGGCTAGTGGGATGAATATCAATCCAGTATTCAGTGTATCCCAGTGCAGTTCATGCTGCACAAAGATAGGTAGTGTCTTTGTTATGGTTAGCCTCCAGGGCTGAGATAAAATTGCATTTGAAGCATTTAGACTCACCGTGTGAAATGCAGAAATAACTAGTCCACTGACAATGACCGCCCACAGGCTTATCATAATCTTAGGCTGCCCAAGAAGCTTGAAAAAGGCCATTGAGCTGCCGGTGTCAGATCTCTGCCTCGATTGGTCTCTATTGAATATAGTCTCGCAAGAGAAATATCCAGATGTGTAATTATGGCCTTTGCAGGGACAGTATTCGGGCAAGGTGATCCAGCGTGCCGCAACCTTCTTCTCGATCACGGCGAGTCGTAAAATCAGGTCAAGAGCAATGAGCCCGAAAGCCATTCCACATATAGCATAAAATCCACCGTATTCGAATATCATGGTTCCTATCAGTGGTCCGAACATGAGGCCCAGGCTCTTGGCGGTGCCGACATAACCAAACAACTCTCCGAGGTGATGCTTATCGACTGCGTCGGTCAAAATCTCCATCCCGGCCATAGTTGTCATTGAAGTTGCAGCGCCTTGTAGCCCCTTTGCAGCGATGAAGCAGGGCATTGACTGGGCTGTTGTGAATAAAGCGATGGACCCGAAGAGGAATACAAGACCAAAGAAATAGAGGTCTTGACGACTGCCGGGAAAAGAAAGAAAAAACCCGAAGATGGGACTGAAAAAAAGTGTCGACGCGGCCTCCGATAGTAAGAGAGCACTGTTCCAATATTGGCCTAACGAGTCATGAGAATTTGCCTGAATTGGATCCACCAGGCCATTCGCACATACATTCTTCAAATGGCACCTCGCTGCGAGATACAATAACTGTCGGCAAGATAGGAACGAGCTGAAAATCACAGGAAGTTAGAATGATATGTGTTGGAACCCCGCAGGAAAAGCCATACCATCGCGTACACAAACACGTCCTAACACACATCAAGTCAGCATCCACTCTCTTGGTACTATTATTTCGAGTTCTTCAGTTGACACCCCACACTTACCACAAAAAGAGAGAGCGCAATCGTCTTCACAATGAATGACTGCGAAGACCGCTGTCGCAATAGTAATGGACGTTCATTGTTTCCGATGTAATACACGACCTCGCAGTCAGACATAGGTACCCGTGGGTAATACATGATGTCCGGGGCAGGAAGTGAAACGGTTTGGATCCTGAAACTTAAGTCGGCGAAGGCCCCGACTTTTAAACAAACGAGAACCACGCGAGCCCCAAGAATTTCATGCATAAGGTGACGACACACGGACCTAAGTGGAGCTTTTCCATATGCTTGCTTCTTCTTACCGAGCTCGTGAGGCGCTCCAGCAAGCTCACATGGCTCAAGCGCCTCGATTCAACAAGTCATGACGAAGCATTCCTATTCAAGGTCCTCGCTACAATCTGAACCTGCATTCTGCAGCATTCCGCCCTTCCAATCAGCAGCTCACGCGTGTGACCTGTGCGATCAGGCCGAGTTACAGTGTAACAACCCCACCAACATCGAATAGAGGAGCAACATCCCCTGGAAGATCGCAAGTTAGCGGTGAACCTTTATTTGATCTGTCTGGCTGCGCCACCGCAACCATGCAGTTTCATGCATAATTCAGCTACACATTAGAGCGTGGCCAAATCTCAAACATGGACTCCGTTGACCGTATTCAAGTGGGGACAGCTGTTGAGCTCGTGATAGGCGGGGGTCCGACCGTTTGCCGTTAGCCCGCAGGAATCGAGATTTCAGGATCAAAAGTGGTGGTCTAACTTCGCGTGAGTGAGGATTAATGCAGCTTCATCACACTTGCTTTTTCAACGTCCAGCTAATCGAGAAAGGATCGTCCTCGTTCAACGTGTCCTTCATGCTGCCCTACCGACAAGCCCCGGATTTATATCCTCTTCCGGAGGTTGACCCTGGTCTTGTTCCACGAGGACAAACTTTCATGGTAGGGTGAGAATGTCTTTTTTGTCTCCGGCGATAACTACGAACAGGGAATATCCCTGGCCAAAGGTGACGCTTATTAAATGCATATGAATGCACGGCGAGGTGGGCGCTGGGAATTTGGCCAGAATAAAGCCCAGCCCCCCTGTGCACTCAACCCTTTCTGAGGAAAGTTGAATACCAACTACAATGCTTCAAGATACTGTTGCGCTCGCGATCATGGGGTAGCTGTTCTGAAATGAATAGGAACTATGAGATCGTGTTGAATTGTCCGACCGATCTTCAATTGTTTCAGCATTGAGGAGATCAACACACAAACTTCCTCTTATGGAACACATCGAAATACCTCAAAAAAGGAAGGATCCGCCCGCCATCAACCCAAGGGGAAAATATGTAATTTCTTAAAACAACAACTACATTCCAGAAAATCCGTCATGTTTATCTTTTGATGCAGATGGCAAGACCAGAATGTGTCTCTTGAATATTGGCCAGATATTCATATTCTCTGAGACTCAAGTGAATCTGTTAGGTTAGCGAGGACTTTGATCCTCTTCAATTGGCTGCGGGGCCTCGATGATCAGTAACGTACCCAACATGCAGCACAACTCCCAATGTGCAGTGGAATGGCCATGAACAATCTCAAAAATGTTTGAAATTACTCCATGAAATAATTACAGTTTCATCTGTTCATTTTCTTCGCGCTAATAGGAAAGCAACTGATCCTTTTACAGATAATCTTCATCCGGTGCATATCGGAACTTTCAATGGAAAACAATGTCATCCGAACTTAAGTTATAAATCAGAACCATCTTCTAGTATAATGTTCATTCACATGTGCATATCTTCGATCGCGTCGTTAGACCGCAAACAAAATTCGCGTTGTTCCACCCATAGCGCAAAGCCATCCGAATATAAGCAAAGGGCCAAATGTACCTCCCAGGCCCTCTTCCTGATTTTTAGCCATGCTACGGTAGAATCATAGACCAAGCGGTTCTCATCTTAAGTCGAGACGCTCCTCCGCTCTGTTCGACATTCAGCCATCGGCTCTGCCGACTGGGGTCTAAAAGTTGAAGCTAGAACCGATAATGATGAAAAAGAAAGCTAGACAATATCGGATCTGCATAAACGAAAAGGGAAAAAGAAAGCAAAACCTGTGAATTAGATTCATATATTCACTTGTGCGATATGTGCAGAATCTAAAGATGCTCTAGAGAAGATAAATCCAAGGTTACCTTGGGATAAGTATATGGCCAGATGGTGTGCATGGCAGAACCTTCCAAGTGATAATGTCTCTGGTCGAAAACTTCAAGATGGCGCTCAACTTATTTGATTTTGAAGCTTTCCAGTCGCGATTCCAATGACCCTGAGCTGTTTCCATCGGAGAATTCAGCCGCACTGTCATCATCCGAGTATTCAAAATCACTGGAAGATGCAATTGGGAGAGACACCGACGGGGAACCTTTTCCTTTCTTAGAGGGAGTTGGGGCGGGTGACGAGGCTCCAATGGATTCCCTAATGGATTTCCTATGAGGACTAGAGCGACTCGCTCTGATGTTGAAAGCTCCATTCTTTTTATATGGACGCTCTTTTATGCTATCCATCCATTCACGCCATTCTTCAATTCGTGCAATGAGCTCGGCTTTGTCCACTACCAACCATTCTTTGTGTCTTTGTTCGCAGTTCGGGCAAGGTTGCTTCAGCTGACGATGACAGTCCTTGAAATCCGTGAAAATGAGCTGTTCCACGCGCTTGGCATTCCCGACCGGCTTGCAATAAATCAGCTCACATCCAGAATAACACTCTCGATGTTTTTTGAACCGATCATCTTTAGAATGGGTCTCACTAGTTCCCACTTTAAACTTGTCGGGGGAGCCGTGAAAAGAAACAACATAAATATACCCCATTTTCCCCTCCTTTTCTGTCAGTTGCTTATCCATCACGACGCTTAATGCGTCATCTCTGTCCCAAAATGCTTCATCTTTGGGATAGTCTTCGCTGCGGTCTGGCTTCGGGGTTTTAAATTCCAACGCTATTATGGGAGCAGGCCATTTGCTGTTTATGAAGTCAAACAGGGTTTTTTTGGTTGCGCGATCCTTAATCTCCTTCATCCATTGTGTCACAGTGTGTCTGGCATTTTTATCATGGGATTGACAAAGACACCTCTCACAAAATTCATGTAGAGCTTCCGAGTTTTTGAATTCACGAGAATTGCTAGCGAGGGAACGAGATATCTCCCCCAGCAACAGATGGATCGGTTCCGATTCATTGTCTTTCATTGGTATTTTGCAAGGGCTTCCCGCTTTAGTAAACATGGGGCATGCCAGATTGGGGAGTTTTCCTTCTAATAGGATCAGAAAGCTGTGGAGTGACTGGAACTGAAGGTTCGCCGAGTCCATGCTTGTGATTGAGATATTTCCCCCCTATAAATGAATAGCGAGAAATGGATTGTCGGAACAGCATACAAATTAGGAGAATCTCACTGTAAGTCGAGAGGAGAATTCGAAATTGAAAAGAATGGGGGCTTGGAGGCTTAAGTCAAGCCTGGGAGTATCTAGCCCCTCTCTCAAAAGTATTAAATGTATCCACTTCTCGAAATGAACTGGTTCATAGTGCAGCAGACAGAGTCACGCGAAGCAAGAAATTAGAGGGGGCTTATACTGATCAAGTATAGTCGACCAGTGCTACTGCGTATGAATGGATCTCATTTTAGACCCCAACTGATGTGATTGAACGTGGTCTATGTTAGTTTCATGCATGGACAGGGATCCTCAGCCGTTCCCAATCCTGCGCGTTTTGGTACGTCCAAGCCCCTGATCAATGTGTAGCAACGCATCGTCCAAAATAGCACAGGAAAGAAGCCATCGTACTTAGGTTGAGAAGATCCGAGTATTGTGAATTTGCAAGGCCCATGCTGTCCAGGCAATCTTTTATGCGGTGGCTAAGACTCCCGATACTAGTGAATTTCTACGATCGCAGGGGAGCCAACAATCGAATCCAACCCAAGATAAGACTTGGGGTAGGAAGTATAAAGGTTTATGTGTGGATTCTTTTTTCGCTGAATCTGTGACTTGGTTAATGAAATCGATAAACATTAGTGTTAATCTCAATGAGTCAAAATAGACTTCTGCTTTGGAGATAGTTGCTACTGGGGCTCGGTAAGCAAACAGATTGGACCGGAGACTGAGTAGCCTGTAACTAAGAGTATCGAGATTGGGGGGAGAGAGAGGTGATAAGGACATATCACCACCTCAGACCCCTATCTATGTACAGAAAGTAAACAGCCATAACATTCAAACCCCCTCTTAAAATTGGCCTGTATCCCGAATCCATGCAATCAAATTCACACAAATCAACCATAGGCTCTTAGTGCTGCAGATACTGTATCAACATCAGACGAATAATCCCAGCTTGAATCCAATTCTTCGGCTGCAATCAGGCGTGGATCATCTCGAACACGAATGATATACATTCAATCTCCATTTAATGGCCATTATTTCCTTGGAGAGTGGCTGAAGATCCGTGGCTACCAGATGTGCTATCAGAGGATTTTACAAGCTGATGCAAGGAACCCATAATACGTGCAAGGAATATTGGGCTGCTGGTTTAAATGAATTCGAAGCGAGAAATTCAAGCCTCTTGGGGAAAAAAGAGATCTTTACTCCATCTGACCAATCATCTACGCTGATTTTGATAAGATACTATTGGAACTTAATGAGATAATCAATGAAAGAATTCGGGCCTTGCTTTGGCGAGAAAAGGTGATCCTTAGCCCCTTAAAACATATTTGGGGTCATGTAAACGTGCGTTAGCTGATCGAGAATAGCCTGATAGTCGTAGATATTAACCGAATTCGCGTGAGCCACTTGAGGGAGAATCATCGCTTGCACCGTAGAGTCAAGATTAAAATACACGTAAAAGAACTGGGCCTTGGAGTTGCCAATAGCTTCACCATCGATGGAAAGCTTAGCTTGGATCGAGGTAATCCAGGTATCAAATTTGACAGCATTTCCAGTAAATTTTTCTGGGTCCGGAAGAGAGGTATTTGGACGGTAGAGTATCCTGGCTATCTGAGCTTGCTGAGTCTCTCTGAGAGTGTTGATCTGGCTACGAAGATCTTCAATCACGGAGTTGAATTCTGTTGAAGTAATGGCACGAAGCTGGCAAAAGCGATGGTCGTTTCGATCCATTGTGGGCAGGGTAAGAATTCTATGGCTTGGTTAGCGTTCAGCGCAAAATTCTGTATCGTAATCAACAGCTGACTCGTCAAATCATGCTGTCTCTCATACTCGACTTACAGACGCTCTTTCGGAAAGAGAGAAAAATAATGGGAAAGGGGAAGGGGAAGTTCGATAGTGGGTTGATGGGACTCAGTAACCGAATAGATTGGATCTGACCCTTAGTAGGATGTAACTAACAGTATCAAAAAACCCCTGGAGTTGGATGGGGGAGGGGAATGAGAAGAGAAAATGGAAGAGAGAGAGAGAGAGAGAGAGAGAGACTCGGAGTCTGGAGGTGGGTGCCTGGAAAGGAACGATGGAAATATCACCACAAGGCAGTCTCACAATCCTATCAATGTAGATACAGTCTGAGACACAAAAACCATAATGATAGTTTACTAGACTGCAAGATCAAGATATCAGGATACTTTTTCAATTCATAAATACTATTCAGCGCTGCAGAGAACACTTTTACGGTGTCCTGTGGCTTTTGATAATAAACAGATATTTCCCATCGGAATCATGATGAAGAGCTAGCATCTCATAGTACTATTACTGGTACGAATTGAGACTCTTCGAGGCTCTAGAGAAGTTGAACACAGGAGGTTACAGATTGTACTCCCTTTTCTGGATACTAACTCAAAACATCCCCCTTGTCACTTTCATCGAAATTCGGGTTTCCTTCCTTCGCATTCTCAGGCTGCCTCAGAATACAGCCAGTGGGTAGTACTAGTATGATAAACTTTGAAACCCCAACTTGAAGATCAGGATATAGTACATATATACTATACCTATGCTCGATCGAAGTTTTCTTTCCTAGGTAGAGCGGAGCCATTTCAGTTAGCAGTCGACAGGATGAGCTTTATCTTTACTGTTCAAATATGAAATGTGAATACGATGAATTCATCTATCACCACATGTGCACTGCCAATCATTGCAGTTGAACGAAGAATGATTAGATAACAGTTGAAACCTGGTCAAGCCGGGATACTATCATACATGTTTCCTTTGCATATACACAACAACAAGTACGCGTGATCATAGCACGAAGTATCATATAACGGCCGTTATGTTTTAGTATTCAGAAAAGACTGACTAGGTACTAGACTGACTAGGTACTAGTTTCAATACAAAAATCAAAAATTTGGCCACCGGTAAGCTGGGTGGTCCGACCCAAATAATCCTCCTCTGCCTTTCATATCACTCTCCAAATCCATCCTCGTTATCCAAGCCTGGACTTCCAGATGAAAGACCAATCATCAAACCATCAGGTCGGCAGGTAAGCGCAGTGTATCGTGGAGTTATCATTGCGATCCCATGGGTCAAACAATGCACGAGCATAGGATGGGCTTGCAGAATATTGCAGAAGTCTTAGTGCTGTGAATAGACCACTTGTCAGAATATCCGGTTAAGGGAGCTAGATGCTTCAGATAAATGAGAAAGAGCACTTACGCTACAGGAAGAGCAGGAGCAGGAGCTGCAGTTGCCGGAGCAGCAGTTGCAAGAGCAGGGAGACATGTTGATAAGGTTGGGTGGCTGAGGTCTTGAAAAAGACAAATGCTTGGAATGGTCTTGGGAAGGTTGAGAGTTCTGTGGTTGATGAAGAAAGAAGAGAGATGAGGTGTGAGGAAGGGGTATTTATATCCATTCCATCAGGCTTATCAGGCACCCATCATCCCATTAGCTGATCCCATTATAGGTACATCACCGGAGTGAGACTTGTCTCCCCAAATACCGAAAAAAGCAACCTCATCCTGATATACAAGACCCAATCCTACATTAACCTGAAATGCACCCGATGATGCGTGGAGAACGGTTGTTCAACAAATCAAATGTGCCAACACAAAGCCTGTACGTGGGGCCACGGAGGCGCCGTGTCATCAAAGCGATGTAGCCGCAGGATATTCCTAAAGTCTCGCAGCATCGTTGATTATCCGGTGGAGCCGACGGTCGTAGGCAGGGCAGGCAATCGAATGATCGGGGGGCTGGACTCCGGAGACAAAGCTGTGACAACTAGCGTTGCCACAAGTGGGTAGTCGGTGAAATTGAATCAGCGATCGTAGGATTTCCAAATATCCGAACATACTGTTGGTTCATCTTAAATGCGCTGGAAAAACTACTTGAATGGGCCAAAAAGCATTTTCGAGTTTGAGGGAGAGAGGGGGTTTTATCGAGCCCTCCATCAAGTACCTTGATGGCCAACTTCACCCTGATCTGCAAGAAATGAGAACCCTGAGGGCAAAGTGAACCAACACATTTATGAAGCATACCCGGGATATTACGGAAAAGAGGTATCCCGTATTGGAAGGTGATACGTGTTTTGAACTCAATGTCTGTCTTTTCCTACTTTCGTTAGCGTAGGAATGCGTACTCTCTTATTACTCTCGCGAACTGCGGCTATAGGGTCTCGAATCCGAGAATAGGCACTTACTAAACAGCCTGGGTTCATGAGAAGGAAGAAAACCTTGGCAGATTGGGCGTGAACGGACCCATTCCCATGAGAGCAGAGTTTGATCCCAATTCCAGGCGGACTTGTATCTTGTAACCGAGACCCTAATGGCAAGGCGACCCTCCTTGTAATGAATTTCTTTTTAACATATAATCAGTTCATGTTGAATTAGAAGATTTTCTTCGAGAAATATCGAAATTTCATGTGTCTGAGCTGCAATTTACGTTTCGAGGGTTCCCATTATTCTAATCCATAATCTTTTGCTTGTCACAAAGCAACCTTTCCATTTCCGTGGATCGTAATATGGTGGCTGCAAGTTTGTCGAACACCGTTCCTATAAAACCAGGAGCTAAGAATAATATAAAAGGGATTATTTCAAACAATATCGCAGCTAAATTGCAAAAGCTTTGGAATGAATACTGGTCTATAGGCCTTTTTATTAAAGGCCTAGTGCGTTTTCCCAGTCAAGAATGGCCCCTGCTAGGCTTACGATAATTAATGGATCGTCACGACAGGCAATTTACCACACATTGAAGCTTTCATGTGTTTAAAAACAGGATGGGAAATGATCTGCCTTTCATTAAAAGAATATACCGTTTAAGATGAATACTATAGACCATTGGATAGTATGCCCGATTCACCCCAAGCTTTAAATGATGCCGCATTTTGCTTAACTGATTGAACGTGAATGTTTGAATAGCATTGTGAAACATATCTGAGGGCCAATATTATAAAGAATCATGGTATTATAAACTATATACAGATCATGTAGTATCAGGATAGTTGCCATCGCATATCCATATTGAAGAAGTAACTTGAACAAGAGATTGGGGAAATGCAACATTGTTACTGACCTTGAACTCCTGGATGGTCGCCCGGCTATTGTTCTTGTGTTAAATGTTGAATAGAAACACCATATTTACTTGTATTATAAGCGTTATCAAGGCAATTATTGACTTGCTAAACCTGCTAAACCTTCGACCCAATTCTCATTACCAGGAATCTTATTATGCGGCCTCTTATTGGATGTATCGATTCGAACAGCCCCGCACAGCCACTCCTATCAGAGCTCCATCTTTTCTGATGCATAAGATCAATCATAGAGCAGCATACTTGTGACTGGTAAAAAGTCAAACGGCATGAACAAGTAGTCTGCCATGGGAAGCACAGCGTTTGGCCTTTTATGCAGCCCTGTAGATTGTCCCAGCTCCTTTTGACGCCATGATTCTGGGTTTCCCCGTTTCCAATTTGAGTTCGAAGCTGTGGTGTTTGATCAACGAGACTAGCTTGTTAGACGAGACAAGTCAGTCGGTACATTCATGTGATCTCTTTCGGTTTGAAGCAATTGGTGTAATGTGCTTGTGATATGAATGTAGTTCTATTGATAATGATACTTCAAGTCAAGGGCATACCATCTATGCCGTGGACGTCCATGAAAATAATAATACTCACCCTTCTTTCTCGATGCGCCATAAAATGATATTAGATAGTATATGTCCATTGAAATTCCACGAGCCCGCCAAGGTTGAATACCGAAAGGAATGTTGAAAAAAATAAATATCCGAAAAGAAAAACGACCCAGTCAGCGACGAACGATCGTCTTATCTGGCTCGGGAGTTGCGAGACTGAAATTTACCAATTCGGTTTGCCGCACCACGCCGAGCCGTTGAAGGTCGTGTGATCCTGTTAGCAAGAGAATCAGCAGTCTTTCGAGGCCGTCTGCGGCCACGATCCTGTCTCAATGTGCGCCGAATGATCTTGATCTCCTCTTCTGTTCTGCCTTCCATCCTCCAGCAGCCTTCCTGGTGATGTCCAAGCATGTTGCAATGTCCACAAAATGGCCTATTTCCCCACTTCTTAGTTACTTGAGATGTAGGTTCATCCTCGGCGAAGGAATCCTCATAGTCTTGAGTCTCAGCCATCAATTCATCCAAATCCAAGGGATGCAGCTCATTGATCGCGGATTTCTCCTCCACCATGTAATGTCTGAATCCCTCCCAGTCCGGGCCAAGGCCTTCCAGAAAAAGTGTATTGACCACCACCGGGGACACTGTATACGGGCGGGCTAATTCCATCTCGAGATGTATGGCGCTGAACTTGGCGGCATAATCACTGACACACGGGAAATTCGCGAGCCGAAGACGAGAAAGCGTTTTGAGGAGTTGAGAGAAGTCCGGACCAGACTTCGGCTGGTAGTTTGTTCGCAGGAATTCGTACATCGCATCAATGCTTATATTCTCGGGAATATTGACGAGTATTGCCCTGTCCACTGTCATGCCGAGCAGGGCGCTGAGACTCTTATCCAGTCGCTGCCAATTCTTGTAGGTTTGAGCAAGTGGCGGGTTCAAGGCGAGAAGCGGTTGCTCAGACCCGGTAACGAGATCCCACACTCCTTGGCTGTGGAATTCATTATGAATTGAGTCGTGCCATTGTTCGTAGTTCTCGGTTCCTTGAAGCTTGATTATATCGGTGAATTTGGAGATATCGAGAGGAACATCGTATCGATCGGCTCGAGTAGGCGGCGCGGTCAGAATTCCGCAGTCTTCCATGACTGTTTGGAACGCTAAATTCGGCTCCATTTGGAAGGATGGCTGGGTCTTCGTTGAATGTGAAATGAGGAGTACAGTATGTGGAGCAATCGATTATCGGGCGCGTGTGCGGGGAAACACGCGTTAGGGCTGGTTCGCGTGGCTGAATGCGGCTGCCCCACTGATACAGCGGCCACCATAGCTACATGATCAGCTTTATTAATGGGAAGAACCAGGGCCGTGAAACAAGCTGCTAATAGAAAATATGTCTTCAGATAATTATACCTAATAGCAATATTTGAAGTTGATATATCGAAAATCAAGAACGAATAAACTGTTTGTACGTAAAAGAAAGATCTACATACTGCACGATTCCTGGATATTGGCTCACAAATCAAAATCAAGTAATTCCTATTTAGGCGATCTTGTCGTAGCCAAATGCCAAGTAAGAACTCGGAAATAAGGAAAAAAGGAAAAAAGGGAAAAAAGGGAAAAAAGGGAAAAAAAATTGCTATAAAGTTCTTGAGATTTCAACTTTAATATCTACAACACCCGTTGATGTGGAGCTGTCTGTCATCCATCCATTAAAATGACGGGTTGGCATTCTCAAGTAATTGTTCAAAGTAAGCCTGCAAATAGTTAGTAAGACATGATTATACAGGGCCAAAGGTATGTAAGTACTAACTTGGAACCATGTACCAGCTTCTGGAGCAGGCTGTAAAGCATCACTATATCCGCAATGCGCATCATATCGCGTCGAGGAAGAATCTGATGTGCCATCGCACTCTCCACCGGGCTTGACCCAAACAAAGGCATCCTGAAGGGTATTTCCAGTATCAGTTGTGGGACGAACACCAAATCCAGTGCCAATAACGTTGCACCAGTCACCCCAGGCGTTTTGCTTCGTTGGCTGGACACCATTACGACCTAGTTATGGGTTAGCGAACCCATATTTCAATCATTTACACGCAAGTAGTAGCAGGTAGAGAAATGCGAGTTCTTCATACTAGTATCCATAATAAAGTGTGCAGGGAATCCTGCAGCGCTGAGTAAAGGCGAAATGGCGTTGACGTAAAGACTTTCGTCACAGTTGGAGTCCCCTGATGTGTATGATGGGCAAGTTCCAATCGTCCAGGCATTGTAGTTCGCGACGTTAGTAGCCAGACCACGTACAGCAGCAGGGGATGACGCGTTTTTATACACATTGGCGAAGAGGGTGGCAGCTGGGCCGATATTAGCAGACCAGCCTAACCAGCCGGCGTGTCCTGCGAAGATTATCTCAGTGAATGCCCATTATAAAGAAACTTAATGGGATTCATTCAAGTTTCACATACCGGCATCAATATACATTGCCACGTTTGGCAGATTGAGCTGGATCAACGCGTAATTCACGCACTCCAAGTAAGCGGCCTCTGCATTGGCGCATTTAGCTACATTCAGGTTAGTGACAAGATTGGCGAGACTATCAGGTTCTACTTTCAGTTAGCAACTTCGAGGCACTCATTTTTGCGGGGATATAAGTAGCTCTAACCGATGACCAAAATCGTCTGCACATTGGAATATTTGACAATTTGAGCCCTAATGGAGTCGATGTACGCCTTATAGTTCGCGACTCCATTATCGGCAATAGAATACTCTCCATTACTGGCAAGAGCGGCACAGTCGCGATCTGGTAGGTCATAAACAACAAAAATACCCGCAATCGGTGGGCTAGCGCCAGCCGCATTCTGGGATTGAATATCCGCAAGATAGGTTCCCATGGTCGGAACCTTAGCAGCAGTATCACTATAGAAAAGATTAGTGTGAGCATGTCTTGGAAGGAGGAATTTGACCTACAGCCAAACGAATGATGGAACTTTAGCGACTGAGCTTGCCTTTACAGCCAAAGAGCTTGTGAGGGACGGAATCGCGGACGTAAAGATCTCGGAAGAGTAGTAGGGATTCGCATAGAGCTGATAGCCACTGAATGGATTACCACTGTTTGTGACAGTAGCGGCCGTAGTAGTTGAGGTCGCCGTTGTTGTAGTCTTCAATGTTGTGCTCGTGGTTGAGCTTGTAGTCGTGCTTTTGACGCCTGTCGTCGTACTTGTGCTAGTGGTTGTCGCAGTCGTCGTGGCAGTTGCGGAGACACATTGTGCATAGTCTGTGTATGCTATCAGTGCCTCAAAACTCATGACAAGAAGAAAAAGTACAAGTACATACATGCATTCAGGGTACTACAAGTTGCTTGCGCTGTACAGACAGTTGACCCTGTCCATCCACTACCTCCACCTAAATGAGTGATTAGTAGGTCAATTGCGTGTCATTGATCAACACGAATCCTTACATTGGCCGTAGAGAGACTGATCAGCATTTGCGACATGCTGAAGCAAATAAAGAGCTAATCCGAGCATTCGATACATTGCTGTCGATATTTTTTGATTCCTTGATATTCCACGAAGTAAAGAGGCTTGAATTTAGAATAATACAGCAATTAATCGTTCAATATATACACTTGATGGTTAAATACAATCATAATATAGCCAGCCTTTGCGGTTCTCGACATCAAGGCTATAATGGCCACGGAACCATATCTCAAAATGGCGCGGAATGTGGAGAGTCTGCAGGCTAACCTCTTTAGGACAGTCTGGTCTGAAGAATGTCTATCTGTATCACTTGATCATCTCTCGACACTACGAAGCCGTACCTAAATTGAACTATGTAAACTTGAATTTGGTCTGCCAAGGCTTCGAGCTGAAATTTGTTACATGACAAAAGTCATCACAGGCAACCAAGAAACGGAAAAGGCGCACCTGATAATAGGCGGGATATGCTCCGTTGGCCATAGCGGAGTTTCCTCTTAGCAACTGTTAGCCGTGGTCAAACGTAGCAACGTGCTTTGAAAAAAGCCGTCATTTTCTATTTTAGTCACGGACAACTTGCCTATCCCCGCAGTTCTTAGTTTCAGAATTCTCTATAACCGGCGTGGGGTAGCCCTTATGCACTATGGGGAAATTAGAACCGGCAATCTTGGAGTGTAAGCAGGGACCTGCAGGTACTTAGCCGAATTCAAATTTAGGGTAACATTTCACAGAATATATGCAGGGTGGAAGGTCAACATAGCCTATTAATTCCGGGGTTGCAAGCCCCGTGTACTGGCTTGCTGATGTCGCCTTGAGAGACTACCTACAATCTGGCCTAAAATGAATAGTAATGCTTGCATGAGCATGAGTAAAGAGATCCACTAAGAGCACCAGTCAACTCCTGATTGCTTTGTCACATATCTCAATTATGGACAGTAGGAGTGCGGTGTTAAGTCTTGAGCCCGCCTGCAGATCTTCTTAATTTCGAACTGTGCTTAAAGTGACGAAAAAGTTATTAAGTGGTCGTTGAAACCTATAGTTGCATGCCCAGGTGCAGGTCAATACTGTAATGATGACATACTACTAGGCATTATTGAATTAGGTTTTATCTATGATAGCACTTGGCTATTTTCATATGCAGGTTCTTTGAAACAGGCTTGACAATTTTTTCATCATCGTAATGGAGTTCATCTATGCCGTGATGTGATAATTGCAAGTATCGCAAAATGAGAAGAAGCTGAAATTTGGAGAGTGAAGTTAAATACCACATATTACTATGCCATTGAAACTTTCCAAACCAAATCATAACCAAATTTGAAATTCTCCAAACTCAACCCGTTCCCTTGTCTATGCATTTCAGCGGTTCCTCTCCAGCCATAAGAACCTCCCCACTACCGCCACACACATGGAGTGAAAGCGTAAAGTAGATAGATACCCTGGAGTTGAATAGAAAATAGAAGTGTGTCAAGCTACTTCTGTTTCGAATTTCCATTTGACGCCGATTTGAATTGACTGAAATTCAATGCATCCTTGTTGGACTTTGGCTTACCTGCACTCGAATTTGATGTTTCTTTCTTGAGTGCGATGTGACTCGAACTCAATGCATCCTCATTGGACCTCAGATTTTCTCTATTGGACTTCAACTCTTTCTTTCGTTTCCATTCGGCTACTTTTTTCCACGCGCGAGTGTACTTTTTTTCATCCCACTTCTTATTACCATAGACACGGATTGATATCATTCTATTTCCATTTTTGTTGAGGTATACGACGGTTACCTTTTCCCTCTGGTCTGCCGTCTTGTCCTTGGAGATATGAGGCTTCGTTCCCCTTGTTAAAATCAAACATTGGCAATGAACGAACGCATCAATGAATAGACCAAATCTCGGGTGTGGATACTTACTGTAGGCCTACTTAATCAAACGACTCTATGGTGAGATTTTAGTTCATCGCAATTTGGTTGTCATATATAGGAGAAGCTCACCTTCTTCTCAATAGCGGCGTTGGCAATTTCCAAGGTTTTGGCAAACTTGCTCGCATTTGCCCTTTAGGCCTCGATTGTTATGCCCACATGAGTTATTACAAGGTGTCTAGTTGGGCGGAAGATCGTTAGTATTTGATGTGGATAGCTGCAGTGTGTAGCGTTGATCTCTATAGAAAGATTGGAGATTTTTTCTTGAAGATTGATTCAGATGACAGTGCTTTTTATAGTAAGGGAAGACGTGAAGCCCATTGAGAAGCATGGTCATATATAAGTATCATCAGTTCCTCACTTTGTCGCCCGGCATATTTAAACTACATCTCCAATTCCTCTGTGGGATTTGCAGGACACATATTTGATTCGGCCGTCTAAACTACCCAAGTGGGCTCCAGTTTATAGTTAAGGTGTACTTGCATTGTAGAAGTAATCATTCAAGGCTGACTTTCATTCAATGATGGTAGATAATATGTTCATCAAAGTCCAGCCTGATTCCTGACGTTCCTTGTTTGATGAGTTGAGATTTTCACAAAGACCTCGGTTCTATTAACATGCCACTGCCTGCCGATAGATTTAGAAGATGGTGGTCAGATTTACGAGAGGCTTTTCTTCTTGGAATTTAGATCATGCAGTTTGACCTTTTGAAAAAACCATTCCGTGTTCTGCACTAAGAACGGATCGGAAGCAAGCTCTTGGGCAGTGGGCGGTTCATCGGGCTCCCAGCGTAAAATACGCTCCATGAAACGTATGAGGTGATGTGCGTTTTCAACGGGATACGGATCTGTGTCCCACTATTGTTGCGGTATGGGCACTGAGCCTTTCCAGTTCCCTGCATTCTCGTTAGATTGGTGTCAATATTGTAATTAAAGACATTTACCTTTTTAATCAAACCAATTCTCCTGTTCCCATTTGTAGGTGGATTTTAGAAAGCTAAGAGGAGAAGGGCCCATGTGAGATATCATCTCCGCCAAGTGCTGTTCGTCAAGGTCCAAATTCTCATCAGCGTCGGCGAGAAAGGAATTTCTGCCGGTCGCAAATTTCCAGACCTGAACTCCTCAGAGCATATATAGGGATAATATGAAAACAGTCACTGACCATCATTCCAATTACCCATATGTCAACCTTATTACCCGAGCCCATATCACAGATCACCTCTGGTGGTCGAGCATAGTAGTCCATAATCTCGTCCATGACATAGTCAATATCGATTATTCTCGAATGAAAAAACTGACAAAGAGCCTGACCCCCCCGGTCAATAGACATTTTTCAAGAGCAATAAATCTGTCGATCATCCAATACTCTCCTCGCAATCGGACTCGTCAATTCGGCTTCTTCCATTTCGCAGAGACTTGAATCGTCATTCCCGGTTTGTAGTAGGTTGTTCGGTGATATGTCCAAGAGTTTGTTAGCCAGCCTTGCGCCAACTTCGATTGAATAGTACTCACTGGCATGCACTACTTCATGGTCATGTAGAAAGGCCAACGATCGCAAAACGGGCCGGAGGATGTATGAAATCAAACTGGGTGGCATCTTGTTGTCGGGAAATGACTCTTAGATTTCAGTAAAAGTCGCACCAAAAGGTCAAAAGACTAAACAGGTGTGATTTCCGCTGGGGCCAAGGATTTTGAATGACTCCTCAGCAAGGTCAAGCGAGCTCAGGTAGTTCTCATGCGGGTGAGAATGGCCAATCCGCCTCTGGATGCCTTGGAGGTGCTGGGCAACTTCAACCTCTTCAGTAAAGTCCCAACAAACGTCCTCGGTAAGAACAAAGACTTTCAAAACTTTGAAGCCATGTCTACTTGAGATGGTTACAATATTGATCGAAAACGTTTTTGCTGATCGGAAGTACTCACATGAGATCCCGACAAAGCCAAGTGGTAGAGGTCTCCGAATAACCAAGTTTAGAAACAACTTGGTATTTGGATTTGAAGATTTCACCAAGGCACACCGGATAATAGTTCATTGCCTCATATTCATCAAGCTGTTCTTCTTCAATCTCCTCATTTGGGTCAAGAGTAACGAAACCTGACGTGGGCAACTGTCGCAGAGGAAGAAGGGAATGTGGCGTGGTGACTCTTGACAGGGGACTATAGTATCTCGGGGATAGTCCAGTGCTGAAGGGTCTGAGATAGGGAGTAATTTTTGCAAGTCTCGGGGTCAATTCAGTGCTGGAGCACCTGAAATAGGAGGCAGCCTTTACAAATCTTGAAACAAGCGCTCGCATGTTGGGCAATCAACACTATCTTGAATCCTACGCCTAGGACAGAATAGTGCTCAATACTCTTCGTCTGTTTTTGGGGGCTGAGAAAAGCAAGAAAAACAGTTAAGTGAAGGGTATCGATGGACTTCCTGTGCTAGTTGTAGTTGGTTGCTTTCGCAAGATGACAAGACAAGAAGACAAGAAGACAAGAAGACAAGAAGACAAGAAGACAAGAAGACAAGAAGACAAGAAGACAAGAAGACAAGAAGACAAGAAGACAAGAAGACAAGAAGACAAGAAGACAAGAAGACAAGAAGACAAGAAGACAAGAAGACAAGAAGACAAGAAGACAAGAAGACAAGAAGAATTGTGTGTAACGTTTGAGATGGTTCAAGAGGATAACACAGGAAGAGAAGAAGGGTATTGGGAAGCGTTTGAGTTATTTTTTTAAACAGGTTGTATATTGACATCGCGTCAGTGTCGCGTCGGTGAAGTGAATGCACGGTAGCAGCCTGCTAGGCGAATGTGATTCTCCGGTCTCCATTTGGGTGTATATTGCCACCTGTGTATAAAATAATGGCCAGAAATAGAAGCGGAGTATCTCCATCCCCGGGCTCAAACATAGCAGCTCAAACAATGCAGTTTGTTCAATCCTCTGCTAGTTAAGGTTTCTAGCCAGCTTTTCATTGATAGGCTCATTCTGATTATCGTCTGCCTTGCTGTTTTCCAAATGTGTTCAGAGTTGTGATGTTCATCTACCAGGCATTGATAAGAAAGATCTTTGTGTCTATCAATCTTCAAAGGAAGTATCTGCTGAGAGACCAAAATTCTTGATTTGTAAATAAATCCCGTCGGGGTTTCCCTGGGCAAGACAGGGAGGGAATGAGTTCCAAGCCCGGAACCCTTCTAAGAAGATATCCCGTTAGCTTTTGTAGCTTTAGTATACAATGTGCCTGAAAATCCCACTGGGCTTTCTTGCTTGTATAGTTCAATCAGCTGCCTTAATTAGTGGCCTTAGTGGGCTGAAAAATGGACATATTAGGAAGAGATGGCATCAGGAGATCTCCTATACGATCTCTCCTGATGGGCCTTTGTGCCCTGGCTCCATAAAAGAACCAAGTCTTTGGCATGGAATTTCTTCCTCTTCATGCTCTCGATCCATAGAGGTTTAGCAGGTGGCTGGCTTCACGCTCACTTGGAACATCATAATTATCGAGTAATATAAAATGTAGAGCTACTAAAACAATGAGATTTTTAGAATTTCAAGGCCCAAAACCTTGGAACCCACCTCGGGCCTAAAGTGAGCATTTTCCATCTGACCAGATATAGATCGAAGTAGAAAAGGCCTCGGGACTCTTAAGGTTTAGGGGCGAGAAAAAGCTTGATCGTTAATTTGACACCAATCAACGGATGATTTGCGGGGGGAGAGGGGCCTTAAATTTCCTTTTGATATATAGTTCCTAAAATCAACATCTGGTTAATGAAATGTGTTCCTGATCGCTTTCTACACTGACAAGAAATCGCCCTGATACTAATTTCCCCCTACCCCTATTTCTGTCGGCGATGGAGTCGGCAATTCCGATAAACATCATTTCCCGAAGCTCCAATCAGGGAAAATCCAACCAGTCAAAGCGGGCCAGCTGGCCGCTGCATAACTTCTAAGGTTCCTCGTCAGCCAAACGTCTATGCAGACGACTGAAAAGCAGTCCAGAATAAAATAATACACGTGGATAAGCCAAAAGTTCGAGGAGACAACAGACCAATTACACTCAGCTATCTGGACTGCGTACTTCGCAAATGGTGGGGTGCAGTCATGGTCAATCGCCACGACAGCATCAACCCCACATATGCAAGCCCCACAGAACACACTTTTTCTTTTCTTTCTTTTCTTTCTTTTCTTCCAGGGCTGTAGACTCCGCTCGGAATAAAAGTTTCGGAGTTCGGAGTCGGAGGGAAAACATGGTGAGGCACCATATTTTCAAGTGATTTGACTTTCCACGCCCTGTGACAAGTTAGTATGAATCATAGTGAATCACACAGTCGGACACCCAATACAGTTAATCAACGCCACGAATTCTTTACCCTGTTCAACATGGCATTTGCGGAAAGTGCCGCCATTCCGCCTCTGCGCCATCTGATCCCCCACTTTTCCTATTAGTGCCTGGCGTCCATCCGGGGTTTCACCGGGACTCAAGACCATCTCTAGCCTATAAGAAACAAGATTCTTTTTTAAGATGACTCAACTCGGCTGCTAACGTAATTCCCGGTCGGGCTGTACACCCGGCCGAGCTGTACACCCCATCAAAAATCACATCTTCCTACCAATATACCAACTTTAACCAGCCACTATGCCACCAATTCGCGCCCAATCGTCTCGAAATTCTGCCGGAAAAGAGGGTAGGATCTTATTAGCCGTTAAAGATATCAAAGATGGCCGTATCAACTCTCTCCGCGCAGCAGCAAAGCTATACGATATCCCCCATACAACGCTGGCTACGCGCGTCAATGGTGTACAATCACGCGTCGATATACGTCCAAATGGCCATAAACTGACACAATTAGAAGAGGATTCACTTGTTGAATGGATAATCTCTATGGATACGCGTGGAGCAGCGCCTAGGCCAGCTACTGTACGAGAGATGGCTAATATACTACTAGCTGCGCGTGGTAGCTACCCTCCACCAACAGTTGGTAAAAATTGGCCATCAAGCTTCATAAATCGACGCGAAGAGATTCGATCACGCTTCTCTAGGCGTTACGACTATCAACGCGCATTAAACGAAGATCCTAAATCGCTACGAGAGTGGTTTGCGACCGTACAACGTGCTATTGACGATAACGGTATCCAAATGGAGGATATCTACAACTTCGATGAGACAGGGTTTGCAATGGGTCTTATTTCAACACAGAAAGTGGTTACGCGGGCTGGATACTACGGTCGGAGAGCTATATTACAACCAGGAAACCGCGAATGGGTTACTGCTATTGAAACTATTTGTGCAGATGGCTATTCGCTACCGCCATGTATAGTTTTTAAAGGCCAAGTTGCTATGGCTGGTTGGTTTGATAATCTACCAAAAGACTGGCGATTTGAGGTCTCAAATAATGGCTGGACTACCGATGAAATTGGCCTACGTTGGCTACAGAAACTATTCATCCCATGTACAAATTCGCGCGTACATGGCCGGTTTCGGCTATTGATTCTTGATGGCCATGGTAGCCATCTTACGGCTAAATTTGACCAAATCTGCGCAGAAAACAATATTATACCACTTTGTATGCCTGCGCATTCTTCGCATTTATTACAACCGCTTGATGTTGGATGTTTCGCAGTGCTTAAACGCGCATACGGTCGCTTTATAAGTGATCTTGCGCGTGTAGGCTATAACCACATTGATAAGTTTGATTTTCTGGATGACTACCAACGCGCAAGACTGGAAGTGTTCAAAAAGCCAATTATTATTCAAAATAGCTTTATAGCTGCTGGCCTAGTGCCTATTGATCCAGAAAGAGTGCTTTCGAAGCTTAATATCTCTCTACGAACACCAACACCCCCAGGAAGCCGACCAAGCAGCAGATCTAGCCAATTTACACCAAAAACGCCGAGAACTGTCATTCAACTACAAAAACAAGCTTCTATGATGAAAGATCTATTAAAACAACGGTCAAATAGCCCACCAAGCCCATCGAAGACTATGTTAGATCAAATTATCAAAGGTCACTATATATCGCTACACAACACAGCGTTACTCGCACAGGAAAACGCAAATTTACGTACAGCCAATGAGAAAAAACGCCAAAAACGCAATCGATCAAATAGGCAGATACCCTGTGATACTGGCCTAACGGTCGAAGAGGGCCTACAACTAGCTACGCAGCTAAATTTACTAGATGAAGCTACTCCGGTGGATTCGAATACACAGGGCAAAACGCCTATTCAGCCAGGTCAGCCAGCCAAAAGGGCTCCGCCTCGGTGTAGTGGATGTGGGAATATTGGCCATAAGATCAATCGATGTATAAATCGCGTTATTTAGCTAAATTAATATATGTTGGCCAATATATATCGATTTAAATTTTTCTAATGGGTTGGGGTGTACAGCTCGGCCGGGTGTACAGCCCGACCGGGAATTACGTTAGTTATCTTTTTCCAAGCCAAAGGGGTAAATTAATAATAATAATGAAAATTCCCATATCCAGTAAAATGTACACTAGGATCACCGCTACTTCCCCGCCTAGCAGGTTGCAACAGAATCTGCCACTAATGGACTTTGAATCCTGGTTCAAGTGGAGCAGGGTGGACAATCAAACGCGAGCTACGATACCTAAACGGAATTAGAGGTAAGTCCGTTGAGATTTCTAATCTTGGTTGGCACGCTAGGTGGATTTTTTTCTTTGGCCTCGGCCTGGCTTCTCCATTTGTTTTTTTTTCTTTCTTCCTTTGATAGAATTTTGGTTGATTGTCAACTTCGCTCAACCTCTCTACTTTTTCACTGCTCCTGTCTTGTAGGCTTTTATGTCCTATCAAGCAAGTGCCCTATTTTTCAGGAGCGGGACCTAAAAGTTTTTCTGTTTACTGGAGTACAAAGGAATCTAGAACATATTTGTACTATCCTCCAGTGTCAGCCATTCGGTAATTACCGAACATCGACACCATGGACAAGAAAATCATCCCAACCGAAGGGAGTGTCCACTCTGTCGACTCGCTTAGCTATGAGAAGGGTCGAGAGGAGATTCGCATCGCCAATCCTCAGGGTATCACGTCGGCAGAGACGAGCGTCAATGTCGAAAGGGCCGAGCAAGACTTTTCCGACTTAAACAGAGAGTTCTCCCACATCTCTCACCAAGCCCGTTATCTCTCAAAGCAAGAGTCAAAGCCCACGGTTACTCTTCAAGATCTTGAAAAAGCGAGAACTTCACACGACTCCGATGATACATGGGACCTAGAAACCACGCTTCGTGGCAACCGGGCCGCAGAAGAAGAGGCTGGTATCAAAGACAAACATATAGGTAAACCACACAAATCCCCGTGCTTAAAATTTAAGATTTCTAACGTGCTCGTGAAGGTGTGATCTGGGATAATCTCTCCGTGCGAGGAATCGGCGGCGTGAAGACGTTCATCAAGACATTCCCGGACGCAATTGTTGACTTTTTCAATGTCCCGCAGACAATCATGGATATCTTTGGGTGGGGAAAGGGAGGCAAAGAATATAATATTCTGGAAGGATTCCGTGGTTTGACTCGACCTGGAGAAATGGTTCTCGTTCTAGGACGACCTGGCTCAGGATGTACATCCTTTCTCAAGGTTATTTCTAACCAGCGTGCTGGCTATACCGGCATCGATGGCGAAGTCCTGTATGGACCGTTTCAATCTGAAGAGTTTGCCAAACGATTCCGTGGCGAGGCCGTTTACAACCAGGAAGATGATGTCCACCACCCAACACTGACCGTCGCCCAGACTTTGGGATTTGCCTTGGACACCAAAACTCCAGGCAAACGTCCGTTTGGGGTGGGGAAAGCAGAATTTAAGGAAAAAGTTACCAAAATGCTCCTTAAAATGTTTAATATTGAACACACAGCCAATACAGTGATTGGAAATCAGTTCATTCGTGGAGTCAGCGGTGGTGAACGTAGGCGAGTGAGTATCGCGGAGATGATGATCACAAGTGCTACTGTCTTAGCTTGGGATAATAGTACCCGTGGTCTTGATGCTTCGACTGCTTTGGACTTTGCCAAGTCACTCCGGATTTTGACCAACATCTACAAGGCAACCACCTTCGTATCTCTTTACCAAGCTTCCGAATCGATTTACAGCCAATTTGACAAAGTTCTCGTCATTGACAGTGGACGCTCCGTGTTCTTCGGTCCAGCCAACGAAGCCCGGGCTTATTTCGAGGATCTTGGCTTCCGATCAAAGCCTCGTCAGACTACCCCCGACTACTTAACTGGATGTACCGATCCTTTTGAGAGAGAATTCCAAGATGGAAGAAGTGCCGACGATGTCCCATCCACACCCGAAAATCTCGCGAACGCATTCAACAACTCCATCTATAGCCAGCAACTTGACCAAGAAATGGAAGCATATCGTGCACAAGTTCAACATCAGAAGGAAGTTTTTGATGACTTCGAACTGGCCAACCAAGAGGCGAAACGAAAGCTTACCCCCAAGACATCCGTTTACTCGATCCCTCTACACCTCCAAATCTGGGCTTTGATTCAACGGCAATTCTTGATCAAATGGCAGGATAAATTCGCTCTAACAGTCTCATGGGTTACTTCGACTGGAATTGCAATTATTCTTGGTACAGTATGGCTGAACCAACCAGACACCAGCGCTGGAGCATTCACTAGGGGTGGTCTTCTCTTTATTAGTATGCTGTTCAACGGATTCCAAGCATTTGCGGAACTCGCATCTACCATGATGGGACGTGCGATTGTCAATAAACATCGCTCCTTCACATTTTACCGACCGAGTGCTCTATTCCTGGCGCAAATTTTCGTCGATACAACATTCGCAATTTTCCGAATTCTGATCTTCAGCATTATCGTCTACTTCATGTGTGGACTAGCTCTCGATGCTGGTGCATTCTTCATCTTCGTCCTTTTCGTTCTCACAGGTTATATTTGCATGACCGTTTTCTTCAGAACTATTGGATGTGTTAGCCCGGATTTCGACTATGCGATGAAGTTTGCTGCTGTTTTGATCACTCTTTTCGTGTTGACGTCGGGCTACCTTATACAATGGGCCAACAATCAGGTCTGGCTGAGATGGATCTTCTATATCAACCCGTTTGGGCTTGGATTTTCTTCTTTAATGATTAATGAGTTTAGTCGATTGACGATGACCTGTACTTCAGACTCGCTTGTACCAAATGGTCTCGGCTATGACGATATTGCCCATCAGGCATGTACTCTTGCCGGTGGAGAGCCTGGATCTGCCATCATTCCTGGGTCAAGCTACCTTTCCACAACTTTCTCGTACTACAAGTCCGATATGTGGAGAAACTTCGGAATCATGTTAGGTAAATTTTTCTCCTCTTGTTCGACCATTATATTTCTTTTCATATGACTAACGCACTAAATGCAGCCCTAATTGTCGGTTTCCTTGCTAGCAACTTGTACTTCGGAGAAACAATGCAATTTGATGCCGGCGGCAAGACAGTGACTTTCTTCCAGAAGGAAAACAAAGAAAGGAAGGAACTGAATGAGGCATTAGCCAAGAAAAAGGCCAATCGCCAAACCAAGACAGCTGATGCTGGCTCAACCCTCGAAATCAGCTCGAAGTCCATTTTCACTTGGGAGGATGTTTCATACGAAGTACCAGTGGCAGGTGGAACCCGACAACTTTTGAACTCTATCTACGGATACGTCCAGCCAGGAAAATTGACAGCTCTCATGGGTGCATCAGGAGCCGGAAAGACAACACTCCTGGATGTCTTAGCATCAAGAAAGAACATCGGTGTGGTTAGAGGCGATATCCTTGTTGACGGGCATATCCCCGGTACAGGCTTCCAACGAGGTACATCCTATGCCGAGCAACAGGATACACACGAAGCAATGCAGACCGTGCGCGAGGCTCTCCGCTTCTCTGCCGATCTTCGCCAGCCATTTGAAACGCCACGATCCGAAAAGTACGCCTACGTCGAGGAAATCATAAGTCTGCTTGAACTAGAAAACCTCGCCGATGCAATTATTGGAACACCAGAAACCGGTCTCTCAGTGGAGGAGAGAAAACGAGTTACAATCGGAGTTGAGCTGGCCGCCAAGCCTGAACTTCTTCTCTTCTTGGATGAACCCACTTCTGGGCTGGACGGCCAATCGGCGTTCAATATTGTTCGATTCCTGAAGAAGCTGGCACTCGCTGGCCAGGCTATTCTCTGCACGATCCATCAACCCAACTCGGCTTTGTTCGAACACTTTGATCGACTTTTGCTTCTCCAGAGGGGTGGTCAATGCGTTTACTTTGGTGAAATTGGCTCTGATGCAAAGACCCTTCGAGACTATTTCTATAGAAATGGAGCGTATTGCCCAGAGGACGCAAACCCAGCAGAATGGATGCTTGACGCCATTGGTGCTGGCCAAACGCGACGAATTGGCGATCGGGATTGGGGCGATATCTGGCTCACTTCTCCCGAGTTAGTTCAAGTGAAGAAGGACATCATCCAAATAAAGGCTGAACGTGAGCAAGCAAATCATGAAACTCTCGCGCGGATTGGCGGCACTGGGATTGAAAAGGAGTATGCATCACCTATCTGGCACCAAGCCCAAGTCGTCACTCGCCGCGCCTATTTGTCTTTCTGGCGATCCAGAAATTATGGATTCACGCGTCTTTTCACTCATGTCACTCTAGGTCTACTATGTGGACTTTGCTTCATGAATTTGGACGACTCCCGCGCTTCACTCCAGTATCGAGTCTTCGTTATTTTCAACGTGACCGTGCTTCCAGCGCTGATTCTCCAGCAAGTAGAGCCACGTTACGATTTCTCACGACTCATTTTTTATCGAGAGTCCGCATCCAAAACCTACAGCCAATTCGTCTTCACTCTCTCAATGGTTCTTGCTGAGGTACCATACAGTGTGCTATGTGCTGTGTGTTTCTATCTGCCTATCTACTACATTCCAGGCTTTCAAACTGCCGCCGATCGAGCAGGATATCAGTTCTTCATGATTTTAATCACTGAATTCTTCGCCGTGGGACTAGGACAAGGAATCTCAGCCTTAACACCAAACAGCTTTATTGCCTCCCAGCTCAATCCACCTATCAGCATTCTCTTTTCTCTATTCTGTGGCGTGACTATCCCGAAGCCAAGTATGCCGAAGTTCTGGCGTTCCTGGCTCTACGAGCTCGATCCTTTCACGCGTCTCATTAGCGGTATGACTGTGACAGCGCTTCATGACCAGAGTGTGCAATGCACAAGTGCGGAATACAACTCATTTACGGCCCCAGGCAATCAGACCTGCGGCGAGTATATGTCCGCTTTCTTTGAGCGCGGCGGTGCTGGATACCTGTTGAATAATGCGACTCAGAACTGTGATTACTGTGCATATAGTGTCGGTGATCAGTTCTATGAGGCTTATGGCATGAACTTCGATAACAGATGGCGTGATCTAGGAATCTTCATTGCGTTTGTTGGTTCGAACATGATCATTCTATTTGCAGCGGTAAGTTTTCTATATTTCTACCTTAACTTAGGTTACGATCACTAACATTCGTGATCTCACTAGTCTCGATTCCTCAACTACAATCGGAGATAGATTTTGCATGCAAATTAAACGAAAGTTACATATCACGACAAGCAAAGCTACTCAACGACATGAAAGACTTCAACGTTTGAGGGGGGCTTCCTCCGCTAAAAATTTCTAAAACTGGCGATGATGATACATAAAATAATATTTAAAAAATAATGAACACAATCATATTCAATTCCCATCGTAATCCAGAGATCCACCAGTTCCTTAACTCCCCGCAAATAACAAAGGGAAGTGGACTTTTCCCCGCATTGACTCCATTGCGATCCCGTATTCCCCACGACCCCCACGTCGCTTTCCCCGTATAGGAAGGAAAGCTCATAATTATACCTCCACGATCAACATCCAGACCAAGCCTCTTCTCTGCACCGAGGTCTTTTCCACCTATGAAGGACTCTGCAAGCCCCCTTTAAAGCTGGGCACCCACTGATGTTAACCCATACCCAACGGAAAGCTCACCGACTTCTCGGGTGAAGTCCGAATTGCGATCCTACCATCTCATATTTCAAGTAGCCTATGCTTGTGGCTATGAGTTTTGAGTTTTAATTGGACTGCTACTGGTACTATTCACAAGATGGCTGCTATCTTAAAACTAATCGCGGACTCGATCCGATTCTGTCTCATCGTCAGCCAAGAACACACTTCGGCATGACCTGCTACCAGATCTACCATGGATGCTCTCATTCCGCGTTTCCGTGGGGTACAAGCTCTGCTTTCCCCGCACATGAAGTTTCTTTGAACCCGCTTTTTGAAGCTTTGCGTCTCGGAGAAATAGACATGCTTTGCTTGCAGACACAAAGTCACATCATACTGTAAATACGGGGGGGGGGCACAGACCGTGGCCCCCTCTACTTGAAGTTGAGCTGGGGCTGCATGCATTAATAGTCCTTTCCAGGTACAAAGTCTAGACTCAAAGTTCAATTTTCCTTTTCTCCTTATCCCTGTCTCTGCCCTCGTATCTCATTCCCTTTTTGCTCATTGCAAGTACATCACCCTTCGCAATGTCGGGTACCAGTCCCAACGAGCCAGCACATGGCTCTAAAGCAGACATTATGGACGAACCGACCATCACACACGCGGAATCTAGTACAAGCGCAGCAAAATGGAAATCTGCAAAATCCAAGGATGGTGACGTGGCCATGGCACTTTTTGACGATCCAAATGAATTGCACGAAGAGATCGACCCAGCCGAAGCCCGACGATTATTATGGAAAATTGATTTCATGATTCTACCATATCTAGCTGTGTGCTACGCATTTTTTTACATTGATAAGGTTCGTTATCGCCGCAATGATGTTTTCAAATGACGATGAGACTAACATTAGATGGAAATGGTAGACAACCTTGAGTTATGCTGCCATATTTGGTATTGAAGAAGACCTTGCATTACATGGTACTCAATATAGCTGGCTGAGTAGTATTTTCTACTTTGGATTCTTGGCTTGGGCATTTCCAACAAACTTCTTAATGCAGCGTCTCCCAATTGGTAAATTTTCGCATTTATAGCGGGCGCGCAGGCTATATGTTTACTAACGAGATTATTGATAGGAAAATATCTCGGCGTGAACATTTTTATGTGGTAAGTTCGCGGATCTTCATTTCCATTGCGATGAAAGCTAATATGAGTTCTTTAGGGGTGTTTTCCTTATGATCCAAGCTGCTTGCAACAGCTTTGAGACCCTTGCAGCCCTTCGAGCCCTGGGTGGAGCTGCCGAAGCATGCTCGGACCCAGCATTCATGCTCATTACTAGCATGTGGTATACTCGTCGTGAACAGCCAGTTCGAATTGGGTTATGGTATACAGCAAATGGCATTGGAATCGCTCTAGGTGGACTGCTGGGGTACGGTATTGGCCATATTCGAGGTGCCTTACCTTCTTGGAAATACGAATTTATCGTGATGTACAACACCCCATTCTACTACTGACTCTTTATTTTGCTGACAATAGACTACAGCGGCTCACTTTGTGCTGCCTGGGGAATTGTGATGTTCATTTTTCTGCCTGACTCTCCGGTGGCAGCTCGTGGACTCAGCAAGAGAGAGAAACGAATTGCTGTTGAGCGCATCAGGGAGAATCAAACTGGTGTTGAAAACAAGCATTTGAAGCCTTATCAAATCCTTGAAGCCTTCAAAGATTATAAGCTTTACATGTTTTTTATATTGGGAGTCGTTTGTATGCTTACCTATTTGACTTATTTCCAAAATCATTGCATTGACTGACTGGATCAATTAGGCAATGTTCCCAATGGTGGCATCTCGAACTTTGGTACATTGATCATTAAAGGATTCGGCTATTCTACTTTGGTCACAACTGTCTTACAGGTACGTATATTAAGATTCATCTTCTTCGACTTTTGTTTTCTCCTGTAAGAGCTGAAAGTTAACCCCCTTCAGATCCCATATGGAATTTTCATCGCATTGTCAATTTTGACATGTGTCTTCCTGAACGACCGATTCGAAAATCGCCGCTGCGTTTTTGTTTTAATCTTTCTCATTCCCAACTTGGCTGGTGCATTTGGCCTTGCCTTTGTTCCAACTGATCAACATGTCGGTCGGCTCATCTGCTACTACTTGACTGGGCCATATAATGCCGCTTTTGTACTGATTCTGAGTATGCAAATTGCCAATACAGCTGGTGAGTCTATCTGTTTGAGAAGAATGACTATGATGGGACTCCGAAAACTTATCAACGTATCTTCATACAGGCCACACGAAGAAGGTTGTAACCAATGCAGTGCTGTTCCTCGGATACTGCACTGGAAACATCGCCGGTCCATTCTTCTATAAGACCGATCAATCGTAAGACGTCTTGGACTCGGATTTCCCTCCTTCGCTCAGAACTATATACTAACGCGATTTTCAGTCCAACCTACACTTTGGGAATCTGGTCCATGATTGTATCGCATCTTATTGAAGCATGCCTTATTACTATTCTCGGCCTGCTACTACGGTGGGAAAATAAGAAGCGCGATCGCATCCAATCTCAGATGGAGGGTGGACTTGAAGGCAGGGATTTGGATGCTACTGCTTTCTTGGATTTGACTGACCGAGAGAACTTGAAGTAAGTATTTGTCCCTGGCCTCATATCCATCCGTGGATTAAACTTGCTGACTTTTATAGTTTCCGTTATATTTATTAGAAAATTGTGTTCCAATAGTATCATGCCACCGCCCAATTTATACTATTTCTGCAAAAGTATCTTCTCCCACTTCCAAGCTTCCACTACAGCAATAAGTACTAGGACCGTGATCGAGCCCATTTAGTAGGCCGTGAAGTCTACACTGTTGACAGTGGCTGGGTCTATGTACTACTAAGTAGCTGTTTTACATATCAGTACTATCTACTAATTGAGGTCCTCTTCGTTTCAAGTTCATCAAGGTCGGTGAGTATTCGATCACCATGATCATTGCTGACTCTTTTATTAACGCGAATGCTTTTCCACGTGCTCCATTCTTTTCATTTAACATTCAAAAACTTTCATTCATGTTCAGCACAAAACTCTGTTGCAATCGACCTATGTGTCATCTGCTGTGTCGGATGCCAACGGCCATACTTTCCCCCCGATTCGAGGAAACTAAATTAACAGGCTCGGGGTCAATCCATCCGACGGTGGATCTCATGTGAACTCTCTACTCCAGCTGTTTCCTGCACGAAGAATAAGAAACCTCGTGTTCACGTGAAATACCTGCCGTTGAACTCCGTACGCGGTTCAAGTGTCCGGCTAGCACATGGAGGTGCGAATGAGGAAAAACAGCAATCACAGGAGTATCTTGGATTCCGAGTGTTGACAGTATTCAAATAGTGTAGAGCCACCGCGGCTCCAAGTTCCACATGGCCCTAGGTTCAATTAGGAAGAAAGCTTTTTAACCAAAGCAAGCGGTTGAAACCGAAGATCCGTAGATTACACAGATCGCCAGCCTTGCATACAACGAACCTATTTAGTTCACGCAACCAACCCCCGGGAAGTCGCCTTCTTGGAGACTCCTCGTTGCTCACTATTGTTTAAGCTTATTTTCCATACAAACGACTTTCAAACTAAGCCTCTCCAATGCCATCCAGTATGACCCCAATAAATAGAACGTTCGATAAACCAGCCAACCCAAGTCCTCCTTATCAGTATACCACGCACCGCGTCAAATCTTCTTGTCAAGGTTTTCAATCTCCCAAATCAATCCAATGTTCACAGCAACGAAAAGGGCGGTTATTTCTTTTATTGGGCCTTCATTGCTGCTGCTCGACGCGGATACATGGAAAAGCCAGCAGAGAAATGGACAAACCAGGAGAAGGAGGAAGTAAGGGCTATATATCAGGGATGCCTCGACAAGATCGAAGAATGCACTTCAGAATTCGAGGAAAAGAACAAAATGATGTTCGCAAAGGAGCATGCCTTCTGGATTCACTCACCAGCATCCCTCTAAAAGAAGATGACTGGCGTGCATAACGAAGAATTTTTCAACACATTCCGCGTGAACACACCCGAAAAGTACGGTTCCACCCGAACGTACTCTTCCCTAAACGAGACGATTTTCTCCGATGAGTATCTTCGCACTTGGCAAATGGTGTTTATTATCCGACATCCGGCACTGAGATGGCCATCCTTCTGGCAGTCATTGCTGAAATTTAGCCAGCAGGGGATTATTGACGAAGACATGCTACAGGGGACCACGATGGCGCATGTGTGTATGCGCTGGTCTCGCTTATTATACGATTGGAATCTACAGCAAGATGCACGTCGTCCGCCGCCTATACTAGATGCCTACGATCTTATTAACAGCCCTGAAGTAGTGATCAAGTTCTGTAAACAAGCCGGAATGGATCCTGATGCGCTACAGTTTGAATGGAAGTGCCAGGCTGATGATCCTGATTATTCGGCTTCTGCTGAGAAGATTACGGAGGCTTCTACCAAAAGCGGGCTTGATGAGTCGCATCTTCGTGCGGCTAATATCATGCTCAATACGCTTTCACATTCTTCGGGTCTGATTAAGGATAGAACGGTGAATATATCAACCGAGATGGTCAAGTGGAAAGCTGAATTTGGAGATGACGTGGCTGGGAGAATCGAGAGGGCTGTTTGGGATTCAATGCCTGATTACGAATATCTGAAAGCCCGGCGAGTTACTGTTTAATTACGGACTCAGAATTGTGCAGGGGTGCTATTTTCTAGCATTCAACGAGTACTAGTACGGAGGCCAATAGCTCTCTACATTGGACAAAACTATTTTCCATACTAAGTCTTTACCGCCTACTCTATCGCCTTAGGCCCATGTAAATTCCATATAAGTCCGATGTCAATTCCATGGCATAACAGAACTTAATTATAGATTTCGGGCTCCATGGCATGCTTTATACGAAGAAAAGAGGGAGACCATCAGAGAGGAAGGCAAGCGAGTATTGCAAAAATGATAATCATGAAAAAAAATTCCTATATACGTCGTCAAGACCTGTTACTTGTGCTATTATCAAAATAAACCTAGACCTCTCGGACACTCGGAGATCGTCCATTGGCAGATTCCTGTGACATTGAGTTCCGTCCACGTAAGCTAAGATTCCCGATTCGTTGTACCAAGTTGCTTCCAACTGCGTCTACAGCACCCTTTGGAGCTAATAGAGTTGGACCTTGAGCAGCAGCCTCTTGAACCCTAAACAATTGGATTTTGGTGCCGTTCCAGACACCGACGGTGCCCGGGGTTGCACCCGCGGCGGATCCAACTACCATCTCGCTGGAAAAGATGAATCCCCAAAGAAGAGACTCGTACCACCCCATGGAAAGCGCGGTCCATTCAAACGATTGGGCACGGACTGGTGTCGGCTCAGAGACGATACTCGTGACTTGCGGTTCTTCGGCAAACGATGGCAGATTATTGATCAGAGTACGAGCCTCGGGGCTTGCAGTGGTTTGCAAGGCTACGTCTGGGATGTGGGGTGCAATGGCTGAGATGATAGTGAGGATGGTGTGCAGCGGTAGCTCTGGAAGCCAGGATTCAAGCTGTCAGATTGTTAGCAATTGCAAAGAAGGGACAAGATCGCAAGGCTCTAGAATGAGGAACTCACCCAAGCGGTAGTCGGTGTGAAGCCGGCAGACGTGCCACTGAACAGAGCTGACATGCTTGTTTGGCTTGTCATGCTGTTCTGACGGGAGAAAGATGGTCGACTGGCAGGCATCTTACCACGTGCCTTTTCGGACATGCCTCGCGGTTGTTGTGACCCATTCTCATCATTCACGGAGGCAAAAGAAGGTCTGCGAGACGTTTGTGCAGATGGTGATGATTGAGATGGCGTATTCTGTCCCTCGTCATCGGTGTCATCTTCGCCAATAGCGAATGCAGTGTTCTCTTCCGGAATCCGAGTTAAAGGCGACCGGGCCTCCGCCGGATTGTGAAGGTCTTCCTCGGAGCGAGAAAATGTTGGGCTGGCAACCATATCGCCTGCGGTATCCAGAGATTTGCGTTTTTCTATTTGACGTTCAATCTCCTGTTGTCCACTTTCAAGGGTAAATGCTCGAATAGCCTCGAATCGTTGCTTATACTTCAGAATTGCGTATACAAGATATGGATTTTCTAGACGGCGGTTAGTATACTCAAGCATTACACTCATGCAGAATATGTGAGGCCATAAGAATCATACCTTTGAAGTTATGTTCAAGAATAGCATTGATGAAGTCAAGTAACGATGCAAGAAGTGTATGATTTGTCTCATTGGCAAGCAAGAAACTAGGCGCGGACATGGATGAAAAAAGCTGAATGGTTTTGGAGCAAGCACCCGCGCCTATATGCTGGATGTGTGGGGAGACATTATTTAGAATTATCATGAGAGCAGGGTAAATACTATCGAGGTTTCCTTTGCTCGTTGTCATCAGGGTGTGTATTGACTGTATAAATTAGCAAGTGGCCATATCGCATAAGAGAGTATCAACGAACCATGATGAGATAATCGCCGTAAGACCCTCGGAACTTGGGCACGCGTATAGACAGTGGGAGTGTTTCTTGTCCTTCAAACTTCATGTTAAGACTCTTGCCAAATGTTTCCTCTGCGCTCATTGTTTGAAGGATGAAGATACACATCCGCACTACTCCTTGTTTTGAGGAATCTGCTCTGTATTCCATAGCATAGAAGATGCAAAGTATCAAGAAATCATGCGAACGATTAGAGTCAATTATGAACGACCTGAAACGCTTGTTGCATTGCAATGTCTCCCAGAATAGCATCAAGATCTCCGGTGCCCATTTCACATTTCTCTGGCTCCCAGGGAGATATGAGCTCGTGGCTTGCATCTGGTTTGGGGGTTAGATTGGGACGAAACCAATTGATAGACTTGCTACTCACAGGCTGGTTCAATATCTTCGTCATGCCATCCACAAGGAACTGGAAGTCCTGAGGCCTATGTAGCCTACCATAATAATGACGATAGTAGTTTTTAGGTGGCGCACCACGGCCATCCTCTGGAATGGGGTAGAGGAGCAGGACAAGGAGAAGTTGAAGACAGTAAATCACCAATATCTGCTTGGGGTCTTTCCAAACGACGTGATCATATGGAACTCTCCAGGATGAAGGATTGTATTTCATGGCCTGGTAGAAAGATAAGTCTTACGAATTAGTTCAAAATTCAGGATGGGCATACCGTGTTTAAGAGAGAACAAAGTGTTGTTAGAACGGCCTGCTTATCTTGGCAAGTGGTGATATAGGTAATAGCCTTAACACCTTGCACGGGTAGTGTGTCTATAGTGGTATATTAGAACAGTAACCATTAATATACTCAAAAAGAAGAGCTTACTGGAAGGCTGGTACATTGCTTTGCCAGTCATGGTAAGCAACAGGCGCAGAACCTCGCATCGGTTATTTTCGAGGGTCTTGTTGGACCCCATAGCCGTGTTACAGCCAACACCACTTTGCCATATTGAATATGAGATCTTGCTTTTCGCAGTTGGGAGGACTGGGATTGTGAAATCGGCGTAGAATAGGAGATCGAGCAATGTGTCTATCAGCTCCTCGGCAAGAGGTTTCACCTCTTCGTATTCTTCTCCATGAGGTTGGTCTTGATCATGCTCTAGCTGACCTTCATCGAAGAGTACCTCCCCCGAAAGCTGCGCTTGTCTAGTCTTTCTCTTGCGTCGTGCCCAGAAGAACTTCTCTTCCCAGTCTTCCAGATGTTCGGCTTCGTAGACGAAAGGTAGCAGCCGGGTGAGGACGCGAACGCAGTTAAGCGCATCCCGCTCGGAGGCAAGATCAGGGTCCGGGAATGAAGGATGGTTTTTTAGGACGACAAGTCTTGAGGATACGGAGAGTATGAGGGTTTCGAAGTTCGATAAGGCATGATCGCGAGTGCGTCTGATGTCAGCTGGAGTGAACAGGCTGAAAACGTCTTCTGTAGATTCGGGCAGTTCCCAAAACTTGTATCCTCAGTCAGTATATATAGCCACTACCATGCAGCATCAATTAGGGTCATATTTGAGGCAACATACCCGTGTCCAGTAAGGGTCGTCTGCGGGGATCTCCTTCTCCTCGGAGAGCCGGAAGATGCCCTGCTTGAACACAAGCTTTGACTCCGAGGCTCCCATTACTGAAGAGACCGATCTCTCACAGCACGAGCCTCGTGTATTTCCAGAGAAAAATCCCGGAAGTAGAGTAAAAGCGTTGTTGTTTTTGCGCGGGTGTAGTTGTTCTTGCGGTCGTTCCTGTTGCGGAGTCTGGGCGTGTATTGTCTGCCGAGCCCGCCTAAACAGTTATGACATATGCGCGGGCCGCCTGTTTAGTCTACCTTTGTCCTATCTACAAACCACGAACTCAATGGCCAGACGAATAAGAGAACAAGTAATTAAGATTACGGTAATAATTGATGCTTGATTTTCCATTAAAAAGGACCCGCTATGAGAAACCATGGTCTACAAACTCCCCTGCCCACGCGATCATAATGAAAGGTAAAATAAACGTCCAACCCCAAAATTCAAAATGTCCCATTACTAGCTGAAAGCCTGCGACTTCGCTCGTACAACCATTTGTTGCTCAATCCCATGCTCGTGCGCTTGCCAGACATAGGAGTAGGTGTGGTAGGAGCAATGGTGGACTCGCCGAACGAAGTGCTGAACGAGTTGCCAAATGAGTTGCCAAACGAGTTGCTAAATGAGTTGCTGCGCGCAAGGGGCGAGGAAGACCCGAAACTTTGTCGCCGACCTGTATCTCTTCCACCAGTCGGAAATCCCTTGTGAAGCAACGGACTCGACGCAGGCGAGAAGGTGTTGCCAGAAGAAACGCGTCGGTCTGAGAAAGTGGGCGTGGTTGACAAAGGTGAGCCATTCTGACTCGCAGGGCTACCCTTACGAGAAGTAGAGACGCGGTATCGCGGAGGAGTGACATATGTTGTTCCGGGAGTGAGAGGGGGTGTTGCTGTCGGATCCAAGCCCAAGAGAGAACGTTGTGTAGGCGTCAGGGGGATATCTGAGAGATCGTCCGTTGGTCGGAAGAGAGGATATACGGCAATAAAAATGTTGGCGACAAAGAAGAGCTGGATGAAAAGCAGCGAAAGGTCGGAGTAAACAGAGTTATTGGCGAATATCGGACGGGAACTTGGAAGGAAATCAGTCAATATAAAGCGCGTCCGAACTAATCATAGTTCGCGAGACTTACTGGGTCTTGAGGCTGTTTCCAAAGACCCAGGTCAAAACCAGGGCACCTCCATTCCAGACGACCTTTCGAAGGTTCTTGTCCCCAAATGTAGCAGCATCCTGGCGTCGAACAATCTCATTCAACTGGGGATGGCGCCATTTGCCAGGAGTGCCGGACCCCGCGGAGGGGGGAAGGACCGACGAAGCGGCCTTGGGAGTGGAGGGAAGTGACGTTGCCATTTGTCGCAAGATAATATGTTTGAAAGTTCGAACAGAACGAATACCAAGACAGCAAGCTTGTGGTTGTCGGTATGCAAAAGGGAACTGGAGCTTCGAGGTCAGGGACCCAAATGCGCTGGGAACGGAACCAGGAGAGCTTACCTTGAAAAGAAAATTGTGTATTACTTACCTAGAGGGGGAACTGTGGGGATTAGTAAGGAGATAAACTAGTAACTCAATCGCAGTCGCATCTCCCAAGAGTCGAGTTCATCTCAAGTAAAGGGTTGTTTTGGTGTTTTTGATCGTGGCTGGAGACTTTGAAAAGAAACGCCAATAAGCGCGGAAGTTGCCTAGACGCCGGTAGAAAGGTTCACCCGGACCCCGCTAAGCCCCCATAATCATTACTCCAACGTCATACTCGGTCTTCAGCTTGTTGACACCTCCTCGTGCTCAAAATGGCCGATCCATCATATATTGAGAAGCTGGACACAGTGGTGGCAGATGTTTTAGCTGATTGGAACATTTACAGCACTCTTTTCGCTGGTCTTCTAGCCGCCTTCGCTATCTATTCCCTGGTGTCAGCTCAGGACCCAGATATCCACCCATTCCTACTTGCCCGCCAATCTACTCCCTCACCTATTCGTCAATCAGGCGAGTCTGCAACTTACCGCAGCCTAGAAACTCCTTATGGATTCCCCCTTCGTGCAGGATTGAATGTCAAGGACGCCGATGCTCCCAAATGGACTTCAGGTAGAAATGGTGATCTCCGGGATATCTGGAAGGCTGCTGTGCGTGGAGCTTTGAATGAGGACGGCAGTCCCTCTATGAATCAGGGAAAGATATACACAGTACTGGGAAGACAAGCGGTTGAACATTCACTGGCTCAGGTAACCCAAGAAATCAACGTGATCGGTCATCATCTCCAAAATGCGGGGGCCAAAACCGTGGCGATCTGTCTCACCGACTCTGTTGAGCTGTTGACCTCTTTATTCGGTATTAACGACCAATGGGCTCAGGCAACCTCTTGTTGTACATTCTCAACTAATTTTATCAATAGCCGGAGCTTTCTATGGATTTAAAACAATTCTCGTCCCTCACAACCTCCCCGCAGAGACCCTGTCAGCCCACCTCCAGGCAGCCAATGTCGATGCTTTGATTGCCGAGGCCGGAGGCCTTGATCTCTCAGTAGCCGCCAAAGGAAACAAGCAGCTGACGCAAGTGCTATGGGTTGCCCAATATGGAAACCGACACATGGATTGGCATGGAGTTCCCGAGGACATCGAAGGTTCTCTGCAAGTAAAGGTCTGGCATGAGCTGGTTGAGGAGAATAAGGATTTGGCCGGCTTGGATATTCCCGAATATGATCCTAAGGAGCCCGCTCCTGAAATCAACACTGTTTGGCCCTCGTCCTCGCAATCGGGCAAGTTTATCGATTTCAAATCGGAGGTAAGCAGAAGCCATTCACATCCACATTCAGAAACAGTACAATTTCATTAATAAAATATACAGAACTTGATTGCTGCAATCAGCTCCTTGGGCTCTTCCCTTCCTCGAAACCAGCGCTTCTCTTCATCAGATCTCGTCCTGTCCATTGATTCCCTATCCCGGTCATACCCTCTTTGCCTCATCTTGAACGCCTTATTCTCCAATGCATCCATCGCATTGAATTCCGTTGCCGGTGAAGAAGTTGACTTTGGTCTGGCCACCATTGGTGTATCTCCCACTGTAATTGTTGCCTCTTCCCGCACGATGTCGGACTACCACGACTTTGTTATGCAACCACAGGCTGGAGCCATCTCTTCCTTTGGTCGCTATGTCCAAACGAGAACCTTGGATGCAGGAAACATGCCCTCGAAGAACTTCTTCAGCCAGCTGGCTCGTATCGGACCGACAGCGGAGCTTTCGTTAGACAATCTGCGATTGCTTTGCGTCTCGCATCGTATTGATGCACCTGCCTCGTCTCAGCTTACCACTAAGCAATTGACAGACATTCGGGTCTTTACTGATGCACGCATTGTTTACGCCCTGACCGGTCCCGGTATCGCTGGCGCCATTGCCCAAACAAATGTCTTCGACTACCGACGCAAAGATGGTCCTAGTCACTTCGGCGCTCCTCTCAGCAGCACCGAACTCACACTGACCGGTGTTTCTGAAGCTAAGCCTTCAGAGACCCCGGAAGGCGAGGTAAGACTTAGAGTTTATTCAAATATCAGGAAACTGTTGCTAATTCTCATCGTTTATAGATCAAGGTCGCTGGCCCTGCTGTTGTTGGTGGAGAGACGACACTTTCTTCCCGAGCCCGTATCAGCAAGGACAACACCGTGGAGCTTTGCACTTAGATTTCTCTATCAAGTTGATATTTTCTACGGGATCATCATATTTGCAAGCGTTTGTATCTACAATTCGGTTCTGTTGAATAGTGAGAAGGCCATGATCAACGGCATCCTAAAATGACATTGAGCGTATTTTGGTATTATCTACAACAGGCACATGATAATGATGAGAAGCAGTAATGTCCGATTTCAAATACAAGATCAGCTCCAAAGATGCTGGGGGAAAGTAATATACATATGCCAATATGCTCCTTTAAAACAACTGACAGCCGAACACCATAACGTCTACCTCCTTAGCTTCGCGCAATGAGCGCCTTAGCAGCCTTAGCGTGTGGTACCTTCTCCAATGATTCCTTAGGGATCCTCTCCAACTGCTTGGCCAAAGCGCCTCTCAGCTCATTAAGACGCTGGCTGACAACAATTCGCAATTCCTTGTCCGCTGCAATGCTGTCGATAGACCCACACAGCTCCAATCCCTTGAAGATGGGGATAGCCTTAATCAAACGCTGGTCCACAACCTCCGCATCGAAGGCGTTCTTAGGGACAGCCTTGAAGTCCTCGCCATTCCACCGAGCGAGCAGCTTCTTCGCGTAATTCAGAACTTCATTGCCCTGGTCCTTGCCTTCGAACTTATCTGTGGCACGCGCGGCGCTAAGCTCCAGCAACGTTCCGATAACATACGGCTGATATTTCGGGTTCGTGGTTGGGATCGCAGGGTAAGAATCCATAACTTCCAGCGCATTCTTAGCCGACTTGAGAGCTTCAGTGACCTGGTGACCCTTGAACTCTGCGCTCTGGGCCATGCTGTGAAGCTCGTAAAACAGGCGCGTGGTGATATCTTGATTTTCTAATGAAAGTCCGGTGCGCTGTCCTTGCCTGGCGCATTCGACGATGAGGGAGAGACGGCCAGTGCTGGCAACCTTGCGGATGAGGTATTGCCACCGAGCAGGGGAGACACGCATCTGGGAATTCCATAGTCCACTCATGAAAGGCACAAGATTTTGGTAGTCATTGGCGGCCTCCATTAGGCGCAAGACGTCAATGATTTCCTTGCTCTTGGGCAGCGAGGCAAAGTCCAGTGGTCGTAAGGTGTATTCTTCGTTCTCGCGAATTTTAACTGTGATGGGTTCATCTTGGAGTCTGTGGGCGTGTTTCTCCTTGAACATGCTCGTACGCTGTCGCTTCGGGAGGCCGAACGGGATAAAAAGGTCTTGTCGCCAATGATTGAGGGCCTCGTTCAATTCGGTCGACGCTGTGGGGGAGAAAACTGGGATAGCTTCATACCAATCACATATTAGTAAGTCTTATCTTCAGCATATGGGAAAACGGTGCCATATTATACCAGATGAGGCATGGCGAACTTGCGAAAAGGTAGCCAGGCGGGATGTTCTCTGCCATTGGAAGAGCCTGCCCATAGCGTTCTGTGCCATTTTGAATTTGTACCGGTCCCCGGTCAATGTATATACGGCTCGAAAGTAGTACTGGAAGTACTTTGGCGTATATACTGCTTCGAGTGTAATTGTTTCTACGGAAGATCGTGAGAAGTGAATCCGGGCGGTCGAAGAGAATCTCGAGTCTTGGCACGGAATTCTGCCAACCCGTCCAAATCCCAAATCTCAACGCCGACTTTCTTTTGATCCGCATTACAACACCAAAAGCCATGGCTGCGTTACCGTCAATGCGGCCTTTAGGCTGTCTGAGATCCTTGATTGGAATCCAGAATCCAATCCAGCCTCAAATAAGCCGCCGCTTCATCTCAACAGCTTACTCGCAAAGACCCAAGCGTGTCCCTCTCCCTCCGAATCTCCCCCAGCAATTCCTCTCACAACTACCGGAGCGTCTGCAGCCACGAGAAGGTAATAAATTTGAAGCTTTCCGGAATCGATTGCCATGTTGTGCTAACAAAAACTGCTCGTACAGCCTCCAAGCGTGTCAAGGTCTACCCGGCTCCTCCCTCCACCCGCAAAGCATGCAAAGACCCCATCGCAAAGGTGACTGAGTCACAAATGGCGATCCATGATCCTAAGGGCGAAAGAAAGGCTCTGTTCGACTACCGTCGTAATCCTCGCAGTGTCAAGCCCGGTGATATCTTGCGGGTAACATTCAAGAATGGCGACCCATTCAATGGTGTTGCTCTGAGCATTAAGCTGCGCGGCATTGACACCTCCGTCTTGCTTCGAAACGAGCTTACTCGTGTGGCTGTCGAGATGTCAGTCAAGGTATTCAGTCCAAATGTGCAGAGTGTGGAGATTGTGCAGCGCGCTGAGCGCCCGGCCCGTCGCGCGAGACTGTACTTCATGCGGTACGTTTATCCTTTAATTGATTTCTCTCATCTGAGTAAAAGTACTTCGCTGATAATCACTTTTCCTTTTCCTATAGGTCCCGCAAGCACGATCGCCGCAGCGTGGAGAATCTCGTGGGTGCTTACATTCGCCAGAAGAGAGCTTTCCTGGGTGGCAACCGCAGGAAGTGAGTGGGCAATGGTGCAGCGTCGTTCTATTAGCATATTTTATCATGTATTATTATCTGTCAATACTCAAACATGTTTCTATCACCAAGCATAAAGATCTGTCTACAAAACCCCGATCCCTCCCAATTTGTGATGAAAATGTATTAAGCCGACAGTACGTACATTTAAGGAGTGGTTCGGAATAGCGTCAAACGGTATACCAGTGGTTGTCGAAATAACCATTGATTTAATCTGCTGGTGTAAGTTCACAAGTAGAATGATGTGCAGCGAGTATGGCGAGCTATTCGGAACACGTGCAAGATCAAGCGCGTCCCGCTTCAATTCCCCAGCTCCTTTAATTCTCTACACCTCACACATCCACAATTAAACCCTCGACCAGGTATATGTTTGCCGAGTCCTCGGATTTCAAAGTCATGGTCTCTTCAACAGTGTTGGTCACAGCCGTGGCGCTAGCGTTCGCTGCCGGTCCCGTCCCAGTCATTGGGTCCATTACCTCCAGTCTTCAGTATGTGCTGAAGAATACGCACGGCAGCAAAGAGTATGGATATCCTACAGATATTACTCGAGATATTCTTCCGGTATGTGTTGATTGATATCTTCGCCATTTCATGCTCTCCAAAATAAATGTTTCCAATGATTTTTGTGATCAATTGCTTCTCGGAAGAGCTAGCTAACGTCATATGGCTAGATTCCCGTTCACTCTCATAAGTAGGTTACAGCCAGGGCACCGTCAAGAAATCGAAGCCCCTCGAAATTGACTCGTTTTTTTTTTTAACTTCCAGTGATTACTGGAGAGAAGAACCTTTCTGGACTGGTATGTCGTCGTCACGGGATACTGATACTTTTTTCCTTCGATTAACATCTTGCAGGTCTTTCAAAGGGATGTATATCCACAGAAGCCGACGTTTGGCTATACAATGGCACACTCTATGTATGTGCCTTCTGATCTTGTCTGGGCTCTGGCCTATTATTAACATCGCCTGTTTAGGTTGGTCACCATGAGTCCGCCCTGACGGTAGACCGAACGCTCGAAAGCCTGTATATCAACCCGATCCTAGATGTACTGGATCGCCAAAACCCAAAGACGCCTTTCGTTACCAAGCCTACTAAAAAGTAAAACATACCCTACCCCAATTCCCAGCCAATACTAACGAATTTCAACCCAGTGGTGTTTGGGACACTAACGCAGAGCAAACGCTCTACTTCTTCATCGACGTGAAAACTTCCGGTCCAGAGACATTCAAGGCCGCCATCGAAGCCCTTGAACCACTCAGAGAGAAGGGCTATCTTACCAAGCTCACTGGCGGGAACAAATTGGAGTATGGACCCGTTACCATCATCGGAACTGGTGATACCCCCCTTGACATGGTAACTTCAGTCTCGGACCGCGATTACTTCTTTGATGCTCCTCTTGCAGCCCTGAACGATCCCAAATATGCCGATATTGACGGATATGTCTCGCCTATCGCATCCACCGACTTCAAGGCTGCGGTGGGCAAAGTGGCAACTGATACCGAGCCGGTCCTTTCAGATGTAAAAGTCCAGATTCTTCATGATCAGATTGCTACAGCCAATGATCGTGGAATCGGTGCTAGATACTGGAACACACCAAATTGGCCTATTCGAACACGTAACCTGGTCTGGAGAACACTACTGAATGAGGGAGTTACGCTTCTCAATGCCGATGATTTGGATGCTGTGGCTTCGTACTTTTGATCAAATTGTGCGTGTTGGATATGCCATGTATCCATAACCTCTTCGGCCAATCCGATGTTATGGAAAGTTATGTGTCTTGAATATTAGCAGTACTAGTAAATACTGCATTGGATGTGATCACTATACGGGTACAAGCATTATACATAAATGTTTCACAGATTATTTCCCCACCATAAGCATCAAATTCAAATATCTCACTTTACGAATCTCCTATTCTCTCTCTTAATTTTCATCTTTTATAATTATATGTAAATTTAAATACGGCCTATTGTTCCAAGGTTCTCCCCTAGTCATTTATGTTCCTGTTTACACCTGTACCTGACACGTGACCACCAATAAACGGCAGGGCAAATCGCTGCGAGATTGAGCTCCACTACGTATCAGTCGAACTTCGCTCAACGCCGAATCTCATTGGTCGAAAAAATAACAATGGCAGTGGATGGGGATCTGGGTGATCTCTTGGCCAAGGTGCTCCCCACCGGGACTGAGCTAACAGCCCGTCATATCTCCTCCACTCCGGCATCCTGCGACGCGCTCTTCGCCGCCGCGCCCGGAAAAGAGCCCGAAGCCACCTTTTGCGAAAGTCACTTCCTGTCAGTCTCCATTGACTCCCCCAATGACGATGGAGCCGAGCTTATCGTGTTTGGAATGGAGGTCATGATCTACAACTCTGCTCACTTGACCACCATCTTCGTCTCCAAGGCCGATTCAACTGGCCTCCTTCATTTACTCAAATTGCCGCAGAAAGTCTCGGTCCTCAGATTGGTCTCTCATACATTCTTGACCTACCTTGCTCGCACACACCAACGACCTGGTGTACGCTTGGTTATTTCCCTGTTTGCTCGCGCCCAGAATCAATATCTCTTTCCCGCCAGCATTGAGAATCCCGAGAAGCATGTTCTCGACGACCGGGGATTGATCAAGTGGTGGTGTCGAGCTTTAGATCCTATCCTTCGAGAGAATGAGCCTGAGTCTGTTTCGCAAGAAAGCAAGCCTCTGGACCAGACTGCCGAGGCAGCTAAGGCCTCCGCGACTGCATATCTCATTGTGCCGGGCTGTGACCGGTTAGAGACGCGTAACTTTTTCCCTGTGTCTTCTAAGTCCGACGCACAGAATCATCCGCGATGGCTCGCAAGTTATCCATTGAAGCAAATGGTCCAAGATCCCTCTGGTCCACCGCGCAGCTTAATTCCCCGACTTCCAGATGACCCAAAGACACGTTTCCTGATTGACCTGGATGATGAACTCCCAGAACCTGCAGAGGGTGAAAATCAAGTCGCCCACAGTGGCCAGTGGCGAAGCGTCAGATCCTTGGATCAATTCTGGGAGATGATGTCGTTCCGCCAGGAGTGCTCTGCTGGTAGACTTGTGGGATTCCTCTGGCTTGTCATAAACCCTCCTGGTTTAATGAACTCGACTACAATGGCAAGTCAGAGCCAAGGTCCTCTTTCAGGGGGCAATAATTCTATTCAAAGAACTGCCCCCGTACCTCAAAATGACGAGCCATCTGGAAAGGATGTCAATAAGGCGAACACGGAGGAGCCCTCGGCTGAAACTGCCAGCACCGAAACCGTACCGGTACCATCATCCGAAACCCCGGCGGCTTCTTTCGACTGCCACCCAGGCAATCTTTCAACCAACGGTCGACCAGTGTCGTCGACTGTTGAAGCTAATCCATTTTTCTGGCCCGAGGCCGGTCGAGGCCATGTAGTACTCGACGAAGCAGGCTACAAGGAGATGATGGACGGCCTTCTGGACAATTTCTATGACGAAAAGGAAATTGCTGCCAGTACCAAGGCTTATGTTGACAATGTGGCTTCCTTAGCCGACCAACTCACTTGGGGCAAGCGGGTTGTTGGCAGTCATTCACCAGAACAGGGCATTGCACAGCCTATAGAGGCTAACAACCTTCTGGATAGTACGCTGATTCGCAAGAGAAAAAAGCCGGAAGCTGAAAATGCTGAGACAACCGGAGATTCAGCGCAGCAGATTGAATCGGGGTTTGCCCAGCCAACTCCGGATCAGCCAGCGAGTGTTAATGTTCTCAGTGCTGGCTTGGTCAGAAAGAAGAAGAAGACATGATCTGATTGATTTTCCTCGCTGGGTTTGGCGTTTTGGAGGGTTGGGTTTCTTTATTCCTAGCGGCATCAGTATGGTGGTAAGGTGCTATAGTATCTAGGAAATATTTTACAAGTTATTGCGCTTCAATTTCCATACATTTCGATTTGTCTCATTCTGCCTTTTTGCAAATTGCACATGGGGCATTTGGATACATTCTACGCATGGCAATTAAAATTTCGAATTTATTTCTAAAAACTCCAATAGTATAGATATGCTAAATAAATCCTACCTACGTACAGGCTAAACCTACAGTCTGGTGTGATATTGGCATCACCTACTAGGTACTACATCCATCCATACTAGTGTGGACATGTATTTGGAGGTATCAACACCTGGGGATTCAATGTCCCGGTTGTATGTAGATCTGCCTCAACGCGTGTATTAACCTTCCAACCTTAATTCAAATCAACCTAGAAATATCTAAGATAATCCCACTAAGCTAAAAAGCCTGCCCATGTGTTTTTCGGTGGATCATGGATCAAGCCCTCGAGGTTCAAGTTCTCCAGGGCTGGATGTACATTGTGTATTGGTGTCATGATATTGGATACAATGGATGTATATATCGCTGTGTACGGTGAGTATTTTAAGATCAACATTTTAGCGTTAACATGCGGAAAATACCCAGGTTCTGTAGGTATTATTTTGCAAATAGTAGAGTTATATATGGCCCGAGCTTAATACTTAAGGCCCGATTACGCCTAAGACTAATTATTATTGCCGCTCAGGGAGCTCTTACAAACACGGCACTGCACAAGTGGAGCTGGATAGCTTGGGCGGTCAAAGCGCAAACGAGAGGGTCTAAAGGAATAATATACAAATGCCTGAGCTCCATTGTTCGAAAGCGAATCCAAAATTTGAAAAGGGTTGCATATTTAAGCCAATTTACGCGGTGGTGCTATGTTTTCCATAGCTCTTTACAGGGTTAAGAGAGCAAGGAAGCCGCAGTATCCGATCCCGAAACTGCGCAGCACTCAGCTCCACACACGCCCCAGCGACCAACCCACAATTTGCCCTCGCATACTCCCGCACCCTCCGAAGTTGGACCTTCCTACCTTAGAATGTCCCTCTCGTTTGTGTTGTCGTTCCCTTGAGACCCATGCTAAAGTCGAAGTCGCATTTCCTCCACGGTGATGGCGATATGCCCTTGTCCGTCGCGGCGGGCTGGATCGGCCTGATCTGGTACACCACTGTGATGCTCGTGTGTGCCTTGGGATATTTTCAGATGTATGTTGAATCTCCGGCGCCTACACTCCTTGTCCTTTCGCTCTATTCTCGAACATGTCTTCAATTTGTAGCTTTATCTGTTCGACAATGACAATGGCAATTGAAACACGCGGGGACAAAGAACAAAAAGAACAAACTAGCGTCCCCGATTACGACAGTGGCTAACCGTAAAGTCAATTAGTTGGAGATATTTTTTGCGACGACCCCGCCGGTCTCCTCTCGCGACTTCCTCAGACGCTCCTCATGTTACTGCGATCCGACCGGTTAAGGGCATCGAGCCCAATCTTTACGACTGCCTTGCTGCCACCTTTCGCCAGGATTATCCCCGTGACAAGCTGACGATCTCCTTATGTGTCTCATCGCGCGATGACCCTGCCTTTCCCATTCTCTGCAAAGTCGTTGATGACTTCCCGGATGCCGATGCCCATGTATACATCGAAGAAGAAGACCCGTTACTTCAGGGCAGCAGTCCGAATAGCTACACGCTCGGACCGAACCCGAAAATCCGCAACATGAGCCAGGCATATCGAGAGGCGAAGGGTGATATCATCTGGATCGTTGACTGCAATGTCTGGGTTGGCAAAGGTGTTTGTGGTCGCATGGTCGATAGGCTTTGCGGGACAGGAGCAACACCTGGCAAAAAGTACAAGTTTGTACACCATCTTCCTTTAGTCGTGGATGTCACTGGGGAGAACACCATCAACGAAGAGCGACAAGCCTTTTTGGATGCTTCTCGTGACGCGACAATCATGAACGATGCGGTTTCATCGAGTCATCCAGAAGACAGCTTCAAAAGCATGATTGAGACTGGAGGTGGTCGTTTGGAGGAGCTGTTCCTTTCCTCTGCACATGCGAAGATGTACACCGCAATCAATACCGTGCTTATTGCGCCATGCATTGTGGGAAAGTCTAACATGTTCCGTCGCTCGCACTTGGACTATCTCACTGCTCCTTCGCCAAAGAACCCCACTCCCCGTCATCCCGGTATTGACTTTTTTTCGGACAACATATGTGAGGATCACTTGATTGGCGACCTTCTATGGCGAAAGAAGGTGCGGGAAGAAAAGGAATACGGGGAAAACTGGGGTAAACATGCAATGGTTTTTGGAGACCTAGCTATCCAGCCAGTAGGGAACATGTCTGTGCAAGCATACATCGCCCGCCGAGTTCGATGGTTGCGCGTCCGGAAGTTTACGGTCCTCCTCGCGACCCTCGTCGAGCCCGGCACCGAGTCATTCTTATGTTCTATATACGGGGCATGGGGCATAACAACAGCACTAGCGCCATACCTTGAACAGGAAGGCTTCCAATTCGCGTCTACTCTGGGTACATGGATGTCATTCTTTGCCATATTTGCGCTCAGTATGGCATTCTGGATCTTCATCGATTGGACTCTCTACATCAAGCTTCATTCCGCTAAGTCAATCGAAGTGGACGAAAATACACCACCATTTGCGCGTCCTGTCCGCCGGAGCTCCCTCCAGGTTACTCGCCGTCCGTTTCTACAGTGGCTCGCTGCATGGCTCGGTCGTGAGCTTCTCGCACTACCTATTTGGATTTCTGCTGTATATGGCGGTGTGACTGTTGTATGGCGGGATCGACGCTTCAAAGTTGGGTTTGATGCCAAAGTCCGAGAAGTAGACCATGATGTGAACGGCAAATTCCGTCGAGATTGACATGCTATACGACACAGCCAGCTATAGTTTTCATCACACGCTATGCATATTAAACCGACCATCCATATACGTCAAATGCACGTCAAAACGGACATAAATTTTCCTCCCCAGATAGGCAATGATCTGGGCATGTATTGATGTTAACTCTGAATTCGAGCGTTTCAACCATGTTTAACCTGCGAAAAGACTAGATCTCCAATGCATTTGCATAAAAAAAAAAGAAAAAAAAAACCAAATAAAAATCGCTTCTGTCTATATCTGAACTTTTATTTCATGGATCCATAAATCACATCCTCATCACCCCATGCAACGTTTCAGCAAATTAAGCCGAGCTCTCTCCTTCATTAGCACCACTTTCCAACCCACCAGCCTTCTCCGAGCTCAACAACCACTCAACAACCTGTCTGCCCGCAGACATCTCCCCAGCATTAGAAGCTTCCTGATCCTCACCACCCTCAGCCTCACCAATAGTCATCTCGATCTCCTCATTTCCATTCTCATCCTCCTTGACCTCCTCCGCAGAAGCAGACCAAGCAGCCCGCTCAGCAAGGAAGACCGCATCATGTCCAGCATCATTCTTAATAGCAACATCGGCACCGGCTTCGACAAGCGCCTTCACACACTCCAAGTGCGTGTTCAGTGCAGCCCAGTGCAAAGGCGTGTTACCAGAGTAATTGCGGTGGTTTAAGAAAGCTGTGCGCTGGGCTTGATCTCCAGCAGACAACTTTGAAAGAAGAGCGTTGAGGATTTCTTGGGTATCAAGTTAGAATAATGATATCATATTAGACTTTCAATCTTGACATACCTGAGTTTCCATTTGCAGAGGGGAAATGCAGCACGCAGGATCCGGAGCCACCCTCGCTCTCCTCTTCCATGTCAATAGCCGAGGCAACAATTTGCCATTCGGGACAGCTGTGTTGCGAGGCTAGGCTAGCGACGTCTTCGTTCAGAGCCTGGAGATCGCCTGCTCGAGCATCGAAGATGAGATCCTCGATTGACTCAGATGAAAGTGCAACAGGCACTGTAGGCTTAGACCTTGGTGTTGAGGCAGACATTATATATTAATGTCAAGTAGAACTTCGGAATAAGATAGTACAGCGCTTTCGCTTTCTTTTTCTTTCTTGCTTCCGGTGCAGTATTAAGCTGGGGCAGGTTCCTTTTTGCAGTAGAAAATAGATTTTGATATCCTAGTCGAGATTATTAGTGAGATGTTTCAAAAACAAAAAATACAATGGAAGGTCGAAATTCAAGTAATACAACAACATGAAATCCAACTAATCCCATAGGTTTGTTATAAAACGAATCGCAGCATCTCCGAGTTTTGCGCACTCAATGTAAGCGCATTGGTCACATTATTCGTCCAACCAGTGAGAAAACCCCGGTATTTAGTGCAGGTAACAGGGTAAGGCACATGATAAATCCAGAAATCCAGCATTTCTTACCTCTGTGTCTCTTTTTGATCCGAGTAGATCTTGTTGAAATTCATGTTCGCCGCTTTCGAAGAAACTTTGATATGGCAGTCACATGACTCATGGTGGGGTTCTTAAGCAGGACTATATAAACCAGGACAACAAGAAAAGAAAAGAAAAAGATATTTGAAGAAGGAATGAGCCTATACGAGCTCAAGTTGATTCACATGGGTAATGATACATATTGCTATTTGGACAAGATTACGGGATGAACAGGAAACACACCTGTCTCTATGCACAATGCCAGAACGCAAGACTCAAAGGGAGAAGAAGAGAAAACAAGCACACAACGCCCCAACACCAACACGCGATCTGGACAATCCAAACCAAGCGCAGACCCCAATTTCAATGCAAAAGAACATCTAGCCCTTCAATCCCGTAACCACGCCCTGCGCTTTTCCTCCTTCTTCTCCCGGCGCTTCTCCTTGAACTGCTTAAGCTCTTTCTTGCTTAATTTCTTCGCGCTCCGCTCAGCCCGAAGACTACGCCCATCGTGAGAATTAGCCGCAGAATCGACATCGAAGAACGCATTCATCTGTCGCTGCGACTTATTCGCATCATTGTGGTTATCCGGGTTGATCGAATCTGCCTGCCATCGACCCGTGAACCGGTTAAAGGTTCCAGTAGCACCATAAGCAGCGGTCGGGTCAACAGAGGACGCGTTCGGATCCTTCTGTTCTTCGTATTGTTGCGCATACGAAGCTGTGGGATCATAATCTCCGTGAATGGCGGGGTTATAGCCACCTAGGACGGGGGACTTCTGCGGCAGAGGTGGTTGATCTTGTGGTTTGCTTTCTGTGCCTGGGGCCGCGGCCGTGGGTTCAGATTGAGGGATGCGGGGATTATCCCATTGCGAGAGGGTTGTGAAACGATTGTAGAAATAGTATGCTTGCACGTTTGCATCCCATACTGGTTCCCATCCGTCATCCGTTGTTTGGCCGGGCGGTGCTTCGTCGGGGAGTGGTGGGGGGACTTCGTCGGGTAATGGGGGCGCTGCTGTCTCTTCTTCCTCTCCTTCCTCTTGCTCTTCCTCTTGCTCTCCCTCTTCCTCTGACTGATCGTGTTGGGGTGAATGGTCCTTTTCTGCCGAGTCTTGCTCCTCGTGTTGTTCTTTGTCTGTCGCGATCCCGGTTGCCTGTGGCGGATCGGAGGCGACTGGGCTGCCGGCGCGTTCTGCTTGGTCGTGCGCAGATTCTGGTTGTTCGTCAGACATCCTGGCCGTTAGTTTTTGCTTCCCCGTTTGTGGAGGAAGTCCGAAGCGATTATGCGTGAGATATCGGCGCATCGGAGCTTGGAGTGAAAGCGAGGCGTAAATTGGCTTCACCGCCTAGCCTAAAACGGAATTGAAGTATAAAAGCAATCAATGATTAGAGAGAAGTTGACAGCTATGAACATATCTCTCCTTATTTCTGTTTCTCTTTTTTATTCGGTTCGGATGTATATTGTGAAAGGTTTCACGCAATATTTATAAATATGCTTTGTTTAGTACGTCGATTCTATCAATTCATTTCTCATCCATCAGGCTACGCACTTGAAGATTGGATCCATGTTACATGTGCCGATACCCAAAAGTCAGAATGGTTAGCAGTAGTGTGCAGGCTATAACGCTGGCTTCAAAAAGACAACATGGAAGATTCAGTACGTACTTTTAATTCGTAATTTAGATCAATTATTATGTACAGTTATATTTAAGAATCTCTATGATATACCTGACCAACCGAAATCATCGGATATTCAGAGGTCCAAGATCCAGGGGAGCTGGTCGGCTTTTTTCTTCGGCTGCGGTCTCTCAGTCGAGCCTCATGGTTTTCAAGATGTTCAGGATCAATCCCTTCACGACTATGTGGCGAATGATCATCGCTCCAGCGCGGTTGAATATGAAGATCATCATGAGATGGTTGAATATCTTCAATAGACGCGGGACTTGCGCGAATCACAGCGACAAGACTGTTCAGCACCGTAAACTCCATTTTGAGCTTGAGGCTGTAGACCAAAGGTTTGAAGGTCGTTTGAATATCGAAATAGCCTGTATATTCCAAAGCCAAAAGAACAATATCCAGCGCGATGGCGATTGCATTGACGAGAATAATGTTTACAACTACCCTGTTGCCGCGAGGACCTTTGAGGGCCAAAACAGGCCGAAGACCTTTTGATGTTTCCCAGATGTAAAGGGTACTGATTATGATTTCTTGAACGGAAAAACCCGTCAATTGCACCCGCTCGTAGATATTGAAGGGCGAGATCCAGCTAGAAACACCGTGGTTGCTTCCTAGGAAAAGAATTGTTGTAGGGACGTGGAAGATAAAAGCGTCGATAATAATCATCCACAGTACGAATTGAAGATATTGTTTATGGCTCGTCACTAAATGAAGTCGAGAGTACAGCACAACCGATTGGCCCGTCACCATAGCGTACCAGCCAATGCAGATTAAAACTGACATTGGAAAATTGGGGGCAAGGGCGAAGTAGCGAAGGAACCCCGTGATGGCATGTACAAGTGTTCCCCATGCAGCTATAAGCATGCTCCAAAAGTACAGGCCACGGCGGCGACGAAATGTTGTGAAGGTCGAGATAGTAATTTCAAGGACATTGAAGCAAGAGAGGGCAAGGAATGCTGCCATCACCATTGCAACCGCCCGGGATACATGGATTGGGCCCGTTTCGCCTGCCATATTGACGCTGGTTGATTTGTGTCCCGTTGGCAGGGAAATTGACCGGGGGTGGCGTTTTGGCAGTTCTTCAGGATGCTTTGTTGAATAGCCCGGCTACTAGCTAGCTATGCTGCCATTGGCAGATAAGCTCACAGTGATGCTTGCATGTTAGCGATCAAAACGGCAGATCGCCGGCACTCGATTCAAGTAAAGAGCTCGTCTCCTGTCGAGGGTGGAGGAGCTAGACTGCGACAGGATATAGGGGCAGTCGAGCGGTCGAGGGGAGTCTGGCCGTTCATCTTGGCGAGAGATTTTGAGACCTCAGTTCAGCCAAGAGACTCTAACTTAATTTAAAGTTTCATCAAGTTCGATTGATTGGCCACTCAACAGTTCTGACATCATGGCGCTTTGGATGAAGGGCAGTGCTGATGAACCTTCAAGGGTAGCCCATGGAACTCGTAAAGGCCCAAAGTTTAATATTGATTCTAGGCATGTTTGAACCTCGAAATTGCCGAAGTTGAGTCCTGATGCAGGGGTAGGAGTAGAAAGGATCTCTTCGCATTAAGGGGGTCCACGTCGGGCATCTATGGTGGGTCTCCGCGGTCCCGTCACATCGGGAGCCTTTCTCGCTAGGACCTTTATCGGCGACACCTCGGGATATATGACACTATGTACACCGTATACCGTACAGCCTTCTATCAAATACATGTCAGAAAATACCAGAGAATCCAGGGGTTTTATGTTCTTTTCTTAACATAGATCCTGGAACAAATGGCATTCTCACTATATTTTTTCTCAAGTTATTCATTGATGAGCAATGTCATTTAGATTTATTGTGACTTGTTTGAGAATAAACCGACTGAAATTCGCTCAATTGGCCCGGATAGTGCCCAGAGTTTCATTGGACGATATGAAAGCGATTTATTGATGTTCATAGTCACACCACAGCTTTTAGATCCAAAAGACTACTTTCTGCTCAATCTTGTCCACTAAAGTATGAGCCCAGCTTTTCTGAACATTTCAAAGCTGTACAACCATGCTTGAATCGGGGCTCCATCTAATTCGAAACCCGAGCTCTTCAACTTTGTCAAACTCATTTGACGATCAAAAGTCAACCAGTATCCCACACTGTCCAATTGTCGACTACCAGCGCCAACGCCTCCGCCGACAGCATTCACACGTCCACACTTCGCAAATATCCCATTATGTTTGGCAATATACTCGCCAGGGGTTAGGCCGGTGGTAGCTTGAGGAAGTTCTCCGACCCTGAGACTATCTTTCGTGGGTTCCAGCTTCTCTTCAGGCGGCCCGACGCCTACAAGACCGAACCATTTGGCGAGATGAGGCCAAATTTCACCATATTTGCATGGGATATCGTCATCGGCGATGTTGAATAACTGGCCATTACCGCAGATAGTAGGGTGCATCGAAGCATATATCATGAAGCGAGCGATTGTCTTGCTAGCCGCAGGAGTGAACAAGGAGGTGGCGCCAGCCACATTGCCGGGGAAAGGGACTTCGGTGGCGAAGTTGCTCTCGGCCATTGGGGCATTCGGACCGACGCCATGGTTATAGGCGTACAGAGAAAGATACTGGGCCCAGTGTAGTGCGAGACTAAACTGGGAACCATTTGGTGTGAAGCCGATCTTGATTCGAGTTAGTTATACTGTGAGACATAGTAGTAGGCAAAAATATACGCACAATAGCATCGGGACAAACTTCGCACCATGTCCAACTCTTCTCTTCACTTGCTTTATCAAGCATGTGGCGATATGCCGGGTATACAACTGTCTTGGCATAATCACTTGGAAGGTTCTTCACCATATCCTCTATCAAGGGCGGCGTGAAAGTTCCACTGGGAGCGTAAATCCCATAACCCTACGCAATTAGTACAGTTTAAACGTTTTACCGTTGTGATTACTTACTCTTGTCCCCCCGGGAAATGCCACGAACTTTAAGTTCGAACTGATAAGGTTATGGGCGTCGATAACATTCTGAAACATGCGCTTATTGAGCGCAACTTCCTCGATATCATCCTCAATTGCAGTGAAAACTTCTTCCGTCAGTTCTGTATAGCCTGGGACCAAAATTGACACCTCGTAAACCTACCTAAGTAAAATATATGGGTGACTTTTTCAATGTCTTTGACTTTTTGGGTTAAAGATCGCGCTAGTGTGGACCCGTCGCCCTGCCGAAGGTCAATGCCTGAGACGAGCTGCAATTCTCGCTGATCAACTGGTTCAGGCCAATGGGACTCCGACAAATCGAGGGGCCGGTTCGTGACAGCAGTAACTTTGGAGAACGATGTTGCATGTAGATAAGAGCCTAGAAGTTGGTCGACTAGAGCCCAGCCAATTATACCCGATGCCCCATACACTATAGCGTGGTTAGATGTTTCGGCCATTTTGATGCAGCGATGAATTTTTATTTATTGTTATTTTTCCAGGGGGATTGCGACTTCTGAAATACATAGCTTAATTTGCGCGACTAGGCGCCATGATGTCTACTTTGATCTTGCGGGTTCCATACTTCACCATGAGTCTTGGTGAGTCATGATGGCTAGCCATGAACAATGTCCCATCCACATCCACTCTTATGCATGCTCCACTTTTGCCCCGTTCTCAAAACGGGCGCGGTCGAGCCTTCTCAGGATTGGCATACCATAATGTAAAAATTATGAACTACGTGATATCGGACTTGGAGGGAAATTTTAAGTAATTTCAATCGTATTCAGTTACACACTAATTCAAGCGCTTAGTAACTCCCATCAATCCAAGCAGCATAATCGCTACCCAGAACAGTTGTCTTGGTCACCCCAGCCGAAATAGAGCTTTCATACTTCCTCGCCGAGGTGCTCGATCCATCTCCAGTATTATCGTACTCGTAGTACAATGGCGTTGCTCCATCAGCCATAGTAGTCCACCCAGCAGAATTAATCAAGCTTCCCAGTTCTGAATTCTGATAAATCACACGCGCGAGAACACGCCACGGACGACCAAGATACACATCACCATCGAGGTCTACTCCGGACGCAGCCTTGATGTTGCAGTTATCGATCGCATACCAGGAACTATCGGTGGATTCTTCACGAGAATTTGCAGTGATGGCACCCGAGCCGTTGGAGACGATGTCGCATTCGCCAAACCAAGCCGAAGCGTCGCCGAAGATATAGTCGACGGCTCCTATAGACCTGGATTAGTATTTGAAATCAACAATATGTATTTTCTGTCATTATTTTCCATACCTTCAATCATGCAATTGGAGTAATACTGCGTTCCTGCTTTGGCATACAAGGTATCTTGATACCCTGAGAATTGGCAACCGTAAAAACCAAGATGATCGGCATTCCCAACAAGTCTGCACCAGCTAATAAGTCTTCATCTTGACGCACGAAGAATTGCCATATTACTTACGCCACAGCTTGTGCACCCTCCCCATATCCATTCACAACATTGATATTGTACATCTTAAATCCATCTGAAACAACATTCACAGTAGCGCTGAGATCCAAACTCCCCGCATCCTCAGACGATATAGTATGCGTGATGGTAACTGTATTATCCTTGTATTCCCCCGAGTCTGTTGTCTCGCCGTACAAGGTCAATTCACCCGCAAAGTCAATCTTCAACTGTTCCGCGTATGTGCCGCTGTAAACAAATATACAGGCAGAGGAAGCCGATGAATCAAGTGCATCAAGGGCATCTCCAATTGTAGAGTATGTTCCTGATGAGCCTACGGATAAGCATCCAGATGGCGGGGATGTTCGGCTAACGGTGTTGCCGCGGCGGACCTTAGTAGGTGCGCCGGTAACTGTTGTGCCGAGGCATACTGCGGCAAGAAATGTTGATATATGCATATTTGAATTGGATTATCGTTAGAGATATCTAGGATTCGAAGAGCTGAGTTCTCTGATGGTGGCAGAGGCTTTTTATGCAAGAAATCATTGATTTTTAAGTTGCTCCGTGGCCATTTTGGTTCGGATGACCTGTTTCCAGATACCTGCTCTAACTTGGCATTTTACATGACGGACTTCAGCAGATGGAAAATTCTCCGCATGATCCTGCAATTCCGCCAAATATTCCATGAATAGGCAGTTCTTGAAACATAATATTGCTTGGCTGCTGAAATGTGGGGATTCGGATATTAACAGCCTGGAACATCATCAAGCTTTTTACAGGCTGGGGAGATATAACTCTTCAAGCGCCCGGATCAAACCCCCAATGAAAAAGTCTGGGCTTAGATCGTTTTTACCCGGCAAGGTGGCATGTGAATAAAATGACAGGTACTAATGGCTGGCTATTATCAACGAAAGATGTGGGGCCGAGCACCCTGCATATATCGTCGGGAGATGGAGAAACACATTGACACCCGCTAGGTAAGAGATATTCCTCGAATAAAGACAGCGTTTCAAACTAAAACCCGGGTGGCCCTCCGTATACATTTAGTAGTGGATCGGCACTGCAACCCAACAAGAAAATAATTATAGGCTATATAAATGATGAATGATAGAACATTAGAATCAGACCTAGCATTTCACATAACGTAACACTCTTTGTCATGGCGAAGTCCAATGCACTGAAGCTTTTAGGCTTTATGTCTACAATTTCATTCGCTTTTGCCCTTCCTCCAACCCAGGCCCTCAATGCTCGCGCTTCGACCTGCACTCCCGTCGCAGGCGGGTCTTCCTCAACAGATGACGTCCCTGCCATAACATCAGCAATAGCATCATGTGGCTCTGGTGGAACTATTGTAATTCCAGCAGGCACAACATACTACCTCAACAGTGTACTCGATTTTGCTGGCTGCAGCGGCTGCGACTTTCAAATTGAAGGGTTACTCAAATTCGCGTCCGACACAGATTATTGGGAAGGACGCACTGCGATGATTAATGTCAAGAATATTGACGGAATCAAAATTCGATCTGTTACAGGTAGTGGCGTTATCGACGGGAATGGACAAGACGCGTAAGTTCATTAATACACCCTCAAGAATACAACGATGGGCAGTTTTCAGGTTGGCGCATACTAAACTATGAAATATAGATGGGATTTATTCGCCTCAGACAGCAGCTACGCGCGTCCAACACTACTTTACATAACTGGTGGCTCGGATATCACGGTCTCCGGTCTTAGGCAAAAGAACCCACCCAACGTCTTCATTTCCGTCAAGGGTGACAGTACGAACGTTGCCTTCTCAGACTTGGAATTGGACGCGACTTCGAAAAGTAGCAATGCCCCTAAAAATACTGATGGGTTCGATATTGGCGCCAGCACATATGTCACCCTCTCAAATATCCAGATCACGAACGATGATGACTGTGTCGCCTTCAAGCCAGGTGCAAACTATGTTACTGTCACTGACATAACCTGTACTGGAAGTCATGGGCTATCTGTTGGTTCATTGGGCTCAAGTGGTGACGACACAGTGAAGAATGTGTACGTGTCTGGGGCAAAGATGATTAATTCAACAAAAGCTGCTGGGATCAAGACGTATCCCTCTGGCGGTGACCATGGACTCTCAACCGTGACAAATGTTACCTGGGATGGTGTTGTGGTCGACGGATGTGATTATGCAATTCAGATTCAGAGTTGTTATGGTGAAGACGCGAGTTACTGTGAGGATTATCCGGGGGATGCAGTTTTAACAGACGTGGTCTTCAAGGGATTCAGTGGAATGACACCGGGGGAAGTTACAGGTAATTTGGATTGTGGTGCTAATGGAACCTGCGGAGTGACTGTTGTTGATTATACGGTGGTGGGATCATCGGGGAGTGAAGTTCTTTGTGCGAATACCCCGAGTGATCTTGGGATTACATGTACATCTGGGGCATCAGGGTAGAAAGCTTATATCTAGATGAAATGAGGACTTGGAGTTGTTGCAACTGATCGATTCAATGAACTTTGTACCTTTTGATAATGCAAATTCTGTATATTCTTATTCACTAAAAGAAAGAAAAGAAAGAAAGAAGTGTCATTGAGCTTAGCTCAACCTCTATTGCGGCGAATTTCGATCTCCTGGTGATGATAAGTTTGATGAAACTCATCCCACAAAACAGCCACTGCAACCTGATTATATTTCCCAGGGGCTCTAAAAAGTGTATTAGTCTCAAATGGAAGCCCGATATTCTTATCAAGGTCACGGCTCCAATTCTTCAAGATTATATCGCATGCTTGCAGTAAATTCACAAAGTCTCTTGATGCAAAAGGAACTTCAATGGATAATATTGGGTTCCAAACCAGTCCAAGCTCATATACCTCATCAACGTTGGCTGTTGACGTTTCGTATGTTTGCCCATGAAGTACCTTCTCGCGCGCAACCTCTATAATATCCGTATCGCTTTTGTATTTGTCGCAGGAAAAGTCGAAGACTATATGCACCCAGCTTTTGCGAGGATTTGACTTGGATTTGACAGTTGCCATTTATGGTGCGTATATTTCGATATTTGATGTTTAACAACTTGAATTTTTGAGATGATTCCGGGGCAATATATCACTAAGTTTTGCGAGACCGAAATGGCATGATTAATTCTCCATCCTTTGTAAAAGAATTTTAATACGGAATAGTCTTCGAGCAACAAAGGGATATGTTCTGTTGATAATTTAATAATGGAATGTCTCTTTGTCACGAAGCGTTCTTCCCGGCTTTGTTTATCAAGTATCATATTTCGATTCTTTCTTTCTATTATTCATAATGTTTCTATACTCACTATCTGTCCATTTTCCAAAGAAACCTTATGAGGGGTTTTTTCGTTCTGATTTTGAAACGAACCAAATGTCAAGGTTCAAAGACAAAATTCATGACAATACTTCCACGAAAAGGATATCTTTGGGTCTTGTTATCCGCTTATGGTTTAATTCCTTGTATTATACATACGCACTCTGCTATTAGACGAGGAACCAATTATTGATTATCAAGCTGTAGGGGTATTAGGAGCATAAGTGTCTCGTTATCTATACTAGTGATCCTTCCAAATCTACAAGCTAAGGTAGCGTTCCTAATTATGCTATCGATCGCAGATGAAGCTGTCACTTCGAATGCTGATTGGTTCGACTGAGACTAACTATGGGCACAATTGAGCCATATTTGAGAGGAGTTTCATGCAGAACACCATTTAAAACACCCCAGGTCTCAGTTAACGCCGAGAGGCGAGCGGAATGAGGCCTAGCCAGCGCTTGATCATTGGACGTCGTTGATCATGCTTCCGTCTCATCTGAATACTAGGACACTGGGTCATTGTGACGTGACTACGTGTTGCTACTCTGAAGCAACGTACATATATCCAGTTGGGCACAGTCTCGATAGCGTGGGCCTTTGAATAATGGAATTTATGATTTGTGTTATCACATATTTCACCTCGTCGATCGTAAGGGATAACCACCGAGAGGAAAGACTTTCCCCCTCCACCCGTTCCATCAGGATATATACTACTCCAGTGGGATTATCCAATGTTGTTGAATATACCAAGACCTCCGGTACAGATAATTTGAGAAACTTTCGCAGAAAGTTCATCGTCGCCACCTCATTAGCAGTTATACAATGAGGCGGCCCGGCTATAGGAGTAGGAATTCGTGCAATCACTTCACGATAATTTTTTTGCCCGCAGAATGAACACTTTGTTGAAGCTCCCCTCCGCAAGCTTAGAAATATGGGCAATAGTTTTGGTTTAATACTTCGCCCGCGATCCGTTAGAGCTCTGTTGGTCCAAACTTGACGTATCGCTCATTTAAACGGTCGTTCTCGTTGAATCTAACAGACACTCAGTAACTGAAACCAGAGCTATAAAAGACTTGACTAGCATCCATCGGCGTGATGTGTTTCGAAAGAATTCTTCATAATGTGGTGAATTGGTGGATGAACGACGGCGGAATGAAACGGATATGGTAGGCTGCCTGGAGCGGATCCACGGTTTGTTGGAACAGGGATGCGTGGTATACTTCGAGTAATAGCAAGTCCTTGAAAAATTCTTATAATTGTTCAAAAATAATGATAGAGGCAAGAAATGGAGCGTATAAAGATGGTTGACGGGGGTAGGAATACAATTCTGAATTTTAGGACGGTATTTATGATCATGATGGCGTTAGATAGTATGTAAGTAGAAGTTCCCTATATCTGGAACCTGGAAGCAACCTTGAAAACTTTACGGATATACATTGATACATATATGCGGATAGAACGTATGCGATTCTATATACCTGGGAAGGAGATTTATGAACATAAGCATCATGTCCTAATGTAGATGAAATGAACATAGCAACCTGTAAGTAGTTTCAAGTTCCTACAGCCACAAAGAAAATTTAACTGATACAGGACTGACATAGCCACAGCCTCAGAATTTACGTAATTTTCTACATATGGGGAGGAAGATTCTTCAACATGAGACTTATTCAAATGAATATGAACAGCCCCCACATGGAGCACTGGCAGTGGTAAGTGGTCGGTCCCTTATGAATATCTAGAACCTTCCACGACATTCAAAAATATGAGACTGATGCGAGGGGAATACAAATAGCCCCCACCTGTATGTCGTTTTCGATTCTGAGATTTGATTCGAACGCAGAACTGACGCGTGAGTAACACTAAGACAACACAGCTTTGTGTCTATGACACAATACGGCGCTGTAAAAGCAAATGTAAGTAGCGGATATTCATATACAGCAACTCGCAGTAACATTGCGGCCTTTAGTGGATTATTCGCGGTCTTTCATTGGATATCTCTTCGCCTTGGTATAGGTTTTCCCTTTTAGCTTAGGTTTCCCTATACTGTTATGTAAATGCAAAGGCTCGATTCTACCTCATAATTCATCTTCTTCCATAATAACTGTAACAATTATGACCCCCACGCCCGGGTATTGAATTCTTCAGTTCCATATAATCTATAATTAGATCATACACTGTTGGTGACGATGATGTAAAAGTGATCGGCAGTCCCTTTGGTGCCCGGGTGGGAAGTGGGCATCAACAGTGCACAGGTAGGTATAGGGACCGGATGGCATTTCGTACACTTGATTTTGGTGATATAATTCCAACAAAAGTCTGACAGGCACTAGTTAGTCCGGATTGAAATCACGAGGTGCATTCCAGGCTTTGATTTTACTCATTTTTCGGCTTTGACGATTCTTAATTCCCGCTGACGATCTTTAAGCTTTGGGCGCAAAGTTTATTGACGGTCACTATTGGGGGCCGTGATGTAACTATTTCTCTTCCCCGCTGTGATTGTGTGATCGGATTAATAGATTGCGCACGGTCGATATGAGTGTTCGGTCGAGGTGGTCAGCATTCGAGTCCAGAGCATTGTAGTCCGGCATGTTTACCATCAAGATCCGAACGATGCCATTTTCTTAGTATCAGAGTTTTCCCCCATATGTGACCTTCTACTGCTAGGTGATCCATCTGGAACAAATGTGTAGTAAGAATTAAATTATCTTTTAATTTCGTTGTCAAGTAAAGAATGGGTATGGGGAATCATAACGCTAGAAATCAAAAATCGACTCGGTGGGAAATCAAACTTGAATCCGAGAAGCCCTCGCTTCCTCAACTGTCAACTCCACATCGTGCTGTACTCGAATAAACATCGGTCCAATGTACTGTTGAAGCTTCTCTCTCTCTTGCCTATTGCGTTCAGTTTCTGCATGGGCCTCAATAGTAAGCTGCATCTCATCTTCTTTTTTCCCGTTCATAAAGTCAAGTCGCGAGTCAAAGCCAGTTACTCCGGAAGAGCTACCTGCGCTCTTCGAAGTAAAGCTGAACTTGCTACCGAGGTATGCCCTGTATTCAACCTTGAGAAAGAATCTGAAGAAAGGCTGGATTGCTGGGAAAGTGGCGCAGATTATCCCTAGGCATGGCTCGAGTTGGGACCACAAAAAGACGGTTCCCATGACATAGGTGAGATCGGGGTTCGTTTTGAGGGTCTTCAGATAGTGAAGTCGAACGCCACTTGCGACTATGACGCTTCTTGGATGTTAGCAACGCTTTCATATCTTCGGGTATCAGTATATCAGTATCATCACTCACGTTACGCCTAGTCCGAGGAGAACAGAAAGAATGAGCTTTTGTCTCACACGCATATTCTGTGACCACACAATTGGAATTGGCACCAGAAAAATGAGTATGTCTGATATCACATTGGTAATCCCATTGCCAAGCCAAAAGTAGTAGAAGTCGTATCTATAATAGCCGCCGCTCGCATCGATGTATTGCGTCCAGTAATAGTGCAATGGGACAGGTCCGGCTAGAATGGCAATCAGACTGCCAATAGCATAAGCCACACTGATAACTAGATTTGCGATGATCATCCAGTTCATTCCCAGGATGCGGCGGTAGAACATCAAGATTGACAGCTTGATCAGGAACAGTTGGAAGACATAGAGAATGATAAAAGCGAATGTTCTCTAACACGTTGTTAGTCTCTGACACTTGAATCGAGATCCTTCAGAGAAGCCTCACCTTCTCTTGCACAACCAATGGTCCAAGTGTTTGACCCCAGATATGCATCCCAAGTCCATAATGTACGCCACCATAATATCCAATTGCTGTAAGTACAGTCAAAGGGGCCTAACAAGCGACTGATGTTAGTTTTCTGCATCGGAAATCGATACCCAACCAAGGTGATTCTAGAATACTCACTATAGAAGATAGCATAAGCCAGTCATCAACAAATGGTCGATTTTTCTGCACCCATAACAGCACAAAGAATCGAATCGAAAGCATAATAGTTGCAACTACAACCATAATCACGCAAATAATATTGTCCTTCGTCGCGAGGCTACCTTTCGGGTCCAGCCCGGCCGGCTTTGGAGCCAGAGTCGGATCTGCCTCTACCAAAGGGACATTCCAAACGGCGTCTAAGTTGGTCATCGCAGCGATCTAGCGCGCAATCGGTCGCTGAAATGTCAAATATGTCACAGGGCTTCAAGTTCAACTGCGGTCTCACTTGTGGGGAAGATGTAGACCTTAAAAGAAGAGAAGTGGATTTCGCCCTTGACGTAAAATTACATTTCGCGGGCTCTTAGCCTACCAATCTAGGTTAACATCTGCCCTGTTCAAGTGCTTGGACTAGTTTCCCAAAACGGGGAGAAGGATCAAAGCGAGTGGGGGCTGGGGGCCGAAACGCTGGTTAGTCTCCGCACTGATTGGCGATATTTCAGATGAGCAGGCACGTACGGCACGTTGGTCATTCCTGCAAGAGTATCTTTTCCGTTTATGTGGATTGGTGAGCGATCCTGGATGTTACAGTTGCTCGCACCTTCCAAGGTTTTTTCAACGTTGAAATTATATTCGAAATTAACAGATAACAGTTTCTCGTGCAATCTACCCCTCTGGAAAGGGGCTTGGGATAACATTGGGACGCTCGGGAAATTAAATTACAATCTCACCTGCGTCACCTTCATGCATTTAAACATGGCGTGTGGCTTGCAGGGGTATTGATCGAAGGATTCATGAATAAAGTTGAAAGATGGCGTTTTGGGCGCTATTGGGGGCCTTCGGCCCGGGGGCGATTCCATCAAGCCCCGCAGAGCTTGTACATGGACGTGACGAAATATTTGGCCTTCGGACTTTACAAGAAATAAGCGATGGTGTTTCAGAATGGAGATCATATCTCAATTGTGCCAACCTATAATACATATGGCCACATGGTGTGGTCCGTGTGGCGGAACGGGCTCCCCGTCCATTCAGCCATACTTAAGGTACATAGGACGCAAATGCGGTCATTCTTCAAAGTGCTCTTGGCGTTCAAAATGCACCTCCTTTTTGGCTTTGGGTGACTTAGGTAATTTGGACCGGGGGGTTTGGAGGTTTAAGTTGGAGTTAGGAAGATGAGGGCGGGGCATGCCAGTGCTTTATACACTACCTTGTACTGGATTGAGCCGCGGAGGTGTGTATAAAGTTCATGGCCGCACCTTATTTCTGGAGGTTCACCTACTATTAGGAAAGTGTATGATGGTCTATATGGTCATTATCGTCGTATTCCCCTTGCTGCCATGTTTGATTGCACTCCAGCGGCGTAACGATACGCGGAAATGAGTCTCCACTTCCTTTGGACCCACTTGATTGGTTTTGAGCTGCCCCTGCTTCAGACGGTCCAGAAGCCCAGTTGCTTAATTTTTATTAAGTGTAATTGATGAGAAGCTCTCAAGTTCATTCGAGATGAATATTCAATACATAATGTAGAGTGGAATATCGTCTCAAAGAAAAATTGGAAACTATTTCTTATAATAAGGAGGTATAGACTTCCGCTTATGGGAAATTATAGAAATTCGTCGACAACCTTTTCACTATTCTTCCCAGTATTCATTCATACGATCAATCATAGGCCGGTCTATTTCATATAGGTATGGCATCAAAGGTCAGCATACCGTGGATTATTGGATTAAGGTCTGTGACTCACCTGTTCTGAGTTTTTTTGAAAATACTCTCGCTCACCCCCTGATTTTCCGAGTCCTTCCTTTTCAACGCCATCAGCCTATCATGTTGCATATCCAATAGAGCATTGAAAACCTCTTCATCTAGCCAACTTTCTGCTCGATGATAGATCGGTCATCGGTCGTCTGAAAGGATAAAAAACAAAAGTGCACGAGCCTCAAAAGTAGCTATTACCGGAGACGTCTACTTCAGCGGCGTGGAGTTACAAGTAGGCCTTGTAACGGAAAGGGATGCTAAAACGGGTGAGTTGAACTGGCTGGTGTTCGGCCATGCTGCTGGTGATCTCAGCACGAGCCGCTTAGCCCCCGAGCTCAAGGATTCATTTCTGGATATCTCACTCCAGCAAGTGGCGTTTATCGCTTCAAATCATGACGCTCCGGCGTTGTCTTATCCTGGACTCAAGTGCCCGGCTGTGCAGGGAATTCAGTTCTGCGCGGCAATTTATGGAATTCACAAGTTGGAGCAGCTGCTTCGCGGTAGTGTCAAGGGTATGGTGCTGAGGGCAGCCTATCACTCTAGCAATAAGTTCGGACTGAGCATCATCCTCCCCGGAGAACGTACCATCAGCTTCACAGACACTGTGTACACCGGCCCCTTGGAGGTTGAGGTCCAGGCATCTGCAACTGATATTCAACTTATCCTCAAGGTAATTTTGAAAGTGAAGCGGGACAAAGAGGGCGACGATGCACCCATGCAATTTGCTCTTGGGCTCAAGGCAAAACACCTTAGCCGCGAGTGCGTACGTGCAGATGTTGACCCATTTGACAAATCCATGTGGACCCGGCGAGGCTCAAATCCGGCCTAAGGCTACTCTGTGCGCTCGAATGCGGCAGGTTTTTATGTATGTACAAACTGGTCAATATTCCATCCATCTCCCGCGGCCAAATCAACAGCTCTTTCCATACAAAATCTTCAAAATTCCCGTTCCTGATTTCCCGTTCCTGATTTCCCGTTCCTGATTTCCCGTTCCTGATTTCCCGTTCCTGATTCCAAGCTTCCGAGCGTCTGCCAGTTGGCCGGCATGTTCTTTTAGCGTGAATCCATCAATCAGTATGCCTTCGCAACGTCCGTCTTTCCCATACAAGAAAAAAATAAAATGCATCGATCGGGAATCGAACCCGAATCCCCCGCTAACGGCAGAGATATATATTATCAATATCTACTATCCTGGAAGGCGGAGATCATAACCATTAGACCATCGATGCTTCTCGAGTTTGGGTTAATCAATTCAAGCTTGATCACCACAGGTACGCTAGGGGAGATTAGCCTCGCCGGTGAACTAGCTGTAGGATCTAAGAAGGCAGGCGTCGCGATGAAGCTGAGCCAGAACCCAAAAGAACAATTGTTGGCTGCGCAGATTACCGACCTAGGTGTCGTAGACCTTGTCCAGTCCGCTTCAATGATCGCAAATGAAAGATTCCCGGAGCTCGAGGACTTTCTTCACTTCAAAAATGCTGGGCTCTATCTTTCGACAGGAACTTCTATTGGGGCGACTGAATACCCTACAGGCGCATCTCTGAAAGGCGATATGACGATATCCGGAAAGCGGGCGCAATTCAACTGCAGTGTGGGATCCAAAGTACAGCTGCAAGCCTCGATCGAGCAATTCCAACTAGGGCCCGAAGTTTTGCGGACCAGACCCCATTTTAGATATCGAGTTATCCGCAGACACACAGCATGTCCTCATTGATGGGCGGTTCAAATCTGGGATGCTTCCGCTGCCTGTCAACTCGAGGCAATTTTGTATCCCAAGCCTAGCTTCGACTTAAGCGTCATGGTGATTTCTGTCTCAAAGACTACAAGTCTTGGACAAATGCCGATTTCGAGATCCATGGCTTAATGGAACAACACCTCATTGACCATGTTGTTGGACAACTCGAACAACAGTTACAAGCCGCACAAAATGCCGCCAAGCATAGCTTTGACGAAATGAAAAATGATATGGATGCTAAGGAGGCAGCTTTCAAAGAACACTGTCAGGCTGCTATAGACGATCTCGAAGCCTCCCGCGCCCAGTGGCTATCAAAGAAGGCCGAATTTGATTCGAGCTTCTAGTCCGCACATGCTGAGGCCACGCGTATTCGATAGGACCTAACAGCCAAAGTCGACGAGGCAGAGCGCGCCTTCAAGGATCTTATTACCGAAAAGGCAGCCGAGTTAGAGCGCGTACGAGCAGATGCAACCGCGGCCATTCAACAAGCGGATTATGATATTGGCGACGCACAACGAGATAGTGACAATGCGGTCCTCGAAGCGCAAAGTGATCTGCAGCAGGTCCGACGTGAATTCGAGCAAGGCTTTGGTGGTGCAGAACGCGACCTTGAGGGTGCACGTCATGAGGTCGAAAATGCGCAGCGCCATGTTGATGATCATGATCGTGACATTGACCACATTAACCGCCGTATAGATGATGGGCCCTGGTATAATTGCCCTCCACTACTTGGAGAGAAGGCTGGCTTGTTGGCTGCCCAGGCAGCGGCAACCTCTTCGCTCCAGGTAGTGCGCGGTATCTTCTTCGCGGCTGAGGGCATTGTGCACGGGACTGGATTTGTGGCAGCAGAAGGTGCAATTGGCGCAGCGGAAGTAGCATTAGATGGCGTGCAAAAGGTCAAAACCGAGGCATTGATTGTGGCTCGTGCAGGGCTTGACAGAGTCCGAGACGCTCAAAATGCGATCATTCAGACCGCCGTGGGTGGTCTTCCCGCGGTGGTGACTGCAAGCGACGAATTTCACGTCTTTTATGTCGCTCGTAGTGCACTGGAAGGCGTCGAGAGCCTTGCTCAGGGAGCAATTAGTGGTGCACAAGAAGCTGTTGATGGTTTAAGCCAATGTGGGGAGTTCATCGCCTTCGATGCTGCTGAGACGGCGCTTCGGTTCGCACAGAACAACACTAGCGAGTTGAACCTGGCCCGACATGCTCTAGAGCTGGCTGAGGGTGCAGTCAATTTGGGACTCGATCTAGGGCAGTGGGCAGTACACCATGCTGGACAAATCTTCAATATCATCAAAGTGGAATTTTCGGGCTCCGGGCAGAGTCTTATCCATGCCTCAGCCGGTACAGCTCCATTGCGTGTCACCATTTAAGGGACTGTTTTGGGTGAAGTATTTGATATTCAGATTGTGTGGAAGCCTCACTTTGATCCTGTAGCTCTTATTAAAAAGCTCTTTGCTGAACTGTGGGAGAAGATCAAGAGGTTAGCCAAGGATCTTCTCCATGTTTAATATTGTATAAATAAATCTTTAAGGTGCATCAATATCTGTTATTTAAGAAAGGATGCCTTTCCAATCTGATCTGTCTGTGTTAAAAGGGAGCAAGCCCTGGGAATAAGCACATGGCAGTGGCTGAGCTGGATTCAACATTTTGTGAATATCTACTTTCAACATGTACTACAGTGATCAAAATCAAATAATTTCATTCAAATTTTGGAGTATTAGCAACTGTTAGCAACTTTTTCATTAGACGAGGATAGATCCCGCCTTTGTAAGATAACTAACTGCCTGACACAGCATAGTAGCTGTCCATGTATGGCTTTTGGTGTTGGCCCGAATTCAAAAGTCCGATGATAGTCAGAGGATCGCGGCTGTCAATGGGTGGCTGCTGGTTTTGGCCCGAAAGCGCAGAGTCTGGGATTGAGGGTCATAAATGTTGAAGAAGGGGCTAAAGATAGTAGGCCCCATAAACCCCTCAGTGAGAATATGAACTCTTTGAACCTTCTTTTTTTTTTGGTATACTCCCTAACATGGATCATTGGGTCTTTGGGGAACAGCTCGCCCAGCTTAAGCTTGGTGTAGTCTTTGCACAGGAGTTTATCCATTAGCGAGAGCATAAAAACCATATAACAAACTAGCTAGAACATAGTAAACCCATCGACAGTATTAATAAGTACTCGAGCCAAAGCTGGCTACTTCCTAACCTTCTTCAAAGCTTCTATGAATACGCGATGTTTCTTAATCACACCGTCATTATGGGAGACTCTATGGCCTTGCCATGCACGGAAGATAAACCGGCACCAAATAATCTTCTTCGCAGCCATCACGTTTACATGGTCTGGGATGGCTTCCCAGGACCCCAGTGTCTCAACTAATGCAAGGGTGAGGTACTGTACAGGTTTTCCCCACTGTAGCATAATACCAACTGGAGTGGTATTGATATTTTGGGCGAGTAACATGTCCCATGTCTTACTCCTTAGCCGACAGTCAGTAGATCCTTTGCGTGCCAGGACGAGATTTGTATCAATCTCGAAGATTGATGGGTAGTCGATTTTTGCCTGCTGCCTGAGGTATTCAGCTTCATACATCGTGCCTAGTCGATAGGCCGTGTTTTCTGTGAGATCGAGTACTTGCATGAATATCTTAAAGAAGTTGGAAGAGGGAAGGTGGAAATGACGGGAAGGTGAGAGATGAGAAATCCACCTGGGCACTTATTGTCGCTTTTGAGTGATGTAAGGTCAAATTATTCTCAATGAGGTTGTGGTCTCTTAAATAAATCACCAGTAGCACCAATTCAAGTTGCTGTGCATGAGTGCAACATGATTCTGGCCAGCGAGAGAATGGTCCTCTCCGGAAACAACTGGAAACGAAAATCTGGCGAGACGAGCCAGATGTGAACCTACTAGTACTATATTCTCCACCTTTGTGGCCCTGTGTATGTATTTATATTCTCTATCATATATAGTATGTTTTGCTTCATCCGTGTCTGCTGAAACTCGCTTTAGTGCCGATGCATGGTGCCGATGCATGGAAAGGATGACGAGGGGGGTACTCTACATCAGAGGTGTGGCTCTTTTATGGAGGCAGGGACAGCTGACCTACCAGGAGATCTCCTTTTAATGGTGCTTTGTTGCCGCAAAACAGAGAATGATATGAGCAGACAAATCCTGTGGTTCTGAGTATTGATTTCCAATTCTTATGATAATATTATAGAACGATCTCTATATTCAATTTCTATTGATTACACGCGAATCCTTACATATATTATCACCTGTATTGTTACGATCCTTGAGAATGTAGTCCCACTTCTTATCTTCGCGGTGAAGTGATGAAGTGGTGCTAGCCGCAATCTGCAAGCCAGATGAGGCGTGGCGTGAATATCCGGCTCGGGAGTATCCGTAAACCGGCTTATTTATAGACATTGCTTTCTTCTCAGACATTCTCATTCAACTTTCTGCCTATCTGCCCTCCCTGCCTCTATCACAGATGTCACTTCAATATTTTCCAACTGACTTGTTTCCTAGACCGTCCCAGACAAGCCGACCTACCTAGGTTCATGTCACAAAAGAAGGGGGGGCAGCAGATGTGTTCCACTATGAAGTAGTTGACTCCAGTATAAGCACTTGGAAAGATATTCTCTCTGCGCTCGACGATGCGCTCAGATTTGACTATCCAAACGAGCTACTCTGCTGGCAGGGAGTTCTTCCCGGAATGATAATCAAACACGTCTACATCACGGAACTCAGCTTTTGGTCCATCGTAAGAGCGAACAAAATGCATTCTTCTCAACCCGATATCCATCTCAGGCTGGCAGCCTGACCTAATCCATGGAAGGTGAGTAGCTCTAGGCCCCTCGATTCAACGTGTTTATCTTGACCGATTCGTTTTTAGGTTTACAAAACATCTACGATTGTACCTTGTTCCTCACGCAGCTCTAGAAAAGAAAAGAAAGAAACGTAAAAACTCTTCGCGTGGAATGAATCCTTTACTGGATATTCCAGTAAAGAGTGAGGTTTGAAGAGAGCCACTCGCCATAAAATCGGCAGTATGGGCTTTTGAATGGTGATAATTCTGACGAGGGTCGCTTTTTACTCGTGACATCGAAGGGTGTCCTGCAGCGAAAGGCCGAAAACGATATTGAGTGGAGATAGAGTGGATTATTGTCATTGAATCCGCGAATAATGCAATCTTTCTCCCATTTTTGCGTATTTATCCGTGATTTTTGTAGGCGGGGGCACAGGAGAACCCAAAGCCTGATCGAATCTGCGATGATATTGAAAGTACTTTAGCTAACCTAGTTGGAAACACTATCCGTTGTAAATCAACATGTCAGATTTCTGTCTGAGAATTTTGAATTTAAGGTATCCAGAAGTCACCTTTGTATTTCCACTACCTACTCCCCTAGAAATCTTGCGGCATGTTATTGTACGCATTTGTCTACACATAGTCCTGTTGCTCATTTCCTAAAAAGGCAACCAGAAGAAGAGATCACGCAGTAAGCTGTCACCTATTTGGAATTATGCTTGTAATCGGGATTCCACTTGGGTATCTCAAGTTCTCGAAGGCCACGACGTAAGACACAGATGCCAGCATAGTCTTGAAGCGGGTGGTCTGCTCCAGCGCGTCAACGGTTTCGGACACGCGGTCAAGGAACATGTCGTTCTTCTTTGGGGGCTTCTCGTCACCGAGACTGTCGAAGGCTGCGGTGGCTATCACGTTGGAGTGGCTGTCGCTGGACATAATAGATCGAATCAAAACCTGTGGCATCCATCCGAACGCTTCGGATCAGTATGGGGAAATAAAATTAATTTATTGATCCGGTAGTATCAAATAAATTGGCCCTTGCGAGGGCCTATATAGCAACCAGTAGAAGTTGTTGGAAGAGAAATACACAGAGATCTAGGAATTGGGTATTCCCACTCCAGCAAGGGTAACATGGTACGCAGGGTTCAAAATAGGGCGGTGCTTTTCGTCCTTGGCCATTTTTATGCCTTGTCGGTGGCTGGGACCAAATAATACCGGCTACCGTTCTACCCAAGTTTAAGTTGACTATATACTATTTGCTGTTTCGAAATTTAAAGATTTTTGATGCTCCAATTTGATAAACGATGCTGATTGAAATCGAGAACGAAGACCAGGTTCGGTGGATAGTAAGCCAACGATACTAATATCAGCCATATACTAATTACAGAGAACAGAGAGGAAGTTGACCCGCTCAATAAGGGGGTTGTTAAGCATGCTTGGAGCCCTAATGAGTTGAAAAATTAGGCAAACAATTTTCTTATAATGCATCGGAAGATCCCTGCTCCTGTTCTCCAGGAAGAGTTTGAAGAGCAAGGGGTGTTCACGGCATTTTCTTTCCCCTTACGGCCGAAGCCAGATATGCCGCCCGGCTTATTGTGGATAGTGAGATTTTTCAAGAGAAAAAAAAACTTAGAACCATACCACTAAACCTGCAGGATTTCTGGGAGTAAAAAAAAGAAATATAGAGGAGTCACGAACAAGAAAGGAAAAAAGAAATGGCGCTGCCCGGAATCGAACCGGGGTTATGACAGATAAGTATGATTACCACAATGTCAGGTCTTGACCACTGGACCACAGCACCGGATTAGTAATATGGATTAGCGGCCGGAAACTATAAGCTACGAAAGCAGAACACAAGACATGAAAAGAAGTAGCGCTGCCAGGAAATGACAAGTCGTGAATTCGGTGCCATAGCATTTGTTTTATGAATTCGATCATGATATAACACAATGGAATAATTCAATGTCAAGCCAGAGATAAGCATATACTCCCTACAACCAATGGTTCGGCCAAGATGTACAGCATAAGGTGTATAGATAGTGGGTGGGCCATTTCATGGATCGGTAGGTATATGTTTGAACTTCAACTTTGGAGAAAGGGAAAAAAAAAAGGAAGAAAAAATTCAGGATGACCGTTGGAATATATCACTATTCTACCCGTTGATCTGGTAGTTTAAAAAACTATATAATTGCCTATAAATCCAAAAGTCGATCCTGAAATCTCGATGGGGCCAGCCCAGAACTACCCGCACATATTAGGACGGATATATATCTATGTTTCAAGTCACTACTACTAGTACATCTCGGGCATTTTGCTTCAAATATAAGACCTAACCTGAATTTGAAGGTCATATTACCCATAACAAGGTTGAAAATCTTCAATATTCACCTACTAGGATTCAATACATTGAAATCTTACATTCAAGTTACCTACACCGTACTCTCGGGTGACGGCGAATTACCCGTCCTGGTTTAGCTGTTCTTAGGATTAGCACTTCAGGCGTCTTGCTATCGCCGTACGTATTTCTTATTTCTATAAAGGGAACCTCGGGAGTTTGGTTACCTTTTTAATGCATTCATGATGTTACAGGTAATGACCACGAGAGGGAAAGATGGTTCATGGTAAGAGTCGGTAGCTATCTATCTAAGGGGGTGGTCACCTGACACATGGGAGGAAACACATCTGACCACATCAAGACACCGTGAATGAACATTTGAAGGCACCTGGATTGATGGACTGTGTAAATGATGCAAGCGTTCGCTCCCTAAAGGAGCCGCGGGCTTTCCAACCAAATCAAGGTGCGCGCTCTTCCAAGAACTTCTTCTTCTGCGCGCCCTTGCCACAAAAAAAGCCCTCTTCTTCTGTGACCAAGCACCATGTGCCTCTCATTTCGTGATACTATGCAAAGGGTGCGGAGGATCTTTCAGCAGCCGATAGATATTATCTCTCCACCCCCTCCTGAGATGTGGCGCCTTTTCGTTGCCCTCAACAAAGACCCATCCGAAAGCTTCAACTACAAAGAGACCGACCAGTACAAACTTGATGTCGGATTCTTCGACCTAGCAATTGATAAGATCGACTCCTTCCCCTGCCTCTTCTCATCTTGCGCAAAAGAAAAACTGGATCTCTACAGTTTAGACTTGGGTGATAAAAACACTAAGGACTCCACCCTATCCATCGAGAAGAACATTGGAAAAACAGACTTCAAATCTTTCGGTGGTACCCCAGTCTCACATTTCCGACGCTTACGCCTTCTCGCGGATCATTTAGTCCGGATGGCATCTGAATATCGATTTAGGAGGATGACAAAGGATGGGAATTTTGATAGCAAGCCTCTCGCATTCACTATCTGTCAATGGAGAGAGTTTGGGTAAGTAGCTATTCTTTGGCTATACGGCTCATACTCATCCTTTTCTATCACTTAGAAAATGAAATGCTGATTACCGATTCTTCTTTAGTGCGGAGCGTGCTGAGGATTTTTTTTTCTGCCGACTATTCACCTAAGCGCCCAACCGAGCACCCAACCTGGTCAATTGAGAGCCTTGTTATCAAATCCAGCAAGCTACCACACCGGAAGGTGGTTCTTGTGACAGACCATGAGGTAGAAGACTCTTATCTTCTTAAACGCGAGCTTTTGACTCTTCTCTCTTTCACGATCGAGTGCTACCAATTTGAGAACATACAACCTATTACTATTATTCCGGCAAGGAAGTGGTTTCTCTAAAGTGTACAGTCCTAATTAATCTAACCGATACTCCAGATTATGCTATTCTCCTTTACACCGCCCTATAATCTACGGGTTATAGTTGCTTATTTCGACAACAAGCGAAACCGTCCGGTTGTTCGTGTGTCTCAAAACCATCCTGTACGCAAGAAAGAGAATATGGAGGAAGACAAAAATACTCGTTCTCTGTTCCTGCGTTGGTTTCTTGCGGATATCGGTCCTGCGAAAATCGAAAGGGTCTGTTAAACTCGGTGATCAATGTACAACCCCATTGCTAGGATTAAAACACAGAAATTCCACATCTCCTCTTTTTGACCGATGTGGTACGGGCCGTAGCATTCGCAGATAAGAAATGGTCCGTCTGCACAGCTGTCCATCTTTCCTTGAATATAGTTTGTGTAGCCATCCTCCGCTGTGATGAATGTGATATATGTCATCACTATTTTGAGAGATGACCAAATGCCTAAAAGGGGGCTGTGTTAGCTCTGCGGAAGTATATATAATTCTTTCTGAGTAGGTGCGTGCTTTTTTTACCTTCCATCAAAAGGCCCACTAGCACCATAAGCTTGTATAAGGCTGACTACTTGTGCAGTCTCTTGCATAAGAATCTTCTCCTCCCTCTTTCCTCGTTTTCGCTTCTTGACTTCGATACAAGCCAGGACCTCTTTGTCTATGACACGGCGGAGAGCACCATCTGTTACAGCATTATAATTTGCTGCGGCGAAACATGCACACTCCCGCTAATGACACACAATTCATTTGGATGGACCCACTTTTTTGATTTTACATATAAAACTCCCGCTTTTAACACACTCACCTTTTCAAACAACTTTTCGGCTGAGTCATTTGCTTAGTCATTGATATTGACCAATCAGAATGCCTGAATTATCTGATCTCCCATCTAGATAACACCGAAACTGAAGATCAGACCGAAACTGATTCTCAACCACATGCAATTTCTGAGCCAGGGTTGACTAGTAAGATTCAAGCTCTATACAATTAAACCAATTGAGAAGCTTAGTTATGATAATATTATATTATTCGATTAATTCTTGAACCTAGCAGAGGAAGATATTGTAGTTGAAGATAAGACCGATAGGCAAGATATATATATTAGTATAAAGCTCAGAAGCACAAGATCTTGAAGACAACGGGCCACTACCAGAGCTATTGTCTAATTCTGAGGTCATAGTTCAACTACAGGGTATATTACTATAGGCTAGAAGCAAAGAAAAGAGCACATCAGACCATATACGTCAGATTGAGAGCGTAATCAGTGATTTCAGCGAATTCAAACCGAAGAGAAGCGTCATGTGACCTTGGAGGATATGGGATGGAAGCTATAGGCAATAGGGTTAGCTGACTAATTGATTATATAATTCTCTATGATTTTCCTTGGATAGAAGGGTGTGCAATAAGTGAGAGTTGACTGTAGTAGTGCATGATGCAAACAATTATGATGCGTGCATCTTTCATATTCTCAGACCCTTCGAGTTGTTGAACAGCTAATGACCTCTATCCACATCAAAACTAATGACTGACGAATTGAGTAAAGAAATTGCGATTTTCATAGACTGGATTGCATCTAATTTCAATCATTCCGACCAAAATAGCGTATCAAGGTCTATTACTATCTATAGAGCAAAGTAGAGCAACACAGTGCAAAAGCACAAACCAAGAGAACGAAACAAAGGGGGCTCGGATTGCTTGGACTCTGTCAACACCGTGAATTAGTTCAAGGATTGAAACATTACGGTCGGGATTCGCATAGAGTATGCCGGCGAACAGGCTAGCCCTGGCTATAACCCACCTACGGAATTAATTTCAGGGTCTATCACATATCTTGATTAGACGTTTCACTCGTGGAAATCGAAATGTAATAGCGTTGCGATCTCTAATTCCTGCTCGTGGTCCAAGGGCGCGAAACAATGAAGGGAGAATGGGAGTACCCCTGCTGATAGACCAAAATCAGTGGTCGACGGTATCCCTTGCAGGGTGATTTACCATGCGTCACGAACTCCACAATGCTTTGGTTAAGCACACAAATCAAGGCTATTCAGTTACTATGATCACATCTAACGGGCTTCATAGGCCGGATACATGCCTTAGTGCCCGATGTGCTGCAGGGACCAGAGAGGCCCTCGACGTGTTGTTGTCCCCCTTGTGGGGCGTTGTTGGTTAGTTCAGGAACCAAATATCCTGGACCCACCTAATCTGTAAATCCTTGAGTTTAACCTAGTGTTTGAATTAAGGTACGGGATATTACCGGTACTAAGATTGAAATGCCGTTAAGGAGTGGCACGCTACAGTTTTTCGAAACATATTCGAGCCGTAGTCAGCTAGTATTGATTCGGTACCTGGTGTTTTTCAAAGGCTATCCTAGAATAATCAGTATGCATGAACAGAACATGGACCTGTGGAGACCGGAAACACTTGGCCGAACAAACAAGAGTGCTAGGGCTTAGGAATGCGAGGGCAGGTGCCCACATCGCGTGAAGACCGTACCCTAGACCCAGTAGATCCATACCAGGAGATGGTGGGAAGAACGCTGTTTGGCCCGCTAGCCCTAGAGAGTGGAGTGATCTGCTCCCTTCCTTTCCTGAAAACCCGCATTCCGGGGAGAGGGAGGAAGATTACTCAGAGCAGGGAAATAAACAGAGACACATGCTCAGGAAGACTGAACAAGGGTGCTCTCAGACCGCCAGCAGAAGTGTATATAAGCCTGTCCATTCATCGCTCTGTCTTGCTTCTTTCCATCCACGCATCACTCTCTTTAATCTTCTCTTCTTTTCGAAGTACAGTCTTCTACTCCAGGAAACTATTACCTTTCGTTCAATCCCGAACCCACAGTCACAATGCAATTCACTATCTCTGCTGTCCTCGCCCTCGCCGGCCTCGCCGCTGCCCTTCCTCCTGCCGGGCCCAACGCTGGTGGTGTTGGCAACGCCAACGGTGTTAACAACAAGGGTAACACCGACGTTCGCTTCCCTGTTCCCCAGAGCATGACCGTCAAGCAGGCCCAGGCCAAGTGTGGTGACCAGGCTCAGCTTTCTTGCTGCAACAAGGCTACCTACGCCGGTGACACCACTGATGTCAACTCTGGCCCGCTCGGTGGTGCCCTCTCCAACCTCATCGGTGCTGGTTCCGGTGCCGACGGTCTTGGTCTCTTCGACCAGTGCTCCAAGCTGGATCTCCAGAGTAAGTTTTCTTCCACACCACACCCAATCACCAATCCACTAGCTAACCTATCACAGTCCCCATTCTCATTGCCATCCCCATCCAGGATCTGGTCAACCAGAAGTGCAAGCAGAACATCGCCTGTTGCCAGAACTCTCCTTCCAGCGCCGTAAGTATTCACAGTTCACACTTACTCATGACAATATCTAATTTGTTCACAGAACTCCGACCTGGTTGGTGTTGGTCTGCCTTGCATTGCTCTTGGCTCCATCATCTAAGCTTCTTCATTTTTCTTGCATTATGCGAGAAGCATTGGTTACCATGTCGGGTTCTCTGGACCTCGGCTCAGTTGCCTCTGACATGAAGGCGAAAGTGGACCGTTATCGATTCTCAGGGATGAGATCAGGCGTACTTGATATTTGTTTTGAATAGTTTGGCGACCTGTTATTGCAGACCGTGTATCATTAACTGTGTCATGTGGCACCACCTCGGAGAAAGAAGACTGTTTTGTTTCACGTTGATGTTTTGATATGGTGCTCTTTGCTTCTTGTCCTGTGCAATAGACTCCCTAGCTGCTGTCTAGTCCGAGTTCTTTTCGCATATATAAGTTTAATCCATTAGAATAACATCTTGTTTCCTATACCCTACACAGGATCCTCTGTAACTTCCAAAACCTGTAAGACTCGCGTCTATGATCGCTCATCATGCATGTTGCACACCGCCTCCCTTCCTGTGCTTCCTTTGTCTCCCATTTCTTCTGCTCTTCTCTTGTTGCGCAGCGCCCAATCCTTGTCACTTAGGCCTTCCACCGTCGGGCAAGGCCATCCTCAACTTCAAAAAATTGCATCCGACCCTTAAAAGCTGTAACACTCAGTTCAGGGTGTTCCCCACAAAGCACCTCGGTAGACTTTTTGGCTTAGTGGGACCATCCAACGGAAACTTTGCAATGCATGATGTCCATTATTTTTTGATGCAATATAGGTCATTAGATTCTACCTACTTTTATTTTTATCCATCTACAAAGCTCCCATGCACAATTTCAACCACGAACTCCAATCACCACGGCCGTCCAAATCCATTGCCCCTCCAAACCCCAAACTCCGTATCTCGACTACTCAACCCATTAAGTTCCAACCATTTCAATTCAGCCCTTTCATCGACCAAGAAATCCTCCTCACTAATACATCTTCCATCCATCCACTTCGGCTCAGCAGGTCCCCGCATGGTCTTCAAAGACAAAGAAGACCGCGGTATCTTCAACGAAGTACTTTTCTTCAGCAACCCAGTCATGGACCTTTTAATCCTTGACCCAGTTTGCTTCTGACTCTGACTCTGACTCTGACTCTGACTCTTATTCTGAGTCTGGCTTTGGCTCTGGCTCCGGCTATGACCTTGACTCTGCTCTTTCCTCATCCTCCCCGATTTCCAATTTCCATTCGTATTCCTCAAACTGCTAGTCGTATGTGCGATATTCTTCCCATTCGTTCTCCCCGTATCAATCGGATCCTGCAGCCTCTTCGCCGGCGTATCAAACGGTGGTTTCACAGTATCCATCTTCAAGATAGGATACTCAGGCATAGACAACGCCCTCACAGCACGACTAGTAGCAGGATCTAGTGCCTCGGCATTATCGAAAAGTGTCTGAAGATTCAAGTCGGCAGGCGTGAGTCTTTTGCGATGAGCAGGAGACTCAGTAGGAATGGTAGCTTCTTGAACATCGAGCCGGATTGTCGATGCAAGACTGTCTACTCTTGTAAGAGAAGGGACATTGGATGGGATTTTGATTAGGTCTTTCGAGTCTTCGTGGTGGGGCTTGGAAGTTGATATAGACAGTTTGCGAGAGATTTTGTTATTGCGCACTGAGCGCGTTATAGACGATATGAAGCCCATTTTGAAGTAAGCGATTTAGACTGAAATAGTGTATGAAGCGCTGATGTCTGAAAGTGGAATGGAATATGTGTTGAGTAGTTCCACAAAAGGATGAGGGGAGCGTAGAGGTAATATCAATGATAAGGTAAATATGGGGCAAGGGGGGTTTAGTTAAAATTGCTGCAATGCATTTGCACAACATTGGAAAAGAAATTTGCTAGTACTATTACGAGTTATACCGCTTCTCCTCCATCCCGATCTTTGATGGTTAGACTAATGCCGGAGCTAGCGATTGCAGTGAAACTGTCGATCACAACTTTAGAGCTACCTTCAAAAAATCGTATTTTCTACTTATGATGAGGTAGACAGCTAATTCTTGCCAGTTTATACACTATTCCTATTAAGATACGCTACTAAAATAGTCCTTGAAATCGTCCCACTAGCCAGATCGTGGGGGTTAACAATCTCTTTCACATTATGAAAATGAAATAAAATGTATGATTAGACAGATACGCTGCACAGCAACAAACGCATTGAGCACCTGTGATTGAAACGTGCAGTAAGCTCCTGCAAGTCCGCGAAATCGATCAAAACAGATCCAATCGCAGGTGCCGGAACCCACATTCCCCAGGTGATCCTCAAGGGAGGAAAGCAAGGATCCCCCAGCAACGCCTTGAGCTCAGTACGAGCAAGTCGCTCATATTCCATGAAATTATTCCTCTGCTTTGTCAGTATGGTATGTGTGGATTTTTGTAATTCAAATGCTCTCATGGGGTTGGGAGCGACGCAATATGTGGACAGGAATGTTTGTTAGGGATCTACATGCGAGGTCGATTTTCTGCGTTTTTAACTTTGTTTAGGAATGTGAATAGCTTTCTAACAGCTCGCACTGACCTCTGGAGGCGCTTTCTGTGTGAAGGCTACTTTCATAGAATGAAGCGCATGTATGCCCTTTGGAGAAGGTGTCTCGAGGAAGCAAATATGGATTATGCTTGATGTAGTACTTCGTATCCATAGCTACCCACCGTTGAGGTACAAAGAAGGATAGTACTCGTCGAATAGGTAACAGCCAAATAGGGATTCGTCTACTCCATAGCCCTTTTGTGAACTATTTGAAAGTGGTTCACAATCATCGAAGGAACTGGCATGTATTTATTGAACAAGGAATAGACATAAATCAAGATCTACAACTATGACTCCTCACAGCTTGCTTGCAGGAGCACCACTATACAGAGACTCGGTACGTCTCATAGCCTCCAGGGCCTCTTTCTCAATGCGCTCAAGCAGCACGGCGCAGGTAGGAATATCGTGGATTAACCCAATAACCTGTCCAGCGGTCCATACCTATGAAATCCATTAGCTTGCGTACCGCATTAACTGCAAAGACGTCACTTACTCCAAAGTCCTTATCACCATTAATGAACACCTCGCGGCCTCGCTTGCCACTAACGTAAGGAGCAATCTCACTGAACTCACCAGTGGTGCTCTCACGCTCAACCTTCAAAGCATCACTAGTCACCTTATTTCCAAACAAACGGGTAGTGTTCTTCCACCGGCGCAGAACAAGAGCAGTATCTGTCTCCTGAGCCTCCACAATAGCCTCCTTGATCTTCTGATGAATAGGAGCCTCAACAGTACTCATGAATCGAGTTCCCATGTTAATACCCTCAGCACCAAGGGCAAGGGCAGCAGCCAGACCCTGTCCATCCGCAAAGCCACCAGAAGCAATGAATGGGACGCCCAGCTCCTGACGCGCGCGACTGAGCAGAATGAAGTTTGTGATATCGTGTTCGCCGACGTGGCCGGCGCATTCGAAACCGTCAATAGACAGAAAGTCAACGCCCAGCTTGACGGCAGATTTGGCGTGGCGGATAGTAGTGCACTTGTGCAGGATGATGATGCCGGCCTTCTTGAGCTGCTCGATCACGGGACCTGGGTTATTACCGGCTGTTTCGACGATCTTGATTCCTTCGTCGATGACCACCTGGGCGTAGGCACCGTAGTCTGGGGGGACAAGAGCGGGGAGGAGGGTGATGTTCACGCCGAAGGGGTACTTGGTCATGGTGCGGCATCGTCGAATTTCGTTGCGTAGGTCTTCGGGCGTGGGTTGGGTGAGAGCAGTCAGCTGGAATTTGATGTTAGAGATCCATATATTCCAATGTAGATTGTAAATAAGCTGGGGGTCCAAAATATGACGTACGAGTCCAAGTCCACCGGCGTTACTGACAGCCGAGGCCAGCTCAGCGTATCCCACCCACTGCATGCCACCCTGTACAACAGGCACTATTAATAGTTAGTTATGTGCGCCTCGAATAAAAAGCAATACCGAGTGCTTACCGCGAATGCCCAACTTGCGGGTCAAAGCTGTGTTGAAAGGCATCTTGTCGAAGAGCAGATCAGCTCGCTATCTAATCAAACCAGAGCTGGATCAAGCGGAGTCTATGGCTGAAAAGGGATGCTGGTCGTATAAAAGAAAGTTGGTTGATGGCGTCTATCACACGGCAACACGGGGAAATGAAGATAAAGCCGAATTTATGGCACAGAAGAAAGAAAGTAACGTGTTAAAAGGCCCCCCAGGATACAGTTAAGCCGCGGACCTCTGGTGTGGGGGAGATTCAAGTTGCCGAGGCTCGGGGGGCCGAGCATAAATTGATTAGTCGGCTTAACTTTTAGAACCATGATCACTAATGCAGGTATTCAGATCGGAACAACCCAATACATCTGAGTGATTGAATGCTGAACAGTTGGTATAAACCGTGGTTATAGAATAATCCATGCAAGATCATACTTCTTTTCTTCTCTTTACTCCGTTGCCATATGGTACCAGAATTGCATGTGACACCATACCACGGCGATAAAGCCAAAAGGGTCACGTTTCTCCGGAGTTGGTAGACAAAGAGCTCCGTATAAAGCCAGTCCAGGTGCTCATACAATGCTGTTTATGCAAAACATACACGGCATTCAGAGATACAATGCCTAATAACAGCTTTTCCAAAGAGGCAAATGACCTTCCGGACCACAGGTGGGAGTTCAACATACACCATGAACTCCGGCGCACTCCCTGTAGTATCTATACAATGGGCAAACCGCCCGTGTGGAGAGAGTAAAGTCTATGATAGAGCTTCAATCCAATGCCAATTGGCCATCTAAACAACTACGATTTTTTAAGTATTCATGTAACCCTGATATGAAACCCATCGGACTCATGGGAAGAGACAAATGGGCGATTAACGACGGGAGTCCTTCTACGAGCCTCGTAAATCTCTCCGATGTCACGACAGAATGCCGAACCCAGAGAGTGCTAAACACATCAACTTCATTCCACGAATGGTTCATCAACGTGAGCGGAGACTCGTGGAAAGAAAAGAAAGAAAAGAGAAAAAGGGGCGGAACGGGGGAACAGAGAAAGTAACAAAAGTGGGAGACAAGCGAGAATGGTCACGTGAGAGATGGTCTCCATGGCTGATGGAAGAAGGATCTTCCGGAGTGTGTAATTGCCTGAGTTTCCATTGGTTCCCGGCCTCCAATCCCGTGACGGCTCAAACCCGAGGTTACCGTTCCGATCGTTCGCGATAGCCGTATTCTTCTCTTCACAACGTGAGAACATCGACAACAGCAAGCATCATGTTCTCTCAGAAGGTTGCCCAGCAGTCGCTGCGACGGCGTATGTCTACTCAATTCCTCTTTATCCCCCAGATTTGACCTTGAAACTGACAATCTTCTCCCGAATCTAGTTGCCGTCCAACAGCCGAACCTCATGCAGTCAATGGTGATGCGCGCTTCCCCCGCCGCCATTGCGGTCGGCAATGTCCAGAAGAGGTCAGTTTTCTACAATTACAAGACCGTGACACATTCCTCGATATCGCTCTCTGCCCCAGAAAGCGCACCCCGCGAAAACAACCCCATACGTCATTCATCAATCGATCCTAAAAACTAACCCGCAATTATATCCATACAGACTCAATACTTCCTCCACTGACAAGGAGGACCCTACCCAGATCCTGGCTAGACAGCGTCTGAACCGTCCTATCGCTCCTCACCTGACCATCTACAAGCCCCAGATCGGCTGGATCGGTTCCTCCCTGCACCGTATCACTGGTGTCGCCCTCTCCGGTACTCTCTACCTGTGGGCCGCTGCCTACCTCGCCGCACCTACTCTCGGCTGGCACCTCGAGTCTGCCTCCATGGTTGCTGCCATGGGTGCTCTTCCTCTCGCCGCCAAGGTTCTCCTCAAGTCCACCATGGCGCTTCCCTTCACCTACCACGCCATGAACGGCGTCCGCCACTTGACTTGGGATCTGGGCCGCGGCCTGACCAACCCAGCCATCATCAAGTCTGGCTGGACCGTTATTGGTCTCAGCGTCACCAGCGCTATTGCTCTTGCTTTCCTGTGATTTCATACCTCATACCTCTGAGTTTCCTTGTGTTATTAAGTGATTTTGTCAAGATTATACATGAAATCTGGTCCATGGCGCGGCTCTCAAAAGGCGCTATTTCTTTTTTTTTGATATCATTATTTAAGTTCATATATCTTTTATTCCTGAGTTTTCCATCTTTTCTCTGATAAGGTCCGAGGGGCTCAAGTTTCTTGCGACATGTCTATTTTGTATTTTCTATTAAAAGGTGATTGATGTCTATCATGAGCCAAATGCACGTTTAAGTCAATCGGCAACAGTATATCATGTAAAGACACCGGCTACGTATACTACTACTGACTGCCCAATGGCTGTGAAAGTTAATTCAAGAAAGACCACTGCCAAGAATAGCGGTTCGTATCTGATCAATTCTGAATTATCTCAAAATTCAAATTCTCAAGTTCAACATAAAAACACAATATCTCTTCCACGGTCCTCATAGTCCAAGTACATTGGCCATGACAGCAATGGTATCATTAAGGTTCATTTAAATATCCAAACACAACATCTCGTACAGGCAACGGAAATGCTTCGAAATATGGTCTAGGTCCGTGTTAGTTACTAGCTCGTATAGCACAATGGACAAGTGGCGGGCTGACCTATTAGCCTGGTTTTGTCCTCAACGCCCTCGAAATCAAACTCAATTTGTAACATTCATGCAGGGCTTGGAGGAGGGTTCGGAGGGAAGGGTCGTGGCGAAGGAGGATCTTGCACGGAATGGTTGCAGGTTGGGACGAATGGTGTGGAAGTATAGAAGATGTCGGTGGACGAGTTTACCGAGGAATTGCAATGAGCCATGGTGACTGAATTGAATTCGAAGCAACAGTAATATAATAATGAAGATGATGGAATCGAGTAAAGATTCTGGATTATTCCAGAATATAGAATAGTATAGGTAGAGGAGAGTAGAGTCAAAGTCAAAGTCAAAGTCAAAATGTAGATATTGGCGAAAGAACTCAAAGTTTAGAATGAGAGAGGAAACACAAGGCTTTAGTGAAAATCTCAAATCGCCACAGCTTGATAAGAAAAAGAACAACACATTTTTCCTGGTCGATCCTCTCCATTTAATAGTTCACAGACCCCCAGAGCAATCGGGGCTGTCGGAGACGCCATGTCTCCCCAAGCCGTACACCGCCATCCACATCCCAATCCAGAACGCATAAACGCGTTTGGAAATATGATTATTTGTTTCCCTTCCTGTACCGGTTACCGGGGCTTAGATGTGGCTTCCTAGTCGTTAGATCTGGAAATCTCTCGGTAGCCCCTGCAAGGGCCCGCCGGACGGAATTCGATGTATAAACCGCTGGACGGGGCCGTCACACCCGCTTGTCTCGACTGAGGTTGTGCCAAGGTACTATTCAAGTTTGTATTGCGCTTCGTAGCTTGAAATAATACGACTGCACGATACAGATATCTACTAGTGGGTATAATGAAAGCACAAGTGTACACATGGCCGTATATGTAGGGTATTTGTACAATGATACTTTAAATGTGAAGATGTATCAAGCACTTCAGGTGGATGTTGTAGTCGAGTACAGTACATACTGTATCTGTTGCATGGACCCACTATACCCTGGGAGAATACTTTTCGAAGCAATCAATGTATGATGTATGTATCTAGGAAACTTATCAAAAGTACACTGCGGTAAGATGAAGTATCCACTCATAGCGAAACAACAAATTATCCCCGACGAAATTTACTGTCTGCATCTGCCTAATTGAAGATCCTTTCCCCAGAGCTTCCCGGAGGCTGCAGATTCCAGTGGAGTGACACCAGCGGTCTGACCCGTCAAGCATCGGTTTCTTGCAGGGATCATAGTCGGTGCTCATTTACGCCTGGGACTCATTGTAGATCGCGGCTACTGACTGAGAGTACTAGTGTATTTGTTCTTTTCAGTCCTTCTCCGTTTCATTGGCCTTGGAGAGGAATCCTAGTCAATAATGTCTACAAGACCTACCTAGGAGGCAAATCGACTATCATTAACCATGTAATGGTTAGCCGTAGATTTCTCTTTGGGAGTGGCAAGCGTAAATTATTGAAAGGCCAAAGAATGAAAGGGCTACATTTGGCTTCATTGTTACTCGATACCTTGCCACCTTTTCATGTCTATTAGACAATCCCCATCACACAATAGCATTATACAGTTCCCTCCAAACTTTGCCATGGGGGGAGACTACAGGCCATAAAGATTTCTCGATGTCGTCCTCAACAGACAACATAAGGATATAGCAAGCGCACAGGCCAGCAAACACGACACACGTGGATCAAGCGGTGCGTCCCACAGTAGTACAAAATGTGTCCTGCCTTATTCAGGGGGGATACAAAAGAGCCGTTGACAAGATAACACAGCAGGACGATATCCTTAGTCCGTCCACCGCGGGAAACAAGGGTTTCTTGAACCAACCACCGTGTCTCGGCCGGCTCCACGGCTGCCAAATCCCGTTGGCGACATCAAGCGGTCTCAAAATCGGCCGTGCTTGATCTTGTTCTACCCTACCTCTTGCTCGGCCGAAGGCCAGGGGTAGAGTTGAAACCTTCTGGTCTATCCATAGAACGCCACCGAACATTCTCCTTGGGACTTCTGATGCAGCATCTGAAGCACCTAGAACCTTACTTCTTCGAGATCAGTGTTACCTCTCGGCACCGGTTACATAGAGACCTGTGCCCGGATGGTTGGGCCGCGCTTAGATCCTGTTGCGGCACTTGCTTGTATTGCCTTATGCCCAGTAGTAAGGCGGGGTGTGTTTACCTAGCAGTGGTTATTCCGGAATTGTTCGGATTGATTGCCTGGGATAAGAATAAACAATGGCAGGAAGATCATGTTGTCGCTGTTATCCATAGAAGGACGTTGCTGAAGGCAGGTCAGAACTTTCATCGGGATACTGCCTTGAGTATTTATTTCAATGGGAGCATGCAGTGGCGATGGTTGGTCGATCGGAAGGATCGAGACAAATAAAATCATACAGGAGCACTGCAGCTAGTAGAGTAGAAAGATCTGTGATGAGTAGCAGGATACAACAAGAGCGAGCCTGTAAGGTAGCAACATTCGGGGCTTCCAATTCGGCTAAAGAGAGACTTGACCGCCAGTGTCAGTTCTGTAAACTGAGTGAGGTTATGTGAGTCATTGCATTAACAAGGTCAATTGTGCGTTAAGCATGGCAGCGTCGGATGTTCAGTCGATGACTCCGCGACCAATGATAATAATAGCACCTAGCTTGTCGGACTTCAACGCAAGCTGGAGCCACTAGGAATCGCATAGGCAGATCCTGATCTAATGCAACCCCAGCCAAAGTTTCGAAGAGAAACAGAAAAAGCAAGCTTCCACGCAGCAGCGGTGAAGAAACCAAGCCCTCTCCGCTCTGTTGAGTTTGACATGCAAACTGAGCAATCAAATATGCATGAATATGTAGATTATATGTATCATATTGCCTTCGGAGTATTTGCAAATCTCGATTTGGTTTTCTTAATTCATTTTTGTGTCATTTTCAAGACAAATATAGACGATGTAGTAGAAGGGAGTTGGTGATCAACAGAAGGCGGCAGTATCCACACCGCCGAGACCGAAATCTTTCCATCTTCACGATCAACTCCAACCTCCGCAAATCAACCGATCCCCATGGCTTCGAATCTCTCTACCCGAGCGGTCAGGTCCGCCTGTATCGCGTCAAAGGCTGCTCCCCGCTCCCTAGCAGCGTCTGTTCCTCGTCGTTCCTTCGCCAGCAACGCCGATACCGCGGAGCCCCCGACTCCCCAAACCCAACAACCCCGATGGTCGTACACTCCGCCACAGGCAAAGGCGCCATTCAGTCTGCACATGCACTCGGGACGTCCCGCATTCCATAATAACTCCGACCCAGCAGTTCTTGACCAGTTCTATATGCGTATGCTGGGTAATGGCGGCGAGGAATTCCTCTCGGAGGAAACCAAGTGGTTGGCTGTGACACACAAGAGTTTCGACCAAGGGCGTCGCGGATTTAATGACCGATTGGCTTTTCTTGGTAATTCAATTGGAATCGATTGTAAGCTGGGAATGGTCGCTAACATCTAATAGGAAAACGTATCGTACAATTGCAGGCATCGCTTGCTCTTGCCCAGAACCCAACAGCCTCCAGCACTTCCGCAAAGGAAGATGCCTTTGGCCGCGCTCCGTTCTCGCACCCTGCATTGGATGCTCTGCGCAACCTCTCTCCCAAAACCAAGAATTCACTTACCGACCGGTCCAAACTGGCCGAGTTGGCGCAAAAATATAATCTGCAGAAAGTGATCCGATGGGAACCCCGAAACGTGAGCATTCCTTTCGCATTCGTATCTCTTTTGGCTCAATCACTAACTGATATTGACCAACAGCCAAACAACCTTCTTGCATCTGGACTTGACCTCGTACTGACCCACACCATGTATGCTATCATCGGTGCGATTTCTTTGGAGAAGGGAGGACACATTGCCAACAAGGTGGCTCAGGAGCGGATACTCGAACCCTTGGGCATCAAGACGGTCTCATAAAGATGTTACCGCAGCATATTCCCGGCGTTTTGCTTTAATGTTGGTGATTGGAGGCAGTTGGACGAAACCTCTGCAAAACTGTACATGTACTACTAGATTTTATTTCTATTTCCATTGACTATATTGCAAATACCATTGACCAGTTACAATATGGGATATATATTCAATTCGAAAATTCTTCGTATTTTGAGGATGAGAACATTTAAGACCAACAACTCTTCATTATTCAATTCAATATATAGCTTCTTCTAATAAAGTATGTCCGGCTCCTCTGACACCGCCCGCGTAACAGAGCAAAATACACGGCCAGCTCTTATGGATCCCTCGTAAAACGATGCCTAGTCTCCGCACCTCTGTATCGCAAGTGTAGTAATTAAAATGCTGAGGGTTATCAGACAGAATGCCCGAAACCCCAACATACTGCCTTGAACTGTCTATTGGGAGCGTGAGAAGAAGAAGAAAAAGAGAAAAGAAAAACGCGAACGAAGAGTTTTTATAGTGCCACGCTAGACCGCTTTAGGGGTGGGGGATCCACAGTGCTTTGCGGGCATCGGGCTCGACTTGGTGTTTCCACTTCTCCCTCAGCTCCTATCTGAGGACCTTACATTGGATCATTTGCAATCACCTTATTACAATGTCGCAGTAGAGCGCAACATGCGGCTTGTCTTTCGTCTTGATTTACATTAACCCCCTCATAATTCTCGATTCGTCTCATCCAAATTATCACGTTGAATCTGTCCTCCACTTGCAAAGCCACCAATCCTACACTCCCCCCATTGACACGTCATGGCGTCGGCTCTGTTCTTCCTCGACCTAAAGGGCAAGGTGGGTGATCCAATATCTGGGGATGATTGCAAAATAGATCATCTTGCAGATGGCTGCAATTCCAATAGAATGCAGGCTAACATGGAATATACATCACTAGACCCTTCTGGCCCGCAACTACCGCGGGGATATTCCAATGTCCGCGGTCGAGAATTTCCCCATTCTCCTCAGTGAAGCCGAAGAAGAAAGCTCTGCAGTGCCTCCCTGCTTCTCACATGAAGGCGTTAACGTATGTCGGATACAATAATGACTCCTACCCACGCACACGACACCTCTATCTCCCCCTACTCCTTTGTGTGCGCACTCCCACCGCAACCCCCGCTGACCTAAAATGCGACCTATCATAGTACCTTTATATCCGCCACAGCAATCTTTACATTCTTGCATTGACGAAGAGAAACACAAATGCCACCGAGATCCTTCTCTTCCTCCACAAACTTGTGGAGGTGTTCACCGAATATTTCAAGGTGCTGGAAGAGGAGAGTATTCGCGACAATTTCGTTATCATCTACGAATTGCTTGACGAAATGATGGATTTCGGATACCCACAGACAACAGAGAGCAAGATCTTGCAAGAGTAAGCGGGTCCCTTTCAGCGATAGGATCCCTGACAAGCAAATCCAATTGAAAAAAAGGAAACTAACAAGCTTTCAACAACAGATATATCACCCAAGAATCACACAAATTGGAAGTCCAAGCACGACCCCCGATCGCAGTTACTAACGCCGTCTCCTGGCGTAGCGAAGGTATTCGTTACCGGAAGAACGAGGTGTTCCTGGATGTGGTTGAGTCTCTGAACCTGCTCGTTTCAGCAAATGGCAACGTGTTGCGTTCCGAGATTCTGGGTGCCGTTAAGATGAAGTGCTTCTTGAGTGGAATGCCCGAGCTGCGACTAGGATTGAACGACAAGGTGATGTTCGAGACAACAGGCCGTGCTACTCGTGGGAAATCCGTGGAAATGGAGGATGTGAAATTCCACCAATGTGTGCGATTGTCGCGATTTGAAAACGACCGAACAATCAGTTTCATTCCCCCAGATGGCGAGTTCGAGCTGATGAGTTACCGATTGAACACCCAAGTCAAGCCTCTTATCTGGGTTGAGTGTCTTGTTGAATCGCACTCCGGTTCTCGAATTGAGTACATGCTCAAGGTATGACCACACTACAACTACCAGTATTGAAAGGACGAGTTATTCTAATCTATATTGAAACAGGCCAAAGCACAGTTCAAGCGTCGCAGCACAGCCAACAACGTAGAGATCCTCGTCCCAGTTCCAGAGGACGCAGACTCGCCTCGGTTCCGTACCAACATCGGCACTGTACACTACGCACCCGAGAAGTCAGCGATCATCTGGAAGATCAAGCAATTCGGCGGTGGCAAGGAGTTCCTGATGCGGGCGGAGCTGGGTCTACCATCCGTAAAGGGAGACGATGAGCACGGCGGTGGAATGACTGGTGGATTCGGAGGTAGCATGGGCGGTGCCGGTGCGATGGGCAAGGCCAAACGACCCATCAACGTGAAGTTTGAGATTCCTTATTTCACTACCAGTGGTATCCAAGTACGATACTTGAAGATCACCGAGCCAAAGGTATGTTTTCTCTCCTGATTCCCTAACAAGACGCAACTAACTAACTCCGAACCAGCTGCAATACCCCTCCCTCCCCTGGGTCCGCTATATCACACAATCAGGCGATATCGCCGTTCGTATGCCAGAGGTCCAATGAGGAGTTAGTTTTATCATTCAACGATTTTTGTCTTGGTCCTTTGGTTCTGGTTTACCCGCCTTGCATAAGTGACTTGTACAGCCCTCGTCCTTCATCTTCATTATTCCTTCCACCTCTACTTCGCCTTTCCCCACCATTATCCTATTCTCTTCTTCAGTCCATCTACGCACCCATTGAGGCCGGCCGGTCCGATAGATAATTCAATCTTGATGTGTTCTTGTCATTTGCTGTCTGTCGCTTGTTCATTCTTCTCCACCTACGCGCTTTTCTTTCGATATCTGCTGTGCGATTTCCTTATCCGTGTGCTCTTTGTCCTGAGATTTTGTATGTGGACATGGATACGAATAAAACAAATAGATAGGCTGGTTATGGCTATTGTTCAAATGCTTTTTATACAATTGTCTACATTTTCCAACCGTAGAAAGAAGAATAGCCAGACAAGAGGCTGGACTCCCTAGGTCTTTCCAACCTTCCTATGTTGGGCTCGGAAGGTTAAATGCATGAGCTCGGGCTTGGAAGTAGGTAAGTCTTTCCATGATATGTACCGAAGTGTTGAAATTGTCTCCAAAATTGGATCTAGCAATCATGATTTATCTCCAAGTTTTCCTACGTATGAATATATATCCACAAAGTCACTGTATCAACCATCCGCACCTTGACTCGATCCTTTACACAAGAGTTAGAATTGAGTTTAAGTAGGCGACCGCCAGAAGTAACACAAGTTATAGGCCATCAGAATAGAAAATCCAGACAAGGGTATCTCGATCTTCAAAACACGAAAGATGCCAAATGCCCAAAATCTCGCCAAGAAAGGAAAATGGGAGAGAGAGAGAGAGAGAGAGAGAGAGAGAGAGAGAGAGAGAGAGAGAAATAGGAAAAAACACGCGTGAATATTAATCTTCACACCGCAACGCCGTATCGTGTCATATCACGCCCGTTAAAAGGCAAAGAAGAACATCAAACTTTTGCAATCAAAAACCCCAAAATGCCAGCTATACATGATACCACGCTAGGAACGAAACGAAGCACCCAAGAAAAATAATGAAAGACAGGAATATGAAGGAGAGATAATGGACAAAAAAGGGAGATCGCTCGCATATCGAGAAACCAAGTCATGTAGACGCATATGCATATGCATAGACATATGATATACAACAGACGAAGGAAGATATGGATCCTCTATCGTGTAGCGAGGCCATTCGTATCCTCCGGTGTCTCGGCGGGGGGAAGTGGGAATCCATCCGTGCGTCCCGCAGCAGCGGATTTAGAGAAGCCCTCACGAGCAAGCATGGTATTCAAAACAGCACAATTGTAAGCAGCTTCACCTGGCGGCACGACAAGGAAGATATAAGTATTATCAGTGAAGCGGCCAAGGAAGATGTTAAATTGGGGAGTTTTGGTATGCATGACGACGAAACCGGCCGAAGCAGGCGTAGTAAGAGTATTACGAGCAGCGCAGTGCTTGAAAGCCTTCATGATATTGGACAGACGTTCATGGCGATCGTAGATAGGATTCAGCTCGCCAACTTCGGATGTAACAGAGGTGACCGTGAGGAAAGTCGAGCGTTCAAAGAGAATAACTTCTTCTGCGTCGATTTTCTTAGCGAATGCCGTGAGGAAGCGTTCGATGACTGTTAAATTTGGGATGAGCTTGTGGACAATTCCTGCCCAAGCTTTGTATAGTGATTGATCCCAGATACTGCTGCCGAATGTGTCGACGTAGAAATGTTCTGAGCGACTGCGGATGAGGGCGGAGCGTTCTTCGTAGATGCGTTGACGGTGCTCGGCTTGGATGAGATCCATCTTGTGGACGAGGCAGAAGACGTAGGCGTTCGGGCTGAATTCGCGGAGGGCTTCGATGACGGCATTGTATGTATCTAGGTCACGGTCTAATTCGCGCGATTCGATGTCGAAGACGTAGATCAGGACTGCGACGTCGGAGAAGATATTACCGCGTTGGGATGCGAGGTAGGTTTCCATGAAAGCATCTTGACTGATAATAGATAGAGCGGGTTAGTTTCAAGTAACTTTACAAAATTGGGAGATAATTTCAAGGAATTGCAATGGGGATTCACTTACCCTCCACAGTCCCAAAGGTTCAAGGTGAGGTTGCCCATGAACTTCACATGACTATGCTCCACGTCAATGGTAGCACCCAAACGGCGTACATCTTTAGCAACGTAGTTACTGAAGATAATAGAGCGCATGGATGACTTCCCCGAGCCACTCTTGCCCATGAGAAGAACCTTTCTCTTCTTTTTGCGGGCGTCCATTTTGTCAATCGGATTGGTAGTTGCTGTTGAGCTCGGATGCCCCGCAAGAGCGGGGGCGTAACGGCGTAACGGGTGCTTCTTTAGGTGGCTGGCGTCACCTCACAAAGACCAGGGCAAGATCGCAGGTCTAGTATATACTTTTTACAGCACCAGGATAGCAAATATGGGGTTTATTGGAGGAATTGGAAGAATAAACATAAATGGAGAGGAGAGTTGCAGCTCCAAGACGATGCGGAGTGACGGATCAACATCATATCCGGTGATATGCACGTGACTTATCTATCACCAATCCGAGGTTGGATATCAAAGCTGATTTCTTGGCATTTGGGGTCTAGTACAGAAGCATAAGAAATATTGCGTTGTGATTAAGTACAAAATAGTGGGGATCTAAGACAAAGAGAATGAGATGACGACATTTTCTGAGATAAGAATTTTATACGGACCACTCTTGCTTCTTGTTATCATTCATAAGGACATGAATTAGCAATAAACTACAAAAGCAAACATGAAACCTCTGGAACCAAATATGAAAACATCCAGCCGGTTTTTTAAGTTTCTTAGATTGTTCAATATCATTCATGGGTTGCTCAAAGACAAAATAAAATGCAGCTTCTTATGATGAAATGAAGAGAAAAATAAAAAATAAAAATAAAAATAAAAATAGAAACGAAGCCAAAAAGGTGCTCAAAATGTAAAAGTGAAAAAAAAGTGGTATCCGAAAAAGAAACGCAGATATATGCCAGTACAACATGAATGGCACATTATGCAAAAGGGCCTCAATCGGGGGAAGAAAGGTCGAAACCGAGAAGATAATGAAAATTAGAAGTAGCAAGCAACGAAGAGGCCAGTCGTGAGAAAATCCATAGGGGTCGTCATCAGCAGTTCATAAAGACCGGCAGCAAAGCCAATAATAAGCACGAATCAATATTGGCGCGTTTCGGGTATCCCGTTCATCCATTAATATGCGTATATTAGGGGCATTAGAAGACTGTGCCGTCGGAGCGGATCATAATTGGAGGCTCCTTGGTGTTTGGTCTGGAGACCTCGGCGATTTCACGGCCGCCCTGGAAAGATTAAAGTTAGCATGATGCCTGTGATTACAGAACAAGTGCTTATGGGAGTTACGTACCTTCCAAGAACCAGCTTCCAGCATCTGGGCTAGTGATAATTGCTCTTCTGAGCCAGAAAGTCCCAATTGCATGTTCACTTCGTCTAGTAGTTCATCCAAGAATCCTACTGTGACTGCTCGCCACTCGACAATTACGTCGTCTTCTGTAGAGAACAGTGGGACCACCTCCATGTTTGGTTGTCCCTTGATCTGGGCATTTTCTTTGAAGGCCCTGATACCGCGCTCCAGGTCGGGGGACTTAAGGCTGAGGAGTCCCATATCAATCAAAAGACCACCGTTACGGTACTCTGGCAGACCGGTCAAAAGCTCACTACCAGCAAAGTGAATATGCATCAACTTAGACATGGGGACCATGATTGAGTAGCAGAGCCATTGGGTCAATTTGTGGAAAGGAATGATACTCTCCCACTGTTGTGCAGGTGGAGATGAGGGGAGATCAGAGCACACCCAAGCATCTCCGATAGCAACACCATCAATCTGTGTTCGCGACTGGGGCCAGATAGAAGAGAATCCATCCATAAGAACGGACCAAAGTGTAGTTATGGGGATTATAGGTACAGAAGAAGCGAGAGTTGAGGGGTGACTCAGAAGGTAGTCTACAGGAAGAAACAATATTAGCGACTGAATTAGTTCCATCGATAAATGCTTCGAAAAGCGATCGAATCACATGAAAATGAAGGTAAAGGGAAATCTCAACATACCGAGCATGTTACCAGGACGAGCATCCACGCCAAAGAAATCCTGGTTATTCAAAGCCTCGGAAAGGCGTGAGAGTAAACCCGCACGCCCTTCAAGTCCAGCAAGAAGGTTCTGTTCCGAGTGCTGCATGCCCTTGGCCAGCTTCTCGACGGTGACATTCTTCAGCCCAGCCCCGTCAACTTGACACGGTTCTGTCGGGTCGCTGCTGAACAGACCAGACTTGAACATCTCCAAACTGGCCACGGCAAGACCTTCGCTGCGAGAGTAGATTTTACCGGACTCTTTTGAGCGGTAGGACCATTTGGTGCCTGCGCCTGCGTCTAGCAGGACTGAGACAACGAATAGGTCAATCAAACGGCGGGTACGTTCTTGGGCATCGATCCGGCTGGGCCACGACTGTAGAAGCTGGTTGATCCGGGGTCGGCCGCCCACATCGAAATGTTGCCAGCGGCCATGCGGCGGGATGTTTTCATAGTCTGGCGCATAGTCTCTCTTTTGATTTCATGAAGTTTATTAGCTTTGTACTTTTATTTTTTTGGTCCCAAGTGTATGTATGTTCATCAATTATTTCGTTGCTTCTTTATTTGCTTTTTCTTGTGGCCTTTCCACCCCTTCGTTTCTTTTTTTTTGGGGGGGGGGGGTCCTTTCTCATGTTTCTGTGCAGTGATGTGGCATGTTTACCTTTATTATGGATACGACATAAGAAGCAGTAGCTTTGAACTTGGACAGGTCGACATCGAAATGGTGGAGTTGGTTCCGCTTAGCTTTGTCCAGGACAATTCTGGCGCGATCGCGAACGGCGTGAATACTTCGCAGATAGGCAGCGGGATCCAATGCAGGGTCTGGTGGTCTCGCGATGGGCATCTCCGGGATGGAGGCAGGAAGGCTAGAGCCTTTATAACCGGGCGACTTGAGGGAGGTATTGGACGTGCGAGCGCTATTGACCGAGACAAAAGAATCACCTTCGTCCCGGTCACTTTGAACTGAGTTCCTTGACTCCTTACGCTTGAAGAGCCCCATGATTGCTGTTAACCCCCTCGAGGGAATTCAAAGTGGAGAATGTAAAGGTGATAAGGAGAAGGAGGGGGAGGATGTCAAGTCGGATCGACTCCCAGCATTGAATTTTGGGAATATTCGGGGAAAAACAATAAACTGCTTAGCTTGGAAGCTTGTAAGGATCTGTCACAGAATGGGCTTTTTGAGTCTTGATTTGTTATTTGTTATTTGTATTTTTTTTGCCCCCTCTTCCTCTCGCGTTCTCCTTAAAAAGCTCCGTAATAAGTGAAAGCGGGGCGGTCGGTGGGCTCTTCACAATCTCCACGGCTTTAGGGAGAATCTAGGTCGTTAGTCCCGTCGAGAGTCAAGTGGGGATAGGCGAAGAATGGATTGGAATATATTATTTTTCCCTTTTTTTTCTTCTTCTGGGTTTTCTTCTGGGTATTTCTCTGTCAAGTTGACTTTATTCGATTACCGTCCTTGAAGATCGAGAAGGATAGGGAAGACCCAGAAGGAAATGGAAAAAAAATAAAAAACAAAAATAAAAGTCAAATAATAAAAGAAAAATAAATCCCAAGATGAACAAGTACAAAAGTCAAAAATCAAAAATCAAATGGACACGAGTGGGGGACAAGAATCACAGGCGAAAATTCAAATCATGGAAAACGAGAACCTAGAGTCCACTGTACCGTAGAACATATAAAACAGGTCCCCCCGAGTTTCAGTTGCTAACAGTAGGCACAATGGGTACAAAGAGAGTGCCCTTAATGTATCTATAGAACGTTACCAACACCGGAACTTACTGGAATCATTCCAAGACTATTGCCAAGGGATAATGTCACTCCCGCAGTATGGAGTACGGAGTACAGCTGGCCAGAGAGAGAAGAAGGGCAATGTCGAACCTTCAAACCTTTAAACCTTAGAGGAAATGGCATAAACCTTCCTTGTTCTCTGAATCTTGATTTTTTATTCTTCTCAAAGCTCTTCTACAATCCATAACCAAGTCTATTTTCGGTGTGGATGATGTGGAATTAGGGGATCACCAGGAACCCACGAACGATGAAGTCAGAACCTGTACCTTCTCCTGTTCGTGGTATAGATAATATCACTAGCGCGAGAATATCGATCAAAGTGTTCCCCGAAAAGGGGATCTTTCAAATAGTCTGGACCAAAATCCATCTGCCGGAGAACTGGAAAATGCACGGACTTGCCCTGTGCGTGGCCATGAGCTAATGACAGAAAGAAAAATGGAAATGGAAATGGAAATGAACTTTTTATTTTATTTTTACTCATTCTGTTCTCGTCGAAAATAGAAAAACATCAATAAATCCCCACTTTGAAAGGTTGGTTCCTGCCAAGCTGTGGCCAGTTATAACCAGTCGTGGCCCGTGTCAAAGGGATTGTCGTCTCGATCTGTGGTCCACGGGTAGCTTTGCAAGCGCCGACGGGGCCATTCCGTATCCTGTTCGTCTGGTCACCCTAATCCTGGCTGCATTAGGTGCTAGCCAGATCTATTGCTCCTAGTGTACCAGGGAACGATGCTGGATAGGTTTCTGGTCGTGGCACTAGCAAATACAACTGGAAGATTTGTACGGTGATCTCATGTGCAATTTTCACACTGAAATCTATTTTTTTCAATGAATTTTTTCCTTTCCATCCCCTCGTAATTTTGTAAAATTATAACTGTTGGATATTAATTTCTCCGTCCGGAGGTATTCCACGATTATAGCTTCTTAATCAAACAGGATTCAACTAATGTACAGGGATGTAAAAAGGCATGATGGAATGTACATGTATGGGTACTCGGGGACATATTCCAAGATTAATATTCGGCCGGCATTTTCTACTATAAAATACATATACTATAGTATGTATGGGGACAAGGAATGAGAATGAGACAATGGACTGACGTTCATCGAATCGCCTGTCACGACGGACATATAACCCGAGTCAGCACTAGCATCGGGGGCTTGGAATGCAGCAGGGGTTCAATCAACCCCTCTCCATCAATCAGCGACAGTCTTGTATATTGTGATGGGCAGTGACTCCATAGAAAGACAGACAAACCAAATCAAATCACATCAAAGAAAAGAATAGAAAAACTGCAACAGAACAGAAGAAGAACGGTCTCCGAGCATAATTGGCGTGGGCGTTCGCATGTTCGGAATTCCGATCTGGCTGACTACTCCGTAGTACAATCAAAGCCACATCGAACAATCCTTTTGTTCTCCGGAAATCTTCGGCCTTGATAGCCATACTAATGCCAATGTTCCAATGTGACATTACAGAGTCCATCCTGGTCCAGAAATCAAATCCAATTTATTATTTAATCTTCTGATTTCATATTTATCTCGTTCCCGAGTCTAGATCATAATGCTCGCTCAACATGATCTCGTTTAAATCACGGAGACCACAAAATTCACCGAAAGGATTGCACTGCCCTGACGATCAATGGGAAATGGACGAATGAGTTGTCGACGGAAAAATCAAATCAAATCAAATCAAATCAGTAAAGAAATCACTGACATGACATCGTGAGCCCGGTACACACAAAGGTCTAATCTCCGCCGTTGTGGCTCTCTGGAACTAATTAACGCAACGCTAGACAGCTAATGCGGGAAGCACGGGCCTGGCCACGCCGCTGCGAGGTTTCAGGTAAACCCATTCCAACGGTTTGGAAGGTTCATTTCCGCTTTGTTTGAGCACGGAACATTCCTCTCTTGCCGTGCTCCGTCGATGGAAAATGTTTATTCTGTCATTGGGTCCCTTTTCCTCCCCGGTTCTTCGGTAAACTTTGAATCTGTCAGGGGCAAGAGTCTGTACCGCTGCTAACCTGCTGGCTGCTGGCCCACTATACTTGTGCATATACCGTTGCTATTCGTTACCGCGCGGCTCCTCTTCCCGAGACCCGTGGACCTCCGCTGCCGATGTTTTGAAGCGGAGCATTGGTCTGGAGGATTCAGCGGTTTTGCTGTTTTTTTCTGGTTTTTTTTTCTGTGAAGATCGCGATGGAAAAAAAGTGCCTCTTTACCGTTCGCGTACAAAGACTACGTTTACATTTGGCCCCGGTGGCCCTTGAAGGACGTGTACATTCAGCTAATAATCGCTTATAATGATCATGGTTTTGTACTAATTTGAGCACTGGCAGTTACTGTCGCTTCTCTTGGACTCGCACTTAGCTACCTCTTCGGCAGGTCCCACAACCGTCCTTTGCAGCCACAGACCCATTATCACACGTCTCTAGCTATTATAGTGTGAGGGCTAAGGATGTCATGCAATGCAGGGAAAGCAGGATCCAGAGCACATGCATACTAGATGCTGCAATATAAGTAATAAGTACCGTACCATCCTATTTCACATATAGTCCGAGATCCGTACAATCCACCTCATGATTTGCACGCTATAACACCACCACAATCCAGCTATTTCCACGTTAATCGGGACTTACAAACCCGAGAAACCTCTTCGATTCAATAGGGTAGTGATTGACACATCTTACCTGACGGAGGGAACCGACGCCGTCCCCACACTCAAGCCGTATCTTGGTTTCCCACCCGCCCTCGTACCGCCAACCATCAAATTCCGACGGACACCAACCTTCTTTTCGTAGACCACCTAAAAGGAATCTGGATGCTACGCCAGGGCCTCCTGCTAACCCTTTTTATGGCTATTTTACGGAACTTGTGCGAGGAAGACCCTAACAGGTACTTTTGACGACAGTTTATTTTCCACAGGTGGTCTATGGAAATTTATTCTTCCGCTTAGGACCAAATTTCTATCTTAAAGTTCGCTGTGATTACTTTATTGAATCCCATGGGGTAGGTATATGCTTGAATAACATTCAGAGCTGTGTTTTACTGGATGATCCTTGGAATCATTGAGGAATTGACTTTGGCTGAATTGGCTTTGCACTTTCGGGATTTTCAAACTTGTTCGAAGGTAAACTTTGCAATTGCCAATCTATCTAATTGCAGTAACCAGGTTTCTCTTGCGGATCTAGCATAATTCTAGTAGCCCAGTCTATTGCATTGGGGGTTATGCAGTAAGTAAGGTGAAGCTACTGAAGATCTTCATTCGCTTATCTAATAATATGGGTGTCAGTGAGATAGGGTGTTTATAAGTCGAATCTAGAATTGCTTCATATGCCCATACGGCAATAACTTGAATTATGAATTGCTGAAGAACTCGACGGGTCGTTTCAAATTTACACTATGCATGTTTTAACATCATGATACCTCCAGGGTTAGGCATGATAAGAACAAATGCGATATCAATTCCATCTGAGATCCCCAAATTGCATCCTTGTAGATTGCAAGCGATAACATTGAATTCTTTATATCGTTCAAGTGTTGCTTATTACAATTCTCAACTAATCGCTATTATGTAGTTGTCGAAGCCGATCAAAAGCATACATTGAACTTAGAGGAAATTTGATTCTAATGGAATATTGCAAAATCGATAATTGAAACCAATAGTATAAGACTGCATCCTGCGAAAATGATCAAAATCATGATGCTATGATTCTAGTATAAAATATGTTCAAGTTATGCCCCACGCATTAAGTAGTACATACTAAAGGCCTGCCGTGAAGCCCTGGAGCGCGTAGTCCACTCTCAATTGAAATGTGTCCCAATGTCCCTAAAACATCAATTATAGCTCGTTCCAAAGCAATCCACGCACAAACACAGAATAAAACAAATTTCATGTACAAATATAAAGAACCCTCACATCAGCCGCAAGAACCCTTACTCCATACATCCCATCCATAGTTACCGTATCTAGAAATCACATGACTAACGCGGATCGCGTCGACGTCAACCCCGTCCCCCAGCTCGGACTCGGATCTAATCCAACCACCACATCCCATCAAACCAAATTAACATAACATAACATAATACTCAATTCCTCAAAATGTCCGCATTCGCCTCTCTCCGCCCCACTCTCCGCCAGGCAATCACCGCCTCGGCCGCTCGCACATTCAGCTCCTCCGCCGCACGCGCCGCAGCCCGTATCACCATCACCGGCCGTCTGGCCGCAACACCCGAGGCGCAGGCTACATCCACAGGCAAGGATATCATCCGTTACGCCGTCGCAAGCTCGTACGGAGCCCGTGAGAACAGGAAGACAAGCTGGTTCCAGATTGCGAGCTTTGCAGAGGATAAGCAGCGGGATTACCTCCTGAGCTTGGCTAAGGGGTGAGTTTTTAGTTGCATGTTGCATGCTGCAAGCTTACTCTGATTTGTGGGAATGATTATGATTATCTTGCGAATACAATGCTAATGCGACTCTTTTTTATAGAACCCTTCTTTACGTTGAGGGTGATGCCAAGATCAAGAGCTATGAGGATTCCGAGGGTCGCAAACAGACTGCTTTGAACATTACGCAGCGTGAGTTTTTGAGATTTTCGAAATGGAGGATGTTTTGTTAACTTTGTTCTTAGGTTACCTTGAGGTTCTGCAGCGCCCTAACACCGACTCATCGGCTGAGCAGTTCGATAACTCCGAATATGGATCTCAGTAAGGATGCCATGGGTCGATCTCATTGGGTTTAATATGGATATAAATGTCTGTTGTTATGTCTATGGGCGTTCTTTTGGGAACGTGGATGGGTTCTAGATGGCTAGGTTGGTTGGGCTATGTGACTTGAGGATCTTGAACTCGGCTTGTCTAGGCTTGAGTATCCGCTCAGCGCTGGGTAATATGTCGAGTTGCTGTCCTTTTTCGCTTTGTTATTAATGTACTAGTATACCCTGAATACACTCTTCTATTGTATTGTATGACTTGTGGTCTCTAGAGAATACTAGTGACTATGCATCTGCTTTTGTTAAAAATGGAATTGTGCGGTTCAGTCGGGTAGGTACTAGGTATATAGTCAATTAGTGGAATATTATAAATATATTCTGGAAAAGAAAATTGAGAAATAGATGAGGGCTGACTGGAATCAATGCCACGACGCCATGGTGCAAATGATGTTTTTCATGGAACCGAGGACAAGTGAAAAGTAACTAGTAGGGACCCCAAGACTTGACTCAAACCTGAACCTCACTCTGCTGCGAAATGACATGTTTGATATGAATCGAATCCTTCTGCACCGGTGAAGCTATTCCCTCCGAAAGCTCAATACTCGAGCGAGCCTGACTAACCCCCGCCCAAGCATTAGTAGAAATCGTCTGACCAGTAACAGAAAGATCATGCAACAAATTATCCTGATCATTAGAACCCGCAAAACGACGATTAAACAGCGACAGCGGAGCACGGTACCAAGGCACCGCAGCATGAACACCACGTCCAAGACGAGAAGAAAGCCGTAAGCCCTTCTCAACATCCGACCCACTCTTGCGCCATTTGAAAAACGATTTCTTCGAGTTTGTAGGTGAGTCAACTAATGTAGTAGCATTGGAGACATGTGCAGCCGGAACCGAAGCTTGTGAATCCAATGGACGACCGATGCGAGGGAAGATGTATCCGAAACCGAGTCGCCAGAGGAGCATGCGGTAGACACGAACGGCATCGCGACCGAAGCCGCAGAAGATAAAAATAATGAAGCCCATTGCGATTGGTGTCCAGCGATCGAAGAAGACGGCTCCGTGTGTTGCGACCATGACGACTTCAGACCAAACTGCATTGTGGACATGGCTCCAGGAGTAGGCATGCCAGGGGAGGGATAGTGAGAGGTCGTAGTAGATGACGTATCCTTGAACGGGGAGAATGGCGATAAGCATAGTGAAGGCGGCGAAGAAGAGGCGCAGGAATCTCGATTTACTCATGTTGCTGTTTGAGCTGCGGAGGATCACTTCAAATTCGCTGCGGTACCTGTGAAGTCGGATGAGGACGAGGCCTGCATCATGTTAGATATCTTGCTTGGAAGCTCTAGAGATGAGTAGACAGATGATTTGAGCATAAACAAGTCAAGAAACTTACAGCAATAGTACGCCGATATGAGGCAAATGATAGGAGGCCACATCCATGCTAGCACGAAACTAGCCCAGCTTTCGTCGTAGTTATTGACACAACCGGAAATGGAGTAGAGAAAGTAGCGGTTTTTTTGGTAGATGAAGTGGGTTATCATGGCCATTACCGGGAAAAATGCACAGAACAGCAGTTCCATAAGTCTATTGCGCCAGCGCTGGGCTTTGCTCGGGACCAAGATCGCTCTTCTGGTATCCAGCACCGTTGCCAGTCCTCGGAAAATGCAAGTCAAAGCACCAGGCACGGCGACATAACTGGCAACCATAAGTTTTACCTCGATATCACAGAGACCGGTACCATTCCACCATTTTGAAGTATCATCTGTAGGCCATATGATAGCATTAATGATGTTAAACACGCTCAGAAGAATACACCAGCAGATCAGCGCGGTAGCTGGGATATTGCGGTTCTTCGCATGTAGAGTCAATGGCGGAATACAAAAAATAATGGCAAGAAATGACAAGACCGGAAGTACCACAGCAACCGGGTAGAGCTTTGAATCTGGCTTTGTTTCCATGATTCCCTCGATAGAGGAAATGAAGTTGACAAGGAAGTATGAAGATATTTCGTCTTTTCGCAACATCAACTCGAGCAAACTTTCTTCTTCTTCTCAGCTTTCAAGCAGCCACAAAGAAAAAACGATCGGTATGAGAACTTCTTTTGACGAAGAAAACAGCGTAAGTAGCATTCTTGTATACGCAGTGATTCCCAGGGGATGCGTAAATGAGTGCGAGACAGGTATCTCGAACCAGAAACAAGAATCAAAAACCGATTCACCACGACGAGAAGCATATGGGCCTAAACTAAGACCTTGTATTCATATTTGAATAGTTCTAGGTCTCCTCCACGCCGAATGGGCAGCCTGGTGGTGTTGTACCCGAGTTAGAACTCTATAGAACCATGGACGGATGATACGAGGGGGGTTTAGAGCTGACAAAACTTGCCCATTCAAGAGCGGGAAAGCGAGAGGCATCGGCATTGATATCCATTATGGCATGAAAGAAATGAATCAATAAAGAAATGAAAAGCGGAAATGTCATGAGGCGATACCCCATTTGGGGGTCAATAAGAAGGTGACTAGGGTTGACTCTATAGAGACCCGAATGCGGTTAGACTGGGCCATGTATTCAAATGAAATCAGAATAAAGGCTCTTATGGGCGAGGCACCTGCCATGGTCGAATTTATTCACAGAATAAAATGTGAAGGGTTCGGTGAAGGCTTCGATTTGATCTGAAAGCCAAATAATGGCTTGAATTGACTGATAGTAGGGGAGTGATGTTTGTGTATGTCTCTATATACCAGAGATGACGCTAAACTTAATTGAGAGTATGAACTCTATTGGTAAGCAGGCACGTGATCTGGTCATCATCGATCGCAGTTGTGTAGTAGATGGGCCATACACACAAGACAATACTACTTTCCTTTTTTTTTATCTTATAATTCTGTTTCAAGAATTTATAAAGAAATTTTACCTTATTGTCCCGATGAATCATAAGCCCGTTGGCACATAAAACTGGCCAGGCCCTAATCTTTTGGTCTATCCAATCCACTACTATCTTAGCCCATACAGAACCCGATAAGGTTGTAAACAGCCCTGGAGCTTGAATGTTCCCAATATCATGTGAAATGCAATCGAAATCAGTTAGAACCAATTTAATCTATATTAAATCTTCCCAAATCCTCATCATGGATACGCGTACTCCAAATCCAATCAAGAAATAATCCTTGGAATCCTTGCTGCAGATAGATTCGGTGGAGCAGTGACGAAATCTCCCTGCATGATCCAGTGTGACATCCTACTCTCAACCTCGGGTCCCCACGAACTCCTCCACCCATCGGGGTGAACTTGGTGTCCAGGTAGTCTGCTGGTTCCAAATAGCCTCAACTTCTCCCTTTACATTTTTAATTGGTTTCTAGTCCATTCCATCTCATATCTGTATAATCATGGCCGATCCCCCATTATCTCCGGGTACCTCACCCCGCAATTCATCATCCACTCCGGCCCTCCGCCGCCGCGGTCTCGGTCTCCCCGCGCGAACCACACTTGAAGCCATCCCGGACTGGCCTGAGCGCCGAAATTCCACACTATCAGACTCTATCTCAGAGGCCAGACACTCAATACGGTCTTCTACGGATGATTTGTTCCTGCCACGGGTTGCTAGGCATGATGATGGTCCCATTGCGACGGAAGAGTCCCATTGGCACTCCGCACCACTGGGCTTGGCGCTATTACCGGCTATTGCAGGAGTTTTGTTCAAGAATGGAAGTGCATTCGTGACAGATGTTACTATATTGGTTCTGGCGGCGATATTTCTCAATTGGTCTGTTCGATTACCATGGTATGTTACCAATAAAAATATGAGACGAAAAGATCACAGATGAGATGAGACGAGAACAAACTAACAAAAATACTTCAAGGGACTGGTATCGAGCAGCACAGGCAAGTCACCCCGAACGATCAGGATACGAACATACAAACGAGCCCAGCGAAACCATAAGCGCACCCGATGAAGCAATAGAATCAGGCGACGAGTCACAGTCACAGCCTCATCCCCAGACTCAACGACGAGCACCCAACGAAGCAGCCCTCAAAGAACTGCAAATCCACGAACTTGCGGCGCTCGCCTCATGCTTCATATTCCCAGTAATAGGCACCTGGCTCCTCCACGGTATACGACACAGTCTCTCCAGACCATCAGAAGGACTAGTCTCAAACTACAACCTAACCATCTTCCTGCTCGCATCGGAGATCCGACCCTTCGCCCACCTCCTAAGACTCGTTCAAGCACGAACCCTCCACCTTCAACGCATCGTCGCCTCTTCCCCAGATGAGCCACGCCAAACCCTATCAAAGGTTCAAGACCTCACAAAGCGTCTCGAAGAACTAGAAGCCCATGTCGCAGAAACAGCCTCCCGCTACACAAAATCAAAATCACCCTTACCAGATGGCTCTCAACACGAAGACGCCCCTTCTCTACTTACACAATCTGTCGTCGAAGCTCGACGAGCTCTAACGCCAGACATCGAAGCCTTAAACCGTGCTGTACGCCGCTATGAAAAACGTACCGCTCTAACAACCCTCCAATCAGATACACGTTTCCAGCAGCTAGAAGCACAAACTCGCGATGCGATAGCACTAGCTGCTGCAGCACAGCGTTCAAGCTTATCGCGTCGCCCAAGTTATGCATTCATTTTACTTGATTGGGCATGTGCGTGCGTGGTTGTTCCCGCTCAACTTGGACTCTCTGTTCTTAATCTCCCGAGCCGTGTCGCGACAAGTTGTTTTACAGCTGCGAGAAAGATGGTAGGTCTTCATCGTGAGGGAGTTCGGAATACACAGCCTCGTTCGAAATCTAGTAAGGGGAAAATGGCACAGACGGCAAGCTCTAAGTTCCAGAGACAATCTTCTGGTCCTATGTCGTTTGCGCAGCAGCCTTCTGTTCAAGGGACGGATGTGAAGGGGGCACCGGCTCGCTAGAAGGAAGATTGCGGTTTGCACTTTTACTATGTATTTCTTATGTATGGACTTCAGGAGTTGAGCGAGGACATGTGAGCTTTCTTTTCAGGTTATTTATTATTTAGGTAGTTTATACCTTTTTTTTCGGGTTTATATCATAATTATAACAAGAAGGATCGTTCCTTATGGAATGACAAGATACAGAATGAACTATATTTCATTCTTATGGATTTCTTAAATCTGAAATTGAAACTACTTGTACTTGAAGGCTGTAGTGTTTATCAAGTAAGACAAGAACTCATATCTATTATCACTTCTATACACCGCTAAGAATCATAAGAAACAAATACAGCCACCGAAACGTACTAAACAATAAACATCTGAGAAAAAAAAAGCCGGCTCCAAACCCATCATCATAAGCTCATTAATCCAGCTTCCACATTCAAAGAAAGCAGAACATCAAACAAACAAAAAGAAATATTCCAATGAATCAATACATACAAGTTAACCATTTAATTCCCACTCCCAGAAGGTCCTCTCTCATCGACCCCGATCATTTTGAGAAAGGGCTCGATGATCCCTCTCTTGCGCTCATCCGAAGCTTTGCGCTCCTTCTCCTTCGCTGGCGTTGGTACATCAGGCGAAATGAGAACCCTTGAGAAAATGGACGCCAATGCACTTTCCACCGCTTGACGCCTGGTTGCAGCGGACTTTTGAGGTGATGAAGATGATGGTTGAGCCGGTGACTCGGAGGAGCTGGAAGAACGGTTTTTGCGTCTAAAGCTTCCTGCTGAGATGAAAGCCGCGGCCGAGGCTGGGGTGGGAGGCTTAGGGAGATTGTATTTTGAATTCTCGTTTTCTTTCTCATTCTCCTTCTCATTCCCATTCTCCTTCTCCTTCTCATTCTCCTTGTTCTTATCGGCTTGGTTCGAATCTTCGGGGTCTTTACTAGCTTGTTTTTTATCCTTGGACTTTGTCAGATCAGGTGGATTTTTGGAACTTGAAGTTGGCGGCGGTGTGGGTTGCTGAGCTACAGAAGGCACTGGGGCGACTTCGTTGGCGATGCGAGCGAGCATGAAAGTAACGAAAGTAAATGAAACGCTGTGGGCGGGGGAATAGGCGAGACTTTCTAAGACCCAAGCTTGAGTTTCTTCCCACGATCTTGGGGGAGCCTTTGATTTTTCGCGGGCAATGATTTGCTGCTCCATTTTTTGCCAAACAGACGCGGTGATAATGCCATCGCTTAAAGAGTTGAGGAATGTCAGGAGTGTGCCGGATAGAATCTCTAGACGGTGAAGGGATGGAACTTCCGGTGCGAAGATGGTTGTTAAGGATTGATTAGTGTCGAGCGCTTCACAGACGGAGGCGGAAAGAACTGAGCGTTCGTAGGGGTCACGCAGACTCCAGGTTTCGGGTTGGAAAGGCCAACTGGTTCCTGATGGATTGGCACTCCAAGGTGCCTCTTCTCCGGAGTCGCCCTTGGTCATGCTCCACTCGGCTACGGCACGCTCGGCCAATTCAGATATCGCCTCTGTCAATCGGAACAGTTCACGAGGTGCAGATAGTCGCACTTCTGTTTCTGACTCTGATGGGTGAGATTTGCCCTCTGCGTCGAGGCTGCGAGCACCTTCTTCAGGCATGCGGGTCAGCTCATCTATACTGCACCCGAAGCAGGTCGGAAGCCAGTGGCCAGAAACAGAGATAAAGTGATCGCGACCATTGTCAACATGAAGAACCAATATTTCCTCCAGTTTGACTTTCTTCAGGTTTAAAAGTCGGACATGCTCGATGTTGTGAACGTGAGCAGTGATATCGACATTGGCCACTTCGCCTGGGAGTAGAGTATAAGGCTTCCCAGTAGCCGCAATAGCCGGTTGCTTAGCATGATCTTCTGATGGACGTTCAATCTGAACGCCGAGCCACGAAGGCGTTTCAGTCTTATGCTCATCACTCAGACTTGGCCTCTCTGCGAAGTGGAAGGTAGCTTTCGCACCACTCGTGTTTGCAATCGTTATGCTTCGATGAACAGTCACATTGTAGGGCACATCACCGAAGTCGACAGCGTCAGGATCTCGTTCTTTCCCTTGTTCGTGATGAGGAACATCCACCACAACAGTCAGTCCAGGCCGACCTTCATTTTCTGCCTTGTCTAATTCGCGAACCACCTCCTGGTGAACCTTGGCCTTAAGATCAGGGTTGACTGCATCATATGTTATTGTGAAGACCGCTTCTAAGGGCTTATGGTCTGAAGATAAGATTCCTTGATGTGAGACATAATGGTTCAGACGAATAGGATCATCTGGTGAATCTTCAGACGCCACCGAAGACACGTCAGCGCGTTCCTCATCCGAAATGTACTCCTCCACACTGCCATTTGCGTCCGCTCCATCAACCTCAGGATCGTAGTCGAAAAGCACGTTATCATCCGCGACGGCCTTGTCAAGACCTTGAGCCTCCATCTCTTGATCTCTTTTTCGAGCTGCCTCACTTTCCTTCTCAAGTTTTTCATGTTTAACTTTATCTCGGCGAGTACGATAGAGGATTCGATCACACCAGCTAGGACCACGACTTTTTTCACTTGTATCAAACATAGCGACACTGCCAATGTCGTATTTGTAGGTAGGCAAGAAGGTGATTTGACCTTCTCTCCATCCTTTATGAAACGCAGTGCCTAGTTTTTGTTGAACTCGCAACTGGTCATGCACAAACAAAGAGGAGATTGTTGTTTGCAGCGATGCAGGATCATTATGAGGATCAATCTCCTCGTCAGTCACAGGTTCCGGTAATTCATTCTCTGGTAGCGATGATAGCGATGGCTGCTCATCAGGATCGACTGTAGAGCCTCGACGATTGCCCGACTTTTTTGTTTCTTGGAACTCAGCATCGTATGCATTGACTGTATGACGCTGTAATACTTGTCGCACGTCATTTCCGGGCATATCATCAAGGCGATAGTTAAGGTCGCCGAACCAGAATGTAAAGTCCTCGTCACCGATACTATCGAAAGCATCGTCTCCCGCTCCCTTTTCACCTTCAACCGGTTCAAACTTTGCACGCGATGCAATTTGAGAAGCATCCCAATTGCGTCGTTCCAGGCTACCCTTATCAGAGCCAGCTGCAAGATGACTATTAACGAAAACCAGACGAGTTGTTTCGCCAAGCACGAGACGAGTCGCAACAGCACCCTTATTACCCATATATCCCATGAGCCCGGTTCCAACATAGGTACTACTGACTGAAGATACGCTCTCTCCAATTGAAGGCGAAGCATAAATAAGCAGCAGAAGGCCAATCAGCTGGACTTCAGAGACGAGCTTGTATCCGGGAGGTAGTGCTTGGTGAACAGCCTCTTTCCATCGATTTGCTGGTCCAGAGTCTGTAAAGGGTCGAAGAGCCTCGGCGGGAGATGAAACATCCACAACCTCTTGCAACCCCAGTACATATAGATCCACCTCCTCTGGGCTGGTGTGGAATGGCTTCTTCTTCTCTCTTTCATGTTCCTCCGCCTCACTGGAAGCAGATGAGCTTTTGCTTCCCGCGTGTTCAGTTTGCTCCCCCTTAACCCCAGAGAGCTTCTCACACACCCCTTGACCTTGAACGAACCACTTCCCAATATCTTTCTCTGTGCCATTAATGGCTGCGACATTCCATGTCCCGACCTTCACTCGAATCGTGCGCCGGCGGGTAAACTCGGCTTTTCTTGCTTTAACGACACGCGTTAAAGACATTATATCCTTCGCAGGGTCTTGAATGTCCTCGATATCTTCCGAATCATAATCCTTCGGGTCTGATGCGGGAGGCAACCCCGCGTTCTGGTCTTTGGCGGTCATGGTGGTACAGGTAGGCTTAGGTCCGGACTTTGCCAGCGAGTATGGCACCGCTGATCCGAGAAGGATTTCAAGATTTGTATACTGCGCTCTTTTTCTGGCGGGGGTATATAGCAGGGAATCGTGGCTGTGATGTTGTTCGCGGCGGTTCTAAATTCCGGCGGGGGACGGATAGTAGATTGGTGGGCCTGGAGGTGGCTTGGAGGTGGCTCGGCGCAAAGCCGATGCTCGAGAACGCAGGAATGGAATCAATTGTATAATGCGATCGGGGAATAATCATCGGATGGCAGACTTGAGCCCTTTCAAATTCAGAAAGTAAGTGCCGGCATCATGCAGAGGGGTCTAGTCGGGGAAAGGGCAAGATGGCAATGGGGACAAAGTCGCAGGAATTGAGCTAGCTGAAAGCCAATTGCGTTGAAGCAGATAGAGCGCGCGCAAAAATGCGGTTTCTAATCTGCCAAAAATAAGAGGAGAAATGCAGATTGTGATGAGAAGTTGAGAGAAGTTCGAGAAAGTTGGAGGCGGAGAGAGCTCTTGGTTGATGACGATATGCGGCAACCCGCAATCAGCTATAAAAGGTTATAGCCGCCACTGCCCTCTATGAGCTAATGAACATGTTGATGCCTGAATTTGCCTGAGTTAGATCTTCAACCTGGATAGATTATATACAACTTGTCAATTGTCAGGCTTCTACTTCTTGTAGATATTCTCTCTATGTATAAGTATTATTAATCTATCTCTTTTGTATCACATACCATTATAGTGCAATACTCCATAACAATTTGATGACTGTCTAGGATAGCCAGATCTAAGGCATGAATCAGGCATCAAACTGTTCCACTGGCCACTATCTCCCACCATATCAGCTCCAAACCTTCTCCAAGCCTCCCTCACTCTCCGCGACTTCCAACATTAAGCTACACCAACCCTTCACCCACTATAAACCCACGCCTTCCTCCACAATGCATAGTCGCAAACAACATCAACAACGTCGGAATAACCACAACCACAACAACAATCCCCATACAACAAACTCTTACAACTACAACACCCACACAGACTATGAATCAGACACCGCATACCTATCCGACATGCAACAACATCCCCCTCCACCCCTTCGCTCTAACGAAGAGCTAAACTTCTCCGTCCTCCGACGCCACAACCCAGACATCAAAACCATCCTCTCCCTCTGCAACTTCGCCGTAATCTACACCTTCAGCCCCGCAACAACAAGCTGGGAAAAGATCAACATCGAAGGCACCCTCTTCGTATGCGAACTAGAACCAGGCAGCCTAGGCGAGGAGCGCTACACAGCCTTCGTTCTGAACCGCCGCGGCCTAAACAACTTTGACTGTTTACTTGCTGGCCCTCAGAACGTAGAGCTAACAGACGACTTTGTCATTTTGAAAGAAGACCAAGAGGATAGCTCGACATCTGCGCAACAGGATGGTGGAAACTACAAGGTCTTTGGAATTTGGATATACTCGGAGCCTAATACCTCGACGGCTGATACGCGTATGATAAATGCTGCTATTATTAGCGAGTGCGCCGAGCGCGCGGGGAAGAGTTTGAAGGAGGCTAAGGAGCGCGTGCAGGCTATGCGACAGGATGGTTTACATGTTGCTGCTGCAGCGGCGGGGAGTCAGGCTGCGCCTACAGAGGAGATGCAAGGTGGGGTTCCTATGGGTCGCACTATTTCGTTGAAGGATCTCTTTGGGCAGCAGCGTGCCCAGGATGATGGATTTAGTGTGCGTGCGCACCATGAACAGCCTCAACAGCCTCAACAGCCTCAACAGCCTCAACATCAGTACCAGCCCCCTGTTCAACCTCACATTTATCCCAATATGAACATGCCCCAGCAACATGCATTCCAGCAGCCGGGTGCTCCGCTTCAGCCTCAGATGCAATCTCAGTACCAGACTCATGCTCCTCAACCTCAGATGCAATCGCAGTATCCCCCTGCTCCACCTCAACCTCAGATGCAGCCTCAATACCAGGTCCAGCCTCAATATCAAGCCCAGCCTCAAGCCCAGCCTCAAGCTCAAGCTCAACCAAAGCCAGATGTCTTAGGTGATCTCTTCCGACGCGCAGGACTGGGGCCACAGTAGGGCTAGATGTCGATAACGATACAAGTTGGTTGTGTTTTGGTTTCCAGGGGTTTTTCTGATTTTCACGGAATGGCGTTTTTTCTTTATTAGGCTCTACGGCCTACATCTGCATTTCATTCAATTCATCGGTCGTTGTGGATGAGGTGGCGTCGCGTCGCTTGAGATACCCGTTACAACATTGTATGCATTGCACCAACGGCGATATTTGCTTTCATTCCTCCATTACTGTACCTGTCAGCTAGATAAAGACTAGATAAAGACTCATTCCCGCTTAAACAGGCTGTCAATGACTCAGACCACTGCACCCCGCCGCTATATTCTATCTTCTATCGTATATACCTTCTCTATTCTGTCCAACGAAGCTAAAGCACAATATCCCGAATCATATTTCCGACCTTCCGCGCCATGATATCGTTATGCTCTGCAAGAAAACCATCAGTATCATGAAGAAACAACGGGAAACAACTGAAATCGAAACAAAACTTACTCAAGCAAAACGCATGCGGCAACCCCTCCTCGCAAACTGACATCTTGGGACCCGACCACCCATGGTGATCCCCGTGCCCATTCCGACCCGGACTCCTAAGCGCAATAATTTCATCCCTCGTCCTCTCAGCAACCCAATGGTCATTCCGACCAAAATAAAAGAACAATCTCGTAAGAGGCTCCTGTGTATGCGCTACCCCCCAAACATCATCTGTCCATTTATCAGATGTGATGGTACGCATCTCATCAGCTGCCATATGCCTATTCCAAAATAGTTAGATTAGATTCATTGGATAACTATCAAGTGCACAACTGCATAAGAAGGAAGTATATCAGAAAACATACAAAGCCTGTCGAACACCACCTCCGCTCTTCAAAAACTCAAACGTCGTATCAAGAGCATGAGTCGGTGGATTCTTCATAACAAAGCGAATAGTCGATTTAAGAGTCGTAGATGGAAGAAGGAATGTTAATATACGAGCTAAAAAGCCCACTATTATAGCGAAATGGGGAAGAATTGATAGGAGAGTCTGTAATTATCAGCATTAGAGGACTTCAATGAACAAATCCAGAAATTTGTTAGGATTCTTAGGAGGAGGTATAGGTATCATGATCATGCTTGTAAGTCCGTTCAAACTAACCGTTAATTTCTGTCCAGACGGCGAATGCGCAATATCCTTCACCGTAGGAAAAAGCATAACACCACCGATAATATCGAATGTAGCAGAGAGATCAAAGTCGAGATCTGGTTCTGGTCTCGAGCTTCCAGGCATAGGAATACCCTCTCGGTGTCTTCGAAGAATTTCCATAGCGATGTATGCACCGACAGAGTGTCCGATTAGGATGACTTTGGGTCTTTTTGTTGGAGCAGCTACATCTGTTGAATTAGATGTAGCTGTAGCTGTAGCTTTATCTGTCCTCGAGGTGGCACTGGTAATATCTGAATTGCCACGCATTAAAGCGACGAGATTGCCATGCACGAATCTAATCTGGTCTTCTAGGGAATATAGATGATTTTTCGTCTTCGTCTTCGATGATTTATCTTGATCTTCATCAGGAGGTGGAATTTGGAATCCACCAAGACTGCATCCGTATATTTGGAAAGAGGTTGTCTCATTCTGACTATCATCCCCTGCTAGGTCCTGCGCTAGCAGCGATAGGAAAGGATGGTAGTATCCGATTAAGCCTGGGTTTCCGGATATGAAGAAAATGGTTGTGTCGAAGTCATTCTTTGTACCTGTGTATGTGCAGAAGGTATTTGGTGTGATTTGGGGTTCCATGTTGTGGTTATTGTTGTTAAGCTTCTGTAGCTAAGAGATTGATTTGTGAGTGATAACGTGCAGGTGCAAGCAAGTGTCAAGTGCAAGGAGGTTGATGCGGAGCGGAGTGGATCCCATTTCACCCCATGTGAGCCGAGTGTGGTATGCAGCCACGGCAGAGGCCGTCAATCCATACGCTATGATCTACGTACTAATTTATGATGTACAGATACTCTAATTTGATCTGATCTACACTACACTACAAAGCTACTATAAATAATATAAGATGTGAGTGAATAAGTGAGTGAGCAGAGCATGAAATGCAAATGTATTGCCGCAGATCCTGACTCCATATTCCCCCAATCCTAAGCTCCTCCGAAACCCCGCCGGTTTCTAAATCCCAAATAGACAAGAAAGAAGAAGGGGTAAAGAATAAAAGAAGAAAAATTGGTCCGTAACGGATCTAATGCATTGCCCAGACGCCGGCAGAGCGCAATATACATCATTTCAACCCATGCACCCGTAGACCCGCCATTCATACAGAAATGAAAAGAAATACAACGCCGCGATTTCATTCATTCATAATGCGATGAGATGAGACCGTCGCGAAGCACCAAGTTCAAAGGTGTGAATGAAGGGGAAGGCGAGGGGAGAAAAAGCGCAAAGAGAATATAATACGAAGATCGCCAGATAGCAGCAAGTTAAAAATCAGATATCGGTATCAATCAGTAGACGGCTAGGAAACGCCGTCATCAAAATCAGGACTGCGCTCGGTTCGATGCATGTTACCTATCTAGCTCATCAGACAGAATGGTGGAAAGAAGGTATCGGAAATGCAAATGTGGGTGCGTGCGGAACTGCGAGAATCGATATGTTCCCTGGCGATACAGGAAGGGATACAAGGAGAGATAGATCAACCTTCTCCGTCGTCGCCTTGGCTGTCGTCGGGTTTTTCATTCTCGTTGGTTTCACCCGCAGTATCCTCTGTTGAGCTCGGTGTGTCACTTTCCGGAGCAGTAGATTTTGTTGTCGGTCCTAGATTGATAGCAATTCTCTTAGGTGCTGCAGCGCCACTTCCTAGAATAGCTGATTTGGATTTATCTGTGACGCCTATCGGCCCAATGGACAGTGTCTTTTTCCTGTTCAAAATCCCGGCGCTAGAATTGCTACTTGTGGAGCTTCTGCGCTTAGGACCTGCGGCGAGTTTCATTAACTCGTCTTCGTCTTCTTCTTCGCGTCGACGCTTTTCGGCCAATCGTTCGGGAGGGGGTGTTTGAGCGGGCGAGGTTGGTGTAGAGGTGGATTCGGGGCTGGGTTCATTAGGAGCGTCGGCTGTTGATTCAGCTTGTGGGGGTTGTTCTGAAAGAGCTTCAGGTTTTGTGTCCATTGCATCCTCATCCTCGTCATCATCAGGATAATCAACCAAAGGCTTAACCAGCGCGGGGGTGGAGCCGTTGGAAGCATCAGCAGAAAGAGCCCCACGGTTATCCTGTGGCCACTGAAGAAACATGATTAGCAAAGTGATCCAATGAACAGTGGAATTGAATAGACCGAAAAAATAGTTCTAGGGCAAAAAACCATACCTCATCTTCATCGTCAGATGTGCCAAAGTAATCTTCCTCAGCTGCATCCATTTCCTTCACGCCCTGCCAACGCTGTCCATTCAATGGTATTCTCCGAGGAGTACTGTCGTCTTCATGGCCAAACAGCGGATCAGCCTCTGCGCCGTACCCTTGCATCTGCTCATAGCGAAGTATCAAGTTTTGGAAGGTGTCAACGTAAGTGATGCTCTCGAGCTTCTCCCGGTATTTCTCTACCACATGGAGAATGAATGGCTTGACATTCTCTCTTTTGATGAATTCAAAGAGCTCGAGACAAGCGGAGTTGAGGAGGTTGTCACGAGGCATAGTGTCATACACGATGTCAAGAATCAAACCAAATGTGTTGTTGTGTGTCATTAAAGCTTGGTAGAAAGTATCCTGAAGGCTAATCAGAGTGCGGAAGAATTTGAGAGCGGCTATTTGAAGGCATATGTTAGCTTGATGTTGATGATTAACATGCAAATAACAGCATATCCAATGGCGTACCCAGTTTTAAGTGTTTTTGAGGGGCCGTCAGAAGTTGAGCGACCCGAGGTGCAAGAGATTCGCTGTGAATGGCGCTGCGTGTGCGGAAGAGGTGTTGGCGGACAAAAAAGGTGAGAATATCGACAAGATGCGAATACAAGGTGACTTCTTGAAACGTTAAGTCATTGACTAGAATGGTGTTAGTTTGAATGATTCCCATCAAGACCACATAAAACAATCAAATCGAACTTACGGTTTGCGCGATTAGCAAGATGCTTAAGCGGTTGAAACAGCCGCTTGGAAGATTCATCGAAATGGTGTTGCACAAATGCATCGTTGAGAATGTTAGAAGAACGGACTTTGAAGTAATCGGGTCCAGCCCGGGCAAGCGGGTCCTGCAGGGGTATCTGGGGGTCAAGCAGGATCTTAATGGCATCAGCCAACTGATTTTTCACTCCGAGATCGGTTTCAGCATGAAGTAGGTCAATCAGGGTATCTGTAAGCGGCGTCTTCTTCTCATTGACAGCCTTGAGCATATATCCGCGCATCATCACCGGGTCGTGGTCCAATAATGCCACTAGAATGTCAATGCCTGTCGTGCGCATGGCTGGGTTCGGGTGCCTGACGGCAAAGGAAATCACTCCAAAGAGTCCGTGACTTATAAAATTGGCGAAGAGTTGAGCTCGAGATGGAGCCTGTAAATTCTTTGCAATGGCCGCGCACTGGTGCAAGAATTGCACAGCATCTTCCCTGCGCCTCGCGTCGCCAGTTTTCACATCAAAAACACCAAATAGCTCCCGTAGGAAGGGGCCGTTCGACTGAATGTGATTGACGATTTCCATCTGATTGAAGAAGATCAAAGAGTTGAGAACGGAAAATGTCGGGTCGTCCAAAATGCGGGCCAAAACCACGTCCTTCAGATATTGCAAACGCCATGTGCTTCGGATCTTCCTTCGAATAATCGGGTCCTTGATAGGAACAACTTCTTTATAACGTGACTGGTCTGCGAGGTATTGCCGATGGTTTGCTTTGTGGGTGGGAAATTCGGGGTCATATTCCAGCGCCCCGACCACACCCAAGATGACCTGATCGGCCACGACGGTCTCAATGATGGTATTGTCGTTCAACAGGATCAATGATTTCATGATGTTGCAGAGACGATGCAGGTCTTGCAAGCTTTCCAAATCCTCCGCGGTTTCCACTAAAAGAACCAACTTGCCGATATATTCATCGCGAATAATGAATTTGGACAGCGCATCGCGGCCCACTTGCGTCATACTCGCAGCTCGCACAATTTGTTCAATTTCGGCGAGATTTCTAAGTTCTGGTAGAGGTAGTGCGATTGTCTGGTAGCTTTCGAGATCGTCGGAAAGAGCGTCATCTAAAGCAGCGAAATGAAAGATCATTGGTTAGACACACTACCGATAAACCAACTGGCGACTTGGGGATGGAAAGCAGTGGGAAAAGGATAATCAAGCTTACCAGCAGCGTTCAAGCTTAGGTGTTGCTGAACAGCATTGACAAAGTCCCTTAATAGATAGTTAGCCCCGAGCGATGATGCGCACACACAAACGACATGTGTTATCTAGCCTCCGGGGGATTGGATCCTAGTCCTCACCATATCACCGCGCATCCTTCAGCTTCTTGAAAACTAAGCGCCATATCCGTGCCATTCTGCTCTGTCCAAACGATCAAGGTTTCTACTCGCGTGCGTTAGTAAAGGATCAATTTTTCCCCTCCACCGGTGATACGACTGGCGAGTATGGTGGGACAGAAACCTTGCTGTTTTTGATAGCCATCGTCCTTGGAGATTCGCGTCTCCAGTAGAACGCGATTGGGTAGGTCTTCGGATTCGACGAATATTCGCGGTTCCTCCTATACGATGAGAAAACAAACACAGAAACGCGAGTTAGTCACGCCATCACTTTTCTTTTGTTCGGGGAGGAGGATGAGGAGCGGGTGCGGATGCAGGATTGTCGTAATGCGCCCGGGAGAGAGGAACGGAACACCAAACTCCAGGCACGCGCGCGGCCACGAAGCATGGTAAGCGGCGCGATGCGGCGCGGCGTGTCTGGGATTGCGAGCTTCAGGGAGGATATCGAAGCTTACCCCAAGAATCTGGCCGGTACAGAAGCCGGTTCCGCGATCAAACCAGTCATTATCCCTCAGTTCGTAGACCTTGACCCGTTTGCGACCGTCGGGCGGCTGTAGGTCCAGCGCCATGATCCGGCGAGAAGAAATGGAGGGCACGTCACTCCGGGGCCTCCAGGATGAGCGTGCGCCGGTTGCGAGGCCCTAGGAGATACCGAAGATGAGAGTAGACGTAGGGGTCGGGGGTTGGTGGAGATGATGAAAGGTCTGCGGAGGGGATGACGATCGAAGGGAAAAGGTTGGGTTGTGAAGGGGGAGGGATCCACCTGACGGGAAGGGCCTCGGCCAGTTTTCTTATTCAAGTTGGTTGATATCAAGTTCCAAGCTTGTTTATTGAGAGAAATGTGAGAATTAAAATATGAAGAGAGTTAAATTGAATGAAGATTGATGTTTGAAAAAAGAGAAGGAGAAAGTATTAGTGTTCAACAATGAATAAGCTAATTTAAGAATCCTACATATCATGCTATACAATCATGATGTACATGTATACTCCGGTGATATACAGCTTAAAAGGTACCAAGAAGGGGGGAATTCCTGTACAGAAATACAAAATACAAAATAAAAATAAAAATACCAAAATAGCGTGGATTTCCGGGTTTTCCAGAATCATATGGGTTTCTATACGAACGCCTCTGGTCCATTTCCAACGGGACTGGAATGCCATGATCTCATTTCCGTCATGACTATACATAGCCTAGATATACAAGAATGTTCTTATCTCGGAACATTCTATCACAAAGATCTAGATGCACAAATGTAAGAGTGTAAAGTGGGAACCAAAATTTAAACCTCCGGCATCGAAGCTTCGATCCATCTTCTGCAATGTTTCCCACTAGAGAATCAACCACACCCGGACACCGTGGACATAGCTTTAGCATTAACTGGGCAATTACCATTACCCACCAATTACCCATAGATGACCCGTAGATTATATAAAATACATCTAATAACCAGAACTAACAATAAAATACAATAAAATACCCGCCTTCCCCTTCTGCAAGTCACCTCCCTTACCTCCCCAATACATCCCGATCGGACAATTCCGCTCCAAGCACGGACCCTGTCACCGCTCCCCCACTCTACACGCTCTAATTGGCCAGTTCCCGCATGGCAGATTCTTTATCGGCTCTTTCCCGATGAGGAAAGGTTCCAGACTGGCGTCCTTAGAAGCTTTTTTTTTCTTCCCAGAACGAGATTCTTTTTCTCTCATCTCCATCTCATTCGAGAATACGCCATACGAGCGACTTCTGGGAGTTTTGCGCTCGTGTTTGGTTATAAAGCTCCCTCTTTCGAGTCCTCTACCCTACCCGCCAGATCAATCTATAAACGAAGACCGCAAGCGGTCTTGATCAGTGCGCGCGTTCCTGCAAACCCCGCTTTGCTTTGCTTCTACTGTACACGTTAGGTTCAAACCTCGTGTTTAATTTAATTACCTCCATTTCAGGATCAGGGTTTACTTTTCCGTCTCCTGAAAATGACAGATACAAAAGATCACATCGCCGTTCAGGCGACTGCAACTACTTCCAGCTCCAATTTGGCTTCAACCCCCTCGCTCGCAAAAGATGCAGCGGAAACAGTTGTTCACAGTTCGCCGGCCGATGAAGAGGCGCTGGCGCCAGCTGATCAAGTTGAAGCGGAAAAGAAGGGATTTTTCGCCTATTTCATGACGAAGGAGTTCTATATTGTGTTGATTTTGGGTCAAGCTCTTGCTATTATGAATACTTCCACTAGCACTTTTACGACTCTGCTCACCGAGGAAAACTGGTCTATTCCTACTTTTCAGACGATTCTGAACTACTTGGTTCTCACTTGCATCTTTACCCCGTACACAATCTACAAATATGGTTTCAAGGGCTGGTTCCGCTTATGCTGGCGTGATGGTTGGAAATGTACGTTTACCATCTATCTCTACTCACTCACTCCACTTACCACTCTCAAACACACTTAAACCAAAACCCCCTCTAACAACGATATAGACATCATTCTCGCCTTCTGTGACGTCGAAGGAAACTACTTCATCGTCCTAGCATACGACTACACAACAATGCTAAGCGCCCAACTAATCAACTTCTGGGCCATAGTAGTCGTTGTCGTGATCTCATTCTTATTCCTAAAAGTCCGCTACCATATCACCCAAATAGCAGGAATTGTAATCTGCATCGGAGGCATGGGCGTCCTTATCGCCTCGGACCATATAACAGGCACAAACGGCGGGGACGTCAGCAGCGGAAACCAACTAAAAGGCGACCTATTCGCACTCCTCGGCGCCTCGTTCTACGGTCTAACAAACACAGCCGAAGAATACTTTGTCTCAAAACGTCCTGTTTACGAAGTTCTTGGTCAACTCTCTTTCTACGGATTCATCATCGACGGTGTTCAGAGTGCTATCTTTGAACGAAGCAAGTATAATGATGTTACCTGGGATGGGAAGGTAGGTGGATATTTGGTTGGATTTACGCTTTGTTTGAGCATGTTTTATTGTCTTGCGCCTGTTATGTTCCGGTTGAGTTCTGCTGCATTCTTTAATATTTCTATGCTTACGATGAACTTCTGGGGCGTTTGTATTGGGATTAAGGTGTTCCATTATCACATTCATTGGATGTATCCGATTGCTTTTGTGCTTATTATTGTTGGGCAGTTGATTTATTATCTTGGCCGGAGGGCTTTGGCTGAGGCCAAGAAGCCTTGGTTGGGTGATAATCAGGAGGGAGGAATTGCAGGGTGGTTTACTGCTAAGCAGAAGATTCAGCATGATGTTCCTGGTGCGGTGCTTGAGGAGCATGGAAATCATACTGATGCTGATCAGCACCGTGGTTCGACTTCTTCTGCTGTGCATGTCGGCGAAGCACAGACAACTACTACTGTCACGGCTTGAGGTGTGAATCCTGCAGTGGTGTTGTTCTGATTTCGGTTATTTGTATATGCTTTTTTGTTGGGAGTACATATCTGCATACGATACGATACGATATTTAGACCTCTAGATCGGGCCTTTGTCTGGGTTTGGTTTGGTCATGGCTGAATCAAACTGAAGGAGATCTGTGGTAGCAATTGAACTATCTAGTGATAGTTTGTTGCCTTGCTATGGCGCTATGTCTTAATTTTTTAATACATTACGAGTTTAAGTTACATCTATACATACCTGTGAAGCTATAAAATCATTTTAGCTGCTTAACCCACCTGGAGTCCATTCTTAATCTTGATATAGACTCCATGGAAGCCAGTATTTCTACAAACCTTCGGAACAGACAACTTTCAATATAAGACAGAAGAGATGACTATTAATAACACCCCAAAATATTCGAACCTAATAACCCAGAACCGCTATTCTCCATAGATAGATAATAAAGAGGCCACAAAAATGTAAAAAGAAGTAAAAGCATCCCAGTCCAAGTCCGTGTCCAAGTCCATGTGCAACCGAACCCCACCAGAAGTAGAAGAGAATAAACGACAATAACAAAATAACCATAGACCACAACCAGTAACAAACAAGGATAGACAAAAAGAAAAGAAGAAAAAAAGAACACCGAGAAATGAGAAGAGTTCGTAGCACTTCCACGGCGCCGTCCGACCAATTCCCACAGGTACCGTAAGAAAAGTAACAAAAAGTAGAGTAGACACCATTTTCATTCAAGGTATCCAATCCATGGACACTAGTTCGACTCCAGAACCAAGAGCAAGAACCAGAAACAACCCCGTAGATAGATAGACACCTTGATCCCATCCCGCCCAAGCCAAGCCAGCGCGGTCAAATCAAATCCAGTCCAGTCCAATCCAATCCAATCCAATAAGCAAAGGCCATAAGACCCGAGAGATACCAATAAACAAGAAAGCAAAAAAACGAATATCCGTGAGAAAGGCCTCAAGTTGCTCCAATCCCGCTGTCATGTATATACCGTGTTTCAAAGATCGAATCAGATCCCCATCACCCACGCAATGTAATCCGTTTTTCTCGCACAACGCCGCAGGAAAGGAGAAAAATAGAAATAGACACCAAAAATAAAAGGCATAAATGAAATCCTTACACCTTGTCCAAGTCAAAATCAAAGCCAAATCGAATGCATACCAGTTACCGCTACCGCGCCGCCGTAAAAGAATGCCCTCCCATGCGGAATCAATTAGTCGTGGAATCAGAAGCAAATCCGAATTTGTTGAACAAAAACTCCGTTTCCTAGAACCTTCTTATCCCCACACGGAAGCTTGAACACCCAGTCCACTCTTTGAGCCCCAGACACCACTACCGTTGGACCAGCCTAAACCCACTCCACCGGCTGCTGAGTCCTTGGAGCCAGATGCACTAGTTGGAACGGCAACGGTTGGATTGGAAGCAGACGATGCAGAGCGCTCATTAGCAGCATTAGCAGCTGCCTCGCCGGGAGTAAACCCGAAACCTAAAGGAGAAGGTAGCGGGGTCGTTGCACGCTGTTTCAACGCTGAATTGGAGGCTGGAACAGAAGTCTGCGGTTGTACGGGTCTAGAACCGATGGGACCAACAGGGCCAATGGGCCCACCACTCTGTTTAGGAGGGGCTTGGCGGGCAGAAGGCGAGCTGGCACTAGGACCGCCTGGCGATGAGGCAGAAGTGACGGGCTGTTCGGGGAAAGCGGCATTTATGGCAGAGTTAGGTGAGGAGGTGCTATTTGCGCGGGAAGGGGACTGTAGGGCTGATGGGCCATCAGTGGAAGTTGGAGTTTGGAGACCGAATGGGTCCACGCCGCGAGGGGAAGAACCGCGAACACCACTTGAGGGGGTTCCGGTGGGTTGGCTCTCTGGGCGAGGGCTTTCATCGGATAGAGCGCCTGGGGGGAAGAATGCGGGACTCTCGTTTCCGTAGAGGGCTCTGTGTTGGCGGGCTAGGAGGTCTCGTCGACTTTCTTCGTTCACGTTCACGGGCACGGAGGCGGACGCGGACGCGGCGGCTGGGCTGGTAGAGCGATCGGATTTGTTTGCAGACATCTCGGCGAGGAGGCCTTTGGAAGAAGAAGATCACGTATTAAAAACCACACGTTTCAAAAGGACATTGCCAAACCAATATATTATACAAGGCCGACGGATACATAGATGCAAGATAGAGAGAAAAAAAAGATGACGGGGGAATATAAACGTCAAGGAAGAGAAGATAGAAAAGAACAGAAAAGAAATGAGGAAGAAGAATACACGCTACCACGTACTTCGGTTGTACTGCTGCTCCTGATGATAGTTGCGGAGCTCCCGTTCGCGCTGAGCTGCCATCCGACGCTTCGCCTGCATCATCTGTTCTACTTCATTCGGACGACCCTGGTACCGCTGCGAGGCGTAGAAACCCTGCGCATTGCCGGCGGGGTGCATCCGTGAGCCTTCGAATTCGCTAACCGAGTGGTGTCGCTGGGGACCGGGACTGCCTCCCATGCGAGGGTCTGGTCATGTCGGAAGAATCAAGTCAGATCAACGCCGCATGGATCGAGGGTACGTCCACATACCGTAATCGGGATAGGGACGACCCATCATCATGGGCATCGAGTCCCGGCGAGGAGCATTCCACAGCTTCCCGCTCTTGACGAGATTGTCGATCGCACGCTCGACCTCTTCAGAAAAGTACACAATCAGCAGATATTCCATAACACACATTCAAATTCAATCGCAGAGACCGGCAGATCACCAAAAAAAATCTGAAATCTGAAATCTTAGGGTTCCCAATTCAAAGTTTCGCTTGTCCCGGAATATTGTTGATAGCAACACAGGTTGTGTTTCGACCATTGAGTATCCTCGGTCAAAGACCATGATCCTTCAATTTTTCTTCTCGAGTCGAAGCGAAACGGGAATTGGGTTGAATTCGATGCAGGAGGGGTTTGAGCATACCGTCAAACTGGGAAGAAAAGGCCGGGCTATCCTCGCGCTGGGAAACTGAACTTGAGCCTATAGAGTAGACGAAAAGAGTATGAGTGTGTGATTTTTCCCGATTTTGAGTTTTTGAGATTTTGACATTGAATTGGAATGCAATACAATATTGGAATGAATACATACCTGACCGAGATGGCGGCTGAGGCTGTTCCCAAGAGACGGAGCGCGCGGCGGGAGCCTGCCAGCCCTGCGGTTCGTAGTACGAAGACATGGTCGTTGTAGAGTGAATCTTTTTTGTCTTCGTGCGAACAAGCGGTTCAGGGGGTGGAAGCGGCGGAGGAGATGATCCGGGTGAGATCTGACCCAATAAGTCAATACAATATAATAGTGATTAAATGAATAAAAAGGCAAGATTGAATTCCAGCTCAAAAATAAGAAATGAAAAAAGAAAAAGCCCAGGTTTCCTCGACTGCGACTTTGTTTCTTCGAGTTCTTAATACAAGAACTTTGAACTAGAGAACAGAAAATGACCGTGGGGCCCGGTCCGCACGGAATTTCGGGGCTTTTTTTTTTCCCACTGAATTTTTGTGGTTGAGGAAGATACCCGAGACAGAGAGAAAACACTAAACACTTGAGAGATTCAACGACTTACCAGATGAGTCTCTTTGCCAGAGAGAGATGGGAGAGAAAGAGGGGAAGAAGGGGAAATTCACGAGAAAAGGAGGAAAGAGCGAGAGTAAGAGAGGAGAGAACAGAGAGAGGGTCCAGTCTATTTTGGGGAATTACAGTTAAACACTTAACACTTCATGGGATTCACGGTGTAATTCTAAGTCGTACAGTCTTTGCTGATGCTGGTTCTTATTATTCTGTGATTATGATTTGGGGTCTTTCCTTTCTTTTCTTCTGTTGGGGTCAATTATTGTTACTATTCTGGTTTATTGAATATTGGTTATTCAAGGAATATACTCATAATATCCTCTCGACATCTACAACAAAGACACATACAAATACAAATACAATTTCCGCGGCAATTACCGGGCAGTCCAACTGGGTACTTAACTCTGTGGACCTGAATGTAACTGGATACGGAGCCGGTCACCGGAGATTGGACTGGGGCACGGGGCTGTCTAAGCGTACATACTCCATTCCAAGTACAGTACATCTACGCAATCAACCGAGTACTAGTCCATGATCATTGTTCCAGTACAATATTGTTGCAGTCCCCACTATGACCTCTTTTTCTTCTTCTTCCCTCTGCCCGTTTCTATTGACCCCAAGTTCCTCGTATCAGCCCCATTCCTTTATTGTATTACCTATTCTTTATTACATACTAGTTACATATTATCTCCAGCCTTCTTACTATAGGTCTGAACTTCTTACTATATATCTAATCCTTCATACTTATTTGCCTCCTACCCGACTAGTAGAGTTAAATATCCAAATACAACAATCAAGCTGACAAACCGGCCCCTCCAATCCCGAAAAACCACTAAATGCACGATGATGGCACCATGCACAGAATACTGCACTCTGCACTTACCATGCAGCCAAGTTCAAGTTCAAGTCCCCGTGACTACATGACTCTGACCTGACTCTGACTTACGCCCGAACACGAGACATTCTCCAGAACACCCTCGAGCCTACAGAACTAAACCCCGCATCATGCAACCATGCACGATCTAGGATATTCCTAAGGATTTCCTAGAAAATACATCAAAATTAAAAGAAAGAGAACCGTGCCATACTAACCAACTTGAAGTACTATTCTTACAGAAATTTAAAGATTGTATAATTCCACCAACAGTAAAACAAAATATGCAGAGCCCCTCCAACCATACACTGCAGAAGAAATAAATCTAAACGAAAATTCAAATCATAGAGGGGCAATAGAATGCAATAGAATAGAATAAAATCAAATCAAATCAAATCAAACCAACTAAATCCATTCATGCAAGTTCAAGTTCCATCCGGGTACTAGTACTAGTACTAATACTGTACACCATCGCAGCCTGCATAGATCAACCGAGAACGAAACCCCCCACTTGCACGAGGGTGAGGGCCCGCTGCAGTAGTCTTGCCTCCGCCTGGGTAAGTACAGTACCTTTAGGCCCGCCTAACTACAGTATTAAGTGAAGTCTACTGTACTCTTAGTCTACTAATACATACAGAGTAACTCCCGGGTTACTTTCACTTTCATTCTTGGCCCGTGCGATTGACCAACGCATCCTCTCGGTCAATTCAGGAGGGCTAAGTGGGGCGCGGAATCAGCATTTTACCAGCATTTTATATTCTTCCGCAAGGTCCGCCGCCCCTCAATTTTATGTGCAGTAGACTGGTTTTTGTATGTATCTGTACTATGATGTACATTGCCCCTCAGGTTGGGTTTACCGGGACTTCAATGTCCCTATAGTAGTAGAGTTATTTTTTTATCTTACGGGATTTAGTATCAGGAAGTAGGTACTTGAAATATTATAGTATAAGTATAAGTATATAGAAAGAGTAATTGGATAGTAGATCAGTAATACTACATACTCTGTCGGAAATGGAAAACTATCTTCCGCCCAATCTATAACTATCCCAAGGTCAAGGAGGTGCCAGGTCAAGATGACACCTAGTACATGACTTGCAGAACCTAACAAAAACTTGAACTTGAACTTGAATCACAAGCCCGAGTCCAAGCCTGAGCTTCCCCGTAAACTTGAACTTTAAACTATAGTTCACGCAGGACAAGGACACATTTCCCCTCAATCGATCTAGACATCTAGGTAGAGCTCAACTTGAATAATTAAGCGCACTGACAGGTCACAGACTCAGATTGTAATAGAGATTGAAATGTCACTGCGACCGTCACCGAAACCCTCCGTGTATCACCACAGTGGTCATCCCGGCGCACTGTGATGCCCGCGTTACCTTGGAGGCCTCAATCCTGATTAGGCCGGTCCGTCATACGTATGAACATTGGGGGTTAAGGGCGGCCTTGATAAATTGGGATCGGTAGATAGATATGTATAGAATAGGATGAACTGGCGAGGGATTTCTGTTTTTATATTTATATTTCTATTTACATGTAGTGAGGCCACAATTATTTTTCGAATAGAAAAGTAGGTAATACTACTACTACTAGTATTTGCTTTTCTCGCCAAACCTTGGAAGCACTGGCACTCAAATGTTATACTTAGAACCTTGAAGACACATACGCATACTAGTATAAATCACAATGTCAATCCATTCCGATCGCACCTAACACCATTACCCGAATACAGTAATCAGCAGGACCATTTCCTCAATCTGGAACAAAACAAAGAACCTGTTACCTTGGAAGCAGAGTTCCAGACGTCAATGTCATCATGGGCTGAGACCCTCTGCAGGCTTGGAGAATGAACGGACCACAGGGTTCTTTCATCCCGAGATGGGGGACCCAATAGTAATAGTAGTAGTAACTTGAACGGGGATGTCGGGGTGCAGATACAGGGTACATACAAAGAGGCCAAAACAGGAGCTGACGAGCGATAGATAGATATCTGTGGGTGGAGTGACAGGATTGTTATAGATTTTATGAAGGGATGAAACAATGTGAGCAATCTAGATTTAGATTTAGATTTAGAAACAATAAAAGGAGAAACATCAAAAGATCAGAGATAAGTATACAGCTGATAGTTCAAGTTATGGTCTCCCGCACGTGCTGGAGGCGCAAGATCGCGGGGAGTGCAGAAGCGGACGATCAATAAGGGGGAATCAGTGCACATTTGATATCAATATCTCCGTTGCCCTGATACATAGTCCCCTCGAGTTTGGTACCTGCATGTCCAAGCTTGCACTACGGGGATTCCGAAGATTGGGGGGGTTCGATGTATGATAAGGGGGCAAATGACTATTATTCTTGGCTATTTTTATCTTTGTTTTAAAAAAGAAATTGGAAAAAAGAAAGAAAATATATGGAAAATAGGGGTTGAAGACTAGTTAAGAACAAAGGAGTCAAGTGGGCTTTCATGGACTCTTGATAGGAACTGACTCCCCCATCTACTAGTTCTTCCCCGATAATTAGCTAGGTAGATATGGAGAAGAGGGGGAGAAAAGAATAAAGTGAAGAAAACAACATAGTCAGTTGATAGTAAAAATTGAACAAGAAGAGTACACTCATCCCATTGATAATCTCTAGCTGAAACAATCTGTCTCTGTCTGGCGCGTTCAAAGATTGGGGGAGTTAAGATTCTCTCTCACAATTTGAGGGGAGACGACAGTGCGGTCGGCAGGTGTCTTTACCGCCGACAGGGGCTGACCTCGATCATCTTCACATCTCTCGAACTCGACCTTACACCTCGTCCACTCCCCTTTTCTTCCCTTCAATCGGAACCCCGGCTGGTTCCTACGAATTCCATACCTTGTACGCCACTCTCGAGACCCCTCCACGTTCTCCCCTTTTAACCTCGTCCACAGATTGTCCGAGGAAACGGACCCTCCAACACTTACGCTCGAAAGTGATCTTCTCTTTCTACTTGTATTTTTTTTAAACTTCCCTTTTTGCTCCTGGTTGAGGCAATCTTGTTTCTTCTCTTTTATTTATTTATTTATTTTCATCCCACCTTCAGGGATATCCCTCATCGATTTCCAACTCTCCCAATTCCCCGAATTTTTGAGATTCGTTCATTACGAGAACCCATCGAATCCTCCTCACCACTCCCGCATTATCGCGAAAAGAAATCGACCTCCAAACGCTACTCTTCTACAAACCTACAAGTGCTCCTTAAAGAAAAATTTAACATACTGCCACCGTCAAGGTGACTTACAACCCCCTTCACCATACGAAAGGGGCTATTGGCCTTCCCAGGAGATTATTGTGGATCGTTTTCATTGGAGAGACTGGCACAACTGAAAGTGGACCCGGAGGGGCTGTCTTGAGTGTGGAAATCTAAATCTCAACCGAGTCGCCGAACGAGAATCCCTAAAAAAACCCTCTCCCCCCTACAAAAACCACGACTGGTGTCTGGAAGAATTGCTATATGGTCTCAAATATCGATGGGAATGCAAAGTATTCCCACCAGCCTGGTGACCGTTCACCGATAGCGTCGGATCATCCTCCCACTATGGAATGGATACCGGAGTCCGACGCGTCTGACATCTCTACTCGTCCACCTCTGAACTCACAGCAATCAAGTTCCCTCCCTTCAACGCCCTATCAACATGCGCGCAACCTCTCCTTTCACTCGCGGTCGCCGTCCCCCGCCCGCGGAAGCACATCACCTCGTTCTACACACTCCGAGTCTACCCACTTACCTCCTTCGGCCCGGAAACCTCTCGGAGGTTGCAAGTATGAGACCGCTATGGCTTTCTTTCGAAGACGAATACCGTATAGCCTTGGAGCGGATATATTACCAGAGGAGAGGGAGGGGTTAAAAGAGAAATTGGACGACAAAGAGGAGAAGAAATTGACTGCCGATATAATGGAATTATACGATCGATTATTACCGTCTGCGGAGAGTGATGATCGGAGGCGGCAACTTGTACGAAAATTGGAGAAGCTATTTAATGATCAATGGCCCGGTCACGATATTAAGGCTCATGTTTTTGGTTCGTCGGGGAATAAGCTTTGTTCTAGCGATTCGGATGGTATGTGTGAATTCCTTCGGATTATAAGAGGGGCAATGGAGAAAGAGAGGGAAATTTGAGAGGGAAAAAAGAAACGCACAATTCAAAAAAGACGCAAGAAAAGCTGACTTTGAAATAGTCGACATTTGCATCACCACCAACTTCAAAGAACTGGAACATGTGTGTTTATTAGCGGAGGTCTTGGCAAAGCGTAAGAATGCCTTTTGTTGGAGAGGAGGTGTTACTGCGTGATTGGATTCTCGTGGCGTTGTTAAAGTGTGGATTGAACTAACTTGAAAAAATGTGACAGATGGCATGCAACGGGTGGTCTGTGTCTCTCATGCCAAGGTTCCAATTGTCAAGATTTGGGATCCGGAGCTGAAATTGGCGTGCGACATGAATGTCAACAATACCCTCGCATTGGAAAATACTCGCATGATTCGAACCTATGTGGATGTGGATGAAAGGGTGCGGCCGTTGGCAATGGCTGTTAAGCACTGGACAAAACAACGGATACTGAATGATGCTGCGCTGGGTGGCACATTAAGTTCATACACTTGGATATGCCTGATCATCAACTTTTTGCAGACTCGAGATCCACCGATTTTGCCAAGTCTGCAAGCACGCCCCCACAAGAAAAGAGTAACATCAGATGGACTGGTGTGTTCGTTCGACGATGATATGAAGTCATTACATGGGTTCGGACAGAAGAATAAACGGTCAGTGGGAGAATTGCTCTTCGATTTCTTCCGATACTATGGACATGAGCTCGACTATGAGCAAAACGTCATCTCCGTTCGTGAAGGCATTTTGGTGGACAAAAAGGGCAAGGGCTGGCACTTGCTCATGAACAACCGTCTTTGTGTCGAAGAGCCGTTCAATAACTCGCGAAATCTCGGCAATACGGCTGATGATACGTCATTCCGAGGTCTGCATATGGAATTAAGAAGGGCGTTCAAGCATGTATCGGACGCTGATTTGGCGGGGTGCTGTGATCAATTCGAATTTCCACCTGAGGAAGAGCGAACTTGGGAGCGACCACCGCCTCAACCACGTCCGATCATCACACCTTCCTTACCGACTCGTGGAGGCCGGGGAGGTGGCCGAGGTGGCCGACATCCCAACCAGTTCAGAGGCGGGTTCTCTGGCGGCCGCCGGACGTCCAACACTGGTAACAAGGGCAATAACACCTTCAGACAACCGACTGCGACAAGTGCCAATGACTTGTCCATGCAGGCTCAGCAGCAAGCTCAGTACATGTTGCATGATCAACTTTTTCAACAGATACAGCTTCTACGGGAACAAGAACAAGAACTGAGGATGCAACTCGCAAACCAAGCCCTAATTACTGGACGCACTGCTCCGGCAAATTATCTTCGTCAACCTTTTATTCAATTTCCTATACCTCAACAACAGGAGTTCTCCGCGGATGAGAGTTCACGGTCAAGATCAGGAACAGTCAATCAATCGCCGCTTACTCCCTCACATCGACAGCAACAACAACCTTTCTTCGCCCCTACCTACGCTTCTGTCAGTGCTTCCGGTACACAGGCAAGTACTACAAACCCTCCATCACCATCCGCCACCACTGCTCTACCTGATCTTCGCCGAAACCCCCGAAGGTCCTCCGCCGCCAGCGGTTCACCAAAGGGATCCCTACGAGCACAATCACAACCTGCTCGACCGGGTAATTCTCCAAATCTTCAGTCCTTCCCTTCTCTATACGCAATCCCACAGCCATTGGATACCTCATTTGGCTCCAAACAACGTCACGCCCCTGAATCATCAGAAGGTGGAGAGGGCAGCAGTGGTGACGAGAACGCAATGCCACCGAACAGTCTCCCAAGCAATGGATCTCGTTCAGGGTCCGTGGATGAGAACCGACCTCAAGATCTCTTGGGATACTATCTCACTCCGCAACAGTTGCAGCTGTTTCAACAAAATCAACTGTTGTCGCCTATGGGTCTTACAATGCCAAACGGGTATACGTCGTTACTTCAAGTTCAACAGGACTATAGGACGAGTACCCTGTCCTCTGATGGATCGCCCTCACTGTCTGATCAAGCTCCCATGTCAACACCAAGATCTTCAGTCTCGCAGCCACCACCGCCACGATCAGCATCACGCCCAGTGGCACCTATTGACCGTGGTCCTCTGATTGTCGATGGCTCGGTACCACCAAGCGATAATCGGGCTTCATCATATCCCTCTGACTTGATTGATCCCTATACTGCCGTGACGCATTACACATCAACCTCAGACGACCAGAACATCAACACGCCCGCTAGCTTCTCTGATTCATTATCTCAAGACTTCCAAGATCCCGGACCGTTCGAAATGGACCCGCCAGCCCCTCTCGCTCGACCAGCAACATTCGACGGACCAAAAATGACCAATGGCACTGGTAATGGCATTAGTAACCTCAACGGCCATGCCGAGCCACATGCAGACAAGTCCAACGGCCAACCAGAGCTTCTCGCCAGTCGACTACAGAACTACCATCTGTCAAACGCAGAGAAACTTGCCCAGTCACATGCCACACAAAAGACGAGTCCCAATAAACCCACACCCTCTCACCAGGGCACAAGTGCAACCAAGGACTCGTCATCGTCTCAGACCAAGAACTCATCGTCCCCAACCGACAAAGCTTCCAACGGCTCGGGCTCACATGGAAATGGAAATGAATCACGACAACAAACATCCAATTCAAAAAGAAGACCAAACGGCTTAGATGCATCTGAGAAGGTCAACGGTGTCAACCACAGCAACAGCCATAACCACAATCACGGCCATAACCATCACAAGCCCAAATCAAAGGGACGACACGAATCTAACACGGGTAACGAGTCCCGGAAATCAGGCGGACCAACCACAAATGGCAATGGCAATGGCATGACAGAAAACGGTCACGGAGGGTGGCAGACGACGAAGAAAAAGAACCGAAGAAGCGGTAAACCATCTCCTGAATCTCGCAATGGGATTCATGGTGGTCCTGAACCTCTTCCTGCTGATGAATCTATGCGCAAAGGTGGTTGAGTGAGTGGTATGAGAGACTAAATGAAATCAAAACACTTCACAAACATGTCTTTCTAAGCCGTCTGTCACTGTCACTGTCACGACAAGCATGAATATTACTGTGTTTGATATTTTCGTCTTCTCTTTCCCTCTCTTTCCTCCTCTTCTATCATACTTGTTACCGTTGAACGAAATCGAAACCGAAACCGAAACCGAAACCTAATCCAAACCCCAGCTTCGAAAGCTGTGACTGTCAATTACTCGCATCTGAAACATGAAAGACTGATTATTCACCAAGCCCATGTTTACGTTCAATTTCACGTCTCTTTTGGCCATTTCTGTTCTTTTCTTGTCCTTTCTTTCTTGTCTTGCAAGTCCTTCATCCATTTCCCGGTGTCGGTGTCAGGGGTCGGCAGGTGCCGGGATGCATATGCGAATCGCATCATATCATATCATCATATCATACTATATCATTATCATTATCATTATCATTATCATCGTTCATCGCATTGACGCGCTCAGTTCTCTCTTCCTTTTTTTGCCTTGCTGCCTTGCCTTTCGTCTCTATCTGTCTATCTATCTGTCTCATATAAATCTTAAGAAAACCGCGACGCGACATGGGCATCAGCACGAATCTGAATCTTCTGGAGTCCTGTGGCTAGACCCGGGGCTTTGTTTTGTTTTTTTTTTCTCTTCCCTCTCTTTTCTTTTTCTGTCGTGGATCTCAGATATTGGTGCCTTGCTTTTTTTGGTTCGGTTGTACTGTATAAAAGAGATTAAGGTCGTGTCAATGAATAAGAAAAAAATGTTCAAAGGGTTTCTTTTTCTTCTTTGTATGTCTAGATAGACATAGTAGTATGGATGTAGTATGCTCTCAATAGTAGCTAATTTAATATGTATAAGATACATCATACTATCTATTATGGAGGTGATTAGGTATGCACATAAATAAGTTTCAATATGTTCTCTTCAAGTTTATTTTAGTGGCATTGCATCGTTCAACCGAGAAAGCACGCCCAGATGAAAAGCCGAGCTGTATGTAGTACCGAGAATCTCAGACATGATTGATTCCACAGATGAGTTGGTAAGGTGACAGAAATGGTGTATGGTGTCGGGCAAGATTAGAATCACATAAGTTTGTAGAAAACAGAGTACAAGAATTGAAAAGGCAATAGTTGAAAGTACAGCTCGCCGCTCCAAGAATCGAGATGACAAGAAGAAACGAGAAAAAGTAAGTTAAATAAAGCTAATATGTTCATAAGGGTATGCTGTAAGTGCTGAAGGAATTTTTTCACGTATGCTGATGAGGATGAAGATCGAGATCGAGATCAAGACCAGAGCTCGGCAAGAATGTATGGTACAATCACGATGCAGGCTGTCCAGAACACCATGACGGATTGGAAGGGAAACAGTATTAGATGGGTGAAGGGTGTTTGGCGGAACTGGACCCAGATAGCCAGGAAGGCGACAGTGAAGAAGTGTGTGACAAGGACGAGAGGTTGTTTAAGTAGACCAGCGAGCATGAGGACGGGTTGATCAACGTTAGCAATTTGGAAGTAGCGGAAACATCCCTGCTGGAGTGCGCGGAGATTCTTATCATCAGCAGCGAATAACATGTAAAGCGCCTGAGCGAGGATATTGATAACAGTCGAAGACTTCTTTCTCATCCAGTGAAAGCGAGAAAGTTGTTTGAGCACAAGTTCTGTATCTTCGAAACTTGGCACAGCTTCGGGACTGAGTAGTTCACGAATCACACAGACATCGTTCAATGCTACTGTCATTCCACCACCTGTTAATGGGTGGCGCATGTTAAGCGCGTCACCCAGAATCATTAAACCGGCTGTCTTATTTGTTGATGCGGGCAAGAAAGAGTTTGGCATTGATCGCAATGAACCTGTTTCCAAGGCATTCAAGAACGGTTGCTGTACATCCTTTGGAAGAACAGGTAGAACGCAATTCCGCATGTAGCCCTTTACACCACCATTCTTAATTGAAGCCGCAGGGAGATTCTCCGGGATATCGATCAGGATTCGGGTCTCGTGGGTTCCAATCTGGTACATGAGGATGGGCGCAATATCACCGAGTAGCACATGGCCACAACAAGGAGAAGGAAGGGGTGCATCGATCATTTCGAGGCCCCAGAACTTCGATCGGCGCGTCGGCGTATGCGGGAGGTTCCCTTTACGGAAAACAGAATTATACCCATCGGCAGCGACAGTAAGCTGAGCAAAGTAGCAATCCTTCATATCCTTAGTTACGCACTCGACACCAAGAACCTGCTTCGTGTGCGTCGACGTAACCAACCCCGTAGCCTTCGTCTCAACAACAGTAACATTCGGACAAGCCAAAGCAGCCTGTCGCAATTTCATCACGAATCGACCATGATGGAACGCTCTCCCCCTGGGCTCGGGTGAAGAAGCCGTTTCGCGAGGATAATCCAACTCAACCGGCTCCCCATGATATGAAATATAGTAACCCTTCACGGAAATCGCATCGATATCCTCCAAACATTCCGACATGCCTAATTTTTCAAGAGCCTGCACACCACCCGGCTGAAGTAACTCGCCAACAATACGATCGGGCTCCTTCATGCTTGCCTCAAGCAATATTACACTTCTTCCTTGTCTCCCCAGTGTAACTGCCAGGGCGCAGCCTAGAATGCCAGCACCGATGATCACGACATCTGCCTCGTGGTGGTCTGCGCGGCGGCGGGCAGCTTGTTCAGATGGTGTGGCGTGGCCGTTGAGGGAGGTCATGGTTGTAGTTGTGGTAGAGGTAGAGTATTTTCTTCGAAGGAGAAGGGCGGCCGGGGCCGCATAAAATTGGCTTCACGAAGGGTATTTAAGTGATTGGGGTGTGGAGTTGTTGTTGTATGGGCTGATCAGAGGGAAAAAAAGAGTAAAGGGGGCGTGGCATGACATGTGAAAGGGTAGTCGCTCTCCGCCTTCCCCGTTATCAGTGATAAACTATACAATGTAGATCTGAGTCCTCTTCGTGCATATCGAGATGCTTTGACCTCACGGAACTGCAATCGATCGATCGATCTTTTGGACATTGTTAACCGAGGTCATTGGAAGAGATTTATCCAAAAGTGGATTATCTCACATCAGATATCGCCTATGAATTCACCTTGAAAGGCTTCCCTTCCCGCATCATATATCATCGATACCATTTTTGACCCAAAGAACGATGATTGGCTAGATATAAGGCTCCCAAAGGCATCGTCAGTCTCCAGGGCTTTCGGTCAAGCTAATTTCCTCATGTCCAGCTATAGAAGCAGGGCTTCTTAGACAACGATAGCCTCGTCCTCCATAAAATGCAACCTGGCTGTTTAAGAACAGTAGGATAGAAAAGATTTATACCTGTTCAAGCTGTTATAAGATTCGCGAACCCTTCTAAATATATGAATAGACATTGTTCGAAAAATAAAAAAGGAAGAACTATCTAAATTTGGCCTACATATGAGACATATGAAAATTTGTACCTTTTTAGATATACTATTAGTTATGAAGTGTGATTTAACAGTTCCGAAGGACAATCTTACCATGAGTCCTGAATATAGCCGACTCCCCCAAGAGTCTAAGCTTACTGTTTCTTTATCCACATATTATAAAGGATATCTATCTGCTCTGGGTCATAGGGAGGATATCCATAAACTTGCAATGATCACAGGCAATAACGCAACCGTGGAGCACTCGGCCTGACAAACTTATACTTGAGCTGAAATTTAGAAAAGGGAAGGGGCTATACCCATCCGTAGGGTAGGATTGGATGCGATAATACTAGTATATGATGGATTCATCAGACATTGAGTGGTACAAGATTGGAATATCTATATATGAAGTTCATTATATAATGATTTACAGTGTATTGATGCGTTTATTGTACATTTATTTACATCACCCTTGTTGTAGGATGTTCGGGGTATAAAGGATGTTCCGGCTGTCTGCGATGAGACTTCACAGTCATACGCTCACTCCACCACAAATTCAACTCATCCTGATCGAACTGTTTCCGATCAATGACATGTTCAAACTCCATCTCCTCATCAAACGCGACAAGCGCCTCTTCCAACAGAACATCAGGCAACTCTTGACTTTTACCAGGCGCAACGGAAATTCGATCACGTCCCTGCTTCTTTAGTTCCGGATCAACCGTGAACTGTGCCCAGTGACTGGATCCGCTTTGTTTCTCTTGCAAAGCAGTTAAGAGAGCTTGCAAGGTCTCCACGGTAGATGGAAGATGTTTTTCCTGGATGAGGGGCATTAAGCGTTCGACTTCGACGACGAAATCGCGACTGACGGGTTCGTTGCGGGAAAGGACGGTCATCATGCACCACCATAGACCGCGGGGGTTGTTGATCCAGGTGTAGCCGCGGATGAGCATTTTGAGTTGAACTTGAGTGAAGCCGTAGGCTTTGCGCCATTTGGATATGTAGATTGCTGAGAGGAGGTTGACTGCGACGAGGGGTCGTTGTAGGGCGATCATGCGGCGGGCGACGGCGTTGGAAGCATGGTGTTTGAACTGGAGTCTTTCGTTTTCGACGCAGATTTCGTAGAATTCGAAAAGAGCCAGTTTGATTAAGGTGCTTTCGCTTACACGGTATGGGTCCAGTTGCATGATCTGCTGGAAAAAGATTGGGACGAAGCGCGGGCTGCGTTGAGAATAGTTGAGGGATGGGCGTTTGTTCCACGAGGACCATAGCTTCTTGATCATGTTTTGGGCTTCGGAAAGACCGCCTAGGCCTCCGTGGAGCAGAGTCGCAATGACACCGAGTTGTATTTGGATCGGCTTGACAGGGTATCCTTTGTCAACGGCTTGTTGGAGAAGTTGCTTTGCATCTGTATATTTGCCGACATGAATATGATGCGCCATTCTTTTGGTGGCGGGAACGTAAAGATTGATGGAGCTCTTTTCGCCGAGACCCTTCATGCTCCGAGAGAAAGACTTCTTGGCTTCGTAGCGGATTGGTGATGTTCCATTCTTTTCAATGTGATAGTATCCGGCGCCAACACCCATGATACGTCTAGACATAGCGACCATTCCGTGTTGTTTCTTCGCCGCCTGGAACATTTGCCAAAAACCCGTCGGACTATCTTGCATAGCTACTCGGCGTGCCTCTAAAATCCTGAGCATTGCATCGTGATCAATTCCGGTATTCCATTTTCGCGCATCAGTAAACATGTGGAATTTCCGGAGTGTCTCAGTGTCACATCGTTCCACCATTCCCTCAATCAAGTGTCGGTGGAGAACATTATCAGGCCGAATGTCGAACTCTTGCAAGTAGGTTTGGAGGAACTTCCAATTATCGGGACCAGAGTGAGAAGGCCAATACTCTGCCCAGACACGATCAAATACTCGGTTGAAGTTGGGTTTGTCTTTGGTGAATCCTCGCTCATGCATCTTGTGCAATCCAACGATGACACCCTCCCAATCACATTGCAGAGCTCTGCAATGTAACAAAAGACCAATGGTACGGCATCCAGGCTTGGCACCGTACTTTTCCTCCATGTCCCCAACTATAGCTTCCGCGTCTTCGTATTGACCTGCTTCAATATACGCCTTTACCAGGCCATTGAAGACCTTCTCAGTTGGCTGTCGTCCCAATTTGTTGAGCTCTGTGATAATCTTGCGGAATTCTATATTGACCACGTCAACATTCCGGGTCTTTTTCCATAATCCGTCCAGAAAGGTACCGCAAAGACCTCCATTGCGGTCATGTTCAATGCGCGAGTAGAAGAGCCGCTTAGCTTGAGATAGCCGGTTGGACTCAAGCAGGCACCGCAAAGTGACTTCTAAAAGGTACTCGGGTAGTGTGAATGTTGATCGATGTTGTTCGAAGATCGCAGCTGCAGATTCGACGTGACCTTCTCTTGCAAGCAAATGAATCATGGAAGACCACATCTGCGTGTCCATGACAGACACCTTATCAAGGCGAAGATAAATCGATCGCGCAATATATGTGTTGCCAGCCTTGCAGTTGACCCTGAAAATTTCATAACCAAGTGCTCGCCGCCCCCACGATATCGCTTCGTCCTTCCTCGGCAGGACAACTTTCAAAAACAGATTCGCAGCTTCTATGGGCTTCCCCTTGCCAAGAAGCCTATTTATTGATTCCTCGAATGTAGGCTTCCCTGCAGCCCGACGTACCTCATCCTGTTCAGCTTCTCGATCTATAGCAACTCGATTGTCGTGTTTGCTCTTCGGATCCGCATAGCTCAATGGGACATTGTATGAACGACCATGAGGCTTCAAAGCCCGCGGGGCTGGACTATCTTGTGACCGAACAGGATGAGAAGCAGATAATGCTACCCCGTCACCACCAAGAGAGCTTCGGTCCAAACCATGCCCAGGAACCTCAGTCTTATTCTGTAATGAAGCCCTGTCCTTCAAAGATTCGAGACCCATAAACTCACCAGCTTCCGCTGCCTCCATCATAACCGCAAGACGTTTGGCAGAAGCCGTGGCATCATAATTCGGCGCCGAGGTCCGGATCGTACGTTTGTTTTCGATGATTTGCTCAGCCACACGAATTCGCCGGTGGACATCGTAGGTTATAGCGGCGACGGTACAGAAGGTTCCCACGGATCCTGCAAAGGCCAATTGGCGGAGGACACGCAAGGCATTGCGAGAGGGGACAGCTGGTGTTGAGGGTGCGGCATTGGAGAACATGGTGTGCGCTGGCCGCGGAGTGCGCGCTGGGTTTACCAGCGGTGCATCAAGGGCTGTAGCAGTAATGAACAATAGAGTTACAATATCCAAATATTATATGAGATTGAGCCAAAATATGAAAGCAAAAGGGGATATGCCACCAGGCAATTGGACTGTAGAGCTGAAGGTTGAAATGGGACAACTTTTTTCGGTAATGGGGGAAAGATGCGCGAATGGGCCGTATAGTCTACCGTAACAGATTATCGTCCGATCACCCGATATTGCTTGGCTTCGGGATCCGAGATAGCGATGAAGATACTATAGAACAGCAAATACATGAAGGAGAAAAAAAAAACCCCGAAAATATGCATTGTTTTGATTGCTTGCGGACATTATAGATTTTTCAAGACATGGTGAAGCCCCAACCAAACTTAGCCATAATAAGAAATCCAAACTGAGCCTAAACAGAAGACAGTCCCATAGAGCGAGCCAAACGTACACCACGTCTACAGTAGCTATATGCAAAAACAATAATCAAAGCCGAAACAAATTTCCCCGATATACCATCATTAGAAGAAGAAGAAAGTCAGCACGAGCTCCTTTAACTTGTCAAAAGGAATGGGTCCCTCTCGTCTTCGTCCTCTTCGTTAGCCTCAACTGCAACATCACGTTCCGGCTCGTCATCAAGAGAAACTATAGTAAGATTAGCGAAAACCCAGTAGAATCTGCGACTGAGAGTCAAGACTAACCATGAGGGCGAATGAAAAAGCTCAGAAGGAACACAGAACCGAAGGTAGTTGACAGTGCGACGAAAACCGCCTGAGGGAACGGTCCAACAGTTAAACTGTAGAGCAAATTCAAGACAGTCGGGGCAACTATTCGTGCGAGGGCATGTAAAAGACCCGTTGCGCCAAGCAACTGCCCAACTTCATTGGGATGCACATGCTTAGTGATTGCGGACTGGATAGTAGGAGGACCCATTGAACCAAGGCAAGCAACTGTGCCTGATACAACCCAAACAGTACCCGTTCTCGACAATGCATAGCCGATAAAGCCAAGAATATCCAGCACTGTGGATACTTGAATGATTTTTATATCAAACTCATCGCAGCCATGAATCTTGCCGTCGTGCTCAGTCGGTTTGCGGAAATACCACGATGTAAGCGGCAAAATAACGAACAAGACAATCGTACGGATGCTACCCACGAACGCGACGTACAAACTCGTGTCGACGTCGCCCCAACCAAACGAGTATCGCGCATACATCACGATAACCTGCACCGCTCCCAAAGCGACACCGAAGATAACGGTGTCCATCATAGCCAGCATGACGATATTCCGACGCAGAGCGGGACTGGCTCCCTTGCGATTGGGAAATAAGACGCTCGGGTGTCCGACAGGTGGGTAGAGGATAGCGAGAGGAGTAAATAAATTCTTTGGGTTGAGATTGCTCCATGAAAATCCAGTTGATTCACCGACTGATTTCAAATTATCTCTAGCTCTAGCCGCAAGTTGAGAAGCTTTAGACAGAGACTCAGGGATAATGAAAAAGGCAGAGAACGCAAAGATAAGGTGTAGTAGTGTGCCCAGGTAAAACGCAATCAGCGGAGTCCCGGTCTTATAGATGATATACGCGGCTGCACTTGGGCCAGCTGCGACTCCTAAGAATAGAGCACCGTGGAATAAACCGAATGCCACACTTCTGCGTTCAGGAGTTGTACAATCAGTGGCATAGGAATGGAGAATCACCTGGGCTCCAGTGAGAGAGCCGCTCAAACCATCCAGCAGCGATCCAAGCAATAATAGATTGACGGGTAATTTGTCGGACCATGTGCCCACGATACAGGTCACCAGCTCGCTACACGCAGTACCAAATCCACAGAGAGCGATAATCTTGGTTCGGCCATAGCTATCAGATAAACGGCCTAGTCGGGGGCTCACCAAAGCTGCGAATGTGCCCATGATGAGGTTCATGTAGAGCTCGAACTGGGCGACTTTAGATTGAACTTCGGGTGTTCTGCATCGTGGATTGTTTTCGCCAGGGACAATAGGAGAATATGAGGGATTGGGGTGGTGGAGGTTTTCTTTGTCGAAATAATCACGACATATTAAATCGGTTGTCAGATTGATCTTGGGTACGGTGAGACCACCGAAACCAACAGTGTAGAGCAGCACGAATGGGAGCAACCAGTAGATCTATAATCAAGAATTAATAAGATATTAAATCAGAGCCTGGATAAGTGATCTAAAATGTTCAAATTTCAATGATAAAATGGCACTGAAGCCACTCCGAAGGCACTTACAGTCGGTTGTCTCCATTGTGGTCGGGTGTCAGCATCATTGTCTTTCGGCTGCTCATCCTCTGGCCATTCGTTATCACTGGCTAATATAGGTTCGTTGTGAACTTCCAAGGTTGAATACCCCGTACGACGACGAGTCTGTACTGTAGACTGATTTGTCTCGCCTCGAGCGAGAAGTTGATCGTTCTCCATGGTCGCGCAGCAATGCCTTCGGAGTAAGTAAGCAAAGGCAGAAAAGGAATCTTAGGGCGAGATCATAAGAAATAAGTAAAAGAAGATGAGGGGCCAAAAGGCCGGAAGCAAACAATATAGTCAGAGATTTAATTCGTCAGCACTACCTGGTCAGTGACAAGGATTTTGTGCTGCTGACGACCTTTTTGAGTGAGGGAGACAGAAACGGCCCCAAGCTTCGTGCGTCACGCTGCAAATGCTTATCAAGAGGATTTCTCCGACTCCGAGGGGGATCTGCGGTTAGATCCGCGGCCGAGTTCTAGACGTTCTATGCTGTGGGTAAAAGTGAAGAACGTGTGACTACTAATTCAATGTTATGGCTATTGTTAATTAAATACCAGTAGATAATTGTAGAAAATTGTTATGTTTCGGATTCCAAGTTTATCACCAAGGCCGCAATTTTACATAGTACAAAGACCCGGAAACACAGCCAAATGAACTCCTCAACTCCACAGTCGCAAATAAATTATGTACATGTATAGAATCCTTGCATAGAGTGGAACAAGATTTTCGAAAGAACAAGAGAGAAGAGGAGAGAACATGTGTAATATACCCAAATCTTACAAGACGAGAGAAGAAAGCTCCTTACCAGCGAAGAACTTCTTCTGCTCAAGGCATCGCTCACTGCGACATCCCTGGCAACGGAGGGTCATCTGCGCAGAGCAGGGTTCTCCATTCTGGAGATGGTCATGCGCAACATCTGCCAGTGCTTGAATGAAGGTAGGGTTGCCATTCAAACTCTCAGCACGCTTGACACCGGGGCTGTTGGCTTCTTCTATAACCTCCAGATCCAACTCGTATAGGGTCTCAATATGATCGCTGGTGAAAGCAATAGGCACAAGAATCAAATCGGTCTGACCACGCTTGACATATTCATTCACCGTATCCTGGGTCTGCGCACCCAGCCAGGCCGAAGGGCCAACCTGAGACTGCCAGCAAAGACGGTAGGGGTTGCTGAACTTAAGACGCTGCATCACAGCATGGACTGTTGCTGCTACTTCGGCGGGATAAGGATCGCCTGCATCAAGAAGATCATATTAGTCCCAATTCTGTTTTCTCGGTTCATCTAAAAGTGGATGAAGGACTTACCTCGGTTAACGACGCTCATAGGCAGACTGTGCGCAGAGAACAATAGTACAACCTTATCTCGCTTGTCTTCCGGGTACGTCTTCAGCTGAGCCTCGATATTTTGCGCAAACGCCTCAACAAGACCGGGGTGAGTGGGCCATCGGTCAATGACACTCCACTGAATTGCGCCAGCTTGATCAACCTCGCCATCAGCACGCTTTCCTTCCATACGATTCCGTAATTTCCACAATTCGTTCAACGAACTGCCAGTCGTAGAACAGGAATATTGTGGATATTGGGTGAAAGCAACCGCCCGGCCTCCCTTTCCATTACCAAATCCATCTTCAAATAATTGATTATACATTGTCTCCGTCAACGGGGCCGCATAGCGAAACGCAACATAAGGCTTGTGCGGCGCAGTCTCTGGCGAAATTTTGTCCAATATTTTGCACATCTCCTCGCATTGGTATTCCGACCATTTTCGAATTGGTGAGCCACCACCAATGTCGGCGTATTGCTTTTGGATCTTCGGGGTTCGTCGGCGTGCCAGGATTGGACCAATATATGATTGAAGGCGGCCTAAGGGAATCAAATCGCCATCGGACTGTAGGATTGGGAAAAGAGAAAGATTAGAACTGGTTCGTTGTTTGCAAGGTTTAAGTTTGTGGTAAAGAGGAGCAAGAGAATGGGAAACATACAAATAGTCTGCTCAGAAAGTCCTCCACTTGATCTGTTGTTGATGGACCACCCATGTTCATGAAAACCATTGCGGTCGGCCCCTTTGAACCAACTGCATTTTGCGTAACTGGTGGGACTGCTGTAGCAAGACCACGGCCTACCAGGGACTTGAGGCTAGCCGAGCGCAGGGTTGGGGTGGTCGCATTGCCCCATAACTGACGAGGGACCGCAGCAAAAGGACTGCGGAACGCCATGATTCCAAAGGAATTAAGTAGGGGTACCTTCGGTATAGTACTATAGGTTGTGTTGAAAGCAGAAAGGAAGTAATTAGTGAAAAGGCGTAATTGTACACCGCCTCTCAATGGAAAGTTCAGCAGGCGTAGGTTGTCTTGTCCAAGATTCTGCCCATCACAAGATTCCAGATCGCCGGAAAGCTCGCGGTCCGCGGCCAGATCGGGCCAAGTTGCTGCATGAGCAATTGGGGGCCACCGGGCCAATCAACGATTTCGTCACAGTCAGCAGAGTGCACATGTGAGTGACTAAGAGATCACATGACCTTCGCGTCACCCCCGCGTCAAACAAATCAAACATGGTTGATCCGGCGCGTCTCAAGGCAGCAATGACGCCACAAGCATTGGCGCCTTAGACGGGGAGCTTCTTGAGCTTTCATTCATTTCGACTCCGGGCTCTTTGTCACCACTCTCTCTTGTCAACCAATATTGACCATTGAACCGTGGCAAATATGGCTGACGATAGTTATGCTCGTGAGGAAGAATTGAATGAGGAGGAAGAGGTTGATGAGAGTGTGAGTGCTCCTTATACAGCTATACAATAATAATTCTAACAATTTCCCATTGCTATGTGTAGAGCTTCCGTGCAGTCAAAGATGCCGTCCTCTTCGCCATAGATGTCAGCAGCTCGATGTTGACACCCCGTCCTTCCTCCAATCCCAAAAAACCAGGCGAAGAATCCCCGACATCTGCCGCCCTAAAATGCGCATATCATTTAATGCAACAGCGCATCATATCAAACCCTAAGGATATGATCGGTGTTCTTCTTTATGGAACCCAGTCTTCAAAATTCTACGACGAGGATGGAGATGGCAGCGCTGATCTCTCATATCCTCATTGCTATCTCTTTACCGATCTTGACATTCCCTCCGCGGAGGAAGTGAAAGAGCTCCGAGCTCTTGCGGGCAATGAGGAAGAAGTGCGGGGAATTCTACAGCCGTCTGAGGAACCAGTATCTATGGCAAACGTGTTATTCTGCGCCAACCAGATCTTCACTTCTAAAGCCCCGAATTTCCTTTCGCGACGGCTGTTCATTGTGACAGATAACGATAATCCCCATGCCGATAACAAGGCTCTTCGATCGGCGTCGACAGTTCGTGCACGAGATTTGTACGATTTGGGTGTCACTATTGAACTCTTCCCCATTTCGCGACCGGACCATGAATTCGACAACTCCAAATACTATGATGTAAGTTCTAGTCCAGCATCTAGCATCTATCTCATATTGCAAAATCTTAACCATCACAGGACATCATCTACAAAACAGCACCGACCGATGGTGAGGCTCCCGCTTATCTTCAGCCTGACACCAAAACATCCACCGCCCAAGGGGACGGTATTGAACTACTTGACTCGCTATTGTCAAGCATCAACTCCAAATCTGTAGCCAAACGGTCCATCTTTTCCAATATTCCTATGGAGATTGGACCCGGGTTAAAAATATCGGTAAATGGGTATCTTTTACTCAGACGACAGGAGCCTGCACGGAGCTGCTTTGTTTGGTTAGGTGGAGAAACGCCGCAGATCGCCAAGGGAGTCACTACACTGTTGACGGACGATACAGCACATACAGTTGAAAAGTCCGATATTCGAAAAGCGTACAAGTTCGGTGGTGAATCAATCTCTTTTACGCCAGAAGAGCTATCATCACTGAGAGACTTTGGGGAACCTGTCATTCGGATTATCGGCTTTAAACCGATGTCCGCCCTCCCAATATGGGCCAATGTCAAGCACCCGACATTCATCTATCCATCCGAGGAGGACTACATTGGCTCCACTCGCGTCTTCTCTGCGCTGCATCACAAACTGCTCAAGGACGACAAATTAGCCCTAGTTTGGTTCATTTCGCGCAAGAAGTCTTCGCCTGTGCTTGGTGCCATGATTGCCGGCGCCGAAAAGACCGACGATAATGGTGTTCAAAAACTCCCTCCCGGGATGTGGATCATCCCTCTCCCATTTGCAGATGACGTGCGGAAACAGCCACCTGCTGATTTCGCGGTAGCCCCAGAATCATTAATCGATGCGATGAAGCAAGTGTTCGGGCAACTGCAGCTTCCCAAGGGGGTTTATGATCCTGAAAGATATCCTAACCCATGTGAGTTTCTCTCATGTGCAGAAGCCCGGGTGTGGTGGTACTAATACATCTGCAGCACTCCAATGGCATTATCGAATTCTTCAAGCATTAGCTCTCGATGAAGATCATCCAGGGGAACCAGATGACAAAACTATCCCCAAGTATCGGCAGATTCATAAGGTAAGAAATACCTAGTCAACTCCCACCCATATGATACAAAAATGCTAATTTGTCCTTCAGCGAGCCGGCGAATACGTTCTAGAGTGGTCCAAGGAACTCGATACAATTAACGAAAAGATGTTTGGCGGACCACCAGAAAGATCAACGCTTGTCAAACGAGGCCCAAGAGACAGTAACGGGGATGAAGGAGCTAGCGAGCAGCCCTCGAAAAGGGTCAAGACTGAGTCCGAGTCTTCTGATATCGATAGCGATATCAAGAAGGCTATGGAGAAGGGAACTTTATCCAAGGTTAGTTTGGGCAATGATTTTGCGGCCACCTGTATATTTCAGTGCTTTACTTACCGTTATTGATATAGCTCACGGTGGCAACTTTGAAGGAATTCCTTACTTCCCATGGTCGCGCCGCGGCCGGGAAGAAGGCCGATCTTCTAGAGAGAGTGGAGCAGTATTATGAGGACAAGTCCTAGTCAATTTGCATTCCAGCATCAGCCATTTTTGTAACGAATGATGATCTACTGTTTATTTTGTGTCCATCGGAACGATTCGAAATATCTAGAACTAAGCCGGGTCCAATTTGTTCCTACTGAGCAAATCAATGTCGCCCACATGGAACGAACAAACATTGCCAAATCAAAAACTTCGAATCCCCCGAATAAAGTTGAAACATAACAAAGTTAAACCTCCGGAAATTCCGGAAATTGTGGAGGCAAGAATGATCTTGGAATCGTCAGTGTTTGACTCGGACACTTGAAAGCACGTACTAGTAACGATCATATACCGTTGTGATCAAGCTGTCGTGTCTTTTCAATATTGATACTACCGAAAGTATATAATTTTTCAGATACTATATAGTATACTAGTATTGCGAAGTAGGGAAATGCCGCGGGTCATTGACGCTACATCTTCGTAATGACCAACGTTCTTGTCTCCACACTTTCCCTTGAGGGTGCATCAGTAGGCGCCGAGGGATTATCCACAGACGTATGCGGGCAAACTAAAAAAACTTTAGGGGGTTTCCAAGTCAAAAGGAAGATAACATAACATACATCTAGCGTTGCCACCTGGCATACTATCATATGTCAAAAATATAAAGAGCTCATCCGCTCTTTGATCGGGAAGCCAGTACCACTTCTGACTTGGACTGTATTTTAACATACATATCTCTTTTCTCCGAGTAGCAGAGCGTACTCGGTCTGCAGCCAAGAGGTCATGCATATTTACCGAGCCATAGTCGCAGAACGCCATTGGTCGGTCCTCGCACTTGGGTAGTAGGCATTTCCAAGTACTATTATGGCATTTAGTCAATCAATCTTTAAGATAGAATCCAGCCTCAAACGGAGTTCAAGTTATCTTACTTTATGAGCCGGAAGCGGTATCCAGGCTGAGAGTAGGTTTTCAGTTGATCCTCATTCATGAGACGCTTTAGTTCCCCCGGAGCAGTATCCGGGGAGACATCTGTAAATTATCAGTCTATTCTGATGGATGGTGTCATCGGTGGGATAATTCTAACCAACTATTGAGGCTGTAAGCGGAGTCAATCAAATCGAATCAGTATCAGGTACCTCAGACTCACCATGTGCAAAAGCCGCGGCTTGTTCCACAAACAATGGGTGTCCGGGGTCGTACGTTTCATAGTCTCCCGGCGAATTCTTCCGTAGCTTATTTCTCAGCAAGTTAGAACCAGCGTATTTTGTCGAAAGTAGAGTCGACAAAACACACCTTTACATCATAACAAAACGTGAGCTCTGCATTGAAATATGAAGCGAGAAGCTCCTCAGTCTCCTTGCGGTAAAGTGATGTGGAATCCAGGGATATAACACTGCTCGGCAGGTACTTCGACTTGTGCTCGATATAACAAAACCCACTTCGGTCCAGAGTAATGTTTTCGTTACCTCGCATGCCAGATACATTCACGGATTGAGAAAGCAATTTCACATTATCTGTAGCCTTCTGTTCTTTTAAGTCCGGGTTTGCAGTCAAAGATTGGTGAGAAGTAAAAGGCTTTTCGACTTTGTATTTTGGCAGGTCGGCAATAAAATTGATATGGGGGGAGATGTTTGATGTGGTGGACGCCATGACGATCTTAAGATTCCGCTGTTAGGAGATAATTATTAACGGAACGGAATCTTGGGGACATTTAGGGGATTAAAGGCTAGAAATGGGAAAGCAGGCAGGAGGTTACTAGGATGACATCACTTTTAGAGTTCGTGTAGATCGAACGAGTACAGGAGTTCACAGATACAACATTATATTTTATGTTCTATGGTGAACTATTGCTACAATTTAGTACACCTGGGTTTCTGACCCATGATATTAGAAGGGGAAGTGGGCTTAGTAGTCATGTCTAGGGCGGTTAGAGAGGATTAGGGTCTATTGGATGATTTTAATATAGGATTATACATGTAGAGCCTGCAAGCGCTCGGAACTTTGACGGGAATGCGAATATTTGTCTTAGTATGTGCAGGGGTTCTACGGTGAAGCCCCACCTGCATGCACCGCCCCCTCATTGTATAAGCCAAGGAATACTAGTATTCACGGCCGGAGTAGATCTTTGCTTGAGAAACACGCTTGTTCCCTTGGACCTCTCGGTCAACCAGTACCCCGCTGGACTTTTATTGATCTGTTGCATTTATCACATCCCAAATCTTGATTCAGGCTTAGATTGACTGTTATGGACGGGACGTAGGATGCACAATAGCACGCAACGCCACCTTCGTTATTTCTGCATTGTGATGGAGTACCTCTGAAAGCAGGCCGTACGAGCGTATCATGAACATTGGAAATGAGCGCCGACGATGAGTCACCTTCGCCAAGCATCCAGCACTTGAGATGTCGGCATACTAGTAGAGCGATGAACTAGCTGGAAATCCATTGGATTTGTAGACGTTTGAGAAAGAGAATCGACCGCTTCCTGAATGCCGTAATGATCATGAATTTGGTTCTGTCAATGAAATGTGCGGATATACTAAGAGTGTTGCTCTGTTAGACCACTAGGGTCAGAGCCTCTTGTGTATGTACAATGCCTCGCTCGTGGGCACGCTCTCTTATCCTCTTCAACTTTGGAACATTGTTATTGTTTGTGGTTTTGCACCTTTTTGCCCATCCGTTCTCGGTAGATCGTAGGCACCATATCACAAATTAGAGATCAGGCTTAGTGGTTGAATTAAGGTACTCAGATTAGGTAGGCTTCATAAGTAGATTAGGTTTATGCTGGTGCGAGTGATGAGTACTACATACAATGTAGGTCGGACCTCGGGAAGAGGAACGCCAACCGTGGAGCTTGACGAGATCGGCAGCTTCCAAGGTTTGAAGGTGTTCAATGCTATATAAGATGCTTAATGTGTATACTGTACGTGGCATGTCATGCTCATGCAATGCAACAACGGCCAATGACCCCACTTAAGCAACTGTCTCCAAAGACGTGATATGACACGAATCCGGCGAATCTGAGCTCTTCACTTTATTCGCGCGCTCAAATAATCTGGAAGGGAATAAACCTTACGTATCGCCGCAAAAAGAACCGGGGCTCGGGCAGATCTATCCAATCGGTATGGATATAGTGGGGACCGAGTCGGAACTCCAAATGTCGTGATCGAACCCCGGGGCCCACTTCAAGGTTTCGGAGGCGAATTCGGAGAAAATTAACAGTAAAAATAAAAAAAAAGGTAAAAGAAGATCAAAAGAAGAGCTATTTCCCACATGCTGATCTTTCTCTTTCTTCTAAACACTCTCGCTCAAGCAACAGGACAGTTTATGGGGGAGCGATCGGAAGTTGATTAATTGATCAGCATCTATCCGGCCTTAGCCCTTGAAGTCAGTCAAGATGGCAGAAAAGTCCATTTACACCACGGACTCTGTCAATCCGGATCCTGCCCGACTCAACGAATACGACGCGCACCCTAAGGATGAGCTCGAGCTCAATGTCGGCGGGCGCGGTGCCCTTCATCGCCGTCTACGCAATTACCAGGTTACAATGATTGGGTTCTGCAGCGGAATTGGAACGGGATTGTTTGTCGGAACGGGATCTGCATACGCCAAGGCTGGTCCAGCCGGCCTGTTACTCGCATATATCATCATTGGAGCTATTCTCTGGTGTGTGATGCAGAGTATTGCGGAGTTAGCGACACTTTTCCCAACAGCCGGTTCGTTTCCGCATTGGGCTACGAGATTTATTGATCCTGCCGTTGGATTCTCGCTCGCAATCTCATATGGATATTGTTATACTATTGCTATTGCGTCCGAGGTTTCTGCTGCGGCTGTTATCGTGTCGTATTGGACGGATATAACGCCTGCGGTGGTGATTACGGTTGGCCTGGTGCTTATATTGGCTATCAATTTGATGAGTGTGAGGTTTTATGGGGAGTCGGAGGTTGTTGGGGGTGCGGTTAAGGTGCTTTGCTTTTTGGGCCTAGTCGTTGTCTCTATTGTTATCACTGCTGGCGGTGGTCCTAGTGGGGAGACGATTGGATTCAGATTCTGGCATAATCCAGGTGCTTGGGTTGATTTTGATGGTATTACTGGGCCGACGGGACATTTCTTGGGATTTGTTTCTTCATTCGTCAACGCTTCGTTCAGCTTCATTGGAGTTGAAACTGTCGTTATTACAGCTGCTGAGTCTGTGGATCCGCATCGCGCTATTCCCAAAGCCGCTCGCCGCGTTACCTATCGAATCGCGTTCTTCTATATCCTCGGCGCGTTTCTCATCGGTATCATCGTGGATCCTACCAACTCCAACCTCACAGCTGGTGATGATAACGCGAACAGTTCCCCGTTCGTCATTGCGATCAAGGAAGCTGGTATTTCCGCTCTGCCCTCTATCGTCAACGCCTGTATTCTTGTCGCCGCATGGTCCGCCGGAAACTCATATTGCTGGGTTGGCTCCAGAATGATTGTTGCCATGACCACTGATCACCAGCTACCTCAAATCTTCGGTCGCGTGGACAAGCACGGCGTCCCATATGTCGCAGTTATCACCGCCTGGCTCTTTGGGCCATTGGCTTATCTGAGTCTCGGAAGCGGCGGTGCAGCTCAAGCATTTACCTGGCTTCTTAACCTGAGTACCATTGCTGGATTAATCGCATGGGCTACCTTGTGCTTTTGCTTCATTCGATACTACGCAGCGATGAAGAAGCAGGGAATTTCCCGTGACACATTGCCTTGGACAGCACCGTTCCAACCTTACGCGGCTTGGATTGGATTCTGGGGCTCCATCCTCATCACGCTGGTTGCTGGGTTTGAAGTGTTTTTGAAAGGCCACTGGAACACATCCGACTTCATTGCGTCATATATCGGTATTCCCATCTTCATTGTGCCCATTATATGCTGGAAGCTGTGGTACCGCACCAAGGTTAGTACCCTCGATCGTTCAGCTTATTATATACGAAACTCAAGTTACTAACTGATTTTTTAGTTCCAACGCGCTGCTGAAATCGACCTCTGGTCAGGCCGTCTCCAAGATGGGGAGATTCAGCCACAAAAAAACCCGCGCAATACCCTTTGGGGACGCTTCCTTGACTGGCTTGTGTAAATTATTCATTTGTAAATAGAATTTCTTGTCATGTAAATATCATATATGAGTACAAAGACAATTCGCTATTCCACCGGTTCGGAAGCCGGCCCTGTCATTCGTGAATATGTAAAAACCCTCTCTAAAACTGATCATGAAGCTTTTTGATATCATGATGAGAAGCCTTGCAACAGCCACCAACCACAAAAGATTTGAAAATACCCTTCGTCTGGGCATCCTTAACCACCTGCGCAAGTTGCACCTCCCACGGTCGCTTCATCCCATTAGCAAATCGCACAGCCAAGAAAGGAAAGCCAAGAAAACTCACAGTATCCCTCTCTCCACCACTCAAATCATCAGGCTTCTCCCAAACCTGCGTAGTAGTATTATAAACCTCCCCATTCGTACCATCTGGATACAAAATCAAACTCGGCACATTCTCCCCCGAAACAGCAGAAACACAATCCCCAAATCTCTCCACAAGACCAGGAAGTTTATGAATCTTCGTACAATTAATCCCAATCCCCCAAGGCAAAGGTCCATCTCCACCAAAAGCAGCATCAACAACATCCCCCACGCTACTCCCATCCGGTAATCTCTCATCATCACCCGGAAAAACACACGCAATCCAAAACGGGACCCGAATCCCGGAATCCCCAATCGCCCTCCGCACAGCACGCACCTCATCAAGCATCGGCAACGTCTCAAAAGCAACATACCCAAGTCTCGAAACCAAATCTCCTTCTGCAGCCTGTACAAGTCTTAACCTCTGTAAATGCCACTTGTAGAGCGCCTCTTCATTATTATGCTCTTCATCATAAGCACCAGTGTACTCCTGGCCTGGAATCATGCACGCACCATACGGACCAAGACTAAGTGCTATTTTAGCAGATGAACGCACACTCGCGCGCTCAGCTACATCCAGCGCCGTGGTGAGATAGCCACCAATTGCGTTCTCTGGAATCCCATTTGGATATTCAGATGTCTTGGTACGTAGGAATCCTTCTGGTGAAACTTGGTAGGTTGCTGTGAGAAGGATGTCTGTGCCTGCATCGCAAAAGTCCCGTTGACACGCTTCTAATGTGGTTGGGTCTGAGACTAGGAGGTCAGAGGACCAGAGAGGCGTGGTTTTGCTGTCGAATTTCAGGCCATATTGGTCTTGTAGGGATGTGCCTAGGCCTCCGTCTAGGATTTGGATTGAGGGCATTGTTGTTTCAAATTTAGTAGGTTTCGTTGACTCTTGATTGTTTGAGAACTGTGGTGGGGGATTTAACTCATATGCGGAATTAAGTTTTTCCTATTGTGGATTAAAGCTGCAGGTGCGGCTGAAGGTACAGTGGTGTTTCATAAGTATTTGACCTTGGGTACTTTGGGGCACACACCGCTCCTCCAGACCGCCTACTATATTAGTATATTCAGATCTCACGCGCGACCAAACACGCTAGCATATACAGTATTATACAGTAATATAGACGCGGTTTCCTACTTTTTCTTCCTATATTATCTTAAATATTATGCCTCCTATACGTGGGAAGCGAGGCCCAGAGCTTGATTGTCTTACAAGGGCCAAGATCTGTGAGCTACACACTACAAATGGCTGGGGGGCAACTACCATAAAAAAAAAGCGATTTCCTGACATTCCACGCTCAACTATACAATATATGCTTACCTAGGAATCAAAACGTCAAAAACAGGAGTTATTATCACAATTAGGGGTACCAAGAAAGCTTATAGAGAATAATCGAGACTATATATACGAGACTATATAACAAAATCCATCAATTTTAATTAAAGACCTACTTCTTGAGGTCGATGATAAGGTTAAACGGACCTTAATTTGGTGTCTAACCTATAAAATGGGCCTTCGAAAATGGCGGAAGATACAACGGCCTACTTTAACATCTCTATATGCCGAAAAACGCCTTGCTTGGGCTTAAAGATATCAGCATTTTACTTCTGAGGATTGGGCCTGTGTCTACTGGTCCGATGAGTGTACAGTTGAACGTGGAATTGGCCAGCGTCAAGAGTGGACCTTTATACGTCCAAAAGACCAGCTTTTCCAGCATTCAAAAGAGGGGTCTCAGGTCCAAATGATTCCAGCGTGTGGGAAGCAAATTAAGCAGATGTTTTGGGCTGCATTTTGTGGCCAACCACGTCGATCTGGCCTTATTCCTCTTTTTGGGGACCCTACATCACGACGTGGCGGTGTCTCTTCTTGTACGATCGATGAGCTCTATCGGCGTATATTACCTATACTGCTTAATAGTCTTAATTATAATGCTATCTTTTAGCAAGATAACGCGCCAGTACACACTGCTTATATTGTACGGAATACACTTGAGGAGCTAGATTGCGATATTATGGAATGGCCTCCTTATTCGCCTGATTTGAATCCAATTGAGAACCTATGGGCATTGCTAAAAGCAGAGATCTTAAAGGGTCACCCCGAGCTTATGCACCTGCCAAATAACGCGACAACGCTAGATATATTGGTAGACGCTGCGCAAGAAGCGTGGGAAGGCCTAGATATTGAGGTTTTTAAGCATCTATCAGAGACTATGCCCCACAGAGTAGCAGATGTGATCAAATATGAAGGATGGCATACTAGCTATTGAAATTGAATAGAATTTGGAGGTTTCTGCCTGGCAGTATTAAAAAGTGGGTCCTAGGCCGAAGTACTCGAGGTCAAATACTTATGGAACACCACTGTACAGTGGCCGGCCGGCTGGACTTCTCCTTACCATCCTTCCGGTGGTATCGCGTCGTCTCATAGGAAAACCAATTCTACTTCCAGGGCTCCAAGCATTTTACTTTCCTGAATTTCGTCGAAAATAACGTATCGCCAAAAACGATACGATATCGTGTCCAGCTCTAAATCTCGGATACGTATCATTACCGCGAGCTAATCCATGTTGGGGAATTCCATTCGAGCTATGTCGATATTCCAAAGGGAGGATTAAAGAATAATGTATGTTGATATTGGAATAGGTAAATGAATTACTGAGGGTTCTAGCTCTGGATTCCTTACGTGAGGTATACGAACTGTGGTTAATATAAAATATATAAATACTTAGAAGTAGTAGACTTCCAAAGATTAGTTTCTATATAACTTTATAAAAGAATACGATCTAATACTACTATTCTTTATCTATCTAATCTATTAATATTAATCTTAACAGTCAGATTCTACTCTTCTGATCTTCGAGGCCTTTGCGCCATTCTTTGTTTCTCTATTTGGACACAATTGGCGGGGCCATGGTTGGTTTGGTGACTATTTCATTAAAGCGTACCTTATTTGTCGCGATTATTTAGAGCTACCGGAACAGAATTTCATCGAGACTGTTCTGGCATAATGCATGTCCACCGCCGCATTCGTGACCATCAATTCTGGGGCTAACCCCCATCCCGGTAATATGAAATACCCTGTGAGATAAAACGTCTACCAGGTACCTACGATCCCAATCAGGCAGCTCCCTCGACAAGCCTGTCACCCGGAAGACGTGCGATTTTCTCTGACTAGCCCTCGTGATTTGCACTCATGCTTGAAGTTAGAATGGTAAAACACTCAAGAGTAGACTGTATGTCTTTTGTTGACAGGATAGCCACCTTAGCCTTGCTGGTGCGGCTGAAACAAACACCAGGTGCGGGGCAACAGGCACTTTTCATGCAATCACTTCTAGACTAACAGCATCTTTCGGCAATAGCAGAAGGGTCGCAGAAACTAGTCCCACGACTTTCAAGCTTGAATTGCAGCTAATTATTCGTAGAAGGCTGCTACATATCCAATATAGTAGTCTTGCATATTCTCCATCACTCACGCATTTAATGGGATCAGACTATGTTTGTACAATGGAGGACCGTTTCTGACATAGCAAGCCTTGCTGTGATCTTCGCCAACTCCCGAAGGTACCTCACTCGAGAAGCAAGGCCACGCCGTGGGGTTGGAGGTACAACAGTATGTAAAGATTTACTTCTTTTAGAGCAAGTGCTGCCGTCATCGTGAACATACCATTTCTTCATTATGCGAAAAACTCAGACTTTCTTTGTAAGCTAAATGTGGCCCTTTTGGCTTCTTTTATCGAATTGAGACATCGGATACAACAACACAAATTTAAATTTGGTCCAATGCCGAGGCCAGTCTGGGAGTTACAGCTGGCAGTCTTGTAACAATACGCCCGTTGTTTCGGATATTCCCAACTCATACTTCACCCAGTTGATAATGCTGCTCTCGGCTATGTGGTATAATCAGGATAATATGAAAAAGTCAATATTGAACAGGGAAGCTAGATGATGCAAGAATTTCTTTCCTATCAAGCCAGTCTCCTAACAAAATAATAACCCACGAGGACGCTCTATGATATTGACAGCTGACACGGCATGTACGGAAAGATCTTATACAGCAAGGATCGAAATCAGTTTCACCAATATTTTCTCATTGATTCTTTCTCGAGCCCTATTCCAAAATACGCTAACCTGTATATGGCTTAGCCGTCTTTTAGAGACCGCATTGTATCGAAAGACGATGTGAGGTGATATTTGTTCTTATAACCTGAATTACTAGTACCTTTAGTACACCTACGCTCTTTGATTCTTTTTCGACACCGTTTCTTTGTCCCGCAAAACCTTAATGTACATAATAGATAACTATAAAATGAATTTCTTGCTAAGATGGTATAAGTGGGCCCACGCTAGTAGCTACTTCTCCACCGTTGTCCAGTGGTCTTAAAACGCTTAGTAAGATCTCGATAGGAGCAGACGCAACAATAGTAGTGTCGTCTAGCCCCACCCATCTGTCGCGGGCTGTTTTCCGACATAGAAGACCGTCAGCTTTCTTAATCAGCTTCTCCTAGTAAGAACCGGGTGGCTAAGCCAGGTTTTGTTCAGTCTCCATTATCACAACCCGGTTATTCAGAGTAGCCTTCCATTCGATTTATTAGTAGATACAGCTTATAGATTGCGAATCTTAAGTCCCTCCTTCTTCCGATTTAGCAGCCGATAGAATATCCATTTCGTTGGACTGTGGTTGATACAGGCTCTTATGATAAGACCATCAAGCTATGGGACACCATCACTGGTGATCTTCAGAAGATACTCGAAGGCCACTCAGGTACGGTTGAGACTGTAGTCTTTTCTCCTGGTGGTAAGCAGATCGTATCAGGCTCTAAAGATGAGACTATCAAGCTATGGGATACTACCACTGGTGATCTTCAGAAGACACTCAAAAGCTACTAAGATTGGGGTTATACTGTAGACTTTTCTCCTGATGGCAAGCAGATCGCATCAGGCTTTCAGGAAAAGACTATTAAGCTATGGGACACCACTACTGGTGATCTTTAGAAGACACTCGAAGACTACTCACTTTGGGTTTGAACTATAGCTTTTTCACCGGATGGCAAGCATATTGTATTAGGCTCTCAGGATAATACCATCAAGCTATAGGATACTACCGTAGGTGATCCTTAGAAGACACTCGAAAGCCACTTAAAATATATCAATTCTATGGCCTTTTCTTCTGATGGCAAGCAGGTCGTATTAGGTTCTTATAATATAACCATCAAGCTATAGGACACCGCCACTAGTGATATTTAGAAGACACTCAAAGGCCACTCAGGCTTGGTTTATACTATGGCCTTTTCACCCAATAGCAAGTAGATCGCATTAGGCTCTTAGGATAACAATATTAAGCTATGGGATATCGCTACTAGTAATCTTCAGAAGATATTCGAAGGCCACTCAGATTCGGTTTATACTGTGGCTTTTTCTCACCAGATGGTAAGCAGATCGTATTATGCTCTGGAGATAACAATATTAAACTATGGGACACCACCACAGGTGATACTCAGAAGATACCCGAAGGCCATTTATATTTGGTTAATTCTATGGCCTTTTCGCCTGATGGCAAACGGAACAGATTAGCCTCTGATGATAGAACCAGTAGGATAGGGTATGTCGCAAAGTCCTTCAAAGGCTTAAAATCCCTTCGGCGTTATTCTGCTAAGCGTCTCAAACTGGAACTACACAAAGAAACCAGGATATTAGGACCGATAGGAGGCCCAGAATTCTCAGTAAATGTTCAATCTTTTACGTCAGATATTGATCTAATTAAGCTTAAGGATACTGCTCCAGAGGAATATGATATCACATTCCACTCTTTACAAGGATTAAACATAAACAATTAGTGGCTATGTTACAGTCATTCTCGAAATCGGCTTGACCGATATACAATCAATCACTCTATTCTAGTCCCACTACCAAGATCTTAGCGTAGATTATGTATTGGGCTGGCCGTAGGAAGTTGAGGGCTACTGTAAAATGCTGCTTGTATGATACTATATCTAACCCCGAAAATCACACGGCTCAAACGAGGATTCAGTGGAATTCTATGGAAGTCGGTAGGGAGCGCAATTCATGCCCAGAGAGCCTAGATCTTGGAGAACCTACCACGTGACTGGCACCTTATAGAATGTTCCATCAGCACGACGGAGCTGTATATATCTTCTTCTCCCAAACCTTGTTTCTATGAGGAATTAAGAAAAGAAGAAGAGAAGAAAGAAAAATCATTTTAATCTATATACAAAATCTAACAAAGGAACTCCGCCCTGATGTGTGTCCCAGAGCAAGCGTATTACCATTGATCTTAAAACAGCTGGGCTGAGACTCGACAGGAAGCCAGAGGACCTTTTTATCATTCAACTTTATCTATTGCTCATGCTCAATAGAGATGACCAGATTCGCACAAGGTGGATGAGGTGTAGGAATATCACCCCTGGATTTAATGGTAAGCATTTCGGAATGACTGTAGAGATATGAACTGTTGTAGGAAAATTCTAGTGTATTAACCAGTTCTCCAACATTCCAAGTATGTGTGAGTGTGTCCGTCGCCGGGTTCCAGAGCCGCACCGTATTATCACTATCACCAGACGCTAGTAGCCAGCCGTTGCGTGAGAAGGTTACTGACCGAACCGAACCTGAATGGCCTTCGAGTGTCTGCGTGAGTGCACCTGTTGTCGGGTCCCAGAGCTGCACTATGTTATTATAAGTACTGGATGCTAGCAGCTAGCTATCGCGCGAGAAGGCTACCAATTGAACAGAGCCTAAATGGCCTTTAAGGGTTTGTGTGAGCACGCCTATTCCCGTATTCTAGAATCGTACTGTATCATTATAAGCACCGGACACTACTAGCCTATTATTATATAAAAAGGCTACCGACCAAACCCAATCTAAATAACCTTAAGTATCTATGAGTATACCTGTCGCTGGGTCCCAGAGCTACAGTATATAATCCTTAGAACCAGATATTAATAGCCGGCTATTGTATAAGAAGACCACTAACCGAACCGAGCCTAAATAGCTTTCGAGTATCTGCGTGAGTGTGTCTGTCGCCGGGTCCTAGAGGTGTACTATATTATCACCAGCACTAGATGCTAGGAGCTGGCTATTAAATGAGAAAGCCACTGGTAGAACTAAACCTAAATAGCCTGTGAATATCTACTGAATGTATTTGTCGCTAGGTCCAAGAGCTACACTATGTGATCTTCAGCACTGGACGCTAACAACCGACCGTCAGACGAAAAAGCCACTAACAGAACCCAGTGTGAATGGCCTTCAAATATCTGCATAAGTACGCCAGTCGCTGGATCCTAGAGCCGTACCATATTATCACAAGTACCAGAAGCTAGCAGCCGGCTGTTGTGCAAGAAGGCTACCGATTGAATAGAACCTGAATAGCCGTTGAGTGTTTATATAAATACGTCTATTAACGGGTCCTAGAGTTGTATTATATAATTATAAGTACTAGATGCTAGTAGCCGGCTATTGTATAAGAAGACTATTAACCAATGATCCTCGCAAATTACCGAAACGACCGCTTGGAGGCGATCAAGAATACCTAGTATTTCAGACGTAAGACCGAGTAGATTTATGGCTTCCATCCAATGTAGGAAATGTTGTTGTAGAAAATGCCTCTTGAGAAACAATAGAGCACTATATGTCATAGTCCTGGAGTCGGTGCATTTGACTAGATGATACGCCCAGTATCGACAGGCATATTGCAACTCTGGAGGAAGGTAGGCATCGACAGTCTGACGATCAAATTCTGCACGTTGGGTCGCATCACTTGGCAGCCTACAAATGCTTCTTTGTAGAGTTTTAGATATGAAGAGGTATTGTTTCGCCAGTGTATAATGTATCTCTGTCTCAATGATCCCAAAAGGGGTCTTCATGCCGGTTTTCGGATGAAGAAGAAAGTCCCAAAACGATAGATGAAAGGGATTAAAACAGAAAGCAGGGTCGATTGAGCACAGTGAGTTTTAGTTTCGGCTTCACGCGGAAGACCACTTTTATGAAACTGGCTTGAATGTAGTGCCTTTTTTACTCTTTAACGAGGAGCAAATATCCGAGAATCCCAAGATAAGACTCACCCAAATGAGATGAATCATGGCTTTGCGCTTTCACTCAGAGCAACAATTGCGAGCATTTGATAAGCACAATTCAAGTGGGCACATGTGATGTTCCATCTTCAGTAAATAGTCCTCGATTGACCAGAGGACTTGGACACATTATCGGCAAACCAATCCTATTATCTCAGTGAAATTGTGTATACAGGATCAACATTCAAAGAATACATTGAAAGCTTCAAAAACTGAAGTACTGAACTTTCTTTTCTACAAATAGGACTTGTTTTACCGATGAAGCCACCATTGATGACAATAGAGAGGAGTATGATGATTGATGGTCTACCTAAATGGAGAACAACATTTGAACGAATGACAAACATAAATTGACATAAAATTCACAAAGAAGACAAATAAACAGAAGAATATCCACACAGGGAATTTGAGCTTAAATGAAAACAGGAAATATAAGCCAGTAGGCTCCAGCTTGTGCTCTCAAAATCAAACCGCTTGGTCTATACTCATTTGCAGGAATGCTTTGGGAACATCGATTCGAGCCTTGGGTAAGACACAGTCTTCGGATCAATTTAAATAGCTCTTGACAATTTAAGGGCATCCATTGTCAGGCGGGCTGCCCTTAACATTCATCATCAGGGCATGTGCCGTCGGCAAAAACAAATCGGTAGGATTGCATATCAGAATCAAGCTGATGGCAAGAGTCGCCAGCCTTCCATCCTGTGCCCCTATCGTTACCGGCACCATCACAGCTGGTCTGGCAAGGGCAGTCTCCATCTGCGGAGGCAATCATGAAAAAGGCGTCCACGGTGGAATCTCTCACATAGAAAGAACCCCGGCCTCCCTCGTTGAGACAGCCCGTGTCGGCCATATTGACCCACTCGCCACAATTGTCACTGCAATCGGAGTCATCGCAGAATTGGCCCCATTTATCATCTGAACTCATCCTTCTATTAAGAGTAGAAGTAAGGCCTTGAGAGTCTTCGGCCGGAGCCGCGAAGGAAAGACTGGCCAAGGTGGCTAAAATGAAGGCACCGGAAAGGATAAAGCGATGCATCTTGAGATTGGAAATAGAAGATAGTAGATTGGTAGCGATTTGTAAAAGAGCTTAGTGGTATTTGAATCGATTGATAGTTTGAATCTGTTGCCAGCTCATACTCAAGTGGGTTTCAGGGCCTTTAAATAAATTTTCATAAGGCGCAAATCGGATGTCATGTTTCTCTTGGTTTGAAATGCTCGCAGGGACTTACCTGGACGTCATCTGCTTCAACGAGGCATTTTTTTGATTCGTCACTTCATCGATGGCTATGGTATACACCATCATTTCAAGTTTCAAGAGCTTGCTAGGTCACGCTTTCTAAGTGGGTATATTCAGATATGTCTAATGACGCACATAGTATGGGGTCAGCCATGGCCTAAAAGTATTATTTTCAGCATATGGCAAGTATGCCGGGGGGAGGGGGGGGGGTATTGGTGCTCTCCAGGACTGGGCGCGAAGGATCATGGGCATGCTACATCTTGGTGGTTCAATTGATCTTGAGATACTTTCCTAGGTGTGGGGCCTTGTTTGGGGCCTTGTCTGGGGTCATGCTAGGCAAAAGCCCCGGAATATCTATTCAAAGGTTTAAGTTGGCAAGGCGTGAGCATCTACACGAGTAGGATGAGTTGGGCGTTTGAATCAGTTGATCATGGTTGAAATTTGTATAAACTTGGCCGGCGGATTGTTGTATCCCTTGGTTCACTACCTATAATTCAACTTGCGCTATACCTGTCCAAGGTTCCGCCGTGTAGTATGTCCTTAGTAATTCCGAGTGTATCGGAAGTATCGAAAAGAGCATTTGAATCCGATCTGTGACGTTCTTGATCAGACCATATACGAGAGTTACGTAGGGGGCTCCAAGGTAGAACCGTGCATGTAGCCCCAGACTTTCCTTTTTGTGGCGGCTATGAAGCTTTTCCGCCATGGCTAGCTAAGAAGGAAGTGTCTTGGCAAATACTTCGCACATATTTTCTTGGCATGAAACTCACTGAGGCCCCGGGGGCCAGTTCACCTGGGCATATTACCCAGCATGGGTATTTATTCCGGCAGTTCAAGACCCGCACGGATTTAGGTTGCATAATTCTCTCGGACTCAAATTGTCCGCATACAACAGCTGGAATTCAATAGTGAAACTTGATTTGATATTTTCTATTATTGGACATTATACATATACATGGGGAAACTTGTTTCCACACCAGATAATATGAAAACAGTCCACCTGAAGACAGACGAAGAACGTGTATTGCCGTAGGAACCTCAGACACCAGATAGATCTGGTTCTACGTAACTATTTTCTACGTAACTATTTCAAAATGAAACCAAGATCCATACTCTAGTCTCTGGGCTATATTTAGGCCGCATTTTATTTGCATACGAAGAAATTCTCACCGATCACTATAGCTCGACATGTTGATCGTTATGCTCTTGCACCTCCGATGAAGTAGATCAGTCAGTCAGCCCCTCCAGTGCTGTACTATCAATTAATAAATATATTGGCATCTCATATTCAAAAAGAAAAGAAATAGGCCGGGCAGGCCGCAACGGCAGCCTGCATGCGGATTATTGAACGTATCTGTGCTAATCAATTAGATCTCATATAAATCCTCGGTGTCATTGCTTAGTAGGGCAGCCACTGATTGATGGTGCTCCACATGCGTCAGGGTCCTACGAGATAAAAGTGCGAATGGGTTGGACGAATTTCCGTTTCCATGCATTGTTCGGGCACAGAAATCAACACACATTATGGTATCACAACTATGGCTTTTTTCGTACCAGTTACCCATTTACCCCGAAATCATCGTTCTGCAAAGGTAGCCAAATAATCCGATAAGATAAATTTCAGCCGATCTCTACTAGTAGCCGTCAGGACCCCTGTGGGTTTATGAATTCCCAGGGGGCTATAATATAATGCCCCCGCCCCCGGGGCGTCTGGCATCCCCGGGACTCTAGCAAGAGAGCAGCAGAATGGATTGCCGCGGTTAAGTGGTGTGAGTTCTTGGTGTGGGTATTCGTATGTATAGAAAGCTAGTTTTTCTCGAAGTGTAGGGCGATAGACATCCAGCCCTAACTTGGCAAAGGCCCCCGGGGCCATATACGCCCTCCTAGGAAAGCGGCTAAAGATGCATTGAGCTGCCAAGAAACACATCCTAATATTGTCTGGATGCTGATCTCTCTTGACCCACTCATTATGCTAAGATAAATACACAACGTGTTGTGAATATGTGCCCGGGTGGTGTCTGATCAGCATGGTTATTGACTAATGGGTCATGAGGAACGTAAGTCTACTGGGAATTGTGAGATAACTCTAAAGGATCGGGCAGGGGGTTGCATTAGCTCTCGGTATACCTGCCGTGTCTCCAGAGCGAGACTCATAGTCGTGCCTGGAATGATGGTACTTGGACGTAATTGATACCTGATTTCAGATTATTATGACTTCCCAGTATCTCTTGGATCCTTGGGGACTTGAAATTAGAAACATCGTATGTCAATTAATAGAAACGATACGTCGTTGGTAGGAAATTCATTGTGTAAGCCAAGAGATTCAAATGGCGGGATATGACCTCAAGACTGTGCCCTGGAAATTTCCAGGGCTCTCACTTGGGTATTTAAGGGCTGTGAATGTCACCTACATCTCGATGAGAAACAACTTCAACTCATCAATAAATTCACAGTCCAGCCTTTGATACTTCTGGAAATTCGGAAATTAGCTCTATCATCAATTTGCCTCATTTTACCAAGTCAAAATGCATCGATTTCTACTCTCTGCAGCTCTTCTTCTCGCTGTCTCGGCCAACTTCTCTTATGCAGTGCCGGCTGATACTCCAGTTCCGGCTGATACTCTGGAAAGTAACAACATCACAGCGCGTACCCCAAGTCCCTGGGGTTGCTTCTGCGACGACTCCGACTGCAGTGAGAATTGTGGCGAGTGGGTTAGTCTGACGGACACGGGCTGTTTGAATGAGGGAGGCAGAGGCTCCTTCTATGTCAGAGATGGCGGTGACGGAACCCACTATATGATCGTTTCTCCAAGCGCAGACTGCCCCTGCCAGAGCGACTGCGATGATGGTGGCGACCTGGGCTTCAGGGATTCTGACACTTGCCATCAGCTTGATCCCGATAATCAATCCTACCGATTCATCGCTGGTGGTGATGGAGGCTGCCCTGACAACGAATGTTAATAGGTTAAACCTAATTGTTTGTCCTAAGCTTTTGTCAGGTGAGTGAGAATTCAATGCCAGGTTTCGTCGAGACCCTTTGAAGCGGAAACTCTGCCCTGCACATTTGTGCCTAGGACTTCGGGAGAAATGCTCAATCGACTTTTGAAGTTACATGTATACACAAATGGATTTCAACAAAAGCCAGTCTCGCTTGAATCCGTGTGTATGTGTGTACCCTCCCCCAACATGCATTTGCTTCCTTTGACAGCGAAGGATTTCATTGAGAAGTATGCCGGTTTGTCTGTCTCTCAATGTCTTCAGTTTTTACTATTTCAACGCTTGAACATTTCTTGTCTATTCACCTGCTATGTCTTATGTGATCTTCAAATGTTTGAAACTTCAATATACTACTAGTATATTTTCCATTCTTTTATTACTTCTGTAAATATATGTATATATTATATAGATCAATCAACTGAAATAGTCCATTATATACTTGTTGATACTCCAACGAGTTTCTCTGGAAACAATTAATTTAGCTGGTATTTACCAGTGTATCATGTGCATGCTGGTAATTAAGTTAATTTACTTCGGACTTTTCAAGTTACTTGAAGAAAAAAGTACTCTATTCAAGAATCAATAATGAAGGTTTGATAATAAGCTATATTATAACCCCCTGTATCAGTTACAAATAAGAAGTAAGAAATTACAGCAAACGAAAGGTAGCAAAGAAGTAGAGAATTATAATTCCAATATCAATTCATATAGTAAGAACAAAAACATAATCTGAGTAGTACACTAAGAACTTGGTGCGTGAGGAGGAGCGGAAGGACTTAAGATTCCGGAGTTCCGTCACCGCCTTGCCTATCTAATAATCAACGAAAAATACGAAAACCGGGGCGAGGTCTATGCGTGTCTCCCCTTCTACTTAGCAGTCCTGGAGACCAATTTTGCACCCTGAACATCCTGTACATGCCTGAACCGCTGCCATGGTCCTCTCTCCTTGTACTGATATCCTCGCAGGTGCGTTGTTACCACCACTGATCGCAGAATGGATCAGGGTCTTTTGATCCATAGGTTTGACGATCTTACTTTAGCCCCCGGGGCCGTGAAATACGACTGCCTTGGAGTTAGCACTGGGCCATGACATGACCCATCATCGATATCTGATCAGCGAAGCTCCTGCGCTCTAACTATTCAAAGAAGGCAGAGCGACCATCATTATTAGTATATAAGCCAAGAATGGGGCCGACATGGGGCAATGGTTCGCTCACCCCACATAAAGGATTGTTATACTCTTGGCATTGGACCGGCATGGCATCCTTCCAATGTAGATCTTCAATCGAATATTTTCACGTATGATTACATTTCAATGGCTTTTGCTGTTTTTTTTTGTAGTAGTTTTCGTAGATACGGCTTCACAGTGACCGTTCTTCTATATTTTCGCAAGTCTCTATATGTGTTACGAGACATGGGAAACAACCTCAATCCCTCCTACATCTGCTCCTTTCGCTCGGTGTACATCCAATATAAGGGTTAACTTTCGATGAGCAAAAATGAGCCGCAATAGTACAAGTGGAGCTGATTATCCTCGGCTTTACCGAACTGTCTCATTTTAAATGGTACGTGTAAAGTCGCCCCCGGGGCTAGATTCAAGACTTCTTTAAAAACCCTTATAATCTCAGTACATACGACGGTCTATTCCTTCCCAAACGCACAATGAGGGTTGCGTCGTGGCTCATGGCTTACTCTACGAGTTTTTCTAGAGCACTCCGCTTATTCGGCCTTTTTATCCCAGTCTTTATCCTCCTCATCCTCCTCGCTCGCACAAAAGGCACTCGAGACCCCGGCTCCGTCTTTTTTGACCCTTGGACAGGGTACGATTCATCGTACTCTTCTTTAAGGATTGAACAGGCAAATTCGTATATTGAGGAAATCAACACATTAGGCGAGGATACGACTGAAGGTATTTGGAAGGCCTCCGAAAAGCCTGAACTATGTGTTGGTATCGCGACCGTTGCGCGCGAGCTAGAGGGCGCAGAATACTTCAAAAATACAGTTGCCACTCTTCTTGAAGGGCTAAGTGAGATAGAGAGGAGTCAGATCTATCTAATACTCTTTATTGCTCATACTGAGCCTTCAGACCATCCCGCCGTTCATGAGAAATGGTTCAAAAAGCTTCCTGATCAGATTTTGTTCTATAATGAGGACTTAGATATCGATCATATACGAGAATTGGAGCAAAATCCCCATACGCTGGCCAAGAAAAAGGCACTATTGGATTATCAATATCTTCTACAGGCATGTAACAGTCTTAATACACCATATATCTTGATGGTGGAAGATGATGTTATTGCTCAGGATGGATGGTTTCATAAAACCCAGGAGGCAATATCTACTGCTGAACAGCAAAATCGGGAGATCGGTGCTTCGAAATGTAAGTGACAGCTTATACAGTATCTGTTTACTGTTTCAAAATTTGGCGGAGTTTTTGAGCTCATTATTGGAATTTACTGCTGACTATTTAGGGCTGTATCTACGCTTATTCTACTCTGAAGAGTTTATCGGTTGGAAAACAGAGAATTGGCGAACCTATACATATTACTCAGTCCTTGTTTTCTTCTTCGTGCTGTTCACCTCCCTCGGTATCCGCCAATATTACCATCACTCGCTCCCAACCGGTTCTATTATTCTTCTCAGCTTCCTTATAACACCACTTTTCATTATTCTTTTCTTCGCCACCGGTCGCGTAACAGTACTTCCAATTCGACATGGGGTACATCAAATGCCAGATTCGGGTTGTTGCTCTCAGGCTTTTGTGTTTCCGCAATCAAGAGTCTCGCAGCTATTGGACATATACCATTCTCACACAGAAGGGAATATAGACTCAATAACGGAGGCGTTTGCAAACGACCATGGCGAGGTTCGCTGGGCTATCACGCCGAGCATCATGCAGCATGCCGGAAGACGAAGCTCGAAGGTTGAGAAGGGGACTTCTGAGCGAGGGTCACGCTTCAAGAGTAAAGGCGAAATGAAGGGATCCGAGCGGCTTTGGAATTTTGAATTCGAATTGAATGATGCAGATATGCTGCGCGAGGAACATAACAGAGTCAAAGAAATGTACACACAATTATAAACTATAATGCTATAGCTGCATCATTCAAATGTTGTTTGGTTCGTCTTGGATATTTAAACCTATTTGTTTTCCCGCTTCAGCAGAGCATGGAAGGATATGATACAAACAAATCAACCTCAGAAATACTATTAATCAAAAATGAAAAGGATATAGATACAAGGTGCAACTCCAGGGCTGAATGGCTACATTACACATAGTAAAATCTTGCAGAAATAGGATTATACTGCTTTAATCAATCAAAAAGGGTATTCTAGCTCTTCTTTTCTCTATTTAGATGCTTATATGAAGAGATCTCTGGACATGGTGGGATTGCAAACCAAAGGGTCAATTGCTCCTAAGACGGGCGCATCGATGGTAGCAGCATGCTGCTAGAATTACTTACTAACCACTCCATCGAATGAATCCAGGATGAAATGAAATGAGGTTGGTTATATTGATAATGATTGAAAATAGTAGTTATTGGGGGTAACCTAAAATTAGGGCAGATTATTCTATAGACTTTTGCCGAGGATTGTTTGTCTTCGTGTTTTCCCCTTCTTGTTTCTTACGCCGTCGGGCTTTTCGGAATAATGCCGCAGGGAAGCATTAGAAACCTTTATATTTTTATTGTGCAAAGAAAAATGGGTCCCCACAAACGGTTCTCGCCCCTCATATCAATAACTATGGCTTGCCCTTTCGGCTCGTCTTTTCCTCTAAGATTAAGAAGCAGCTTATCCGATGGCCAAAAAATATCGTAAAAGAAAAACGTGGGGAAAAGGAGGGGAGGCGAGGGAATTGGGAGGGTGGGCACTGTATGTGATATCAGATCTAGGGCTATCAGCCTAAAAACGTCACATTACACCCTTTTTTAACTACCAGGAAACATACCAGCCCCATAGCCTTTAGTTTGCCCTAGTGAGGGATTTTATTGGTCGATCTATTTCGGAGTCTTTCCGGTCCAGAAATTTAAATCGAGTTATCGTAGTTTAGTGATACAGTTTTCCGACGAGGTCACAGCGTCACAGTAAAAAGCGAGGAAGACCATATCTTAGTGGACTCGAATGTGCATTAAAGTTCTGTATACCCGTTCGCGCATGGTTACGAAGCCAAACTCTCCACCGCGGGTTCAACGAAACAAAAGTCCAAAGCTTCCGAGAGTCTAGGTTATCTGTTAGCTAGCATTGCAATAAGCTGCATGGGTACTTACATCATGAATTTCCATGCTTCCAAGTCTCGCTGGTCTTCACCAAAGCTCCAATCAAACTTATTTTTTGCAGCGGGCTCATCTGAGGGGTCATTATAGGCAGCTATAAATGGGTCCAATAAGGTATTGCAAGCGTCAATCCTTGTTGTTGGGTCGAAAACAAGCATTTTCTCTAGCAAAGCCTAGGCTGTTTGATAACGTTTTAGTTAAGTTCAGTAGGTCCTCGTATAAGATAGTATAGTATACAAGCTGTGGATCCGATATCAGTCTGGATTCTAGTGTCTACATTTGCAGTTTGCTTTGTATTAGTAACCTACCACCCGAGCAGCGTATTTCGGCCAGGCCACAAGTAGGCATGGGCATGGGCATGCCCATAAACCTAGTCTGGCCCCCAAATTTGCATTATTATACAGAAAATCAAAATTAATAGTGTATTCTATCTATTTTTTAAACCCCCCCTCCTGTTGAGGGATACGATGGCTAGCCGTTTATGATGGTAACAAACCGAGATGTGAACGTTTTTAGATGATCTTTTTTTTTGAAACCGCTGCATTTTAGTTGGGAGATCTGGTATTTTTAGAAATATACTGTTTTCTGGATTAAACTGAGCCAATTGAACGACGATTCGATAACTAAACAAAACAAAACAACCTGCCAAGTAACATATCAAATTGTTTCAACTCCCGGTAGTTAAGAACCCCTGCTCCTCCCAAGCCCTCCTTGCCAAATTCTTGAGCATTCCCTCATCGAAAACAATATCAGTCTGTCCCTGAACAGGATCTCGTCGAAAAAGAGTGAAGAGAGGAATTGTCAAGGCAGTCTTCGAAAGCTCCATCTGTTCTTCAATGCTTGTGTTTGCCTTTTCTGCCCTTGTTAACGTTTTCTGTGCGATCACGACCACTTCAGTCACCTGAATTCTCCCCTTTGGATTGGGTCTTTCCCACTTCTCTAGCATGATGAAAGGCGTTCCTCGGTCAATTTTGCATGTAATGACCATATTCGCAGCCCCCTTTTTAGGGTTCAACCAAAATAACGCATCGTTCTTCAGCTTATCAGCTGTTTCTGATAAACCGACTTCAAGAACGACAGTAGGTTTGGTTGCCGGATATTCCGGTGGAGAGGTGAAGGGTCCCCACGCTTGGTCGGCTTCTTTTGACTCGTTACCATCATCCGATGTAATGGTTTGATTGTTGAACGCTTTCAACTCTTCATCCACCTTAATTCCCATTTGGGTCAACTCGCCACTGATGAAATTGGTGATGACGCCCGTTGTCGTCCCATGCGCTGGTAGAGTCATCTTGGTCAAGATTTGGTGTTGTGATAAAAACGTGAATCTTTGGGAGTCGAGTTCGGTGAAAGAGGTAAAAGAGGTAGTATAGTCGGCCAGAGTTGTAAAGTAAAACCGAACAAGACCAGTCGAATGTTGTAAATAATCGGTTTGGTAGGCGATCGTAGACAAATCTGGGATATCATACGTAAGATGTCTATCCCTATGAACGTCCAACTTGAAGGAATTTTTCGACCGAGGCCTGCGTATATCTAGAGATGGAAGATTATTTCGTTGCCTCAAATGATATCTTCGTTGGCCACTGGCAGGCAGGAGCGATCCATCAGTGTTAAAATATCGCTGCAGGAGACTGCTATTCGACTGTTGGAGACGCTTGAGCTCGAAGCTCATGATTCTTCTGTATCTTCGCATATCTGTATAGATATATTCTGGAGTAAATGGACTCGGCGCTGACTCGGATACCACTGAAAGATCCTCCTCGATTTTGTTGGCTGTAGTACTATACATAATGCCTCTACTAGCGATCAATAGATCAACAATGAATAGAATGTATGGTGCTTTATTCTTTCAAATAGAAATTGGCAAAATGGAAGTTTTGAGGATAGGTTCACTTTGTGGTTTCCGGGTACTAATTATTTCAAGTTCATGTTTAGTACTTTGCCTATAGCCCTGAAGGGTTATAGCCCGTGGGTTCCGATACCGATCTCGGAGATAACCGCCAAAAGTAGTAAAAATTACTTCACAATATACGCATGATGATGGCTTTCACTCCGACATGACATAAACCCGAGTATACATTAGTTCTGGTAATCTTAGTATATTGAAACCGTAGCTGGGGAAGTCGGCCAGCAATAAGTGGGTTACAGCTAAGCTTCCCATAACAGATGGGTAGTATAAGGGCTAAGAGCTACGCGCGGGCTCTGTTAGCTCTGCAATATAACGGTCTTAAGATGAGGATTAAGATTATAATGTTTAATCATAGGGGCTGAACGGTTTAAATCAATCGGGCAACATTCTTCGTCAATGAACTGCTAATGGTCACAGGTACCGGGGACATCGGACCGTAGCGTCCACACCCCAGAGGGAACACCCCCATTTTGGCCTATTTTAGACCGGCAGAAAACTAAGATACCTAATACACCATCGGTGGTAACACGCCTTTAGATATCAACAATTTGAGCTTCAAACCTACTTTTTGAAGATACATCTTCGAGATGCTATAACCTTTCTTTCGTTCTTTCTAAAAAGAATTCACTAGTATAATCTAATTATTCCTCAAAGAGACTTCACTATTTGTCTTTCCAAGTGTCTTTCTAAGTCACGGTGTCTTTCGATCTATATAGGGCTTACAGTCTAGATAGCAGCGTACTAAGCGGTAAAGGTTAAATAGGGTTAGCTTGGAGGGGAGGGTTTCCCTGCTGGCCGCTATGGTTCCACATACATAGGCAGTACGCGGCAGCGCATGAACCATCGGAAGCTCGTATTCGTTCTCGTTTTCTCTTCTGCAGTAGGCCTATCCAACCAAGAAAGATGCAGTAAGTACTTTGGTGTTCACGGGTTTTTCCGTCGCTCGATCTCGATTCCATGACATCGCCGATCTTGACCCGATCGGGACAGTTCATCCTTCCCCCAATATTACTACAGGAATGCCAATCAGTAAATCAGAAGTCGCGATTCCCGGTCATGATTAAAACAGCTTTATCTATCAGCAGAAGCAAGGGATTTTGGTCTCGAAAATTACCTGTTTTCCTGCAAACAGGCCCATTGGTGATTAACCAATAAGATTGGAAAATTGTTCCGGCCAACTGCATGCGGCATCAGACAAATCCGATATCTGAACGATCGGCTTCACTCTCTGACTCTTACATATTTCGCGAAAGCTTTTTGCGAAGCGCCCTTTGATTTCGTTTTGACGACATGGGCTTTGACTATTGGCTTGTGTAAGTTCATCTGCGGCTGATGGATGGAGTTGGATAAATCTCATGAATGTTTTTAGCCATGTTACTTGGACAATTCCGCCCGCAATACTTCTGACAGTAGCCTATTGGCCTTTCTTCACAAGAAATGAAATCACTCAAATAGTGATTCTCATCAATGTAGGGATTGAGCTTTCTTCTGTTCCTTGACTTGTTTTTGACTGTTTTAGATCGCGGTTTGCGCTACAATTCCTTGGGATTCATATCTCATTCGTAATCGCATCTGGACATACCCAGAAAATGCCGTAATCGGATTCACCATATTTAGAATCCCTGTTGAAGAAGTCTTTTTCTTCATCATTCAAACATATTGCACTAGCTTGCTTTACGTTATTCAAAGAAAACGACTGGTACTTCCAGTCTATCTTTTACCTCGGTCGGGGGCTCTTGCGAGAAGAATCGGGTCTGCAGCTATTACGTGTGGAATTGCCGTGAATGCTGCATGTCTGATCTTACAAGGTCAATTGACTTATCTTGGCTTGATACTCGTTTGGGCTCTTCCGGTGATTACCTTACAATGGTATGATTCCTTGATGAAACTACTGAGGACAGTATTTGACAAACATCTTGCTCTTTACCTTCGAACAGGTCGTTTTGTAGGGCTTTTCTTTGCGAGCTCCCAAGGAAGCCTATTCTGACATCAATTCTACTACCAACTTTCTATCTCTGGATCGTCGACTTTATGTCGCTTCGACGTGGCACTTGGGTCATTGAGCAAGGTACTAAACTGGACATACGCCTTGGGGGGTATCTGGACTTCGAGTACGTTATTATCGACTCTCACTTAAAAAAGTAACCAACTGATGTTTTTGCCTCGGGAAAGAGAAGCAATATTTTTTCTCATGAGCAATGCGATGGTTGTTTTGGGAATGGTGGCCATTGACCATGCCATTGCTCTGGAGCAATATGACATGTTAATTTCTGAAACATCGAAGAGATCATGGAAATCTTTGGGCCGAGCATCATGGTCATATATGATGGCCAAGAGAAGCCCTTTGAATGTTGGATTTCTTGAAGGATTATACGCTGCTGTGAAGAACCTTTCCGAGAAGAGCCAAAGCATGTACTTGGGAAGTGCTATGTTTCAGGACGGACTTCGAATCGACCTAATTTTCTTGTGAGACAAAAGAGAATGCAATGGTATTTTGAAAAGGATTTGTGGGCTAACACCCGGCAGATATTCATTCTGTCGAGTTTTGGATGACTTGGTTGATGAAGCACCCACTCCTGAGAAAGCCAAGGACAGTATAAAACAAGCATTGCAGCTGCTCAACTACCGGTGGTCAACCAAGCGACCAGCAGCTCCCCTTTACGACTACCAGCCTATCAATTTCGATGATGTCGATCAAAGTGTTTCTTCACAATTACTCTCTTCGATCGCTTTATTACCCGCCTCTCGTCTAAGTTTAACACCAATACTTGACCTCTTGGCTGGGTTCGAAATGGATCTGGGCTTCTCGGTAGATGAGCAACGATTTCCGATCGGTACCGAGGCAGACCTAGATCAATATGCCCAGCGTGTCGCAGGGACTGTCGCGGTATCTCTTTTAAAACTGGTACTTTATCACTATCCTGACTCGGATATCCCTAATGCCGCACAGCAAAAAGTCATTCTTGCTGGTGAGAGAATGGGGCAAGCTTTGCAGTATGTTAATATTGCGCGCGACATCAAGCGTGATGCAGAAATTAATCGCGTGTATCTTCCATATTCTTGGCTAGAAGAAGAGGAGCTTCGACCTCTCGACGTGATAGAAAATCCGGATGATCCTAGGTTGGCTAAACTTGAGGAGCGTATGATAAACAAGGCAGAGAAGCTCCACGAATCAAGCGTACAAGCCATTGACAAACTGCCGCGTGAGGTTCGAGGACCTATCAAGACCACTGTTGAGAGCTACATGATGATTGGAGACATGGTCCGAGAGAGACGACAATCTTCTTGGAGGATACAAGAGGGGAAGTTGAAGGTGCCTTTATGGCGCAGATTGAGTCTCGCGTGGTGGGAAATGTATGCAAATGCATAGTACTAGTTAAGATGTCGCTCTTCATTTAGTATATTCTCTATTATCGACACATAAACTTCAGTATTCAGAAGTTTCACAAGGCCAAAGTAATCATGGGCTGTGTCGTATCTTTCATGATTTTAAAACCAGGTAGAATTGAGGCCAATCGAGTTCGAGGGTTGGAAAATGATGAGCAATCCTGCAGATAGCAAAAGTAAAATTAAATAAGCCTGCATATCAATTTATAATAGAAGAATTATCCTATTTAGGTCGAAATCCCAAATCAAGAAAGCCGATGGCTAGCCAAGGGGTCACATTCCAATAGCTGACGCAATGGTTGCATCGAGCCCGATCGATCTCTTCGCGATCAGGGCCGAGCCGGGTCAGCTGCATCCAATCGTACCAACGGTCTGCATATGATACAGTGCACATGTAATCGATTTAGATTAGAGCTCTTGGTCTATTGGTCTATTGGTCAATTTGCAATTGAACTGATCAACTGAGTCGTCCGATCCTAAGGCTGCTCTAACCGAGGACCTGTTCCTATATTTGTTGAGCATCATAACAACTGGCTTTCATTCGATATTCACCGATCTCACAAATATTGAAATAAACCACTCGAATCAAATTCTCCCAGGGATTTTATTGATACTGAAATTGATCGGTCATGCCGACTGCTGTGATTGTGGGTAAATAAGAACCGGCCCCCTTGTACGAACATTGAACAGAACTGACATTTACAACTCGAAGGGGCTGGAGCCGGAGGCATAGCGACAGCTGGTCGCTTAGCCAGGGCCGGATACAAAGTCACTGTCGTCGAAAAGAATGATTTCCTCGGAGGGCGATGCTCGCTTCTGCATCATGGCAAATATGTAAGCCGTCAACTACTACATACTGGGCTTTGCCAGAGCTCCTTCCAGTTGGATTACTGAAACTTGCATAACAGAGATTCGACCAAGGTCCCTCACTCATGCTAATGCCAGAAGTTTTCTATCAAACATTTTCTGATCTCGGGACATCTCCCAGCGAAGAGGAACTACACTTTCTCAAATGTGAGCCTAACTACAGAATCTGGTTTTCAGATCATGACCATCTCGACCTATCCACCGACATAAGCAAAATGAAACCTCAGATCGAACGACTCGAAGGAAAAGATGGCCTTCAAAAGCTGTTTGGATTCTTGAAAGAATCCGGCCAGCACTATGATCTTTCCATGAAACATGTTTTATCTAAGGATTTTCCTAGCATCTTGTCCATGCTTCGTCCGGAAATGCTCATATCGTTACTATCCCTACATCCCTTCGAGAGCATGTATGGCCGGATTAAGCGGTATTTTGAATCAGATCAGCTTCGAAGAGCGTTTACATTTGCTAGCATGTATCTTGGCATGAATCCTTTCGAGGCTCCAGGGACATACTCCCTGCTACAGTATACAGAGTTAGCTCACGGTATACTCTATCCTGAAGGTGGATTCGTGAAGGTCAGTCAGTGTACAGCTCGACTGCATTCATTGTGTTCTTCTTTTTTTCCAGCGCTAACAAAACCAGGTACTAGAAGCTTTAGCGAAGACCGGTAAACGCTTAGGCGTCGACTTTCGTCTTGGCAGTGAAGTCTCGTCGATAATATTATCTCCTGATGAACAAGCCCAGGGCGTGAAACTCCTCTCCGGAGAAGAGATTCGAGCCGATGTCGTTGTCATAAATGCAGATCTAGTCTATGCCTATAACACTTTACTCCCTTCTACTCCATATGCCCAGTCTTTGACCAAGAAACCTGCTTCTTGCAGCAGTATCTCTTTCTTCTGGTCTTTGGACAGAACCATCGAGGAGCTGAAAGTTCACAACGTTTTCCTTGCCGAGCATTACAAAGAGAGTTTCGACGCCATTTTCCATCGTCATCAATTACCTGATGAGCCCTCTTTCTATGTCAATGTTCCCAGTCGAATTGATCCTTCAGCGGCACCCGAGGGAAAGGATGCCGTTGTCGTACTAGTGCCTGTGGGACATATCGATGATGACCCTTCAAACCCTCAGAATTGGGATGAGCTTGTCAAGTTAGCTCGGGATGTTGTCATTCAGACGATTGAAGCTCGGACTGGAGCTAAGGGTCTTCGCGATAGTATTATTGAGGAATCTATCGAGACGCCCGTCACTTGGAATTCGAAGTTCAATCTTGATCGGGGAGCAATATTGGGTCTTTCACATTCTTTCTTTAACGTACTGAGTTTCAGACCCAAGATCAAACATTCTACTATCCAGGGTTTGTTCTTTGTTGGGGCAAGCACACATCCTGGCGCAGGTGTTCCGGTTAGCTTAGCGAGTGCTAAGATTGTGAGTGAGGCTATTGTGTCGAGTATGTCGGGGAAACTGAACCGTGACCACAACCATATAAACATTTGGGTCGCTTTATTACTGTCTCTTCTGGCTTGTCTGTATCTGTCTTTTCTTTGGAGTTAGAAAACATATGTATTGTTTTGGAAGAATGCTCAACCTGATTGTTCAATATTTTAAGTACATTTAAGAAAATGAAGGATGAATCTTTCCACACGCCCGATCTGCCAACCTCTCCTTCATAAGCACATCATACACATGTGTTGCCCACGCACAGCAAATCTGTCTTGTATCCTTCGGATCAATAATTTCCTCCACCCCAAATGCATTCGCTGTCCTGACAGGATTCATAAACCGCATATACTCTTCTTCCAACTCTTTATAACGTTCTTCTTTCTTTCCCTCCTTCTCCGCTTCTCGTAACTCATGTCGATGTCCTACCTCGATTCCACCGTCCAGCGGTAGGGAGCCCCATTGTCCAGAGGGCCATGCAACTTGCATAACCGGATCTCGAGAGCCAAGCATAACGCCTCCAGCAACACCGAATACACGACGAGTAATAACGTTGAATATGGGAGTTGTGGTTGTGAAGTAGACCTTTGCGAGCTCAACGCCCCAGCGCATTACTGCGGTGCGTTCTGCTACGGTGCCAATGGCATAACCGGCTATTATGAATTAGTATTAAGAACCTAGGGGTGTGCTTGTTTGTTTTTTTGTTTCTTTGTACTTACGGACGTCGAGGAATTGTAAGATAGGAATATTCATGACATCGCACATCTTCAATAGCCGTGTAAGTTTCTGGCTACCGGCTGTATCGAGTGCACCACCGTTCACTTCACAGTTCAGCGAGATAATACCAACAGGTCGGCCAGATAAACGGGCTAATCCACCGATCGCTGTACGGCCCCAGAGAGCACCGATCTCAAACCATGAGTCCCGATCAACAACGGAGGTAATGATTGTTCGGGGATTATACATCCGCGCCTGTCGTCTAGGGATGATGCTCCGAAGTGCAATATCTTCTCTAGCTTCAGGATCATCGCTGGGAATGACTGGTGGAGCATCACTTCCAGAATTGGGCAAATAGCTCAGAACAGTACGAATCTGTTCAAAGCACTCAGCCTCGTTGGCGGCAAGGTTATCAATTGTTCCATTTGTACAGTGCACGAGTGGTCCACCGAGATCTTGAAAATCGAGGCCTTCCTCAAAGGTTGCGCCTTCTACAACCTTTGGACCGGCATTGAACAGCGCACCAATATCTGCTGCCATGACTGAGAAATGACAGGAGACTACCCTTGCAGCACCGAGGCCGATCTAAAGCGAGATCAGTAAATTCCTCTAAACCCAGAACGGACCTAGGACGATAGAATGGATAAACTTACAGCTGGGCCGACTACTGCACCCAAATTCGGAATTCCCATGTTCAGCTGCTTGATTGCATGGGTGAATGGCCTCACATAGGGAAGATAACTCCACCCTTCCTTTCGAATCGTAGTCACGCTCCCACCGCCCGAGCTCCCATCAACAAGCTTAACTACCGGCAATCTCAACGCAATAGCTAATTTCTCCACGTAAATGGTTTTCTCCGCCGTGGATCCGTCGGCATGGCCAGACCGGATACTAAAGTCATCTGCAGTGAGCAAGACTCTTCTGCCTCGGAGCGTCCCTGACCCCTGAACGTTATTACTAGGCGTGAATTCCACAGGCTTCTCCCGCATAGGAGCAGTCTTTTTCCAGGTAACGGTTCCAGAAACGGATCCGATTTCTTGGAATGAGCCTGGGTCCAAAAGCTGGTCGATGCGCTCGCGTACCCATAGTTTTCCGGCTTGTTTTTGCCGAACATACCCTCTAGACTTAGTGTTAGGGGTCGCGGCTATTTTGCGCAGTGCAGAGATTTGATCGAGAACATCGGAGTAGTCTGCCGGAAGTTGGGATGTCGTGTTTTTCTTCTTTGATTTGGACACGGGTTGTTTATCTTTGTCTCCGATTGTCTTGGGCGGAGAGATATGTGAGGAGACTTGATTCAGGCGTTGTGTAGCTTGGCCTGTTTCATCTTTTGAAGCCGACTGATTATTCCCGTTGTTGTCTTTCGTCATTTTTTCTTTTCCCCAGTTCTTTCAATTGACAGGGTATTTGTTCTGTTTCGCTGAAGAGGTCATGGGGGGTTTTGTTGCTTTGCCGATCCTGAATGAGGGGGCCGTTTCTGTAATCTCCGAGGGCCGAGGGAGTCTGCAATCTGTTGTTGGAAAGAAACAACGTTCCAATATATTTATTCATTGAAACTGGTCTTCAATATTCAATTTCTTCAACATTTTTGGCTTTACCGAGTTCGACAAAACTTGAAGTTTTGCCAGATCCATGCTTGTTCCCTTCTCCTTACATTGCATCGATGTCGTCATCCCCGCATCCCCAACCCATAAAGCGACTGCTGGTCGCAAATAGGTAATATTTCCGCAAAACAACATACTTGACCAAATTGTTAACAGTTTTCTGCCAGAGGAGAAATTGCGGTCCGTATCCTCAATGCTATACGTGAGCTTCCGGAACCTGTAGAGACTTTCGCCCTCTATACGTCCGATGACCGTTCACACTGCGACCTGAGTCATCCAGACCATGCCATTGAAATACCATCAGCAGCTTCATATTTAGACGTATCACTCTTAGTGGATATAGTGCAGAAGTACGGTATTAATTCGGTTCATCCAGGATATGGGTTCCTCAGCGAGAGCGCGGAATTTGCCCAGCGCATGTGGAACGATGCGGGTGCTATTGTGATAGGACCTGGCCCAGAAAATCTTGCCAAAACGGGCGATAAGCTTCAGGCAAAACAGCTTGCGCAACAATGTGCAGTGCCGGTGTTAGAAGCTATGAGCCAACCGACGTCTAACCTCGACGAAGCAAGGGCGTTTGCCCGACAAGTCGGGTTCCCGGTAATGATCAAAGCTGTGGATGGAGGCGGTGGTCGGGGAATTCGTCTCGTGCGTGAAGAGATTGATCTGGATAATAGTATTCAGCGCGCGATTGGAGAGTCGCCATCACGCACAGTTTTTGTAGAGAAGGCGGCAGTTGATGGGTTCCATCATATCGAAATCCAGGTTATCGGAGATGGCACTGGAACCGTGCGACATCTATGGGAACGAGACTGCAGTGTACAACGACGATTTCAGAAGGTAGTTGAATGCGCTCCAACCCTGATGCAAGATCGAGGTTTGATTTCTCAGGTGATTGACGCTGCTTTGAGAATGGCTGGCCACATTCGTTATCGATCTCTGGGTACATTTGAGTTTCTGGTTAGCGAGCAAAAGGGAGAATTCTATTTTCTGGAGGTCAATCCGCGACTTCAGGTCGAACATACAATCACCGAGTCTATCAGTGGGATAGATCTTGTGCAAACACAGCTGCTCCTAGCACATGGGCTCACATTCGGCGACCTTGGTCTCGGGTGCGATGTGAATCCAATGGCACCGCCACCTTCAAATTCCTTTGCAATCCAGCTTCGACTCTGTGCTGAAGATCCAAGTAACAATTTTTCTCTAAGCATTGGCAAGATCACCCAGTTTCATATCCCAAGTGGGCATGGAATTCGAGTTGACACCCATGTGTCTAGTCTCTCTCCGCTGGTCGTTGGATCAAATTTCGATAACTTGCTCGCGAAGGTAATAGTGACAGCATCTACCTGGGAGGCAACAGTGAGGAAAGCTCAACGCGTCTTGACCGATTCAAGAATCGGCGGTATCAAGACCAACATCAATCTTCTCCGAGGCATCGTAGCCCATGCTGATTTCATGGCTGGAAATATTGACACCCAGTGGCTGAGCAAGAACCTCGAAAATGCTCTTCAATCGGGTGAAGAAGTTTCAAGATCTGTTCCAGATCAAATAGGATCACCACAACAAACATTCTCTCAAGGTGCATTGCCAGCTTCCAATCTTTTATTCCGCAAAGGAGACGCCTGGTCTATTCGCCTTGAACCGCTTCAAGAAGATACATCAAACACCTCAACAGAAACAGCACATCATTTGAAGCTGTCACGAGTACTCCGAAATGAGTTTCCCACGGCCCTTGCAGCTGAAATCGAATACACAACGCCATCCTCAAAGACTGCAGTCCCGTACCGCATGCAGCTAGAAACTACCTCGACCGCTGCCTCCGCATTGGTGTCTTCTTCACATCGGCGTGGCGACCCTGGTAATCCCCGCCACATTATCTTGCCTTTGTCTGGGAAACTCATTGAGATGATGGTTGCTGAAGGGGAAGAGGTAGTCGAGAACCAAGTTTTGGCTTTTGTCAAACAAATGAAGATGGAATTAGAAGTGCGAAGTCCCCGGTCTGGACGAGTTCAATGGGTTCATGAAATGGAAGATGATGAGGAAGATGTTGCAGAGGGAATGTTATTGGTGGAATTGGAGGAACATCCAGCTGAGCAGGAGCATCTTCGAGGGAAACTGTAGTTATGTGCAGGAAGCTGTTTATGAAACTAAACAAGAAGGAGTTGATATCAGCAGCCAATCAGTGTTCTGATCTCCGACTACCTCTGCATCATTGGTCTAGTGGTAGAATTCGTCGTTGCCATCGACGAGGCCCGTGTTCGATTCACGGATGATGCATTTCTTTTTTGTCTCTTTTTTTCTCAAAGCATTCAAGATCTTTATCTTTTTTTCTTTTTCGCTAGAATTTAATTGATCTTTCTTAAATTGGGTTCCTATGTAAAGTTCATTATCTCGTTTCCAATGGCGGGGCAGATCTAATCGTTATCCCACAGTGCGCATTCACGTGGCTGAGCAGCTACCGACGTCACCGCTGTTTCCCTCCTCATCTTGTCTTCTCATGCACCAAAAATGGAGGATCTCAATATCTACATCCTCACGTCAAACTGCGCAAGGACACTCATAGATGTCGACCTATTTGCAGATCACTTCTTCGACGCACTCTCCACAGATGCCCGCGAATCAGGTGCCCCAGAGCTAATCGTGCTCTCCCTCCAAGAAGTCGCACCAATCGCGTACTCATTTCTAGGCGGTGCATACTTGACACCCTACTTCGACGCATTCGTGAAAACCGTCAAGAAAGCAACGACTCAGCTATGGAATGAATCCTTCGTTAATCTGGTTCGGGACCATACCGGTATGACGGGGTTGATGGTCTTCGCGCGTGCAGATATCCTCGACAGAATCCAATGGATAGATACAGCCCATGTTGGATTTGGAGTTCATGAAATGGGTAACAAGGGCGCTGTTGGTGCGCGATTGGGCTATGTAACGAAGGGCGCTACTTCTAAGACGGTAGACCTGACCTTTGTCGCTGCGCATCTGGCGCCGATGGAGGATGCGCTGGAGCAGCGGAATCTGGACTGGAAAAGCATTGTTGAGAGACTTGTTTTCTCTCATAAGCAGAATACACTTGGTTCCCTTCAAACCACTCCAGATGAGAGATCAGCACTACTAGCCGATCAAGATCACGATCACAACTCAGCGCACTCAGACAAAAGCCACGAGGATCTCTTCGCTCCAAACGCCTACCTCTTCCTAGCAGGAGATCTAAACTACCGAACATCAAACGTCAGCCCCACAAAGACGGATATCGCTCGCTTCCCCCGCTACGGTGTATCTCCCGACGACCCGACCCATTACTCCCACCTCCTAAAAGACGATCAGCTAATGCGCGAAATGCGCGAGGGCCGCTGCTTCCACGGTTTATCAGAAGCACCCATCGACTTCCCTCCAACATACAAATATTCCAGCGGAGCGCAGAAAGCCGCACATCATGCGCTTGTGAGCGGAGAACCGGATACAGAATGGAAATGGTCCACACACCGCTGGCCAAGCTGGTGTGATCGAATTCTCTACCTAGATCACCCTTCTGGCTCGGGTACTAAAGAGGACCTCCATGTCAAACCGCATGCATACAATGCACTTCCTCTTTTTCCACATTCTGATCATAGACCTGTTGCACTGGCTGTTTCTGTTCCTCTTAGAGTGAAGGCCTCCGATAACCCATCACAGACAGATCACATGGTACCTGAGGCGCAACAAGCAGCTCCATTTGCAATCGATCCCAGCTGGCGGTCTCGGAGAAATGCCGCTCGACGGAAGGAGATAGTCGTGGGGTTCCTGGCATATCTGAGCTTGACCTGGGAAGGAAATGGGCTGCTTCTTGCATCGTCGCTGGGTCTTGTGAGTGCGTGGATTGCATTACAGTCTTTGTGGGGTATCTGATGTATTGGATTCAATTGGGATACATGACACTCAGAGCTATTTCCTCGATAATCGTTAATCGGGTAAATATCCGATATGATATCATGAATTACGTTTATGTTTATACTTACATCTATGGAAACACAATATAATTTCGGGTTTTCTTTCATTACTACACTAACTACCCCAAGGTTGGCCTAGTACCTTTGTATAGTACCTTTACCTTAAAATGGCTGTCAGCCATCAGCCACCGCCACAAGCTATGACGTCTATCAGATAAACAAGCGGGCCCGGGCTCAAAAAAGAACCTGAAAAGCAAAAATTAAATACCCAACCAAAAACAAACAAAAAATAAAAAAACAAGGTTCAATAGACTCAAAAATGCCACAATTCCGATTTCACAAATCCGTCACCAGAGGCGTCGCTCCAAAACGGTCTGGACGCATTAAAATTCCACAAAACTTTCTGTGGCTGGATCTTAGTCCATCCCAGAAGCTCGTTTTTATCCAGCCTGAAAGCTCACCTCCAAATGACCCCCATTTTACTAGAGGCCCCGAGCTTCTCTCCCAGATCTAGCGGTGTCTGCACGCTGCTACTGCATTGCATGAGATTGCATGAGGGGTAGGGCAGGGCTGCTGTCATAGTAAGGTTTTGATTTTGATTATTTTTGTTTTTTTACCCGGCTTTAGCCTGGTTACACAGGTCAAGCACTATCCTGCATGGATGGGCATGACAAGGTGGCGGGCCTTGTCTTGTCTTGTCTGGATGCAGTGGGCTCGTGTTCCCTCTATACAGTAGTTTTGAGCTTCGAGTAATCTTCTAGAGTGCGGGAATTGGAATAGAAGAGCGGGAATGCATTTGGAATAGGAATTGGAGATTATTCCTTGTCCCGTTTACATCCATCCATACATACACGTTCCTTGCGGATATTACCTGTGATGCACTGGCAGTTATCCGTAGAACCTTGGAAGCATCCATTAGAACAAAATGATCTGTATAGGGTCCTCTATTTTTCTTTAACTCTTCCTTGTATTATTTTTCTTTCTCCTTGCTACATCTTGCCGCATAGTGGGGTAATGTAGCTAAATCAAATCAATCAGTCATCCACAGCTGATGAATGGGGAACCGCTTACGCGGGACAGGTGCCGCGGTGTGGTTGTAATTAGAAAATTGCTATCGACCAACTGAACCAGTCAAATGACCTTAGGTATCTCAGTAATTTCCTGGTCTCTCCGATATGCTTCTCGTTGCGCTGAAGGTCTGTCGCTGTGTGTTGTGCGACACGCGGAGCTGACGAAAGCGTAATTTCGATTTACTTGGCTGCCCAAGGTGGTGAGTGGGGAGACAGGTCACAAAACAAATTGAAAGAGCCAAGCAAAGAAAAATGGAAATAAAGGGAGACGATAGATAATATCTTTGATATATTATACTTAATGTTAAATCCAGGATAAGCTTTGGACGACCTATATGTGTCATGTATAATGAATGTATAAGTGTAGGAACGATCGGAAAGTACTTAATGCTGGCTGGAAGTATAGGACTGGAGATCTACGATGTAAATCGGCCAAGCCGAACCCAATCAGAACCAGTATTAGTATTTTCCAAATTCTTCCACGTATTTCCAAGCGGAACCAGATGAAATGTCAGGCCCACAACCTCCACACTGACAGCAGGTTCCGCATGTGAAAACAAATGACATGTTCAAGTTGGGGTTCGGGTTCGGGTTGAAGTTTCAGACGGCACAAAGTCTGGTCTCACCGGTCATTGAATGGATCAGAACCTCGAGCCTGAGCCTGAACCCAGTTGTATTCATTATCTTCGTTTGTATATACTAAACGAGGTAGGAGTTTCACCACCATCATACCTAATCAAATCAGCAACTTGAAAGCAGGACTGATACTACCCGGACAAGGGCAATTTGCATAAATGGGAATATAGGGTTGTGATTGGTCAAGCGGGAAATTAAATGAGAAATTCTTGATTAGTCTTTACAGTGGTCAAATCGCGAACTTGCGTACAAACGGGCTCAAAGCGGTTAGTGAAGGCCTGAGTGTGTTGTTTGGGTCGGTGGAGAATTTCCAGAACACTGCCGGATGCGCAATCCCTGCTGCCAGTGCCAGTGCCAGCGATCGGAGGTCTGGATCTCAGGCTGGATCTTGGGTTTTCCACGGATATGGATCGTGCACACTGTTATTTGGTCGGCTCCAGGTCTTTCTTTCGCATGTCAATTTGGTAGAGAGGAAAGGCCTAGGCATTAAAATGATATTTTTATTTTATTTTTTTCTGCAATTTTCTCAAGCCCCAATTCGGGTAGCATCAATATGAAACAAAAGAATGGTCAAGGGAGACGATACTCCGTTGTAAATTGTTCATTAAATTATAGGACTGAAAAAAGGGGGAAAGGGAAAGAGCGAGTTAGAACATCGAAAGGAGAAAAAGGGAAAGCACGATCCACTCCCGCGATCGGGTCATCGGCATTTAAACAGGGTGCAGAGAAGAAAAAGAAGCCCAAAGAACAATCTAAACTACTTAACCTGAAGCTTCATATGAGCCTAGCCTGCACTAAAAAAGAAAAGTAACGGCCGCAAGGAAAATTGTTTTTTAAATAAAAAATGAATAAAAATAAAGAGTTTTCTAATACTTCCCGTGAACTTCCACAGTTTAATACCAGTGTACAGTAATTCCGCCAACTTCCACCTTCCACCTTCAACCACATCTTCTCCACCGGGGCCTTGCAATACAACTTGAACATTGAAGCTCAAGCCTGCCAGTCATTCCACATTATCCAATCCATGCATAGTACCATTGCAGCGCATTCTTTCGTTCTTTCTTCCGCTCACGGTACTTTGTCCTCCGTATGTACGGAGCAATAGGTAATCACAGCCGTCATTGGCCCACCCCTTCCAGCGACAGGGCCGTCATGCATCGAAGCCCAGCATTAAGCCGATCAGACCGCATGGCCGGGTCGAATAAGATCGCCCGATCTGTGCCTGCGCCTGCACCTGCGCCTGCATCTACTGCCCTAATTAATGTACACAATGCGCCCAGGTAGAGAGATTGGCGTCATTGCCAGAGCTACTTTTTTAGGATAATGAATAGTACCTAGTCTAGGCTATGTATTCTGACGGTGTTTCTTGCCAAGGGATTTTAGGAGTGGATTAGGAGTCAAACAAACATAAACAGTGTTGGGTCCCGGCCTGGCCATTCGGCTGTTTTGTTGGCTGCCTGGGCTTGGGGTTCAAGTACCATGGGTACTATACCATCTTTGCCCATCTAGGCATCTGGTCTAGCCCTGGAGGTAAGCATGGAATTATTTAGTGGTGAATGGTATTATTTAGTGGTGAATGATATTATTCACTGCCCAGGTGGTAGGCAACTATGATGATCAGTACAATCGAAAAGAGAAAAAGAAACGCAGAAAAAGAAAAGAAAAGGAAAAGAAAAAGAAAAAGGAAAGAAAAAGGAACGAACAACCCCACATGCAACAAACGGCGCCGTTCCAATACCCGTAACAATGGAACCCTAAAGGTCTAGCTTGGTCTCCCTATTTGCCTGGTTTTCTGTTGTATTATTTATTATTTTATTATTTTCTATTTCCACAATTTTTATTTTCATTTTTCACAATTTTATTATTTTTTACTTCGATACACCTTGAGCCTCTGCCTATAAACCCCCTTTCTTCCCTTTCGTTCTCTTCCAGCTATAAAACCTTAAAAACCCGCAACTGTTAACATTCTTGCAATCTCGCTTGGTCCCCGCGATTCCACCTTCAACACTCCAACGCAAAACCCCCTTTACTGACCTGACGCCGAACTATTTCAACGACGTCATCACCACCTTTTTTTTTTTTTTTTTTTTTCTTCTCCAATTTATCTCCGCTACTGCACCCTTTAAACGGCTACCCTTTAAAGTTCAGTGCTTGGACTTTTTTTCCCTCTTAAAAGGAGAATACTACGGTTTTCGCTCTCAACCCTTTCTTCCACACCTCGGCTTCTGCAACAACCTTCATATTCCGATACCGCATTCAATCTTCTCAGCTGCTTCTTTCCTTCTCCTCTGAACATCTACGCTACGCGACTCTACTCTACCGGGCATATTCTCGGAACTGAACTGAACTTGTCACCTCCCCGCGATCTACTCTGCAAGCTTCAAATCTTCCCCGCGATCTCCAAATTCCAACCAAATCAACCCAAAACTCTTCTTCATGATGTACTCGTGCGCAAACTACCCCCGCGGATGCCGTGGGCGCGTCAATAAGGAAGGCACCAAATGTTCGGACTGCAGAGTATGTGCTTTTCCATTTTCTCCCATTCATTCATCTGAATCCGAAGTCCAGAAAACGTTGAAAGAGTTCAAAGAAACAAAGAAGAAGCTAACACATTCTAGCAACTGAACCTGCGACGACCTGCCTCTGCCTCTGCCTCCCCATTCGCGCAACCACGCAATTTTAAGCGCCAGCTTCCCTCAGAGATGTTCGACTCGACAATCAACCTGTCCGAACTGAACATCTAATGCCTCACGCGACTCGTCGGAAATCACCATGACCGGTCATATCCCTCCACCCAGAATCCGAATGTCTATCTCCTCGCTGAGAGCTCACAATGATATCTGGGCTGGGTTAGGTCGGGTACATCCTCAAGCTTGCAGGCTGGAACTACATAAAGCCTAGGATGTACTGTACTGAATGGCCAAGGTCATGGTTTTCTATACGGTTTCCCTTTTGTATCTTTCTCGCTTTCCTCATGCATAGCCGGGCGTTTCTCTCTTCTCATCTCACGATGGCGGCTATCTCTCTTTGTTGTGTTATCGCCCACACTTTCGCTGCTGGTGCAAGCGGCGGATACACCTTGCATGGATCACGGGCATATGGGATCTGCTACTGGTAGGCAGTGGCGCAAGATGGTATCTTTGATCTAGATCGATGATCGAACCTTCGTTTCCTTGTTTCTATCTATTTTCCTGCTTTGCTTTTATTCTATTCCTGTTTTCTGTTCCTGTCCCTGTTTCCCTTTCGCATGAATGCAAGCCGGCCTATCTGCCTAGGTTTCTTTCCTATTTCTGTTTTTCTTTTTTACGTCCTTCGTGACATGATGCCATACCCCTGTTGCTTAATGCTTTGATGGTTATTTTTATGTTCCATTTTCGTTTTTTTTTCTCTTCTCATTCTCATCTTCATCTTCATATTCTTATCCTTAGAGTAGTTTTGCTTCATAGATACCTCATCCTCATCGCATCGACATGTCTCCACCAGGAGCTCTGCTTTCAATTATTGATCTTATTTTTATTTCACAACCACAGCCACATTCGTATCTGTATCTGTATATGTATCTTACATGAATTAAATCAAGATACACAGGTTTGCAACCCAATCCATCTCGCCAACCACGTTCAAGTTCATTCTATCTAAAGCTAGACCTAGTCAGCCCTCGTAATCAATATAATTCAAACTTGAACCCGACGGTTACCTAGTTTCACAGCCCCATGGATGATCTAGACCATCACAATCACCTGAGCTTCTCTAGCCCGACCACTGATCGGAACTATATTCTCAGCCGCAAGGATGACATGGTGAGACGTAGTAGATCTCATATGACTCTGTCAGCCCCAATCGGCGCTGCCCAACGGCCCCGGGGTCACCCACTTTACCGTATTAGTCTCCCTGCATAACCCCCTGTCAATTACACGTGTGATCATTGGCATTAAGTATCCATATGAGTCCTTTTGCACCTCATCTGTGTCGGCGGGGCTTAGTTGGACCCTATAACCCTGTTTGCGCCCGGGCGCCCCAATGCTGACGACGCAATTAAAGCCTGAGCCTGGTGTACGGTGAATAGGTCACTGCCGGATACATGATACATAAAATGAATATTATCCAAGCAACGTGCGAATTGAAGTACATATCGAGAATATCAACCCTATGTACACATACAGTACCGTAGAAGGCTCAGATCCAAAAACGGATGAATGATCCGCTCAAAATCTCCGACGCCTCACTCAATGTATCTAAAACACTCGAAAAACCTTAGAAACTATTCGTTTCAGCCCTGAATCCCTTCTAGAATGAATAGAACAATCGAAATCAATAGTCAATGTTAATCTTCATTACTCTCCCGCAGCCCCCCCATAATCTATACAGCGACTAAACCATTCTCGTCCCCGCGTCACAAATAGCGCCAATAGCTCCAACTTTGTAATTTGCTCTACCTAGATCTCCACAGAATAACCCAAAATCTCGCCCAATCTCATCCTCTATTCTCCATTCTCCATTGACAGCCTAACTGTTCTCCTCGTATGTACATCCATACGTAATGTACTATACCTAATCCCACTTTCCTTTTCCGAAACACTAATACAGATATGAAAATAAAATTCCAAGTATTGTATTCCTTCATTTACTGCCCAGGTTTTGAAAGTCTTATACGAAGTACGCAATGGAATATTCGCGTTAACCCAATCCGCCCCATAAATGTACAGAAGGGGCAAGACAGGACAAGACTCAGCTAGAGTGCGGCCTGGAATTCCGCACACCGCATCGGCCGGCTCCTGTAACTTGAATTGTAACTGTAACTGAACTCCTGGGCTACACCACGTTTAAAATGGAGCACCGGAGAAAAAACACCCAACCAGCGCAGGAAGGGGAGCCGTGGTAGGCTCCACTAGGCACGGGCGTTGGGAACTTGGAACAGGAACTAGTACCGGGACCGGGCGCATTATTGATGGGGCTGTTGATCATGATCAGCATAGAGAGGAGGCGTGGGTTATACCACGTGCCATATCTGAATTTGATCAGAGATGAGATCAGAGATGGAAATTATGGATGTGCACATTAGCTATTACCGCGAATTTAGGGTCTCGAGGTATGGGGGATTCGTTAGGTTTATACTTTGTTGGAAGGTTAGGTTCATTCTATTTCATGGGTCTAGCGCATGTCTCAAGTGTAGCTTTTTAGTAGGGACGGATGTCTCATTCTAAATACTGTCCACTGCCAGGGTCACGGTTCGTATGAAGACTTCTCGTTGCCGTTTCTAATTAGCTTTGAGTATGGATCTGGGCTTATTTATGGTAAATGTAGTTGTGAGTTGTTTCAGTTGCGCTTTGGATCTCGTTAAATGTTCGGAGTCAGTCTTACGAATTTAGCAGCACCTTCCTTCACACGAGGGCCCAGAGTCCTTCGTTATATTGACATGAACGACATAGACGAATATTATAAGATGGAGTGATGTCGATCTTATCATGAAGAATATTCTGAGATATTTATTATACGGTAAGTGAAGACTTTAAGTGAAGAACCTTAAACCGCAGTTGATATGATCATGCGCAACAGGAGTAATTCAAGTTGCCGGCGGTATGATTTCAGTAGCCCTGGATGGTTCCGATGTGGTTTCAAACCAGCTCAGAGTCTCGATGATCGCTCTGATTTGGTTGAAATTGCCTATTCTATAGATCCAGTGACGAGACTAAGGCTGAATCAAGGTAGCTAGTAGAATTTTGGACTGTTGGTGGATACTATCTCTACTGTATTGTCTTAGATTGTACGAGAGTCTATTTACATTTACAGTTTGCAATTGTGTATCTGGTTTTGAATATAAATCCTAGATATATTAATACGAAGTCTACCTATCTCCGCGGTGAAGCCAAGCATGTACAGAGTAGTAGGAGTGTTAAATCTTCCAAGGAGATAGCCGTCAAGGCAGACTCGAACTCGGACCACGAAACAACTGCTCGAACGGGAAAGCGAGTTAACGCACCCCACTGTGAGCTCCGAAAACCAAAATTCAGTCCAGTATTCCGACAAAGCACCTCATTAGCCACCTGACTTAAGGTTCAATCTGATTCAATCTGATGTAAAACATACGCCTTGACTCCAAATTCAAGGTCAAGGTAATGCATCCATAGCTCCAAACTAACCTAGCACGAAATGCCCCATCGAAAACGAAAGCGAATTTTCTACTGGTCATGTTTCAGTATTTTCCAAACAAATAAGGCATCAGAATAACAAACAGTCGGGATTAATGATTAATACTTCGGAGAACCGAGTTGTATACAGTATACATAACAGTAAATACGACAAACTATCCCCTTCTCACTCCCTTCTTACCCCTTTTCTTTTTCTAGTGGGACGGCTCAGCCACAGATCAGTTTGTTCGCTGTTTCAGAGTGAGCTGTGGGGAATTTGTGGCTCCACTCCCTTCTTCAGGGGACCGTGTGCGGTAGGTCAAGGGGTTGATCATCGGCTCTGTGGTTTGTCGGTGTGGCTTGAGAGGGGAACTTTACCGGCAACCATCAACTGAGGCCCTTGATATGGTCACATTTGAAAACTGGGCCTTCGGAACATTGGGCATCCCTTCCCTTCATTTTTTGGCAATAATCAGCAAGTTCCGTTTCGCCGGCTTAGCTGTACTACCCATTCTAAAGATCATAAACAACAATATCGGGTGACGTTCTATTTTACCGAATTTGATTCACCCAATACATAGAGATATAAAAGGAGCTAGACCTATATTTCTCTCTACATATTTAACAGGTAGTTTATTAGAAATATCTTAATAGAGCAATAAGATTTATTTAAAAATTCAAAGAAGAGTGTATATTCTTTGTACTTGTGAGACCCTGCACAGTACCTTCCTCCGATACATCAATCCTGGCTGTGGCGTATGAGGGTATCCTTCCTGTAAGCCACAGCCTGTGTGGTCAAAATGCTAGTGAAGGACTTCAATTTGATGCCTGATTGACGCCTGAGTGATGCCTGCGTTCAGACCGCCCTGGGGGCTAGTACTCAGGTGCTGCATCTCAAAATAAAAAAACTTTCATTTTGCCTTTCATTAATAATAGGGTCATGTTAAAATGACCTAAGACTCTTCAATCCTGGACTGTGATAAGTGGACCCATTTAAACCGCCCCTGAGTTAAATAGTTCGGTTCGGGGTTTAGGGTGGAAAAATCGTTGGCGCTTGTTATTTATTTACCGGAAGGTTCCAAGGTTTAATGTACTCCGCAGAGGGGCGGTATTGATTTTGTTCATTTTTTATTTGTTGACGGTGTGAAAATCGGAGTTCTAGTTCGGTTTAAAAGATTTTTGAAGATTTTCGAATTTTCGAAACGCTTACCTGACTGAGTGTAGCACTGAGTGAGTCTAAAGAACGACTTGGCTTGGCTTCGACTAACTAGTCCATGCGAATATGTCATCGTTCATGATGATGGTCCCAATTCAGATGTATGATGGTGATCTCGTGGTAAATCCTAATATTGGTCTTTGTTGTTGTAGCTGCCTATAATTAGTTCTAGAATTTTTCTTTGCATGGTGGCTTAATGACGTGCAGTAGTTTAGAGGATTTGCCAGGATCCCTATCCCTGTTTGTCGGGCAATGGCGACTGAGACGGAGAAAGCAGAAGGATGAAAACTCGTATTCGGAGGACTCCGTACAGTACACGGGATAGAAAAATCGGGATATGAATGGGAACGACCCGGTGTGCGAAGGTACGTGGAGAGTACCGTTGTCATTCTAGAAGGAGACTCGCTCGGCGTTCAACGATGTGGATCAAAGACCGGTGGAGCGTGTCAGACAGATAACCCGGTGTCACTTGGGAGATCGGGGTTATCTTGATTCCGATCTCTTATAACTGGTTGCCCGTTTCCATGGACCCGGTGATGCTAGTGTTGACATGAAACGGCCCCTGGTTCACCTGGGCACCTCTTAAATTAGATCGTGGGATCAGGATTCTGTCAAGTTTCGGGTTAAGAGCCGAGGGTGGATTCAGAGCTTGGAGCGAACTTTCTTTGGAACTTATGTACTATGGAATTAAGGAAATATTGCCGAGGGTTTTGTGGCGGGTCAGATGATAGCGAGTTTAGCGAACTTGTGGATATAGTGGATTTGTAGATAGTATAGACAGGTGTTGGATAGCGACGAGCTCCATGCTCCATGCTCTTTCTCGGTTTTCATTCTTTTCATATCAATCTCGAAATTAAGTCTGCGCTTCTGTCGGTTCTATTAACATCTTTTGACAAACCCACTTTGCAGTCTTCGTATGTAGTGACCAGTATTTATCATTCTCCTTGACTTCGGAACTTTTAGATTCAGAAACACCATTTCCATGGACCTCGCCCAGAGCTTCAAAAACCACAATTTGATCTCTCATATGCTGATCTAAGAACGATCGCCTCTCAGATTTCGACTCGGGTGCTCCTGTATCGGCGAGCTCATGGTCCACAATCTCATGAAAGAATCCTGCAACCAAGTTATCTATGCAGCCCTTTATTCTTTCAGACTCTTTGTGCGAATGCTTTTGACGCTTGTTCTGATATTTTGGGAAATTATTGGTATTTTTGTGGTTCGACTTGGGTGGTCCTTGAGATTTGCTGCTTCCGATCAGAGCATCGTATCCAATTCTGAACCCCGTAGATGTGTGAGCCACAATAAGGACATATCCTTGACTCGCATGATGAGTCGACTCAGAAGTGTGCATGCTAATCGGTACGGCACTGGCCTGATTAGAATGGTCGTCGTCATCGTCTCCTTCAGAAGAGAAATCAAAATTCGATGAGTCCATACTCTGCAAAGCCTTGCGCAAAGACCGACGAGTTTCTTTTTCAATATAATTGCGAACTGTTTTGCGTTCCTCCGGTATTTCGATTTCCGGCGCTAAGACTGTGAGATCAATATTGGTGATCTTCCCTCGCTCGTAGTCCATGATGTTAATCTTTGGGAAGTGAGTTTCGGAAACACCTTGTTCATTCAATACTGGAATCAAAGGATGAATATGAAAGCTGACCGAGCCCATTTCAATGGGACCCACGGTCCATCCGCGTTTATGAAGCTCAAGGGATAGAGGAGGCAGACCGATTCTTGCAAAATTAGGTGCCGCGACCTGGGACGTATAGTCGTAAGATGGCGCACTCGTTCCATTAGTCCCACCCGTAATCGTGACTTTCACGTAATCTGTAGCTGCTCGCGATCCGACATGCAATAGATAAGGGTATAAGGCTTGGAATATCAAAAATGCGGAGCCCGGTGTCGGCAACTTGATGTTGTATTCAGATTGAATAGTCAAATTGGACAAGGACACCAAAGATGATTTATGAGTCGTGCCTAGGGACACCCCTTCTTCGTCTGCGGGAATTTCAGGCTCAAAGGTGATATTCTTTGATCCCACTTCCCCGCCAGTCACCTTGCTGCCACTGATCTCAGCCAGTAGCTTGACAGCCGCTGCGTGCGAAGACTTCAATCCTCCACCTTTGCCTCTGTTTCCGCGGATATGATTGACAGTTACGGGTCTACTTGTCAGAGCGGATAAAGCAAGCGCATTTCGGACCAATTGGCCGCCGCCTTCGAGGGTTCGTCCGTCGAGATGGACGTGGCGGGGCGATATTGGTGGGGAGTCTCCACTGGAGATCGAGTCGTTTGAGTTCTGGAATTTTGCCATATCGGGTTGCAGGGAGGGATCTGAGGCTTGTATGAGAACTATAAACTGCTCGAGATTTGATGGACATGCTGTGAATTTATTCGATTCTTTGAGTAAGAGCTAATCACCAGTATTGTTTGAGTCGCGATTGAGCCTTGAAGTTGAGTCAAAGAACTGCTCTTGGCGGTGACTCACTGCGGAGTACGAGGTGCATGGTATAGCCAGGGATCATTTTCAACTTTCCCTGAAAGATGTAAAGCAAGGTTCAAATTAATGAGCCCTCGTTTCTAAAATTGGAGTCAAATTTTTCATAATCGTTGCTATTGTGTGAATCCATGGAAACTGTTGTGTGTGTCTGTGTGTCTGTGTTTACTGGTCGTTGTATACAATCGCGCCTGCCACAGCAAACTGCTCTTTCCTCTAAATTAGCAACGCATGTAAATATACCTATTCGTAGACAAATACTGAACTCTTCACACTCTTCAAATTTCAAGCATCTTTTCCCTGTTGTACCACGTACTATACAGACTTCTACAGTATGTTTTCCTCATTTAACTCTCGAGATCGGCTCCGACGCTCTATGTCTACCCGCTCCATGCGAAGAACCCGCACAACAACAGAGTCCGACTCCGTTGATCCAGAACTTGCCAAAGTCCATGCCGCCGCAGCAGCTTCACGAGCCATGCGCTCGGGCGAAAGACCTTCTACAGATTCAAAAACGTCGTATGATCGATTAGGCGGACCGGCTCATGTCGCAATCCCAAGAAGACGCCCCAATTCGAGCTTCGAACATACAGATCACAATAACTCCCGGCGAGCTACACCTACTATACCTCCGAGAACACCTCGACAGTCTTCAGAATCAAACGGCTCAGTTCAGACTCACTGTCGCGAGAATCCAGCTGTATTGCCAACAATTACAGAATTCAATGGCCTGGATGGACGTGACAGTTCAGTTCCTTCATCGTATCGCCGCCTACGCAAAGCCAAGTCCATGTTCTCCACCCGACAACGCTTGTCACAGTTAACAAACGGTACACCACCCATGCCTCATGGCCAATCGCCAGGCCCCGATGTCAGTCCTGGGTTTGCACTGCCTCGAACTTTAAGAAACTCAACGTCTTTTACTCGCGGCAATCGTCAGGGGACGCGATTAATTCGACATGCCAAGAGCCAGGACGTAGCTATTCAACTCGCGCGTCGTCAATATTTGGACGAAAACAGTGACTGTGATGCGCAGCCCAGGCGCACGTCATTTCTTGTTTCCCGCCGCCAGAAGGAGCATAAGCCATTTCGAAAGACGTTCCGGACCACGAGTGACGGTGGAGCTGGCGCAAGTCCTTCGTCTGGTCCATCGAAATCAAAGCTCTCTCACAGCCAGTCCCGTACGTTTTCCGCTTCTCTCAAGCAAGGCTTTCGACGTGTCTTCGGCTTATCAAAACCCACTGAACATGTCTCTGAGCCCCAGCCTATACCTGCACCTGAAGATTCGGAAAATCCTGAAACTAGACAGAGCTTTGATATGAACACCACAGACTTGAAAGAAAGTACACATCATAGCACTGCATCAAGCCCATTGCGTGTTCCAGTCATTTCTCCAAGCCGCACTAGCATTTGCACTTCAGATACCTGCGCCACAGGTTGGCCTCACTCCACGGCAGCAAACACTACAGCAACACGACAGACTGGACATCGTAAGTCTCTCTCGTTGATTGAAGAGCATGGTGATTTGAACAGAGAGTTGCCTCAAGACCTCTCCCATGAAAGTCGTCAGTCACCATCACGGAAAAGGTCGAGCGCTCGCAATTTCAATGCCTGGTTGAACACACAAGATCTGTATACGGCACTGATGCAACAAATTAGTCGCAATTCTGGTCAGAGTGCAGAAGGAGAAGTCACAATGGGCAGTGTACCAGAGCACCGAGTCATTACCGAACACCCTTCGTCCATTCAGTCACACCGCAGCAAGCGAACTGTTCGGCGAGTCCCTAGTGGCGAGTCTTCGGTATCTCCGCACTCTTTCGCAACCGCGCGAGGTGAACCGATGTCACCCCAAAAGCTTCAAAGGCCAATGGGCTATGTGCGACCGCTCAAGGTATTTCGATATATGCCTGGTAAAGGAAACACCAGACCTCCGAGTGCATTTTCCGACCGGAACTCAAAATACCCAATGTATATCGTTGGTACAGACTCGGACTCAGACTCGGATGGAACTGGAAGTGTTATCATAGCACGCCCTGGATCGACGGGAGAACTACCATCGCCGAGTGTTTACTCGCGAACAGTTAGCGGTGATACGCCAACAAAAGAAACAGACAAGGGTCTATCTGGACGAGATATCGAAGACGGAGGAACTGCAACTATATTTGCCTCCGAGCGGACAGCTTGGAGCTCTCCAGGTCGTCGCTACGAATCTCAAGCTTCGAGAGCTCCTAGTGCCGATTGGCAGCAATGGATGAGTTCACAGATTGAAAGGATCGAAAGGGCGAGCCCTACGAGGGAACACATTCGAGAGGATGCTCAGTTTCAGGATGAAGACGAGATTTTCACCAACTTGCTTCGGCAAGCACAAGTTCCAGGACTGGTGTTGACTGAGCCTCCGGCGAATTCAGACGGAGAATGTTTTCACTCAAACTCAACATCTGATTTCCAGCTGTTGCCGCAAAACAACTTCTCTCGCCCATTCAGTCGATCATCCAGTGTACGAACTATTTTGTCTTCTCAGAAGGTCGATGTTGAAGAGCCAATCAAGGTTTTCCCTAAGGATCCTGAGAAAGATGCAATCGACAGCTATTCTCAGCCCATTCCATCTTGGTCGAGTCGGATTCCCGCGTCACCATTGTCGCCGATGCGCCTCCGTAACAGCAACATGCTCCAAATTCCTGAGTCACCTACCCCTCCGCAGAGAAATGGAGCTGGACTATTGAAGCGAACATGGACGCAGGAGCAGTACCGACGCTATTCTGCTCGACGGCCACTGAATGCGAATCCTGGCTCACTCCGGTCGATAAGATCCCAGCGAGCATATCAAGGCTTGAACAACGAGAATATAAGGCAGGAACGGGAACATGACGACTTGATGGGTGAATACCATAAACTGCAAGACATTAATTCCACCGTGTCCAGCAAACGAATGGTGGATATGTTTTTGGATAGTCGTCGCCGTCAGATGGGAATGGACGAGGCAGACGACGAGAGCAACAATGCCAATGAAGCGTTTATTTGAAATGAGTCAGATCCAGTGAGGTTTTTTGGGATATATATTCTTCCCCGCTCGGTTCGCTCAGTTGTGAGATGGGCTTGGTGCATTTGGTTTAGTTATGATTTCCACGCGTAGTAATAGCGACACCTGCATGATAAAACTGTTATATCTTTACATCAATTGTCAACTCAAATTGAAAAAAGAAAATTTTCAAATTGTACCAACACTATGAAGAAGTTGAGTATAGGTTGAAAAATATCAAAAGTGCAAAAAGAAACTCTCCCTCGGGGAATCGAACCCCGGTCTCCCGCGCTTGACGGTGTTAATGACAAGCGGAAATCATGACCACTAGACCAAGGAAGATAAGACAGCCGAGTTCGACTCGGCCACTTGGGGTGGTTGGTGTCAATTCTAACACTTCTGTCAATATGACCGAACTGTGACACTGAGCATGCCGCAAAAAAAAGACACCGCTCACTAGCATATGCATTGAAGTAAGTCTACTTCTGAAGTCACAACTAAGCTATCTAATTGAGGAAAAATATTTGATCTGCGCATTGGTAATGTAATGGGCAATCCAGTAATTTGTCTCATTGAAAATGGGCGAGGCTTTTATCATCTTTAGAAAACAGGGTAGATGCAAACACATGGGGAATAGAACTATGAACAGGGTCGAAAGGGGAGGAATGAAATGAACAGAAAAAGGAAAAAGGCAAAAAGGGAAAACAGGAAAAAAAAAAGGAGGGAATATTAGGCGAGAACATATTTTCGTCTTGCCGGTTGAAACATTCCGTAATTGAAATAATAAACCCAACATATCCAGGAAGCAAAGCATACATCCTTAATAAAGGAGATATCTTCCAATGTTGAACATACGTATCAAGTAGAGCAGAGCAGAGCGAAGTAGGGTAATTCAAATAGCCATCCTCTACATCTCCACATAATTCGCAGGGAAATAACCCTGCACACCCCCCAACTCACCCTGCCACCAATCATCCGTACTCCCCGTCTTCTTAACAAGCTTAATCCGATCTCCCTCCCTAAAAGACAAATCATCCGGCCCCTGTCCCCCAAAATCATACATGGCCGTAACAAACGTCGTAGTAGGACGAGGGGGTTTCGCCGGTTTCGCCGGTGGCGGAGGCGGAGGTCTCTTCTTCTGTCCCGCAAGACTAGCTAATGGATCCATAGCAGAAGCAGGAGCAGTATTCGCCCTCGACACAAATGCCTGATGATGATCTATTTTCGGGCCCGCGGGGGAAAACTGGATACCCGATGGCTTGGGAGGTTTCATAGGCATGGGACTTGTATCTCTTCGAATGAAGTGGGGATGGACAGGTTGAGGACCAGGCTCAGGGGAGATAACTGGTGGAGTGAAGTAATCGCTACCATAGGGTGCTGTACTGTTTGAGCTTGCTGCTGATAGAACTGAGACGCTTGGTGTAGGTGTCATGATTGATGAGGAAGGGGAGACGGGACGAGAAGCTTCGAAGCCGCATGGTTTAGGCTTGTTTAGCATGTTTGGATTTGGTGGCGGGGCGGGCGATTTGCTTCGGCTGCTGCGAGATGTGACGGAGAGATTTGTTAGACTTCGACCTCCTACTGATGCGAAGGAGGGGCGTTTTCCGGGTTGTCCTTGACTGTTTTGGTTTTGGTCGTATTGACGGATTGCTTTGCCGTGGGCGAGGAGGGAGAGACCTTCGAGTTCATCTTGGTTGGGTTTGTGGGCTATTTCCCAGTCTTGGACTACGTGGTCCATTGGTGGAGGTGGGGAGGGGAAGCCTTCTTCTTCGCAGTAGGTGTGGAGGACTGTGTAGTAGTGGGCTAGCATGCGGTTTTGAATTTCGATCTGTGCGTGCAGGATGTGTGGTGCTAGAGAGAAGAGGAGGGAGATGAGGGTTGGGAGACGTTGGCAGAGGTCTTCGTCTGCGGCGCGGTAGATCTGGTGGGTGGTTAGTATGTGGTTGGGTTTATAGATGATTGTGGTATCTTGGTTTCTTTTGTTGGCTTACTTCTTTCGCAGAGGCGAGGTCCATCTCTGCCTTGGCGAGATTGGCATTGTCACGTTCGGAACGCTTTTGTTTGTGAACGAGGCCGTCGTGTCTGCTTTGGAAGCGTTCGAAGTCGGTCTAGTTGTAGTCGAGGTTAATTAGAGGTCCAGATCAGTGGGGTAAATTGGCAATTGTGACTCACCTTTTTATCATTTCGCTTTTTGATGGTCTTTTTCATTGGAGCAAGATAGCTTTTGGCCTCGACGGCGGGCTGGGTCATGCGTGTATCGACCTCACACAGCTCCTGTATCATATCGGTGCGCAATTCATCGAATTCACGACGTATCCGATTTGTACGTGCGAGGATGGCGGGGCTGGTCTGCGCTGGTTGTCTTGTAGGAGGAGCGTCTGAATCTTCCTCGGATGAGCCCAGCATGGGTGCGTATAGGCCATCGAACTCATCAGCCATCCGACTCTGAAAAGTGGCAATGGATGTCCAGGCGTCTCGCCATGCCTTCGTGTTATCGACGATCTATCATCAGAAGAAGAACATTAGTAACTGGTGGAACCCCCGCATCAGCACTTTAAAATCTAGGTTGCCTACCTTGGTCAAAAGCATATCTGCATCTTCAAAGTCCTTCAAGAGAACAGCGACTTGACTGTCATCAGCTGTTCGCTTGGTGGTCAATCGACCGAACTTTCGCTGCACGCCCAACATTACGTTGAGTTTGATGTGAAAGAGGTGAAACGCAGCAACAATCAAGTATATTCAGGTTGTACAGCGGCAAAGAGAGAGACCAGAAAGCGTAAAACCAGTCTCGAAACACAGTCTCCAAAGTGGTAGAAATAAAATTAAAACGGGAATTTAAATTAACCAGCGATAAATAGGGGAGGGCACCGTTTCCCCTCCATTCTTGTTTCAGCCTCTCTGCGGCTCTAGGGGCCACGGCCCCCCCTCATTCTCCAGAGTCTCCAATCTCATTGCGAGTTCCATCTATTTTTATTTGGGGAGAGCTCTGTTGATCCGTGCGGTGCCCGTGCCAAGAAGCCAATGCTCCACTCTGGAGAAGAGAGGCAAATCAAACCGAAACGCTTGACTCATGGCTGCAGGAGGTTGTAATGAGTGGGGGTGTTGTGTACCTTTCTAGACAAATCAAGTGGCCTCATGCGTGGATAGAGCGGGCTAGTAAGGTGGCAGGATCAAGAATGGGTTAAGAATTCAACCCGAGATGAGTTGGATGAAGTATGCCAAGTATCTGCAGGGGATGGCACTAGATCCTATTCATTTGAGTAAGTTATCTCAGCTATTCTATCAATAGATGATCCTGTGCTGTGTACATGTCCATTCTCTACGTATCTCAAGACAAGTGGGGAGTTTCTTCTCAGATTTGATTGATCTCTGTGTTCTGTGTCTGCCTTGTGTCTTAGGCCCCACAGACCCCCGGGTTGAAAGGAGTAACTGATATTCCACTTCTCCGACCGCTTCTTATCCACTGCACTGCCTTACGACAATGCTAACCCTCGACTGAATATCGTCGCTATTTTTATCTGATACTCGCCACCCTCTATCCAATCACTACATGCCACTACATGTCCACCCCCTCATCCTCCACCCGAGCCCCGAGCTCGGGATCGGGCTCCCAGATCCTCTCATCCGTCACCAAGTTCAGATGTCTATTCACGTATGACCTGCGTCGCAAATCCAAACGCTGGCGAGATGGATACCTCAAATACCACGCGTTCAACAAACGCGTAATGGTCTATGATGAACACGCGAATTATGTCGGTGACCACCACTGGCGATCGGGAGAAGCGGTGCAAGATGGCGATGAACTTGAGCTGGATAAGGGAGTTTTGATAGAAGTCGGGGAGCGCATGAGCACCACTCAGACCGATATATCCAATCTCTTTGAGAAGAGGAGGTCCAGCCAGAATTCACCTCCGTCTAGGAATAATCATGCCGGTCCAGATGCCCAGGCGCCCCGTTCCACGACCTCGACCCCCGCGGCCTCTGCCTCTACCTCTACGCCTATCCGGCCGACGATTTCGTCGCAACCCTTCCGCTCATTAAACGATCTGCTTGGGATTAAAAAGGGGCCACCTGCACAAACGGGACCGCCTGCACATATTTTATCACCGTACGAGCAACGACATCGCGCTCCGCTTCCCCCTCCGTCTCCGCCCAAGCCAGATATTCGACAGCCTTCTGAGCTCGAGCGGGCACCAAAGCGACAAAAGGTGTCAACGGGAATAAAAGCGTCTCATGATGTTCAACCGGACGTTGTCGATCTGACAGAAATCGAAAATGCACACAAAAGTCCACCCCGGGAAACAGCCCGGCCATCGAAAGCTGTTTCAAGTATGCCACCGCCGCGAGAGAAGCCGAAGCCTGCGAATACAAACAGACCAGCAATACCGGACCCTCCGATCGTAAATTCGATTCGACCATTACTGCCAGAGCCTCCGACGACCAACGCGCCCAAACAAGCATCTAAAGAAACACCCAAAGATGATGCCGTATCCAAGGAAAACCCAACGCGGCAACCTGAAGAGCAAAATCAACGAAGTAGCGAATCCATTGTATCAGAAAATGGACAGTCCCAAGCGTCTGCGAGCATTCCATGGATGCCGATGCAGAGGACCCGAAACAAATTCATGTACGGTGCCATTCTGCAACGACAGTCATCCGTGACATCCGCGGAGAATAGCCAGCCTGCTTCGAAGCCCGTGAAGCCAAAGTACGTCCGTACGCGACCGTCAAAAGAATGTCAAACTGATTAGAGCCCAGAAAATCCCGACCCCAAAAACCTACAGAGGAATTCAAGTCGACAAACCCGGAGTTTTTGCCCTCGGACTCCACTCAATCCATTTTTAATGAAATTGATGACAGCCCGGGCTTCGAAAACGGCCGATTTCTTGATAAAGAAAACTTTCCAGCAAGAAGGTCGTTTGACAAACCGTTTCGGAAATCAATTTCTGATCCCAGTGCTTTGACTAATAAGCCCAGTCTTCGGAATAGACCGACACTTATGCGGAGTGCCGTGAGTGCGGTCCCTGAAGATTCCGAGGTAGTTGAAGAAGGTCCATGGACTTCTGAAGCGCAGGATCTATTCGATTTTTGGCCTAAAGGGCTTCCAAAGCCTACGTGATGACCGGTCTCGTTGAACAAGGCACATCCTTTCCGTCAACACACTTTGATTTGTTACATTTTATACCCACCCCGTACATCATCATTATCTCCGATGTACATGTCCCACTGCTTTTCCATGTTACCGATGATACCCATTTGACACTTAACCAGAAAATAAAGAACTGCATTCACTCATGACATCGCTCTCATCCAAATCTTATCTAAATTAGTCTCTAATCTCCATGCTCCAAACTCTAATAACCACCATGAACACAGCTACAAACTCTTCTTAACCAAAGTCCCAGAAATATAAGGCATAGCAGACCACTCCGCCGACCTCTCAATATCAAAACTCTCCCACCCCTCAACCCCCGCCGCCCCCCTCAACGCCCCCTCCGTATCCCGATCCAAACAGCAATCCCCCAAAAGAAACTTCCAACCAACCCACATCCAAATAAACTGCGTCAACCGCCCAATTACACTCCCCTTCCCATTCCCATCAAAAGGCCTATTAACCACATGCTCCGTGACCAACAACCTCCCACCAGGCTTCAACAAAGCATAAAGTTCCTTCGTCGTTTTCTCCAGCTCAGGCACAGAACAAAGAACCCTTACACAGAGAATCGTATCGAATATCCCGTTTTTGGTATCTTTCTCGTACGCATCCGTGACGCCAGTTCCTGTTTTACGGAGAGCGGGAAGAAGATCCTTTGCCGAGACGCCGGAGGGTAAGATGTGGTATTTTTCCGAGATGCCCTCGTTTATGGCTGTGGTGCGGAGGGTGGGGTGGAGAGTTGTACAGGGTTCTGGGCCGTAGATTGAGGTTATTTCTTTTGAGCGGAGGAGGTGCATTTGGGAGCCTGCGCCGGGGCCTATGTCGAGGACTATTCCGGTGGATGTGCTGAGGAGTGGGGGGATTAATGCTGAGCTCCCGGTTAGTTCGGAGGGTCTATTGCCTGGTTGGTTCAAGTTGTTAGTTTTTATTTGAATATTTCATAGGGCGTATTTGTATTTGTTTGAGATTGTGCTAATATTTTAATCAAGAAACATTAGACGATAGAACTTACTACTGAATTCAACCCAGAATCTTCCAAAAGCCACATCTCTCAGCTTAGAAATCTGGAAAATAGGCGCAAAGATTTCGCCATTGATAACGGCTTCTTTGCAGACGCGGAGGTAATCTGTAGCAAACTGAGTGTAAGGAAAAATATCACAGGGCAAGTTTTTCATACACCGAGATAGTCGTAGCTTGCTTGCTCCGAATTAAACTTACGGGATAAAGACCAGAGCATGAGCTGTCCGGGCTCAAGCATACCCATGAGCTGCTGTTTCAGTGAAGGAGCACCCGTATTTGATGGCATCGTGGGATTAAGGTAGTTGAGTGAGTTTAAATGAAGAAAGAGAAGGGTACTGGTGAAGAGAAGATAGACTCGGAGAAGATCAGTTATCGACAATTAATGTGGAGAATGTTCGGTGTTTGAATGCGATTAGGGCCCACTTGTGCGGAGAAGGGTCATGTGATTTGGGTGCCATCCCCGCATGGAAATGTAGGAATTAGATCAGACTTCAATTGATTATTGTGCATGATTGTACTAAAAAGTTATGAGACCGGCGAAACAACCGCGTCTCTCCAATTTGCCCCCTCTTTCCCAATAACTTCAGCATCGTGGCTAAACAGCCATTTCCTCCGATCACCATAGCCCCAGAAAACTGGATTTTCCGCCGCATCAAGAGCCAACTTCTTATCGCGCGCTTCCTGTTCCTCACCATCATCAATATGGAGAATATACTGATGCTCGCGCGTCTTAGCCTGAACCAGACTAGCCCGCGGCATACGGATCTCCTCATATTTCTTCAGAGCCTGTGCCATATCTACATCCTGTGCAAGAACCTCGCGTAGGACGGCAGCATCTTCAAATGCCTGGGCAGCACCCTGAGCCAGATAAGGCAGCATAGGATGACAGCTGTCACCCAGAAGCACGGCCTTACCAGAAGGATGCGTCCAGCGCTTAAGATTGGGCAGGTCACATAGTCGCCACTTCATAAATTCGCCAGTAAGGGCACAGAGCTTTCGAACCTTAGGTTCCCAGCTCGCAAATCGGTTGCATAACTCGCTATTATCGCCTTTGACAACCCATACCTCGTCGGTGGTTTCGTTGTAGGAAGTAGCGCAGACAACGATATTGTACATCTCTCCGTTGCGAATGGGGTAGCCGACCAAGTGTGCGTCTGGACCACACCATGAGGTTGTACATGGATCGAATATAAGATGGGCTAGGTCTGGGTCCGCTAGCAGCTTTTCACTGGGGATAAGGATTCGGTATGCGACGTCTCCCGTGTCGCGGGGAATGTCTGGCTGGCCGGTAAGAAGTGGGCGACATAGAGACTTGATACCGTCTGCACCGACGATTAGGTCTGCTGTGAAGGTTTCACCGTCTTTGGTAGTTGCGCTTGGTGCATCAAAGTTGTACGAGACGACAGTCTTGTTGGTCAATACTTGGACACCTGCTTTCTTGGTTGCATCGAGTAGTGCGGCGTGTAAATCAGCGCGATGAACGAGCCAGTATGGTGCGCCGTGTGTCTCGACAATGTTGTTGAATGGTAGATTGAATATTGTGTCGCCGTCCTTCCAGCGGATGAAGTGGTATCTTTGAGAAGTTGACTTTTTCATTCTCTCAAGATCAACGCCCCATCGAATGAGTAGGCGGCTTGAGTTAGGAGGAATTCTAATTCCTGCTCCGGCCTAAACAATTGGCTTTGTTAACTGGGGAGCATGAAGAAAATAATAAGGGAGCTTACTTCTGCAAATTTGGGAGCTGAATCAATGATGGTCACCTTGTGACCATCTGTTTTTAGGGCCAAGCCAGCTGCTAGGCCACCCAGGCCAGCACCGATGACAAGGACGTTGAGAGATCTGTGGGCGTTTGGCATAGTGAAGTATGTAGTTTTTAAACGAGTTCTCGAAGCAAACCGGTTGATATGAGGATATCTGCCCTGTGGAAGTCGTGATCTTATAACAGCGTTTTTAATTGAAGAGCAATTGACGGAGCTTCTCTCCTCTCACATATCGAAGATGCGCGATGACCGTTGCTCGGATACGTTAGTCGTCGGAAGATTGCTCCCGACGGAGCCATGCTTCCGAACTTGCCCGCTGCGAAGCATCTCCGGAGTTAGCTTACAGCTCTTACATAGAACTTAGTAAAATCTTTGGTCCAATGTCTGAAACTGCGTCTACACGTTGCATGGACGCTTAAAGTGGCTCGGGGATAGAAATTACAACATTAAACTAGCGACACGAAAACCAAGTAGGAAGTATGCTTTTACGAGACTCAACATGTAAATTTCAGTAGGGCTGAAGAAAAGTAGATTTAGGTATTTTGGCACAATCCATGTAAGGTTGCATCTATGTGAGAAACCCAGTAATTATCCGACAAAAATCTTCAAAGCCATCGACATAAGGAACATGCCCAGCGGACTTTACAATCTGCATCTGCACTTGGATCCTCTTTCCATGACTGCTAAAGCTTTCCTCCACAGCTTTACGCATATCCATCATTCTAACCGGCAAGTCTGCGTCCTTCTCACCAGCAACAATAAGAGCCTCATTACATCCTTGTCCTACTTTAGGATACAGAATTCTGAGATCGAAAGATAGACTACCAAGGGCAGCACAACAAGCTTCAAGACCCTGAATAGTAGTCGTCGCCATAGACTTCTCCATTCTAGCCGTTTCCTCGGGATGTTCTGCCATCCATTCCTCACCAAACCACCGTGTCCTCGTGTTTGCGAGATCCTCTGTGACCGATCCTGCATCCTTTACAGTGCGTGCCCTCATTGCAAAGTTATTTGGGATACCCATCACGGTCGGTGATGCAGCGATAGCGTCAGATACAATGAGTTTGTTCACTATGTCTGGATGGCGCGTCACAAAGTACAATCCCTTGATTCCGCCCATGGAGACTCCAATCCAAGCATGCAGTCGGTCAATTCCGAGATGTTTCAAAAGGTAATAAACCTCGTCTGCCATGGTTTCGAAGGATAAGGAAGATATCTCCGACTCAGATGGTAGACTAGATTGGCCATGGCCTGGTTGGTCATAGCGAAGAACTTGAAAGTCTTGATCTTGTAGCGCGGACACGACGCGGTCCCAGGAGGTCAGGTCTTCCGCTAAAGAATTGGAAAGCACGATAATGCGTTTGGAGGGAGTTTCTGGCGATAGGGTATAGGCCATTTGTCGGCCATTGGGAAGCTTGAACAGTTCCATTGTGTATGCCATCTTCTTGCTAGCTGTTGATTTTTACGTAGCCGATCAAATGTAAGATTCATAATTATGAAATAAATCGGATTTGGCTTATTGACTTGTTGAAAAATGGCTAAATGTTGCTAACTCATGAGATCATGAGATGCGGAGTGATGGATCCGAAAAGACAGCACAAAGAGAGCTTGTTTAATGACGTGCGACCGGTGGCGCCTAGATGGACGTGGGGGTTCATGCGGGGGAATACCCGAGGCGCTTTTCTGGGGAAGCGGGTGGAAGATTACTTCCGCTGATCTCTTTTCCGACGCATCGTTGACTGCACCTTACGCAATTGAGTACTCACTGACTCTCTGATACCACATGGCCGAGGCACCAGCAGGAAAACGGCGTCTGAGGAGGGTGCCAGGCCCATCGCGAAAGCGATCGGCACAGAGCTGTAAGCCCTCGATAGATCTCCTAGTTGAAGCAGTGCTCAGATAGGAATGTATTAGGTGATTTTTGTCGAAAAAGACGCTGCAAATGCGTTGCGCTAGCTTCAGGGCATGGATGTGCTATGTGCCACGACCATGAGATTGATTGCTCCTACGTCTTACCACGGAAGACGCGGTTTTATGGGAGTCTCGATGATTTGAGTAATCGGTAGGTTCCATGTCTCATAGCTTATAGCTCTGCTGGTCTTTAACAATTGATAGATATAAATGCTTAGAGGCTATCGTGCGCGGTGCCTTTCCTCATGATGCTATTTCCACTGTGCCGGAGCTCTTCCGGTTAGGAGAACGCATGAGATATTCTATGCCAGACTTAGCACACGCTAGACCGGCAGGCTTAGATGAGCTAGTGAAAAATCCTTCTGCCCCAGATGAGGGTCAAGGAGTTAGGGTTGCAAGCCCGCCTACGGATATATCGCCCATGAGAGTTGATAGTACCAACCCGCAGAATAGAAATGAGAGAACAGCATGCTTGAATCCAGCAGCAGACTTCAACCGTCATATGGATGAGCCTGGGGGCCTCATTCGAGATACAGCCGGTCGGAAATATTTTATTGGCCCGTCTGGAAGTCTACAGTTTTTGGGACAACTTCGACGGCTCATTCTCAGCTCTCGTACCGATGCTTACAGCGACCGACACACGTCTAGTCGATTCAACGCTGCATTGACGGAGGATGATGCAGCTCAGGCACTTGAAGCGGACGGCAACAAGGAGGATCCCCCGGCACTTCCTCCTGCACTCAGTGACAATGATCCCAGTGAAAGTCCACAGTTCGACGCGCAATCCCATGTATCTCTTGGCTCCTCCTTGATCAGAGAGTTCACTAGTATCTCCAACAACGAATTCGAAGATATCCGAAGGCAGCTTCCCTCTCGATCAACTGTGGATTCGTTGGTGCGGATATACTTCAGAGACGTACATCCCGACTTTTCATTATTCCATCGGGGAACTTTCACAGAAGATTACGAGACGTACATGTCTACCATAAATAACTGTCAGCAATCCACACGAACCAGTGCGCAGTTACCATCAGCCGGCTGGCTTGGCTGTTTACATATGACGATTGCCTTTGCATCCATGTCTAATGCAAAAGATCTCCCGAGCAAGGTTGACCTCGCCTCTATTTCTCGACATTGCGTGAGTCTTACCCGACAGCTGCTGCCACATCTAGTAGCCAAATGTGCCCTCGCCAACGTCCAAGCCCTTTTACTTCTAGCACTTTTTCTTCACAATCACAATGAGCGCAACGCAGCCTGGAACCTTGTGGGAACTGCCAAACACATGGCCTTCTCTTTAGGCCTACATCGTGATACCGACAATCAAGCGCATTTCCGACCCATGGAGAGGGAATCTCGGAAGAGAGTATTTTGCACGCTCTATACTTTCGAGCAGTTCCTAGCATCTAGCCTTGGGAGACCAACTGGGCTCTACGCTTTCGAGGACGTGGAGATAGTTCCCCCTCATGAAGCATTACTTGATGGAGGTGACGACGAAGATGACACTATGAAGCTTTCCCTGGAGCTGCAGGGTATTTTAGCACAAGCAAGAGTATCCCTTGCCGTCAAAACGATGCCTGTTGCGAGTGGGCAAAGCAGCTTGGAAACGGTGGCTCGACATGAGCAATCTTCTAGAAAAACCCTGGAGGCAATGAGTAAGTGGAGGATGGCACTTGAATCATGTCGCACATTGAATATCCCTACTATAGGTGAGGCGAACGATATTCTTTGCCAAGATGACCAGGGAGCGCCGAGGATGTCACTGCAAGAACTTGGGACGATGATGGGCTGGCAGAGTCGTCGTCGGCTTCGAACTGCTCTTGTCTTACAGCTCCAATATAGATACACTGGTGTTCTAGTAACAAGGTCTACGCTGCTTTTACACGTTGCATCTGCACGAGGCGGCAAAACAGGACAGGCTGAGATAGCTCAAGATAATCGATCCTCCAATATGACAGTGGAGCACTCGGACCTGTGTGTTATGCACGCTGTCCAGCTCTGTCGCCTCATTCTACTCGCTGACTCCGTTGGGCTGGTAAATGGAACATCGGCAATGGACATATTTTATGCATATTGCGGAGTCATGGTGCTTATATTGCGTTCGCTGCGCATTACAATCTCCGCCAGTGATCACCATGACTCCCATGAGGGTCAGCTACAGACATCTCTGTGTCACTTAATTGCTGGAACAAGAGCAGTGCTCATGCGAGTTAAAAAATGCAGCACAATGACACGCTTCGCTCGCGTGGTGGCTGCATTTGAAGAAGGGTTACTACAAGATCAGTCGCAACCTGTTGCTGTTGTCGGCGATCAGCCACTTAGGGGTGATAATCCTATTTCTGAGCTAGGTAATTCACAACCACCCCCAGGTTGCCAAGCCCCCTTGAACGATCCTCTCTACTCGACTGGGCAATTCAACAACCCGACGATCGCAGGAGCAGGTTTGCCATCTGAGACCAACCCGCATTTTGCATCCCAGCAGCCAGGGCAAAGTACCGCGATTGCACAGGGTCTCTTTGGAATTTCAAATTCATCCTGGCAGCCTAACTCGTTAACCACATTTGATGGGCAGACAGACGTTGACGGCTGGATGATGGACTCATTTCCTGGCCTTGATGGGGCTGGCGTGGTAGACTGGGATGATATCGAGACCCTTTTGGCACGAAATATAGGGCAATAGTTGTAACATAAAATTCTTCCATTTTCGCAATTATTTTTCTACTATGCAATTAAATAATTCAATTGGGATTGCGTAATAATTTTTTTGGTTTCAGCTTTCGAACTCATCCCTACTACAGGCTCCATTATGCTCAATGGTCGGAAGCAAACATCCGTCGGATGAGAGGGATCTCCCCCACACCACAATCATTCTTTCCCCACAGGTGCATCCGACAACCGAGATACCGTTCTAGTGTATGACTTAACGAGACTGGGCCAACCTGAATCCATTCGTCTACAAAAAGCGTCATTCTTTGATGAGAATAGGCAGGATACCAAATCACCTGCCAAAATTGTATCCTTCACCATGTCTCAACCCACCAGTCATTCTCATAGCCTGGAGGAGCCACAACAGCTTTTCATTGGAGGCACGTACCAGGGCGCCAAAAATAACGCAACATTTCCTGTCAAGAACCCAATGACGGGATACGACATCTATCAATGTGCCTCTGCATCACTAGACGACTACGCTGCCGCCATTGAAGGGGCACATTTAGCCCAGCCAGGATGGGCCAAACTTGGCCCTTCAGCACGACGACTGATTCTCCTCAAGGCTGCTGACATCATGGAAACTTATATCAAAAGCGATGCGCCTGAGATCCTATCAGCCGAGGTATCAGCTACTAAGGGATGGGTCAAGGCCAATATATTTTCTACTGCTGGGGTTCTGCGCGAGAACGCAGCTCTGGCAACACACATAAAAGGCGAGATAGTTCCTGCTGATCGTCCTGGTACAACAATTCTTGTGGAGCGACAGCCCGTTGGCGTTGTTCTTGCCATAAGTCCCTGGAACATGCCTGTCACTCTGACAGCCAGGGCTATCTGCTGTCCACTAATCTGCGGCAACACTGTTCTTCTGAAGCCATCGGAATTCAGCCCTAAGTCACAGCATCTTGTTGTACGTGCACTGACCGAAGCTGGCCTACCGCCTGGATGTCTGCAATTCCTACCTACCAGCCCCGCCGATACTCCGGCCGCGGTTGAGTTCACTGTTAAGCACCCGAAGGTCAGCCGAACAAACTTCACGGGCAGTGATCGCGTCGGCCACATTATTGGTGCATTGTCTGCCTCGTGCCTGAAGCCATGCGTTCTAGAGCTGGGAGGTAAGGCACCCGTGGCTGTCCTAGAAGATGCAGATATCGAGGCAGCTGTCGAGGCCGTAGCATACGGCGCATTGTCAAATAGTGGGCAGATATGCATGTCAACTGAGCGGGTGATTGTTCATCGCTCAATATCAGCGGAATTCAAGACCCGACTTGTAAAGCGAGTCGAGGCATTGAGAGTAGGAAATCACTTGGTTGACCCGGACGTGCAACTCTCGGGAGTCTTTACTAGCACTTCCGCAGCACGTTTGTTGAATCTCGTCAAAAGCGCTGTCAGTGATGGTGCGACGCTTTTGACTGGCGACCTAACCACACACGGGCCATGTCAGACAATTCTAGTCCCACACATTCTGGAGGGCGTGACGCGCGACATGGATCTCTTCAGCAAAGAGTCATTTGGTCCCATTTTATTTATTTCCGAGTTTGATGATGATGCGGATGCCATTTTACAGGCTAACGACTCTGCGTTCTCTTTGTGTGCAAGCTTGTTTTCACAAGATGTCCTACGTGCAATGGATATGGCCAAGCAGATCCGCACGGGAAGTTGTCATGTTAACGGACCGACAGTTTATATAGAGGCATCGCTGCCAAATGGGGGTATTGGTGGTGCGAGTGGTTACGGTCGGTTTGGAGGAATAGCGGGAATTGAGGAATTTACAGAGAGGCAGATAGTGAGCCTAGCAAGGCCAGGCATGAAATATGTATTTTAGCAGAAATTAAGAGCTTATTTTAATCTTGAAACACTTGATCCCCATCTTTAGATTTATCATCCGTCGTAAAAATACCAAGTAGTAGTAGGGCATGACAAGACTATACTTCAAGTTGGCTCGGGATTCAGATTTTGATGCAGAAATGAAACCGGGACATATACGAATACTATGTGATATTCTTTTCTACTAGATATTACTCTGTCGAGATCTTCCAGTTCTTCTAGTTCAAGTACGTGCTTAACGAGAGCCATCTTTCAGGGTATCTGGATACTGAAGCGAAGGACTTGTCTTAGTACATTTAATGGGATTAAGTAACAATCAATTGTGTGAAATACACAAAATTTCTGCAATATGTTCTACAGATTCGCTTTCAATCCCTGCTCCATCCTGGATCCCCACCTTTGTCCCGGATTTCTTTGCCTCGCCACATCAGAATGCCCACAGTAAAGGGGAAGAAAAAAACCGTTAAAGCGGCAAATAATCCAAATGGAGAAGTCATTCCGACATTTTTGATCATCGGCTGCAGAAAGAACGGTGCCGTATATGAAAAGATATTACGAATCAGATTGAAAACCAAATTCGCTTCTGCACCCTGACGCGGATAACATTCCAAGATGTATGTTTGACTATAAATTGTATTTTGTTAGGATCAGATGCCATAATAAACGGATGCTAGGGAAAGCTCCGAAAGGATTGAGTGTCCTACATGACGGTTGTGGCAACCTCAATGCCGAATATGTATATCGCTTGGCCGATCAATGGTGTAATCCAAGCATTCCCAAATTGCAGTGATGCGCCGAACATGATCAGTCCTCCTGGAACAGCGATCAGTGCCGGCCAGATGGCTTGCAACCTGTACTCGGGCCGCCACTCATGGCCTTGAGCCATTCTGCGCTTTGTAATTGCATCAATTGTAGGACCAGCGTATGCCTCACCGACAAGAGCACCGATTAAACCAGAGAATCCAGTTAGGCCAACGTCCAGGACGGAGAAGTTATACTGCTCCTCGAAGACGAGTGGGATCTCAGCTGTTATACCTACATGCATCATGTAGGCAATACCAAACCAGAATGCCGATAGTATGACTGCGGGATACTTGAAGAGGACAAAGGGTCGGGTAGCGATGAAGAGAAAGCTATGTTGGTTCTCCTCCCGGCGTTTGGGAACATGAATGCCATATCGTGCCCATAGTGTTGGCTTCTTAGATTCTATGACAGAGGTGTTTGCGGCTTCTCGAATGTATATTGTCTCCGGGAGAAAGAATATCTGCATGATCAAGCCTGCGCCCATACAAATTAGCGGGATCCATTGGGATGCTCTCCAGCCTAAGTTTTTGTTCTCGATAATAGGCCCGCCAATACTGCCAATCCCATTTGGTCAGTTTTTGTATTGCACAATATAGAAGAATATGATATAAAGTGAAACCAACATTGTTCCCAGAAAAGGCGAAACCACAATCGCCAGCGTCGAGATACCAATTTTCTTGCCCTTCTCGTGGCGGAAAAACTACTGTCTTCGTCAGTTTCTCTTTAGCGATTAGACCAGCATACTTTGAGTAGTACCATATCTCCGATACTCGCCGGTCCCAGCGTCCAAAATGCTGAGCCACCAGCCCCGAGAATTACCCGACCGACAATACAAGCCGCATAAGTTTTCGATGTCATGACGACAACAGCACCGACCATGGCGATTGCATTGCATATGAGAAGCACAGGTCGCCTTCCTATGAAGTGACTGAGTGGACTCCATAGCCAAGGTGCCACAGCGTAGAGGGCAACAGGTGTGTTTCCCAGGTAGACAGCTGTAGATTTGGACACGCCCAGAGACGCGGCTAGGGGAACAGTGCCGGTAACAAGAGTTGTTACAGCAACATAGCATACCAGTGCTAAGTAGGAGATTGTGAACATAGCAGCATGTTTCCGAAACCATGACCAGTTGAGCGGATCAGTAGGGTCATCAGACGGCTGCGGCATTAAAATAATACCATCGCGCATTTTGAGGTTTGATGCTACGGACGCGACATCATGATCAACGTGCTCCCAGACGCGTTTCTCGTTGTCTTCAGCCATCTTGGTGTTTGACACTAAAGATTGCGAGAACGTGTTAGTACACAGCGATGGCCTGGTATGCCTGTATATAATGTGTTGACTTACGGTGTATATTTTTCTTCTCGTACATGAAAGGCCATTCACAGATGGGAATTCGCGCGATAAAAGTGAGCAGCTGGCTATAAAAGCCAGCCTAGCACAGTCAACCTGGTGAGACCCCCGTCCCAAAAATGTGCCACAAGCGAAGCGGATGGTTGCTTCCACCCCGGATCCGTAATTGACCATTGGCCTCGAACTGTGGGGAAATCCCGGGGAACTGGGTCGACTGTCGGATGGTTGGCTCCGTCGGAACTTCCCCCACGCCAGACCCCTGATAAGTTAAAGAGTCTAACGCAAGCTCATTTGAGAGACCTGATTTTGTGGGGTAATTCACTACTTCTTTCTCAAACGCTGAAATGAGTTTACCTGCTCCGCCAGAAGTGTCCTTCGCGGCAATCCAAGACCAGAAGACAAAGACCATCTCTGTGACGCAACGGCAAACACCCATTCCCGTCGGCACCCAGGTCCTCGTCAAGATAAACTATTCTGGAGTCTGCGCTACAGATCTTCATCTAGCTCGTGGTAATATTCCTTATCTTCAGCCTAAGGTCTCAGTCGGAGGCCATGAAGGAACTGGGGTAATCGCTAGTCTCGGTGCCGAAGCAGACACAACAAAATGGCACATTGGCGACCGAGTAGCAGTGCGCTGGGTACATATAGTCTGTGGGACCTGTGAAGTATGCACAACTGGCTATGAGAATCTGTGCCAAAGTCGCCAACTTGCGGGTAAAGATGTTGAAGGCACATTTGCCGAGTACGCCATTGCGGACAGCTCATATATGGTGCGCCTCCCGGAAGGAGTTACCGACGCCGATGCTGCGCCGATTCTGTGTGCAGGTGTTACCGTATACAAGGCGCTGAAGATTGCGAATCTCCGCAAGGGCTCGTGGGTCGCTGTGCCAGGCGCCGGCGGCGGATTGGGTCACCTGGCCATTCAATATGCGCGTGCGATGGGTTTCAATGTCGTCGCGCTAGACGTCAATAAGAGAGCTTTCTGCCTGAGTCTGGGTGCGGACGTATACATTGATGTATTGGAGACGACGAACTGCGTCTCCGATGTCATTCAGGCCACTGGCGGTGGCGCTCACGGTGCACTTATTTGCGCTTCGTCGGCGCAGGCTTACACGGATGCCATCGGATTTCTGAGAAGAACTGGATCATTAGTGTGTATTGGCCTACCTGCAAAGGCTGCAAAGCTACCTTTAGGGCCCGAAGACTTTGTTGCTCGGGGCATCAAGGTCATGGGTACCTCAACTGGGGATCGCCAGGACACACTCGAAGCTCTTGACTTTGTAGCTAGAGGTGAGGTAAAACCGCAGCTGATTGAGAGGAGTATAGAGGATATTGAGAAAATCCTAAAAGAACTCGAGAATGGGACTAGCCAAGGAAAGTCTGTGATTAAAATCAGTTGAAATATCGAAATCTTCGGCATTCAGAAATATCAGAAACACAGTGGAATTTGCACAGACAGTCCTTTGATGCCCAATGTAAAACCGACGCAGTGAGATCCCAATCCTATGTACTGAACTCGTTTGCCTCCGCAAGCTACGCAGCCAACGGGGTTGTTTGCATGCTCTTGTTAGAATTGGCGTAGGTAAGAAGGAACTAGGCAGAGGAATATAGTGACAATAAATAGTATTTTATGACTCTGTATTATAGAGATAGGGTTAATCCTCAAGATGTTTGGACCCTTCAAATGTTTTAATTCATGTTTGAACCCAATCAATTGAACACACTGGCAAGTCAGAGTCTGGCACATGTGCAGTTTTCCCTACCAAGAACAAGGCAGTATATACTTCGATTATCTCGAATTTTACCCAGTAAATAATACATCAAATAAGTGAGAAAATATTCAGACGATAGTATCCTTTATTCTTTAATCAGATAATTGGAAGAGGGTGCAGAATAAACGTACCCCATGGTTTATATCGATCTTCCCTTGAGTGGCAAGATGACTGGACTTCTCACTGCGATTACTAAGTGGCCGTAGCTCCACACGCTCGACGTAAGGGTATCCATCTTCATGGGATAGAAGAGCGACAAACCATGATATTGGAGAGACCCAGTCTTCATATTATGGTTTTTTCTGACGGCACATCTTCATGCCATTGACCCAACACATTCTCACGGCCATCAAGATAGGTCAGGATCATACCCGTACTTCGGGAGTCAATTGAACAGAAACTAACCATCATGAGCCTAATTCAATAAAACACTCATAGTCACTTCTTCTCCTTTTCCTCTCTTGGATCTCTTTTTTTTCTTGGCCTGGGGTTTTGTTTGTTCTCTATATTGAAGAGGGAAATCCTGCCTGTATCAGAAATGTGCACAGAAAAGCACCCACCAAAACATCTATATCATTACAGGCCGACGCAGAAAAATTCTGTATGGTAGCTAAAGATCCAAAGAGGTTTAAGAAGTGTGTTATTCGAAGCTATTCACAACACGCAGTTATTTAACATGCAAGAATCAAGAAAGGGGATGATATCTCCGCGACCGTGCTGATCGAACGGCGGCTTTTCTACAATATGCAGCGCTAATACTAGCCATGAACTGCTGATATATGTAACTATTTTAGGGTTTTTATCCCGTTAGATAGTGTCTTTGGTTGCATTGATTTATACTCTATCCCTATTTGCCGTGGTGGTTAGAGGTTTAATCTACAAGGGATATACTAAATCTAAATCAAGAGATGTTTCACTTACAGTCCTGCACTCTCTGGGAGAAGAATGGCCGCGCGGGCTTCCAAAATAATGTCAGGTTTTCACCTGGTCAGGGCTTGAGGAAGTTTATTTCAACAACTTGAAGGTATACTTCTTCAGCTTTCGCATCTTCCTGATTGGAGACTCGATTTATTTGGGTATTGATGAACCCAATGAACTCCCGGTCATGGACATGAACAAACTTCAGCCACTCAAGTTGTTCTTCGTTGTTGAGAAAGGTCTTCGATACGATCTTTCCGATGAAAAACCAATATGGCCAAGGTTTGTTATGATCGTATGGAATCCCTACCACAGATTGCATGATGGAGTTCATCCTTTTGGCAGATAGCCTTGTCCATTCGAATATATTAGTATTATAACTAGGGCTTCAAATATTAGACTAGACGAACAAAAACGCCGAATCACACTCACTGGACGACAAAATGAGTGATTTCAGCTACTGGGATAGCTTTGAATCGTTCTTCAGATGTTATCTCCGCTACAGGGACTGGGACGGTGATGGATGTGTGGTCTGGGAGGGTGTCATCCATTCTTTTGCTTGTGTATCAAACATCGGTTATGCTATGATTTCAAAACCAGAAATAATATACGATGCGTTGATCTGGTGTCATCAGGGACACGATTCTAAAGAAAATGCGGGGCTGATCAATGATTCTTGTCCAATACCTGCTGCCCCACATGAGGATAATTCCTTCATCTAATTGGCCAATATTCGCTGACGGCCATGCTAAGAGCCTTGAAAACTGTCTAAAATTAAATGTTCCCAGATTAATTCAGTTTATTTGTTTTTATACATGAGTCATTGCTAAGCCGCATATTTTCATTGTTCAATCTGGAACGAAGAAAAACCTGGGATGACCGCAAGCGCTGCGGGATAGAGGGGCCCAAAAAGCTGTGACGAGGCTGTCACCGATTTGACACATTCTTTTTTTCACTTCGTCCACGACTAGGATAAAACACTGTTCTAGAGGGCCATCCCAAAAAACCAAAATGACGACGGCTATAGAATGGCTCCAAACCAGACATGAAATTCTTGAGACCGAATTCGCAAATGGGCCATCGACAACAAACCTTAACAAAGCAGTATCGAACAGTCGTTTGTATCGCCTACCCAATGAACTGAGAGTTTACATTATTCGTCTAGCGTTCGGCGATCGCACTATCCATACCGGTCACATAGTTCCAGATCATCTTATCGAGACCGTTCATCAACATTTCACGGAACCCCATAATTTGAGATGGCGAAGCTGTGTTTGCGCCCGCCCCCCGGACCGAAGTGCAAATGATGACAATTGTGGTCTATTTAGCTGTGAACATGACTTGCTCAGTGATCGTCCAAAGCTAGAGTCTTTGGTTATTATGGGATTCTTATGAGCTGTCGATTGGGGTTCGTTTCTTATTAATCAGCATTGATATTTTTGTGCTTTGGTGGACACTAATGGAAATTTGTAGCTACTTTGACGCGATGGATATCATATATTCAACCAATACGTTCCATATTGGATGTATGCAAGTCTGCAAAGACTTTCCTTTGATATCTTCTGGGAGGCACATGATCAAATTACAAAGCCTGGAGCTGCGGACGATGTTTCATCTGATCGATCATACGGATTTTGATTCGAGGAAAAATAAACATGGCTTTATTGTCCTCGAAAGATTCCTTGTCAATCTTTTGAAGTCTTGTAACTCTTTAAAGTCCCTCTACCTCTCCTTTGTGGAGATAGGAAACGAGGCTGCGGTCATGGAAATACCATATCGCCCAGAAGAGTTCGCAATCCTTCAAGATGCTCTAAGCCTTGTTGATCAGATCGTGACACAAACATCTTCTGGTTTATATCTTGAGATTGGACTCCCTTCCACTTACTACTGGAATTACCAGATTGAATTCAACGATGAAGATGAGAAAATGTGGCGTAAGAGTGAACATGGAGAGGGAGGCTTTTATTTGTCAAAAGGGGAAGACGACGATATGAATTAATAATATGTTCATTTAGATTCATGGCCAACTCATTTATCAACTTTCACTGCTGCGAAGCCGAAAAGAGAGGTACTTGGTGGTCTAATATCAACACTGTCCATAAACCTGACAATAACAAAGCTCTTCATCAGGACAGTAAACAGATTCCATACCAAAAATAACATGCCACAAGAACTCAAACACACGACCGGATTTCCTATCCGTTAATTGGGTATCAATAAGCCACTGCCTAATCTTCACATAATCGTCTCTCGGTCTTCTGTGCACCTGATCCTTCGACACCGCAAATTGCGCACAGCAAGCCGCTGCAACCTGCATCGGCTTCTGCAAGAATCGCTTTCCCACCTCTTGAACCTCATATTGTGATGATGTATTCAGCGGTGGGGTACTAGTGCCCTGGAATATATCCCACCAGATCTCATCTGTGACATGTGTGTTGATCCGTTGATCGCTCTTGCAGCCGGGGTTCCAGTTACAGCGAAGATTGACGTACCCATTTTCCTGGACGAAAGGTAGTTGGAGGGTTTGCATGGCGTTTACGTTGTCGTGGAGGGGAGCATCGACGTGCCAAGCCATGAGGAAGCCGGATCGATGTGCGTGTAGGAAAGCTATTGTTGATGGTAGTGTGTTGTAGTGATCTATTACGTAGGTGAGGTATGCCATTGCTTCGTGGCCTTTGTTGAGGGGCGTTTTGAGAACGTGTGTATCCATGGTTGATTCGTATGATGGGTTGACAATGTAAATGGCTCTTTGCCAGCTATAGTAGAGGATAATCATCAGGATCGAAATGAAGCAATGCGAATTCGGCCGCATGGTGACTTACTCCGGGAGTTCTTCTTCCACCCAATGGGTATTCTCTTCCTCCAGCCTTGCCATTACAACAACCTTGTCACCAGGTTCGCCGATATATGGCGGCTGTCTTTCTGAGGATGATCCTGGGATTCTGTCATCTAACCAGTCCCATAAGTATGCGCCAGCACGATACTGATTAGAGAGATCTTGGAGATGAGCCTCTAGTAAATAGAGGGCGAGAAATAGGATACATCCTACGCATAATATGATGCGCATACCACTCTTCATGGTGAATGTAAGGAAAAATCAGAGTTACCCAAGAGAATTCTTGAACGGTGCTCTGTATCCACTAATTTCACCTGGAGAACAACCAAGAAGCCATCGATTATGCTTGAACAGTTCACACTTCAGGGTGATGGAGATGGAGAAGGAGATGCAGAGAGTTCAGTCGAGTAAATGAGGCGATGCGGGAGATACGAGATCGTTTCAATCATTAAATGGCGCAAGTTCCCCAGAAGAATAACCCTTGGGCGCAAGTTTTGTGGAGAATGGAGGAAATGGGAACCGGAGTATCTTAAGGAACCAGGCAAAGGGTCATAGTTCCGAGCCCCTGCACCATCGCAGACTAAACTTCATAGAAAAAAAGTAATAAAAAATAAGAAAAAATAATCCACCGACGGAGAACCTCCATACCTACTGTAACTGGCAAAAACAGGGCAACCATCCCCCTCCCACTACAAAAGAAACCATCGAACTGCCAAGAAGCAGGGAGGTCAAGCCGCGTGTATGGGGAAGCATGGCATTCTGCGTCCACCTCATTGGCCACTGTGGGGGCAAAGGGCCTTTGGCAGTAAAAGCTTGGCTCAAGTAGTATGTACCTTTCTGGCCGGGAAAGTGGAACAACGCCTAAATGTAATTTGCCAATGAGCGAAATAGTGGAATAGTGAAAGGGTGGACAAAGCGTCTTTTTCCCTGGACCTGCGGGAGACCAATAATTACACGCAGCCAATGGACGCAGATAGATAGGGAAAAGGGGTTTAGGATACACTATATCTCTTAAGCCCCCAGAGTTTATATCTGGACTACTTAAGAAGCAAACGAAAGCCACTCTTAGGCAGCCGTCCAAATGCTTGAATCCCTTAACCCTGACCAATCCGAATGTTGAGAGTTAAAACCATGGATCTCACGTGGCGGTGGGAGAGTTTTAGTAGAATTAAATTTCATTCTTACGTGGAAGGATGTGGAATTCTGGTTCGAACAGAAACGATTGACACTCGGGTCGCGACCGCGGAGAAGAAATTCTCCACGCTATAAGGAATTTCGTCATTATGGGGCAAACTTAGATGAAACGCCCCTTGGCAGAACTTCAGACCAAGTTTTTGTTGGGGATGAACAGTGGAATACGCGCTTCAACCTCGAAAAAAAAGAAAAAAAGAGGGTCGCAGAGAAAAGATCAACTGTCAAATGCCGTACCTCGCACTGCAGGATTTCAATACATGAAGCGCTCTTAGAAGGTGCACGGCCTAGATTACAGTGCTGACTCTGGGTGGCAATGACCCAATTCCGACCCACATCGGACCCGATCAGCGAGGCATATGCGCCGGCGGCTTGTTTTGCGCTGCAGGATTTCTAGGACTATTAAGGGTTAGCTTAACCGAACGCTTTCGAATAGTTTTCGTGAATTAGAGCAGTCCCGCAAGTAGTATCTGTACATTGGGTGCGGCAAGGTAAGCCACAACACTCTTTTTTTCCCACTATCTCGCCTCAAATGTTCTCTCCACAGGCACATTCTGTACCTTACTACATTTACACCATAGTCTTGGCGGGGAGTTAACGGTCGTTTCTGATCCAAACATTCACCCATGGACCCAGAAAAATTATGTAGATCGCTCTCCCTCGCTGGAAACATTTTGAATCTGCACTGCCCCCCTCTGCCGCTTATCATAGATCATGTTGTACGTCACACCAACTCCATATTTGCGATGTTTCTGGGGCAGTTCATTGGGTTCTTTCACTCTCCAATCTTACGCAGACTATGTACATCTTCTGGGGTAGGTTCTTGATTGGTGAGAGGTCGGTTTGATAGACATTCCTCCCGGGTGCTGTCTCCATTCTGGTACCATTCCATATCAGATTAACTTAATGGCTTTAAAATGACTTTGCGAGATATACATATGCACGGTATTCCGTTCATAATAAACAGGCCAGAGAAGATGCACGACAGCTCATATGTATAATATACGTGCATTATCTCGCAATCGCGCCCCGTACTCAAGTGGCCCGCTGATTATGGTCTATTTGGGTGCAAACCACTCCGACAATCATGCAACTATAATTGAAGAGTCTTTTGTTCCCTCTTTTGTGTTTGAATAATGAGACCTGCGCGAAAAGCCTTACCATTTCAATGCCTTATTGCCTGGCCTATGAAAATCTCGTTGGTCTTATACATGCTCATCGAAAAAGAATAGCATTGAAGTGCCTCAGTAAGGCTTGGAATTGCTATGAGTGACCAATACCCGAAGAAATCTCAAAAAAAATTGAAACTAAACCATATATACCAAACCAGGCACAGAAGCCTTGATTATGGACCCAATATCATCAGTCTGCACCAGCAAATCTCCGCTAAACAATCGCACCCAGTATAAACACAAAAAGCTCAACATTGAATCTTGGACAATTCCTCAAAAAAGGGTCTCATCTTCCCCCGAATCGCGTCCCATTAATTGTTCCAGTATTCGAACCAATTTGAAACCCATAGTTGTTGGATCCAAAATTTATATTCGTAGTGTGTTGATCGCCCTGACCCTGACTTACAACAGTCGCAACTTTCGCCTCATCCTCGACTTGCTGCGGTGCAATTCGATACAAGATATCCTTCGCATATGCTGCCGCATTCATAGCTGCATATCCCTGCCAATCTTTATTCTTATGAGAATCGGCATAATCGCAAATACCTCGAATAACAAGACAAGGGAAATGGTTCATCAGACCAGCTGCTTCCATCTCAAAACAGAGAACATTCTTTTGTTTTGCGAATTCATCGCGGACAAGAGCATCTTTCATGAGTTGATTAGCGGATGCGATTAGTCCGTAGTGAATCATAGGGTTGTCTTCGTCTTCTGTCCGTGGTCTGCGTTCGACGATATGTGATGCATTATCGCTGCAGCTACTACATTGCTCCTCTCCTTCTTTATGAAGGATATCGCTAATGTACAGCCGATCAGAGCGCGCTTCTGGACGGCCGTATTTCTTTCGCAGGCGCGGCTTCCTCTCAAGGGCTTTGTTGACAGCATCTTCGAGCTGGTGCCCGTCACTCTCATATCTAGCTCGAAGTCCAGCTACTGCTGAACGTAACAGGTCGGGTGGTTGGTTCAAGACACCTGTTTCTTGGAAGTCCCTTCCTTGTATCGTCTTTCCGAAATCATATTGAAAGATACCTCCTTGTCCCCCCGAAGGAGAACTAACGACAATATCCCCAAGGCGAATATCGTGTTTGGAAGTCGGCGCACCGCCTCCAATCCCAACCATTAAGGCGATACGGATGTTGGGGAAGCTATGCATCATGCCTTCGGCCACGCGCGACGCAGAAGCTGTTCCGTATTCTCCATCCGGTAATACAGCAATAACCACATTGTGCTTCCCAATTCGGCCTAGTGTGAAGTCGGTTTTGTTTGCGGGTAGATACCCCGGGTCGTCATGAGGTTCGTCGAGGAAGGCTCGGGCAGCAACGTATTCGGTGGATATTGCGGAGATCCACCCCACGGTGTAGTTCTTTGGATCGGGCATGACAAGATCAAGACTGACGAAGTCACTCACTCGCTAGCTTTCGTGAAGACTGGGCACTGTGGGATCTGAAGATGGGTTTCTTCAGGAAGACGATGAATCCGGGGGAGGGTTCTTAGACATTTTATCATTTTGTTTCCACTGGCACTTGGCGCGGTGTGAGGCAGTGCGCATCGCCCTAGTGCCTTTTCGATCTGATAGTGTGTGGCTGAATGTTGCCCCTCATTCGAGTATGCATGGCCCCCAACCTCAAGATTCAGCTCGTAAGGCATCTTCGGCTTGCATTAGACTCGTCATATTTCAAGGTTGAAGGCTAATTAGATATAGGAGAGGCTCAGCAATGGGTTTTTACGTGATCTTGACCATCTTCTAACCTTGTAAGCGACTTTCCAAGGAAATTTCGCAATTGACCTTCTGCGGAATGGATTGAAAGATGGTGGTTTGGTCAGATAGTACCCTACAGTCAGCGCAATGCAATTCGGTATCTTTTGTATAGCTTTTGTATATAAAAGGTACTTACCCCTAAAAGTTTAAATATCTCAAATATCTCAACAACTTCGTATACTAATACTATATTCTGGAAATATAGATAGAAAGGAATATCGAATTTTATCTATCTGGGAGATTTTAAAATAAAGTACTTCGCTAGTAAAGAATTTACTATGGTAAAACTTTGATCTCGGTCGCAAGAGTCTATTTTGTATCTAGAAGCTTTGAAATTTTCTGAGATGAATAAAGGTTAGTATTATGTTCTATCTCTATCTTTAAAATATAGTATTAACATATAAAGTTGTTGAGATATTAGAGATTCTTGAAATTTTAGGGGTAAGTACCTTTTATATACAAAAGCCATAAAAAAGATACCTAATTTTAAAATTGCATTGCGGTGAGAATTGCACTGCGCTGCCGGACACCAATTCGGCTTAGCGCGATTTGGTGTCCAGACCATAGGGTAAGGCATGGCTAGTATCCACCATATTCCAACCAAAATGTTCTCTACTATCTCTAATGCAGTGGTATCTACTATCCTTTCTTCTACCAGGCAACTTTATCTTTTCATTTCCTTTTACTTTCCTCGCTGGATGCATATTCCAAGGTTCTATGTTCAGGCCAAAATTCCACCGCATGTTGGCTTTGGTCGCTTGTATTTTTCTTTTCTTGATTCTCTTTCTGTGGCAAGGAGCGTGGGCTACTGTGTCTGGAGTTGATACTTGGTTTTGATTTTGCTAATTTTTTCTTTAATTTCCGTTTCTCTCTTCTTTGTGGTTCAAATGCTCATCTATGGATACTCTTACAATTGTATCGAGAACATGTAGTGTAGTCTATCATCCCAATCTATTCAACTTTATGATCGGTGGATCACCTGGCAAATTTCGAATGCTCATTACTACCTCTACAGTAGACTACTCTCTGTGATTAAGCATAGTACATCTATACATCTGCCCACGTGGGTCCACTGTTTTTTTGTACGCAGACATCATGAGATAAATTCAATGTTGAGGCCGTCTCAAACCGTGAAAGCATTACATGCACTACATCCAAATTTAAATGCCCACCTGGTGTATCTTGGCATTGGTTGTCTCCATTGGATGGTCAATATCACCCCCGAGAAACACATAGAAAATCAAAATCCCGCGCTAACTGTATCTCGCAATCCTCACAGGTAACGTATTAATGTCAACCTATTGATCGGATATCAGTGGGTCGGAAAGTCGGAAAGACGGCTGAGATGGAGAGCTACAGAGAAAAGTCGAAAGAAAGGGCAATCCAAGGGCCTTGCGTGGAATAGGGAAAGGGTAATGATCCGTTTGAGCTCATATTCAACCTAAAGTGAGATAGAAAGAGTGGGAAGCTTCTATAAAACTCTACATACTACCAACAGTGTTTTCAGAAGGCCCGAAGGAGGGTTTTCAACGTTCAAATGGGTCCGTGCCTTGGTTTAAAGGCCGTATACGGATGCAGATTCAACCTGATCGTCACTCAAACTTGGCCCTTATACTTTTCGAGGTTCTTATAGATCTCAGGACAATATGCGTCGAAGTTGGCATTACTGAGAGGCCGAAAATCCATTTTGTTCATGACATATGCAATAGTCATCCGCCGGCTGCGATTCATGACCAACATAGATCCTCCCCAGCCGCCCCAGAAGCAAATGCCATCGTCCTCCGGAATAATAGGGGCTATTTCACTACCGGCAGCGCAAGTCAAGGGCCCAGCACATGTTGCAAAGGTGACAAGGATCAAATCCACTAATTTGCTATCTTGTCACTTGAGCAAGGGTTTGAGGACTCAAGAACTCTGTTCCATCAACGGTACCGCCCAGTGACACCATAGATCCAATACGTGCCAAAGCACGTGCATTTGAAAATCCTGATATGGCTGGATTCTCAGAATTCCTAAGCAAGGGCTCATTAGGGATTGTAGGAATCAGTACAGACCCTCGATAAACCCGGTTCAGGATAGTAGTAGAATCAGGATCAAGATTCTTCAAAGCGGCGACTGAAACCTCTGGTGGTAATGGAATCATCTTAGCGGCTCGGACCAATACCAAGCTTGTAATCAACGTCTAAAGGCTTTGTAATCTCCTCGGTAATGAACTGGGTCACTGGTTTCCCCCTAACCCATCGTATAAGCTCCCCGACCATATGCCCATAGTTGGTAACTTGGTATGCGCTGTGGGAGCCCGGGGTAACCAAGGAGCCTGCGCCACAAGTTTCTGGGGTGGATTTCTTCACATTTACGCCGAACTCAGGCTAATACGTCGTCACTTTCTCGTTTGGATCCAGGATACCGCGATCGATAAGAATATAAATCGCTAAGTTGCTCACAATATTGTTACATGATCACACCGCAGTGATCGTATCTTTTCCCCATGGCTTGATGTGGCTTTCATCTATGTGACCGCCCCAAAAGTCCACGATATCTTTGCCGTCGATTTTGACACAAATAGAAGCCCCAACTTCATCACCATCGGCGAGCTTCTGTTGCAAAAGGTCACGCACCGAGTTGAAATAAGGATCGCAAGAACCGTGAACTTCGACCATGATTTAGCAATAAGTTCAATGTTGATGGTTGCTAAAGAGATAATGGAACCTCGGAAAGGGGAGGGGGTTAAGAGAATTGAGACCTTCGATCTGTAGCCCGCCTTATCCGCAAGTTGAATGCGTGACATCTTCAATGTTCCAGACCAATCATCACTGGGTTTGGTTCCTTCGGGGCCCAGTTGCAGGCGGGACAGTGGGGGCGAGAATTTCACTGCTATAAACTGTGCTGCACCCCTGCGCGTAATTTTGAATTAGGATTTTATCCTTGTCGTATTGTTGTAGGACGGACACCTACTCTCGGCCTTTTTACCGCTTCAAGACAAAGAAAGACGTGCGCAATGTTGCAGCGTTTATCTGAGCCATGTCTCAGTGCGTCAACCTTTGTGTGAGCTTCTGTTGGAGTACGACTCGACTGTAAAATTGGAAATTTCTGAGCAGCATCCGCTCATGAAATATGCTACTCAACTTATACTCTATCATGCCAACTCGGCCGCGAAAGTTTATTCTCAAGACGACTTCTTATCTGGGTTTCTTATGTCTGACTGGATCCACTTTAACAATATGTATCAGCATTTCAAAATCCGAAGATACAGCCTATCCGCAACTCAATTTTACGTTTTTGCCGAGCGAAGGCTGTCCAGGCTAATTCGTACCATACCCCACGAAGACTCAAAATCATTCATGAAGCCGGAGAAATACAAGTACCTCTTTTTTGCTGCTTTGGCCAGCGGTAGTAACGACACCAGGGCCTCCGCTTATACCCTCAACATCTAGGCGTGTTCTTATAAGGATCAATATCATAAGGATCAATACTATCCGCAGTAGGCTTAGATCTCTGAACACGTCCGAGAGTATCTTCAAAGGTGTACCATTCTAAAATCTAGCTCAAAGCTGCCGCGCAAAGATCCTGTAAGTTCATCGCAGGCGAAGACTCACTTATATTAATATTTCTCTGCCGAATAACACTAGTTATAATATCATCAGGCAGGCCCATAAGAAATAACTCGCAACTCTACAACTCAGTAATATATCTTTTCGATAGTAACACATCTAAGACATCATAGAAATTAACGATATAGTCCTAGACATCTTCACCTGTATCCGTACTGGCTAGCTTATCAATCGATATCTCCAAGGCGCAGCAAATATATTAAAGATACGTAGTATCTTTATATCTCTCGCAGATCTTTTCTTTCAATGCCTTCCAATTTCCGTCCTTCTACACTTTCAAGATCTATCTCTATATCCCAATAGACACTCCATAGTATTCCGGGAACTACTCACACCACCTATTATCCCTATATAACCTTCCCTCTTGCACATATTAACAAATCTATTAATAACTTCTGTATTATCCCGGCCATTAAAGAATAGAGCTCCAGCAGTTCCAGGCTCCGGCAACAGATAACACTATAACTGTCCAGTATAATATATTACTAGCGCCGCAGTAGCTTTCTTCGGTGTTTTCTCCAGTATATCTTACAAAGAGGAGACATCTTCAATAGGGGGGTCGATTCTAGCGGGGGGATCAGGAGGAGCCAGTTCACGATCTTCACCATACACCGGGTTCTCTCTAAAATGATCATCCGGGAGACGCTGCAGCCCGTTACTCATCTTACTGGATACTAAAACAGACAACAGTATAAAAGGCAGCATAGGAGTAGAGAGTAGTATAAGAGTAGACAAATCGTAGTAATCACATAAAGAATCACAATCAACGTTTAAATCAAAAACAGATTCAGCCTCAGAGCGATTTTCCTCCGAAACTTCTAACAAAGAACAACAATTTTTAACCTTCTTGGCTAATATACAAAAATCACAACTTTCAAACAATTCAAATGATTCAGGACACTTTTCCTGACTAGGACACAACTTAGAGCTGCGATAATCACTCTCTTTCTTATATCTTTTCTGACCAGAAAGCTTTTCTTCTAAAAACAATAACAAATTCCATATATATACCCTCTCTAGGGTAGACCACTATATAAATCTAATTCCTAGCTATATCTTCTCAGTCGAAATACATAATTCTTTAGGATATAATAACATCAACGCACAGGGATTCTTCCCACTCTCAATTAACCGATTCTATAGCATAATCCTCACAAACTTCTCGTATTCATAGCACAATAGCATTATTCCAATAATACCCCACATCTCTGCGGCCAATCAAACACTAAGCCTTTCCAATAGCTCTAATCCTTCAAATCCTTCGAAGACCAATCTGATCAGTCATATTCGAAGGACTACCAAGAATGTCGTGAAAAATGCCGCAACTCCAGCCTCTTAGAACGGGATGTAGGAGTCAAACACCATCCGCACTTTCCACGGACAAGAAAGAGAAGAAACTCGCAGAATTGCGGCTCACAGACAAAGGATCAATACTAAGACGTGGTTTCTGGCATCATATCCTATAACAAAACAGCTTTCCCAGGGACGCCATATAAAGAGGGGAAATAGGCCTGTATTAGAATACTAGTCAGAAAAACCCACAGCAAAACATCAATATCTTTCCCTGGTCAACGCGGGAATTCAAGGAAATGCAGAACGAGAGCGAAAGGAGTGTAAGAAGTATGTTGTGTGTTTTCTAGAACTAATCGTACTATATATAGCTGGAAGAAACAAAAAGGGGATAATTACTCCGCGATCGTAAGGGTCATTCCTGATAGGGTGGAGGTTTTCCCCACTACAGTAACTATTATGCGAGTTTCGGTGCGGACGGTGTGAGGTTATTTTCTGTCCTTGGCGCATACTAGTAAACGGATCCACTGGGGCGAAAATTAAACGACAAGGAACAACTACGTTGTAAAAGCTGCATATGGCCCCAAAAACGGCCCCGGGGTCATTAAAATGAGGGGCCGAGATGCGACAATAATAATTCATTTACCAAAGGAGTGGATCTCGGGTACTGGGATGATGCGGGTGGCTTGTTGTGCCAGTGGTTCAGAGTATGAGCAGTTAGCCGGAATTGACGACATGCCGTTTTGGCTCCCCAAATCCTCAGTAGTAAACACACAGCGACGTGCTAATTATATTTATGCCGCCATAGTCTTTACTTTATTTTTATATTTGCTCTCTAGCGACGGGACAGTGCATGTTCCTCAACACTCTATCGAAAGAGGCGCATGATACTCGATTAGCCGAGTAAAATATCTCCCATAGGTGGATCAAGTAGTCTTCCGCCAGCCATTGGAACCCCAGTCAGGTCCCTGCGTTATACCCCACAATTAGGGAAGCCAAGCGCTTTTCTAATCTATATTAGGCTCATTATCGTCTAATATTCGGGAAGATGGGGCCAAAAAAACTCCATATACCCCACAATCAGGGAAGCCAAGCGCTTCTCTAATCTATATTAGGCTCATTATCGTCTAATATTCGGGAGGATGGGGCCAAAATAACATAAATGACGACAGACTACATCATGATCATCAGGAGTTTCAACATTAAACTTCGATCTTTGCGCCTCAGCCCTTGGCCTACCAAGGTCATAATATATTATTGCTCCTCAGAAACAGTATTTAAGGCGACTGATTTCCCTTCATTACAGTTCATTAAACATCCAAGAACTTGAATCTCTTTATAATACTCAACAAGCCCAAACCAAAGTCAAGCCCATCAATATGCGGTCTCAGTAAGGCTCACCCTCAACTTCTTTCTTCACCTTTCTAATTTAAAGCCCCTCAGGATCTTCTCTACTATATTCCTTTTGGCAGTAGGCACCTGTGCCTCCCCTGTATCCCCTGGGCAAAGTTTGAACAAACGAGGCATGGGTTTGGACCTTTATACTAGCCTCATCAAGTATTCCTCGACGCAGCTGGCACAGGAATTCGGTGACTTCCAGGCTGCTTGTTCGGACGTCATGCCTCCTGGTGAATACATGTGGGGCGGAGGACAAGGCGACCTTCCGATTCCATTCCAATACTGCTATAGTAAGAAAGCTATAGACTTCCTTTCCCCATTTATGCTGCATTCCATTAACACGTTTTCTATTGCAGCTGAAGGAGAGATTGAATTCACTCAAGCCGATGCCGATGCAGCAAATTGTCTTGTGAACCTTCACTACACGCAGGACGACGCGTGTATTTCCATAAAGGGAAGTATGTGTGAAGATGGATATGATGGGATGCTCCAAAATGCGTAAGTTCCCTTTGAGGCATATTCTCCGAATATAGGAGGGCTCTAACACTATTCCCTGATAGGCGAATGTCTTATATCTCAGGTCCTTATCAAATTTCATCCGATGAAAGTATCTCCTTCCAAGGTGCTATTAATAAGATGGTCGGCGCGAAAATGAGGACCGACAAGACAAACGACGTCGCTCATATGCCCGCGGTCAGCCTTGTTTCAAAAACGAATGGGGTTGGGATGGTCGCAATCTATTTCCGCTATATTGGCGAGGACGAGTGTTGATTCTACGATTCAACTAGGGCTTGGTGCAAGGCGGGAGGCAGATGTTTTGGGGATTGGGGGTTTTTGTCTAATATTTGTTCATACATATACACATGCAATCGATACAAGAATCCGTTGAGTAACCCATAATAAAGCTGTGATGCGAAGGTTCTCACCATTTCTTTTGGATTTGACCTCCGATGGGTATTCTTTCGACTGATACCCGCAACAAATCTAGTCAAGCTGAGTGGCGGCAGCTTAAATGTTTGGACTATATAGAACTTTGGACTTGAGGAGGCAGGCATGTTCTGAATGGGACGAGGGCCTCCGGGGTCGAGTGACTTGGCATTTTAGGTAGAATCATAGGACCAAATAGCGGATACACCATCGTTCAGGTTGTTCGGGTTAATGGAAATGGCCAAGGTATCGTGGGTTTATTTTATTTGAGGGTAGATGGAACAAATATCGAGCGAAATTTTCTTTCAGATCTCAAGCTGCTAGTAGTATGGCTGGCATTGCTTGACTTTCCCAGATAGCTCCTCGATGCTTGGAAAGACCCAACGCCCATGCCATGTGCCGTCCGGATTTCCCGCGGGCATATGGACAAACTGACAGATTTCGCCAAGGAATAATTCAATCCGGTTGGAGGGGAAAAAACAAAAAACAAAAAACAAAAAGATTACTCTCACACGGGGAATCGAACCCCGGGCTGTCCTGTGAAAGAGGACGATGTTGACCACTACACCACATGAGAAGTGATGACGTAAGGACAAGACTCCTGCAGATAATGACTGGCAGAGTCTTTGGTGGACTAGTTGGGTTCCAAGAGCAGGAGATCAAAAGACAACATGTATTGTCCGACTCGTGGCTATTCAGTTAGAATCATACCTTCCTTTATCTTTATTTTCGTATTTTCATTCCTTTATTTCACTGAGGGAAATAAAGCTAGAAAATTTATGTGAAAAATGTAATAAAAATTTAAAATTTAAAAATAAACTCTCATACGGGGAATCGAACCCCGGGCTGTCCTGTGAAAGAGGACGATGTTGACCACTACACCATATGAGAAGTGAGAGTGAAAGGACGAGATTTCTACAATCCATAAATGGTGTAATCTTTGGTGGAACAAGAATGTTATAGTCTACATCTTTTACGTCCTTCTATGCAGAATATGAACCCTATAAGATTCAGATCAAGATCCATCTTTATGAAATAATAAGTGGTGCCTGCCATTCGAGCTTTCAGTTCTTGATTCGAATATCAAAATATCTTCAGGGTTTTTGTTTTCAATAAACGATAAGAGTTAATATGCCTACTATGCTCAAGCTTCGTTGCGAAGAACGATTTTTTTTTGTATGACTTCTTACACTCTATAGCGAGTTGCTCGGAAAACGCTATTGATTTTGCGCAGCATATTTGAGATAAGGGCCATGATGGGAAATCTTACAATTGTACTATTCTAGTACTCGGTCTCGTTGAACCCTACAACACTCCCAGGCGGAGAACAGGCATTAAATTCCGGTGTTTTTTTCTATATTGAGCAGCGATGCTTGGGGTACCAGTCATGTGCTCTGTTATGGACGACCTCTATTGCTCTGCAAAGTTCCCAGAGTATTAAACAGCTGCAGGCAGGGGCGGCTCTGCAGAGGAACGGGATCTTCCTCCACATGCCTAGTTCAGGCCTTGGTCCCAGAAGCAGGAGATCAAAAAGACAAAAAGGACATGTATTGTACGTCTCGTGTCTATTCAAAGCATCATACCTTCTTCCTTCCTCTATCTTTATTTTCGTAATTTCATTCCCTTCTATTTCACAGAAGTGAAAAATGTGCAAAAAAAAGAAACTCTCACACGGGGAATCGAACCCCGGGCTGTCCTGTGAAAGAGGACGATGTTGACCACTACACCACATGAGACTGGACTTGAGAAGATCGAAAATCTGATTGTTATAACCCTCAGCTTCGAAAATTACAAACCAGTTTCTATTCTCCTCACGCTCGCCATATTAGTCCATGGAACCTTGGATTGTTCTTCGCAGAAAACCCCTGCTGAAAGGATTAACTCACGTATCCTAATCTCAAGGTTACTCTGGTGCCATAGTGTACTCAATTCAGCACCGTGGCAACTTTATGTTCCAATACGGATTCGAATGTTCAAGTTTATATATATGCGGGTACTGTAATGTTCAAGTTGGTGATAGCCCTGAACTTCAAGTTGAACCGATGCCGGTAGGTAGTACGACTATACCTATACTATGTACTAGTATAAACAGCTCGGAACAACTTGAATGGATCTGCGCCGCTTAATCTCCCACAGTTGCCATTTGAACATCCATCCATTCCATAAATCAAGGCCTACTACACCATTTCCTGATATCCAAGGTTAATACTATGCCCCGTGGTATGGGTGATATCAACTTAAATGCTCAATATTGCAAAATTTTAGCGTTCGCAACGCTATAGCATCCCCGTGTACCAACACCTGCAAATAAGTAGTAACCCAAACATTTGAATGTACACATGTATCGAGTTTAAGATGAAAAAGAAAAAAGAAACCCCCACCCCCCGGCTGCTGTGTGAGAGACAGCGATGTTAGCCACCACCCCGTACCAGGCTGGTTGTTGAAGTGGCGGAGAATCCTGCCTACATAATCTCACGATTAGATAATGACCAGTTTCGTCGGTGGTCCCGTTCACTCCCCCATATTGTACGTTCCTCTTAGCGCACCATAATAGGATATACTATCTCACACAGCTTACAGTGAATTATTCACAACTTGAAATAGACACCGGACCTCTCAGACTCAGAATCCTATGCAAGACTACCGATACCCACTCTTGCTAACGTCTAGGTATTGTCCTCCCTATACTCAAATATTGACCAAGGACAAAATGCAGATATCATGAATAACATCGACTCATCAAGTAAGTAAGTTGCATGTTCAAAAGAGTATCCTGCATGTTGACTACTCATGGACCTGCGATTTGGTGTAGTTTTCCCCTCCTCTTAGTTTGCTGCTGTGTGCTTTTTTCCATAGGAGCAATCCGATCTCTCACTTCAGATACCTTCATCTCCACACAATGATATCATTCGGCCAGACGCCCCCCGCCCCTCGAATCATTTTTACTAAGAGCTTCCGAAAGACTAAAATTGCTGCCAAGTACCTGTGTTTCTGATATTCTAGTTCAACGACGCGAAACCAAGGCATGTCGGTCAGGAATCCTTTTCGATTATTCGGTAACCTATGGTTAGAGGACCATAGTAGGTACTTGAGCTCAGAGGAGCTTTCTAATTTGAATGATGCTCTGCCTCTGATCAGACAGCTTGACTCGAGAGCTCACCAAGGTAGGATACTATCGACTCGCCAATCAAAGACCCCAAGACCAGAAGATAACAATTGAGATTAGGTTCTGAATCGACGACGAGAACAGACACCTGGGACCTCAGCACGGCATTTGCACAACTCGTCTCGGATGAAGCGCAGTGATGGAGTTCTCGCGGTGTTGACAGGCCTTCCGAATTTTTGGTACATTCAGAGGGATCGTTGAATGCATCGGTTGCTTGCCATCTTTTCATCCCAACTTTTTTGTGTAGCAGATCCAGCAAACGGAGCCACACTTGATCTGACTAACCATTCCGTCTCTCAAATCTGCAGGGCTGGATTTACGACGGAAAACAGCCTTCACTTCGATAATTTTCCTCGAGGGGACGATAGCCAGAACGTGGATGATTGCTACCCCAATGATCTCAGTGGCGTCTATGACCACTTTCTACATAAACTTCGACATTCCATGGGTGCCGTGGTAGAAGTTTGCTGGGGTATGAGGGTTCGTCAACGCATGCTGGGCCTATGCCATCTTATACCACTGCCATTGTGGGGAGAACATCGAGAAGCGACCTTAAATCTCGAACTCTCAATGTCGGATACCGGGAGAATAGTCAAGCGATTTGTGGTATTTGTGAGACATCCCCTGAGCTATGCATATGTGAAATCCACAACCGAAAGGGCCAAAGAATTCAGGATTCGCAGTGGAAGAAAGCAAGATCTTTTATTGAAGGTGCTGGCTCTTCTTGGAAAGATAAAGATCGAGTCTCACTTTTACGAGTCTAGTCCAAGGCTCCTGACGCCCGGATTTCAAGAAACAAGAGATAGACGGACAGGAAGAGAAAAGTTGGAAGGGAAAGCTCGAGCGCATCTACAGGCCGACTTCCCGGGCGTTCTTCTGACTCCCTTAAAGAAATTCTCATGTTTAGCTCCCCCGACTCCTGCAAAGGAAGAGATTTCGGTTATCAATGAACAACGCATGCTAGCAAATCTTGTTGTCAACCCTAAGCCGCATGTTCGAGCCAACCTCACGGTGAATCAAATCCAGGTTAGTGAATATCTTGCTACTTTAGGCGTTGCTAGATATATTGATACTGATCTACAAAAGAGGGCCCGACGCCTGGACAACATTGCCAAATTTTGGAGCGAGACCGAGGAATTAGCTGCACGCTTCCTTCATGGGGCTGACATTCCAACAAGGATTTACAATGGTACAAATCAAAGCGCTACCGAGAATTTGCTCACAGCGCTAGTGAAATCTAAATGGACCGATATGAGTGGGATGAGGTTCCTGATGACTTTATTTTGTTTATCAGTGACCAAGAGGGACTTAAGACTGATAGACAACCCATCGCTTCCAGAAAGATCCTCGAACGGGCCTTCAATCTTCTTCAAATTCAAGGGGACCCTGTTCACATGAGCATTGTTGCTGTTGCATTTTATGTTTTGTTTACATACGACCGGAAGATATCGCGCCCAAGGCAAAAAAAAGCGTGGACCAGCTTCTTGTTATGCAAGATCCCCCAAGGAATATTGTCCACCGGAAATGTTCAGGGTGTGGAGAGAGTGTTCTCGATGATGCGTATGCATATTACGCAGAATATGATCCCCAATACTACGTCGTCTGGAGCCTAGAGCAAAGTTGTGGTCTTCCAGGGTGTGCGCACCGACATGTTCAACTGATACCGGCAGACTCTCAGCAGAACCGCGTCGACTCCTGCCGCAGAAGCTTAATAAAATTGGCACATAGAAAGGTTTCTTGGCAAGTTTATTTACTCCGCCTACTCGATGAGCTTCATGGTCTTCCAAAAAGTGTGGAAGTTTAATGTAGCGGCTGTGGTACTCCAAGACGGTATTTGCGCCCAAGGTGGACTTCTCATGACAATATTTCCCAAGTTCCTTGTGGTAGTTCGCACTTGTCCAGAATGTAAGAAATCAAACATGCGCTTCCCATGTGATAAAAGCATACCAACAACCGGTAACAGCAATGCCATCAAGCTATGGAAGTCATTCGTGAAAGCGGAGATTGATTTGAAAGACTACCCTCGGATCCCCAAGCACTACTTTTCGAAAGACCCCATTTTCTCAAGAGTTTCGGAGCTTTTCAGAAGCCAGAGAGTCATCAAGGCTGATTGAGGCAATGAGAAACCGATTAGAGTGATGTGTACGCATAGTTTATTTTTCTTCAATTATTACCAAATTGCTTCGTATTGAACCTTCGGATTATCGAATGCTTGGAATTTCATAGATTTCCAGCCCAATTTTTAGCAACACGTTTCCTCCACAAGCATTGATGGCGATGACCCCCCCCCCAACCCCCCAAAAAGAATAAAATGGCGCGATGACCCCTAAGATTTGCGAATATAGAGGTGAATAGATCTTCGACTCTTTCTTGGCGATTAGGATGATTTACCGAACAATTACTATTCTATATTAGCTCGCTACTAATTTTTTTTTTTCCCTATTCAATGCTATAATTTCGATCAGTTCTGATACTCAATTTTTGGCGATATTAATATTCTCCCGGATATCAATATACGCCAAGGGGAACTCTGTCATTACCTCGAAGGTGTTTATTATAATTTATAAGACGACGGCAACTAACTAAAAGAACTTGAACATTGGAAGTTTTGGTTTTATAGTTTGGCGGTATAGTAAGCGGCTAAATATTTATCAGCTATGTAAAGCTAACGGAAAGCTAAGAGCGACTACTTCAGACTTTCAACATTAGCTTTATCGATGGAACAGCGCGAAATGACTCAATACTCTAAACCAAATACTCCAAGCCTCTAAGGATGGCTTCCAAATCGTTCATATTGCATGCAAAGTTGGACATATGCTAAATATTATATACATGGACACATACTCTTGTATGTATTCGTTTTGTCATAATGGGATGATTAAGATCATGAAGTGCAGACGATACCATGCAGTCCCGCTGCTAGTTGTTTTTTATATCCCCGTTCTATCTCACTTTTTCTCTCCCTCTTCTTCGCTAACCTCTTCACCCTCCTCGATAGCCTTTTCTTTCAACTTGCGCGCGCGCTCCCGCTTCTTGTCTAACAACGCGTTCAGCTTCTTAGCCGTGTTAAAGACACCCCCTGTGCCAGTACCGCATGCCGCACAGGAGGGATTCTTGCGATACCTCTGCAGTGCGCAAGACTCGCAGAAATAGTGACCACACTTCGTAAGGATGGGGTGTTGATAAGGCTTTTCGCAGATGATGCAAGCGAACGGGATCTTTTGTAGCATTTCATCTTCCTCTGCCTCTTCTGTGCTCTTCTCGGCCCCCCCGCGTTGTGATAGCACTTGGCCCTTGAGTTTCTTTCCTTTGGTATTGATTTCCCAGTCTCGATCCAGCTCCCAGCCCTGGGCGTACACTTCTCTTGAATGGAGGAAGACACAAGAATCTAAAAACGAGAGAAAATGTTAGATGTTTTTAGTTTTTTCAGGAAAAGAAATAGATGTTCGCAAGACTTACCTCCAAATCCACAGTATCCGGTTTGTTTCCAATCTTTACAAACATCAGGAGCATAATCCATGGTCGTCACCGTTCGGACATTCGATGGGGGCGCTTTAACGGGACCGAACTTCTTAGATTGCGAATCGGGGTTCTTCTGAATAAATGATGTGTAGTTCGATGATCCCTTATATGTTCCATCTGGGGCAGAATCTGTATCCTGGGGTCGTGTGCGGGTTGATCCTAGCAGGTTGCTCGCGCTGAGGTCTTCATCGTACCAGGTCGAGGACTTTGTCGCATCGTTGCTCGAGGTCAAGGGTGCTGGGGCTATAGAGGAAGGTTGGTCTGCGGCTGTATCTCTCTTGGGGTTATTTGTGGAGGAGGCTGTGACCGCAACGTTCTTGCGCCGCCTCTTAATGCGGTGTCCTTCTTCGTCGTCGTCGGAGGTGAAGTCTGAACCGGAATCGGAGGCTGGAGGTGGTGTCGCGGGCTTCTTGCGAAAACTTGTCTTGCCTTTAGAGCGTTTCTTGAAGCCGAACTGCGGAACTGCGTCGGCTGCTGTATCGTCTGCCATTTCTGTAGCTTTGTACCTAGCTCGGCTGCTGTGGCGCAAAGTAGTTTCGAGCTCAAATGTGGATCACGCCGATCGTGGCTTCTGTATAGGGACGCTGGTCTGAAGGTTCTTGTAGTGACCAGAGACCAAATTATTTGAGGGTTGTGTACCAGAGTTCTTATAGATATCGCTCTAACTATGATTAGTGAGCCTGTCGAAGAGTCTCGCACATCTCATGGGAATCTCCGAAGCTTCCCGAAATGGAAGCATGACTAAGCTGGGGACATCTGGTGCAAACAGGTTAAACAGTGCAAACACCCCCCGTTTCAGGAAGAAGAAAACAACAACACAAAAATCGGATAGAGATTCGTCACTATAAATATCCCCCTGGTCTGCAGCTTCTAAGGGTTGGAATTTGTTGAAGTATATACATTTAAAGTTCAAATGAATATCATAGTGATTCACTTTGAGTATCTAGACATTTTGTTACCCCCTGAATCTGCTTATCATGCATAACAATACCTTGCATAGAGCCGCAGGCAATAGAGTCCATGTAGATGTCAATTCCCCTGCGAGGATCAATATCCACGATGTAAAACACCGGTGTCAATTGGCAATAACAGTACCTTGCGGTCTACCTTCTCCTCTACCCCAATTTTCTCTCACTCTCCATTCCCTCCCCCTCCTAAACCAACACGCTCTCTATTTGTTTCTTTCTTTAATTAATTGCTCTTCATCACTTGCTCCTTCTCTATTGTCATTTTCCCTTTTTTCCTAACCCCTTTGTTGACATCCCGGACCCCACCGAAAGGTGTGTGATAATACCTGCAGATCGTGTGTTGTGGTTGGTCGCACCTCCACGCGCGCCTACTTGTTCTCGCCCAACGAGACAACGCATTGATTCGTCCGGCCCTCGGTGTTTGTTGTCTCTCTCACACACTCTCTTCCCCTCTCACTTTTCCCACCTTCGCTTCTCGCGACGGTTTTATTCTACTTTCGTTTCCCTTTCCCTCGCTTGATTTTCTTTTCCTCTCTTAACGACCCTATTGCGCCTTTTGAGTCTGGTCAGATTGACAATTCGTGGTCGCTGGTCGGCTCGATCATTGACCGGGCGCAATACCATTATAAATCCCGAAACGCGCGGCGATCACTCATATCATGCACGTGGTCCCCAACTTCTAATCCATCCAAAGACAAGAAAAAATACCATACGCGCGAATCCCGACAGAGTCTCAACGGCAACTGTATCTCCTCACGCCGGAGGTTCAGAAGCCGTGTGAGATTGCCGCAACCTCGGGAGAATGACCGCACCGAACCCGGGAGCCAACAACTCCCTGGCCTCGATGATGGAAGACCCTTTTGTTTCGAATGATAACGGAGACTTCACCTCCCCCCGCGAATCCCATCGATTTTCGCCTTTTGATAGCCAGTTATTTAGCATCAATGCCTCCTCGCCAGCGCAGGCTAAGCGCGCCCTTGCGACTCGACTAGCGGAGACCGAGCGCCAATTAGAGGAAACATCTAAGGTCGGAACCGCACTTATCGAGCAGCAACGACAGCTCGAGGAACATATCAAAATTCTTGAACAACAGAAGGACGATTCGGAAATCCCCCAAGAGCTGCGCCAAAAGCTGGCCGACCTAGAACGTGAATATGCGGAGACCGAACGGGATACAGCACGCGCAATTTTGGCACCGAAACGACTGGCTGGAGGCTCGGATGATCACATGGGTACCCCAGGAATTGACCCAAAGGTATAATGACTACATGCCAATCGATACTTGACATCGGACATCCCTCAAACTAACTCCTTTGGCAGTCCCCCCTCAGCCCCGCCCTCTTCGCCGGTCAAGCCACCAACTCCCCCAGCAAAGTCAGCGTTCCTTCTCGCAAACAACGCAACCAACCATCCGGCCGTGTACATGATATAGAATTTGCTGCCGAAATTTCGACTTCTTTACTCGGGCAGGTGCGCCAACTACAGGGACTTCTTGCGGAGCGCGATGAATCCATCAAAGCTATCAACTTGGAGAAATCGCGCCTACAAATGGAAGCAGAGGCCTACGAGCAGCGAATCCGAGCTCTTGACGACAGCGAGCAGCGCTATAAGGATGAGAACTGGGCCCTTGAGACACAGACTCACGAGTTGATGTCCGCTGTGAAAGAGGCCAATGAACGGGAGAAGAAACTCGCTAGCACCTTGAGCGCTTCTAACGCAGAGAAGAGCTCAGTCGAGCACGAACTGGAGGATCTGCGCCAAACGAACTCGAGGCTGCTGGAAGATCAGGCTCTGACTCAGAAAGCCAATGATTCTGAAATGCACTTGCTGCGACGCAATCTGAATGCTGGAGATCTGGAAAAGTCAGCCCTTCACAAAAAGCTGGCGGAACTGACATCCCAGAATCAAGAACTCGCGAAGGCTGTCGCTATGCGCATCCGAGAGCATGAGTCCCAGGGTAGCCGAGACATGGCCGATGACAATGACATGGACGAACCTGAACAAATTACTCCTGATAATTCTCCCCCTCCATCTCCCAATAAGTTCACCCCTCGCCACGGCCATTTGGAGTCAGAAACATTGAAAAGTTCTTTGGGCCATGCCCATCGTATGATCCAGAACCTGAAGGGTACAATCCACCGCGAGAAGACCGAGAAATTCGAACTCAAACGCATGCTGCAAGAGGCTCGGGATGAAGTTGAACAGCGTCGCCGTGAAACCGCCGCTCCAAATGGTACTGCTAGCAAGCGCTTAAAGAAGAAGGAAGACTCCTTCCGCAAGCCCGCTCGCCCAGACCTGTTAGGTGCTGGCCGTAAGTCGCAAGTTGAGCTTCAAGATACTGACTGGGAAGACAATGCTGGTCAAGTTAGCCCAAGTCGCTCTACCATGGGCGCTTCCATCCAGGGTCGACCCGGACGTGCCTCTCCCGATGAGCCAAGTGATGTATACCACACCGCCACCGAAGCTGAGGATGGCTTCGAAACTGCCAATGAACGTGCAACCGCAACCGAGAGCGAAGCATTCCAAACCGGCGTTGAGAGCATGGCAGATGACAGCAGTGACTCGGCAGATCTGACCGAGACTGAAAACAATGTTCAGACCACCCCCCGCCGGCGTGTCACTTCGACTTTGACGATGTCTAAGTCTCGTGATCGTATGTCTTACCATAGTTCTGCATCCACCTCGGATGACGATGATGATGCCCAGGAGGTGGGATATCCTTCCCCCAACCAAATTCACATTTCTCGTCCTCGCGTCCGGTCAAAGCGAAGTATTCTCCGACGGATTCGGCCTTCTGGTGAGGCACCTATGGCATCTGGTAGCCGCCCATCAAGCGCACGAAACTCTCCGGCGCCAAGCTTTGAGCAAGAGCCTGTGCCACAGGAGGGCCAGAGTCTGTTCGCAGAGTTAGCTGAGCTTGACGGTGGCGAAGAAGATGAGGAAGAAGTCGGTAGTGCTTCGTCTCAAGCCTCTACCCCACGCATGCAGCCTACACCTGGCTCCCGCCGCCCATCCGATGCGATGCTCGACTTGAGCCCTAAGCCAGTCATGGTTGATTCCGGCGTAATGACTGAACCTTGGGAGCCTATGGTTCCTGCTGGTGCTGCTGTCCTTGGTGGCGCTGCCGCCGTGGCTGCCGCCGCCGCAGCTGTTTCCGAAATTCCAACCACGCCAAAGCAAACTTCTCCCTCTGCGAACCGTGACGTCTCTGCTTCTGAGGAACAGGAGGCTCCTAGACCAGTCAGTTCTGGAACGCAATGGACACCACTCAAATCGTCAGCCCTCGAGGGTGATCACGTATCTAACGTTCCTACTCCGCCTAAGATGGTATGGGATGAACGTTCTGTCGCAAGCCAGCAAGTTGAGACAGGTACTCAAGCGGAACCCGAACTCCCTAAGTTGGTTTTGGCGACTATTTCGTCTCAAGAGACCTCGCCCGCTCTCCCAAAGTGGCCAGAACTGGGTATTTCCTACTTCGCTGGAAGTGCGACCGAGCCCATCCAACACGAGCTTCCAGTACCGGAGGTTCCAGAAGTGAACGTTTCTTCGATCTCGTCTCAGTTCACTGAGCCTATCATTCCAGTCGAGCCCGTGCAAGAGCTGCCAGAGCTTTCCCTCTCATCTCTCTTTACCTATTCCACCGAACCCGTCGAGCCGCAAATTCCCGAGCCTGAACCAGTGCCAGTACCTATTGTCGAAGAAGTTCCTCATCCAGAAGTTGGATTATCTTTTATCTCAGCGCAGCATACTGAACCCGTTTTACCAGAAGTTCCTGAGTCCGAGCCAGTGCCAGTCCCTGTCGTTGAAGAAATCCCTCACCCCGAAGTTGGACTGTCCTTCATTTCTTCAGAACATACCAAGCCCATCATTCCGCAGCTTCCTGAGCCTGAGCCAGTCCCAGTGCCTGTGGTTGAAGAAGTACCGATTCCCAATGTTGGAATCTCTTCAATCTCTTGGCAGGACACTGAGCCTATCATGCCACAACTCCCAGAGCCCGTACCAGAGCCGGTCGTCATGCCCGAGGCCGCGCCTGTTATTCCACAATGTGAAATCTCGTGGTTGAATCCATCGTTCACGGAACCAGTCGCACACGTTCCCGTTGAATTACCTCCTCAGCCCCTTCCTTCAGTTGCTTTCTTGCATTCAGTGGAAACTCAACCAGTCATCTCTTCACCAAGGGCTCTCCCCACGATGGCCGAATTGGGAATTCAAACAGATCCAGTAGAAGACTCCAAGGTTGCCGGCGCGGCCGTGGCAGTATTTGAAGACAATGAGCCTAGTGAAGCCGTTCGCGACCGTGCCAGTACTAGTACCAGTGAGCGTCGCACGAGTACAGGCCTAGCACTCAACGATATTTCGGGCAATTCCCTGCAGAGAGAACCGACTAGCTCTGTCAGTACCGATCAGGGTGCCCAGACTATCCTCTCTTCGAAGCAGATTGATCAACTTCTCATCGACCGGGAAGCTGCCCGTCCGATTTCTTCTTCTGACAGCAAACAGTCGAGAGAGTTTGCAGCAGTTGCAGTAACGGCCGCGTCACCATTCGCAACACCTAAATTCCGCCCTCGCCCTCAACAGCAGTCGTCTGCCAAGTCAACCGGATCTATTCCACGCCGACCAGATACTGCCACGAGCCAATTGTCGGCCTCTAGTGCCCACCCTCCATTGCCTGCTGATCACCGCGAGGCAATCCTTGCCGCCGGAAAGAAGTCCACCGAGTTTTCATCGCCAGCGTCGCCCGGTACTATGGGACCCCCACTTGCCCCCGCCTCTGCCTATCGTATCAACGCACAAACGGCACCCCGAACCCCCAACGAGCAAGTCCCCCGTGCTGGGTCAGCAAGGAGTGTCTCTAGTCAAGCACGTATGCGAAGAGGGAGCCAGAGCCAGATGTCACGTCGCTCATCGGTGTCATCCTTCGCATCGGAGATCGAAGAAAGGTTCAACATCAATCAACATGCTGGATCCATGCCTAATGGATACGGCCCGAACACCGATCCCCGCATCATTCAAGCAATCACGCAAACAATGATTGGCGAGTTCCTTTGGAAATATACTCGAAAGACTGGTTCATCGGGCATGTCGTCAACACGGCATCGCCGCTACTTCTGGGTTCACCCCTACACTCGTACTTTGTACTGGAGCGAGCAAGATCCCCAGACGGCTGGAAAGAGCCAGATGAAAACCAAGAGTGTTCCTATTGAGGCCGTGCGGGTGGTTGCAGACGACAACCCATACCCTCCGGGTCTCCATTGCCGAAGCTTAGAAGTCGTTAGCCCTGGCCGTTGTCTGCGGTTCACTGCAACCACCAGCCAAAGACACGACACTTGGTACAACGCACTGACCTATCTGCTTACAAGAGAAAACAATGGCAACTGCGAAGATCATGAAAACAATGTGACTTTGGATGATATTGATGAGTTCAATCCTGGCTTCCGTTCTGGATCGCGCCAGACGGCTAGAATGTCTCTCTCGTCGTACAATAGCCGTACACTTCGTCAGCCACCCAAGCAGCAGCAGCAGCGGGCTGCCTCAGCAATGTCTATGCGATCTACTGGAACCCCCGGGCGCGCTTCGCCTGCCCTCAGCTCCCCAGGTCCCAACTCCTCACTGCAGGTCCCTGAAGAGCGTCAACGATCCTCGTCTCGCCTGAGCACTATTCTTAACAGTTCGATCCGCGGTTCAATTGCTAGCATGAAGGGACGCAACGGTCAAGAATCAAGTGTGCATGAAGGCAGTGTCCGTGGCCAAGACAGCATCGAGGACTTTGGACACGTAGTCGATGATGATGATCGACTTGAGAACGTTCGTGCCTGCTGTGATGGCAAACACGATGTGGGCTCACTCTCTCGTACCAGTCGGTTCAGCCCCCGAGTTGACCGAATCCACTCTCACCACTAAAAGCTTCCTTCGGTAATGGTTTGATTGAGGTTTGGTTTGTGGGCAGGTCCTCAAACCAAGTACGGCCTGCGGCAGTCATATTATGGCCACGAGTCTCTTTATTTCTCTCTACCCTTCTCTTCCACTCTTTCCTGTTCAATAATGCATTTGTTTGATTTCATTGTTTTGTTCTATCGTGTTTGGCACCGACTTCGTCCCTTGCATGAATCTATGTCGAAATCGATAGAAGACATAAGAGTTGGTCCTCTTCATGTCACTTGATGGATTTAAAAACCCCAAGGCAACATTCACCTCCTTGATATATTGATATGCCTTTTAACTCATATTGGTGTTTGGCCTTCCTTTTTGCTTTTCCCACTGTTTTGTCCCTACAGACTTCCTAACATCTCCTATCTCCGTCTCTCCTTCTTGTCTCTGGTACTATATCGTACCATCCACATTCCCATCGGAACCTACTCTTTGCATTTTCCTTTTCCTTCTGTTGATAATTCTTGTGTGACTATCTCTCCATCTTGATTCACTACTCCACTCGGGGTGAATCGCTCTATCCTTTATTGTGCATTTGCACCAGAACGTGAGCTATACCAAAATTTAGTCTGAACTTCATCATATCTCGTGGTAGTTTTGTAGATACAAGCTGGACTAGCATATATGTGATACAAAGGCAATAAGCATGCTAATGCCTACCAAATGGGCGGTATAAAAGACGGTAGCTTTTGTCAGGCAAAATGAATCCACCACCGGCGCGTTTCTGCCAGGGAATGATGTACGATGGTCCTGACATGGGCCCTGTGTAGCCCTGGAACACAGAGTTTCCTGCCTTGATCGCTAAGGCTGCCGATGCTGTCCTCCCATTATGACAAACTGCGATGACGATCTCCTTCGCACTCACAACTTCGCTTCATCTCGAGTCTTGATATTCTCTCTGTCGACATGGCGCGCGCTACTCTCTTCTGCTCACTCTGTGACGCACCTGCTGTAGCAACATCAAATTGAAACTCACTTCTCACCCTGAGAATTTCACCTAGAAGATAGTCGTTTCAAGATATGTCATTATACTGAACTGCCATCCTCCTTTACCAACATGATGGCTCCCTCTTCAGCAGAAGTACTAAAGTATCTTTATAAGATGGCTCGACAACATGATGCTTTTGATCAATTGATTTGTGCACTTGCTGCTACTATGAAATTACCATCACATAATCGATTCGGTGCTCCCGTTACTTTGCCAAGGCCTGTTTATGCATATGGCTCACGCCAGGACACGGAAAGGATCTATTCAGACCAAATACCTACATTGGCAGAAATCTCTCACTATATGGCGTTCTCGGGTATATCTGGCCTACTTGCCTCCTGTTTACATGGAAGCTTTTGGGAACTGGGAATTCCTTGCAATCTGACAAGTGAATGGCTTAGTTAAAAGAACTTACTTCCTTTCTTAAATCGAAACAGTACCTTCCTATCATTTGGGCTATGTCGGAACGGCGACCTAAGGTTGCTTCACTATGGCTGGGTGCAGCAATGACGGGTCTCCTGTCCCGAATATTGCAAATCTCGCAGAGCTTCCTACCCACGATTTACCCCGAAGCGGTAGCATGGGCAGATTCCCCCCAGTCCTTCATGGATCCTGCCAATCGTCGCGCTGATGAGCCCCGAAGAACAGGTGGCAGGGCTATGATATCTCGAGAAGATGAACCTCGTCTCTTATATCTAACAGATTCTCTATCGGACAATTATGGAAATCCACCACTTTGTCCTTATTCTCCATTCAGTGAGGTAAATGTTCAGGACACTTCACTCGAAATGAGGCTGCATTTGTCTTGCAATCATAGAATAGCATATCGTTCTTGGGAATAGAAGTGCGTGAAAGGACAATCACTCGCCGATTTCGGGATTCCACTCTATTCGCGGTCTTCTAGAGTAACATCTATATTCAGCTCGCTATTGACTATATAGCTACTCACCAGATTTGCCTACTCAACCACTATCAATAATTCTTAGATGGTAAACTTTATACATCGGGTAAGTGGAACGATACTTATTTTTTTCTTGACTCAACCCCTTTTAGCTATTCAAATCAGGGCTAATATTGAGGTAGAACCACAATACCATTTATTTTCCAGAAAGCCTTGCCGTCATATGTCTCTTTGGACGTTCGGTTAGGATCATCGCATTTAAGACAATGATAACCGCTCGCACCTGGATGGAAAAGGCAATTTCCATGACTGCTTCGACAATATGGCCAAGTCTTCGACAGGCAGAGGAAGAGACTTTCAACGATAGGCTTTCTGCTAATGCCACATGCAATTTGTTCTCATGGACGTTCTTCACAGAGAGTATACGAACTAGACCTGTGCAGACCCATGGGCATGCCCATACCGCCCATAACATGCCCATAAGTGGGGTAAATAATAAGATCATGTGATTTGCATAAAATATGAAGATATAGGCTTTGCTTGGCTGTATGGCTGCTGTATTCAATCCACTTTTATCAATAGCTGGTTGGCTAATAGAATGGGCATGCCTATAGTATCCACATTATTCGTGAAGTCTGACCCCCCTAAAATCTTTACGATCAACAAAAGAAATTTCAACCTCTAGTACCTATGTTTTGCACCTAAAATAAATTAGTTAAAATTGTAGAAAAATAAGGAAATTTTATATCAAACCCTAATATATCCACTAATATTTAAAAAAGGAGAATAGTTAGCAATATCAAAATAGCGATTACTGGCTATAAGATATAAGACAGTAGGGTACCTTTTATATAGACAAATATATATATATCTAGGTCTAGAGAATATTTATTCAGATGTAATTTATTTGCTATTTAGCCATAATCAAGGTGGTTATTTTGAAACATGAATAAATAACCACTAGTAATATACCAAAAAAATCATAAATTAATGCAATGGCATGGCCATGGGCACCCTGTCCATGGGCCGCCCATTGCACAGGTCTAATACGAACGGAAGAAAAATCATTTTGGAATCACGAGTCGTTAGAGATATTGCTCGGCAGAGAGTTTGGTGCCTATTCTGGTGAAACGAGCTCGTCTGAAATCGAAGGTGAAGCAAAAGATATAAATTTAGAATACATTGAAAGATGGCAGGGTGGTATTGAGGCTGAATCCGACTGGGAGGATCTATCCAGTAATTGAGACAAAGCTTAGAATGAGCTCCTCGCGCGGTGTCAGGACATGGCTATCCTGATGGAGATTTTCAAGAATAGCCCCCGCGTCATCTTCCCTATTCTTATCGGCAAGCCAACGAGGTGATTCGGGAAGAAAAGGCGTTCAAAATTTTCAATCTGAAGATCAGCATCGTTAGCCCGCGAATTCCCGCCCGACCCAATGATTTGTATCCTTTTTTTATAAAGAAAAGAAAGACTTCGGGAGGTGGAGAGCTTTGGGGGCCAGGGCCATGGTATTTGCGCTAGAGTATGAAATATCACTGAGAAAAAACGGGAGAATTTCCAAAATATGAAGGCACTAAGTATAGAAAAGAACACAATGGATCACCCCACGATGTTAGAGGTAATTATATGGTGTAGCCACGCAATAATCATAAATATATTTTTCGATAGCGCTGATCTGCGAGTTAGACTAACACTAAAGCAGTGTTGGATTCGCCGTTACCAGGGTTGAAATAAACCCCAGTCCCCACGTATTACCTCAGCTTCGATCTCAACCCCTCTCATTCCTGCCATCGACCAAGGATCCGAATCTTTCTCCCTTGTGTCATCGCGTTATATCATATCAGTTCGGATCCGTCTTCAATCCTCAATCCTCATGCCGATTATTTGAGGTTTTTGTTTCAATGTCGGACACCGCTCAAAAGGATGCCGGGCCGACCGGGCCCTCGCCATCAACAAGCGCGGAGACTACCGCGCCCGCTAAGGGGGCGCCAACCATCAAAACAGCGCGAAAACTGCCCGGATGGTTGGATCATTTCAACGCCCGCGATTTGAAAGTTTTCTTTCGCTGCGCTGTCGCAGCATGGGTTGCATCACTGCTGATCTTTATTAATCCGTCTCTGGATACGATCGGGACAGCGACTTTTTTCTCAACGTCAGTCCTATCATGAACATGTAAACAAATGAGCAGCCACTGACAACTTTTCAATATTCAGTCTTGTTCTTTTTATGGTTCCTCCATCGGGGATTGTATTTATCTTCATCTTGGGAGCTCTAACACTCATTCTTGGCATGGCCACGGGATGGGTATGGGGTGTTATCTCTATGAAGGCGGCCATGGCGGCGCGCCCTGCAGCTGAGACACAGGCCAGATTACAAGCTCTGGGTCAAGAGGCATATAGCGTCGCTAACTCCACAGGACAAAGCATCACCGTTGTAGAGGAGGTGCTTGTATATAATGGGTATATGCTCGATGCACGCGTCACAGCTGTCTACTTTTGTCTCATTTGTTTTTTTATTTACTTACTCGTGAGTTTAAACTCGGTTTCAATGGCTCTTATCATTCAATCATTGCTAATACATTTTCGTAGGCTCGTGTGCGTGCCAAGAACCCCAAGTTCGTTCTCTTCCAAATTTTTGGAACGATCATCATGGATATTTTCTTAACCATTGGACCGTTGCTCCCTACATTCCAAGGAACAATTGCAAAGACATTAATAGAGCCGGCTGCTATTGGAATTGGTCTTGGGCTAGCTTGCCAAATTCTTTTGTTTCCCAAATCGACTTCTTCTACGGTCCTCGATGGCATTGAGGGACTCACACGACTGCTGAAAGGCCCAATAGATATCACTGCGGCCGGTCTACTTGAGCATGAAGCAACCCCAATGGCAGAGCTACAAGGATTGAAATCGAAAATCATCGAGACCTATAAGAAGATTATCCCAGCCCTTGGCTTCTTGCAGCTAGACTTTTCTGTTGGCCACTGGAATGCAGATGACATCAAGAGCTTGAAAGAGCCCATGCGAAAAACGGTCATCGGTACTTTGTCACTGCTGGAATTCCACATCCAACGAGTTGGGGGTGAAGAGAAGCTGGAAAAGCTTCATGCAATCCACGTCGAGTCTGAGAATCTTGTGAGCGACCCAACAGACGAGAAGAAAGGACATCATGAAGCTGGAAGGCGCCAATTAATGGAAAGTGTTCGCCTTGTACAAGCCTTCCGAGGCCCTGAGCATGAATCCCATCGAGCGGAAATGCTTGAAGCGATTCATAACCCCAGCAAAAAGATCTTACCAGTATGCGCAGACGCGAACGAGGTAGTCGCTGAGTGTATTCATGCTGTCAACTCCGGTCGCTGGTTTGGCCGACCCTCTAAACAACGCATGGATGAACTTGCGGAACGTAGTGAAGCTGTTTTGGAGACAGTCAAATCCGAACGCCAGGCTTTTGCAGCCGAATTCACCGAGAGTCTTATCCAGGCAAATGCGGATATATTTGACCAGAGTGGTAAGTTGAAAGATTTTGAGGAATCGACCCTGGCCAGAGTACGAGCCATCTCGGTTGGCATGGTTTTCGAGGAACAACTGCTCAACGTAACTGAGGGTTGGGAACGAGTCCTGACCCAGCTGGTGATTTTGATGAAAGAACGCCAAAAAACGAGGCTCTGGCTCCCAAGAGGTCTACGCTATGCTTTCAAATGGGTGCACGGGAAGAACGCAGTGCCCCCTGTTCCTTTGGCCCAATCCCCTGTTGATGACCCCGATGTTGTTGAAGCACACTCTAAAGCAGCTCAGCAAAGTCTTCGCATCAGTCGAGGATACCGAGTCAAGAAGCGCAGTGGTCTTGGACGGGCGATAATTGGTACTTATCATTGGCTCATCAACGCAGATGGCTTGTATGCTCTACGAATGGTTGCTGTTACTGTTGCCCTTGCCATACCTGCCGTGCTCCCGGCTACTGCAGGGTTTTATTTCCGCGAAAAGGGGCTATGGGCTCTGATCATGGGTCAAACCACAGTTGTTATTTACATGTCAGATTTCACACTTTCATTGGCATCCCGTGCTATTGGAACTATCGTTGGCGGTGTCACTGGTCTAGTCGCTTGGTATATTGGCTCTGGAGATGGTCAGGGTAATCCCTACGGCCTCGCGGCAGTCATGGCAGTCGTAATCCTGCTGTTAATGTGGGGACGTCTATTTTTGCCCGTGGCTCTAATCCAAGCTACGATGATGGGCGGTGCGACCTGCATCCTTGTTGTTGGATACAGCTACGATGACACGTAAGAATTCACCCATGCATCGATATTAATTCTATTTTTACTGACTTTGAATTTTTTAGGCATATCCCATCCTATGGAAATCCTGGATACGGCTACAACGTTTTCTGGCGACGACTTCTCCTGGTTCTTATCGGAGCGGCAGCCGCAATGATCGTCCAGATTCTTCCCAGACCACCATCCGCAGCCCGACACGTCTGCAAATCGCTGTCAAACAATATCAGATCTTTATCAGATCATTACGCGCTCCTTCTGTCATGCTGGGGAAAACCGGACCGCGAAGAAGGTCTAGTTGCCGAGGAACTCGCAATCCACGTTGCCGAGATGCTAAGCGCACTTGATGGACCTATTTTCCTTCTGCGGTTGGAATTTTCCAGCTCGCCTTTTGATAGCGAACGCCTTGCACAAGTCAAATCGCTTTGCCAAGAACTAAACCAGAACCTAGGCCGTCTACTGTTCCTCTCAGCCTCCCTGCCGGAACATTTTCAAGCCAAGCTGGCAACAAATGCTGGCCTTTTGAACCATCGCAATATCGGAGATGTCATGGCAGTTCTGGGAATTGTAGAACAAGCTCTAAAAACTGGTGATCCGTTGCCTGAAGTCCTACCCACACCACTGCTCAAGCGATGCTTTGAATTTTTGCAGGCCCATCGGGTTGATATAGGCTTGACTAGAGATTTGATTCGCGATGAAGACTACCGCAAGTTCTGTGTCGCTATTAGCTCTTATCTCAAGTTCTTGGCTGCTGTAGATGATTTGGTTCTCGTGATGAAGGGAACTCTGGGCGAGTCGCATATAGTTAGCCGCGAGTTGATGTACGAACTACAAGTTTAATTCCGCTCTTGACTGAGAGCTGGGAAGAGCGAACATTTCACCTTCTATGTATCTATTATTTTTAATACAAATGTGTTCCCCTCGATTTCTTAGAATCAGTCTACCTTGTCAACGAGTGACTTTGCGTCGGTCTGGCTTACCGTGCCCTGCTCCTCATCACCTCCGTACGGCGTATTCCGCAGCCAGAGAATCCACGCAGTCAGTAAAATTGCGGTCAAAGGTACACAAATCACAAAGTAGATCCAGATTTCTTCGTAGTCTCCACGGAAAGGAAACATGTTGGTGGAAAAGAGTGTGGCCACAACTGCCCCCGAGAGAAAGAGAATGAATCGTTATGATCGAAAGGGGTTTGTTCATGGCCTTGGAGTCACGCAGAGCTTCTTTTGCTAACTTCGACTGCATGTTATTATCAAACTGGGCTATAAGGCCATAAAGCTGAAAGTAAGCATTACGGTGGTCAGTTAATATCCAAGCGACGCTACTTACTATGTTTCGTTGACTCTCCACCTTTGATGGAAGCGTCTGTATATCATACTGGTGACTTTTCGACATGGCATCGAGGATTAAAATTGTCTGGATTATGCCACCTTCATCATGATCGATTTGATTTTTCATCATAGTTGCTCCGAAATCATCTTCGAATCTCCTTCTTCGACCCAGTTCAATGAGGTTCACACCCGTTTTAGGCTTAGTCCTCGTGGTAAAAATGGATAACTAAGTCATCCACATGTACGCATAGCATAAATCGGCCTTACGGCCAACTGAGACTGAATTTCAAACTCAGCTCTATCAAAAACCCAAGCGATGATTATAAAATATATACATCTAGTCTTATACTCTCCAGGGCTGCTTGTTCAAGTTCTTACCCTGTATGGCCCCTTGATGTCCCACGTGCAGCCCCGAAATCGAAAGTGGAGAATTCCACGCCCCGCAGCCTGTACGACTCCTCACGGCCGCGTCATCACGAACGGGGTGAACTTGAAGCTGATATTAAGTTAATCTCAAACCTTCTCTCCCCGCCAGTGGACCGGCTCGGGCAATCAGCAATTCAATGTTTATAATCACATCCGCTGTCTTCGTGTAGAGGCAGTTCACCCATGAACCATGGCGTGGCCATGGCAATTTGTCTCCCTTGACTCGGAGGCAAAACATACCCGACACCAGATACTCAGCCAATTTGCTCTTTACTCCCAATTATCCGTGCTGATCCCGATCATAGGGTATCAAGTATATCGCCTGGGAGTATGGCTGCTGATGAAAAGGGAGAGGCGCGATGTCGCGTATATGGCGCTCGAGGAGTCTTCGGGCGGTAGGCGACCGGCCGAGAAGTCATTAGGCGGGATTGCTAGACGATGGAAAGTATTGAAGTGGTGGTTGGATGATGAAATCAGGCCAGATTGGGGATCTCGAGGACGTTGGATCGCGGCGGTGATCTGGTCATTATGGTTGCTTTTTCTTTGCATTTTTCGGACTGGAAATGGTAGATATTTGGTTTTCCTCTCATTCTGTTGGGCTATTTGTTAACTTTGCCTGTCTAGATTATTTCCATCTCACTAAGCGCTTTGGAAGTGTAGCTGCTGCTCAAATACCATTTCACTATTTGCTCGCTATGCGTACTCGTTTCTCCCCCATGATCATCCTCTTTGGAACTTCGCATGAGCAGCTCATTCTTTGGCATCGCACCTCTGGGAATATCATCATGTTATTCCTACTTACCCATGGAGTGCTGTATCTCAATTACTACATTGTTTCCGGTACCTTGATCGAACATTTGCAGGGTCTTCATGCCTCAACAGGAGTAATCGCCGTATCACTAGGTGCTGGTTTGGCGGGTACAAGCCTCGATGCTATCCGAAAATGGAGCTACCGCGTTTTCTTTCTCTGTCACCTCACCATTGGCTTGGGAATTATGCCAATTTTGTTTTTCCACGCAAGTCCCCTTCGTCTATACACGATTGAAGCCCTGGCATTATTCATTCTAGATCGCATTCTCCGTCGCTTGGACACAGTCACTGAACCTGTGACAATCACCCAAATACCCCACACAGATCTCATGAAGATTCAAGTCCCTATCGCGTCATCCAAGCTGAGCCGTTTCGAATTCAATCCCGGCCAACATGTGTACGTCGCTATGCCATCGGAAAAAAGTTCAAAAATCAGCAAGCGCCTACTTTCAAATCCATTCACAGTCGCCAAGGTATCATCGACTGGCATCACATTAGTTCTTCGTGCTTTGCAGGGTCCAACCACCCAGAGCTTATGGTTACACGCACGACGTTTTCACAGTAAGCCCCTACTCAGCATTGAAGGGCCATACGGATGTCCCATCAGCATCCCCAATCTCATCACGAATTTCGACCGTATTCTTCTCGTCGCAGGTGGCATTGGCGCTACTTTTACATGGCCTATCTATGGGGCTCTGCGGGAACAACTAGAAGCTGAATCTCGGGATCCAGATCAACTCAATTTCATATGGGCAGTGAGATCATCTGCGGAAGCTAGTTGGATCAGCGATTCTGAAGAGCAGGCTTTCTCAGAGGATCCGAATATTCAAATTTATCTGACGCGACATCATGACTTGGCGGAATCATTAGATCACGAGCTTTCCGATGAAGGGATAGAGATGGATGACATGCATACAAATCCTGGATTGATTGGAGGAATCAAGCCGAGGATTGGAAGGCCATTTTTGAAAGATATTGTTGAACAGATATTCGGTATAAATACTGGAGAACGTGTTGCGGTTCTCTTCTGTGGGCCACAGGGCATGGGGCGTGAATTGCGAACACATGTGCGCGGATGGACTGTGCAGGGACGAGATGTCATGTGGCATGAAGAAAGTTTTGGAATGTAGATTTGCAATTCGTGGCTAAATTTATGACTGAATATTTGCTTTGAAGACTTATACCATATAGACCCTTCTCTTTATCAACAATGGAAAATGTATATTGTCGAGTTTCATGAACATCCAGTTTCAATCATGATGAATTCAATGGATTCAAGTTATGCCGATCCCTACTTATTGATGACAATCCACATCATTTCCGAGGTCTAGAACTCGTGCCATAAAGGGTTCCAATCAAAGTGACCACTCATGAATGCGGCGCTTAACAAAGTGGAATCAGGAATCCACTCAAGCTTGATCCAATAAAATTGCATGATGCAGGCTAGTATTCTGCAATATAACGATACATTTGAGATACATACACAATTTCTATATTTCTAAAAGCTGTAAAAACGTGTCTAACGTCACACCAGAATCTTACTCCACATGTCCAAATCTAGGCAATCCCCATAACATCATCATCCCTATCCAAAGAGTTCAAAGTCGTTTCCATGTCAGATACTGATTAACCATGATTCCCTATAAAAAGGTTAGTACATATTTCTATCATCTTCAACTCATTCCGTCACGGTACGCCTACATTCAACTCCCAAGGACGATCAGGCGACAAAACAAGCTCATCCCCATTCAAATCAACCTGTCTGATTTGATGCTTCCCAGCCCAATTAGGAACAAGCGACACATCCGTATGATGCTTCACAAATGATTGCCCATCTTGCAAAAAGACCTCAAACGGTCCAGAGTAGGACATAAAGTTGCGAGCTGCCTCGCCTGCCTCAACATCTGAGGCATTATAAGGGTCTGGTGTGGTATATTCTTTCGCTCCAGGAGACATGAGTGTAGCGGCCATGTACCCTTGAGCTGAATAGAAGAGGTATCCCTGGGCATCTTTGCCAAGGGGGTACCCGATAGGACCTTCTGTGTCGACTGGCTTGCTTATCAAGGATATTAGTTTCCAGGTTCCGACGAGGCCTTGTCGGACCTCCTCTGCAGATGGCATATTGAGGAAGCGATTATGAGAATGTTCGATTTGAGTATATGAGGGCGTGAATGGCAAAGAGAAATGTTGGGTTGAGATTTGAAGTTTTGAAGGTGGAGTGGAGGGTGCAGCAAGGGTTAAAGTAAGGAGAGAAGTGAATCTGTAGATTCGATGCACGCGAAATACACTGGGGATAGGAATGTTAACCGACTCCGCTCTTTGAAACAGTTTATCTTTGATCGACAGATTTTCGTTAGGGAACAGACGGGGGCTAATAGATATCATTGGCTGGGTTGGAAGGGTCCCGGGTAGCTCGGCGTATACAAGTTGCTCCACAGTGTCCCATCGTATTAGATAGTTTCAATATCGGGTATTATTTCCTGATCATATACCTGAGGTTTTAGAGTATGGTCTGGGTGTTTAGTTTCGAAGGTCTAAGATGGTGGGTCGATATAGACTGATGTCTTGCTATAGTCTCCAGAGCTCGAGCTTAGAATCAATGTAGGTTCAAATTGGACTGAACGGATCTTATGGATTTAAAGTACTTGAGACATCTCTAATACATACAGTCTAAATTGGCCGACAGACGTTCATAGCACCAAATCAGCTCCTTGAAGCCAATCTGAAAGAAGGATCAACTTTCCCACACATACGGAGTAGATCAACCATGATAATGCACGTTCAAGGGATCTTGCCTTACTTTTTATTTGCACATTAGAATTAAGATATGATTCCATTTCAAACATACAGAGTTTTCAAGTTTCAATATTGTATGAAGTAGGTTCAAGCTAGTTCTGATAAGGGCAAGGGGCTTGGCGTGGTGACTTGTAAATGATTCATCATACCTTCCTGTTCGGGCAGACATCGCAACATCCTTAGCATGTTCAGCCAATTATGCCAAGTTTTCAAAATACAGCCAAGCGAGAAGAGGCCTAAGAGCCCGTGAGGACATCTCTTGCAGCGCTGTGCCCCCCGCACACTTTGCCGGGGCAGCCACAGGAACATTAAAGTATAAGTCAAATATTATCACGACGAAAAAAAGCGCTAATAGACGCTCTGCATCGTTTTTCTAAAGACAGGAACAAGATTCCGCTTGCGCCAAAAGTACTCAAATCATTTTTTGGGTCAAACACTTGCCGGTTATTGTGGGACATAGTGGGACCGTGATACAGAGTGGGGTAAATCGAATTTAACGAGAGTTAAATGCTGCACTATCCCTGATTCAAAATTTTGGGTTTCCAATCTCCGATGTGCGTGTTTCGGCATTTCTCTTCAAGTTTTTTATGCCGGTGCAGATGGTGCCGAATATTTGAATTTCCTCCAGAGCTCTATCATCGGCTGCCCTGGTATTGACATCGACTTCCCTAAGCAACAGTCTCACGGTATAAATTGACCTCATGAGTGCTGCAATTTGAACCGCAAGATTGTATCGACTGGCTTAGGATTGATGTCCCTCCATTAAGTAACAGTCTAACAGTATCAAGCGGGCCTAACAGGGCCAGTCTACTCCGTAAGCACTACGCTTCGAAGCGCAGTACGGGTTTCAAATAAAGCGTCAAGCATTCCAGTTAGCCCGATGACAGAGCAAGAGCCTCACCCATATCTCTATGGATGGAAGTACGCGAGTTTCATGTATTAGGTTGACATCGACTCCATTCTTGGGCAAAGTTGATCCCAATACTTACCAATGAGTAACCTCGCAACTATGCAGAGTAACTTGAGTGTCCAATGAAGACTGGAGGCTCTAGGAACGTCAAGTAGGCCAAGCACGGAATGAGTCCCCTTCTAGTGATTCTTGACTGGTCATTATGAGACCAAATTACCTTTCAATTGTGTCTTAGAGGTAATAAGTCACATTTTTTCGGAATAAACAAAGTAACAGTGGACGGTTGAACACGACAAACATAAAGAATTCAAGTTACCGAGATAACATCATTGGCCCTAGTCCCTGTCGTCGTACATTGTAACTGGTTCTGTAACAAGCTTGAACACAATACAATCCTCAATTGCAGTATAGGCGCCCTGCAACTTGAAGTCCTCATCATGCATCCTCTAACATTATTATCAAGGGTATAATCATACTCATTGTCAACCCTATATTGATGACAGAGGCCACAATATACAGAACCTTGCATCTAATGCATCTCAGACCACATCAGTAGGCTTAGCTTGTTAGTTTTTTGCCTACTAAAGCATTAGCCGTTATCATTAACCAAGATTCACCTTCAAATGTTTATTTTACCTGCTATTTTATCCAAAGCATAGGCCACTAAGCAATCACCGGCGGGCTCAGGCTCAGGAAGTTGGATCTCCGGATTGCGCTTATTTATCCCTTTTGCAAACAATACCCTGGCGTAGGCAGGGTCAAACACAAATGTCGTCTCGCCGGTTTTGTGATTTCTGATTTCTGCTGTCGCTGAAATCTCGTCTATGGCAGTATACTCATCTCCAGCTTGTATAGTTGCTCTCTCAATTTGATTTTTGATATGCTGAGCAGCATCACGATCGAAGCGGGTATCGATAAAGTATAGGTGATCCCTCCCAGCTGCTGCCACATACGGTGTATCCGGTGCAAGAATCTGGAATCCAAATTCCGTTTCGATAATATTCGGTACGTAGCTGCTATCTCGATATTCCTTTTGATAGACTGGTGGGCCTTCGCATGCTGAAAATGAGCTTAGTAGCATACTGAGGACGAAGAGTAGGAATTGTATAGAATGCATAGAATTAATCTTCCAGTTCTCGTATCACCATGACCGTGGTCAGTGAGCAATTTAAAAACTCTTTCCTTTATTAGATACAGACTTGAGTGCGGGGCAAATAGTAGAGGGGGGCGTAGAGCATAAAGAACAAAGCGAGGAATGAAGAAGAATACAGCGAATCGAGGGCAGAGAAGCGTGGTTGCCTAGCTGTAAAGAACTTAAGTAGGAAAGGAAAGTGGAGATCACACTACGGACTACATACGGAGTGCGGAAGACTCGGAACAGACAAGGATATGTTGTATGGTAAAGAGAGATAACGCAATCACGGGCTTCCTACGGAGTGCGGAAAGATACTGATATCGGCAAGATTCACGTATCTAATTGCATATACTTTTAGCTATGTATGCGGTTTAAATATTGACATTCGTTTAATGCACCGAGACTTGTAACTAAATAAACGTAGGTCTTGTTTCCTCCTTCCGAGATCTTCGAGAAATTCTTTACCACCATGGGGTTAAATGGATTGGACCTTGAATGTAATTTTAGGGAAACTTTATAGCGCTCAAACATCACCGGGCTACTTGAGACTGGATTTCACCAGATTTCGATGAACTTTTTCTCTCTGGGGTTAATGAACAATAATATCATCATGTTAGTCGGGGAGAGAGAGGACAGGGGTTGGTAAGGAAATAGCACTATAGTATGTAATTAGTAGTAGCCTCAGGTCCCTATCTAGTATTAGTATGTAGGAACTTGAATAAGATACAGCCGATACTAAGAGGCACCTGATTATGTAGTATGTCATACTATAAAACCATCATGATCTATTCCGGTTGTTTCCCTCACCTCTCTTTTCCCTTTTTCAGTTTAATGATAACTATCCTATATAATATTTGGAGATAGTATATAATCTAGTATATAGTAGTTACCTTTCCCTTGCTTATTAACTTTACTGCCCCATTCTCCCCCTACCCCCAAGTTCCATCCGAATTAACATTACACACACATCCTTCTTTTACCTTCCAGCCTCATGTTCTCCCCATATTCGGAAGAATTCGAGGTTCTGGAATCGACTCTTCGGCCATACGACTTCGATGCCTAGGTGGGTAACATTTGAGAATAAAAATAAAGGTTCCTTATCATATGATTTCACTGCCTGTTGGCTAGCTACTAAATCTGACGTTTTGGTGTGAAATTGATTCTAGAACTTCACTTTGCTGGCTTTACAAACCAGGCAAAGTGTGAGATGGGTTCAAATGCTGAAATCAACTTGAAGCATTGGCCTTTCCCGCCGTCTGTGGATGCCTCATGTTTCTCATCTCTCCGCCGCTTTTTCCCAAGGGCTGCAAGGCACCCTCCGCAAATGAAAGTAAGAACCCCTTCGAGCGAACTTTTGGGGCCGCTTCTTTCCTTCGATCCCAGGAGCAATATTTCGAAGCACGGAATATTTCGACCAAAGAAAGAATTGAAATGCTGCAGAACGGCAAGGAGCCGCCAATAAAGAGGATGCCTGACTAACGAGAAGAGCTGCATGCTCGGACAAACGGGTAGAGCTTATGATGTTCTTTACGTTCGGTATTCTGTGCAAGCAATTGTGCGGCCCTGTCTTTATAGGGGTGACCACAAAACAGCGTTCGATGTTAGGGAAGCCCTTTAAAGACGTTTCCCATTACGACCTAACGCTGAGTATGCACTGCGAATTGAGAACCATGAAAAGGGAAGGGCGTATAGAGATACCAAAAATGCTGACAATCTTGACCCTAAATAGTGCCTGAAGCTATTGCGAATTGGAAATCTAAGAAATTGCATGTCGTGACATCCGGTCAGCATTTTGATATCCTTCGCCACAAGTGCAAACGCACTTACGATCTGGTCATGGAGATGCTTAGTATCGCGGGGCTTCATAACCCCGATGGACTAAAGAGGCATATGGAACATATGGATAAACGAATTGTCTCCCCCTTCGCAAGGCCTGTGGTGAACATGAAATGTTATGCCTTCACCTCAAAATGGAACTGGGCATATGGTCGTCTAGATTTTCGAAAAGCGCATTTTGCGATCCTGGAAATTGTGCCTATGGACAATCGCTCCAGTATCTTGAATCCAGAATTGCGGTACTCGGCACTGCCGGATAATGAGCTCATTGGCGAGTCGTTGTTTCCCATCTTTCCAGTACTTTGGAGAGTAGACGACGAGGGTGAGAACGATGTCCTCATCTCGAAAGGATGGATAGCAGTGAAGCTCCAATATTAGCGGGAATGTTGTAGCCATCGAAGGCATTTCTATTACGTGAAAAGAACAGCGTGACCCACTTTCTCCGCACGCCATTCCTTAGTCTCCCCCTCACGAGGTTTCTCCCCTCACCCTTCATAAGGCTAGCGTTACGCTTTTTTTTCTCTAGACAAATTACACAACTTCCTCCTGAGGCTCTCACCATATATATACACCCAAACTCAATCTCTGTACATAAAAGCCCACAACTGGTGCTCACATGCCGCCTTCACGACTTTCTCGCCTCCCGCCGTGGATCAGCCACTGGCTTGGCTACCGTCCCGTGGCTCCGAAACCATTACCAACATACCAGGTTGCGCTATGGTCCTTCATAACGTCTTTTTGTGGACTCTCCGTAATCCAAGGACTCTTCAACTACTCTGACTACTTCCTTTCACGCGGTGTTCCCGGAATCATCGCCTCATATGTACGTCTCGCCCCTTTACAATATAAGCCAAGGAACGCCACATCTAACAAAAACAGGGTGCATCCGCCGTTCTCGTCTTCGGAGCAATTGAAAGCCCACTAGCTCAGCCTAGAGCTCTGATCTTCGGTCACTTTTTCAGCGCCCTAACCGGTCTCTGCGTTACAAAGCTTTTTAGTCTAATGCCAGATCACGCGCGTTTCGAGTCTCTGCGCTGGCTTGCCGCGTCCCTCTCCACTGCTATTGCTATCGTTGTTATGCAGCTGACGGGAACGACTCATCCCCCTGCTGGCGCGACTGCTTTACTCCCTGCGACTAATGATGAGGTCTGGAACCTTTCTTGGTATTATTTACCGATTGTGCTGCTGTCGTCTACTCTGCTCATGACGTGTGCTCTACTATTAAATAATTTACACCGTCGATACCCTGTCTTTTGGATTGCGCCGAGCCCTGCACCGAAACCTGGACCTGTACCTGCTGTTGATCTTGACTCGGGGAAGTCTTCTGCGGAGACTCCATCGGTGCGCGATGAAGCCAAGGCCTCTGTTTAATCGTCATTGGTGAAGTTTCTACGTTGGGCATAGCGGGTGGGAATCTCTTCAGAACATTGGAATTGCTGGTAAATCAAAAGTGACAAGGCAGGCTCTCGCGGCTTGAAGGGTCACTGCATATTTTGTCTCTCACATACCATAATCATAACTTCATAAAACAGTACATAATAGCATAATTGAAAATAATTCCATCTAACAATACGGAAGAACAAATAAAAGGCTGAATGACCGTGGTATATCATTGAATCATCGAAACAAAACACAACAAAAGAAAAGAATGAGCTATGCTATGCTAGTGTACGCTATGCCGAAACGCTTCAGACTCAGCTTCCTTCGAAACATCAAACTTAGCCCCATACTCATGCATGGTATGGTGTGGTTTACACGCCAGATCCGAACTACTCTGTCTCCCCGGCCTCGTACAAACTTTAACAAAGCACCTCGGTAAATGTTTCTTCTTCGCCATCCTCATTCCAACCTCCCGAATCTTATTTCTCCTCTGCGCCAAATCATACGGATGAGATTCATCAAATTCATCGGCAAAGAGCTTTAAATGCAACTTCTCATGCGCATTAAGCTTAGGTAGAAGTTTTGACGCCTGCTCATCTCCAAATTCAAATGATGTTCCGAGAATAACATAGAATTTAGCAGCTGGATGCAACTTGGCAGAGTGCCAGTCTAGAAATGTCCATTCGGGACGGACAATCCATGGTAGACGACGCTCTTTCATAACAACGGGCCACCAGTCTTTGAAGCGTAATCGAGCCTTTTTTCCAGCTACCGCGTGGACGCAGCCGAATGTTCCCTTTGCTGTGTGGGAGAGGAGTCGATCTACCACGACGTCTATGGGCACTTCGTCCATTGTCACTTCGTTTTCGGGATCTGTGCTTCTAGTCGGGAATTTCATGTGCTTTCCTGCGTATAACAGGATTGATGCTGCGAGACCTGTTGATGGTGTAGATGTTGAGCTCGAGTATCCAGGATATGGCTGGGTGATAGCAGGACCTAGACAAGAAGGTCGAATGATGAGGAGCTTTTCAGTAGCTTCATTTTGCATAAAGGCATTGATAAGAAGACGCTCCGTAAGGTGTTTCGCATACGCATATGGCCAGGGAAAATCATTATAGTCGAATTCAATGCTTGTCCCTGTATCCAGGACACTTCTCCACTCGTGTTCTGTCTGTGGACCGAATCCAGCCCACTCGTCCAAATTATGCGGATCATATACCTCCTGATGCGGACCAAGGGAGTAAATGCACTCTTTAACGGTGACTTCGGATTTATCGGTCGTTTTCCATAGATGGGCATTCGCGAATGCAGAAGAAACGTAAACGAAATGCTGAAGATCTTCAAATTCCATCGCTGTTTCGGCGAGCGATATACTCGGCGCAATGATTGATGTTGCCAGTTTGGGTAGCGGACATGTTAAACTAACCGACGATGCAGCGTGGATGATCACTTGGACGTTTTTCTTGAGTTGTCGCCAGTCTGACTCGTGTAGACCCATCTGCTTGAGTGTAATATCGCCGCTTAGGAATGTGACGCATGAGCTTTGGAAAAGGGCTGCGGCCATGGCTTCTGGTAGGAGTTTCTGCCATTTTGCGTGCGCATTTCTTTAACGAATGTCAGTTGCTGTACTTAATGGTGGATGATAGCCGCAACCTACTCTGGCCCTCCACGGCATAACACGAATATTCGTTTTGGCGCAGCTTGGCTAAGAAGTCTGCATAAGATCGCAGTTCCCAATGTACCCGTGCCACCAGTTAGAAAAATCGATTTACCCCGGTAATATTCCCACATAATGAGAATGTGATCTCACCCACTTCCAGAATGGAGCGATTTCAAACCAGCGAGGGCTTTCGCGCGAAAGGAAGGGGCGTTATTAAGATCTGATTTGGCGCGCAAATTCTTCTGGCTTCTATTTTTGTATAGGCTGCGTAGGTAGATGTTTGTTGTTGAATCGTCGCTCTATCGCAGATGTGCAACGAGCTCCGAAATCAAGCTTCGGGGTTCGCCCATACCCCGGGGCATCTTACTTGTATATAAACAAATATCTGTAAGGGGCAAACGTCAGGTATGTTTCCGAAGTCATTTGCAGTGTTCCTGGGCTGATCATTCCTCAATCCTGGGGAGGGAGGGCCCACATTGTTTCCGAGTGCGGAATCCCTTCAAGGCTATCGAGAAGTCCTGATTGAACTTTGCACCTTGTTTCTGGGCTAACTGAGCCGATCAAAGGATAAGTAGACTCAACTTGATAGTCTCCACGCGATCGCATACAGCATACTTGACGTCTTGGAAACTCCGTTGGACATTCGACTTAGCTTCAAGTTTGTCTCGCGGATTGATCGCGCATGTCAAGAATGTTCCATGCCTAGATACACTCCACGCGCTTCGTTTACCGGAGAATTCACCCATAATTGACGTCACATCAGCTCAATGAAATAAATCGTATTTAAGAGTCATGTCTCATTTGAATTTGAGAAGTATACAAGATGTCATCTAATCACGTTCCGCTCGTCTTCATAATCTGGCCTGCTCATGCTTAGAATTCACCGCATCCACTCCACCAGCATGAAGATGCACCAACTGCCTCGCAACCTCCTCAACATCATCAACATGTACAAAATGACTCGTATCCTCAATAACATACTCCGTCACCCACGGCGTCAGATGCTCCCTCAACAATCCCATATAAACAGTCACAAAATCCTTATGAATACTATGTCTCCCATCAGGACCAACTTCCTGTCCCTGAATATTCAAAATCCTCACAGGTTCCTTCCCCTCCGAAACCCACTCATGATTCCTCGTGCTTAAATCATCCATAAGCGAGGGAATAAAGCAGTCATACCCACTATACCAATGCGCAATTCGCAAAAGATAAGGGAAGTCGGAATACGCCATAAACGTCCTCATCTCAGTCTTGAAGGACTCCGATGTCCTTGAACCAAAATACTTATGCATTCCACCTAGTGCTCTCTCTTTCAGTATCTCTTCATATTGGTTCATCATACTAATACTGATTGGATCAGGTGGATTGGTACTTGTAAATGAACCGTCGAGAAAGATAAAATGGGTCGGCAAAACCTTCATATCGTTGAAGATTGTCGAAGAAAGAAAAGAATATAATCCAAATCCCACCCTTGTACCCATACTATGACCGTAAAAGTCAAGTGGGATTGGATTTGAATTATTCGTTTCACTATCAGCCCCAGTTTGTGACGGTAGTCCGGACAGAATCTCTTCATAAAACACCTGAAGAAGTTCTATTAATCCCCCCTTTTCAGGCTCAGGAAGTGTAGACGAGCTCGACTCCCCATGACCAGGTAAATCAACAGCGATATAGAGATATCCATTTTCAGCGCCGAACCCCTGTTCCGAGAGAAGGGTTATTAGAGGGATATAATGTGTTGCGCGACAGGTCCAGCCGTGGATCATCAAGGAGATTCGAGTTATAGGGGTATCCCTTGGTAAAGAGGGGATATTGCTCAGATAAGAGAGCTGAGTAGACGCCGAGATACGGCGATGGATTGAATTTGCCATGATTTTGAATTTGAGTTGAAAATCAAATCTGAAAGTTGCACAATTTGATTGTTTGATTATTTAAGTCTATGCAGATTGAGGATGGGTGCTGGTTATAGGTACTCTTGGCTCTTGGCGTTATCGGGGGCAAATCGGGATATTCTTGGCATTGGGGCTTTGATCGTCATGAATATCCGAAATACAGATCGTATCGGGTTAGAATGGGCTTTTGCAGAAATGGGTGGAATTGCCTACTGTAGCGGACTATTTTGGTGGCGAATATGAATATGAAAGGAATGAAAGGATAAGCGTAGTTGTGTCATTTTGCTGTGATTTTCATTGGGGCAAAACTTGGTTAACGGCCCCAGGTGGAAATGGAGGTGTCGCAGAGTAAGTAGTCCGTACCAAAAATGGAGATAATTGCAAGCAAAGGTTTTGGTTTTTTTCTTGTTGCTTGACAAAGTCTTGAATCTCAAAAGCACAAATCAGAAAAGGCCATCTATGTAGGCAACGTTCATCAATTCTGATATTCTTCATTATGATTTGCAGATTCTCCATCGTGGGGCGCTTAAGTTGACGCCCCCACATCACTGTGTTTTAGCTGTGAACAAAGATTGAAGCTTATTGACCCAAATAGCGAAGATCGTAAGCTGAATCCACACGCCACGCTGAAAGAGACAGTGGGGGCTGGCATATCACGCGGATTTTGAAGAAAATCGAGGCTATAATGCTTCTACATGGTTCTGGAGCAAGTTAGATACGAGATACGAAGATTTTGTGGCTTGATACTGGGTCTGCTTTTGGATAGTATTAAAGTCGATTACTCGAATGGGAAACTATATGTCTGAGGCTATGTACATTTTATTTAACATTCCAAAAGTAGATATACACTGCTGGTCATAGTGTAGAGCGCCATGACCTGGTACCTGGGGGGGGGGGGATATTTGCTTTACAAGTGGTCCCACCCCTCGGCATGTAAGACTTGCATCTCGTTGATTATACAGAATCTGGCTGGTTCATTGTTCTCGGGACTCAAGGCTGTCCAGCGATCGATGCGACGCTGAGCTAGCTTGTCTTTCAACCAGGTCGACGTTGTCCAGCGTCGTATCCTATTCACCCACAGGCCTTGCAAGATAGAGCGTGCGGAGAGCCAGTTCATGATAGGGTTGACGGCCACATAGGCCGGGCCGCTGTATCCAACGCGGACGAGAGGATTCATATATATTCCGTCTTTTGTTGATAGAGGGTTATCTGCGTGAATAAGGCAGCATTCGGAAGCTTCCAAATGCGAAGATGCAAGTGAGTCTGGGATTCCACGGAATCGCAGGGGGTGTTTAGCCGTGAAAGGAGCGGCAGGCATTGCAACTGGAAAGTATGTTAGAATATGAGATGCATCGGGGGATTTGGACATTTGACTTACCCATTCCGTTCCAGCAGCTCTTTACTGGAACTGGTGACAGATTTTTCACGGCATTTCGAGATACAGCGTTGCGAAAGAATGGCCATGTTGACTGTATAGCTTCATGTCCACTAGCATCGCGAAGAGCAAATGTGTCATAGTAATGTGGTGGTTTAGAAAAGTCCATCGAGCAAGCAGCTGCATAGCTGCCATCGTTGGTATCGAGCAATTCAAAAACATCATTTGGCTAAATCAGATCTAATTAGCAAATGCCCGGGCAATAATCCATAGAAACCTTGAAGGTATTGAATCCATACCGTAAAAACTACATCATTGAGAAACAAAACCCTATCAAATGTGATACCTTGCTTCGCCAATTCCTCCAACGGCTGCAAACTCCGATTACGAGTTCGCGCTAAGTACGGAATGCGCCGCAATTCCATGTGCCCCCTCGGTGTATCAATCCACCCCTCTCCAGGCACAGCAGCCATTTCATCCGCATGTGTAACAGGCGACAAGGTGATACTGTGTGGTATTTGAAGACGATCGAGTTCCATATCCAACTCCCTCAAAGCATCCTTAGTATTATCATAGCTGCCACTCTCATATATGCTAATATATACGTTGCCCGGGCCAAGTTTCCAAGCTAATTCCACAAGGGCCTGGCTCCAGTGACTTCGTAGAATCCATTCACTATTCCAATTCACGCTGGCAATATATATTCGTTCATTTCGCTGAGGTTGTTCGCGGTAGATGATGTCGACTTCGGAGATTCGTCGGAGAGTAAGGTGTAGCTCGATAAGATTCCAGGCTATGAATATGATAAGGAGAGTGCGGAGGATGCGGGTTCGGACCATTGTCCGACGCATAGTGCGGGCATATGGAATCGGGAGGAACATAATGAGTGGACGCCGGGAATCGCGGCAAGAATCGCGGCAGGAAATCAAATCAAATCAAAGATCGAGACTAAGAAAAATTAAAATTAAAAAGATGGGCGAGACTTAGAGCATCGTGTTTTGGTGATGGGTGAAAATTGACCCCCTGATCGGATACGGGCGGGGGCTAGGAAAAAGTCGAAGAAGCCAAGTCTTTTTTTGTCTTTTTGCCTAGAAATTGAATCTGGAACGGAAGACACAGTCTGGAATCAAGGGGTCAAGTCGGTGCTGCGGAGACTTGAAGCCCTTCATACTTCCGAAGCCAGAAAGACGCGCGGCGATCACTTGGAGACGATCGGGCGAGTCAGTTGAGCCTGGTCGACATGTTCTTTTCTCCAGGGAACAAAGCAGATTATGTACAGTGAAGATCGACCCTAACACGTGGACAGTGATTAAATCAGAATGAAGAACCAAAGAAAACCTCCTGGACAAAGCAGTAAAGGGGAGAAATGAATAAATCAAGGAGAAAACAAGTGGTTTATCCACCAAGAAGTCAAAAGGGGGCGACTATTTGTCCATTTACCTCATCAAATGCCAAAACACCCAGCAAACTGCTCCCGCAGCCGCAAGGGCCGCTTTCTTCTGAACCCTCGTCCCCACACTCGTTGAAGTTGCTGCTGCCCCCGATTCAGTTGCTGTACTTGAACTACCTCCCTCTAACCAAGGCTGACCAGGAAGTGAATCAGAGCCATCATTCTTCGCTTCAACCATCTCATTCTCAAGCAAATCGCACTCCACTCGATCCGAGCTCTGAGAAATACTATTTGTCACCGAGATAGGCAAATTAAACACAGTATAATAGTCGGTGTCATTCCAGCGAAAAGATTGATGCATGGTAATGTTGTATGCGCCTCGTGCCGTGCCGTCGCTACTGTCTCCATCCCCGCTGCCGACGAAACATCTGGGCCATACCCAATTCACATGTTTGACCGTTGATGAAGGTTCGAGATCTAGTACGGGTCCGACATATCCGGATGAGTTGCTGGGCGGCACAGTACCATTGGACAAGGTGAAATTATGCGACTGGGACTCAGAAGTTAGGAACAGTGTGATGTTGTGGAAGAGAGTTGCTGCATTGTCGGATTGAGTAGACGGTGGCCAGGGAAGTTGGCCATCTCCAGATACGTCGATCGCAACTTGGAGGGTGTCTGGACATTCAATATCTGTTAGCGATCATTCATCATTCGTACTTTCACTTGGAACTTGCCTCCTCCTAAAGGAGTGTATGGTTGTGGGGCATCCACAATAGCCAGCCCTGGCGTGTAGATCTGGCCGTTCACGATCGTGAAGTTTCCCATAGTGAACCCGCAGGAGACGATCTGCTCTGAAAATTAAACTTTCAACCCCCGTACCATTTCTTGACATGACCCTTTTCTTTTAATGTTCTCGGCCTATTCAGGGATTTAGATGACCCTGAAATGTGGCGTGCCAAGTGCCCACTGGCTCATTTCCGAAGCCTCCGTGACATCCTTAGCGTTTCGGGATTAATCTATTCTACTCATTTCGCCTAGCCGTTAGTGCAGGGTCCTGACCCTGCATTTTGATTGAACAATATATGTCTAATATTGAAATCAAGGATGTGGATATGGTCTAGGGATAAAATTGCATGAGATATTACTCTCCCTACGGCTTGATTCAGCATGACACATGCGAGGCCATATAAACCATTGGACATCTTCAAATGTTCAAGATCTATTGGGAAAGCCACACTGGGACCCAACGTCTGTTAGATTTGTGGCATTCAAGTTCTAATGCTCACGTTCAAGTTTAGAAGAGTCTCCACGATGGTACTAGTACTAGTCAGGGTAGATACTAAATCCGTGGACATATTTTAAGCCTTGAAGGGAGATTTCGGCTTCCAAGTTCAAGTCAAAGAAAAGAAACCTCGAGCACTCCAGATGTCTCTATCAAAGGCAAAACCAATGATTTTGAGGCTCTTTATAGAATACGCATAACCAATCCGCCTAACAGGTAGTTTAAATCATATTAAATGGAAAGAGGAACGATTAAAGACCGTTGACGCGGACCTCAATGGCCGGTCGGCCATTCACCAACCGCCGAGAGTCACCACCCGCTCGTATACACCCGTCGAACAAGCCAATGAAATCATTTTAACACTCTCCAGGATTCAATGATGATCTCCTCTGGTCTGGTTAATTCAGCTACGGTAGAAAAGACCGATAGATTCGCATTTTGCGGCGATTCGAATAAGCTTTGACGCGCTTTGAGTGATCTTGAAGCCCCGGATCTACCTTACTCTGGTTTATCGCTGCGCCCGCGCAAATGCCGGCATAGCTTGAACATGTCTAGATCATTTGAGGGGTATATATAAGCTTCAAGCTACCAGGTCCCGCTCTTCACAAATTCAAGTTACTCTGCAAGAACATTAAAGCTTCTCATACCCTCACAATGTCATCTCTGACTGTCTTCCGCGGCTTCCCCGACACCGGCCGCTACGTCTGGTCCCCATTCGTCACGAAGCTCGAAGCTCGTCTTCGATTCGGAAATATCGCATACAAAACAGAGCCAGGTTCTATGTCCAACTCTCCCAAGGGAAAACTGCCATACATCTCCATCGAGAATGAGGACAAAAGCACGAAACTCCTTTCCGACTCAACTCTCATCATCAAAGAGCTCATTCAGTCTAAAAAACTGAAATATCTTAATTCCAAGCTCTCTGGATCTCAAAGACTTCAAGATATAGCACTACAAGCTTTACTCGAAGACAAATTATATTTTTATGGGGTATGTTCATGATCTTCAAATTCCCTGCAATCCATGTCAATGATTCAATATTTCAAAATTCTCCGAAAATCTAACACAATCTGCTTTGATATTTAGGGGTATGAGAAATGGATACAGAACTACTACACCATGCGAGATAAGATTCTCGCTGCACTACCCTGGCCTGTCAAGGTAGTCGTGGGCAACATCATCTACAACAAAAACCTTCGCACTCTCAACGGCCAAGGGACCGGGAAATTCACCGACGAGGAAATCGCTGCTTTCCGCATTGATCTCTGGGATACTTTGAACGCTGCTATTTCTGAATCTCATGCTAGGCATGGGGACAATGAAGGACCGTTCTGGGTATGGGGTGGAGAGGAGCCGACCGAGGCAGATGCAGTTGTTTATGGCTTCATCGCGGCAGGGTTGGTTTGTGAGTCGTAAGTTTTCTTTTTCCGTGACATACCTATCCTTTGGTCCTTAACATATGCTTTTTTATTACTTTAGGGCACCAACTACGCAATGTATTATTCGGGGTTATCCGGCTCTTTTGGTATATGCCCGTCGCATTCATGATGTGTATTTCCCTGACTATGAGTTGTGGGAGTAGTGGAGGGAATTCAAGGTAGCTTCCAAGTTTTGGTTTTGTTGATATAGCGAGAGCGTTTGTGCCCCATTCAAGTATTTCAATTTTACTAACTATGATTGCTTAATACACACAAACCTGTTACTTCAGCGCGTCCCAAAGTTCAAGTTGTTGCCTGTAAGATTCTCGGGCAACGTACAATGCCTACGTAGACATAGCGTCACATATGATCATCCTAAAAACGAAGCCCAAATTGACAATTTGTCGATCTTTTCAAGTGCCGCGTGGCTAGATGAACAAGTTTTTGTAGCCTACAGTGCCACCTCATCTTTGAGGGTTACGTGTACCCACTTCAGGTTCCACTCGGGATTTCATTTCAAGGCAACAGCGGTGGAAACTGTTGTTTAATTCCAGATGTGGAGCCGAAAGCTAGAGCCACCTCGGAGATTTTATTTTCATTAGTGTATGTCGGAGATAGGGCTGAGTTCTGTAGTAGGCCTGTGGTGCATCTCCGAAGAACCTAGTATCAATGAACTACCGATATAACCTAGTGCTTTGGGTATAATATTTGCGGAATGCTACACTTTGAAGACATAGCGTATGTTAGGAAACTTCTATTTTCATACTTGGCATCATATCTCTCTGGATTGTACTTTTTATTTATTGGTTAATAATCAGATGTCCCATTTGCAGTGGGTATGGCGCCGCATAGAACAAAGACGTGGAAACAAAGGATTGTTTAAACGGTTCAGTCTGAATCTAGATAGCCCAAGTCATTTATATTTAAAGAATCTGAAACAAAGGTAATATGGCTGAAGACAATATTCAAAGAATAATAGATCGCTATTTAAAGATCTTTATAAGAGCGAGCAACCCCCCCTCTCGCCAATCCCTACCTTTGATGTTATCCCGCTAAAATTGGCAAACGATATCACAAAAATACTGATTAATGGATCAAAAGCAGATACTTCCGACAAAACATGGCACTCCCCTCTGATGAGGACCCTTCAGATGGCCGCCGTTCCAACAGAGATGATGGCAGGCCCTCAGACTCAAATGCATTGGAGAGGCGGGAGAAGCGGGAGAAGCGGAAGCTGGAGAAGTCTCATCGCAATGAAGTACAACGACGTTATGAGGCACAGAAGGAAGCAGAAGAAAAAGCACTGGCATATAAAGAGCTCTATGACCGGTTAGTCGAATACGAGATAATAAACGAGGAAGAAAAGAAGCGGAACGCGCGACTAGAAACCGAAGTCCGGAGCCTACGAGGGCAATTGAACAGCGAAACAGAACGAGCCGATGTCAACGAGTGGAATATTGGGAAGGCCGAGGAGATGATCTTGGAAATGGAGAATACAGCTGAGGCACAGAGAAAGAAATGGAAGGAAAGGGAGGAGGAGCTCCAAGTGCGTCTCAAGCAGGAAAGAGATACTTCAGCCCGGCTCAGGCACATCATAAAACAGGCTGCGGCCGATGTCAACATCTGTAGAGTTGAAGTCTCTCGTTCTACAAATAACAGAGATCGCTTGCAGCAGCATATACAGGAGCTTGAAACGTGTCTTCAAGAAAGCAGAGATGAAATAATACGTGATCGGGAGAGACTGGAAGAATTCTTGAGTACCACAGAGGAGGCTGTAGCAGAAAGAACTCATTCACTCCATACAGAAATGGAAAGTCGGATATTCTACGGGCCGCAGAGTCGGAACGGAGAATCTGATTCCATAGTGAGGTCACCTTGTTTATTCACTGTTGATGTTTTGGATTTCCCCTTTGGGTGTACACAAGCGAAGGCAACCAAAGTGAGAGCAGACAGACCACGACTCAATCTCCTTGAAGAATCAAGATACACTCGCAGAACTTCTTTTTACCCCAAACATCGCAGTCGTACCTCTTTGCCAAATACTATTCGTCTCGTAAATGAATCAGCTCCTTCAAAATCATTTGAAGAACCACTTTTCAGCCCATTCAGTGAATCAGACGAACCCTTCAATCATCATCCACGATCTCACTGTGCATCACCAGCTCACAGTGAATCACCACCACCATCACCAGAACACTTCTGGAGCTCTACTCAAGTTTTCAATCCGAATCAAAGACCTTTAGATCTTGAGCTCGAGCTCGCTTCTGAAGACTTCTCTGATCTTGAAGATACCAGCGTCTTCAACTCACGCAGCTCATCACGCGGCCCAGTACCAAGCCCACCAGCCAGCTTCCTCGACAAATTCTTCTTACCGGACACTGAATCCGACGCCATTTCGTCCAATACCTCGCTGCCACTGCAATTGACCATGCAAATCCCCGTACCTGAGTTCTCACGAAAGCGCGTGCGTTTTACAACCTCACAAGCCAACGTTGATGATTATATCACCGGACCTACAATCGGCAACCAGCTGGCAGCTGGCGGCGCGAACATCAACTCAGAACAGACACTTAACCCAGAGGAACTTCCTAGCCCACCCAAGCGTGCAAAGGTTGACTCTCCACATCCATTACGGCGACCCAACAAAATCAGAAAGTTAGCTGAATCGAAAAAGCACAGAATAGAGATGCAGGCTTTACTTGAATTCCACCGCCGCCGTCAACAACAAGAACTAGTCACACCTCCACCAGAGCCATCCCCATCTCCACCACCAGTGAATGGAGAAGACAAGCCGCTCATACATCGCTACCTGAAATGCCCAGAGCTTTGCCCATACCACGATGTGGCTCCTTTCCCAGTTACCACTGAAGTGATTGATCTAATCTCATTGCTTCCACAAGGACATCGCCTCAGAGTGAAACGTGACTACGAAGAGTCTCTTATCAAACCACCAACACCAGAATCACAAACTGTACAAGAACCAGCACTTGAAAATACTCGTGTACTTACTCCTTCTTCTGATCCGAGCGTCGTATCCAAGCGCCGCCGACTTACCAATACCAAACAAAACACCAGACAAAACAAATCCAACAGAATATCCAAAAAATCAACGTACAAATCATCAAATCCCAAAATGCCTGGCTCATGGCCTCGTGAAAGCCGACAAAATTGCGAAGTCACCATTAACATCAACGTCATTGAGCGCCTAGAAAAAGCAGCTGAAAAAACAAAATCATGGATCAAACGCACAGCCCGAAAAAATCAGGTCGAATTAGTGCTTGGGGCATATGTATTCACTACCGTCTTTGGGCCTACCATACAACATCGACTCGAACAAACATTTTCACCACTTAATGCCTTTACACCTGAAGCGATAAATAATTATCGCGAGCTCTATGAGAAAGATGAGCTCACTTGGTTCGGCATCTGGTTTTTTGATATTGTGAAATATTGTGGCCTTGACCGGGCAACAATGGGTTGATTGAGTGGAAAACACGACATTTTTCTACAGATTTGAGATCTAAGACGATACATATGAGATGAGATCGGATATGATATGGAATGAAATTTATCGACGGGACTGAGAAGACATAATAGCCCAACATAGCCGGATTTCTGGGTTGATACATCATATGCCAACGCTGGCGTTGGCTTGATTTCCCCATGTCTAATGCTTGTTGTGTATCAATTATCAGCATCAACGACCTGCACCTGCACCTGCACCAACACCAACACAAAAACACACTCAAAATATACATCCAAACATCCAAACATCAAACATCACCTAACTACACACCCAAATAAAAATACAAACGACTAGCATCAGCGGCCAGAACCAACACCACTACCAACATGAGCGATTAGCATCAACGATCAACATCCTCATAGTGGCAACTATGTATGGTTTGCCCCTTTATTTATGAGCGATTTTTTAATACTTGACTTTACCTGGATATTGGAGTTGAATATACCTAGAGGCCACGAACGCCACGGATTCATCCTATGTACGATTTAATTAGAGTTTGAACAATGCATAGCGAATGCGCTTTTCTTTTTCCTTTTACTGGTTTTCAACTTAAAAAGACGGCATGCAAGTAGAGGCCTAAGATAGAGAAAGACGCGTCTACTATTGCGTAGGGTAAAGAAATTACCAGCGAGTATAATCCCCGTGACTCGATTAGATAGACCCTTTGAAGTCTTGAAACCGCCCCCGGTTTTTTTTTTTTTTTTTTTTTTGTTGTGTTCACGATGTTCACGTATGCTGAACTACTGTATTCAGGGATAGCCCCGTGGTGAGGGAATCGTTTAGTGATAGGCTGGATATGTATCTACGGACTTGAATACCGATTTTTGTCTAAGAGATTGTAGGCTTCGGGGATGAACTCCATTTGGAGGTTAGTCGGCGGTTACTCGTCAACAGGGTGAGAAATCGTCATTGTAATACAAGAAATATACCAAATCTTCTATTGTTCTAATAATATCCGCATATAAAACAAGTGAAAAGTGGGCTTCTGTATTGTCACAAACCTGTATTTTCTAATGACAAAGTGCAATGGGCAAAAGAGTCAAACTGCATCTTCCAGCCAATCACAGCCTGCGCCACGCATCGAGCTGGCGTCACCCGCTCCACTCACTCGCCCCATGGCGGACTTAGACGGATCAGCTCCACTCCCTTTCTTTCCCCTCTAAAGATCTCCTCTTCCCCTTCGGACGTCTCTTGACATTCATCCACCATATCCTGTCTTCGACGTCCGCTCTTTTCAACCATGTTTTCTCGCTCCATCCTGCTGGGTGGTGCGCTCGCTGTGGGCGCCAGCGCCATGCTGGTTATCCCTGAGACCGTACCACAAGTGGATCAAGTGGAAGGGATCGAAGACGATTTCGTTAACATACTTCAACCCACCTACCCTGATGTCTCCTACGCTGTGATGCTGAACTGCGACGCGTGCCCCTTCCGTGGGGTTAATGAGGAGGGTGTTGTCAGCTGGTCTGATAACAAGCCATCCACTCTGGTAAGAAATTCAACCAAAGCACAAAACTGATTGTACGGCGGCTAAAAGTATTCCTACAGTTCGTCGAGTTCCACATGGAAGAGAACCGTCTGCTGGCCAACGATCATCAAATTTTCCCTCCCGTTCCTCCTACTCCTATCACCGCCGTCCAGCATGCCCGTGATGGTGACGAAGAATCAAGCCCCATGCTTGTTGGATACGCCCTGGAGGTTACCTCGCGCTCCAAGGATTCCAATGTGGAGGAAGGCTTCGACGTTCTGGATGCTCGCTTCACCATTCTCGACCTTGAAACTCACCCTGTCCCCGTCGACACCGTCGCTATGACTATGATCCTCACCCCGACCGGAGATCTGCTCCTCGTTGATGGCGAGATCGACAACACCGCCCCACCAGCTGAGAAGCTGTCGTGGAAAAAGTGCGAGGGTAAGCCTAAGTGTCTGCAGGAGCTTTTGTTCGATCGCGTCCACGGCCTTCTTGAGGCTGCCAAGGACCGATTCAGAGGCAAGGGTGGCAAGAAGGGCTGCCACGGAAAGCACGGGAAGCATGGCAAAGAGGACAAGCACGCCATGGGTGAGCACCACGGTCACCACGAGGGCAGTGCAGAGGAATTCGAGGACTTCAAGCACCACCGTCCCCACCATGACTTCCACCCTGAGGGCATGCCTCCTTTCCCTTCATTCCACGACTTTGAGGACGACTCCGAGCCCAAGGGACATCGCCCCCATCACCACCACCCCGACGGCGATCACTTCAACCCTGAGGCTGAAGATGGCCGTCCTCACTCTCACCACCACAAGCACCACGGAGGTCCCCCTCACGGTGCTTTCGCCCACACTTTCTCCCGTGTTGTCCGCTTCATCGTCGTGCCTGCCATTCTCGGTGTTCTAGCTGGTCTCACTGCCAGCGCTGTTGGTATGCTTGTCGGCCAGGCTGTTGTCTTCCTCTGGCAGCGCTACCGCGGTACCAAGAACCAGGAGCACAAGGCTGCTTGGGAGGAGGGTGCCACCTGTGAGAAGCAGGGTCTTATGTCTGAGTCTGCCGAGGAGGAGTTCCTTCCTGAGTACAGCCAGGAGACATCCGAAACCCGTGCGTCTATGGATAAGAATTAAGTTTAAGTTTGATATTAAATTTAAACTTGTTCACTGGCTCACCAGAAGAATTGCCTGGATTCTCTCTCCTGAGTCGTGACTGAGAATGTTCTGAATATCTATACTCGAGAGTCAGACTGTTTATCCTGGAGGATTCGGTTCATTATTCTCCTTTAGTTCTGAGTAACTTTTCCCCTTATATCTGTTTTATTCATCCTTCAATGTCCAGCTTGTACAGCGAGATTTTCTTACAATGCAGTTTTGTCCTGGGATATAAAGCAAAAGCCCCGCCTAACTTGGTAGATACAATAATATTGACCAACCTAGTAAATATGCTACACTCCACAATGCGGTATTGCATTGATTGAATATGCCCATTAAATACACAGCCACAAAGCACATATCCAATAACTTTTATTTTATAATAAATTTTCAAATAACTAATCTATCTATTGATGCTCAATGCGGCTATAAGGCTGATTCACGTGATACGGTACTCAGCCCGTTCGGCCCCCTCCCATGAGACCACGGCTATCAAGCGGACAACAACCACTTAATCCCCACATTTTGCGCAAGCTGCAGGTCCAGTGCTTGACCTAAATGGACTGGAGGCCGTACAATGACCTTAGAGCTTTCTTTTGAATCTTGTACGGGCTATTTTGTTTACTCCTAGCCCGGATCGGCTTTCCCGCCTCACGTCACCGCTATAGCTCCGCCCCCCGATATCCTCGGGACCGTGTACCTACCTGTCAAACAGCTGGTCCAATCGACCTCTAGCTGCCCAGGATGGCGTCATGGTCATCATTCATGCAGAAGGCACAATCACTGATTGACCCGGCCAATTTCAATATCCCCTCCCTCTCATCATCCGACGATAGTCCCTCGAAAGCCTCCCTCTTCCGTCAACAATTCCGCCTCCCCGATTCGCAGACCCCCCTACAAGAAATCACAGCCGACCTCGTCCTCCCACTACCAAACTCTTCTTCGGGATCTGGAGAGGCCTCTCGTCGCGTTGATAAAGCTGGGAATCGGTACACGGGGCGTCTCCACCTCAGTGAACGATTTATTTGTTTCTCTACACAACCCACTAGCTTCCTGCCTTCGTCTACACACAGTGCATCTACTAGCTGGACTGGTCAAACGCATGGAACTGGACCCTCGGGGAATGGCTTCACATTACCCCTATCATGTGTTCGTCGAGTTGAACGACTGCATAGCGCTAGCCATGTTTTCTCCTTGGCGTTGACGACATGGAATGGGTTGTTGAATAAGCAACAGGAGCCTAATCTCGTGCCTCAACGTCTTATTCTCCAACTTGTCGGTAGCAGGCAGGCCTGCGAGCGGTTCTGTGACTGTTTAAAGAAAGGTCTACGGGAGGGTATGAAGGAAGTTGACAGTCTACGGTCAGTGGTGACAGATTGTTACTCGGAATACCTGCTGTCGGGTGCGAAGATCACCGCGAAAGAGGAGAGTGATCCTAATGGTCGCCAGCCCCCCAATGCTGGACTGGGTATGCTCTTCCGATATCCTGGCGATGCGCGCAAGCTTCGAGACCGTAGTAAGATGAGACTTTGGGGTGAATATTTCAGAGGTAAGTTCAGTGCTTGAATCACAAATTACTTGCCGATCTTTTATTGACAACCGTACAGAGAACGGCCGTAACACAACGCTCGTACGCCAGCCAACGTTTCACAAATTGATCCGGGTCGGTTTACCTAATCGCCTCCGTGGAGAGATTTGGGAGCTCACGTCTGGATCTATGTTTCTTCGTGTTCGGTCGCCAAATCTTTACACAGAGACATTGGCTAAATTTGAAGGACAAGAGTCCCTGGCCATTGATGAAATTGAGAAAGACTTGAACAGGAGTTTGCCTGAATACCCCGGATTTCAAAGTGAGGAGGGCATTGGTCGTTTACGACGAGTTCTCACAGCATATAGTTGGACCAATGCGGAGATTGGTTACTGTCAAGCAATGAACATTGTCGTGGCTGCATTGTTGATGTTCGTCTCAGCTCCCTCTTTTGTTTCTACTTACAATTATCGCTAACATTAACTAGATACACCTCTGAGGCGCAGGCCTTTTTCCTTCTCTCGGTGCTTTGCGATCGCCTTCTGCCAGGCTACTACTCCACCACTATGTACGGCACTTTACTTGACCAAAAAGTATTTGAGTCCCTGGTGGAGAAGACAATGCCTGTTCTTTGGGAACATCTCGCGAAATTCGATGTACAGCTCTCGGTTGTCTCTTTGCCATGGTTCCTTTCTTTGTATATCAACTCCATGCCTCTTGTCTTTGCCTTTCGCGTGTTGGATGTTTTCTTCTTAGAGGGTCCCAAGGTTCTGTTTCAAGTTGGTTTGGCTATTTTGCGAATCAATGGCGAAGAACTCTTAGAGATACAAGATGACGGCTCTTTCATCTCTGTGCTCAAATCCTATTTCTCGCGATTGGATGAATCCGCCCACCCCAGGTCTGAGAATCCCAAGCTCCGGGCTATTACAAGATTCCAAGAGTTGATGGTCGTGGCCTTCAAGGAGTTCTCAGGGATCACACACAGCACTATCACCGAGACTCGTGATAAACACAAGGATGCTGTGTTAGAAAACATTGAGAACTTCGCAAAGCGCACTTCTATTCGCAACCTTGGGCCTGAAAGCAAGCGTCTTAGCGTTGACGATCTTGGCACCATTTACGATCGCTTCTATGAAACATTATACCACTGGCAACAGCACCAGAAGCTTCTGGAAGAAGAACAAAGACTGAAACAAAAGAAGAAGTCGGAGCGATTCTCCATTCTTGGACCACCTGCCGATACAGAAATGGGCCGTGTTGGCTTAGGACCTAGCCCTACCAATATGGACTACGATGCTTTCCGCGAGTTCTTGGCTGCTACCTCTAAATGGGCTGTTTCTGACACTCCCGCATCGACGAGAAAGGACTCTCAAGTTTATGGCAGTCTCAAGGGAAACAAGTCATTACTCTGGGCTAATCGACGCCAGCCTGCGGATCATGAGTTCATGCAACGCCTGTATCGCAAGTGGGCCACCGACCCCGAGGAGGGGTTGGGTCTTCAGCACGTTGTCAATGGTCTTGCGCGTCTCAAAGGATCGCCAGATATCATGAATAACATCAACTATTTTTTCAATCTCTACGATGATAGTGGGAATGGTCAAGTTGATCGTGAAGGAATATTGAAAATATCAGAGGCATTGCTATTCCTGTCTCGCCGCGGTTTCGAGGGAACAATCACAGCTACACAGTCTCTGGAAGACCTTCAGAGTCCCCGTGAGCGAGACCATGCGGATAAGAGCAGTCTCACCACAGACGAGAGATTCCTCGGTAGTGTAAGCGCATTCATTCGCCGCTGCTTCGAATATGCCGACCCAAGTCATCCCGAAAATCAGAAAGCTGCAGCTCAGAACGACGCGACCGCTGAAGCCACTGAGAAACTTGACTCCTTCACCATAGGTGACGACGAAGAAAACCTGATTGATGTCGATGGTGAATCCGGATCTAAAAAGCCCGCAACTCCCAAGACGCCGCAGTCCGAGAGCAGCGGCCGGGAGCGACCACAATCTGAATCTGCCAATCCAGCTCTGGACCCTAACAATCCCCTTCACATCACCCTTCCAACCTTCCGCATGGTGGTCCTCGCCGACGAGCTTCTCGAACAATTTTTTGAATCCTACTTCCCCCAATCCTTCCATCTATCCGACCACCCCCACCCAGCTTCCCTAGCAGCATCATCATCCCTTTCATCCAATCTCACCACATTCTCCAACATCGGCAGCGGTCGCTCTTCCCAAATTTCCGCTACAGCAGGCGCACCCGTCGCCGGCGCGTCTGGCGGAATCGTACCGCCTGGCAAAGGTCTTCGCGGTGTGCTCGATAACATCGTCACAGATGGTATCCGCATGGCAGCCGAAGTTAAGAAGCGAATGGACGACGCACAGCGTGACCTTGAACGCAGCGCTCTCAACCGCGATGATGAAGACGACGAAGAAGATGACGAAGATTACGCCCATCGCGGAAGTGTATCCACTGCTGCGATGGTAGGCGGTATTCCCAGCTGGGGTGCTGGGGCGTACGGGGCAGACCCCGAGCGCCGCAGTGTCCGTGAAGCGGACCGTGACCTTCTCGAAGAAGCCGAAGTGGAAGCCTCCTCTCTTCTTGATGGGAAAACCCACAATAATACCGAAGCCAATAAGCAGCCTGGTCATTCTGCTTCGCCTACTTCGTCAGCGAACCATGATCCAGAAGTGGTTAGTAAAGTTGTGGAGTTTGAATCATGATGAAATCTTTATCTTGTCTATTTATCTCTCTCCCTTTTGTTCATCTGTCTATGTGGGAAGGTGTCTTGATCTCTTTTATTCCCTCTGCTTGTTTATTTCATTTTATTATGTTTGGTTTGGTTTGGTTTGATTTCTCAACTCTGTTCTTTGTCGCGTGACAATCATACCTAGTACGTTAGATCTGCATTCCCCACCCATGTACAATGTAGATAATGAAATTCAAATTTAAACCTTGTCAATTATCCTTGCTCAAACGTAATTAATCTATACTCCGTACCCCATACCAATCTAACTAAACCAGAATAGCGCAAAGACCCTGAAAATCCTAAATCCTCCTCCCAGCACAGCCCTGTCCCGTACACGAACACCGCCCAAGGCTTCCGGCTCCGGCTCCGCCCCGGCCCCATAAGAGCCGCACCCAAGAACGGGGGCCAAACCACGCGCTAAATTTAGTTGGGATTTTCACTTTCGCAACTCAAACTCGCCCGATCCATTCCTCCGTCATCCTTCACCCGTCATCCTCATGAATAGGCAACGCAGTTAGAGGTCCCACCTCCATAAACACTGCTCCCCCCTCTTCTCCTTCTTCCTTGCCCCCAACAACCTTGTCAAGATCGAATAAATTGATCAAATCAACTCAAAATGACGAGTCTATCCCTATTCTCAGAATTCATCTCATTCTTCCTACCCCGCGACTTTGGTCCGGCGTACCGCATCCAAACACTCCTCTTAAGACTTGCAGCCTTTACTGCGAACTTAATAGCTTGTTATCAATTATACAAGTGGCATCATGCATTTATTTATGAGGTAGGCTGGTCCCTTCCTTCCATCCTGACTGTCTGAAAAGGGATGAACAAGAAGGAAAACTAATAAATGCCAGTTCTATATACCACTTCCCTGGTCGGCTTTGGGCCTCACACTGAGTGTTCTCGGCGTGCTGATCTGGGCTCCTATTTCTATCTTCTTTGATATTTTCTCTGCTACTATGCTCTTTGCAAATATAAGGGGGTGGGCTTTGGATCCACGTATCTATGGGAGATGGGGTGGGAGCTGGACGACGACTTCTATGCGTGTATTATTTATTGCGACTGGGTAAGTTATTCCAGTTATTTCAGTCCGGTCCGGTTGATTTCATCGAGTCGCTCGAGTCGATCTGTTGATCTGGAAATCGTCATCGTGACTTGCTGACGCCAATGCTGACGCTGACGCTAACGTGAAATTGAAAATTTAGGGTGTTCCACTGTATTATGGCTTTAAGGGAGATTTTCCGTTTATTCCGTGGGAAGGGATCTAGGAGGTCTGAGAATCAAGTATCTTTAGCTTGAATTTGTGTTATTATAACTTGTGTTTGTCGTGTTAAGCGTGTTTGAATTATAATTATGATCTGAATGAAATCCATGTCATCATCACTATCTTATCCGGCTTTATCCACTGTTGAAGAGCGGGAACACGTACACGTATTTGGGCGGGGCGAGAGCGTAAGCTGGTTACCATAGACACGTACACCTTGGCGTTCTGGGAGGTTTTCAGAGAGAGAAAGTATCTTTATATTTATAAGAAATGATATGAATTAACAAGGCTATAAGTATAAGGAAGTATGGCTGTTCTGATCATTAGAGTCGTAAGATGGCATTGACATGTCTATGTACAAAATGTCATAGAAGCAGCGCTCCGCAGACGCGTCATGCGACAAAAAGCGCAATGCAAATGGTTTATCAATGCCTATTCGTCCAGACACTGGTATCGAAGGGATCAAAAAAGGTAGATTGAATGAGATGGGAATCCGAAGAAGGGAAGAGGGTATAAATTAACAGTGACTCGGGGAAATGCCAAGGATGCTGGAGATAACTCGGCCCATGCAAAAAGAAGGAAGGGGATGATGAAGAGGGAAAAGGAAGAGGAGCCCAGATGAGAAAATGCGACTGAAAAAATTACAGGACCAGGACCATGACCAAGAACGGCGAATGAAATAGATCACTCCTTCTGTCCCTCGTTTTCAACCAGCTCCAACACTATCTGGCTGCGTTCATATTCAGGATGTTGCATGCAAATCTTAACAGTGTGACTGTTCGAGGTAATGCCATGTTGACCGTTGAAGCCGATCTGGGCACTAATGCCACTTGCATTCGCTTGACCGAATGATCCAGGAAGTTTACTGCCATCATCAAGACAGACAACGTTATGGCCTGGAATCACCTGCCTCAAACGACCATTCATAGCGTTCCGTACCTCAACAAAGTCATCGTTGAAGAGAATGAGGAATTTTCCATGGAGACAAGCTGTGTGTGCGCGTCCCACAAACTCCATAACCACACTACGCGAGACATCGCCATGCTTATTCACATATACAGCGCATTCCTCATAGGCGACCAGGAACTCACTATCGCTGAGTCGGTACATGCCCAGAGGTCGCAGATCTTTGATCCGCTGAGCAATACCAGACACGGTATCCATTGCGTCGGAGGTGCTTTCGGAACGGAAGTCAGGAACAGACCAAGACTGTTTCTTGTCCAAGGTGAGGACTTCAATGCCACGATGTGTTGAGATGGCAAGGGAAGAATGGAACATGTTGATGCCATAGCTTTCGGCTGGGATGTAGAATTCGTCGTATTCACGGAAGAACTCGGTTTGAGAGCGGCGAGACTGGAAGAAGGCTCTCTTGCTCGAGGAGGATTTCTGAAGAATGGGTTCAAGGACTTTGAAGGTGGATGATAATCCGTCGCGCTTTTTGTAGAGGACAAGGTATCTGTCCTTCATGCGGCCAGCTGCGAAGAAGCCTACTTCACGGTTTCCAGAAAGCTTCTGTGGGGCTCGGCGAGCAGAATCGTGTGATTGAGAGGGAACTCCACTTGTGGGACAGATCACATCAAGGTGATGAGCAATCAGAGAACGATCGGCAATGAGTAGGAACAAGTTGAATTCTTCGAACACAGCAACTTGAGTAACTCGAGTAGCGACGATTGACTATGTAAATTGATTAGTTTTGGGCGAATCAGGAAATTTCGAGTCTCGGAGAAAGCTTACTCGATACCACCCACGAGGGTCATTAAGATCGGACATGTAAACTCCATAATCAGTTCCAATCGCACACATCATTCGACCAGGGGGCTGCTGGAAGACCGTAGCACAATTAACGCCAGTCCTGCAAACCGGCGGAGGACGCGGTCCGGAATCCTTATGTTGTTTCTCGACTTCTTTGATTGCCCGATGAAGAGGCGTGCCCTTGATGGTAACACTCTTCGAGCCCATTGTCGTATCTCCGTAACCAAAGGCAGTGTCAGCAAGGACACGCAATCGGAAAGGTTCAGCATTTTGCGAAAACAAAGCAGCGGCATGCTTAGTCTTTGCCTCAATGATCTTATCACACCATTCTTGACGGCTTTGAGAGGAGAATGCATAAAGCGTGTAGGTGCCATTCTTTCCAAGGTGCTTGATCTTGAAGGGATAAAGAATATTGTCATCTTTGGAATCAAGATTCACGATAGCACCGTTCGCACCGGCGGCAGCGCCTGCGTTGTTCGGACTGATCACACCTTGGCCTGGTGCAGCATTGGTGACACCTCTCATGGCTGATTTGACCACTGGATCATCATTGGTACTCTCGAGGGCCAGCAAGTCCATCGGGATTGGAAGTTTGGAAACATCATACCGCTCATACTTGGTAGTACGGGAGGGATCGCGTGTAATGAACGACTTTGCAAGAACGAAGTAGTGGTCAAAGAGGATGGCGTGCGTATCCACAAGGAATCGGGTTCGGGTACCGGGGCGCTGGAGGTCACCACGGAAGATAATTTCGCGGCCCAGATGCTCAAGGTTGAGCTCGACCTCCTTCTTCATCTCAGGACGCAGCTGCAACTTAGCCGCAAGCTCCATTAAGTCAGCTTTCTTACCCATCTCGCCAACCTTGTTATCACACTCCAGAGCCACAATCTTGATCTCTTCGATTGCCTGTGCGACATTGGCCTTCTCCTCGGAATCCTTGACCATATTCTTGTGCACAGTAGCAAGCAACAGTGTGTATCGTTGAATTCGAGTGATAGGAGCCTTGAGGAAAGTATCCCAGCTCAGTCGATTAGATAGCTTATGCTCGCGGACCTGATTAAGGAACGATCTGAAGTGAACATTGCGCTCCGCTTCCTTACGCACGAGGTAATTCGCAGTCGGGAATGTAGCAGCGTAATCAATGTAGACAGTCTTGGCCTTGCGGATCCATTCACGGAAAATGTCACTGAATCCAGCAATGAACGGACCTTGTTCCTTTTGACGATACTTCATTTGAGCGAGCAAGAAATCCTCGTTCACCTTTTTCACTGCATCGACCTTGCCAAATACATCAGACAAGAACTTAGACAGACGCTTGGGGCCAATGATAGCAGGATTCATGTTAGCCAATTGATCGCGGTAAAGCTCTCTGAGCACGTCCAGTTGACTGATGTAAGCATCTTCGGTTGTGACGATCTCATGCAAGTTATTTTGACGATCAATCTCCTTCCTAGGGTACGATTCCCAAGTTTCTTTCGGAACCTTGTAGAAGGTGACCCAATCCTCGATCTTCTTTTGTGGCGCCATCATCTGCGCCTTGAGATTGACCTTCTTCAATGTTCTCATGCAGTGATGAGAGTAGCACCGGCCGAAGGAATCAGTATCCTGGATGTGCATCTCTGTCAAATGGAGCTTGGGCGAATAACATCCCGTCCCCGTAATCTGGAACAGAACGCCGGCAAGGCTACCATTGCTGAATTTGACCCATTCTTCCTCTTTTACCAACGCTTCCTCTCCAATCATACTGGCCACGACGCGAGCGGCCAAAGTCTCAGCATCTGCAATATTCATAGTCGGAACCTTGTGTGTGAACAAGGCTACAATTGCATCCACAATGGCCTGCTCTCGAAGATAGGGCTCGTCCTCGCTCAAATCACGAATCCAAGATAGGATCGAACTAAGCGCCCATGGCTCAGTGCATTTTTTGAACTGTTCAGAAGACAGCTTTGCGGGGTGGAACTTCTTGCGACGCCCAGTGGGAATATCAGGCAAATCAAGTGCCATGGTAGCAGCCGCCTCGGCTGGGTCCACCTCAGGCAAATCCTTGTTGTGGAGATGCCACAAGAAATCCTGCTGCTTATGCTTTTCTCGATCTGCATCGGTCTTTGACCTGATAGGAGCATCAGTACGAGGCCCAATAGGCGTGGACAAGGATGACGACCGCGGAACTTGCGATGGACTGAGCATTGACTCTCCATGCGCGTCCGTAGAAGTAGATAAGGAGGGATTATTATACTGTGATTGAGCTTCGTCTTCCTCTGGTGGCCGATAAGTGCCAGCAGGCATCAAATGCGTAGAGAGCTCGTTTTGCCAAGCTGTCTCAGCAGGAGCCGGAGGCAATGGGCGCATACCAATGCCAGGATGGAAGAAAAGCCCTTCGTGCGCGGCATGATTGGGACTTTCATCTCCGGAATGTCCTGCTTCGTCGTGCTGCTCGTGGTCGTACGTATCCCCGTCCTCTCCATAATCCCAACTCATCCGACGGCCATATTCACCAGGTGTAGCCAGTCCACCTGTTCCTCCATGGTCCACACGCGCCTCCGATGGAGCATTGGCCATTCGACTGGCATATTCATAGGCAATCCGTGGGTGGTCGTAATCATCAAGATCTCCTTGATCATCGGCAGAGACGCCGGATTTGTAAGAATTCGAGCGACCTACGTATGCAGCGCTGGCAGGATCCAAGCGTTCCTGGGAGTTGTAGGCTGGTTCGTCCCCGTAATGAAGGTTGGCTTGATAACCTCCCTCGTAAGCGGCCAAATCATAGTGCCCAAAATCACCATCTTCCTCCGTGTCTGTACGGGGTGAGCGTCCTGGTGAACGCCCTGAAGAATGAGCTGGGGATTGGACTGGGGAATGACCTGGAGAAGGACCCCGAGTTGATGCATCGTAAGAACCGCGGGAATGGGAGCTCCTAATAGAGGCATTTGTCTCGCGTCGAATGCGTCCCTCGAGTCTCTCCCTTTGGCGATCTGCTATGGCCTTCTCTTCCTCTTCAGCCATCTGCATCATGGCAAGTCCAGCCTCAGCTTCAGCATCACTGTCATGGCTATAGGCATCGTAGTTGACATTAAGACCAGACGCATCATTCGTATGCGTGTGTTGCTCATCAGGTGATAATCGCACGTGGGCGGAAGAACCGCTCTGGGATGTTCGCGAGCTGTGGCGCCGAGTAAAACTTGCCTGTGTATCCATCACTGCATCTTCAAGTTCCTTCAACATTTCATCGCTAGTATGCGTATCGGACTCAGCATCAACGGGTGGACCGGGCAGTGGCCGTGACTGCGGATGTCGTGTCAAGGTATCTGTACGTCTTGGGGCAAGAATCGGCAGGTCTTGCTGCTGTCCCGGAGGAATAGGAAGTGCCCGTCCACTCTGGGTTAAGCTGGATCGCTTAATGTAGAGTCCGTTGGCTTGTGGCTGATGCGCAGGGGGTTCGGGCGGTCGATCATCGTAATTACTGTTGATAGGGGGGATAGTGTGGGATGGGTATGGGGAGTCGCTTCCGAACCCTTGGGACGCTGGAAAGTAATTATGAGAAGCCGATTGAGGCATATAAGCCCCCGCAGGCGAATTCGAGGTCGCGTATGTATTTGTCATTGGTGATGCAACATTTTGGTAGGCTGGAGAGGTTGTAGCCATAGAGTGCTGACTCGATGTAGCAGGCGATGCACCGTAAGGGGAACGTCCGCCATAGGGATGATCGGGCGCCCGAGGCGGAGGAGCTGGTGGCTGCGGAGGGTATCCGTACGATTGAGGAGCAGGCTGTGCATATCCATATGGCGAAACGGAGCTCGGTTGTCGTTGGATGTTTGGTGATACGCCGGGAACTGGAGCGGGCTGGTAGGCTGCCGGGTTGTAAGGCTGATGTGGGGAAACCGGGCTAGGATAGGTGTTGTTGGGTGCAGTATAAGACGACTGATTATAGTAGCTCAAGTTTGGTTGCGTTTGAGATTGCGGAAGAGCATATTGCTGCGGGTTATAGGCTGGCTGAGTCGCGGATTGGTATTGGTACTGGTAGCCGGATGTGGCTGCGGATTGCGATGACGCGCGGGTCGGCGACATCTGGTTCATATTCGCAGGTGGTTGTGCGTACCCCGTGTTCCCAGCATTTTGGTATCCCCCGTATGCTGGATTGTAGGTCCCTTGTGCACCGCCGACCATCTGCCCACTAGTCACCGAATACTGCGCGTTTGTGTCGGTCGCTCTCACATTGTGGGTCCGAGCGGAATTGAGCAGTTGAGAGTCGTCGCCGGCGTTGAAACTGGGCACTCGTCGCGGCAGGTGCTGACTCTGGAAGGAATTGCGCTGGGGTTGATAGCCCTCATAGCGGCCGGGTGCTTGCTGAGGTGGGTTGCCTGGTTGGCCGTAATAGGTCTGTTGACCGTTGGGATGCGCCATCTTAACCGGACTGCAAGGGGGCAGTAGCAAATTGATAAAGTGCTCTCAGGACTATTCTTGTTCTCACGTCCGTTCTCTCTGTCTCTCTCCTCGTCAAACCGGTCGACTGCAGGGCGGCCTTAGTACAGGGCTTCGAAGACTGGCAGTTGGACCAGGAAGCTGTCGGGGCAATGGCTCGTGTGGGTGAGGGGAGGAATGCGGGCAGGCGAGAAACTGCCAAGCTGCTAAGTCTGGGCATTCCCCGCAAAGTACGGCGAAAACGAGCGAGGAGTAGAGGAGATGGAGAAAAAAGGGGGGTTGAGGTTGAAGAAGTGGGGGGATAGAATGTAGAAGATACAGGGGAGTCGAGAAGGAAGAAGACGGGTTCGTGGAGCAGCCCTGGAAAGCACACAGCGGAACGAGAACGAGACCGGGGAGTTGGCTCTTAGGTATGTGTTTCCCCCACCGCCAAAATCATCAGCCCCATATAAACAAAAATACACAGGGCTGACAGCTCATCATGGATGATTATGATCGGCACATTATCACTGTGATTGCCAAGTTTAAGTTTTCCTGTCTAACCTGTCCAACCTTGGAGCCTCGTACAGTATGTATGGTGGCCTGGTTGCCCCGGCTGAGCCGTTTCAAGTTTTGAGCCTCCTTTCTATATAAAACCCTGCCAAACATGGGGGTTATTGAAATTCTACTGATTTACTTGATAATATGATAGATTCAAGGGGTTATATCCTTGTCAGTAGGCTTATTTCTAAAAGTTATTGTTCATGTATAAACCTGGAAGAGTGTAAATCATAGACAAAGAGTATGCAGGGGCACGGTATTCACCGATATTGTCTATTACCTATTCTTTGTTTTGGGCCCACAAATAATCATTTCTCGGGGCCTTTTGCCAGCCATCGCTATTTCGTTCCTAGTAAACTTGTTGCTCGTGGGGGCCGGTGGACTTTGGCCCCCTCAGAATCATTTCCCTGCGGCAATAGAGCAATATTAGTGGCTGGATGATGCCCCACTGGTGCCCTGGAGACGGGAGTTGGGGCCTTTGGACGCCACTGACATCTACTGGGCCGAATATACTATAGTAAACACAGTTAGAAACCTCATCACTTATCGATCTAAGTATAGAGAACGTAGTAGTACATAAGATCCTAGGCTCAAATGCTCATAGTATCTACTCTTAGCTAGCATAGTAGTATACCTCAGACTATTCTCCTACTAGTACACCTTGACGTCTTCAAGTTTCTACTAGTATATGTTGATGTACACATCCCTCTACATATAACCCTTCTACCTGTTCTAATGAATATACATGCGACTTTATAGTTTGAACTCAATATAATTAAGACTCGGGGATTATGCATCGCTGGGCCTAGATCCTACGTTACGCCACCTCATGTTATTAATGTCGTGTAACAACTTGAACTTGAATGTGCATTTGCTGCATGATGGCCAGAAGTATAGTATATTGCCACTGGCGGTTTGCGAAGAAACTCGTATCCGTTCAACAAACAACGTGAGGAATCGAAAACTGAACATTCTGTAAACATTTGGAACAACGTATGAATGAAAGGTGCATAAATGACTCAATAACTACCAAAAAATCAAAATCTCAGTGCGTCTCCATTCTTCTCTTTCAACTTCAAAGGAAGCTCTGACAGCAAAAAATAACTATGAACTCAAGAACGCCGAATCAGTCAGAAAATGTCACTTTTTCTTTTCCCTTTTCCCCCCCTTTTTTTCTTTTCCTTTTCCTTTTTTTTTTTTTTTTTTTTGATACTCTCTCCAACCTCTCTTGTTCTTCTGATTAGTCACTTCTCCCTCGCCAGATCGACAAACTCTGCGTTACGCTTCTCACTGCCCGTCGTACACCTGATTGGTGGTCAATTGAAATTGACTCTTTTGAAGATCAGCCTCTGCCGCCGTGGCTGTTTTGAAGTGACGAGCAGTGATAGCATAACGGAGAATGCTGTTCTTATCAGGGACGACGGAATGCTATTATCGTATCGTCAGTTATAAAAAGCTCTTTCTTTTAAGAAGAGTCTGGCAAAACTCATAGTATAGTTGCAGCATCGTACCATGACCACCATATCGCCATGCTGCAAGTTCATGCTGAGAGCAACTGGCGCCATCCCCGTTGCCTTCTTGGGCTTCTCTCGGAAAAGGGCGTTCAGGGATTCTTTATAAGCCGCCTGGTCCTTTACCCCCTTGTCAAGCTCTTCCTTCAATGCTCGGCGTTCCTCCTCAAGTCGACAGCCTTTCAGTACAGGATCCCCCTTGGTAATGAGACTGGAGGACGTTTCACCGTGATAATACTTAGCCTTCATACGGAGGGTCATTTTGGGACTCCCACCAACCGAAAAAGTGGCAATAATAGGCCCTAGGTCTTTTTCGCCGTCGTCGTGATACTTTTGGAATACGTCAGTACAGTATTGGGATTCATGCAAACGAAAAACGACGAGACTTACGCCCATCTTCATTCCCTCGAAGTACCCAATGAGAATTAGTTCGTTTGGCAGCCAAGTTTTGATGGCATGTTCGCCATAGTCGCCCATGATATCTTTGGTGGCCCAGGCCAGACGTCCAAGAGATTGTATCACACAATCTGGTGTCTCAGAAAAGTCTTTAGACTCGACTGCAACGGCAAATTTGTAGTGCATCCCCTGTAAGTTTTAGAAAATGCCCATGAGAATCAATGATCCGAGCTAATACTTACATAGTTCTGGGCAAAGTGAGCCGTCGCGGTCTCACCAACTGTTTATTCAATCAGCAAAGATACCGAAAGACAACGGGGTTGAAGTTATATATGTGGATATATAGGGTCCTACCTTGTGTCTGGTGGAGATATCGTCTAAGACCAAGATTGCTGTTTTGGAGAGAAGAAAAGGTGTCATCGGGACCCTTGGGCTGCTCATTTATATACCGATTTGATTTGTAATGGGTGACGGAACCGATATCGGGGAGTACGTATGAGACTTTCACGTAGGGTTTGCAGGACATGTAATCGGTCACTTTGTGGTGAAAAGTCGTGCTCTCGTACTCAGTCAGCCGATAATTACTCATACTTGCGGTGTCCTCGCGGCCGGTGCTGGTGAGAGATTGGAGGGAAACTGGAGTAATGTTGAACAAATACGTCCATTTGCATGGAATGGTGTGCTGGATGTCAGTCTTCCAGCTACAATTCCACCCATTCCAAAACATGCTAGGAACGCATTTTCCACACAAAGGGCATACAACACCGCGCCAGTTATCTCTTCGTGTCAAGGGAACAGCTTCCTCCCTCAACAGATCCACCAGCAAGTTTGGTTTCAAAAGGAAAGGATATTGTATCCCGGCTTTTGGCAGTTCGCGTTTGTTGAGGAAGGCCTCGTCATATGTCAGGTCTTGGGGTACTTCGAGTCCGTCCATTTGCCAGAATTGACCGCAATTTGGACTAAGACACATCCATCCTTCTTTAAATATCCGCGGGCTTTTACCTTCGCAAGTCTCGCATACTGTGAGTTCTGGGCAGATATTAAAATCCCGTGCCCCATGGGGCACGGGATTTGCAGATCCTTTGATAGCCCACCAGCTCTTTTTGGAAACATTGATTTTCTCGAATCGTACCTTCATTCCGATATGTCCGTTTATTTTTTCCGACCAAATATCAGTGACCTGAAAGAAGTCCATGACGTTGTACCGATGGGGAGGCGTCCTGTGCAAGCCGCGGTTTTTATCACCTATAAGGTATTAGACCAACCATGAAACGGAGGAACGGGGTCGATGTAAGGAGAGGAATCTGTATTGATTGAATCGGAAGATTTCCCTATAGTATAGGATGAATCAACAGGATAAAGCAAGCCGAAATGAACATTGGTGATTGAGTTCCAGAGACTTCCGTTGACTATGGGCCTTTCATCTTCGGGGCGCCGGATACGCTTCAGCTGGTGATCCAACTGAGCAGCCATGCCGTCGAGTCCCCCCTATCTCTTTTCGGCCATCTGTGTTAAATTAGCTAAATAAACGAAGAGAAGTCTATTGAAGCGTACGTATGGTAATGGTTAATGAACCACGTTGAGGTGAGAGGGGATATATGTTAAATAAGATGATTGGGAGATGGTATTGGAATCTGATCGCAGCGCCCGATGGGATTGTGATATTGATACCGAGTGCTGGATTTCGCTCGGACCTAAGGGAGAGGCGCGTAGGAAGAGGTCGTTTGAAAACTGGAAGATAATGGGATTGGTGGTAGGGATGAGATTGGATTCGAGTGCTGTGTATCGCTCGAAGCCTGCGTATCGTAGCTTGTGTAAGTTAACGTCGTACTCTCAGAAACTTGTTGTGGAATTGTAACTGGGATACCAAAGTTCAAAATGAACAAAAGGAGAAAAATTTTAGACGTGTGAAGGGTGAGGTTGAAAAATTTTAGACTGATGAAAAATGTCTAGCGAAGGTGAAGCCTACCCAGCGACGTGAGTACCAGCAGCAACAGCAACAGCAAAAGCAACTTCGTAAGCATATGCTTTCCGGCCATATAAATTATTCACTGTTCTATTTATTTACTCTGACACTAGAACTGAGATGTTTTGGAAAACGGCGAACAATAACAACATGCTTAACTACCCTCACTAGCAAGCACTGCATTATTCAGATCACAGCATTGAATCAGAGTCCTATATACTAGAGACAACTCTCATTCCAGGCAGCTAAAGACAAGTTTGATTGCCGTCTATCTGTATTATATATCGGATGAATTACGACTGTATTAAACTCAAAGAATCGCGAAGATATATGGTAGTCTTAGTGATTGTATGCATGAAGGATGTAGCTGATATAGATGCAGTGACTTTACCCCAGATAAACAAACACGCGACTTAGGCGGCTTAGACGCTATGTCCCCACTTGGCAGCCGCCTGACACATTCTAATCTCATCAACAGAATCCAATTGATATAATGAAGAATTAGCCTTGGTAGATTCATTTGTTAGGGAAAAGTGACTTTATTTTATTTTTTGTAAAAAAAAAAAAATTGGAAAATTGAAAGCAAGTTCACATTGCCGACGCACTTCCATATTCTGGACAAAGAGGTGTGTGCGGCGGCTAATGCGGCGAAACTGCCAGATTCGTGGGGGGAGGAGCTTCAAGTTCAAATTTATCAATCAAGCATTGGCATAGCTAAAAGATTATCCCGCCTTCCTGGAAGGAGAGTTTATATGCCATTCCTTGAAATTGAATACTGGGGAACATACAAGGAAATGTATTTGGAAAGACAGTCACAAATATCAGCAGTCTAGACACCTGGGCAAAAATATCTACTGAACTTACTAGAAGCTGTTGAAATGATTAATTGAAAGATCAATTGACCTGTACGGCCGTAACGGCCCTCAATAATATGGAGGAAATGAGCATTAAACAACAAACATCTTAACCCGTTAACCCTAGCCCTAGCTTGTTTGGGGTTGGAGCTCATGGTGGAGCTGTACAGCCCGAAAGTCCCTCGGTCGCCAAATATCCGAGGCTCTTGGACTCGTGCGTCATGACCATCCACTTGGCCTCATAAATAGGTTCTCCAACTCCACCGCCGCAAAGTTAGCAATAATACAAAAAATTAGGACAAAGAGATGAAAATCTATGGAATTTGCAGAATCTGTACTTCCGTTCATCCGATATTTGGTAAATAATCCGAGCTCAGATCCATTACCAGGGAATTAAGAGGAAAGCCATCGTCAAGCCAAAGGTAAATCCCCCACGCGCCTCGTAAACATTACCGATTTCCCCGCATCCGGTGGATAAAGCTCCTTGGCCCCCCTTTCAGCTGGTCGGACTTCTTCCATTTCTTCAATTCTTTCTAGCGAGTACTTCAGTCTGTGTTTTACTGATCGTGTCCCTGCTATCTCAGGTAGATTGGTTCAATTCTTCACTAGCACTACGTATTTACCATCCACATTGCAAAGGAGGCTAGACAAACGCAACAACCGACGCAATGGTTTTTCTTCCTCACGCCAGCACTGGCCCGCTGGCGACTATCCCCGATGATATCCCTATCAGCGAATTCATGCTCAATGAGAAGTATGGACGGCTATCCCACGATAAATCCAGCGACCCTTTTACCTGCGGGTTGAGCGGGAAGTCCTATACATCGCAACAGGTAGTGGAGCGGGTAGACCACATTGCGCGAGGTCTCGCGAAGGAGTTCGGATGGTCACCGAACAAGGGCACAGAATGGGACAAGACACTTGCAGTCTTCAGCTTAAACTCGGTACGTTGTGCATACTTACTTCTTGTCGGATCTAGCGGGTGTCGCCTAGATGAAACTAATTAAGGCATGTCTTCATAGATTGATATGCTGCCATTTTGTTGGGCGGTTCATAGACTAGGCGGTCTTGTTTCGCCAGCCAATGCAGCGTACTCGGCTGCAGAGATGAAGCACCAGATTTTAGACTCAAAGTCACAGGCTCTGTTTACATGTGTCCCCCTCTTGCCCGTTGCTCTCGAAGCCGCAGCCATGGCCGGTCTTCCCAGAAACAAAGTCTATCTGATTGATGTGCCCCCACAGCTTCTGGGAGGAGCAAAGCCACCCACCGAGTTCAAAAACCTGACACAACTTCTGGAAGAAGGAAGCACTCTACCAGCTTTAGAGCCGCTGAAATGGGGACCCAGAGAAGGCGCGCGCCGAACCGCTTTCTTATGTTACTCAAGTGGCACCTCGGGTCTACCGGTATGCTCAGAGCCTTCTACTACTCTATATGACCTTTCGGGAAGTGCTAACCACTCGCTACTTTAGAAAGGAGTCATGATATCGCACCGCAACGTTATTGCTAACACATTACAAATCGTTGCATTCGATGGGGGCTTCCGGGATAACATCGCTCGTTCCCGTGGCTTAGAGACATTCAAAGAAGTCGGCCTGGGTCTTCTTCCCTCAAGTCACATTTATTCTCTCGTGGTCATCAATCACTCCGGTCCCTATCGTGGAGACCAAGTGATCGTTCTCCCCAAATTTGATTTGAAGTCTTATTTGGCTTCTATTCAAAACTTCAAGATCACAGGACTTTACTTGGTTTGTGACATTTTCTAGAGCAAGGAATCTTTCGAAAACTAACAATCTCCAGGTTCCTCCCATTATTATCAACATGCTTCGCAGCCATGCTGAGTGCTCTAAGTATGATTTAAGCTCCGTCATGACTCTCTTTACCGGAGCAGCACCCCTCGGCATGGAGACAGCCGCCGAATTTCTAAAGATTTATCCCAATGTGAGAATCAGACAAGGATATGGTAAGAATATATGAGCTACTATTGAAATAGCTTTCGAAGCTTACGATTTGTCTACAGGTTTGACGGAAACTTGCACAGTGGTCAGCTCAACTCACCCTGACGACATTGTACTGGGCTCTTCCGGCATCCTACTTCCCGGCTTCGAAGCTCGGATCGTGACACCAGAGAATGAAGAAATCACAGCCTACGACACCCCCGGCGAGCTGATTGTCCGATCGCCTAGTGTTGTACTCGGCTACCTGAACAATGATAAAGCGACCAAAGAAACATTCGAAGATGGATGGATGCGCACGGGTGACGAGGCAGTTATTCGTGTAGGCCCGAAGGGCACAGAACACGTTTTCATCGTCGACCGTATCAAGGAGTTAATCAAGGTCAAGGTTTGTGCTATTAGCTCTCGGCTTCCCTTCAGATGCTCGCAATATCTGTGCAGTATTCCACAATTATACACATGGAAAGCTAATCTTACTTGTTTTAATAGGGCCTGCAAGTCGCACCAGCCGAGCTTGAAGCGCATCTGCTCGGTCACCCAGACGTAGCTGATTGTGCTGTCATTGCTATTCCCGACGATGCAGCCGGTGAAGTTCCAAAGGCGATTGTGGTTAAGTCGGCCTCCGCCAGCTCCGATGAAGAGGCAGAGAAGTCTATCAAGAAGTATGTTGAGGAGCATAAAGCTCGCCATAAGTGGCTGAAGGGAGGTGTTAGGTTCATCGATGCTGTCCCGAAGAGCCCAAGCGGGAAGATCTTGCGTCGACTGCTGCGAGACCAGGAGAAAGAAGCGCGGAGGAAGGCGGGCGTTAAGCTTTGATTTGAGATGCATTTTGATGTCTATACAACGATAGAATTCAAATAAACATAGCATACACATACAATTTCAAAACTTCCCCACTTCAATGAAAGAAGCACAGGTGTGGCAGAATAGATACCAAATGATAGGATAAGTGTTTGCAGTGTTTGCTTCTGCGGGGATGCGGATTAGATTTCTAAGCGGGGGAAGTCAAAAAAAATTATATCTCTACTTCAAGCGGTCATTCGGTCATTCGGATTCTCTCGTATTCTACACTTGACCAGAGAATATCCCTATTCGTGACTCATATTGATAATCGCCCGAGTCTTTATTCTCAAGGGCGCTTAATAAATCCGACGAATATACCCTCTTCCAAGCTGAAAAGCTAAAAAGCTAAAACGACAACCTCTTGTCTATCTCCGAAAAATACCCAATCCACACCCTTCATAATGTCTTCCGAAAACCAGCATGACGAGGATGCTTACATCCAAGCCGATGAAGCTGAAGAGATCTTCCAGCGTGACGAAGATCACCCCATGGAGTCCGACGGCGAAGACGAAGACCAGAATATGACCTACGAGGAAGAACTTACTTTCCAAAACGACTCATCCGCACACTTCGACTCACACAATGACTCTGTATTCTGCATCGGACAGCACCCAGTGCACCACAACATCGTTCTCACCGGCGCTGGTGATGACACAGGTTTCATTTTTGACTCGACTCCGGCCGAGCGTCCCGTCCTTCCTGCGAGCTACGAAACAAACCCCCAGCCGCGCGAACGCGAGTCCCTAAAACCCCTTGCAAAGTTAGATGGTCACTCGGATACAGTCAATGCGGTCGCTTTCACTGAGCCCGCCGGTGAATACGCAATAACTGCCGGTTTGGACGGAAAGCTGCGCGCATGGCGTGATTCTACCCCCGATAAGACTGGCTTTGCCTGGGAGTTTGTCGCTGAGGCCCGGGAAGTTGAAGAGATCAACTGGTTGTCCGTCTGTCCTTACCAGCAGGGCCGTGAGGAGACACGCAACGTCATTGCGTTGGGAGCCAACGACGGTTCCGTTTGGGTCTTCCGCATCGACGCTACTGATGCTCAGCCTATCTCTATCATTCAGTCCTTTTTCCAGCACACTGAGTCCTGTACCGCCGGTGCCTGGACACCCGATGGAAACATGCTTGCGACTGTCTCGGAGGAGGGAAGCTTTTATGTCTATGACGTGTTTGGTGCTGCTGCCGCTGCCGGTGTCTCCGTAACGCCCGGCACCAATACCATCATTGGGTTAACAGCCGAGGACCAGCGTTTTGCCGTTGAAGGTGGTCTCTACTCCGTTACCGTCTCCCCTGGTGGCGGTATTGCGGCCGTTGGTGGTGCAGAGGGCCACATTAGAATCATTGGTCTTCCACGACTCGCGGCTGCTGGACAAGCTGGAAAGGGCAAGGGCGCAGGTGCTCAGTCAACCACAGCTTCTGCTGCGGGTACTATTCTTGCTGCGCTGCAGGCTCAGTCCGATGGCATTGAGACTTTGTCTTTTTCCCAACCTCCTCTTACTCTTCTGGCTGCTGGATCTGTTGATGGATCCATTGCTCTTTACGATGCTGCCCATCGCTTTGCTGTTCGTCGCCACATTAAGGAGGCTCATGAGGGCAGCCCCGTCGTCAAGGTTGAGTTCTTGCAGAGCCGTACTCCGGCTGTCGCACCTCGTGCTGCAAACGCGCCTGCCCAGGGACAAACATGGATGCTGACCTCTGTGGGTCTGGATGGCGTTGTTCGTCGGTGGGACTCTCGTGGTGGTACAGCCGCCGCGGCCCACGGTCTGCTGAGAGAGTGGAAGGGACACATGGCTGTAACTGAAAATGAAGATGGTGAACAGTCTGGTGGTATTATGGGATTTGTCCAGGGATTTGATGGCAAGCGCATAGTCACAGCTGGTGATGATGGAATTTCGTTGGTCTTTGAGGACCAGTAAGCAAGTACTTGGCCAAGGCGGTCGAGGTGGTTTTATAGAGGAGGCCACGCGCGGTTGATGCATTTTTATGATATCATGTTACACATATAGAAGCACGGAGCACATGGATGTCCCATCTCCAGCAACAAAATACGAATCCATTTTATAGGAATTTAAAACGAACATTGAAGCTTGCTTTAATCCTGGAAGGAGGGTAAAATGCTCTGAACCAATAAGAAGACATCTTTAGTAATTGAACATAGACTATATACATTCGACAAATCAACCCAAAGCGCCGTATGCAAGGCCAATCCACCACATTGGAGAAGCCTACACCTTCAATCAAACACAACAACTGCTGCTTCTCGAAGTGTTCGGGCCACAATTGTGTCGGAACTCCCGGTTTTATGTCTTTCGCTGAACTTGGACGGGATAGACATCTCTCGTCTGCTGGGGGTATCTGCCCCTCTTCACTTATCACCCAGGGGCCAAGGACTCATTATTTCACCAAATCGCTCAATGCAATTGCTTAGTGGTGGCCCTCGCCGTGGTGGGCATCACCATGATGGTGGTCGTCCTTGAGGAAAAAGTGTTCGTACGCGCAGTAGGCAGTGAAGGCGACGGTAGCAATGCCAAGACCGGGGAAAAGACCCTTGAAACGGTTCCAGCGAGTGAACGGACCGGTGTAGCGCCAGGTTTCACTAATTCATATTAGCAAACAGATCGCAATGCCTGTGGAGAAATGCGGACGGTAGCAACATACTTGCGCGCCCAGGGATCCCGCTTGGCGAAGACCGAGGACTGGGAGGCAGCAGCCTTGAACTGCTTGACATCAAATCCGGTGGGGTTTCGGGCAGACATTGTGACGTTGAGGCAGATAAAGGAGGGGAAGTGAGAGCAAAGAATCGAAGGTTCAAGTCCTAGGCCAGGTGAGAGCGAGATGAGCCGGAGCGGTGCGCTTGGCAGAACAACTCCCGCACTAAACCCGATTCGGCACCTTCGTAGCTCCTCCCGCCTTCGAACAAACTGATAACTCTCTCCACAACCCCTCAAGTCGATTAGTTCTCAACAATGCCTCCTCCAGTTGGCAGATACGGGCCTTCGGGTCTTGCCGCCCCGTACACCTTACAACAAGCACACCTTCAATCCCAACACCCTCACGCCCAATCCGCAAACTCGGCTCTCCCTCCCCCTTCACTCGGTGGCCATCCTGGGTTCGCTGGAAACCCCAACACGAACATCAACCCATTCGCACTGTCCGGAGCTGGTGTTGCTAACGGCATGTCCGTAGCTGGATTTGCGGGTGCCGACGCTGGCGGCACTGGACTCGCGAGTCACGCGGCGCAGATGGGATTCGCGCGAGGAGCACAGATGCAGCAGCAGCAACTACACCAAGGCCACGATGGCCGGTTATCGTTAGATCCGAAAGGTGGTGCAGTGAAGACACGGATACGCGATGTGTGGAAGCACAACCTGGCGCATGAAATGGCGGTCTTGAGATCTTTAGTGGATAAGTATCCATACATCAGCATGGTAAGAATCAAACCAGTGGAATTCACGATACAGAAAGCATCAGTGTGGTTTTGGGGACGATGTGAATCCTTCGGATTATAATGTACAGGGTGTTGATTACTTTTTCAGGATACCGAGTTCCCCGGAATTGTTGCTCGTCCGATCGGATCGTTCTCCAACAAAGCCGATTACCATTACCAAACTTTACGATGCAACGTCGACTTGTTGAAGATGATTCAGTTAGGAATCACGCTTTTCAATGAAGATGGAGAAGTACCCCCCGCGACCGCCACAGATGCCAATGGGCAGCCATATGGGAACTCTTTGGTCCCGGCTCCATGTACATGGCAGTTCAACTTCCGATTCTCGCTGGAAGACGACATGTACGCCCAAGACTCGACGACGATGCTCGCAAAGTCCGGAATTGACTTCAACATGCACGACAAGAACGGTATTGATCCATTTGAATTCGGATCATTGCTTATCAGCTCCGGTCTGGTATTGCTCGATGACGTGCACTGGGTCTCGTTCCACTCTGGATACGACTTCGGCTACTTGATGAAGATTATGCTTTGCTCGCCCCTGCCCGAGAATGAGGAAGAGTTTCACACGTTGCTCAACATCTTTTTCCCTTCCCTTTACGACATCAAATACTTGATGAAGCATGCTGGTCGTAACCAGGCTGTCAACGATTCCCCTCTCACCCAGGCCGCCGCCCAGATCCTCTCAAATCTGGGCCAAAAGTCTGGTCTCCAGGATATAGCAGATGAACTGGGTGTCAAGCGTGTTGGAATCGCCCACCAAGCTGGTTCTGACTCCCTCGTAACCGGGGAGATATACTGGAAGATGCGCCAAATGGTATTCAACGGGGCGATCGATGGGAGTAAATACTCCGGTCAGATTTGGGGCCTGAATGGCCAAATGCCCACGTTGACCTACCAAATGGCTCAACAAACTCCTAATCTCAATGGAGCTACTATCTACTCAGGTGCCGGTACCCCTAGCACACCTAATACCGGACATATTACGATGGGCGCCCACACACCGCACGGTTCCGGCTATCATACTCCAGGTGGGATGATGGGTAAGGCGTAAGGTGGGAACATAGATATGAGGTTTCAATGATACGATATTATGCATGTACATAAGCTCGGGGCTATTGTGCTGGTTTCTTTCGATATTCAGCATTGTTCTTGCCTGTCGCGTTGCATGGGTTCCATTTACCTCCGGTTTCTCTGTGTTTATCGCGGTGTTATAGGAAGAGGGTGTCTGGAGTTTTTTCTTATTAATTTCGTTTGAATCTGGCTGGTATCTGAATCCATCTGCGAGGCGTTCAGGCTCTTTTGGGTCTATAGTCACTTTTCATCCTTTCTTTCCTTCCACTATTGCTTTGCCCGTGGTCTGGTCAATTTCTATAGTTTATAGATAGACTGTGATTAGGTCTTAATATGTACATTGGGTTAATTTGGTGGTCTTTTCTCGGATTTCAAGTTGGAAATGGGTATCAATTTTGAAAATCCATAATTCATTCACTGCCCAAATAAAAGCTAGACAACACTCAGGAGACTAAGTAGACAATTGCCTTCAAGTTCTGATCGCCTGTCCAAACTCATGCCAGTGTCCGCCATGACACTTCCATATCATGAACCCCCCTGCGGGTTTCTCGATGTATACAACGCACTATTTTAATCCCCAACTTAAGGGCATGGATGCACCTTCTTCCGGTAATACCCCCACAACAACCTGGATATTCTAGGCGACCCCCCTGTAAAGTCTTCCATATTTAAGCTGACTAGGTTTGGCACCGGGGCAGGCGTGTTTGGCGAAAGACCAAATGCTAGCAACGTGCGTACAGAATCGATCTTTCCATTTTCAGCAGCCCATGAGAGATCGCGGAACGATTGAGGGTCCTGGAGAAGATCTTCATAAAATATCTCTTTCAAGAGAATATCAAAAGTAGTGCAGGTTTGAGAACAAGCGTTTAAGAAGCTCCGGTCATCGAGAAAGTCAGCGATCATCCATATGAGCTCAACAGGAAGCCTCAGTCCGAACCGAATTGATTCAATTATTCATGTCACAAATTGACATATGGGAGGTTATACATTGCGTGTCGATTCGTCCACTTATGGCACTTATAGAGGGGGCCGCATGCATCGGAAATGAGTACCTTCTGCAAAAGCTTCTACAGGCCGATCAATATTCCAAAAAGCCTTATGTGAGTGATGAAGAATGGGATAACATCTTGATTCGTGCGCTAGGGGATGCTACCAGTTGTGGTCACAAAAATATAATTGTATATTTACTCGATCTTGGTGTCAACCCCTGCAAAACCCCCAAAACCCCCCCAGTCACGCCCTAATACCAATACCCAAAGCAATGAAAATGGAAATTTCGAGAGCACAGAGCTGCTCTATGAGAGAGAGGCGTTCCCGATTCATTGGACGCATCTTCAGTCACCGTCCGATGGATCTACCAATTGGCATAAATTTTCATTTTCAGGTAATTTGGCAATTCTTCAATTTCTCATCGACAAAAATCTTCTTATATCTCCACAGCCATCGGCTCAGGATTACGAGGAGCTTTTAGTCTATGCATCCGAACACGGTGAGGTCGTGTTCGATATGGTAGCACGCCACCTCAAACTGGCTTTATGTCCACGTGATGGTATCGGACATTTAGCAGCTTTTGGATATGGCCATATATCTATCATGAAGTAATTTCTTCTAGCGGGGTTCAACCAGACTTTGCGGTTTTTAGCGATCAAAAGAGACTGAGGGGTTCTCTCGCCGACGCGGGCATGCCACCAGATGTTCTCCGCGTTGATGGAGAGGCAGAGATCAACCTTCTGCTCGAATATGGAGCAGATGTTGAGTGGAGGTTTGAAGAGGACAATTACGATCGCTACTACTACTACGATGGCAATGCAAATGAACAGTACACAACGGCATTGCCCCATACATTTGGCTTGTCTATTGCACCACAAGATCTTGAATGGAAGATCAAGCCTTTATGATCAAACCTTGTACAACACATACCCGAAGAATCTGCTTCATACCCAACAATAGTGTACTAGAGAGACGTGTCTCAGTAATAATAAATTAGTATTAATATTGATCTAATGATCCGATAAATGGGTAATTACAGGTCTCTCTTTCAAAAAGCAAAAGCTAGGAAGTCATATCACATTAATCTCCAATACAAAGTAAAATCACGAGAGATGCAACGACCGTCTGAAAATCAGTTTCGACGACGAATACTTCCCTGCATAGCCCGAGTTTCCCAATCTGTCAAATTCTCATCGTCTCCTTTGAAACTTTCATATCGATGGTCTCTCTGTAAGGCCGCACCTTCCCCGAATCCCAATCTACCAATCTTAATCACATCATCATCAGACGGTACCGCAACATTTCGAATAACCCCCGGCATCTCATCTAATTCTGACACCTCGTCCAGGTTACGGGTAACCAGTAGAGGAAACACCTTGTCCCCTGCAAATGCACCAAACCGCAACATGACAAAAGAGTCTAAGCGCGATGTCCAGCGTGGATAGCGTCCAGCATATATAGAAAGACACAGCAATGGGATAAGATACAGTGCCATCAAGACAGAAACAACAATAACTCCAGCCAATGAGATGGAAGGGATATTGATATCAACGCCTAGATCTTGGTAGACATACAATGCTCCAGGTAACTGTTTCATAAAGTTCTGGTTTGCGAGATACGCCGCTGCTGTAAAAGCAGTTGGGAATCGATTGGCCTGGCTGGTGAACACATCGATATATTGTGTTATCACACCCCCAGCAAGTGTGTAGTAGCCATCACCCTGTAGACAGCCCTCATTGGTCACATAATCCGAAGAAGTAGTACTGAGAATATTGAAAAGCGGGGGGATCGCCAAGCATGTTTCATCATTTCCGCCAAAACTGACATCGTCTTGCATAACGTCAAACTCAGCAGTAAACATCTCAAAAAAAGAGCCGGGGCCGAAGGTTGCCAATGCGGTCATTAACAACGGTCCCTTGTAAGTCTGGTCAAATGAAGACCACGATGCATTTTGAAGGGCGGTGATATTTGACGTGTCTTCGGCCCGGCGTTTCAAAACTTGATATGAATCCCAATAACCTTGATTCATGCAGTGCTTATCACAAAGAGATGTTGGACCATCGTCAAGCAAGGGACCTGGAATCCCGTTGTTCAAGTAGTTTGGCAACTCAAAATATCCTGCTGTGGTGTTGACGGTGATTCGATAAAGTGTTATTGTGGGGTCGTAACCACCATCGGTGATTGACGAAGTGAAATTGAGATAAAGAGTCTCGGTGAAATCTTGACGGTTACGCGTGAAATTCCATGGAGTGTTTGATGAATTTGATGTCATGCATGCGATAACGCCCCATTTGTATATCCTAGATGTACCAGAATATGCGTACGAAGATGAATAATCGGCGTAGAAGTGATCAGTTCCAATACTGCAGTTGGTCGGGAAGTCTATGGGATCAATGGTCTCGTATCCAGCTGTAGAGTTCACACGTGGTGCAAATTGGCGAACTAACCCAGTATTGAATCCACTGGGGATCTGAGAATAAAAATTCCCAGAGCTAATTTCACTAAGCGTCTTAAATGTTGCTTCGCCGCTATTATCCCATAGGTTTGGCTGGTATGCATTTCCATCGGCTTTGCTGAGGTCGGCTCGAGTACTGAACACATCAACTCCAGTTTGCGGCGGATATGTAGAGTATTCATCGTCGACAAAGTCAAAGATAAGTGCTCTCTCACTAGGCCCATTTTGAGCCTTGATGGATTGACTGGTGAGAAAGATGGATTGAACAGGATAGGTGATGACACCAAAGAACCAGACGAAGATTGCGATGAATAGCAATGTGCTGCCATGTCTTTTCCATCCACCATGAGCCAAGGACCAATACAAAGATAACTCGTTCCATCGGCGATCAGCCAAAGCCATTACGTTTCGCAATCGAAGATCCATAGCGTTTTTCTGGTTCTGGGTATAGATCACCGCGGCGCTTGCACAGACGACGGTGATCCAAGGAAGCGTTGCAACTTGAACGATGGCCTGGACGATTTGGGCGGATCGGTAGAGATGCTTATCCAAAGCATAGTCAAATTTCTTAAGACGGTCCTCGTACAAATTGTTCTTCAAAGAGTATCCCCATGATTTCCCCTTTATCGGATGAAATGGCAGCGTCGCCATTATGGCCCATGCGTAAACGGCCATCGCGACATAGAGAATTGTCCCAAAAGACACCCACACCGAGCGATGGATTCTAGCACTGTGCCCTCGACCGACCATTTGGCCCGTTGACCGAACCTGGCTATAGCCAGGAAGCTCTTCATCATGATTTGTTGAAGAACCCGATCCCTCATTCGCATAGTATTCCGGTGGTGTAATCCGTCCATGATCATGGTATATGGGAGTCTCGTCGCTAGAGACGACGCTATGTCGCGAAACGTTCTCGAGAGGAATTGAGCCTTCCCTGTGCTCCTCCATTTTGCAGATTTTGTTGTCTCCTGAACGACAAGTTCTGCCCAAATGGTCAGACTGGAGGATTTAAAACCCCTTGGGCCCTTAGCCACCACCAAAAACAACCTAAGCTGAAATCGGCTTTTATGTCTGCAAATTTTACCCGATGGCTTACTAGCTTAACGCCTCTGGGCTGCCGAGCGGCCTGAGCGTCCCAATCCCCGGACGCCCCACGCTATAAAGTGAGCCCACCTATTATCTGTCTCGGGATTGGATCTCTACCATACTAGCCAATCTCGCACTGCACACAGATTGCCGTTTTCCCGGAGACTTCACAACCATAGTGGGCGAAACTTTTAGGCATAAAATGTCAATATTCTCATCTTTCAAACCTTTAGGTCAAGTTATCATTTAAACGCGTGGAGCTGCTTAAGAATCCATAGAGCCCAGCATGCCCAGTGACTTGAAATAAAACCAGTTGACAAATAAATCTCTGCTCCAGGAACAAGCCTCTGGGAGGTCCGCAGACCCTTCAAAGAGGATACTAATTTGGCTAAAAAAACTAACCGATTTCGGCCAAGGCGTCCAGAGCTAATAATATCCCCCACCGCGGCTGAAAGCTTGGATTCTGCCCAAACCGAACGCCCTGAGGCCCGTGGTGATCATGACTGATTCCTCTTATTGGCCATGTTCCACCCGTGAGCCTCCTAGCCTCCTTTAACAATGCATCCAAGATGTCCAGTCTGAGGTTACATTGATAAGTACGGAGGATTTCGAAATCATTATTGGCTGCGGTCCAATTGTACAGAAACTAATCAAAGAACGTTTCAAGGTGATTACCCCTTAACTACACCCAGTCCAACAGTCTACAGTCTACAGTCAAAAGTTGAGGATGCACCTTGAACTATGCACAGGCATTATGCCAAGATGATTTCTGCGTGAGCCCTTTCAAAGAAGAATGATTCTTTTTCGAAGGCAAGATGCAATCAAGCCATTCTCATCTGCCAATAAACGCCGACATCAAATAAATAGGGAATCATTGTCTGATAAAGTCTCTTAACCACCATGCAGAAGAAACAGAAAAATGAAAGGTTGTGAAAGAAGACAAAAGAAACCAGATACTTTCACCATATCAGTTCCTACAGGCCCTCAGACGGACAACTTAGACCGAACGCTGCAACGCAGCATCAACATCAACCAAGAGCCCAGTCAACTCCTTCCCGCCATCAGAAGCCTTCCCCTCAATCTCTAACCCCTTCTCCAAAAACGTTTTAGCCTCGGCATACCGTCCCATCTCAGCCAAGCACTTCCCAACTCTCCACCAAGCCTTGACATTCCCGACAGGCTTCGAATCAATACTAGCCTTGGCATCAACCAATCCTTCCGGCCACGACTGGTTCCCCATATACGCCTGGGCGCGATTCCCATATAAACCCGACAGATCATCTCTGGCGAGAGACACAGGCTCCCAACCCGGACGGGCAAGCGCCATGTCAATAGCAAAGGTGTACATTCTAACAGCTTCTTCGTAGTTATTTTTGCGGAAGGCGGCATTTCCACCGTCGCGGAGCTTGGTAATCTGGGCACCACGCTTGGGGTTAATGGGCAGGGGTGGTGGAGGGATGTTGTTTGGAGAGTCGAGAGAGATAAGGGAGCGGTGGAGGGCGTTAAGCTCGTTTAGTTCGTTGGCCATGTCTGTTGTTTGAGTGGGTGTTGAGAGGGATGCTGGGTGGCTGATTGCTTTGGACGCGGGGTCCATGTGTAATGTGTATTGGGTGAAGAGGTCGATTTCGCTGGCCATTTTGATTCTTGTTGGACTTGCGAGTCCGCGTTTTTATTTATATAGGCTGTTCCGAGATGTTAGTCGGTCTTTCGCTTGTGTATATTTCAGGTGGCGGTGGGAATTCTCTGTAAATTTGGATGGGGCTGCGGTTCTGGTAAGGGTCATGATTCGTACCGAGTTTAAGAGATGCGTAGGCTGGAGTGGCAATGAGCAAAGTTGGGCTTAGGAGTTGGATGATCTCCGTTGCGGAGAGCAAGCTGTCCAGAAGGCCGTGAGGCGGTGGCAGAACCACTCAGGTACCAGGTTGTGGATTAGCCACCGATAAGCTTCTTATCGTAGTTCTTTCTGACAACTGTCGGACCACTCGCGGACATAACTGAGAAGCTCATGATGCCCAATATGAAACCCCTGCAGCAGTTGACCACATATACTCTACTATATGTTACTGTCTATGGCAAACAGATACTCTGCCGTACAATCTGCTGGGATTGGATCCCTCATTATCGATCTTTAACAGGGATCAAAGTCGCCCCATTAATACAGAACTTAGCCTGGAGCAGAACCACGGAGTTGATATATTTCAGATTGGATCCCTTTGATAACATTTCTACATCTTTCCTGCTACTAATTATTACCTATAATATTTTGTAACTTGCGTCGTTATCTTATTCTCTAACCTACGCCTACGCCTACGCCTTGGACTCATACGTATATTCCCATGCATCTGTAGTGTAGTCTGGAATAATGCCAACTTGAACTTGAAGTCAAGAACAAATCTCCTATAAGAGCCTATATTTCTTTTCAACGCCTAGTCTTACCATTTTCTCTCCTTTTGCTCATCCCAAACTATATCGGAATTTGAATAATTTTATCTTGTCTAGTTCATACGTTCTTACCAAAATGCGAATCAGCGACTTTATAGATGCAGCTACAGCCATCAACAGACAACACAACAACGGAGAACCTCCCCCACCACGGCCGCCGCCGTCGCTCCGGCCACCTTCACATTCACCTCCACCACCGCCGAGATTTTGGCCAAAGCAAATCCCACCCACAACAGACATTGCAAATGTTCCTCTAACGTTGGCCTGGGATCTCAGTTCAGTGACCGAGACATCGAGAGAGAGTACGTTGATCAATATCAGTATAGTCGACACCGTGTATACTAACTTTGTACGTTTTCAAAAGTGACCTTGACGGCATGATCGCAAGATGCAACAGCCGAATCGAAACTTGCATCTTACCCGAAATATGGGAAAGGAAGCTGAGAGATTTTACGGCACAAAAAGGAGAAATAGACGCTATCCAAGCAGCAGCACCTAGACTTCCTTTCGAGACTGCTCCAAGGGTTCACACCTTGATGAAGATTCAAGAATGTCTTATTCTAAAAGGAGATCCGTATGATCAACTTGATAGTGTAAATGCTATCATAAATGCTTATACACGAAATCAGCTCCAGTGGAATACTGGTGATATCAAGACTACTTCTTGGTATAAAGGTCGTTCTATATCTAGCCCCGAGGAGTTTGATTTGGATGATTATCTTAAATTGGCGAGACGGCTCTCTGCTTCCAGGCGCTTTTGAGTTGAGGGGGTAAGTAAACCTTGACGCTGAATCAATTACACTCTCATTCCACAAGCATAGTAAATACTAACTTGACACCCATTTCCATAGTTAAGTGAGCCCGATCCTGTACCATTGTGTGCTTTGACGACGGACCCATATACCACATTCACTTGAAATATTCTCACTGGGTATGTGTATACCCCCTTACCTAGAATATCTTCTTTTTGATAATCAATACTAATCTGGAACGTATTAGATTGACTTCGATATACGAATTTCCGGTCCCGGAACAAGTATCAATCTAGAATTCTTCGAAGATTCAGGTGCAGCCCTTCCTACCATATGGACTGATGATATCAGTGAGTTGCTAGCACTCTCTGGTAAGGGTAGTATCATTCCTAGCTTCGCTCATATCCAACACTATACACCTACAACGCAAGAAGAGGAACCCACCGTTATTTTAGAGATGAGAGTTGCCGGAAAGCCGGCTTCAACAAAATGGATTCCAGTTCAGGTTCTGGTTAAGCCTATGGCTGATAAAATGAATTTCAAACACAGGCTCAGTGGGAAATGTTGGCGGTATGCACTTTTCAATGAACAGTCTCGAGGACTAATTGTGGGCGACAAGATGGATGATATGTTTGGATGATTTTATGTGAGTTAATCCTTGGACCTACTATGCTTTATACAAATACTAGTACTATATTTCAGTCTTTTACGGGGGTCTCTGATGTAGTTTCCATATGTCAATACTTCAAATGTTCCTTTCAAATTATCTTTTGTTAGGGATACTAAGCCAGAAACTTAAGTATTCACTTAGTATAGAAATAAACCCAAAGATACTTCAACTGCTTTCATAAACATTCCAACCTTTGGATCAGCTATCATTCTCAATAACCGAACATAGTACTGCTGTCCAGAGCAAGCACCCCTCAACTACTAGTAGCACAATACCACCCCCTCTGGCAAACCATCCATCCCAACATCCCCAACGAAGTCGCAATAGGGAACCCCCCCTCCTTAAACCTAACAGTCCTGAAAACCAAAAGCTCCGTCGAAAACAACAAAAACACACCCAACCACGTCAACGTAGCCAAATCATATAGTTCCGGACTATCTATATGATACGCAGCATAGACTCTGATAAGAGCCGTATAGAAATTTTTGACTCCGTACACATGCGCGAGTAAAGAGTTAGGCGGGGGCGCTTTTGGGCCTGAGAATTGCGTAAGGCCTGTGCTGGGCAGGAGGTATGCGACTATTGAGTGGGCGGTCCCGAATGTGACGAACTATATTTGGAGATGGAGGTTAGTTTTTGGGATGTGTGTTAAGCTATAAGCAGTAGATGTTGGGAATGGGGTTGTCGTACGAAGAGGAGGCCGTAGGGGAGGTATCCAGCTTCAATTGATGGGAGGGCGGGCATTATGATATTGTGTGTTTGTGTTCGTTTTTGTGTTTGTTTATGTCTATGGATGAAGGTATGGAGCAGATAATCGCGAGGGACTTGGAGTGGATAAGAAGGAAGCTGTGCTTGAAGAGCTTTAAGGGGTCAGTTAATTTTACTGTCCCTGTATTTGGTAGAAGTACTATTGGCTTTTACTCTTTTATCTCTAGCTCCGGATTACGGAGTGCGAAGTGCGAAGGGCCCGAGGATCTAGTTCGTGCTTACGGGGTCCAGACTCAAAAATCCAATCAATAGGCTAATAGGCGGAACTTTGGATTTGAAAAAGTACGGGTTACATTTAGAAGCAATATTGCCTACTCTTCTTCTCGGAATTGCATTTAGATAGAAGAGTAGTGTATGTAAATTGGAACATTCAGCGTTGAAGGGTATTTATGATTCGCAGATACAATCTATCTGCCTACATCCAATCTAGAACATACAGTCATACATAAGGCTAAACAACCCGATGGAAGAAGTCCATCAATGAAGATATCGAAGAAAGTGAAGAAAATGAAGAAAAGCATGAAAGCACAAAGCTATGCGCCCGCCAACACCGTCCGTGATCATGTCGAGGAAGCAACAAAAGCAGTCAAGCAGTCGCCAGGTTTTTGGTATTCGTCCGGCATCCATGCCTCAGAATGAAATCGACATTGGAATTGAGTATGAGAATGGGAATGAAAATGAACATAACCATCCAATATTCATATTCATATCAACAAATAGATCTATCGCGGGTTTCCGAATCCTCCAACTGTAGACCCATAGTCTGAGGGTGTATATGCATCCGCGGGTGGTGCGTAATGTTGTCCATGCGCACCGCCGTACGGTGTACTATTGTAGTCATGCATGACACTGCTTCCGACATTTGATTCGGTAGGATCATATGCACCGCTCAAAGCAGATCGACCGTGTTGATTGCTTAGATCGTCGATCTCGCTCTGATTAAGAAGGGAGTAGTCCTCGTCTTGATCGGCGCGGGAGGAGCCCACACCTCCCATACGGCTGGATCGGAAGTCCTCCTCGTCCTCCTCGAAATCGTGGGCTGGGTTAGATGAGAAAGCGGCCTTGGATTGAGCGGCGAATGTGGGGTCTGAAACGGCGTCGGGGAGGGTGCCTGTGCGGCGGAAGTGAAGCACGTTGCGGATGGACATGTAAGCGGTCACTGCGAAAAGGAGACTATATGAAGTTAGCGCTGGGTGGATTTTTGTTGGGGATATATTATAGTTCACGTACAAGATGACAACTCCGATGATGGTGGTTGCTTCGCTCAGTTGGCACTTCGAAGAACTGCCGTAAGCCCAGTTGTCACATCCGGAACTGCTGGATCGGCGGGTCTTGCTGCTGCTGCTGCTGCTATCCTTGTCGCTATCACTGCTTGACTTTCCTTTACTCTTGCCCTGAGCCACATATGAAGCCAAAGCGACCCATGCGCTAAACCAGAACACTGTGTAGATGAGATCGACCGAGGCGAAAGCGTAGACGTTGCCGAAGCGGCGGGCCCGCGGCCACATAGGCACTGCGGCTAGGTAAACGAGAGCAGGAAGACTGAGCCAACACTGCGAGATATGTTAGCTGCAAGGCTCATCGGGAATTTTATGTATCCGGAATTCCGGCCCATGTGGATGGGACATGAAGGGAGCAGGAGTCTCTCGTCTCCGAGAGAGAGAGAGAGAGACAAAAAATAATCAAATCAGGAATAACATACCAGGACCCAGTACCAGACTGTTCGTCCATCAATACTGCTGCCACCCTTCGTCCAGATTCCGATGGTCATCGCCCATGCTAGGAAGATAATAAACGCTTGCGCAAAGTGGAGGATGTTTTTGGTTCTTCCCAGGTTACCACCGCCTGACGGTCGAGGGATCCGCATATTGTGTGTTGTGGAGGAGTAAAGACTGCAAGGGCGGAATCGTCCCTTTTCAGATATTCGCCCGACAAAGGGGTTTCGAGTGAAACGTCTTGACCGTGAAAAATGCGCGCCCGATAGTGGTGTTCAATAGGTCGCAAGTCGGTCAGAAGATGGTCAGACGAGAAACGGGAGAAGGACAGATGTGGAGTTTGGGACGCGCAGCCGGTGTCTTGGCTTTGTGTATCAGCCTCTTAGTATACGGAGGAGAAAGGAATGATCCGGAACTGAAGGTGAAATTGAACGCCGGAGATTAAAAAGATGAGTCAAATTCAAACAGAATGTATTTCGTCTCTCGTAGACAGTAAAAAGGATAGGGAGAAGGCGGAGATGATGTTCTTTTTCTGATTCTCGACGATCGCCCAGGCGACAGCCCGTGTGGTTCTATTTTGGGGTACATCAGCCACGGTGGAGCCAATGCCACAAGGCGAAGCAGTAAATGTTCACACCCATTGGAAGTCAGAATGGGAGCAATCTTTTGACGCCTAGAATTACGGCTCCACTTCATCATTTGCCGCGATCGACAATATAATCTCCAGATGAAGTGTCTGATTCGGGGAATGCCTCAAGTGCTCCAAGGCTGCAAAGTTCTATCCACGGATCTCGTTATTACTGACACATACTAGAGTAACCGGTACCTGCAGACCCAGCATGATCGAATATGCAATTCGGAACTAGATGATCCACAGATGACACAGTATTTGTCGCCAGAATAGAGGTAAGATGCAAAAAATAGTATATATTCCACACTTTGTAGTAGGCACTATAAGAGTTCGGGAGTCATGAGAGAACAAGAGAGAACAAGTCGTTGTATAACCGAAATAAAAGAACAGATCAAAAAGGTCAAGCATCCCGAAAGTAAAAGAAAAGAAATCGCTCAGTCATGTTTCATGCTCGTCATAATTCATACAAATGTCATTGCCCTCATCGGACAACGGTATCGGTCAATCCAGCCTCCCGCGTCTTCCTCAATAGCTGCCAAACCTCACGCAAAGGCTGGTATACATGCACATGCCACCACCATGGCAAAGGATCATCAGTAGAGAATTGCGCATCTTTCCAGAAGAGGAACGGTATCACCTCTGCCTCGAGTGCAGCCACTAGTCGCTTCGTAAAGCTCAAAGAAAGAAACCGAGAAAGGAATGAGGCAACAAGCTCGTGATCTACTATAGTTGGTCGAGAGCGGGGACTTGGTGATAGTGTTGTAGGAACGCTTCGGGGAGTAGGCTCGGTCGGATCAGGAGATAACACCGCGAGGTATCCCTTGACAGGGCACCGCGCATCAAGAATTAGACTCTCTAGAGCCGCAGCACCAGAGACACAATCCGCGATGTGAATGGTGTGACGCACGGAGGACGCCTCAAATTCTTCATCGACCAAGAGACGCACCGAGAGATGGCCCGTGAGACGGGAACCGCCTTTCTCCGCGAATTTTTGCATTAGTTGGTGAACGGCTTTGGCTAGAGCTTCGTCTAATCGCGAAGCACCCCAGTGCGGAGAGCGCGCCTCCACCAGCCTAACCTTGATGGCGTGAACATAGCCACGGATGAGCAGCACATCGGCGAAGAACTCTCCGAGTCGGGTTTGTTGCTGCAGCACCCAGGGGAATTCTTGAGAGATCTGGATTTCGCTGACTTCCGAGTACGTCTTGCTAAGGGAACGCTTGGGCAGAATGACGGCTGCTTCCTTGGGGCCAGAGCTCAGACGGCGCATGTGGTAAGATTTGCTAGGCGAGCGATTCAGAATTTTGTGAATAGAGTCGCGCGATTGCACTTGGTGATTCTCAAGCACAGGGAGTTTCTTCTCTGTCAAATATTGACGAAAGGTGTCTGCATTGCGAAAACAGGCGGTCGTGTCTGGATCAAAAGCAATACACTTGCAATTTGTGCGCCTCTCCACCACTTGTCGAGCAGTAGCATCCTCAATAGCAGATGCTTTGGGTGAGCATGGAATCCAGATATCGGCCTTTTCACGCAGAATAATATCTAATATTCTGGAGAGATAGTGGTCCTTCGGAACTCGATAAAATGCGACCAATGTCTTGGACATGCCGCCTCCAGATCGTACAGGAAGGCGAAAATCAAGATCAGTAACATCCACTCCTACCACCCGATGGCCAGCTGCTTCCCAAGCTCGTGCAAGGGCAAGACCCGGCGACGTTCCGATTCCGGTGATTAAGACGGTCTTGGGATAGAAATGTACATCTTGCAGAGCTTCCTGTCGTCGATTTGATGATGATGTCGAGCGAAGTCGCGCAAACAAGATTGTAGCTAATAAAATGAAGTTATCCAAAAATAAAAGCCCAAAGGACAAAGAGATGCGGAAAATGTGCCAAAAGACACGGCAAAGGCCTTCTACCGATGCTGCATGGAAAGTCTTCATTTGGAACGTGAGTTAGTGTCTCGCTACTGGAACCACCATTGAAGAGGTCCAGCAGACTGAGAGGGTGTACAACCTCCAGAAGTTTGGAAGGGAGGTTGGGGGAGTTGGAATGCAGCAAGGAGGAAGAGGCTGTGGAGGGGGAAAGCAAGTGCCGCCCCAAATGAGGGGGCGATCGGGGAAACGAAAATCATCACCGATCGAGATCGTGCAACCTGCGCCTTATCCTTATCCACCTTATCCACCACCGAGAATGTTTATAGATCCATCATATGCTTAAAATCATGAAAGACGCTCGAGGAGCTATTGGAGAGGCTTTCCATAACGGCCTGTCAAGCAGCCCGGGTAAAGTTTTCAGTATACCGACCGTGATTACTTTTGCGAGGCTCAGCTGAGTACATGTTAACTCGGTTTAATACAATTACCAACGTGATGGCTAGAAGTTCAAAGCTGGATATAACAGGCTGAACATGGTCACAGTATTATCTCCAAGTAAGCAGGGTATTGCAAGTCACTGCCCGCACCATACGATGCCAGGGATCAGGTTTCCGATCCACTTTATCTGATCATCTCCGCTCGGCGTTCTCGGTCTTAGTTACTTGAAGCCCTTAGGTCCGAGCGATGATGCTCGCTCAAGGTGCCAATGTGGCTTCCATGATCACCGATGTTCGGCATATGGAGGCGTACGATCGGGACTTACGCAACATCGATTGCCCGCACTTTCTCGTATCTTCCCCATGCGGGGCATTTGCCGTCCACCATCTTCACTCTATCACTCTCTATACCACAATCCAGTATTCTTCCGCCATTACCAGCCTCGTTGTCTGTACAGCCAGAAAATCATTCGCCGAAGTATTACGAGCTTTCCCGTCTTGAAGATGTCAGCACGATCTGGTTCGCCGCCTGCTCATGCCCGTCCAGGGCAGTCGTCTGTAAGTTTATCTTGAGATCCGAGATCAAATATACAGTAGATCCAAGGCTTGGCATTTAACTAAAAGATCGGTATAGGATGAAGATGACCGAACAAGACGTCTTCTCCGTTGGGTTTTTGCCCGAAAGGATATTGATGAGATTCGGGGGAGCCCTGAAAGGGTCCTCGCCCTTATTGACAAGTTCAGTGAGAATGAACGCATGATGACTGTCGGTCAGGCCAAGGGAAAGGAAGTCCTAGACTTGATCGATGAGGTCAAACCCGGAACAATGATTGAGCTGGGTTGTTTCGTGGGCTACTCTGCCATTCTCTTCGGTGAAGCATGTCGTCGAAACGGTGGTCAACGTTACCTCAGTCTAGAATTGAACCCTGAATGGGCTGCTGTCGCTAATATGCTTGTTGAACTCGCTGGTCTGCGCAGCTTTGTCACTATCCTGGTCGGTCGCAGTGACGTTACCCTGGACAGACTCTATCAGACCGGTGATGTCAAAAAGGTCGAACTGATGTTCATTGATCACTACAAGCCTGCCTATCTGACAGATTTGAAATTATGTGAACACCATGGCATGATCCAAGTTGGCTCTGTTTTGGCCGCTGACAATGTCCTTTACCCGGGTAACCCCCCGTATTTGGAATATGTCCGCAGCACAGTGGAGCAGAAGAGAAAGGCAGCGGAGCAAGGTCCTATTAAGGGATACACCACTGAAGGCATGCGCGACCGTGCTGTGAACTCTTTTATGCCGGAGGGTGATGTACCTTTCCTTGAGACGGTCGGGAATCCCAACCTTGTGTATGAAAGTGGGCTTCGACAGCCAGAAGGACACCGGGTGAGTCACATTTTTTCCCCTATTTCCGATCACCGAATGATGTTTCGTATTGCAAAAAATTAATTCCCTGGTAATAGGATGCAATTGAGGTGACTCGATGTGTTGGAGTACAGGACGCATAGACCATGAGGGACATATAAGCCTTAATGACGTGCGTGGGGGTTGATTGTAGAGCGGCACTAACCGCCCAAGGAAGAGGAAAATCCATACAATCTAGACAATTGAAGTAACCATGAAATGACAATCCCATTGCAAATCTCAAATTTGATTATCAAGCATACTACCAAACTCGCATCACAGTCCTCCGAAACAAATAATAAAAAACGAGAAAGATCCCGACCTTTGCTATATCGGGACGCCGAGTAAACGGCTTCTGTCAATATGCCCCGCCCGAGCCAAAGGTTGCCGTCGCCAGGACCTTCCCCCGCATCGGTGCTACTTTTCCGCGCGACTCATATATAACTCCCTCTTCTCTCCCCCGTCTTTTATTATCCTAATATCCTATACCTCTCCTTCCAATCCCCATTATACTCCGCAATCACCATGGCCTCCAAGACCTATAACGTCGGTATCATCGGATACGGCTTCAGCGCCAAGATCTTCCACATTCCTTTCGTGGCACAGATCCCCGAGCTCAAGCTTTATGCCGTTGTACAGCGTACCCCTAAGCCTGACGATGATGCTGAGAAGGATCACCCCGGTGTCAAGTCTTACCGCACAACAGACGAGCTAGTTCAAGACTCTGCCGTCGACATTGTGATTGTTACCACCGCGCCTGACTCCCACTTTGCGCTGTGCAAATCGGCCCTCGAGGCTGGCAAGCACGGTTAGTGTCGCAATTACTCTACACTACTGGAAAAGTGACTAATTCGAAATATCCAGTCATTTGCGAGAAGCCCTTCACCCCCACTTACAAGGAGGCCGCTGATCTCGTCGCCATTGCCAACAAGGAGAACAAGCTGCTGGCTGTCTACCAGAGTACGTCACTGCCGGACTTCCCACCCCACACTCCCCTTCCCACGATCTCAATGGATTGCCCCATAGTGGACTTCTCATGCCCATGCGAAAATTCTTCTCGAAACATTTCTAACTAAGATATCGTGAATAGACCGTCGCTGGGACGCGGACTTCGTCACTCTTACCAAGCTCGTCAAGAACGGCTCTCTTGGCCGCATCTCCGAGTTCGAAACCCACTTCGACCGCCACCGCCCCGAGCACCCCTCCGACGATGCCTCAAAATGGAAGAACAAGGTCATTCCCGGTGGTTCCGCCGTCTATGATCTGGGAACTCACCTGCTTGACCAGGCAGTGCACCTTCTCGGTGTTCCCCAGCGCGTCACTGGCTTCATTGGTTCTTCCCGTGCTGTGAACAGCTCCAACTACGAGGACTCATTCACCGTCCTGTTCCACTACGCCAATAACACACTTGTCACCGCCAAGGCTACCGTTGTCAGCCCCGAGGAGGAGCAGCTCCGTTTCTGGGTCCGCGGTGAGAAGGGTAGCTTCAAGAAGGTAAGCAAGACATTCACATTCACATTCACATTCACAAGAATGAACAAAGGAATGAAAATGAACCGAATGCTAACATTGTTTCTTCTTATAGTTCCACATCGATATCCAGGAGGACCAGCTGAAGGCTGGCATGAAGCCTGATGAGTCTGGATACGGTCGTGAGCCTAGCGAGCGCTACGGTACATTGACCACCTTCCAGGACGGCAAGCCCGTTAAGGAGGTCGTTCCTACTGTTGAGCCCCCTACCTACACTGAGTACTACCGCAAGTTCGTTCGTGCTCTCGGTGGCGAGGGCCAGCTTCCTGCTAGCGGCGCGGAGGCTGCCGAGGTTATTCGGTTGATTGAGCTTGCTCGTGAGAGCTCTGAGACTGGCCGAACCCTGGATGTTTAAATTTGATAGAGATTGTACGAGAAAAGCAAAACGAGGTTATGATTTAGCGGCAGATAGAAGATCAATTTGGAAGTTTTAGTTTCATACCATTGCTCCAATTAATTCTACTATACACCTGCTTGAACAGACATTTTAAAACCCCAAGTGTTACACTCTAGGAGCAAACTGATAGGGGAAGCACTTCATTCACCACTACCTAAGGCAGGGAGACTAGAATTAGGCTACTGACTGACCGGTCAGGGCCAGCAGAACGGCCAGACGGTAACAGGTACCCCCTTGAGCGAAAGGTCTTGTCCCAAGACCATAAGAACGCAGGAAAGTAATCAGAAAACACGTAAGGTGAAGTGCAGAAACGCACAACGCAACTAAGAAGAACCGGTTTGAGCAGCATCGTCACGCTCTGGGAGCATCGCCTTGAAACTGTCGTATCGGGGGCCCAAGCTCGCGATGAACGCGTCACGGAGGTCTTTGTGTAGAGATGGGGAATGTATTAGGTCAAGTGGTCGTTCGTCATGAGTGAGCAGATTTCCCTCCACTATCCAACAGCATACCCCGATGAATTGTGCATAGCGTAGAGAATTTCTCAAATTTATGTTAGCAAGGCACAAAGTAAGTAGAGGATTCGATAACTTTGAGGGGAAAGGCTATACCAAAGACAAAGGATGGCTTTCAAAGAAGGGTAAGGCAGAAGATCAAAGGAAGAGGATTCGTGGTTTTGACCGCGTCGTTACGCAGTAGTTGTATCTCGTATCCTGGAGGTAAATGGTCAGCGATTTTATCTTTCAGCCTAAGGATATACAGGGTAGTCTTGTTCCTACCAGATGCAGGTTGCACACCTTGAAACCTGCACTTGTAATAGGCGAGGTCTTGGCAGACGAGACGCCAATGGGCGAGATGTTGGAAGGGCGAGGTGTCAACAGAAGTCGAAAGCAAGAGGCAGGGGGAAAGAAATAGATATACACATATATATATATCAGGTTAAGTAGAAGTGAACGACGCAATCGCACAGAATCGAATATCTGTCTTGAAAACGAATAGTTAGTGAGTTCACCTTTCAGTAATGAAATATCTGATGGTCGTGTTCCTACCGGACGCAGTTTCCACGCCTTGAAGCCTAAACCTAGAATAGGCAAGGTGAGATGTAGGGAGCAGGCAGAGATGAGAGGTGGGGGCGAAAGAAGAAGAATAATCGAAAGAATGGAGCTGAGAGATGAATTAGGAGCAAACGAAGCAAACGAAGCCATTCAACGACGCAATCGTCATAGATTGGGCTAATGGGGATGATCCTTTAAGAGAGAACGTCCCGGTCAACCCTTTCTTGAATGATAAGGATGATGATGATACCGATCCATGTGGAGAGAATGTTGTACCTATCGGTAGTACCAACCCTTTCCTAGAGGATGGTGACTCTGAAACCACACCAGGTGAAGTAGGTAGCGAAAACGGCTTCCTTGTGATAATGTCTCCGAAGAAGATAGGCTGGAGCTGGCGACTATATCAACTTGCCCTGAGGATGACGATAAAGTCTACGTGGGATTAGATGGGACTTACTTCCAGCTCCAATGCCGGTACCACGGCTAGTATGGCATCCTGAGAACCGACACAGCAAACACCTACCAAGATTGTATAGATAAATTTAGTGAGACTGATGGATGCCTTGTAATTAATTGGGACGTCCCTGATAGTACAAATCGTTGCTCCCTGATGTCGAAAGCTAGGCCGGGAAACTTATCCTACCTTATCCACAACTTTGTATATGCGGTCGATCCCCTAACTGCTCCTGCGCAGAACGATATCATTTTGAAGTGCTCCACTGAATGTCTGTACGCAAATCATCATCAGTATAAGCTGCCCTTTGGTGAGACCTTCAAAATGAATTGTGGCAAGCGACACGGAACTGCATACCTCGATACCCTGTCTTATACTTCTCTTAAAGAATGTATGAATGCCTGCAGTGTAATGATTTCTTGCCATAATGTCGACTACCATGCTTGAATAAATAAGTGCTACCTCTGTAGCCACCAAGAATAGCTGACTATTGATGCACTGGGATTTAGTAGTACTTACGATATTGGTTGTGCCGGAGCCTGTGACTGTCCGTGTTTTGGAAGCGATAGTCGTAGTGGGAGTAAGCAGACTAGTGTGATTATTGTATAGTGCTTAGAATTCATGAATGTATGATGGAATTAAGATGATTGTAAGGCTTCTTAACTCGAAAGGTAAGGCTTGGTTATCTTGATCGTGCGTCTAGTGCCGAAGCATTTTCATATTGCTCACTCTTTGATTTCTCCTTTGTTTGATGTCTGTCCTTATCTCAGCTTTGGGCTTTGTATTTATTGTTATTATGATACTACGTCAAATCTATACATTCTTTTCTCGTTGATAACTATTGTGCTGTAAGGTGTGTTTGAGACCTGAGGTTATGTATAGCTCTGATCCGTTGAATGTTGTCTCTAATATAGTATCTCCGGGTCCCGGTATTGGTTGAGGTATATTAGATATAGTTAAGCTCCAAGGTTAAAGGGAAGTAGTATTGCGTACTGAAAGTAAGCAAAAAGGATATAAGAACATAATAATTATATATATTTAAATAAAGTGATAAAATGGCTATAGAACCTTATCACCTAATAGCTATACTAAATTAGGACGAGGCTATAGATTATATATAATTGCTGTAGTTCAGAGGCATGCATTATGTTATTATTCTAGAGTGAGATATGAGACTATATATACAGCGAGAAGATCAAGTTGATTGGAAATCAACTTGGTTCTTCGTATACATACTTCGGGATTAATTCTGATGGTTTGGCTTGGGTCCTGATCTGCACCAGCCTTATATCACAACAATAATCAGTAGTAGTATACTTCGGGATGGCTAGCGGGAGGCCGGTTCTGCCTCCCATGGTTGTAGAGGTTTATTGATATAGAGAACAGCAGAATAACATATGTACCGGAAAACCTCTACCGGTGGGTCTTGGTTAGGGTGGATCATGCTTTTGCTCACTGAACATGATTGTAGTTTCTCTTTTCCCTGGATGCCTGAGGATGCCCAAGTATAGGATGTTTCACGTGATCTGAATGATAGATAGATTGGTTGGCTCTCGGTGACCCTATCAATTAGTTGTGGCCCTGTAACTAGTTAATTGGTGACTAGCATGTCCGTAAGCGTGCGTAGGTCCGTGATATAATAATACGAACCTACAATTTTTAACCATATTCTTTACTACCAAAACTATGCCGAATTCCTCCAAATAAGAAGAGATCCTTCTCTTAAATGCCCTCGAAGTCTATAAATCAGGCTGATTTAACAGTATTCAGGTCGAAGTCTCTTATTTTGGCGTGTTAAAGTGGAATCTCCGGAGCCGGCAGTAGGGTATGTCAAATAGAAAAGACTGTACAGCCACCAATAAAGCATTGAATCAGTCGCGAGAGAGCTCCCTGATTCACTGGATCGAGCTTCTTAACTCAGTATATACATCGCTGACTGCTTTAGATATTGAGTGTGTTGCAAATCGCGTTTTATAGCGCTATGGTTCTGACCGGCAGGTCAGCAAAATGTATGGCTACCAATTTATTGTACACCTACCACAGCATATCACTTTCTGTACGCAAAAGCCTATGGAAAGAGTGAGAATCGAGGCTGAATTATACGGTGAATTAGTATATTGGTATGAGGTCTTCGGCCAATTCCTTCAAAAAAGAATTTAGGCCTACAAACTATACAACTGGGATGAAATTGGCTTTCAGCTAGGTATTGGAACCAAGGAAAACGTTGCTTCCTACCCGTGAAAGGGAGAGTATCGCGACCGGTGGAATACGCCAGAATATAACTGGAATTGCATGTATTTCGGCAGATGGCTGGGTTATGTATCTATAGTTTTTAATGCGTGGTTCTGAATAAATGGAAGTTTGGTACGACGGCGATAATGACCCTTCTAATTACCAGATTATTAGGCCAACTACAAAGGCTGGACGGACAATAAAACCGCGATTCAACGGCTATTGGATTTCCATTATGCCACTAAAAAGCAAGTTACCGGAGGTAGACCTAGGGTATTGGTTGTGGATAACTATGATTCTCATGGAACCCCGGAATTCGAATACATTTGCCAAAGCTTCAATATCATACCTTGGTGGTTTATACCGAAATTGACACATCGATGCCAGCCTCTGGATGGCAAGCCGTTCTCAGTTATCAAACAGAAATTCCGAAAGAAGAACAATGAGATTGTACGATGGGGTGGAGATGCTGACGATAAACGGCACTTTCTTAAGATGATCAAAACAGTTTGTAAAGACACATTTAAATCACGAACTGTTAAATAATCATTCTATGATACTGGAATTTGGCCTTGGAATCAACATATTGTCTGTGATCAAATCGATCCCGGCTGGGAAGATGAACCAGTGATTGAGATCTATTATTGTCTTACACCTTTGCCGGAGGTGGAAATACCTAGTTCAATCACCAATTCGCCGCCTAATTCATATCAGAGGTTCTCAAAAATTGATAATAAGCTTCGACAGATATTTAAAAACGATGAAACAGACCTTCCGAAGGTTCAAAATCATATAAAACGTGCGATTCAGGGCGGCAAGCAGGCCATCCAAGACCTAGCCCTTGCAAAACAGACGATCAAAAAGATGCAAAGCCACAAAATTCCTATTAAAAAGTCAAAGCGTATTATAAAGAGTGCTTCTAGGTCTCTACTTATACCAGGCTTGGTCGATCGCGCTGGACAGCACCAGCAAGGCTTGCTCAGTGGTCCTGCCAGGGCGTCCGCCGAACTGGCTGTTCGATAACAGGCTATATTTTCCCGCAAGGTGGGACAGCCGTCGAGCTATCACTGCCTCAAGGGGCTTGCCGAGCGTATTCAGCAGTGAAATTTGGCGGTAGGCACCGGGGACCGAGTAGTCCGGTTTGCTGGTTTTCCGTAAGACAACAACCTTCGCATTCCTCCATTGGCTCGGGTGGTGTCCTATTCCCACACACGCTGTGAATATACTGACAATAAAGCTGTTTAAATGGCCCTAGAGCTTCTTCCAAACCGATATCGGTAGATTGTTCTCTCCTGGCACGGTCTTCCCTTTCGTTGTCTTTAGTGGTCGTCCAATTTCGAGCTCAGTAATCGGGTGCCACGGGAGTTCTGTGTTTTACACGGCGGGTGGGCTAGGGTCAGGTGAATCTATTGTAGGGAAGAAATCCTCAAGTGAAGCCTGCGCTTTTTCTTGGTTCTCTGTGAGCTCTTCCAAACCAACTCGTAGTGCTGGGATGCAGCCCCATTTCCTCAAGGCCTCGTATACGTCGCAGCTTTCTAGAGCTTTCCTTCGCCAGCCTCATCCAAGAACTGTGTCCAGTGCGAAGGTTTGGCTTTCTCGATGGTCCGGGTCCACACATGCCGCTTTTGTTGCATGGTTTGAAAGGCAACAAGAGTGCTAGCGTGATCTCGTCCAAGTTCGACACATATTACCTGCAACTTTGATTGACTTCAACTTGTTGAATCTTGAGATCCGGAGTGAAGCATCGCTTGGAGTATGGCGTGGGGCGTGCGTCGGGCGTAAACCGGCCGACTGCTTCGGGGTCCTTCCACCGCTCTTTGCAAGGGTACTATCTGGAGAGATATCACGCGGTGATGCCCTGACAGAGGTTACACGTGAGAATATAATGGAATGGAAATCGGTAGTGATGCCAGGGGACATAGCAAATCCCAAGCCACAACATGGATTTGTCAAGAGCATGTGATTTTAAAGATGATGATTGATGAAACAGCACTGCCATAGTTCCAATGAACAGAGAGACCGCCTTTTTTTTCAAATGGTAGATTGACTGTTACAAAAGCTATCGCCACTATGATGCCTTCTTGGTGGGTTTATTCTTCCGATCGCCCCTCCTCTTACTTCTGCCTCGGCGCCCACAAAATGTTATCTAATCGGTTTTGTTCTGGCTGTGGTTGTCAATTACGTCTGGCTACGGCTATACATTCACCAATATGTCCTGCTTGTCGTTTTTCGCTGCTCCCCCCTACACCGGAAACACGCCCCTACCTGCGCTGCCACGTAGTGGGGCATGCTAATGGGAAGTTAGTGTCTTCTTTTTGAGAGATAGAATTTAATTATACCAATCCAAGTATTGTTCAAGAACACCTCAATCTAATTTTTAACCTTTGACTAGTTATCCCATAGTTGGTGATTCATTAGGTTGGACTTTGACCCACTGTATCGATCAATTATAGATCAATTTCACATACACTTCGATGCCTGAGGCATTAAAGATACTGCCCAGTGTTGGTGCCTTAGGCTGTAAGATCACGTGTACCCCTGGCGGCCACGCCAGCCGTTTTGATATGAACAGTGACGTATATTATTCACTCTCAAGTATTTCGAACACAGTTCATCTGGAAGCAATTTAGCGTGTTCAGTAGGCTAGATTCCATCTACCCTTTCTATTCTAGTTCGCAGTCTCAGTGACGGAGAGCGAGCGGCACAGCACTTGGGGAAAATCCCGTGCTGATCCACTCTTTCAACAATCAATTGAACTGATGTGCTGGTAGATTTAGATGCTATTATCTCTAGCTTAGGTATGTCGATTGGAAACTCCCGCAGGGTTGTTTGTGATTTCGTTGCTTTTCGCTCTCTTTCACCCTCCCCCTTCTCAATCTCTCACTTGCTGCCATTTTATTTCCCACTGCTCAAGCCATGTAATTTACATTACATCCATGCCCGTCAACAATGACTGACAGTGATTACCAGTGTCAATCTGGAGTTGACGATTTTGATTTATCTCCAAGTGATCGAGACTTTGTGCTTTGTTTGCTGGATGCCTCTCGGACCTCACTTGCTTCCAACTCAGAACCAGAATCTGAGCCAACGTCAAATCGTAGAGGGTCGTTTACCTCAATACCGAAACCCATCAGAAGAGAAGAATCTTCAATCTCACCCAGGTATGCTTGAAAATGTTGCAGCCTTGCTTATCGCTTACTGATTTGCCTCGAACCCAGGAAGCGCATTCAGCTTCCCCAAATCAACCCCCAGGATTACGGGCCCTCCGGCACTCAAAATAATCAACAGAGGCTCCCATTAACTCAAAGAGGCCAGTTTGTATCAACTGATTCTTCTACTGAGTCCAGCACTTTGATCTTGGATCTTTTCGAACAGCTTGAAGACTCTTGGCCTTCCACCTCTAGTCTCGCAGTTCCAAGTCCACCCACTTCTTCGGTCTACTTCAGTGTCACCGAGGAGACAGAAAACAGTTTTTGTGAATTTCCATCTCCTGGGTTTCGAAATTTGCTGTCTACATCTCTAGAGACAAATCTAGTTCATCACAGCTTCGCTCATTCATACGAACAACTCATAGACCGTCACTCGGTTGACTGGGATCGTGAGAGCAGTATTCCTAATTTCAAGCCTACCTCTGATAGGATAGAGACGCGTCAGACGGTGTGCCAAACCGAAGAAGAAGCAGCAACCAGTATCGTTGATAAGCCCTCTTCATCTCGTGCCACTTCCCCCTCTCCACTGTCTCTTCCCGCCCCTTCGCTACAGGAATCTTACCCATCCTCTCAGTCCATCAAATCTCAACCTCAAACCCGCCAACGATTCACCAGAAGGTTCAAACATCGACTCTCTCACATGTTCGGAGATCGCAGTGTAACTTTATAGTGGTGCGGTGACATTCACTATTGTGCTTGGATTCTCACTTGGTTCGTAACCCTCAATCAAAAGTTACCACCAGTCGAGAACAGCCAAAATGGATACACGCGTCTCCCGGTTCTTGGACCCATCGTCTGCGATGGCAGCGATCACACGACACAAGGCTGAAGCCATAAAACTGGCCCGAGAGCAAGGAACTGCCGTGAAGGAAATGTGCCGTCGGGCAAAAACTGAAGTGCCGCCATATGAGTTTGAGGAGCTGATCGGCAAAGGTGCTTATGGGCGTGTCTACAAGGGTCGGCAGACGCCATCAAATCGACTTGTTGCAATAAAAGTCTTGGATATTGACTCATTGGACTATAACTCCCTGCGAGATTTCCGAGATGAGTCCATCAAGGATTTCATCCATGAAACCAAAGTCATGAAACAGGTTAAAGACTCTGGTGCAAAGAACATTAATGAGCTCATTGAGGCGATATCGATACACGCGCAGCTGTGGCTAGTTTGTGAATACTGTCCTGGTGGAAGCGTTCGAACACTGGTAAGCTTGACCCAAGTTTAGCGAAATAATAGATTCTCATCGGTTCTACTTAGATGCGTGCAACTGGCGATAAATTGGAAGAGAGGTTCATAATTCCAATTGCCCGAGAACTAGCAGTCGGTCTGCGTGCAATTCATGATGCTGGAATTATCCATCGTGATGTCAAAGGTATCACAGGACATATCACAATATACACTCCCGAGGCTTGCTAACAACTATGTAGCTGCGAATATTCTGATCCATGAGGAAGGTCGTCTGGAGATCTGCGACTTTGGCGTTGCCGGAGTCTTGCAATCTCAGCGAGATAAACGATCAACATGGATTGGTACACCTCACTGGATGCCACCTGAGATGTTTGCTACTCGGGCCCAAGCCCATCAATACAGCAACGAGGTAGGTGTTCTTTTTGCACCCTCCTAAGATGGCCTACTGACGAATCCAGATCGATGTATGGGCATTTGGCTGTACTCTATTTGAGTTTGCAATGGGCAATCCACCCAATGCTGGCCTCCGTGAACGAATGCAGATAGGGCGTCAATTGAATCGCAAAACACCCCAGCTCGATAGTGAAGATTATAGCCAAGGCTTGAAGGACCTTATCGCATATGCCCTTGACTCTAACCCAACCACCCGCCCTTCTATGGCAGACATTCTGGCCCATCCCTACCTCGCTGAAACCGACGAAGAATACCCCACATCATCCGTGGGTGATCTTGTCAGAAACTATTATCAATGGTCACAACGAGGAGGGCAGCGTATCTCACTGTTTCATCCAGGGGGCGCAGCAGCAGCAGAAATCCCAGAAACAGAAGTTTCAGAGGAGGATTGGAACTTCAGTACAACCGATGGATTTGAAAGACGGTTCTCGGTCATTGACTTGGATCAATTAGCTGCTTCTTTGGCTGAGATGGAGGAATCAGTCAGCCCAACTACCCCGACTACAGACTACGACTTCAATGAAGACTCTTCTGAGACTGAGCTGAACCCAGAACAAAAGGCAAACTTCGACGAGCGTGTACGGCGAGGTGCAGCAGCAATGGAAGGGCTTTTTGATGAAGAGAAGCCCATCTACCAATACGAAACCAAGAATGACTTTGTGCCCATTGAGCCCGCCACTCCAACTTCCGATTTGCCTCTCCGCACAGACACAGATCGTTCATCTGTAACATCTACATTTATTGACATCGATATTGGCTCCTTTGATTCTTCTCACTATGCTGCTGGCTTGCCATCTGCACAGCCATTTCAGCTAGCCGATGCAGATACCATTCGAGCAAATCGATCAAGTCTTCGTGGGAGTCGTAATTCGAATGATGAGAGTTCCTCACAGTCATCGTTCAGTGGTGGCGAGAACGAGCAGTCGCAAGATGAGGACTTTCAGCCAACTTCTGGGCCTCGCCCCCCTACGATGGACTGGAAGTTCCCAGTATTCACACAGCCCGAGGAGGACGAACAGAAAGCGTCCACATCACCAGCTGAAGCTCCTGCGCCCGAACTCGAGGCTGAGCCCGAATCCGAGACTAGTCAAGAGGAGCCGTTTCAAGCAGAGAAACGTGCCACTATGGAGTGGACATTCCCGGTCATGTCTTCGTCTGTTGGAGGAGGTATGGATGGAGGTACGGATCAAGTTCCAGACCGACATGAGACTCTCAGGGCCCCTCTGCCTCCTCTCCAGCCACCAACTATTGAAGAAGTTGAAGAAGTTGATGAATCTCGCCCTTCAACTTCAGCCTCAAATTTCTCTAGTGCATCAGATCTAGACTATGATCCTTTCCGTTTCGATCGACCAACGACTCCCCAAGGCCCACAGACTGAAACATTCAGTCGAAATCATTCGTTTGACTCTACTACTCACAGCATTAAATCATCGAATGCAGATATAGATTTTCCCGACGACAGCTCGGTTGCACTCGATGGACCCGGCCCCGACGAAGAGGAACCTGAACCGCTATGGAAAGAAAACACCGAAATTATCGACCCCAACAACATCCCTCCTCTCCAAACGGCGATCCCACGAGAAGACGCAGCAAATGAACCCACTCCAATCTCAGAGCCTGGCTCTCCTGTATATGAAGATTTATCATTCAACCAATCGGATATTTCAACCCCAGCCAGCACGGTGAAAACTGCCGTGGCTAGTGTAGTTCCATTCCCTTTCCTTGTTCCACCGAGTGCAGAAAGTTTGATGGAAGGTGCCGATGAGGCCGTTGTTACTGCGGAGCTTGATCGATTGCTGGGAGATTTCTTGGATGCCCTGTCTGCCACTGGAGAGGCACTTTCACAAAATCATCCTCGTACTCAGACATAAATTGATTATTATGACCTCTTATGGATAAGCTACTGCTTTTGCTGCTAGCAAGCTAGCTGTTCAATATTGATATTGCATTATCAAGCAATCATGATCCAGTGTCGAAACCATTTGTTATCATTCTACAGCGTTAATGCCATGAACACATCTCTTATTACTATTATGTCCCTAGTTACCTCATGATGTATCTACACCTGTCTCATTTAACAATTACAAATACATTTTCATCCGTGTTGACCCAACATCTGAAGTATTGCGTTACATCCAGATTCAACCACCATACTAGAGCGACAGCATCTCTTTCAAAAATAACAAATAACAAATGCTTCTGTTTTATATAACTTGATATTTTCAATTCAATGCTAAACTGGCTTGAATATGGTTAATTGTATGTTCGTTTAGCCAAGCCGGCGACACTGAGAGTGAGGGACAGTTCCTTACTATGAGTAAAAGCGGAGTGATTGATACACTCTCGCCTCATCTCAGATAAACGATAAACGACGCGTACACATACTTCCTGTTTCAATCAAACCCTCCACCGCTCCCTTCACTTGTTCAACTTCCAATTATTTCAATACTGAATTGACCTTCTGATATGATGAGCGCGACCAAGAGCCACAGTGTGGTCGAAACGGAGCTCGCAACAGAAATATCAATCGACAGGTACATCCTCCTGTGCAACTGTGCTTTTTTATCCCAATACCTACTTTGATGTTTCTCTAAACATGCTGGGGGGCTTCTCAAGCAAGAACGGGCCTGTATCGTTTGAATTCCCATCCACTCCTCCGCCACCCCGAACATCCAAAGATTGGAAATGCGTGTTAATGGAAATCAAACGCCTTTACCAGCGCCGTCTGTACAAACAATGCGCAGCCCGTTGCGAAACAATCCTTCATAACGCGAACAAAGAAAATGTGGGTGCTATCTTTGTCACGCGACGCACTCGATCATTTCATCTGATGCTAACGGATCCACTTGTGCAGATTCATCCTATTTACCGAGCATTTTTAACATTCTACGCGGCAGTCTCATACGAGTTCTTAGGGCGAGCTGCTCATCTCTACTCCGCCAACAAGATCAAGCTTCTCAGCTTGGCTCTAGAGAAATTTGTTGATTGTGGTGCAGCTCTCCCTCCACTCGTTGCTTTACCTCGACTGTCAAAACGCGAAGATGACTACTCTGATTTATCGAGTCCGTCTAGTCCGTCTGCTGCAGAGTGTCTCGCTACATTTGAGCCTCCAAGTCCTCGGCGAAACTCACTGGTAGCAGGTATTACGCGGCTGATTGACGCGTCCTTGATAGAAATGGATGATCCTTTCTTGGGTATTGAGGATGGCATGGACGAAAAGTTCTCTATTCTTTCGAGTCTGGACTTCCAACCATTCGAAGACCAGCCGATCCTTTCTCAGTCGAAGGTATCCTCTACAGTGAAAGACCCCATGAAAAAAGAGTCAATGAAACCCTTCCCTTTACGTGTCATAAAGTCCTCTAATGAGAATCATTCATGTACCACCATCATGCCTCGAAAATCTATTCCCAATGACGCGAACTGCGGCATAACGAGATCAAACAGCAGATTTCGACCTCCAAGACTCCCACTCCAAGTGATCACATCTTTCCAGCTAAACGCCAGAAAACAAAAAGAAACGTGTGTGTCAACAGCCTCAGACTCTTCATCTCCAACATATACAGCCCATCTTTCATCAACCGAGCATTCATTCTTAGAAACCCCAAACACAACCCCACCATCACAGACATCAAGCAAAGAAACATTCCCATTCCCTGTGGACGATTTGACACCCGCACGCGCAGCACAGATCGTCCGCTCGAATCATGGACTCGCTTTTCTTCGAGAACAGATAAATTCCAGCATTTACGAGATAGAGATACAGACTCATCATATTACTCGGATTCAGGAACTTCGTCGAGAGCGTAAATTGCAACGCGCTAGTTCGTTTTGGAGCTTTGATCCCATTATTGGTGATTACGAGGATATGGAATTGGTTATGGATCCCGAACCAATCATGAATGAGTTTGGGAATCTGGTTCTGATCGAGACGAAGCAGCAGAGGATTGTGCGACTACGAGCTGAGGGATGGGAGACGGTGGGATTACGGAGCCGGGGGAGTACATGGAAGGGATCACGGTATTATCAGGAGTTGTGTGCTATGGTTATGACGGAGCTCAACTTGGATTCCTGAGGATAAAAAGAGTGTCCCGGGTGAATTATCACGATTAGATGGCTTCTTCCTCTTCTTCTTTTTTTCTTTTAGTCTGAGATTATTGTCTTGGACTTCTGTGCTTGGGTTTAGTGCATGCAGGTGATCGTGATGGTGTTACACGCTATTTGATGCACGATGGACGAACTACCCTGTACATTTAATGATGATACGATATGAGATGTATGATTGATGAAACGATGAGACTAGTTATGATTCTTCCTCAGCCTAGCTACCCGATATTCTTGACATTAGAATACCTAGCTTATAGCCCTTTGCTCAACACCGATCCCAATCCTTGACCAGCTCCTCCTTTCCCAAAAGCACCACCAAGCTCACTACCAAGTTGATCCTGAATTTTACTGAAATTCTCATCTTCGATGAGCTTCTTTCCCGTCAAACTCACTAGAATACTATATTAGCAACCCGAACATTCCGATACAAGCTCATGTAAGATTTAAAAGAATATCTTACTCTTCAATCCATAAGACACCTTCGTTTCACCCATGGCATCGAGGATTATTTCCTGAAATCTCTTCTGGTAGGAATCCAAGGTACCCGAAACCCAGGCCCCAAAGAGGATAACCTGCGAAAGAAGGAAGAGAATAAAATAAAACATGATTATTCCCGAGGTCTTCTCTTATCTTTTTATCGATTGTTGTTTGTGGCTGTGATTGCTTGATGCAGTGATAGTGGGTGTAAAATGCAATGTAATGCAATGCATGCGATCCTGATGTCCAATTTCAAGTTCAAGTTGACATCGGGGCTTTATATGCACGTTGCGTGGACTCGCTGCAAGCCTATGACGTCCCGGACGTGCCGTATGACGGTGCCGTGCGACAGGTATACAGGATAGAGTGGGGCCATCAGCCACACCTACAAATGAGAGGTGCTTTCAATATTAATTTTTATCGTTTGTAAATTATGTCTCCATCGTTCCAAAATGTACCTCTGGAATATAGAAATGCATTGCATTCTTGGGTCCTAATTCGCGGATGGTGATCACCAGCGAAAATTCTCGGCGATAGCAAAGTACTAGTATGATATGTATCTTTTGTATGAGTTTTGCATACAAAATGTACACCTTTTTTCTATTCCAACTTATCTGCCCTGCCTCGGCATTTTATTAACGACCTTTGTATTGTAAAGTCCTATATTGAAAAGACCGTTTTAAAGTTTTTTGTTTATGATTTTGGAGATTTTGAGTGGAGAGAGAATGGGAAGCTTGTTGTTGAGCCTTTTGTATGGCTATCTATTGCGCCTAGCCTTTCCAACACACTGGGACACTAATTCGTACCCGCGAATCAAGCCCGAAGACACGATTACCGGGCTCCTTTAGGTTCGTGGGATGTATCTTAGAGTTTGAAGATGTCCGCTCAGTATAAGCCTCAGCAATCTATATGGAACAGCAATACCGACACCTATTTGCGCAACAACTTAAAACCCTCCATTTGACTTTAATTCACCTATACTTACTTGATTTTAAACGAGTATGTACCTATATTTGACCTTGTGAACAGATAAGCCCAATCCCTGTGAGGCACGATACCCATGTTATTCAATATTGCCAACACGAGCATTGTGAATTAGCCACCGACAACCAACCATTCTAGCATGCATCATTGAGGCTTAGCCTAATACAGATATGACTGGCTCAGACGCCTCAAAACTTTTTAATATTGCTTATTCCATCATGTATATGTTCATGTATATGTGACGTGTCTTTCATACCCTGCTGAACAACTCATTCCTGCATTACCCCTCATCGCTTGACCAGAATATGGTACCGTACATATTTAAAGGCTGAGAATAAATCTCTACATTTGATCCAGCGCATTTCAACTCCCCAATATATAAAATTCTAAAATCAAAAATGGGAAAGGAAGTCTACAAGTTCGTGGCAGCGATGGAGTCCGAATGCCCTACACCGGCTGAAGCGCCCCCCAAGATCAACTATCAACAACCACTTTCATCGTAAGCTTTTAAACATTCCTGTTCCAACCACTTTCTAACTCTTAAATCCAAGTCCTTATGAGGGTGCAACGAGGACTATTCAGATAGGAAAGCACATTTACAGCCTCCCAGATCGTCATCTCCGACAGATGCCACGATTCCGCGAAGATTACTTTAGATCCAGCACTACAATCCTGTCAGATATCCAACAGGATGTGGCGCACACATTTGTCCATTTCCTATATACAGGAGAATACCAGACTATAGCTACTTCCTTCAACGTGGAATCATCTTATATCGCAAAGGAATACAAGAGAGCCATTTCAGTGTACCAAGCAGCTAGAGTGTATGAGCTCCCAGGTCTAGAGTCACTTGCCAAGCACTATATTGAGATTTTTGGAGATGATATTCCTATGTGCGACATGCTTTGCATCGCGAGAGATGTGTTCTCAGCACTTCCGAAAAATGAACAGTGGCTTCTGGACTATATTGAAAGAAGCTTGCATCGGCACCTGGATGTTGAGAGTCCGGATTGTAATCTGGACGAAGTTTACCAGGCCCTGGGCCAAATTCATCATTTTGATATTGCTGTGATGAAAATGGTTGTCGGGGCGTTCTCTGCCTGCCTGAAGGGTATACATGATGAGACGGCGAGGGGGGAGGGGACTCTTGAGAAAGCTAAAGAAACGCTTGCTGCTTGTGCTGAAGATAGGCTTGCTGGATATGAGCCCCCTGGAAATGTGTCAGCGGAAGAGTACCCTGAGCCTCCTGAGGATGTCCCCGAACCCGCTGAAGAGTGCCCCGAACCCGAGGAAGAGTACCCCGAACCAGCTGAAGACTACCCTGAGCTCACTAAAGATGTGCCCGCTGAAAATTCCAGCGAAGAGTTTGTTGAAGAGCCCGTGGAGTACCGCGTCGAGACCCCAGAAGCTGAAGCTGAACCTGAACCTGAACCTGAAGCCGAGACTGTCGAAACGCCAGTCGAAGAAGGCCTGGAGGAGCCTCAAGAACCACCTTTCACAAACGTGAGGCGTTTTGGAAGCTGGAAATTCCGTAAAACTGTTGGTTACGTTTTTGATCCTCACCCCTTAAGCGATATACCCGCTACCCATGATCTTCCCATTTCTGAGCAACTCCCTTTCCAGGGTCTCCCCACTGCCCTAGTCAATCTGGCTACGGCTGTAGAGAAAAACTTGAAATTATATGAGAACTGGGGTAGTCTCACTCACCATAAACAACTTAAAAGAAAAAAACGACTAAGGGCCAAGGGGTTGCCAGTTCCCGCTGACAATGGAGCTATTAGTTTGTCTGTGGGCCAAGAGGAGTAGTTTCAATGTGTTTATGGTCCATTTGTTTTGCAGATTTTTGAACCAAGGCTATACTGTGTTTTCTGAAAATGCTTCATTCGATTTATGATTCTCTTGACCAAGGCATGCCGATCCGGAGCTCGGCAAAAGCTTGGGCGCTGAAGAGAGTAGGACGCCTGGCATAGCCTGGTGGGGCGGAGTAGAGATTGATTGGCCCCTAAATGGTGTTTGGAGACAAGGCTTTCGTAGGGCTGTTCAGACTCGAATAAGCAATTGGTTCTTAGACTTTATTGGGGTCCAAGCCATGTGTGTCACAGTGTGAATAGTGCACCGGAGGATTGTAATATGTGGCCATATGCACAAGATCAAGATCAGCATTCTCCTGTCCAATCGATTCAGTATTTGTCGATTGGATAGATCAAAGATTGCACAATCGCCGATCGGCTTTTTTTTCTCGTTGTTAATTCTCCTTGATCTCTTGTTCTTCTGGCCCCCAAACATCGACGGTTCAGCTGTGGCGGTGCAAGAACGTTTTGAGGGGAAGAACACGCACGCCAAGGCTCCATCAGCAACTAAAAAGCCCACTAAACCCTACAGACCCCCAAATCAAACCTCTTATCGCGCGTCTAGAGTCTGGAACTCCTCCCTTTTTTACCCTTCGACTTTCCTCTCAACTTTTGTGTAGAAATCTGTCAACCCTTTTGTCGCAATCGAGTCCGTCTCCTCCTATTCCCCCACCAACGCGACACACGGTGATGTGAGCCTCACCCTTTCTCGTTCTCTCTCAGCTTCCCTCTCCCGATCCCGCCCCGCCTGGTTCTCATTTCAATGTGCGATCTGGCCGGTTTTAGTTTCATTTTTACTAATATTGAAACTCGTCTGCCTTAGCTCAATTTGACCCATCTGCTCAAATACCCCGTTCGCGTTCGCGTTCTTCTATACCACAACACGACACACCTTCTCTCCCTCTCGCCCCGCCCCCTCCGCTGCGGGGTTCACCAAGCCCGCCATTTTGCTACCTGACCGGATTTCTTCCCCATCGCATACCGACTCCAGTCCTCTAGGGTGCTAACAGCCCTATCCCCACACCATGAGTTGTGAGTCAATTCGATAGACACTGCTTCTAGATCATATCGCACCAGACCGATGTTCTTGCGTCTCGACCCAGCACGCTTTAGCCATATTTGTGTTTGTGTTTTCAGCTGGTTCATAACTGGTTTACAACCCTTTCGAGTCTGTGCTTGCTTGCGACTCGTAAAGCGAGAGACCTGGATCTGAATACAAAAATGTTTTTGGCAATGCCCCTTTTCTATGCTGCGTGTTATCTGGCAGATTTTATTTTGGCCCTTTATACTCTCTTGTTTTATGGTCTGGTCTTTGCGTCTTTCTCTTGCAAATCGTTTCGCGTTGGGCTGGGATTGGAGGCTAATTTGCTAATATGTGTTTACCCCTTCAGTCGCGAATATGTTGAACAAGCTGTCTGGACAGCCCGAAAGCTATGAGAAAAAGTACGGATCCCTTCACCCCAGCGTAATGGAGATGTGTACAATTGCTGATTTTCTGTTGTTTATTTGCTCTGTAGGGCTTTGTATAGGTTCGGTCGCACGCTTGGTGCTGGAACATATGGTATTGTCCGTGAGGCTGAATCTCAAGATGGCAAAGTTGCTGTCAAGATTATCTTGAAGAAGAATGTCCGTGGGAATGAGGAGATGGTCTATGACGAGTTGAAGATGCTTCAAAAGCTCCAGCACCCCCACATTGTGTCCTTCGTAGACTGGTTCGAGTCGAAGGTGTGTATACCTCTTGTATGTTTGCTTTTGCTTTTTGGCAATGTCTAATGTTGAAATAGGACAAATTCTACATTGTTACACAACTGGCGACTGGCGGCGAGCTGTTCGACCGAATTTGCGACTATGGAAAGTTCACAGAAAAGGATGCATCACAGACTATCCGTCAAGTTCTTGATGCGGTCAACTATTTGCACAAGCGAAACATTGTTCACCGCGGTAAGTAGGAACCCGACCTCTCCGAGGTACTGCCTTTCAACTAACGCGTTCATAGACTTGAAACCCGAAAATCTCTTGTATCTCACTCGGGAGACCGACTCTCAGCTGGTTCTGGCAGATTTCGGTATTGCGAAGATGCTGGACAGCCCCTCTGAAGTTTTGACTAGCATGGCGGGCTCTTTCGGCTACGCCGCCCCTGAAGTGATGCTCAAGCAAGGTCATGGAAAGGCCGTCGATATGTGGTCTTTGGGTGTGATTACCTACACATTGCTATGTGGTTACTCACCCTTCCGTTCTGAGAATTTGACCGACCTCATTGAAGAATGTCGCGCCGGCCGAATCATCTTCCACGAGCGTTATTGGAAGGACGTGTCGCAAGACGCCAAGGACTTCATCTTGACTATGCTCCAAGCTGATCCTACCAAGCGTGTAACATCTGAGGAAGCTCTCAAGCACGAATGGTTGACCGGAGAATCTGCCAGCGACCGCGATCTGCTGCCCGAGATCCGTGCCTACATTGCGCGCGCCCGTCTCCGCCGTGGTATCGAAATCGTCAAGCTTGCGAACCGTATCGAGGCTCTTAAGATGCACGATGAGGGTGAGGAGGGTGAGGATGACATTCCTAGTCCTGTTGCCATGGCAGAGGCTGAGGGGGAGGCCGATTCTACTTCGGGCTCAAATGGGGAACCATCTCCTGGTCACGCGAAGAAGAAGAGTTTGAGCAGTAAGATTCGGGGTGGTGCTATTTTCCGAGAGGTTGTCTTGGCCAAGGTTCGTGAGGCTAAGGATAATGAGGAGCGCGAGAAGGTTGAGCGCGAAGCACGCGAGAAAGCCGCGCATGCTTAAGACATTGTGTCTTTATTCCCACTTTGTTCTCTTTTCTTCTTTCTTTCTCACTTTTCTTTTTCGAATTCTTTCACATCTATGCCCCCTTTATGCTGGTTTATGTCCTGTATTTCGATGCTTCTGGAAATAGTTCTTTGATTCCCCATAGTCAATGCAGTCTGCACATAATGCGGTAAAGACCGCTTGCATGAAGTTAACTTGATATGATATCATATTTCTCTTTCCTTCGAATCCCTTTCTTCTTCTCAGTAAATCGGTATCTAGTGATATGAATTTATTGACTAATAAATTCATGATTCTTCGAAACCCCTGCTCGAATCATCATACTATTGTTTACCCCTGCCACTTTATACATCCTCCCAGGCACACAAGGCATCAACACAGCTACATTTTCCCCACTCATCACGTGCATCCCCAATCTTATCTCCCCCGCCCAAATCGATCGATTTGTACTCGTGCCACATCACCTGTCAAAAGTCGTGTCATACTTCGCCTCAACCCAGCATACCCAGATAGACAGGCGATCTCGATTTGTAATACCCTTTGCGGCTCCATTAAACCCACCCACCAACCCACACTACCCACTTCAAACGAATTGCGACAATCCGAGCTCCTCGAGTAAGCTCACGGAAGCTACAAACATGGCCAGTAGCTTTGCGGGTAAGCGTCTGAGCAAGGTACGTTCTCCGGAGACCAGCGGGAAAAAATTCCCCTTTTTTCTTTCAAGTATCGATTCTAACTCAAATTACTATTCATAGGAGCTCTTGAAGGTATTTCTTCCCCGCTTACCTCTCGAATCGTCACGCCGGTCATAATGTTTCCCCGAATCTCGTTCCGTTTCCTTGCTGTTTCCGCGCCGACCATATATACCATGCGGCTCATTATATACTTTCGGCATAATATGCTGACCTATACCTCATTAGATGAATGAGCATCTTCCGCCCGGAATCACAATTGTCAAATCCGATGCCCTGGACGAATGGCAAATGGATATTAAAGTCCTCGACGACAACCCACTATACAAAGATCAAATATACCGTCTCAAATTCGCCTTCTCAGATAAATACCCCATTGGTACGTGATTAAATCAACCCAGTCACTGACCTGACTTCTCCCCTCGCACCCCTCACCCGAAAACACAAATACAGATACAAACACTTACGTTCTACATTCTCCAGAACCCCCTGAAGTCCAATTCATCGAACTCCCCTCTACATCCGATACACCCCGCCCCATACCAATGCATCCCCACATCTACAGCAATGGAATTATCTGCCTCGATCTCCTCGGCCAATCAGGCTGGTCTCCCGTTCAAACTGTTGAAAGCGTCTGCATGAGTCTACAGAGTATGTTGACGGCTAACACGAAGGATGAGCGGCCGCCGGGAAATAGTGAATTCGTGGCATACAATCGGCGGCGGATTCGGGACATCAATTTCGTTTACGAAGATGATAATGTGTAACTGAATGGTGTCTTTTTCTTTCCTTTTTTCATTAGAGGCGCTGATGGTGTGCTGTTGTTGGATATTAAATTCATCACGAGAGTCATTATGACTATGACCATTCTTTGCATGTTGATGGCGCTGGTGGTATTACTACGCTTGTGTAAGGCCGAGCGAGCTCAATTCTCATTCCTGCTTAGCGAAACGTTGAACTATGGAATAAACTTCCTTTCATTTTCACTGACATCACTTATGATTCATTTTTGGTTGGGCTCTGGACCTAGGCACTAAGATTTTATCTGATTGGATGCATTATTGCTCTATCTATCCGATAATGAGGCTACCTGATTATCTAGGTTTAAGGAGAAAAAATCTCGGGATAAACTAGCAAGGCTGATGCACAGAGAAGTTAAGGCGTAACGACCCACTCATGAATACTCTCATCTAGGGTTAGGTCACAATCCTCAAGATGTATGTAACTATTGTCTAAAGACAGAAATAGCCATCAAGAACCCTTGGCATCAAGAATTAGGGACGCGTATACCATACACCAACCCTAGCTCCGGCTATCCCTCAAGCCGGCAGACAGGCGATACAAACTCACCCCTGAGAAGCCAAAAGATTCGTCCATCTTACCCCTTGGGAATCTAACTCCGAATCCAATCCAACTCCTCCGATCACCTGAGCATAGACCCGACCCAGGAAAGAGGATCCTGGGAAATAGGAACTCAATCCGATTGGCACCATCAGCTCAACGTTACTAAATTCCTCCATGAAATATTGTAAGCTAAAAGCTTGGACGATACACAATCCTTGCAGATCATAAGACCAAGACATGAACTTTTAATGGTGTATGTAAAGCTTTGTTGAGGTGTTGATTCGCTATTAAGCTCAACAGCTCTGCTGACCCCTGCATTCCTGGCGATGGGTGAGAAAAATTTAGGCTATGGTTGGTGGAATTGGGACACGCGAATGTCATTGGAATGTAGACGTACCTAGAGCTGGAGAGAATTTTCCGATAAAAGCTCCGTTGGATTTTGTAGATAAAGGTCCGTAGGGTTGGTTGTTAAGGTTCTTAAGGAGGTAGATATTATTTTCGGACTCGGATTTAACGGGAACGGTTTGGTTCTAATTCAACATGTTTGGTATGGAAAATGATCGTGGTTTGAGAAGGTTGAATCTGGGTATTGTCTTGATGTTGGCTGCTTCTGCTACATCGGGGTATAATGCTAGTCAGATTAATAGTTTGCTCGTGTTACCGGAGTGTGAGTTAATGGGTCCTGATTGTGGAGCTTTTTTGAACAGTATATGGATGCTAACGACATTTCTTACATGATAGTCTTGGATTTTATCAATGATCTTAACTCCAACTTTCAGGGTTTGATCATTGCGGCGGTTTCTCTAGGTGCCTTCATATCGTTTATTCCTGCATCCTTCGTCGCGGATCAATATGGTCGTCGGGTTTCTGTGTTTCTAGGAGCAACACTCGTCATCTTTGCCGCTATTATCCAGGTGGCAGTCAAGCATCCTTGGGTGTTTTTCGGTGCCCGGATGGTAACAGGTGTAGGTGTTGGGTTCTCACAAACTGCCGCACCGCTCCTTATTGCCGAAGCAGCTCATCCGCGTCAACGGAGAGTCCTAACAGGACTGTACAACGCAGTATGGTTCTGTGGATCTATCACAGCAGCTGGTGTCGCATTCTCAACCTTGTCTATAACAAACAGCTGGTCATGGCGCGTTCCGTGCTTGATGCAGATCATCTTTCCTATCTGCCAGCTGATAGGACTGTTCATCATGCCCGAAAGCCCTAGGTGGCTTGTTTCTAAAGATCGCTCTGGGGACGCGAAAGATATGCTCACGCGGTACCATGGAAATGGAGACCCGAATAGCGCACTTGTGCAAGAGGAATTCGGTCAGATCTGCAGTAATATTGTTGCTGAGGCGGATCTCAAGTCTAGTTCCGGGTGGGGTGCATTCCTTAAGACCCGCGGGGATGTACACAGATTATCGATCTGTATTCTTCTGGGGTTCATGCAAGAGTGGACCGGCAATGGTATGTGTCAATTTGGAACTTTCGATACCCACCAACTCCACTTCATCTGTCAAACATGTCTAACATAATCATAGGTGTAACTTCTTACTACCTCCCACCTATCCTAGACTCAGTCGGTATAAAAGATGCCTTCCACCAAGCAGCAGTTACAATTAGTCTGCAAGTGTGGAATCTCGTTTTTGCAATCGCCGGCGCAAGTACATCGGATCGATATGGCCGTCGCACACTTTGGCTCAGTGCAACCACACTAATGATGATCTTCCTATCAACATCAACAATCATGGCTGGTCTCTTTACCGAGTTACGAATCCAAGAAGCAGGCATTGCAGTCGTGCCAATGCTTTTCCTCTTCTGCGCATCATACGATTTCGCATACATGCCTCTATTCATCGCCTACCCTGCTGAAATATTACCTTTTCAACTCCGTGCCAAGGGTCTTGCTATCACGTTAACAACGGATTCTCTCGCTTGTTTCTTCAACCAGTTTGTCAATCCGGTGGCATTCAAGATTCTTCAGTGGAGGTATTTTGCCATTTATATTGGTTGTCTGGTATTTTTCTTGGCTGTGGTTTATTTCCTTTTCCCTGAGACGCAGGGAAGGACTTTGGAGGATGTGGCGCGGGTTTTTGAGAAAGAGAAGATTGTCGAGTTGGCTTCTCCGATTGAGTCGGAGGAGTTCAAGGATGCATCGGTTACTGTGAAGGGTGAGAAATGCGTGTAGTAAGTGATAATTATATATTTGATTTTCAATGTTGTTATCGTATTTAGCATTTTAGCAAATGAGTTTAGATATGTTATTATACATAATAATCCAATAGTTGCACTCCAAGCCCGTACTCCTTGAACACCTCAAATGTTAACATGCTCTGCGATCATTTTCATCCTTATTTATCTCTTCTCAACAACTGTCGGTCGAGCAGTCTGACTACCAGGATGAAGACCATTCATCTTCTTCCTGTCATCATCTGATATCAAGACGTCACGCATCGTTGGTGATTGGGCGCGGAACATTAACAAAGTGCCGGCCAGTACAGCCGCAATGCTGAAAATAGCTCTGTTGCGCGTCCTAAAGTCAAAGGCGAGTCAGATTCCATCCGCAACATCACGATATTGAGTCATGCATAGATGTCTAAATTCTTGACGACTTACCGGATAGCCGGTGCACGGCCATTTGTCATATTTGGGCCCATATTTAGTTTGATTCAAGTTTGTACCTAAATTTCACGTTGATATATATCATGCAGCTTTAATTTGCATAATTCCGAAAAGTTTGGTAGATTTTGATTATATAGCCTTCTTGCAGAAAATCAATTCCTGTTTTATTCATTTCCTCTAATGCTTGACGTCAGATTGGTTGATATATCCGCTCCCAGGCTTCTCGCCACCTAACAATCAAGGCATTCTAGTATGGGTGCACTGAGGAATGCTGGAACAAAACCTGAATGAAATTAGAGTTCTGCGCATCATCGAGTCTAGATGCTGTAAACTTAAACTAGGAATAAGCAGGGATAACGAAGATCACGAATGATAATCACCCCTGATCTTTTATTCGTAGATTTATCACTCGCTGCAGATGTCATGTATGTATCAAGGGGCGAATGCCCCTTATTGGTGAAAATACACGCGTAGTATATTTCCTTACTCCAATTTGTATTCGTACTTCTTTGTTCGGGGCTTTTTAGTTAGTAATTTCACATTCTAGATTAAAATCCCGCGTTGCTCGCCTCGACCACAGAAATATTTGCTTTGCGATTATCTTAGCCGCACCGGTTATTGATATTTATTTCGGCCAAATAAATTATCTTATTATCCAAGTTGGTTTTTCTTCCTTTCTTCTTGTTATGATAATTGTTCTCGTACTAAGCATGCTGTCTGATCGCCTTGTACTATTTATATCCCGCTTATCGTCCACAACTAGCCATGTGGATGAAATCGGCCATTGAGTTAACAATCCTTTTCTTTTGCTTACTTGACCTTAATTCAAGTTATTTGTGTAACATAGTACTCAGAGAAATATATGTTCCGATTAAATGTTCCGCTAGAATGAAGAAGGTTAAGGTAGCTTACTGTCCCGGTGGGCTTATATCCTTCGCGAGGCATAGATAAGTTGACGTGCTGACCCCACCAAAACAGCTTGCTCCCCTCATCTCACGACTGAACCTTCATCCATTACAAGGTTCCTACTTTGACCTAAAACCCAAGAATCCATCATTGAATCCACTCATCAAACAAAATGGCAAATCCATCAGACAGCATTCACACCCCCGCAACAGCCGACGGCTGGCATGGCGTCATCCCAAGCGCGCAGTTCCCCGCCGAAAAAGGCCGCTATCACCTCTACATCGGCCTCTTCTGTCCCTTCGCACACAGAGCAAATTTTGTGCGTCACTTGAAAGGTCTAACAGATTTCATCGATATCAGTATTGTCAAGCCTTATCCGAAAGGTGACGCGAATGGTTGGCCGGGATGGAAATTCCCAAGCTCTGATACTGAGTACCCAGGCGCGACGGTGGATCACCTCTTTGGGGAAGATTATTTGCATAAGGTTTATTTCCGTGCGGATCCGGAATATAAGGGACGATACTCTGTCCCTTTGTTATGGGATAAGAAGACTGGAACTGCAGTTTGCAATGTATGATCTTATTAATGGTCGAAACGCACCGATCAATCAGTAACTGATGTCTTATATAGGAAAGTGCCGAGTTGCTGCGCTGGTTGCCTACGGCTTTTAATGAGCTTCTGTCGCCCGAGCTTGCATCAATTGATTTATATCCGATCCACCTGCGGGATAAAATCGATGCTATAACCACCTGGATGCAGTCCGATATTAATGCTGGCGTATACAAAGCTGGATTTGCTCCGTCACAGGAAGTCTATGATAAGAATGTCGTGCCTGTGTTTGGTGCGCTGAATAAGCTTGAGAAGATCATTGCCCAGCACGGTGGACCGTTTGTGTTCGGGAGTGAGCTGACTGAGTTGGATATCCGGCTATATGCCACTTTAATTCGCTTTGATACGGTCTATGTTCAGCATTTCAAGTGTAATTTGGGTACTATCAGACATGATTATCCGATTTTGAACAACTGGCTGAAGGGTATCTATTGGGATCTTGAAGCGGCGAGAGCATCAACCGATTTCAAACATATTAAGGAAAATGTAAGATTTATCTGCTGGAAATCTTTGATTCTTCGTAAACGCTAATAAGTTGCAGTATACAAAGAGTCATGGGGATATTAATCCGAAGGCAATTACTCCCATGGGTCCATTTCCCGATGTTGAGGAAGGCGTTGAGAGGGATTTGAAAAAGTTGGTAGTTGGAGGAGTGAAGCATCCTGCGGTTTTAGAATATGAAAACTCTCTGCAGTAGAGAGTGGTGTATCTAGCTTATGAAGTTCTCTTCGGAGTTGTTGATGTCTACATAGGGCTATCAACAGATATTACTTATTGACTTCAGCATCATCATCAATGCCATTCGATTGGTGTAAAACCGATAAAAATAATATACATGCATAACTTCACCCATGACGATCCAAAAACACCTTATTATATACATGAATATATTACATATTCACAAATTTTTCTTACTGGGTCGGCCAGTTTCCTTTCCATTGCACAAAGTGCTGCTCCTCTTCATCATCCATCACGACAATCATCCAAACACCCACTTCGCCGTTATTCGCCAGCAATGGTGTGCAATGAATCCAGCGGTATCGGCCATTCTCGCTAAATCGTGTCACCCATTTGATTCGCGCGGTTACACTGCGGCCCTCCTGCATAGCATGTATAATACTATCTCTCTTTTCACCAGTATCTCCAATTCTTGACATGAATGATGATTGAAGCATACCAGGAATTTGCAGAGAGGGAGAGGTGAAAAGAACGCGGAGAGATGGGTATGGTCTAACAAGAAGGTACTGATAGAATGTTAGCGTGTCACAAACATATCTTTGTTATCAATGGGAATAGAAAACATACATGTTGATAAACTCCAGCCAGAGATCCGCTAAGACCAGCCGATGGCTTTGGTGCCTGAGCCTCACTAAGACGCTTCTCCGCCTCATGATCTGGACTGCCGGGAATAAACAGCCGGCTATTTGTAGGGTTGATTCGCTCTTCGATAGGCTGGAAAAGATTGCCTCCGTAAGCGTGGATGTTCTGCAGTTCCCGAGGACTGAACAATTCGCCTAGTTCTTGGAATTCAGACTTGGACTGCTTGAATGATCTGAATGATTGTATAGAGCTGTCTTCATTTTGTGATGTAAGGTTTTGGAGCGATTCCATTTGAGCGCCTTCCATGGCTAAACCTGAAACGTCAATTTGGGCACCGATGAAGTAGCGAATCTTTCCTTGGCTGTCGCATAGAGGTGAACATTGGAGAAGGTTCATGAATGGAGATCCATCACGGCGACTGGTTTTGATATGTTAGCCATGATCATGTCTTGAAAGCAGAGGAAGAATTACTAGTTGAGGAACAGCTCTGAGTGGTGTCGGCCAGCTTGAATGGCCTCACGGATGCGTCTGACAGAGTTGGGATTTGTTTTAGGTCCTTGCAAGAAGCGGCAGTTTCTTCCCAGCACGTAGTCCATGCCATATTGTGTCGTCCGATGGAACTCTATAAAATAAAATAAATTTCAACTCAAAGCCCATCTGGATTTTGACTCAAACTTACCTCCAGATGCAAAGATGATCGGGTTATCAGGCCGTGACGGGTCTGTTAGACAGAAAACCTCCGCTAAAGCATCGGCTGTGCCTTGGAACTTTTCTGGAAGCGTTCCACGAACTCGCTCTTCAACAACTTTGCCGGTAATGTTCATGCATGTGGATGTAATAAAAGCCGGCAGTTCTTCCGCGGTCAAAGCCTTCAGCGCATCGTCAACGCGGGCCTCAAGTGCAGCATTTCTGGTAGGCCCCACTGGCTGCGCTGCCGCTTCAATGCCGGCGGGAGGCACATCCACTGAAAGTCTCACCAGCGCATTCGCATATTCTAATGCTTTCAAAGCTTTGCATGCATTAAGATAATATGTTAAAACAGGAATTGACCTTGGTCGCTCTTGAGTTATAAATTCTCGAAACTGCGCTAGATACCGCGGGTTCTTTAGAATAGCGAGCATATGCTCTGATGAGAACATAATGTCCGCCTGCCGCTCAAGCGTGTGCAGTGGGGCTCCATCGCCCTCGTACGGAGCAACCAAATCGTAGGATCCATTTTCCTCATCTTCATTTACTGGGAGAAATTCCTCGGCACCTTTATTCGGGTTGGTCTGTTGCAAGAGGGGTAACTCGTTCACGGTGAAATTTCGGCGTAGGGTCTTGAGTGACGGCTGAGAACGCAGTTCGTGGTCATTGGGTGGAGTGGGACTGTTTCCGGTCAGAGATCAGCGGCGCATTCGCAAAAATTCCACAACTGTTGCTTTTCTCACCATTGTTCGCTTTGCGCGGGCTCAACAAATGCTGTTAAGTCGTAACTTGATCCTGCTGGCGTTTTGCCTTTGTATTGCGATGTAGGATATTCTGGAGAGCAGTCATCAAGAACAATTGTAGGTGATGTCAGCGCCGATCCTGGCTTGTGTGGTCGGTCATCGGGAATGTCAGGGATCTCCATGTTGATGGTAGATTTGGTGTCAACTTTTTTATCTCTATATTTGACCGAGCTGCGCTCGAGGACAATGGCCCTTTAAGAAGCTGGGCCTGGTCAGCAAGGTCAGCGACCATGGCTTGATCGTGGAGCTGCATTTCGGCGCCAGCATGGTTTATTGAACACTATCCACGGTTCTGCTCAAATTCAGACGAATAAATTGTAATTCAAGCGATTTCTTTGTTGAAGATCTACAGACGCGCAATTTCAGTTAAGACACTCGATTGCTTCGATCGATCGGGCGATCGTCAGGTCCACGAGGTGGATGGTATGAGATCAGGTACCTGCGCGGGCTATGATGCAATGCCCCGAGTAGCGGCGGCCATGTGGGTCACGTCCAGATCTTCGGAGACAAGGAAAAGCCCGGTGGATAAGCTGGAATCGACATCATAGCCGGGAAAATCCAACCTGATCGGTAATGGAGCAATTCAATAGATCGAAAGTGGAAAAAAGGAGAGAAAGCTGCCTCGGTCTTGTCCACTATGGATTTTTCTATATCCACATGCAATTCTCCTAAATGTATGACATCAAATCCACCTGGGCGATCTCGGAGCTTGAGTCGGGATTTTGAGTCGGGATTTGAAATGCAGGGGAGTCATAAAGAATTGTCACAATTACCAGGGATGATTGGTAGATTGAATCATAGCTTGTTTAGTATTTGATTTCCCTGGTATCGCCATTTTTATATTCTATATAAGATGATGCATGACGAAAATACAGCAAAAAGGGGGACCCTGCTTAACCGTGTCTCCAAAGATAGTTAAAGTGCATTTGTCAACTTAAATCTCCAAGTGGATCCACTTCATGCTATTTGACGCTTGAAATTCTCCTTGAATACGAGATGGGGCCAACTTTAATTAATAGAGGAAAGACGCACGTTCTGGCCAGAAGAAAAAAATGGAGAAGATAAACCGTATGTAGTGTACACCAAATAAGTGTCTATACAAGATCTTCATGAAATTCAATTCCTTGAAAGAAACAAGTTGTGTCTGTCTCTATTCCGATAATTTCCAGTGTCCCATGTTTATCAGAAGTCCACCATTCACCAAATCAGAACAATCCAGGGATGAATCTTTTCGTTGAGCGATGCCATTCCTCCCATTGCTTGCCGAATTTCTCTTCCAGCATGTCTTCCTCGTCCTTCACTCTCAAAAGGATCAACCAAATAGATAAACCCATAAATGAGACCCAAGCAGGGACTCCCCATCCCGCCAGTTTAGATAAAGTCGACTCCTGAACCCAACACGCAGGGATTCCGTCCCATCTCATGAACAGCATCGTACAGCCAGCCACAATAGACAAGTGCCCGGTATAGCTTGGATGTTGCATCCGACGATATATTCCACCCGTCACAAGCTGATCTGGTGCTACAAGGTGGAATGTAAAGTACCGACCAAGTCCATTATATCCGGACAGTCTCGCGTAGGCGCCAATGATTATTAGAGAGAGCGCAATGGTCGAGGTTGAACTCCATGAGAAAATATCTGGATTAAGGTTCTCTGGTTGGGGGCAGATCTTCGTCGTGAGACTTGGCGCATATTCTGGGGTAATCGCCAGCAAAGCTTGATATGCAACAGCCAGAATTGAGAGTTGGCGAAAGAATAGTGGAACAAGACGTGCCATGATTGAAAGACGGTCGGTGTCATTGCGTTTGCTTTCTTTTGGAGATTTAATTGGGGCTGTACAGCAAATCGTGACCAAGTAGCCCGATGCCACCATGGTGATGGCTAGTACTATCGAACTTGCTTGAGACATAGTGGTTGTAATTGATGGCACAGGCACAGATGAAATTTGGTGGGGATACCTGCGATGAAGATATCATCAAGGATGAATTCCAGGAATGCTCAGAAATGTGATGAAAGTATGCAATAGGGGCATCACACCCTACAAACACATAGGTACTAGTGGCTTATCCTCACTGGAATCATCGGGTGGTGGGTATGGGGCGCCTGATCCCCTCATCAAATCTGAAAGCTACAGTCAATGGAACTTTCATGGGCTGGCTCAAATTCATTTTAGTGCGAATTTGAGCGACAAGGCACCACGTTGCTAGGGGTTTGACGTGTACATATCAAGTATCTTAAGTATCGAAAATGAATATACATCCATCGATATCAAAGGCTTTGGGAGCTTTCCGGGTTCTTATGGGGTGATCCTGTCGCCAGCTTCAAATGTTACTTGTACTAGTAGTACTGTGGAGACGCCAAATTCGGTAGTGTTGAGATCTAAGCCACCCGGATATATTAGCAAATAGTACATATCTGATCCTTTATCTGATCAAACTGTGAGCATCCATTTCCCTCACTTCATTCAGCAAAAATCTGGGATGCGGACAAACCTGCAGGGTTGCAGGCCCCAAAAGGAATAGTTTAGCGAATCATCTCGTAAGCCGCGTTTGTGTTGGATCAAATGAGCAAGAATGAGAGAAATCCCCTGCGCTTGTATCATCCAACATTATATATAGAAATTATAGGAACTTGGCCATCTAGCTAGGCGGCTTCAGTGTATGCTGAGTCGTTCAGCCTAAATGCTGTCGTACAGGGGAATTGCCTCGGAACTTGAAGTTACTTCTTTGATACCTCTATCATCAACATAGTATTTCAACGTCTCCACCCTCATTATCGCCAATATTTTGACTCCTCTGCCATACTAATACATTTTTCATCTGTGATCTCAAGTTATCTTTTGAATCGTCTTCCAATTTGGCTTGTTGCTACCCGGAGTCTCAGGCATCAACATGTTAAGCCCACTGTGGGTCCGCTTCACTCACTCCACGCAGAACTTCAGTATATTATCTCTTCTTATTCCTGCTGTTCGGGTACTTCGTGGCCTATCACTATCCAAATATGACTTTAGACTTCCGACAAATGGTCACGCCCCGTGTTTGTCGGTGCCCTCTGAATTCCCTTGGGGCGACATCATATACCGAACAGTCTACACTGCCGAATCAGATAAGCTATGGCCTATTGCTATGGATAAACTGGCTGAAGATTTGTAATTTCAATTTCATGGAGGTTCGCCGTTAAACGGAGTTAACAACGACACATGTATGTGAAACCCTTAACTCCGTTTACGAAACCCGTTATTGCAGGATTGCAGCCTATCAACTTATCCTTGACCTTGTCTAGAAAAAAGCTATATAAGAAGGTTCAATCTCGAACTGTTTTGATATGGTTCACTCGAGTTTCGATAACCTTCCAATAACGAAAAACACAATGTCTACCTCAAACTTGAAATACTCTTTCAAGCTCGCCAACCAACGTGTTCTCATCCTAGGTGGCAGCTCAGGAATAGGATTCGCTGTTGCCGAAGCTGCCTTCGAGCAGGGAGCTCACTTGGTCCTCTCAAGCTCCAACCAAACCAAGCTCGACAGCGCGGCCGCCCGCATCAAAGAAACCTACCCCACCCAAGCTGAGAAGCAAACCATCATTACCGTTGTCGGAGATCTCTCTGACGCACATAATCTCGACAAAACCTTCGAGCACATATTTCAAACAGCCACATCAAATGGTACTCACAAACTAAACCACATCGTCACCACCGCGGGCGACGGTATCAATTTCCCGTCCGTTGATGAAACAAGCGCTCAGATAGTCTACAACACCATGAACGTACGCTTCGTTGCTCCTGCCGTCATGGCGAAGTTTATCCCAAAACATGTAGAAACGTCCAAATCTAGCTCGGTCACTCTCACTAGCGGAGCTTTGGCTCGCAAGCCCTCGCCTGGCAGATTCCTGGTTGGGGGTCTAGGTGCAGCGGTCGAGGGTCTTGCGCGGGGCATGGCAGTGGACTTGGCACCTGTGAGGGTTAATACTGTTGCGCCGGGTGCTGTGAAGACTGAGATATTCAATTTCATTCCCGAGGAGATGCGGGAGAAGGTCTTCCAGTCCATGCGGGATGGATCTCTCACAGGGACTATGGGAAGACCAGAAGATTTGGCTGAGAGTTATGTTTACTTGATGAAGGATCATTTTGCGACTGCAGCAGTAATCGATTCGAATGGTGGATTTCCATTTAAATAATTCTTGGGGTCAGAGATTTTAAATACATCAGTGGATTATGAGTGCGAGTTATTCCATATTACCCCCCAATAATTCTCTCAAATGTTTGTAAAGTCCAAATTATTTCCAATTTTATACTAGTTGAACTGGCAAAATAGTTTATCTCCGTTATCTCCACGCCCGACCGCCAAGTTCGGCCGCTCTTTGAACCACGCCATCATCCAACTCAGAATATCTTTTAAAGGCTGCTTTAAGCCGTGCGGCTCCAAGGACTTGGGTCCTACTGTATAGTCGAGGAGACAAACTTAACCGCGCCGACGGTTAACAACCCAATATGCAGGGTTTTAGTAAGTTCTCTCTTCCTGCGCCAGCGTATAAGACACATGCTAACCAACGTCTCAGACATGGGACGGTTCGTCGCAGATCCCCTGATTCACACCACCTTGGTTGTTCAAGAAAAGCTAAATCTCAGGAAAGATATGTCCCACCGGACCAAGAAGGCCTCACCTCCGCGAACAAGTTAGCAGGCAAACACCCGCTCGGCGCCCGCGCCCGCCATCTTCACACAACCGGTGCTCTCATCGTGCGATTTGAAATGCCCTTCGCAGTCTGGTGCACAACATGCAAACCCCATGAAACAATTATCGGACAAGGCGTACGCTTCAACGCTGAGAAGAAGAAAATCGGCAACTATTACTCTACGCCGATATACAGTTTCCGCATGAAACATACAGTATGTGGTGGGTGGATTGAGATCAGAACGGATCCAGAAAATACAGCATATGTTGTTCATGAGGGTGGGAGGAAAAGGGATACGGGAGAAGACAAAGAACTTCAGCCTGGAGAATTTGCCATTCGCATGCCGGGTTTGGAGCAGGATCCCGCAGAAAAAGATCCCTTTGCGAAGATTGAAGGGAAAATCGAGGATAAAATGCGGGCTAGTACAGAGGCTGGTCGGATTTTGGATTTACAGGACAGACAGAGTCGGGATTGGGATGATCCGTATGCCCAGTCGAAGAGATTGAGGAAAACATTTCGAACCGAGAGGAAAGGGCTGGAGAAGCTGGCGACTAATCGGGAAGCGCTACAGGATAAGATGAGCTTGGGTATTGAGCTTGTTGATGAGACAGAGGGGGATCGAAGAAGGGCTGGAATGATTGACTTCGGTCAAGATGAGACGTCTGCTGTTGGCGTTGAAGCTGCACGGATAACCCGTACAAGGCCTATGTTCGAGCAACAGCCTGCGAAGAACACACAGAAGCGCGATCGGAAGGGCGACAAGAGTACTCGACGGTCAGTTAATCAGCTTGCGCAGCGAAAAGTTTCCCTGCAGCATGAGTTGACTGGTAATACACGGGCTGTCGTGGATCCGTTTTTGAATGATGTGAGCGATACTCAAGATATTTGGAAACCCGGTGTGAAGCGAAAGAAGCCTACAAATTCTTCAACAACGCCTACTCCTAAAGATGATACGGAGGCCCTCAGTAGAGGCGATTCGTCGACTGCGAAGGCTGCGGCGCCTAGTCCAGCAGATAGGCGTGTTTCTCACGAGCCGCCGGTTTTATCAAAATCCGCGTTGGTGAACTATACTTCTGATTCAGACGATGACTAGAGATTCACGGAACTATGACTATATGTACATTACTTTATACCCCAAAAAGCATTGAAGTTTCTCAGAGTTCTCATGAAGCTGAATCGTAATAGGCCAATCCTGTAGTTTGATATGCAATTTAAATATGGTGCATCCTGACTCGTCTCTAATAGCGGGTATCATATTCGGTTCGAAGAATTTTATTTAGCCCAAGGAGCCTTTGTAGGACCATCACCTCCTGGTGGAGGAGGAGGGGCTTGCGATGTGGCCCAAGGGGCTCTGGTAGGAGCCATAGGACCTGGGGGCAACCGAGATGTATCCGGTAGGGCTGAACTCTGGATTGAAGGGCCATTCCCACGCGCAGTTGCCCACGGTGCTGCTGTGGCTCCCATGGGAGGAACACGCATACCTTCTCCCGAAGTCGTCCATGGTGCCTTTGTTCCTGCATCTATGTTTGGTCGAGCTGTGGCTGATGAAGAACCCCCATCTGGTACAACAGGTCGTGCCTGTGGACCTGAAGTTGCGTGAACGGTAGTTGGAGGAGCAATTGCATTAGGATCACGGTCCCAACTAAACAAAGAACCAAATGGGAAATGTTGTACAACGGGGAACTTAGATAAGACCTCGGCGTTATACATTTTCACCATACCCTGTGCGACAAGATGATTAGACTTGAATCGAGTACCAGTTATAATGGGATGAATCACCTTGTTTATTTTGCCCCATCCAGCTTTGATGCCAGAGATATCGTAAAGCATGGGGCTGTGTTCCCAGAAAGGCCCCCTTTTCACATCATAAATGAATCCAACAGCCGAGAAATACAGGTTAGTTCGCCTTTCCCTCTCAACCGCATTGGCTTTAGCCACTAGACCTGGATCAGGCGCATCTGGTAGTGAGCCTTCTTCTGGATTGAGATCTGCCTCGTTAACAGCGGGAGCTAGCTGTGCAGAGCCGAAAATGTAAGGGATGAATGAATTGTCATCAAGTCCCCAGACACCATGAGACCCGGCAGGTTCAAGAGTGTATGTCTTGATTAAAGATCGGATAAGTTCAAGGTATCTAGATATATTGTTAAATTCCGTTGAAAAACAGTGATTGGATATGGCTTGCGTACGGTTCAATTACCCCAAGGACAATTGCTCGTTCTTCAACGCCATATTCAGAGTTGGGAAACCCATTTAACTTCCAAATAGCGGCCAAGAAGGCCAGGAAGCTCAATTCATGTCCGGTTCCATAGTCCAATCTTTGTCCACTGCCCCAGCTACCGAGAAAGTATGCCTTCAACTCTGCCTCCGCTGTCGGTCCCTCTGGTTCTGTGGAGGGAGTATCCAATAGCTCTGCTGGTAGAAACTCCCTTAGAAGACCAGAGGCTCGCTCAGCCAGGACCTCGTGCCATTTCCTAAAGCTGATATTCCCAAATCTTCGCGGTCCAGTGTTTGGAGGAAACTCCTGTATCAAATCTTCGAGTTTCGATAACAATCCCTGGAGTTGGCGGATAGGCGCGGAGAACTGTACTGCGTCGGTGCCGATGGGCCATGTCTGCTCGGTGCCATCTGGGAGTTTGGCAGGGAACATCGACCGATTCAATTGTAAAAGGAAGGTCATAATATCGGTATAGGCTCGTGAGACTAAAAAAGCCGCCACATCTTGCGACTCGTGGATCTTCTTGCATGGTGCAATGAAATCATGTGTAGACGATGGATCCAACTTGGGTAAAATCCGGACAGACCGGCCGTCCGAAGTCATTTTGAATGATTCGATAGATGTAGTCTCAACTGCTTAAACAACTTTCAAAGTAAATTTGTGCTCAAAGCCGTCGGTGGTGGGGTGAGGGGAAGGCAGAATGACGCGGGTGCAGCGAGAATCTCCACCCGAGCTTCACCTTATCAGCTAGCTCTCCTTCTCCACACAATTTTGCCCTTGCAGCGCATGGCTTTTCTGCCACTTCCGGTACCGTTTGCACGCGTCTTTTCGCGATGCCACCCAAAAAGAAGTCAAAAATCCGCAATTCGACTGATAATTCGGTGAGCTTGCTCAATAATATCCACACGCCGAAGAGCCAGAGGAACACGAAGAACCGAAGACACACCACCCACGGACATGTTTTTGACCTCCCCGCATCCCCCGAGAAGCCTCAACGATCCGGGCTGCTTGAGGAACGCCAGGCCCTACTATCCCGACTTCGAAGTAGCCAGAAAATACCTTCAATACCGGAATCGGCACAATCAGATGAAGAACAACAAGAAATGCCTGAACCACCCGAACAATCTGAGTCGCCTGCGCCACCTGAGGAAACACAGACATTACGTTCTCGACTTCGCAGTGCTAATAGAGGACCTTTAGTACCTGAAATGCTACCACCACCACACAATGCACAGCGGGCACCGCCGACCGAGGACGAACGGATGGATGATGCGTCTGACCCAGAATCACATGATGAAGATGTACCAGAAGTCAATGGAAGTACAGCAGCATATCAAGGGTCAGATATGGATGAGGACGAGGATGAGGTAGCCCACCAGCTTGAAGAGCAACTGCGAACACCACAGAATGGTATGCGAGAAGAAGAGGAACAGGAACACGGGGAACAAGAAGATGAACAGGAGCAAGAAGAGGGAGAAGAGAGATTTTCAACCCCTCCTCTCACTGTCTCTCCAAATGTATCAAGGGAGCGGCCAGAACTTACTGGAACGACTGGCAACGATTCAACCAATGACCCATTGATGTCTATGGAGGATTCACAGGCTGGCTCATCGTTATTCGAATACGATAGTCCCGAAATAACATCACCACACCCTCAAATGAACACTCCGCCCCGGGCATATGAAAGACAAGAGTCAATGGAGGATGGATTTGAATCTGAGAACATGCCTGACGACGAGTCAGATGCGCCAGATGCGCCAGAATATGTGCCTGGGACTGAACCCGAAGATGAACCCGAGGATGACGATATCGCTCGGCTAGATCCTGATTTGAAAGATTGGCTGGTGAAAACTGTCCAAACAACTGATCCGAAGAGGCAGTGGATGGACTTCCATGAGCGAGCTTTTGTACTACCCGATTATGTTCGTAAACCGACACCAACACTATTCGAAGATTCTCTCATGTTGCTTGCACGCGCACAGGAGATTTATACCGAGTTGGAATATCAATCGGTTGATGATGGTCTACCTTCGGGGTTTCAAGCAGACATTGCCAATCTTTGTACATCTACTTTCGCCGAAATTCAAGGCATTTTGAACTTTCCCAGCCTACCAGATGCGAAACAGAATCCCGTCAAAGCTGGAAAATTAGTGGTTCAAGTTGAAGGCTATTTGCTGCCACACATGGCTGTCTTGGTCATTTTGGGCTTCAAAGCATTTGCTGAATACGGCATACCTGCAACGAAGCCGTTCGCCGTGATCTTGAAACTTCTTCGAGATTCCTGTGAGCGTATTAACGATCTAAGGGATTATTATGTGTCTGCGAGTAATCGGCAAAGGTCCTGGAAACTTGGCGTATCTACAAAGCAAATCCAAACGGCTCTTGAATCTGGTAGCTTGAATGTCCATCTGCCTGCTGGAAGTGACGAAGATACAGACACTATGCCATCGTTGTTGTGGCAATGGACAAATGCAGAAGTAGTTGCGCTTCGTCACGCGTTGCAAACATATCGACGTCAGTACTCTTCGGCTCCTCCTATTTGAATGATACTAACTCCCTCTGCAGAAAAGAATCGATACATTTTGACTAAGATGCATTATGGGACTGAACTCTCACGGCATACTATTCAAGATCTGAAGATCAAAGCTCGCGAACTCAACATAGAGTAAGGTCGCGATTGCATGTGTTGAATGGCAAATGGCCAGCCCATCATGAGAAATGGGCCATTGATGTTATTTTTATCTTTTCTTCGAACAACTGCAGCTTTATACCAATTTAGTCCTTATTTTTTATTATTTCTTGCGATCTACATACTATAGAAAGTTTCTCTATAACAGTGACCCGTCCATCACGTACTCAGACCAAGAGTACAAGAGTGAAACTTTGAACTTGCAAACGGGCACGGCAACATGAAGACAGTAAGTCTCTAGTAGTAGCAGACTATGCCCGGAGACTGTTCAATTATTTGTGTACTATGCGATAGGATACTCCGTCGAGATAAGTTTGATTTCTCACTTATCCACGAATCATTCCAGTCGAAGAAAAATTAAAAGAATCCTTCGAGGAAGTTCCAACGTTGACCTCAAAGTCACAAATATTAGATTAGAGGCATGTTACTAAAAGAAACTATGCGACCCACCTCGGCCTACCAAGTAGTTGTTTTTAACTTTGGGGAGTATTGACATCGCAATATTTTGCTGACATTCTAAAATCACTCTGATAAATTGCTCTGTCTGTATACTTGAATCGCATTACTATCTAATCTTGTACAAAAGTCAGCGCATGGCTTCCCGGGCAATATAATTAGAAACTCAGTACCTGAGCCTTCCATTCGCGCCTGCTATATAGTTTTCAATTTCAAGCTACTATATGTCGAGTTCAAGCGTTAAAGGGGGTGACGCATACCTTCAAGTTGTCATTGGCTGTGCCACTAAGCTAAAATTAAGATGAGCGAGCCGACACCCAATGCGCCTTGAGTTCTGTCTATGAAAACTTGGCGCCGCGTCATGTACATGTAGCCTCCACTGTATCTTGAACAAGGTTCTTCAAAGAATTTTGAATTGATTTACGAGTTGCATGAATCTTTTTCTCCCTAGGCTGTAACCCAATACCACTACTAGTAGCTCTCTTTCATCTAGACCGAGATTTTTCATTTTCTATAGAGCTCTGTGCTTTCGGACGTGAAGTAGTCTAAGGTCTCTTCACATTATATAATTGAGCACATATCATGATGCTGATTATCTTACCTTCTCGCCATCTTAGATGGACCTGCTTGCGTCAAATCACATGCGTGTTTGTGTTTAGTATTTCGAATAAAAAGTCCCTTCTCTTCCTCATGGTCGTATGACTGACAGAATCAACTTCATGTATGCAGCGGCAGTCGCGGCCGCGTAGTTTTGCCAATCTTTGTTTTTATGAGAATCAGCGTAGTCGCAAATACCACGAATGACGAGACAAGGTATCGTGTTCATGATTCCAGCTGCTTCCATTTCAACGCACAGAACATTGTGTTCACGGCCAAGACGATCTCGAGTTGAACGGTCTTTGATGAGTCGATTCCCTGATGCAACAAGGCCGTAGTGTATGCGCGGGTGGCTCTTCATTCGCGGTGCTCGTATTTCCTCGGAGCATGTGCATTTTCCGCCAGCATTCACAACACAGTCTGACACAAAAAGCCTGTCTTGAGCTGGTCCTGGGTTATGATATTCGGGCTTTTTGCTTCCAATTACTTGGGTATGGGTGAGAAGCTGCATCTCTGGGCAAATGTCTGGGTCGGATCTTAAGAGGCCGAGTGCAGTCATGAGAAAGCGAGGTGGTCGATTCAAGGATCCGGTAACCTCAAACTGGCCGTCACTAAGGGTCTTGCCTAAGTCATATTGAATCACACCAGAGTAGCCGGCTGTGGGCCAACTGACAACGACATCGCCGAGGCGAATGTCATTCTCTATAGAAGGAACGCCACCTCCTATCCCAACTAGTAGGCAGAACTTCAGACACGGGAAGCTGTCGTCCATTTTCGACGCCACGACTGCTGCTGAATTGGTCCCGTACTCTCCGGATGGAAGACAGGCTGCGGCAACATTATGGTTCCCAATTCGTCCCAACGCGTAGTGATTCGTATCTTTCGAATACACAGGTAAATTCGAATGTCTACTATCAAACAATGCTCGCACAGCCAGAAGTTCCCTAGGCAAGGCACACACAATTCCGACAGAATAGCTGTCCGGAGTGAGTACCTGATCATCATCTGGAGCAGGAGACACAGCCACGTTCGCCATTTTCGAGGCTCGGCTATGACAAGGATCAAGTGGTGGCGGTGGGCACAAGAAGGTCTCAAGATTGGCTAATGCTATCTTCCGTCAGAATTTTAACGGGGTTCCAGATATGGTACTATCATCATAGGCTAAATAGCGGGGTAATTTACGGCGACCGATGAGAGAATGTGATTCGGTCGGACCGAGCCGCTGTGGATGCGAAGAATTGCTCCATCGCGAACTTAATAAACCCATGGCCCTTGACCGTGCTTGACTATACAGAGATAACATGTATTAAGCCAAAATAAATCATAGTCAGCCGCATTTGGAATGTCAAACAGAGGTGCCTTGGATCCAGGGGATATAAATTGTTTTTTTAAATGTTGTCGACTTGACAGGCCTACCTCGGAAGTTCCGCGGAGGTCGTGCTACATTGATGTATAGTATTATCCATGCAGCACGACGGCGGATTTCGGCCACTATACCTAGTCAATACGTTACTAATAGGAAGTGACTGGTATTTGAATATATGTTCCAAGATTTCCTTACATTTGGATATATAGTTGCGCAGGTGAGGGAGAGAGAATGCGGTCAGGACCAATTCAGGTGAAGGAGCAATGAGAGTAAGAAACATGTCTTTGTGCATCCCACTCAATTTTATTGAAAATTCAAGCTTACAACTTGTCCGAAAAATTTCCCACCTCAAAAGTACTTCGTGCCTCAAGACTTTTGAAACAATGCACGGAAAGGAGGCAGTCCTCTCCTTCGACCTTGAGGAAAACGACTTTCTTTACCGGGTCCGACGCGACTCTAGGATTGTCCATGTTTCCGTGTTGCATGGGGACATAATCCTTCCTAGAGAACGCACCGAGAGCTCGCTCATTCTCTCTCATTTGAGAGGTGTTCCAAAGTGGTATGAGAATTGGACAACCCTTACTGTTAGGAAAGGCCTGGATGGTGTCATTCAAAGCGCTGTCGATGAATTTCCGCCACACCCTTTGAATACTAAGCTCCTGGACTCCCAAACCCCAAATTACTTCAACATCTTGATCCTCGAGCGACTACACCGCATTAGTGATCGTGTCTCCCTGGTGTCGCTGGACAACAAACCGAGCATTATGAAGATTGCTAAATTTCGACACGAACTAACTCCCTTACCTACAGCGAGAAGTCACGACATATGCTTCATTGGTGTCTCGTGGCTTTTGCTTTGCGCCGAGGGTTCTCGGGTATGTGTACGAGGAACAGAAGGATCCAACGATTGCATTCTTGATGGAATACATAGTAGGGACCACACCACGGGCAAAAGAGGACTTCGGAGCCTGTGAAAAGACCATTTGACTGCTCCATGAACATGATATCCTCCATGGAGATGTTCATAGGTACAACTTTCTAATGACGAATTGTGGTGCCATTGTCTTTGACTTTGAAGCTGCGACTACCAAGAATATTGAGAAAATTAAAGAATTCAATGGAATCAGATGATGAAATCAGAAGCATGGTGGAAAGGTTCAAGGACAAATCAGGCATTGGAAAGTGCTGCGAGAGCTTTTGATTAACTAACGATTCAACCCTCGGAAATTTCCAATGAGAATATCATTCAAACCATAAAATATTCAAAATTCTTCACTACAAGGTGCTTTTCAGGAGTACGGATAGAGAGCAGACATTGGCTGATGTTTGAGAGATAAATTGGAACGCTATTTAAAAGTATCTACATAGCTCTACGACGTGGTTCAGCGTCTCACGAGACCACCAGCATTTGGAATACCGCTCAAAAACACAGAACAAACGAGGCGTCAATTTCTTCAGGTAAACTGCCACCCCTCAGCTAGACGTTCTCACTCAAACCTAGCATACAAAGGTTTAATCACTTTTGAAACAAGTACGTCAATTGTGTGTCGACCGCTTGGCATCCTTATACTACATCGTTTTGCAGTCACATCTCTCCTTCTTTGTAGTATGTTTTGCCCACTTGTGAAATTCCACGTCCTTTGAATGTCCACAGCTGTACCGAATTTGCTCTTGACTGCATATTAATACACGCCTTGAATCAATATTTCAAACCTCTCATAGTATATCCACTGTAGCTTTGTTCATCATGGTACATACGACCACGGGGTGTGGAGAACAAGGCTTCCCGTCTGCTCAGCCGTACTTAAGCCACATTAATTCGCATGGTCAATACTTTCTAGAGCCTTGTTACACTAGAGCGGCGACGGAGGTTGCGTTAGGTGAGTGCGGGTGATATGGGTGAGAAGTTTATAGACTGGATGATAGAGGTGTGAATGGGGTCAGAATAGGGTGAAAATGGTCACCTAGGGGGTGATCGTTGGAAAGGCCGGGGGAGAGTCTATAATCAAGTACATCTTCGTTAGCCCTGGTCTCATCTGGTCGGGCTAGAGGCTCCTCATTGAATACTTCCGGGTGAATGGCGGATTTTGTAAGCAGTGGGAGGAATGTATGAGGTTAGAGGTCAGAAAGGAAGGCACGCTTACGGGATGTTGACGCTTCCTTATAGCACACGAAGTTACTCTCTTCACAATATGCTTATGCGCTTAACTTAAAATGGTGCGGCTATAGGGCTGCGCATGCACCCCACTATCCCAAATAGGTTTAGTCATATTATTGTACTTTCTAGTCCTGAGTAAATAAATCTTCTCACGCTCTATTTTATTCCCCCATCTTCATCTTCTCTTTCTTTCTCGAACCAACTCTGTGTCTCAACCTCCTCTATCTACCTTATTCTTTCTCGAACCAACTCTGTGTGGTCAATATCTCCACCCCCTCCGTCTACCCCGGTGAAACCTCCAAGATGACGAAGAACAAGAACCAGAAGAAGAAAAATATTGAAACCCAGGTTAACCTCATCTGGAGGGAGTTTGGGTCATTTACGCGACGCTTGGATGTGGATCCTTCAAAGGCAGACCTCCTAGTCCCAAACCTTCAAGCCGCACTACAGCGGCAGCAGGAAATCCTCAAGCCTGCTCCCGTTGAGGAAGTGACGTGGAAGGCCGTTGGAGATCTCACTCGTGACGAAATTGATGAGGGGTTCGGCATTGCGAAGGAGTTACTTCAGTCCGCCGGCCGACAGCCCTGGCCGCCTCGCAATATGATTCCAAGGGATATATCAGCCGGTTGCTGTAAGTCTTTCTCTTTCACAATTGTATTGTGTGCCTTGATAGTGTTGTGTACTGCAAACTAACAGTGAAAAGTAACCTCAATCCAAAGCGTCCAGAAATACATGGCACGCTCCTCACGCAATGAGGCTGCTGCAAGGGTTGTAATCGACCTTATTCTCTTTGACATTCTCGACCAGATCATGGATGGCCACTGCGACATTTCAGGCACCTGGCCCCTCCATATCCAGATGGAGACTAGCTTAGAGTCCAATATGGTCACAGTGAAGGAAAAGGACCAACGGTTCCGCGGGACGAGCGACTATACTCTCTGGTACGGCAATGGTGATGGGCCTGAAAAGGCAATCAACCTTGTTATTCTGGAGGCAAAGGCTCAGATACCTGGGGCTGGTGATGGGCAAGTCCTAGGCTACATGGGTAAGTGTCTTCGAAATCGCATTTTCTCTTATGAAACAATTAATCTGTCTATTGGCTCTAGGCTGCGTCCACCAAGAGAGACGGCTTAAGCCTGGCCGAAGCGCCACAGTGTATGGTGTCGTTACAGACGCCGAGGAATGGCGTTTTTGCCGGATTAACGACGAAGGAAGATATTCCTGGGATTCGGAGATTTCTGGGCAGCTGTCGGGTGACGTGAAGGGTAAGGAGACCGGTTATGCAACAATTGCGACGCTCTTAGGCTTTATTATGGAGCAGGCCATGATTCTATCGCCGTACACGACGAGGATGCACTCTAAAGAGACATCCAGAGAAGACGACGAGCCAATGACCGGCTAGGATTAACTCCCTTGCTTATTAGTCCAGGTTACATGTTCACTCTGATTCAGATTTATTCAGTATCTTTTAGGTTTGTGGAATGACATGGAATAAGAAAGGCAGTTGCTTGAATCCTTCTTTGTTCTTAAAGTAGTTCTGACTCAATTTTGGCTTTAATGAAATCCTCTAAGCGCTGTATCTCGGCAACTTTCTCTTGAAGCCCCTCGAATTTCCCTTTTCTCCTTGGTCAGGGAGCTGGGTAAGCTCTTCCAGGGTTAAGGATGATGGCTTTTCTTTACCTGCCTGTGCAATGACCATATAAGAGCTGGCAGGGGCAAGATTTGTGTCACTTTCAAAGCTGCAGCGTTTTTTCGCACTGCAAAGATGAAAGTTGGCACAAAACTTTTCGTTAGGAACACGGACACAACCGTCAAGAATCCCTTTGCCTTCCTGGCAGTAACGACATGCTTGGTCTCCCGGTGGTACTTCGCCGGTTGATTGGGCCAAGAGAGCCTCAGCATTGCACTTCTTCTGGGCCACCAAATGATTAAAAGATATCCCCGTCCACGGTTCCTTCCCGTTACCAGTTCTTCCAGGTGGTCTGATCGTCAGTTCGCGGATCAGCGACAAGAGACTCATCGAGTTCAGCGGCGTGCCCTTCCTTTGTATATGCCTTTGACTCCGTACCCAGGGCGATTCTTTGGCAAGGTTTGCCCATTTACCGGGGGGAACATAGTGCCCCTAATTTTTGGGGAGGATGGTAGACTAGTGGCTGACACCCCTGTATATATGTTAGTATAATCATATTTGCCACTTATAAAATGCAAATGGACCCCTGACATACTGAGAGGTTAGAGGCTAGAAGGGTGACGGTTGACTGAATGAGTGTGACGATTTAATGGTCCTCAATAAGGGACACCAAGATCTGCAAGGTAGAGAGATTTCGTCAATAGATGGAACGTGCTCCGAGGATGGGAGAGCAGACAGACTTCTAGAAATGAGAGCGGAGTTTTGAGGGGAAGAGGAAAAAAGTGTGAAGAAGAAATAAGGAAGTGGGTGACAGACAATATCCATTCGAGACTTCACCAAAGAAGACTGTTTTAAGGACCGCCCGTATGTTCGAGAATAGCCGCATATGCGATTTTACGCCGAAGTCCCTTTGTTCAGTCCCTTATTATATGTGCTTGGATCGTATTGCGTCGTCGATGATAGCCCGCGTAGGGAATTTGGAGACGCAGAGGTAGCTTTATTATAGGAAGTCTCCAATGCAATCGCCCTTCATCTTGAAAACACCCGTTCCATGCAATACCATCGTCGCGCCGATAACCTGGTCAAAGGATTAACTAGCTTCGTCAAAGATTACGCAGAGATTGTTTCTGAGTGATCGACATCTCTAGTCAGGTACTCAAAACCTCAGCTCCAATTTCGATCTAGCCGATGGCTTCCCTAAGCAGCGACAGACCACTATTACATTACCTGACAGAAGCAAGGATAGTGATGGCCCTATAACGCAATATTCTTATTAACCCCTTTAGAAGAGCCATTACTGTCCCGGAAATGCTACTCGTGTTAGTCACACATTTCCCCTAGGGTGGTGATCCCATTAAGGTGGGCGCTATTGTGTCTGTCTTTCAGAGTCATGGACGGAGGGAGGATGACCCGTTGCGCATTGGCTCTGTTAAGATAAGCATTAGCCATACCGAAGCAACGAGCGGACTAGCTAGTATTATTAAGGTCGTGATGGCTATGGAAAAAGGTATGCTTCTACCCTTAATCAACTTCGAGAAGCCTAATCCCTGGTTAGATTCGGATCATTGGTGACTTAAGGTGTTTACTAAGTTAGAAAAGTGGCTAGTGGCCCCTAGCCAGATGATGCGAGCGTTAGTGAATAGTTTTGGCTATAGAGGCTCTAACGCCTATATTATTATAGAAGACTCTTATAGAACCGCTCTATTAATAGGAAAGTTACTAGTAGTGTTAATAAAATCATTAATAGTATTAATACTTATATTACTAGGACCACTAGTAATAAGTATAAGCTTCTTGGGTATTTATTTATGTCATAAGCCGTCAATAAATGCACGCTTCAAAGCGACTTGTTAGCCTAGTAACGTAAGAGCCACTGATCCAGGAAAGCCACGACTCTGGCGGGAGCCACCAATTCAGGAAGAGCCACGACTCTAGCGAGCACTTAGCCTAGACTAATAGCCCATTTAGTCCTACATTCTAGTTTAGCTAGTATAATCAGTGACTATAGTCATTTTTCACCATATTTAATTTTAATTTCCTTATGCTTTTTGTGGACCTTCGCAGTAGCAACCACTTCCTCCACCTTGGATCGGGACTCCTGGCCTAACAGATTAGCGTCTTGGGACAAATAATCCACTCGATGCTGGACAATGGAGAAACTGCTCCATGCAACCCCTCCACTACTACGTACATATTTTTTGAAAATTACTACAGAATCCTATAAGAAGAAATTTGTTATTTGACAAAAATAAATGATAACATTATGCATATCGCAATAAATATATATAGTTGGTTGCTGGACAAGGTTTAAAACATCGGGATCTGAAGATAGTACATTATTCAACTGTGAAATCAGCCTCCTAGGGGAATACAGGACAAATACCCCTAGTTGACAGAGTCCGAAACCACCCGCGGATACCATCCCATGCGCTTGGAGCTCACCTCCTGCAAATACATCCCTACCATCTTGTTCATCCCCGCTTCCATGGCCAACGCAGTCCACTCGGCCATGGGCAATTTGTTCAACGGCCTGCCCTGTGACTTTCCCAGGTATTCTCCCAATTCATGAACTGGAAAGGCATCTGCACTACAAGTGTGAACCACACTAACTGCTCCTGCGTCGGAGTCAGACAGACTTAGAGAAACAATTCGTTGCGCCACCGTTTCCACATCGACGAGATCTAGATAGCCATCCCAGCCATCCATGTCCGGTGCAAAATCTACTTTCCTTGAGTAGCTAAGGAGATTTCCAAGAATATCGACGTTGGGAGCCTCCTCTCCCACAATCCCCGTTGGTCGATGCAGGACAATATCAAGATTGTACCGTTCATTTGCTTTTTCAAGAAGGCGTTCACTCACCCACTTTGCGACCTGATAACCGTGTGCACTTGAATCTTGAGGTGGTGGATAGGCAGCTACACTCAACTCACGAAGAGGCAGCTCATCGCGCGGAACGAACCCTGCGACACCGGCCGACGAGACGAAATGGATGGGGATGCGGCGTGGTTTGGCGAGGCGCACAAGTTCTGCGGTTGAACCCACATTGGCCTTTTTCAGAGAGCTGTAAGATTTCAGGAATGAGACATCGGCACCATTGTGGACGATGATGTTTGCTCTTGATGCAAGTGACCGAGCCGTTGGGATATCGAGCCCCAGACGGGGGCGAGTCAGGTCTCCGGTATGAATGATGATCTTGGGAGACCCAATGGATATCAACTTCTGTGTGGACTCTTGGGAGCGAACGGCAATGCAGTGCACCTCGGAAACGGCAGAGGATGTAACGAGGCCCTGGAGAACGTGTTTTCCAAGGAATCCAGAAGCACCAGTGAGGATCACGATCTTCCCGGAATTTCCAGTCATACGAGAAGATTCAACTTCAAGTTTAGTGTACTCAGAATCATGCTCTGATTCCGGCACACTGGCCTCATCTTCCCATACAAAATGACTGGAAGAAATCAAATGATTTGACCAGAGTCGCCGAGCCATCGCTTCAAGAGAGCAGGATTCAACCAACTCCACCAGGGGAATGTTGACTTCGAGCTGCTCTCTAAATACTACCTGCAGTCGTACCAGAGAGAGCGAGTTGCCGCCAGCCTCGAAGAAATCAGTGTCTTTGGTGATCATAAGACCCTTTGACGCTGTTTCTGGAAGGACCTCCTGCCACATTCTAAGCAGTGTCGTCTCATTCTCGTCGAGATTCACCAAGGCCTGTTCATCAGGGATTGAGTCAGGTAGCAGAATTGCATCGAGGGCTTTTCTATCAACCTTCCCGTTGACGCTAAGTGGTACTTCGTTTATCGAAACGATGATTGAGGGCCACATATATCTGGGCAGAGGGATCCTCTGGCGCAACTGCTTCAAATAAGTAGTTCGGTCAGTGCCCTCATCTAGAGCGCCATTGGAAAAGACTGCAAAGGCCACGAGGAATGCATCAGTGCCAGCTCCACGTACACTGAGTTGCACATTGGCGACCTTTCCTTTAGATGCTTGGAGCACAGCATGTGCGATCTCATCCAGCTCAACACGTTGTCCGCGTATTTTAACCTGGCTGTCCCCTTCAAGTCTTCCAAGAAACACCAAAGAGCTGTCGTTTAGGAGTCGTCCACGGTCTCCAGTTCGGTAGACCACATGCGACTCTGGTAGACCCGACAAGCCGGCAGGGAGAGTTGCACTCGAGAGGAATTTGGCATCTGACAATTCGGGTTGGTTTAGGTAGCCTCGTCCAACTGCAAGACCACTGATGTAAATTTCGCCTGGGAAGCCGGCAGGGAGAGGCCTGCCATCGGGTCCAACAATATGGACTTGATAATTCGGCATCGTGCGCCCGACTGGACAGTAGTTACCATTGCGACCACTGTCAATGGCTAAAGGCACATCGCCGCGACAGCATGAAACTGTGATCTCTGTTGGGCCGTATACATTGATGAGCTGCAGCTGTGACAGGCGAAGGGATTGGAATTCGTCCCGCAGGCGATCAGTCACCTTTTCACCGCCAGAGAATGCGTATCTCCAGTGGCTGCAGCGTCGTAGCCAGTCATAACCGTGCTGAATTATGGCCGAGTACTCAGAAGGCACCGCCATCGTGTAAGTGATACGCTCGTCCATGATAAGCTGGGCGAGCCCCAGCGCGTCTCCTCGAATCGAGCTGGGGGCCACGACAACGGTGCCGCCATTACAAAGAGCAATAAAAATCTGCTCAATAGCCATGTCAAATCCCGGGGAGCTCTGCTGCAAGACTCTCTCCTGCGAAAGTCCATAATGGTGAGTTACCGCGGCAAACTGGTTGACCCAGTTGCGATGATCCAGTAGAACCCCCTTCGGAGTACCTGTTGAACCACTGGTGTAGAGAACAAAGGCCGGCTTGTCTGCATGAGATTCATTTTCCTCGTACAGACCATGTGGAGAGTCTGCTGTGAGTAAAATCTCCATCTGTCTTACGGGCATGGTATGCCCCTCGCCCAGGACGGAGGCGCGTTCGACCATTTTGCTGTCGGTGAGCAGAACACAAGGCGACGAGTCACCAATGATCGAAGACAGACGTTCGTGGGGATTTCGAGAGTCTAGAGGAACGTACGCAGCACCAACACGGAGGATGGCGAGGATGAAGACGATCATGTTCACTGAAGGTTCACTCAGAATGGCCACCTTAGAAGCATCTTCAACGTTGAGATCCTTCAGCGCCCTCGCGGCTCGGCCAATTAGTTTATTGAGCGTACCATAGGTAATCTCCGTGTCTGTGAAGCCAATTTTAATAGCAAAATTGTCAGGATATCTTTTGATTGCCACATCTACCTGCTGGGAAACTGTAGTCTCCCAACCTTCCCACGCTTCGACCACCGGACCACTGCCGATTTCTGAGACTAGCGATGGATCTAACTGGGAGTGCAAATTTACCTCGCTGACAATACTGTCGGGAAGCTGTGACAGCTGATCCACTAGCTCAACATATATGTCAAGCAGACGGCCACAATCCTGGTCCAGATACAGAGAAGGTGGCATCGTAAAGGAGAGCGCGGTATCCTGGCCCGCAGTCTCAACAATACTGACAACGAGGTCACACCCGGTTTTCGCGTCCTCAACTTCAACCATATCCATGGCGCAGGACGCAAATGTGGATGGTCCACGAATGCCGAGGGTGTAGTTCAGTAGTACTTGGAACAACGGACTGGATGTGGAGGAGCGTGGAACTTTGAGCTCCTCCAACAGAACATCAAAGGGAACCTTGGAGTGTGCGAGTGCACCGTAAATAGACGTTCTAGTCTTTTTGAGCAGTTGCGATATAGTCTCCTGACCACAAACACGGAGCCTGACTGGGAGCAAGTTTAGACAGAATCCCACGGCGTCCACATATCGGTCGTCGTATCGGTTTGCGTCGGCAATTCCGATACAAAAGTCGTCGACCGAGCCATCAAGGAGTTGAAAGAGAAGGACCTGCAAGGCTGCGGCATAGAAGTGGAAGGAGGTTGATCCAGACTGTCGACTGCACGCCTTCACTTTAGCCACTGTCTCTTGCTTGATGAAAGCATGGGTTGTGAAGCTCTCGGAGATGCGCAGGGGGGGTCGAGATTGAACTCGAGATAACGGTAGCAGAGGAAGACATCCGACCGGTGATTCGAATTGCTGTTTCCAGTAATCGAGGTCTTCCTTCATGGCCTGGCCTTTGAGTTGCTCTCTTTCGGCGACCGCATAATCTAGGTACTGCGGCGCTGGTTTCCAAAAGCCTGGCGATGTATATGCTTGATTTAGATCCCCCAAAAACGTTCGGAGGCTGATTCCGTCCATAATTATATGGTGGTAGCAAAGCATAAAGACATGCTCTTTTCTTGACAGCTGCAGGATGGCGGCTTTCAAGGTCTGGCCGTTGTCAAGGTCAAACACATGGTTGCGGAAGTCGAGAAACTGAGCATGAACATCCTTCTCATGGACGATAGGCCTTTTTTCGAGTATAAAGTTCTCCGGATGGAAGGTGAATTGCTCGGGCTCAGCGGTAGCTGCATTGACTCCAAAGGCTGTATGCAGGGCCTCGTGGCGTTGAATAACTTCTTGGATTGCAGCTTCAAAGCGGTCACAGTCCAAGTTACCTTGCAGTTTCCAGGCAAATGCCACATTGTATGCCGAGGGGTCATCACTATACCGATGCGCAAGCCACATCCTCTCTTGAGCGTGAGATAGGGGGGCTGTTCTAATTGCTGCAGGTGCCTGCAATGACGATGGAGCGATATTATCTCCCATGCAGCTCGCGACATCAAAGTTGGCTGACTCGCCTTCAGTATCTACTCAAGTAGTCAAATTTGAAATTCTTCTAAAAGATAATTCTCGGGAAAATGAAGTGATCAAATACCTGCACTTGACCCAGGTGTAGGGATGCTCCTGTACTCGGTCACTGATTCGTTGGATGGTGTGGCAAGAGAAAGATCGATACTTGATTCAAGCTCATCTATATAACAGCGATTGTCGTCAACAAGGGATATACTAAGCTATGACACAAGCAATAACTCTTTACCTTGAGTAAATGTCTCGGCATTCGACTGTATAATTTCCACCACATCCACAATAGAATTCTTTTCTTTCTCAACCATTGTTACGCTCATCACCGGTGGGCTAGCTGCCGGTGGGCTGTCCTGAGAGTCAGAAGTCTCGAAAGTGAGAGACAACTTGCCCAAAACATCGCGACATATGTCCCGAATTGACGAGCCGCCGATAACCTTCAGTACTGGCACATCCACATTCAGCTCCTTGAGAAACCAGGAGCGCACCTCTACCGCAATGAGAGAGTCGATTCCTAAATAGCATGGTTAGTTGGCATAACTGATCGGGATTAAAATACAGAAGAGAAGAAGAACACGTACCGACATCCACCAATGGGGTGTCTTGGGCGACTGAATCGACCGACATCTGCAGTATGGTTGCGAGACGACTGGCGAACGAAGTACAAAGGATCGACTCAGCTTGGTCAGCCTGTGAGGCCGCCTTGAGTTGATCCATCACAGGGATTCTGGGAGATGCCGAGGCGTTCGCGTCTCCGGCCAGCACTTTCTTATCCTCCCACTTCATGTGAGAGAAGCGGGGATTGCTTAGCCACAAAGGAGGTGCTGAGTCCTCCTCTGCAAGACCCAGACGCTTCTGCATGCCACTAGTCAACACGGGCTGACGGCCCGAGCCAGGTCGCCCTGAGATAACGGCCTCGGCGAACATGTGGTGAAATAGTGGCTCGGATATGGGCTGGAACTTGTGAGAACGTAGTGAAATCACAGCTTTTTGGTTGCGGGCGACATATCCAATTCCCACAATCTTTCCTATATCAATGACCGAAGCGGCCAGTCCTCGCTTTCGGCGGTTGGCAGCCAAGGCGCAGCAATACATGTTTCCAGCATTGTAGTTCGACTGCCCGCTGTTACCGATCACGCTGGCGAGTGAAGAGAGCATGATGAAAAATTCCAAGGACTGGTCAGTAGAGAAACACTCGTCCAAGTGACGAGATCCGTCAATCTTCGGTTTCACAGCGGCATTCCAGTCCTCGATATCCATATTCGAGAAAAGCTTGTCCTGAAGTACCATAGCGCCGTTCACGACTCCTCCGATCGGGTGCATGGTGGTCTTGACTTGCTCAATGAGGGCCTTAGTCTGCTCTTTGTTCGTGATGTCGTTTGCGAGCAACTTCACAGTAGCGCCCCGGTCTTTGAGCCGCTCCACCCAGCCTTCCACATTCGGAGGACGACGACTAGTTAGAATAATATGACGCGCACCATGGTCCGCCATGTAATCCGCGACTGAGCGACCAATATCACCGCTGAGCCCGAACAAGATGTACGTTTTATGAGCCGAGAACAAGCCGTCAGTCACCGTTGGGCGAACGTGCACCGTGACTGGTGAGTTTGCCGTCCAGTCGACAACCGCAAATGTATCCTGCAAAATAGCACTTAGTATAGGAAAGTATAGGAAACAATCTGCTGTTTTCGAGGCGACCCACCTGGAGACGAGATACGACGTGATCAGAGTCCAGTTCTTTGATATTAACCACAAGCCCAGTGGTAGAGTCCTCCTCTGCCGGTTGGGTGCATGCCCATGCCACAGCCCTAAAGATAGTCTCAACTCCCTGTAGGGCGTTGGAGGGGAAAGGCTGGAGCTGGTTAGTTGAGAGAACAAGACATCGGTCTCCTAGCCGGCCTGCAATTTGAGCATGCAGCTGCTCTGGGATCGGTGTGAAGCTGATGAACACATTTGCCCTGGTCCATATGTCCCCGCTAAATTGAGACTTTGGCCCGTATGGGTGCAACAAGAGCCACGATTTTGTCTTTCGTACTGTGGGGTCTGTCGTCGTGAAAGTCAACTCGATTCCTGATTCCATCGCCAGTGACCGTGCAAGACCGGCGAACATCATATCAGGTTCATGTAGAATGATACGGCCCAAAGATGGAGTGAGTGACATAAGCTTTTGTGCCTGGAGCCACATGCTAGATAATCTGAGTACGTCTGGCATATCCAAATTTTGCTGCTGTGGAAGGACGAGAAGGTTGCTCGCGGAGACCACTGTGCTGGAGGCAAGCTCTGAGGTGACAGCAGCCACAACCTGGGACGAGTTGTGCATTTTACCAACAGATAGAAACTGTGGACGGCCATCCGTGCCCTTCATTGGGTGCACCAGGGAAAACAGGGCGTCGAACGTTGAATCAGCCGGCGATGATGCCAAAAGGCTCTTTCTGGCCACTCCCCTAGAGAGGTCACCGTTCAAGTTGTCAATGACAATCTGCCATTCTGATGCGATAGCTGACTCGGTGATTAGGCGTCGATCTGAGTTCAACTTGTCATTGAGTTGGCGGTTGGACACCACACGCGGAATCTGCTTCTGGCAGGAGACATATGCCACCTCAGGCTCTGGTGTCCACAGGTATGATGCGTCCAATGTCTCGGCAGCTACAAGTCGAAGTAGTTCCTCTGCAATGATTCGAGCATTGATATCAGACTGTTGGGCGATATCAAGGAATTGCAACTTGAGGTCCGGGTTCTCAAATGTCATGGTACGGCCAAGCCCATAGATTGCCATTGAATAAGGCGAATCTTGATAGGCACCCCGAGTAACGTACAGGACATGCTTTGCATTGGAGAAGAGGAATTGGAGGGCCTTGAGCTTCTCGGGTGTGGTAGTCTCCAGTATGGGTTCATCGAGATCGTCCAAGCACACAACAGTAAATCCGGGCTCGGGGGCGGCATCCTGCAAAGCAAGGAGACTGTCTGTGAGGGTGATCTCCGAGTTCCAGCTGCGAAGTTGGCTTGCCAACCCCTTGACCATTTGGGAAACGCGAAGGGTCTTCCCTCCGACAATGAATAAATCTTGGACATCGGGCGCCATGTATGGGCACAGCAGTGGCTCTCGCAGGAACTCTACCATCTCATCAATGGCCTGGGACACAATGAGAGAGAGAGAATGCTTGCGAGAGTCCAAGTAGTCCTGTCGGATCACGTCTACTCCAGAGAAACCTGAATCACTGAGAATCTGGTCCCATTGTAGCGGATTGATTGTTGGCGAGTATCTACGGCCATCATCACCACCCAGCCACCAGCCTGGCAGACCGGACATGATAAACTTCAGTCGCAGCATGTCTCCTGTAACCTCATTCAACAGAAGGTAGCCGCCTGGGCGCAATAAACGACGCGTATTTTCAATTGTTACCCGCAACTCACGAGTAGCGTGCAGGACATTCGACGCGATGATCACATCATACGACCCCTCCGTATAGCCCTGGGTGACTGGGTCCTTCTCGATATCCAGTGCACTGAAGATCATTTTTCCATGGCTATATTCCTCCAGTCGCGCTTGTGCCTTCTCGAAGAATCCCGTGGAAATATCAGTGAAAGTGTAAGATCCGAAAGACCCATCAATCTCCTTCAATACGTCGAGTGTCATACCGCCAGTCCCTGCACCAATCTCAAGGATCTTCATGTTTGGAGATTGGTGGGAAAGCTGCTTTGCAATGTTCGAAAGCTCCCTGTTGACTTGAGGGACACCAAGTCCAGTTTGGTAGAGACGTGTCAGACGCTCCTCCTTAAGCATCACTTCCAGCAGTGGGACAGTGCCACACACGTAGGAGGGGAGGTTCTCACCCACTTCCATCACCAACTGCAAATCAATTTGATCGGGAAATCTCTTCACCAGACCCTGCACCGTGGTGTATGTGTCCGAAAACCACTCAGCTTTAAGTGAATGGTGGCTACCGCTCTTCACAATTGGAAGTAGATGGTTGCCGAATTCGAACAGACGCTGGTACCACCATTCAAACTTCGACACTTGCTCTGCAGTAAATTTTTCGAGAAGAGTGCGGAGGTAGTAGAATGCCACGCGCTCATTGGTCTCAACTGCATCAAGTTCCTCTGGGTCATCTTTGTGTGACTCCAATGCCGTCGACAGGCCATCTTCCACCGGGGCCACTGCTGGCTTCCAAATAGTCTCCGCAAACAATAATCGGTCAGTTGCAGCTGTCTCCTTTGCAAAAGAGCGGCACATAAGCCCCTCGAGTTGGATGAGCTGCTCCCCGTTGGAACTATACGCACCCAGGCTTCCGACTATGCTCACGGCAGAATCCTCCGTTATGTTTGCCTCGATGTCGACTCGAGAATCATCCTGCTCACCAATGCAAGCAAGGGGACTCACCCTGATACTCTCGATGCTGGTTGGGAGATATGGAGTCCAGAAGGAGCCATCGCCTGGATAGCAAAAGGCTGCAATCACCGTTTGAAAACATATGTCAAGAAGGGCGGGGTGCACGATCAGCTCCTCGGTATAGTCTTGGTCCATCATTGGCTTAGTGGTGGTGGAGGTGGCGTAATTTCTGGACCGACAAATATTCTCCATCTTGCGGAACATTTCGGTATAGTCCAACCCAATATGGTTCATCGAGTCATAGAAATCCTCAGTATCCACGGGGACAAGGCCAGGGATGGCCTCAGGGCGAGGCGGAAGAAGATTGGGAAGAACATGTGTGCCAATCTGTTCATCGCTCAAGAACAGCGTCATTCGACCGCTGGAGCATTGGTTCATGGCTCTGCCGCCATTATCAGGGCATGAATAACAGGCAAAATCTGTGACAATTTTCGTGTTCGTAGACTGGATGCGTTTCAAACAGAAGAGAATCTCGACCCCAGGGCCTGACTCCTCGAGTGTTATGGCTTTGCCGATAGAAATGTTCTCCAGCTCAATTAGGTGGACATTTTTGCCAGCGGAGAGCGATTTCGATGCTTCCAGAGCAAGGGCCACATGGCCAGCTGCTGGGAAAAGGATCTGGTCTTGAAATTTGTGGCCGCGCGTCCAGGGCATCTCATCGAGATGAAGAATGTTGCGCCAACGGAGATCGTATCCATCCACATTATCTAAGCATGCTGTTCCAAGGAGTTGATGCACTCTGCGAGAACGTTGTCGGAAATTTTTTGACAGACGTGATTCCTTCCAGTACCGCTGTCGATGATCCCATTGGTACCCGGGAAGATTTTTGCACAGGGCAGGGGCACGATCCGTGAGGGATTCTGTGAATTGTCCCAGTTGAACTCCTCGAGACGCGAATCGCTCCCACAGGAATCCCACCAATGATGAAAATGCGATATCATCACGCTCTCCCCGATTGAGTGAGCCGTGATATGGGATAGTAGCATCTGTCAATGCTTTGATAGTCTGTGTTGTTGGTCCCTTCAATGCGGCATGCGGTCCAATTTCAATAGCGACATCGAACGGGCCATGGTCCAGCACGGCCTTTTCAACGGCTTGGGAGAATAGAACAGGCTGTGCCATATTATCAATCCAGTACTTTCCTGAAAGCTCTTCAAATCCAGTGCTTCCTGAGCGCATGGTCTCGCCATGAACACTCGAAACCCAGCAAGCACCATTTGGAGGCTCGACTTGAATGCCGCAGCCGTTCAGTGAGTTCAGATAGGGAGCAGCGCATGGCAGCATATGGTGTGAATGGTAGGCTTTATCGACCTTGAGGACACGAGCAAAGGTACCTTTCTGATCAAGCTGGGCCTTGAGCTCGTCAATCGCGTCCTTATCTCCGGAAATTGTCACGGTTGAAGGCCCATTGCTCGCTGCCACGACCAAGCGCCCACAGAATTGGGTATCATTGCACAGTTCTTGAGCTTCAGTAAATGATGTTCCTACAGCCATCATGCTACCTCCTTGGGATAATGTACCAGCAGCATGTTTGGCGTGCACACCCCTATAGTATGCTACGCGGATGGCGTCTTGGAGGGAAATGATACCCGCAGCATAAGCAGCACCAATCTCACCAGACGAGTGGCCCACGACTGCAGAAAATTGGACATTTACGTCACGCAGAAGATCGACCAACGCGATTTGTACCGCCGTACACAATGGTTGGGAGATCTGGGCCAAATGGACTTTGGAGTTGGATCCGGCCGCACTCATCTCCTGGTGGAGCGACCACTCCGGGCCATCGGCTAGCTCATCAAGAGATTGCTCCATTGTTTGGATGGAATCGGCAAATCTCTTGGATGTGCGTAGAAGTTCCGCGCCCATAGATGGCCACTGTGCTCCCTGCCCCGTGAAGACTCCCAATATTTTAGGATTTTGGCCAAGGGCCAGCGCTTTAGTCCCAAAAACAGCTGTTGGGGTCTTCTCCACGGCTAAGACAGCATTACGCATGTTCTCGAGAAGCTGTTCCTTGGTTGCCCCTGAAAAGCTCTTTCGGATTGGGAGTTCGGTTCTCTTGGTTTGTAATGTCCATGCTAAATCCAGAAGGCGTGCAGAAATGTCTATTTCTGCCACATGAGCTATAAACGCCTTCACTGAACCGACTAGTGATGAGTCTGAGTTGGCAGAGAATACATACGGCGTGACTCCTAGCGAGAGAGATGGCTCGGGTGAGGTCTCATCTCGGTCGACATCGTAGCTCTCCAGGATGGCATGGGCGTTGGTACCACCGAACCCGAAACTGTTCACACTGGCACGGCGTACGGCTCCATCAGAGACAGTAGGCCATGCGATTGGTTGCTGTGGTATGCGCAAGTTCTTTGTAAAAGGGACCACTTTGGGATTTAACTGGTCCAGATGCATATTGGGTGGAATGACCTTGTGCTGGAGTGCCAACGATGTCTTGAGCAGACCTGCCAATCCTGCGGCACCTTCTAGATGTCCAATGACAGTCTTGATTCCGCCAACATGGAGGATGTTTGGTTCGTCAACCGAAGGCATGGCTTGGTCTCCAAAGAAGGCACGATGGATTGCCTCTGCTTCAAGAGGATCACCGACAGGCGTTCCGGTCCCGTGGGCCTCGAAGAATTGTGGACGATCTTCTTTTCGAGTCAAGTCGAGGCCGGCATCACGGTATGTGTCGCGGATCAATGCCTCCTGGCTGAGAGGACTTGGCATAGTAATTCCAGGGGTGCGACCATCTTGATTGACACCAGTGTTGCGAATAATGCACTCGATGTGATCTCCATCGCGGATGGCGGCTGACAGTGTTTTCAGCATTACTGCAGCAACACCTTCTCCACGTCCGTATCCGTCTGCCTTGTCGTCCCACATTCGGGATCGGCCCTGAGGTGAGAGCATGTGCAGCTTTGATTCAATAATGTACATTTCGGGTCCGAATATCAAATTCGCACCAGCTGCAATCGCCACAGGGGTCTCTCCTGATCGCAGACTTTGTACCGCCAGATGGACGGCAACCAGAGATGATGAGCAAGCTGTATCAATTGTCATACTAGGGCCCTTCCAGTTGAAGAAATACGAGACACGGTTGCTGAGGATGCTTCGCGTGGTGCCTGTGCCGCTGTATTTGGGAATTGTTTCCATGTCACGGAGGTGGATGTCGTGGTAGTCGTTGGTCATGAGGCCAACGTAGACCCCCGTCTGGGTGCTTTGAAGGTCTTGAATGCTGGTTCCTCCATTCTCTAAGCATTCATATACAGTTTCCAGCAAGACGCGGTGCTGGGGGTCCATGGCCTCTGCCTCGCGGGCATTCAGAGAGAAGAAGGGGGCGTCGAAGACACACGGGTCCTCTTCCAGGAGATATGAATGACGCACGTTTGAAGTACCATGGTGTTCACCATTTTGATGATAGAAGCCGGCTGGGTCAAATCGCTCGGCGGGAATTGGGCAAAGGACATCACGGGGATAATGCAACAGCTTCCACAGTTTGGAGGGCGTAGATGCCCCGCCAGGGAACCTGCAAGAGCTGCCGATAATGGCAATTGGTTCAAGATTTTGGGTATCCATATTCAGTTGAATGAACGAGTGGGTTGTACCGATGCAATCTAGATGTATGTACGCTCACATGTAGAGCTAGTATAGTGTGATTTGTAACTGGGAAGGATTAGCGCTAGCCTGTCTATATAAATATCATCATTATCAGAGCTGGGAGAAATTACTGGATACAAACTAGGCCATTTCTGATCCTCGGTCTCAATCGGAGGTCTTTTTGTTTTTCGCATCGTTCATTTGGGGCAGTGAAGCCGATCCGACAGCCCTAAGCCGGGGCCACAATTTAGCCCCCAGTCAGCCCCAGCGAGTGGGCATCGGAGGCCGATGCCGAACCTGCTTAGGCCGAATGGTTTGTTTTCTTGCATTGAGCAATAATATTAGCAGATATCGGTATGGTATTATGCTCTTGGTTCCCACTCTTAGGTTGCAGAGTCACAATCACAATGTATACCTTTTTTGACTCGGATTTCTTCCACTTTGAATTTCTTCGAGTGTTAGGTACCGCTCCCTTCGAGGGATGCGACATCGGTGAATGCCTCGAAGCAATTGCATGTATCAAAAATCATGATGCCGAGAGCTGGTTCGACGCCTGGGTCGCGGCAGCACGCAAAGCAGAAGCCGTCGCTGCCGCTGCAGAGGAGCGCGGAGATCGCGAAGCCGCTCGCTGGGCATGGATTCGGTCAGGGAACTATTTTCGCGCAGCCGAGTACATGCTGCACTGCACTCCCAAGGACGCCCGACTTCTGGATACGCTGGAGCATAGCGTGCGCAACTTCCAGCGTGGGTTTGCTCTGCTGGCCGACCCGGCGGGCCATGGAGGCGAAGTCCTCTCGCTCGAAATCCCCTACGAGAATGGCTTGACGCTTCCTGCGTACCTGTTCATGCCATTGCGACAGGCGGGATCAAAGGAGCCCATCCCCGTCGTGGTCAACAGCGGCGGCTTTGATTCCACTCAAGAGGAGCTCTACTTTTACATTGCCGCCGGCGCTCGTCGGCGCGGGTACGCCGTTCTCACATTTGACGGTCCCGGTCAGGGAATATTCCACAGGCGACTAGACCAACAAGCTGGCTTCCCAGCCCAAGCACCCAAGGGTTCCTATATGCGACATGACTGGGAGGCTGTCATCCGTCCCGTCCTCAATCGGCTGTGGGAATACAGCGAAGAAAACCAACAACTCCATCTCGATCTCGATCGGGTATCTATCTTTGGCGAATCAATGGGCGCTTATTTTGCGCTACGCGGCGCAGCTGATCCCCGGATCAAAGCATGCATTGCGATGGACGGCTTTTACGACATGTGGGACATTGCCGATTCGCGTATCCCCCCTGTATTCTTGAAGGCTTGGGATCGACTAGGCGATCGCTTTTTTGACCGCGTCATCCGCTCGATGGGCAAAGTACACTTTCGCACGCGATTTGAATTCGCACATGCGCGATTTGCTTTGGGATTGCCGACGTATGCACAGGCGACGCGTGCGTTCAAAAAGTTCTCCCTGCGTGGGGATGGAGAGCAGGGTGAGTACTTAGCCGATGTCAAGTGTCCCGTATTTGTCACTGGGGCAGCGGACTGGGCGTATTTTCCTGCCCAGGGAAATGCCACGAAGATCTACGACGTTCTTAGTCGGCTGCATCCCGGAAATGCTAAACTGTGGGTGGCTAAGGGGGTGGGCTCAGGGGGGTTGCAGGCTAAGGTGGCGGCTATTTCATCGGTCCATGACAAGACGTTTGAATGGTTGGACGAGGTTTTGAAGATTGATCGAAAGGGAGAGAAATCTTTGCCTTAGGTAGTTCCAAAGTTTGTTGTTCTAATTGCATGTGTCATTGCGCTTGTTTCAAGGTTGTTCCTTTCAGAGCGGTCACGGTGTTCTGTCACCTATGAGATGTGCGCACGCGACTTGTTTCGAGTAGCGTATGTTTATGCTCGATAGGTACACATTTATTATCTAGGTTAATCTGAAACTGTTTCAATTAATTCTAACAAATTTCCATTAAGAAAATACCTTAGAAGGAAAAAAACATTTGGAATGTTCCATGTTCGACGTACTACTGGTAATGATATATATCTTGGCTCGTGACTCTACGCGGGGGCCTTACAATCAATACTAGTAGTACTTCACGACAATTGGGAACTTGAATAAAATGTACTCCAAAAAGGTATCCCTTGAGTACCTTATCTAATACATGTAGTAAAGTTCTCACATTTCCAATGCAGCTTGCTGGTGTGAAGGCCCCGTTTCCATACTAGCATGAAACCCCATTTCTTCTATGTAAGTTCAACAGATCCCCGCGATAGCGCGAATTACGTGCGAGCGCATGTTAAATAAGGTCATTTTAAATAATATTCAACTATAAAGTAGGAAATATTCATTTGTGGTCAAATGGTTAAACCGTTCGATAAATCTTGCTATTAAAGCTTGGAACATTTGAACCGTTACTAAAGTAAAAATAGCGGTAAAATATTCTTTCAAATGAATCACGATGTTACAGCACAGCATCACAGTACATATAGTATGCATATATATATGTAGTTGATATTAAAATCTTTACTGTCATGCTACGTTTATGTAGTATAGCAAACATCAAACTATCAGCTATGCGCATTACATTCAGCTCGGGATGTAGGTTTAGTTGAGCCGGCAATGATCTGCAATGATCGGCATACCAAATCCTAGCAAAGCCCCCGAGGGTATGATCCCTAGTAACAATTCCGTGAGTCACAAACACTCTCAAATTTGATGTTCTATCTCAACAAATGTCATGGGATGATAAATCTTTTACGAGGGCTATCTCTATTCAACTCAATGTCTGACTCGATGTCTGAGAAACGCTTGTCTGACCGTCGAAAATGGTATACTCGGATCGATGCACAATTCTGTGAAAAAGGACAGAGAGATACAAGCTATCATGTTGCCAAACCCGACAGGAGTGAGGTGTTTGGGCCAAGCCGAGACTCCCTTGAACATCATTCACCTTGGACTCGATGCATTGCCTTCCCGAGCCCAATATAATTATTGTCTACTCCATGCGGATCCATTGAATTCAGCAGGGCCCTCCGCGGGAGATCGGCCAGCCGCTGCAGCAGATCTATTCGACACGTTTCGATTGTCCCAACTAGCCGTCTCGACCGGGGGCTATAAATGTATACTAAAGCCTTTCAGAATTTGAGATCTCGCGCCACGCACCTTTTTACTCGGCAATTATCGCAGGCCGAGTGTTGAGGTTTGTTATCGGGTTGAACTAGAGGAAGCTCCTAAACCATCTCAACTTATCTAGGGTAAAAAATAGGAAATGCGACCGACGAGATACCATTCTCCACACCTGCACTCATACAGTGCCCATGCGAGCGAACCAATCACTGTCCAGCTTGAGTCTTGCTTTCCATTCTCCACCACTATGCAGATTCACGCACGAGGAACTCCGCAATGTCGTTCTCGGGTCGATAGCGCGAACAGTGCGCGATCAAATTGACTGACTTCGCTTGGTGGGAAATGCTGAACTCCGGAGTTCACACTCGTTTCTTCTTTTGGTAAATTCGCCTCCGGGTTAATTTCGATAATTCCAATAATTTTGTACCCTTTTACGCTCCAATCGATGCATAGGAAGAAAGCAAAAGCCCCCAGCAAATATGAGAGTGGGGCAATACGAATTAGATAAATACTCCGTACGTGAAAGGGCGTTCAGCCTAGTACTAAAATTAGTCAGACCAGAGGATTAGAAGAATGTGTGTTAGTCGATGTAATGTAACAACGTGATTGCTGTTGAAGGGTCATTATATGGTGAAGCACTTGACTATTTTATTGGCCATATCAGTTAAAGTACCTGGAAACCTGATCTACATGGGTTGAGTTCACATTTGGATAAGGTTTCTCTGAGTGTGCATGGGCAGCGAGATCTGCCCATCCAAGTTACATACACGGCTACCAACTTTTTATTTTCTTGAAACACAAGGTTTACAGGGGGACAATTCTAAAAGAGGGGTCGAAAACAGCGTATTCGAACTTAAGAGCTGGTACGGAGTACTCGGCACGAACTACTTTTGGCGTTTTTTCTATAAAAAAAAAGGCAAACGCCAAAGACTTTTGAAACCGATCTATATACGCCTTCAAGCCCTGGGGGTTTGCATTAGGCCATTTCTGGCAGCCCATGTATGTTCAGATGTCAGATTCCCTAAGCTGAGCCAAGGTTTTCATACCTAGTATGTACTTTCGGCTGGATACGAAGCTGAGAGGCCTAGGCTCTTCCAATTAGATTAGCCACCGTGGCAGGGGCTGTCTTGGGTGCATTAGTCTGGGCCTTAGGACCTCCCGGGGGCCTTCCGGTTGAAAAAGCTCAGGTACCTAAGGTAGCTATAGAGCTCCCCCCAACACATGGCGAGACCAGATCCATTTGATGCCCAGATAAGCCACGCGAGATTTAGCGGCTAGCCTGCAGAATGCACGTAACCCATGGTAGTTCACCACTAAAAATCTTACGTCTCATCGGATAAATACACCGAAGCAAAAATGTGGAGCATAGCATCTCCAGAGTTCGTCTCTGCAGTTCTTGGACTTATGGCTTTTGCAGCCGTAACAATGCATTAGTTTAGCTAGGGTACTTGGAAAAACTCCACATTAGAAATAGGCCAAGATTTAGGTTCGCATCCACTTTAGATTAAATAGGAAAAAAGACAAAAGAAAAAAGAAAAACACGAGGGATCAAATAAAAGCTAGAACTTGCAGACACGATAGGAGAGACACACTCCCAAATAGGCAAAACGAGAGTTACAGTACCGATACGAGGGTCATACACAGCGTGTTTTTCCCCCAACTCATTTTGACAACCCGTTAACACATCCTCAAGATATGCCGAATACATGCTGTCTTGATAATGGGATCTGCATTGTTTATGCTCAAACTCCGATCCTCCCGCATGGAACTACCCGTGATTGAGTCAAAATACGCCCCAGGCTCCACGCCTCGTGGTTCTCTCCCCTCGATTTCAAGTTTCAGCCCTCCAGCTCGTGACCAAAAGGGTCGTTTAACTTGACCCAGCAACTGAATAGAACAACCCTCTTATAAACTAAGCTAAGAACTAGTCTACACGCGCTCACTATCGTCTGACACTATATACTATAATACGACCGATTTACGGAGTGATTTCGTCAGAATCCTTTGTCCCGGTAATCCTTCGACCCGCTAGTTGAAAGGTGCATGCAGCATACACCAACAACCAATCCGCTTTGCTCCTGCACATTTGCCCCCCGTTGTGACAAACCAACAAAGAAAAGAGAAAGGAAAAACCAAAATCAAAACCCAAAAAGAACTTCATGTCTCGGTTGTGAAATCAGGTGTGATAAATACTAGGCCCTGGCTGGCATTTCCTCGGATCCAGATTCTTTGTCTCCGTTCTGCGCATTTTCCCACCATGGCCCCCCACCAGCCCCCCTCACCTCACGTGGGAGTCATTTTGAATCCGTCTGCACGTCGCGTTGCCTGCGACCAGTGTCATGCCCAGAAACTGCGTTGCACAAAGTTAGAAAACAGCAACGCTTGTGTTCGATGTCAGCGGTTGAGCCGCCAGTGTGTCTGGAGTCCTCCATCACGGAGCGGCCGGCCAGCAAGGGGTCTTGATCATACAGACAAGCGTGGCAAACGATCGTTCAGTGTTTTCGAAATGACACCAGAAGCAGACAGCCATCTGGAATCTGCGAGAGAGCCGAGTCTTCCTACCCCTAATACTCTCACTCATCCTCAGCCTGCCCCTATCCCTGTTGGTATATCGGAGGCGCCGCCGTCAGGGACCCCGTCCATTGCAGACTGCAACATGTCCGATCTGTTCAATTTTGGAAGTCCACATGATAGCTCGCGGGAAAGCCTGTTCCCTCCGCTATGGACTCCAGATAGTCTATCGCAAATACCTAGTATGACCGATTATTTCCAAATGCCTCCCGGCCCTCAAACAGGGGTCCCCCTGGATGTAGGCACGCCTCCTAGGCTGGAGTCTTTGCAGGACATCACCCGAGAGCTATCCAGCGTGAATATGGCGCTATTCGACGTAGAGCAATCTTTGTACGCCGAGCCATGGGGTTCGATGTTTGCCTCCCCAGCTGCTGTGATCACCAAACTCAGTAACTGTGCCGGAGGCCAGCCTGATGACACGCTCACTCAGGGTTACCCATTGACAGACGCATTTAATAAGACCCAGCGCTTCATCAACATTGCAGAGCAAACATCTATCTATCTCGCTTCACTGCCAAATCCCCCTTCATCATCTTTGATTTCATCATCGTTGACTTCTTCCTCTCCCATCGACCAAGAAACACCAGATAGCGAAACCTCCAGCCAGGGCTCGTCCCCTTTCTTCCCACCAGTAGACCTCTATATGTCGCGCTATATGCCTTCGCAGTTCTGTACGTCGTCTTCTGATCGACCACGTCGCACAGCGAGCCCGGATTTGCCAACCGCCCTCCTCTTCACCACTGGCTATGCGCGGATTCTCGATATCTACATGACTGTTGTAACGCAGATGTCGAATTTTGTCCACGCAATCTCCGTACAATCCATGAACGGGGCCCCAGACTACCGCCAAAGAATGCACCCAGTTATCCCACCGTTGCAATGGGGTGGATTCCAGCCTGCCAACTACGGTGCCCTGCAGATATTAATGGTCATCCAGGTAATCTCATATTCGTTCACACAGGTTGAACGCGTTCTCGGCGTTGAAGAATGGGAACGCGAGTTGACTCGTGAGCGATCTCGCTCTGAGGAGAGGAGGTCCTATCGCTTTGCTCAGAGTCATGGACAGTCCCGGCGAAGAGATACAGTCGGCGATGGGGACCGAGTCGGGGTCGGCAATGGTACAGGACTGTTAAGTCCTGCCATGATTGCGCTCGTGTTCCAAGAAGAGGGTGAAGGGAGCCGCCGCGGAAAAGTAGGATTGTTGCGCAGAAAACTGCGACGGCTGAAGAAAGACCTAGAGAAGAGCATGCATATTTAAGATGATAGAATTAGAATCAACTCTTCTATTGGCACGATCGTTACGTTCCATTGAAGCATATAATATTTCCCTTTTAAACAAGTAAAACTCACCGATGCCGAATCTTAGAAGGCCGAACAATCAGCCTTTAAGCTTATATTCAACCCCAAATAGGAAAGATGCCGGGCCTTTATGAATTATAAGGGTTACATAGTTCGATTGATCATACAGATTATCTATCTTGACATCAAGAAGCACAATGGCCTTTCCTCAATTTCAGAGCGCGCTTACTGCCCTCAAGGAAGGACAATACACCCTCAACACCGCCCACCATCTACCGTCAAACAACCCTCTACCTTCGTCATATGTTCTTATCCGGGTATCCTTTATCGCTCTGAACCCATGTAACTGGAAAATGGTAGATTTCTCTCCGGCAATCGGCACTGTGGGTGGTAACGACTTCAGCGGCCAGGTTGTGGCCATTGGGTCGGCCGTTAGTAAGTGGCAGATCGGAGACTCCGTCTGTGGTTTTCTCTACGGCCTTGATCCGCACACCGGGGAGGGAGAATGGGCCGGGGCTTTTGCTGAATACGTGAGCGTTCGCGAGGACCTACTCATGCGTGTCGTCGAGAACAAAGTCAGCATGGCCGAAGCGGCTTGTCTCGGAGCCGGCGTGGTAACAGCGGGCATGGCGCTGCGAGATCTGGGTATCCCCTTAACGGAGACCGGTCTGGGAGATTTGAGTGTGCTTAAAGAGGAGAGCGGGGTTATTGGGACCAGAAAATCAAATACACGCCCGTACATCCTGGTGTATGGAGGCAGTACCGCGACAGGGACCATGGCAATTCAACTGGCCAAATTGTATGACCCATAAGCACATTCTGATGTCCAGCATTATATACACAGGAAACGCTAACAATGAGAATTAGAGCAGGATACAATCCAGTCACAACCTGTTCACCTGCCCACAATACTCTGGTTGAGTCCTATGGGGCTGTCAAAACCTTCGACTACCACTCTGCATCATGTGGGGTGGCCATCCGCGCCTTTACCAAGGGTAAGCTATCTCTTATACTCGATTGCATCACCTCCACGGATAGCATGAAAATCTGCTATGCTGCTATGGGCGCTCGAGGGGGAAAGTATGTTGCTCTGGAACCACCGGCAACTCGCATTGCTGCGCGCAAGGACGTACAAAATGACTGGGTCATGGCGTTGACCATATTTGGGAAACCAGTCGATCTGAAAGGTCCATTCGGACGAGATGCTGTGCCCGGTGATTACCAGTGGGCGTCTGACTGGTATGAACTGGCAGAGAAGCTCGTCGAGGAGGGCCTGCTGAGACCGCACCCTACATCTGTTCAACCAGGAGGATGGGAGGGAATTTTGGAAGGCATTGAACAGTTGAGATGTGGACAGGTTAGGGGGAGGAAACTTGTTTTTGCTGTTGGTGAATAAACCTATCAAACTTGATACCTGAGTCTTAATAATACAGATACTTCTATTAACTACTATACTACTTTCCTTTCGTTTCGGTCACTGTCCAATGCAACCCTGCCTTTTCCAACCGTTCCACGTACGTGATCCCCAATGATGCAGGTGTGAGAATGCCTCCTCCTAGTTTCTCGGCCATCGAGTCCTCTGACTTTCCCTTCAAAACGAGCAGAAGGGTCAACGCGGCTTCACTAACGAAAGTCGCGCAGACGCTATATACATCCGTATCCATGCGCATCACACCCAAAGCGCTGGGCTCATGTACATTGGTCCCATCCGCTGCAACTATTGCTTTCCATTCCACGAAATGTTTCTCTCCCGGCTTCAAATGTGGCCCTGTTCCCGGCTCCGGAGAGAGCCATTGAAGAAGCCACCGGAATGGTGGGAATAGCACAGTACACAAAATTGCGACGGACATAGTGAGAAACGAAGACCACGCCCCCAGTCGGCTGTGAGCAGCGGTATAGCCCTGGAAGCTGAACCGGCTCCCATATTGTTCGTTCTTCTCACCGCACCGATTCAATAGTGACCAGGTGCGCATGACGACGTTCTGATCGGCCATCGCCGAAGGGTTAAAAGTGACGTGGCCGAGAGAGCGATCATGTCGGACAGGGAGCATGGGAGCAGAATGAGGCCGATGTGGTCCAGCGTCTGGGATACATGACGCCCCTGGTGCACCAGCAGCCATCATCTGGCGGAGAGAGTATGTCTCGAGCCCGGCGAAGATGCTTGCAATGGTTCCCCCGCTAAAACCGGTCCAGGAATGCTGAATTGTGAAGAACATAGGCCCAAGAGGGCGACGTAGTGTGCGTGCCATAAGGAGCGTCATAAGATCCGGCGGGCTGGACTCCACGGCGCATTGTGGAATAATCTTCCCTGTCAATCAGTTATCTCTCTTCATGCATTGTCCGATAGGGAGCGATACAATTGCCTTATTGACTATCGCCTTGTCATGCCATTGCGCTGCCAGCTCCTGCGTCCAAACGTGTTCCCCCGTAGAATCCACATAGGCGGTAGAATTCTCTATACAAGCTGCCACAACAGGCGTCCCATATTTGCAAAAAGGCTATACTGTCAGCTTTTCTGGTCACGACTCGGTAGACATCAAGGTACATACTCCAACTGTGTTGAGCACAAGGCTTGTTTGGGAGGCCATGCGATTCAAGTCCTCGCCGGCGAGGGTAGTCACCATGGTATGAGGCAGATTACGGTCGGATGTGGTTCGATCCAAGGAGTTGACAAGGGTCGCGAGCTTCTGTTCGCTGCGACCGGCGACAGCCCATCGGAGGGCTGGTGGGCCATGAGCCCATAGGTATTGCACCACCAGCGACCCAAGGTAGCCAGTGGCGCCATACAAAACCAGATCATACGGTCGACTCATTTCTTAGAGTGTGTTACAGACGTCAATGAGAAGTGGGAGGATAAGAATTAGGACCGAAGAAGCCATGAAAGTGATCTTCTATACAGTAGCCCGTTTTGGAAAAACCCACCGAATGGACGAAAATCACCAGAATATCATCAGGTATAAGACAATGGACGAGCGAAAACAGCAAAACACAACATCCAATAGTCTGAAAGAAGAATCGACTCGAGCGAAATGGCCGCACTGGTCTTCCTTCGTATTCTTCCTCTCCTCACTACCTCGTCATACCTTACCTTCACGATCGCAGAGGACCTCTACTTCAAGCCCTACCTAGAGCCCTCGGTCTCCAGAGCCGCCGATCACCTTCTCCCGTCCTACATGAAAGTATGGTACAATCGGGGCATGATTCTCATCTTCACCATATACCCATTGACCTGGTGCACGGCCATTGCGAATCTTCCTGTGGCCCATCTGTGGAAAACTAGTATCGCAGCCTTCGTCTTATATCTTCTCGGACTTCTCTTCAGTATTGCACATATGCTCTGGGGTCCTCACGCAATGAATCTCCTAAATTCAATAAAGAAGCAAGACAGCTCAGGAAGCACAGAGATCGTTCGTCGATGGTGTCGAATGAACCTTATCCGGGGTGGCTTGGTGGACGTGCCAGCCTGGGGCTGTTTTCTGGCTGGATTTCTTGTATGGGAAAGTTCACGGTAGCATGGATCTCAAATTACCACTTAGCAGCGCTGGATTACTTCCATTCAGTATCCACTGTCTAAAATCGGAGCAGTCGGCGGGTTCGGCATTGTACGGTCCCACTCCGTCTGTGCTAGGTTGTAAACTAATATTATTTAAGGTTGTCATAATGTACATATATAAAGAAACATTATCATGCCAGTGCCCAGATTGTGTGTTAGGGTCTAAAAAGGTCTTCTAAGTTAATTGTGCCAAGAGCAGAAACAATGGCAACTTACAAGGAGTCACCATTTTATAATTTCAAAGTCTTAGACCGTAAGCATTCTCCAAGCGCTAATTAACTGCTAGCAATTTGCACATCTAATCTTTGCCCGATCTTATTTCGCAGGAAATGGAAAGGAATATCCGCTGTCCTCTACAAAGGGCAAAGTTGTCCTTGTCGTGAACACCGCGTCGAAATGCAGCTTTACTGTCCAGTACCAAGGCTTGGAGGAAATCTACCGTCGGCTTCAGGAACAGTATAATGAGGACTTTGTCATCTTGGGGTTTCCTTGTAATCAATTTCTACGACAGGAGCCTGGCTCCAACAACGACATCCAGAGCTTCTGCCAGCTCAACTACGGGGTCACGTTTCCAGTACTGGACAAAGTGAACGTCAATGGAGGCCAGGCAGCGCCCATCTACCAATGGCTGAAGCAGCAGAAGAAAGGATCACTGGGATGTCAGAGAGTTACATGGAATTTTACGAAGGTATAGTCCCTAGTTCCCTTATGTTGGTCGAACAGGAATATTAACAAAGCGCTCAGTTTGTCATTGATCGCCATGGAAAGGTCAGAAGCCGGTGGTCGCCAACAAAGAAACCTGAGGCTCTGGAGGGGCACTTGATCGAATTACTCAAAGAGAATTGACCAATTAATAGCGAGCTATTCCTTTCAATTTCATGTTCTCAAGTGCTCTTCTTTGTTGTGTTCATTCGGCGGTTTTTACCTCTCATTCGGCGGGTTTTGCCATAACGGGAAGCCTACCGAAGCCGAACGTAAGGTATCACAGCCGACTCCTAAATAGATCAAAAGCTGGCCGAAACAAAGTCATTCGAATAATAATTCTGTTTATCGATCAACTCGATTTACTGCCATTGCTTACAATTTGCCTATCATGGGTGCCGCCGAGAGCGCCACACCGGAAGTAAGCAGCCCAGTCGCCCCAGATGAGCAGAAGAAGAAGGGCTACGGATGGCGGTTCTGGGCCATCTTCCCTGGTCTATGCATCGGTGGCATGCTGAGCGCTCTTGATTCGACCATTCTGTCTACCGTCCTGCCTACTATATCCAAAGAGCTCAACTCGGAGGAGATGTACGTTTGGGCAATCAATGGATACTTCGTCAGCCAAACAGCCGTCCAGCCTTTGTACGGCCAAATTTCCGATATCTTCGGTCGTCGATGGCCGATGATAATCTCCGTGGCTATCTTCGCCTTGGGTAGTGGCCTCTGTGGTGGAGCATCGAGTTCAAATATGCTCATCGCAGCCCGAGTTGTTCAAGGTCTAGGTGGCGGCGGAATCAATGTCATGACAGAGATCATTGTTGCAGACCTAGTGCCTCTACGTGAGCGGCAAGCTATAATGGGAATTATATTTACAGCCTTTGCTGTCGGGACTTTTATTGGACCGGTAATTGGAGGAGCAATCGTGGACAATACTAGTTGGAGATGGGTGTTCTATATCAACCTGCCCCTGTGTGGAGTCACTTTAGTCCTCATGCTGCTCTTTCTGCATGTGAATTATGACCGCCAGTCGACCGTCATGGCGAAGCTCAAACGAGTAGATTTTGCGGGAAACGCCATTTTAATCACCTCAGTGATTTCCATCCTGCTGTCCCTCACCTGGGCTGGAACAACGCACCCTTGGAAGTCCTGGCGCACCATCGTGCCGCTTATTTTGGGATTCGCAGGGATGGGGGCGTTTTTTGCCTACCAGAGCAGTCGCTGGTGTCTCGAGCCCACTATGCCTCTTCGCTTGTTTTCCAATCGGACTGCCGCCATTACCTACATGATGAGCTTTTTGCACGGTATTATCCTTTACTGGGTCAGCTTATTCCTTCCCGTGTACTTCCAGTCAATCCTGGAGGCCTCGCCAGAGAAGTCCGGAATTGACCTTTTCGCCTCCGTTATCCCCATGGTCCCAGGTGCCATCATCGGAGGGGTTCTCATCACTGTCACCGGCAAGTACAAGCCGCTCCTGGTCGTTGGATTCATCCTGATGGCTATCGGAATGGGACTCTTCACTATGCTAGATGATCAAACCAACACCGTTCGGTGGGTAGTTTACCAGGTGGTGTTGGCTATAGGATCTGGCATTTCCCTTATTGCCACACTTCCTGCTGTTCTAGCGAGTCTTCCCGAGTCCGACGTTGCGTTAGCCACAGCAACTTGGGCCTTCCTTCGCAGTTTCGGATCTATTTGGGGAGTTTCAATTCCTTCTGCTATATTCAACACGCGGTTTACTCAGCTGGTCGGTCGCATCGACAGTCCGCAGTTGCAGAATATTCTTGTCGGGGGAGGTGCATATCAACTCGCTACCAAAGCATTTATGCAGTCACTGGACGACACGCCCATGATAAAGGCGCAGGTAGTAAGTGTGTATGTTGAAAGCTTGAAGCTCGTATGGCAAGTGGGAATTGCCTTTGCCGCAATCGGAGTGCCTTTGTCTTTCCTGATTCGGAGTCTTGCATTGCGCGACCAGCTGGATACGGAGTTTGGGTTTGAGGAGAAGAAGAAGGAGGCCGACGAGGAAGTCACTACCAGCAGTACTAGTATGTAGGGTGTTGGAACAGTCAACCTTGGAACCTTGGAACTCGTGATGGATCGATCTCACTGAGATATATCAAAATCACCATTTAACCTTTAATTACTTTAATCATCCATTCATGTTCAAGTTTTTGACCTCTCTGTCAAGGAACAAACTTTATACAGGTAGAAACAATAGAAACCCCTAGATTAATCTGCATTCAAGATGATTGAATCGGGCGTTGTAATTTCAAATGACCCATTTCATTCGTCATAGAATGGACGCCCGTCGAATCTTGTATAGGGATCACATACTCCTTGACTCCTGCCTTGTGGACACGGCCATTGATGATAATTATATTCAACCGATCATGGTCTTGGAGGATGGAGATGTCTTTCAATGGATCTCCATCGACGACCAAACAGTCCGCATAGTTGCCCTTTTTGATATGGCCCATTTCATGTGAGCGCATGAATAACTTAGCCATACCGTATGTTGCTGCGATGATCGACTCATGTGGTGTGAAGCCAAAACGATTGACGAAATGCGCGAGGTCGCGCGCATAAGTACCGTGTGGGGTCCATGCAAACCCATAATCGCTGGATACAAGAGTTAGAACATGCCTACTGGTGATCTTGAAAAAATAACATGGAAAGCCTACCCTCCAGGGAGAACCACAATTCCTCTTCGATGCATCTCGCGCATAGCATGGTCGGCAGCATCAAGCTTCTTCTTTAACCTACCTGTTCAGCCTTTTCTGTGGAATAGCCAAACATCACGGCGTCTTCAAGTGTGGCGATCAACCAGTTAATAGCAGGTGCCACTACGTGCTTCGACCTTTTCTTTTCAAGGGCGTCCATGCCTATTATAGTCAATCATCTCAATTCAGATAGGGTACTGGCGAGTGACCCACCATTTTCATCTATATAAGAGGCATGATAGATCACGTCCACCCCACAATCAATGCTCTGTTGAACAGAGTCTCGAGCTCGAGCATGTGAGCAGACCCGCTTCTTATGTTTATGAGCCTCGTCGACACATGCTGCGGTCTCTTCTGGTGTGAAATAGCAATCTTCCGCATCTCGAATCTCCGTGATCTGACAAAGACCTGTTAACGCTCAACTCTCACAGGGTTGGGGGATGGTCATGCCGATTCTCCAGACATCGAAAGCTTCACTTGATCAACGCCAATACCTATATGCTCACGGATACTGATGTGCTGTTAGTAGATTTCAAAGTTTAAAATTCTATATACGATGTGCCAGTGACAACCTACACCTCTCTCATTTCTTCTGGGCCATTCGCGTAGGCAGTGATTCCTCCAACTAGCTCTCCCCTTGTCCGTGCCATTTCTTGGCCATTTGCTAAGAAGCGGGGCCCCGGAATATCCCCTGCGTTGATCGCCTCCCTAATAACGACATCAAGGCGTTTCTTAGCAGATGCAGCTACGAAACACATAGTGTACCCGGAATCCAAGAAGCATTCAGCACTTCTCGCAGTGAGAAGCGTATGCTCCTCGACGCCAAGAGTACCAAGTCGATTCAGGTCACCCCCGTTCCAGGTGAAATGGGTGTGTGAGTCTCCTAAACCCAAATTAAGATGTATATACATGCAATTAGTAGTATCTAGAATAGTATAGCATGCCGTTATACCTCAATAAATATTACTAACGCATCTAGTATTCTCTGTCCAACGGCGTAATGCAAAAGGGATTCCCCCCGCATCTCATGTAATTATGCCACAAAAGTTAATTCGTCATGCTGTAATGGACGATTCCAATAATTGGAGCTTTGTGGAGGTGGCGGCGATGCGCGGCGATGCGCGGTGAAGAATGACGAATCCCACACATCTCCGATTGAGGGGGTAAACTCCGATGTGAGTCCACCTCAACAGCTCCCGAGGTCGGAAAGAACTTGCGATTTATAAGAGTAGCGGGACTAAAACTCAGAATTTTCCATATACAAACTTCTGAACTTGAATTATCTCGAAATGACTATCAACGAAGTGAATAATCTCACCAACTATGTGGCATACTTGGAGCCCAACAGCGGCCCCCGAATCGGCCATCTTGACTTTGAGACCTCGACTATCACCCCACTTTCCTTTAAGTCGGGTACTCCATTGACAGATCTTTATCAAGTGATCACAGTTGGTGAGCAAGGAATTACGGCCTTCGGCGCGCAATCTTTCCCTCTTTCTAGTGTCAAGCACCTCCCCCCCGATTTCAGGTCGGGACGTGCTCGCTGTTGGGAAGAACTATGTCGAACATGCTCGTGAGTTCAACTCCTCTGGATACGATGCTAGTGATAAGACCGACCAGCCGACACACCCCGTGATTTTCACCAAGCGTGCCACTTCTATCATTGGCCCCGAAGACCCTATCCTGCTGCATTCAAACTTCACCAGCACGCCCGACTACGAGGGTGAGATTGGCGTAATTATTGGCAAGTCGGGGTTCCAAATTTCGGAGCAGAACGCCTTGGAGCATGTTTGGGGTTATACCATCGTGAATGATATGACTGCACGCGAGCGGCAGCGCGACCACAAGCAATTCTTCCTCGGAAAATCCCCCGATACTTTCTGTCCAATTGGGCCAGTTGCTGTCCCTAAGGAAAGCCTTCCAGAGAACCTAAAAATCCAGACCTTTGTCAACCAAGAAAAGCGCCAGGAAGCCACTCTAAGCGATCTCATCTTCAGCATTCCTACCCTTATTGCAACTATTAGCGCTGGTCAGACTTTGCAAGCCGGTGACGTTATTGCCACCGGTACCCCTGCAGGTGTTGGCTTCGGCTTCAGGCCTATGAAGTTCTTGCAGACCGGAGATGAAATTAGCGTCTCCGTGACAGGACTAGGAACCCTGACAAATCGCATTGCTGCTTCTGATGCCGTCAACAATACCTTCGAGCGCGCGGAGTCTCACATTCCCATCGCTAATCAAAAGGCGCCAGCCAATGAGGGATTGACAGAGATCAATGGCAAGAATCTCTTTTATCAACGACTGGGTGTTGAGACAGGTCCTCCAGTCTTCTTTATTCATGGCCTGGGAGGCTCAACAAGTTACTTCCACCCCCTCGTGGCGAAGCTTCAGTCGACACATTCTTTGCATCTTCTAGATCTAGAAGGACATGGCCTTTCTCCAACATCTGCAATCAGTACCCTTTCTATCGCCTCTTTTGCGGATGACTTCTACCAGCTTTCCAAACTTGCTGGGGTGAGCGAAGGGGTTACCGTGATTGCCCACTCGATGGGCTCTCTCGTTGCTCTCAAGCTTGCCTTAACTCATCCAAAGCTTGTGTCCAAGCTTATCTTGATGGGCCCGCCCCCTATCCCACTTCCGGAAGCAGGAATCCAAGGATCTTATACCCGGGCTGCTCTTGTTCGAAAGCAGGGAATGCTGGCGGTTGTGGATGTGATCGCACAAGCTGGAACGTCTGCCTTTGTTCAAAAAAACAACTTGTTAGCTGTTGCTGCAGTGCGCACTTCTCTTTTGAGTCAAGACGCCGAAGGATATGCTAAAGCGTGTGCGGCGCTTGCTGGATCTGGAACCGAGGAATTGGAAATTACAAGCCTGCGCATTCCAGTGTCTTTCGTGACAGGTGAAGAGGATAAAGTCAGTCCTCCAGCACTCTGTCAGAGATATTCTCAGGCAACAGGTGGCGGAGATGTTCAGGTGCTCAAGAATGTGGGGCATTGGCATCTGTTTGAAGATTTAGATCAAACTGTCAAGGCGGTTCTGGCGCAGATTTAAGAAAATATCTTTTATCGGCCCTTCTTTGCAACTATTTTTTGCTTTACAATTTTGCTTTACAATTTTGCTTAACTTGTAGAGGTTTAAAAGCAATATAAATAGATCTTATTCTTGTAGTATAACTACATGGAGGAAGACTCGGGACGGGTATGTTTGCACTGTTTGCACGTTTGTGCGGTTTGACCCACTCTCGGATGCAGGCCAATCATCTGATTGGCCTGGAGAGTGGCATCCGCCTACATGTATGTAGCATAGCTCTCTCTCTTCTTTTCCTTTCCTCAACGTTGTTATTCGTTGTTCTTCGCACTCTTCTCTATTCTAGTAGATCATAGGCACCTCATCACAAATACGACCTCCTCCATACTGTAGCCTTAAAGCGATCAAAACAACCACAGGCAAAAAAAGGAATTATACCGCCTTTTTCTTTTTATCAGTCGCAACTGCCTATTTTACCTTCCTGCCTTCTCACTTCCCACCCACTTCCCACCCACTCTCACCCACTTCTCACCCACCATGGACCCCCCTCGACCCACCTCGAACACGTCTCAGTCTTCTGAGCTCTCAACTTTTGAGTTCTCGTCAGTTGAATCCGAATCTGAGGATCCTTTTATGCTACTGGCGAAGGATGTGAAGCAGCAGCCATTCACAACCAACACGAGCTTACAAAAGTCCTTGGAACGCCGTCAACGAGAGCTTCAGCAAGACCAAACTCGGGATCAATACCTCGTCTTTACGTCTGTTCCCCCGGAGCAATCTTCCAGATTGAGTGATGATCGGTCGCGAACAAGCAAATACTGTCGATTCTCTTTCAATGCAGAAACGGGAATCTTGATCGCGAAAATAATGCCGAATCTTCCACACGAACTTGCAATAAGATCATTTGATGAGCTGATTTCTCTCGAGCTACGTGCGATAAATGCCCGTCGTGATATGATACCTTGCGGCTCGACAACATTTACGATTGGAAATTGGAAAAAAGAGGCCGACTGCTGCTGGGCCCCGGCGACAGATGCAAGACTGAGCTTTGTGATGGAAGTAGGATTATCAGAGTCTGCGCGACGACTTGCTCTTAATGCGCACGGTTGGCTTGAGACTTACTCCTCATCTGTGAAACTTGTGGTGACAATCAGTATTAAACGCGAAAATCCCGAAATCATCTTGTCCCGATGGGAACTTGTTCCTCGAGGATATGGCGTTCTTACAAGATTATCCCCTCTTTCAGCGCGTCGTACTGCATCTCTCAAGTTATCTCGAACGAATAACACAACCTCCGTTACCGGAGAGTCCTACATGAATGGCATAACTACGACTACTACACAGCTGGATCTACCCTTCGACAAGATTGTTGGCCGTCCTCCTCACAAGCCCCAGGAGAGAGACTTAGTGATACCCGAGCGAGAGCTGAGAATTTTTGCCGAGGATATCTGGCGTCAGCAGAGTCTCCTATAATTTGCCTCGACTCTAATATGTTCGTTCGCCACCAAGCGGCAAGCCGCATGGAAGACGATGTTATACTCACGAAGGACGTGTTGATTCGAAAGATTTCTAGGAGGTGCGTGGCTGCTCGGGACTCAAGCCAGGGTCTCATATAATATTCAGCCTGGATGGCTGATGTCCTCAGGGTGTTTATGCTCTATTTGTAACGTTGCTGGACTATCGTGGGCCCCTCTATGATAATATTGCTTTGTGTAGGCCGTCATTCTTCCTTCCTTTAGTTTCCCCTCCGGCCTTGTTGTCTTGGTTAAGAATATACTTTATCAAGCAAGACAAATTTCTTCCAAGTTGCGAATAGCATCTAGAAAATAACTTAGGTGTCTAGGATCTGATTCGCTCCCGAGTGCCCCGCTGCGGCAGATAAACCCCACGTACCATATTGTTGGGTGCAGAATAGGTGGGGGCGGTATAGGGCAGCGGGCGGTCAAGCGGCGCCTCGCCAGCCGAAGTCACGGGTGGAAAGGTGGCCGTTTCAGGAGCCAGAGGCTGTCATTTTCAGCGTCGATCTCACAGGTCCTCATATTCTAGTTGTAATACTGTGAGTAGCAACAATAGAGATATAACCATTTCCGGTAATTATAAAATCTAATTTAAGAAGTTAGTACCAATACTATTATATCTTTTAAGATATATACTCTTTAATAGGCTTTCTGTAGAGGTTAGCTTGGTCGATAGGACTAAGACTATCACAAAATACAAGTCTCACTCTTACTATAAAGTGACTCTAATACCTATAGGATCCTTATTCTATCTAAGCTTCACAGGCTAATATTAGTAGGCAGGGTACTAGCTAAGAAGTCTCGATAAGGTATTACTTATCTTCTATAGTAGAATAAACTCTCAGTATAAATACTTCTATACTATTTTTCTGACTCAGCCTAGACCCTTTGGAGCTCTGTATTATAAAGTTGTTACTTTTGACTGTATATTTACTTTTGTTTAAGTTCAATCTTATATTTCTCTTTCGTATTTATATTAAAGAGTTTTATACTTAGCTTCAGTATTGAATAGTCTAGGGTGTAAATATCCTCTTAAATAAGAAACTTATACTCAGCCTTTGTAGGTAGTAGCTGTAATACTAATAAGCTATAATAGAGACCTATTCCTTATTAATTTTGGATATATCCCTGCCTACTGGTAATCCCCAAATAGTTTATAGATCTATTAACCTTACTAAGAGGATATATATAGGATTTCCTATATATATTAAGGTTAACCTACCCCGCAAATATTATTTGTATAGTCTTGGAATACTTTGAGTCTATTCGCTAGTTAGAAAGTAATAAAATAGGTAGCTGAATATATACCTACTTATGGTAAAGCCTATCTTTAATATTGTCACGGGATTCCTGAATCCCTTCGGGTACGATTCATGGCCGCTCCGCGGGCGAATCTACCACGATACACCCGCTAATGCATGACTGCCCTAAGCCCTAGCAAGCTCTAGCAATATTAAAACGCACGAACAATAGCTACGATTCTTGTCCTGCAAGAATCAGTTCTGTATATCAACTGTTCTATTTGATCTCTACCATCCGATATCCTTGCCTAGTCACAAGTCTCTAGCCTGACAACTTAGTAACCATTACAAATATGCCTGAATAGTTATATTGAGTAAATAGCTACTTCTATAGCCTAGACTGACTAATACCTTCCTAAAGGTATCTACTCCTTGGGCATAGCCTTTATAATTATTAATAGTATATTCCTAATATTGATGAAACACCGCCACTTCCTTTATATCTTAGTATATATAAATAGTCTTGAGAATTTTATCTTTAGAGGATCCAGTTTTATTATACTTTTCGACTACATCAAGAATCTCTACTATAGAACTATACTATTTGAAAACCTAGTCTACAGTTACTATTAGAAGAAAGAATATTAAAAGATTAAGGAATATAGGTATATTTTTAATATATACCTTATAAATATATGGTTTAGAATTTCCTAAGTTTCTTTTTACTAGTATCCTTTAATAAATTCACACTGGTATATAAGTATAAGTATTACTTATAGTAATCCTAATACTATAACTAAGTTATTAATATAGTCAAATTATTTAGAGATACTCCACTATCCTTATTTATTTTCTTAATCTTAAGTCTGAGCTTCAATCAAAGTTTATCCCTAATAAACTATAAGGTATTAGTACTATACACCTAAGCTACTATAGGCTAGATATACTTCTCTTATTGTTATTCTAGTAGCCTCCGGTAATACAAGTTTTATTTTCCTATGAATTATAGTTACAATATCCCTTATAAAACCCTATATAGTATCAACTATTAGCCTTTCCCCTATCTAACTATTTATTACCTTTCCACTCTACTTAAGAAATACTTGATATATTTAGATAGTAGGGGGATTAACAGCTATAGGATATAGTACCAAGAATCTTTAAATATTAAGACTTAATATATCTGATTCCCTAAACTTAGAGTATTATATACCTCTTGAATATATCCAACCTATCGGTATAGCCTTCCTCTATTTATAGTAATATAGTATATAGAATTATATTATTGCTGTACTCTTCCAAGTCGATAATATGGTCTATATCCCGCCCTGGGCAACTCTTAGTATACATTTTACTCGGTATTGTGGGAACAAAGAATAGACAACGGGGAGAGGAGAGGGGAGGGGGAAATAAATAAAACACAGCTACTTACTCGTCTTCCCCTCAAAAGGCAAAAATAAATATTTTATACGCTACCTGAAGATTCGGATGAAGAATATTCAGGTAGGTGAACAGCTGCCTGAGCAGCCCTGAAGAGGGGCTGAATAGAGCAGCGAGCCGCCCACGCCCAAACAGTCGGCAGCCGTGGGCGCTAGGTGACCATCGACGTAGTTTTGGCTGTTGTATGTTTTTAGCTTTTGTTCTATTCACCCATATCTTTGATTCCCATATCTTTGATTCGTTGCGAAATCCTCTGTAGTAACTATGTATAGCTACATGGAGGAGGTCGGGCATGTTTAGACGTATGCTTAGTTTGACCCACTCTCGGATACAGACCAATCAGGTGATTAGTCCAAGAGAGGACTCCCTACAGTATATACAGTATACTGTAGTGGGGAAAACCTCCACCCTATCAGGAATGACCCTTACGGCCGCGGAGTTATTATCCCCTTCTTGTTTCTTCCAGTTATATAGCATCGCGTTGCGATTAGTTCTAGAACAATACACACAACACACTTCTTACACTCTTTTGATCACGTTCTGCGATTCTGATTTCCCGCATTGACCAGGGAAAGATATTGATGTTTTGCTGTGGGTTTTTTTCTGACTATTATTCCAATACAGGCCTATTTCCCCTCTTCAATACATAGTAAACGGTGCAACTGATTTCGGGAAAGCTGCCGCGTTGAAATCCACTACAGAAACCCGGCAGAGCAATTTAGTGCAAGGTGGTGTCCTAAGTCTAACTAGATAAAATGACAACAACCATAGACTGGCAGCTTGATCATGAACTTTGAATCTTTTAATTGAAAACGCTCTCGTTATTACGGTGGCAGATAGGCGGGGGCTCAAGGCCGGTTTTAATCAATATGATCACTAAATATAAGTCTGAAGTACTTATTTCATGTACCTGAATCCTATGATTTATTAAATTGCCTGGCTTCTACCTAGGATAAACTGGCGGACTCTACTGTAAATACCCAGAATGTCTGTGGTGTTTCTTACGCGTCTAGTGTTCGTACCTAAAGTAACCGTGGATCTGCTATTCCTAACGGTTCTGAGTGTATACCGTTTTTAGCACTTTCTGGTTCTTGATACTTACTCTTGACATCTGATCATTACATCTGATCATTCTGGGTACGTACTAGGAAAGGGTACGTATATTAGTTAGGCATTTGACAATTCACATTATCAAAGTGAGCATTTAGCGCCTATCTGCCACCGTAAATCAATACTAGGAGAATAAATACAAATCAGATCACGGCTCTTGCCAACGACTACGGCGTTCGCCACTTCCAACGCACTACCGCACCCCCAAAGGCGCAACCGAGGATACGGCTCTATTTTCGCTATACAGACTATATGAGTACCTAGTACTAATTGACAATATTGGACTTCGCAATGAAATCGAATATTTCGAATATTTCTGGTACGCAAGGTGGCCCATCTCTTCGATTCCCGATCCCCAAGACCTTCCAAACCCCGCTATGCGGTCCTTTCTGCCATACCATCCCTACTGGTTGATTTGTTCAACGAGCAGATTAATAAAGGTCTGCCACGGAAAGCAGACGCCATCTGTGAACGATAGGAATACGAACAATATCAAAAGGAGAGGAAGATATTTGAGGCCGTACCGGAGTGGGTGAATCAGGTGGCGCGATTAGAAGAGACACTGGTGATTCCCCATGAAAATGATGAGATTCTAGACTCGTTTGAGGATCAACGGGCTAGTGCGCAGCTGGCTGCGAAGAATATTTTACATTGGCAACCCCATATTCATTTTATTTAGCAGGATTCATTGACATTGCTATATGCCATAACATCATGGATTGTTATTCTCTAAATAAATTTTTACTTTCAGTGAAGATTAACGGCGATGGGGCTTTTGAAATCGGGATTCGATCGACTTGGTGAAACGGCAGCGTTGACAACAAGCGTCTCTTGCACTTTCGGATGCGCCGCTTTCGTTTCTCTATTGATCTTGCCCCGAAGGGAAAGTTTTAGAGCACCAATTAGTCCAAATACTCTCCAGTCCATCTCCAACCCATCTTCAACTTCTTGGATCCCGTCATGCCGGATCACAGTGGTACCATATGCACCGTGCATATGCCCACATATAACCATTCTAGGCTTCACTCGAGTTATTTCCCGCAATAAATAGCCATCTCCTTGCATCTTGACTTTGCCAGTCTCTTCAGTTTCCCCATCGCAATCCCCATACAGAGCATGAGGACCATGAACCATCCTAATTCCGGAACTGCCACCGACCTAACAGCCTGGGCGTGTCTTGGCAAGGAAGGTCTTGGCATATATACTCACAGGTCTCTATAGCCCTGGAGCCCGATAATGGTCCGACAAAGCTCCGCCGCACAATGCAGGGCCAAAATACCCAAGCGTCGGACACTTGTGCAAGTTCTTCCAAGCCTCAGGGACTAAATATTTAGATATTGGATGAAATCCCGCAGCCCCGGCTCCTCGAACTCATTGATGATTTAAGCGAGGGATGCCAAGGTATCAATCCGGGCTGAAAAGCGTATGGGCCTTATCGGAAATCGAATTTCAAGGCGATGTCAAGGTTCTCGTTCGAAATTAGCAGAGCAGGGCAACGATGGCGTTGGTCATTTTTTGCGTTCGTGGATCATGAGGAGAAACACCCAGTGAGACGGATTCTTGGCAGATCAAGGAAGCCGATCTCCAATTAACTCCCATGTATGGCTTTTGGTGGAGGTGGCTTTTCTTTTTGACTAACCTCTTGTAGCAACCGACCCGTGAAGAATATTTCGCTCCGGAGGTCCCTGTTTTGAGTAGTAAATACTATACATGAGGCCTTTTATCCCACTGATCCGTACATACTAAGTAGTCTCTATGACCTCTGATGGACTAGAGTTTGTGAAAAGAGAGAAGATGAATGCCTTAGACTAGAATGAGACAAGAAACGGCTGGGATGAAATGAATCCAAGGCCAACGGCAGTCAACTGTCATCTAGACTGATTTTGCGTCTTAACTCACACCAATCAAATGTAGGAGACCTGTAATATTGATCGTTGACGTCAAGATTTGCTATGTACAGTCTGGCGGGTATAGACGCGTCCCCTGTCCGACCAATCATAGAAAATTGGTCTTTCTCATCAAGTAGGCCATTACGATTCCTGATCCTTCATTATTTCCACCGTAATCAAAGTTTGTGAAGTCCACCACCAGCAGAACGTCCCAACTTGTAATGGCTAGCTGCGAATGTGTTGTTGGTAACCGAAGCAACTGTACTGATATCCAGAGCAAGAGCAAATGATGCGATCATACCCGCCAAGCGACCTTTAGATCCTGGCCCAGTGCATCCAAGGATCTCCAACGCTTCTCTCTGTGCGTGGTAGAGAGTACCACCACCAACGGTTCCAACCGGGAGACTTGGCAGATAGCTGGATACGCGTAAATCTTCGGTATCGCGGTCGAATTCCAGCGTCAAATGACTCCAGGCAGATTCTGCCACACTCGCTGCATCCTGTCCACAGGCGATGAACATTGCCGCGATGACGTTGGCCTGGTTGATACTATATCCCAGTTGTCCGTTTCGTGTGGCAGCCTCCTTGCTATTCAACGTGAGCTGATACAGATCCCAGCTAGAGCAGCCTAGGATACTCTGACAATCCTGTTTGGTGATCCTTCCCCACGCCATGACAGCGACACCACGAGAGTGTAAGATATTTCCCCATGCTAAGCTCTTTTCCGAAGCCAGCTGTCCTTCGATAGAGACCTTTTCAAGTTTCATCTTCTGAGCTGCACTAGACGCTGCGAAATGATCACACACTTTCTGCGTGGCGAATGTGACCATATTTTGACCTGCAGCGTCTCCGCAATAGTACTCGAATATAACGTGAACAGTGCTTCCCACGATATGGGGACTTGTTTTTAGAAGCCGGGCATATTTGCTGGTAGACTGTGCAACATCTTGGAATTCGGAAAAAAGCCCGGGTATCGCATCGTGGAAGGATGTGGCGTCCTCAACACTAGTGAACCAAAAAACGGGGGCCCTCGTCATGGTGTCACGAAGGAGTTTGAATTGAATTCCACCACTCGATGTGAACAACTTACTCCCACGTGAGCAACTTGCTACTAATGTGGCTTCACAGGTTGCTAACGGAGCGTGAAACACACCATCTGTACCATCACTGCCTCTGATCTTCAATGGCCCAGCGAGACCAACTGGGACTTTAACCGAGCCAATGCAGTTTTCAATTTTCGCATTTTGGATAGCATCTTTATCATCATTGATATACTTCAGCTTAGCAGTGATGTTGCTAGGCGAGTCCATGTTGAGGGCGGGGGGCGTAGACGGAATGTATTCCTTCTCTCTCTTTCTTGCTTAAAGGGAAGATTTGGTAGGGGTTAGAGATTCTAGCGTGGATGATAAGGACAATTTATTTAATTCCTCAACAATAAGGACAGAAATATGTAGACGATGGAATTCGTCCCTACGTCACAATAGAAACTCAAATCAAACAGATGGGGATAAGTGGGCACTGGACATGGACCTAGTTAATCAATGAAGGACAGATGTGGGGAGAGAAAACTCTGCACAGCCCGGCTGAGTGTAGATTGAATTTGGATGAGACAAGTTTCTGTATTCAAATTGCCAACTGTTCGACAATATACGGATGTATAGGTAGGTGTACTTGACCACCATGAATATCGACAGTAGATGCTTAAATTCTGAACGCTGTGGAACGATCTATCTGGCGTGCATAGTAACAATCGAACGTAAGCGTTCCTGTGACATAGATCAATTCTCTACTATGGGAAGCGGGATTGGGAAAGTTCAGTGCATATTTTGCCCAGGTGAGATATGCAGTATGGATACTAGGGAAGGGATTGAATGCTCTACTGCATCTACTTTCATCGGTCTACGTACCTGCTAAGGCTAAACTCTAATCCATAAAGATTACGCTAGATACATAATAACCGAGCAAGGTGTGGACTCCTAGGCCTCATTTTCATACATTGAGACTGTGCTGTGTAATCGAATATTGAATCCCGATATCGATCCAATGACCGTTTCAAAAACGTCGAATTCTAAAAGCCCATTTCCATAGATTCACACCTGGTTTACACTTAGCTCTATGTCTCGAATGACCGGACAAAACCTGCCCGCTGACAAGGTGGCTTCGTACATCAAAATCTCTTTTTGTAAACTGAGAGCGGACCATGTGACATCAGGGTGGAGATCGACAAAGCCACAACTATCCCAGTAGAGTTTCCACAAAGCCATCAAGGTTTCACGATCGGCAAGAACTCACACCGACATCTTTGATTCAAATGTTGCAGGGCGATGGCGACAGTGCGTACGTATTTGCAACCCGACGTTGATATTGGCTGCGGCGTTATCTGCGTGTGACCCTTAAACTACTTAAACATAAGCATTGATTAGCTCGGTTTGACCTTTCCATCATCACGATCATCATATGTATTGGTGCTTTTGCAACTACAGATCGAACTACTTACGGAGTACGGATAGTTAACCCACGATCAAAAATTTACAAACGTACGATCTTTTATCCACATCTTTGCCGTACGCCTAAGACGGAAAGGATTCACCGATACTGGGTTCGCGGGAAATCGTGATTCTACAGGCCCACCGCGGGTCATTACCTAATATCTTTCACTTGCTGTTTGGATCTTAGTTGAACTGGTAAATATCATGAGTAATTTAACGTATTACATATCTCGTGCTCAAGCCTGATATGGATTGTATATAAGTATATATTACTTAGAGTGGTTTCCTAACCTTTGAAACCAATACATGTACATCTTGGCGACGCGGGAGTCATGGTTACGTGCCTCACCCGCAGCCTCTCCGCTAGTTAGTTACTAAGTTATTGATGGCGGGATAGGACCTCATATCGGGCATACACCTGTACAGTTCATCGTGACCAGAAACTTTCTCAACGTGACTTGAAAAGCTTTGGCGGATTTCAGGTCATGGTGAACTTCACCGCACGTTGAGAAAGTTTCTGGTCACGCTGAAATATAACCCGAATATTATCAAGTTATATATTTCCCGGCTTCAAGTTTGAACAGTTTCATCTGAAACTAAGCTAGAGTCACGTTCCTGTTTCAAGTATCGGTCAGAGTCAGAGTTATGTTGTGTTTTGTGATGTTTTTGGACAAGCGTCTCTTTATCCTGCGGGTCCAGGGCTGTTACCCACAATCTTTCATATCCCATGGTAGACCGTGTCCTGCGGTGCTCGCCAAGTCATGGCTTCTCCGCATGGGTTCTCTGGGTTTAACGAAATGGATATTCCAGAGTCATTCAAATGGCTATGCAATTAGTTAATCAGTTACACTCGTGGTGCCCTCGTGGGCTATGTGAATTATCCGATGATGGTTTGGAAATATAGCACTTGCCACTTGGTCTATTTACACATTGGCATTGGCCACCATTAAATCACGTAGAGGCTTACATAGATGCCAACAGCGTGTACCGTGCTTGTGAAACAGTGACTGTCGCGTTAGTCTTTCACAACAAACTCGCGACAGCTCTCGTAGATTTGCTCGTTCCCGCTGGAGCACCAATTCCGCTGAATCTCACAGTTCCCAGTCTCACTACAACCTGACAAAGTACGTGAAGTTCGACGGTTCAAGAACCCAGGGATAAAGTGGTGTTGAGATGGAATAACGGCAGCCAGATTCATACGAACCCGAAAGGGGGAATGAACCCAATGGAAATGGGAGATGACATATAGAGGGAAGGGAAAGGAGTTGCAGGCGATATTTATGCGGTTTTTCAGCGATCTCGCTCTATGTATCCATGGATAACTAGCTGTCTTGTAGGTAGGATTATTCTTTTTCAATCGATCGCTCATTGACAACCCTTCCGTCGTTTTATCGCTTATCTTCTCGCCTCCTCATACTCGGTCATACTCGGTCACAAAACCATGAGGCGGTCCTCATCCCTTTCTCAACCGCGCAACGCACTCTTGGGTACGCTTTATTTCAGGGGAAATAAACATGCCCGAGTTGGGCCATCCCATTTTCACACGATAGAGAAGAAAATCTAAAGTTCATTGATGAGGCCTCCAGATTCAAAACAGATCAGACATTCCCTAAATACATACACCTTGCTAACAGTTCATGTCTTCGCCAGCCTACAGGTCACGATAAGCGCGCCCGAATCCCTCTTCGGAATGTGTCACAAAATCCTTCAGACGGCACCAGCTGGTTGCTCCTGCTGCTGAATTTCAACCAAATTTCCATCTGGATCAGCAACCATGAGGAGCAGCTGTATCCCAATAACACCCTGTGCCTCCATGAGGGCTTTTTTGGCAGCAATATGAGCACCTGCATACTCACCGAGGCCGAACGCATTGGGAATAAGTCCAGTAAAATCCTGGATTGGCTCCCCATACCGCTTGAGTATCTCAATCCCGTGGTTCTCCAGATAGTCCTGTGTCTCCTGGATATCCGGGACGATCAACCCGACATGTCCAAAGGTATTGGTTCGTTTGGTAGAAGCCACCAGGCTATCGTCAGTTACGTTGAACTGGACAAGCTCGAGGAGGCCCGCAAGGTTGTTCTTCTCGCGATACATCTCTGTACCGGTTTGGAAGCCGGTTCCGTTTCGTCCCCCTTGGGCGTGGCCCATATATGTGACACTATACTCGGGAGTGACATGGACCTCGAACATGAGACGCATGCCGAGGACGTTGCCGTAGAAGTGCTTCATAACTTCGAGATTTGTGGTGAGCAGGCCAAAGTGGTTGATGAAGTAGCCCGAGGTCTCCGCCGGAGCAGGTCCATCGTCGCCTATGATGAAGATATCGCTGGTGCTGTTATCCGATGGTGTGCAGGCTGTTGTCCACCCAATGACCACTGAGAGAACAAAGATCAGTCTTGTTGCGAGCATTTTGTGGAGGGCTGTTAGAAGATGGATCGCGTCAGAATGAAAGAATTGGGTCGATATGTTGATGAAATGGGTACCCTCGCGACTTCACAGTGGCTTTAATACCTGTTCTAAACCCGAGTTTGCATTTCAAATGCTGCCTGAAAGTTTCCTGCAAAGCTAAAAAAGGTAACTTGCTTGAGCTTGGGTCTAAGCCAATCAGTGCAAGATATCGCATCAGCACCAACTCCAATCTCTCTACTCCTACCAATGACTTCGTTCGTGCTTTTCAGAGCAGAGTCAGTGCATTTAAAAGGAGACCCGATTAGGGTGATTCGGCGCGACCTACATATGGTCTAAGCTCCTTCGCCCCCAACTATATGTTTTCAAAGACCCTTCCGGCTTGGCGAGGACTCTCCCCGCTACAATCCATATGCCGCCCCCATGTCGCCTCATAAAGCTTCATAGGGAAGCGGTCTGGACCAATGACCGAATCATATAAGAGGAATAGTGGCCAGATTCAGCCATAAATAGAGTTGTTTCAATAGCTAAAATGCACTCATATAGACCTGATTGGATCGTATAATCGTGATCGTGTTCAATTCCCGGGGGCCGAAACCCTGGTACTCTGTCAGTCGATTGGAGGCTTCGGCTTCCACGTGGGGGGCCTGGGTAGCCTCATAGTACTAGACCTGTGCACAACCCATCTGACGCATGGGTTCCCATGGGAATTCCCACTTATGTAATTCCCATGGGAGTGGGGCAATGGGAAATGGGAGTAACATCACGCCCATGGGAATCCCATGGGAATACGCTAGCTATATAGGGTTAGTATTCGTTTTACATAGTATGAGGCTCATACTATGTAAAACGAATCTACGCCGCTCTATTTCTCCAAGCTATCACTTGGCTGAACCCACTTCCCTTGTAATTCAACTCCTATTCTTTCAATACCAGAAACACTTGGCAGTCACATGGTGTAAGACCAACGCACATCTCCTGACATGATCGATAATGTACCCCCAACTCTTACCCCCGCCTCAAGTGAGCAAAGGCACTGAAGAAGAGACAATTTGCGACCCATACAGGTTCATGCTGAGCACTTCCGTCACTCTACATACTCACCGTCGTCAAGAATAACTTTAGTGGCCAATAAAAACCAGCAGGAAAAGAGCACGTACAAACGTCAATTCGCTACCAGCCCACCAGGTTGCCGATGGTTGGCGTCCCGGGGCGTTCGAAAGGGTGCCACACATGCAGGCGGCGCAAGAAGGGTGTAAGTTTTTCTTTCCCTATGAGCACCCCAAAACACCTGATAGGCTGCATCGGAAGGGAATAATAACTGCCAGGGGTACATAGTGTGATCTACAACAACCATCATGTGGCCCGTGCAAAAAGGCCTGCATTCCTTGCGAAGGCTATCCCAGAAGCTTAACCTTCTACCACTATCATGGGCACGACAAAAAGTCAAAAACCTCATTGTCTCTTGAGACTCGTGAAATTGAGACCAACAATCCCAAGCCAATAACATCTGCTGAATTGGTCGCGTTCGTCGACTTCTCTCGCACCGCAAATGAGTCTGGTCTCGAGGGACTCTTTTGGGAATCTTATATGCCAAACAGCCAGTTCTTTGCCTTGTTCAACGAGACCCAGCGAGCTTTGGGTGGGTCAATCAGTGTAATTCGGACCCTTTTACCAGGTACAAGTTTGCTACGTCCTGCCATCGGTGCCTTAGCACTTAGGACTGCTGCGAACAAAGATGACGCCCCACACTGGATGAAACAACAGGGAATAAAGCTGCATATTCATGGGCTGCAACACATGAGGAGAGCGTTAAGTCAATCGAAAAAGAATACTCTTGAATTTCTTTGCGCTGCACGAATATTCGGTTTTTACGAGGTACGTGCTTTTGAAGCTTTGTCAATTGAGGACGGGCACATCTTGTTTAGAGATTGAGCGCTGACTGATCTGGTTGATTCAGGCTTTGTACGGAAGTGACTCGACAAACCAACAAGCTCAATACCGTAGCTGGAGCTCTCACAACTCTGGTGACCTCGCTCTTACGATTTCCCATCCACCATCATTCTTTGCTACTGGCCCAGCCCATAGGCTATTTGTTGATGGGCGACTCCACCTTGTACGGAATACACGATCCGACGTTTGAGACCACTACCCCATGGCTGATCTATGAACAGGCGCAATGTGCGATAGGAACGCGAAAGGGGCTTGTCTTGAGTGAGCCAGAATGGCTGACTGATCCTTGGACACACCACCCAAAGACACGAAAAGACATGTTGGTCGACATTCTTTTAGAGATCCCCTCGTTGTACGAGAATGTGGACAACATGAATTTGCTACCAGATGGGAAGATCAAATCCAGCCACCGTCACAACATCCAGAAAATGAATTATGTTATCATGACGCGACTGGAAAATTGGAATACAAGATATGCAGCCACGCTGCCTACAACGTATTCCGGGCCACACTGGCAGACTTTAAGCAGTGTAGAGACCAATTCCATTGCGGACGCACATGTCATGGCAATATACTGGGCATCAAGCATCCACGCTTATCACATTTACCGCACGGTTTCTGACGGGGAATGCGATTTTATCGGACTTGATCCGGACGATTGCTGTCGCAGTATCATACGCTGTGTTCCTCTATTTCTGCATCCGTCCACTGGAATCTTTCGTCAACATCTTATTCCCTTTCCATTGATGACGGCAGATCGACATCTCAATTCCGTTCAATCAACAAAGTTACAAGCGGAGCGTGATTATCTCCAAGCGCTACGAGAATCACCCAAGTTTGCAGCGATGCACCAGTTTATCTCCAGCATGCAGTCACAAATTGTGACATTCTGATATTTTCATGCTATATTATTCTTTCTACATGAGTTATAAGCGTAGAATCTTGTCAGATACTTTCCTTACCTTTGCATGTCTACATTGCGCCTAGCCTCTAAGATCATGGAAACCCTTGGAATTAAAACAGTGACTGACCTGTACCAGGAACAGTCAAAATTCATTGCTCTCTGGAGCTGCTCTAGTAAGCATCTAAGAAAACTTGGAAGAGCGCAGACACCAGGTCTGTTAGGTATTACTCCAAGTTTGTAATATATAGCCTGATGTCAACCCATATCAATCTTTAGGGATTAACAAATTTGAAAAAGATTTGTCAAGGGCCAGGGACGACGACTTCCGTATTATCAGCGCACCTGAAATTTATTTTCCGTCGAAGATTAATGAACAGCCATGTCCATCGGGCTCCCATACATGTTAGGGCAGATGTTGCAGTAGATCATGAGATCGTTGTCTGGGACGGGAACTCGGAAAACGAGCAATACCCTTCATACCGCTTCTTTGAACTTCTGGTTCTCATAAACACTCATTCAAGGATGAGAAGCCCTCCTGCACGCAGCACGCGGAGCTGAGTCTGCTATATCTTTGCGTATAATGCAAGGTGATAGTCAAGTAGCACATCCTGGAGCACGTCGCCGAAGTAGAGTATGAGCCATCATACACTGAACTCGGTCGGCTATGCAAAATTTTGGGGGAAATATCCATTATACAATGTAGCTCGCATAGACTGTCGTAATCATGCGTCTTTTCTTATATTGGCTGCCTCTTCTTCAGCGAAGATCAAGAACATGAAGTGATACAGGCATGTAGGTCAGAATCCATTGGCACACAGCCAGCCATTATATGAAGTTGCAGGCATCTGTAAGGAGGTCCACTTTTTACATGGGCAGTACTTTTGTAATACTAGCCTAGACGAAAGAGATATGCTGTCATACCTATGCCGTGTACTGGAGTGGTGTGTATCCTCCGTATGAGTAGGTACTGCCTTGTTTTTGAGCCGGAAACAGGAGATGCATTTAGAATATTTTTTGGCTCTGACAGGTGACCGCGATAGCAAAGAGATTCCAGTTGCTAGCACTGAATGGCAAGACATTCCGGAAAACATTGAGAATCCTACAAAGGATGATTTCCGTATCTCTCCTTTCGAGAGTGAGGAGATGTCTAAAGCGGACATGGCTGCAGATTTCAAGTGGCAGGCTTCATTGTCGCATGGAGCAGCCAAGGTTGCATTTGCTCTACCTCAAATTGGCGCTAAGATCCAGCCTTTGGGGGGCGAGAAAGACATCACAATGGGTGGAGAGCAAGTTGATAAAGCGCTTGAAGCATACGCCTGGGTCTTGGAGCGCGGTGGTGAAAAGGCCGATATGGACTCGTCAAAGGCCGGTCGCAAGGCGGTGGCAATTCGGCAGCTACAGGAGCGACGACTTCAAGCCAACAACCTCGGATGGGAACTAATGCGGATTGATAAGGATATCACTGTATTGCGAGATCAGCTTGATACCTACCGTGCAGATATCGAGGCTCAGAACGCAGAGGTGGAAAGTGCCGAAGCCGAAAAAGAATGACTGCGAACCAAGTACGCTGGCCATGAGCTTTACATGCTATTGGATAATGCCATGGGTAAGATATTTCATCGAACCTACTCAATGGCTATGGAGTTCGCGAAAGTCGCAGAGCGTGCCCTCAAGTTTGATTTGGCACTCCGCTCGATGACCGCCGGTAGTTTCATTGACCCGCCTTCCATCCTGACCACAGATTACTGGGAGACTGCACAGGATGGCCAGTTAGTTGTCTGGCGAAGCATTGTGGCTAGATCTCAAGCAGATGGAAGTGGCCTACCGCGATAGCAGCCGCTACGATTATGACATAACCAAAGTAGTCTCTTTGCACGAGATCAATCCTCGAGCCCTACTGACTCTTCTTGAGGAGGGCGAAACTGACTTTGAGCTCCCCGAATTGTTGTTTGATATGGATTATTCAGGTCACTTTTGTCTCCGTAATGTGTCGGTTTGTGTTTCTCTGTCCAATGCCCCTACAACGCCGACAAACCTCGGCTGCACGTTGACCATGCAAGAACACAAGTACCGTATTTCACCTCTGTCAGAAAGCTATTCAAAACAGAGGGCAGGTGAATTCCGAACAAATCGGATCCCCATCACTTCTATTGCTATCACCAAAGACTTTTAAGACACAGGCGACTCAAGCCGGACCTTTGACGAGTATGCACCTTTCGAGGGCGCTGGTGCCGTCTCTTCTTGGAAAATCTCCTTCCCCACGAACCTTCGTCGCTTCAACTACGGCACCCTCACTGATGTTGTGCTATATGTTCATTACACGGCCTTCAGTAGCGGGGGTGATCTCGAGCAAAAAGCGTCCAACGCAGTCGCATCCTGGGCGAACGATAGACTAGATGACAGGAAATACCACGGAGATACCCCCAAGGTGATGGCCATTAGCCTGTCTGCGGACTATGCGGCCCAGTGGAAAGAACTTCCTAACTCTAAAGGCCAAATTGAGCTGCCAAGGATCAACGAAAAATTTCCTTTCTGGGCTCATAATGCAGAACCTACTGGGGCTACCTTATATATCACTGCTGGGGCAGAAAATCCTTCAACTATTGGTTCTTAGGGTGGAAAAGCATCTACATCGTCGAAGAGTGGCAGCACACTCGGTGAATACACATCCTATGACTTCCAAGAGCTTCCAAAATTCGCAGATTTCTGGACCATCGATCATCTGACACCGAAGGATGGGAAGCCATTCGGGCGCGCTTGGCTTCTATTGTCCTATTCAGCTCAATCCTAAGCCGTGGCGTCTGAGATTACGTTGCTCCAAAGAACGAAATTTGTGCTGTCTAGAACAATTTTTTCTTCTCATTTTCTTATAGAAGTCATCTTTTTGATTTTCACGCCGACAACAAAATGACAATGTCTATTATTGAATACCTGGTACCATCCTATCCTGCTCACCTTTTTTCATCTCTCGTGTCTAGCATAATGGAATTTCAATGCTAGTCGAGAACTTGAAATAGTAAAACAACATTCTGTATTTCAATTCTTATTGTAATCATGCTAGCGCTTCGTACAGTCTGGATAATTTGTGCTCGATTTATATACTTCCCTGTAGACTGGGAACCACACCGAATTTTATCTTCAGCGAATTCCTCGAACGTCTAGACCTAAGCGTTCAGATGCCAAGTCTATTTGCGTCAAAAAAATAACTTCCGATCACTCGCCTAGCTCAGCCCATACTACAATGAAACTGATTGAACTTGATTCTATTTTGCGACCTCGAGATAGCTCGTAGTGAGCGGAAGGTGGATGTCTAAAAGAAGATAGTGAGTGCAGATGTTCCTCAACGCTGGCGCTGATTTCAACGCCCAAAGTGGTGAATATGACAATGCCCTATAGACGGACAATGAAGATACGCCGATATAGTGTAGGTGTCCATTAATGTGGGCACCGATGATTTGTTCTTTTCTTCGGGCTTTCAGTTATAAGATATGATTGTTTTCAGATCAGTTTGATATATTTATAAAGTTCGCCGTTTCTGGCTTGCTAGAAAAGGAAAGATTGCTCTCACTCACAAGTACAGTACACAGATCTACGGTCTTTTATTATACAACCTAGTCCAGTTTTCAACTTTGCCTGTAGCTGTGATTGAGTCACTTGAATATCGTTTATCGTGAGAGTCGATGTAGTAGTTGATAATACAGAAGAAGTAGATTGGGAAGTAGTAGAGGCGGTGGGAGCAGTAGAAACGGGAAAGCCGCTTTCAGTCTTCCTCGAGTTATGAGTCGTCTTGACACTTCGTATCAACCCAGTACTTGTAGCTGGGGTCTGCAATACAGAGCTGGTTGAAGATGCAGACACGCCCTTCGAGCGTATTATTCGCGTTTCAGTAAAATGCGGTGTGCTCCTGAAATGGGTGACGGAGCTGTGCAGATATCCAGTTGAAGACTTGCTCTTCAAGACAGTGACTGATCGAGTCACGGTGCTTGTCATCGTCGTACGGCAAATAATAAGCATCGATATTAGATATAACTTAAATTTATAAGGTAGATTGGAATTTAAAATTAGTTGTCCTTAGCCCTGGGTTGTACCTGGTATCGTCGTACATCTCGGCATAAGATCTTGGTTCCGACGGGTCTCGGGTTGCGTTGTGAACCGTGGATCCGATTTGTTTTGGTCGACACAAATAGGGGCTGCCGCGTTCCAGAGTCGCGTAGAGAATGAGAAATCTTTCGCTTAGATGGCCAGTATAGAAGATATCACTATCATTTCTTTGTACGATCTATGTCCGGGGACCGTTGAATTTGAGGGGGGAAAGTTTAATGATCGACATTTGCCCGTCGAGCAACTCCTTTTCCATACATGCGACCCTAAACAGTAGAGGAGGGAGGATTGATATATCTCTTTTTAATGACAATTTTTTTGCTTTTTTCTATTATAATATTGCTTTTAATTGCAGATCAATCAGTAAAGACCCCAATCCTTCCAGCCTTTTCCCCCGGATCCCTCGAGTTCGCCCAGGGTCCATAATAAAGAAACGCGTGCATGGAGCACCGACGATCCTCCCCCCTCCACCGACACCGCTTTTACTTTTCCCGCTTTCTCTCCTTTTTCTTTCTTTACTACTCCGTACTCGACCACTCTATTGCCTCAATAACTTGCTTTGTGGGCCGTTTGTGTTTGTTCTGAGGTACCCCTCGGAACCCCCTTGGTGCTTGTCGCCCCTGAAGCTTTGCACCTTAAATTTGCGCACATCGCGTAAGTACAGACCCCTGTTTGTTTTGGATCCATACCTCCGAACTCGACAAAGTCCAATCAAGATCTCGGATACTACAATGCGTTACCTGTATCTTACTGGAAGGAAAACCAATAATCTGGATTCCTTCTTATTCCTCCACCCTCGATCATGCGGTGGCCCAGAGTTGAAGTTTATGGCTTGCATGAGCTACCTGCATGAGCTACCTGCATGAGCTACCCGCATTGTAGACCCCTCCTTTTAAAGAGGAGAGATTCAAGAGATGCATTGGTGTTAAAGATAGCTATCTGCTTGGTCTGTGTTTTATGTCCTTCATTTGCTAATCAATTGGTCCTTTGTGGCTTCTAGGCCCCCTATTCTGTACATCGAACCTTTTTCCTTTTAGCTCGTTCGCTCCTTGACCAGAATCTCCGTTACCTCGCGCATTGATCAATTTACACTGAGAACATGGCGTCTACCGAGGAACCCGTGCTTCCACCCTCGGATGTCGATGTTGAGAATGCGCCTCCAGCTACCCCCGTAGACTCGGTCCTGCTCTCCGGAGGCGAAGAGACCACCAAGTCTAGCCCCGAGGCATCTAAAGAGAACGTTCCAGCATCTCCCGCAAAGACTGCCACCGGTGCACCAGCAGCTTCGAAGCGTCCAGTCGCAGGCACTACAACTACCAAGCGGCCGACTACCGCCTCGAGCGCGTCAAAGCCTGGGGTTTCGTCGACTACTCGAACCAGCACGCTGAGCAAGCCTCCTACCCGGCCTACGACTACTACTACGGCCACCCGGAAGCCTCTGAGCACCTCGACCACTTCATCCCATCGTTCTCGTGCGTCGATTAGCAGCTCTGCGGATGAGAAGCCTCGGTCAATCGCAAGCTCGGGGGATGAGAAGCGCGGCATCTCGACCACTGCCAAGCGCATGTCCATGGCCGGCACTACCTCAACCCGCGCGCCATTGAAGTCTACATCTACTCTTGACCGCAGATCCAGTGTCGCTGGATCGGCTTTGGATAGAAAACCCGCTACTTCTTCTACTGCCACATCACGCGCTGCTCCTTCCACAAGCCGACCAGTTGGTAAACTTACCTCTGCCACTACTCCAAGCGCTCGACCAACTTCCAGTTCGGCCACTCGTCCTTCGGTAACTCGCCCGGCCACATCGACTACTACCGCGCGCTCAACTGCCTCCTCTGCGACAGATCCAAAGAGGCGACTGAGCACCGTTCCTGGCGCAACCTCTAGAACTGCTGCTGCAGAGTCCGAGAAGCTGCAAGCTTTGCAAGCGAAGCTTTCGGAAAGTGAGGAAGCCGTGGCCAGCCTGAAGGCCGAGCTTGAGACAACAAACGAGAAGCTGAGCCAACTCTCCCTTGCTAGTGAAGAGTCCGCCAAGGATGGTGATGCCACTGAGGCTGTCCGAGCAGAGCACACCGCTGAGCTGGAGAAGCTGACTTCATCCCATGCAGAGGAGCTTCACTCTTTGCAGACTCGCCTTGAAGAGGCGGAAGTGCAACGTAAAGATTTGGCTGAGAAGTCTGAGAAGGAGCTTGAGGAAGCTAAGCAGTCTGCTACTTCCCAAGGCGACGATGATGCAGTTGCTGCTCTAGATGAACTCAAGGAAACCCACCAAGCCCAGCTTGAGATTCTTGAGAAAGAGCTGGCCGAGTACAAGTCTTCTGCCACTGGCTTCGAAGAACAAATCGAGAATTTGAAGAAGGAATTCGAATCTCAAAAGACGGAATTGGCCGAAGATAAAGCTGTAGCCGTGGACAGTTTGATGCGAGAATTGAAGGGTCGCGATCAAGTCCTTGATACCGTGAAGGCAGAGCTCAACAAGATTGGCGTTGCCAAGGATGAAGAGATTCAGGCGGAGAAGGATGCTGCAGCGGAGTCTGCTGCGGCTCTTCAAGAGCAGATTGCTTCTCTGGAAGCAAAGATCGCTGATTCTGAGTCTGCTACCAACCAATCATCAGAGGAAACCACTGCAGCTCTCGCTCTGAAGGAGCAGGAGGTTGCTGATCTCAAGAACGACCTTGAAAAGCTTCAAGAAGACCTGAAGAATGCACAGACTTCATCCGGAGATGAACTAAGCACCAAGATCAAGGAATTAGAGACCTCCCACGAAGCCGCAATTGCCAATCTGAAGGCTAAGCATGATCTGGCTTTGAGCTCTCTGACGGCATCCCATGCCGAGGAGCTCTCTGTCGCTACAGCCGCTGCAGAGTCCACCGGCACTGAGCATTCCCAGCAGTTGCAAGAGCTTCGTGATGCACTTGAGGCTGCCAAGACGGCTTCCCAAGGCGAGAACGAAAACGCTATGTCAGAACTTAAGACTGCCCATGAGCTTGAGATTAAGTCTCTGCAAGCAAAGCTTGAGGATTCGGAGAAGGCTCTTGCTGAATCTCGTCACGCTTTAGAAGAAGGACATGCTTCTGCACAGGAATCCGCTCTTCAAGAAATTGAAGCTCTTCGCGAGAAGGTTGGAGCTCTCGAGACTCAGGTCTCTAATGGCGCAGGCAAAATCAATGATCTTCACCAGGAGGTTCAAAGCAAGCAGACTGAAGCCGAGGAGCTTTACCGTAGCCTGAAGAACCTTGAAGGAGAGTCCAAATCTAAGGATGTTGAGAAGGACAGCAAGCTGAAATCCCTGCAAGATCAGGCTGCCGAGGCTACTCGTCTTCTCAAGGAGCATACCTCCAAGAGCGCCGGAATCACAGAGCAGCATGCTAAGGAGCTCGAGGGTCTCAAGGTCGAGCACGCCGCTGAGTTAGAACGGGTTACAAAGGAAGTTTACGGCTCCCACTCTGATGAGCTTGAGGGTCTTAAGGCTAAGCACGCCGCTGAGCTAGAACGGGTTACAAAGGAAGCCGCCGGTTCCCACTCTGATGATCTGGATCAGCTTCAACAGAAGCACGATGAGCTCTTTACTAAGAACCGAGAGCTGGAAACAAACCACACCTCCCACACATCCCGAATTGAGACACTCGAGGCGGAATTAAAATCAATTGCAGAGCGTCACCTTGGCGATATTGCAACTCACACCGAATCTCATGAGTCTCAGATTGTCGAACTGCAGAAGCAGCTCCAGGAATCCCAGTTCAAGTCCCAAGGTGAGCTTGAGTCTTTGCAGGCCTCTGCTACCGCCCACAGCGAATCACACGCGAAGGAAATTGCAGAGCTCCAGCAAGGCTTTGAAGAGACCGCGGCAAAGCTACAGGCTGAAATTGAGGCTGCCAAGAATTCAAGGGCTTCCGACGCTGATGCTGAGCACGGCCGGGCTATTGAGGAACTCCTTACAGTTCAGGAAGCTAAACTGGCAAACTTAAAAGATGAGCTTGAGAAGTCTAGCCAGGCTAAGCTGGATGGTCTGCAGAAAGCTCACGATGCTGCATTGGCTAATGCCAACGAGCAACTTTCTCAGGCCAAGGCTGCTGCACAGGATACCTCTGTTCTTGATGGTTTGAAATCCACAGTGGCACAGCTTGAGCAGAAGCTCTCTGAAACAGAGAAGTCTCACATCACTTTCCAAGAAACTGCCGCCAACGCTTCTCGCGACATCCAAGAGCGACACACCGCTGAGATCACTAAGATCCAAACTCAGCACTCTGAGCTCGCTTCCAAGCACGACGCCGCCCTTGCTCAAGTCGGCGACTTGCAAAAGTCTCTCGCCACCTCCAGCAGCAAGAGCTCTGAACTTGAGTCTATCCTGAAGCAGCTTTCTCAATCCCAGGAGGAGGTCACATCCTTAAAGGCCAAGCACACTGCAACCAGCCAAGAACTAGAGGAGAGTCGGGCTCTGAACAAAACCATCGAAGAACAACTTGCAGCCGGTGAACAGAACATGTCCGCCCAGATCGACAAGAACATGGCTCTAATCGAGAAACTCGGTGACATTGACTCCGTCATGTCCGCCAGCCGACGAAGGATCCGCGAGCTCGAGGCAGAGCTAGTTAGCTTGAAGGAAGAAAGTGGCAAGGGTCCATCAGCGGGCTTGGGAGCAAGCCGATGGGCAGCGGATGAGGACAACGAAAACGCTGAAGATGGAGGTCCAGCCGCAGAAGGTGAGGACCTTGGTTCATCCATCGAGGGAACGGTGGGAGATCCCCGTTTAAAATCTTCCTACTCCTCAGATTTGCCCGTTTTCCATCCATTTACATGAGAATTTGAGTCACACAATTTTTACTTTATACAAGTATACTAATCATGAACCTTCCGTAGATGGCAAGCATTCAGGAACAGCTTAAGCACATTCGATCGGCGAATGATGCATGGTATGAGGATCATCACAGGTCAGTCCCACACATACATATGCCCACTCCCACTCCCCATTCCAATGACCCCCTTACTTCCATGTCTTACATATGCTTATGTTGGTTTTCCTCCCGTATAGGCTTATCGGAGAATTCGCCCAACTCTCCCGCCAACCTACACCTGTTCCTCCCAGCCACACCTCAACCCCTGGTCCCCAGATTGCAGTGTCAGCTCCCGATTCGGTGATCAATCATGAGAGATCTTAGGGTTCCATTGAATTTTTCCGGTGCCTCTAGCAGGTATTTCTCTTTACTTTGGATACCCGTTTTGTGAAGCACGATTTCCCTTTGTTATCCTGTTTCGTTCGTTTCGCCTTCCTCACGTTGCTTCGGTGTATGTGATAGGATCCAGGATACCCTGTTTTGATTTCTAGGGACGATTGTCCTTGGTTTTCTTGTTCAATAGTTATAGCTTAATGTTAGCACCAGTTTCCTCGTTTGGGGGCCTGGTTGCTTTGTGTATAATCAGATGTGAATACGCTTTTTCAAAAAATCCGTCAAAGCCCTTTTTATTACCAAGTAGGAAACCCTTCGAACCTTCAAGTTGCAGACTACTCAGTGTCCTTTTTTCCACGGGTCATTCATCAAACTCTAATACGTCTACAGTCATTGAAATCATGCAATGCACCAAGAATAGAAATGAAGACGGATCCTGGTATGTATGTATATATTAGGACCTCGGGATATCACATATAAGTACAAATACATCTCTATCCAGAAATGCCATCACGGCCCAATCCCCACCGACCAACCTCACGCATGGCCTCATCACCACCCTCCACAAGACGACCATCCTTATTAGAAGGATTAGCATCACCCAACACACCAGCGACACACTCCCAACCATTCCGCCCACCACCCCAACGAAGAACCTCATTCTTATACCGCTCACCAGCAGCACGATCCACAGACGCCCTACCAGACTGGAAAACATCCTGCCAGAGCTTATTGGCAATAGCCCGATCAAAAATATAGCTATAGTAAGTACCACCATAGCCATACAAGTGACCGAAGAAGCCTTGCCAGGAGGTCTGGGGTCGAACATCATCTGGATCAGGGAGGGAGGAGTGCTGTGAGAAAACCTGATGGTAGATAGAGGTTGTGTTGATGCCGTTTATGGCCTCCTTGCTTGGGATAGAGTGGTATGCTTGATCGACTAGTGCCATGAGGATTTGGGATTCGTTCTCGACGGCTCCGTAGATGGAGCCATGAGCTGTACGGTCCATTTCCATGCTTCGGATCATGCTTTCGGAGAGCGGCTCGCCTGTCTTCCAGTGTCGGGCGTAGAGGGCAAGGACTTCAGGCGCCGTAGCGAAACTCTCCATTAGAACGGATGGAAGCTCGGCAAAGTCAGTTGCGCATCGTGTACCGGAGATAGATTGGAGAGGCGTCTGTCCTAGGATGGAGTGGACGGCATGGCCCATTTCGTGAAATAGAGTGCGAACACTCTGCTCACTTAGAAGCGTTGGGCGGCCTGAGCCATTTGTGACTGGTTCTTGGAAGTCGCAAACAAGAGCGATAGTGGGAAGTTGGCGGAGAGTCTTTGTTTGCGGGTCGATGGCTGTCGCCATGCCATCGTTCGGGTGTGCAGATTCACCCATCGAGGCACACTCTGCGATCTCTTCGGGTAGGATTTCGCGCGAGCAACGCAGTGTGAAATGAGCTGGGTTGGGGTATTTAGTGGGTCTGCTAAATAGATCGCAGTATACGACGGCGATATGTCTATCTGCCTCATCTAACACATCTAGGCGGCGAACATCTGGATGCCAGGTTTCGCCTCGGGCTGTTTCTTGGGGAACAAGACGAACGCCATAGAGACGATCGAAAAGTCGTGAGAGGCCTTGCATAACTGTGCCCAGTGAAAAGAACTCGGGGACGATGCTCAGCTCTCGAGATCGGCGGGATTGAGAATATTCCAGTACGCGCTTATGGACATAGTAGGCATGATCCCATGGCTGAAGAGAGCCGCCCTTCATCTGCTGTAGTTGAGATAGCTCCTCTTGCACGGGGCCTTGGTTATTAGCGATGAGGGAGGTCAAAAAGTTCGACACTGCCTCGGGCGTCTTCGCCATTTTATCGCTGAGGGTCATGTCGGCAAAGCTGTTGAATCCTGAAATCTGCGCCAGTTCTGCTCGCTTCATGAGAAGTTTCTCCAGGCGATGAATTTGACGCCCGCTGGAGGTTCGAGTAGCAAGATATACTTGTTTTCTGACCGATTCATCCCGTACTGATCGTAAAACGAGTCGAGGAATGATTCCCATCGTGGGAACTGGAGCTTTATTATTCCATCTCTTTATTTGCTGCACCACAATAGGATCTAATCCTTGCAGACTGTTTGCATTGAACGTGACTTGAGCCCGAGCCGGTTCGGCGCCATTGAAGAAATTAGAGCCAACTTGGCTGATATCGTTCGAAAGGTTCACAAATCGTTGTCTCTCGCTTGGGGGCATGTGTATAGCAGAATTTGTAAAATCTTTCATCAAAATCTGTGCGACAATCGTCTCCGCCTCTGACCAATGTGATGTCACTTCTGGATTTGACAGGGCCTTGCAAAGCTGCTCATGAAGCCCTGTGGTGGTATTTAACACGTTCATATATTCAAACATCAGAGCGTACGCCTGCGTCGCTGCTTCTTGGATGCGCGGATCATGGTGAATAGTTCGAATGAAGTCTGAAAGGTCGATGACTCGACAAAGGAGATCGCTAAGTCGATCTAAATTCCTTGCCAAAGACCTGTACTCGTCTACAGTCTGGGCTCCCAAGACCTTGGCGACGATTGTCTGACACTTCTGTAGCGAAACATGTGCAAAGTCCCTGAATCCATCCGGAGTTGTCAAGTATTGATTCTGAACCAATCCAGCCTGCTTTGGAACCGTCGCGCTTTGCTGCTGCGAGAAATCCTTCCAGAAGTTCTGTGAGTCAAAGACGCGGCGTAAGGTCTCGTCATCGGCATCCTTGGTCGGATTGTTATTATCCGCGGGTATATAGCTGGTATAGGATCGGGGGGCTTGTGATGCGGCGCTTTCAAAGGTTCGAGTCTGGCGCTGTACGAGACATCGGCGGCATGTCCACGATCGGCGCCCAAGAGGGCGAAGCATGATATGGATTGATTCGATACTAGGCGAGGAAATATTATAGCGATGGACTTAGAAAAAGAGGTTCAAAAAGGACCACAATCATCAATGAACCGGGGAAATAAAAGCTGGGGTAGAGAGCGACAGCTACAAGGGAAACCACGGGCAATGACGGAGTTTTCTTGATGTTCCGCCGAGCCGAAGAATTCCCGTTCTTGGCTGCGAACCCGACTTTGCTTCAACCTCCCTCTCCTACGCCCTCCTTCCCCCACACAACCCCAGCATGTCGTTCCGGCCGATCTTGCAACAGGTATGTTTCCTTTGATGCGACTGTATCTGATTGCGTCGCGAAAATTGACCCAATGGCGGGACTAACTCGTGTCAAGCGGGCTGTGGCTCCGATCGCAGCCACCCTCCTCGCAGGAGGCATTGCTCTGTACCCTAAACAGATGGCCTTCGCTGAAGAGCCTCGAGAGGTTAGAATTGAACTCTTTGGATCGAACTATGTATAAAGAAGATAGACTTGTCTGACACACGACTGCCTGCCCAAAACAGAGGAAACCCATCTACGACGACTTCCCATCTGACATCCCCGAAACCACCAAAGCCATCGAGGCCGCGCCTGCTGCACCTGCACCTGCATCAGAGCCCGAGGCACCAAAGACCATCTCTCTGCCGTTGTTGCAAACATCTCCCTCCTCGCCAACTCCGACAGACATCCTGACTTCTCAGGTCCGACAAGCCCGGCTCTTCCTCTACTCGAACTCTCTTTGCGTGGAGAACAGCTTCAACGACTTCTTGTCCCGAGCTCTGCACATCGAGAATGCCTTCACCAACACCGTTGCCTCTCTCGCCCCTTCTCCCGACTCCGGTGAGCACTTGACTCCCGGTGGTGTCTACGTCGTCGTGGCCGCCATGGCCGGCTCCATTGTGTCACGCAACCGCGGCATTTTCCTCCGCACTCTCTCCCCTCTTGCTTTCGGTACTGTGGCTGCTTATACCCTCCTGCCTGTTACTATGAAGAATGTCGGTGAACTGGCCTGGAAGTACGAGAAGAGATTCCCCGCCGTGGCGGATCAACACATTGCTATTCGGGAGCGCGCAGAGCACATTTGGTATACTGGCCTCGCACACAGCGGTATGGCCCGCGGCATGATGGAGGACAAGATTGGTGAGACTCGTAAGAAGTTGGAACAGCTGGTGAGCAAGGGTCACTAGATCTTACTTTGTTTGATATCACATCTCATTCATTTTAAGTGGGTCGAGTGTGTTCTTTATTTTTTTATCTTGTTGCATATGTACGTTTAGAAGAACTCGTTAGATCCGATGATTTAATCCGGACCCGTTCCCTTTGTTTGGAAAAGAGGTGTATGCAATGATACTTTCAAAGATTTCTTGTTCAACTCTTGTAGTTGATGTAACCTGGTATAATTGCTAAAAATTCACGATTTCAAATTTCGACACCCCACACCGCGTGGTTTGATCATGCTTCTTCTGTTGGCCCTGGTGATCCTTCCACAAGCTCCTCGGTTGCAGGGGCCGGAGTCCCTGTATTAGTAGGTGAGACCCCAGTCTTAGGTGGTGGGGGAAGAGGAGTGCCTTTCCGTGAAGGCGCAAAATCCTGCTCTCTACTCTTCAGTTCGCCTTCTGCAAAATAGTCGTCAAATGCCGTATTCGGTGAAGCAGCATGGCGAGCCTTGCCTCGTCGGCTTGAAGGTGATCTACCCTCTGGGGAGGCCACTTTAGTCTGAGACGCCAGAGGCGGGATGGATGCCATATTCGCCGGTACCAGGTATTGTCCTGCGGCTTCAGCGCCTACCCCAGAGGCAGCAGGGTCAGGCATTTGTGAGGCTGTCCCATCCTCGCGTGTTTCAAAAACGACCTCTCCGGGCCCCTCTACCTCCTCTCCTAGTCCGACGGGGAGTCGATGCAAAGCACCGAATCCCAGCTCAGCGCCAACAGCACCTTCGCCACCCCATCCACGGGTTGGGACAAGCTCTACCTCGCGGACAACATCAAATTCACTATTATAAACCCAGAGGATTAGGGTGCGGTCGAGATGGTCCTCCACTAACTCTCCGAGTGCAGATTCTCCGCGTAGCGTCCCACTTGGGGTCCCAATGATGTAGTCTGAATGTGGGAGAAGTCCCGCGCGGAAAGCAGGACTTAAGGATGATGGGATCGAAAGCACATGCCATATATTTTGGGTTGAGTTCAGAGGCGCGAGTTGTAATGCAAGACCGAGGGAGGGGTTTGAAGGTGGAACTGGCACGCTAAAGCTATGTACTCGTTGACCCTAGACGAAAGAATCATGTAATTAGTCTAAGTGGATTTCATGGGGGTATAACATGGACATATGAATACCTTGGCACTCCAAACTTCCAGTGTCACGCTTCCTCCTGCGCAATTGCGAACTTCCGTCGCAAAGAGGTTGGGGTCTGGGTCTTCCTGCAGGCGCGAATTTAGCAAAAAGATCACATGTGGATATCACACGTAGAGAGTACGTACAATTGTATGACCATTTATACCCACGATGAAATCAAACCAAGGCTCTAAAGGTAGCTCTGAGTCTTTGTTGCGGAGAACCTGAAATCCGAAGGCATTATCACTTGGTCCATTGCGGGATTGTTGAACAGGCTCCCCATCAAGCCGACCAATAAAACGATTGAGTGCACCGAACATCGCTGCAGAGGCTCTAATTCAAGAAATGAATGAATGCGTAACTTAAATGTTATGGAACTAGTTTAGGTGAAGCTCTGGCGGGCATGAGCTGGCCCGATGCCAATGCAAACGCGCCAAACACACGCCCGCTTTTATCATTATCGTGCTTTATCGCAGATTCGATTTGTATCGCTGCTCTTAGTACATTTTCGCCATGGAGGACTCTGAGGAAGCTCCCCCCGAGGTGCATCACTACAATGAAATTCATGAGGTCCCCTGGGACATACAGAAGTAGGTTCCCATCATCTTCCAACTCCAAAGACCCATACTAACTCCTTTAGTTACTGGTCACAACGTTATCGCATCTTCTCCAAGTATGACGAAGGCATCTGGCTAACAGATGATGCGTGGTTTGGAGTGACACCGGAGCCTGTCGCGAAGTAAGTGATGACAAATATTTCTGGCTATATGTCCAGGAGTACTCAGCTGATCTGGAACACAGTAAAATAGCTGCAGATCTCGCCGAGGCAGCTCCTGATGGACGAAGTATCTTGATCGATGCTTTTGCAGGCGCAGGGGGCAACACTATTGCATTTGCGAAGACAGGAAAATGGAGACGAGTTTACGCCATCGAAAAAAACCCGGCTGTCCTTCAATGCGCAAAGCATAATGCAAAGATCTACGGGGTGGCCGACAAAATCAGTTGGTTTGAGGGCAACTGCTTTGACATCCTTAAGAACCAACTCAAAGACCTCGCGCCATACAGTATAGTATTTGCAAGCCCACCATGGGGAGGTATGTTTCACCAGTTCTTCTTCAATACTTAGCCACTAATCTTGATCCAACAGGCCCTGGCTACCGCTCAGATGATGTCTTTAGTCTACGCACTATGGAACCATATTCCCTTGAGACTCTGTTCAAGGAATACTCTGCATTCACAAAACATATGGCTCTTTATTTGCCTCGCACATCAGACGTGCAGCAAATCGCCAAATATGTTCCTGACGGGCAGCAAGCAACGGTGATGCACTACTGTATGGAGGGGCACAGTAAGGCGCTGTGTATTTTCTATGGGGACTTCAATGTATCATGACTTGCCTGGCGATTGGTTTGTTTTCCAAATATTTTAGCCTTCTTAATTCTAGCTTCGAGGGATACCACCATTAAATCGTTTTGTTTTTGTTTTGTTTTTTCAACCACTACCTCGCCTAACTTGGTGTTATATTCCCAATTTATCCATTAGTCGCCTTGGTCAAAATTCTGCATGAAGCCATAAGCAGTCTTGAGCTCTATAAGCATATCATATCTGGGATTTTGAACAGTCTTCGTACAGTGCTATGTAAATCTATTAAATTTTCCATACTATACTCAAACTCTCCTGCTCACGGCAGCTCCAGAACATATATGGCCGAGTAATGCGATGATATGTATATGTAGTGATCGAGAATCATGACCTTTAATTCAAATAGAGCATAAAGAGCTCAACTTTGTTCAAAAACAGCAATAAACATAACAACTTTGCTCATGCTTGTCTATATAGATGATGTCAGGTGAAGGTACCCGCTAGAGCAGATGTGGATCCGGAAGAAGCTGGTGTCTTAGCCAATAGAGTCAAAGCACCTAAACTTCTCGTTCTGCCTCCGCCCTTCACTTTAACTTGCCCAGGTTGCGCTCTCGTAAACTTCCTGTCTGCACTCCCCGCCCGTTCCTTCGCCTCTTGTCTCTCTTTTTTATACGTGAACGCGCTTTATCATTCTTGCATGGATGTCAAAGGACTATCCCTGATGTTTTATCTCTAAACCCATCTCTTTGCTGGCCTAAGCCCGCATCTTTCGACAACGCAGCCTTTCGTTCTCTCACTCGATCCCTCACTCGATCCCAAGTTCCTCTTCGAAATCTACCGAAAATGCCACACTCTACCGGCAAGCCCGATACCGAAGTTCGGGATGACGCCGAATTTGAGAATGTTATGCGATCGCTGAACGGCTACGAGGGTGGACCGGAGTTTGATTTCCTGTCGCGAGATCTGGATGTTGGCGAAAAGGCGGACGATGCAGTTGATTATGAAGATTTTGACGATGATGAACTTCCCGAGGAAGAAGAGGCACCTGCGCAGACGCGTCTTCCGCCTCCCGATGGCGCTCCGGATCTATTCGAAGACCAGACAGTCGATGATTCTGCTCTGTTTGGTGCAGACGACGACGATATCTTTGGAGGCGCAGAGGATGGAGGCCAGGGTCAAGAAGATAACCTTGACGATCTGTTTGGCGAAGGTCCTGCGTCACCCCCACCTGCTGGCCAGGTTGATCATACTGAGGACCTCTTCGAAGATGAAGAAGAGCCAGCTTCGCAACCCCAGCCGGTTGATTTGCCGCCTATTCCACCAGCACCCGAACCGCAGTCTCAGGCGATGTCAGTTGACGGAGATGAGTTTGCCGATGATGACAGCGTTATCTCCGAGGAGATGGACGCATCGACTATGCGCGCCTGGAAGCTTCAACAAGCGTTGTTTGCGATGTCAGGAACCGGTCCGGACCATCCGCCAGCACCTCCAGAGAACAGCGAAGAGCTTCTCCATTCCCTCTTTCCTAGTTTTGATCGCAATACCCTTCCTCGGTGGCTCGAACTTATTCCTCACAAGAAAGCATATTTCCGTGGAAAGCAACCCCTCAAGGTTCCTAAACCCGTGCTTCCGACCAAGGTCAACATCGAGTTGGCACCTGATCAGGAGCGTGTATTCCGAACCGGTCAGCCCAACAAGCGTGGGCTTGACCATGAGTCCTTGGGAATAGTTCTCATCACTGAATCCGCCCAAGAAGAAGAAGAAGAAGAAGATAACAAGGAGGATATTGAAATGGGCGAGGCTGATGCCGATGAGATTCTACCTGGGGGCTTCACAATCCACGATCTTCGAATCATATGCGCAGACTGGGAGGTTAAGGATGAACCCTTGTCCATTACCAAGCCTGAGAAGCCGAAAGCTCAACCGGAGGCTGATTTGTTCGATGAAGATGATTGGCTAATGGATGCCGACCACCCTTCCAAGAAACGTAAAACGGGGCCAACTCCTGTGGATGTCATCGCATTGGCTCATCTTGATATCCCGATGCTTGACGATCCCGAGCAAGCCACCGAACGAATTGCTAAACGGGTCACTATTGACATGAACGATCCCAACATTTTGGTCGAGGAGCGACAGCCAGACTCCGTTATGAACAAGCCAAAACACAACATTCCGCGCACAAGAGATGAAATGGATTCCAACCTCAACCGCCGCCTTACTCAGCGGTACAACATTTCCAATGACCAAGCCTACGATATGCTCAAACAGAACCATCAAAACAAGATTCGAAGTACTCTTGGAAACGTCACTCTCGAGCATGCCATGCCAGCGTTACGACTACAGTGGCCCTACTACAAGACAGAATTGGGCAAATCCGAGGCTAGATCGTTTCATCGGCCTGCTATGGTCTTCCGCAATGGCCAAACATCCTGGTTCCGGAATCCCCACCATTTCAAACGCAAACAACAAAAGGCAAAGGATGCCAAGACTCTTTATGGATCTACGAGCTCCTTATCTTTAGCAGATAATTCAAATGTCTTGCTAGTAGAATATTCCGAAGAAGCCCCCATGTCGCTCTCCAACTTTGGCATGTGCAACCGCTTCATCAACTATTACCGAAGAAAGCACCAGGATGACAACAGTCGTCCTAAGGCGGAAATTGGGGAAACTGCTGTTCTACTTCCTCAGGATAAGAGTCCTTTCTCCATTTTCGGCCATGTCGACCCTGGAGAGATTGTCCCTGCAATTTCAAACTCGATGTACCGAGCACCACTTTATCCACACACAGCAAAACCCACGGATTTTCTTGTGGTCCGGAGCACCACTCAAGGCAAGGGCAGCAGTTATTATATGCGTAACATCGAGAACTTTTTCGTTGCTGGTCAACAATTCCCCTCCGTCGATATCCCTGGCCCACACTCACGTAAGGTCACTACTGTTGCGAAGAATCGTATGAAAATGCTTGTCTACCGTTTGCTTAAAAAGAGTGCGGACGAGCGGTTGGCCATTAGCGATGTGACAGCTCACATCCCTGGCACAACTGATATGCAAAATCGGCAGAAGGTCAAAGATTTTCTACAGCACGACAAAGACACCAAATATTGGAAACCATTGGATCCAGTTCTCCCGGACCAAGATACCATTAGAGCATGGGTCCATCCTGAAGATGTATGTCTACTTGAGTCCATGCAGGTTGGCCAGCAGCACCTTAACGACACCGGTTTCGGCGGCGAGACCGAAAAGGCAAATGAAAATGATGAAGATGAAGAGTCAGAGAGCTTCGAGCAACAAATGGCTCCTTGGAAAGCCAGTCGCAACTTCCTTTTAGCCTCACAAGGCAAAGCGATGCTCACACTCCATGGTGAAGGTGACCCTACCGGCCGTGGTGAGGGTTTCAGTTTCATAAAGACATCCATGAAGGGCGGTTTCAAAGCTCTTGGCGAGAGTGTGGAAGATAAATTAGACGCACAGCGACTTAAAGAGCTTGGTGGCCACAGCTACAACGTTGCGCTTCAACAAAAATCATACGAAACCTCAATCCGCCGAATTTGGGATGCCCAGAAAAACAGTCTTTCTTCGACTATCGAACACTCTGACCAGGAAAGTGATGTTGATCAAGGCGAAGAGGAAGAATTCAATAAGCCCACGCCTCGTTCCGAGGCACCAACTCCGGCACCGATGCGAAGAGACGACGACACAATGAGTCAATTCAGCAAAATGAGTTTCTCAGACCAGAAGGGCAAAGTATTACGCATTACCCGTCAATTCAAGGCCTCCAATGGTGAAATCGTTCAGAAGGAGCAGCTTGTCTCGGACCCCCGCGTTATCCGACACTACATTCAACACCGTCACCGCAATGAAGCCCAAAACACAAAATTGGACTCTCTTCAACCAACCGGTGATCCTGAGGTTGATGCTCGAAACCGCAAACTTATTGAGAATGAACTTAGCCGTCTTAACCGCAATAAGGAGCGCCGCTTCGCCCGTGAGAAACAAAAAGGAATCTCTCGTGCAGGTGACTCTCCTGCTGATGGAAAGCCTACTGGAACCCAGCGCAAGTGTGCAAACTGTGGTCAGGTTGGACACATTAAGACGAATAAGAAGCTCTGTCCTTTGCTGAATGGTACTATGAAGCCTGAAGACCGCGTCACCGACTCTGCTTTCTCGATGAGTGCGCCTGTTCTCTAAAGTGGTTTATCATGCCATTTTTTTCTCTCAAAATGTTTCATTTTATTCCCCATGCCCATTTCATTCCAAAGTGATATACCCCGTCCATACTTGTGTGTGGCCGACTCTACTTGCTCATATTTTGTTCTTGAATTCTTGTCTTTGATTTGCTCTTATTTTACAGCCTGCATGTCATCCTTGAAAGCATACTTGCAATTTGAGAACATTGAGCCTCTCATGAACCCATGTGTGTGCTTGCCTATGTGTCCAGAACTACAATGTTTAACTATTCATGTACATAATACTTTGATTCGATTTCAAGGACACCATATTCAGATACAAATGAAGTTTCTGTCTACATCTACATCACTTTGCTACCTATAATCTCTAATGTAGTTATTCGCGTATCTGTTTTTTTGTGGAGGGGGGGATCTTTCTCGCGGTTTGTCTATTGGCAGTCGGGGCAGGCCGGAGGTATAATGTAATACATGATAATGTGCTAATGATAAGCAAATAAAGAAGGAAAGCATCCAAACAAACTCGATGCAGGCCATCAGAACCTTTCAAGGAAAGAGTTCTCTGAAATAAGGGTATACATGAATAGTTGGATTGTGGTAGTCAAGTCCTCCCCAGACAACAATATCACCGTGCAGAATCCCCAACACTCCTTCTTTATGGGGCATACAGCTCCGATAAATGACCTCTTGTGAATGGCTGACGTCCCCTGTCGGTACCCAGGGCCATGGCTGGCCCTTTCGGTCGACGGTATGTATAGCCCAAAAAAGCATCTCTCTTGCGAATCTCCAAGGCAGTTCTACCAAGTTTCTTGTCCCGGAGTATCTTATCCCGGGGTCGCTTTTTTTCTTTCCTCTTCTCCGCTTCTTGAAGCTTCTGGGGATCTGTTTTAGTGGTCGCTACGGGACCTGTAGCTTGTGGTTGTTGGTCCGGGTGAATAGAATTGTTCCGAGGGTCTATATTTCCATCTGCAGCAGGGTTGAGTAGTACATCATCATCAGCATCCTCGGACCCTTCCAAGTCGCTTGTATGCAATGCCTCCTCAATATTACCAACAGATTTCCAATCATCAAAGTACCTAGTATCTTCCCAATTTTTCACTCTGGGGATCAGCGGCGGCTGCGTCAGATGAAGCTCATTCCATCGGGTACCTCTGAAAAATGGGTGAGCTTTTATATCGGCGGCGTCATTGGGATACACAAAGTAACTGTTACTAATCTTCTGATATCGCGGATCCATAGAATAGAGGAATTGTGCTGTGACGGGCCGACCAGCGAGCATGTCGTTAGCTTGATATTTCTGAGAACAGAGTCGGTATTGCCTTTCTTGGAGGATTTGGCCTATGAGATTGATGGCATCCTGTGAAACTAGTTTGTCTGATGGCTTTTCTCTGGGGAATTGCAGACTTCGTCCATGTTGCTAGTCTTAGGCTTAGTATTGACGATTAGGTGAAAAGGAATGTTCTAGGAACCACACTAACCAGAATCTTGATCTTCGTATCATGACGGTTTTCACAGGCAAAGGGAGTGAACCCATATAGACACTATCGAATCAAATGTAAGTAGGAATGTTTTCCAAGATATGGAATTGGCACAAATTTACTTGCCTCGTAAAGAATTACCCCCAAGCTCCACCAATCGCACCGTCCATCATACATCTCACCTCGAATGACTTCGGGGGCCATATACTGGCTAGTTCCAACCACACTTTTGGCGAAACGTCGCCTCTCTTTCTTGTTGCGCCAGTCTAGAAGATCAGCGGATTGAACATGGTATTTCGAGTAATCAAGCAAGCCCTGCGAGTCGGGAGCAACTTTAGACTCTTTCAGTGCATCCGCTGAATTCTTCTGGTCCTCAGCATCACCCGTGACTGTGATACCGAGCTTCCCAAGCAGAGAGTACCGGTGGCTGTTATAGTATGACTGGTCATGCGACCAGTGACCATTGAAGGCCAAACCAAAGTCGGAAATCTTCAAGTGACCGGATGCAGATATGAGGAAGTTGTCGGGCTTGACATCACGATGAATCCAGCATAGTCGATGAGCCTCCTCGATGCACATGATCATTTCGGCGATGTAGAACCTCGTCCAGTCCTCGCGTAAAGTATCTTTTCGAATCAACAACCCAAGAAAGTCTCCGCCGACCATGTAGTCCATGGCGAGATACAAGCAATTTGCATCTTGAAAACTAGTGACCAATGGAACTACCCAGCGTGATTTCTCGGACACAACTAGAAAGTCTCTTTCAGCGCGGATATGACCTTCTTGGGCATTGCGAATCATATCCGACTTTCTAATGACCTTCATTGCATAGACCTCCTTATTCTCTCCGGTCATGAATTTTCGGCGGCTGTGTTTTGTTCCATCAACGGCTGATCTCAGCATCTCAAAGGGGCTGCCTCGGACACCAGCATTGCCACCTTCCTGAGAGGGAGAATCTTCCTCTTGAGGCAGCCTGCTACCAAAAGCTCTTTCCCGTACCAGCCGAACGATGCCAAAACTTCCTTTTCCAAGAACTTTGATGACTTCATATCCAGCCATAGAAACCGTACTTTCATTTCGAATACAACGCATACTCGTCTTAAGTACTCGGCATTGACGTAGGTATTCATTTTCCTGTAGCAGCCAATTGCACCTTGCATTAAGCTGTTCCTCAGGTGCAAGCCGAAATGAGTACATATGCTGCTCGAGCTCATGCTGGCGCTGTGTCCGTGGATCGGAGTTTTGGAAAATGGAGTTGAAATACAGCTCTAGGAATACCTTTGCGACGGAGGCTGATTCAACGGTCACAATTGATGGCGTAATCATGGGTATCTTGGTTCGTGTGGTTCCTTGGGACACAACAACGTCGGAGGTACGATCTAATATCACTGACCAGTCTCCCACCAGAGAATTACATTTCTCAATAGAAGGAGACGGCTCTGCGGATGTGGCAGGGGTTGAAGGAGATGAGTGAGTAAATGGGGATTCATTGCTGCTGGGCGTTGTCGAGGGATCTGAGCTGTCGTTTGCGCCGTCTCCCTGCTTACTCTGTAGCGGTGTCACTGGAGATCCTGGAAAGGGAATGCGAGGTCTTGACCGAAGGTGCGTCCTGTGAATCACAGTGGGGTTTCCAAATGTCATAGACAGTCGTTGAGATAGGCGACGGACTATCTCTGGGCTTTGGAATGTTTGATGGTCGCTAGAGGTGATACCGGCGTCATTATCAACCTCTACATTTCTTTGAACGCCGGCTTCTCCCTCAGCCCTGCCTTCATCATCTGGTGAGGAATTTCTTGCTGGGAGTGGCGCATTGAGACTCTCATGTGCTAGGTTGTTCAAGTCTGTAGTTGGCGATTCACTTTCTGGGGACTGTCCCCCATCCATATAAATAGGGCTGTTTTGGTCCGTAGTGGGGGTGGAAGGAGCTTGGCGCTGCTCTGCATTGTGATTGTCTTCGCATGATCCAAATTCTACGCTCGTCTTGTTACCTGGTATATCTGTCAGCGGACCTGGAAATGTTGATCAGGTCATATTCAGACTTACTGTTCGAGGAACTTCCCAATCCAAGTAAAAGTAATAACTTTGAGCCACTTCGAGTCAATCGAATTTTTAGTCGTTCTTTTCCAGGCTCGGAATTGATGATAGGTTCTGAAGTAGGGCTTGTGTCGGATATTGGTGAATCAGATGGAGAATGATCACACTTATTGCTGAAGGTGGTTTTTGTAGGAATCCAAAGGCCGAATACGCTCTTTCGGGTCCTCAGTTTCTTTCCATAAGGGACTGTCATATTGTTGACTGGAATCAAGCGGAATGAAGGAATGAATGTTGGTGTAGTAAGAAAATCCAAAAGTTGTCGGTCATGGGAGTAACTATATAGAAAGTTGGCAATGCTGGGCACTGTGAGCACTGCAGCTCTGTGCAACTGGGTGATGTTGAATTGTTGAAATTAACACCGAAGTTGGTGATAACAATATTGTTATGGATCAGCGGAGAGCAAGCAAGTGGCAAGAGCAATCGATGCGCTGCATGCACGTCACGACCTCGGACTAGTGTTACTATTAGGACCCGAGGAAACCACGGGACCGACAACATGACTACTTTCAAGATTCAACATTGAAAGCTCTGAGGTGAATCTACATCTTATCTATGTGTTTAGATCAGATACTACGAAGGAAATAGGCCTGGGGGCATTGAATAGTCATAAAAAGACAAGATATATTTCAAATACAAAATGCGCAGGTACACATTATAGGTCACAAAACCAGCACTTTTTTCCATGCAAGCTGAGAAATTCCTCAAAACAACCTCGTGGTTTCGGTCAATCGAGGATAAAAACACAAACGCAAGCCGGATATCACAGGGAATCATGCAATCAACCAGATCGAGCCATAGAAACTCCCATGCGAATCAAACAATATCAAAGACGAGACGAGACATTTACTTGATCTCCAGCAACTTAACATCGAAGATCAACTTGGAGTTAGCAGGAATGCCGGGAAGGGCCTTCTTGCCGTAAGCGAGCTGAGGAGGAATAGTGATACGGCGCTCACCGCCAGGGGTCATGCCAGCAACACCGATATCCCAGCCCTTGATGACCTCACCTCGGCCGAGCTTGAAGGTGAAAGGCTTGCCCTTCTTGTTGGAATCAAAGACCTTGCCGTTCTCAAGCTTGCCAATGTAGCGCATGGCGATGGTGTTGCCGCTCTTGGCAGCAACACCCTTTCCGAGCTTCTTGTCATCAAGCAGAACGCCACGGACCTCCTTGACGCCGAGAGTACCGGTAGGCTTGTCACCGGAGGGAGTAGGACCTTGCTCAAGGTTCTTAGCGAACTGAACCTTCTTGTCGGCCTTGGGCTCCTTCTTGGCCTCGGCCTCCTTCTTAGCCTCAACGGCAGCGGCGTCACCGTTGTTCTTCTTGAGCTTCTTCTGCTGGGCCTTGGTGAGAGCGGGCTCCTCCTTGGCGGCCTTGCCCTTGGCACCCTTGGCCATCAGATCGTCGAGGGTCACCTCATCGGACTCAGCGGCACGCTTGTTCTTTCCCTTTCCCTTGGCCTCAACCAGCTTGGGGGCGGGCTCATCCTCACTGTCGACCTCAGTGACACGGGGGTCTTCCAGATCGTCCAGGTCATCACTGTCCTCGCCATCCATGGCCAGGAGCTCCTCCATGTCGAGCTCTTCCTCATCAGGGGACAGGTCGTAGTCCTCCTCATCATCCTCATCCTCGTCAAAGTCGGGGCGGCCCTCGTCGATACCAATGACGTAGTTACCAGTGAGGTAAATGGTGTGATTGCCGGTGGCCTTGAAGAAGACACGCTCACCCTCACACACAGTGATATCAAGAGCCTGCTGGCAGTTCTGTAAATTTATTAGCGACTGTCTTTTTTATATTGAAGACATGAAACAGTGTGATATCTTACGTTCTCGGGGCTCAGAGTACAGATAACGTTCTCGTCGAGGTCAAGACCCTCGTCGGAGCCGTCATCGGACTCCTCGTCGTCATCAGTGGCGGGGTTCTTGCCCTTGATGAGTCTAGAGATAGCAGCCTTCAGATCAAAACCACCCTCCTCATCCTCAGAGTCGTCCTCATCCATGGCATCCTCAAGCTCCTTCTGGGCGGCAGCCTGCTTCAGTTTGCGGGCCTTCTCCTTGTCGCTGGGGCCACCGTTGACCTCCTCGTCATCGGAGTCTTCCTCGTCATCCTCCTCGTCGCTGTAGTCCTCATCATCCTCATCATCCTCGCCCATATCGAGACCGGGAGGAACGCGAACAATCTTCAAGGTAGCGCGCGAAGGCTTGCTGGAGCCACCATCTTCAAAATCAGGCTCCTCATCAGGGTCAATAGCAGCCATGCTGACACGGAACTGTACACCAGTTAGTTTCTTGTGTTGCGACTATCATCAACTTTGATACTGACAGAAGCGGCAGCATTGGGCACAGCGGGAACCATAGCTCCAGCAGGAACCTGGAGGGCGTAAACGGCGACAGGTTGGACGGCCGACATTTTGTGTTATTAATTGAAATGAAAAAATCAAACAAAACGAATAATAACGTAGGGGAATAAGGAGGAGAAAAAATGAACCACCAAGGAAAACACAAGAAGTGGATGGAGAAGAAGAAAATATGCGGACCCAAACGGCAGCAACAGAGATCGGCCGCAAGCTGCTTCTTCTCACTTTTTTTTTCTTTTTTTGCCCGGGTTTTTCAACCAATGATATCATGTTTCAGATCCACACCGCTCATCTAATTTGCCATCACTGACCGCTCGCCTCACCGCTCTCTGCTAGTCCGAATACTGCCATAAACGCGTGATTTGCCCGTGATTTGCCCGCGTCTTTCTCATGTCGACATGTCGACGCATCAAACCCTTGGAAGTTTGATATTTGCCGATATATAGAAGATTCGGCAGCCCGTCATGGGCTCTCGTCTTGATGCAAACTCTGACGCTATGCGCAAGCGTATTGAAACTCGCAAGTTCCCTTTCTAGATATCAGATATAATCTATAGTCTAATCAGGGCCTGATATAGATGACTTCCACGATGAAACAGGCGAGGAATATGAGGCTTCCAGCTTTGGTGGGTTTGGAGACTATATGCGACGTAAAAAGATGAAATTGCAAAACTTAGACGCGGAAATCCGAGCCACGTCCGGCGAATGTCCCCAGATCTTCCGTGGTATTGTTGCACATGTCAATGGTTATACTCAGCCATCGCTACAGGATCTCCACCGTCTAATCGTCAGTCACGGTGGAGGATTTCTTCAATATCTAGACGGCAAGACTGCAGCAACCCATATCATTGCAAGCGCTCTCACTCCCAAGAAATGTGAAGAGTTCCGGCGATACCGCATCGTGAAACCTGCATGGATCACAGAGAGTATCAAAGCCGGCCGGCTGCTACCGTGGAATGATTTCAGGGTTGTCGACGAAGGTCAATCCCAAAAGGTTTTGAAATTTGGTGGGGGTCGCATAACTAGCCAAACAAACACACCACGGTCAGGCTACAAGGACCAATCCAGCACAAGCTGGTATAACAACCAGCTCCAGGCAATGGGACCCATCGCTAGGGAGCGAGGGACTGAAGATCATGAGACCCCTTCAAAACCAGGCCCAGCGACGCCCACCTTACCACTTCAGTCTCCTCGGTCTCATAAGCGTTCTTCCAGTTCCTCCTCCATACCCAAGGAGACCAAGCCCAGTCCTTCTGCAACCCCTAGCAGCAGTCAGTCATATTACATGAAAACCCCTTCCAAGGTCACTGCATTTTCAAACGAAGATCTTGATCAATTGGAAAGTCCCCACAAGAACGAGTCGGGTCGAATTCAGGTCGACCCAGTCCTTAGCAATAGTACCCACAAACCTCTAAACCTATCAGGCTCTCAATTCATTCTACCTGCTGAGCCAGAGCAAAAAGCAGCTCCGTCTGTTCCTACGGATGATATTCGGAAAAAGCTTACGGCTCAGGGAAAGCTTGAAAACTTTCGGTCGGGCTCTCCATGCCCACCCCCGCGTCAAACGCAAGCACCTTACCAGGAATGGAAATCTGGAAGCTCGAGCCTGCCTCACCATCCTGAGCTAGATCCCGAAACATTGGCGGCACTGCCAGAGGACATCCGTAACGAGGTCTTGGCTCATTACAATAATATGCCCCGCGAATCTACTTCGGATACGCCGCCAGCCCCTCCTGCCCATTCATCGACATCAGCACGACCATCCCCTGCAGGGTCGGCCGGAATCAAAAGGCCTGCTTCACCGATAAGAAAACCAATACGACCGATCAAATCGGGAAAGGGATCTACTAGGACACTGATGCAATTGGGATTCGTTTCCCAACCTTCCGGTTCTTCAACGCCTACTATTAATTCCACATCCAAACAACAATCCTCTCCGACACCCGCTCCACCTGCACACTTGCCAGTATCTGTGCCGGCGGCGACTGAAAAGACAAGTCAACCCGGTACGGGTGATTCAGGGAAAGACACTCCCAGCAATAATTCAAATCCAACAAACAGAGCCAGTTTTACATCAAAGGCCCTATCGAATATAGATGACCTGCGTGATTCCATTTCTGCCTGGCATACTGCCTTCCTGGATGATGCACCATATAAAGACGATGTACAGGCGCTGTGCATATATCTTGGCCGAGTAACTACAGAAGAGAAAGATGTCGATAAGGCGGTCTCAGTGGTACGGTGGCTAATGTGGCTTGTGGATCAAAATGCACAGAAGCAGGGCGATCAAACAGAAGTTCAGCTGGAGAACGATGTTGTGACTTGGGCGCAGGCTATAGATATCATGCAGGAAAGTATACAATCAGCTTTGAAGGCGAGGGACCTGCCTGTGGTCAGCTTTGATTAACACATGTATATTAATATTATGATCACGATGCAATGAATAACAATGAATGATATGCCCTCATATCTGCCCATACTGCATATCCCTTTGTAACTTGAATGGATTTCGGGGCTACATTTAACCTCTGTTAGGGATACACTGGCACATGGATCCATCAGGTGCCACCCATGCAACTCTGCTATATCATAGACCCACGTGGCATAGTACATACAACTTGAACCCTGTGAAATTCTAACATTGCTTGGAAGCGAAAACATCTTGAATGCTGCAACGACATATCCTAACCTTGGAAGGTTTGCTGAGGTGAATTTTGTAGGTTTACTAATTCCAAAAAATAAAAATAAAATAAATAAAAAACTTGCAGAAAGAAAAAAAAAGTTTAAAATATATTATGAGGTACATATAGATCACGAATAGATACGCAGATACTAATCATGTAAAACCTTAGCTTCGCACAGTACAAAAAATAAATACTTAAGCTTTGAACGCTAATTAAGAAGCCGCTACATCACATCGCAAAGAGGAATACTTAATAGAGGTTGTTTGAACAGTTTAATTTGTGCGTTTGCAGTAAATAGACGTATGTGCAACAACAATAGCTGACGGCTGAGGCTTAAGATCCATGCTACTGAAGATGAATTTGGTTTGCAAAGCCAAAAATCCAGACACCATATATCAACTGGGCTTGTGGTTTAGTGGTATAATACTCCCTTAGCATGGGAGTGGTCCGGGGTTCGATTCCCCGCGAGTCCAATTTTTGCCAATTTGGCCTATTGATCCGCCACTTTCTTATTTTCGAGTCTGAGATACTAATGAATGAAGAGTCCAATAAAAACGATAGGGTTTAATTTTTACAATGTGATCGGTCTAGCTGCGATTGTTTAGATTGGTTGAAAGAATGGGTATAAACAATTATTATACATGAGAATGTAAACTGGTGTTTACAACAAAAGAGCCTCCAGTGCTCGCTTATTTTCACAGGAAATCCATCAGCAAAAGTACATGCCCCAAAAATTGATCTAGAAATTGAATCCAGATGGATCGCTGGGGAAATTTGAGAGAGCCTTACATGATATTAGCATATGATACAGAATGAGGGAAGCAGAACCGCGAATAAAGAACAAGACATACCCATGAGTCAAGTTGTGCCCACCAAAAAGACGCCTCGAGACTATCTATCAGCCCTGCGTCCTCTATAGGGTTAATCCCGAGTTCAGGTGGTTGCAGCATAGCAGGCATACTTGCAAAGTCAAGACTCTGTGCATCAAAATTGACTGGCTGACCAGTCCCATTGAGAGTTGTAGTCCCTGGATCAAGTAACCGAGGGCGCTCGGACTCAGAGCATGTCTGAGCAGGACTACACTGGTAATCCGAGCCGATCTGCCGATGAACCTCGCGTCTAAGTTCCTCAAGAATGATACTGTATCGTCGACTCGGGCAGTTTTTCCGCGTTGCCTCGGCAAGATGCTGCTGACATGTCTCAGCCAGGCCGAAGAGGTAGTGCATTTTATTCGTATCTGCAGGACTTCCGGCAGAAGGGCTCGGGGCTGCAGATTGGCGGTGTTGTTGAATTATATAGATGTAGACGACTAGGATGGCGCAGAAACATACGTAGTGCGTGAACCAGAAAGATTGGATGAATACTTTTTGTTGGGCTAGGCTGTCTATTAGAGTCATGGTGTCTTCAGCTGCTTGGATACATTTTTGGACGTATATGCTGATCATTGCTGTTGGGTCTCGTGGTCTGCGGCTGAGATCGGTGAAGTCGCTTAGTAGGAATGAACGGGTAACGTGGATCATGGCGTGAGAGTATGCTAGTTGTAGTACTTGACTTTGCCTACATAATGGTGGGATTAGGCTAGTTGGCCGAACACTGTTGAAAAGAGGCGGAACACTCTCTTTCCATGTTTCCAATTCTGATGTAAGACGGACAGCGGTGTCAAGTGGCGAGGTACGGGATAGCGGGTTGATGCTATAGAGCTGACGAGATATTTCCCCCAATATGCGGCCAAGTCTAATTAAAGTTCAGTCGATAGTACTTTGTACAAATGAAACAGGGAAGGGCCTCGAACCGGTAATGAAGAACAGATGCAATCATCATGCCATCTGTGGATCCGGTTCGCCGTGATTTGTCCTCTTCTAAAAGGTCTTCATCATTCATCTCATCGGGTAGTTCCTGATCAATATCTTCATCATGTAGTAGTCGAGGCCGTCCGAACATAATACTTAGGTATTTATCCAACGTATAAACACTCCAGAAAATACGTTTTCGTAGCTCTAGCTCGAGATACGAGCATCTGTTTTTTGATGACTTCGCGGGCCATTTTCGATGAAGCCCAAGGGCTGTCACGACCTGCAATGCAGTCCCAAATGAGTACCAGCACTCGTTGGCTCGAGAAGACGATAAAAGATATAGGCACTGAATTAGTCGAACTTGAATAGTTTCTAATCGCGGAGGGCCCGACTCCAGGGATGACAAGTATTTAGAAGCCGTAAACCAATGTTCACTTTTTGATATCAGCTGTGCCCTGTCTCTCAATAACGGAATAAAGTCCTACCTTTGGCTTTGGACATGTGTCCTATCACTATGTTCGGGATCTTCATGAAGTGTACTTACGGCAAAAAGCATGAGCACGATTGACGTGCGAGCCACCATATTTCCCGTAGGAAGATTAGTTGTAGAGATATTATTCTCATACATCTGTTTCACCCAGCTCTCTACGACACCGCGATGTAGAAATCGGTACGTAACCATAGAGAAGTCAAAGTAGATAGCGACGAATTCCATTGCCTTCTCCATCGACGGCAGAGCAAAGCCTGAATTTTCACGATATGCATACGGCTTATCACCGAACATGAACACAGCCGTATTCTTCGACGACTCATTTTGCAGTTCATCAGGAATGCGTGTTTCGTCATTATGCAACCGACTCCAAACACGATTGATGAATGATATTCCAGACGCAGGACCAATATAATTGCCCTCGAAATCCGTCGACCCTGGCTCTGGCGAATTACGCAAAGAAGCAGTGGGAGGCCGGCTCTCCGTATTTCTAAAGCCACCCATAGGTTCTTTCACAGATAGAATCCCCGTGCTGCCTCTGGAGCGGGAACTATTCGATGCCGGACCAGCACCCGAAACCTTACGCTGGCTCAGACTGTCCGGGGTCGTGGGAGATGCAGGTAATGGCAGAGGTGGCAGACCTCTCGAGTAAGCTGCATTATACTCGCATGGGAGTGATAAACGAGTACATCTAGTACAGGGAAGCGTGCCCGTGCATCTAGTCTTTTTAACTTTGCACGAGTCACAGGCCCGGGTGATCTTCTGACGGGTAGCAGCATTTTTACTAGGTGATGCGGGCGTAGGCTCTGCAAATGAAGATTTCCTTTTATGGCCAGCCGCACTACGTGCAAATCTGGTCACACCATGCACATCTTTGTCGTCGAACAATCCAGGCCCTGTCGACCCTTTCGTGGCTGTGCGGCGCACGCTAGTGGGAGTCATATCAGGATCGGCGTTGGGCTAGAACTACCAGACGGCACATGGGAGATAATACATTCCACGATGGATTTTTGCTGTTTCCGAGCGAGCGGTGTGTCTGTTGTGCACTGAGGTTTTCGGTTCAAGCGGGAAATCAAGAAGAGGGGAAGGAGAAGAATCCGGGGAGATGGAAGTGGAGCAACGTGGGAATCCCACGCGGTGTGCGGCGGGGCTCTCTTTCCACCGTTTTTATCGCCCCGAATTCTTCTCGAAAGGTTCCCGAGCATGATGTTCTTTCTTGTATCTTTTTTGAGAACTGGCACCTTGGTTTTTTTTTTTTGCGCTCCTCCCCTCTACAAACGCAAATCCAGCGCATATCCCACGAGAGTAGACTAGAACCCACTTATATTAGCGCCGGACTAAGGGCTGCACGTTCGGATAGTCACCTGAGAGAGTTCGACTCTGTTACTTAAGCGATGTGATAAATATGCCAGTGATTTATTTTAGGTATCAGTGCATGCGAATATCCAGAATTGACCATCCAGGATCGTCTGGGAGGGCAGGGATCCAGCATTCCAAGTGCTCAAGTTTTAGACTGTTCAGAACCTTGGAAGCAAATAGATTTCCAAAAACCTTGCCTTTTGTGGGAATCGGGATTTGAATAGTTGTATGTACGTCGAATTTCAAAAACCGGGCGACGACGCCAGTGATGGTTCGGGGTCATAACTCGTGACAAAAAGCAAAAGTACATACATGAATAGTTCCATCTCATCCCCAAAGTTCGCATTAAATACTACTAGGGTATTTCATGATCGCGAATGCAAACCCACACACATGGAGACCTCCCAAATTGAAAGCCCTCCAAGAATGAAAATCAACGTTGAAAATTCACCATATGCAGAACCATTGAGCAAATTATGGCGGTAAAGATCTCCTGTAGTGCCATTCCTAATGGATGCAAGTGGCGAATTTGCGCATGGAAGGTTTCATCGAGCCGACTTTAGTGGAAAGAAGTAGGTGGCAGACCCATGTCGGAAGCCAATCATCATGATCGCCCAAATAGTTTTCCCGATCCCTGCTCGGTGTGTCCATCGACTCCATAGCGGAAAACCCCGACAATTGACTCCATAGCTGAAACCCAATCCAAAAACAACCATGAATCGTACTGTGAAGCCGGCAGTTGAGGCCAATTTTATAGCGCCTGGTACAGAGACGTAATTTGACAACTAACAATGGTTGTCCGAAAGTGGTGGTGGTTGGGGCCAGTCATAGGTCGAGATAGCCAGATGCAGGAGAACGGAATGACGACTTGATGGAACTCGAAAGCAGTCACTTGGGCAACGCCGTGAAATTGGGCATGGCAGCTGCGTGTTGGATAAAAAAAAGTGCCACAAATTCTTCAAATGACATACCGGAGGAATGAAAAAGAACAAGGGATACATGGCTAGAGCTCAGTCTTGAAAAGAAATAAATATACAAGTGCTTAAAGAATATTGGTTTGTGAAATGTTCTGCTTCAGAAGTCAATGTAGTGTAGGTCGCCTTTTTGACAGATGAGTTATTCGGTGATGCTCAATATAGAGACTGCTGGCTCCAAGCGAGAGTATAAGAACGAATCAGAGACAACAGATCAAGGATCAAGTCCTCAGACAAGGTTCAAGCTTAAAAATAATAGGAAAACGTAAAATCAAAAGCTATCAAACAGCCATGATAGTAAAAAACCAACCATAGGCTCGTATTTCAAAGGTTGCTTTTTGAGGGCTGTGAGGTTTGCCACGCCATCATTGATCGTGTATACTGATGCTGACATGCGACATGGACGATTATAAAGAAAAATCCAGAGTCACTCTGGTAGTATGCAACATGACGCTCTTAGTACGATGCGGAGATATATCAATGAGGCTCAAAAAAGTTGCCCATATCATGATGCTCATTGAGAACCTGAGGGTTGAGCTGATGCGACGAGGGCGCGTTTTGGGGAAGGAGTTGTAGGACAGCAGCGCGAATTTCGTCTTGTGATGCCCCGGAACGAATGATTTCAATCATATGTTGAATGGCAGCACCGTCACTAAGGCGAAATACGTCCAACAGCTGATCAAAAAATAGTCGTAAATTGGCGAGCTCTTCCTGCGTCTTTTTCGCGGAAGCTTTGCGACGTCTGTCGGACAATTCGTCGAATATGCAATCGCGGCCGTGTGCCTGACATTCCGAACAAGGTACTCCACTACACTATTATGGGAGCGAAGAACGAACATCAGACACACGTAGTATGGAGGAAGTTGAGAAGGAGAAATGTTTGGGATAGCGGGAAAATTATGGATGAGAAGGGGGAAAGGGGGGGGGATATTAGGTGGTTATACCCTTGTTCTTCGTTTCTGGCACTCTTTACAGGCCGTCGAAGCTCTTTTCATTCGACCATCTTCTGGAGGCCCTCCTGGTGGTGGTAGATGCCCACCTCCCCCTCCACCGCCTGGAGGCATAGTTCGAGGGGCAATGGGCCTAAAGGGCCGGGCTACATCACCCATCGCGAACAGTGACTGTCGGGTAGAAGCAGAGGAAAAGGGGGAAAGAATAAAATAAATAAAGAAGAAGAAACGAAAAGAATAGAAGAAAAGAAAACAAAAGAGTAGTAGAAACCCGAGTAGAAGAAAAGAAGAGGAAGATTAAGCTCAAGAGAAGCCAAGTTGTGTCTATCAAAGTAAGCCACTATCGCAACATATTCAAGTCCACACGAATCATATCAACGACGGGTCGTCCGAAGATGATTCAAGGTGCTAATTCGTCAGGAGCTAGGATGGACTCCTCCTCATGTAATTTGTGTACGCCGAGAGAGCGGCGCACAGGTCCCGGGCTGAGCGGCCAAAGTAGAAGGTGGAAGAGGGGCGGGCAGATTGGGAAATGGGGGTAAAGAGAGGAAAGAGAGCGGGAGAGGGGTGGAATTCTGAGTGTAAAGTAGGGAGATGTGTGCGGAAAGGAAGACTAACAATGGAAGATCAAGCTGTGGGTGTGTGGCGGGAGTGGATCTTTCAACCAAGCTGACATTCCCAGGGCTCCAGGGCTAGTAATAGTGTTTCGGGGCGACGGGCGACCCAGAACCAACAAAAACTCATCTTAGCGTCGACCGTGCTGTCGGAAGACTAGTGTTCAGGAACAGCGATCTGCTGCTGGATAGCACCGAAGAGAAAATCCAAGCACTTGAAGCTGCTGTATGTAATCCTGGGGACTCCATTATGGGGCGCCACACGCACGGGTCATCGCTTCAATGAGCAATACCGCGTCATTGATGATTTTCCCATGCCAAAAAATGGATAATCAAAGCGGAGCTGGGAGAAGGTAAAGAAAAACAATCCAAAACAAACAATAACTAACATATTTAACATATTTAACAATAATACACACCGTAGTTATTGAGAAAATATTACCAACAATAATACATATATACAAACATACATACATACATACATACATACATACGTACGTACGTACGTATGTATGTATGTAAATGGAACTTGAAGTCTTCGTTCCCATGAGCGGCGCCTATCCGGGCTGTCTATACTACTTTGGTAGGCTTTCCCCGGAGCCCTGGAGCCTCTAGCAGTTCAGACCGGGGCCATTATCAATAAGAAGCCTAGGCGTGGGTGAGTAGCTCAGCATGTGGTGTTACGGTACTTCCCCTTCGACGGCTTGATCTGCCTTGGCCCTCGGACGCTTCCCGACTCCTTTTAGACTCCGTTTTTTAGTTAATGGACCGAGGGTGTGTCCAATCAGATAAAACGCGATTTTTCAATGGGGGGTCTTTTTCTTCTTATGGTTTCGCGATTTCTTTGTTTCTGCTTTCTCTGGATTTGCCCTAAAAGACGTGCAGCAAAGCGTAAAATAAAGAAAATGAAGATCGACTCGGGGCCATTAAGACTGACTCTTTATTGCTGAGATGGTCGACCAGTTAAAATGCGGAATATGTTTCCGGAGGGATTGAGAGGCTTTGTTTGGTTCATTCACTTTTAGCGTCCAGATTCTTCGAGCCAACCTCGGATCGGCATAGATGCGGGTTTTGCCACTGATCATTGGTTGATCAGAAAGTTGCTTCTCGCTCTCGTTCTAAGGTAGCCGCCCGTTTTCCCTTTAGAGCCATAGGTCAGTCTTCAGCCTTTGAAATCCATCTCTATACTCTCCATACTTAGTGGGGCCTTCCAACATCCAACAGGAGGCCGTGCGATCTGCATTCCATACCATTCCGCCTGCTTCAAGATCACTGCTATACTGCCCAAGGGGGCTAGCCATTTCCCTAGCACTGCTAGTGTCTCATGAAGCAAATCATCTGTAGTTTCCATGCGAGTCTGGCAGGAGCAACAAAGATGATCGTAACATGACGCTGGTATCTGAATAACTATTCCGGCCGTCCTTTTTTCTCAGGCATTGGTGCCACTGAGGGTCTGGCAACGTCAGGCGGCAGCCAGGCAGAAATTGTACTGTAACTGAGTAATCTCCACCGTAGGTCAAATTCAACCCCACTGTGGCTGTTCTGTATCGGCGACCACTCTCACGTCAATGGCTATGTATTGCCTTTCGGGCGCTTGATTAAGTTGCTAAAGGGCACGTTGGATTGTGGTACTTGGAGTCGAGTTCAATGGGGCTGAGTTTTTGGGGGGATCTGCGGGCCGTGGTTGGCCGGATGTATAGTCCGCACGAACCGGACGAATGGAACAACATGACAGCTTCAGGTGGGTCGGCGAGATTCGCCACCACTGTCGCAATAGGCGTTCCTGGTGATTGCACTAAGGGTTTGTACTCCGTCATGACAACACACAATCCCACATTCAAAAGATGCCCCCATAGAAACAACTTTACGGCTACATCATCGGTGGCTTGTACTAAACCGTTGGAAAGGCTAAATGTTTCAATGCATATAGCCTTGTAGATGAATGATATGCTCAACATGCCAACCATTACTCTTTCAATTCCCAAGGTTACTTATATCGCTAGGTATGCTATTACGCGATTCGTTTTACGAATACATAACTGTGACTAAAACAAACAAGGGACTAATGAATTAAAACGAGAAAATAGGAGATAGAAAATAGAAAATGGAAAATAGACTAATGACTATTATTCTATCCCTGTCCCTGTATATTAGAAGGAGGTTAAAATCAATTGACCCACGCTCCTTCTCTGACAACCTGGCAAATCTAATAACCATGGCATGAAACGCGACCCAAAAAAAAGACTAAGTAAGGTGGGTCACTATTAGGGCCCCCGATTGGGTTCGGAGACTAAACCCGCCTATTCTCTGAATACCAGTAGGTAAACCCCTTCACTCTCCCTCACCGCACCAACTCGCACTCATCAATGTAGTGTAGTATAACATGTGGCTCGTTAAAACTCTAATCACCAGGCAATTGCAGAAACCACTAGTCTGGCCGAGGTGTAGCGAGCCGGTGGGAACCTGCGTCATTCCACATTAACGCTGATCTTTAGGATACTTGTTCCGAGGCCATTGTTGATCTTAACTTGCCGAGCGGACCACTCAACGAAATGACTCGCTGCTTTCGAAGCGTTTTCTCCTCTGTATGAATGCAACCCGGCCCAATAACCGGGTCACCAAGCTACGCTAGATTCGGATCGGTCCTGCTGCAGCACCGGAGAGGCATAATTTCTGTTCATCTGACCCCATTTGTATAAATAAACTATTCCAAATCCCGATCGCCATAGACGCTTACCCTTTACTAATCAGCTATATTCAATGTTCAATGGAGGGGCACAATTGACAGATCACAAATTGAAAAATCGCAATGGATTTCACTAACTGATATCGTTACTCGCATTCATATACTACTTCAAGTTACTAGGTGATGGGATGAGCGTGCATCCATGCGCGGCGGTGAGCCCAGCGGTGCATTCTGTGTAGTTAGCTAGTGAGAGATGGAAGGAAAGGCTCCTCCCACCACCATACCGCGTCAGAATACAGTCGTATCTTCCTTCGTTTCTGTCCCTACGTACATGCTAGCGCATGCCCATAGCGCCCATTACTAGGAGTAAGATATTTCTCTATTGACATTCGATTAATGATCTTCCAAGGTCCCTACTTACGCGAGATCACATCGTATTCGTCTTTGAGACCTATCTGTGCAAGAATGCGCTGTGCTTACGCACAAGTCCTTGAACGCAGATCAGTTCTCAATCTAAGAAGCCTGCGTCCCCTGCCAATTGCAGAGAATTGCACGAGGCTACAGGATGAAAAGCTCCCAGTTTCATATTCCTATCACACTCCCATGCAGTAGTTGCGAAGCGAAAGCAAGCCATAAGAGCGGGGCATGTTTCGGCCACAAGCCGTGCCCCTCTTTCTACCCACTACGTCGTAGGGTGGGCGGATGTATCGAACCGTATGTGGCATTCAGACGGAAGAAGCGGTCAAGTCAATAGGTCAAGGGTCTCTCGGCTAAAACTAAAATGTAAAGATATTTGCTTTTATCTACATTCGAGGATAGAATTCATGACAGTTAAAAGGCACAAGGCACACACATACAGGTACACACCAATTGAATCTCTCTACATATGCCCTTACATACATGGTAAAGAGGTAACCCTAACGTTTGATTTGCCGCAGTGGCTCCAGTGGTTCCAAGGTCATCGGTGATTGGATACGAATTCCGTTGGCGCGGCGTCATTTCTCGCGTATATCGGTGTATGATTGGACCGAGGAATCAATCTGCTCGTGAACATGGTCGCTCCAAGCAACGTGCATCTGTACCTAGCGCACCTGCATAACAAAGACTGTAGGTAAATTCATAGATCCTAACGTCATGCATGTTATCGGGATTTGCTAAATAGATTAAGTTTAGCCCAAAGAATGGAGAGAAAACGGCCAAAAAAGAAATCAAGGAGAAAGGACAAAAAAAGTGGATATGGCTTGAGGTGGTTCGTATCGAGCCCCTGTTGCATCGTGGATTCTTCACGGAAATTAACACTTTGTTGCGCTAAATTTGACAACGGAATTTTAACGATCTGAGCACACGCCACATCGGGACCAGGTCCCTAAATAAGGAAAAGGTGGAAAGGTTGTTTGATTCTTCACTGTTATCTGTTCTCCGTACTCCTTATAATTTAGTTTTAGTTGTGGCAGTAGCCACATGTTTGTGGGCCCACTTCGGGGATTCCACTAGTCTGCCGGTTTATTGGGAGAACCGGCGATGTTCTCCGGGGGTTGTAAGCAGGAGTTGGCCCGTTTTGGGTTCTTGCAGTCTCATATTGCCACGATAGGTGCGCCTTGCATCCTTGAATAGTTGCCAAGGGGGCTCTGACAAGGATTGTGCATTGGGATTAAGTTTGTTTCTTTCGATCTCGATCTCGATACCGTGAGATAGGAATGGAGGTGCAGACTCGGCTGCATGTGGGCTGGAATTTAGCCTTTCTACCACCGAAAGCTAGGTTCGTGCGTAACTGTGGCCTACTACTGATCGTCTATGAAGATCGACTATGAAGATCGACATACGAATGGATACGTACACAGTAGGAATTTTGATGAGATACTAGGATTTTTCTTAGCTCCTACTAGGTAAGGGTGTATTTAGCACAGGAGTGAGTGGGTGGCTGTAGACTTTGAAAGGGGGTATTGAACATGGTTGATAATAAGACTAAAATGGACAGGAATATGCAATATGTACGTGTGAAAGTAAAAGACAGCCAGGATAGGAAAGGCATAGGGCGTGAGGTGTGTAAAATCAACCATTAAAAAAAGAAAGCCATGTCTCGTGTGTTGCACATGAAGTTAAGCGAGGACATGGAGTCAACCTTGAAATGCATCTAAAGATGCAGAGATGCCCAATGTGTCCCCTCTTTTGAAAGCGGGGGTCTTCGTCAATAGATTGGACGGCCTTCATCCCAACGACGCGACTGTCTGGGACTTGTAGTGGATTCGTCTTTGCCACCACTGGCAGCCATGTGACGATCGTCATCGGGATTGCTCAAGGGGGAAGATAAGGAAAGTCGGCTGCTGTTGCGGCGGGCGTTGCTTTCTGGTTCGCCTGCATTACCGCTGCTGCCCCCGACACTTCCAATGCCACCAATCCATTCCCAGCATCGAGAGACGTCTCCACTGTCGCCTTCACGAACAGCAGCTCGCACATTGGTATTGCCCTCGACAACGCGGCGGACTCGGCTCCACAACTCTTCACGTCGCTTGCCCTGTAGTTCAAAGCGGAGCACGTCGTCGCGGAGCTGACCAATAGAGATATATGGCTTTATAGCACCACCACGGGCGTGGAGCGCAGCTTGCGTGGCTAGGCGGTCGAGGGTTGTAGCAACTAGTTCAGGTACACGGGCCACGTCCGATCGACGGGCACGAACTCGAGCACGACCATATGCAAGACCAACGACACTCAAGATTAAAAGTGAAAGAGGGAGTCGATACGCGATGAGAGCGAGTCGGATGTAACGGCGGGCGGCGCATGTGAAGGGCAGTCGTGCTGTTGATGTTGATGTGAGGACGAGGACGGCGGAAGGTCTGTAATAGCGATGGCGCCTCTGTTAGTTCCGGTACACAATGTCAGAACCAAGACCTTAAAGAAATAGGTTTCGGGATATGGAGACCCGGAACGATAAGTGTATACAAAAGAGACATGAGTATGCCCTCAAGAGAGTGGAAACTTACTGCTTAGTGTTGCTCACAACTTCGTCCTTTTCAATAATCTCTCCGATGGCTCCTTTCCAAAGGTCATCGAATTCATTGTCGCTAAGACCCTTGCGACGCTTCTTAGCAACCTCCTCCTTCAGATCTGGCTCGCTAATTTCAGGAGATGGTTCCTTGCCCTCTTCCTTCAGCTGCCCGCATTCCCATTTGGCTCTGCGGTCTCGAAGTTCCTCCACAGCCTTGTCCGCAACAGCCTTAACGCGGCGTGCTTTCTCACTGTCGGGCTCACATGTTGGAGGCAGAGGTACTAGGCCACCCAAAGAGAGGGGATGGGCCTTAAGAATGAAGTCATGTTCACAGCGAGCTTCAAATTCCGGATAACAGAACGCATGGGGTGGGCATGGCTCGCAGCGCGGCTCCAAAACATTGGCCCATTCAGGAACATTAGTCTCAGCCAAGGACCAAGTGGGTTTTCCAAGACCACAGTATCCAATCTCTACTTTCTCTTTGCGCCACCAGGCGCCAAACCCCCCAAGGACGGCGAGAATGACTAGCCATGAAGCTATGACGCTTGCAGAACCTTGCTTTCGAGAGCGCTTACGGGTATGGGTAAGCGGCGCGTACTGCTCAGTTTCAAGCGCAAGTTGTTCCTCAGGCGTAAATTCTTCCCCAGCGCTAAAATCACTTTCTTCCTGCTCTGATTCTTCTGCCGACTCTTCGGACTCCTCCTTTGTAGGTCGCAATCGAGAGGTGAAGTCGAATGATGCTCTTGCAGGGGCAGCAATTCCATCTTCTTGTTTCACGCTGCCTGGTGTAGCCGATTTTCGTGACCGCAGTCCACTCCTTAATGCTGGGCTTTCGGCTGATAGACGTGATCCACTCTTTCGTTTTCCATCGTGACTTGATGTTCTGCTCCGTAAGATATCAGAAGGGCTACCGCTTTGGAAAGGGTTATCATCCGAGAAGACATTCTCATCCTCCCTTGGTTCGGACTTGACCGATGGGGCGAACTCTTCGGTCTCTGTGGAGGGAAGAACTTCACTTCGACGTATCTTCCGTGATGTAGATTTTCGACTTGATGCACCAACAGCAGCAACCGGGGTCGCCATTAAATCATCGCCAGTCTCTGTATCCGAAGCTCGAGGATGTTTCTTTACTGAAGGCGTCGCGCTTTTTCTCTTTGGTTTAGCTAAGGGAGTAGCGGGGGCAGCGTTGTCGTCCGTTTCTACAGTTGATGCGCGTGCACTTCGTCGCGACGCGCCTCGTCTGGTGCCCGTAGTCGAAGCGACTGTCGATGGAGTTGGAGGCGGGGGCATGGATGCGCGGTCGTCTTGATCACTGACGACAGATGAAGCCCGACTGCCCATGTCTGTAATCCCTGCGCTGGTTCTTCTCACTCTTTCGCGCTCCCGTAAGAGTTTTCTGGCCTGTGGAAGCACCTCCTCTTCCAAAATTTTTACCAATTGGGCCTTCTTCGCAGACGCAGGATATGGGACATCGTGGTTGACAAGGATAGAGCGAAGCCGGGGAACGGTAAGCGAATTTAGGTCGAAATCGGACTGCAAGTAGTCCAGTTCGTCCGCCATGGTGGGTTAACGGCGTGTGGGGAGTGACGATTTTTCAGTGGATAGGGTTAGGTCTCCAACACACAAGAGACAATGATGACGACCAAGTACGGTAGGTACAGTCAGGTTTGAAAGTCGCGTCAAGAAGCCAACGATCGCTCCTTCTTTTGGAATGTTGCCTAAGGATGGACAGGGGTGAATTTGATGTGGGTGTTTGTCCAGCTGTCAATTAAACCTGAGCCGGTTGGTCAGACTCGTAGCCACGGCAACAGATAGAGTGGGTCGAACAGGCTTGATGATATGGCCCTTGCAAGTTACGCAGAATGCGATCGCGGGAACTTAACTCAAGACTGGAAATTTAACTCTTCCGAGGTTTGGAGGTGAGTTGCAGGAAAGAACAGATAGAATAAAAAGTTACAAAAAGAAGTTGCATGATGACGCACCAAACAAACAAAGGAAACACGTGATCTATTCGCCACTCGGCGACATCAGAACTATACTACCGACTACACATGTGTATACATACCGGTATCTAACCTAGCCCTGGAATTTTATAGCTAATGTGAAAGTGAGTGTAGTTCAAATTGCCGTGGGGTAATGTTTCCTTGATCAAATCACATCAATCTCCAATAGAATGCCATATATGTAGTTTGACTTGGAAGGATTGACGATAGGAGTTCAATATCTAAGTTCAAAACATAATCTTTGAAAGCTGAAATTCACTAAAATCCGAGTCTATATAGATAATAGGGCTGGGGCTATAGCTCAAACTCCTTTTAACCCCGAGTGACCTGGCTGGCCCGGTATTCCATATTAGTTTTACCATCCTTTCTATGGAACCGGCCCTGTCCAACAAATACTCCATTCTCCAGTGCCTGGTACCGCTTGTCTCCATGGGATAATCAGAGTAGTATATATATGAACATAGCCTAAACATACCTGAGAATACTGTGGGCATCTGGCCTGTTGTGCGCCCCATCCGAGTCGGCATGCAGGAAATTTTGACCAGCAATAGCAAACTCGGCTTCGATCGCGGGAGAAAACCCGTCGGCACTCTTTAGCGTACCGCCAACCATGACCTATTGACCTATTAGTTGATCAGTATATGCAATGCACTTTTAGTATAATATGGTCGTCGTTGTTATGGGAAGTATAACGTACAATAGCTCGGACATGGTTATCGCGGGAAGCACTTCCTAAGGCCATTGAATAAAGCTTAGCTATATATCTCAGGCTGCTAATCATGATCAACTTGAAGACTAGAGGAATATTATATCCCGACATCTAGTGGGGCATCACACTGGATCTGTAGGATATCTGTCAACATGAGCTAATGATATGCATTCCCAGAATTGATATCGGCCAATCATCATTGTGAAAGCCGGGTTGAGGGTAGGAAAGTCTGAGCCAGACATGATGGATTATATGCCAAGTGAGATATCTAAGATTGAAGATGGAAAAGACTTAATTGGGCGGACGGCAGTAGCATTTTATGTACTAGAAGTGACGGAAATAACTACTTCATATAATCTCGGAATTAGGCTTTTATCCTACCATAAACAAGATACCCGACTCGTTGCCCCAGATGAGTCTGCAGAGGATTTGAAATCGCGGGTTACGGTGACAAGTGCGAGCTCGACTACTTACATCCAGCCTAAACAGACGAGGGGTAGGTTTTTTTTCTTCTTCTTTTTTCGAAAATGGGGGCTGCAAGGTGGAGAAGAAGTAGTATACCATGCTTGAGCCTTGTTGCGCACGGATATGGGAAGACTTCACGACCCAGGCTGTTACGCGCAAGTTTCTCCGCGCAAGGACGATAATAAAATTCCAACAACGTATACAGCATGAGGCATTTGTAAAAAAGATCGCCCACAAGGCTGCGGTTGAATGACTCGGTGCTTATCATGCACCTTTGAATATCAAGGCTGACAATAAGATTTATAATATTACATATAGCCACTGGTAGCCCGGAGGTATATCCGGAGTGCGAAGCTCTGATACTGTGTCACGATACGTGTATCCCTCGGATTTGAGTAAAACGTTCAATGTCCGGATTCGGAGACAAGGCTGTGAGTTGTTTCCACGCACACCGTATTCCCTTATGGAGAATTCTTAAAGGCTGTTACATAGAGAGCCTTGATCCACTTCATTCTCAAGTAGCAAATCAACGAAAATCAGATCCGCAAAGGATCTGATTTGGCAGGCAGATCGAGACCAAGCCCATGTGGCGCTCCTAATCTCCAATGCATCCGCGTTGAATCCGCATTTCCAAATGGACCGGGATATAGATTGGCCACGTTGCTGTGGTCAAGAAAAGAGCCCGCTGACACCCCTGTCACATTTTCCTGCCCAGCGGACGCTGCCTTACCTTCCGTTGTAGCACTAACTGCATATATGTATACGTTGCAGTTTGGAAGACCTTGTTATTGGTAGTCGGATCCGACCCAATTGGACGCTGCCGTGACATAAGGTGTTGATTTTCCCGAGTGTTTCATAGTTATTGACAAGGATTTGGATTCGACCCGACCAGGCAGCCATAGCTAGTACCCTGAGTCTTAATTTGCGAATAACAGCGAATGACAGGAGAGGAGATGGGAGAAATGAAGAGGCTGGGGTTTTGCGGGATGGACCCACATTTACCCGCCAGGGTCGTATAGCCGGCCTCTCTTGTTTTTTTTTTAAATTAGGATCAATGTCTTGGATTTTGCTGTTTAGCTGAGTTGGGAAGAAAAAGTATATAGTTTAGACTTTATTTTGATCTGACGATAATCTCAGAGTTTTCCAGTTTTCCAGAGCATCGCAAAGCTCCCGGGGATGCCACTATGCAAATCATGATGCTGACACCCTGGAGAGAGCCCCCAAACGTGGCAGACCCTTTTGCGCCCATTGGACCAATGACAGTTGGGAGGGACCCACGGATCGGCTTCGTCACAGCCTCGAATAGATTCAACTCGAAGAAATGAAATAGAGGTGGCTGGCGCTTGCCTGTGTAAAACCAAACTCTGCCAAGATTCGAGGTTGCCTCATAGACGTTGATTTTTCTTCTTTTTTTCTCTTTTGACCTTCCTGTCTTCTCTTCTTCCCTTGTGCCACTCCCCCTCCTCTTGTCAACCCGTTAGCTCATTATTCCAACGTCTTTATTACTTGCATATCTCATTCACATCTATATCTTTGCCCACCATGCGTTTCGCTTTGGGTGCGGCCTTCAGCCTGCTCTCTTCAGCGGCTTTGGTTACAGCTCAGACATATACCAACTGCAATCCGCTCCAGAAGAGTAAGTGACAGGAATTTCGCTGAACCAGACTATACAAGCTGACCCAAACTGTCTAGCCTGCCCAGCGGACCCAGGATACGGCAAATCCGATCAAAAAGTCGATTTTACCTCCGGCGAATCTGCAGACTTTACTGCAACTGGAAGCGTCTCCTACGATTCCACCAATGGCGCCGCGTTTACCATCTCCAAAAAGGGCGACGGTCCTCTGATCCAATCCAACTGGTATATTATGTTTGGCAAAGTCGAGTTCACAATCAAAGCTGCTCCGGGAACAGGTATTGTCAGCAGTGCGGTGCTTCAATCCGATGACCTTGATGAAATCGATTGGGAGTGGCTTGGAGGCGACGACAGCAAAGTTCAGACCAACTATTTCGGCAAAGGAGATACAAGCACCTACAACAGAGGTGCCTTCAGTGATAACGCTGGTAATCACGATGATTTCCATACCTATTCAGTGGACTGGACGAGCAGCCAGATCGTATGGGCAATTGATGGCAAGACCGTCCGTACTCTTACTCCCTCAACTGCAGACACCAACCAATACCCCCAAACACCCATGATGATCAAGGTCGGCGTGTGGGCTGGTGGCGACCCGGATAACGCCCAGGGTACTATTCGTATGTAAAATCCTCAATTGTTATATACCATCACGACGTATAAAGGCTAACACATTACACAGAATGGGCTGGTGGTGAGACGGACTACAGCCAGGGCCCCTTCACTATGTACATGAAATCGATGAGCGTGACAGACTACTCGACTGGAAGCTCGTACACCTACAGTGACAAAACTGGCACTTGGCAATCCATCACCGCTGATGGGGGTAAGGTTAACGGCAATAGTGCTGAAGAGCCCGCATCAACCCAATCTGCACCCGAGGTGACCGCCACCGTGGATATTCCCGTTCCCTGGAGCGGAACTCACAAGGAAACTTCATCCTGGGTAACCCCTGACGTTTGGCCTTGGGTTGCTACAGATTCGCCAACAGCCGGTGCAACTAGTCTCCCCAGTGGTTGGGAATCTGGCTCTGGCCATCTTCAACCACCAAGCGGGGGTTCCATGAGTGAGCAAGCCCCTGCAACTACTATCCCAATGGAAACAAACGCTAAAAACGAATCCTTTTCACAGTCTATGTCCCTCTCTACATCACCGGTCTCGGGCTCTTGGTCGGTTTCCTCTTCCCTCTCTGGGGTTAAAACGCCTACCACTTCTTGGCCTAATACGACTGCACATGCAACTCGCTTTACTTCGAAATTCACTCGCACATGGCATAGACCCACAGTAGTTAAAACCCGCACTTCGAGCAGTGAAGCCACTGCAACTACTTTGAATCCTTCACATATCGCTTCTTCGGTCGGTGGTGGTGTGAGCTTGGCTATGCCCCCCGCTGCACTTAGCAGCCTCTGCGCCTTTTTTGGCGCTATCTTTATTTTGTTTTGAACATCGACAACAACAGCATCGTCGGCCTGTATCATTATAATTCACGATGGGATGAACTCGACATGGCGTTTACTTTTTTTTTTCAATTGACCTTAAGGCTTCCAGGGTCAATTTTATGCACTATGATTTTTGCGACCAGCATATTGGCGGGACTGGCGGAAGGGAGTTTATTGGTTTATAATTCATCCTTAGAAAACTGGACAGAGAGATTTGATCGCTCTTTGCTCAAGATGTGCGTGACCTTTTTTGGTCTCTTTCATGTATTATTGAGTCCCATGCAAATAGAACTATATGAATCAACAGGAATTCTACAATTACTTGCCCTAGATTTCGATATCGTGTTTGATAAGATAATCCATGATATATACTTTTATAAATTCTTCGACAGTAATACAAGTTGTGGCTTGGGTTTTGGGATTATTTAGGGATTGGCGCATATGCAGCTAGCCTTTCTGCCCAAGAGACAATTATTTTAAGCCTCACGTGCCCCACCCTCATAGAATACGTCCGTCCAAAGGCCAGAGCACAAAAGGCCATTCCTGGCACCAAAAAAATCCTTTTCCCTGAAACCGAGGTCAGATATTTCAAAACACCTAGCCTATACCATGTCTCTCAACTCCTTCAATATCAACAGCCTCTACATACTCCTCTATATCGGACATGATCCACCCCAACCGAACAATTTCCACTGGGCATTCTATTTCCACCGCGACCACCAGCAGGGAGGCACGAAATATCACGTCAAGGATATTGGCCAAGGATGGATCGCAGATCACAGCGACATCCGTTTCATCATGAAAGAATTTCTTCTCGTGGGGTTGTTCAAAATCGCCGACGTCCCTCATGGACAAGAAGACTTTCTTGACCAGACCATGAGAACTTTTGATGATAAATTGAATACCCCGGAGACTACATGCAGGGTTTGGATATTATGGGTCTTCGACATTCTGCAGCAGCCTCGCGATGGACAGAGAATCTTGAAATCGAATGATTTGGCTAAGCTGGAGATTGAGATTAAAGAATGGGGAAACCAGTGTGCTATGAGTGCTGCGAGGAATGAACAACCTAGGCCTGTTTGTGCTCCTTTACTCTGTGGACTTTAGAGGCTATCACGGACATTCATCTTGAACTTATTCATTATCGTTAAACGAAACTAGGTAGTCGATAGTAAGCCAGAGCATAAGGCGCCCCACTAAAGTTCAAAAACTATATCATATACATTCATGAAGAAACGCCCGCCTGCGAACGCGCAAAGTCTTCTCCTTCCTTGACAAACACACAATTAAACTCTGCACCAGGGCTCAATGTGACCTCAAATCGTAATACGGGATCCTCAACCTGATCTTTGCCACTAACGGGAAGACCGATGATCCGCTCATAAGCCTGAAGAATTCGAATAATAGTATATCCCATCTCAATGGTAGCAAACTGTTGCCCAATACAAATGCGCGGACCACCGTTAAACGGAATAAAGTGCCATGGACGTGGTTGCCACCCCTCTACCCAACGCTCGGGAATCCATTGAGCAGGATCAAAATAATTCTTCGACTCCGGTCCATTATACAGATCAGGATCACGCTGCATGAGCATAGTCGAATAAATCACTCGAGTGCCTCCACGGATACCCACAGGCGCTTGTCCATCCGCGCCACCTCCACGAGGAAGAGTGGTATCATGAAGAGAGAAGCGGACATTAAATGGAACAACGGGATATAAACGCATAGTTTCATTAATGACGGCGTTGAGATACTTCATCTCTTTCAGATCTGTGTAGCTTGGTTTTTGACCTTTAGCGCCAACACCTAGACGATCGCGGACCTCATCGCGTAGCTTGGCGACTACCTCGGGATGTCGGGATAATTCAAAGAGACAGAAAGATAATGTTCCAGCTGTAGTGTCCCGGCCTGCGAGGAGAACAGCGACTAGTTGATCTCGCAGGACGCGTGGATCACGCGTGAAGCGGGCTAAGGCATCGAGGAAGGTTTCGCGCTTTGATAGCTTCTGATCTAATTCGTCGGTTGATAAAGATAATACAGTTTCGATATAAGGTTGAAGAAATTGGTCCATGATTTTAAGATTTCGTCGGAACTCCGTACGAGACATGAAACGACCGAAAACACTGTTTGAAAATAATACAGATTAGGTTTCGCGGATCGAATCGGAGAATATACTAGTACCATGTTGCACAGGAATAGGAAATAGATTGGCTTATGTAGCTTACCTGTATCGGAATAGTTCGGCTTGTCGTTGTTGCACATATCTGAACGCTTCCGCAAAGCGCGTCGCGGGATTTTCTAAACTGTCTGTGCCTTGTCCTAGGAGATAATCCGTAGCGGCATCGAGTGTGTATCGAAAGAACAAGGAGCCAACATCGACAACTCGGCTGGCATTTGGGGAGCTGCTTCCGCCTAGAAGCGGAATGAGCTTTTGGACGTGCTTCTCGAAGATTTCAGTGTCGACGATTCGATCACGAGCGAACATGGGACGGATTAGTTGGCGGGAACGCGACCATAGTTCCCCGTCTGTTGCGAAAATACTGTCGCCGAGGAATTCTTTCCATTCCGTATGGAAGGATTCACCTTTTCCGTAGTCGGCAAATTGGCCAGTGAGGAGAGCTTTGATATTTTCGGGGTCAGTGGTCATGACAATGCGGGTGGATATTCCAGTGTCGAGTTCGGCTGTTTTGACGCTCGATAAACCACCGGCTTGATCAATGTTTGTTTTCCAATATTGAATGTCTTTATTCTGTGCATTTGCCTTTTGACTGTGGTAGATGAAATCGAGGGCTAAGAAGTTAGGATTAGATTAGCTAGGGAGATGGAGATATCCACGATAAAAAGAACTCACCATATGGAAGATGAAATTTGATTCTGGGTGCTCTAGCACCCAGTCGCGAAATTTGCGCAGAGACCTGAAGCATGCGCAAAGTACAAGCGAACGTAAATAAACCCACTAGCCATAGGGCCGCCTTTCCAGGCGTCATGCCCTCCAAGAGAGCTTCAATCATGACGCAAGAAAATTCGAAAAACAGATTTGAGACAGAAAGTAGTTGAAATTAGTTAATGAGATTGAACAGGATCTGTGGGTTCATATGTATGTGCCACAAAGACCAGAACCGTCATGTAAGTTTCATGAGCCGTGATGAACTGGAACTAGGCAATTGTTTAGAAGAATGCACGAACCCCTGCTAGCTTCTCAAGACCAGTAATGTCTGTCACAAGGGAGCGTAGCGGTCCAGTGATATGGGGTGTTTATCAATCGGGACAGAGAAGGTCCGATTCCCCAGAAAAATAGCTTGGGCCACCCTATAATAGACGTCCGGGTCCATCCCGAAGGCAAATATTTAATCTTTTCAGGCAATGTTGCGAGGTGCTTGCACAACCCCGCTAGAATGATGTTAGTGTCTCTGGCTTGACCCACACCGCTGCAATGCACCTTTGTCGTCAGCCATTCCACCTGCATGATGATACAATATTCCCTGAGTGAAAACTATAAATTGGAAATTAAGATAGTCAGTTCTGTTATTTGCATCTAGAACTAAATTGTTTCTCGAGGAAAATTTAGGTTCGATGGGAATCTGGGGGAGTGAAGTGGAGTGAAGGTCCGTGAGGACCTCGGCTCCCCCCGTTTCATATGATTCATGAATGCGGAGGTGGGGATGAGAGCATTGAAAATCGTCTCGATTTATGCCAAATAAATGTACCTTTATGTATAATGTGAATTCATGCTCAAGACTTTCAAAGAAGGAAATATTTCTAGGGGTAGTTAATTCTACTCACCTGTACTACAGCTCAGTCTTGACACATGGACCCCTGTCCAGACTGTGGGCTAGCCTTAATAAGTATTCAGCGATAAGATCTTTTCTTTTATACCATTCATTCAGATTTTTTTTTCTTTCTATTTGCACTAGATATAAATGAACAAAGACTATCTTTAGCATGAGCCCTGCGCCGCGCAGTTTGTCGACTGTCGACTCTTCATTTACGTTAGGATATTTTATTTTCACATTCCGCTACATCTCTGCACCCCCGTGGCTCCAGCATCAACATAATTGATAGAAAAATTACAATCAAAACCTGCAAATGAGTTTGTCGATTTCCTAAGAATTTAAACACATATACTCTACACACTGAGTGCTCTTGTTATAGTACTTCATAGGCCAAAGTCTACAGATATATGCATAGTGCCTGAACAGAATATCTCACAAACCCCAAATCAGTATCTCGAAAGTACAAACAATCTCTATCAGCTCATCATTTACAGATTCACATTCACTCCATCTTAAACCTCTATAAAGTATAGAATCGCAATATCCAAATCAGGAAGTGGCGCGGGTTTGACCTGTTTGCATATAAAGGTCACGTGAACATATGACCCATTTTCGTCGCCGAAGCTTCTTCTGTTATCGCGTCAACTACCATTGCAGCTAAGATCTGAACCCAGCAACCGATAAGTTCTTAGTTGCCTGCCCAAGTTTCAAATCCTTCATACATTATTATTTAAAATAAGCACCATTGTTATCCTTTCACTCCTCTGAAACCCGCGACCTCTTTTGCTCCATTCCGGTGGCGCGCGATTCACCCGCCTATCTTTAGCAACGCTGGATTTTGTATTCTCCTCAACCTCACGATCCTACTTTCTCATCACGAACGATCCAAAATGCTTCCTAGTATCACTCAAGATTCGCCTCTTGCGACTGCCATTGCCGGCGCCATCCAACCGAAGCTGGTGGAAATGGGCTGGAGCACTGATGATGGTCAAGAGGGAGCGCTTATTGAATACATTGTGCTCATGCTAGTGAATGGCAAGACCCAAGAGCAACTTGCGACTGAGCTCTCGAACGATTTCCTCGGATTAGAAGAGGGTGACACACAGGCACTTGAATTTTCGAATTGGCTGTTCGGACAGGTTGAAGTCCTCAACCAACAGATTAATGGTGCGCCAAGTGATTCTACAACACAACAAGTCCCTTCATTTGTCCAAGATGAGATGAACGGAAACGGTATGGATGCGGAAATGGGCGACGCAGGAGATTCGATGTAAGTTTGACATTTCACTTGAGTGATGTGCAACGAGATGCTGATCCACTCTCCCTAAATTTAGACCTACGGGACCAAAGGCGATGCGTACTCCGAACAAGGGAGGGAGAGGCAGAATGCTAAACCAGATCAACCAAAATATGGGTCGTCAACATGGCGACGGCGCTCTTCACCGAGTTCGCGGAAATCAAGGAAATGGGCGCATTGGCGGTCATGGTCGTGATCAAATGAGGGGTGGTAGACGAGGAGGCCGGAATATGAATGGAATGGGGATGCAAGGCCATATGCCAGGTGGTGGACCCATGCAGATGAGTCCGGAAAATCAGATGCAAATCATGACTATGTTGGAAGAGCAGGCTAGAATGATGTCTCAATTGATGCCTGGTTTTGTTCCCCCTGCGGTCAACCCAGCCTTCCAAAATGGAAACCAGCAAGGCCAAGGCCAAGGCCGTTCGCTGTTCGACCGTGTTGAGCGCCAAGGCCAGCGAGGTGGTGGTCGTTTCAATAAGCGCGGCCAAAACCAACGGCAACAGGGCGCAGCAGATGGTGACATGGACACCGAGATGGGTGGCGAGCAGAATGAAAACAACCCCGACAATGTCTGTCGCTTCAACCTTCGCTGTACCCGAAAAGACTGTCCATTCGCCCATCAATCTCCTGCCGCCCCAGAGGGTACATCCGTGGATCCTTCCGATCTTTGCTCATTTGGAGCTGCTTGCAAAAATCGAAAGTGCACAGGACGCCATCCATCACCAGCTGTCAAGTCTGCGCACCAATCCGAAGAGATGTGCAGATTCTTCCCACATTGCGCCAACCCACATTGCCATTTCAAGCATCCCGACATGCCGCTTTGCCGCAATGGTGCCGATTGCAAGGCCGAAGGATGCAAATTTACACATATGCAAACTGCTTGCAAGTTTAATCCTTGTATGAACCCAACATGCTCATACAAGCACGCTGAGGGCCAGCGCGGCTCTCTTCCCGACAAAGTTTGGACTCCGAACCACATCAGCGAGCGCAAATTCGTGGGAAATGAGGAGGAAGAGGAGCTTATTAAACCCGAGGCCGCTGGAGACGGAACTCAAAACCAGGAGTTGGCTGCCTGACTCCGCCTTAATTGAACGTGATGAAAATTCAGGCTTCCAGGAGATTGCGTTGTGCGAAAAAATCATTGTGTACAATTTGGACTGTGACGAGGAATGGTTGGCTGGCTGCGGAAGGGCGTTCATACTGATGCATTTGTTTCACTCTCATTGTTGAAGAGTCCCATTTATCTGTACATAGATATCCCCCTTGATACGAAAAGACCACAAAGCGATTTGCTTCCTCAAACATTCTCCAGCATTATAAAATAGCTAGTAAACTTATATCTCGACGCCATAGTAGCTAGGTATCGATCGGCCCCAGTGTCCTCGAACTTGAGACAAGGACGCATGAAGCCGATAAGATAAACCTGGGGCGGACACTTACATTGCTTAGTCAGAACTTTACACATGCGCGGAACCAAATGGCCCGAAGCTCTATCATACCACTTCATGCAATTCCGTTGAAATGCGTTCATTTTGTGCCTCAGGAGGCCGAATAATTAAACGACAGCCATTGGTTACTGTTGTTCATCGTCAGCATCGTAATTTCAAAGCTGCCGTTGTCGGAGGTGGCATCACAGGTCTTACAGCAGCATGGAAACTAACACACGACCCCCGATGCTCTGAAATCACAGTATATGAGAAGTCTCCTCATCTTGGAGGTTGGATGAACTCTGAAGTAATCCCTGTTGATGATGGACATGTCGTATTTGAATATGGCCCGCGTACGCTGAGAAGCGCCGCTTCAGCAGTACCCACGTTGTGGATGGTAACTACACTCTGATTGCACACCATAATTACATATTAGTTATTCTGACTGTTCATTTCAAAAGGCATTACAACTGGGTCTTGAGAATGATCTGATTTGGAGTCCCAAAATAAGTGATGCAGCGCTCAATCGCTTTCTTTACTACCCTGATCGTCTCGTTCGAGTGCCAACCCCTCAAAGGGGCGTATCACGCATTGGAAACTTAACAAATGCACTGAACACCCTATGGAAAGAGCCTGTTTTTGAGACTCTACTACCAGCTATTATCCTTGAAAGTTTCAAGCCGGCAAGACATCCCGATCTATGGTCAAAAGATGAGTCTGTCGCGGAATTTATCTCACGCCGCTTCACTCCAGAAGTAGCGGAGAACCTGGTATCGGCTTTTATGCACGGTATTTATGCAGGTGATATCGACAAATTGAGTGCCCAGGCTTTACTGGGTCCATTGCGAAATATGGATGATACCGGTATCATATCTGGCACCCTCAACGATGTGATGACGCGTAAACAGAAAGGCGTCATGGATCATGCTCTTTTGAACTATTGCTTGCAAGATTCGAGAATACCACCGCCACGAAAACTTAGCAAGCATCAAGTTGATTATCTCAATCGCCTGATAAAACTGGCAACTACTTTCACTTTCAAGCGAGGAACGCAGCATCTTGTGGATGGACTGGCTGATGCCTTACGAAAGTCCCCTAAAGTTAAAGTATTGACAAACTCCGAAGTTAAGAACATGAGTCGATTGTCATCATCAGATGGTATATATGTATGTTGTTTACCTCTAGTAACTCTCACACTACTTTATCTAAGCTAATTCGCGCGCGATCTACTAAAGGTCACTTCTCATGATGGCAACCGCGGTACATACGACCGGGTCATTGCTTCATTCCCAACGCCTGCGTTGGCTAAAGCTCTCGGTTCAACAAACCACCCAGGCCAAACTTTGCCCCATAAGACAATATCAAAGCTTAAGCAACATGATTATGCTGTCACCGTCATGGTTGTCAACCTCTATTACCCCAACCTCAAGAAGGAAGATTTCAAGGGCTTCGGCTATTTGATCCCAAGATCAGTTCCCGTTGAGCAAAACCCCGAGTGCGGGCTAGGAGTTCTTTTTTCATCCGCGTCAAGTTCCGGCTTACCATTTTCACCCGATGACCCGTTCAACCCCACAGAACTCTACCAAGACACCGCAAAGGGAGTCAAGCTCACAGTGATGTTTGGCGGACACTATTGGGACGATTGGAAACAGTCCGACTACCCAGATCATGATACTTCGGTGAAAATGGCACGAGATCTCCTTAAGCGACACATTGGAATCACAGATGCCCCGACGGTTACGCGGGCTAATTTGCAGCAGAACGCTATCCCTCAATATACTGTGGGTCACGTTGATAGAATGTACGATTTATCTAAGACTGTCCAGGAGGAATTCAACAAACGACTTGTTCTCGCCGGCAATTGGTATTCGGGAGTTAGTGTGAATGACTGTGTGAGACAAGGGTTATTCGCTGCGACTTATGGTGTTGGTAGGCGCACGCTTGATCAGGATCCTCATTTGAGTGGTGCGTGGAGAGACTATAACTTCTGGGACTGGGATTTGGAGGGTGGAATCCCTACTGCGCCGATTGCTTTCTACGGGTCGTGAAGATGAACAACATTTAGATGTATACTAGATCTTGGAGAATTGTAACATAGTGTTGGACATATTTCACGAAAGTTAACCCAGTAAGGAGCCTTGGAACCCCGTCTATATCAACTTAAGTAAACAATTTTACGAAAATACATAGTAAATAGAAAGCCCATCCAATTTCTATACATGACTTCTATCAAGTTTTTGTATAAAGGAACCGAATTCAGTATCGTAATATGCATTGAGGGTCCAGATTGTTCGATGTAATATAGAGCGAGTTGTTCTGCAATCTAGACCAATGCTAATATCTTCCCGGCTAATAAGATATCTGATGGCACGACCTCGGATCTGCATATCGTGATTCTAGAAGATATCAGGCAAATAAATGCATAGTTTTTCTGAGACATATCGAATTGCCAACATAGAAACCGTCAATGCGTCTTGCTGTTTCTTTCAGTGGCAGGTCATGCACTGATTTAGACAGGAAGTAGTCGAGACGGACATCATATGTGTCTGTGGATAGTTGCATGGTTTGCTGTGAGGGTATCGCAGGATATTATCGCTAGCAATCAGGGGGCATACAAACCCCGAGACGTGTATAAATCCTGTCGACATATGCAAGGCCAAGGTCTGGGACCGGGCAAAAGAAAATTTCATGAGGAAAATAAAGAATTCCTCAAGCATTTTCTTTCTTCCCATCCTCCTTAGACTCGCCGTTGGAATCGAATCCAAGGGACTCAAGTTGTCGGACCAATTCGTTGATCTTGATGACTTTTTCTAGTTGTTCAGGCAATAAAGCTTCGCCTTGAATTTTCTTATCACGCAAGTCACGCGCTTGTCTAAGCTTCTTCTTGAGGTTGCGCGCTTTCTTCTCGTTTTCGGCTTCGATATCGACGGGCTCTTCAGCTGGCTTGTTCTCGTTCTTGGGAGCCGGAGCCGGAGCAGACACACGCCAGTTATCCGAGTCAGAGCCCTTCTTCTCAGTTTCAGGAGTAGGTGTCTCATTCTCCTTGGCCTTGCGCTTAGCCTCTCTGCGTTTTGCGTTCTTGTTGGCAGATGTGGTGTCGGCTGGTGGTGTCACTGCTTTGTCGTCCCCACTGCTGAGGGTCTCTGCGCCCGGCACCCCGCCTTTTCCACGGTTTTTCCAAGCTGCGGCAGCACGGTTCTTGTAGAGCTCGACATCCTCTGGTGGCTTGTAGCCAGGTTTAACTCGGATTTCACGGCGCTTGGAGCCGTCTGCGCGGAGTGAAGAGGGGATGTAGCGTTCGCCAGTCGATTCGTCGGTGGTGATTCCGGCCTTGGAAATATTGGAGGCCATTGTTGGAATGGGAGAAGATCGAATATGGCGGGGAGATATGGAAGTAGAAGGAGGTTGAAAACCAAGTAGTGGCTCTGAAATGCTATTCGAATGTGGTTCGCCCACTCCACCGGCAGGCGAATGCAATGGACAAAAAGCAATTAGGCGTTAAGAAAGAAAGAAACAACATTGAATGCATCCGTGATATGTACGGATGGCCGGAGTAGGCACAGTAGCGTGGGCCAATCAGCGGACCGGGAATTCCCGCAGCTTTTCGTCCTGCGAACTTCCATTCCTTCCTTCTTCTCACTCTTCTTCAATTTCCCCAGCTTCAATCCTTCTTGGTTGTGTCAAACACCTTCCTCTTCGTCACAATGGCCGGCGTATGTTATTATGTTAACACTCTCTAATTCTGATTTGTGTCGCGCGAAACTCGAGTCTGTAGCTAACCAATCACCCTGAACAGATCTCCAACGCTATCTACCAGCATGTCTCCCCCCACCCACGATCGCATCGTCTCAATTGTCATTGTCAAGTCTAACCGTCGTTTTGATTTGCGTCTACAGGGGTCTCTTCCGCAAGAATGCTGTCTACCTGACCGCTATCTTCGCCAGTGCCTTCGCTTTCGAGCTGTGCGTTACATCCACGAGCCCCCGTGTCATACAGAAACCCTGACATTAACTTTACAAAACAGCTCCTTCGACACTGCCTCCAACAAGGTCTGGGACAGCTGGAACGCCGGCGTACGTGGACCCTTCAACTTTGCCTATGCTCCGCCCGTGAAGGCATCATAAGATACATCTCGCTAACTCTCATCTTCTTGACTTACAGCGCCAATGGAAGGACATCAAGCCCCGCTACCTCGTCAAGGATGAGGAGGAGGACGATGATTAAACGCGCGGTCGTGTGGATTTAATGGAATCTACTGGGTGGATTTCAAGTCGTTTATAAGGGGGAGAAAGGGAAGGAAAAGCGGACAATCGGATGGTCTTCATTATTATTACCCACTCCAGCCGCGAGTTTGTACGCGATAGAGCTATTTTTTTTATTGGAAATTTGTATTCTGACTCGAAATTCTGGCCTATTGGTTGTTAAGAGATTGTATATATACTGTAGAAAGCAGATGGTCGGGGAGGAGCGATGAGCGTGGATCGTCTGTGGCGTTTGTGAGCGAGACCGCTCTGTCGATGTCATAGCGAAAAATGCTCGAGAGTCGCTTCCCACTTTGTCTTATCTTATTTACAACCCTCCTCCAGCCTCTCATCTGAATTCGTTCTCTTGGTGTGAACACACAGATTGTCCTTTCACCTATACTTGACAATATATATATTTGACTGGGCTCAAACTTGCTTGCTAGACCTGTATTCGATCCCCATCTGGTACATTCTTCCCCCCACTACTTACAAAACCTCGGTGAGGTCGAAATGGAATCAGTCCTAACAGGCGCCTAGTGCTATTCAACTCATTCAAAATTCCCCTTCCGACCGGGCTACCCATTCGAGGCCATTATTTTGATTCCTACCAATTCCCATCTCGAATCTAGTGTAAACCAACAGGCCTTCCCGTTCTCACAACTGTGCCGAGCGGCCCCGACCCTCCACCTCCGCCCGAAGGTCTTAAGCCATGCCCATGCTCACAGAATGTGAGAGAGTCCTCGGCGATGGATTGATACGATTACCCGCCAAACATAACTACCGCTATAGTCCACAGGCTGAAAAGGACCTGCTGGAGTTGCTGTTCCGATCTCTAGTGGGGCACAACGAAGAGTTGATACACCACCTATTTCCCGACGGCGCGCCTACCGGAGCATGGAAACTAGCTGAAGCTCAAGGCGCTCGAGAGGGAGCCGAATATACTGAGGCAGCGCGAGGTAAAAGATGCGGGCATATCTTCCGCGCGGGAGAGGCTACCTATCGTTGTATAACCTGCGCTGCGGATGAGACCTGTGTTTTGTGTAGCCGATGCTTCGATGCGTCAGACCATACAGGCCATCAATATCAAATTTCGCTGTCTTCCGGAAATTGTGGCTGCTGTGACTGCGGTGACGACGAGGCTTGGCGGCTGCCGCTCTTTTGTGCGATCCATACCGATAGCGGGAATGTTAAAGGCAAGGAACGTGCTCAGCGCCAACTACCAAGCGAACTGATAGCCTCGATTCGTCTCACGATCTCGCGCGTCTTGGATTACTTCTGTGATGTAATTTCTTGTTCGCCGGAGCAACTACGGTTGCCCAAGACAATTGAAGGAATTAAACAGGATGAGGAAGCATCACGGTTGAACCCTGACTGGTCAGAGGCGGCCGACGAGGAAGAAGAGGAACCTGAATTCGCATTAATGTTGTGGAACGATGAAAAACACACTATTCGAGATGTAGCACATCAGGTTAGCCGCGCTTGCCGTGAAAGAGACAGCTTTGGCGTTGCGCGGGCCCATGAGACGAATGATATCGGCCGAAGTGTTGTAAAGCATGCCAAGGATTTACAGCGACTGTTGGATGTCTCGAAGATCATCGAAGAAATCAAGGTCACTGTCACAATTCGTTCTGCTCGTGATACGTTCCGTGAACAAATGTGCGCCACTATTGTCGAGTGGCTATCAGATATTGCAGGCGGCGAGATTCTGGAAGACAATGAGATTTTCCGTCAAATAATCTGTGAAGAGATGCTTGGTCCCTGGAGGAAAGGGAGCGCAGCTTACAACGCAGATATTGGTATGAAGGGCATTGATGATCATGAAAAGGCAGACCATCTGCCGGGTCGTACCTTCATGCTTAGCCTTCCCACTCATGGAAATTTGGTTCTGCGAACTGATGATGATGACGAAGAAGATGATGATGACGACGACGAGGACGATGACGAGGTTGAAGATGTTGTGGTTGAGACCAACGAGCACGACGAAGACGGAGACTATATTGACGCTCATGATGATGCCGATGACGAAGATGACGATATGGACATGGAACTCACCCGCCTTCAGGCTGAGGCTGACGGGGATGGTGACGAGGACATGGACATGGGAACTGTAGGAGAAGATATTGACGTCGACGAGCTTGCCATGGCACACCGTATTCTTGCAAGTTTGACGGGCATGCGGCAGCCATCTCCACGTCCAGCTCCTGAAGAATCTGAAGAAGGACAGGCCGATCAGCAAGAGCAGCCTAACTCGACTGCTACTCAAGATGCTGGAAATGACCAGCCCTCTGACCCCAATAGCTTTGTTAAAATCCCTCGTACTCCCTCAGGCACAGTCAAACCACCACCAGCGCGAACAGAGGGACACTGGCAAGTTCGACCTCCTGTTCCAGCTGCAGGTGAAAAGGTAGCGGCCTACGAAGATTTGTGGCAACGCACTCGTTTAGACTGGTTGATTCTCTTCGACCTGAGACTCTGGAAGAAGACACGCACTGATCTGCGGGATTTGTACATCAGTACTGTCGTCAATGTGCCTCAATTCAAGCGCATCATGGGTCTCCGTCTGTCTGCTCTATACACAGCCTTGGCTCAGTTATATTTAATCGCAGATCGTGAGCCAGACCACTCCATTGTGAATTTGACTTTACAGCTCTTGACTACACCGTCAATCACGGAGGAGATTGTCCTTCGTGGTAACTTCCTCACGAAAGTGATGGCTATTTTATATACCTTCCTAACTACGAGACAAGTTGGAGAACCTCAGGCTGTCAACCCAAACGCTACATTGGCCTTCGACGCAGGATCAGTAACCAACAGACGGCTGTATCATTTTTTCCTTGATCTCCGTTACCTTCTCCAGTCTGAATATGTACAAACTCGTGTGCGAACAGAAGAGCAGTACCTGCCTCAGTTCCTAGATCTCGTGAAGCTTTCTCAGGGTATCTGTCCCAACGTGCGTGCTGTGGGTGAGCATGTCGAATACGAGACAGACGCTTGGATTAGCGCTTCCATTTTAATGCGAGAGATCAACCGTCTCTGTCGACAGTTTTGCGAAGCGTACAAACAACCCGAAGTCGATAATGGACAAAATCTTATGCGGGCAATCAAGACCACAACTGCCAACGCAGTTCTCCACTCGGCGGGTGTAGAGCGCAAGCGGTTCGACCAAGCAGAAATCAAGGAAGAGGTCCGTTTCAAAACGTTAGTCCCCTTCGACTTCGAAATCGGGGCTTCGGGCCAAATTCCTTGTCATCGTGTTGTCGAGTTTGTTGTGGAGAAGGGATCCATCAGTTTCCACCATGCTCTTCATTACACCCTCTCCTGGCTTATTGAATGTGGCCGCGGTATCAGCAGCGAAAATTTACGTCGAGTCCTGTTTGATGCCGCCCAAGATGCCAGACAAGTGCTTCACGCAGCCAAAGCAGACGGCAAGGACATAGATGACACACTTCTGGCTCTTGGTCCTGAAGACTTACTTCTAACCATGTTTGATTATCCTCTGAGAGTGTGTGCTTGGCTTGCACAGATGAAGGCTGGAATGTGGGTTCGCAACGGACTCAGTCTCCGACATCAGATGTCGCAATACCGCGGAGTGTCTTCGCGTGATTTTGCCTACTACCGGGATATTTTCCTTCTGCAAACGGCCCTTGTTACCTGTGATCCAAGCAGAGTCCTTGCTTCGATTGCTCACCGATTTGGCATGGTTGACTGGATGTCCCGTAATTATATGCCTCGAGCTGGTTATGAAGACTCTCAGATTGTGGATGTTGCTGAGGAGTTTGTGCATCTACTCGTCATTCTGTTGACTGATCGAACATCATTGACAGCCATTGGTGACAGCACTCATATGACAAAAGAAAACATAAGCCGGGACATTGCGCATGTTCTTTGTTTCAAGCCACTGTCTTTCTCCGACCTCTCAACCCGTCTGAGCGACAAGCTCCTCGAATCAGATGAGTTCCAAGATGTGCTGGAGGAGGTCGCCAACTTCCGCCCTCCTGAGGGCTTGAGTGACTCGGGAACATTTGAATTGAAAGCAGAATATCTTGACCTCGTGGACCCTTATAGTGCACACTATACAAAGAACCAGCGCGATGAAGCAGAAAACATTTATAAGGAATGGATGGCCAAGAAGACTGGCAAGAAGGCCACTGATATTGTTTATGAGCCGAAGCTCCGTTCCATTAGCACAGGTGTTTTCTCCGATTTGCCTCGCTTCACCGGAACCATGCTATTTGCACAACTTGTTCATCAGTGCCTCGAATATGTTATCTCTTGCCAGGAGTGCACGCCGAGTATTCCACCGACTCGTGTTGAGACTTTCCTTCAGGTCATTCTGCATCTAATCCTTGCTTCTGTGCTTGAAGATGACACGCAGGATGATAGCATGGAAAGAGAGCAAGAGCTTTCTTTCAACTTACACGCTCTTTCTAAATCTCGAGAAATCAAGGCTGGCCACTTGACCATCGTGGGTCTTCTAGAAAGGATCTCGGTGACGAATGAGTTTTCTGCATGCGGTCCTAAAATCCGCCATATTCTGAAGCGTCTGTGGCAAAAACGTCCTCGGACCTACACTTCTGCAACTGCTTCCCTCAAGTTCCCATTTGATCGAATTGACACAAATTCACCTGCGATCGACATCGACAACGAGAAAGAAACCAAGAAGAAGCAAGCTTTGGAAAGACAAGCTAGAGTCATGGCCCAGTTCCAGCAGCAACAGCAACAATTTTTGAACAGCCAGGGTGATATTGACTGGGGCGAAGAAGACTTCAGTGACCTGGACTCTGAGACAGGAGCGGCACCCGAGACTAAGCTCTGGAAATACCCCAGTGGAACTTGCATCCTGTGCCAGGAGGAGACCAATGACTCAAGGCTATACGGCACCTTTGCATTGCTTCAGGACAGTACCATCTTGCGACAGACAGATATCAGAGATCCCGCTCGAATTCGCGAAGCCCTTAAAACTCCTTGCAGCTTGGATAGGTCTGCTGAAGAGATCCGTCCCTTCGGAGTTGCTGGCGAGAACCGCACGGCAATTCGCCGACTGGATTCATCTGGTGGTGAGATCATGAGTACAAAGTTTGGCCTGAGCAAAGGCTTCAACTCGAAGAGCACATTGCGAGGACCTGTGACGACTGGCTGTGGCCATATAATGCACTATTCGTGCTTCGAGGTTTACTATGCCGCCACGCAGAGGCGACACAGCCAGCAAATCGCCCGCAACCACCCAGAGAACACAGTGCTCAAGGAGTTTGTGTGCCCGCTGTGCAAAGCTCTTGGTAATGCCTTCCTGCCAATCACCTGGAAAGGCAAGGAAGAGTCCTACCCTGGCGCATTGGCTACTTCATCCTCTTTCGATGATTGGATGAACTCAGGCCTTAAGAACTCATTGAATCAACCGCAGAATATCTCTGTTCTCATGCTCGACAAGGACAAGATGCATCCGCAAACATACACTGACCTCTTCACCGATTATCTCTCTAAATCGCTTGTTCCTCCACTGGCTTCGAAGATTGTTCAACTCACATCGAACCCGCAACTGCCGTCTATTACCCAGACTGCACCTGGCCAATTCGCCCCAACTATGCGGATGGAGATGCCTGGCTTTTTCCCGACTACGGAAGAAATCTCGCCTTCCAGCCCGCTTCAACAAGTTTCCAGTCCGTCAGAGAATCCCATGTCTGGCCTGCTTCAAATTTACAAGCGTTTGAAGAAGACCATCAAGACGAATCACATCAACTCGATATTTAATAACAATCCAGACACTATCAACAATGATGATCTTGTGCATACGGATTCTTTGATTCGAAGTTTTGGATTCAGTATCTCCGCGGTTGAAATCGCTCAGCGTGGCTTGGAGTCCGAGCCCGGCTCTACACTTTTGGACAAGATCCCACCTCTGCTATTGACACATCTTCGTGTCCTGGCTGAGACAGCCCTGACCTATGCAGCCGTTGGAATTGTTTCCGCACGCAACAATACGAAGAGTCGTCCCGCGCAGGAATTCCAGGAGATGCATCGACAGAAAATGTGTCAACTGCTTGTCGGTCATCCCTGCCTGATTGGCTCATCGCTCTTGAACGATGTCCGCAATATTGAGCCCCTGCTTGCCATGGACACATTCGTCTTCTTGTCAGAGTGCTCACTCTCTTTGTTGCCGGTTCTCAACATTGACATGCGTCACCTGATCCAAATGTGCTACGTCGCTGAGATTGTAAAGGTTGCTGTAACCTTCATCCTTTGGCCTCTCGGGTTGAAGGAGGAGCTTGCTACCACCGGAGGAGGTGATTACGCCAAAGATGACCTTTCAGAAGCGCAATGTGAGGTTACAAGGCATTTCTCTGAATCCATTGTCTCCGAGCTCAAGTCAAACTCAGTTGGACGGGCTGAGGGCTCTTCGTGGCCCGCTGCTAGCGGTTATGTCAAGGAAGGAGAGGATTCTCCAACTCCCGAAGTCATCATGGCTTTGCGTCGTCTTCTTTCAAGTTATTCTCTTACTTTCCTACGAAAGGCTGTCATTCTCCTACATGTTCAACACGGAGTAGAATTCCCTAATACTGGCTTTACTGATGTTGCCTCATCAGAGCTAGACAGGCTCACCAAGGCTTTGCATCTACCTCATCTAGATGAGATATTGATGATGGTCAACCCTGCACGAACAAGTGCAAACCCCTTCGACGCCATAATTTCAGGATGGATCTTCCACTGGAATGCATCTCGCTCAGGGATTCGCTTCGAGGATCACCGCCTATGGCCCAGCCTCCCACATCCAGGAATCTTCGAGCTTGTCGGTCTACCCAAATACTTTGATAGCCTGATTGAAGAGGCGAACCGACGTCGCTGCCCGAATTCCAAGAAGGAACTTACCGATCCGAGCATCTGTCTATTCTGTGGTGACATCTTCTGTTCTCAAGCAGTTTGCTGTATGCATAACAAGCTGGGTGGCTGCAACCAGCATATTCAGAAGTAAGTTTTTTATCCCTCATCAGCAACATTGACTCTTCAGGCCTAACCATCCCTAATTATAGATGCGGCAAAAACATTGGTCTCTTCATCAATATCCGCAAGTGCACAGTCTTATACCTCCATAACCAAAATGGATCCTGGCACTACGCTCCTTACCTCGACCGCCATGGCGAAGTAGACCCCGGTCTCCGACGTAACCGTCAACTTATATTGAACCAGAAGCGGTACGACAGACTCCTGCGCGATGTCTGGCTATCACACTCTGTCCCCGCGACCATTAGTCGCAAACTGGAGTCTGAGATTAATAATGGTGGATGGGAAACGATATAATGAGCCTCATTGATTCCAAAAATTGGGTTTTCTCCCCTGTTACTTGTTGAATCATTATTTCATTTCCAAGGCGAAACTTTCGGAAAGCGGTGGTTTTGGGTCTTGGCTTTTTTGTTGCTTGATTCTTAACCTGTACTTGTGGTTGTATGATTGTATACCGAAATCCACATATTTATATATAAAATAGCACAGTAATTCGAATTCTCTCAAGTTCTTCAAGATTCTGTTTAAATTTCGGCTCGTAAAATGCGTTATTTAAACCTTATTCAACGTGCATACCCCAGCTTCCTATCTCCATTTGCCTACGATAAGGTTCATCTATTATCGCGCGCCAAGAACCGCCCAAATGCTAAAACTGACGTCGAACATCAACATTTTTCAAGCTCCAGTGCGCAACCATGAACAACGAACAGTTTCGTCGGATGCTGGCCGACAAATCTTCAGATAAATCAAACAACAAATTGTCTCCCTCATCTAGAAATGCCAGTGCCGGTAACGCAACACCAGGCGGCGCGCTGCTTGGTTCGCGAATGCGATCCAGCATCCCCATGACTCCGTACGTCTCTCAAAACACCGCCCCACCCCCCATGTATCATCAAAGACTTATTTTCTAATCACCTCTTAATGCTTATAGACGATCCGTAACTGGCGCGGACTTTGCGCGCCAATTAGCCGAACAGCGCCTCGAAGGTGGTGACCGGCCCACCAAACGATTCAAATCCTCCGCCGCGCCAAAGGGTTCAAAACTAGCAGCTGGGTATCAAGATCGCGCACACTTGCGAAATGAACAACCGGATGAAGAGACAGATGATCTCACAAAGAGGATCAAGGCCCTAGAAGAGATGGTCAAGCTGGGCCAAATCGACCAGGCAACCTTCGACAAGCTCCGTACTGAACTTGGGGTCGGAGGCGACACGAGCAGCACACATATGATCAAGGGACTGGACTGGGAGCTCTTGAGACGTTCTCGAGCCGGGGAGGATGTTTCGATATCGGCTGATAAGCCTGCGCCTGTGGTTGAAGATAAGCCGCTTGCTGGGGAAGAAGCGGAGGCGGAGTTCGAGCGCTTGATGGAGGAAAGGGGCACTGAAGAGACTCAGATAGCGCCGAAGGAACAAAGAGAGAAGAAGAAGGGAAATATGGCACCTCCGCCACCGAAGAAGAAGACAAGAGATGAGATTCTGCAGGAGTTAAAGGCTAAGAGAGCGGCTGCTAGTGCGCCTGCTCCGCCACCGGAGTCTGTGTTGGGTGATAAGTTCAAGAAGCTTGGGGATGGGAAACCGGAGAAGAAGCGATTTGTTGAGACGGATGATAACGGGAGGAGGAGGGAGGTTCTTCTTATTACCGACGCGCAGGGCAATACGAAGCGCAAGACGCGGTGGATTGATAAACCTGGTCAATATGTTAAGCCAGTCGATGCTATGCCGATGCCAGATAAGGATGCTAAACCTCTTGGTATGGAGGTTCCAGCTGAGATCGCAGCTAAGATTGCGGCTAGTGCTGCGCAGCAGGAAGAAGAGGATGATGATATCTTTGCCGGTGTTGGTGCGGACTATGATCCTCTTGCTGGTATTGTAGACGAGGAAGATTCGTCGTCCGATGAAGAAGAAGAGACAACAGATGCTCCTAAGGCCACGACAAAAGTCAAAGCGCCCGCTACAGAAGAAGAGGGGGATAAATCTGCTGAGCCAGAAACCTCTTCATCTAAACCCCGAAACTACTTCGCTACCACTTCCTCTGCTGCTGCTGCTGCTGTTGAGGAGGAACCCGAGGATCGCACGAATCCTCTTATCAAGGACCCCGCCATTCTTGCGGCCCTCAAACGAGCAGCCGCTCTACGGCAAGCTTCGCCATCTGCTGACGACGAAGACGAGTCCACCGAGTCTTCTTTGCGACACAAGAAATTTCTCGAGGAGGCTCGGCGACGTGACGCTATGGACGCTGCTGATATGGACTTTGGATTTGGAGGAAGTCGGAATGAAGACGGTGAGGAGGAGGACGAAGGCATGTTACTCGATTTTGAGGATAGCGGGCCTAAGAAGCGCAAACGAGGACCCAAGAAGAAGAAGGGTGATAAAGACAGTGCAACTGATGTGATGCGCGTACTAGAAGGACGACAACAGAAGGACTCGAAGTAGTTGTTAGTGGCCTTCGCTCTTTCCAATAACAGGTTGAACTTCTCCTGTTGGTTTCTAAGCACAAAGTTACTCGTCTGCTATATACCCAAATAATCATACAACTGATCCTTTGACCATCTACTTCTACTTCGATATCATCATCTTGCACCGCGGTTCTTATATTTCGTACCAGTTCCTTCTCGTAAGCCGTCGGCTACATGACTTTATCCCAGTATTCCAAATTAGTATTCCGCTTCGTAGATTGAACAACATGATTTTGAATTGACCATTTTATGATATTCGTCATTTAGGTATATCCTGGCTTTGTAGCCCTAGCTACTATAAATAACTCACTACTCCTCCGCATAGCCCATTAAACTTATCGTTTAGGCGTCGGAGTGAATGAATATAGCGTGTATCCATAACCTTATGAGTTGTTCGGCCCTCCCATTTAGGTAAATGCTCTTCACTTTTGAACTCATTGAACTTTATGGATGCCAACTTTATGGGCGCCGCCACCTTTATGGACGCGGCTGTCTTCACTTCATTTCCCCAGGGTATAAATACTTCTTCCCCACCCCCTCCCCTGTTTTTTTTTCTTCTTCCTCTGCACCTTCTAACTCACACTTTCCTCGTACTTGCTCTCCCTCTCGCTAATTTCCCCTCCTCGCCAGCTTCTTCCTTCTCTTGCTCACCTCGCTTCTCTCTCGCCTCTGCTTGCACTTTCTCGTAGCCTTTGCCTTATTTCTTCATCACTGGGCTCTTTCTCACCTCTGACCAAGTAAGTCACCATGCAGTCACCTCCTCACCTCCGCCTCTCAATCTTTCACTTCGCCCTCCCGAGAGATATTTATCCGCCCTGTGCTCTCAAGAGTCAGCGTGCAACTTTTCAGTGCTCAGCTTTTGCTAACATTTACCAGGAGCTCTTCTCAGCCTTGATCTCTCTACATTGCTCCGTAACTTACTGGAGGTCTGCCATCACATGCTAGGCTCTGTTGACTTGGTCGACTCTGCTAACCTTTTTTTCTTCAGGCATACCAATATACTGGCCTATTCCGCTGGTTGCTGCCTAGGCCTTTGACCGACCTTTGGTACATTTTACCTGTCCTATCCAGTTTGTTGGATCTCGTTTCTCTACTTCAGGTGAGAACTCTAGCGATTTACCCTTTCCGCTGTCCCCTTGGGGTTTCTCCTTCGTTTTCGATCTGGATGTTCCTACGGGCCCATGATCTGGGGTCATCGGATCATGGTCGACTGGATCGATGACCTCTGTGCACTTAGCCCCCTTTATTCTATCTTTGTCCCCTGATACTCGTTTTTATTTCTCATGATCGCGAGGACGAATGGAAGATCTCACCAGCATTATGCGCCTGTGCTGACGGAGGAGGAATCCTCCAGCTTTTGCTCTAGGTCCGCAGCTCGACATGCACCGAAGGCCAACTGCGATCACTCTTCTGTCCTTCCAGTTTGTTGGATCAGTTTCTTCACTACAGGTGAGATCTCCTTTCCTGATTTACCCTTTCCGACGACGTCGGAGTTGAGGAACCTGTGTGGTTTCTGTTTCTTGGATGTTCCTGCGGGCTCACTATCTAGGGAGGTCTAGATCTTGGTTGACTGGAACGATGTTCGCGAGGACGAGTGGAAGGTCTCACCAGCATTACGCACCTGTGCTGACGGAGGTGGAATCCTCCAGCTTTGCTCTAGGTTCGCAGTTCCCCGACCTGCACCGAAGGCCAGGCCGTCACTATTCTATCTTATCCAAGTTGCTGGGTCTGTTTCTCTATTACAGGTGAGAACTCTAGCGATTTGACTCTCCCTTTCCGACGCCCTGTCGGAGTTGAGAAAACCTCGGGATTTCTTGTCCGTTTTTTTGATATGAATGTTCCTGCGGGCCCAATATCTAGAGGGTTATCTAGATTTTGGTTGAGTAGAACGATAGTCTCTGTGCACTGAGGCATTATTTGTTTTTGGATAATCGCGATGACGAGTTCTCACCAGCATTATGCGCCTATGCTGACGGGGGAGGAATCCTCCGGATTTGTTCTAGGTTCGCAACTCCATCGACGTGTACCGGAGACTAACTACCATCACTGTTGGATCTGCTTTGGGGATTTTTTAAGTTGCAAGGACCGTGTCTTTTTCAGGTGAGGCCCTCTATGCCCATAGGTCTTGCAGCCATGGGAGTTCCGATTTCCCTCCTTTCTCTCTCAGCATGAAAAGTTGGGTACTGCTCTTCGGAGCGCAGTTACCCTTTATCCGCACCTACGCCGCTGCAGAACTATTTATTATGTGCTTTTTGTTTTGTTTTTGTTTTTCGTTTTGCCCATATAGGGGGCGATCTCCCAGCTTCACAATGGCAAATGCTGAGAGGTGCTTTTTGTGGTCTTTTTGTGGAGACCTTTAGGTTCCCTACGTCCATCGAAATAGCGAAGGTGAATGTCCATGTCCATCGATCAATTACACCAGCGAACGAATCTCAGCAAGATGTCAAATGTAAGTCTCAAATATCTCTGATACATGAGATCGTGACACTAACAAGAAACGCGGTGCCTGACAGCCAATCCTTACATCCTACATATCGGCAATTATGCCTGGGAGCCAAGTAGATGTCGATCACTTGTGGACAAGCATGCTGGCGTACAATTCCCCAGCGTCTGAAACCCACGAAGTGGAATGGAAGCTTACGTTTGATCCAAATCACTAGCCAGGGCAAACGCTTGCATGAGCACACTTGTCAGAGACTCATTGTCGAAAGTGGTCATGGTGGAGGATAAAAAGGCCCCAATTTCACAATCTGGAATACCACAAAGTAACTAATTATAGGTAAAGTAGAGTTGTTTACAATACAATATCGTCGTAATTTGAGTTCCAAAGTCATCGTTAGTCACAAAATTCTACTTCTTGATGCAGCCCAGTGTGACCCTTAGCCAAGCCTCCCTCGACTTGGGCGTATTGGCCAGCAATATCTTCACTAGTGTAAAAGATTTCCTCCATTCAATGCTCGGAGTGATCAATATCCCACATCCTCCGCGAAAGATTCTGGATTGCACTATCAGGTCCGCTCAGGTCCGCCCCACTGGCTAGCCTGGGCCTGAAAGGACATGCCGCAAGACAATGGCAATCAGTGTAGTTTGCTGTTACCGTTTGGTATCGGTGCGAATGGCTATGCACGACGTAGTAACGGCTTTCTACTTGGTCCTTCTTCGAACCCTCCCCTACTTACCGATGAAGCCGATCAGCTGTATTGCCTGGGGTCAAGGATTCGATATTGATCCTTTTTTAACTGAGCCTCTTTCTCCTCTTCCTTTGCAATCAGTCCGGGCAGATAACTCAGAATGAAACTGACTTGACTCGATAGGAGGGGAGAGTCTCTCCCCTAACTTCAGTTATTCATATACTCCAAGACCAGTCCCAGAACCACCAGTGAAACAAGACCAACAGTCTAAAATCCGAAAAAGAACTCGGAAAGATGTGCAAATTGGCTCTCCACGTCGAACGCGACGACAGCATCGACTAGAAGAGATAGGGGTGACTTGTGTTTTTTATTACATATATTCGGCTGTTCTGACACTTTCTAAATTGCATTTTTCCTTATTTATCCAAAATGGCTTCCATGGCAGGGGATGGCAGTATATAGTAGATTTCATAGTAGATAGTTGAGATCTCGATCCTGATGGTCCGTGCTCCATATGTCATCAAACATATCAGCACGACGACTTCAAGTTCTTCCCACTTCCCAGATCAAATTCAATCCACCATTCATTCATTCATTAATCTTGAATGAATACCCAGTATCTTTGGAAGGCATTTTGTGCCCCAAACCATACCCCATATACATATACATTATATTCAAATTATACACGGTCAGCCATGACAGGACACAAAAGCAATGCGCCAAGGCAACAACAACTTCAACATCCCCGGAAACCTCGTCCAGAGAAGCGTCAGCCTCTAACGCATTTTCTTTGCATACCATTAGTCAACCCCGACTCCCTCCCACAACTAGAAGCATCAGTCAGAACGTTCAGAAAAGACTACCCACCAATCCCAGTCGCAGATCTGCCTCAGAGTCATGATCCGTCATCAAATGATCATGTCTCACAGCCCCTCATTCCGGAGGGTGCCATTCGTCCATTGGGTACGCTCCATTTAACACTGGGAGTTATGAGTCTCTCTACTTCAGAAAGGCTGGATCAGGCACTGAATTTCTTTCGCTCGCTTGACTTGGCGAGTCTAATGCATGAAGCAGAGCGTATAGCTATTCAGAAGCGAGAAGGGCACACTAGTCGGCATCTCTCTAGCCAAAATCCACCCCAATTGACAATGCAGCCGCTTACCGCTTCCCTGGAATCTCTACATGCACTTCCTAGAGCAAAAGCTGCAACTATTCTACACGCTGCGCCCGTTGATTCTACTGACCGGCTACATCCATTTTGTCTAGCGCTACGTGATAAATTCCTAGAAGCAGGATTTCTTATCGCGGAAATAGAAAAGCCAAGCAAATCCAGTCAGACCCAGAATAAGAAAACAGACGGAAAGCAAGCAGACTCTCAGCCCCATTCTACTATCAAATCCCAAGGGGGCTCATCCCAGCACCCTGAACGGGAAACTCCCAGTTCCTCGCAAAAGTCAAGCCATCACGATGTATCCGCTACCTCTGCACCAAAGCTAAGGCCTCTACTCTTACATACAACGATCGCAAACACAATATATGTGCGTGGACGACCGAGGCCTCCGCAGGGTCCTTCTCACGCGCCTAGAGACAAGAACGTGCAGAAGAGAATTGTAATTGATGCGCGGGAAGCTTTGGCGCGATACAGTGATTATCATGTTGATGTAGAGAAGACGGGATCTCATCATCATGCTTCTTCTTCTTCGTCTTCTTCTACGCCGCATACAGCTGGCTCTGTGCCTGCACGGCCACGGCAGCCTTTCGTTTGGGCGAAGGATATTCCAATTGACTCGGTGTGTATCTGTGAGATGGGGGCGAGGAAGCTTGCTACAAATGGATCTGACAGAAGGAAAAATGAATGGAATAAACGGCTGGGTGAGAAGTATCTTCCTGTTGCGCAGAGAAGTATACTAGGTTCATAGGAGGTCCTCGCCTTTCCGACTAGGACGAGCCCTCGGGGTGGCCACGGTGTACGGCGGGGTTAAGGCATTTTATAGTATAATTTATGAAGAATGGCCATGGTCATGTTGAGAATCACTGCTTGTTTCTATTATTCGTAGTATTTCAGAAGAGACAAAAAGGTTCAAGTTGAAGAATATTGACCCAAGCCAGCTTGGGGACTTCGATATGATTCTGAGCTGATCATCACATTGAGCGTATAGACCCGTTATCTGTTCTTGAGAATTTTAAGACAATCACCTCAATCGACTCATGATAGTCTCCATGCCTCGTTCAACAGATAACTCGGCAGCCTTCGCCTTAACACCACTGATCATGCTACGCTCGAAGTCATCACGAGTGCGCAAAACAGCCTCAACCCAAGATAGTTGCAAATCCCAGTACTCAATCTTGAAAGCCTCGTATACATTGACAACGGCTTGTCCCTTTTCAGCTTCAAGCAAGCGAACCAACCAGTCCACAAGACGCCATTTCTGTTTAATGGTTCCCTCGAATGAGTCCTCGTATTTCTGGAAGAATGCAAATACAGTAAGAACGTCGTCTTTGAATTTATCTGTGAAGGGGTCTGCGTTTCGACGGAATTTGACGCCCTTGTTGCGTACTGAAGATAGGTATCGGACGAGCAGTTCGTCTGAGAGTTCTTCGACCAAAATGTCGACGAGGGAGGGATGTAGGACGGGTGAGTAATCGGCCATGTAATCTTCGAATGTGGATGTGATGCGCTTGATGGCGTATTCGCCGTACCATTTTGCGGTGAATAGGTCTGGGATGACAGTGGCAAGATCAACAGTGAATACGACCTGTACAAACTGCGCCAGGCAGTGTGTGCTAAGATCTACGTAGCCATCGCGTATAGCGTCAAGCTCGGGGTTCGCTCGAGTAGCCATGTATTTTGGTGTGACGAGTGCTTCGATGTCGCGCTTGAATCTTGATAGGTAGCCCAGTTGCCCCGTCTCCTCGTTATCGTCAATGCAGGCAATCTGGTCATTGGCCACGCCAACAAGCCAGTCCTGTAACAATTGAACACCTTCATTTTGTTCAGTACTAGATGTCTTGGCCTTGGTGCACTCTTCATCAATCAGTGATTGCCAAGCGCTCAGGCGGGTCTTCAACGATCGGAACATAGCATCAATGACACCCTCAACAACATCGGCTCTTTCAGACGAGCCGGCGGCGTTGATCTGCTCGTGAAGCATACGCCACATATCGGCCAGTGTCTTTGTACGGAAAAAGCCATCTGGACTGGTACCGAGGGCATCTGGTTGCCGTTCCACAAGACCTCGCTTGTCGGTCTCGAAGATGCGATCCATCCATTCTTCCACGGCATTAATAATAACGCTCTGCCACTGTCGCACCAGTTCTGGCTCCCGGTCATCAAGAATATTGGGCATGAGGTCGTTCGGCATCCAGCCCAATTTCTTCATCTTCTTGTAATACTTGTCACTCCAATGAATGATCTTCAATAGATTATCCGCAGGAATCTCAGGGTCGTCAATCATTTCCATCAGGAAGTCGTGCATCATTCGATGATAAATATCCGTGTAGGTCTTGTAGATCTTCCATTTCTTCGGCACAAGAGGCTGCATGCCCTGTTTAACCGTAAACAGATCATTGAAAAACCAACGGAAACTCTTCTCCAACTGATCAGGATCACCCATGAATTCATCCTTGGTGTTCTCGAATTGGGTTTGAGCGTAAAATTCAATCGCCTGCATAAGCTTCTCCTTGTATCCGCGTACAGTCTTTGGACCAATCCTCATAGACTTGAATCGACTAGCCAGGTCCTTGTGGTCTTTCTGTGCCTCCTGCAATGCACGCACGGTGTCATCATTCTTCTCCTCATTCAACACCACAACAGCCAATCGAACAACCATACTCTTGTTATCTTCCTGAATCAACGGAATCAGATTCATACAAGCTGTCCCAAGATGATCATCAAACCAATCAATAACAGAGTCCAACCCTTGAAAATAATCCGTAAGAGTACTCTCCGCACTAGCATCCATAGTCATCCGAATCTGATCCATAGCCTCATCTCTAAAATCCCTCAATCGGGAAATCTGCATATGAGCCCGTAGGAGATTCGGCTGATTCTCAAGATCGTCATCATCCTCCTTCAACAAATCTTCCACCTCTTGTAAATCTGCGCTGAAATTCTCCAGCCCCTTCTTCATCATCAGTGTGGCGTCGAAGTGTCGCTGAATCCGCGCTAACTTGTCTATCTGCGCAAAGTCCTCCACGCTATCCTGCGACTCGGTGCATAACTTATCGATTCCCTGTAGCTCGTCTTTCGTTTTCAATACTTGTCGTTGCCCTTCTGTTAAGAAACTGATACTTCGCTGTACAGCCTCAAGTTGGTCGCGGAGTCCTTCGCGAAGTCGTGAGTCGACGGCCGTCTTCTTCCGTAGGTATTCGGCTTTTAGACTGTTGATCTTGTCTAGGTCTTCCGGGTGGCGGAGTAGATCTTCTAGCTTAGGCATTGCGACCGTGCCATCCGCATTGCTGGCCTGCGCCATTGTAGTGACTTTATCCATTTTGGGAGTGTTTTGGCGTCGTTCTTGTTTATTCGGGCGGTCGGAGGGGCCGCAGTGCGGCTCGGTGTTAGATGTGGGCGTGAGTGAGGGATGCGGGCATGTAAGTTGAATGCTTGATAGGTTCGTCTCAATAAGGTGTACGGTGTATTTTCGAAGGCAGCTGGGCGCAGTCTGTCACACAGCACTGCATTACCGTGGTATGTTGCTATGGTGTACTCCGTAGTTAAGGCCCACCTAACCAGGTTAATGGGGAGCTGCGGAGCTCCAATCGCTGGGGATGGCAGAAAACGAGGCACGTGAGCCACCGCCCAGGAATTTGCGACTCTCAATTTGAGGTCCAGTGTATTCGGCCGTTCAGACACATGCAGATACCATTGATTCATTCACGAACGCAAGTTTAGCAATTCGCTGTACTTGTCGATATTTAATATCCTCCACCAATTCCTTCTCGTCTACCAAGACCCGTCTGTTCAATTGCCGACTATCAGGCTCGGAACAAAACATCTATTTATCCATCCCGATCCGCATCGCGACTTTTTGTCTACAACCTCGACATCATAGCTCAATTCTTTCAAAATGAGCTACTTCCGAATCACCCTCCTTCGTTCCGCTATCGGTCTCCCTCGCCGTTCTACAGATGTTCTCAAGGCGCTTGGCTTGAAAAAGCGCATGGGCACAGTCTTCCATCCCGTCTCTCAATCTGTGGCGGGTCAGATCATGAAAGTTAAAGAGTTGGTTGAGGTGCGAGAGGTCGATCGCTCAATGACAAAGCAGGAGGTTTGGCTTGAGCGCAAGCCTGATCCTGGATACTATGTTGAGAAGACATGTGTGGAGGAACGCGGAGAGATGGGCCGACAGTAGACTTTCTTCAGTTCTTTGCTGTATGATTATTTTACTTTTTCTTGACCGAAAAATGGGCTCTTAAGCAGATCAAAATTTGGCCTTGCAATGGGCAAAGTTGCCTCCCCCGGGATCTCTCCATCTATCGGGAACATCTGGTCTTCGGTCTTCATTTCTCCTTTTCCTGACTGTTGTGCATTCGAACCGTCCGGTTCCTTTTGATGTTCATATTTGTTTCTTGCATGGAGCGGGCTTTTTGTTTCTATGTTATCATGTACTTTACCTACTCTTTAAGGCCCATTTGGTCGTGATGACCATGGCTTGTTCACTTTTCTCTTCTCACTGGCTATCATGTATTATACGAGACTGATTGAATACACCCGAGAGAAAAATATGTGCAATTTGTATTAATTTCACTACTAATAGTATGGAATAGACGCGCCAGCCGTTTTCGTGTCCATCAGCATAGGCATATGAGGGCGCTGATAAGAACGCCGCAAAAGCCACAAGTATACCGACAGTCAAGAGCCACGGTAAAGGCTCAAACGAACCCGCGAAAATGCCGTGGCTTTTCATGTCGAATACGTGGGTATTTGTAAAAAAAAAAAAAAAAAAAAAACAATCTCTCTGGATGTACAATAGGAAAACCAAGAAAAAAAAAGACGATGAGTGTTTTTCATCATGCCCTTAAGCCTTGTAAAGGGTGTCGAGGAAACCAACAGCTAAACGGCTGATGACACTCTTATCTGGAATGCTGCCAGCAACACCATACAGAGTGGCAGTGTCACCGCGCTGGATAATGTACGCCTTTCCTTGCTTGCGACGTTCTTCGGCCTTGTCTAGTTGCATTTGGACGACCTCAGCAAGGTCATTGATAAGCTGGTCAACAGCCTTGGCAGTTGGGATAGTGAAAGCACAATGCATAGCTGGGGGAGATTGCAGAGCACTAAGGTGCCAACCCTTGGCTGATAATTCATCGGCGACATCGTAAATATCAATGGCGCCATTCTTGCTGCGGTAAGCCACCACGCTAACGATCGGGTTACCAATGACTTCAATATTCGGCGAGATGACAGGGTGTTCGCGAATTGCAGCTTCGAACTTGCGCGTCGCGTTGATAATCTCAGTGCAGGTATCGATGTAGCCGGTTTCGCCGACACTCATCATACTAGCCCAGCAACCGGCAATAAGGGCACCAGGACGGGAACCGGCAATGGAAGGCGACGCGTAAACACCGCCGGACCAATCGGGGTAGATGAAGTATTGGTGGCTGCGGTAGGCACTGTTGCGGTAGAGCAGACTAGAGTTACCCTTTGGTGCGAAACCGTACTTGTGAGTGTCAACACTGATGCTAGTAACACCAGGCTGACGGAAATCAAAGCCACCCTCTTCTTCGTATGGCGAAGGGAATCCGGCCTTCTTAAGAAGGGCGACAACGAAAGAACCCAAGCAGCAGTCGACGTGGAGTGGGACCTTATACTTCACCGCAATACGGGACAATGCTGGGATATCATCAACCATTCCGTGGGGGTAGTTTGGTGCAGAGCCAACAATGAGGATAGTGTTGGGGTTGATCAGACGGCGCATGGCATTGACATCGGCCTTGAACTCAGGCTCTGGGCAAGCCACACGGTGGAGCTTAATCTTGAAGTAATTGCAGGCCTTAATGAAAGCGGCATGGGCTGTTTCGGGTATGATCCTATAAATTATTAGCAATCGCATGTCGTAAAGTTACTCCGGAATAACTAAGAAGCTCACATTTCCGGCTCCTTGATACCACGCTCCAACAGACCCTTTTGCCGGGCAGCCAGACAAGCCATAAGAATAGATTCCGTACCACCAGCGGTAGTAACACCAGCACCATCAGAGGGAGCATTGAACATGTTCAAAACCTGCATAGACAATCAGCATCTAATACTCGCCAAAGAAATTCCTGTAAGGTAACATCTTCCCGTAAGAGCTACGTACCATAGCAACAACTTCCGCCTCCATTTTCCGAACTCCGGGGAAAACATCGGGATGGAGCGGATTCGTAACGCCAAACTTGCCAAAAGCCTCAGCCTGAAGTTTTAAAAGTTCCTCGCCTCCATGGTAAACAGCACCACTGACGCGACCATCCTCCCAACGTTTATGTTTCATATCAGAGAGTTTCCCGAGCTCCTCACGGACCTTGTCCGCAGTCCAACCTTCCTTAGGAAGCGTTGTATACCGATTGACATCCGGACCTGTCAAAACAAGCTTCTTCTGAAGATCATCAATAGCAGTTGTCACTTCCTTATCGACCATGCCGCGCACACCGGGAATGCGTAGGAAGGTAGAAACGATAAACAGGCGAACGGCGAAATAGACATTGCGGATGCTGCCGAAAAGGCCGTAGCCGCGGAGGGAGTAGAAGGTTTTGCGAACGTAACGAAATACGAATAGTATGAATACAATGTTGCGGAGACTGTATATGTGGGAAGAGGGGTGTGTTGTTAGCGATCGTGGATGTGGTCGTGATTCTGCGTTTCGCGGGGAAACTTGATCATAAGGTGGCGAGTAGGTCGAGTAGGTAGGTACTTACAGGTCCAGGTTTACGGCGGATAAATGGGCGCTGGATGCTCGGCCGTAGCCGAGCAGTTTGTTCTGCAGGGCGACTGGGAGCGCCGAGGAACTCATTTTGCCCGTTAAATGGGATTTAGGAAGTAATGATGTGGATGATGGGGGAACTTGGAGATAATGAGGCGGAGGTGGACGTTAAGTAAGGTCCGGACTCCGGACGCCCCGTCAAACCAAGCCGAGGTTCTCCACATGAATAACTACATCATATCGACTTATGAAAAGAGATTGATAGTTGAAGTTGATTTAGAATTGTTCTTTCATGAAATTACAGAACTTGTTTAAATTTTTTTTATGCAGATTAATAGAAGAAAGAATAACTTATGAATCGACTTATTCATTGCTGGGCCGATTTGGCCGCTGCGCTTATATACAAAATGTAGAGAAGACTCTCCAAACACCACCCAGTTTTTTTCTCCTTTCGGGTTCCAAGTGCCGTAAAATGACTTGTCAAAACCCGAGAATAAGACATAAGGAAAAGTCCCAAAAAACGTAAATCACATCAAATCATCAGAATATCCACGGTATCTGACTCTCAAGCGGGCTGCCGCTATGCAAGCTTTTGAGGACGCGGGGAATAATCTGGTGCACGCACGCTATTTTAACACAAAATGGCAATATTTTTTTTTCGAGATGTTTAAACGGCAACATTGTTGGCCTTAGCCTCAAGGGCCAGCTCCTTCTCCTTGGCGGCAAATTGAGCCTGCTCCTCGGCAGTCAGGTCCATGAGGGGCTTGTTCTCACCCAACTTGAGGTTACGGTGGTAAGCACGGATAATGCTGTCAGCATCGTCGACGGCAATGGGACGAATGTCAGCCAGAGCCTTGATCTTGGCAGTGCACTCCTTGTATTGCGCATCGGTCATCTCGAGCTTGAGCTGCTGAGCACGGGACTTGATGGCGTTCCAGCCAGTCAAGCGAGAGGCGAAGTGCACATAGCGAGTCATACCGAAGTCGGCGGGGTTGATGATCTCGTAAGTGCTGGGGTTGTTAAGGATAGCCTTGGCGTGGATACCGGCCTTGTGGGTGAAGGCACAGAAACCGGTGATGTAGTTGTTGAAGGGGATGTTGACCTCAACGGCCTCGGCGACGAGGTCCTCGACGTCCTTGAGCTTCTCGAGCTTGTACTTGCCCTTGACATATTCAGGGTCGGCGACCATCATACGGGCCATCAGACCACCAAGAGGGGTGATACCGTTACGCTCACCGATACCCAGGACGGAGGTATCGATGTGAGTAGCACCGGCCTCGAGGGCACAGTAGGCGTTGGCAATAGCACAACCGGTGTCGTTGTGGAAGTGAGTCTCGATATCGCAGCCAACAACGCCACGCAGAACACGGACGAGCTCATAGACCTGGCGGGGGGAGGCACAGCCAACAGTGTCGGCAATACCAACACGGTTCACACCGACCTTGTCGACGGCAGAGTAGATGGACAGAAGGTCAACTAGGTCGGAACGGAAAGAGTCCTCGCTGGAGAAACGGATCTCAATGCCCTTAGACTTGACGAATTCGATAACTTCAATGGCGGCGTTCTTGATGTAGGTCATGTCCTTACCGTGAGAGTGCTCACGGAGGTATGAGGAGGTACCAATGACAACGTCGACACCATCAACACCGGTCTCAACGGCAACACGGGCATCGTCCATGTGGCAACGAATGTGAGTGAGAATCTAAGCCCCAGTAAGCTTCTGTATATTTACCAAATCCACCCACTGGTGGAAATTTGCCACCGAGAGGCGATTGTGTGGGACGTACCTTGGCCTTCAGTCCAAGCTTGCAAATGGCCTCGCAGTCAGCACGAGACTGCTCAGAAGCGCAGGGGCTAGTAAGCTCGATCTACACACATATCATTAGTTTTGTGCACTTTATGAATTCCAATATATGCAAAGATTGTCGACAAATGACTCACGTAGTCAACACCGAAGTCATCAAGAGCTCTGGCGATCTCGATCTTCTTCTCGGTATCAAAGAAGGCGTTGGCGAACTGCTCACCCTCGCGCAGGGTACTCTCAATAATTTGGAAGCGAGAGACATTGCTCAGGAAATCGGTGACGCCGACATTGTGGCCGTAAGGGTTGCGGGAAGCGGAAGGGTGAGGGTTCTGGCGGGTCTCGATACCGGTGAAGCCGGGGTAGTCCTTGCCTATAATTGAAAGATTAGTACTTTCAATCACTATAGACTCGAGCTCTGAAGAACAAAATACATACCGTCGGCTCCGTTGGCACCATTAGTCTGCCCATTGGGCTCGGGGTCGGCACCGGGGCACATTGTGAATATAGTTTAGTGGGGGTTGATGTATGGAGGGGTAGTTCGGTTGTGGTTTGGAGGACGAATGGAAAGTATAACAGAATTGACTAGGTATTTTAAGACCAAGTCACAGAAATTTGGATGATATTTATGTCAAGGAGGGGAGGAAGTAAGAGTCATAAAGGTGGAGTGGGCGGTGGGCTTTTTGTTCTGCGTAGTAATCGTTGTTCGCTCTCTCGGCGGCAAAAAAAAGGCAAAAAAAGAAAAATTTCACTTGCGGGGTGGAGTAGGCCGAATGCGCTCATAGGTTCCCGCTGGTAATTTTTCTTTGCCCTTTCCAAACCACAATGACTCAATTTTTAGGATCGACTACTTTTTATGCCTGTTCAGAATTCCATCTTGCAGGAAACTGAAATTCTACAGGTTCACTCTTCTACGCCCTATACAAGCGGGTTAAGGATTCGGTATTTGTCGTGCCCTAATGCCAATTGCCATGGTTTTTATTTTCTTTCATTAGTCTCTTTAGTCTCTTTTATTGTTTGGTTGTTTGGAGGGGCACCCCGACATCGGCACGGCGGGGTCCTAGCTCAGGGCCTATAGCTATGTACACTGACCGGTGGACTGAGTGGACTGGGTGGACATCGCCGAATATTTAAATGGCCTGGGCATTATTTGTTAATAATCCTGATAAGCACTGTATCTTGTGTCGTCATACTACTCCACGTTAGGGACTCGGCTATAGTGATGTACAGAGCAAACCTAGGTTCTATGCTTCCCCATTCATGCGATCATTATAAAGTTCTTTCTCCACATACATTCAAACTCAGACATATTTGGACTATTCACTGGGATTAAAACATGGTAAAAAAAGATTTAAAAAAAGACAAATACAAATAGACAACAAGAAAAATAAAATAATAAAAAGGTACCTAAAAGTCAATATCGATCGCGCTACCTTGTATATGGCGGAGGAGGCGCCCACACCAAGCCCACACCTTGCTGAGCAGTCGGCAGTTGAGATGGTGACTCCCACGCGTTTTCCACTTCTGATACTGGAGGAACCTCGCGCTCGGTGAAATGTGGTCGACGTGCTCGAAAGAGACGACGAATGTAGTTTTCAGGTGAATGAAGCAGAGGTGCCCCAGCCATATTGTTAGCATGGTACCGAGCAGCATTACGAACCCCGGAAGCACGAAGAATGAGCCAGCATGGGGATTGTTCAGGATTTCTTCTATATTGTCACCGTCTAGTCAACATTCACATTCATACTGGACTCAGCTCAAGAATCTTGAGACTCTCACCGAAGAAAGCATCCAGGGTACCACTGCGGAGAGATAGTATGGATGAATGGACATGATCTATTAGCTTATCTGTTAGTGGAACCCATTTGGTGTTGCTGAGGCATTTCTCATATTATTCCATGAATAATATCATGGAATAATATTGTCGACCATTCGAATTTAGCTGTCTATACTTACTCCAATGGGTCTGATGATGGTGAGGATAGATAGCCGTGGTCTGGGATATGGGTGCAAAGGCAGTGCGACGCGTAAACACCAGAAGGTAGACGAGCCCTGTCAGCTTTGAAGTTATTAGAGGGGCCATGGGAGTGTATAATGACCATAAGGATAATAATGAGTAGGTCGAAAATCACATCATGCACCATTCGATCATGGTCATTTGGACACCACGGCGGGTTTGTTGACATCAACCACCAATGCAAAGGCAGCAATATAGACCAACCTGAAACCTATTCACTTCTTTTAAGACCAGTATTATGGTATGTTGGCCTGAAGTCAATTTTCCATGCATCTAGGTAACAATTGCAATGCTTTCCGGTGCCCTATTGCCTGGGAACTTTGAGATCAGATGGTGCAAATGGAGAGATAATCCAGCAGTGTTAGACTAAAGAGGCATGCATTAAAGATTGATAGGCGTCCTTTACTCGGATATTATCATGAGTTCAAGAAAAGGAAACAGCTCCTTTATCGATATAGATAGCGTCTTAGTGCTAGAGTGGATCTGGAGACGCGTTGCAAATATGCAAGTCATAAATGGTCCAGACTAGTATTCTCAGTGGCAAGACCAGTGCAGTGCACAATATTGTACTGCATTTTGGGATAAAAAACAAATAAAAGTATTGAAACTTATTCCTCAATATGTAATCTCCTTGCTAACATATATTCCTCTATGTATATAGACTTTAACAACAGCTTTCAAGAACCCATGAGGCTATTATGTGGACCGGATCTCCCCGCGTGCCATTTGCGCGGTCGTGGTTGGTCCGGGCGCTCAGGCCAGCTGTCGTCCGGCCTAAGCTGGCTTCCACGCCCAGATCTTCTTTTCTCCTATCCACCCTCCGGTCCGAGTCAATTGATCTACCTGTAAAAGGTGAGTTTTCTATCTCCGAAGACACCGAAGTTTCATCTCTTCAGTGTCTATTTGATGATTATCCCCATATACTCTGATCTAACACGCGTCGCAGCCCCAAGATGCATTTCACATCACTTGTCGCCCTCCTCCCTGCCCTTGCCCTGGCACAGGAACAGGTGCCCCTCGCCGACCGTGTGCAGGGATGGTTCAACAAGGCCAAGTCCCTCGTCCCGACCGCTGTCCCGGTTGACCCCATCGTGAAGCTGTCTGAGAAGGTCACCGAGAAGAGCGTCACTCCCTTGACTCTGAGCAACTGGGAGTCTATCCTGACTCCCGGCCTCGAGCCTGAGGACTGGCTTATCTTCGTGACTGGCGGAAACAAGACCTGCTTCGGTCGTTGCGAGCACGCCACCAAGGCATTCAACGTAAGTAATCACCATGGGTTCGCTGACATGCTCAAATCCAGGGCATTCGGGCTGAACTCCTCCCAAACGGTACTTTTGATTCCCATCTGACAACGTCTCTTTTCATCAGGAATCCACCCTTCTCTTCGCTGCTGACCCTACCTCTCCTAACCTCGGTTACATGGACTGTGAGGAGAACCGCGTTCTCTGCTCTATCTGGTCTGCCGGCGCTCCTAGCATCTACTACTTCGAGAAGCCCGTGACCCAGTCCGAGGGTCGCGCCCCTACTCCCTTGCACATCATCTACCTGAACGCCACCACCATTACTCCCAAGGAGATCTACGAGATCCACTCCAAGAAGACTTTCCAGGAGACCGAGCCTTATGAGGGCGCTATGCACCCTACCGACAGCTGGCTCGCCCAGAACAAGCTGAACACCCCCATCGGTTACGCTCTCTACGCCATCGGTGCTGTCCCCAGCTGGATGTTCATGATCGGTATCAGTTTCTTCAGCCGTACCTTCATGTAGGTTTCCTCAAACTCCGTTTCCAACTGTCTTGTTAGACCACCATACTAATCAACCCTCCTTCTTTAGGGGCCGTCGCATGGGCAACGTTGGTGCGCAGCAGCGTCCTGCTGCCGCTCCCGCTGGAAGCGCTAACTAGAACCTCTTCTTTTATTTGGTGGTTTATTTTTTGGTTCTTTAGGTTGTATATAGCGAGTTGCGGGCCCCGGGCCTCCTGGATTACGTTCAATGCACTTGGTTTGCCGCGAACTATTCATTCGAAGACACTTGGATAACATTTATTGGGGGCACTGGCTACAGTACTAGTTGTGCCCCAAAGCTAGTTCAATAGTATTTTAATTTAGGCCGATCCCTCGGTTCGACTGCAAACTACTACTAATTTGACCTTTTCTCCTTCAACCTGTTCTATGTTCTGATCAATGCCAATGTCGATTAAGTGCTAAAGCGAGTAAATATCCACACACGGAACCATCCAATGTTGATGGGTGCAACTAGTATGTGTTTCCAAGGAAGTTAGTGTTTCAAGTTGTGGTGACTGAAGTAGTAGTAGTACATAGTAGGCCCACGATGACCGAAACCCGTAGACGGGGAACATATACATATACTAGTAACCTTAGAAAGCCCCAGCAATTTGGGCAAAAAGACATCAATTGATTATAATGCTGAATAAAAATTTGCAATTAGAATAAGAAACCTTATTCAAATTTATAAATCGTTTACAAAATAGATAAAATTCGATTTTATTTTAGAAGCTACCATAGTACAATAAACCAAAATATCGCTAGGCGTCGCCGCAGGATATGTCATCATCGGCGATCCGATTCTCACCCACTGCAACTCGAACCTCAAAAGCAACAACCCACAATCAATCAATTCTCCTCCACCCTCTCCCTCCTAAAAATGGCCGCGCCAGTCCCCCTAGACCGCATGCCACCCACAACAACCGCCTACGTGATCGCGACCGCAATCCTTGCCGGTGTGACAGGTTACTTCATCGGCCAAGGCGCCTCAATAAACCTCTTCAAAGAGAAGCAAGGATGGCCAAATGGATACGACGTTAAGCCCCCCGTGGACTCCTCAGATGAAGAACTTGAAGGCGAATCCGACGACGAGAGCGAGGATGGAAACGGCGAGGAACTGGCAAACTTCAAGGACAATGTTGAGGAGGTGAAGCTTGTGCTGGTTGTTCGAACTGATCTGGGCATGACCAAGGGTACGTTACGTTGATGGTTCACAAGAGACACCAAGAAAGAACCGAAACCCCTCAAAACATATCGACATGGATTGATTGTATGCGCACATTATGCGCACATTATGCTAACTTATTTGTTTTGTGTTCTTATAGGCAAAATCGCCGCCCAAGCCTCCCACGCTACACTTGCTTGCTACAAATATTTCCTGAAACATGAGCCTGAGTCCCCTATTCTGCGCCAATGGGAGAACATGGGGCAGGCTAAGATCGCGCTGCAGATCAAGGGCGAGGATGAGTTGTTGACGCTGCAGGCGCAGGCTATGAGTCTTGGTCTTTGCGCGCGTGTTATTCAGGATGCGGGCCGTACGCAGATTGCTAGTGGGAGTCGGACGGTTCTAGGTGTTTTGGGACCTAAGAGCGTTGTTGATGGTGTCACGGGGCATTTAAAGTTGCTATAAACCACATTATTACCCATGTGTATATTTATGCGTGATATATAGGAGGATATAATGGTCATGATCCATGATTTGACGAATCGTCTCATCTCATCTCTCACTTCTGCATGTCCCCGCAGGCAACGCGGTGGGTCTAGTCCGTTGTTTAGAGCTTGTAGAAATTTTCATGCGATGCAGAGTAGGTAGCTAGCTCTGCAGGCTCATCTGAAAAATTACTTTTAAAGCTAAACCTGGACGCGGTGTTGCTTCTGTCGAGGTCTGCTCTCCGCGAGGATCGCCTCTCCCGATGTTTACGATATACGAATGAAAAAACAAAGCTATATAAATGGAATTGGGATGTTGGCAAGTCATGGTTAGCCCCTAGCCTCACGGACCAACGGCCATCGGCAAAGAGATTAGGAATATGACGCCGTCCACGAAAGGGCATCCAAGCCGAGCTCACCAGTGGGAGCTCAAGACCCAGACCACAAAGCCCAGTGCAGACATTTAATCTGAGATCTGTCGACTGGATACCGTAAAGTGCCATACATGTAGAAATGGATGGCTCCATGTCGTCGAACTGCCCAGCTCTCAACCGAAACATGAGGGAGAACCCCCATGACCAGGAAATCTGGACACAGATCTGTGCTTGTGTATTAGGTTGAAGAAAAGAAAGAAGGAAAAAAACCCAGAGAGAGAAACTTTTATGAGGATCCAGAAGTGGCGCTAGACCTATTGGGGAATAGTGGATACTGTCACATGACCAGCTATGAATCAAGTGGACCAACCGATATTGATAGCGGATTCAAGACGACGTTTGGAGTTGGATCTTGGATCACCCTTTCTTCTTTCTCTTTTCGAAAACCCCCTTCCATTCACTGCTGCGTTGTGCTGTCAGGTGAACACTCGGCACAATGACGGACGCCGTATCCATCGAACAGACTAATAAGATCCGAATCTCTCTTGGACTGCCACCACTCGCTGTCCCGGGCGCCACCGGTCCAGCGTTCCAAGATGACGACTCTTCGAGCGGATCGGAAGACGAAGAAGACCCCGCGAGTACCATTGAAACCCGTCAAGCGGAGGGATACGACAACTGGAAGAAACTTCAGGATGAATCCGATGCGAAGCGCCGACGCGAAGAAAAGAACGCTGCAATCAAGAAAGCGCGCGACGAAGCCCAACGAAAACTACAACTAGAGGGCACTACGCTGGGTGATGCGGAGGGACCCGATCTCGATACCAAAGCCTGGCTGATGCAGTCTAAGAAACGAACAAAGAAAATCGAGAAGGAACGAGCGCGCAAACTTGCTCAGGAATTCGAGGAACGAGAACGTGAGGCCGCTATTCAATACACAGCTGCCGATTTGGCTGGTGTCAAGGTTGGGCATTCTATGCGTGCTTTCGAAGGTGGCGAGGATCACATTCTTACACTGAAAGACGCTGGGATTGATGAAGAAGAAGAGGGCGATGAGCTGGAGGATGTGAATCTGGCCGAGAAGGAGAAGGCGGATGAGAGAAATGAGTTGAAGAAGCGCAAGCCTGTCTATGACCCCACTGCTGAAAATCAAGGAATCCTTTCACACTACGACGAGGAAATCGAGGGCAAGAAGCGCAAGAGATTCACACTTGATGCCAAGGGCTCTACGGAAGAGGAACGGGAAGCTAAGAGACAGGAAGTCTCTAACAAATTGAAGATGGGCTCTATCAGTCTTGATTTGGAGCCCGAGATCCCGGCTTCTGATTACATGGATATCAGTGAAGTCAAGATTAAGAAACCAAAGAAGAAGAAGAGCAAGACTACCAAACAACGAGCTACCATTGAGGACGACGATCTTTTCCCTCCCACCGAATCAAATGGAGCATCGATGGAGGTTGATTCAGCAAATGGTGTTCCAGTTGTCGCCCCTCGAAAGCCAATCGATCAGAATGTCTCCTTTGTGGATGATGACGATTTACAAGCATCTCTTGCTCTCCAGCGCCGTGCTGCATTCAAAAAGCGCAAGAAGATGCGCCCCGAGGATCTTGCCCAACAGCTTCGTGAAGAAGAATCACAAACTCCAATGGAGGTAGAGACCCCCGGGGATGAAACAGAAGAACCCGGTCTCGTTATCGACGAGACATCAGAATTCATTTCCAACCTTCAGAAACCCACCATTCCCGAGAAAGAGGAGCGACGGAAGTCTACACCCATGGAGGACGGAGCTCCCCAGCCCGAGCACGAGGATGAGCTACAGGACGTCGATATGGAGCGCTCTTACAATGATATCGAAGACGACGAGGACCTCGCCGAGCGTCTCAAGCAAGCACAATCCGAAGAGGCCAAACAAGAGCTTACAGGTACCGGATTGGAAGAAGAATCTACATTGGACCAGGGTCTAGGAGCTACATTGGCAATGCTACGACAGCGTGGTCTGGTGAAGAAGGAAACGAACAGCAGCGAAAACAACGTCCTTACCCGAGACCGTCAACGTTTCCTGCAAGACAAGCTGAACCGCGAGGCCGACGCCGACCGACGCGCCCGCTTACAACGTGAACGCGACCGTGCTTCCGGCAAGCTTGACCGCATGACAGCCCGTGAGCGCGAGGAGTACGCCCGATGGGAGAACAAGCAACGTGACCAACAAGAAGCGCGCCAGATGGCGGAAATCTTCAGTAAGGAGTATAAGCCGGATGTGCAACTTAAGTACACTGATGAATACGGTCGTGCGATGAACCAGAAGGAAGCATTCAAGCATCTCAGTCACCAATTCCACGGAAAGGGCAGCGGCAAGATGAAGACGGAGAAACGATTGAAGAAGATCGAGGACGAACAGAAGCAAGAGGCTATGAGTACCTTGGATAGCAGTCAGCATACGGGTATGAACAATGCCATGGGAGCTCAAGCGCGTAAAAATCGTCAAGCTGGTGTGCGACTGGGTTAAAACAGAACAGAACAGCGGATGTTGTTGCTTTGTTGAGATTGCAGATAATCATATTTTATCCTGTGTATAGAGTTGCGAAATGACCACCTCACGATCTACATAATATTTCACGTTGTTTTTGCTGCTCCATGTCCCGCTAGACTGTATTTGTATAGTCCTCCCGATTGATCGGCTCGTCGGGTTGCTACGTAATGAACCCAGTATAGGTAAGTCGGCGCCGGGTCGATCAGACCATCGCTCCCTTTGTCTCCGCGTGTGGGGATTCGACATTTCCCCCATTCACACTTGGTCGGATTCAAAGCCGAGATATTTTCTTCTGCCAAACTTTTCAACGAGAGCCTCGACACAACCTTACACTTTACAATGTACAGTATACATAGATAGCTTCGCTAATGCAATTACTTCTTTACCATGATCCTCATATTTTCCTTTATGCGCCCTGTCCGCAAACACCGGGATTTTACCCCAACTGGGCGTGAGGGGAAGGACTGATGGTATTGTGGAGCTGGCAGCCTGAATCAGCTCACCGGGGAATTGAACTCCCGAAGTCGCGCAATGTCGGGGATGCATTTCCATATGCACTAGAACCTGGAGTGTCCGTATATTATCTGATCTACACGATGTGCTGTTATAAACCCTAATGGTGTGGAGGTAGAGCTTAAGAACGTAAAAAACATACCACTATTTGTTAGCAGAATACATAGTACTTGTAGTACTTACAGACTGAAAGCAATACATAGACTGTAATAACATAGCAACATTGAATTGATGTAGTAGCTCCCCAATAATCCTGTATTGACCCCTGCGTGGCCCCCAGTCTCTCTGCAGAACTGTGCGGAGGGAATAGCCAATCCTGCTCTCTCCGCCCTTTGGCCTTTCGCATGGACGCCGATGCGGACGTACCCGGTACCAGGCATAACTATGTAACCCCACAGCACAGACTTTGTACCCGATACCGTCATCACATGAGTCAAGGGCCAAAACAGACCGCAGCATCTCCGACCATTTTCTTATTATTGATCCCGGTTTCTTCCCCTTCCCTTCCCTCCCCCGTCTACACCTTTGGGTCTCTCCTCTCCATTCCACTTCATTCTTATCCAAAATTTACAAAAATGCTCTCCACTCTGAGAGTCGCCGGTCGTTCGACCGCTGCCCGCGAGGCTAACGTGCGCATCGTCATGGGTGCTCGCCAGGCCTCGGCCTGGTCCAAGGTTCCTCAGGGTCCTCCTGTAAGCTTCACGCCCTGTTTATTCTGATTTTTTGATTCTGCTGTTGTCAATTGAATCTTCAAACGGTCAATACTGATGCAATGGACTCGATAGGATGCCATTCTGGGTATCACCGAGGCCTTCAAGGCCGACTCCTTCAAGGAGAAAATCAACCTGGGTGTTGGTGCTTACCGTAAGTAATCACCCTGGAAACAACATAGAAGCTAGCTAGCTAGCTAGCTGTACAAAAACATTGGAATTGCCATAGCTAATTAAACCCCCTTCTCCCATTCAGGTGATGACCAGGGCAAGCCTTTCGTCCTGCCCTCCGTCCGCGCCGCCGAGGACAAGGTTGTCGCTTCGCGCAGCGACAAGGAGTACGCCGGCATCACCGGTATCCCCGCCTTCACAAGCGCCGCCGCTGAGCTGGCCTACGGCACCGACTCCGCCGCCCTCAAGGAAGACCGCCTCGTCATCACTCAGACTATCTCTGGCACTGGTGCCCTGAGAATCGGTGGTGCTTTCCTCGAGCGCTTCTACCCCGGCGCCAAGAAGGTCTACCTTCCTAACCCAAGCTGGGCTAACCACAACGCCGTCTTCAAGGACTCCGGTCTCGAGGTCGAGAAGTACCGTTACTACAACAAGGATACCATTGGTCTGGACTTCGATGGTCTGATCGAGGATATCAAGGCCGCCCCTAACGGCAGCATCATCCTCCTGCACGCTTGTGCCCACAACCCTACCGGTGTTGACCCTACTCAGGACCAGTGGCGCAAGATCAGCGATGTCATGAAGGAGAAGGAGCACTTTGCCTTCTTCGACATGGCTTACCAGGGCTTTGCTAGCGGTAACGCTGACCAGGATGCTTTCGCTCCTCGCCACTTCGTCAAGGAGGGCCACAACATTGCTCTGTGCCAGAGTTTCGCTAAGAACATGGGTCTCTACGGAGAGCGTGTTGGTGCTTTCTCCCTTGTTTGCGAGTCTACCGAGGAGAAGAAGCGCGTTGAGTCTCAGATCAAGATTCTCATCCGTCCCTTCTACTCCAACCCTCCCATTCACGGTGCCCGTGTTGCTTCCGCCATCATGAACGATGCCAAGCTGAACCAGCAGTGGCTCGGTGAGGTCAAGGGTATGGCCGACCGCATCATTGAAATGCGCGCTCTCCTGCGCAAGAACCTCGAGCAGCTCGGCAGCAAGCACGACTGGTCTCACATCACCAGCCAGGTAAGTGGAAACACTATCGCATTGATTTATTCTCATTCGATTCGAACTTTGCTAACCAGTTATTAATTAGATCGGTATGTTCGCCTTCACTGGTCTGAAGCCCGAGCAGATGGACGCTCTCGCCAAGGAGCACTCCGTCTACGCCACCAAGGATGGCCGTATCTCCGTTGCCGGTATCACCTCTGGCAACGTCCAGCGTCTTGCTGAGTCCATCTTCAAGGTTACTGGTTAAATTGGATAAGAATTTAGACATGAACTACTAGAGACGAAAATGGGTCCTAGGAATTGCATTTCTAGAATGAAGAATTGAATAAGGCTACGAAGGAAAAGGAAATCGAGCTCATGCTATGTGCCGGATTGGGTACTTGCTGGCTCTTGTACTGATATCTAATGTCTCTGTGTTTTATATTTAGCATGGCTTAGCTTTGTCCATCTCAACGGGGATTTTGGATTACTATCTGTTTCTTTATTCTTGAACTCTCTTTAGATTGTATTGTCTCTTCGTTGAGGTTGTAGAGATGCAGTCATCCACGGAAACATACTGAGTATAGATAGGTTAAAGACGACAATCCACTTGTGATCATGATCCTGTACATAATTTGATTGACATTGATGAACATTGATGATTTAAACGAAAACAACTCTCCAGTGCTGTGCAGTATAGGTGATAAAGTACTATGTATGTACATCTTAGTCCGAGTCATCTTTTCCATATTCAACCTGCACCCAATCTAGGGCCCATTCGGTTGTACCACTCCGTTGAAGGGGGAACTCGGCCTCAGGCTTTTTGTTCTTCGTCCTTGATATGAATTTCCTGCAATGTTTGACAACAAAGACACCATCTGTGGTGAATTTACCATTCTTAGGTGTTGAAGGACGATATGGGAGGTCAAAAAGTGGGATGGCCTCCACGTTGAGCTTGAGTGTCATATCTGCCTTGTCCTCCTCATCTTCATCTTCCTCTTCCTCTTCCTCATCGTCGTCCTCCCATTCATTATCTGACTCTGGCCATCCACGCTCCTGGCGGTCCCGACACTCTTCCAAATTCCCAGTAGCAGTTTCATACCTCCAATCGGCAATATGATTCAACTTACGATCCACCAAGCTCCATTCCGCTCCATTCTTCATCAAAGTCTCACAGCCATCCGGCCAAGATACAAGCGCCGCTGCATGCAACGCAGAAAAATAATGGCCACCAAGTACTTCCACCTTAGCCCCACGTTCAAGGAGCAGGTGAAGCAAGTCACTGTTTCCACTGACAGCAGCAGCCTGCAAGACAGTATGATACTTCCCGCCAATCTTATGAATATCTGCGCCATATCGAAGTAGCAGCAGAGTACTAGGAAGGGATCCAGTGGCTGCTGCTGCTTGCAATGCACCGGAGTAAATGCCACCTGGACCATTTGGATTGATACCTCTTTTTAACAGCAGCTCTGCAATTTCAATATTGCCGTGAAGGATAGCAGCTGTCAGCGCAGTTCCGAATTTCCCGCCAATGGTATTGATATTAAACCTGTGACGAAGGAGAGCTTTGATAACAGCCTTGTTCCCATTGACACTGGCTGCTTGCAGTGCGTTGTGGTATTTACCTTTACCGGTAGGATTGATATCTGCACCTCGCTTGAGTAGGTAGGAGAATATGGAGAAATCAAGTTTTCGTGCAGCAAACTCCACGGGTGAGCTATATCGATCATTCATAGAACTGAGATCAGCTCCCTTTTCAACTAGAAGTTTGAGCGTGGCTAGATGGCCGTTCTTGATTGCCGCATGTACTGCTGAGGGGTAAGAGCTATTTCCCTCCAGGTTAATATTTGCACCTGCGTCCAAGAGCGTGAGAACGGTTTCTTCTTCTCCATGCGCAGCTGCACATATTAATGCATTCCCATACACGCCGCCTCGGGCATTTACATCTGCCCCAACATCAAGCAATATGTCCATGGTAGAATCAACACCGGTTCGAAAAATGATAGACTGCTGAAGTGGCCAGCCATATTTCCGAATCGGGACATTCGGATTAGCACCGTGGTATCGAAGAAGATTGGAAACTAAAGTCGCACAGGAGGCTCCAATTGCAGCACCCAAAGCTGTTCCGTACTGCCCGCATTGAATATTAACAGAAGCACCGGCCTTAAACAGCTCATCAATGACCACGTAGTATCCCTCTGTATATGCGGCTTGCAATGCTGTACCGTACTTGCCTCCCACAATATCAGGATCTGCCCCGTGTTCGAGCAAGAGAACACAAGCATTTTCTTTGCCCCAGGAAGCCGCCGCTTGAAGGGCAGTACCGTATATGCCTCCATTATTGTTCACATTGGCTCCAGCCTCAACCAGTACCTCTATTATATCGACAAGGCCGTAAAAGGCAGCTGCTGTGAGCGGGTATTCATAGTCAGGCCCAACGGCTTCATTGACATCTGCTCCCCGTTCAATGAGAAGTTTTATTATTTCGAGATTTCCCTCCTCTTGCCCATCAATGGATGCTACCAACGCGCTGCCATTGCTTCCAAGTTGACTTTCCTTTACGTTCGCGCCGGCATCGATCAATGCCTTGACGGCTTCAAAGTGGCCTTTATATGCAGCAGCTTGTAAGCACGTGCCATGTGTGCCTCCAGATTGATTCACGTCGCTCCCTGCATCTAGCAGGATATGTATTTTATCCGAGTCTCCCCGGAAGGAAGCGACTTGCAATGCAGAAGAGAATTTGGCATCGTCGGTATCCACCGAAAGATGTGCACCCCTTTCAATCAATTTTCGAACCATTTCATTAGATCCGTGATATACTGCAGTCTGAAGAGCTGTCACACACCCATCATCGGAATCATCGTCAGAGTCTTTGTCCGAGTCGTCATCGGAAGAATCATCGGAATCGTCATCGGAGTCGTCATCGGAGTCATCTGCAGAATCATCGTCTGACCCGTCATTTGATTTGTTCTCTGTAGAATCAGATCCAAGATTGATATTAGCGCCGTGGTCGAGGAGCAATTCCACAAATCTGTCATCAGAACAGGTCATTGCTGTTCTCAGAGGTGTGGGATAAGATCGATAGCTGATGTTCACATTTGCGCCACGTTCGAGAAGAGTCACGCAGAGATCATAGTTTTCATTCGTGAGAGCACCCATCAGAGCACAAAAGATTTTGTCGGTGGTTCTTGCAGTGGCATTAACATATGCCCCGGCATCAAGCAATAGCTCTGCAATTGCAACTGCGATGCTTGATTCACCTCCATGAGAAGCCGCTATGAGCGCAGTCCCATACTTCTCTTTGTTTGTAAAGTTCACATCTGCCCCAAGCTCGAGTAGAAGGCGTACCATTTCGATGCTCCCCTTAGCAGCTGCAGCTTCTAATGGTGTGGAACACGGATATGTGGCCATTGTGCTGCAATCGTCAAGAGCTGCTCCTTTCTCATGTAGGACTCTCACTGCATCAATGTGTCCCTTGCTTGCAGCTACCATGATAGCATCGCTCATATCGACTGTATCCCCAGTGGGAACTCCTACTTCACATAGAAGCTGAATCATTTCCACATGGCCATTCTGAGCAGCAGAAACTAGAGCAGTACCTCTATCTCCACCGTCGGCATTGACATTAACACCTGCCTCTGCCAAGACACGTACTACATCCGTGCGCCCAGAATATGCAGCGATCTGTACACTGTTCCCGTAGTGAACGTCGAAGAAATCCACATCCGCCCCAGCATCAAGAAGACATTCAACTATTTTGACATGACCTTCAGCACTAGCGGCATTAAGTGCATTGCGGTGTTTTCCTCCCTTCGCATTGACATCAGCTCCAAGCTCAAGAAGAAGCTTCACAGCATCCAATTGCCCCGCAATACTGGCCGCATATAAGCCATCGGTTCCCTTGTCATTCTCATCATTGACTCGTGCTCCATGCGAGACTAGAGAGCGAATCAAATCCAGCATACCCATAGAAGAGGCCGCCATCAATGCGCATCCATGTCGACCACCCAGGGCATTCACATCAGCTCCGCGTTGAATCAAAGTATCGATAATTTGCATGTTCCGGCCAACAATTGCAGATACAAGTGGATTTGCATACCAGCCACCGCGGCCATTTACGCTGGCGCCACGATCGAGGAGTATTTTGAATGTTTGAAGGTGTCCCTTTTCAGCGGCTGCGGCGAGAGGAGTACCGTATCTCTGGTTAAACACGTTCATGTCTGCGTTATGATCGAGAAGAAGCGTGACAACGTGATGTCGACCATTTAAAGAAGCAATTTGGAGAGGACTGCCATTGTGCCCTGCACGCGAGTTCGGGTTCGCTCCTTTTTCGAGCAAAAGCCGAGCTACACGGTCATGTCCATGGTTTGCAGCTATACAAAGACATTTTTCGAGGATGCTCGGGTTTATTGATGGTCGTGTGTCCAAGTAAACTTTAAGAACCTCGTCATGTCCGGCATGGGCACTTGCTCTCATTGGTTCTTCTTCGTGGGCATCTGGTTGCGCCTCAAGTAAGGCTGAGACAGCTTGGGGTAACCCGAACAAGCTTGCAAAGTAGAGAGGAGAACCCCTTGAAGTGCTCAGTCGATAGCGCGGGATCTTCTGCAGGTAAAAGTAGATGTGACACCATGCACTGTAGCTGCTGCCAGACTCTTCTCCAGATTCCAGTAAACGCATGGTCAAATCAAATAAGTCTTCACTGATATCGCTAAGATGTGCATGGAATCCCCATGCCTGCACGGCATATGGCAAAAACTTATACTCGTTGAATGTCTGCATTAAATCCCGTCCGGATTCCTCTTCAGTTCCTGAAAAGTTATCATATGTCAAATAAGTCAGACAGACACTCGCTAATTCAGTGTGGACCTCGCTGTTCCCAATCCAGAATTGCGGCATTGTATCCTTGATAGAGCTCGATTCTAAGAACTCCTTAACCGTATAGTGGGCCAAGGAGACAAAACCATCGGGCGTGAGCGTGACTAGACTCCCACAAAGCTCGAGAACATCTTCTGCATCAGTGAACACCGCATCGAAATCGAACGAGTCTTCAGGTTCGCTCAGATTAATGCTCACACACTCTGCCAACTCTTCCAGTGTGAGATTTCGAACTCCTCGAACTAGCCATTTCAGCAACCGGTGAACCATCTCGACATCCTCAGAATTTTCAGCCTCCACCTTCTGCAGAATCCGAATATATGTGTCATGGAGTGTTTTCGGGAGATCATCAAGCGCATTCCGCACAGCTTTATCATTGCGAAGCTTGCATAATTGATCAATCTGGCATTTCACCCATTGAAACATGCCCTGCGATCCCTTGATTAGCGTCTCACAAATAATATCTGCCAATGCCGGATCTCTTAGCTTCAGCTTTCGAGTCTTGATTTTCTCCACCACTTCTGCTTTCACATATAGATCAATGTCCCCAGCTACATCTGTTGCCTCAATAGTTGTGCTAGGTAGACCCTCATATGTCCGCGCAATATCAATTTCATGGCGACTGGTGACGAAAATATTTGAATATTGGCAAGTCTCGGAGATGGTCTTCAAGGCGTGTGCAACACATTCTCTATCTTCACTTTCATCCAAAGCATCCACAACAATATAGATCTTCTCAAAACTATCGCCCAAGAATTGACTGAAATTGTTTAGAAGCTCATCAAACTCCGGAGTATAAGCTGGATTCTCCTTCAACTGCCGCTCGAAGAATTCCTGTATTCGCTCAAAAACCTCATCATTCCGCGAGGCAAGCATCGACAATAGCGTGCTGAGAATCCGTGTCGGTGACTGCTTCTGTTTGTCCTTATAGTCACAGTAAAAATAGGCCAAGCCAACTGTACTACTCTGTTTGTGTTCGCGCAGCCACTCAATAACAGTTGATGCGAGAATCGTCTTTCCCGCGCCAGGTATGGCATACAACCACAAGAACGCGTTATGCAGAGCCACCAAATCTTGAAACTTCAAACCATCCAAGAACCACAATCCTGTCCCCTTATAACGCAGCTTCGTCGCCGAATTATGATTCGAAGCTGCATTAACAGGTGATAACCAATGTGTCATACTATCAATTCGTTGTGCATCAATGAACTGCGCAACAGTCTTTTGATGCGATTCCATCGCATCCCAGCGAGATGTCTGTAGTTGTCGTTCATGATCTGCTTTTGTTCTCTCTTTATATGCGAGTTCTTTTTCGGCAACGTCAACTTCGTGGTCGATTTTGACCATACAAGATCGAATTTGAGCGACTATGCTGCCGAATTGCATTTTGAATGGTTTCCAGATGAGTTTCCATGCTGCGTGTAGACCGACGGGGTTTAATGCTCGTAGTCCGCTTTGGTATTTTTTTCCTTGGTGGAATACATCTCGGGCCTTGGAGCAGAATTGAATGATAGATTGGAATATGTCTACCATTGAGTCCCTGAGAATCTCATTGTCGGGATATAATCGTGGATATCGGCGTAGACAAGAGAGAATGTATCCGATTTCTTCTAACATATCCGATATCTTATCAAAGTATTCGCCATAGTCTCCTGCAATCTGTATAATTCAATTTCGTTAATTCGTGTCCATCAACGGTAATTTAAGAGAAAAGAAGACGAACAAAAGAGTTAGAGAAGAGAACAAATTTACCTTGAGGACGACTCGTACAGAAGCCCAAATGGGACTCATCAACGAGACAGAGCCAGCAATTACATCCAAAGCCCCACCAAACTGCTCAACACCCGCTACAAAAGCACTCAATTTCGGCGCGATCTTTCTCGAAATACTACTCTTGGATCTCTCATCGACACTCTTCAGATCATCGATCAGCTGCTGTGACTGAGTAGTAGCTTCAAACAAAGATGTTTCATCCTTAGAAAGATCTTCGATGAAATTCCGGATCGCATCGTGACATTCATCGTCCAGGGTCGAGCTAGTGAGGCATTAGCTTGACATGTCATCTTATTGTGGGGGAGGGGCAAATGCGGCTGGAATCGTTGCTTACTCCTTAGATGGGTCCTTCATCTTCGACTATGTACTGTATGGAGCACCCTTAGGTACAATGAGGACCTAGAGAACAATAGATCTAGCTGGACCTCCGATCTTGAAGGGCAGGTGATGATCACAAGTGGCCAGCTTTAAATGTTGGACCCATGGTTCCATTGCGGGTGAGCCTCGTGTTGGTTGTCGCTCCATATAATGATAACGTAAGCCGTTAGCTAGGCAGAGAGTTAAGTACAATTAGGTAGTGATTCGCGTTTTTGTAGTTAATATTTATTATTTTTTTGCAGTAGAAGACCATGCGATGCTCTTGGTAGCTTTAAGGAGTGTATATTTATGCGAGTATAAGTTGAACCCTGGCCTGTATTGCATAGGTATAAATGGACCGGGAGTTTAAAAGCATGAGCTCGGGAGATCATCTCCAAGGGCTTAATTAAGTACAGGCATGAGTTGTAGGCACGTAGTCAAGCGGTAGGCCCTGGCAGGATTCGTTTGGTTACGGATTTCGCAGGGATTAGTTACTCACCGAACGTTTAAGATAACGTCCTAAGATAACGTCCTGTTATCTTCGCTTGCTTGGAAGGATCCGACGCCCCTTGAGTCATACAAATAAAGCTCCACTCGCTACCTTCTTTGCGGGATAACAGGTACCTTGTATGGATCCATGTAATATGACCATGTATGTACCCAAGACATACTCCTTTTTTTCTCTTTCCACAAGGTAGAAAACGTGATGTCTCCATTTTAACCCTGGAAGCTACTTGACGCTAACTTAGACCGCTCTTACAAGGCTCTACGTTGGCCCCAAGGTTCTATTTATACGCGGACCTAGTCTATGTCCGTTAAATTACTGCGCCCGTTTTCTCTCAGAAACAAAGAAAGTAAAATCAATTAAAATTTACTAGTAGCAAAGCGTGACAGGTCCGAAGTCGGCTATATTAAGTGTGGATACGAAGAGGCGCTAGCTTGAGGTATCGTTCATGCCAGCGGAAATCCGGTTAGAAAGCTCGTATACCTGAAGTACACCTCAGCACCCAAAATCCTGGAACCTTGGGAATCTGGAAGCGAGCTAACCTTGTAGGAAAGGTAATCCCAAACGGCGGGATGAGATTCTATTCGTCAATTTGAAATTCAATTTTTGAGTGATAAGATAATATTTATCACCTGTTGATTATATCCATTTATGGCCCCAGAAATTATTCAGTTGTTGAGAACTGAGACGCGAAACCAACAACTTCAAACATTCTCATAGGCTATTTTGTTTGGTAGTGTATGACCTCACATGTGCAGGCCAGTCGTGTTCAAAGGTTCCATGATGTAATGGGCATGTATTTTACACAATGTCTTTCAAGGTGATACGGTACGGTAATACAGAACAGAAATTGAGACTCGGGTTGGATGGGTCCCGTGACTCAAACCATGTGTCAGCGGGCCAATCAGCGATTGCGTGGCACCGGTGAACCAGACAATCGTTAATCCGGGGTAAAATGCGTGGATCTACGGGGCTTGAGCTGAGCAAGGATTAGAGTGGGTAGGGATTAATGGTTTAAAGATGATGACTTTTGGGCTTATTCGTTATTGCATTTTTACGAGATATGTGGAGATAATTGATGTGTGGAATATTTTGTTTTTGTCTCTGCCTAGCTCGCTTGAAACGAGTGGATATGAAGATGAAGATGAATATGGATATGAATGGGAATATGAATATGCAACTGGGAATAGGAATGCGATAGTTCGTTGTGCGCGGAATCCCTCGCAAAATGCAGATAGATGTAGTGTTGAGGAAGGATTAATGCAAAAAATGTGGAAATGCACTTGAAGATTGCGGGGAGGAAAAACGAATGAGGAAAAGAAAAGAAAAACCATTGAACGCCGAACTGTCGATTTGAGTGTAACCGTTAAGATTCATTTTTCGCCATGTTGGTTGGGGTGAACGCGAATCCCTGCCGCGGCTGTCACCATGCAGAGGGAAAAGAAGACCGAAACAAACGCAACTTCGGAATTTACCGCATTGATATCATCACATATGAGTGCCTTCTCGCAGACGTCGATCCTCGTCCCAGATCTCCCGTTTTTCTTTTTGGAGATGCTCGTGTTGGCGCACAAGTTTGTCCAGATCTGCCTGAGAAGGGTGGGTCTGTGTCTCGAGGTTCTTATGCAAGTTCTTGTACTTGGCATAATTCCTCTTGAACAGCTGCGACCGTTCCGACAGACGTTGCCGGGCAATGTCAAAGCTCATTGGTGGAGAGGCACTGCCGGTACTTCCTCCGCTAGAGGCGCTAACTGCGCGTCGCCGCTTGTGATCCAGATTGCCAGTGTTGCGTGTGGGTGCAGGATGTGCCCCTACCGGTTCAGCTTTACGCTTCAGGGGGTTGGCAGTGGCCGTAGACTTGGTGACACCACTGTTTTGACCAGCAGGCTTTGTAGCACGAGCAGTTGCCGCGGCTTTGTTGGTGCGAGAAAGTTGGGAGATCAGAGGAGAGGACGATGACGAGCTGGAAGACTGATTATGGCCATCGGTGCGACGGCGGTCATTGGACACCTCTGAAGCATTTGTTGGAGGAGATGACCCGAGTGGAGATGGCTTCTGAGGTGAAGTGGACTGTCGAGCCGCGGCCTTCTTGGAGACTGTCTTGGCCTGAGAAGATTCCAACTTGGGAGTTGGTGCTTCAGCCTTGGGGGCCTTAGAAGCAGGCGCAGTATCCCCAGCAGGACGCTTAGCAGGGGCAGGAGCTTTCTGAGGAAGATTTTTCTGGACCGGGGCTTTCTTAGGTGGAGCCGATTTCACTTCCTTCGGTCGGGCAGCCGGGGCCGAAGGAGGAGAAGGTGGCGTGGCATCAGGCATATCGGAATCATCATCGTCAGATGAGTTTACGAACTCCGCAGACTTGAATTTACTCTCCACCTTGGCCGGCGCCTTGCTAGCTGTCTTCTTGGTAACCCGGCCGGTCAAAGTACTGTTGTTGTTGGTGGTGCCAGTAGTCTTGCCCTTGACAGGTCGTTTAGCAGGCTCCTTCTGTGATTTTTGAGCCGTGTTCGATCGAGGAGTAGCTCCGTCCAGCCCCTTAAAAGTGCCAGACCCAGTAGAACGATCCACCTCGTTGCCCGAGGCATCATCCCGATCATCAGCCCCGTCCACTTGAATTCGCGGAGGAGCCGCCTTCTTGACCGGACCAGTGCTGAGGTTGAGACGTGATAGACACTTTCCCTTGCCTCGCTCCTCCTTAGGAAGAAGCATCTGCCAAAGCTTATCCGAGCGAGAAATCCGCATTCGATCGAATGCAGAAGTGGCATTTTCTATAGCCTGCTGCCGGTCCTCTTGATTCGGATATGGGAATTTCCACACGTCAAGATCCTTGTAGGATTTATCCTTCAGGTCGAATTTCTCGCGGTTGATTCGGTTCTCGGCACCGTACTTCTGGGCAAGGGCTCCGCAGTCCTCAATGGTGGAGCGAGTCTGACGGGCAAGGAACTTTGTTGACACTGCTCGAACGGCGAGAAGGTGAATGAAGGGGGTCTTGAGGGCTTCGAGACGGGCATTGTTTTTGATCTGCGAGGATGGGGCGGAGGTCGGTGTGAGGCCGGGGACAGGGGACCTGGGGGCACCAAGAGTCGGGCTTGAGGTCAAAGAACGATTGGCGGCAGTTCGAAGGATTCGGTCTCTCTCCAGATCGGCCTTGCTCTTGGGAGCTCGGCGAGCGGAGCTTCCACCACCAGCATCTCGAAGGGCTCTCAATTCATCTGGGTGCTGGAGCAGGTGTGTTTTCTTCGACTCCTTTCCTCGCTCGAATGCATTCAAGCTTTCCTCAAGGTTGGCTAAAGCTTGGTCGGTGGCTGCAGTAGCTTGTTTGGCCTTTTCCACCTCTAGGCTGTGGCTCAAAATACCGGTGAAGTAAAGGTTCCGCTCGTCGGGTGAGCCGTCGGTCGAACTGTGGTAGATCTCGGAACGGTGGGTTTCGGGGTAGGCATGGAAGGATTGGGATTTGCCCGCATATTGAATGGATGGGTGTTTTCCCAGGCGGACTCGGGAGGGTTGGTTATTGATCAGACTTTGAATCAGTTCATCCATAGTGTTCTGGGCCAGGTTCAGCCGCATAATTTGAGCTGGTTTCACCGAGCTGGGCCCGGACTGCTCCTCATGGCGGAGGGACAGGCCCGACTTCGGAATATCCAAACCAGAACTCATCTTGATCAGAGACAGTCAGAGAAGGAAGATTGGAAAAGACAGGATCGAGGTTGTGAACAGGGTCGGGTGGCAGCGTGAGAGCTGCAGATCAGGCGGCCAACTGCACGGGGGAATGAAGAAATACCATCCGCCATACGAATTCAGGGTTGGAAGTGAGTGAAGGATGATGGTAGTATGGTAGTAGAGAATGGCAGGACGGTCAAGAGTGAATGACCTTGGGGGGTATAAAGGAAGGAAGAAAGGAAAGTCAAAAGTGAAGAGAGTGAATGAGGGCGAGAGCAAGGCGAAGCGGAGAGTGGGGAGAAAGCTGACGGGGCGATTCCCTGGGCGAAAGTTGGTAAATTACAGGGGAGTTCCCGATGGGGTTTGCAAGGTTGTTTCTGCGGGTTCTCTGGCGCCTGTTGCTATACATATAGAAATATAATAGGGAATATAGAGACTATTGTACAAAGGACCTCTTCTAGGTTGATTCCTCTGGTTCTTTGAGACGCTTGTTTTCATTCTTCTCTCTCTTTTCTTTACTCCCAGGGGTTTGGACGAACTCCAGAGTCCCGTAATCAAAATTACCATAAATACCAAAATTACCCGTTCATGATCTCCATTCGGAAGAGCGATCCGTCCTTCATGAAAGGCTTGAAACGGCTTTGAAATCTAAGATAGTCCCAAGGTTGCTAATGGTGATTGATCTCTTTATTTCTCATTCTATTTTCTCCTCCCCTTTGCTCTATTCTGCTTTTTCCCTCCGAACTCAGTCCGAAGGAGTTGTAACGCTGTACTCCGTACGCCCCCAGCACATGCACAGGCAATGCCAACCTAAGCGCAGCCGACCTAACGCCGATGGTTTACTGTAGGTACGATAATACCATAAATAGTAAAAATAATAATAATATTCCCTATTAATTGTATTTATTATCCTGAGACCTTGGGTACCGATGACTCTTTATCAAAATTCAAACAACCCAGAGAATATTCCAATTAAATACCATCTTTTAATTCAATTCTCCACTTTCACCATTCAAAAGGACCAAGATTCGTTTAATCTACCGTGGTCACCCTAATTACTCCGTGAACCTTCCGTCGTGAGGAGAAAAGCGCCATCCGCGGGCAACAAGAAAAATAAAATAAAATAAACCAGAGCGAGAGAGAAGAAAAGGGAAAAAAAAAACAATATTAATAATTAAAATAAATATGGGGCTTCCCGAGTCCAGAACTTTTACTTGTATTCTTTATTAAGTCGTACCGAATACACCAAAGTGCCCACTTCTTTTCCTTTCCCCCTCTTCCAAGCGGAGCCCTGTAGTCATACGGATGCGGCCGGGATCCGAGGCACCTGAGTGGTTCTTTATAAAACTGCTGTGGTCTCGAGGTGCTCCAACCTTGGAAGTCGGGCACCCTTTCCAGTTCAATGCTGTAACAGAAAAGGTATGGGACATACCAGGAAGATCCGCGTAAGACTCCCTGACGGCCGATCACCCGCCATCCAATGTACTTCCATGTACATGTAATGTACGTGCTGGGAGGCAATCGCCGAGGAATGCTTCCTGCAATACAATCTTGTTACGCCTACGGAGTAGTGGATCAATTGATGTACAAAAGGGAATAGGTACATCACCTAGGGTACCCTTAGGGCGTGACCTTGTCGATTTCCTTTTGTGTTATTTTCTTTTCTTGTGCTTTCTTCTTTTGCCCCTCGTTCGTGTACGCAGGCACGGATCCTAAATAGATGACGAGTGTACAACAGTGCTTGAAATTTCCCGATGGTTCGGTAGTGGAACTTATTCGCTGTTCAATGCTGGGCTCGGCTGGTAAGACTGGTTATTTTACCTTTCCTAGCGGCCATTATGGGATGAGATCTTGTGTACTTTTTTTCCGAGATTCTATTCTACGCATGATTGATTTAATATTTGGGGCGACAAAAAAGAGACTATAGTATCATGGATCAAGTGCCTCTGCCTCCGCACCTATGTAACATTGTAAAGTAATATCAGTATTATTTAACCTCCAGAAGGGGGGAAAAGAATCATAAAAATAAAAATAAAAAAAACCATTCCGGCCCCCCTCACTACCATCTGACTAAGGTGGGTTCTGTTGTTGCACGACAAGACTCCGTTCATGCATGGGCCTCAATTCGCCTTTGCAACTGCGCCTTCTGACTTCCTAAGAGAGTCCCTTCCCTTCACGGGGACAAGTCGATCTATCCGATCCGATCACGTTCTGATCTATTCCTACCGGTACTGTACTCCGTACCGGTGACGAATGGCGCTCCAAAACCACCTGGCCCTACCGGTCCTACCCTAGAAGTTTCCCGCGAAAAATGGTGATTGGTGGAGTAGATGATCAGTACTTTAATCTACTGAAGTATTCAAGGAAATCGATTCACCTGAAGACTCATTGGCTATTCCATGCCTACTCCATGTTAATCCCCTGCCAGCTTGGGAACGGGCCCGAGAGGGGCATGCCCGTGGATCCCCTTACTGCAGACCCAGGTGGGCTCGGACTACCACCCATAGTGTCTCCATAGTGTGAGACAGGGGAGTCAATATTTAATACTCCTTTGATTATCCTGCATCCGCTTCTTGGAAGCTAATCCTATACCGAGAAATAATAATAAATCTCTCCATAAATCCCTCCCCGAGAGAACTTTGTCTAGCGTGTTTTTCACCTGGGAACCCGGTTCTTGAAGTCAAGCCTAGACTGCTAAACTGCAAGGTGTTTTAAGATGGTCCTACGCTAAGATGTTATCAGCAGCAATGATCTCAAATAATTTTGAACTTACCTCACAGCTCATGAACTAACCTTCCCAAAAGAACTAAATAAACCACAGAGCTTACTCACTTCGCAGTCCCCTTCTCATATCCTTTATTTAGCCTATAATGGCACTTCTACTATATTTCTCTCCTCTATAGTTACCTGTTGATGCCCTGTTTTTTCGGCCTTCACAGGCTTCAACAAGGACTATCCCCGATCATTCCTCAAACCCATGATGATCCACTCTGCGACACCCCGACAATATCATTCATCGCCCCCTCCTAGCTATGTATCCCGACAGCTTTCTCGAATATCCCATCCATTCAGATCACTCTGGGCTAGCGTGTGCTCGTTGCCACAACATCCATGCCACTTACGCACGGACTGCATGATGAAATCGGAATATCTCCGCCCTCCACTCCACTGCAGATGCATGTCCATCAGTCCCTCATAGCCAAGGTACCTAAGCCTGCAAAGTGGCTACGGTCCGACAAAGAAGCGATCTCGGTAATTCATATTCCGTGGATGAGAATAAATGATGAAGAATACTCCGGTCGCAAAGTCCATGTATGATATAGTTAGCACCGTTGAGGTGACAGTGCGGGCCAGCGGAGATCTAATACGAATACTGATAAGCTGCCCATGCGGATGGAGGATGATTTCGATACTCCGTTGCTTGGGGCGAGCCTGGGGTCGGGGCCGGAACCGGGGAGGAGATAGGTATCGGTTTCTAAGCTTGGCTTGTGAGGGGGTGAAGGTCAGGAATTGACCACATCGGGGAGTTGGTGCTTATGCGAATGGCTGATAGGCCGGAGGTCCGAAAGTTTGCTATATAGGGTAGGGGACACATGAAGTACCCTGGTTATAAGTAAATGTGCCGCTAACCATGGGGCACTCGTATCGGTCGCTACCTGCATGATCTACACGACTATGATCTATGATCTCATGTTTGTAGGGGCCGCATGATTAGCCTGGGGGCTATATCTAAGTGTAGCTTAACATCATTTATGAATCTATAATATCTATCTCATTTCTTGGATATCGTATATTATCGCTAACAAAGTTCCAGGGTCTCATTTGGAATACTCGCGAGCAATGGCTTATCTGCACGGAGTAATCGGGTCAGAATTAGCACACTAGTTCGAGCAATTGGCCCGAGGTCGTATTTGGCTACTGTGCTATTAAGGCTGAAGGATTCAGGCCCCCAAATTCAAATCACTTTCATGCTTACCATAGATGCCTAAGCAGGTCAGACACGGAATGGGTATAACCAGTGTGGCAGTGGTGCAGATCTTGCTGCCATACAGCATCGGAGTGACCGCATCACTACCTGCATCCTCGGTGTCCTTGAATCAATCGTGGCTGAAGCTTCAAAGTAATCGATTGCATAGTAAGAAATAATGTACTGTACAGAGTAGTCTGGAAAGAAAAAGGAGAGTAATATGACCTATCTTTAAATCAAATCGGTATCCTGGGACCCTTTCTTTTGGAGGCTCAATTCAAATACCCCCGAATGCGTCCATGGCTTTTTACTTCTAAATGCCCCAACCAAAACCCGTTCATGAGCAGCCTTGAAACAAATAACATCTTGAGATTAACGAAAACAACACCGTTCTTATTGTAACATGATCTCAAAGTAGAGCTATCGATTTGATCCTGGTATACTGTACATGTAGATGCCCAAAATCAGACACAACCCGCGCCACAAAGATACGAGCACAATACTAAGATAGCAAATGCCTAGCCCTATCTAGGCTATAATTTATTTTTACTTGGAGCCTGAAACACGACTGAGTAGCTCGTTCCATGTCGGAACAATGAGTCAATAGTGCATAAACGAATGGTTGATACAAAGTCTAAGACGAGACAAACTGAAACTCAACCCAGCCACAGCTCAGCCTCGAGTCGCGGATCAGTTTCAAGCCGAGGAAAAAAAAACTTACAAGAGCGCTTCAAGCTCCGTACGGAAGAGAAAATCCTGTGGTCCCGAATTGTTTATGGCGATCGGCAACGCTTGTTTATTTTTAGTCTATTTGGTTCAAGTTCAAAACAATGACTCCCTGAACGTCAAAAAATTACTAGTACCATCACGAACCAGTTCTCCTATATTTTCTGTGGACCCTCATGCCAAATAAGCTTACCTTTCCACATGGGTACTAGAATAGAAAAGCTAATGTTTCAATCAAAAAAAAACAACAACAACGGGGCTTGCTTGCATCCTTTTGGCCCCAATTCCTCTCTTCGCGAATCAGACTACGACAGTGCAGCACCATCCATCCCGCGAGCCACGTAGCGCAGCTAGATCCACCCGAGGGAAGAAGCTAGAACGCAAAAAGAAAACGAAAACAGCGGGTTTCCGAGCGACAGAAAATTTTTCTCTGATTCCTCCTTTTGCTTAGAATCCTTCCATGCACCGCATCCTGGCCTCAGTCTTACTTGGGTATCCGTCGGTAATGCTATGGTTCCCAGCCAATCCCGTCATATCCCTGTCTCCAGTCAAGGCCAGCCCTTGCATTAATTCCGTCCGCGCCGACACTTCGCATCCAATCATTTTTACGGTGGCGGTGACCTGGTTCTGTTCGTCCATACTTTGGCTGTAGGACAGATGGGGTTGCTTGCGTGTATTGTAGAGTATTACATACGTCTAGTGCTATCGATTCCCAGTTTCTCTAGTATGTACCCACTATGTACAGTATGGATCCACGGGTATGTACGTGGGTACTGTACTTTGTTATGTGCTACATAAACAGACACATTGGCCTTCTAGTTACTGTAGGTACCCTGCGCACAAGCAAAATGGCAAATAACTGTACTATAGAGTGTACCACCTCGGCCTGGGCGGCCCCAGGTTTGGGGCGGATATAATGATCGACGATCCAGGTCCCCTGTTTGTCAAATGGATTCCGCACTCGAATCATCTGACGAGGAGTGCTTTTCCTTTCGGGAGGATTTTGCCTCTGGCCCCCTAGCATAACTTGAAGAATCAATGAGAATTGATTTAGATGTCAACGTATTTGTATCTAACTGTAAGTATCAAAAAATGTCTAAATGTATTAGAAAATATCTACTTGTAAGTATTGAGAAAATTAGAATGAAGTATCTTCAAGTTCTCCGCATTGATTCCTCATCCATAGTATACAAAAGTAATTGTCTGCATACATTTTAGCTCGGTTCACGGGACCCTTCTAAGTAAACAATGACGGGCATGATCGTCAAGCCATGGCTCGAGCTTATACTGCCACCTGCGTCACTTCACATCCTTTTTGGCTACAATCAATAGAAACATATCACAGGGTCTTAAGTAAGTGAGGAGAATCTGACACTGTAATTTTGCGGATACTCTGTGCGTAATTTTGAATTGCAGTTACTGCTCCATTTTTGGGGGCGGCTAAGGACTATCTGGGGTTACTGTAGTTATTCAGGTTGCTTCAGAAGCCTTGGAGCAGCCTGGGGATCTTTAACAGATAAAGATGTTGGGGTTGCTTGTAATATGATGTTTCAATTTGGACAAGCGTCCTTAGGTAAAATTTGATTGCACATTGAAGTAACATTTGAACTATTCATTATGATAATAGGAAATCATACGGAGCTAAAGATAGGGGCTCTGCTATATAGTAGATATCGACATTTGGCCGAGCTAAGCGAATAATCCTGTAAATGAATAAAAAAGCCATACAATGTTTTCTTGTTAGAAGATGTTTCCTTTTAGTAGACTGTTGATCCCCTAACCCTGGAACTTGTTGTGGAAAGACAGCCTTGAAGTAAGCCAGCGACACCACTATAGAATCACCCACTTCAAACGGAATATAATGGAGGCAACTCATTGTTGACATTGAGCGAGTCCGAATTCAAGTAAGATGGAACTCAACTAGTACTCAGAGAAAAAAGTTACCTGGCTGGTTGCTAACTGTAGACTTGTAAATGTATTATTGCATCGTTTAGTACATTGATCCCAAGAGAATAATAATGATTGCTCTTGATAAGTTACTTCGATTTATTTAAACGTATAAATTGTTATTGAATATCAATAATCAGCATATAAAAACTTTTTATTCCGGATTCTTAACCTTGACTTCTTCCTGTCCCGGCCCTAAAACCTTCACATCTCGCTGATCCGCAGACTTCTCATAAGACATCGGACTCGACTCCAGCTCACTCCTAAATACATGATTATCAGCCTCCAACACTTGGCCAATCATTCGGTCATCCGCCTCCTAAAGTTTCCCCGCTCCCAAAGTCCCTTTCTCTCGGATGAAGCATCCACCACAGTCAAATTCTCCGACAACCCTGAACGCAATCTATGCTTCCTCTCCCATAATGCCCATCCAGTATGGTCGCTTAGCGGAGAGACTTGGTAGCGATTCAAGTTTTTCCTAGGCTCCAGTGATGGTGGTAGTGTGCAGATAGACAATGGTTTTTTAAGCTCAGGTTATGACTCTTGTCAAGTCCAGAGGGTTCTTTGTGGACCTTCGAAGTGAGTCCCACCAAATCTGCATAAGTTTTTATCTAGCAAGGCCCAAGTCCCCGGACCCTAGGGTCTAGGCCATATTTCCAAATATATACGATAGAAATTTGTGCTGATTCTGTGCATTTTGAATAGAGATTCAACCCATCTACTACTGACTTTGAAAACATAACGTATCTCATGTCACAAACCACTTGCTCATCGTCTCAGTGCAGCCTTTATAACCAAACTTTGAACGCGTTCACTTCTTGCTGAACGCTAGTAATTTCCAGAGAAGACCCATCAAGATTGCCACGTCGATCACAGAGCGCAAATAGAAGCCAAGCTCTCCTAATCCCCACCCCAACGCTAAAATTATGTATATATCCCTCAGTGCTGACCTAAAAGCATCAATCTGTTGCTCCTGCATCAATCAACGCATTACATATCCTCGCTATAAGCAGTGAAGCATATCGATCCTTAATCATACCAAACGTACTCTCACCCGAATCAGTTCGAGCATTCACATCAGCTCCAAACAAGAGAAGTAGTTCAAGGACGTCAAATGGTTCATTATTCCTTGGAATTTCCCGATTAGCCGCAAACCAATGCAAAGGCGTCAATCCATCATTATCTCTGTGATGTACATCTGCTCCACAATCAAGGAAATTAGAGGTCAGACTTGAGCACCAGATATGCGCAGCTAGACAGAGCGGTATCTGTCCGCTAGCATTCACATGGTTACCATTCGCGCCTTGTCGGAGGAGTTCTCCAACCGTAGCAGGTGTTCTTTCTAGATATTTTGCCGTCAAAGCCCAGAATATAGGAGTTTCACCATTATCGTCACAGTCGTTTACGCTGGCCTTTTGCTCTGCGAGCCAGTGAATTAGGCCTGGCATCTTGTGTCTAGCTGCGTAGTGCATGGTGCTTGCTTGCTTTTCATCGCGGGCCGTGATCGATGCGCCAAAATTAAGGAGTGTTTGGAGGATTTCCCGGTTCCACTCTGAGTCGTTTCTGTATACGCAGTAGAGCAGGGGTGTAAATTGTTTGTTGTCACGGTGATCCACGTCAAGTCCAAGTCCACTCTAGCAATAGTGTCAAGATTGCAATAGCTCGTTCTTTGTTGTTATGAGTTGCTTCGTAGAGTATATTGCGTCCATTTGGTCCGATGAATCCCACATCAGCACCGTGGTCAATAAGAAGCTGTACCATATCTCTTGTACCACAACTTGCAGCTTCAAGAAGCGCATTTCTTCCATCAGGAGCCGTAAAATTCACATCAGCGCCGGCTGTCAATAGGATCTGCGTCAGATCAATAGTTGAGCACAGGTCCTCTCTATACCGCACCGCAAGCATCAACGGTGATCGATTCTGGTCATCTACACAATTCATCTCGTGGCCCTTTTCAAGCAGAAATTGCATCATGCTAGGTCTGAAATGTCGAATCGCTTCATGTAAGACTGTGCTTCCATCTAATGAAGCTCGAATTTTTAAATCAGCACCACGAGCAAGTAGTGTTTCCATTTTGGTAAAATGACCAAGCTCCACACTTGTGAAGAATGGGGTTTTCCCATTGTAGTTGGGAAAGTTCGGATCAGCACCATAATCTAACAGAAGGATCATCATGTCTAGATCATCTTTAGGGAAATTATGAACCGATGAATCTAGAGGTCGTCGTTTGTATTCAGGATGTGTGATGGCAAGATTTGGTTGCGCGCCTTTTTCAAGGAGAAATTTCACAAGATCGAGTGTTTTGTCGTCTATGGCGATTTGGAGAGCTGTGTTCGCGCTCTTGTCCCTCGGGCGATAATTGATGTCTGCGCCTTGGGATAGCATTACTCGGACTCCAGACTTGTTTCCTGCTGCTACATATTTCAGTAGGACTTTTCCGTGTCTGTCTAGGGTGTGTCGTTGGTAGATCTCTGGGACGAGCAGGTTGTGGAAAGCGCGGTTTACGAGCATCAGATGATAAATATCCTGAATCCTGTAAAGGTTCGATACGATTTGTATCATCAATTCGTGTGGTAAAGCCTGAAAATACATCGGGTTTAATGATTTCGGGGTGAGGAGAGGCCGGAATCCTCGTGCGGACTTGGTGCAGTTGCCAGGTTCAAGGCCAAGTGGCTCAGGGGTATGTATGTACGGCGCTTAGCTCTTTGATTAGTATTCCTGCTCGGGTGCCTTATTAGATCTGTACTATGTACCGAGTTTCTGCTGCCACTTATTGGCTTTCTGCTTTCATTTTTGAGATCACCCCTCGACAACGCGGCAAGTTTTACTGAGCCTAAACATCTTGAAGTATATGCCTGAATACCCCGCGCGGACTGGGCGGATCTTTACAACGATTTTCACAACAAAACATTTACGTAATCCATATTTTATACATGCACATCAATAGTCAAACAATTGGACTGTTTATACGCCCCTTTTTTCAACCTCTATCCCTTGCCATTCAAGTACTATTGGTTCTGCATTACTATCGAATTCTAAAAAAGATACTACGTTGGCTAAGATTCTTTTATCACACCTATTATCAGAGATCCTTCTTTTTGCCCTTAATATGGACAAATTGTAATATCAGTTCGATCCTATTCTTGCGCCTGAATTCTATGAGAATGTCGAGCAAGCCAGCCCAAAATGATGGTATGAATTGTAGGGACCGTAAGTTGTTTTCTTCTATAGTTTGAATTGAGTCTCCAGTACGAACTTTTGAAATTTCACCCCCGCGTGGGATGTAACAGCTTCCGCGTGCATGTTAGTTGCAGGCTTGAGTGGAGAGTCCTTATAGCTCGAGCCTAGACTATATTCCTTTGGTTTGAGAGACATATACTATCGCTGCTGTCTTCTGTCTTATACCACAACCGACAGCGAGAAGAAACGCAAATCGTGGATTCCTCTCGTACAGCATTTATTCCGCGGCCCACCTCATCTCTAGTGTCTCGCTCTGTCTTTGCAGGAATATTGATCTTGCTATCATATTCTATAGGGCTATGTAGCAGAGACGTATAGACGCAATGTATTTTCTTTCCTTATGAGGACCGTCGAGTAAACGACACACAGGGGTTGTAAAAATAACCAATGAAGTTGATAGTATTATCAATTTTCAGTACGCGAGTTGCTAGACCAGTCGATAGGCAAGATGTATTCTCTTCTGATTTCTGAAACTCAAAGGTTGGCTGTTTGATCTCAAAATACTCCAGAGCGTACTGTAGATCGAACAATGGTGATTATGCAAACGACAGCAATGCAAACCACAAAGAAACCGACAGGAGGAAACGAGTTTCGGAAAACACCAGTTGGTTGTTTCTCTTCCTTAATTTCGGAAATTGGGCTTATTGGAGCCAATAGTGGCGGGATAAACTTTTTTGATTCGCCGTTGGAACTCTGTGCAATTGAAATTGCGGCTGAGTGTGCTTCTTCTGCTTCTTCAATTGAAATTTGACAGGCGTTGGTAAATCCGGCTTCACACAAAGCGACCTTCCTTTCGCGATCATCCTTCCCGTGTAATGCGAATTTTCGACGTTGCGTATAGCTTGAAAATATTGTGTATGGCCCAAGTTTCTGTTCTGTTGGTGGGTAATCAGTCCTCGGGGATTGCGATGGTGCTTGGAGATTGATTTGATTCATCGAGTCCGCAATTTGATTACCATTCGAATTGGGAATAATAGCCGTTAAGCCTGGTACTGCGAGGAAAAGCAGCCAGGAGATGAACGAAATGAGGCGCATGGCGGTAAATCGAATTGAGTCGTGCTATGGGTTCACGAACAAGCTCAGAGACAACACAGAGCTACTTAAAGCGCTCCTTTTCGTATGTGTTGAAATAATGCAAGCGGCTGATGAGACGAAGATTCATCTATTGTACAAAGCCAAGATCGAATGAAATATACAAAATTTGGGCAAGGCAGCGAGTCCTGGTCTTCTTCTTATTAGTGTCGGCGATAAGACTGTCCTGTCCGGACCAGGCTGAAAGGAGGAATCCCTTGTCGCAATCCTAAGTTTCTTGGCTAATGTTCTACCCTTCTTGGCATTTGGGACTTTTTCGATGAAGTCGACGATTCCACTGTCTTGGCATATGTATTGGCAACAACTTTGGAGAACCAAGAGATCCAGCGTGTTAGCAAAGATGTGCATTCGATGTGGATCCAAGGGCAGGAAAGTCATACTATTTATCTGAGCGGCGCCCAGAGCTGGTGTTAATGCAATGAATAATGTTGTAATGGCCAGTATACAAGCAAAATTTTCCTTTCCGTCTCCTTAAGCTTCACTGTGCAGTAGGGATAAAAGTCCAGAGTGGAGCCCTGGAGAAAGTTTAGAATATGGATCGATCAAGATGGATGGACTTGATGCATGCGGCCTGCTTACTATACGTCACCAACCCCCACATGAACATTTTGCGTTCCCTCCACTCCCGCTGTCCGATACATTATTCGAATTGACCCACATACGTTAATTGCCAAAGTTCTAGGCCTGTATACATGGCACATAATGTAAAGAACAGCTTCCTCGCTTCGATGCTTGGCACATTACGTGATCACCCATCGCATAAGTACAAATTTGTTTGCAGAGATAAGACACACTTCAGTACTGTACACCTCAATAGTACGCTTGGATGGTATTCTTCTCGAGTAATATGACCAACAATACCAATACACCCCAATCAGATAGCGTGTCAATGTTTTTTTTTTTTTTTTTTTTTTTTTTTGCAATGGAATACATACCGAAGCTGATTGAATTACGCTCCGCCGAAGACAATTGGTCTGGTGTCACTGACCCGGCGCTTCGGCGGAAGTTGCAGAATCGTTTAAACCAAAGAATATATTGTATATTTTCTTTTAGTCGTAGTAATCGTGACATTTAGTTGATCTTAGACTGGGGTTTCAGGTCGACGAAGACGAGAAAAACCAACGACGAACACTCCTGGATCGGACACAAATCTCGCCGTGTCGGAGCGTTCGGAGAGCGGCACAGCTCCGGAAGATCAATGGGAACAAAATGAGATGGAAGAAATAAATAGGCTCGCAAGCAGCGAGAGAAACAGAGAAGGTATCTCTTTATCTGAACTGAGTATCAAACACCAAGATCAATACACAAAATGAAACCAGAGGAGGTCCTATAGATTATGGCGCAATACGAGGCTTCGGCCCGTAAGATCTACGCATTGGGCTCTCCAAGAGCTGATCAGCTCCTAACTCTCATCCAGTTTAATGTGTTTCGGGCACTTGTGGATAACACCTCCGTACTAGGGTTCACGATGGACTGGTTATATGAAGACTCTATTTCTCCGTGGTGTGCAGATGTATCTGAATATCAAATCAGACTTTGATGAAACTGCTCTCTGCAACGACCTTGTTGATTTTTATGATGTTTCAAACGATGAGACTGGTTTGATTGTGTGGACGAATCCATGGGATCCGTCAGGGTGGGAGGTTAGTGAGGCTTTTTTGCGTAAATGGCAATGGGTCCTTGCGCGGTGTGATGATCTTTTCAAATCAACAAATTACTGGCGTGGAATACGTGGAGAAGAACCCTTGTTATTTGATACGTGATCCCATTTCTAATGGATTAGTATGAATACTTCGTAATGGAGATATCTGGAGATATCGTGTCATCCTTAATGTTGTTATCTTTGTACCATAATAAATAACTTACAGACTCATGTATATGCTGTTATTACTCCAGGGACGCAGCTTAGAATAATATTTAAACCTCTACACAAACGCCGGGAGCCGATGTACTGCCCATTGATCCAGTGCCTTTCTGCAAATCAATTGAGCTCCCTTTGCTGGCTTCTTTGTACCTCCCACTAGGTAAGGATGCGTCTCAACGTCAATGTGATGCCCAGGTGGGGACTTGAACTTGAAGTCGTGAGAGAAAACGGGCAAATCGGTCAATCTTCTTATTATATAACTTTCATGAATAAGGGCTCGTGTACTTCGTAGATCTATTTGAAATCGCGCTATTGGGTGAACACATACCAATGCTCACTTTGCCAATTTTGGCTAAATCCTGGATGCTACAGAAAAATTAGGAACACTTACTAGGCCATGGTCCCACATACCATGACGTATGATAAGCAGCTTACATGAGGCCCACTTCTCTCAGAGAGATGATTTGAGAAAAGACACTGAACGCGTATCCACCAAGATATTCTCTAGCCCAACTAAGCCACATATAAGCTAACCTATTTTGGAAGGGGCCCTCGAATGTCAGCGTCGGTTCATTTTCAACAACTCCCGGTTCATTCAACTTTATTGCGTGCGACTCTTTTTTTCTGCGCAGGACTGAATGCGGATTAAACACCGAGGATTTGGTGGTTTGTTTAACTGACATACGGCCCCTGTAATGGTGTGGACTCAAGCAGAATTGTGTGAGAGGCAACGGGCAGGCTGCTAAAGTTAAGCTCAATAGAGGGCTATAGACAGGATACAGCTCCAGAAGCTGCAATGGGACCGGCTAAATCACCGCCCCACATCTTAAGTCCGTCGGAGATTGGAGTTAAAGAACTCTAGATGACAGTGTCGACATTGGCACATCATTATCTGATTGAGATCAGCTTGTGGTCAAAAAGAAAATCCCATATAAATCCGGTACCTCCAACCTTAGCTAATTTACCCACACAAGGATCTTTAAAGGCAGGCTCAGAACCTAATCAGTTACACCGTTCTTTTCAATTTAATCCACAGACCTTTCCTCTACCGGACAAAACAACAACTTGAAAATGCCTATCGATCCAAAGAGCGTGCTAGGCCGCTATCGCCAGCTAGCCCCCTCCGCCTCGGTACGAGTTTCGCCATTATGCCTAGGCACAATGACATTCGGCGGCACACACCCAGAGAAATACGGCGTATGCACCAAAGAAGAAGCCTTCGCAATGATGGATTTCTTCTACGAGAACGGTGGCAACTTCTTCGACACAGCAAACTCCTATCAAGACGGCCAATCCGAAATCTGGTTAGGTGAATGGATTACCTCTCGAAAGAATCGCGACGAGCTAGTGATTGCCACCAAATATACGTCCGGATATATGCTACACCATGAAGACAAGATCCAGGCCAATTTCGTCGGCACCGGAACCAAATCCATGAGACATTCTGTGGATGAGTCCTTGCGAAAGCTTCAGCTGACTTATATCGATCTGTTCTATGTACACTGGTGGGACTTTACAACCTCGATTCCGGAACTGATGCAGAGTTTGAACCACCTCGTTGTGTCGGGAAAGGTAAACTATCTCGGTATTTCGGATACACCTGCTTGGGTTGTGGTTAAGGCGAATGCGTACGCGCGCCAGCATGGACTACGACAATTCTCTGTGTATCAGGGAAAATGGAATGCCGCAAGACGAGACCATGAAAGAGATATTGTTCCTATGTGTGCTGATGAGGGAATGGGTCTGGCTCCGTACGCGACATTGAACGCTGGAAACTTTCAGACTGTTGAAGGATACAAAGCTCGCGAGAAGGTCAATACTGGTCGGAATTTTATACCAGTCTGTGCGAGGGATAAGCAAGTTGCGGCTATTTTGGAGAAGATCGCCAACAACCACAGTGAAGATGTGACGCTATTGAATATTGCGCTGGCATATATTTGTCATAAGGCGCCTTATGTCTTTCCGATTGTTGGTGGTCGGACGGTCGACCATCTGAAAGGAAGCATTCCCGGCCTAGCCGTCACACTGTCGCAGGAGGAGATCGATGAGATTGATACCGGGTATGAGTTTGATCATGGATTCCCTCATAGTTTTTTGAGTGGCACTCTATTTGACCTTTCCCACCCGAGAGGGGCTGCAGGTCCTGAGGATGTGTGGTTGACCAAGCCATGTGGTCCATTTGACTGGGTCGAGCGTCCGAAGCCGATTAAGCCCAATCCGTCGGTATAGATGATAGAGAGAGAAAATCGATACGTGAAAAGGACAAATATAGGAACCCTCTCTACGTATCATAGGGTTCAAGTCTGATGCTCGCTATGTTGATGTCTTGTTTATGCCTAACTACAGACCGACCATGCCTTCTACATCAATCATCAGTACATGAAAATAAGTTTAGTTGAGATCAACTGAATTGGCAAAATCTATAGATAACACGTTGACACCTATCATACAAGAATGGGATCGCTAGATAATAGTCGACCTCGTTTACAGAGTGGTATTCGATGCGAGGACAGAAGCAAAACACAAAAGAGATATGACACAGGAAAGGCAAACATAGGAAATCAAAATCAAATCAAAAGCAAAACACGCAAACGGAGATTAGAATGAAAATGCAAAGGAAACATAATAGCAGCGCAAGAGAAAAAACACAGAAAGTCAATAGTAAAAGATGCGAAGCCACAAGAATCCCAATAAAACCCAGATTGCAACCAGACACCGCACAACACGGGTCTCCCAAGCAAAGCAAAAGAACCCCAATTCCCAATTCCAAAACCCGATACAATGTTAGCCCCGTAAAAATCCCAGTTCCCACGCTCTATATATGCTGTTCCTCGTCCGGTCGTGTCTCGGTAACCCATGTCATCCGCAAGCAATCAAAAGGATAGTGTCAAAAGAAGGGGGTGATAGCGGTGGGGATGACAACTTGAAAACAAAGTAGGAAAATAAAATCAATCGAACACGATCAGACAATTCCAACTCCACAGGGGTGTTTTTCCCCTCAGTATAGATACAAATATATCAATGTGTGCAACGAGCGGTGGAAAGTTGCTGCTTCCCCGTAAATGTCAAGGAATAAATGCAATTAAACGACTGGACAAAGGAAATGGTGAGAAAAAAAAAGAAATAGAAAGGAAAACAAGGTAAAAAATGTGTTAAGAAATGATGAAAGTAGGCCGACAACATCCAGTGCTTCGCGGCATTTCCCATCATACAGGTGTAGACCATGTATGGTCTCCCATTCGCGACTTGGAGTCGTAGTTGTCCGGCTCAGTGCTGTTAGGCCGACGAATGGTGGAGTTGGGGAAGTACATGTTATGAGGCATGGATGTCGGGTATGCGGGTCCACTTGGTTCAGGATATCCGAAATCATTGGTCGATCCTGGAGAGGGCATGCTAGTATGCGAAGGGGAGGCCCAGCCCAGACTAGTCATATGGGGACTGCCGTTCACGCTGTTCGGACGATGGTCGTTGTTGGCTGGGGGTTCCAATGGCTGTGGAGGAGCATAAGGGTGTGAGGTCATAGGTGGGCGCCCATGAGGAGCGCTACCATAGCTGGATAGCGAAGGAGATGTCGCAGTAGGGGAGGCCCGAGGGCTACCCTGTGGAAAATCTCCTCGCATATGAGGTGGAATAGGGCCACTGCCCATGTAGTAGTCGCTAGCAGAGCGATGCATATTCAACGGTGGAAGGTCCCCTCCCGGCGACATGGATGGGTGCTGAGCAGGGGATGGAGTTGAACCCATGGAGCCATGGTCCCCAAACATTCCCTCGCCGGGTCCACGTCGTTCCTTATTCTGACGCAGGTTGGCCTCAGTTTCAGCCGCAGCCTCCTCAATTGTCCCGGTGTGATGATTTTGGTGACGAGTTAGTGTGGTTCGTCGAGTAAATGTCTTCTGACAGTTGGCATATGGGCATTTGTAAGGGCGCTTCCCGGAATGGATTCGACGATGCCTCGCAAGTGACGATGAGTCGCTGAATGGCTGTAGAAGTTCCTATTAGTATTTGGTTCTTCAACCAGGAATCGAAGAATCGATAAGGAGTAAGGGGGAGGGGAAAAAACCAACCTTTCCACATCGCTCACACATATGCGGCTTCTCTCCCGTATGAACTCGGGAGTGTACAGTCAAAGCGGAGCGCTGGATGAACTGCTTGCCACATCCAGGCCAGTCGCAGGCATGGGGTCTCACACCGGTATGAATGCGCTCTATAGTAGTCAAATGTCAGCCAATTGAACATCACCCTCGGTGAACCAGAATATTATATTTACCGTGTCGTGCAAGGTCACTGCGTCGAGCGAATCCCTTGTTGCAAGTAGAGCAGTGAAAGGTCTTGGGTGGCGCTTCCGCACCTGGTCTCCCAGAAGCAAGAGGTGCCTGCTGCATCTGAGGTTCTCCGGCATATCCTCCTGGGACAAAGCCCATGTTTCGGGGACCAGCGCCTTGAGCCTGGGCGTAGTAAAAGGTGTCGGCGAGTCCTTGGTCCATCGGGACACCAGCATGGGCAGGATACGCGTTGACAGGGTTGTCCGGAGCACCAGGCTCGGGTTTCATGTTGGAAGGATGTTGATTCATTTGCGCACCTTGGAGGTATTGTTGATGTAATTGTGCTTCTGCGGCGGCGGCGGCTGCGGCGGCAGAGTTCTTCCGATTCAGGATAGTCGTGAAGTCCATGACCTGACCCACCGATCAGCGTGAGAGACCGCGGTCAAGGACAGCTCAAAGAAGCGTCTTCTTTTTCTTTTTCCGAGCTTCAGCCGTCCTTTTGTTCTAGGCGCGAGGGTTTATAGAACTCGGCAGGATACAAATGGGGGTTTTGAAAAACAGGCACCGAATCGCTGGCTTGCGAGGCGGAGGCGGTGCTCAATGCTCGATCCTGACTTTGATCTCACAAATGTCTTTCTCGCAGCCTATCAAGTTCGAAGGCTGTTCACCGTAACAGCCGCTGTAGTTGGCTCACTGGTAAATCCCAGACATGCACACTGCGGGATTTTGAATATAGACAGGTTCTGGACCCGAAGGGGGATGTCGTAGATTTCGTATGTCGTTTGGACCTTTGCGCGTCGTATGTTGATCGTGATAAGAGTAGGGAACAGCGTGAAACCAGCAAAGGCGACCGGCTAGAAGCGGAGGGTGTGATTGGTATGCCGGATCGTTGTGAGGTGAGGGGGAGGAGGAGATAGAGTGGTAACAGTCCTATTAGAAACAAGCACGGTCAGCCAGAGTTAATTAACAGCAATGTCGTTGTGGCCCCCTCTCGCCCATTTGACCCTCCAATCTCGAATGGACTCGTCCCCGGGTTTTCGGTACTCCGCATCAGCTGGCCTGGGGGAAGAATATCTTTGGTGAGGGTGAACTCGATGGCATAGACAGGGGGACCGTGCCAGCTGGGCATCCATCGAGGGCGCGGATCGTATACCAGACGAGCCGGAGGGAACAAACGGGCGCACGAGCAGTGTGGACGTGCCGAGGACAGGGCCCGCGGTGCCAGGTGCAGTTGGGGCAGTCGCGGTCAAAAATCACCATCTCCAAGGAAAATGCACTGGTTGTTTTACCTTTTTTTGTTTGTAATCGGCGGGGAGCTCGCAGGCTTGGAAGTTGGGACGAGGCGAGTTGGACCCGAAAGTTGGATAGGAAAGGAAGGATCGGGAGTCGAAGGAATTCGCAAAAACAAAAGCCGGGGACAAGTGATTCCGAGGATGTTATTCGAAGAAAGCGCGTAACGGGAGAATGTAGGGGAAGAGGGAATCACGAGTGATTAAAAGGAGGATGGAGAGAGAGAAAGGGGAAGAAAATTAATCTGTTTAATGATATTTAGGTGTGGTAGGTGCCACTGGTTTGTTCGATGGAGCCCATAACATCATTATTTACTTAACATTGCGGATTCGCTGCTTTTGTTCGCTGTTTTTCTTTCTTTCTATGGAATCCACTTACACGTTCTGGAAATGAAATCCTCCTTACGATCCGAGCTCTAATTGTGCTGGGATGATTCTATTCTCTCTCTCTTTCTATTCCAGCCTAATACTGTATATGGACATAATCCCCTATGAATTAAATCGTAGCCGCAGTTCTGCCTCCTTTTTTAATAATAATAGGAATAATATGTCAGAGGAAATCAAGAAATTTAAATTTAAATTTAAAAATAAAAATTAAAAGATTAAATAAAAAAGTCGCACTAAGCCTTTAGACCATCCCTGCTCTAGCCCAACTAGTTTCTCCTAGTTGGACCCAGCGAAGTCCGCTAGAAGGACCAGAAGCACTGAAAAAGGCCCCAGTCAGCAACGGATCCACAGCGCTTCACCACACATCACAGAGCTTGATAGGGCCGAAAAGGCCCAACCAGAGCTACAAAGCTGGGATTAGTGAATGTGGATACGAGATAGTGACGCCGATCTGAATCTGAATCCAACAGCAATAACTGCGATGACTGTTTATTCTGTATACACGACATCTGGACTTTCTTTGGTATACATACAGTTTACATACAGTATGAAGTATGTACGGAGTACTTCTCCTCCTAGCTACCGGTATATTAACCGGATGACCCAACCAACTCTCATCCAGTCATATAATATGAAACGAGGATGCAGGAGAACAAACTTTCCATGACGCAGACTTTCTCCTGGAGCTAGAGAACAGGAGAGATGTGATCGGGCAGATGTGCCCTGGTGGGTCTTCCCCGATATCCAGCGTGCATGAAAGGGGCCCCTGACCAAAGTAACATGTGGCTGAGTGCCTAAGACTTGGCAAATGATTGCTGATTTTTGGTTTAGGTTCGGTTGGTCTGGTAGAACAAAAGCCAAATATCATCTTCATGTTGACCTATACATAGAAGGGGATTGGGGGGTACAAAAACTACAACCAGACACAGAAACCGGAACTCTGGGTGTGATGACATGCATGACCCTTTTTGAAAGTGATGGTGCGACACGAGTCATTATGATAATACGACAATCGTTGCCCTCTTGATTTGCAGAGCCGATGCCGAAAGCCTTGCGGGACAAAGGGGATATACTCTGCCATCTCGATAGTCAGTTCCACTATTGCTAACCGAAGAGAGATGGTCAAACACTAAAATAAAAAACATCCATGCCTTTTTTTTCCCTTCATTTTTCCTTCTAGAAGGTTTCCAATTCTCGGGGAGGAACTGCACATCTCTTCTAATCTCCCAATACCCACTTCAACCTACACATGGCGCAGAATCTCATACATGTACATCCACAACGTGTTACATACACACAACCTTCAAATATTGGAAAATAACTACCGCCCCCGTTTCACGCAGTCATCATAATCGGAACTTTCCAACGCAGGACATGGATTCGGGATGCCTGTACAACCTTTTCCCCCTATTGTTCGTTTCTCAAGTTCTGTTACTTAGTAACTCCGGCCTCTGAGCCTTATTAGGTCCTTTTGAATGAAGATCTAACGCATGGCTGTGGAGACCCCCGACGCATCGGTAATTAACTAACCCCCCTCCTACTCCGTCCACAGACTAGGTGCATTCCCCCTTTTCCTTTCTGGGGACGCTACAGCCCTCCGGTCGGGATTCAGCCTCTAGTCGCTCCACTCCACTGCCACACAGATGGGGACAGCGGGCCAAGGATTAACTCTCCATTGGACTGCCAAGCCTTCTCCTGACCTTCCAGAAGGGCGCCAGAAGGGATTTCGAAGGGCCGTGGAAGCCGCGATGGAAAATAAATGGGTTTAAAAAATTAAAAAGGAAAAGAAAAAGGAAATTGAGCCGTTGCCTGGCTCCATCTTGCACGGTAGTATGAGGTCCGAGCACAATAGTAACTCTCTTCGTTCCAAGGCCTGATTACTTACTGCACCCTACTCCCCTACTCTGTGTGGATATGCTCTGTTCGGATGTGCTCCATACGTAGGTATTCTGAGTATGTGCATATCTCCCCGTGCTACTGAGTATGTAGATAGGGGCAGCTTGAGAGGGAGTTTTGTGTTGGTCTGGGTTTTGCCAAGTTTCGCGATCTGAATACTGCGGCGTCATTAGTGCCCGATTCTTGCCGCTGAGTCAATCCGATGTCTAAAAGGGGGTAAATCATGACCTCTCTTTCTCATGAGGCTGGCTGACATCTTTTACTTCTTTGTCATGATCGCTCTATCTACCCCTGGCCTGACCGTTGTGACGACACCACACTACCTACACAATAACAACTTGAACCTCCAGCTACCCATTCGTGCGTAAACCATTATCCCGGACAGACGGAGGTTTGCGGAAATTATACTTCATTTCATTTGCAGCCATTCACTGCAAACCAGAATTTAAAAAAGAATTTTTAAAACATTACTATCATAAGTAAAAACAAAATAAAAGGCAGACGCGCCGCGTCCATAAACAAATCAAAAGAAAGTATCTATGTGGACTCAGGCTCCTGTATGTCTCAAATTCGCGTCGAGCCAAAACCGCCCAACACCTAATCGGAAGGTGAGTTTACGATTTCATCAGGCACGCCATGTATCTGACTGGGGGCCACGCTATGATAATTGGTTTATTCGGCACGGGGCATTCCCACATGGTTGTGGCTGAGACGTGTCTTGCTGTATCAAAACGACGCTAGGCTCCATATTTTCTATTAGTAGAACGGGAGTCGTACCCCTGGAACTCTGGCAGAGATTCAATGGGCTTGGTCAAACCTTGGAACCTTCCCGACCTTTTCTTTCAGGGGCAGAAAAATAAAGATAAAAATAAAAATAAACCCTTGACAGTATGTACATATGTAGATGATTGAGGAGCAAGTTGATGCAGCACAGCACAGCCAACGCCAATGTCAACGGTCACGCTATGACCAAGGGGAGTGAGTCTTCACTTGCCCCGAGCACTGCACATGATGTCACTGGGGAAATCGTGCACTGGCCCACGTTCTTCCGTCCACAGACCCATTCAAATAAATAGTTCGGGTCGATCAACATCTGCTCATTTTACATGGTTATAGTGCTGGTGATCTTCGTGAATGGTGCTCATGTCTTGGAAGCGAGAGGGACTATTTTTAAGACATCATCCGTGGCCCATCTTTGTTTTCCCTTTGGACTTTTGACTTTTAGGACTAATCTAGGTATGTGAAGCCGATCTGGGCTCCATCGTGGATCGGATGGGGAAATGAGGCCCTTAGTGTGTTTCGTGCAGAAATCATGACACACCGACGGAGTCTGCGTCGGAGTTTTGTTTTTGTGGAGTTTTGAAAATGTCGCTACTTGTTTTTTTGTGTGATGTCGCTCATAATTTTATTTGTTATACTTGCTTTTCAGAGAACTGACGACATCTGGCTAATGGGTAAGCATCCATGGATTCTGATTTTGGATCGTCATGAGATGGGGAAATGTATACAGAGAAAGACAATTGAAATGTAACATAGGAATTGAGTGATGCTCAACGGCCCGGGTCACCTGCAAAGCACTGAAGCTGATTATAAGGTCGTAGTGTCTGCCTAAATGTATTATATTCTATTTCAAAGGCCAAGACCAGCCGTCGGTATCCGTCGGCTCCAGACTCGGAGATCGCCAGGTAGTATGTACTTACATATGTGGGATACCATATTTGCCCCGATATGTTTGCTGTATGGTCAAGGGCTATTGTTCAGCAAGTCTAGATATGGAAAGTAGACTGGCTGCAAGCCTAGGTTAGCAGTCTTATCAGAATGAAATAGTCGAACCATGTATTTACACATCTGTTCTATCAGCATATCATTTTGATATTATGACTTCATGTCTTGTGACAAGAGATATAATTAAGTTGAGAGTATCAAAGTTGTTTTGTGGATATCCATGTACAAGCCCTATACTAACTTATGGACTACTACATGATGATTTCCCTCGATGCTAACGACAATAATAAGCAGTCTGGAAATAGGCATTCCTATTTTCTTCATTTCCTCGCTGCACGAAGCGAATAGCGATAACCCCAACCTTATAATCAGACGAGGTCGCTTTGTCCCAGCGGGTAGGTTACCAAATCCTAAATCCTTGTTGGACCAGGCCAAGCTTTTGTAACGATTGCCCCATTGTATGATTATCCAAGCCACACATGATGATAAAAGTCTCGTGATCCCACACATGGATTACATCTTCAAGTTCGCATTGCTTGCTTGTTTTCTCTCCTACTCCCACTCTTCCTCTATCCCCGGGCCTCGTTATTTTCCGTATATATACTACAAGGTTCTGGATCTATAATCATTGCCAGTGCTTCGACCACGCTTCAGAGCTACTAGTATCGCTGACCTCGAGGTACTTCAAGTACTTATCGCTTCCCTTCTGACATAGTACTAACTGGCCTCTACGGCGCAGACATGTACTTAGGCTGCTTGACGTTGTTGACGATACTACCAACGCCAATTCACCAGCAAACTACTTACATGGCATTTACCAGAATCAGTACTTTGTGAGAACTGTGCGCTGAAGCAGATATAATGTTAACAGTGATACAGCATGGGAAGCTGACACTGTATTGGGACCTGTTAAGAAAGCTTGAAACGCTCGAATCAATCAAGTTATGGTTGGTCCCTATCAAACAACTCTACCTGAGTATTACCTCTCATCGAAATACTCTACCAGCAGAGATCAACATTACATACATCGATGGATAAAGTTGATGAATGTTTATATATGCCTCCGAGTCCCACACCATCACGTGGGGTCCCTGGCTCTGCGCTGGCGCTGCGCGAAGTTAAAGCTGCAAACCTTCCTTGGCGACCTTGTCGTCGATGAGGGACAGGAGGCGCTGGTTACAGGAAAGCAGATTCACTTTGACGTCACACGCAATATAGTAGTACTGAGTACCTCTGCTGCGCCAATACTAGAGGGTGTAAATAATATTGAGGGCTATACTGAGAGCTTATCGTTGGCTGCAGATCGACGCCATACCCAATCCATATCCATAAAATGGAACGTAGCTGTGACAGCAACTAATAGCATGTGCTATGCATGTGCTAGGGGCAGGAAAACACGCGATGGAAGAAGACAGTGTATTCTTGCTATGTGTGGTGGTGCTTGTGGTCCTAGCACATGCATAGCACATGTTATTGGTTGCCGTCAGGTTATGAGCTCCTAGTGAGTGGAATTTGACAGTATTCGCGAAGTTTCATTTTTTCTTATTTCTCATTCGTCTGTCCTTGGAGAAACGTCCTCCTACTATGCTTGCATCTTCTTGTGAGATGTGTACACCTCCTTCATAATCTGAGCCTTCCGACTCCTCTGACGATGATTCATCTGACTCTGATGAGGTCGAATATCTTCGTGCACGTTGACTTTTCGTGGCACGTCAACTTCAAGGTTAATATGATGTATACTCAGCTAGACCAGGAGATATATGAACGTATAAAGTTGTGTGATTCATGCCAATGCTTGTACGCTTAGAGGCAATTGTAGTAGACTAGGTGTAGACCTCATGATTTTAGCGAAACATAGTAAACATCCCATTGGTTACTTCGTTTGCACACAAAACGCGATTCTTTGATTGAGATATTGCCATGTTTAGTCAGAAATGACGTCGATTGATATACACCTAGGCATAGCACTAGTAATACAAATGCAGAATGGATGACCTATGCATAATTTGATTTGATTTGATTGATTAGAGGAGAAAATATTTTCACAAAAGCCCCTATAACATAAAACAAAATATCCGTATTTATTCCTTGTCACATTAAGGGTGATTCGTCCTCGGAATTAGGGCCGTAGACATAAAAGGTGTACAAAGGGTGTATATGTATCACCGATCTATAAACAAGAAAGATGCAAAAGGTATGCCCAAGACCAACAACCAAGCGCCGGACAAACAAGGAGAGGGAGGTCGGCCATAAAGAAAGAAAAGAAGCAATGAACCGAACCAGACCAAACCGCACCAAGAACTCGCTTGAGGAGTGAGTTTATGCAAATATGATGAAACAACATGGGGGGTTTTTTTTAAAAAAAAAAGTCCCATAGCTAACGATTTCTTCATGACCGTTTTCGCCATGAGAGCTCAATAATCTCATCTCCGTTTTTGGAGTCGCGGCGCACATACCACTGTGTTACTCGGCCATCTGGTTGAAGAACTGCGTCTTCGAGAAGGTAGCTGATCTTCTCGTCATCTCTGAGACGGAGTGGACCGAGCTCGTGAAGGTATGATTCGGTGTTAGCGCCATTATGGGGCTCCCATGTCATTTCCATGGTGAGATCGCCTGGAGCGATTTGATAGCCGTATTTGACAATTGAGAAGCCGTTGGTGAGCATCCAGCCGTCGTTGAACCTGAATCGGCGGAGCAAACATGTAGGTCCGCAGAGTTCAGAAATGACGCTGAGCTTGGGCATATCTGCTTGGAACCAGGATTTCCAGTGGTGTACGGAAAGTGGGAGCTCACGACCGGCTTCGAAGAAGCCTGAGGCATCCTTCATCAGGTCGAGTTGGTGGAGTCGGTGATCCAACGTCATTCGGGTGTTGGTGTATCCGTAAATACAGTTGGCGATGCGACGGTCACCTGTGAAAGTCATTTGCTCGCATTCGTCGTAGACGGCGGTGAGTTCGGTGAGAAGTGGACGCGACAGAAAGACGCCTGCGCCTCCGAACGCGATCATGCCGAATACCGCAATCTGAGGAATACCCTCTGAGACTGCACCGATGTACAGGGATTTCGTGTGGTCGTAGCCGTTGAGTGCGTCAACCAGCGCAGGCATTGAAGGGAAAAATGTGTCATCGTCGATGATACATCCCCACTTAGTTGTATCGCGCTTGTGCTCCTCCAGCAAGGGGATCAGCGAGAAATACCGATGCAGGTAATCGTCATCCGCTTCGGTGATATAAAGGTTGACTCCCAACGCCTCCGCTTTCACCTGCACTTGCTGAATTCCATCAACCGTCTCATCCGGTTCGATCAGAGCAAAGATTCGTGTGTTCGAGTATCCGGCCCAGTGAGCGAATTGATCGAGGGACTCGTTCAATCGCGATACAGTCGTGGCGACTCCGAAGTCGATGTGGGAAGCGTCCGCGGGCTTAGGGGGCCTCGGGACCGTGGCGGGTATAGGGAACGGAATCAAGCAGCCGTCCTGCGCTGCGGCGATTGCGGGATCGGTGCTGGGTGGTGGTAGGTCGACATCCAGTAGGGGGATATCGATATCCTGTGTCATGGCCATGGAGTTTTCGGCGAAGTCGATGACCATATCGCGGCGGGTGTATTGGGCCAACTTGGAGATATCCAGTTTGCGCAAGATGTCGAGGTCGGGGTCACATTTCACATTTGTTGAAATGGTTATATTAGAGCTGGAGTGCAATTGATGGAAATCGCTTTCCACGGTGGAAGGCCATAAGATGGTCGCAAATACTGCGACGGTGAGGAGAATTACGACGAATCGCACCATTCGTTTCCAGGCCCAGGAAACGGGGAAGACCCCTTCTCGTGATGAGGAGAACATCTTATCTATACTCGAGTACCTCCAGGGATTCTTTTTTCGCTTTTGGGATTCTTGGTTCTAGCCAAGTTTTCTCCTATTTGGGAAGTCCTCCTTCTTCTCGCGTCGTGGTAAAGTCGCGGGAAGGCTATGCTCGTACTCGTACACAGATTTCGGGGGGAGGGAATCACCAGTCGAACATCCGCATTGCGGAGAAGGTACTCCGAAATCCAAGGGTCCCGATGGGGGCGGGGAGGAGAAGAGGAGGAAGTATACGGAGTATAAATGATGTGGATGTGTATACAAGAGAGAAGAAGAGAAAGAAGAAAAGCGAGAGGATGTCTAAAGAGCAGAGATGGGACAGGGGACGATCATGGTTCCGCGGATCCAGAAGAGGCAAGGTTACTGGGTGGTAAAAGGGGGGGGGAAAGACGGATTTGGGGGGGGGGAGGGAGGGATTCAAGGCAAAAATGGGCGGGAAATGATTCAAATCGAATAAAATTGGCATTTTTTTATTTTAATTTCTTAATTTTCTACTTTGAATCCTACTCTCTGCTTACCTACTGGGTTTAATGGATTTTATGACGTGCCCGTCGACTCCCGGTCGCGTGTCTTCGAGTCGTTTTCGGCTGCTTCTGGCTTTTTTTTTTTTAGCTGGACAGGTTTTTCTCTCTGTTCTCTACTAATTAGGGGCAGGTGGGTTCAGGGCGCTCCAATCCATGGCCACAACCACTTGTGAACGATATCAAGTCCGGGTGATTCCTCTGCGAGCGTATGAGAAGTCTCCTCCCAAAGCCCCAAGATTTCGCCAAGACACCAACGCCATCCACTCTCTCCTCCGACTCGTCCTTCTGTCCGTCGTCTCCACGTCCGCGCGTCATTTTAGACCTGCTTTTTTTTTCTGATTTACAACCTGTATGGGGTAAGGTCAGTGGGCTTTGCGACGGTCTCAGCTCCGTTCTCCGTATACGAAGTTGACTACACTCCTCTCGTGACTAGTACGAAGGTACATAAAGGGTCCATGCCCACAAGTGCGAAAAAAGGCCGCTGTCTCCGGAGATTGGGACGAAAAGAAAACCACGGAATACAAATCCTTGCAACAGAGTTAGAGTCCCCTGGCAGTGACACCCTAAATATGCCAAATTCCTGCTTGAGCTAGGAGAGCCGAAATTCCCGAGACAACGCTTGAGATCTTCGGATTTTGCTTGACCCGGGAGCCGTCCAATGCCGTATACTATGGACTTTTAGGGTGGTTAGGATGTCGATCATCATCCCCTGTCGATGATCTACTCGAATTGGCGGACACCGCTATCAAAATATGGATTTCATCTTCACTCCCATCTTTCTGAAGGTTTAGATGGAGTGCAAACGTGTTGTTCACTGCCACGGGAGTATCGGATTGATCAAGGGGGATTGGATTTCAGGGTCCAGTCAGAGTCCACCTTAATCTGCGGGTGGGTGCATTCTAATTTAGCCAATTTGGCCAATTTGGCTTCGGCCCCCTTTTTAAAGGAATGTAAACTTCCCACAGCCTCGCCCAAGTGGAGTTTTGCATGGTCTCTCACGCCAATGCAATAGGACAGTCTTCATCTTTCCACCAGATGTCGTGAGTCTTATGCCCGATTTCATTGGTTTTATATCCGTGTCGATTTGGTGATTTAGAGTTCATCGCCTCCATTACTTGTAGATCTCCCATTCATAAGACCATGTCATATGTGCATAAAAATGAGGCTGCCTGTGCGTCTGCACGGATAGATCTGATCTGATCTAGCTCAGCCCCCCAGTATACGTCTCCCAACGTTGAACCCTGCAGCTTCTCCTTTTCTCAGTTGAAAGGAAGGGAATTTACAGGGTACTCATGCACGATATTCAAATATAGACTAGCTTTATATTTGCGGCCATTGGCTACTTTCTTAGTGGGTAGGCCATCATTCAAGTTCTAGACTCGGACTGAATGCTCAAGGAATACCTACATTCGAACGTTCCGACAACATGCACTTTAATATAACTGCAACAAATGGTTCCATAAATCACGAAGGTACAGCATGGACTTTTAAATTCACCTATGTGGCAAGAGAAGAAGGAGTATTCAAATGTAAATAACCAACAGCTACGTCGCCACAGGGCACGTTTTAGGACATTTAACTTCGGTCGCTGCGATCCTATTCGTGTACAGTCTAGCCTTCAACGCTCCAATCTGCCAATCTTAGGACTCCAACTTACCGCCTTCCATTTACTGCCACCGACACGTGACTGGTACGGCGAGGGGTTGAACCCCACAGTGCAAGACTTCCCAATGGGGAAACATTCTTTCCGCACACTCTGTCTTGTGGAGGTGGAGGACACGACAACTAATTACAACGGGCCCCAGTCCCCTATCCTCAGGAATTCAACCTACCGGATCATTCTTAAATCATTTCGACAAAAAGGAGCAGTCATTGACCATCCTAGCGACCTCCCCCACCATGGTTGCGCAGTCACTAAGTTCGCTCTTGGGGCGGGCATCGATTGACGATCATGAGGAGGTTATCCAATCCTGCAACGAAGCTCTTACCAAATCCAAATCCGATATCAACGCCCAATACATTAAAGCTATCGCCCTGTTGAAGCTTGATCGTTACGAAGAAGCACTGCGGGTGCTGGAAACCGGAGACATTGCCTTGAAGCAGCAAGCAAGCTTGGAGTATGCCTATGCACTATACAAATGTTCCCGGCTGGAGGAGGCTCTTGTTGCTGTCACTCAGTCTACTGGTGGCCGAGGCTCTGGTCATCTTGAGGCTCAAGTGGTAAGATGCACAATGATTCGTGGAAATTCGTGGACTTTTACTAATATTAATGTTGATGTAGAGCTACCGCGCTGAACATTTCCGTCGTGCCGCCGAGATCTACGAGAAATTGTCGGAAGATAAAGAGGCTCATCGTCATGAAGAGAATGATCTGAGCATCAACTCGTGGGCTACTGATGCCCAGCTTCAGTGGAAGGGAGAGTCGGAATACGTGCGCCATGATCGACCCTCAAGAGAGGATTTGGAGTCTTTCGAGACCGCTTATAATGCGGCTTGTTTGAATATCGCCAAGGGAGCATTCGCTCAAGGAGAGGTGCTTCTGAGCCGTGCGAAGAGTAGGTGGACCGCTGGACCATGTTTTTTGATATAAGAATACTGACCCTTGCACAGATATCTGTCAGACATCAGAGGAGCTGTCTTCCGAAGATCGGGCTGCAGAGTTACTCCCTATTTCTGTGCAACATCTCTATGTCTTGATCAAGCAGGGCAAGACAGAGCAGGCGGAGTCACTCCTCAAGGAGATTTCCGTCGAAGAGTAAGTCCTGTTATGATTGGTAACATCGATTGCAACTTCGGAAGCTAATATTTTGGCTCAGTATCCCAGAACTCTCCACCAGGCGAGTTGCCCGAAACAACATTGTCCTTGCTCAGCAAACTGCGGTCAACCCGTATAATCTGTATAAGTCTCTCCACGAGACCCCAGAGGCTGTCGATGCCGACCGGTTATTTGGATTTCAGGATAATGCTCTGACAGGCAACTCCCACGCCGCGGATCTTCTCGTTAAAAAATACGATGGTATCATTCGATCAACAGTCAAGGGTCTTTCAAAATTCACCTCCCCTTCTACTGAGGCTAGCGCAAACCTCCTCTCCGTGTATAATGCTGCTGGCCATGCAGAGGGACAAACAGGTCCCAAGGCCCTGAAGCAGATTCTCTCCTTACTGGAACGACGACCCAAGGATCTGGGCCTCCTGTTGACTGTTGTCCAATTGTACGTTGATGCTGGCAACACCACATCTGCCATTACTGCTGTGGAGCGATCACTCCGTGCCCTGGAGGACTCCATCTCCGAAGCCGACCAAGACGCCCGCTTCAACCCCGGTCTTCTCAGTGTTCTCGTTTCCTTGTATCAGACTGAGGGCCGAAAGCTCCAGATCCGCTCTACTCTCGCACAAGCCGCCTCATACTGGCGCACCAAGCCCGAAGCCCCCACCTCTCTCCTGCGCGCCGCCGCCAAGGCTCTTCTTTACTCCGACAGCCCATCAGACCTAGCTACAGCAGGCGACCTCTTCAAGTCTCTCTACCAAAAAGACTCTAGCGATCGCATCGCCACCGCCGGCTATGTCGCTTCACAAGCTACCCTCGACTACTCCCAAGTAGAGTCACATATCGACCAGCTCCCTGCCATCAATGACCTTGTTGCGGAAATTGACATCTCCGCCCTCGAGTCAGCTGGTATTGCGCCATCCGCCTTGTCTGCGGCTCACGCCGCCGCCTTGGCGAGTGCGCGTAAGCGATCTGCAGCGGACAAGGAGGGACCTGCTACAAAGCGTATTCGAAAGTCTCGCCTGCCTAAAGATTTCGATTCTGCTAAAAAACCAGACCCCGAGCGTTGGCTGCCACTGCGTGACCGCTCCTCATATCGTCCTAAGGGTAAGAAGGGTAAGCAACGTGCTGCGGATCGTACTCAAGGTGGGCCTGTTTCTGAGAAGCAGGAGTCCGCTGCTCAGCAACAGCCGCAGACTTCTGGGGGTGGTGCTAGCTCTAAGAAGAATAAGAAGAAGGGCAAGCGGTAGTGTATCTATATGGGGAAGATATCTCGAGTTATGGCCGTAGTTGAATGTTATATGTATACCCACGGGTTAAATGTGCATAGATAAATGAAAAAGCAGATGACCTCAACTACCTACTGGGGACTATAGCGTTAGCTGGAAAACCTCACAGACCGAGAGAAAATGATAATACCTAGAATGTAGCCCCGGGATACTTCTAAGATTCCAACCCTAGAACCTTGGAAGCCCTGGAGGTTAAGCAGGCTTTGCCAGCTTGAGCTCTATCCTAATATCTTGGGAACATATACCGGTAAATTGTTTATAATAGACCTCGGGATAGTCTCCTCATCTTTCTACTTGTCTTTCCATTTGCCTTTCCACTTCTTTTCCAACCCAAGTCGATCCATGGGAGTTTAGTACCCTCTGGACGTCCCGCAGACGAACCAGATCAAGATCAATAACTCGAAATCAACTATGGCATAAAGTTCGGTCATTTGAATGTCAAAAAGTTTATTCCGCTAGTTGCTATCCTGATTCAATTTATGATGCAAATGCCCGAAATGACATCTGCCGACCCATATCTAGACCCAGGGATACCTCCGAAAAAACCTATCCTCTCCAAATCAACCCAACGGAGTCCGAATAGTCCCGCACTGCCGATCATAATGCTCGAAAATCATATGCAGCAACCTCAAATCCATCAAAGCATCATTCGCGGTCGTTTTCGCTTCCACAGCACACCCATTCACCCCGACACCAGAATCATCCCCAACAAAATAAGAATGCATAGCCAAAAACTCCCTCTCATAAGCCTCAGCTGCAGAACTGACAACCTCAGTTCTCTTCACGCGAGGTCGACCCCCATGATCAATATCAACCTTACTCTCCAACTCCTCAACAACAACCTTCACGCTCCCAGTGACCCCATCTTCTTCCGACATCGCCAAGCATGGAAAATCATACTCAACAGATATGGTTTTCTGGGCTCCGTAAACGGTTAAATGCGCATCACATCTCGGGACGGAATCTACACCCGTCTCGTATAGGACTGTAAAGGGGTGTCCGTCTGGATCTGGTTCTGAGTTGGAGTTGCCGGAGACCGAGGCCGAAGCTGAAGACGAAGTCGCGGCCTTCGAGCTAGTGTAGTGGAATATTGCGCTGTAGAATGGATCCGTGATAGCGATGTTTGCTACTGCGTCTGGGAATCCGAGGGATTCTCGCATTAGAGAGAGATCGTGACAGCCTAGGTTTCCGAGGAAGCGACAGAATGCTATTCTATCCGGTGTCAGATCGTCTGTTGAGCCGAAAATATCGGATAGGAGGGCCTGGAATTGTTTTTGCGACTGCGAGGGGAGGCTTGTGATTCCATTTGCTTGGGCTTCGGCTTGAAGCCTTGTGTTCGTTCTATTTCCGTTGCTGTTGCTGATACCATTCCCACTCATCTTCATATCCATAGCAGGAATATGAAGTGGCCCCGCAATATTGCGACACCTTGCATAATAAATTCTTCCCATCGAAGCAAGTTCCTTCTTAAACAAATCTGTAAAACACGGTGCATAGCGACGGGCACATCCAACAAAGACCTTCGGCGGAGTACCAGTGCTAGTATTGTTTGCGCCGTTTTGAGTTGCGGCGCGAATACGACGAAGGCCATGAATGCTCAGGCTGAGTGGTACTTCGACCATGACGTGTTTTCCGGCCTCGAGGGCGGCAATGGTGAATTGTTCATGGTATTCGAATGAGAGGAGGTTAAGGACTAGATCTACCTCGTTGTGAGAGATGAGGTCGTGGGCGGAATTTGTGATGGTTTGGATGTTGAATTTCTTTGCGGTGGTTTTTGCGGTAGAGTCGTTTTGGTCGTAGATTGCTGTTAATTTGTAGGTTGGGAGGGAGGTGAGGGTTGGGAGGAAGGTGGGCTGGACGTTGTTTGGGGCACCTAGGATGCCGACGCGGAGGGTTGTTGACATTTTGCTTTGATTTGCTTTGTTCTTGATAAGTCGAGTGGATGGAGTGGAGGGTTGTAGATTTGAGGATGCGATGTCGAGAAGGAAGAGGTTGAGAACTGTTGACTCTGCCCTGTCCTCCTGCGGTGAGTTATGGTGATGGGTCGTGGTGTGAAAAGTATGGGTGTGAATGTGATGAAGTGAATGCTAGGAAGTAAAGATTCAAAATATCATGTTTGAATTCAAAAAGTTTAAATTGGTTGAATGATCAAGATTGAAAAGGTTATTGAGGTGACAATAGGCTGTAAACTGTTTTTAAAAAGGAGATTGAGGTTCAGATTCCCTTTTAGTCCTAACAACCCATTCCATGTATCCAATCTCCCTCGCATACCGTAGTGACATCAGTGCGGCCTGATTCGTTTAGGTCAAGCGGTCCAGGGGCCAGAGTAACCTGTTTAGATCACAGCTGCACCATGGATTAGGGGGCGACTCGGCACTCCGGGGCCGATCAGGCAGATCCGGGGAATCAGAGGATTGAAGCTGTTCAGGTGCTGGCGATCGGTGTTACATGTCGCAATGATGTTCGTAGGGGCCAATGGGAACTAGTTATGGAATGTAGGGGGCGAATGAGTCCGTGAATGCTTAGATATGTGTGTAGAAGGATATGATGTGTCTATTTTTGGCTCTAATTGATGTTGTAGATGGGGTTGAATAGTTCTGGAGATGTATGGAGCTATTGTTTCCAACATTCTGGTTCTGGTTTATAGATGCAGAACTGGGATTGCCTGTTTTGGTAGGATACATGCATAGTCCTGAAGGTCGACTGAAAGGGCGATCTGTCATACTTTGGTCATAGAATATTGCATATCCTTATCAAGATCATATATTTGATAGATTTAAACCAGCTTATTACTTAGCTGCAGTGCAAATCTTCTGGAAGCGCGGGTGGAGCAGGCTAAGTGGGCCTCAAGGTACAACGACCAGAGGTACAGAGTACGAGTACAAGTGCCTACACTGTGATTTGGACTTCGGGAGAGAATAAAATACAACAAATACTTCAAATCAGTGGAGTTAAGATCATTCTAGAATAATCCTAAAAACCCTGGATCGTGTCTAACCTGGTGTCTCACTCTGAGTCAACCTTGCAGGCGTAGGCTGTGTATCCCCACACTGGCTTGTCCTCCAACAGTGTTCAGCGCTATTGGCTTCAGCCTTGCCCAATCTAGAGTGGCGGCTCCATACACCCTCGTCATCTGCTGACTGTCACCTGTTTCGATCTCTTTACACTTCTTTTACCCTCAAATCTGATTTATCCACTTCAACTCCTCCGAGATGGGTGTAAGTCATCGTTTCTACACGAACATCTATCTTCTTCACTCAAATCTAACACCATCGCTTCCTAGTTCGCCTCGAAAATCGCCGCATCTCAGAATAACTCGCAGACTCAGCCTCCCAGTCAAGGTCTAGGTCAAGGTCAGCAGAATATGCCTAGCAACCAAGGCACTTACGGTGGTGCACCGCCAGCAGGATACACTGGAGGGCCACCTGCAGCACTACGCCCTGGTGGATACGTAAGTCCGATCAGCTGTTGTTTCGACGTCATCGAAATTTTTCATGTTGGTCAACTAACAAGATGAAATGTGTATTAGCCACCGCAACAGCAGCAGCAGCAGCAACCTCAGCAAGCACAGTATCAGGCTTTCCCAGGATCCCCACCTCCTAATCAGGGATCGGTAAGCTTCCCTTCTATGATCTGATTATTTGATTTATTTTCTTTGCCACCCTTCAATTATTTCAGAATACTCTTGGGATTATTTGTTCTTTCAAATTTTTTTTGGCTACATTTTGCTTTGTTTGTTGTTGCCTCGCATTTTACCCCTCCACACTCGCCTTTTTACCCCTCGGGCTTGTCGACTCGACTTTCCCAAAAAATCCCAACAACAATTATGTCGGGTCCCTACCAACAACAGGGTTACCCTCCGTACGGCGGCTCACCTGCTCAACAATACCAGCCATATCATACTCCGTCTCCGGCCGCAACATCTTATTCCAGAGCTCCTCCGCAGCAACCTTCACCCTACCCCGCATCAGCCCAAGGCTATGCACGTCCTCCGCCGCCGCCTCCTCAAGGTCAGCCCTATGGATCGGGATCACCATACCCTGGACAACAATCGCCTTACCCTGGACAGCAACCTCCATATCCTGGACAACAACAACCTCCATACCCAGGCGAGCCTTCACCTTATCCTGGACAGCAGCCCGCCTATGTACAGATGAGCCCCTTCTTGTTTTCTCATTGTTTATTTCATTGCGTGTTGTTCTTCATTTATATGTTTTCTGTGTCGTCTTTTTCGTCTGTTGATTTTTGCTTCAATGCGATACTAACTGAAGAAAAATAGAACCAGGGCCAATACCCGCCGCCCCAAGGCTCTCCTTACCCACCCCAAGGCTCGCCATACCCCGGTGCACAGGGCCGACCTGGTCCCCCACCTGGTCCTCCCAGTGGCCAGTATGGTGCGCCCGGCGGTGGTGCTCCTCCCCAGGCTGCCCCGCCAACCCCGCAACAAGTCTCAGCATATCGCCAGCTATTGATTGCCACTATCCAAGAGAAGAATCTCCAGGCCTTCTATCCGCCCGAGCGTCTAAACCAACTCGTCGATTCTCTGGCCAACAATGCACCGGGGAAGCTCCAAAGATTGATCCAGGAATGGTCAGTCCCTATGGAGGTAGCTACGGATGTGATGAAGCTCGCGCTCTTCGATGTGATTCTCTACGTGGATGACAGTGGCTCTATCGAATTTGAAGAGAAGGGTCTGCGTAAGGATCAGCTGCGCCAGATTCTCGGCATCGTGGCAACGGCCGCATCAACCTTTGACGAGGATGGAATCTCTGTGCGATTCATGAACTCGCAAGAAAGCGGCGATGGCATTCGCAATGCCGAGGATGTCAACAGGCTCGTCTCCCGTGTCCGATTCGCAGGATTGACACCCCTTGGTACTAGCTTGAGGAGCAAGGTTCTCGACCCTATGGTTGTCGGTCCTGCCCGGGCTGGTCGTTTGGAAAAGCCAGTGCTGGTGATTACGATCACTGATGGTCAGCCTGCTGGTGAGCCTCACAGCTCCGTCAGCGATGCTATCCGCCACGCTATCGCCGAGACATCACGCACTCGCTATGGTCGTGGTGCGGTGTCTTTCCAGTTCTCACAGGTTGGCAATGACCAGCGCGCTCGAGAGTTCCTGGGTGACTTGGACGAAGATCCTGAGATTGGCAACTTTGTTGATTGTACATCAAGTAAGTGACGAATATGCATTTTTCATTTTGGTCGGTTACATGATTTTGACTCTTTGAATTGCAGATTTCGAGGTTGAACAGGACGAGATGTCTCGTGCCAACCCACCTGTCCATTTGACTCGAGAACTTTGGGTGAGTTCCTCTCTAACTGAGTATACTAAAGATTGTTTACTAATTTTGTTGCCCAGTGTGCGAAGCTGATGCTCGGTGCGATCGACGCCTCGTATGATACAAAGGATGAGAAGGCATCCGGTCGCTCTAGTGGTGGTGATGGACGTCCTCCTCCACCTGCTTCTTATGGTGGCGGCGGTGGGTACAACCAAGGCCCTCCGCCAGGTGGACCACCTCCAGGATATGGTGCTCCGCCAGCAGGATACCAATCCGGACCACCACAAGGGTCATACACTCCTCAGCCAGGCTACCAACAAGGGCCCCCTCCTCAGCAGCAGCAACAACAGCAACAACAGTATGGAGGAGCATCACGAGGATCACCCTATGGCCAGCCCCAGGGCTATGGTTATCCGGCCGGAGCGGGAGGGTATCCGCCACCACCTCGTCGGTATTAGTTACGATAACGTGAATATGGACGTGAACATAAATTGGTCAGAGTCCAAGCGGCGATGACGTATCCTTATCCGCATTGTTCTTGGCATGTTCTCGACTTTTTCACTCTTTTTGCCTTTTTCCCTTTTACGTTTTACGTTTTTTGTACATGTAATTTCAATGTTCAGTCTTCCCCGCCATGCAGGACTCGTCTGAATAGAAGGAACCCGAAGCTTGCATCTTAACTGCCCGTATTGCACTGTACGATTTCCATATTTCACCCCTTGACATGGATACGGGGGAAATCCACTTCCAAGTATTATCGGCACTGTACTCCTTGATTTCCCCTGTAAACGAATCTTTGTTTGAGATTGTGTCCCGCGCGGAGCACTAGTCCCTGCACTAAATCGCGACTCTAGCCTTTTCCATTGTTAGTGTAGTGCCCCGACACCTGGGCAGTCTCAACAAATGAACGATCAGCACTTTGACCAACAAAATCTTGGAACATGCCACATGGTCATGAGGACAAGGGAGTAATTATGGAAGTATGTTCGTATGGCTGTCACACCAATATCTGTGTAGGTTTCCATATCCATGGATGATAATAGGCAACCTAGTAATTCATTACATAGCCACAAGATACAGATAGATGCAGATACCAGTGTAGGTACGCCGTACATGTACTTTGCATATGCATACCGAAATAGAAGTCGCGTGGGGGCTACACCGTATACTACATTTGGTACAGTATTTGCGAGGCGTCTTGTATGTAACTTGTCAACTTCAACACCCTTGTCATTGGTGAGTCTAATAAGCCGGCGGTTATTTTCTTCTCTTTTCTTCTACCTAAATTCTAATATTTCCACTGTAATATAGTCATGGAGAATCGGAATGAGAATCCGGGAAATCCAAGAACCAGTCCCATTAAGAAAACACGCCTTCTCGGGCTCTGCATTCTAACCAGCGTCGTCACCTTCCTCTTCCTCATAGTCGGCGATGCTGTATTTGCACAGGAGCATCGATATTTGTATAGAGGGACATGGTTCTTGACTAATTTCCTGGCTTGCTATTTGTGGTCTAAATATCTTCCTTGGTCCACAAGTACCTTAAACATCTCAGGTGTATGAGTTCACAGCCTCGAAATGTCATTCTCTTGCCACCACATAGACAGACGTGGATCAATCCTTTTTGAGTAAACCGTTGGTTAGCCTTGTGGATAAATGTAAGAGGCAAGTACCAATGAATTTTCTGAAACAAGGCCACCCATGGTTGCGGGGGAGTTTATTCCAGAGACTCCAACTGGAGAACAGTCAGATCTAATTCCGTCACGTTGAACAGGTGGCTGTGTATCCTCCGCACATGGCGACGATGCAACCAACATCCAAGCGTTTGCGCGTTAGGATCCACTTGGTCCAGATGTTGATGGGAATGGCTGAACGGTCCTACATCTGATTTGTCTGGAATTGAACTGCTCCATTCTTTCTTATTATGCTTTATTTTGTCTGGTCTGATTCGTAGTAAATTAGTGTGTGGCCTGAACCCGCTTTTGGCTTGGGTTGCCGCATCCGTGCTGTACGTCGCCTTCTTGCTGTTTTCTCTTCTCCCTTTTCTCTCATGGGATCAATAAACCTTCTCCCTTCGACTCTGCCCCTCGTTAATTTCTGTTCTGTTGTTTACTGCAGTTAACACCTACGACTTTCTTTATATCCCGGTGAATTCGAATTCGAATTCGAAATCGAGCTCGAACTTGAATTTAAAGGACTCAAGAGAGACGATCAGAGAATGCCGGGTTCGTTCTTTCGCTCGGTCGCTTTTTAAAGAGTCCTGAGAAAACCAGACGAAAATATCTCACCATTCGATATACGCTCCTTGACGACGCAAAGGAAGAGAAGGACGCAAAAGAGAAAAGAGAATTTAACTTCGGAGAGATCGATCGGGCAATTGGAAACAGTGATCTACCCCAGATCCCGCGCAGGCACGATCTCGCATTCCAGCCATGTCCAACCACGATGAGCCTACAAATGGCGAAAATGACTCTCGCCAATCCCAGGATGTCGTGCGACGACCTTCCCTCGTTTCATCGCGGACCATGTCCGACTCCGGTCGCCGCTCCTCCCAACAACAGGTGCGATTCTCGACGGACTTCAACGCCCCCTCCGCAGAAGAACAGCGCAATGTCTCAAATACAAATTCCGACCGACGTCCCAGCTCCCGCGGACTGACTATCGACACGGCGCTGGCGCCTCCCAGTGTTCGGCCTGCGCTCCGTTCACCGACCTCTCCCCTCTCCCCTAATGCGAATGCGACAGCGAATACAAACAGTACTACCAGCACGAGTCCTAGCCCCGGTGCCACCCTCTCCCCAACGTCTCCCCAGAGTCCTGAATCCACCGGTCGGTCTCGGTCGCGCAATCGTGGGTATTCCCTACGTCGATCGCTCTTCAATAAGAATATCCTCTCGGGCTCGGAGCAAGATGATTCGGGTACGGGCGAAGTGAACGAGAAGACAGATGCCACGAGTTCAAATCAACATGATGGGCCTGCTTCTGCTCCTGCGCCTAAACTGCCTAGTCCCGTCGAAGAGAAGAATGAATTGGCTTTCGCGCCCACCGCGCCCGCAGAACCAGATACCAAAGAAGCTACCTCGACATACCTTTCGTCTGAACCTTCGGATCGCGGTCTGAAGGAATATTACTCCGTCGCGCAGGATGGATGGTCAAGCAAGAAGGTGGAGATGGCGGTGATTTCAGCTCGTGTCGAGGCTTACTTGCTCCGGGTTCGAAATGCGATCTTGCGCATTAAGGAAATTCCTCCAACAGAAAATGGTCGCCATATTGATTTGAAGCCGTCGGATGTGGATACGTTTCTCGATGAGCGGACCGGAAAGCCTTATATTCAGAATTGGATTCGCTCGAGCCGATACAGCTTTTGGAGTTTCTTTCCTCGCCAGTTCTTCGCGCAGTTCACTAAGCTGGCCAATTTTTACTTCTTAATTGTCGCTATTCTTCAAATGATTCCTGGACTGAGTACGACGGGTACTTATACGACTATTGTTCCGCTTCTTATCTTCGTTGGTATCTCAATGGGAAAGGAAGGATTCGATGATTGGCGCCGATATCGCATGGACAAAGAGGAGAATAATCGCGTTGCGTTGGTGCTGAGGTCTTCTGAAACGCCTATCCATGAGAATATGCCCGGATCGCACTCTTATGAATGGATTGAGATTAAGTGGTCGGATATTCAAGTTGGAGACGTTATCAAACTTAAGCGCGATGAGCCAATTCCTGCTGATCTCGCTTTACTTCATGCTAATGGACCCAATGGTGTGGCTTATATCGAGACTATGGCGCTTGATGGAGAGACAAACTTGAAGAATAAGGCGCCTTGTCAACCTGTTGCTAAGGTGTGTTCAACAGAGGAAGATATCGCTCGTCATTCGCTGCATTTCGTTGTGGAGGACCCGAACCTAGATCTTTACAAATTCGACGGCCATGTCATTGTTAACCAGGAGGAAAAACTGCCCTTGACCAATAACGAGATCGTTTACCGTGGAAGTATCTTGCGAAACACTGATCAGGCTATTGGTCTGGTTATTTATACGGGTGAAGAGTGCAAGATTCGCATGAACGCCAACAAAAACCCTCGAATCAAGAAGCCAGCTTTGCAGGCCAAGGTCAACAGAGTTGTCATTCTCATTGTGCTCATCGTTATAATCATGTCTGTTGCATGCACAGTCGCCTACAAATACTGGTCCCAGGATGTCGAAAGCCACTCATGGTATCTGAAAGATGCTAGTGTATCCATTGGTCCTATTTTTACTTCATTCATTATCATGTTCAATACTATGATTCCCATCTCGCTCTATGTCAGTATGGAGATTGTCAAGGTTGTGCAAATGTTTCTGCTCAACGACATCGACATGTACGATCCCGAGACTAATACACCACTGGAAGCTCACACGTCGACAATCAACGAAGAACTGGGTCAAGTGAGCTACATATTTTCCGACAAGACCGGTACTCTTACCAACAACTCCATGCGTTTCCGTAAGATGAGCGTTGCCGGAACAGCCTGGTTACATGATTCGGATCTACAGGAAGAAGCTGCCCGTGAGGGTGAGAAGCTCATTCACAAGAAGCGAAATGTCAAGGGCAAGAAGGCTATGGGACGGAAGTCTAATGTCTCTGAGGCTCGTATGCCCCGTCCCTCCAACGTGTCTGCTGGAGATGTTTTGCGTCGCTCTACCCCTCACCGGACTACGGAGATGATCGAGTATATCCAGCGCAAGCCGTATACTATCTTTGCTCGCAAGGCTAAGTTGTTTATCCTCGCTATGGCTCTCTGTCATGCTTGTATCCCCGAAGAGGATGAGAATGGTGAATTTACTTTCCAGGCTGCTTCACCCGATGAACTTGCGTTGGTTATGGCCGCTAAGGAACTGGGATATCTGGTTATGGATCGACAACCTAATACCTTGACTATTCGGACATATCCCAATGGTCCTGATGAGGCTGCAAATGAGGAGACCTTTGAGGTCTTGGATGTTATTGAGTTCTCAAGTGCGCGGAAGCGTATGTCTGTCGTTGTTCGTATGCCTGATCAGCGACTCTGTCTCTTCTGCAAGGGTGCCGATACCTCGTTGATGCGTCTGCTCAAACGTGCTGACCTAGCGCATGAGAAGTCGATGGAGATCGAACAACGTGTTAGCAAGCGCAAGGCTGCCGAAGCCAACCAGATTATTCGTCGTAATAGTCAGCATACCAGTCGGAAAGATAGTGGTGTCCGGAGCAGTTTCAGTCGACCCAGCTTCAATCGTCGTCGCTCATCTGTCTCTGGTCAACATGCTTCGACTCTTCGTGCCAGTATTGATGTTTGGCTGCGCGATCGTGAATCAGATGGTGGTATTCTTAACCGCGAAGCTGATAGCGAGTATTACTCTCCCCGGCCTTCTGCACAGATGGGAAGACACTCCACTGTGATTTCTGATTCCGGCAGTTCGACAAATGGCGAGGAAGATGAGGATCTCGTTGAAGAGGCCCTTGTGGTTAATGAGAGTGCTATATTTGAGCGCTGCTTCCAACATCTCAACGACTTTGCTACTGATGGACTGCGTACTCTTCTTTATGGCCATCGGTTCTTGGACGAGGCAACCTATAAGTCCTGGAAGGCTGATTACCATGATGCTTCCACTAGTATTGTTGATCGACAAGAGAAGATGGAGCAGGTTGGTGAGCAAATCGAGCAACAGCTTGAGTTGACTGGAGCCACTGCTATTGAGGACAGATTACAAAAGGGTGTTCCGGAGACCATTGACAAATTGCGACGTGCAAACATCAAGCTTTGGATGTTAACTGGCGATAAGCGTGAGACTGCTATCAATATCGGTCATGCATGTCGCTTAGTCAAGGAGTATTCGAAGTTGACCATCCTAGACCATGAAAATGGCAATGTCGAGCAGTTGATTATTGATTTGACCAGTGAGCTTGTTCGCGGTCGTGTCGCTCATTCCGTGGTCGTTGTTGATGGTCAAACATTGGCAACTATTGAAGAGAGCGAAGTCATGCGGAAACGCTTCTTCCAATTGGCTATTCGTGTCGACTCCGTGATTTGCTGCCGTGCCAGTCCCAAACAGAAAGCCTTCCTTGTCAAGACTATTCGTACCCATCTTGATGATGCGATTACTCTTGCCATTGGAGATGGTGCCAATGACATCGCTATGATTCAAGAAGCGCATGTAGGTATTGGTATCGCTGGTAAAGAGGGTCTTCAAGCTGCTCGTATCTCAGACTATTCTATCGGGCAGTTCCGTTTCCTACAGAAGCTTCTTCTGGTTCATGGTCGGTGGAATTACATGCGCGCATGCAAATATACCCTTGGTACCTTTTGGAAGGAAATGCTTTTCTACTTGACTCAAGCGCTGTACCAGCATTGGAACGGTTATACCGGAACCAGTTTGTATGAGTCCTGGAGTTTGAGTATGTTCAATACGCTATTTACTTCTCTCCCCGTTATATTCCTGGGTATCTTCACCAAAGACCTCGCAGCATCGACACTACTAGCTGTTCCGGAACTTTATACGAAAGGCCAACGCAACGGCGGGTTCAATATCCGATTATGGCTCGGCTGGTCTTTCATGGCTACCTGTGAAGCGGTCATTATCTTCTTCACCATGTTCAGCCTCTTCGGCATGATCCAAATCAACATAAGTGACATCGATCTGTTCGCATTGGGTCTCCTAACCTTCACTGCCTGTGTAATCGTCATCAACATCAAACTCCAAGCCACAGAAGTCCACAACAAGACATACCTCAACCTAGCCGTAATGATCATCTCAATCGGCGGCTGGTTCCTCTGGAACATGATTCTCTCCAAACAATACAAAATGAGTTCCGGAAAGGGAGTCTACGATGTCCCCAGCAACTTCCTCCACCACGTCGGCCACAACCTCCTCTTCTGGGCCGTTCTCCTCATCTCCGCCGTGGCGGTCCTCATGTTCGAAATGACAGTTAGCACACTTCGTGCCCTCTTCTTCCCTACAGACGTCGACATCTTCCAAGAATACGAACAAGATCTTGAAATCCGCAAACGTTTCGAAGAAGCAGCTGCTTCTGAACTTCAGCAGGGCTGGGATAGAGGAAACAAGAAATCTAGCTTTGAGCTTGAACGTGATCGTGAGATTGAAGCTGCTGATTTGGATGCTCGTGAGCGTCATGTTCAGGAACTTCTTTCTCGTCCTCGTGTCATGACTATGACTGAGAATGAGAAGCCTGAGACGAAGGAAATCGAAATGGATGGATACTTTGGCTCAGATGCTAGTGCTAGTGCTAGTCAAGTGGCTAGTAATAGCACCACTGGGAAGAATCAGGGTCATCTTGCTGTTCCACAGGAGCATGATCTTGGTGCTGGTCTTGGACCTGTTTCTCCTTCGGAGTCTTGTGCTCCGCGCCGCTCTCATGAGATCCACGAACTATTCAGTAAGGGCTTCGGTGCTATTCGAAAGGGCCAACTGAAATGAGTTTCTGGAATATGATGGGGTGTTTTGTGTATACATCATGTACAGTGCATGGTTTTGATTTGTTTCCTTTTTTTTCTTTTCTCTCCTTTACCTATTCCCACAGCGAGCGTTTGATTTGTTTCCTTTCCTTTCCTCTGCTTTCCTTTCCTACCTCCCGTCTATATATCATATCTTCATCTTCATGCCCACTCCCTATATCTCAGGGTCTAACGGCCTAAAAGGCGCTGGTGTTTTTCTTTTCTTTTCTGTTTTTCTGTTTTTCTGCACAGTCTTATAGACTTAGATACCCCGACTCGGTTGGAAATCTGAATTCCGCTATATATATATATGTTTTCGGCTTGTTATTTTAATTTTTTAGATTCCCCAGTCTCAATTCATGGCTATTCTAGAATACTGTTTTGTCTTTGAGTAGTATATAGTGGAGATTACTGGAAGCAGATATGTACTTTCATGCACATGTGCTCTACTATCTAGTCTGTAACTTGAACATTCGAAGTAGATTAGTAGCATTTCAATATTATTCCAATCCTCAGGGCTTGGGGATTAGTAACTACTAGTAGTAGGAAAATAACCTTGGAAGGTTTGAACATCTTAAGTCCAATACACAATACTTGGCTAAATACCTACTCGTCCCCCTACTCCTCTTCCTTACGCTCTTTTTAATCCTTTTTCTAATTCTCTTTCTACTCCTTCTTTTAATTCGTTTCCTACTCCTCCCAGAAAAATCAGGTAGGTAAGGTTATAAAACTAAACTTAGAAGTGTCTGGATTATGGTCATTCCCTGTATGTAGCTTGATTGTGGAATAAGTTTTGACCCAGAAACAGAATTCTGCCTCAGAGAATACCGAGTCAAAATCAGTGCAGTAGGTTTAAGCTTAAATCCCATGGGAAGTTGGAAGTTAGGAGAAAGAGGATCACGAAGGGTCATGAAGCTGGTGTAAGAAATTGCAAAGCAAGCCAGCTTGAATCAAAATACCCGAGCTTACCCAATAGGCTCGATAGCTAACCACGCCTACTAGCACCTATTGAGCTCGTGGATGATCACAAATTGAAGGGAGTCCAAGTTGGGGTGAAGCCGGAGGGAACGGCCCGGATGCAACCAAGGTTCGGAGAAGGGGGCGGCCCGAGATCAGCCTCAAGCAGACAGGGATCCTGGTGACAAGCACCACAGTTGATTACGATATTTACGAGGGACTATAGCGCTTAGCGGGGGAAATATTCAAAACAGAAGGGCTTGTAAGTGCTTGAAAGCAACACTGTCCAAGCTTTCATGGTTATATTTCCGCATATTCCGATCGTTTAAATACATTCGTGAAGGGCTGCTCTTGCAGACGCAGTTTCCAAGGTTGTCAAGCCAGGGTGATTCATGCTGAGAATGGGCTGTTAGAAAATATTATGATGGCTCAAAAATTAAAAGGAAAGGATAAGCTCATTCATACCTAGACATCCATTACAGCAGACCGATAACAATATCACCGTAGATTTGAGCATCAAGGTTCAGTTGAACCTTGGCGTGGATGTTAAGGTGAATCTTGATCTTCAAGCTGCTCTTCTCATCCTCCTGCAGGGGGTTACCAGGGAGCTCGAGACCAGCGTTGGGAAGGGCACCCTGAGCGACTGCGCCGGCCTTGTCGGCAGCACCGCCGACGGGATCATTTCTGGCCTGACGGTTGCCCTCGGGGAGATCGGTGGTACTAGGTGGCGGAGATGAAGTGTTAGCAGGTTGCTGCTCCGGTGGAGGATTTGTCTCCTCAGTTGTGGTCTCTGGCTGCTCGGCTGGAGGCTCCTCGGGCCCAGGCGGAGAATCATTTTGCTCAGATGAAGGATCCTTCTGTTCAGACAGAGGGTCTGCCTGTTCAGGTGAAGGTTCATTCAGCTCCGATGAAGGAGCATCCTGTTCTTCAGAAGGGTCTTTCTGTTCAGATGGACCCTCATTCTGACCAGTCGTAAGATCCTCACGCTTGGACCCCGGGGCCGGCGGTGGTCTCGGCTTGTTCTTGATCTTGCTGGATTTCTTGGACATGGATGGAGGATGAAAATGATATGCAAAATAAAGAATCCAAGCGGCCAGGGCAGAATCAATTTGGGGGATGATAAAAAAAAGGAATTGAGAGAGATACCTGGTGTTAAGAGACATTTCAGTGAAATGAGCAGGTTGGTTGGTGGTTAAGAGAAGTCGGGGACGGGTGTGGAAAATACAGGGAAAATAAGATAACCCCGGCGAAAAACAAGCGCAAGGAGGAATTGAGGAAGAGGAGAAAGAAAAAAAGAGTAATTCTATGGGTCAAAGTAGAGAAGGGCAGCTGTTTATTCGACGCAATGGAGGTTTTCTACCTCGTCCCAGCCCGTGTTTGGGTCACAGCTGAACGTGGGTTCCTCAAGGAGATCTGCATTAGTGGACTCCATCACAGCACCAATTTCACCACAATTATCCGTGCTCTGTTGATGGGAATGGCTGAACTGGTATGCTTGCAAAAAGGATGATGCAAGTTGTGGAGTCTGGTGGGAAACAGAACCCACTTAGATCATATCCACTCCTTGTGCCAATCTGCTGTACTTCCCTCCCCCCACCGGTCGAAGACCTCGGGAAACAAGCTCTGTATTTGGGGCTGTTATACATACGCTGGGCGCCCACAATTTTTTTCTGACACTTACCACTTATACTCGCTTAGCACGGGGCTCCCTGTATCCCCTTCATTATCTTACATCATGGTTATCGGAATCGCCATGATGGCGACCATGTTACCCACCATGATCGGATTGAATGAAGCTACTCAGGGGCATCGGGATCAAGAGGAGGGTCGTCGCGCCGCGGCTCGCAAGCAACGCTCTCACCTAGTGGCGACATGCTCCCTATCTCAGGGCACCACAGAATCGCGCCAACAAATTCAAAATGCTCAGATCCAGGTGGGTCTGGACGGCAAAGTAAGTTCTGTCATGCATGAGAAACGACCCCAGTAGCAGCTTGAAACGGAAAAAAGACGGACTAATTACTGTGCTTTTGTATCGACTCTTTCAGCTCTACATCACCAAGAAACCTAGCGCCACGATGGTCCCGTTCAATGGGGGGTTCTATACACACCCGGACTTTCCCCCGGATAATACATCGGGCATGGTGACTATTAGTGGAGAGGAAGCTCCTACTCTTCGCTGGGTGTTTTTAGATGCGGACACACATGAAATGCGGTGGGGTGGTCGGCCCGATTCCGAGGGCCATGTATGTGGACCTTTTGACTGGACAAAAGATGAGCAGTATGTGACGTTAAATGGATGGGAAGGGTGGTTGGCGGTGCAATTGCCAGGGGATGAGGTTCATGGCCCAGCAGAGCATGGGATCGTCAATGGGAGCGACGTCTGGCGGTTGTATTTTGACCGAAATGATGACGGCGCTGATTTACCGCCGGGGGCCAAGGGGCTGGAAATCCAGCTGAAGCGAACGACAGCGCAGTCTTAATTGTTTGTATCATGTAAAATTACAATTCTTCAATTTTTTTTCCAGCTTGAATATTAATTAATGCCGAGAGTGGGGGGGTTGAAAAAGACTCTGAGCAAAACCGGGAACAAAAGTACAATAAATACCCACTTATACTATTAGACAGTCTCTCTTATTTCGCCCATAACGGTATAGAAGTCGAGTCCAAATAGCTGAGAATTGACAAACTTGGCAGTATAAACCCAAACTCAAGGCGTTCGAAAACCTTCCGAAGCTATTGTGACGTGACAGGGAGTCGATCGCAACAAGAAATGCACACAAATAAATCTCTTGTGTTCGAAACGATCGCACTAGTGTTGCCTACGAACAGGAGATCGTAATTAGTTATGCTGCTTAAGGCTTATCGGTTCCTGGTTGGCTGTCATAGTGGGGCTACAGGCACAGACACCCGCTACTTGAGTTTTCTCCCCGCTGTTCAATGCCAGCATCCAGCTTACAGTACGCGTATTGTCACTTTCCGGGCTATCGGTGCCAAAATTTTGGTTCGATGGGGCTGCTCGTGGGGTTCGCGTGTCGGTTGCTCCGAAAAGAGGGGGCTTGGGCCCGATCTGCAGCTTGATTGCAGCTTGATCCTGTTCCATTCATTGTTGTTTATTCGCGTCACAAGAACCAAGACTGAATTCTTAAAAGATATCCAACATTCATGAAGGACAACTCAATTGACTTGATGTTTTGAGGGCTCGAAGAATCTCCATACCTACGCGACGGGAGGCAGTTTGCTCCTCTTTGTGGCTTAATTCAATGCCCCCACTTTCTGCACATCTAGTTCTCCTTCCTCCTTTAGTTTGGCTCAGGTGTTCCGACCATGCATAATGGGTCAAAAATAACGCAACCTCAGGGCTCCACGCGCGGGCGAGCTGGCTCCAATAATGAAAGAGGCGTGGGACGATCGTGATCCTGTTTTGTGAGATCGCATGTGTGGTGAAACAAGTAATTTTATAGCACCCGTACTTAAAGCTAATATGTCGCCCAAACTGAGCGTTAGTTAGGCTTATGACGTGCTGCACCCCATATGGAGTGCATGCGTTTGTACTGCATACACAACTTCGCATTTAATAGTATGAATTTAGACCCATTTATGCTACTACAGATACGCTTGAGTTATGGGTCCACGGAGTTCTCCGTTTATCACGAGTCAATCCTGCTCTTCAAGCCTCATCATGATTCGGGTAGAGTTCTAGTAGAACTTGAGCTGACTGGAGAGGCCTGGTTTTTTGGAACCTACAAGACTCGGCTTAACGTAAATGTATCCATTTTGCTCCACAGGCGTTTCCAAGCTCATTGTCATATTACTTCACAAATGAAATTCGACTGTATTGGGATACCCTTATGAGTTCGAAATTAGCAATCCCTCAAGCATTTTCTCATGCTTCACTTTGCCTTCTTCCAAATTACAGTATAGGCATTTAGTTGACCAATTGTCCCGAGAGGCTCCATGAGAAATGTCTCATGTGTAACGGAGCCTCCTGCAGCATAAAATGAACCTGGACTAGTCGAGTTCTCATCATTGCCATCATAGGTTGCATTCCACACAACACCTTCAACCTGTTCAATTTAATCAAGAACAATAACAACTACTTTCGCCTAGTCATTTTCACCCTCCAAGAAAAGGAATTATCCAATTTTTGATCCAAATGGCTGCTATCAAGTCAAAAGTCGAATTCAAATCGAGCCTCTCGTTTACAAAAGCATACTGTCCAGCCTCAAAGATTGACGTAGATTACCTGCAACTGTATTATTTATTACTGACTTTAAAGATATCTATAGATATATCTATATTAATGCCTTCCGGACTTAAAAGCATACTCTGGTTGGCTATCGGGTATGGAGCCGATGGTACCCCCGGAATCCACGCCCGAATCATTCTCCCCCGAGAACCGATCTCCACATTCGCTCCAGACTAGGGTCTATCGTAGTTCCAGGTCAGGTCAATTTCGGTACAATTGATTGAGGCAGTCATCACCCCGCACAAACTTCATTAATGCGGTAATTGCCGGCGATGCCCTCTCGCTTAGCCAAACCAAATACTATAGAAGCGGCTTCATGTCCCAGTTATCTCTTGAACTTTCTCTACCCCATATCTTGCTATATATAGCCTTTATCCGACACCAGTATATGCCGCAAGTAAACCAGGTACCACCAGAGACATTCATCGTCCCACCAACGGCACGCTCACCTAACTCAAGGCTACCGATAGTGGTGTATCGTAATGCCCTGATAGATCGAACTCCAGACGGTGCCCGTGCAGCTGTTGAACAAAGCGAATGGAAGAATGGAGGACATTAGAAGATCGCAAAGGAATCTTTGGCAGCTACTCCTCACTGCCACTTAACAACCCACGAAGGGTATACAGTTCTGCACGGAACTGCCACATATCTCCTTGGCAAGTCATCTCTAGACCCACAGATAGGTAGCAATGGGGAGCCCGTTGGCGTGAAGCTCACTGCCTATGCTGAGGATATGTTTGTTTTCCCAATAAGATGAGCCCCTGGTTCTGTGAAACTATATCCCAAGCTTATCTAGACTAGGCTGGTACAACACACTTTGTGATAGACACTGCGGACGGATACGAGATCCTCAGTTTTTACTCAATGTTGTGTTTTCTTTTTGGAATTAGGATGCATGATTAACGTGGATATAGTAGAGCACGAGAATAATACTAATTCTCCTAATTATTCTTCAGAGCGAACGAAATTCTATCGATCAGATGTTTGACATTGAAGATGCAATGGACTCTGTAGAAGAGACAAATCAGAAACGTGAAAAATGCAAGTTGGTTCCAGTGCCCATCCATGATCTTATCTATGGCAAGGAGGGACCAATGACCCAGATTGGAAGGGACTATAGGGCGTTGGATGATCGTTTCTAGCGCTAAAAATATAATTTTTCGAGATTGAATGAATGGTAGGTAGTATGTCATTATTTTGTAAAAACGATAACGAGTCTTATGTATGCGCGACTATATTTCCAAAGGATTGACAAAAGTAAAGTGCAGACAAGATATACAAAAAGAACAATCTAAGAGTGCATATGACAGGTTTTAGAGCGATGTTTAGGCGACGATGATGGTCTGGTTGAGGGGCTCGAATAGAGGCACATTTGAAGCCTAAGGTGAATGTTTAGTATGCATGTAATTCCGTAGAATAGAGCAAAGTGGTACTTACGCCGACAAGAGCGAAATGGGCGACATTGACTTGAGCCTTGCCCTGAGCGAAAGAGGAGGGAACCTTGACTGTGAAGTTCTCGTATGGTGGAAGAGGGCTTTCATGGTACTCGGGGGTGAAGCTTCCGCTGTATACAACGGTGCCGAGCTCCTCCTCAGCAGGGGGGCAGCCACCGTTAGGGCAAGAGGTGAAGCCAATGGAAACGTTGATTTCCTCGGATCCAGTCAAAGTGTTCTGAGAACTCAGTTAGCATTGCGTTTAAAGGAGAAAGATGCTGTTTAAGCTTGACTTACAGGACGCTGGACCTGGACAACCACATCCTCTCCAGCAATAACCTTCTGGTTTTCCTTGGGGAGGCCAATATCAGCGCTCTGGGCCAGAGCGACTCCAGCGAGGGCAATGAGAGAGATAATGAACTTCATATTGTCGGGCGGTGATTGAAATTGAAGATGAGAATGGTTGTAGCGGAATATCTAGATATAACGAGACTGTAGATGATTGTTTGAATGTGATGATAGATGAGAAAAAACGGCGAAGCCTTGTCCCTTTTATCCTCCTTCAGGTACCCAGAAACCGGACCTGGCCTTCCCAGGTCAAATGCAGGAAGGTTTCAAAGACCCATGGTCAGCAGTGGTGATTCGCCCAAATCTTGGTACGATGTCTCGGTTAGATGCAATGTAAGTCCCGTTTTCCAGTTTACTGTGGAGATCTCACCCCTCGGTTTCTCCAATCAGCCCCATACAGGGTCCTCGCTGAGCCACTTTTGTTCCAATTAATTGATTCTCCACGCTAGGATCGTAAGATTTTCCTATTCTTATTAATTTTAGAATCAGATCCAGCCCACTAATCTGGGGAGGTCTAAAGATAACCGCGTTTACTCGATGTCAAGCTTACGGGCGGCGGGTGGCCTAAGCCACATAGCCACCACTTCGCATTTTGTGTGGAGGGGGAATCGGGTTATGCGCCTTACGAGCCAGGGTAGCTTTTAGCATGGAACTAAAAAAGCCTTCGGCGCAGTCACTTTAGCGGTGTCCATCACAGCTAACGTCTACATAGTTTTTCGCCATGCCTGACTGTATATCTTTCTTTCATTGGATCTGGGGATTAGCGTTCGAATTTTATAAAAAGCCTTCACCCAACGTACATATAGCGCGGGTGATCATTGGTCATGTTTTGGGCACGGCAGAGAATCAAGTACCGTTTTGAAAAAGACCAATTATATCGAATTTGTCGCTGTGAGGTAAGATGATTCATAGGAAGATGACGTGCGGTGAGATGAGAAAAATAGAATGTAGACTACTAAGTACCCTTTAATAGACATCTGGATTATTCAGTGTCTGAGACGTTTGGATTCTATCCAATTATCGCTGCTTGTTGAACCTACTCGGGTCGAGTCGAGGGTCGCCGGGAAGTCGCCATAGCAACGCTACATGACTAAAGGCTCAGGTCACTACCTATTGAAGCAAGTCTTTCGATGTATCTTTATCTATGAATAGCTAACTTTGTCTCAAACACGATTTTTATTAAAACTGGCGTATAATATACGCCGACCGAAGAAATGTAACGGTGCCATTTTGATCCAAGTAAGGGAGGATACAATATTGGAAATCCTTCGCCTTGTTCCTACCGGGTGTTGCTTATGGCATAATATTGCTCGCTAATATCACGCATTTTAGAATAGTATGTAGAGACATGTCTCTCAAAATCGTTGAAGGAATTATAAGCCAGTTGTCGACTTTTGAAAGCCTCGTCTGGTCTCCAGTTATTGGACAAGGGACCCGTAGACCTACGCATTAACGTTGTCATCATTATACTTGGTCTTCGTTTATATACAATATACTAATCACGGGAATATAGCCCCTTTGCCATGGAACCATGCCTTTGTCGAATCGATCCCCAGCAAAATAACCAAAAGCATTTTTCCAAATTGATCCAAGTCCACTGGCTGGGCACTAGTCAAGACCCAGGAAAAGTCCAGATTGTGCACAACAAAATGTGGTTTCTCTGCCCAAGCCACCGCGAAATCGAAAGCACTCTGCGCGCTCCAGAGATGTGCTGAAAGATACCATGAATGTTCTAACCCAAGTCTACCATCGCATTGTAACGGGACATTGCCTTGTAGGACTTTATATATTTGCATGAAAAGGAAGGCGAGCAGCACCGTTCTCCGAGCCGATTCCTGCACAACCCAAGAATTCCAGAAAGCGATGATAGAGTCGATCGATACCGGTAGGGGTTGGAGAGAGTCTGATGATAGTGGTAGATGCAGATGAGATAGAAGAGAAACGACGGAAGAATTGAGGGATGCGAAAAGAGCATCTGCCGTTGCTTGGGAGCGGATGTCGCCATCGAATAGGCGCATAATTTGATAAAGGATAAGAGCGTGAACTCGGGCGAGTTTATCAAGAAGTTCATCGGGTTCAGGACTTGATATAATATCTTTTATTCTGGCATCGAACAAGGCCATTATAACTGGGGCATTGGTCTCATTCTTGGACATATAAAGAGAGCAACATGCAAACGCATCTGTAATGGATTAGATTTCATCGAAAAATAATCGGGCATTTATATTAAACAATAAGGAAATTAAATACCTTGCATTGCCCTGGGCATATGATTTTGGTAAAGTTTTTGGTGACACCACGGTGCTTGATTTTCAAGGACCATTGTCCTCGGTGTGTCCTTCAGGATATCAATTGCAAACTGAAGGTTGGTGGCAATTATTTCCGGAAGAGGTCTTGGTTGTCTTGCTCTTGGAATAGTAAGTGCAAAGTAGGCTCCGACATTGGCTTGCCGATCAGGGACCACATGGAGAGAATGATCCCAGTCATTGTGGTTCTCGAGAAGTGAGTCCACTAGCTCGGTTAAGGCCGGAGAGCAGGGCAGCTGGGGAAAAGAAGGATCATTGGCCTGGTTTTCAGGTCCCATGCTGAAACTGTGCTGGGTGGTGATATAGTGGCTAATAGATGAAGGCGTTTCATGCAAGTCTTCAAACGCTGGTGGCTGTCGCCACGGGTAGACGCACGCTACTTTGCGGTGGATACATCGCGAGCAGGCGGGGAGACCGAGGTCACAGCGTCGCTTGCCCTTTTTGCACACTTCGCATGATTTCCGCCGGGGCAAAGGGGTTGTATCATACGCCATGGCCTTTGAACAAGTGGAGCAATGCCATTTAAAGGTGGGAGGACATTTGGAAAGTTTTCTCCACCCCGCAGACTAGCACTTCATTACGGTATGGCGTGCGGAAGTCCGCATGGCGAAGTGGGTCTAGGAAGATATGGCGACCAATCAAAGGATGGAACAGCTGAAGTCTCTATACGGATCTCCGCGATCTTGAGACGGATTTCCACAGTCATAATATAATAATGACTCAACTCGGGCTATTTAGGTGACTGTTCCACGTATTTTCAAGTCGAAAGTTGGGCTGAAAAAGGTATATAAGGATCTGTTAAGCCACCATGTGTTCAGGGTTAGAATAAGATCAAGCATCTTTCCAATCTTATATCCACCCACTTTCCACACCTTACAAGATTTCCACCATGGTCACGGTCTCGCCTATTGTCTTCGTTTGTGGTGCAACCGGAACTCAAGGAAATGCAGTCGCCCACAACCTTCTCGAGCATGGAATTGAAGTGAGATCCATCACTCGAAACATCAATTCTCCGCAAGCAAAGCGTCTTCTTTCAAAAGGCATATTTCTCTCCGAGGGCGATTTCAACGATAAAGAATCCTTGAAGAAGACCATGACCAACTGTACAGCTATTTTCCTCAATCTAAGCCCCGACCACGGCAACCCTACTGGCGAGCTCAATCAAGCGAGAACTCTTATCTCCGCAGCCAAAGAAGCCGGTATCAAACACATCGTCTACACTAGCGCCCTCGCCACCAACAACCCGGAACGACTTACTCACTGGGACCCTTCCAGTATTGTCGGAATGCTTCTTCGTGGTAAACAAGCCATCGAAAACGAAGTCAAAAATGCCGGATTCGAGAATTGGACCATCCTCCGACCGGGAAACTTCATGTCGAATTTCCTAAGCCCATTGGTTTATATGTACCAGGGACTCGTTCAAACGAAGAAATTCACGACCGCGTTTCTGCCAGACACAATTCTCCCTATGATTGATCCCAATGATATTGGCAAGTTCGCCGCGGCTTCCATCATCGACCCTGTCAAGTTCAATCAGCAGGAAATCAACACTGTGTCTCAGATGATCAATGTCAAGGACCTGATCAACGACCTCTCCCAATCTATTGGAGAACCTATTCAAATTACCTTCCTTTCAGAGGAAGACCTACTCGAAAAATTGCCAGAAAATCCACTACTAGGACCGCAGAAGGTGATGCGCGACATGTCATTGTTTGTCGATATGGAGGAAGTGAAGAAGTGGGGAATCAAGCTGGGAACCTTTGTTGAATTTCTGGAGCGAGAGAAGGAGAGAGTGAACCAGACATACATGTAAATAATTCTAAGGACAGTCGATGCGAATTTCAATGCTATTTCCTTGTTATCAATAGTGATGCTCTTCTAGGGTCCATCAGTTTCAAAACAAAATATAAGATGCGCGCTAAGTTGTAAAAACTTGGAACAAACCGTATCAATCTTGCATATTCTATACCAAACTCTATTAACACTCAATTTAGGCTGCTTTTCTAGTTCTAAGGTTTAATTGTGACATATTGTGCGTCCATGTTGTTGTTTCCGATCTAAGTCCGTTAACCCCGATATCATGCTAACCAACTCACATAAAATGGTAGATCTTTCCATATGAGAAAAATAATGCTTTAAATAAGTAGTAGTAACTACAATCTCTACTCACTCAATTCTTCCGCAATTCACAATGCCACCTACACTAGGCCAGCTAAATGCACAACAATGCCGGACCTTCGTGCCAACACTTCATACAACGCCTTACCCAGCCATTGACCCTTCACTTGTCAACCTTCCATCGCCTTATGTGGTCTGCATTCTTGGAGGCCACGGAGCAGCAGGTGGTGGTCTAGCCCGAGCATATGCACGAGCTGGAGCATCTGGCATAATATTAGCCGCGCGGACTGTTTCAGCTCTCGAGGAGACAGCCAGCGAGGTGCGCTCAATCAACCCACAAACAAAAGTTGTCATCGTGCAATGTAATATTGCTTCAGATGATGATGTCAAGTCTCTTGTTGGTACAGCGAATTCAGAGTTCGAGGGACGTCTCGATGCCGTGGTCGCGAATGCGGGATATTCTGGCCCGTTAATCGCAGATGTTGTTCGGGAAAAACCAAGTGATATCCAAAATGCGTTCGATGTGAATACCGTTGGACCATTTCTCGTGGCGCATTATCTGCTGCCTTTATTATTGGCGACGGACTCAGGAGCTAATTCATTTATTACTATCAATTCGATGGGTGCTCCGACTGTTGCTGGCCCAAGTGGCCATGCCTCTTACTGTGTGAGCAAGGCGGCTCAGGCTAGGTTGATCGAGATGATCAATGAGCAGTATAGTGGGCAGGGACTATTTTCTGCTACTGTTCACCCTGGTGGTATGAGAAGTGGATTCGTGAAGGATTTACCTGAGGAGATATTGAAGTGTATGTCATCTCCCAATTCTCTTGCGATATATATTGTGAACAGAGTGAATTAACAGAATGCAGTGCTGAACGATAGCCCGGATCTTGTTGGGGCCTTTTGTGTTTGGCTATCCAAACCTGATGCCCCTCAAATCCGACGAGATATATTAAAGGGTCGCTTTTTGTCTTGCAAATGGGATGTTTCAGAATTGGAATCTCGTTTTGATGAGATAAAAGAGAAGGATCTTCTCAAGTTTCGAATCGCCGTAGAGTGATGGACGATGTCACTCGGTAATGCTTTGGGCTTCGGGAGGCACAACATTCATCAATGATGAAACGATCGGCTTTATGAGATTACAATATGATCTGCGTACGTAGAGCGGCCAAATTGGCACCTAACAAATTAGTAAAATGTTCTCTGGCGCACCTTTGACACTTACAAATGGCTTTCATATTCCAACCGTAAGGTACATACTAGCTTTGAATTTGATAAAATCACCAAGAACTTTTCCAGGGCCCGCATGGGGTCATTCAACTAGCTCATGACCAAATGGTTTAGGTATCACCAGACATGCACGTACTAAATTCGGGGCCAAATTCTAAACTTTACTCAGTCCATGTCAGCTGTAGCTCGGTGGTTTCGCCAAATCATCTTCGCGCTTTCAGACAGATCCGGAACCACCAGCCAATCTTTGCTATTTTCAAATCATCGTGGGATAATGGCAGATCACACTTAAAGATTGCATGTACGAAGCTGCCCAAAGGCTTTGTCTTATCGCGCTCCACTCGACACCCAAACAACCTTGTTCTTCATGTGGGCCCGACAAAGATTTCCTCTTCGGGTTTAGTGGCCCACAGGGATAAGAAGCGTCAATGCGGCTCCCCAGTCCCGACCAGCCGTTGTCACGATAGCATTCGCCAATAGAAATGGATCTAGAAGTTAGATATCGGCTGGAGCTATATGAATATGAGGAGGGGCTGTGAGGGGAAACCGAATGTCCTTGCTATAAATCTTTCGGTTTGCTCTCCCTCCATCTCATTCATTTTGTTCTTTCAAATCCTTTATCTATACTTGTCTTTCGCAACTTAAAATTTTGAATAATGGGCGATTACCAATCAGATTCAACTGAGCCCTCCGTGGCGCCATTTGCTGTTGCGAAGCAGGTTTCAGACGGACTCGCTGACGGCCAGAGCGGTGTTCTTTACCGGCAGCTTCGTCAGAAGCCCCTCAATATCGTGGGGGCACGAGGAAGCTACCTGGTAACAGATACCGGGCTTGAAATTCTGGATGCTACATGCGGTGCTGCAGTGTCTTGCCTTGGTCACCATGATAAGCGTGTGCATGAGGCTATTCAAGAGCAGCTGCAGAAAGTTTCCTACTGCTACTCGCTATACTTTACAAACAGTGCCATGGAAAACCTCTGCAAGTTTTTAGTTGATTCGACTGGCGGTAAAATGACCCGAGCGTTCATTGTCGCGTCAGGTTTGTTTTGACACACATATTCTTGTAGAGAGTATCATTGACTAATACAATGCGATATTAATAGGCACCGAAGCCGTCGAAGCATCGCTCAAGATGGCGGTTCAATATTTCATGGAGCTTCCCACGCCACAGCCGCAGCGCGCTAATTTCATTGCTCGCAAGCAGTCTTACCATGGCAATACACTTGGTTCGCTTTCTGTTGGTCACCACATCGGCCGCAGGTCACTTTATGAGAAGGTCCTTGCGAAGAATGTTTCCCACGTTTCACAATGCTATCCGTACCGAGACATGAAAGCCGACGAGACCGTTGAGAGCTATGTCGGAAGACTTGCACAGGAACTGGAAGATGAGTTTCAAAGAGTCGGACCTGATACCGTTTGCGCCTTCGTAGCGGAGACAATGGCTGGCGCAGTAAGTAACTGATTTGGTCGAAATCATGTCTAGAATATACTAATTATTCAAATCTAGACACTGGGATGCATGCCTGCCCTTCCTGGTTATTTGAAAGCCATGAAAGAAGTATGCCAGCGCCACGGCGCTCTGCTCATCTTGGATGAAGTGATGTCTGGTATGGGTCGAACAGGAACACTTCATGCATGGGAGCAGGAGGATGTTGTTCCAGATCTTCAAACTATTGCCAAGGGCCTCGGTGGAGGCTATGCGCCAATTGCTGGCCTTCTCATCAATCAACATGTGGTCGATACCTTGACAAGGGGCACCGGGGTCTTCTCTCATAGCCAAACTTACCAAGGTCATCCTGTTTCATGCGCAGCTGCTTATCGAGTACAAAGGATCATCCAAGACGATAATCTTCTTCCTAATGTCCGTGAAATGGGCGCTTACCTAAGTCAACTCCTGCATGAAAAGCTGGGTGATCATCCTCACGTCGGTGATATTCGAGGCCGAGGACTGTTTTGGGCTGTAAGTTATTCTGATAATTATTTGCGATTATCGATGTTTACTGATACCCATGCAGATTGAATTTGTCAAAAATAAGGACACAAAAGAACCCTATCCACCATCACAAGGTGTTTCATGGACGCTGCATACAACTGGACTCAAGCCGGAATACGCGGTGTCTTTGATTCCGGGAAGTGGGTGTGTAGACGGCATCAATGGTGATCATGTCTGCGTGGCCCCTGCATATAACACGACCAAAGCCGAGATTGAGTTGATTGTTGATCGCCTTTCTCGAGTTGTATATGATGCCTTGGCACAGTAAATACAATGATTTGATCAGGCGGGCATTACTGAACCCGGATGAAAATTTAATTACATGAATGACAAGACTTTCCCCAATATTTCTTTGACAGACGCTTCCAGTAATCAAAAGTACGTTGAATCCCTCGGTCAATGGATAGCTGAGAACTCGGAATGATTTCTTGACAAATTGGCATGCTTTCAAGCAACAATGGCCTTGATGATTTCTTCCACGTCGTTCTCATTGTATGGTTTCAGGCCCACAACATTGTTATCCAAACCAGGTGTTTGCTCGTTCAGGTCGGCGCCATAAGCAGATCCACCGAAAATCGCAACCTTCAAGAATCCCGGAACAAAGACACCAGGATTTGGCTGCTCCTTGCTCAATTCAGCATACATAGCGGTATTCAGATCCGAGATGCTTTCTTCTTTTCTCGTCCACTTCGACCCAGTAACCTTTTCCAAGATACTCAACAACTTGTTCTGTGTCAAATTGACACCCTCAACGAAGATTGCCCGATTCTTCGTCTGTCCAGGATTCTTCAAAATTCCGACAACAACGGTTCCAAGGTCAGATAAGCAAGTAGTCGAAAACTTATTGTCGCCGCCATCATAAATGGTCATATCCCGATTCTTAACATCACAAAGCAGCCCACCGGCTAAACAGAAATCAAAGAGTGGATTATGAATGACCAATGAATAGGATAAGCTGGGGTGTTCTGCTGCTTTTTGGGCAAGCAATTTCTGGAACGCAATCTTGCCCTGGAAGATTGGGATCTGCGACGTCTTTTGAATGTACGTATTTGCGCCAAATTCACTGGGTATGAATCTGGAGACACCAGCGTCGATAGCTGCATCGAGAAGCACAGGCTGCGCATCAAGGCCTGGGCCATTCAAAACGGAGACCACGGCATTGATGTCCTGGAGAGCGAAAACAAGGCTCTCGTGTGATGCATAGTCGACTGTTACTGTCTTCACGGGGGTTGTGAAAGAGGACTTTTTCCCGTCCCGAACAAGAACCGTGACCTCGAATCCAGATGAGACGAGTGATTTAATTATGGGCTTTCCCAGTGAGCCAGAACCTCCGGCAATCGCAACAGTTTTGATCGTCATTTTTTTACGGCGGGGATGAAGTTGTGGTATTCAGACGGAACGTTCCGAAATTCTCGGGAATGTGTGTCTGGTAAGCGAATCTGGTATATTCATGTTCCTTGTCGTTCAGCTTAACTTCGTCCCAATTTCGAAGTTTGCAATGTTTATTTTCCCGACTTTACGCAAAATCCTGCTCCATTGTCAAACAAACTAGGAAAACGCGTCTTTGCTGCCCATGTTTTTCTGTTCTACTGAGAAGCAATTCGTCTTGTTAGAATGCCCGTGCGCCAGCCGACAACGACATTAAGCCAGCAGTTAAATAATGAGGAGACACTCAAGTTAAAGTGGCAAAGCTTGTGAAAGCATTTGATGGTCGACTGGATGTATCAGAGACCAAAAATGAATTGAAACGGACAGTAATTTCATTGTCCACAATTGGTGTTTCGCGAATTAGTGTAGGGTCCGCTGTCCAGCTTGTAGTATTGGGAAGGACAAGGAAAGTTGCTTATAAGCTTCCTATATCTCAGGAAGATATAGACTAATTAATTCATGTATTTTCAAAGGGATCGCACAGAATCCTATAGATGCTCGAAAATGGGCTTAATTACATTGCGCATATAATACAAACTTGAAGGAGTCCCATCTTGGTTTATTATGTTTTAGATATTCGATATCAAGATTATTTAAGGTATCACCACTGGGTAGTCAACCCTTTAAAAAAGGGTCTATGGAAGATTTGTGTCAATATTCACTGACCCGGTCAAGGTAATCATCCTAGGCGTAAACGGAATGCCACATAAAAGGTGGCCCATCACCTGACAGGCTGGACGCATCGAGGTTATTGGAATTTTTAGCTTCATTTTCAGTAGTGAGAGGAGCTGGGGAACGTGCATGAAACGGGGATCGATGACAGAACTCAAGTTATTCACAAGAACAGGCATCGTACTTCGGCATAGTCAAGGGGTACGGAGCAAGAACCACTTCCAACTCCACTTCCAGGTCTTTGAATCTACTCTTCCAAGATCTCAGCTCGGAGCGCAACTAAGAGTCGTTCTGGCCATCCTCGATTGTGTCTGGAATCTGGCAATCAATTTCGCGTCGCTGGGGTAAAGCCCCACGCTTCATGGACTCATAAAGGGTTGAAATTGGTAGAGGAGCTCCCTCTTGGTGTCTTAGTGTCAGTTTCTGGAGAGATAGTGGTAAAGCTTCACTCAATCCAGCGATTGCCTCTGCCCAAATGCCGCGGACAACAGAGTAGGGTGTGACTGTCAAACTTTTGAGGCCGGCCAGGCGAGTAAGATTGATTCAGGCCTATGTCCCTCAGTAGATATCAAGGTCAAGCGACTGTATATGTTGGCCGTGGTAGAAGACTAGTGCGGTTTCAAAAAGTATTTATTCATCATTTCCACGGTCTGGTGCCTCGGAATAACTAGAGCCTCTCAGCGTTAAGCTCCTCAAGTCATCCGGGTCTCCCATGATCTCTATGAGGCCGTCGATAAAATCAAATAGACAGTTCAAAATCAACAGTTCTTCAAGAAAATCCATGAAGCCTTCAGATGTAGCAATAGTATCCATTGTGTAATACCTGGCACCAGTGATGGAAACTTCTTTAAGCGGCGATACTCGTAAAATTGAGTCGTTGAAGATTCCTAATTGACTTGTGAAGCTTTGGACCGAATCGGTTCCAATGTGGCCTGTTTCATGTGAGCAACAATTTACGTGAAAGTTATCTCAGTACTTATGAGCTTACGTGTGCGTAGAGCAGCGGGTGATTCAAGATCTAAATAGGTATTGCAAAAGAATTTTCGGCCCGACAGATCGGAGGCTACTACATACTTCATCGCCGTCTCATGACCTCGGTCGACCGCCACCAAAGGATCCCATCCAATTTCATAGGGATCTACCCATGTACAGGGAGGACCATATAGCTATTCTTCTTCTTCGAGAATCTTTTTCAACGGCCCGATGAGCAGATCCCAAACCTTCCCCTTATCGATGTGCAGGGACATGTACATATTATAAAGCAATTTCTCTGCATCTTTCAACCAGGGTCCCTTGTACGGTCAGTAATTTGGTCTCATGATAAGATTTCCCAAGTTTCCCAGTGTCAAAATTTCTTCATAGAACGGATCGGAATAGCTCACAAAGTCCATGAATCCCATATCAGCATCATGGCGAACTTCCATGATGAGAGCTTTCAAGTCCGGTCGAGGTTTTCACTTTTCTGCTTATGGCTACGATTTCTCGCATCAGGAATCTTGGATCTTGTTGCGTGTGTCTCACTTGAGATAAATAATACTCGAGTTGCGTGATTGACTCATTCCACGAGCTTGGTGATGGTTTTGCCGTTCTCAAAGCAGTTGGGCGTTTGTACTCAACGCTAATGATCTTGATTGGTGTTCTTCTAATCGGTGTAGAAATATGGATGTTGGAACGCCTTTGTGTTTGCGGCGTAATATATTCTTCTTGCTTTTTTGAGAAGTCTTGTTGAATCGGAAAAAATTAGGAAAGGGCGTTCTGCCAAAGTGATCTATTGTCACTTTACGCGGATACTATAGAAAGAGTCAGTATGTGTATTCTGAGTTCCACTCACTGTCGACATATTTAGATTTGCGGGAGCTGGAAAGGCCGAATAGAAGTAACTGTAGATATGCCTTGTTGTAAGACGTCACTCGTTTTGGTTAGTCGTAGAGTGTAAGAGCTTGATTTGAAGAACACGAAGGTTATAGCAAGCCTAAGTGCATTTTCTCTTGTATGAGGCGAGCAGGTTGATAAATGGAGTGATGTATCGCTCCGTGGAAACATTAACAGGTTTGGGTAAGCCTGCTGATATGCTGGGGACTTTTTTCCTCTCGAAGATATTGAATGATCATCCACCAAAGCTCCATGGGGAACACTAGTGGACGGTCTGGCATTTTCGAAGTGTCCATGGCAACTACCAGTCGAGCAAATGCAAAAGAAACAAATATAACGAAAGCGCTGTTTACGAGGTGGGCGAGGCAGACGGTACGGCGGTAAAGGCGCCGGCCTGACCGGTTGTTCCGATTCAAAGGGGTGAAAGATGCCTTGAATCGAGCACCTGAATGAGCAAGTTAAAGGATAGGGCCATCTGAGTTAGTATAGAATGACAACAAAGGGCTTTGAATGACTGCCAGTGGCATGGCAACTTGATAGTATTCACCTGTTGTAGGAGCCTAGTAGGTAATGGTTGTAGAACTTTGACAATCTAGTATCCGAGTCTAGGGGAACAGAGAGAGAGGAACTTGAAGAAAAAACACCTTAGAATAGCCTTCAATTTATACCCAGGTGGTGAGTCGCGTATCACATGGAGATTGTACATATCCCTGTGTCTACTATCACTGACGCTTCAGCCTGGTGGAGGCAGCCTGGGGCTATCTAAGCACATGTGCACGACTGAATAGTAGTACCTATCAGGTATTTAGAATTAAACTCCACAATCGATTTCTTTATGGCTTTGTAATTACTCCACTTTGATTCCAAAGTGAAAGAAGACTCGGAGAGAGCCTTCTTTGTTGGCTAGATACTACATCATGTGACTACATGATGTCGCGATAAGCGGGGAACCGAAGACCCCTCGACGCTTCCACAGACCCAACGACAGACTATTGTGGACAAATATTATTATACATTGCTGACCGTACACACGGAATGCCCCGAGGGGAGCCCTTATCGAGATCGCGTAACGGTATCAGCATATTTCCCACCTCGAATATGAAATAATACTAACGAACACGACAGGGTGCCTTCAGTGTCGAAAAAGGCACAACAAATGTGACGAGAAAAGACCTTCCTGCTCTTTCTGTTCTTCGAGGGGGATTGATTGCCAATGGCCTTCGGGATTAAAATGGGTTCGGCGAAACCAGCCTACCGTGTCGAGGCATCGGCCTCGGAACAGAGAAACCAGACTTGAAGATAATGCGCAATTACTCATATTGCCTCCATCACCATTTGGAAATGGACTTTTTGATTGTGAAGAAGAGAAGCTAGCATGGGAATACTGTACGAAATCTGCGATTGACTATCTTCTTCACGCTGGTACGTTTTAGCTAACTTACTATACGCTAGACATGAGGCTGGTTGCATGCAATGTGCCAGCGTTGGACGGGCCGGATAACCCGTACCGTCATTTATCTTTCGCAGCTCTGTCCTCACCTATATTGCTTGAGACAATTGTATGCATAGCCACTGAGCATATGCTTAACTTTGGCATGGGAAGTGTCTCCCTTGCCGCCCAACGCCAGCAGCGAATGCTTCGCACATTAGGCCAAAATCTTCAGCTGATAGGCCGTCCAAATACGACTGAAACAAGAAGCATCGCGCCGAGGAACATAACACACTCGGATCAAGAAGCCTTGCTCACAGCAGTTGTGTTACAGGGAGTTGTTGTTGCCCAGTCGAAGGATGGTGTTTTAGAGCCTCATGTGCGATGTGCGTCGTTTCTCATGGAGACATTGGACTACTTCCGACACATACCGTTCACTGATATTATGCGGATGACCGTGCAGCGATATGCTATGGTTGATCTTATGCTAGCTTTCTCCAGACAACGACGTCCTTATGCGCCACGGAACTTCTTGCTACATCATCCCGACTCCGAAAAATGGGATCATTCAGAGCCGTCTTTCCATAAAATGACTGGCTGCCCCCAGCCATTAATGTGCTTCTTGGTGCGGATCGCACATCTTGCCTGCGACGTGGAAAAATGTATAGATGAGAACAGTTCAATAGATAGCCAGTTAAGCGATGCGTATCAACTGGAAAGTGAACTCCGTGCGTGGGGATCACACTACCCAGCGGTTCTTCCAGACGACTGCACACGCCCACCCTTGGACATTTTGACGGAGTGTTTCTACTGGACCTCTCACCTTTTACTTGCACGTCGCGTCTTCCGTGATCCAACCTGTTCTCCACGTGTTCAGCATTTAGCACATACTTGCTTTGGACTGATGGATCAGTTATCAACGGGATGCGGCCCTGATTCATCTCTTCCGCAGCCCTTTTACCTCGCTGCGCGGGAGGCAGTCACCCACAAAGATCGGGAATGGGCCCGAAACAAGCACGAGTCTATGACGGCGTATTATCGAGAACAACAAAGGAATATGGCGATGCACTTGACGGAGCAAGTATGGGAAATTACGGATCGGGCTAAGAACATTAGTCTGGCTGGGTTGCATACGGACTTGGCTGTTTCGCATGCAGACGAGCAGATCAAGATGCTCGATGAGCAGTCTTGTCTCTTCATTTTTTGATTGAGAATTCAGTCCAGGTAGTAAGGAGGCGTCCCGACAATGCAATTGGGTTCGTCAGTTGCCGGTTGCCTGTTCATCAAAGCCTGAGGTTGTAAATAAACACGAAGTACTTGGACCGATCTTGGAATCATTCCAATGTTGTAGTTGAACCTGCGTCTTCATTGTAACCGTTGTACAATCAGCACAGCTTGGCCGGGTCTGCAAAATCTCTGGTTCAAATGTGGATCCATCTGATACATACTACGTAGTGCTTCAGTTCTCATGCTCGCATTTCACGGTGTCGGGATATGTCCATGCGCTAAGCCTAATTAGGAAAGCAACCAGAAGCCCCGTTTTTATCCCCAAAAATAGCGTGCGGTGGATTTTACCGTGACCAGAGAACAGGATTGACCCCTGGATCCAGAAGAAAAAAAAGCGAAGAGAAAAAAAAAGATAATGATAGAACCTTTCCCAAAGTCAGGTCACTTAGGTGTGACCAACCATGGTCGCACATATGTGGCTTTCCCTGACAACTAGGATAATCTTCAAATTCGACTATTAGCCCATATGCACTGACAGAGTTACTACCTGATGTTTCGGCATCCCCAATGTGATCGGATACTACGGAAGCACAGGCGCACGGGGATTCAAGTGCGACGTGCGCGACAGGCGAAGAAAATGAAAAGAACTTTTCTCCAGTCCACTTGACGGCGACTCTCGGACGGGTCGGTCCAATGGAGACACTGCAGAGAAAGCGCGCACGGAACATTTTCCAAGGAAGCTCATGACTGGGCCGACTGTCAGTCAAGGACAAGGATCAGGAAGGGGGGTTTATCATAGCCTTGCAGGCCGGAACAGAACTCTGTACCATTGTCCAACACTCTGGCTGTGTTGGTCTGGAATGACCTGTCAATGGGCCCGAGGCCAATCACAAGAGTAGAAACGGCGGGTACCTGAATTGTCGCTTTGGCAGTGACAGGCCATTCAGCAACTCGGACGACGTGGGTCTTAGACTTCAAGTGCGCGGCGATTGGTGGAGAGTTCTAACTGTAGCCCCTGGACCGTGGATAACCAACAGTGGCGCTAACTGGAGCCGTGGCTGAAATGTTCTCGAATCAGGGGCAGATGGGGGTTTCCCAAAGAACTGGACTCTGCACGTTCTATTGAAACTATTGAGCACTAAGAATTGGAGGAAACCCGGAGTCCGAGACAACATTTATTGTTTGCCGATAGCAATTGTGGTTTTCTGGACGCCATCGTGTCTTCTCTCTCTGTAGATGTGAAATTCGTATTTGGCTTTCGCCAGGAACGACCTGTTGAGTTGTCACGAGCAGCCGGTGTTTCAGATCCCCGCGGATCTCACGTGGTGGTTGCCGTTCGGCGGCATTTGGCGACGATCAGGGCATTTGGGTTCTGGTTTGCTTGAGAGTGGATAGACACAAGATGGTCCCCGAGTTTTCCTGGGGTTCTTCGGTCCTCACAAACGCCACAAGACTCCATCATTGCAGTCTGTCAACCACCTAGACCATAACATTCCTTGGTTCAGGATCGTCGGTAAGCCCCGTCGTACAGCACACAATGGCAAGAGTGGGACAAGTTGTTTGTACAAATGGGCCGAGTAAGGAGAGCGCAAGCGCATGCGAAAACCCCTCTTCAGGGAAGAGGCTCAGAGTCAATCAGATCGCACCGTCTAGAATTTGATTTTGGCTGAACATGCAGGCCAACGCAGGGGCCAAACAGTCACACTATGGGAGTTCCGGTTGTCTTCCCCCCCTCCCCCTTTTCCATTATTGCCATTCAGTGTAAAAATTGAGAAGAAAGAAAGGAACGAGTATTATAGAATATTAAGTCGATAGAAAATCAAGAATACCCCATGTATAGCCATATAAAAGAAATAGAAATCCATCGAGACCCATGAGGCGCGCGGTCGGAAGCGACACGGGCCCCACGAGGTATAGGGAGAGAGAGAAAGAGAGTTGTGGTTCCTGTTCCTGGTTCCCGGCGTAGTAAGCATCTCCTTTCCACTTCCTTCCTGACTTCTTCCTCTTCTTCCCCAGTGTGTGTCTTCCAATTTTTCCATTCTTTTCTTTTTACGAGGTCGTTCGTTTCATTCTTTCACGACGATCCTATATCGCTCTTTCTGCTTGACCATCTCCATTCGTTTCCTCGAACGGCTTTTTTCTTCCCTTCGAAGACCCCGTTCCCAGTTGATCGACTCAACCTGGGTATTGCGATTATTCCCCCCCCCCCCCCCTCCCCAGCCCGACTCCAACGTCCAAGACTCGATATATCGGGTCGATCTGGGAATAGTCCCTTGCCCTTCTATCTGTGCTGCATAGGCCAGCCTTTTTTATTCATATACTTTCCTTTGCTCAGGACGCCTCTGCGACGCGCCCTTACTACCCAACCCCCTCCGTTTCTGACGTGGATGCTATCGATCGCGATTTGATCTCATCCCTACGCCAGCGCGCATTCATTCGTTTCATTTTTGACTTCCTTCTCTCGCGCTTGAAGCTGCTTCGAGAGAAAAAAAAACAACTACACTCTTCATTTGGAAAGACTATCAATCATTTTTCAACACTCACCCCTCTTCACCTGTCGGCCGGATCGTCACGCATCGAATCTTTTTTTGTAGAAAAGAAAGGAAACATTTACGCAACAAGTTTATACGAAACCGCTCAGAATATATATATCGTTCGATACTTGCATTTCGTGCATCGATTTCTGTCGAGCGCATAACAAAGATGTCATTGAGTGAAACCCCCGACCCGTCAGCGGGTGCGCCCACGACGGGATCTTCTGCATCCCCGACATCCAGCCCTTCCCCTTCGGCCTCGAGTGGTACAGGACCTTCCTCGTCCGCCTCACGTCGGCCGCCTCGGAAAAGCACCTTGACCCAGCAACAGAAAAACAACAAACGCCAACGTGCAACCCAGGATCAACTTGTCACCCTCGAGGTGGAATTCAATAAGAACCCGACTCCCACTGCTGCGACCCGCGAGCGAATTGCTTCAGATATCAACATGACGGAACGCTCGGTTCAGATCTGGTTTCAGAACCGGTAGGTTTTTTTTTTCAACGGCATGTTTTGGATTGAGAACCGTACTGATGAGCGGAATCTAGCCGTGCCAAAATCAAGATGCTCGCTAAGAAGAGCATTGAAACTGGTGAGGGCTGTGACTCGATCCCCGAGTCAATGCGCCACTATCTTGCAATGCAATTCGATCCCAGCAAGCCTGGAACCCGTGATCCCTTTGGACGTTCATCCTCGGGATACGGGGCTCCTGGTATGTATGCGAACGAGTCTAATGCGTCAGGCAAAGTTGGTATGTCACCAGCTGATACTTAATTATCGATTCTGCATGGAAGGGTTTGCTAATTATCTATTTTCACAGTCATCTCGCATTTCACTTGTCGATCTTTGACTATCGGAAGCTGGCGACGAATTGGACAGAACGCGATGGATCTAGTAATCTTTTACTCGCCCGACAAGGCGTGTATGACATACTACATCAACAACGACTCAGCAGGCTATAAGATTGAATACCCATTTGCCCACATCAAAAATATCACACTAGAAACTGGAGACCCGAATCCAGGGCCGAATGGCCAGCCACCTCGACCCGGTGGCTTGGTAGTGGAGCTCAACCGACCTCCTATGTTTTACATGGACTCCTCAAACTCAGGAGGCTTTTATCAATGCGGTGATTTTACTGAGGAGCAACAAGCAAGTCAGATTATGGTTCATCACCTGGGAGGCCATCCCAAGGTTCTGAGTGTTCAGCTTGCTAAACTTGTGTCCTTGGAATCTTTTCAAAACCGCCTGGCTTATGGTAGCAACAATAACAACAATAACAACTTTGCTGTTCCCGGTGCGATGTCCCCGCCTTTTATCCAGCGCCCTGCTTCTCAACCAAACCACTTTGCGCCGCCTGCCTACATGAACCTCTACCAAGATCACAATTACTTGAGCTTCAACATGCCTGCTGCCCGTGGGCATAAGCGTCAGCGCAGTCGGTCTGTGCCAGCAGCGGTCGACATTTCTGCGCTACAAGCCCCTATGACTTCATTCCACATGCCCCAGACTCCAGCTTCGTATAACAACCCTGCTGATTCTGGCATTTACGCCCCGGTTCCTCAATCTGCGCATGCTCTTCCCACCGACCTGCGCATTGATACTGAAGGCTATGGACTGGATTTCCGGACTAACCCCATGTCTGCCACGACGGCTGGATCGCCTTCTGATTTCGCCAGCCCCTCAATGTTCAGCAGCGCCGCACAAGGTGACTCGACCCCTGTCGCTAGCATGCCGCCTCAGTTTAACGTGCCCCAATTCGTTTCAACGGGGCCGTCTGATTCATCAACTGTCGGGTCGCACACAGCATCGCCTTACTCTGGCGTTAGCCCGGCTGACCCTATGATTGCAAACCACTCGCCTCCCTTATCCAACATGTCTCACTCTACATCAGACATGTACGGCTTCTCCCACGATCAGCAGTCAGGGTTTGTCGAGGATGGGCTTTCAATGAATGAGATGTACCCAAAGCACAATGTCAACTATGGCATCTCGCATGAAGGCCCAAGCTTTGAGTTGCCAATGCACGGCATGTCCGGCCACGGTTCTCCAGGTCTGGGTGATTACACCCACAGCATGGTCAATCTTGATGAGATCAATTCTCAAGGCCTGCCTTCCGGGGGACCTTGAGGCTCAATTGAATTGGCTCAATAAATCTATTTTTTGGTGTTACTTTTGATGTTTCACGGCCTTTGGGGTGCTTGTGGCGCATGGTTGGATGGGCATCTCGGAAAATTCTTGTTGCTCTGGATTTGGTTGGTCAGTTTCGGCATGTGTATTTGACATGCTATCTTGATTTCACGATATCCTTCGAGTAACTTCCACGTATCGCTGGCGATGGCCGGGAAAAAACAATTCCGATTGAACTCGTTGCTTGTTTCTGTTTTCTTTTTCTTTTTTCTTCTTGCGTGACATATATCCCTTCTGTCTTGTGCGTTGTTTTGTATTAATACCCTTTCTATTCTGGGGCCGGTCCTGAAGCGATTTTTGATTCACTGCTTCTTTATCCTCATCTTTGATGGATTCCTGGATGTTCCGGTTGAATCCTGATTATATTTTCTCATCTCTTCTTTTTCTACCCCGTGTCATCATTCCTAGTGTTTTGCATCTGATATGTTGATCAGGGTCTTTTTTTACGTGGTTATGCCAAACAGACCGACTCGGAGGAGACACCCCTCTCAACCCCAATTTTTCTTTTCTTTTTTCATTGTCTGTGTTTGAGGTTCTTGTGTTATCGGAGACGAGGGCTTGGTCTTCCAAAGATTGGTTAGAACTTTGTCCGCGTCTTCTTGCAGACGAAGACCACTGCCCTCGTCACGAGTTTGGAGTCAGTCTTCGCACACAATGTCTTGTCAACACCTGAATGTGTATGGTATATAACTGGCTTTCCACCTCGTGACCCTGTTTCAAAGTTGAGATATTCTTTACTCAGGCGGTTTACGGGGTGGATATGGCGCTGATCAGGCAGTAAACGAATGTGTGAGATTGACGCTAGACTCCGAATCAACTATCGACTCTTTTATCTGTTCCTTGAAATTATTGTAAATCCATGGTCTTTAGACCATACGCTAAGCTCCCAAGCCATAGAAATCCATAATGATAAGAGGAGCCGTCTGCCATCCGGCCTGAGAACTTGAATCCCAAGATTCCCTCCATACTTAGTATGTAGCCGCTTGTAGTATGACTTGCACATTTCGTTGTTTGGAGTATTGCCATTCGAGTCCTCTATTTCAAAATATGACGGCAATATCTATGCGTATACATATCCTTCTCTTTTATCTTCAGCCCCAGATTCCTGATCTGCGAGACAGCCCTGAGGTTATTAGTAGTATGCACGTCTATATCCAGCTATGTCTTATACATCCATATACCCTGATAAAATTACACAAAGTTCAGCCCTAAAACACCAGGCTCTACATTCCGAATCAAACAAATAGCATATCACTCCCATCCCCTCGGCGCAGGCGCCTGAAGCCCCTTCTTCTCCCTCAAATACTTCTCAATCCAAACCTCCATCTTCTCCAACAGATTCCTCTCCGGCTTCCCCTCCTCACCAACCTCAAACACTCCCTCCTTACACCAAACACTCCAAGACCCCATCATGCCCGCCATGATAACATCCGTACCCAACCGATCACCCACAACCGCAATCTCATTCGGCGAACTAATCACCTCCCTCTCCCGGAACCATTTCACTACCTCATCTCCACAGAATGGCTTCTTCTCCGTTCCAGCAGGTAACCTGAAGACAGGAATCTGGAGATGCGAAAGCTGTGTTTCTAACGAGGTAACCTCCGAGTCGTAGTTTGGGTGGCTTCCGGCGCGATTGGAAACGATAAGGATTGAGTGTGGGTTCTTGGTGAGGTTGAATGGACTTGTTGGGGAGTTGCGGAGGGCGGCGAGCTTGTCGAGTATTTTGGAGGGGAGGGTGGTTGTTTTAGGTGGGCAGAGGGTGTTATCTTTGTCTAGGACTAGGGCGCGAATTGATGGGGTTCGAGGTTGTTGTTTCTTTTCTGGCGTTGTGGTTGTGGTTTTGGCTTGGTTTGAGGGGGGAGATGAATTGGTAAGGTGGGGACCAAGGTCTTCAGGAAGATGTGTGAATGTCGGGATGGTAAGATGTGGAAGAAACTGAGAAGGTTGTTTGAGGAGCGTTTGGACAGCGTAGTTGAAGCCGCGGAGGTTGGAGTTCGGTGAACCAGCCATAGTGGTGGCGTAGTAGATATAGTAGACGAGAATTAATTTGAAATTAAGATTTCGATTTTAATTTAAATTGCGATAACAGCAGCTTTTCCAATAGTTGTTTCGCGTTGCTATTGCCTGGAAGTGGTTGTGGGTGGACGGAGTAGTTGTTGTAGAAGTGCAGTTTGAAGGAAGAAAAGCCCAAAGCGGAAAGGAGGAAGCTTGCCGCAAAACTCACTTCGCGACCTCCGCCATCCCATCTCTGTCCCACTATTTAGTCAACCATACCACCGCGCCGCTACTTAATCGGCCTTTTTACACACTCGAACCGACCGGCATATTGCGATTGTCGTCGTCGCACCCGTTAATTATCCGTCTTTAATCGATTCCCCTCCCTCCACACCGCACATTCCTTCAATATGGGCAAGCTGACTAGCACCATCGGCATCCCGATCAAGCTCCTCAACGAAGCACAGGTTCGTCGCTATCGTTCTTCCTAGATATTTCAACTGGCTGGATGGGCTCTCTTCCCGGCTTAGAGATACCATGTGGTTAGGACATGCGAGGAGTTCCAGCGGCTAATGTTATTCTTTCAGGGCCATGTCGTGACATTGGAGATCACATCGGGCGTCGTCTACCGGGGGAAGCTGTTGGAAGGTGCGTAAATTGAGATCTATATTGTTCAATGGAGCTGGAGAGTCAGGCTGGATCTTCGCTGAGATGGCGGCTTCGTCTTAAATGCTCTAATGTTGAAAATCACCGCTGACCGGTTTTGTCGTTACAGCTGAGGACAACATGAACGTCCAACTTAAGGATATCACCGTTACCGCTCGCGATGGTCGTGTCTCGCATCTTGACCAGGTTTACATTCGTGGAAGCCATGTGCGATTCTTCATTGTTCCAGACATGCTGAGGTACGTTTGATTTGGCACTTTCAGCCATTCGTCCCAGATTTGAGGACTTTAACCTAGAAAATTATCTCTACTAAGTCCCAGATGCATACATATCATTCTTGCACCGGCATTTACTAATTGTTCTCTCTGTAGGAATGCTCCCATGTTCCGCTCACGAGGCCAGCGTGGGCGCGGTGTCGGTTTGGCCCGTGGTAAGGCTACCGTGCAGCGTGCGCGTGGCCAGCAGCGCGGTCGGTAAATCATCGAGGAAAGATAAGATAGTATAGGAGCGCAGTTTTCAAGACCGGGCGGATTCTAGTGGTTGGCGTTCGTCCTTTGTGTTTTCTTCGGTTCGTTATGGGAAAAAAAAAATTCAGGCTTTCTTTCCATTTTGCTAGGTCTGGAATCGTCGGCATTTGTCTTAGGACTAGTGTATCTTCAATACGGATATGAATGAATACCTGGCGCACATAGTGCATCCTGATTACTCTGGCTTGTTGAGGGGAGCTAGTAGAGTAAGAAGCTTTCTATAATGCTGTGGCAAGTTATAGCACTGGTAGAATCTTGCTAAAAGTAGAGCAGGGCTCAATTATTTAGATGATTGGCACCTATAGTACGGCGTTTTCAAATATGCTACATGCCAGAAATCAATTTGAAGTTGAGATGGATCGATACTAGCTCTGGCGCACGACGCGATCTCCGCAATATTTCCTTCTATGCGGGGTGATCACCTTCCAGCTTCTTCACATATCAACCTCCAACCTAAGCCATTGCAATCCCATAACAATCCAATAATTCAACATACGCCCAACTCCATACATCCGACTCGATCCGATAAAATAAGAACAGAAAGTCAACAACACAACCATAACGCCATGGCCGCATCGGCCACCCTCGCGAACCCCTCCAAAACCCAGGCGAAACAAATCGCTAACCCACGCCGGCTTCTCATCCTCTCCCCACCATACCAGTCAACCTCTATAATTCCTCAATTCCTACACTCTCTTACCGGTGTTCCGGTTGAAAATCCTCCTCAAGCTGGATCCGCGCAAGCCTCGCAAGATGCTACCCCCGATGACCCCGGTTCCGATACCCCTCACACATCGCAGACGTCGTTTGCGGGGTATACGACGCATAGTCCTCTGCGGCTAGATACGAAATATTACACTGCTGATGTTCCTGTTTGGGTTGATGAGGTACCTCTTCTTGTAGAGGGGGATTCGCAATCTACAGAGTCAGGGTCAGAGTCTAAGAGTGCGCCTGCGGAAAAGACTGAGCGGGGAACTGGTGCTGGTGCTGCGCAATGGCGCGCTGAGTTTATGAGCGATGAAGCCCAGATTGTTCGAGATGCCGTTGGTGCTTTGATGGTTTGTGTGACAAATCCTGGGGCCGAGGAGCGTACTTCTACAGAACCAGGTTCTAGACCTGATGTTCTTGCTTTGCGGGATTTTATGCGTGATATTGGTGATGTGAAAGGGTGTATTGATGAGGAGCGTGGGGGTGTGGGAGATGTACCTGGTGTGTTTGTTCTAGTTGGTGCTGTTAAGAGTGGGATTCCTGAATCCAAGTCTACGTCCACCGCTGGCATTGGCGAGCCTGATGAATTGAGACTTGGACTTGATGAGGGCTTGGACGGGGTAGAAGATGAGCCGTTCTCGGCGGGGTGGTGGGAGGACCAGTTGTTTGATTGCGGGTTAGTTGGGTGGGAGGTTATTGAGTGGGATCCTAGGATGGATGGTGGTGAGAAGACGAGGAATAAATATGGAGGTATGTTCTTCTCTTTTACTTCCGAACCAGGCTGCGAATAGATGATGGTTTGTCTGCTGGATATACTGGTGATTGATACTGATTTCCTACAGAGTATGAGGGTATGCCGCGTATCAAGGAAGTCCTCGAGACGCACGACTGGACAGCATCGGGAGACTTGGGTGCCCTTGAAGATCAGGATCCCGATTTCGGATTCGATGATGAAGATGATCTGGAGAGTGAACTTCTAGGCTTTGGTAGATCCTCACATACCCGAGGTTTCGGACAGGAGGTTCAAGAGTTAGAGCGTGAGATGTTAGGTTTGCGCATGGCGATTGAACGTGGTGGAGGAGATGGCGAGGAAGACGACGCCGAAGATGACGGTGAAGAAGTCAAGGTTGAGTCTATGGAAGCGCTTATGATGCGTGTGCAGGCCATACGAGGTACGTTGGATATGAGACTGTCTGGGGCTCGTTTTGTACTAACTCGTTGAATGCTAGATATGGGAGCAGATTTGCCGGAGAACGAGCGGAAGAAATTCGCTGCCAAGGCTGTTAATGATCTTATGCGTGACTTATAGAAATGTAAATCTCAATCTTGACAACTGGTATATTGTATGGTTATTCAAATAGAATTGAAGATACATGTGTACGGGTATGCGCATTTATATGATGTGTCAAGTATTATTCTCCATTTGAAGATACTATTTTTATCATTCCATTGACCCAGCAAGCTGGAAATGATAATTCTATACAACTAAAAGGCATTTCTCGGAATTGAAATCAAAAACCGAACGTCCATCCCCGTTAGTTTTTAGCTTTGAAAGCTCACAACAAACCTCCATCAAGTCCACCCAATACACCTAATCAGCACGTTGCTTACCCCGCATAACCTTTCGGCGCTGAGCAATCATATGCGTGTAAAGGATATAAGAACCTTCAATCCATAATTAGCAAACAACCCTCTTCACAAGCCTCAAGAAACAAAGCAACATACCAGGTACATAAATAGCCAACACAGCAACAAGACCCCAGTAAAGCAACGGACTAACATCCCCAGCCACACCAAGCGAAAGGTAAACAAGCGCACACTCGCTCGAGATACCAACAGGATATAACACATAGAAGGTATTATACCTTAACCAAGTCCAGAACTTCGGAACCTGATTCCCAGAAAGCGTAATAGCGAAGAACCCATAACGAATTATTTCTGTGATTCCCCACGCGCTAACACAACCTAGATACGCATAGTCGCCCAGCTGAGTAGTGTTTCCGCCTACAATCTGTCCGCCGAAGGGAACCATAATGCCCCAGACGAGGAGGAGACGACTAGCAACTTGCATTGCTGTTGTGAGGAAGGGGGCGCGGACAAGACCTGTCAGACTGTGGAGGACTTCTAGGATGGCGAGCGATTGGGTACCGAGGAGGTAGGGGGTGAATGTTTGAGGGAAGATGGTGTGTAGGTTGTTTGGGAGGGCAGGGGCTAAGAGGGAGATTGTGTATAGGACGCAGAAACTCCATGTTAGGAGATTTGTGGTGTTGTAGGCGAATAGGTAGGCTCTTGTTAGACCTGATGGGCCGGAGGAGCGTGGTTTGCTCGCGGTTGAGCTTGAGGCGGGCATGGTGATGGTTATTTTCTCTTCTTTTTTCTCTTTGGTGGTAGTGATTGTTTAGACTGGGTGTATGGGTGGAATTGAGAAGCGCTGAAGCAAGTCGGATACCAATTGCGCTGGTCGCGAAGGTGTTGGTTGCTTTGGGGATCAAAATTGTTGAATGTTGAATCTCGTGGTCCAAATCGCGTTGGACCTCGGGTGGTTACTAAGCGGATTCTGGAAGATCGTTCGAACATTGAAGGTTAGTTCATAGTGGGGTTTATTGACTGTCCCCGATCTCTCCAAATCTCAGTTCTCCAAGATATCAGGTGTCTTTTTTTCATTTTCTTTGGGCCCGATCAACCGATCCCGTCTTGCAAATCGGGAATTTCCAGTTGTCAAATCATGACTAGTCTAGCCTCGCATTGCTAGGTTTTTTTCGCAGCCGAAAATATCCCGTGCAGGGATTGGACCGGTCAGACCTCGAGACTATCATATTTTAGTCCGGTACGGGAGTCTAGCAAACAAGTACTCATTATCCACTAATAGAGTTTTTATATATGTTCGCGAAACATTCCCAAGTCAGGTGCTGTTCTTTCTTTGATGATTCGTGGAGATGGTTGCCGCTACTGGGGTAGCTTTGAGTCGAGTGCATGCAGCGGTAACCAAGCGGAAAGCTTCCTGGGTGGCATTTTGGGACTAGTAGACTTGAAGACTAGTACTGGTGTCTATGCCAACACCACTGCACGCCAATGCATGGAAATAACATCTGCAATAGGCGAAGGGCCACCATAGACAGGTTAGTACGGCTAAATGTTTGTCATTCGGTATTACTAGTTTAAAATCTTGGTGTTTCTGGTCTAAAAAAGCAAATACTGCATTAGTGTACTCTGAGTGGGCCCCAATTCGGGCATCGACTGCGGTTGATGCTATTATATGATGTGGATGAATTATTAGCATACTGCGTACTTCAAACTCCGATCCCTAAACTTCATGAACTAAATCATGAACAAATTTTCTGGACGTGAGCCTGAGGAGAAAAATAGTGCACTCGAGGAACTTATACTCCGTGATCTGCTCACACCTCAGTTATCACGGGCGTCGAGATTGAACGTGGGCACAGTTTGATATGCCTGATTAGGCTTTATTTGCCGGGACCAAACCAAGTTGGGCCATGTACGACCAAACTGGCAGAAATCAATACTGTTGTGTACCATTCACCCTTTTGAACGGACACCGACAGTCATACAGGCTTATGCAACGTGATATCATGATGAGTTGGTGATGCCGACTTGCATGTTCATATGTAGTGTCTTGGATCAAAGTACGGAGTGCTTGGGGAGAGTACTCCGCATATTCATACATCTGCATCTTACATAGACTACCGAACAGTGTAAACCTAAGCACCCACGCCCGCTTAGTCTCCGTTGCCAAGCCCTCGCGTAACTAATACGTAAGGATAGCGGTACCGGCCCTGAAGCACCTTCAAGCCGAAATGACATCAGAGGCTGCACGGGCTGAATATGAAGCTCCACCGTGATGTCATGGCTGGCAGAGTATAGTATGATTGGCTGATGCTTCTCGGCACCAACCACTTCACACCCAAAACCCCCAGAAAGCCACCAGAGGCAGAAATGCCCCTCCACCTGCTATATAAACAAAAGATGCGACGACGCTTCGCGCGTGGGTTGGCACGGTTAGTTTGGATAGGATTCTGACTTCCCTGGACCCCCTCGATACCTTCAATTGAAGGTGAACGTCTTCATCCGGGGTGGGTTGGGTTGGGAGTCTACTACAGTGACGGTATTCCTAGGTCCATTTGTTTTTTTTTCTGCCCACCCAACGTCGTCATCGGTGACAGCATGGTCACTTTTGTCTTACTACTAGTCGGCGAACTCCTGGCCCCCCAACCACCTTTACCCCCGCTCTCTTTACGGCCTCTCACTTACGGATTCAAACCGGTGCGTCAGATGGAATTCCATGCAACATAGCACCGACACTTGGAGATGGAAGGGGTGGGAAACAAGGGTATTTTTGGGGTGGTTAGGACACATGGTCGCGGTCCCCGAGGGCCCAGACCATACCTCATCCGGGATTCTTACTTGGTTTTGCTGTCCAATGCGCCGGGGACAAGGCTGTTTTGCTGCTGTACGAAAAAAAAAAAAGAAAAAAGGGAATGGTACTTGGGAAAAAAGAGAATCGGAGTTAACACTACAGAAAGACCCGGCTGATTCTCACACTACTGACTGGGCCCCTTCCCCCCCCCCCCACTCCCCCCAAGTACTAAATTTTGGTCAAAAATTTCGTTACTCCCGTCTCACTTTTTCCACGGTTCTTCACCAATATCTTTTTCTTTTCCCCTTGGAATCGGGCATGCCAGATACAGGTGGAGATGCCATGCAGACATGGTGGGTTAGTTAATCTGGAATTCAGCTCTGGAAAGGGAAAAGGCCAACGAATTAACCCATGTGTGCGGCTCGGAAAAGGGCAAACCAAGTCGGTCATTATCATGACCAGTGACGTGCCAGGAGCTGGGATCGGCACAGCGATGATGTCGTTGTGCGGCTGCACTTACTGCTGCCAGATCTTACTCTTCTCCACCCCGTCAATTTGGGCAAAATCGTCCATTAGAACCAAGAACGATTTGTAAACCAACTACTGTAGAATATTCGGTGATGTTTCTTATCATGCGTTGTTTTTTACATGCTAGCTCTACTAGTCTCCACTTTGGCCGTGGTTTTACCTTTTTTTGGGGGGGTACAAGGCAGAGACTATGTATGTACTGTATCCTTGCGGGCCAAAATAGCAGGAGATGATCTCATACCGTTGCTCGGCTCTGGGTGGAGCGAGGGCCCGGGCTTTTCGTGGTTTCACACGACGATGGAGTCCAGATGACCAGATGAGAAAATTGAAAAATATGACAATATGACAAAGTGTTATCCAATCTGCGTTTGGGAAATGGGGTGGAAAAACCTGGCTATACCCCCGGTTGAAGGGATGACAGAAAGGATTCGGAGTATCAGGATCGAACTCTGCTTGGTGGGGGAAAGATGCAGGTGAGTTAGTAGTTTGGCAGGGCTGGAAAATTAGTGATTCAAGAGACCTACCACAATGTAGTAGGTAGGATTGTTAGAATGAAGGTATGAGGAATGGGTATCGGGAATAGAAAGTGGAAGGTTGGAGGTTGTATAGTAGATATAGAAGCCTCTATGCATAAGAGCATTATCAAACGGGCCTTTCTATAATTATAATTATAATTAAAATAATCCATATTATTATGATTGATTGAATGTTCCTGTTCTTCATTTCCGATAGATTGCACGGGAAATGGTGCACCTCCACTCGTTCCTCCCACTGGACTTCTCAGTTTACCCACCCAAACGTTTCTCCGCCCTTTTTCTCGCTAACCTTCTTTCCTCCTTCTCCCCTCGTGTCCTCTTTGCTACCGGGTGTAAACTCCTTCCTTGCGCCCAAAGCCCAATTTAATCTTCACGAAATTGATTGCCTCGACAAATTTGAGAGGTAGAACAGATTCCCAGATCCGAATCTCAGAAACAAAAGGTGGGATGAAGCCAAACCCCCCTCGGAGTTGCCCCTCCTTTTTTTAGCCCATGTAGCCTGGGCATCAAATTCTCCTACACGCGTTACCCGATTGATCTCTGTTATTTTGGGCATATCTTTTTTGATTCTTTTTTTTTTTTTTTTTTTCTTTTTTTTAAATTAATTATTTGATATTATTGTTGTTTCCCCTCTCTCTCTCCATTTGTCTTTTATCTCTTGCCCCTGTCGCGTTTGCTCGGTGTGGGACCCCTACGCACCTTCTTACAGTGCCGTGCAGGTTATATGGGTGAATCGACCCAGGGTTTATGTATTCTGCCTTTTTTCCCTCTTCGATCTCCCTCGTCTCCTGTCCCTCCTCACCCCTGTCCCCCGCTCGGCTTGCGGTATCGCACAGTAAGCTTTGTTCTTGTTCTGTTCTGCTTCTTAGTCGTTGCCGCCTTTTCAAACACCCCAGCCCACTTCCACATCAACCCCACCGTACAGATGATCTGGTTCACGCGATCTGTGGCTTTGAATCCCTGTCCTCGTGCATGCACCTAGATTCAACACCCGTTGTTTCCATTTTATCTGTTCTCCCCCTAGCCTTCGTCCTTCATACTGTCTCGATCTATAATTCCAGGCCTGTTGCTTTCTAAAGGCAAGGACTCCCCGCTAGTTGAAATCGCGTGTCATTTCAGGAATGAGGTTGTAATCGGGATATGTGACTTTCCTTGTGACTTCGGCGTGACTCATTTGCATCCATCTTGCCTTTTCGTGTCGATCAGAAATCATCACCTTGATCGGACATGTGAGCTGACTCTGATTGATAGGCCCGTCGAGTCCGGAATTAAGAACGGCAGTCAGATCGGCGAAGTGTTTGATCTTATTCTGAAAAGCCAACCGGTGGACTTGAGATTGATCTCATCTTTTACGAATATTTCTCCCACACATTTCAGAAATGGCCCCCATCGATCCTAAGAAGGCCGCCGCGCCTGTGAGTATTATCCAATGCGCCACTTTCATAAGGTCGTGACTGACATCCTCGATCAAAAGAAGGAGGCCCCGCCTACCCTTGAGGATAACAGTGACATCATCGACGCATCGACATTTGAACAGATCCTGGAGATGGACGATGATGACGACCGTGATTTCAGCCAGGGTATTGTCTACGGTTTCTTTGAGCAGGCTGAACAGACATTTAAGAAAATGGAGAAGGCTATGTAAGTAATTCGCATCAGACTTGATTGCTGAATCCCCGGGGCATCTCAGTGAATATGATCTAATTCCCTCACTAGCGAGGACAAGGATCTGTCGGAACTTTCATCTCTTGGTCACTTTTTGAAGGGATCATCGGCCACTTTGGGTCTCACCAACGTCAAGGATGGATGTGAAAAGATTCAGCACTTTGGAGCTGGGAAGGACGAGACGGGCACAACAGATCAGCCCGATGATAAGATTTCTCTCGACAACATCGACAAGACCGTGAAAGAAGTTAAGGTCGCATACGCCAAGGTAGAGCGATTCCTGCGCCGATACTACGGCGAACAACTTCCAGCCGAGGAAGAAAAGGACGACAAAGAGGCCGAGAAGGCCGAGAAGGAAGAGAAGGAAGAGAAGGAAGAGAAGGAAGAGAAGGTCGAGAAGAAGGACGAAAAGACCACCGAGAAGAAAGATGAGAAGAAGGAAGATACCAAGGAAGAAGAGCCTAAGAAAAAATAAGCTTGATATCTCTTAAATTGGTTCTTTTCTGTCCACCCCCCATCCTACCCCCACCCTTTTTTTTTTTTTTTTTTTCTTTAGCGATGGATGGAGCATTGCAATGGCCTGATTTTGCTTCTTCGTGTATGGTTTCTGGCTTTCTTGACGTACATACAATTACTACCCCTACACCTTTGCTCCAGCTTGATCTGGGCCAGGCACTTGCATGGACAATACGTCCACAAGTCAGGGAGGGATCACGACAGTGTGTTTCCCCACAGCTGAGGGAACTGAAGAGTATCGAGATACGGAAATCCGAGTGCTCCTTTCTGGCTACGTTTCTTGCATTTTCATCTAATTAGCTTGATAAGCGTTTCCATGCTCCGCGGGAAAGAAGAAGACTGAGAGAATTCGCTTGTACCTCGTAAGCTTGGAATGTTGGAACATCTATATTCAGTCAACTAGTTCAGTCTTGAGAGCACGCGACCTCCGGCGCTAGTAGGATGCGGCTCTGCAGAGATATTCAATCTTCATTCAGGGTATATTGTAGTTCCTTTCAGGGGATTAGCGTCGAATAGACTGGCATAATAAGAACGCCCGGTCCACAATCCTGAGCCTCCAATTATGGCCATTGGCGCCTCCGAAACCTTCCTTCAGCCACATGCGTGAGACTGGGGACGGTTCGATAAGCTTGAATTAACGGCCCGACGTTCTCAACCTTGGGAGCTTGAGCTGGGATCGTGGCAATTTTATTATTTTGATTAAGTATCTCTTGTATTCCATGTTTAGTACATAAATATCAAATAAAAATTTGAGCTATCCAATTAAAATCTCTTCATTGTTCGAGATACACTAAATCGATGAATATGAACGCACGAGGGAGAAGATCCACTCTACATAGCAGGTATGTATACCCACCAACTGGCATCCTGTCTCAAATTCGACCTAACGATTATCATCTCACCTTGATATATTCGAACAAATAAGTTCCACCAAGCTGCGAATCTACCCAAAAAACGTCTAACATCCAAACACACTCCTTGAATCCCATCAACTACCTCACCTCTACTCCCGTGATCCCTTGAACCCCAACCAAAACACCCAACACAAAAAGAAGAAACAAGAAGCAAAACTGAAAGCAACAAGTCCAGAGCCGCACAAACGCACATCTCCATAGTAATCGTGGCACTCATTAAACCGGGGTACCGATGCCTCCCGAGGCTCGCTGCATCATGAACCCGGTCCGGTCCGCACTGATTTAAAACCGGACAACGGGAACCTGCATCCCGTGCTGATTCTGGTTGGCTGCCTCATGTAATTCTCGCTTTGGTTAATGGCGCGCTCGGGATGACTGGCGCTGGGACTCCTTCTGTATTGGGTTCATGTTTGTTTATCTAGGGTCGTTGTATGTTCTTTCGGCAGATGAGAGATCGTTACTCCAGATTAATAATAAAGATAGTAGGTACCATGATTGAACGATGTTTATGAATTTCGTAATTTTATTTCAATAATGCACAGGAGTGACATGAATGTGCTTTGCAGATTTGTCGCTACCTATTCCCCGTACAGATCTTGCTGCAGCATACAGCATACAGCATACAACAGGGAAACAATGCAGCCTGAGAATCAAAATCGCAATCGAAACCAGAGCCAGAACTAGAATCAAAGAATACGGACTAATTAATCAAGTTCCTTACGTTCTTCTTACCCTTGCCTCCTGTCTACACGTCGTATCCGTCTTTGAATTAAGCGAAGTAACCTGAGCAATGGCAAAAATGAAATATTAACGGGAAGGTGGCTGTGGAGCTTCAAGGTTGAGGTGATAAAGAAGAAGAGAAAAACAAAACAAAAAAAAGCTCCGAGATGAGAATTAGCACCAGCAACCGGGCTTGGGGCTGCGTCACCCCGTCCACGCTTCTTGGGTCTCTTCTTATCTGGTCCGGTCTTGCATGCCCGGGCATACTTTGGTCATCGTGTACTCCCTACTCCCTACTCCGTACTGGCAATAGCTACATATATATATACCTCATGATCTGAAATTCAAAATGACCACTGCAGTCCACGAGTTGGCAAGTGGACGACATTTCCCCATGTTTTCTTTTTTTTTCTTTTTTGATTTAGCTCTAACTTCTTCTAGTGGAGACCCGAGTAATCCTAAGAATCAAAATTCCCGTAGTACAAGCCTGAGCATGTATTCATATCCATCTGACAGACGAACGTGATGATAGATCTAACTTCTCACCACGTTGTGTGCACACGGTGTGCGTGTGGTTTTCGTCTGAGACCATCGAATCAAACCTTTCATAAAAAATCGTGGCCGAAGCCGTTTGTTCGACAAGCGGCTCCATCATACCGCTATTTTCTCCTTTCTCCTTTCTCCTCTTTCTTTATAAAATTTATCCGCGCACAAGAAACGCACAAGCCTTGCCTTGCAAACGAAAAAGAGAGCTCGAGTAAAGTCCAGATTCATGCAATGCAATCCTACCTACTTACCTGGCTGCATTTTTCGATTTTATTGATTTTTGTTTCGTTTTATTTCTCCGGAACTCGATGCACGCTTTGATCATCGCGGATGTATATCCGATGCAATGTAAATGCAGACGTAAGCGGGCTGACCGTTCTGTATGAGTGGAAGTTTAATATGGATTTACAATTTACTTCGGGAAGCGGCTTAAGCGTCGTACGGCATGGTTGATGAGCCTTGTTTTCTTTTCGTCTGCGGCCGTGGATGGGTACGCGCATTGGCGAGAGGTTCCAGCCACTTGATTTATTGATAGATGGGAGGGGGATCGGGACTTAGATGTGGAAATACTGGGTTTGTTTGTGATATACTCGAGCTTGAACTTATCTGAAGGCTGGAGTTGGTTGGTTTTGTTTTGAAGTTGCCTGGTTTCCTTCTCCACGGGGTGACTAGCGCGCGTTAATGATGAGATTTATCATGGGATTCAATTTTTTATGAAATTGTATACATCTCAATCGATAGGGATATTTTAGATATAGAATCTTTGAGTTTAGGGGTTCACTACTAGTATGTATATCATGATTCTGGTCTATCAGATACTCAGGTAGATACTACTACCAGTTCCAAGGATTCCCGGCTCTTCCGATGAGATATTTACAAACCACGCCCGAAGACAGTTAGCTTATTCATGCAAGCCAAAATATATCGCCGTCTGTCTGTCTCGGATAGCAGACTCGAGCCTTTCCGTAGATACATACCTGATCCCCGCTACGATTAATCCTCGACAACACCATGACCAGAAAGGACCTCATATCTTTCAATTCGTTTCATTGAACGGGAAATCCGGAACGCCACAAACCGAAAGATAAACGCAGGCGTACAACGTGCACCTTATCCCGATGAGAGTTACCTGGCCACGCCACCCGTTTGCCCACTACCGTAAATCCCCAATCTCCTTCCTATCATGGAACCGTACCATAGCCTGAGGTAGATGAGTCGACTGAAGGGAGAGAGTAAAATAAAAAGAACACTCCTTACCTCTTCAAATGTTCCAACGCTGATCAAATACCATTGAAAGCCGGTTAGCACCCGTGAGGTTCCCTCCAATGGGGGTCCTAGTCTGACGTAGTCCGGGGTTGGATATCAACGGGGATGTGAGACTACCGACCAGGCTTATTGTACAACCCAAGACAGCCAGGAGCAGTCACGATCTTGCAGATTCATCGGGGAAAGTAGCCTTGGATAATCCAAATCCAAATCTTTCTTCAGAGAAAAATCCCTGAAGGTAGTAAGAGGCCGGGTGGACTTAATTCTGGTTGTCCTGTCCACCTTGCAATTTGTAGTGGTATACTTGGTCTTATTGAGGTATTTCCCGTATTGTTTTGCATAAATGTGTGGTTTATCTTTCCATTTTCCCTTTTTTATCCTATGTTATTTCTAATTATTTCATCGGCGTTTTAACTTAATTCATTTTTAGAAGCCAAGGGTCTTCTTGTCTTGGTCTTATTTTCATCCCCTCTTAATAACCTCTTCATCTCAATGTCTCGGGCTATCACGCGTCCTGCGAACAGACTCCAATAATTCTCTACCATTGTCTCGATCCCTCGAACACACCATATTCCACTTCCCTGTCAACCGGGTCCCTGTATACCCACTCAACCGATTGCAGATTGCCTGCTTGCTGATTGTTCATCCTCGTCCGTTCGTTCGCCTGCTTCGTCCCGCTACCAGAGACGATCTGATTGCATTGATATCGGATCGGGAGCAGTCCTCTGCAAGTTGGGCATCGGGGAAACCGTTGACCGTTGAATTTGCGAAACACCGTGTATCCTGTTTGAAGTGTACATCGTCCCTCTCTTGATATAAAATCTCGCCTTGGGGAGTTCGTCGATCCTCCATTCTACTCGACAACTCTCTTGGCTCTTTACATCTCATCTTCATTCAGATTTTAAACTACTGTGCTTCTGTGAGGTTTTATCTGCTGTCAGAATAACTTATACATACTATTCCTCTCATCTATCTTCGTGTCGTTTCTCATCACTAGTACAAACAATGGCTGCTGTTGGCCCCCGAGTCTCAAAAGAAGAGTTCATGCATGCCTTAGGCTTGAACCCTCAGGATTCTCATCACGAACAATACTACCGTGCCATGAGAGTAAGTAATAACTATTCACCTTTGCATACTATTTGATTTATTTTCTATGATTTATTTTCCTACGTATCAATCATTAGATCTATACCCTCCCAAACCAATATGAAACGCGTATTAACAAACCCGCCTTATCTGTTTAGGACGAAGCAATAGTCGTATATAATCGCATGAACCAAGATAACTCGTTCCTCGTCGACGCCGTCCGCCATGACCCAAACACCCGTCCCCCATTCTTCTGGCACCACATCCTACCCGACCGCCAGCGCTGGGCAATTCTGGAAACCTGGCGAAACGCGGGTCCTCTCACTCGCTCGCTGTTTGATCGCGGCGCGACTAGTTCAGAGTATGGACCTAATTGGGTTGCTGGGTGGTTGTTGTACAGTGTGTTTCGTTCGCGGGATGTGAGAAACAATCGGAATCGACGGAAGGGGGAGAATAATGTATCTGTCGTGGATTCTGGTAAGATTGATCATGTGGATCTATAATTTTATGATTTTTAGACTTTAAACTTTCGGTGCTAATGTTTATTTTAGGGAGAGTTAAGCAGGTTGAGGAGACGACATCACCTAAGAAGGGATACTATGATCCTGTGCGGAATGGCACGCTTTAGATTGTTTTTCTTTCGATTTGTGAGCGTGCATTCTTTCTTATTGTATTTTTACATATTGATTGGTCTGTGATCTTTTCTATTGGAGTATCAAAGAAGAATATGGCTTCAAACTTGGAAACGCTATGATGTTCTTGAAAGTATTAGTCTCCGTATTTCTTGTACTATTGATCAATCATCCTTCTTCCTCTCGTCACTGCCCTTCTTTTCATTGTTTTCCCCTCGATCAGAACGTAATGCCTCGGTAACTCTCTCATCTTGTTCGTCAGCCCGCTCATTCCAGTCAGCGTCGTACTCCGCTGCAATACTCTTGATTTCGCTCCTTAGAGTCTTCCCTTCATCAATAAGGGACTCCCAGAGCTGCAAGTCCAAGTTATGCTGCTGATACAGCTTCTTTTGTCGAGCACTGACTGTAAAGTCCAACGCGGACTTATACGAGATCTCTCGATTATGATACAAAAACCACAGGTAACCCCCCATCAAGGTTGACAAACTGACCAAATACGTCACTGGCTCCATGGTATCCCAACCCAGATCCGTCTCAAATGTCAGCTTGTAAACACTATACCACCAAACAGATAAAATTCCGAATCCTCCAATCGCAACTCGCTGTGCCCCGCGATGTGCTAGTTCATCACAAGTATGCTTGATTTCCGCGATTCCTTGAATACGCCTCGATAGCTTCCTCAACCGCATCCGCAAGAAATACGTGCGCTCATTGAATGACGGCACCGTCACGCGGATCTGTCCCAGTCCACTCGGCGCGCCTTCAATAGTCACAATGAATTCTTGTGTTCTCGCCGCATCCCGAATGAAATCGCCCACCTCCGTCGATTGTGACCAGCGCACGAATCGCTCTGGCTCCCCGTTCAATGGATCAAGACTGGTATCTGTTTTTCGGGGGTAGCTGTAGATCTCGGCGTCTTCTTCACGTGATCGACGGCGCTGTTGAGGTTTCCCAGCTTGGTATTCTGTTTCGACGGCGTTTTGGCGAATTGCGTCTCCTTCATCGTCGTCTCCAATACGCTTTCTTGGCCTGATGGCGTTGTCTTCGTGTTGGAGGGCAATGAATGATATAGCGGGGGGTCGGAGCTTTTCTTTCTCGCCTTCTATTGGGGGAAGTTCGGATTGGATAAGGCGTTCTAGGTAGGAGAGTGGTTGTTGAGGGTGTACTAGGATTGCAATTGGTTCGATTCCTGGGTGCAGAGTTAGTATATATTGACATTAAACTGCGCTGCGGTTCTATATTCTTTTGGCGTGGGGTTTGATTACCTTTTTCATTATCTGTGACGCCAACGGTTGTGAGAGGAATAATCAATTTGAAGAGTCGGGATGGTGTTGTGAGCATTTTCCCTATGAGAGTGTGAAGATAAGTATAGGTAATTGATGGAACGTGTGCCTAGTAAGCTTAGAGTTACCTTTTGTCATATCCTCAGCCCATTTGGCATTCTTTTTGCCCTCATCTATGATATTTCGCTGTGGCTCTGTGTCCCTCTGCTCGTCATTGACATCCAGAGCCTCCAGTATTTCCTCTGACCGCTCATTGTCGCCAATTCTCTCAACATAATTTGCTCTCTTAAAAGATCGAGTCTGGGAACCATTGGATAGTATTGCACTCTTAAAGCAGTTGTCTATTTTTGTTCTCGATTTCCAGGAGAGGATAGTTGAGTTCCCTTGGGTAGGCCGGGCAATGCTAGAGAACAAGCGACCTGGAAGTAAACTTGGCCCAGTTGCACGCGACCTAATACACCTCTTCGCGGGCAATAGAAAGGGTGCACAGCCTCTTGATAATGATGACATTTTAATGAATTGGTTGAGAAGGAGGAACACCCAGCTCTCGTTTTAAAGAATGTTAAGGGATAGGATGCGGGTTGTAGCGTGCGAAGTATATGCCTTGACAAAAAGTGGGCAGCAACAGAGGCGCAGTCAATTCATGACGCATGGAACGTTTAATGGAGAAGTGGAGATCGGGCCTTGAAACACGCCCGAATTTGCCTAGAACACGAGCATTGTGGAAGCTAGGAGGATCCAGGCACAATCATGATGAAGAGCTGCTGCACAGCTTCCTTGGCCTCGGGTGATGGATTGACGTCAGTGTGGCGCCGCTTGGGTCGGGGGGTTCCGTGGCGGTGTGTGGCTTGCCCATCTCTGTGTTAGTTATTGTAGGGGGTGTTCGATGCCTAAGGCTACACAGATATTTGCCGATCTATGACGTAACACTATGTATACATTCCAAATTATCCAGGTGCCATCAACTGGTGCCTACGTCTATAATAGAGGAAATGAAGAGGAGTGCAGGGGAAATGGCAAGCTAGATGGACTTTAATAAGTATGTATATCGTTGTCAATTTCTCCCATAGAGAGCCAGTTCTCACCTTGTCCTGCTATATACTACTATATCCCATACTTTGACCGGGTTATCAAAAAACTGAAGTTTTAGAATAAAGAACAACTACAATTCTGATCTGAATTTTTGCTTTTAAATAACTGGTACATTCTGTAATTTCAAGCTGTAACCATTTTGACTGCCGCGCAATCTTTTCAATGGAGATTAAATAACGGCCGGTCAGTTTGGTAATGTTCGGGGGTTTCTCATCTTAGCACAGGACAGGTTTGTCTCACTTCAAGAGGCTCTTTACTATGCTCTGCCGACTGATGGCTATCGATTCAATCTTGACGGAATGGCTCTCTGGTTCCATTGCAGACAGTTTGGAGTCGACAATCGAGGTCAATGCGTTCGCCCAAACGCACGTTTGGCTTTATACTGCCCTAAGGCCATATGGTCAGGGTATACTGCTTGCCGCAAAAGGTGTTGATCCAAGTTGTCCAGGTGCGAGGATTTGATGAGCTGCACACCATTGGTCGCCGCCGCGCCAACAAACATGAAGCACAAAATTCAGAGTTTGTAAAACGAGCTTAAAAACCATCTGAGATGCCTCTCTGTTGCTCCTCTGCTAACCTTTCTTCATTCAGTGATTTCCACCAAGCATGGGATGGATCCTGATGCTGATCCTGCACGTCTGTCTTTTCATCCCATGGCTTCGGGCTTAGTATATAGTGTACATTTTTTACATTCTCATCCCGCCAGATGGCATCGTGGACCCCCTTCCATCGTAGCGTTTTGAGCGCGTTGTATGTGTAAGGTAGCGGCACCCATCGACTATTGAATACATCACCGAGTAGGGACTGGTCAGCAAAATCATATTCGGATGTTGCAGAAGAGGAGAGGTGTTCGAGGATTTTATCATAGGTCCCTTGGGATGGGATTACCACTTGTAGGCCACCGTTTGGCATCCCCAATCCTGCGCCCGCTGAAGGCCCGGCTGTTTGCGCAAATTCTGGACTATTATGCTGAGTTGTGTATGCACAATTTACCGGAATCCTTTTTCAAGGCGAAATCAGCATTTTTAAGTTATTTGAGTACGAAAGGGAGAGTTTCTCTTAGATAAAGTCATTGTGCTTACCAGTCTTTGGGATAGTGTCTTTTCTTGAGCGGATTGCAGACACATGCGGGGCTGGCGGCGAATACTCGAGGTCCCGCTCCTTTTAACTCTGCTGCATCCAAAGGGATATCCATAAGCTCATCCATATTTTTGAGGACCAACATGTCACTGTCAAGTTGAACAACACGGTCATATTCAACTAGTGAGAATGGCGTGAGCTTGCTCCAGCAATCGTAGAAGCGCACATCGTTGGTATAATCTTTCTGAGCTGTTGGAAGAAGATATGGTACATGGCGCTTCGCTATCCCGAGTCCCCTTGACTCAATAGCTTTATGGCCACCCGGAGGGAATCTGTGTAAAGAACAACGAGAGGATATTTTGAGCCAACCTTCTTAAGAGAATAATCGAGAGTCAAAAGACCAGACAAATACTCGGTATTTGTTATGAGAGTCGTCCAAACTGGAAAGTACTTTAAATTGGTGTCCGAAAGCTGCTGCGGAATTTCATGTTCCTACCTTTCGAGCCTTTTGCTTCAGGCATATTGTTAGTAGTTACTGTATCTATATTTTTGTAGGTCCTTAGAAACGAGGACATCTGCAGTAGGCTGAAAGAAGAAGGTATGATCGACGTCACGGTATTCGGGACCGATAATAGTGGGCGGTGAGAAACGGCTCACATGTTGTCATCAGAATGGCTCTGCATGGGAGTTCAACTCCAGGGCTTTCCGACGACCCAAGAATCGGAAAACATAGCTATCCTGGCTTATGTGTCTCGTCGTATATTCGTCAGGCTGTCAGCATTATATTATGATCGAGATTCCACGGCGGTTTCGGAGATGAATTTCTTTCTTTGCTGTCAACAAGGTTGGCAATATTCGATGTCCAATGATTTTGTAAGAAATCTTGAATGAGGACATTTGGACATACAACAGAGATAGATGGCTGTGAATTGGCAGCCTACTGGGCCCTTATCAGCCCTGGAGTGTGTGGAACGTCATCTCGTATTTGCTCCTGGCATTATGCAATGCCTCGACGGTCGGTAGTTACTACTAGCGCGAGGGCCGAGCCGTGCGCGCTATAAATTAACAATTTGCACTACGTCTCATCAAGTATTTTGCTACGGGAGCTACTCCAAATTACGCATCTCCAATTATTTTGGGAAATGGCGAGCATAAAGACCTACTGGTGACCAAGGTTGTGTCTGTGTTCAAATATCCAAAATATTTTCGCGCATCAGGATATCACTACTACTAATTAGTATATAAAATAAAATCGGTCCTTGTACAGTAGTAGTACTATGAGGACTCGGAGCACTTCGGCTGGCACTGGCAGTGAATCCATTACTTTCAAGAGATTAATCAACGGTGAAATGGACCTGCATGATAAGAACTTACTTTAATTCTCTACTACCAACGAACTAAGAATCAATCAAGTAAAAATTTCTCATGCATTGAGCAATATTTATCCGTTCAAGAAAAATGCCTCAGGTCTCAAGCAAAATCAATCGCTGACCTCCAGAATGATGCAATCATGTCAATCATCAGTAGAGCAATCCATGTCATCCCTTCATCTATGGAATCACCAATTTGGACCGGAGCATCAAGCTCAAAAACACAATTAAGCACGTTAAACACAGAAAAGCCACAAGTCCATCATCAAACATGAAAGAGCCACCAGCATATTCATCTATCAGATCGGCGAGGACAAGAACAAGAATAAAAGCATAAACAAAAATAAAAAAAGAAATGCTGACATAAATGCGTAAAGCATTTTGAGAGTAAACCAGCCATCATCATAAGTCGTAAGTCGTGAGATTCCCACCATCACCTGGGAATTTCATTTCCATTCTCTTGCGAGATCCCACCTAATCTTCATATTTCATATCATGATACCATCAGTCATATACCACATAGCACAGAAGAACAGAACTTCAAGTTCACATGTGCGGTTGACGATCCCATTTTACATCTCCCTCCCATAAACAATTCTCCCCGAATCAGACTCAGACCCAACACGGCTCCCCTCAGAATCCGATCCATTCCTCCCATGTCCATGTCCAAGAACCAATGCATCAAGCCTCAACATACTCTCAGGACTGCTCCCTCCACTCCAACTTCCCCCACTGCTGGAAGTATCATCGTCATCACGACTGGATTTCCGCCCCGTCCCAATCGCAACAGGAATACCCTGTACTGCTGCGCCGCGATGATGGACTCCATGGCCAACGGGTATCATGCCGTCGTTCACGGAAAAATTGCGACAGATTAGGTATGCGCGCATTGCGGCGCTTTCACGGGCTAGATCCTCTGATGCACACTGTGTGCCTGATTCTGTTGTATATTCGCGATTGTTTACGCGGACGATGCATGCATACCCTGTTGTTGTGGGGTAGGGTTCGTAGGAGGGTTCTTGCCAGCGGCGACGACGGCAGAGGCCTGGGTTTGTTAGTTGGTGTTTTATCTTGGGGCTTTTTTTTTGATTGGATAATGTTTTGGGTTGGGCTGGATCTGATTGACTTGTGGGCTGTGTCTTTGGATGATTGGTGCAATTGGTGTTTGTGTTTGTGGCCACTGATGCAACACAACCCATTTGACCATATTTCATGGGTCGGGATATCATGGCCGTTTGGATGTAACTTCAATGAGCCGCAAGGCGCAATGCATGCTAGATAGATCCGGACCCAGATTCAGATCTAGATGCGATGCAATGCAGGAGTGTAGGTGGGTTGGGATTGAGGTTGGGTTGAAAAGGGCATGGCAGCAATGGATGATTCATGACTTGCAGATAGTAGATGTAGGTACTTACTTGCCAGATAAAGAATATAGTACATTGTGATTAATTCTTTGCGTTCTTTTTCTTATCTTCTTCTCTTTCTTGCTTTTGGTGGCTTCTTGTTTTCTCAACGTCAAGCGTGCAGCCGGTGTACCCAGACAATCAAACTAGCTCAACTGGTAACGGCTTCGTTTCCAAGAATGGCAAGTAGAGCGGGAACCGGCGTGAAGTCCGCTGTCAACTTTGCAATGGAATGAGGCGGCTACCCTGACAGCATTGAGGATTGGTCAATTTGCTGTGCTGTGCGAATAAGAGCGGGTAGGGCTGAATCTGACAACTGAGACAGCTGGCTGGTGTGGTTCCAAGATATGCGGATTATGATGCCTAATTGGCCTCGTTTTGGCAATGGTAGTATGTATGTATGTGGTGATTGTTGAGCCGAGCCGGGGTGTTAAATAGCGTCAACCTTTCTTTTCTTATTTTTTTTTTCTTCCCTTCTTTTTTTAGAGCGATGGATGGCTCTATGTACTGGGTATCGGTACCTAGGTAGGTGGGAATTTTTTTCTTGTGTGGGAATGAAAGAGAGGGAAAGGAAGGAGAGAGAATGAGGAACTAAAAGCTTTAGGATATGAAGATGCCACGCCACATATACTACATCTATACAGATACACGTTTTGGCCGTACCACGGAAGCAGGAAGAAAAATAACGAAAATTGAAATTTTAAGATTGGAATTTCCCAAAAAAGTCAATGAGTTGACTGGTTTTCCAAGCTATACTTGTTGTGATTACTATGGCAAAGAAACCGGTGGGGCACATCGGATACCGTTGAATTGGCCATTGTATACAGTACAAACAGAGAAGGTTCCAGGGGCAAAGATGTAATCGGGACAGTAATATTGAAAGGTACAAAAAATCAGAACAAAAAAAAGGGAAAGGATTCAAAAGGGTATATTGTAATGTTTACCGGTTCTCACCGCGCAGAAAGCGACGTTTCGGTAGGCGCTGCAGAAATCCTGAAGAGGGACAGCCCGTCGACATCGACCAATTTCCGAACGTCTTTTTGACAAGGATTGAAAACAAAGAGCAGAAAAAGACCAGACTAGAGTTTTTACCAGCACATCATTCTAATCCTGATACAGATACATAGGTACCCACCGTTGAAAGAAAAAAAAGGAAAAGAAAAACGACACACCAGGAACCCTGGAACTTGGGCCCGAGTATCCGTGACATTGATTCCTATAAGTAAAACGGGGTCGTATTAAGGGTACGAAGTACACGAGCACAACAAAGAAGATGAGCACGATGTCATTGATGGATTCATGGATTCAGGGAACACAAGCCCGACATTGGATTTGGTTGGCAAGAGGCAAAAGCCCGCAATGGCTGTGATGGGTTACGCTGGGCTACTGTGGGTTCAGTTGATAATTACTATAGACTTGGAATTGACCCCGTTCGTTTTTTTTGGGGGTTTTGGTTTTTCAGAAAGAAATTTCTCGGCGAGTTTATTATTGTTATTATTATTACTATTTTAGAGTGCTTGATGCGCTGGCATAGCTACTTGCCAGTCGAATCGAACCGAGTTGAGGTCACTTCCGGACCCGTCGTGGCCTTAGGTTCCCCCGCCTGCAATTCGCCGATCAAGCTAATATACAATACGCGGCAGAGAAAGAAAGGAAGGGAAAGCGAAAAGTAAAAAAGTGAAAGAGCGAAAAACAGGAGGAAAAAACCACGATAAAGGAAGAGGGGAAATTTAGAGAGAGAAATACGACAAATCCCCAAACTTGACAGCTAGGTACATGTACCTGGTTCTGCTCTGGCTCTCGGCTTAAGATCCTTCCGATAAAAGGTAAAAGTGGAGTAATGGAAGAGGGAGACCTACAGTACATTAATCACCTCGGAGGAGGAGGCAAAAGGAATACTCGGATTGGGATATCTGCAAGAAGCTGCAGAACATGGAACATGGAAGATGGAATCCATCAAATCCCCCAGCGTAATCCGGACGAGGGGTCTGGCCGTTTTGAGTTTCGTAGTGTTTTGGCCGTCATCCTTCGTGTGCCCCGCAGTAGACGCAGAAAGAGGAAGCAGGAATTTGCCGCTGGGTCCTAGATCTTCTTCGAGACGCGCTGCTGTAATCCACCGCTGTAGCAATGGGAGAGGATATGATTGGTGCCAAGAAGCTCGGTGCTGTTCATGTTGTGCAGAGCGCGTCTGGGAAAGGAGGGGCAAGGACCGTGGCCTGAAGAAGGAGATGATCTGGAGCTCGGATCCCAGCAGAAAGTTAGAGAAAAGGGGAGAAAAGGTCTAGGGAAAAAAGAAAAAAAAAATGTTGAAAAAAAGCAAGTAAAAGTATAGAGCTGTAGACAGAAGAAAAAAATACACAATCGAGACCTATGCACGTACCTCCTTTCCTCAATTGAATTGATTCGAAGGGGAGTTTCAAGATCAAAGTTACTCGACAGGCTTCGGACGCAGTGATGTGTTGGCAAAACTGTACGGCGGGGTGTAGATTCATAGTGCCTTTGCGTATTGACGATTACATTTACCTTGTTGGGCCTCCTGCAGATTGACTGTCTGTTCGACCAGGAGCAAACAATCAAGCGGCGTTCGATCGTCAATATTGCCATACAATACACCTGGGCAAAGCAACAGAGTAGTCAACTATTCAAGTTTTTATCGATAGTTTATACTGCTCCACTTCGTTCTTCTCGGATTTCCCCCTTTACCGGTATGAACTACAGTATCTATACGGAGTAAAGTTGAGACCTGTGGAGCTTGTCTAAGATGCAAGAAAATCCACTTATTATCGAATTCAATTTCAAAAAATTAATTGAGTCTCTGAGTCCGACGTTGCACTCGTCGATTCGGTTCCTATTTTTTTTCACTTTTTTTCGTTTCTTCTTCTCATCTCATACTAGGTGGATAGGTAGTTAGGTAGAATCAATTGTGCCGCTATCGTAAATCCCTTGCGTCTCCCACGCTCTGGGGCCCAGGATCAGCTTCAAGAGCTTGGACACATCACCAGCGTGGCTACCACGGGAAAACCCTGTGAAATTCCAATAAAAATTAACCACAAATTAAACATCTATAGGAAGTATTCTGTGTCCTTGGCTATTATTCCCTGACATTCGGACTGTTTCCATATCTACCGTTCTGCAAGTCAAAGTTTTCCTGGAACCTAGAACCTTTGATCCCCCATCAATGCACGTCGGAAAGACTCTTTAATCTATCATACTTCCTCCGATCTCACACTTACAAAGTGACAGAAAAAATGAAAAAAACCCCAATTTTTTTTAAATACCGCAAGTGGCGTTTCACGGATAACAAACCCCGTCAGATGACTCTGCATCTTTGCACGCCCCTCCCGGCCACTAGGGCGTAATGGGATGGGCTTCACACCAGAGCCGCATCTCATCAACACTTGGGAATGGAATTCCATACAGAGGATGGAGTGGTGCGAGACGGTCGCTCTTCTCATATACATTGTCTTCTCTGATCGGGGTTGAGCGCCAGGTGAATGCGGATGCCCAGGACTTGTTGGACCCTGTTGCTGAGTCCGTGCGATAATGGTAGTGCTGCATGGCGCTCAAGCCCGCAAGCACGTAGCAGGTGTGGTAAGAATCAGCAAGCCTTAATTGTGTCACCGTCAGCATGGTCGTTCATGATGGGATCTGAATAGATCGTGTCCCCTTTTTATACGATTGGATTGAAGGAGGGAAAGAACGAGATACTTACTTGCCGGGTTTGTCGCGAAGACCGCCAGTGGGGGACTGGCAGCAGCTGAGAATATATCGGCTCAGACCTTCGCGACTGAAGAGACTGCCTACTGTCGTGGCTGGGGGGGCACTGCCTTGTGGTTTGCCGTCTAGGGCAGACTGGATAATTGGCCAGCACCCGCCAACCCAATGGCTGTAGCATCCGTCTACTAATTTATTTGTTCTTCCTGAGAATCCACCCTCTGGACCATATTGACGGGATGATAGCCATGATAGAAGCAATGGAAGATTCATATGCCTGCAAGAACAATTAGCAAGAACGCAATAAGATTGATTAGGAAACAGCTCATTCGCGTACCTGACAATGATTTCCTCCGGGGGTCCCAAGAGAGCCAAACATGCTAAAGCGCAGTATGCATATGCTCCATGCGCCTCTACGCCAGGGCTCCCGGAGATACCGCCCTCAAAAGTTTGGCCTACATATTATCCGGTATTCATAAGTCAATGGCAACAAGAATGTTGAGAAAGAGAAAGATGATCATACATCGTGATAGGTATTGTGCCAGACCATCAGTCAAAGTCGTCAATCCGGACTTCCGGGCTTCACAATCCGGAGGCAACTCGGAAGGTAAATCGAGTAAAGAAATGATACTCATGACGCAGTATGCGCCTCTGCAAAAAAAGAAAAAGAAAAAAACGGGCCGATCAGAATCCAGATCTAGCATCTAGCATCAACAGGCAGGAAAATTACTTACCGCACGTCTTCTTCCCCGCCTTCACAGACGCGAAAGCCTCCATCGGCTTGTTTCAAGCGGCCCAGCCATTGCCACCTGTGAACTGGTCAGACGCACGCAAGAGATGGGTTTTCCTTATGCGCAGGAAGGATAATGACAACTCACATTGCTTGCCGATCAATTAACGCATAGGTATCCTCGCCTCCAACAATAGCAAGCGAGAGAACGGCTGCATAGCTTCCAGCAAGGTGGGATATTTGGCCACGACCGCCACCAAAGCCTCCGGTGGAGTTCTGTGCGGGACGAAGGGTATCAATTAAGCTGCACGAGGGTTTAGTTACTTTCTTTTCGTTTTCGTTTCCTGTTTTTGCGTAGGTTGTGCATGTGTTTTTCTCTCTCTCTTTTTTTGTCTATGCTTCATCTTTTTGACATCATATATTGATATCGTGCCAGTTATATGGGATCCATATAATACGGATGTAGTTCACTGATAAAAATAGAGACGCGAATAAAAAAAAGCAAAACCATATAATGGGGCAATTGCAGATAAGGGCTCACGTCAAAAAGATAAAAGAATAAAAATAGAGAAAAAAAAATAGCAAATAAAAATGAAAGAAATAGAAAGCCACTCACCGTTCTCGGAATCGAGTGGGATCTTCTCCCATCAGGAACAAGCCTGTTAAACCCCAATATGCCATCCACGGACGACTAGCGTCCAAGATGACAAAACCGGCTGGATAATCTTCTAAGGAATCATAGAGAAAAGCTACATGATCATCACGTTGGAGAGCAGGCACGCCATATGCATTAAAGGGGCCCTGTTGAGTCGAGCTGATCCCTTTTAGGAACGGCAGGCACTTTTCAAGCGTTGCATCCTGTAGATCGGTAGTCTCTGTCACGAGCGGGTCACGAATGGCCGACGGCTGGGTGAACAAGTCTGGGATCCCCGGTCGGGGTACTGCGGTTGCTGCTTGGCTTGACATTTTGCCGGTAGTTGCTGCTGATAATTTAGGCCTTGGGCGGGATTTTCCCGGTCGCTTCTGGTTGGTGAGTGTAGATTGGGTTGGTGGGGGTTGATTCAAGTTGGTGTTGCTTGTGCTTGATGGGAAGCGAACTTTGCGTCGGTGCTTCCCCGCAACGATGGGTGGCATGGACTGGACCTTTTAAAAGATGAGATGGAAGAAATTTAGAACAAAGAAATTGAAAAGAACAGATAACAGGTGGTTACGAGGTTCGAGATTGGGTGTTGCTTTGTGTCTTACTATTGTTCTTGAGGATGGGAGGACGTTGGTATTGTTCTTCCCCACCTTGAAGGGATTTTTCCCTCTCTGATTCGTGGTTCATTCGCGGGGAGGACTTCTTGTCTACTGTCTACTATACTACACTTTGACTGTCATATTCTGCCCCTCTTCTCTCTCCCTCCCTTGATGAGAATCTAGTTCTTCCTCTTTTCCCAAGGGATAATAAAATGACAGCACATGCGTGAATCATAAAACCGGGGCGGTTTAGACGTTCTCGTGGCCCCGAGGTGCGTCATGCCAGCGTGCAGAGGTTATTGAATCCTCCGCGGCTGCATGTCAGAGTGCCCCAGAACAGATGACTCGAGGGCCAATAACTGGTGGATGTGATGTGATATATCCAAAATTGGGGGAACAACTGGCTGCACGCGACGGTGGCTGGTGAAGCGTGCATATATGTATACCTAGTATCAATTGATCGTGCAGTGGCGGTTACCAGGTTTCTCTTTAGTTTTGCTGGTGCGTGTTCAACTCTCTCCCTTGCTTGAACTACTGCATGTGCTCTTTCTCAAGCCCCCAAACTTCCTTCAAACCCCCAAATCCTTTTCCCGTGCGAAACTCCACGGCAGTTCAAGTTGATCTGTCAAGTGGCTCGGGCTCAAACCGAAAGGCAAAAGGCAAAAAAGGCAAAATGCATTCAAGGGTTCATGGAAGTTGGCGGAAAGCGTCAGTGATTTTTTCTTTTTTCTTTTTTCTTCCAACCTTGCCATACATTCTTCCCAGAGTAGCAAGTTGGCTTCTCCGCTCCTCCGCTCCTCCAACCGAAATCCCTGCTCTCGCCAATTTAATGCATAGTCAGCCCTCACTATGATGCCTAGTACCTATAAGGAATGGTGGACCAAGGAGGAACCCTGAAAGAGTCGAATCAGAGCCGTTGTGTGCTGCACCTCGGATGATGATTGGACTAAAAGAAGGACAGGACTTGACTATCAGAGCATCACGATCCGATGTCAGATCGGGTGAGCACGGTCCCACTAGGCTAATTGCCACGCACTTGTCCTGTTTGTTGAATGCCCCAACTAGTTAAACTGGATGGAGAAGGGAAAAGATGATGTGCTCTTGCTATCTCTAGTCTAGTCTAGTCAGGACTCTGCCAGTCTATGGTCTGTCAGAGTCTGTCAGGTTCTTCTCACTGTTTTTTTTTTTCCTCTTTTCTTTTCTGGCTCCACTGATCTCCCGTCCCGGACATCTTCCCGTGTGTCTCGCCCACGTCCTCCGGTTCGCAACCCACGGGTCCTCAATATTAGGATCATATCTGGAGTTATCCGTATAATGTACCCCGTGATCTACGTCTATACAGACAAAGCCATAGAAAGGACTCAAAGTGCATTAAAATAAGAGTATGAATAAGAAATGAGATACCCAACACAAGCATAAAAAGTCTAAGAATAAGAATCTGATCATTCTATTCCCCAGGTTTCGGGCACAAGGCCAGTAAAGCAGTAAACCTGGACCATGACTGGGAGGGAAGTGAGTGGCATTAGAGATAGTATAGGCATAAAGTAAATCAAAATGGAAATAAAATCTCAATAAAGCCCGAGGAAAATAATTAAAAATAATTAAAATACACCAACAGATACAATAATTCGTTAGGATAGTTTTCTAGTCGACTCCACTCTCCACACGATAACTCACCCTAGCGCATCTCTTGCTCACCGCTGCTTTGTCCCCCCCACCGCCTCTGCCTCTGTTCTTCTTTCCCCCCCAAAATGGCTGTGTCACTCTAACTCTGAAGAAGGCCCTTTTCATCCAGGCTGGTCCTTTTTCTCTCTTCTTTTGTTTATTTCCCCCCGTGCCCTTTATTCTCCATCCAACTGTCTCGTCCGGCTGTCGAGAATGTCGAACGTCGATTTATCAAGTGACGGTCTCATCGTCGATTATGATTCAAGAGGTTATCTCCAGCAAACATGGCCCGTGGTAGACCAAAACGCCCGGTCTGACGAAAACGATCTATCCCCCCTACAAACTGGCGGTCACCCTCTAGAACAGTCGGTGGCCCAGGATCCCAACCTGATGGTCGACTGGCAATATCATCAACACTTGCAACATACCCCTCATCAACAACATTTATCTTATTCGCCCGAGGATCCATCGTCCGCGCCTCAATTTACCACCGCAAGCTATGGAATGGCGATTCAATCTTCGCCGGTGGATCTCATGTCGGGACCTCAGGGCCAGATGAGTGCCGGTTTGCTCGACGGTCCATATCTCCCGATGTCCGCCCCCGTCGAAATGGTTCCATTCACGTATCACGATTTTCAAGCCGACCTGATGACTTTCCCCAATGGCCTGTCAAGTGTATCCTACGCGGCCCACCATCCCGTTTTGGAAAGTAGCTCTCCGACGGACACCTATCTCGAGGTCCGTTCTCTCTCGAGTAGCGACAACGGCTGGAGTACAGTGGATCACCGTCGCTCGCTGGATTTCGGTTTCCCCGAGCAGGGTGTTTTCGTCAACCCCACCCAGACGCTTCATGACCGCAGTCTCTCAGAATCGTCTTACTCAACATCCTACGGCAGCTTCGTTGATATCGCTCATCCCATTAGCTCTCCCAGTTGTTCTGAAGCCAACATGGACTTGCCATACAACCATAACCCGGCCCTCAGTTTCGCCAGTACTTCCCCGCCAAGTAACGCCATTGTTCGTCGTGATGAGCATTCCTCACAAGGATCTCGTTCTCCCTCTGCAGTCAGCCCCAGTGCTATGGTCCGCCCAATCCCAGTCCCCATTAAGAAGTCTACCTCGCCCAGTCGCGCTTCTGGCTCTTCATCATCAGCCTCTCCCCCCAGCCGCAAACCGTCAAGGAAAAGCCCCATTGCAGCTAAGACCTCGGAGACCAAGGTCCGTAAGCAGTCTCAGACCGGCAAGCCCGAGACCGAGAAGCGTGTGGGCAAGCGAAAGGGTCCTCTTAAGCCCGATCAGCGTAAACAGGCCAGCGAGATCCGCAAGCTTCGTGCGTGTCTGCGCTGCAAGTTCCTCAAGAAGACCTGTGATAAGGGCGAGCCTTGTGCTGGCTGCCAGCCATCTCATGCTCGTTTATGGCAGGTTCCTTGCACTCGCATTGATATCAAGGAAATTGGCTACTTCATGAAGGATTGGAAGGCAGATTACGAGCGTCACATCTCTATGGGATTCTCGATCGGTAATATCAAGGGCTTCTCAGACCAGGAGCGCACTCTGTTCATCACACATGGTTATGGACAGATGCTGCCGATTAAGGCTCGTGAAGTCTACGTTCGTGACGAGCAGTGCTTCACCATGGACTGGGTTGAGTCTATGCACCGCGAACCAACACAGTATGAAGTTGAGACCGCCAAGCTCTCCGCTGGCAATGAGGGTATCTCACATGCTATGTTGTCCGACTACCTGGACCGCCATATCGACGGCAACGGCACCTTTGAGAAGTTCGTTGATGATTATTTTGAGGGTACACCTTTTCTGACCCAAATGCTGAAGACCGCTTTCCGGTACTACTACCGCACAAAGCTCCCAGTCATCCGGAAAGCCCTGAAGCTGATTATCGCGTACAACTTGACTCTCCATGTTACCTTGGTTGAGGGGTTGGGCGAAGAGGACAGCTTCTTGGGTCGCATCAAAGAGGCCTCCTCAAAGTTCCGCGGCAAGACCTTGGCCCCCGTGATGATCAACTTCCAGATCAAGTGTGCCATGGCTAGCATGTGGCGTGAGCTACAAAAGGATGTGCTGGAGGAGCTTTCTGCTCTGTACTCTAGTGTATACAGCGGAGACAAGCTGAAGAACTGGCCTACGATCTTCATTCTGGCCTCCATCCTCTTGGGTGTCTGGGAGGAGATGCAGTTCGACTGCCACTACCGTACTCCCGATCAGTCCGCCGTCGACAAGTTCTGCACTGATATGGAGACTACTCCCGTTGGTGTCATTGTCGGACTGTTCCAGGCTATCTCGCAAAAGCTGCCTCCTTTCACCGAATGGGACTCGCAGAAGCACCATCAATTGCTGTACTCCAACCCCGATGTCTGCAATACTATGACTGAGGTCCGCCAACATGTTGAACAACACGGTAAGATCTCTCTTTCCTTCCTATGGAAATACGATCTGCCATGATACTAACGGATTTACTTTTAGAAAACTACCTTCGTGGCCGTTCCAACTCTTCATTTAACCGCAATGATTTTGATTGTTTGTCCAACAAATTTGTTTCTCGCCTTGTTATTCGCGCCAACTAAATGACCCGATGATGCGCATGCGCATGATGACGAACGATGAATTCTCCCACGACTACTGTCTGTTAACAGCGAGTCCTTATCCAGCGACTTTGTTTATTTTCCTGCGCTTTAAGATGACCTGGATGATCCAAACGCGACCTACTTCGTGACGATACGCAAGCGTGTTCTCCCACTCTTTTATGACTTACATCCTGTACCTCTCTCCTAGCGAGAAGACAATTATCTCTGTTTCCATTTTCGGTTCTTAGAAACCGCCCTTCTTTACATTTCATTGATCTGTCTTGTTGAAGATTCCATTTTCTTTATTTGACTTTCTGAGCCTCGTTTTGTGTTTGTTTTACTCTATTTTTGACTTTTTGTGGTATAACCTTCTCGTATAGCTTTCCAGCGATGAACGAGGATCACGAATTTTATGACCATGTACGGCCGAGTGTGTGAATGTGTTTTTGTTTATCTTTTTATCTTTATCTTCTTTCCTATTTTCTTTTTTTTATATGTGACAGCGCTTGGTTTTCAAGGAAAAAGTCCAGGCTGTGTTCAGTCTCAACTGTCACATTCTTTGTGGTTTGTCGCCCGCATTTGTTGATTTTATGTCTTATTTTGAATCCGGCGTGCCGAGGAAAACGGGGCCTACCAAGGGTGGAATTCTCCGTCTTTACGCGAATTGCGGGATCTTGTCTATATATCCTTCACTGGCGATACCAAATTCTCTCTATGGAAAACTTTAAATTTACTAGTTCTCTCCAAAGTTCGTAGATATGAAGCCATTGAATCAACTAGTGAATCTTGAAGATATACTCTCAGTGTAAAACGTGGGAACCTTGGGAATTTCTTTCGGCCGTTGTGGATCAGAGCGCGGGAGTGTGTCGATCTATTGCTGTCCGCACACGATTGTCACCTGACTGGCTAAGTTTAGAAAATAAAGAAGGGGCGCAGTGGGGTGACTAAGCACTATCAAGCCAATCAGCAATCCGCTTCGGCACGCAGTATCAGCATTTTGAACTGCGAGACGCCCCGTACTCCGTATCTGGGTACCTCGATAGCCGCTAGAGTGCAATCCACTGCAATCCGGGTTCCACCCCCTCTTTTTGCGATAAGCCCTCACACGTCATCGGGTCCTGGCGGTGATGGCGTTACCAACACGGCACGGTGTAGGTAGCGTTTTTGTTTTAACTGGAGGCATTTATGTTAGTGTCATTTTAGTGTAGATTGGAAAAAGTACAGATACGAGGTAGGAAAGTAAGAGGAAAAACCGGGAACAAGGTTTTCACACTGGTGGCGTCAGTAACCTGTTCCTAACTTACTTGACTCATCCGGCACCCGGCATCCAGCCTTTCTAGCAGTTTCCCATACGCATCGCGGTTCCTTAGTCAGAACTCTCGCCCCCTCTCCCTCTCCTACTTATAAACCCCCTCTTTCTCTTTCTCCTCTTTCCAACCTTCTCTTTATCACACACTGCCATCTTGCAACGCGTGTTCTTTCCCCCTCATATTTTCTCTATCCCTGTCTACAATTCTATTAAGAGAACATCACCTGAATCACTCCTGTCACCATGCAGATCTTCGTCAAGACTCGTGAGTTTCCCACCACCTCAGCCTCCCCCTCCATTCCTTTGCATATGATGCTTGGATGCGACCTTTCATCACTATCGCCACTCTACTCATCGCTCTGTTCTGTACTAATATATCACCCTAGTGACTGGCAAGACCATCACCCTTGAGGTTGAATCCTCCGACACCATCGACAATGTCAAGTCCAAGATTCAGGACAAAGAGGGCATCCCCCCTGACCAGCAGCGTCTGATCTTCGCTGGAAAGCAGCTGGAGGATGGCCGCACCCTCTCCGACTACAACATCCAGAAGGAGTCTACTCTCCACTTGGTCCTTCGTCTTCGTGGTGGTATGCAGATCTTCGTCAAGACTCTGACCGGCAAGACTATTACTCTTGAGGTCGAGTCCTCTGACACAATCGACAACGTTAAGTCGAAGATCCAGGACAAAGAGGGCATCCCTCCTGACCAGCAGCGTCTGATCTTCGCTGGAAAGCAGCTTGAGGATGGCCGTACCCTTTCCGACTACAACATTCAGAAGGAATCTACCCTCCACCTTGTCCTCCGTCTTCGTGGTGGTATGCAGATCTTCGTTAAGACCCTTACTGGAAAGACTATTACGCTTGAGGTTGAATCATCGGACACTATCGATAATGTGAAGAGCAAGATCCAAGATAAGGAGGGTATTCCCCCAGACCAGCAACGTCTTATCTTCGCTGGAAAGCAACTTGAAGACGGTCGCACTCTCTCCGACTACAACATTCAAAAGGAATCTACCCTTCATCTCGTTCTCCGTCTGCGTGGTGGTATGCAGATTTTCGTCAAGACACTCACGGGAAAGACTATTACTTTAGAAGTGGAGTCTTCTGATACCATCGACAACGTGAAGAGCAAGATTCAAGACAAGGAGGGTATTCCCCCAGACCAGCAGCGTCTTATCTTCGCTGGTAAGCAGTTGGAGGATGGTCGCACACTGTCCGACTACAACATCCAAAAGGAGTCTACCCTCCATCTGGTGCTTCGCCTGCGTGGTGGCCAGTAATTTCAGATTTTGATTTTTATGATTTCGACTACGATGGGTCCTATATGACCTGCATGGCGTTCGGTCAGTTTTGAAGCTGAGGCTTCTTTTCTTTTTTAAACCTTTTACTACTCGGTTCAACGGGCATTCTTCCTTCTTGTCACCCTTCGTGGTGCTCCATATCCTACTACCCAATGAAATGAACCCGGCTTTACTTGCCGGCCTTTGCTAGACACTTTCTACTTCTTAACTCTTAACTGTAAAAGTATCTGAGTTCGTATTCTGTAGTTGCCACGCGCGTCTAAATTTTCCCATTCGCAAAAACCAGGTCTTGTGACGCCACCCATAAAGTGTATAGTGGCCAATGGCACCGCTGGATTTCCCCACTTTCTACTTCCCCCCGAACCGCTTTGCGAGAATGACAGGCATGATAATTTCACGTGAAGCACTCCGTTTGTTGAGTTTGGCTTGTTTGTATACCCCGAACATTGAGGTTCTGCCCCTACCTGCTACAAATACCTCTGGGCTTCTACCGTGATTGTAAATCTGCATTATCAATCAAAATTTACAAAGTCGGTTCTAGCGATATTTGCAGAAGAGATTGTATAGACACGAGTTGTAAAAATTTAGGATTACTATGTGGCATAGCAACTATGACACCCCAGGCAGGAATATTGCACGTGCAAACTCCGGGGATGCTTACATCATCGATTTCTTATCGCAATCATCTCCAGATGTCCATCTTGCCTATGATGTTTGAGATCACGACTAGACTACTCCACGAGACTCCACGACGTCATGCGAGCTATCGCCCGGGATGCCCTCTTACTTCTATCACCTCAGTCTTGAAGTGATCCGAACCAATGATTCCTCTCAAAAAGAGTCATCATTAGCTCTAGAATCAGCCTATGAAGCTCTCCAACCATTCCAAAGCCGATCCCGCTCTTCAAACTCCACACCACCGTCAAGCGCAACCAGCGAATTAAAGAATACCAATAAGCACGATACCAACGAACTCACACTCACACACCGGTCTCGATTTTCGTCCGGTTTCAACAATACCCCGCCTTCTCAACAATCACGACGATCAAGCCATTCCCCCGCTACTCCTTCCTCGACCTCCCCACATCCCACACCGACACTACGAACAGACCCCCGCGCTGGCCCCATAACGATAGAGTGCATTGATATGGTCGCGCATGATAGTGGTTCCGCAAATCGCGCCTCACGGTGTCCCGCGCCCGAAGAAGATAACCTCGTCGCAGCAGGTATTGGAACTGATATCCTGGGCGGGTTGCGCACAAAGGGTCGGTACATCCCGCTCGATCAAAAGACAAAGGACAGTATCTTTGGAACCGTACATTTGTACCGCGACTCTCAGGAAACGCCGTACCTAGCGAATAACGATGATGATTATCCGACCTACCTGAAAGGTTCTGCGGCGGCGGCTAGACATCCTGGAGATCAGCAGGGCTCAGCTATCACGGGGAGTACAAGGCATGGTGGAGGCACAAATTCGACGGATCTCAAAGCATTCCCCTTCCCTGTGACTGCTTCTTCGGCTTCGTCTCTCTCTCGGTCCTCGCCTACGCGTGGTCTTGATGATTGCTCTACATTGTGTATTCTCGCTGTGCCTTCTTACCTTTCTCCGTCCGACTTTTTGGGGTTCGTGGGTGAGAAGACGTTGGATGATGTTAGTCATTTTCGAATGATTCGGACGCCGCGCGCGAATCGGTACATGGTTCTGATGAAGTTTCGAGGTGGAAAGAAGGCTGTTGAGTGGCAGAAAGAATGGAATGGGAAGGTGTTCAATAGCATGGAACCTGAGACATGCCATGTGGTTTTTGTCAAATCGGTTGAGATTCAAGTTGTTGAGCCGGGTTCGCCATCTAGTCTCTCTCCTGCGGAACCTGGTCCTATCTCCTCGGGACAAGCTACCCTTTCTACGAAGCCTCTTGCGCCTCCTACTCCGGCACTTATTGAGTTGCCTACTTGCCCTGTTTGCTTGGAACGAATGGACGAGACAACTGGTCTACTGACTATAATCTGTCAGCATGTCTTCCATTGTACTTGTCTACAAAAATGGAAAGGAAGCGGTTGCCCGGTATGTCGGTATACGCAAGATGATTTCCGCAGAGCAGGCAATACCATGGACTCAACTGAGGAACCTGCTGAGTGTAACGTCTGCCACTCTGAAGAGAATCTCTGGGCATGTCTGATTTGCGGAACTGTTGGCTGCGGTCGATATGATGGCGCACACGCATTCGACCACTGGAAACAAACCGCGCACGTTTTCGCAATGGACCTCAACTCCCAGCGTGTCTGGGATTATGTCGGCGACGCATACGTACACCGTATCATTCAAAGCAAAACAGACGGCAAGCTAGTCGAGCTCCCAGCCGCAGATCATAGCGCTCTCGATCCGCCAGACTGGGCTGACGCCGTCCCCCGGGAAAAGCTCGAGAACATGAGCGTAGAATACACCCACCTCCTCACGAGCCAACTTGAAAGCCAGCGAGCTTACTTCGAAGAAATTGTCGAACGTGCAGCGGACAAGGCATCGCAGGCAAGTGCCGCCGCCGTTGCAGCGGAAGAAGCGGCGAATACTACAGCGAAACATCTTTCAGATCTCCAATTGAAGTACGACTCTATTCATACTGAGACTATTCCTGGTCTTGAGCGAGATCGCACCCGACTTGAGAAGCGGGCTGAGAAATTCGAGGCGTTGGCCCGGCGTATGGAGAAGGATTATCGAGAGGAGAAAACTATGAATCAGTCTCTTATGGAGAGGTTGGGTCTTCTTACGGAGGAGAATGGAACCTTGAAGACTCAGAAGACGACGTTGGAGGAGGAGAATAGGGATTTGAGTTTTTTTATTAGTGCTTCTCAGCGATTGGAGGGTCAAGGCGATGATATTACGGAAGGAACTGTTAGTGTTCCTGAGCCGGAGGCTGGGAAGAAGAAAAAGAACAAGGGGAAGGGGAAGAGGTAGTCCTTTTCTTGTCCTTCTTGCATTTTATTAAGCCCAGCCCCGAGCGGACTGGGATTCTTCTTGCTTTGTATGAATATATCATGACTGAATGACATTGCATGCTTTTAATATCTATTATGATCAAGCTCACTTTCTGCTTATCAAGTTCATGGGATTTGAAATCTGTTATGACATGAAAATCAATTCTCTATTGCAAGTGGTTATGATGATTCAACTAGCTTACACTTAACCATGAAGACAGTAAACATTATTGACCTTGAAGTACTTCTCCTGCCATGACCATGCTTCAATGTTCAAGAGCTCCGTGTTTGAAATTGACCATTCAAAAATTTCCGGTTCCACTGCTTGACAATGAACAATTGAAAATCGAATAACTCGGATCTATTCCACGGCAAACCATTTGTTAAACTTCTCTGCTCCCGTTAGGGAGGTATCACCGACCCGGGGCGGAAGTATGACGGATTGACTTCACCATTGCTTATTCCCCCTTCCTACCCCGCAGGAACAACTGACCACACCTCCCAAGGTTCCGCATCAAAATATCATACTTAATCTTCAATCATGCCACAGGGCTTGTCACTGTTACGCCTTCAATGCTGAGTCCCGTCTGAGTATAACACGCCAGTGTCAAGCCGAAGAAACATACCCTTGCGTAACACGGAGGCAATCAGGCACCTGCATCCTTGCGGGAGGCTATAAAGTGCCGACTTGGGAAGTTGTGTTCAGAATATTTCAGGGCAAAAGAAAAGAAAAAGAGACAAACGACTTGTCTGTTTACAGACTACGGTTCACGAAATTGCATCGTGAATCTTTCGAAATTGATGGTTTATTTTAAGGGCCTTTTGGCTGGGTATTGGCTATTTTCAGCAATTCATGGTATTGAATCCAGACAAGATCACCCGGATTTCTGATACTGCAGGTAGCTTACTATCATTATAGTTTCTGTCTTTGCAAACGAGGGCGCAACACTGATCGCCAACATCGACGATCCAGAAGCTATTGATGCCCAGACGACTTGTCCAGGATATAAAGCATCCAACATCAAGAACACCGATTCTACCTTCGAAGCTACATTGTCATTAGCTGGTTATTCATGCAATGTGTACGGCACCGATGTCGACTCATTGGATTTTATCGTTGAGTATTTGCAGGAAGACTTGGCAAAAGTCTCTATTACACCTACATACCTTGACTCGTCGAATGACTCGTGGTTCATACTTCCAGATTACCTGGTGCCACCGACAAAGGCGAACAAATTGAACTTCAAGCGCAGCTATGTTACTCAAGATGAAAACCAGATCACATTCGGAGATGCGTTTTCAATCGAGTGGTCGAATGAGCCTTCGTTCCAGTTTAAGTTGAAACGGGTGTCTAATCAGGATGTCATTTTTGATACATTCAATTCTGTTCTGGTTTTTGAGAATCAGTTCATCGAGTTCGTTACGGCTTTGCCGGCAGATTATAATATCTATGGGCTTGGGGAGCATAATTTGCAATCGCGACTTTTAGAAAATTTGACACTAACGCTTTATGCAACTGATATCCCGGTTCCGATCAATTCGTCAGTTTCTCTTCTTCCTCCCACTTCAATTAGCTGGTACTGACTTTATGATACGCAGAAATCTTTATGGATCTCATCCTTTTTATCTGGATACTCGATACTTCGAACTCGATGATGATGGAAATCATATTCCCGTGGCAAGAGATCGGGCTGATCAATCCAAGAACTACGTTTCCTACTCACATGGTGTCTTTTTCAGGAATACCCATGGCCAAGAAATTCTTACTCATACTCAAAGGTTGACTTGGCGCTCTCTCGGTGGAAGTATTGACCTGACTTTCTATCTTGGTCCTTCTCAGGAAGAGGTCACGAAAAGCTATCAAGTCAATACTGTTGGTCTTCCTGCTATGCAACAGTATTTTACATTTGGGTATCATCAGTGTCGCTTTGGATATCATGACTGGTCTACCATGGATGACCTTGTATCTAATTTCGAAAAAGCTGAGATTCCTCTTGAGAACGTTTGGTGAGTAGCTGCGCTTACTTTTGGGTGTCATATTCTAGTGAACCAATGCTGACTAGATTATAGGAATGACATCGATTACATGAAGAAATTCCGCGATTTCACTAATGATCCGGTAAACTTCGGTTATGGCGAGGGTAAAGACTTTCTGAATAAGCTTCACGATGGTGGTCGTCATTATATCCCCATTGTAGATGCGGCTATCTATTTTCCAAATCCTCACGATGAGAATGATAAGTACGTGAAATACCCTATCCCGCATTTGAAGAACTAACACCTGACATTTTGAAGATATGACACATACACCCGTGGTGCTGCAGATGATGTATTCTTAAAGAATCCTGACGGAAGTCTCTATATCGGCACTGTCTGGCCAGGAAACGCGGTATTTCCTGACTGGCATAGTCCCAAGACCGGCGCTTTCTGGGCAAATGAGCTTGTAACTTGGCACGAGGAAATTGTCTTTGATGGAATCTGGATTGACATGAATGAGCCTGCATCCTTCTGTGTTGGGAGCTGTGGGAGCCATGATCGAGACATGGATCACCTTCGGTCTCCCTCTACACTGCTAAGAGGACAGAGCGATGGACTCCAAAATTACTTTGGTGGATCTGATCCGACAAATATGACCGATTCTGCATCAGAAGAAAGCGCCATAGGACCATCAGCATCGTCTGCTTTTTTCCTCCGCTCTACCCCTACTCCCGGGGTGCGTAATGTCAACTACCCGCCCTATGTCATCAATAATGTTCAGGGTGGTCATGACCTAGCAGCACATACTGTGTCTCCCAATGCTACACACTTTGATGGCATCCAAGAGTATGATGTGCACAACATCTATGGCTACCAACTTCTCAACGCCACATACTACGGTTTACTTGAAGTGAACTCAGCCAAACGTCCTTTCATAATCGGCCGAGGGACTTTTGCAGGGTCTGGAAAGTGGGCCGGTCACTGGGGTGGTGATAACTGGTCCACATGGGCAAACATGTTCTTCTCTATTCCACATGCGCTTTCCTTCTCGCTTTTCGGAATCCCAATGTTCGGCGTTGATACATGTGGCTTCAACGGTAACACAAACGAGGAACTCTGTTCCAGGTGGATGCAGCTATCTGCATTCTTCCCATTTTATCGAAACCATAACAACATCAATGCTGTTAGTCAGGAGCCATACCGATGGGCATCTGTCACCGATGCCTCTAAAACCGCGATGAAGATTCGCTACGCCATTCTTCCCTACTTCTACACCTTGTTCCATCTCGCCCACACCACTGGCTCAACCGTTATGCGCGCTTTAGCCTGGGAATTCCCAAATGACCCTTCGCTAGCCGGCATTGATGCTCAATTTCTACTTGGGCCTTCTATTATGATTATTCCCGTCCTCGAACCACAAGTAGATCACGTCTGTGCAGTCTTCCCAGGAATCCAACAGGGTGAAGTCTGGTATGACTGGTATAACCAGACTGCCATCTCTGCTCAGCCCGGCATCAACACTACCATCTCCGCCCCTCTAGGCCATATCCCCGTGTACCTACGTGGAGGAAGCATTATCCCAACGCAGGAACCCGCCTTGACGGTTCGAGATGCCCGAAATTCCGAATGGTCTCTTATAGCTGCGCTAAGTTCAAACGGCACAGCTTCGGGACAAGTCTACCTCGATGATGGGCAGAGTGTTAATCCCGAATCTACCTTGGATGTTTTGTTCGAGGCGACTCAGCACCGTTTTACCATCTCGCCTCAGGGGGATTGGAAGGAGTCTAATAAGCTTGCTAATATTACTATTTTGGGTGCGACGCTTCCTGTTGCTTCGGCGATGAATGGTTATGGTGTATCGGTTAAGGCGGATGGTCGGGATCTTCCTCCTGTGTCAGCGATTTATGATCCTAACTCACACATTTTGTATATTACTAAATTGCAGAGTATGACTCCAGATGGAGCGTTCAGGAAGGGAATTGTTCTTGAGTGGTAGATTTGAGAGTTATGAGGCTGGGTTTTGATGGTTCATGTCGTCTAGTTCATTTACTTTTTAGTTTAAATTGAATTTCTAAATTTGCTATCATAGTCTCGTTGGTTTTCAATATTTAACCCTCCAATGCGTTTTGCTTGAACTTTCCATTTTAATTGCTCAAGTGATATTCCAAGGTTGAACCCCCTTAGTCAATGTGGCGTAGCATCCGGATTGACCAGTCTCGTAGCTACCCCTCTTGAACAACAATTTTACGTGTTCACTCCAATAATAACACCAGCATACCATGTCTACCTCCAACAAGTTCCATGTACGCAATGCAACCCTCGCCGGCGACGATGCCCAGTTCATCATCGCAGCATTTGATTCGACCCTACCATACCTGGCCTCCATTGGCGCTGGTGGAATGTGGGGCGAACAGCCCTTCTCCCAAAAAGATGGCTTTGAAGAGGACACAGTCGATTCTGTCCGAAAGTCCGAGCAAGACGAAAATCCTCCAAAAGTCATGATTGTTGAGATTGAAATTTTGAACCGCGTTGAGGGACAGGAACGTCCACAGGATGCAAATATGCCTACGCGAGTGGGAGCGGCTGTAGTGCTTGATTCACTACCGAGCTATCTAACGGCACGAGAAGAGCTTAAGAATGAGATAAACAAGGAAAAGAAGTTCTTGTATCTGGAGGTTATTATTTCAGATTTCCGAACAGATCCACTTCATAGGGGTGCTGGGGCGGCCCTTATTGAGGCTGTTAAGGACTATGGACGGGTGAACAAATACGATACGCTTTATGTGGATTGCTGGGCTGGCAATGGGGGTAGATTGAATAAGTGAGTCTTGGTTTCGGTTATAATGTCCATGAGACTATCTTTTTTCTTCTTCTGAGTAACTTGCTGATTAGGATAGATACTATGAGAAGCTCGGATTCAATCAAGTCGGGGATTTCTCTTTCAAAAGAGCCAGTGGGCAGATATGGCCGGGAACATTATTCAGTGCGGATCTCGAAGTACCAGGTACCTGAGTAAGTTAGATTAGATTGAGTTAGGAAACTATTGTGCAATCAAGATAATTTCCAAAAAAGTATATGAACGAGTAAAACCAAGTTCAGACTCAGCGCCTTGATCCTCCTCAAACACGTATATGAACAGGGATCGACAAACGCCTGCTTAAGCCAATCACCTCGCCTTCAGCCCCCATGCAACCCCTCATGCGACCCTGGAAATTTAAGTTCTAACGTATCCCTCATTCCCAACATGCAGTTATCTGACCGCCGATCCTGTAACCCAAAATGCCGATTGAAGCCCGTTCCTGGTAGCCCTTCGGCGACCCCGTTGCTCTGTGCAAAAATGAGGGTTTGGCCCGCATCAGATAGTGCAGGATGGAATCCGGATCCGGGAACAAAGCGTCACGCAATGAGATTTGGCGATACATCTGTTAAGTGGATAAGATCTTACGGTATTCCATTATAATACCCACTAGGCAGTTCGAATGGTGGACCTCATCAAAATTCAGGGCTTCCCCTTTCTAACTTCGGCTTTAGCACCGCGTTCTTCAACCGGTCGAATCGGGTGAATATTTTAAGTTTGGAAGTTACCAGGGACGGACATTTGATGGAGATTTATGATGCGCATCATATTCCAAGGTTATTGAATTGAATTGTACTGTATACAGTCGGACTTCTTGTGATTTGTTGTCTCGGTCGCAGGTCACAGTGTTGTGTATGCGCGCCGTCCGTGTCCACTCCGTTCTTATCCCCGATAGACCTAAGATCGGCTTCTTCTAGCTTGTTTCAAATTGACATTCGACCTACGTAGTACAAAGTCGATGGTATAAAAAATCATACTTCGTCCTATCCCTTGTAGAAGGTTTCATACAATTTCAAGTTCGATTCATGATGTTTTTCTGGCGCTACTCCTGGCTTGCAGGCTTGATCGGTCCGGCTATTGCTGCGACACCGGCCGAATGGCGTACTCAGTCGATTTACTTTATGCTCACGGATCGGTTTGCGAGAACTGATAATTCGACAACTGCTAGTTGTGATTCGTCAATGGGGGTGAGTTGGACATTGACTTGATTGGTGTGCAGTGCTGTTTTGCTTATTCTGTTTCTGTATAGCAATACTGCGGGGGATCATGGCAAGGAATTATCAATCAGGTAAGGATATCGGTCCATTGAGCTCATTGAGATGTGCTAAGTATGAATAAGTTGGATTATATTCAAAACATGGGCTTTACTGCCATTTGGATCACTCCCGTCACCGAACAACTGCCCCAGTCCACTTCTGATGGAGAAGCATACCACGGCTACTGGCAGCAGGACATGTTAGTATCAGAGCGAATCATCTACTTGGACTAGGTAACTGACGACTAAACAGCTACTCGATTAATTCCAACTATGGTACCGCGGAAGATCTCAAGGCTTTAGCTTCTGCCCTTCATGATCGCAACATGTACCTTATGGTGGATGTTGTGACCAACCATATGGTATGTCTTATTAGGTGGAGCTTCTGAGAAACAGTGATTTATGGCTAACTTTTGCATGACTATAGGGCTACGCAGGCGCTGGCAATGATGTAGACTATAGTGTCTTCAACCCTTTCAACTCTGAGGACTACTTCCACGCCTACTGTGAAATCACCGACTACAGCAATGCAACTATGGCAGAACAATGCTGGGAAGGTGACACTACTGTGTCTTTGCCGGATCTTAACACGGAGTCTGAGACTGTTCAAAACATCTGGAATGACTGGATCACCGATCTCGTCTCCAATTACTCTAGTGAGTCCCACTGAATCACTGGTATACCGGAAGTGAAACTAACGCTATCGAACAGTTGATGGTCTTCGAATTGACTCGGTTTTCGAAGTTCAGAAGGACTTTTTCCCTGGATTTGAAAAGGCAGCCGGCGTCTATTGTGTTGGAGAAGTAGACAACGGTGATCCGACTTTGGTCTGTCCTTACCAAGATGTTTTGGATGGTGTTCTTGATTACCCCACGTACGAGCAACTCTCATTTCATATTATTCGAAGACATAGCTAATATTGAACAGGTACTGGCCCCTTCTCCGAGCTTTTGAGTCCACTAGCGGCAGTATCAGTGATCTCTACGACATGATCAACACTGTGAAATCCGACTGCGCTGATTCCACCCTCTTGGGAAGCTTTGTCGAAAATCATGACAACCCACGATTTGCCTCGTATGTTTTCGATCCAATTAGTAATGTTGTCTTCATAAACTAAAATATCATAGTTACACCGATGACATGTCTCTCGCCAAGAATGCCGCCGCTTTCACTATCATGTCTGATGGTATCCCTATCATCTACGCAGGTCAAGAGCAGCATTACGATGGCGGTGCTGTTCCAAACAACCGTGAAGCTGTCTGGCTATCTAAGTTTGATACCAGCAGCGAGTTGTATACGCTCATTTCTCAAGGAAATGCCATTCGTAACCAGGCGATCTACAAGGATGCCGATTACATCACTTACAAGGTAAATTATCGCGATCATTCATTCGAGTTATTGCTTTGTCTAACTTGGGAATTTCCAGAACTACCCCATCTACCAAGATGATACCACCCTGGCAATGCGTAAGGGCTACAATGGCACTCAGACCATTACTGTCTTGTCGAACCTTGGTAGTGGTGGAAGCGAGTATACCCTCTCGCTGTCCGATACAGGATTTGAGGCCGGTTTGAGCGTGACTGAAATTATCACCTGTGCGAGTCTTACTGTTGATGACAGTGGAGATGTGCCTGTTCCTATGAACAGCGGAGAGCCACGGATTCTATACCCTAGCTCTGCGCTTGGAACTACCCTTTGCTCTTCTTAGATTGCATCGGTATTTCATCAGACCATCCATGAATCTCTGTATATAGTATATTTTATTATGTCGGGAACCCGATCAGGAGTTTGGCCGAGATGCCATTTTCCTGGCATCAGAGTCTGATAGCCTGTTAAAGTAAATCTCATGTCAATGTCCAGTTCTTGTTTTGGAATCAAGATGTTATTATTTACCTGAGTCTCGAAGACACTCTTGCAGTGATACAACGCGATCGTTGAGATAGCCCTCGTAGCCAGGGTTTTCTGGATTTCTTCGTTCATTCGTTCCGCCATGGATCCCAGACTAGAAACATGGTTATCGGTACCTAAACAGAATTAGTATCAATTTTCCAAATATAAGGTGGTGTCGCATCCTACCGCTGAGAAGCATCGCCCTCGTATGAGAACAAGCCGATGCTGTATGAAAGTCTGTAAGGCGCAAGCCATCCTGAGCAAGCTGCTCAATGTTCGGTGTCTGTATTTCACCTCCGAAACATCCAATATCAGAAAACCCCAAATCGTCTGCGAGTATAATCAACACATTGGGACACTGAGGTTTTTCTGCAGAGCAACGAAGTCTTCGATTTCGGCATTCTACACAAGCACGGCCAACTCGCTTCTAAGACACTGATGTGGAGCCGTGATGGGCGTACTGAGGTTGAGCTGGGTAGAGTCAGTAGAAATCCCATGGGGTAGCTCGCCGAAGGACTACTCGCAGCTAACATCGGATAGAGAACATGGGAAACCAAGCCTTGAACAGCTTCGACATCCGCCAGCTTGCTCATCACATTTCACCTAATAAAGTTTAGCGTCTTGATATTCGCAAATATCGTTCGCGGGTTTCAAATAATGACCTTTCTCCGCCGGCATTGTAGGCAGCCAGTACTAGAGCGTGCGATTTTCCTGACCATAGAACGCTTTAACATGGCATCGGAATTTTCCTAGAATTATCGAACAACGATTTAAACAGTATTCTCCATATTGTCATCGAGAAAATGCGACGAAGAGTATTCAAGTTGTTAGATATCCGAGCGAGTGAGGCGGGACTCGGCTCGCTTGGTACTCGATCACGACAGCGCCCCATAATTCAATGCAATTAGCCTCAACGCCCCACTTATGTAAAATGACGGGAGATATCTGCTCTTGCTGGCTCGGCTTCATGGGTTCGTGTCGTGAAAAATTCTTGGTGTTCAGTGTTGATGATGCAGGTGTTCTGCCTCAAGCACCCATTTCATCCATGATATCTCTCACCTCCGTAGCTTAGCTTCTCACTTCATACATCACTTTCATCCATGTTGGTATTCCGCCTCTAGCTTCCTAGATTAAGGTTTCTCGACGCTGAATCGAAAGTAGTAAGCAGCCCTTGGCTCGTTCAAGAACATTTTCAGACTAATTGCCAGCGTCTGTAAAGCCTCACCAAACTGCCTTCTTTTGAGGGAATTCATCTTCATGATGAAACTCCCAACAGCTAAATCTGAAATAATTACAGACATATCATTCCTATTCATAGATGCTTCCGGTTAGCATGGTGGGTACCCATCAATGGGAACATAATAACTCAGGATTGGCTAAGTCGGGCCCGAAGTTGGCGCTCTGCGTTCTATTATGGCACGGCGGTAAACGGATGAGGGATTTGATAGGCTACACCTCCTTCAGAGACTTCATTATCCATCGATTATATATTGGCAATTCAATGTGATTGTTTCAATTGGCCTAGTGCTTCTCGTTTTCAAACAGTCTTAGTTTCATTCATCACTCGCCCTCAGATATTCGCTGAATCTCAATTCCGTCCCATCATCTTATCCCCCAGAAGCATCATAATGATCCTACCTCCAGATCAGCCCCTTTCCCATGTATTAACAATACCATCACAATGACTGACGTGGCTCATACTTGGTTATACGTCGGTGTGGTAATTCTAAGACTTGCATTCGTGGCTATGCGCATTGAGGTATGTCCATTGGCTTTCAATGTTTAGATCGAGTTAATATCTCTCCGGTTATGCGTATTATGGAAAAGCATGGATAGCCTGGAGCTGGAAAGAAAAAACATACCTTGATTCAAAGATATCAGACTGTCTCTTCTGTTTATCTTCTTAAACGCTTTTTGTCTTACTTGTTAACTTTATGAATATTATGACCTGTGTGGTATACTATACTTGGGCTTGCGTATTCTATTCACTACTCAGATTACTCTGGCTAGTACACCTTTTTAAACTAACAATTTATGATCGAGAGTAGCTTACCAGCGATATGGCGGATTTTAACACTGAGTCCCGGGGCCGTTATGCTCCTTTGTTGGGGGCTTATTTGTATAGTTCTGCCAATTGAAATACGCCCCTCCCTTGTACTTCCGGAAACAGATGTGCTAGATCAAAGTTGGGACACGATTGTAACACCACGGGTAATAGTGCGATTGCACCAATAGAAACTTGAAAAGTCATATCCACGGATGACTAGGAAAGACCCCTTGATTGGTAGCGTAATCTGGACTTGGAGATACTTAGAATTCTAAATGTGCGGATGACGCGATAAACGAGACAAACTGCATTCAAAGCATATAACTATCAGACAACACTTTTTTTACTTCGTCACCCCCCAAGGCTCACAGTGTAATTAGATCTTTTGTTGAAGAAACCCTCCCTTCCCCAAGAAAATCAAAGTCAAATTGTACTCCACCGGACCCTTAGCCACGATATTGTTATTTACGAAGAATGGTAAAGTCTGAAGCTCAAATGTAACACATCGATCACGTCCCACATGTAAAATCCAAACGCCAAGAAAAAGGAAGATTTAAGAGAAAAAAGGCAGTCCAATAAGAAAAAATAAACATTTATACTCTCAGAAGTCATGAAGAGCCCTCGGCACCAGGCTTATGGGCATGGCCCCACCCATGACGGGCGCAGGATGCTGCTGAAACATTGCAGGGGCCGAGAACGCCGTTTGAGACGGCACATAACCGGGCATGAGTTGGTCAAAGACACCATAGCTATCTACGACGGGCTCCATACCACCCGCTGTAGAGATGAGCTGAGTCAGATCTAAGTTTTCTGTGCGAGGGGGATGCGGCACGAATATTGAATTCTTCATAGCTTGGACACCGGGGGAAGACTGGCCCGCGGTGGCGGTGGCGGTTGCAGCTTCGGAGTAGCGACGTTGCACCTCGCCAACAATGTAGGCAATACGATAAGAGAGATGATCGCTGCTTGGAGCGAGGTGGAGCAGGAAAGCTCGCACTTGGTCGATTAGTGGGTCTGATGGATTATAATCGCAGAGAGTGAGGGCGGCATAACCGAGAATGTAATAAACATGGTCTATTAGGCCCGGTGCAGCGGAAAAGCGGGTTTGCATGGACCGTGAAATGATTAATCGGGCGTTACTGCATATTTCGGAGACTAGTTGATCGGAATCGGATTGGATTCGGGTGGCGGTTCGGTGGAGGAGAAGCTGGCAGAACCAGATGCTGAGTTCGAGGGTCGATTGACCTTCGCTTGCTATTGGATGTGTTAGTGGATACGAGGTGTCTTCATTTGGGGGAGGGGAGGGCAATTGCGACATACAGAGAAGATGCGCCCAATCCATTTTCCAGCGCTCGATTTCCTCATACTCTGTCTCGGCGAACCGAAGACGCTGGGGGCTGCTTTGAAGCTTCAGAGTGATGCGATACAATGAAATTTCTGCAACAATTCTTCCATCTTCTGGTGTTGCTCGGGGATGATCCAAAATATGAGAGCAATGATCAAAAAATTGTGAGTGGACGTTGATAGTACGACCATAGCCAAGTGCAGAGCTAAATTGTTTTTCTCTTTTGTTAGCATACTGCGCCTAGGTCGAATGAGTAATAAGGTTTCAAAACAGGTGTACTCACTGTAAATGGGTTAGACAAAAGGTATTCCACAGACGCATCTGAGGAAGAATCTCATCTGGTAAAGCACCCTTATTAGGTGGATTGTGCAAGAAAGTGAAAGAGTTCAAGCCATGGTTGATTGAGATCCCGCTCAATAACCAGGCGTCCATAAATCCTTCTTTGTGACCAGAAGTAGGATATAAGCAAAGTAATGCAAGAGCTTGAAGGAGATCATTTGTCAATGGTGACTTTCTCCAAAGAGTCTTCGTAATGGCATGTTGAACTTGAAGTGCAATTTCATGAATAGTATTTGGAGGCATTCCTGGTAGATATCGGGAAGCTAATAAGCAGGCTGTATTGAACAAAAGAGGATTCGCTCGCTGTATATTTGAGGAATGATCTATAGAGACCCAAGGACTGAAGTAATCGATAAAGCTAGAAATGAGGCCAGTTAGATTCTTCTTTCTATAATAGTCCAAAGAGACGTGGAAAGAAACACTCACAGTTCGATCAGTTTCAATGATAATTTAGCATCTACGATTCCTTGAGAGACAATATCTCCCAGTATTTCACCTTCGGCGGAGAACTGGTCTCTCTCACCGAAACATTCAACTTGTAAATCACGAATGAACTGGACCGGCTTTAAAGTAAAACTGGGTCCATGATCATTTAAAGCAGCCTCATCTATGCTGTTATTTCGAGTGGGGAAATTCGGGCTGCCGGCATTATGGGATGGTTGATTGACTATCTGTCGCATGAGATGGATCATTTCGCCCATTCCCCGCTCCAGAGACACCAATCGCTCCTCGATTGAAGGGATGGTTGCGTTGGCATCGGACCATGATGATGCATTGTCTTGATATCGCTCCGGTGTTTCAGGTAGCTCACACTCAAGTCTTGCAGAATGCACGAATTAGCTTGAAGGCTCTTGCTTAGATTGAAACTTGTTGCATTGGGTAATATTTTCGAGTGATCTCGGGGTTTTAAAGGTTGTAACCCGCAGACAAACGAATTTGACAAGTCTTCAAAAGATAGCACAACGCAAATGAACACAAACCTTAGAGATAGACAACGACGGCAAGCGTGACCACGAGGGTCCAAATCACAACGAGTTTTCAGCTTGCGACATGTATTGCAAGCAGTCATTGACCGACGAATTCGCCCCCGGGGCCGTGAATCTTGCCCGCCCGAGTCAAGTCGGTGGCCATCATCGGTGGCAGCAATGCTTTTGGTTTCCCAAGAGGAAGCGCTATGTGCAGGTTCGGTGCGCGTCATTGCATTTGAAATTTATGTGCAACGAAAAGAAAGAAGAAGAAAATTAATCATGAATCATTTGATATGTAGAACAAGATGATGAGAGGGGGAGATAGAGGGGAGAAATAGATCGAAGTGATCAACAATTGGACCCTTAATTGCCAAGAGGTTTCAAGGTCACGAAGATCATTTTCAGAGGAAGGTGGAGAGTAGAAGGCTTATAACAGATAGAGGGCCAAGTTGGGAGTAGCCAATTGCGACAAGGCACTGATTACTGACGATATCATCCACTCTCCCAACTGCCCAGTTGCGCAGGTACGTCGATCCACTTCAAGGCGGACCTGGGGTAAGTTTCAAGGCATCCGTCAATCTTAATGTGCCCACTCTCTCCCCGACGAGCTTCTAGAAAGAGTGACTCCGCCGTGCTTGCTTCTAGGCGAGAGGGGTTGATAGTCTCGTGCATCGGCTTTTTGGGATTTTCTTTATATTATTCTTGATTTTATCCTTTTTTTTTATTTCTTCCCCTCCCCCTAAAACTATCGTTATTAACTCTCTTCGCCGATGTGAACCGCCTAGAAACGTTCCGGGCGGGAAGAGGGGTTAGAGTGGCACCAGACTCGATCTGATCTATCTTGCGTTAGAAAGGTCTCACTAGTCTAGAAATCCTTATCATCGTACTCGGTAGATCCTTGATAACTCTTCCCCTGATCTACCAAGTTTTTTCTAGATAATTACCCCTTTGACCAGAATGACGGTGATCTCCGAAACCAATTTGGGTGACATGATACGGGCATTGGGGGGCTGGTCCTGGGTGTGAGTCCACACCTTAATGCTGGCTTCCTAAATGGATCAAGCAATGTGGGATCGATATCATATCATGCGTTTGGTGGAGTCGAGGATAGGAATGAAGTGGAGAATTCAAGGCTTGGGGTTGGTAGATTAGCATGTGCAATTGTCTCGCAGGAATCTGGTCGGGCCAGTCGATATCCAAGAATAGACGGGGATTGGTCCCAGTGTGAAAGCAATGCGACTCTGTAACTTTCTGGACCCCGGCTAACGCCGGATCGCTAATGGGCTACTGCATAGGCCCCTACTAGCGTTATCCATAGCGACTAACGTCAAAGAGAACCGGGTTAAGTCTAGCCTACTGCGAGTCCGTCACCTATAAGCGGGAAACGTGGATTTTTGGTCTTTTCTATGGCGTATCCATGGTCCAATCCTTCTCCCCCAAACCCGAAGAATCCCTCATTGACCCCTGTGGACAACGTGCTTTCGTAAAAATAATACAATCCCGCCGGCACCGCCTGGAAAGACATTTCTGGGTTTTCCGGGAATACTCTATACCATCATCGTCTTATCAAGTTCCCGCCCCCAGCCGCTCTGGATTTTAATGTTTGGGAATACGGGAACCGATAGTTTCTCCCAAACGACTAACATGCAAGTCCATGAACCATTGGCCGTTGAAGGTTAAAAAAACAGAAAAAACAAATACGATCTTTTTTAATCGCGCACTTTCTAAACACTGTTAAGCGAAAGGACAAGGAGGGTGTAGAGAAATAAGAGACCTGGGAAGCCGAGGCTTATTCGTCCCACCCCCACTGGTGGATCCACTTTTCATTGTGGTTTAATATAGGTGTCCTGCAGGCAGTTTGGTGCCTGCCCATTTGAGATATAGCGCAATCTTGGGTTCTCAAAATGTGGAAAATGAGGTCAATGAGCGGTCTGGATCCCAATTGATATGCTTAGTGGCTTATATTGGCCCTCGTAGTTCTTGTGGTCAATTCTGGGGTAATCCAATCCTAGCAGGTGGGATTGGATGGATTGAGGGGGCCGTTGGTACATTTTCAATGAAGGATTCAGTATGCATTTACCAAAAAGGGCATGCCACCTATCCTTTGTTTGCCGCTAGACACGTTCTCACCGCTTGCGTGTGACTCTGCGGAATTTCATGCATTAAAGGCTGTTGATCGCGCCAAGTCTGGTGGTTATGGTTCAAGAGATTTAAGCAACGCCGAAGGGGTCTGAGACTGCGACCTTGTCATTCATCTCCAGAATGGCTCACACATGGGCTGAGCAAGCTGCGGGTCTGGACGAAAAAGGCCCACATCATGCACATGTAAGTTGACACGAGAAAAAGGAACGTGAGGAGTCTATAGTTTCATGTTCCCCTCTCTCGTCATCACGACGCAAGAGGATCACAAACGGAAGGTCATTTTGGAACAGGGGATATTGGAGGACTCTTACAGAAGCTGGACGCGCTTATGCAGGCCATCACTTTAGACAACTCAACAATGTTGCAGCCAGAAAGTATAAGTCCAGGATGATCGGACCAATCATTGTGAACCCATACCTGGCCCGTTCCAATCACGATCCCCACGAATAGAAATTCCTCCGTGGTCGAACGGGATCACCACCGTCGCGTAATCTGCTATTGGCGGATAAGATATTTTCCTTTTCCTCATTAGTCCGCCCTGTATGCTCGAGAACGCCGTAATCCTGCTTCTATGCATTAGGTTCATCGAACGGGTTCAAGCCACTCGTAATGCGGTGACGACAGTCAATATGTTCAAGGTTTCTTGGAACATGCCATACTTATTCCGGATTAGTTTCGGAAGCAAACAAGCGATCCAGGTGTTAGAAAAGATAAGCAAAGGTCACTGCCTAGAAAGCGGATGTAGCCGTCCGCTTTATGCCCCCAAAGTAAGACTGGGCATATCTAGAATCTCCTCGAGTTGCCGACGCAAAGCGATCACATCAATCTAAAGTACTCGAGCATCATCGAGTATACAACATTTGGAGGAGGCGCAGCTGGCAAAATCCGACTGTTCCCGCTGTTATTTTCCATTTTGGGGTCCAATTACCGACTTCTCAGACACAAAGAGATTGCAATCTGTCGGTCGTACGTAATTTGTAGAGACCGTTATTTCATAGTTTCTTCGGTCCGTGAAATCCCTCAGTAGCTTCACATTAGATCACCCTGTGGTCAATTGGTCAATTGAACAGCCAGGTCACCAAAAATGAGGTAAACGTCTGTTGAAAGACCGCGCACTACTTCCCAACTTCAAAAGACTCATCAATTATTGCGAGCCACGATTGATTTGAGGCGAGTCTTCTCAGAGCGCACATCTTGATCTTAAATTCTGTGCGTTATTTTTCTCACTCCAGATTTTACTGCAAATGACTTCAAATATTCGTTTTCTCGAATGTGCCGGCAATCTCGATGCATGTTTGCGATGCCACGTATTCCTGCAAGATGTATATCAAATCCTTGAGAAAGGAGCTGCCATCTGCCTACCATCTGCCTACCATCGTTCATATAAATGATGTCGAGAATGCTGCGGGTAGCGACACTTCATATGGTCGGCTAATGTCGACCTAACCTGCCGCACGGACAGTTGGCTCCAATCCCATTGCCATTTTGTTGGAGAATCCGTTGTCTGGATCCCAATTCCATTCTAACGCTTCGATTCCGCTATTTCGGGTTCAATTGTGAGAAATGGAGATGATTGAACCATATAGAGGCATAATCCTAACTGAAAAATGAAAATAAAGTCAACATCCCGCATCATGCAACAAACCTAGCAAGCTCTATTGCAAGCCCATGGGATTTGAACGAGGTCCCTGGCATTATGGGGATCAACAAGATATTACCACTCTTCCTTTTCGACTCTGAGCCTGTCGCTGGATTTTGATCTTCAAGCATAATGCGCTCCAAGGTCTGTACAAAAATTCGTAGCTTTCGAGGCAGTTGAGAGGATATAAGTACAGTAAATTTTAGCTGGCTATAAATAGGGACAGGGAGTTTTTGTGACACAAGAAAACCTATGGTGAGACAGCTGAATCCTAGTAGATACGACATTGGCCCATTCTTCTACATCAATCGATAGAATATGACTAATTTCGCGTCCACAAAAGCAGTTAGAGCAACGTCACCTTACCATCGGCTAATTTATTGTGTTGACATGGAAGAAACTCACTGGCTATTTCTTCAATGTGCAAGAAATTGCTGTCATCAAATTTGTCCATGGATGTTCGAGCCACTGCCTTTGAGCAAATTTTCAATCCTTCGAAACTTCATGGCTGGTCTAATGAGTCCGAGTCCCTGCATAGTGGGCCATGCCGCATATTCTTCAGGAAAATTTTCCTATGAACCAATCATGAGCCGAGGAAAACTTCCGTAGGCGTTTCGTGATCAAGCAACAGGATATTCTATAAATATACATTGACATATTCCATTGGAGTATTCTAGTCACATAGCTATCGGTACGGAAGGTGCATCATGGGTATTTAGGCCCATTTGCCTAGATTGACGTAAAAGCTAATCGAAAAACAATTAGAAGCAAATTCCAAGGTTCTTACGTTTGCACCTACTGACTGGCTTACAGCAAATAGGAAGCTGGAGATGCCCCACGTGTACATGCTTATTTGCTTACTCAAAATGGCAAAGCTGTAAAAGTGATGCAGGCTTCTAGAATCACGGCAATAACCGGCTTCCGACATCCGACGGTACTCGGCTCGCTGATTAGCAAGCTATAACTGCGGCATGCCGCTCCTTTCGGTGATTCGTGGTTAATTGATATTCTAGCAGATCTAGATATGGACCCCACCTTATTTGGTACCACGGGATGCATTATGGTGCCCATAAATTATACCCAAGTTATTCCCGTAACCACCTTGCACACAAATCTACACTCTAAGTATAGCTCTGCAAGCTAATAATATGCACTATCTTGAGCTATAATAGCATGTGACAGATCAATCCAGTGTCAATAAGAATCAATACGACGATGAACCTCGGAAGGTACTTAGTATATACTACATAGCTGTGCTTGACTAGCATGGGTAGTACTAGTTAGTAGCGGTCATAAGAGAGATATGCTCATAGCCCCCTGCCATGGAGAATGATCCTGGTCGTGTCTTATAACGAACAAAATTGCACATGCATAGCTTTTTGATATATTCAAGTTGTGACGAAAATATAAATCCAGACCTCCACTATTGAGGTTTAAACTAGTTATTTCCCTGTTTTCCCGCGCTGAATAAATTTGATCTTTGAGCTATATCTCTGTATCGGGAATTTAATAATGCTACTATTATGCCCCTGCAATAGCTATAGTATTGTACGTTCAATATTATGACATCTGGAGAGTCACTTGCATATCATAGAGATTTACAATTCCTATAGACAGGTGATCAGGTACATCCTTTTTACCAATTACTTCCAATTTTTTCCATTGCCGCGGGACCTTGGGATTGTTTGGCTCTTGCAAAATGGAACTCCTTATGCTTATTTTCGTACATTATACCTTTATATTCGATATATCATGTTTCAATAACCACTCCGTCTTTTATGCCTACATTTCAATGCAAGATCCTCGCGAATTTCGCATTAAATCTGTTACATCTCACAACAGAATCTCTTTCCTCTGCAACGTGCTAGTCTAAGGTACTAGTATTTCAAATTCAAGGTCCAAATGTGACATCACGTATGAGAGTGCCGTGATATTTTCATTCTGCTATATATAGATGTTGGCAATACTGTAATGCCATCTGATGTCGGCTAAGTATTTCGAGTTGTGGCTGCTTTTGAACCTTGGAAGAGGTTGAACCATGAAGGACTGCAAGAAAACTCCAATTTCCACCCACTATTAAAACCACCCATAAATTGGTTATAATACGCGTTTCAACAGACACTTTGGGTTTGGTTTCATTATCTAGACAGGTAAGCTCTATGAAGAACTAGATAGACTTGAGATCAAATCCAAATGACTGCTTGTCAAGCCTCAGCTTCATCTCGAAGTACTTTTTCATGAGAATTATTTTCTGGACACTTATGGGTTATAACTCTCAAGACTTGTCCCATCTCGTTGAATAATAACTCTGTACGAATTTTGATGTAAAAAGACCCAGTAGTGCGAAAATAGTGTGAGCTTGGGCACCTTCCCCTCTCCAATGAACAAGTCAAAAAGATAATTAGAATTATCCGAAGACGATAATGCCATATGTCCCCCAGCCATTGGGGTTGAGTTGATCATCCTACAGCGGAGAAACGATCGAGGGTATATTGATTCCAGGTATAAAGGTCCAGGTCGGTGGTGGTATTGAAGACACACGTGCAGTAGAATGATATCATGAAACATGAGGCTTTAAGTGCATGTTTGAATAGCTTCAAGTTGATATTTCTCTACGCTTCCGCCCCAACGTTCTGTAAGGCTTTAGCATATACATGACTCCCTTACTACCGATACTTCTCCTCTATCGATAACAGTGACATATCACAAGTGTTTGAATGACATACGATAATAGCTTTTGGCTGGCGCTAATGCATGCCTGGATTCGCTCTTTTACTTTTATTTGATACAGCCATGGAAGCTTAGCCTTCGTTTTCAAATTCTAAGCTGAATTAGGTATACTGGAGCAATCTGGTCCCGCATTTTCACCAGAGGTTTTATTCACAGTATATTGTCCACGGGGACAGTGGAAGTGTGGTCGTAGTTTTGGATTGTGTCCTAGAGCTCATTCAATTGTGAATAGGCCTTTTGAATAACTGGAATACCAATATTTAGTATGATTCGAATGTTTCCCGGATTACTTACTTGATCTGAGTTGGAAGTGCTTCATATAAATACGCAAAATTTCGACAACTCATGTTTAGATCCATATGAATAATAGAATTACTTGAAACAGAATCGTTCCCATTATTATTCAAATTAGCTTAGGTAGAGGGCTTGATGTTACATTGATTCTTCCCACTCGTGGATCCCAAGATCTGTACAAACTTGAATCCCCTGGATATGACTACAAGTACCTGGTAGATATAGTAATATTTCAGATTGTAAGCTGGATTGGCAAACACATGGACACTAAGAGCAAATCATCGAAAGTCCCGAGTTTTGTTGTTTGCACACGTGGTGAATCCATTATTTTTGTATTATGTTAACACGCCACTTCAAAATATCAGATATCAACGAGCAAGCTACGCATGAGGTACACATCGCCCGCGCCTACAGAGTACAATATTAAATTTGGCATCGCCTAGGCCTGCAGCTGTCACTTCGGCTAGCCGGTTCACTCATCCAAAGTAAATTTAATCCATGGATTTTCGCACCGACCATTTTTGCCGAATTTACCGAATCCTGAAGTTCGCATCCACACCATAACCATGTACTCCGCACCTTAGGACCGAACCCGAAATCTTCACCGCGCCCTCTTTGCTCTTCTCGGCAAACTCCGTGCTTACAAGTCAAAGTCAGTTGGCGACCTTAAACTTAGCCACAAATGCGGGCTTAGCGATTTCTCGGTTTGATGTTCCAGAAGAAAATTCAATAGTCCCGGGATGAGACCATGCTATAGTAACATTGGCCCAGGCTGCCGGCACTATTGATTTTGCTAAGTGGAACGGTGGGTCCAGCCGTCGATCAATCGAATGATTGACAAGAACAAAGCACAAAAAAATAAAAAATTCAATAGTGTGATCCATCGCGATCCATCGAGATCCAAAACCTTGACACATCCCTTTCTCCGCACCATGACAGTGTAGCCTTGTGAATTTCCAAGGTTCGTGTCTGTGTATCTACACTTTATACGCCCGACGCCTTACCAAGGCTGGGTACCCAAGCTGCCTAAGAAGGAAGGAGACATTTGGCTATGTTACATGATCATCTATCTGCAGATAAGAACATCTTACAGGAAAGATAATAGGGCAGGGCAATTTATGATGTGAGGGTCAAAGTTGCAACTTTGATGTTTCTCCGCGTTCTCCGTATTATGGGCGAATAAAAAGAAAAATAGGAACAACAAAAAAGAAACTTGAACATAAACATTTGTATCAATAAATTACCGTACGGGATAGAAAAAAACATGAATCATGAATAAAGAAATGAATGAATAAAAACAGTTCGCTGATCCTGCAATCAAACCCCATTGGCTTGCAGGAAAACTCACCGATGAACACCCTCACGAACACCTCGATCTGCACCAGATCGTCATAGGCGCCCACCCAGACTGACATGAGATAGCTCACATTTTTCAAAAAAAGAAATGATAGCTCCGATGCATCTCGCCCCTAGAACCCTCGCAGATAATAAGAATGTATAGATCATGATTGAGATTATCTTGATCCTCTTCACAGGCTTGCAGCGCGAACAGCGGCTGTGACACCCCATCGTGCGCCAGAACGTCATGGGCTGAAATTCACCGCTATGTGATTAATCAAGTTATAGCTTCATCCCTGACTGCTTATGTTGCACTATCCTCAACCAGCCACCCCTGTCGATGGCTGCGCGGGGAAATAAAGGATAAATATCTCCGGGATATATGATTCGTTGCGTCCCTGTCGCTCTACGCGCCAGGAATTTTGTTCCAAGTTCTTACCCTGGTCTCTGGTCTCTGGATGTGACCAGGGCTTGCATAACCGCGCCCAATGCTGGCTTCCCGCTGTCTCTTCCCTGTCATAGACTGACTCTGGGCCTTTAATCTTTGATTCGGTTTTTATCTATTTTGTTCCGTATTGGCCTATATGCTTCATGCAGCTATGTGCTGGTGTTGGGCGTCTATACAGGAATTGGTAGCGGGGACCTTAAGACCCATATTGATGATCCCCGAATTGGAAATTGACTTTGTATGCACTTCCCTTCAGCATGAACCCCTAATGATCCTCCTGCCCGGAGCAAACCCCGAATAGGATCTATAATCAATTATACTCTTTGATTTCTCACTCCATCTCATGGCATGTCGGACATATTCCGTATTTGACATCCTTTGACCGCCCCCATCGTGACAGCAAAGGATTGGAATCCATAATTGACACATTTATTTCTTCATTTCATTTTTCTGGTATTCTAATTTGCCCATCAAATCCCGATTATTTTCCGCGCATATCATTTTCTGGTTTGAAGGTATACCGCCGGGTCCAGTCCCCAATATTGGAAAGATTTGTCTCAGACGATAAAGTGAAAAGAAGTCACCCAAATGGCGATCAGAAGAAGTATGGCTCGACGTATCACCGCCTCAGACCCCGAATCCACATAACAGCGGGGATGTGGACTCCAGCTGGCGCAAGCTACAATTCCAATGTCCCCGAGATTACTCCATGTGGCAGCTATATCACCGTGGTTATCGGTATCTTTGTGGGTGGGATTCTCATCCGCAGGATTCACGTGGCTGGCACCAACCTTGGTCCTCAATCGGTCCTCAATTTAAAGAAAAAAGGGAATTTTAAAAAAAGGGAGAAGAAAAAAAAAAACTGCCTGTCTACTCTAAACTTTAGCTTTCGAATGGCGTGCCCCGTATTCTGAGACGTGGGTGTCATCATCTAACGGTGGAAACACTCCCCCAAACAACAAGATCTAAAATTTGGGACTGAATCTGGAAATTAAAGGGGGCTTTTCTTTTCGACATTTGAGTTTTTCGATTCCTTTTGACACCCCCTTGACAGCCGTCAATCTCCGACACAAGTGATAGGCCAGAGTTCGGCAAATAGATTCCGTTATTTTAACCGCGCGGACGAACCAAACTCTAAGCGCTGTGAAAAAGGGCAGAGATCCCGAGATTCACACTTACAGTACGTTATTGAGATTGATTACGACGTCATGGAATAGACAATGGCAAAGAGCGGAACGTAAATCTCGATCGCATGAATTTCCAGGTTGGCATTTGGGTCCATGTGGGTCCGGTCAAGTTGGCAGGTCGGAGAAGGATGAAAATAACCAGAGTTATTGGAATCCGGATCCATGGGAAAGTTGGAGTGATCCCAATATTGAGTCGTCGGCATCTGTGACGGCTAATCGTGAAAGACAAAGTAAATTAGGTGGGAAGCTTGGATCGGGATCAGAGTATTTCCCGCAATTTGCGATCCCTGCTAATATCCAGGCAGCAGAGGATTAAAGATTCGAGTTACAGGGTCGACGAGACGGAAACAATAATGTGTTTCAAGGAACGAAGGAGTCCATAGTTGGAGCCTCAATATCCGTAGTCCCCCGTAGTGATTCGGATGTGCCGGGCCTTTTTTTGTCTCAGGAGGTTCAAAATTCAAAATTCAAAATTCAAAAACCAATGCCAGCTGAACTCTCTCCGTTTTTTTACACACTCCTTCAGCTTGAATGAGGTGATCAGCATTTAGATTGGCTGGAAAAGTGGCTCCTCCGTGCCGCCTGGGCGTAAGGCATGATCCACGTTTCCCGTCATGCGTGCAATAATACGGGATCGTCATGTGTTTTCTGGCGGGGAGGGGAGGTGATATGCATTTTATCGATTATGATTATCCACTACTCTCGAATAAGAGAGGCGAAAAGCAAGATATTATTTGTAAACGAAAGGGGAGGGGGGAAGATCATGTCAATCAAATGGAAGGATCTGTCATGCTAATTTATTGAATTTGGAACCGGTAGAACGCCGAGTAATGCAAATCTTGGGCCTGGCGCGACATCCGAGGTATGCGATGAGGATCAAGTGCAGTGCGACAGATGCATAGAGACTCGATCAAATGATCCAAATAGAAAAAGAAACGAATAATAATAGTGAATAAAAAAATAAGAGCCCATCCAATGATAATTTCCCGTAAATCCCTAGTACCCCCTTTCCCGAACAACCCGCTTGATAAATAACATCCAAAGTCATAAAATAAGGGTATCAAGAAGTGGTATCTGAAGCTTCCCATGTCGCCATCATGGCAGAGGGATTTCATGATAACCAAAAAAGATGGATCTAACAATCTTGAGGCTGATAAAGAAATCGAATCAAAAAGTAAATAATAAAAAAGACATAGGAGAGAAAGTAATATGCCAGTCTATCTCCAACCGGTGCCGTGTACCCAAACCCCGTGGAATCATGAATGGAATGAGAAGAAAATTGGGGAGGGAAGCATTCCCTGTCGTAATCCGAACGCTGAAGTTGTTGATGCCGTGTATCATGTGCGTGGTGTTGATAATAATAGTAATAAGAGGCCGTTAAAAGAAGGATGCGAAATATCGTCTGCGCCGCAGGGGCGACTGCGACTCTTTTTTTCAATATGCATATGAAAAATTCATGTAAGTTTAATGGTGAGGAGAGGCTAAGTCGGAAGCCTGGTCGACGTCGCTGTAAGCCGAAGGCGAATGCCGCGAGTCATCTCCACCACTTCGCATTTGGTTGCGCAAAGCAGGAAGTTGTCGTCTCCGTGCATTAATAAACCAATTGCTGATCTGATAAAAAAGAAGAAATGTTAGCATGATTGAGACATGGTACTCAAAGGCGATAGTTCTTACCTGGCTTATCGACAAACCAGTGCGAGTCATAAACATCTGCTTATCCTCTTCACTAGGGTAAGGATGATCCAGATGCTCATGAAACCAGGCGCGCAAAATGTCTGTCACCGGCTTAGGCAGGTTACCACGTCGACGTTTGCTCTTTGAATCATTCGGGTCGCCCATTATACCAAAATTGGCTTGTTGGGGGCGTCCCATTATTGGTGGCGACAGTTGTTCTTGTTCACCCGGGTAAGCCATAGGGTGGCCGTAAGGCGGCTGTGCATGCATAATCGGGGTACCATATTGTTCTGCGGCTCTAGGATCGACCATTGGTCCAGGAATGGGGGCGGGTTGCGCAGCGCGATATTCGTGCGCATATGGGTCGGACCGTGGTGCTGGGGCAGGAGCCATCCTGTTTTCTGGATATCCCTTCCTGTCTTGCATGGGTCCCAAGTCTCGAATAGGCGGTAGAATGGGACTTGGTCCTCGTGCGGCGCTCTCTTGAAATCGCATAGATAGGTGATCACTCATTGGTCGTGTTGGGTGTTCGTGGGTTCGAGTAGTGTATTCATGGTGGTGCTCTCCATAGACTCCTTTGGGTGATTGGGCTGCGGTGTAACCTGGAATAGAACGAGGGTCTGCTACCATCTCATGCCCCGAGCTAGGGCGGCCTTGTGATTGAGGGCGTGAGTTATAGTATGTGGAAGAATCGATTTCATCGTGAAGGTGAGGTGGAATGATCTACAGTAATAGGTTTGTTAGCTTATTGGTTACCCTTGTCTTTTGCTTTTGCTGCACTGATTCAAGTGTAACTCACATCGCGAAATGAAGGTAGCTGTTGTTGAGAGTGACCAACCGGGGGCCGGCTTGTATATGAAATGGCCATGTTGGGGTCTTCGTCCAGCTCACGAGGCTGTGACATAGACGAGGTATAAATGCGGGTGGAGGGGTATAAAGCTATAAAGCAAAGCGTTCACAGATCAAAATAACTCTAAGCACAGCATTCACAGTCAGAGATCAGATTTGCGAAAATCAAATATGTAAGGAAGTAGGCTCCTTGGTGAAAGGTCCCTAGCCACACGAGCGCCACGTATAGTAGGATTTAAGGAATGAGGAGGGATAGAGAGGATTAAAGTAGGAATAAGAATAAATGGGGCTGAGGAAATGAAAGAGAACACACCTGGGATACTGGACTTGATTTACGTTGACATGGCAGAGTAGCCAAGGTCATGCAAGGTTGGGGAATGAGAGCGGATGGAAATGCGGTCCTTTTGGGGTCACCAAATAAGGCAGGGCTTGTACAATTTAAAATAAAAAAAGACATGTTCCGACGCAAGACCCAGCTGTTACAGGTCCATGGAAAGCAAGAACCAGGGGGGCCCAGAAAAATGACGATCGTGGGCGCAAGTGGGTACTTGGGAGCCACAAACTACGGAGCATCACTCCTCCGTGCCCTCAAGGCATGCAGACGGAGAAGAGGGGTACAAATCGCCAAAAAACCCTATGGAGCATCCTTAAGGTTGACCTTGACAGATACGCCAAGGATCTCTGTTGGTTCCTGTCAACCGGGCATAGTCCATCTGGCTAGTGCCAGGATCTATCAGGTGGCGCGGGCCTTCAGGAACTCCTCGTTCCCCGGTTCGGTGTTAGTTCGTGTTTGTATTCGGGTTATTCTAAATATTAGAATCTAAATACATGAATTTGATTTTTGAATAATTATTTTAAAAATAGGCAAATTTGAATAAATCCATCGAGATATGGATTCTGATGGGGTGGATTAATTTAAATTTATTTTATTTGCATTTTGCAGTTTTGGCATTTTTTTATTTTTTTATATTTTTATATTTTTTTTCACATCTTTATTATTTCCAATATTTTTATTTTATTATTTTATTATCATTGTTTCTTGGTGTCAGAGGGGACATTTGCGTCCAAAATCAGAAAACCATAAAGTCAGTCTAGTCTCCAAAGTAAAAAAAAAAAGGAAAATGAAAGAATAGGAAACCCCAAAATCCAGCTGAGACTGGTTTAAGAAACACTATTACTCCTAGTACCCCAAACATGCCCAAACAACCCAGTGGTTGACATTGTTTGGCGCTGATATCGTGAATAGAATAGCCGTGAAGGAAAACTGATCTCGGGCTTTTAAGGCATTTTTGGGTTTAATGACGGATCCTTCTTTGGGAAAATGCCAAATTATGGGAATTTATTGAAAAAAGAAAAAGAAATCTAACTGAGATCAGATCAATCGGCAAGGTCCGTAAGTCACCAGAAGTGCATCAAGTATTCTCTATAGGCATCTCCGACAGAGTACCCTCGACACATACCAAAGTCGGGGAAGGGGATGGAGGATGCCGGCAGTAGCAGCCGCAGGGGGGAGGGGGAAAGAGAGGCAAGAAGGTGGAGAACGGCCTTGTGCCATGTTGTGACTGTTCCTGAGTCAAGCTGAACTTAATTAATTCAAATACTGGACCAGACATCGATTGCTTTTTCGGTGGAGACCACAAGTTTTCTAGGAAATGGAGTCAAGAAGAAATTCATTAAATCTACCGAATTACGGCGGCAGGCGAGACAGAAGGATTTTCCTTTGCCAGTGGTAATTTTATGGAACTATCTCCCGTATGGTAAAAGTCAAACCAACCACATCACAAATGTGATCGGTGGATCGCACCTAGCCCAGAAAGCAGTCTCCGAGGCCAAGGAAGGATCGCCGGGGCCTTGAGATGGAAGACTCCCGGGGTGTGGTGAGTTCCACTTTGTAGGTTGTGTCAGACACCCATCGCAGCCTACGACTGGTTACCATCAGATCGCGACTCGTCCCGAGCTAGAGCTTATCCCGGACGGTGGGTAAAGGGTCATGTAATGTAAACCGAAAATAGTATTTTTGGTCCTTATTCTTTCTTCTTCTAGGACTTATGTCACAGACTTATTAAAGAGAACACGAGTAGTAGCTGGTTCGGGGGAATGGAGAACTTATCCCTGGAAGCTCTTGTGCACCAGGAGGGAAAGAAGGAGCAAAATGGAAAAAAAGGAAAAACAAGAACCTGACGGGAATCTTGTTCACCTCGGTTCGATCCTAAGTGTAAAAGCCTCTGATCGGTGGACACGAAGATCGATCGACCAAAGAACGAACACGAAAGGGAGGCAGAGACCACCGAAAAGGCTAGAGGGGCTGGTATCCGTGGTGTGGTCTCCTTGGCACATCAATGCCTGGACAGGGATGGGTAGATCGCCCACTCCGTAGGGGTTCTTCAAATCGTCTCCACTTCCTTCGAGATGAACCATACAGAATGTGGCGCATTGGATCCACGTCCAGTCCTTTTGCACTCCCGTACGTCAGATCATCCACACGGAGAATCCGCTAGGATCCATCCGTGACGCGACATTTGGCTTTTGGGGTTACGGAAAAGTGGACAAAAGAACAAGGCATGAGCTGAATGATCGGATCACTTGATTGGCGTGGGTTGATCTTCATGGGGGAGGGGAATGATGCACAGCTGATGGGAAAGACCGCCTTCATGCATATGATATCTCATGTTGTTTGGTGGTTTATTCTTTTCTTTTTTGTTTTCTTGGATGCATTTCTTTCTTTTCTTTTTTTTTCTCCCTTGTCATGCTGCTTGATCCCGCTACGGAATGTATTGTGATGGGGTGGGTGGTGGGTTAGTAGAAGGTGTGGGAGAGAGACTGACGTGGTTTGAAAGGAATCACTCCCCGGGATTTGAGTACCCCTCGATGTGACATGAGTGTCTGACAGTGGTTCTTGTGCTTCTAGCGTCGGTCACTTCTTATTGATCGCCATTGATCTTCCCTCTAATTTGATATTTGATATTTCCATCATATTTATCATGCGGCTCGCGTATCGCCTATATTTACCTTTGTCCCGTGTGGTCTCTAGCTAAATAACTAGCCACACTAGAAGTTTAGTTTACTCCAATTTCTTGCCACGCCAGACATTCAAAGCGAAAGATGGAAGAGACAACCGAGTCTCCACTTCCATGGTCCACATTTAGGCTGACAAGACAAATGGCACAAAAGCCCGGTTCCTCCAAGCATTTGCCCATCGGAGATCCTGCTAAGTGGGGATGCCACTCAAAAAGATGTAAGCTGGACTACAATGGGCCGTGTGATCCACGAGTCTTGAGTCGGCTATCCAATCATCCTCCAAGAAAGAGACAATAGATAATGTCCACTTTTCCTTGTTAGGTTTGGGTCCTTGAAAATGGCCGAAGCTATCACAAGGTATGTTCCTGAAGTGTACTCAGTACGGCGTACATACAGAGCTGCAAGTCAACGAGGGCCGCCCCGAAACACATTTGATTTAATGCTTGCACAGACACTATACCGGGCACTGCGCCCGACGTGATCTAACCCAAACTGCCTCGTTCAAGGTTCAAACAAAGGAGACTCCTCCCCGGTATTGTACCCCCAGCAATGTTTCGTGGCTGTCGATAATCCCTGTCAACTGCAATCAATGTGACACCCATTTTCCGGGTGTACGACATTTTTGGTCTTCCTCCGCAGAAATGAAGACTCCATCCGGCTTTTCTCCCACTTTACTAGTCGCTTATAAGCAAATTTCTTCCTTGACGGGCCGTCAAAAAAGGCGCTCTTCCCTAACATAGTAGTCAACCCCGGAGCTTAAGCAAGTCAAGTGTCGGGGAGGGGGGGGAGACGCCACTCGCGATTAACCAGGCGTCAAAGCAGATGCTAAGGTTCTTGCGGTCCACCCAATTAGACTGATCCATCTCCCCTTTCGGAACCACAGCGGAGGCCACTATGGAATTCGGATCCAGCCTCCACGAGGCCTTCGATCTGGATCTTTGTCAGGCTCGGTTGTGATTCGTTGGTCATTCAAGGGCGAGATCGCAGGCTAGCAGGCTAGCCGACTAGTTATGGGGGATTCGTGCTTTATTGCGGTCAAAGCCCTCCTTACTGGAGATCTTTCCCTGATTTTGTCCGCTTTGTCCTTTGTTATGTATACCGTACTTGATTTTTTTGATTCGTAATTTTGTTTTCTTATTCTTCCTCTTTGTCCAGTGCAGTCACAATATATTTCTTTTGATTGCGTGTGAAAGCACCGCATGAATTAAAAAGCAAATCTGGACTCGGATTCGACACAATTGAGAACAAAGAATCAGCAAAAGTTTTCCCGGTTAGACCTTCTCCACTGTGGATTCCCTGCCACCCCAAGGCACGACAAAGACAGAAAAGCCAAAAAGGAAAATTAAAAATTTCAATTATTTCCTCTGAATAATGACAGATCGTCATTCCTGCCATGATTGAACCTTGTCCATTCGCGAGATCCGAGATCGTGCAGAGGGATGCAGATCATCGGCTCTTGCACCAAGGATTGGCGCCAGCATGATGATCGGATAAGGTGCCCCCAGTACCCGGGGAATGGACGGAATAATTACTCCAGAACCGCGGAATACATAGCGTCATGCACCATGCAGGAATTTGTCATCGTGCAACCTAGCCTCTCCGAGGTCCCATACATATCCTGGTACTTGGTATTTGGGTATGGACGATCGCATTTTTGGGAAGTTTGCGCACCAACAAAGAACTTTAATTTCTATTTTGTTTTTGATTTGCAGCACTATAGAGTCACAGAGCACGGTTACAACGGATTGGGCGGTTTCTGTTTCTTTTTGGTTCTTTTCAAATTAATCAAAAGGAACGATCCTTCACTGCCAAGTGTAATATTGGCATTTACTCTTTGTTGAATTGGTTGAATTGATATAGGGTGGGGAAGGGGAGTTCACGCCTGCAAATTGCTATCTACCTACATCGTCTTACGCTTTCAATAGTTGGAGATTTCGGGGTCTGAACTTCTAATGATAACCCTTTTGGTTTTTTTTGTTTTTATTTTTATTTTTATTTTTATTTTAATTCTAATACATTGGTTCCCCGGGTATTCGGGTCTTTGATGTGATCTCAACTCTTTCAGTGAGGCAACATTTGAATCTCAACTGCATCCGTTGCCCTGCAAATATCAGTCCAAAATGCGAGGGATGGCATAAATCCCACAGGGCATCCAATTAAATACCAGCAAAATTCAAAAATAAATAATATAACATAATAAGAAACTTCACTGATCAAAGAATTGAATTTGAAAAAAGGGGAAAATGACAATAATAATAATCAAAACAGTAAGATCTCAAAGTTCGGCTACCACCTGTCATTCTCGATGGTTAATCTATCTGTCCCAACTCCCTGGTTTCTGGGAGACTGCGATCCGCTCATCTAAACCTTGTACGAAGTATTTCCCCATGTGCATGCTCCACATCCTCTCCTAACTCTGAAAAAAGCCTATGCCAACCCCCACAATATTATGCCTTTGGACCCAGCAGAGTGTAAACTTTTTAGCTATGACGCCTCTCATGTACCGAGCTATACTGCCAAGTGCTAGGTAACGTCGATAGCGTACTTTGTTCACTGGCATGGTTACTCCGTACGTGACTCAGTTTTGGGTATCACTTGTTCTGCAGCGATCTACACAGTCTTCTCGGTCGTCGGTGAGGTGTCAGTGTCCCACGAACCGGGCTGTCAATGGTTGATAAGCCCCTGCAGCAGACTCGATCCAGTCTTTTGCTTAGACCATTCTGAGCTCCAATGCCTGTTTGTTGCCCTGTTTGCCCCCTGCTACCTGTAAGTACCTCTGTACATACATTATAGTATGCGTCGTAGTACAGCAAGGGTTGCCCAACAGTCTTGATCTTGCATCTTGTTGACTCCATACCGCTTTAATGACATATACTGGTCTCGGATATAACCGACTCCAAAATAGCCTGCCATCTTATTTTATTTTAGTTTATGTAAAACCTCAAAAAATTTATTAATAAACTCTTCGGCAGGTGCGTATTTTCTTTCATGATGTAAGGAAGGTTAGTACCTAATACAACAGCCATCGTCGGGCACACCTACATAGAACATAGTCTACTAGCATGCCAGTACTACTGATTCTCCATTAGTTCCCTACGTCCACGTATGGAACCCGAGGAAAAATTAAGTGGTGCATCTGCATATTGCATTAAACTCCAAAGTGACATCAGTTGAAGGAGTAGACATCTGGTCACTGCCTTTATCGATCAAACATGCTGGCCACGGGGTCTGACCTCGTGAATGATTTTCATCAAACTGACCTACATATCTGCTGCAGTTCATGCCCAGGTATCTAACAGGTACTTTTAGTGATCGGCCCAAACTTACAACATTAGCCATAGATACTATTATCTTTTCAAACACCATTCTAAAATGCTCAAGTGGAATGTCTATGTCTAGAAGTTCAAGACGATTCAAGCCCTTGTCTTCCCATTGCCTGTCTTATATTTTGGTATATTCTATAGGCTAAACAGATCTATCATTTCGCACCAAGCTCAGCAGACCGCGACGTAGCCGCCCGAACAGCCTTATCAACAATCTCCTGGAATCCCTCACCCTCGAATGTCTGTAAAGCAGCATATGTAGTTCCATTGGGACTAGTCACGTTCTTACGAAGTTGACTAGGCTCATCAGACGACTGAACGAGCATCTTGCCCGCACCAAGACAAGTCTGAGTAGCCAGGCGAGTTGCCTGCTCCTTCGGCAATCCCAAAGCAGTAGCACTAGCTACAAGATGCTCAACCATAGCAAAGAAATAAGCAGGCCCAGATCCTAAAACATCATTCCATTAGCAACAATCACCTCCATCCAAGCATATCAATAAACTCACCAGAAAGACCAGTGACAACGTCAAGCAGATCCTCCTTCTCAACCCACTCAGTAGCCTTGCTAACACTGCTCAGCAGCGAGTTCACAAGCTCCTTCTCCTCGCCCGTTACCGTCGCACTAGCAAATGCACCTGATGCACCTTCTCCAACTAGCGCAGGTGTGTTCGGCATAACGCGCACAACGTGCGCAGATCGCCCGTCCTTAGTCGTCGACCACTCCTCCAAACTGCTCAGTGTGATTCCGGCCGCGATGCTAACCACGACGGGGAGGGATTGCCGCTCGCCCCATGAGGCGCCGAGCTCTTCGCATACGCTCTTAGCTACTTGTGGCTTGACGGCGATGATGACGATGTCGGCTCTGGCGCCCGCTTCGGCATTCACAGTTGTTGTCTGGACGCCTGTTGCGGCGAGCTTTTCCCGGTTGACTTCCCATGGCTCGGAGACGATGATGTTCGATTTGTTGACGCCTTTGGTGGTTAGGCCGCCAATGATGGCGGAGGCCATGTTGCCACCGCCGATGAAGGCGATCTTGCTGTCTTGGAGGGAGGGCATTGTGTTTGGGGTTTGGGTTTGGGTTTGTGGTTGGTGTTTTGGACGTGTTGGTTGGAGGTTTTGGTGTTGAGATTCCCCCACTTTTTGATAGCTTATCGGTGGTGGGGTAGGTAATGAGTATGTACAATGCCCGATATCGGTTTTGGGGAGAAAGTATAGGAATGAAAGGATATTTGGTTAATATCTGGAGACGGGCCTTTTTATATCATTCAATTGATTTATTTGCTTTACTGATTTCCCCGCTAAATGTCAATTGGTGACACATCGCTGGACTACAACTGGGTCACGTGGCTGCTTATCACTCTGCCCGGGCCGGTCAGCCGGGATAGAGTAGGCAATGCTGGGGTCGCATGGGGTGGAACTTGAAGGAAGTGGGTTAAGTTATCTGTGGGGAATTATGAGTTCTGACTTGGGGATTTAATAAAATTGCAGATAGATAGGCTTTAGAGCCTTAGAAATAGGCAAAGATTTACCTAGGTATCTAGTAGTATCTCTTTTTCATGAAATGGATGTGCGTGCTTTGGGACAGTGTATAGTATATAGTATTCAAGTTCACTACTAGTAGTAGTATCTGCGACTGACTACTAGTACTTAGTAGAATTCGAAATTCTAAACCTGGAAGTTGTCCCCGAGTACTATGTCCTAGGTACCCGGACACTTCAAAGGTTTAAAGTACTAATAGGTATCACGAATCTTGAAGACTGACGAGATAATGATCGAGATATTCAAAAGTACTATATACATGATTAGGATATGATGAGCTCCTGATATGTATATTGTAGACCAAATTCGCATTTTGACGGCTGTGAGATATACATAATATAGCAACAAGCCACCTGACATGCAGAATGTATGTTAAAAGCAATATGCACGGCATTAAACATGACCATGTTACTTGGAAGGACGGCCTGTAGACATGTAGCTCACTGTACAGTGACAACTTGAAGATTATTTCGATATTGCGATATCTATTCCATGCAGAGAAAATCAAAATTATCATGTAGATGTGAGCGCTCATCAATAAATTTACCTTTCATCCAGTCTCAATCGTAATTCATCTGTATCACTCTATAGAAAATACAATAGCCACGGGTTATACTTCTCCACCTGATCGGATATCAAAGGCCAAAGAAGATAATCGATGGGGAGGTTATACCCTTTTTAACCCAGACAGTGCAGAACAGCCTTCTGAAATCCAGGGAACACACCCGGCTCCTCCACCAGAGCGTGTAGAGAAACATCCCTCCGAAGGAGTACAGTGAGAACAAAGTCAGGAACAAATTCGAGGAAGAGATCATCGTGCTCAGATGACCTTAAGAAGCAATGCAGGATCCATTTCTGACGAGGACTGGCGAACAATGCCACCACCAACAAGACAATGGCAAAACAGGCGAGAAGATAGATATCATGATCACCGCTATTTCTACTATCCTGAAATTAACACTCCAGATAGTTCTAGACATAGTCAGGGAATACAATATGATGCTGCTGACGATCGAAATACAAATAAGCCCAGACACAGATAACTATTCGACGAAAAGAGATGAAAGAGGGACAAACTCCCGTGAGTACGAACGTGCAACAAACAAACATTACCGGAAAAATCAGACAAAGCAAGCAGCTGTTCCTCAGGCGCGGTCAGGTATTGTAAGTGATGCGAGAGGAAACCACACTAGTCCAACATCCATGCCAGGCAACATCTCTTCTTTAGCACCACCTGTACCACATGAATACGGACGTTAGGTTCCAAAGAACATATCCCAGAACGCCACAAAACTAGAAGCAATCTTACCCGATAGTCCGTTTGGGGTGTTACGAAGGACAGTCCCGCGCAAGAAGAAATCGACAAATTCCCTAAGCTTCATGCCCATTCTCCAGTTCTGTACATGGCGCCAAGAACTTTGCGTTCTGGCCAGAGATGATAATGATACCGGCCCTGCATCAACAACAAAGACACATGCATTGGGAGCCGGACCCCGCTGGTGTGACATTGTTGGCTTAGAAGGAGACCGGTGCGACAGTATTGTTCTGGATGAAACTCGTGTTGATAAGAGCAATGGGCATATATGTACTTTCATTGCTATGTCGGATGTAAAGCATTTTTACCCAAGACCAATGTCCTATCTGGACATATGATATACCCAACGAGCGGGAAGAGTCTGAATGGGACCTATATTATGTGTTATTGCTGGAGAGAAATGAAGAGCGTGGGCTTTAGGGGAGAGCGGGATTGGGGAAGGTTTTCAAAGCTGCATTTCGCGATAATGTTTGGGCGGAGATAAAGTTAGGTTAGACTGTTTGGAATGAAACAGGAAGGACGGCCGAAGAAGTAGACAGTCGTGCTTAGCTTTCGCATTGAATCATTGGTGAGGAATAGCGCATGAGAGTTTCTGGCAGGGAACGCATAGGCATATTAAGTTTGATTGATCAGTTCAATAGACGAATCAAATATTATGTTGATTGATATGGATCTAGTAGATAAGAGGCCATGACATGTTCAACCCAATGTGGGTAATGTGGGCGCATGCCCAATGTTTGATTCTCGTAACAAGAATAAAGTAAGATTCCACAACTCCAATGGTAACCGAGATTGAGTCAAGAGAACGAAATTTTCGAGATAATGATTCAGATCGAAAATGAATAATGAAAAACAGAAAACAAGAAGCCGGCCCGCTAAAATACATGAATCAAAAGAGGCTCGTCGGTGATTGAGCTGGGTAAGGCGAGACACATTCATCTGCTACCCATTGACAATAACCACCTAACAAACAGCCTATAGTAGAAAGGCAAAATTGCACATTCTATGTGCATATGCAAATCTGTCGGAATATGTACAGACGACAGAATTTTGAAATGAATAAGAATGTCAAATCAAGGTAAGATGCTGGGTATTGCTCCCGTGTGGAACTTTTGGATTACCAAGTTTCCTGTAGTCAAAATTAGTGATATGTTTGCACGGCTTTAACCATGAATCAACTTACAGCAATGTACTGGCCAGCTTCCTTCTTTCGCTGCCAGAAAAGCTCGGCTTCTTGGGAGTTCAGGTTGCCCTTGGCCATTGCAACTTCGACAAGAGCAGCCTCAACACCCTCACCCATACCCTTGCCGCTACCGCAAACGAAGACACGCCCATCGAGGGCGTTGATCACATACCAGACCAGATCGGCCTGATGACGGACCTCTTCCTGGACATAGCGGCTCTCTCCGCGACGGCTTTGTACGACAGTTCGAACCTTATCCTCATGAACACCCCACTCACCACTGTACAGCTCATCAAGTAGCGAGTCACGCACACCTTGAAGAACCCAGACCTTGTTGGCACAGTTGGCAGATTGCAGGCGACGCTGAACGAATCCACGGAATGGAGCAATGCCCACACCCGCACCGATTAGAAGCATGGGTCCATCAGAGGCGAAGCGCGTAGCGAGTGGGTTGGCCATAAGACCACGGAACATGGGAATGTAAACGTCGAGCTTTTCGCCAGCCTCTTCGGCTTTGATGAAACGTTGGGCAAGCTGCTCCATGTAGCCGGATCCAACACCAGTTCGGTTGCCACCCCGCCAGTCATCAGACTCAGCGACGGTCACGGCAACTTCGCACAAGCGGCGGCATTCAGTGCCCTTGAACTGGCAAGAGATCATGGGATCTTGGGACAAGGAGTAGAATCGAGGCATCAAAGTGTTGAGAACAGAAAGAAGGTAATCGAGGGGAGGCTGAGAGGATGGGAAGGCGTGCAGCAACTGAGAGAGGCTGATATGAGAGCTAGTACGAAGGTCACAGAAAGCACCCTGGCCTTGTGCTGATGAAAGGTACTCAAGGACCTTCTTCTGGTTCTGCTCGGTAGTGTACTCAGCCAAAAGTCGGAAGAGGGCCTTTGTCGGGGCATAACTCTGAATATCTGAACACCAGCTCAGTACCTCACGGCGTGTTGTCACCAACTCTCGTGGCTTGTCGTCACCCCAAATAGTTGGCCAGCGGCCTGTGGTGGTACGCATCAAAACCTTCTTATCTCGCATAGACTTCGGTACGCACAGAAGATTCAAAACATCTTCGACTTCCTCATCTTTGTTCTTTGGACATACACCAATCGCACCTCCAACAACAAAATCGACCATCCCACTCTCGGCGGGGTAGTCAGTGACGTCAATGTCAAAGTGATATGTGCGCTTCTCCGCGCCACCCTTGGTCAACTCACGTGCATGATGGAGAGGCGCGCGATAGACCTCGTAAGGAGGATGCGGCTGCACGAATTGTGGGGGATGATCCAATGGCCCCATGGGCAAAGCCTGAAGCGATGCGGGGGCGGGCGAGAAAGACACCGTCTTCTCGGGGAGTGGGGCAATGCTGGACAGCTCACTGTCCAGCGTGAGGAGGTTCAAGTTCAAGCCCAGACTAGCAAAGGCCTTGTTATCGGGGGCGGTGATGGAATTAAAGCCCGAAATTGGACCATCGACCATCTCCAAAGGCCGGCCCCGGCAACAACCACCTCCACAGCACATGGACTTAATCTGCTGTGTACCACCAGTTCCAACATTCTCCAATACTCTCCTCATATCCTCCGCATTTTGAGAGATCAAGACGGTCGAAGCTCGTCGGTGCCGGCCAGTACTACTAGTCTTCAGAGAGTTTTCTTGCTCATTCTGGGTATCTGGCGGTGTGATGGGGGTAGCGGGGGAATTGGAGGCATTGGAGTCGGAATCTTGCGAGGATGATGAACCATTGAAAGTGTAGTCGGTGATTGAGAGGGATTCTACCCCGCGCGGTTCTTCAGGGATTGGGTTATCGGGATGGGAGGTCGAAGAAACGGGGATATCTTGGAAGGTGCTTCTGCGAGGGCGACCCGCCACAATAGTTGCCGAAGGCATGATTGTGTCAACAATGGCGTGAACTATTCAAAAAAGATGGGGTAATTTGGTTAGAGTCAAATAAAAAGAGGGAAAAGAAGGGAAGAAAAGTCGAGTGGTATGGGGACCTCGTACCCATGGGTGGTAGAAAAGAACCGAGGTGGGGGCGTCGGGGGATCGAGAGACACCGAGATAAGGTAACAGGTATCAGAGGGAAGAGGAAGCCGGCGAGAGAAGATTGGGGGGATTATTTGGGTTTAATGTAACAGCCACAAGGACAAAAGTGGGATGAGGATGGAGGTAGTGGATCCGGGCATCGGGGAAAGCAAGAATTTAATAGTAGAAAGACAGACCAGGATTCCCAGCCATGAAGAAGGGGAAGACGAAGCGAAAGAAAAAATACGGGAAGCACAAGCCAGATTCGGGCATGGGAACTTACATTATCTGATTTTGCCACATTCTTCGTCACGAAAAAACTTTAGTTTACCGGAAATCTTAATACTGGCCTCCCACCAAAATTAGAGGAAAGGGGGGATATTTTACTCCATAAAGTATCTTGGCGAGTGTTAAACGGAGAAGTTTATTCAGTCTATTAATTATCATGGGGGATTGGGTATCCATTTTGATCCATTTTGACCCTCTGACGATCGACAGTGCATTACAAGTTACACCAGTCGGAGGCGTTGGAGTGGTCATCCAATTCCTGTGACTTGCTCGATTGCTAAATAAAAAACACGAAAATGGTAATCCGGATACACAGGAATAGCCGAAGCCGGATGCCGGTCGGATCTAAATTGAACCAAACGACTTCTCGGTTAAAGGAGATGGGAAAGGGGGAAATATTGGGGACGAAACTATCACTAAATCAGAGTCATTTATGTGCTTATTTCATTTTAAGAATAATTTAAATCTAGATTAAGAATAAATAACATCGAACCCATCTCGATGGAGAGAAAAAGCAAACATGAACCGTCAGAACTCTCCACTGCAGCGGGGCCGATGACTTATGTCAGCCGCTCCCTTAACGTAATTCCCGGTCGGGCTGTACACCCGGCCGAGCTGTACACCCCATCAAAAATCACATCTTCCTACCAATATACCAACTTTAACCAGCCACTATGCCACCAATTCGCGCCCAATCGTCTCGAAATTCTGCCGGAAAAGAGGGTAGGATCTTATTAGCCGTTAAAGATATCAAAGATGGCCGTATCAACTCTCTCCGCGCAGCAGCAAAGCTATACGATATCCCCCATACAACGCTGGCTACGCGCGTCAATGGTGTACAATCACGCGTCGATATACGTCCAAATGGCCATAAACTGACACAATTAGAAGAGGATTCACTTGTTGAATGGATAATCTCTATGGATACGCGTGGAGCAGCGCCTAGGCCAGCTACTGTACGAGAGATGGCTAATATACTACTAGCTGCGCGTGGTAGCTACCCTCCACCAACAGTTGGTAAAAATTGGCCATCAAGCTTCATAAATCGACGCGAAGAGATTCGATCACGCTTCTCTAGGCGTTACGACTATCAACGCGCATTAAACGAAGATCCTAAATCGCTACGAGAGTGGTTTGCGACCGTACAACGTGCTATTGACGATAACGGTATCCAAATGGAGGATATCTACAACTTCGATGAGACAGGGTTTGCAATGGGTCTTATTTCAACACAGAAAGTGGTTACGCGGGCTGGATACTACGGTCGGAGAGCTATATTACAACCAGGAAACCGCGAATGGGTTACTGCTATTGAAACTATTTGTGCAGATGGCTATTCGCTACCGCCATGTATAGTTTTTAAAGGCCAAGTTGCTATGGCTGGTTGGTTTGATAATCTACCAAAAGACTGGCGATTTGAGGTCTCAAATAATGGCTGGACTACCGATGAAATTGGCCTACGTTGGCTACAGAAACTATTCATCCCATGTACAAATTCGCGCGTACATGGCCGGTTTCGGCTATTGATTCTTGATGGCCATGGTAGCCATCTTACGGCTAAATTTGACCAAATCTGCGCAGAAAACAATATTATACCACTTTGTATGCCTGCGCATTCTTCGCATTTATTACAACCGCTTGATGTTGGATGTTTCGCAGTGCTTAAACGCGCATACGGTCGCTTTATAAGTGATCTTGCGCGTGTAGGCTATAACCACATTGATAAGTTTGATTTTCTGGATGACTACCAACGCGCAAGACTGGAAGTGTTCAAAAAGCCAATTATTATTCAAAATAGCTTTATAGCTGCTGGCCTAGTGCCTATTGATCCAGAAAGAGTGCTTTCGAAGCTTAATATCTCTCTACGAACACCAACACCCCCAGGAAGCCGACCAAGCAGCAGATCTAGCCAATTTACACCAAAAACGCCGAGAACTGTCATTCAACTACAAAAACAAGCTTCTATGATGAAAGATCTATTAAAACAACGGTCAAATAGCCCACCAAGCCCATCGAAGACTATGTTAGATCAAATTATCAAAGGTCACTATATATCGCTACACAACACAGCGTTACTCGCACAGGAAAACGCAAATTTACGTACAGCCAATGAGAAAAAACGCCAAAAACGCAATCGATCAAATAGGCAGATACCCTGTGATACTGGCCTAACGGTCGAAGAGGGCCTACAACTAGCTACGCAGCTAAATTTACTAGATGAAGCTACTCCGGTGGATTCGAATACACAGGGCAAAACGCCTATTCAGCCAGGTCAGCCAGCCAAAAGGGCTCCGCCTCGGTGTAGTGGATGTGGGAATATTGGCCATAAGATCAATCGATGTATAAATCGCGTTATTTAGCTAAATTAATATATGTTGGCCAATATATATCGATTTAAATTTTTCTAATGGGTTGGGGTGTACAGCTCGGCCGGGTGTACAGCCCGACCGGGAATTACGTTATCAATCAAATCAGATTAGTCTCGGTCACACCAGTGTCACTTCATCGATCCGATTCGCTGTCAGCCAGAGAAAGGGAGGAGACAAGATGAAAAAAAGGGGCAGATTGTCATTTCAATTTCCTTTCTTCCCTTTAGTTTATGGAGTTCAACTATACTGGGACTATCCCATCAGCTACTGGAATAGATCTGTTCCACTTTCCCGCCCTAAATGTCCCTTGAGCCTTGTCCCTGGGTTCGGGACCACTGGCGTTCCCAATCAGTGGGTCGTTCTAGAAACCCCATGGACCGATTCCCACTTTGAGTGGAACTGCTGCTGCTCTGCAATGTACTGTAAGGGAATGGGGCCCAGTGAATTAGTGAGGGCTCCCCTGGAGACAGGATCGTCGCAGGCTGGGCTGAACTGATTCTTGCTAAATACTGTAACTACTCTCGGGTCCACGGGTATCCGGCATAGTTGGGTGTCGTGAGACTCTCCCCCCAAAGTCATGACAGGGATTATTGATTCAGACTTGGTATGCGCTCCCGTGTTAGGAAGTGCTCGGCAGAGAATCCGCCCCATCTGATAACTCAAATGATCGGGGGCAGAAGTGGGTACAACGGAAAAGAGCCATTTTTCCGACCGTTTGGTTGCTCACTTGCCGTCCTCAGCGGTTTTTGACAGAGTAGACCAGGTTTGTCATGTTATCTTGCAGGGATGATGTTAAGTATATGCATCTACTACCTCTTCTAGAGTCTAAGAATGAGCGGTCAAATCCATGAATGGGGGTTCTGCCGTAGCATGAGGTATATAAAAGGCCCGAAGTAAATACATGTAAATGAACATTTGAAACTTGTTCGCTTATTCGTTCTTTGGACCTCGGGTTCATTTCGGATTACTCGACCAAATCCGCGTGGCATTTCAACCAGCTCGCAAGCTTGGCGATTCATACCGCGTATGCCCAAGGTGACCGGACTACGTAAATACTGTTGTCCGTGCTCCAAACCAATCATCTGCTGACGACACACGTGAAATAGGGGCATTTCGATGTTTGGGCCATTTCAAGTTCCCATAGTTTCGGTTACAACTTGAACGACTGCGACATTTGAACTGTCAATCTTTGACGGAGTGTAAAGTTATCGATTACAACAGCACGGTCTGAGAATAATATTTTCTTTGTTTTTCCAAAATAATTCCACATACAGTACGCGTAGAAGTGGTCGTGACATACTCACAGTTTCTATTAGCTAATTTAGAGAACAGTAACTAGTTACTTAAGTGGTTAGTCAAAGCAGATCCAGGTGTAAAGGGGCTTGAATGATCCACTATTGATCAGATTACACAAGGGCTCCACAAATACCTAAGCTATACAAATTAAGTACAAACATTCATTCAATTTTTCGAGACATCACATCATCTTAGCGTACATGTGCAGAGAAAAGATAAATACACATAAACTCATCAATAAAAAAGGGGCAAAGGTGACAAGAAATTAACAAAGAACAGCAAGATCGTACGGCATGAACAAGCCACTTTCTCAGCAAAACTAATTTTCATCCTCCCGGTTGACTAACGCCACTGGTGGAATGAAATGATGCCGGCCCCTCGCCCAATAATAGGCCGTTGCCGATCCAATGACGCCCACATACATCACTACGCCCCAGTTCATCGTCTCAGCCGTCACGGGCGTCGATAGGGGGAAGAAAGCAAAGACAAAAATGGGTATTAGGAAGCACAGTGCCCCGATGTTCACTGCCATTCCAAATCGACCCAACGACCAGCGGTGGTGTGGGAGTGGCTCGCCACGGAGTCGTTTCAGCAACACACAGCCAATCGAGACTATGTATGCTGAGATCAGTGACGTGATTGTTAGAGAGATGACGGCGTTGAGAGCCACTTCGGACCCGATGTTGATCAATGAGAGGAGGACGGTAACACCCAACGATACCATTACGGAGTTGAGGGGGATATTCCAACCAGGTGTAACCTGTCAGTATAGTCAGCTAGTCAGGTTTAAACGACATGTCTAGTGATGATCATTGGCCTACATATGCGAAGAACGATGAGAATGGCAGTCCTTCATCCCGGGCAAATGACCAGAGCTGTCGGGATGCTGTTGCTACCTCGGTGATCGTACTAGCGGTCAAGGTCACTACGAGAACTGCTGTCATCGCGTTGGTGGCGGCGAGACTGCGAGTTGTGTTGTAGAAAATTTGAATGAATGGGAAATGAGTCGGAGTGTCCAATACCATGTCCACTTCCCCTAGTGTGAAGCATAAGGTGACCAACATGATGAATCCAAGGACACCATTGACTGCTACAGAGGACATCATGGCTTTAGGAAGCGTCTCTGATGCATCTTTGATTTCTTCCGCTAGAGTTCTTCTTTAGCTATATGCTTAAATTTCCAATGGTATAAAGAAAACTTACACATGTGGACAGAGCAGTCATAGCCCAGCATGGATGTGATGGTCGTAGAGAGTCCAACCAGAGTCGCTGTCCCTGAGCTATCCCAACCGCCACCATTATGGAAGCTAGTAAACACAGCGTAGGCATTGTTACGCGGTGCCAGTACCCACAGGGGAATAATAATGGCAAATAAACCAATAACATGGATGATTAAAATCAATCCCTCGACAAACGGCAAGTTCTTGGCTAAGAAAGTGTTAAATAATATAGAGAATGTTGAAATTGCAATCACCAGCATTGTTCCATGCCATCTTTGAAAATCATAGTCTGGTTTGTTTAGAACAATCAGACCTTGAATGATTGTACCAGCCAGGTATGCGATGGAGACAATTGCACATTGCCAGCCCATAGCAGATAGCCATCCTAAGGAATATGTTAGAAAGAAGTCATTAGACACATACTATTATTCAATAAAATGTAGGGAAATACCTACCAGTTATGTAACTGAGGAACTTTTGACCTTTCTGTGGCGCAAATTCTGATACCCAGTGATATTGGCCGCCAGCAGTTGGCGCCCTTGTCAATTTATTAGCGCCGGATTCGTGATTATGCAAAGTTGTATCACTTACATCGAAGCCATCTCAGCTATACTAGCATATACAAGAGTAAATCCGATGGAAACACCAATGAATCCCCAAATTAAGCCGGCTGTGCCGCCATCAGCCAAACCAGATGATAGTAATCTACATGCGGTATTAGTATCCACTCAATGATCGTCGCTGCAGCATCCATGAAACGATAAGCTCACGTTAAAATGACCTCCCATGTACAGATCAGGGTACATCCGAACCCTACAATTGAGATAAATCGGAAATTTCTCTGCGTCATGTTAGCAAGCTCATCTACAATCGCATGATCAGGGCTAATCACGCACACGAAGAACCTGAACTCTTCCCAGTGCACTCATATCTCGCTGATCAGCCAATGTTCCCATATACCGGGGCGCAACACCGCCCTTCTGGGCCTTCTGAGGAAAATCTTCCTCGACATCGTCTGTTGCGCTGAAATCCATCTGAGAGTCATTCCTGGATCTGCGGAATCTAGGCATTATTGGGAGAGACCAACAAACTACTCTTTTTCTTTTTCTTTGAGACAACAATCTTCCAGAATTCCCACAAACGAGAGGAAATAGGATTAAAGAATAGACTGGGGCAGCGGAATGAAAACTTTCGAGTAACTGCAGGCGCAGTCTGCGACAAAATACTCGGGGGTAAGATATAAGAAAACGCAGATGTCCGACCTTCACCAGAAGTGTAACTTGGTCACAAACGGCCGTAACCTAAAGAAGAAGGTATAGGGAGAAAGAGTTGCTTGTCTTGTTACTGTCACTTGCATATTTCCAGCCATGAGTCGCACATCGCAGGATTCAAGCGTGGTAGCGACGTGGCAGCAAGGCATGGCCAGGAGAAATTCTCGCGCGAGCCATGTGGGAACCCCAAACATCAATTTCGAATGACACATCTGATGTTTGATTCAGAGTGAAGCGTTGCATTGAGCTTGGGCCAGGTACAATCCTTCTGAGTTCAAGTTCTATCCCTTGAATTCAAATGAGCCTGGAGGAATGGGCTATGAAGTTATCGGCACCTTGCATGCCAAGGGGGGTGGAACTTGCAGACCCTTGCCAGCAGGCAACGAACACAAATGTTCAAAACGAACTCCAGAATTTTCGACTCTCTACCTATCTATTATTGACCTTCTTTATCTATCAGGCTGTGGTGTTTATGATGTTGCAGTTGGGAATTAAGAGTAGGATCAGGCTGTAGAGTATATTTGCTTTTGCCCCCGGGCGTAGATCACCAAATAATGATACCCGAGGCTCCGTTAAATTTCCAATGTGAACAGCGCCACATTATGATCTATCACACAAAGCAGATCACCCCTTGATGCTTAAATCTTCCGCTATAACAGTCCACCACTCAATGCCAGAGCTCTGGAGGTATATGTCCCAACCCGAGCCGGATGCACCGTCCCTCACATGTTTGTCCCAGGGGACCAAACCACATGGCCTATTGGAGAGCTGCCCAGCGGATCCACGAGCACATAACTGGCATTTTGATCGACGCCCCAACGCAGGAATGGCAGCTGCCGTCAGAACCGAAGATTAGCGCTCGGTCGCCAGCGTCAACGACGTGAGGGAGCCACTAGTCGGTTCTTCGAAAGTGTGATATCAATGAGATGGGCTGTATAACTGAGCACATCGTACATAATATTGGTGCATGTTTACCTTCCTATCATTCTCTCGTGCAAAGGGATGGCCCGATAATTTTGCCACTAGAACTCTAGGCAGAGGGTCAGGTAGATTGCTCGGGTGGGTTGAGTCCTCTTCATGCTGGGCAACATACAAACACAATTCGGACCCGCCGAGTTTGGGATTTCTTTCTCCCGACTATCGGTACAGTTGATTATTGCTCAGAGCGACCGTGGCCTTTGTGCTACATGCTTTTGTACATACTGTTATCAGCGATTTCGGCTCCGGCTCGAGATTGTGCTGCTGGAGAGCTTCGCCTGACACACATGGGCCCTCCCTTGGCCCAGAAATATCTCATCACGATTGATTTGAAACATAATACAACAGCTCCCCACATGACAAACGCAAGTTCCTCATCTTCCAAAAACCACTGTACCCTGTCATGGGCCCCTATGTGCCTCCGGGCCAATCGCCACCATTTGAGGTTGTCGACGACTTTCACCATGGAGCGTGGATTATCATAACCGCTGCCCTAGGGCTGGTAATATCACTTGTCTGCTTTTTAATTCGACTTTACGTCAGGTTGATGTTGATACCACCATTTGCACGAGATGATTTTGTTCTCCTTGCCGCAACGGTAAGTTACCATCAGAGCTGAGATTCACAAGCAACCTTGAAACGAACAAGGCTGAGCGATTAAAATAAAACTAGGTGGTCGGAATCATTCAATCCACCTTAGTTTTTTATGCCTGCTCCAGAGGATTTGGAACATCACTCTCACTTCTGAACGAATCCCGACTCAACCAGATCCAAACAGTATGTACGTCTCTACATTTAATACAATTTTGAGAAGGCATTAAGTAAATTAGTTAATTGCGACAAGCGACGCATTTGCCTTGGTGGTTATTTACCTCTCAAAATGCTGTGTCGTCGCTATCTATTTTCGTCTGACACCACAAAAACCGCACAACAGAGCGTCGTGGGCTACTTTTGCCTTGTGCACCGTTTGGTTGATCTCTGCTGTTTTCATTTTACTGGTCAACTGTGAGCTTAAACGGCCTTGGAGGGTCCAGGGTGGCCAATGTCATAATTTAGTAAGTCGTTGAATGCAGCAGAGACGTAATATGACTCTAGCAAGGATGTTTTGGATTTGCTAACAGCATTGTCGTTTCTAGTTTCGACGATGGAAATTTATAGCAGCTGTCGATATTATAACGGAACTCATTTTATTCTCACTAGCTGTTGCTCTGTTGAAAGGGCTTTTTATGTCGATAAAACGAAAACTCGGAATCGGCTTTGCATTCATATTTCGGTTTCCGTGAGTACAGAACTTGTTATTCAAATCATCCATATCATACACAAATATATGATTCTAATATGTTCTTTTACTAGGTTAATTATATTCACTCTGCTCCATATGTCGTCTCTTAACTCCGCTCTCGCCGATAACGATGTCACAATCGCCGCTATAGAACCTACACTTTGGCTCCAGGTCGAACTGCACTATGCCCTCGTTGCATGCAGTGTATTCTGTCTTCGCCCTTTTATGGCAGCTGTCAGTACAAACTACGGAACGGCAGGCGATTCAAATCTGGAGAGTAGTGCTTCTCGATCCAGGGAGACAAAGAGCAGTTCGAAATCCGGATCTGGATCTGGATCAGGATCGAATTCGGCTTCGAGATCAAGGTCTTTGTCACGGGTTCGAAGGAAAAGGGCCGGTACGGGGTCTAAATTGCCGAGATCGGGGTCGAAGGAACAGCTTTGTCGTGATAAATTTGCTCATGGTGGGCTAGGAGCAGACGCAGCTCTTCCGGATAAGAAAGAGAAGAAGAAGAAGGCTGTTGGGATGAAGCAAAGGGGTTGTGAGAAAGATGCGGGCCCGCGAGCTCCGATGAGACGGTCTATGTTTCCTCTCGGTCAACCCATTTCTAGTAAGCCGAATAAGCCTGTTAAAGCCAATCAAGGAAAGTCTGGGGAAAGAATCCTGGAGGAAGAACCTGCGCTTCTTGAGTTTGACTCCGATGCTATTGAACTGATGCCACAATTGCAGCGACAGCATGCACGAACAGATGAGGCAGGGCCTGCGAGCAGTGAAGATCCTGATAGAATGGTTATTCGGAAGGAAGTTGAATACTCGGTCCAGTATGAGTATGAAGGGCGGAGGCGCGAGAGGATTCAGGGAGAGGCAGAGGGCGTCTCAAAGAAGAGCTCGACTGATGCCATGGCATATGTGTAGGCCCGGGCTTCTGGTGCCCACTGGTGGTGACATTTAGGATTCAACTGCAGGCTCGAGTCTCTCATTGTTGGTGTATATACTCGGAATATGTGAAGAGTGCGTGTCTCAATTGCGTTCAATTTGATAATTGATATAATGCCCATTTTGGATTTGATAATTGTCGCTAGTCAATGAATGTGTAATGTACATATGCATTTTAATATGCAAATATATGAATTTATATCCCAAAACCGAAGCAAGACAGCCTTATTGGCCCGTTGAACACCATGTCGCCGATTCCAAATATGCACTGAAAAAAAGCCAAAAGAATGCCTCAAACAAAGCCAGAGGATCGCTTGAAAGGATGGGCCTCGGTACTCCTGAAACAGAACAATATTAGCTTCGGATAATAGAAACCAAGGGATGAAGATATTGGATAACTTACAAAACATACTCGTCCAAGCTAACCACGCCCGGCTCGGAAAATATGAGGTATAAATATTTGAGCGTCTCGGCAAGCCAATAGCTCTCCATTTTGTCTTCCATATTCGATATTGGATCACGAACATCCTCAATGGAAGAGTGTCCGTATTTGGTGCGAGTGCTTTTTTCAATGTTCTGGAACATACGCCACGCTGCATCTTGCAAAGACTTATCACCTGTGATTCGGTACATATAGAATACAGACTCAAGTGCTTCGGGCCTATTTTAGCCGTCAGTATCTTTCCCGATGCCCTGGTTGTTTGACTATCAAAAAAGGCGCGAATCTTACCTCAGTTTGTATGCGGTGTTCCTAGCTGTACCCATCCCCGGTGGAACTCCCTCTGAAGCAATGATCTGTTGTGCTTCTTGAAGGTCCTTCTTCTGTTTAAGGGGTTGCCTGAGGACAGACTCATACCATCGCTTTTCGTCCCAAGGACATTCATCCATGTCTTTACAGGGAGTGTACTGGAACGACTCGGGCATGATCCCGGTTGGCATTGAATCATACGCCCAGATACATCCATCTGTGAGTCCACGAGCAATTGTCAAGTCTTGGGGACGATTAAAGATCTTTGCCGCCAGTCCTACTGTTCCACCCAGGAAACACTTGAGATGGTCTGAGCTGTGCTGGACGATAGGGCCATGTCTACGGTCCAGTTTCAAGTCCCCGGTGAAGAGAATCTTCTTGTCCTCGTCCTTCGTTACTGCCCGGAATAGCAAGTTGTGCTTGATCGCATCCAGAGCTCGGATGTACATCTTCTCATACTGATCTGTCTGAGCACCGAGGATAATATGCTCTTTAGGAAGGTATTCATAGGTCGAATCGGCACAACCGCCAATTGAAAATTCAGTACCGGTAAAGTCCAGACGCATTGCGTCAATAGACACGGGCCATAGACCAGGGACATTGGTTTTCATCTGATTTTTGTCCAGTTCGTTCGTGATACGCTGCACGGCGTCGTAGTATTTCGGGTTATTGGTCAATTGTGTCAAGCGAGTGAATTCCAGCGTCAAAGAGCCTAGTTCTGCCAGATTGGTATTTCTCATGGGCTCGATGGATTGCCCGATGGCAGACCTGCTCCACTTCCAGCGCATCTGAGGCATGTGGTTGTGTGTGTCGAAGGCATGGTAGATCATGTCGCCGAGTTCCTGTGCTTTTTGAAGGAGGATTGGGTATTTTCCATTGGTCAGGTCGTGGGCTCCGATTAAACCACCCATGTATCTAATGATGATTTCAAAGACATTGACCTCTGAGCTGAATGTGGTTGTGAAATCAATTTGCTCGAGTGCTTCCAATGCAAGCTCTACTTCGTCATCCAGACCCATAATAATCAAAGTATCCAAGGAATCCACCAATGTGGCTCCCCAGCCACTAAATGAGTCCTCGAATTTCCCACTGACAGGGTTTACTTCATCTCGAAGCCAGGCGTGGTCTTTATACCCGTTCCAGGCGTGTAGGAACTCCTGCTTCACAACTTTCTGTCTGCGAAGTCTTTCTTTGCGCTCAAACCTACTCTCTGGCTCGAATTCATGTTGGATGCGAGGAAGTGGAGATGGACTTGTAGGTAATTGAATGGTCGATTTAATAGGGTATATCTGGTGTGCGTCGGTCAAGTGGATGTTATCTTTTCGAGCGTCATGGTTTATTACGGGTGTCGGTCTTCGGAGATGGGACCAAGGGAAGTGAATGAAAGGTAGTTGGAATAGAAAGATGTATGCGGCGATTAAGAGAAAGAATGCAGTTGTCAATGGCCGACCTCGGCGATTTGAGGGCATAATGAATGAATGGCAGTTCGCGAAAACGCTGAACAAAATGTGAAGTCTATCGATGAAAAATGTCCATGGGCAATTCGAAAGGAGAGAATGAGCTACGGGTAGCCTGGTAGGATAAAGAAACACACGAAGAAAAAAAGAATGGCTGTTCAGAATAGATCCATGGAGAAATCCTGCACTACGTAAGAAGCAGGGGACGTTTTTGAGATGACAACGCCACTGAGTCCTGGGGATAAGGAGATGGCCCCAAAAGTAAAAATCACGTCAGTGGGGAAGGCAAAGACAAATTTATGAATTAGGGAGGCGAAGCTCCATTGATCGCCAGGGATCCATTTTATGTGTATACACATAAGCTTTTGAGACACGTCTTGGGGGAAGATTAGCAAGATCAACAGATCAAATGTGATTGGGGCAGCTGAAGGAACACAGCTTCTAATTTTCGATACAGTACCTATAGAATTGACAGGTTTCTTTCAAGTCCCAGGAAAAGAGAGATAATATGGAAGCAGTCATGGCGGTCAACGTCCACAAGAATGAATTTTCATCGTAGCCTCGTCTAGGCCCTTGTAGGCTCTGGTTACTGGAGGGGTTTCGATGAGTAGGAGCAAGCCACTGCATGTCAGACCCATTTCTCCCCTGAATCCTGACCCGATCGGGGTTGAAAAACAGTTGATCGTGGTCAAGCTCGGGATGTGATATCCATTGTGGCGGAGCGCGTGGTGCTAGCGGGTCTAAGTTAGGCTGGCGGAGGACAAAACACTCCGTGTTATGACAAAAAGTCAATCACTTGCTTGAACAGTTGACACGGAGGACACCCAAGCCTTTCCTAAAGTTTAGCTCAATGCTTCAAATTCTTGGAAATAAGTGCGATCTGTCCTGCAGATCTATCCTACTCGGTTTGAATTGTGGGGATTAAACAACGAGCGTCGCGACCGCCACAACCAACCCTGTTCGCCTTCAATCAACCTGTCAATCGGTGAGCATGGGAAAAAAGGTTGCACGAGACGAAGCATCATCACTGTATCCCAACTTCAAATATGTACTCAATTTTTTGATTAATTAAATGCCTGTTGTAAACACAATTAGCTGCCTCGCGCCCGTGAGATGGATCTCACGAGATTATGGTGTTTGTTTTGTTTGCAATAGCAACGTCTTCCGTAGTCGAAGCATAATCACTCGAGATAGCAATGGATAGACTCTAGATGTCCTCAAGCCTACATATACCCCAATTCATTGCCTGAACAAAGTGGGTGCATTTTAGGCAGATATTTATTCTAATGACTCTGCTAACTCAGTAAATAGATTCAGAGTTCACGTCCATTGTCTTCTGTTTATTGGACTCCTTGAAAAGCCTCGTTCGTCACCCGAGCTTTAACTTCCTTCGCCGTGGCGAAGTGGACGAGCTCGTGATATAATTAAATATATTCAATATCCAGAATCCTTGTTTCTGGTGGAGTCTTCATCTCGCCAGCCGCGCTTAGGACACTCTAAAGACCGGGCATAGCCTGCTGGGCAAGAACATTTGAAAACCAGGGACCAAAATGCCAATCACCGGGTACGCTCTCTTCATGAATGTTGATGCCCACATTAAACAACCAGCTTACGATTTTAAACAGCGTATATTTTATTCCCTCGCTGCCAAATGCCTCGACAGCCCGTGGAATTATCAGTGAGCGCCTACGCTCTGTCTACCCGGATGAAGATCTCCTCCCCCTAGGCCAATGGAGCCTAGAACAAAAATTGATGCGAGACACCCCAAGTCTCCTTCCAGGATATAAAGGAACACCACATTATATGCATTTCCTGTCCATAGCCACACATTACCCCAAGCATGGCTTCATATATACAGCCGGTCCACCAAAAGCCCCCAACCCCCAACTTTCTCTATCTACATCGACAGGAAACGGTGCAACTCCGGGACAAAGCCCGAATCCCCAAGCTACAAACATCAATTCACCCCAAGCACCTGGGCCGTCAATGCCAACTCCACCACAGCTACAGTCGAATACCGATAGCAAAAGTTTTGCTGCAGGATCGGAAGTCATGACTATTGTCCCCAGTTCTTCTTTTGGCATGCTTTTTAGCCATTTTGTCTACGCTTGCCAACCCTTTTGGGCTCATCGAATGACTGTTTCCGTATCTAATGGTGTTGTCTTTGATGTGGGTGATTTCCGGGTTAGGCTGGGTGATGTGCGTCAGGTGTGGCCTACTGCGCGGGCTCGCGGAACAGTTGTTGAAATCGAGTGGCGCGGCCCTACGCTTGTTGATACGGTTGCTTCGTCTTTGGGTCGGGGTGGTGAAGACAATGCAAATGCAGATGGGGATGCTGATTTGGGGATCGATGTCGATTTCTCTGCTGTTGACGAGGCAGATCTTGATGCTGAGTTTATAGCCACTGCGACCCTGATTCGGGAGTTCTGGGGAAGATTGGGTATCGAGGGGGCTAGGGAGGCTATTCTTGTTCCTGGATATGGGAAGGAGATCAAGGGTTGCTTGAGAAGGTTACGGGCTAGGGAGAAGCGGGGTGGAGAAGAAACTGTGGCGGAGAATGAGGCAGATATCTATGCTGGAGCCGATCTTGCAAAGCAGTATATGGAGGTTTTGCGGTTTAATCGGTGAGTGGATTATATATGGCGAGGCTTATTGCTGCTTGAACATTGAACACGAAGACAAAAGCAGACTTTCTTAATTATGAAATACCCCAATTTCTGTTGCAGACTTCTCCTTTATCCAAAAAAATAAACCTTATCTGGTATACGTAGAGGTGGGGCAAGCTAGATTTTAACATAAAATTCCATGGCCTACATTATGATATCCCGAATGCAACCAAATCGTTCGCCGAATTCTGAACGTCCTATCTGCATTTCAAATTGCACGCTTGATCATGGGTCATCCAAGCTATAGCCTAGAAAGAAGCATAGACTACAAAAGACCGTTATGAGGGTAACTGAGAAGAGAAAAGAGAAAACATCCTGGTTGAAAACCCGCGACTTCAGTTAAAGATGAACAAAAATATCGTGACGTGAGAATTGTTTATTTTTGCATCATGAGCTGAACGAACTCGTTATCTGCGATGGATTAGCTTGTGTGTTCTGGTATTCGTAAACATGGAACCCATGAAGCGAGACGCTTCATGGGTTCCGGATTGAGGGAACGTACAGTCAATGCGACCATCACCGTCCTGATCAGCCTCACGGATCATCTCGTCCACCTCATCGTCGGTCAGCTTCTCGCCAATTGAGGTCATCACGTGGCGCAGCTCGGCGGCGGAGATGAAGCCGTTGTTGTCGCGGTCGAAGACCTTGAAAGCCTCTCGGATCTCCTCCTCGGAGTCGGTGTCCTTCATCTTACGCGCCATCATGGTAAGAAACTCTGTGTCCGCATGTCAATGCAAGTATTCCGAGGCTTGGATTATTCGGAGAGGGAGATCGTACCAGGGAAGTCAATGGTACCGTTGTTATCGGCGTCGACCTCGTTGATCATGTCCTGCAGCTCGGACTCGGAGGGGTTCTGACCGAGGGAGCGCATGACAGTGCCCAGCTCCTTGGTAGTGATTTGTCCTATCGAGTTTATTCGTCTCAGTCACTCGTTCACTCGATATAGAGTACATAATCGGTTTTAAATCATCGAGTCCGATAACGATCGCACTCACCATCGCCATCCTTGTCCTGTTATCGGGAAAAGTATCCATTAGTATTGGTTTTTAGGCAACATTTTTCTCTCTCTTCTCAATCAACCGAATAGAATACTCACAAACAGGGAGAATGCCTCCTTGTACTCGGAGACTTGCTCTTCGGTCAGAGAATCGGCCTGTATTCAGCGCAGCAGTCAGTCATTATGTCCCCAATGGGCAGTTTATCTCACAGCCCCGCAAAACGGTGGGGTCTTATTTCTCCCACGGTTCTGCAATGCAGAACAAGCGTGAGGAGATAAAGACAGATGGGAATATCCGAGTGACATGGGATCATACCATCGTGAAATGTGGTGGGAAAAATGAGGAATGGAGAAAGGTCGGAGGAGGGGTGATGAATGGTGGGGAGAGAAGATGTTAAGGGGAAAGGGCCAGCCTTACGAGCGAGGTACATGGTACTGTACACCAAAATAGCGTGCCTGGCAAGTGCACCACTCACAGTAAGGTATTCCGCAGGCGGTCAGCCCCATCTACACTAGTCAAAAAAACAACGTGGAAAAGCATTCGAGATTCGTGTACATTTCAACGTTAGCAGGGCTGAATTCCCTTTTTTTCTTCTCCTCCTCAGCTGAAAACTCAAGTGGAACCCTTGATAGCTGCAACATGCCTCTAATAGGCCCTAGTTACAGGGCTGGGATCAGGTGTTGCACCAACCCACTAACCCGGCACCACTCAGAATTGGGCGATAGGTAGAATCTTGGCGTTAGACCTGATCATGACTACTGGAAAGCTTGGGTACCGCGATAATGGACTAGCAAACGCCCCGTTTTCTCTATTTTGCCTCCCCAGAGCCCCAGAAGATTTGATGGTGCAATCAACCCCGCACTTGACATCGGCCAAGATTGCCCCCGTACAACAATCCTCGATGTTGAACGAGGTGGATATCCACAGCACGAGCTTAAAAAACGAAATACGATGAGCCCATAGATTCGTGTCTCAGAGAACTTGGCTAGGTTAAACGGCAAAACACGGGAAGCTATTCGTTCGATCTAAACAGCACTAGAAACACACTGGGCCATTTGGGCTCTGGAGGTGAATTCTTGGGCGGAGGTCGGAGTATACAGACGGATTCCGAATCCATTTAGTATGACCCCATGTAGTTTCATAGTGGCCATGATCTCCATAGGTATTGTTCATGATTAAGGCATCAGAGCATATTAGATACCTATAGGAGAGGGACGGAGCAAGTACTTGAACATTGGATAAATGTATGACGGGGCTTACTAACTTCTTGCCCATTTCCAGCCTCGAAAGTAGGCAATCAGGTACTTGTGGAATATATATGTAGAATTAATACCAATCCCAAAATGTGATATCTGGTGGTCTTCGAACTACAATCTACCAGGAAGCACTTGTATTAAGTGAATCATGATATGCTCATAAAATATAGCAGAAATTCATGGATGTTGATATTGCAGCAGGGAGAGGTAGATGTCTCGAGTCTTCTTCGGAATCCGCGAAATAATTGAGTAGAAATCAACTATCAAGAGCGATATCTATGGAATTTAAATGATGTTTGTCGTGTCTAGTGTTAATTTGCTACATAAGACGCTGTATGACCTTACAACATGCATATTTAATCAAACATACTTCCAAGGTTCATATCAACTGGTCAAAATCAACACAAAAAACAGTTGGGTTTTATAAATTTTATTTTATTCTATTTTGCTACATATCCTTTCTATGAAATATAATATCACAACCAAAATACTCGAAATCATGCCCATAAGGTGTGTGGGTGGGGTTGGTCCTAGATACCGGGCGAATACCTACCTGGCTTGCCCGTGTGCAGTGGAGAGAGCTTCCCGGAACCTGACACCTCCGCTAGCTTCATCATACTCCGACCACATCACCGCCGATACCTCGAGAGCAACACACGACACCCAATTCCACCGTGGACCGATCATGAAATATACATCCACACAACGTTACTCTCCATAAACTACACGCGCCATCCCCCCTATCGGCCCCAGCCACGATGTGGCGGGATCGCACCAACCTGTACGCTTGCCCCCGAACCTGAACCAGCCACGGCACCCTGCGCAACCATGAAAGCAAATGCTAACATTACCCTGCTTAACAATGTAGCTATATCTCCTACCGCCAATCCTTCGCGCACCACCCAGCCAAGAAACCGCGTTTTACAGGCTCCTCCAATGGCTTCGACTCACCCTCCCAACCGGAGGAAAGCCGGCGACTGATCTCCGAGCCGGGCGGATTCGAAGAGGATGGAGACATGGTTATTGAGATGGATCTGTTACCGCCGCGCTGGGCTGATGTCCAGGAAGAGGTCTCGGAGCATTTGGCGGATATTGCGCAGAAGTCGGCTCACCTAGATAAGCTGCATCAGAAGCACTTGCTCCCTGGATTTGGGGATGAGGATCTTCGGAAACAAGATGAGGGAATGATTGAGAAGTTGACTCAGGAGATTACGCGCAGTTTCCATGATTGCCAGAGGGCTATTAAAAGGATCGGGGTGATGATTCAAGAGTCAAAGCAGCAGGGTAGCGTGACGGGTGCCGAGGAGACAATGGCGAAGAATATCCAAATTTCTTTAGCGGCCAGAGTTCAAGAAGCGAGCGCAAGCTTTCGGAAGAAGCAGAGCAATTATTTGAGGAGTGAGTGGTTTGGATTTCCCTTCTGGTATTCTGATAGAGGGGACTCAGGCTAATTACGATGCTTCGTTTAGAACTGCGCGATATAGAAGGATTTGCTACGCCGTTCGATCGTGCGCCGACGCCTGTTCAGAATCCCTATACCGATCCCTCTCTCATGGAGTCAGATGCGGACAAGTCATTTTCTCAGACGATGTTGATGCAGACGCAACAGCGGGCGACGGGTCAAAACGACGCAGCTATTGCGCAGCGAGAGCGCGAAATTAACGACATCGCTAAGGGTATTATTGAACTTTCGGATATCTTCAGGGAACTTCAGACCATGGTCATTGATCAAGGTACCATGCTTGATCGCATTGATTATAATGTCGAGAAAATGGGAACCGAGGTTAAGGGTGCGGAGAAAGAACTGAAAGTGGTGTGTTGGCCCTCTCCTTGTTTGATGTGATTGTGCAACTACTAAATGTTATTTCCAGGCTACAAATTATCAACGACGAACTACCAAACGAAAGGCTATGCTTTTGTTGGCCCTGGTGGTCATAGGCTTGATCATTATCGTGGTTATCAAACCGAAAAAGCATGGATCCCCACCGGAGGCGGCTGCTGAATCTGATAGCAACACTCGATCAGTGCTGGCATTGGTAAAGCGAGCAAAACGAAATTCTCCATCCAGTCTCTTTGGTCGAGATCGTTGGATGGACCCGGATATATTACGATGATGGTCTTTATGACATTGTGTGCAAATAATTTCAAATTAGCGTGGAATCCCTATGAATGAAGTTTCTAGACGATTCAAAGGTAAACCTTGGTGCTCCATGGTATGGGTAGGTCCAACCTTGAAACATAATGGATGGCTCTCATTTAAATCTAGTCGATGTTCAATCTTGAGAGAGACCGCTTTCTTCTCTCAGAGATGGATGTAAAATATATGAATGAGTACAAATGAAGACAAAGTGGGCGATAGAATGTAAATTCTGATGTAAATTCAAAGGCAATTATCTTCCATCTATTGCTTTCCTTCCTGTGCGATCAATGCCGCCACATCGGCATCCAAATCTCCAGTCGCAAACTCTGCGTAATCCTCCTCACGATGGGAAACCTTCTGTCGCTTGGCAGACCCATTAAGGCTGATATCAAAGTCGTTGTCGCCCCCAGGAGAAACTTCCGATGGGTCAGGGAATGAAAGTCCGTTATCAGGCTGTGCGTTGTCGGGTATAACGAGGGATTGGGGAAGAGTTACTTCCGGTCCCTCTGTAAAGGGACCATGGCTAGACTGCTGTTGTGGCTCATTCTTTGGAGATCCAACGGGTGTAATGGCTTCAACAGGTGGAGGGGTTAGCTCTTCAGCTTCAGGGCGGTCGATATCTTCTTCGCCGTATCGATAGGGTGCTTCATCACCTGCACCCATGTTCTGCATAATGGCATCCTCAACTTCACGCTTCTTCGCATCTGTCTGGGCCTTTCTTTCCGTGATTTGTTCAGCTATGCTCTCCTCCTTCGCTAATTCCGATCGGTTAATTGCAAGAAGTTTTTCAAGACCGTCGATCAGCTGGCGTCGTGACTTGATGACCTCTGAAACCGAGCTTTCAGCATTGGCAAGGGACTTGAGGAGTTGGCTTAGACGCGCGGCGTGAACGGGAGGAGCGGGCAGCGATTCTTTGGTGTCATTCAGCTTTTCGTACTCATGTGTCGCAGATGAAGCTATCGTGCTAGAGGCAATAGCGGCTTTATTAACGGAAACTTGGAGAGGGACGAGTGGTTGAAGCTCGGATGGTGTAGACCCAGCGGAGGAGTCCTTGAACAAGGAGCCACCAAGAGGCTGCTTTTTAGTAGTCGAACGTGTCTTATCAATGTCTAATAGTGGGCAATGTTAAAAAGCCTGTCGTAAATAGTATGAACGGTCCGTTTGCTAGCTTACCATTCACCCTGCCATCCACAGCATCCAGAATAGGCCCTTCGAAAACATTTCGCTGACGCCATACCTCCACAACACGACGAAGCTTCTGTTGAATATCATTTGTAGCGCCCTTGTATGCTGTAGCGGTGGCCTCGGCGACAATCTAGTCTATTGTTAGTTCGTAAGACCGATAAGAACAGGGACCAAATGACTAACTGGTGAGAATGCTATAATGAACTCTTCTCGATTCCGAGCTTTGGATTGCTGCGCAACCTCTGTGGTATTGTTAGCGAATGGATATTGAACTCGGTGGGACGCGTTGTACCGTTGGCAAGGTAGACCAAATTAAGGCGCTTGAGGGGTTGAGAATCACGGATCTTCTGCAGCCAGATCTGCGCGGTACGGTCGGCGTGTCGTCTAAATTGGTATCAAACTAGTTAGCATATTTTCAGCTCGAAGAAATAGTGCCGTGTCGTTTTCGTACCTATGAAACATAACCCATTGCGCGACAGTGACGATACTCTCTTGGGTTTCGTTCAATGCTGAGAGCTTTGCCTTGACGGCGTCATCCGTAAACGCCATAGTTACAGTTCAGCGATATTTCTTTATGAAGTGAAAGTAAAAGAGGAGTTTGGGTTTGAGGGGGCTAAGTCGCGAGCCGGGTGGATTCGCGATGTTTGGTAGAAGAGAATAATGATAGCAATTGGTTAATTGCTGAATGAGGGTAAGGATTGGAGGTAGATTGGAACAATTGATTCAAGACAAGCGGCCACAAAAAGTCACTGGCACGGTCCTTCTTGTGCGTAACCTTGGAATTTGAAGAGAGAGAAAGTGAAGCTACTCTTTATTCCTATCACAGCTCAAAGTGTTGACCGCCCGTACGCTATAGGAGACGATAGCACCCAGTGGGAGAAAACCCACTGGGCCATAGATTAACCTTTACCGCCTGGCACACCGCTATCTGTACTGTAAGCTCTATATAGATGGGGAAACAATTAGAAAGACAAGTACATTAGAAAGACAAGTACATTAGAAAGATATTTAGAAGGAAAACTAAAAAGACAATTGGAAAATCAACCTTGGAAGTATCCATATATATTTTTATAACTACATTTTAACTAAGCTTGTCCTTCTTATCTGTCTAAGGGTAGAATACCAAGTGACAGACATACCCAAAGTACCTATAATTTGTGCAGGTTTGGTGAATTCATACTAGTAGACTATAAGGATAGTTCCCGACATTAACTCCAAAATGTTAGGAACTTGAAGTTGATATTGTATCCAAAATCTTCGAATTGTCAGCACCAGTAAATAACCTTGTTTATTTTGAAGTTATAAAAACAAGACAGAGGATAAAGAACTCATAGAAAGTCAATGCTTTGAAGCTATATCTGAAGATAAAGGATCAAAGCTCAACTTAGCAAAGTCACCTACTTACCTTGGAATCCTCAAATGTTTGAAGCAAGGTGTTCCAAGAGGGCTTCCAAGCCCTGGATGGAGCCCTGGAGCCCCGGAGGAAGTATAGTGTCACCGTATTACGGGTATTTTAGTTTTCTGCCAGCCTGAAACAGGCAACTTGGGTTTTTTCCCGCTGGGCGTTATCGTCTCCCCTAGACCGCCCTAGCCAGAGTGGGTGTATGTGTACGGGGCTCCGCCATCTCGCCGGCAACCTGTCAACTACAAGCTCTCATCTTCCTTTGCTCGCCATTTCTTTCTTCTTCTCTCACACTCCCCATCTTTCAAGAAACCCATAAAGAATCATTCACATAAATAATGGCTGACCGTTTCCCCTCCTTGGAGGACTTCTCTGAGGGTATGTTCCACGCATCCGCACTAACCTGAACCTATCCGTTTGTTAGGTGTTAACTGACATCATTGTCTCTAGGCCAGACTGAAGTCGTTGAGGCCCAAGGTGCCGACCACGACGACTTCCTAGCCCGTGAGCGCGCTGCTCTGGGCGACGACGCCGATCAATTCGCAACCTCCAATGACCACACTGCAGCCAACGAGGGCGGAAACGGAGATGATGACCTACTAGGTGGCGGCGATGGCACACCTGCAGAGGAGATTGGACAGTTTGAGTCATCTTTCCCCTCAATCGGTACACAGGCACAGAACGAGGTATGACTTGAAGGAATTAGTTGTATGACCCTCTTAGGCGGGAAGTTGCGTTGACACCATTATGCAGCAAGTCGCCCCTGGCGGTACAATCACCGGCTCCGGCTCTCCCTTTCCCTCAACTGGATACCAGAATACTCAGCCCGAAGATGAGGGCGATGCAATTCGGTAAGCTAAGCTATACCCTACAAAGAGCTGTTTGCCACATGCAGACTTGGAGTTGCTAACCTTATTTCGCTATGCAGGGAATGGCGTGCGAAGCGCGACGCGGAGATCGCTCGTCGTGCCGAGGTCTCGAACGAGAAGAAGGAATCTACCGTCAAGAAGGCACAAGAGGACATCGACGACTTTTACGTTTCCTACAACAACAAGGCGGACAAGCACCGTGCCCAGACAAAGGCAGAGGCTGACCAATTCCTCGCCAATCGTGAGGATACCTCCGCCGGTGGTACTAGCTGGGAGCGCATTGCCAAGTTAGTGGATGTCTCTGGCAAGGGTAATGTCGGTGGTGCGAGCGGCTCTGGCAAGGAGCGCTTCCGTGAGTTGTTGATCGACTTACGGAAAGACCAGGAGGCCCCGGGCGCCAGCGGGATCTAGATTGCTTGGGCTTTCTTAATACACGATTCGTTGAGGGAGGGGTTGAGAAGGCATGGGTCTAAAGTCGATCAGTTTATCGATACCCAGGCGCGTGCGAGGCATTTGGTCCCCTCTGGGTTTCTTACCCTCCAAATGCCCTGATTTCAGTCGCAGGTTTAGAGGGGGGTTGAACTCTGCTCTATTTTTATTCTTTTTTCTCTTCATGCAAGGACGATTTGAGGAGAATTGTAATTTAAGCTTTCAGACTTGCGGCATCGTCAATACCAAGGATTTCTTTTATTGTGATAGACTCAAGGTTATTTTAATGTCACATGCGTTTCTTAAAGCATGATTGATTGATAAAAACACAGATCAATGCATTCATGTACTTCATAACAAAAGAGGTCGTGTCATATTTCTTGTTGCTCAATCTAACTCTGTGATATCACCACCAGGTTCTCCAACCTCCTCTGTTTGCCTTCCCTCGGCTTCTAGCTCGGCTAGCTTCTGTCTGCCCTCTTCAGTGGTACCATCAATGATACCCTCCTCCATGCTGAGCATGCCACTTTCGCCTAGCTGCTCGACAACGCCTTCGGCCTCCTCTACGGACATGTTGCCAAGAACCTTGTTTACCTCGTCAAGAGATTCAGAGGCCAATGCTTTCTGGAGATCTTCGGAGAACGCGTCATAGATCTTGCGAGCTTCAATCTCGATGGGTTCTTGACTGTTCGCTTGGGGGAGGTTGATGGTAATCTTCGTGTTGGGGTCAACAGCGTGTAGCTGAATCTGTTCCACGCCTGCAGGGTCGTTGGAAGCGGAGCCCTCTTTGCTCAACTCAAAAGCACGAGTCTTGATGCGCTGGTAAGTCTCATTGACATCGTTGATGAACAGTGCTGATGCGCGGTGGTCCTTTGTTGTAATGCTATTAAATGATTATGTTAGTTAATGACCCTCGATTTATTGGTGGGAAGCAGTTATAACTGTGGCGACATACCGAGTGAAGAACAATTTGATACCATCGGGGCCCAATGATCGACAATATTGCAGGAGGAGACCTTGATGCACACACTGGCGGGCATAATCCTCCTGTCCCTTGATTTGAGAATTGAAGGCTTCGACAAGCAAGCCGTCGGTTTCTTTCTCGGCAATGATTGATGGATGCGCTCCAATGAATTGCAGATAAGCGTTATAGTCATTGGGCCGGAGGCGGGCGAACTGTTTTCCAAGCTCACTAATTTCGACGTTGGCGGGGTCATCGTCATCTTCATAGTCGGCTGTTGTGCTTGAGGACTGACCGGCACCAGGGTTCAGTAGCTCAACTTGGGAGTCTTTGGAGGAAGCTGCTTGCTTGGGAGCTGCGGCGGTCTTGGAAACATGCGATGTGTTAAATCCCTCACGCAGTCCGTCACTAGTGATCTTGCTTCCTTCCTCCTTCTCTAGCTGAGCAAGCTTTTCCAACAATTGCTTCTGCAAGTCCTTGACCTTGGCCTGATGCCCTTCCACGCCTTGAATGTACGCCTTCATCGGATTATCCGGCTTTGCCTCACCAAGGTCCTTCTTCACCTGATCCACCAAAGAGCTCATCATCTGTGAGTACTTGGGTTGTTCCTTTTCCTGGGTATGGACACCTTCAGGTGGCGGGGGAGCTTGGTCAGCTTTGGGATCACTGGCAAACTCCATGATTGTTTGAAAGATAGGCTGTTCGGGCTGGGCAGAAGAATCTTCATGCTGCTTGAGAGTAGAAAGGAGTTTATCGATGCGCACGAGAAGTCCATCGTTGATAATGCGCTCGTACTTCAGAGTCTTGATTTCGTAACGACGCTGCTCTCGTTGCTGATGAATTTGGGATTGTTTGGCCCTGATAAAAGAACGTTTATCAACATTAGGGTGTACCTCGATATCCGAGTCATCTGATAGCTCAAGAGCATCCCATTTGCTGTAGTCGAGAACCATATTGGTGGGATGCGGGATGCGGATTTTAGTAGGAGAGGCGGGGTATGGTATGCGATGGTGATAGAAAATTTTTGGACGACTTGAAGTATTTATGGAGTGAAAATAGATCCAAACAAAATAGATAACCGATTTCTGACGTGGGATTTAAATCTGTAAATAAATACAAGCCGAAGGAAGAAAATCGCCAACCCAAGCATCTAAACATCCAAAGCTCTCTACGAGCTTCGATGGGCGGTAAGATTCTGCCGGAGTCTTGCCGACAACGGGGGTTTCGCGCTCTTGCATCACCACATGCTTTCGGACAATGCTCTAAATGGTCATGGACCGTACACCACTTTGGCTTTTCCTATGAACACATGAACCCATGAACAGACATATAATGGCCTTTCCTATCTCTCATCAGTGACTATCACCTTGACATACCGCTGCTAAAGCCTTGACCGAAACCGCATCCGAAATATGCGCGGCCTTCGGCTTCCGGCCTGGGTTCCTGGCGCCAGCCCTCGGTCAGTCTTGAGACCGCAAAGTGCTGTGCTGGGAGAACTGTTTTCCCAATCAGGCCAACGTTCTGTACTATCATGTACCTTCAATTCTGCTAAAAGGCCATTTTCAACATCATTCCGACCTCTTCGCGACTCACGTGGCAGTCTTTTCCGGTTGACCGAGGTTCCCCTGTTAATTCACCAAAATGGTTTTCAATATACCCCCTCTACGTCTCGCATTGTTTCGCAAACTCGATCTATCTCCTATACCTCTTGTCGCCTTCAAGAGAAACCGGCAGCTCCGTCTAATACCACCGGTTCCAACAAACGCTCCACACCGGAAAAGAAAGAGGAGGATGACGAGGAGAAAGGATTCGAATTGTCGGAGCGAGCTGCACAAGCCGCGCAGGTTAATTTGAGTGCTCGTCTTGCTAAGGAGGGCGCTTCAGGCAAAAAATCCGGGTTTGCCGAAATTTGGCGATTGCTGAAGGTTGCACAGCCTGAATCCAAGAAGCTCTCTATTGCGTTCTTCTTTCTGCTCATTTCTTCTGGTATTACTATGTCAATTCCCCTGTCAATTGGAAAAATTATGGATACGGCTACAAAGAGTGTCACGGAAGGTGGCGGTGAACTGTTTGGGATGAGTCTTCCGATGTTCTACAGCGCCTTAGCCGGTGTACTAGTCATTGGTGCGGCCGCCAATTACGGCCGTATTATCATCCTTCGTATTGTCGGAGAGCGCATCGTTGCCAGACTACGTTCCAAGCTTTTCCGACAGACTTTCATCCAGGATGCCGAGTTTTTCGACGCAAATCGTGTGGGTGATCTGATCTCTCGACTTGGCTCTGACACCATTATCGTAGGTAAGAGTATCACGCAAAACTTGTCAGATGGATTAAGAGCTGCCGTCAGCGGTGCGGCCGGATTCAGTCTCATGGCCTATACCAGCCTTAAGCTATCAAGCATATTGTTTTTGCTGCTGCCGCCAATCGGCCTGGGTGCCCTGTTCTATGGTCGGGCTATCAGAAACATCAGTCGTCAGATGCAGAAGAATCTTGGAACTTTAACCAAGATTGCTGAAGAACGTCTGGGCAATGTTAAGACTAGTCAATCTTTTGCAGGCGAGATCTCTGAGGTTAATCGGTATAACCAACAAGTTCGCAAAATCTTCAACACTGGCAAGAGGGAATCTCTAATCAGTGCAGCATTCTTCAGTTCGGTGAGTCGTCATTACGCTCTCGGTTGATTTAATTGCGTCTGCTAATATTTTCTAGACTGGACTTATGGGTAATTTGACGGTGTTGAGTCTTCTCTATGTTGGAGGAGGCATGGTCCAATCAGGGGCCATCAGTATTGGGGAGTTGACTTCATTCTTGATGTACACTGCGTATGCTGGTTCAAGTATGATTGGTCTTTCTAGTTTCTACTCCGAACTCATGAAAGGTGTGGGTGCTGCTAGTCGTCTTTTTGAACTGCAAGATCGGCACCCAACAATACACCCCACCAAAGGCCTCCATGTAGAGTCCGCCCGCGGGCCTATTCACTTCGATAATGTGACCTTCAGCTATCCGACTCGCCCAGCAGTGAAAATCTTCAACAAACTGGATTTCATAATTCCCCAAGGGACCAATGTTGCCATCGTCGGACCTTCTGGTGGTGGAAAATCAACAATCGCGTCTCTACTACTTCGATTTTACAGCCCTACTGATGGTACAGTTTACATCAATGGCAAGGATATCAGTGAAATGAATGCCAAATCCCTACGAAGGAAGATTGGCGTCGTTTCTCAGGAACCAGTACTCTTTTCTGGTACTATTGCCGATAACATCTCATATGGTCTTCCCGATGCCACGCGATCTGAGATTATCAGCGCCGCTCGCAAAGCCAACTGCCAATTCATCAGCGACTTCGTAAGTGTTCGTGTATTCTACATATGATTCCCAATACTAACATGCATTTAGCCCGATGGTCTTGACACCCACGTTGGAGCTCGCGGTGCACAGTTATCCGGTGGACAGAAACAGCGTATTGCCATCGCAAGAGCGCTTATCAAAGAGCCTGATATTCTGATTCTTGACGAGGCCACATCAGCACTTGACGCTGAATCTGAGACCCTGGTCAACAGTGCCCTGGCCGCTTTGCTACGCGGAAACAATACCACGATCAGCATTGCCCATCGTTTATCTACAATCAAGCGCTCTGATACAATCATCGTTCTCGGCCCCAATGGAACGGTTGCTGAACAAGGCTCTTATGAGGATCTCAGCTCCCGTCCGGATGGAGCTTTCACTAAGCTCATGGAATGGCAAATGAGCGGTGGAGAGGTTACCTCGCCCCCAAAACGAGCAACAGAGCCAGAAGAGCTATGGGAACTCCAGACGGAAACGGAACCGGAGCTTGTGGAGGAAGAGGAGGCTGTTGAACAGTCTCTTAACAAAAAGGAATAAACGTTGCATTCTTTCTTTTGTGTGACACTACCACTCCACTCACCTAAGGAGTTCTTGTGAGGGCGTCTCAGCTACATACCTGTCGACTTTCGAATACGCTCCTTTCTCTCTTCTCTCGCATCTTTTTGTTTTTTTTTTTTTGGCAATTTGGCGATAGATATTATAAAGACGCTTAACTGTGTATAAACAACCAACATACTGATTAAATTCTATCAACAAATTTTAATTTCGGGTTCAACGCCACCGTGCAGCTACGCAGGCAGCACTACAGGCAGCACTAGGCCTGCCAGCGAACAACAGTTATTGACGTGGACATTAGCGCTCGGAATTAAGAGCCTGTGCATCCGTTCATGTATATGGTAGGCCAAATGTGATGTGCTGGCTCGTGTTTGCTTCAGGCGCCAACCGCATGGGCCGCTTCACCATCATCCATGTTCGAGGGGCATATACCTATAAAAATGGACCAAATTCCCAGTTCATATTTCCAACTTTCACCATTCGTTTCCCACTTCAAGTTGTTTCTCTTCTAAAGTGCACTTGTCTTGGAATGCGCAGTAGAACACAATCCTCACCATGTGTGACGACACCAATGATGACTGCCAGTGTGAATATGAAACTATTATGAGCTCAACATCATGCCAGTCATGCACGACCTGGGCAATGGGCCAGCCTAAGTTACTTGAGCCCCGTGGCGATGTAACAGTGGAGCAAGCCGAAGCTAGCATTGTTGAAATGTATGAATCTGGTATTCCCTTCTTTACAAAGCAGGCAATTCAAGGGCTATGGGACCGAATTCAGAGCAAGACCACTTTGGGGGATAAGATTGTCACCAAAGACATGACTGGCAACTCTCTCGAATGGAATGTGAAGCTCGGGAAATCGATTGAACTTACAACTACCGCGGATCGGGATGTTAGACATGAATACATGTAGTAAGATGCTGTCCAAGATATTCACGAAAATGACCCTCGGCAACTGACATTACATAGTAAGTTACTTGGGGTAAATTACAGATCTGCGGCCCATCTCAAAGGAAATTTGAGATGCGGAGAGGTTGGGAAGGCAGCTTACGCTCCACTGCAATTAATGCATCAACTATTCCGGGTCGACAGTAGCAGCGAGAATAAGGAAACTATACCAGATGACCCAATTGGAGAACGGGATGATGTTGCTAGAGATTTCCAAAAGTCGGCAGCAGACTGGGAAAATATGAGACATGCAAGAACCTAAAGTCAATCTTGCGTTCATTTGCCAGTGGCCATCCCGCTGACAAAATCATCGGGTTCGCTTGCGGTAGTCTGGCTCTGCCAAACAACCACCATGTTTCCGTCCAAACAGCATTGCTTGTCACCGTGAAAAACTGGCTTAAGGAGCGAGTTGATAACAGCGATGTATCATCATATATCCAAGATCCGATGAACACCTCTGTCGATAAGGAGGTCCTTGCTGACTTTGACTTTGAAATGATCGATGATCCGCGCGGCTGGCTTGAAGTCGACGAGCGATCCTTTGTACTTTCTGTTGCACCCAATGTTCCTGTGAAAGAAATCATTGTGGACACCGCCAGACCTGCTATTGCAGTATGGTATAAAATAGAAGAGAAATATATTGCTTCGTGAGTGTACTACCCCAGATATCATTATATTTGGGCCTTACATGAAGGAGCTCAGATCTGACATATTCCTCAGGACTGATCCCAGTACGCCAAGAGTTAGAGAAATGATCGATTACATAAGTTTACATCGGACAACGATGATTTCCAGAAGGTCGTTGTCTACATTCGAAAGTCCGAGACTCCTCCAACTCCTAACCCGGACGGCACATTCTTCACTCCCAAAGGCGACAAATAGGAAAGGCTTCATATTTACCTATGTAGTAGCATGCATACATAGGTATTTGCTCGAATTCTAAACTCCTGGTTTATCTACTAGTAATTTCCTTGCTACAAGATGGATGGTCCAAACTATAGATAGGAATACAGACTTAAATGGTACTAATTACAGTAGTATGAAGTACACGGATCAGCTTGAGATCGATAAAACATCACAAGGTTGGACATGAATCCATGGGATTATTTGGGTACTGAAAGATTCATCAACATTGAATAATACCCATTGCGTCTGACCATCAAAAATCAATGATCAACACCTCGTGCCACCTTACTTTGATTAATTCGCATTCTCCGCATTTAGTTATGCACGTTAGCTCTGTGCTGAACAGAGGCCAGAGGTCGGATACCTCAATCTAAGCCCTTTCACAGCACTCCATTGTAAATTTGCGGTATGCTTTAGTTTTTTATCGTGTATATTTGTAAGCCTTTATGATTTCTTTGCATATTTTGCCAAGTACAAGAGTTGACAGCGAGCTTCAAGCCGCATGTGCTGAATCCTATCCGCCAAGAGAGTCATGTGGGCCCCGTAACTACCGCCCGTCCCCGCTGATTCATCCGAGCTGTAACGTCACCCCTCGAGCTCTGTTCAAAGACCGCGGTTTCCTCACGCTCACAATCTTGAAATACCGGGTTGAAATGGAGTTTTTTCTCCTTTGTTGATTAATCATGGAAAGAATACGCAGAATGGTCTCAGACACGGCTTACGAACCTCTGGAGGATCAACCCGAGGACGACTCTGCGGGAACAGAGCATTCTCAACGACAGCCATGGTCTCGCTTTTCTCGGTTTGAATATAGCATTTTCTTCCTATTGGGAGTCTCCATGCTATGGGCATGGTCAGTCAACCTCGCATTCGCAGGAAGCCCCCTTATCACTGTCCCTGGTTCTAACTTCCGTTGAAATGCCCAGGAACATGTTCTTAGCCGCAGCACCATATTTCCATAACCGTTTCGAATCAAGCGAGTGGACCGCAACCCATTATCAGTCATCTATTCTGTCGGTATCAACTATTACCAATCTTGTAACAGCATATACACTCGCCAAGGTTCAAAAGAATGCCTCTTATCCATGGCGTGTGACTCTATCGCTACTCATCAATTGTGTCATTTTCACTCTGCTCGCATTTTCGACTGTCGTATTCAAAGATATCTCGGTGGGCGCATATTTTGGCTTTTTGATGGTTATGGTAGTTGGCGCTAGCCTAGCCACTGGTCTTAACCAGAATGGCGTCTTTGCATACGTTTCAGGCTTTGGAAGGGAGGAGTATACACAGGCTATTATGAGTGGCCAAGGCGTGGCTGGAGTGCTACCCTGTATTGTCCAAATTATATCGGTCCTTGTTGTCCCAAGGAAGGGGACCACCGACCAAGGCCCGACAACATCGTCTCCCGAATCCGCTTTTATATACTTTTTGACAGCCACTGGCGTGTCTGCGTTGGCACTGCTGGCCTTTCTCTATCTACTCAGAGAAAGACCCTATACGCAGGTGAAGCGCACTGACCATGATGAAGATTCTAATCTGGTCGATCATGAGAATCCAGATGATCAGACTGTCAGCCTGTGGACGCTTTTCAAAAAGCTTCGATATCTGGCCATCGCCGTGTTCTTATGCTTTACAGTAACCATGATGGCGTTTCCAGTCTACACCTCTGAAATATTGTCCGTCAATGATCCACAGAAGTCACGGCTATATGACCCGCCCGTCTTCATCCCACTGGGTTTCCTGTTCTGGAACATAGGAGATCTTTTAGGAAGGTTGGCTGTTGCTATTCCCGGACTATCTCTTGCTCATCGACCGTGGTTCGCTTTTGTCCTGTCCGTTGCACGTGTAGGGTTCATTCCACTCTACCTGTTTTGCAATGTAAATGGCCGAGGCGCCTTTGTGTCCAGCGATGTGTTCTACCTCTTCGTTGTGCAATTATTCTGCGGTGTCACCAATGGTTACTTGGCCTCTAGTTGCATGATGGGTGCCACCTACTGGGTCGCTCCGCACGAGCGACAAGCTGCCGGTGGATTTATGAGCATGATGCTTGTAGGTGGCTTGACAGCTGGAAGCCTATTGAGCTTCCTCGTCGCCGGTTAATGACAACTCAAAGTTGGATTTGCATGTTGTCTTGGCTGTACTGTTCCGGCTATATGCTATAGAGATTTCCCTAATATCTGACGACTTACGATCGCATTTACAAATACATTTCGGTTTCAATAAAGATAAAGATTTTCACTTTCTATTATAACTCACTCTCCTCATTCATACTTCATATGGCCTTGGTACTTCCAAACAACCCCTGTTCTCTGACAAGGGTTATCTTCAACAAAGAACAGACTCTGTCCACCTGTGGGGTTCATCAAAGCTTGCATGGATTATCTCAGTCTAAATGCAATGCAGTCATTTGAGGTCTCAATCAAACTGTCTCAGTTTATGCAATGTCTGATAAGCATTGATAACTATGCAATGACACTGGATATTTCCTGCTAAACATTTTCAAGGCTACAATTGACTTCTTTAGGTAAGAGATACCTAGATGGCCACTTTTACTTGAAAGTTTATAACGGTCTCTGGCACTAGTCTATCCCTTTTATACTTTTTTGGCTGCCCCTCTTGTTACCGGAGAGCACTGGTCCCACTTCTCTTATATTCACATGAGTTACTGAACTGATTCCTTTTCTCCTATCTCTTCACTCGTGGTTTGCAGTCTCACCCTCCTGGCTTCTCCTCCGGTCATTATATGATCCAATTTCACTACCTCAAGTGAATCAACCTTCCTTACATCCAAAGCCAAAACGTCAAACATCTCCCGAACGAAAATGGAAGTGAAAGCTCCCACTGAGCTAAGTTTCTGGGTAGTTATTCAGGCGATCCTCATGCTGGTCAGTACAATCAATCCCGCGCGTCCCACGCGTCTCACCAGTGATTCATTATCTCATGTAGCTTTCTCACACAGCTCATTGGCTACTGTGCCGCATGGACGACGTACAATTTGTACTTTCATCCCCTCAGTCGATACCCAGGTCCCAAGCTGGCTGTGTGCTCCCTTCTTCCTCATCTGCTCTGGGATATTCAAGGGAAGCAGCATGCCGTTGTGAAAAGATTGCACGACAAGTATGGTGACGTAGTTCGCATTGCCCCCAACACACTTGTCTATCGTGCTTCGGCTGCCTGGAAGGATATTTATGGTCATCGAAAGAAGGGACAAAGGGTCTTTCTCAAAGATCCTGCCCTATACACGCCAACACCAAATGGAGTCAATGCCATCATCACTGCGAATGAGCTGGATCATCAGCGCATGCGTCGCTTGCTGACGCATGCTTTTTCTAACAAGGCCCTTGGTGAGCAAGAAGGTATTCTTCATACCTATGCGGACATGCTGATCAATAAACTGGGCGAGGTTCTCTGCGGTTCGAGTTCGAGCTCTCCAGTCGTTGATTTAACTCGTTGGTTCAACTTCACCACCTTCGATCTGATCGGCGACCTCGCTTTTGGAGAACCCTTCGATTGTCTGGCGAATAACAAATATCATTGGTGGGTACTAATCATTCTAGATGCTGTCAAGGCAAGTGCATATCTGAAAGTTTTCTGGTTTTATCCGTTTCTGCTCCCGCTTTTTGCCCTCTTGGTTCCAAAGCATTTACTTGAGAAGCGCAACGCCAGTTTCAATCTCAGTGTCAAAAAAATGCGCCGTCGCATCAACAGCCGTACAACCAGGCCCGATTTCACGTCTTATATCCTCAAACACAGCAAAGATAGGAAGGGACTCTCGCAATCTGAAATTGATGCCAATGCTGCCGTCTTTGTGCTCGCTGGGAGTGAAACGACCGCTGCCCTCCTTTGCGGCTGCATGTACTATCTGCTATGTGAACAAGATAAATACATTCGACTGATCAGTGAGATTCGTGGCGCTTTTGAGAAGGCATCGAAGATCAACCTTACCGCCATTGCAGAGTTTCCGTATCTCAATGCTGTTCTCACCGAGAGTCTCCGCATTTACCCTCCTATTCCTTCCATGCTTCCTCGCATCGTCCCGGCGGGCGGAGCAATGATCAATGAGGGTTATGTGCCCGAGGGTGTAAGTACCACGCTCCCTCCCATCCCGGGGTTTCGGGTGATACATCAAGGGCTCGCGTTTTCTCCCAGTACTAATCGTTATACAGACATCTGTCTCGATCTCCTTGTATTCTGCCCATCGTGCAGCAACCAACTTCAAGGATCCAGACTCCTTCGTCCCAGAGCGCTGGTTAGATGGTCCCGAATCTGAGCCTTACGCCTCAGATAACAAGGAGGCTTTCAATCCCTTCTCCTATGGACCCCGCAATTGTCTTGGACAGCAGTAAGTCATACAGCACACTCATATCTTACCTACTCACCTCAAATATTCAGATCAAAATAACTAACAATCGCTCGTCTACCTCAGCTTGGCAAATGCCGAAATGCGTTTGATCCTTACCAAACTGCTCTGGCACTATGACTTCACTCTTCAACCTGAGTGCTCGAACTGGGCGGCCCAAAACTCGTTCTCTCTTTGGTCGCGCCCACCTCTCATGGTGAAGCTTTTCCGAGCTGGGTCTGAAAGAGATACCGTGGTTTAAATACGCGATTCGTTCTTCTTTTTCCAGCGATTTCCAGCACTTTTCAGCGACTGTATTCCATTGACATTGAACCTTGGATAGAGATTCTTTTCAGTTCTCAGACGGGCTTGGGTCACGGCTTGACTAGAACAACAATTTTCGAGCCTGTTTGAGACAGAGTGAATGCTTTGTCTTAGACCTGGCGTCATTTTAGAGCGTTCGTTCCGTCCTGAGCCAGGCTTTGCTCCCAAAAGTGATTTTTCAAAAGTTCAAAGGACTCAATGGGTCATGTGTAATGATAACGAATGTGGATGATGCTTTATGGCTCCTTTGATCCTAACACGTCTTGCACTTAGCCTTCTCCTTATCCCCGTTTTAGAAAGGGTAAAAGCCATCATTCGACGTAGCCAATTCTTTATTGGTGTCTGGGTAAATCCTAGTAACACTAGACGGCTTTTGAGCATTGCGTGTAAAATGAAAGGTAAAAATAATGAGTATTCAACCATGTATCCTGCTTGTATACCGTGTGTTTGTACTGAAAACCAAAAGAATCAATAATCAAAACTCCTCCCTATGTTGATATTCACAAGCAAAGTATCCCAAACTCCATAACCATATGCTTGAACCAAGCGCAATGAGTCGATAGAAAACCAATGATGCCAATATACAGTTTAGAAAAAGTCTTGTTCAGCCAACCACTGAGAATCCATTGCATACGCAACAAGATCAGCTGCGCAGCACATATCCTCGTGCCCATTTTCGAGGTCCAGAAGAGCAAGAACAGTCTTCATCCTATCCTCGAGAGTCTGCTTGAGCTGCATAACACGAGTTTGCAGATCCTTACTTTGTCGTTCCTTGACCAGGGCTCCAGCCAAGCTCTGATCGTTCGCCTTGTTCGTCTTTCCCTTCGTTGGTTGCCTCTCCATAGCTCGATTTGGAGAACAAGGTGCTAATGCCTTTCTTTGGGGCTGTGGCACTGGGACTGGCGTTGACTGCGTCGGCTCGGGCTTCCGGTTCTTCATCAGGTTCTTAAGTATGAAAAGTAGCCACACCAAATTTGTTCGGGGAGCATACTCCGCCCATATACCCTGAACGTTGCGTGGCTTTTCGGTATCCGAGGGATTTCCAGTATAAAGTGTTGCGCGCATACTGTTGAGGAAATTGTCAGTTGTCTTGCCTTGGCTGAATCAAGGGAAAAGAAACGTACTATCGATAAGTATTTCTCAGAAGTATTTCATCCTCATCCTCACCAACTGCATCGAAGATCTGCTTCTTATCCAAATCGGAAGAAGCATTCTCGATAACACCATCGGGGTCATCGGGCAAATCACCTAGGCGTAGATCGGCACGAGAGAGCGAGTAATCAATGATAGTTGTCTCAAGTGCGCCCAATCCAAATCCGCTAGGCGAGCTTTGGCGTGCGATCTCCATATCAGTGGGCGGATTTGTCGTGCCGTCTGGTCGAGTAGATTGAATGCACACGTTTCCGAGATGGAGATCCCGATGCTACACAGGTATAATGTTAGAGACTTTGAGCCTGTATTCTAAACCTTATAGGGAACTCACTTCAAAAAGAGCGTACTCCTCTGCACGAGCCAAGGCCATAGCAACGCCCCAGAAAATGTCATAAATCTGGAAAATTGACGACCAACTGAACTTCTCCAGCTCACATCCCGCATCATCCATCTCCACAATCGCCCATAGCTGAGTTTCCGGGTATGCCTTCTTGCTAGCCGGGTTAGGATTCTCACAATCATCTTTAGTCTCCTTATAGTGTTCCCAAGCCCGCTGGAAAGATTCCGGGAAACGGCCCTGCACCACATGAATTTCTCTGAACCGCGCAAACCCAGGAATTGGATCTAGGTACTTGAGCATCTTTACTTCCGACGCGATTTCAGCGATGCTGGTGAATTTCTTGGACCCGGGGCCCTTCTTCGCACACAAGGGCACCACCTTGAATACTCCATTTCCGTAAGCTTTGAGCTTCGCTAATTTAGACTTTGAGACTGCCGGACGGCTGCTTTCCTCCCGCAGGTGTAACTTGTAGACTTCTCCGTATGAACCCTCGGCAAGTTTTGCGACGTCGAACATGCTGGCTGAGCGCGAAGCCCAGGTGCTGAATCTTTGGATACTTTGCGATGCGAGTGGTGATAGTGCCTCGTTGAGGATTGGCTGGACGTAGCTGTTTGCCTCGGGGTCGCGGACGAATCCAGAGGATCTGCGTGCTTTGGCGGTCTTCTTTCGTGGTGTTTGTGTGCTTGCGGATGGCGCTTCGTCCTTCTCGGCCCTCGTAGATTTTGTGTTGTTGGACTTTTTGTTGTAGATTCTGACCTCCACCGTCTTTTGACGGCCGTTCCTCCTCGTAGGTGAAGCATCGGGGCATGGTTGTTTAGTCGGGGTGCGCGCGGGTTGTTGTGGTAAAGAAGAGTCTGTGGTCAACTCATCGTCCAATTCTATAGTAATATATTTTGATTGATCTCCAAGTTCCTTCGTTGGTGTTTCTGGTACCTCTGGTACCAGTGCTGGAGTTCTTGCTGTCTCGTCGACAAGGGACACTTGAGCTAGCTTGGTCTGGATAGCTTCAACGGGATCGCTGGGTTCTTGAGGCCGATCGGGCGTACATGATGGACTCTTTGGATCAAGGACTGCTCGTGGTGCATTCTTCTTCTTCTTTCCATAGACTTTCCGTTGCGCTACTGTCCTGGTCGAGGGCTTTCGAGGTGGTGTTGATGTCGCGTGATCAACCAGTGCGGATGACCCAGACGTCATTATGGGCAGAGTGAAGCCTTCTAGGATGATTTTAAGAATTTTTTTGGGTAGAGGTTTTCATTCCGGACGATACCACAAGGGAGTGTGAATATGATGGGGGAATAGTTACAAGAATGCGCTCCAGATGGCCCGATACGTAGGGTATTGATGTTTAGCCATATTTGGACTAGCGCCACCGTTGCTCTGGTGAGGCATGCCACTGACTGTTGACCAATCACAGGTCGAGGTTATAGTTGGTCGCACGATCAATCAATCAATTGATTCCAACAGCGCTTATTCAAATGTTATTGTTTCAACCGTGTCTGCATCGCGCTCTCTTTTTCACAAATTGAAAATCTTTGTCAACTCAACTTCAGCATACATTCTACTATCCAACTGAAGAGTACCACTATGCCATCTGCGGGAGAAGGGAGTCCATCACGCACCCGGAGGAAAAATTCCAAAGTTTTTACATACATCTCCGTGGGATCCAGAAAGCTGTTACCTTACGATGGGAATATCTAGAAAACGAAAACTTCAGGGAATATATTCGACAAGTCTCAACCGCTCATGTTCAAGTTGTATATGAGCACCTCACAGATATTGAGGTAGGACATTCGCTATAACTATGACCATCGAGTGTTAGGCTCTGAATAACCCTCAATTTTAAAAAAAAAAAAATTAAACGTTCAAGTTCGCTTCGTATGATAGTATTCAACTTGAAGTTGAAGAGAACTCTTTCAAGTGACTATAAACATAATCTTCCAAGGTTGAATTAAAAGAATATAGACCCATGTAATGTAATGTAATATTCAACCTCAACTACTCTCAGTAACAAGTATATATATATCCAAAAATGTATATATATTAAATTACTCCAGTACTAACTATCTTATAGATATATAACAGCCGGTTATTGTGTATCTAGCACGGCCCCTGAAGAGCTTGTTTCGGCCCGCGTAAGACTAGTAAGACTACGCGTCGCGAAGACTCGTCTGGATGTTTGGCCCCCTCTTTCCCTCCCCAGACGTGGGAGGCAGAGTGGATTGACCTTAACTCATGTAAGTCAGCTCCCAAAAAGGAGACTTATGCATCTCCTAATAGCTAGATGAAATGTGAATGGCCCAGTATGGCCCCAGAGTGGGAATGCCTTCGGGGCTGGTCGGAAAGAGTGGGCCCCGATACCAAGTCATGGATGTGACGTACCCCAAAGCGGTTTTTTGCAAGATATTCACACAAGATGATCGACAAGAAATATCAAGGTTAGAGAAGAGAATGAAATAAGGGTAGTTTAAAATTCAAGCCTGAAATGAAAGAGAATCATAATCTGATTCAGATAAAACCGGTATATAAGGGAAAAGTAAGAAGGAAAAAAAAAACAGTTGTGGTCGGGGCACGCGAGGCAAACCTGTGACCCTCGGGAACGCTCTTTGCTACTTTTCCCTTTTTTTCCCTTTCCACTCCTGAACACTGCAATTTCGCCATCGCGACTCCCGTCATCTTCTACCCCCTCCCACTTCAATAATTTACACCTTTCGATCTTTCTCGATGCGAGGGCATGGCGTTCAACTTCAACTGGTCGCCTTTAATGGCGGACGCGGGTTTTTACACTCGCGCCCAAGAACTCTTGACGGCCGCCCTGAATAAATCGCCAAAACCGCCCATTATCGTCGATGATATTATAGTCACCGAACTCAACCTGGGCTCCATGCCCCCTGACTTGGAAATCCTGGAGATCGGAGATCTAGCGGAGGACCGATTTCGAGGAATTTTTAAAATGTCGTATTCCGGCGATGCTTTCTTGACTCTAAAGACCCGAGTTCAAGCCAACCCACTCAACACCTACCTGATTACTCGACCTTCTTTTGCGTCGCCGAAACCTTTGGCTGCCGCGTAAGTCCCTCTTTCCTATATGCGCCGGTCGCAAACTACATGCGCCGTGTTTTATACCTCTCTTTCGCGTGGTCTTGGCTAACCGTCATCGCAATATCTAGTACCCCGCTCACCATTCCTCTCCAAATTACCCTCTCCGATTTCAAGCTCTCAGGCTTCGTAATATTAGTCTTTTCGAAACAAAAAGGAATTACGGTTGTATTTCGAAATGACCCACTAGAATCTTTGAAAGTCTCGTCAACCTTCGACTCTATTCCCTTTGTGCGTGATTTTCTACAGAAAGCGATCGAAGCGCAATTACGAATTCTCTTTATGGACGAATTACCCGCCATCATTCATCGACTATCACTTCGTCTATGGGTTCCCGAATACCGCGCAGGGGAAGATGCGCAGAACGAGTCCGAGAACACCGACAAGACCACCAGTGAAGGTCCCGGCCATGACCCGCTGGCGAGCCCGCCACAAGACCCCGTCGACTCGCTTGGAAATGCATTAAATGAAACCGAAATCGCATCTTTGTCTCTAGACTCGTCGGTAGAAACACACTCTCTGTTCTCCCAAAAGAACCTGCTCCGTCTCGCCGCCCTTACAGATTCCCAACGAACCCTTTCACTCTTCACACCTTCTATCACCGAAGTGGTCTATCGCGCTTGGACATCACCTTCCGATCCTAGCGAATTCCCAGCTAGCGTCCTGTCCCCCCTCAGCCCGGCTTTGTCTCGCACCCACTCGCAGGTGGGCAGCATGTCCTCATCGATCCATGAATCCGGCAGCACTGTCTCTCTACAAAGCCGACCATCTCTATCAAGTCATTCACTTAGCAGCTACGGCCTCAGTTTGGGAGCAGGACGTCACTCGAAAGCCAACTCTCGAAGACGCAAGAAGCGTGTGGTGGATCTGCGCCGTCCCAAGACCACCGACGACGCGATGAGCGTGAGTGACGATGGGACCCACACAGAGTCCACTAGTCCTCCATCCATCGCTTCCGCTCCCCTTCCCATTGTGAATGAGCAATCTGATGACCCAGTGACACCTCCACTGTCCCCCGAGACAGATGCTCACTTGCCGACCATTCCCGAGCGACACCGGACAAGCATCTCTCGACCTACCGACATGGCTTATGAAAAGTGTGAACCGTCTTACCTGCATGAAACAATTCGCCCTTCGAAGTTCCCTGACTTTGATGCTACTCCTCGCCCCTTGCGTAACAGCTCTCAAAATGAGAAGGCTGAAGCCAGTTCCTCAAGTGCCGCTCGGCAGCCATTGCCCGCCACCATTCTTCCCTTCACAGAAAAGGATGAAGAAAGCAAGGGCCCCGTTGACCCTCTTCTAGTCGAACGTCTAGCCGGAGAGATAGCTCGCCGAATGCGCGAAGAGAAGCTCATGTCAAACAACGCATGTAGCAACTTCTGGACTCGCGGTCAGGATGACACGCCTCCCCCGGCCTATGGTCATTGAGCACGCGACGCCACCACCTCTCCGCCTTCCCACCTCTCCTAATACTCCTTTTCGAGTAAGCCTCGATTTAAATGACCGTTACGACTTTCCTTTGGTTTTTTTTTTGGTTTTTGTTTTTTCTCATAACTTCATTTCTCATATCTTGATTTTGCTTGGAAGCGGGATTGTACAAAATTTTTGGGTCTTTTGGCGTGGTTTCTTTTTCTTCTTTTCTTGTGCTTTTTTTTATTGGATACCACACTCACTCGAGTATTCTTTGTATAATCTTGGGGCTTCTGGGGATAAAATGGGGAAATGGGGAAATAGGGAACCGGATTTTGGTACATTCAGGGACTTTTGAATACATGATAAATTTTGATCTGATTGAACTTAATTGGATTTTGGATTGTAGTCCGGGCTGTCGTCCGGGTTGAACCCAAGGAGAAAATATGGAGAAATCGCGTGGGGGCGCTAGAGCCGGCGTAGCTTAGCTCCGCACTTCGTTTCTCTCAACCTCCTTTCCCTTCCACCCACCATCCAGTCTTCATCCAACCATGGCGGGCGTGCTCAAGAACGTATTTGGTGGCCAAGCGCCAGGTGCTGCCTCTGACGATGGTAAGCTATTTTGATTTCCTTGCTTTCTGTGCTCAATTGCATCTCAGCGCACCGTTCTAATCGCCGATCTCCGTAGATTTCGCCGACTTCGTCGAGGCCCCGAACCCATCGCCTGCGTCCCTTGTCGCCGACTCGACCACTAATGCGGCGGCTAACACCCATGGCGCCACTGCTCCTTACACAGCATGGTACCGAATCTGGGAGCGTACTTCCCCCAAGGACTTCATGCAGGAGGCGATGATCCTGCCCTTCATCCTGGCTATCGTCTTCTTCCATCTGTGGGGTACGAGAAAGAACCGTCGCAAGGCGCGAGACTGGGCTAAAGTCCATGTTCCCGCTCTCCAGAAGGAGTTTGCCTCCGTTGGATTCGATGGCATCCCGCAAGCTGAAGAGACTGTTACCGTGGAATTGAGCAACCCCGAGAAGAGCCTGAAGGAGAAGTCCGGCCACGAGTTCTCAACCTATGCGTCTGGTCGCCAGAACGTTGCCTTCGTTGATGTCTCCCTGAAGATGCCAAAGCGTTACAACCCTATCACGTACTTGATGGAGTATGTTTTCAGCTTCTTCTTCGAGAGCTGGGACGCTCCCACTGAGAAGTATGAGGCTCTGATGTACGCTTTCGATGGCAAGGAGAAGGACCTTGTTCCTGTTTTCTCCAAGGATTCTCCTCTGAAGGTTAACAACTCGACCTATGACGGATTCATCTGGGCAGTGGTTCACAAGAGCCACATGCAGAAGTTCCGCACCGACCGTTATGATGCCTCAATCACCTTCTCCAAGGATCACCCCAAGTTGCCCCAGTGGGTCACTGTGATGTCAGAGAGCGCTGAGATCACCGAAACCCTCCTTAGCAAGGAACTCATCCAGGCTATCGAGCAGGCTGGCAACGACTTTGAATACTTGATTGTCACTGACCAGCCTATTGATAAGCCCTTGAAGTAAGCTCCTAGGCCTTTCCGAGCGATATTACATCTACCACTTTTGATATCTAACATTCTTCCTCTAGGATTGATGAGACCATCCCCAAGAAGCGTGTTCAGCTTTCGGTTAACCTGTCCTCGTCTTCCGATTACTCCGCCACTCTGCCCCTGTTCAACCAGTTCCTGCGTTTCGGCGATAAGCTCGTCGCAGCTGCCCACTTCCGTGGTGAGGTTCTGCGCAAGGTTCGCAACGTCCGTGATGAAGAGATCAAGAAGCTGCGCCGTGTCGAAGAGGAGGAGAAGGCCGAGGATCGCAAAATCGCCGCTGAGAAGATCAAGAAGGATGAGCGAGAACGTATTCTGCGCGGAATGACTGCTGAGGAGCAGCGCAAGTACCTGGACCGTGAGAGCCAGAAGGAGCAACGCAAGAACCAAAAGCGTATGACCCGTCGGGGTTAAGTGTGGTCGAGCTTGGATCTGGGGATTATTAACTTTCTTTTTCCTTTGGCTTTCTATGCACTTGCACCAAACCAGTTGGAGCTGGCTGGCTGGCGAGGGGAAATGTTTTAATCTGCCTTTTATTTACTAAATCTTTGTCCCCAGATGTATTCATAACTGATTTGTGTCCACGAGTCGAGGCCCCATTTCTTTTTGCTACGAGCTGGACATTCAATGTCTTCAATGTCAATTTTCAATGTGCAATTTCAAATTTCTATGACAGTATGACGTTCTCTTATATTGGCAGCTGCAACTGTCGGTGCTTACCCTTGTTTGTACCCGCCTTGACCCTTGTAATTCTGAAGTATCACCTCTTCTATAACTGGTAGGGAAATCTCACATGTCCCCATCGTTAAAATCACCGTTCGTTTCCTTCTCATCATGCATTTCAAGAACCTGTTAGTTGGCGTATTCATTTCCATCGCAAGCCTGTCATCCGCTTTCGTGATTACAGACAACCTCGCCCAGTTCCCAAGTCTTCATGCGGCCGACATTACCAAGAGACAGCAATCCCCGATTCCATATGGAATAATCATCACCCACTGCAACAGCCCTGGAGTCGTCGCGCTGACATTCGACGATGGCCCTTATATCTATACCGGACAGATGCTGGACACTCTATCTCAACACGGTGCTCGCGTTACCTTCTTCCTCAATGGTGTTAACAAAGGCAACATCGAAGCATTTCCTGAACTGGTCCAACGCGCCGTGAATGAAGGCCACCAGCTCGGCTCTCACACGTACGTATCTCAACCAATACCCTCTTCACCACCCAAGGATACAACATGCCACAGGACACCCGCATTTCACTCAAATCCTTTTCAACACTTGACCCTTCACCACATACCCACCCACTCTTTAATCAACCCAAATTCAAATAACAAAAACTAACCATCTCCCTTCCAGATGGAACCACCCCTCCCTCGACACCCTAAGCTACGCCGAAATCGTCGCCCAAATGATCAATCTCGAAGACGCCTTCCTACGCATCCTAGGCTTCTACCCAACTTACATGCGCGCTCCGTTCTTAATGGTAACAGCCGACGTGTTGGCTGCTATGTCTGCCCTCAAGTACCATGTTATCAGCGCGAGTATCGATACAAAGGACTACGAGAATGATCATCCAGATGATAGTTGGCGAAGTTTCGAGAAGTTCAGAGCTGAGTTGGATGCTGGGGGAACTATTGTTTTGGCGCATGATACTCATCAGACCACTGTGGAGATTTTGGTGGATAACATGATTGCTGAGATTGAGTCGAGGGGGTATGAGAGTATGTGAATCCTTTCTTTTTCTTTTTCTGATTTCGATTTTGATTCTTTCTCTCAATTCCTCTTTGTCTTTTCGTTCTAGTTTGTGCTTGAGTGAAACTTACTGATGTCTGTTTGGCAGTGGTTACTATTGGAGAGTGTCTTGGGGATCCGCCAGAATACTGGTATCGGTCGAGTCGGTAGATTGGTTTTGTGTGTATGATTGTGGTTGGCTGAATGGGGGTGATGTGGTTTTTTCAACTTCTTCGTAAGATTGATTTGTAATGTTAGGCCTTTGAGGGTAGTATTTGTTTATTCGCAGGTTGTATATAGTATATCATTATTCAAAGCCCTGGAATCGGAAATTGGGCAAGCAATTTGCACAATTGCATTTATTGGTCATTACCTAGTACTTCACCTCATGCTGTATATCATGATCTCTGCCTCCCCCCAGACTTACATCAATGGTCCTTCCGATGTTCAAGTTGAAATCTATTTATACTACATCTTCAAGTCCAAGTTGATCCCGAGATTAACCTTAGTATAGGTAAATCTAGAACATGCGCAACAGTAAATCCAATTGTAACATGAATCTAGCTTCTATTCACAGCCGACTCAACACATCTATCTCTAGCTGAACTTTATACATCATGATCTGTAATCAGATACGTGCCCGCCTCGAAAATATAAAATGACAAGCACGTCAGATGCTAAACAAAGGAAATTCATTCATACATAAAGGGGCAAATCAGAATGCGCCTACTGCTTTCCGAAGATCTTCACGCGCTCCTCAATAGGCTTCTGGACCTTCTCACCAGCTGGTACCTCGGGGGAACCGAAGACCATCTGGGCAACAAGACGCCACTCAGTAGGCAGGTTCCACTGCTTAGCGACGGGCTCGTTGATAAGAGGGTTGTAGTGTTGCAGGTTAGCACCGAAACCAACGCTCTCGAGGGCAGTCCAGACTGTAGATGATGTTAGCTTTTGCTTTTGGGTTTTATGTTTTTGTTTTTCAGCTGGGATACGTACGGAAGTACTGGTGCATAGCGTTGGAGTGATCAGCCCAAGGCTCGAAGTGGTCCTTGAAAGCGGCGAACTTATCCTGGAAGCCCTTGATGTGGGCGGGGTCTTCGTAGAAGAGGATCTAAAAGACATCAATTAGAGCTATTGTTATAGGGATTGGACTGGAGATGGTAGGAAATCAACATACAGTTCCGTAGGCAGCCTTGAACATCTGCAGCTTAGGCAGAGTCTGGTTTTTGTATGTCTCCTCGGGGACGGCGCCAGTAGCAACGAGACCCTCGAAGGTAGAGGCAGCGATATCCCAGAGACGCTCGTGCTCCTCCTTAAGCAGGACAACAAGACGGGTAGACTGGGTGTTGAACGAGCTGGGAACGTTCAAGATAGCAGCATTGACAAGCTCCTCGACCTTTGCGTCGGAGACAGGGGCATTCTTGCCCAGCTTGTAAATTGTGCGACGGTTCTCGGCCGCTTTGACGAAGGCTTCGGCAGACATATTGTTATGGATTGGACTGGACTGTTGAAACTTGGAGGTGAAAGAAGTTGAAAAAGGACGGACGCGGAGGGGTAGAGACGTCTTTAGTGGGGTTTGAATAGATAATGTAGTAAATTGCTGTCCTGTGGATCCAATTGTACGGCAGATAGAGTGGAGAGTAGAAGCCGGTCGAAAGAGAGCACGGGATGCCATTGCGTTTTTATAGAATCTCGCGGAGTTCCACTTGGACGTTCGTGTTCGGATATAACTTGGAAGGAGGACCTGTTTTAGATTGCCTTCTAGATTGTTCAATGGGTTGTGTGGTTGTGACAAATGGGAGCGGTGTTCTTCCGCGGTCGTTTTATAAGACTTTTTTGTCTTTTTTTTTGGTCGGGGTAGTATGTTAAATCCGAGATGCTTGCAAATTTGGGGCTAAAACGCGGAATTACGGCTTTCCGCTGAGTAAGGACCCAGACCTCGTGGAAGCTTGATCAGCATGACCAACTAGGTGGAGCCGAAGCACTATTTTCGGAAATAGGTTACACCTAGGCGCCACTGAAAGGTCAGGATATGGACTTGGTGAAGTATAGATGATTGATGCTGGTGTGGGCACAACATTGAACCTTGGAACCTTGGAATGATACATTTGCTTCGGTCCTGTACCAGACGAAGAACATACATAGGAGAATTTCAAACCTTTTCTACGCCATAGTATAGATGATTACGATGCAAGAATAAAATGTATCTTCTTTGAAAACTGTGGTTTCATTGCGCGACATGGGTCAAACTAGCTATATGCTACTTTTGGCCTGCTAAGCTAATGGCAATCGCGATGAACGATAAACGCATTGGTCAAGCAAGCGATCGAGTGAAAGGAATCGAACGACCGATTTGACTTGTTCTACGGTGCGATCAATCGAGAAAGGTACTTCGGATCGAAGTCATAGCCAGGTCGTGGGTCGAAGGCACAGAATCTAATTAAGCAATGTCAATTAGCAATGGGTCATAAAGAAATGAGAAGGTTGTTCAAAAATCCAAAATAAAATGCCAACAATCAATCAGAGACCCGTCTTGAAACATAAGGTATGTCCAATTTTCCTCAAGGTTTACTTTGCAGTAAGGGAAATCGTGGTCATCATCACCGAAGCTTAGGCACAGTGTGTGGGTATAATTCAAAAGAAACAGGGGATCCGTACCTGAACCAGTCGGAGCCCACCCGCTAGTGGGGGGAGCCAGGGTGTGGCGGCGGGAAGGGTATGATGCCGGAAACATTATCCTGGGATCGATGCTATACTACTCGTCCCTAACGAGATCGTTCCTGTCATAATGTTAAAGGTTTTCTTTCTTCATGGCTGCGATCGATCGCCATTAGTCAATTATTGGCGTTTGATGGAGCATTAGAGATTTTCTGGGTAGTGAAGAATTTTATCTTCATACCCGGTAGCCTGCTAATATCTGTTTCGAAGGCGATTCTCAAGGCATTGGAGAATATGAAAAGACTACTCTCTTCGTATCTCTGGACGATCTTAAATACTTCTTCCTGTGCAGGAGCTAGGGCATCGGCCCTACCATTTCATCCCTGTTTTTCTCTCATTTTCCGTTTTTATATGGAGAACATGTCGTCATAGATGGAACCGTGCGAGTATGTACCCACCGCCATATAAGACTTTTCTGCTGGGAACTTATAGAGAAAATTTGATTGGGTAAGTGGTGCGATTTTTAGAGTATAATGGGTCTTCCTTGCATCATTTATTATGATATGTGTCATGAAATTTGGTTGTTAGTAGAATCAGAAAGAATTTTAATGCTCTTGGCAAAGGTGGTTGAGTTGACCAAGAAACGGCAACAGAATAAAAAGTTGAGGTTGAAAAGGTTCTTAGAGAAAGAGATAAAAATGTTTGATCATTTCTTCATTATTGAAACTTTATATATTATGAGCCTCACCATGGAAGAGAAATCCAAAGCACCTGACTGGCGAGTTCTTGATCCTGGCAAGTAGACTAAACCAGGTTGAGTATGTATGCCTGAGGAAACGAACCGGTTGCATCATCACCTTGAACACTCGGGTGTTATTCACCTCTGACAAAACATCTTATTGAATGAATGTTATCATCATATTTTTGGCTTTAACAAATTTCAGTCCTATGATCATGTCTCAAATCATATTTATTTCATAAATTAATCATAGATCAAATAACGAGAAAGTTTTACTACATCGTCACAATTGCCATAATGCAAAGTTCCCTCCAATATGATATAACATCAGTTGCTTAATGCAAATTTCAAACAGCTTGATCCTCATTTGACACCGTCTTCTGAGCCTTGTTTCCCCAATCGCCCATTCTAACCGCCACCACCTTATCCCGCTGAACTTTACGCTGGTGTCGACCCCACAAAATGAATAGTCCACCTGCAATCAGCGCAACACCCGCCACAGATCCTACAACAATACCCGCAATCTGGCCTCCAGATAAGCCAGATGCCTTAGATGAACTGCTACTAGTAGCTGTTGTAGTGGATGCGGTATCAGTAACCGATACGTTGAAACAGAGAACATTAGTTGTAAAGCTTGCAAGTGGAACGTAGGTGATATCTGCGCAGGCGTAGTATGTTTGGTTTGTGTCGGTATCAAACGTGGATTGGTAACGCAATTGTAGCGTTGCGTTGGAACCGGAAGTTATGTTGGATGGGGGGTTTGGAACTGAGTAGCATTCATGACCTGGGTAGAGATCGGGAAAGTTGCTTCCTTCTACATCGGTAACGAAATCACTGTTGGAGGTAGGATCTAATGGAATATGTGTTAGATATTAAGTTACTCATGCCAGATTTTAAGCTGCAGGAAACATGGAAACATACCGTCGTGATAAGAGATAGCCAAATTGACATTGTAAGACTCATCCTGTAGGACCAAAGAAACCTCACCATTGGCTATTGTTGTAAGTTAGACGTATATAGCTTATCGTTTTAAAGATGAAGACATACTCAATGGAAATTCTGTTCGGTTCTCAACACCAGCGTTTGACCCACAGGGAGCGGTATTGTCAGTTGTTTTCGACCATGTCCGATCTGGAGGCCACAAGAAGGCTGCTGGGCCCATATCAGTAGCTTCATCAGCAGCCATGCTAGGAGTAAAGTAAAGACTGGCAAAAGCCAGGAGAGCGGTATATCCGTGCATGATGGCTGGGGGATCTTTTTTTAGGATATTAGGGGCCAAGACCTATCCAAATTTTTGGGAATGATAAAAAAAGAAAAGCTCTGACTTTACGAGAGATGGTCGGCAATGATACTTAAATATTTAGGTCTCATTTTGTCTCAAGCTCTGAGGAGGGGTAGTACTAAGTCCGAAAGTGACAATCCAAGTCGGTTAGATGAACCGAACCCTCTGCAGCAGGAAGAGTGGAATCGATCCACATATCTTTTTCCATGGCTGAACGGCAAGCCAACGGAGATTCCGGATACTACATGGTTACTGTAGACTAATAGTAGCGCGCATGTGACGGACACTAGCTTGACTCAAACGAGGAAATGAACAGCACATGGTGCGTATGATTATAGAATGGTGTAGAAGATACATGAGGGATGGAGGGTGGTTACAAGTAACCATTGGCTCGAATCTATAGTAAACCGAGCTAATTTACGATGCCCAGGATTCTGGCGTTTTCTTAGCGACATATTTTAGTCGTTTTTAGTGGAGACTAGTAAGACTAATGTTGACCCATAGCATGATGCTACCCGGAAGTACATTTGCCGATGGGAGGAGATTAGATTGATAAGATTGAATGTGGTCCATGATTGGCGCTAGTAGCCCCTCTTTTCCACGCTATGTTCCAATTCTTATTATTTTCTGACGGAGAAATACTTAAGAAGAGCCACTGAGAAGTCTCTCTCATCGGAGGATAATATACCCCCGAGAATCTCACGGAGAACCTTTCCATTTCGGGCTTGACATGAGGATTTCCGAGCTACCAATTGACTCAAGTAGCCGGTAGCGAAGTCTCTTGCTATCCATTTTTTCCAAGACTAGTTGCAAAAAAATGAACGGCAATTGTGGGGAAATGGCATGAGCAGATTCGAGTTGAAGCTAGTAGTTTGTTTAATTTATTTTTCGTTGCATTATAGTGGTGGAAGAGTAGACTAACACACACGGTACTATTCCGAGGTCTTCCATGTGGGGCGAAGGCAAGATTGGCGTCCATGGTGTTCCAAAGACTAGGATGTAAGCCACCCAGTATCTAGGCACAATATGTAGATTTGGTGGCTGGCCGGAATTCTTTGTCTCGCAGGCGAAGTCAGATGTAACAACGCCACGTTTCGCGGGAAGCTCCGAGCGATTGCACTTTGCGACTACTCTTATAAAACCTAGTCTTCCACTTAGCAATTGCAAACATGCTATAAAATTATTCTTTTCCTCATTATCTCATAACAGTTCTCCATTGAGCTTTCTGTTTTTAAAATGGTTCGCCTGTCCTTGTCAATCTGCATCGCTGCGCTAGCATCTTCGGCACTAGCCAGCCAGCTTGATGTGCTTATGAAGCGCGAGACTATCGAGAAGGGCTCCTCTCTTTACAACTGCCACGAGGCGTGCGGTATGTTTAAAACCGCCTAAAATGACAATCGATTCCCCACTAATTATACATGGTACCAATAGGTGAGATCATCGAGATGTCTGCAGAGGGTGACTACTGTACTAGTTCAAATTTCTCCTCCGATCTTAGCACTTGTTTGAAATGCGCGTATACGTGTGATATCTGGAAATACTACGGATCAGATGTTAAATCAGCTGCAACAAATTGCAGCGATTCTGCAACCCCTAGCTCCTCCTCTTCTGCTAGTTCATGCGCGTCTACTATCGGTTCAACCAGTACCGCGACGAACACTGCGGCAACTGCTGCTACAAACACTGCCACGGTAAGTTTTCAACCATTACATTAAGTACATTGGAGATAGAGTATAACATTGACTATTATTTAGTCAACTACTTCCTCTACTGCGTCTTCTGCAGCTACTAGCTCTGCCGCTGCCTCTGTTCTTCACCAGAACATTGCGTTCTCGGGGGCAATTGGATTCTTGGCATGGGCACTGGCTGCCTAGATAAAAGATACATCATCATGATGCTTGAAATTCAAGTACTGTAATATGAGAAAGAGTTCTTTGAAGTCTTTGAAGTGATTTGCTACTTATCAAAGCATATGGAATTGAAGAATTGAACCAGTGATTAAGCATAGTTGGATACTCTGTCGTAAAAGTTAGCGACGGAGCATTGTAAAATGGATCCATAATGATGCAGATACTCTGCTTAACACATACTCAATAAGATTCCCATCAGGGTCTCTCACGTAGACACTCCTGATCTTTCCGGCTGCCCCGGTTCTGTCTACAACCTTGGCACCCTCAAGGACCTACAGATAATCAGCATGTGTTGGCGCCAATCGAAGTCAAGAATAGCAATATTACCTCTATTTTCGCTTGCTGAAATGCTTGCAAGACTTTCTCCACATTTTCATCTGTCAAGAAACACAGATCTCCACTCCCGGGCATGACGTTTTGTGCCTTGGGCTCGAATTCTTTTCCTGATTGGTGAAGGTTGATTTTCTGGCTCCCAAAGATAAGAGCATGTCTAAGCCCAATGTTTTAGTTGTTTGTTCAATCGTGTGATATATAAGAGGATATTATATTGTTTATACCTTTGAATGGTTGGGCTGGCAGGTGATGCAAACACCTCGTGTCGCATGCCCAAGTGGGTGGTGTAAAAGGCCACTGTCTCTGGGATGGAGCGCACGGTCAGTACCAGGTGATCGAGTGATTTGACAGCGAATTTAGTCGCCATGTTTTAATTTTGAGTGAGGTGGTGTCTTGGAATTCATAATATTTTGTATAATGATGTTTCAAAGTTCGAATGTTGGTGTCGCCAAAGAAAAATGCATGACTCATCCAACACCGGCAGTAACTAACTATGTTGGAACAAATATTTGAAGCGGTTATATGATGGGTTAACCGAGGTTGATGGCGTGAGAAAATAAAAGTCTTAATTCTTGTGGATTATCTCACCACTAGTATGAGCGTCAAGTGGTAGTGGCGGGAATTTATTGGCTGGGAATGATCTTTGGTTGGCACAGTTCATCTACACTAAGCGCAGCAGTACTATAGATAACCCTGAAAGGTATACGCATAGCCCAAAGCTTTGAGAGAATACGTCACACAATGAAATGATGACCTCTCAGTCCCAAATTGAAGTTAGAAACGCCTTATGCAAGATCCCGACTCCCCTATTCAAGTTGCCGCCTGGGACAGAAGCCTGAATGCGCCTTGCCGGAGCCCCCTCCAAATTGCCGCCCAGTGGGCACAGGAAAGATTAGCCAAACAGCACTATTATTGCTCACCAACTAAGCCTTTGAGCGACATGAAGGCAGATTTCTCAATGGATATAAATCCTCGCAGATGTCAATGTTTTCTTTTGATTTATTTTCATCATTGATCAAGCATTCAGCTCTCGTTAAAAAGATAGGGATCGGGTCGCTTCAACCCCGCTTACCCTCTTACCTTCCCCACCAGTGCACCAGTGGGGCTTGCGGCTTGCCCCTTACAGCTCAAGCTCAGATCATTTTTCTTTCTTCTTTTCGAAAAGAAAAAGAAGCAAACCTCGTTGATCTCAATCATGAATCCAAGAGTTGGAGTCGCAGTCTTCGTCACAAACCCCGAGGGCAAATTTGTCCTGGGAAAAAGAAAGGGAAGCCATGGAGCTGGTGAGTCAAGACATCTTGCATTGGTTGGATAAGATGAACTTGAACGCGTCTAACGGAAGTCCTTCGTTTTCAGGGACGTGGGCCCTCCCAGGCGGCCATCTTGAATTTGGCGAGTCTTTTGAGACTTGCGCCGCGCGAGAACTTCTCGAGGAAACTGGTCTGGATGTGATCAATTTGGAATTCATGACTGCTACGAACGATGTCATGGAGTCCGAAGGAAAACATTACATCACTATCTTCCTCAAAGGCGTCGTCAGCGACCCTGTCGCTCAGCCGCAGGTGCGTCACATGTTGCTTTTTTCATTCATTTTTCCATTCATTTTTCTTTGTCTTTTCCCTTCCAATCCCCTTTTTTGCAACGCGCGCCTGACTTCTGACAAATACAGATCTTGGAGCCGGAGAAATGCGAGGCGTGGCAATGGACTTCGTGGGATGAGCTTGAAGCCAATGCTGATGCACAGATACAGGGGGGTCTAGATTTCAAGGGACCAGTGCTGTTTTCCCCTATCGTCGCGCTGTTTCAGCAACGGCCCGATGTTCGTCTTTGAGTCTAGATAGAGCTCGTGGGTGTTTGGAGTGCTGTGATAGAATGTCAGCGTAAAGCAGTAAGACAATGAACCATTTTTTGCTACATGATAGACACAGATATACTTTATTTATGTCCCTATACCCATTGGGAAGGGATAAACATTTGTATTACCCTCCATCCCCGGGAAATACAGATAACTCGTTACTCATATGCAATGATTTGAATCATCCTAGCACACTGTGCTCATCCCACTTTACCGGGGACTAGCGTATAAACCCCAAGGCAAATCAACAAGGCATATGAGGATCAAGCTCAGTCTGTGGTTCCTTAAAGCAAGAACTATTGGGAATTCGTGCAACCGCCTGCACGAGAGCGAATTTTATCAATCCCGACTAGTTCTAGTCTATGTAGATCATTGTTAATGCTCTATTGCTTACTCTTGAAGATGTTACGCAAAATGTAGCATGTCGTGAAATACTTATAAACAGCAGATTCCGTTGATGAGTATGTGTTCATGCCCATTATCCTACACATCTATTCCCCCCACATTCCTTTCGACTGTCTTTTGCCACAGTTTTCGCTCATTTAATACTGTGTCAACGCCATTCATTCTTTGTTCACGATCATGCATTTCAAACACATTCTTTTAGCCTCGAGCTTAGCTTTCTGGAGCAGCCCTGTGGTTGCCCAGTCAGGCCTCAGTGACCTGGGTAGTGGCCTTGGTCCCATCGAAGGGGGAAGTCTACTTGGAAAGCGTCTAGAAAAAGAAGCCAGACGAGCTAGTGTCAAGGCTTCGACTACCCCCGATGATCAGGGGAACAATGGCAAAGGACCAACAGTGATGGAATCTCCTGGCCTCAATGAAAGAGATTTCAATGCCGGAAGCCTTGTAGAGGAACTGCTCGGAGAGTCATCTAGTTCTTCCACGACTCAGCCTACCGGCACGCCTAGCCCTCGTATCACCAAGAAGGGTCTCGGCATGCTTGATGACTTACTGGGTGAAGTCTTACCTGAGCTGGCGCCCAGCTCTTCAGGTGCTGCCTCGGCCACTCCTACGCCTTCTGCTACCCCTACTTCCTTTGATCCTTTTATCAAAAGAGTGGAAACGTCAGACGCAATTCCGGTCAAAGCTCCAGATGCTGAGCCAACTAAAGCCCCCTCTCCTAATTTGGTCAAAAAGCAACTGGGCATCCTCAGTGAGCTCGAGAGTGAACTTGAGGGTCTCGCCGGCGGTTCTTCTTCAGCGGCTGGCTCTTCTACCCCAGCACCATCGGCAACTCCATCACCAACTCCATCTAAAAACCCACCACCATTCTATTCTTCTATTAAGAGGCAATCTGCAGTACCCTCCTCTTCTTCTGATCCCATGGGAGTCGTGAAAGAGCTTATGAATGCAAGGGATGAGATTCCTGGATATGAATCCTCTACTTCTGGCTCGGGGTTTGACTTGAGCAATGGTGATGGTCAAAACGCAGAATTTTCATCAGACTCGCATAAGGAATCTGTTGATCCTTTCTTCCAACCTGATCCCTTTGAGAAGAGACAATATCCGGACGAGCTTCCAGGGTATGAATCTTCTGCTTCTCATTCCGAGTCTGCATTTGACAATGGCGACGGTCAAGACGCGAAACTCTCATCGGGCTCAGATCATGAGGCTGCACATTTGCCAGGACCTGAATTTTAGAGAAAGAGAGTGAGTATTGTACTTGTGGCGAATTGGATCTACGTTTTAGGAACGTCCAGTTCTTTGGAAGGCTGCTTATATGAGAATGGTGTTTTCCGATTTTCGAATGGCATGTTGTTGTGTATAACTTAATTATTTGAATATTTTACATTCTCTATGACCTGATATTTCAATATTTGGTCAGCTATATACGAAATTTTTTAATCGATTAATTACTCTTGGCTTATACTTCTTGCTTCTTGAATTTATCCCCAAGTATGTTCAATTATGCCTTCTGTTTCATATCTTGAAATTCAGAAGACAGAACTTGCTGTAAAAAACCAAAGTGCAATATATTAATTATTTCTATACAAGAACCTGAAAAGATAAGTATACCTTTGCACTTACTCAATGTTTGACGTGTGAATCACGGCAAGGCAGAGAGACAACGTGCGCTAAACCCGAAACTGAAACCCGCAGTTGCTCACAATCAACCACAAATCAATCCGAGTTCCGAATCAACTGGTGCTTCGTTCAACTTCATTCTTTCTCCATCTTTCTCCATCTGATCTATCGGGCCAAATGGGAGTACAAGAAACAGGATATATGGAGCTCGATTCTCATTGGGTCTAACTTTCTGTTCGGTGGCACTTGCACCTTCTGGAGATGCTTTTTGACGCCTGGACTATCGCGCTTCGACAAATACGATCGACCCTAGAGGCAACGCCACTGATGCTGATAGACCCCCACATAGGGAACTAATCCCTGCACGCGATCCCCCCAGTTCGACTCAAGGGGATATTTTCCGATCTATCACCCCACAGCCGCGTGCACAAGTTTCTCTCCGCCTTTTTCAAATCGGCCGTGTGTATGCCTTTTTTCTCTCTTGTGGTTCTCCCCCGTGTCCTTTTCTCCTGCAGGACCCACTGCATCATTGATTTCGAATGACCAACCCTAATATTTTGGAGCTCCCCCAAGGAGTTCAGCTCGTCTATCTTGCAGAGGGCGGCGCCAACGTGATCTACCGCTTCGTTGCAAACCCGCCGAAATCCTCACTTGTCGTACGAGATCCCAAAAGATCGGTTTCTTCAATTGTACTTGACGAGCATAGCACCGTGCCTCTGCGGCTTCGAGGGAAACTACTCCGCCTACGGAAAGAAACTGCCGCCGATATATCGTACAAAGAAATTTATCGCAATTTTAATACGATTGTGCGCCCGTTATTTAAATCAGATGAATTGGTGGATCAAACTCTTATCCTTCTCCCTCATGGGCTCATTCAGCATTGTAATGAGCAGCTTCGTGTCGCTGAAACCAGTGGCCAACGACCAAAAAAGCGAGTTGGTGGATATCTGTGTCTAGATGAGCCGTTTGGTTTACTGATCACGGACATGACGACGTTCGATGAACCTGGCACCACGTTGGCTGAACTTAAGCCAAAATGGCTTACGCAGTCTCCCTCTGCACCTCCTACGGCACATCGATGCAGGACATGTGCACTCAGAGAAATGAAAAACCACGACGCACGATCAATTGGCTTGAAGGAGCAAAGGTCATTCTGCCCCTTGGACCTCGTATCTCAGTGCTTCGAAGATGTTTTGCGTGCTACAACTTTTATCAAGGGTTGTGGGGATAAAGCCAGATTAGCACGCATTCTACTTCACAATCCGGTTCTTCCCAGGCTACGGGCCCAACAGACCTCATGGAGCCAAGTAGGTCTCCTCGGACCGCCTTCACTATCTCAAAAGGCCTCCCTTGACATGACTTTACGGGACTGTACAATGTTTATAAAGGTACGTGAATTATTTGAAAGCATATCCCACCACATATTCCTTGTCTCTTACCATGCCATAATTACCAGATTCCACACGATGAGAAAGCCCCCGTTGAGATTCGTCTAGGTGATCTTGACCTAAAGACGGGTGCTGGAGGCAAATCGAACTATTGGCGGAAGCTCGAAGTCGAGCTGATTGATGGTGGCTGGTATTCTGGATTCAACACAAGTCAAGACCCTAGCGAATGCGCACTCCAACGTCCAAACACCCCAATTACGCCCGATAATCCCCATTTTCGACTCTCATAATTCATTCGTTCAGCAAGTCTTCTCGTTGACTCTTCGGATCTGTGCTGCACTATACAGCGGGTGCTCGCCCTAGCCTATAATTCGCCTATAAGTGGCTGAATTATACATATTCTACTCCCGGGTGGCTGTTAAATGGTACAGCTGTTCAGGCTCTCTCGGAATCCAAATGATTGATGCAATGTACGGTCTCACTAACGAAGGGCGGTTCTTTGGTTTTTGCGGTTCTTTGGTTTTTGGTATTATTTTCATGTGGCCATCTCAGATTGGCTCGTCCTTAATAATTTTTAGTCAAACATTAATAATTGCTTTCTATGGGATCAACCCTTTTTCAATTTTAAGACTATCCATTTTCCGAGGGCACATATTTACCCCTTGCGCACATGTTCACCGGCACTGCGAACTTTTAGAGATCTATGTATGTACTCTCTAACCCCTACTATAATATGTAGTACGCACTATAACGCAAATGGACCACAACATTTGAATTGAACAGCAAACATCAATCCGACCAAGTCAATCTCTTGACAGGCTTAAGTGTAAACTTGAAATAAGCAAGTATAAAAATTAAACAGCCGCACCGTCATAATCTTTATCTCCAAATCAAGTCGAGCATTTTCCAATTTCAATACTAGGTGGAGCGCAACCTTAGTTCCGACAACCACGGGGAAGAAAATAACCTCCGCAACCCCACCTAATTAATACACCTCCAATCGTAACCCAACTCATCCAATATCCCCCTCAAAATGGACTACAAATCCCTCCCAACACCCGCTCATTGCCTTGCAGATTTCTGCCTGATCCCCGTTCGTCCCTACCAATTTCTTAATTGCTTTTACCAGCTTCTGACTGCTTCACCTTAGATCGGGACCGCGTCGGCGTCGGTCTCGGCCCAAATCGCTGACGTCCAGCGGTTGATTGAGCAATCGGGCGTGAAATATGTGATGCATTCAGCGGGGACTACTCTCGGTGTGTATCTCTTAACCCGGGGAGTATTATTTGGTTTTTGAGTCTTTCCTGTTCTTGTCTCGACTAGGGATTGGAGTTTGTTGAGAGATTCGCTGAGGTTTTATCTAACGATTCATTCAATTATAGAGGGTCCTTGGGACCGAGTACATGAGGTTATTGGACAGGCGCATACTCTACTTCATCAGCAAGGCGTTGTGCGGATTCAAACTGATATCCGTGTTGGATCGAGGTATGTATTTGCTTCTTTCTGACTTGGTTTCTTGGCTGGTGCCTTCAAGTTCGCTATTGGTGCTCTTTGAACATGCGAGCTGATAAGACATATTACTGATGAATGGTCTCATTGGATGTAGGACGGATAAGGTGCAGTCTTCCGAGGATAAGGTGAACAAGGTGCGGGAGTTGTTGGGCAAGGAGTGAGATTCGAGATATTGATAGGTAGATTTTACATGATCTAGAGTATTACTAGAAGAAAGCAAGATCATAAGGTTCCAAAGATCATGTCCCAATTCTCTGACTGGAAAGAGTATGACTTTACTGGATAATGTGTGAATTCCTCTATCTAATACAGGTAGATGGCGCTGCATAAGTGTATCTTTATAGGCCATACAGGGCTTCGAGTTCGTTCCAATCATTTCAGTCAAAAATTAACCAATAACGCCTTTTCCGTTTGTATGGTCGCGAGTGATTCGCACCATATCCCATATACCATGACCCAAAAACGTGCCGAATATCTCACGATCTATGTACCAGGCCAGAGAATGAGATCCAAGTTCCTTGCGGTTGTGAAATGAAAAATCGAATATTCCCCCAAGAAATGTTTGCAAAGAGAACGCTGCACAGTATATAGACGCAATAAAATAACAAGAAGAAGAAGAAGAAGAAGAAGAAGAAGAAGAAGAAGAAGAAGAAGAAGAAGAAGAAGAAGAAGAAGAAGAAGAAGAAGAAGAAGAAGAAGAAGAAGAAGAAGAAGAAGAAGAAGAAGAAGAAGATGATGAAGAAGAAAAAAACCTGTGACTTCAAAAGGGGTCACGGATTAGAGCAGATTCCTAGAGCGAGATACCGCCTCCAAGAATACTACCCCAGTCACCGCCGACCCAGATCCAGTTTCCCATACTGGGGGTTGTTCCAGATCGAGCGGTAGAAGCCAAGTTCACAAGACTAGTGAGAACACCGTTTGTAGTAGAACTATCATCAGGCACAGAAGTCGAGACAGCGGTCCGCCCAACGGGGTCGGTAACATTGTTCAAGCTGTCGATGGTATCAAGCGCAGGGCCACGGTTGAAGTAATCAACCAGGATAAATGTAGGCTGGCGACCATTATAATCACTCTTGCACTTCGTCGCTGTATCTCCTAGATTTCCGGTACCCCCAGACGCAGCATTTGTCGTGGCGACATAACTGGCATTCGGGTACTCGATATCAGTGACTCCAAGCTCAAGCGAAGTGTAAAGGAAGTGGTTCATGAAAGGGAGGAAGTTGGATGACAGCGCTGAGGAGAGGTCGTTCTCGTAGGTGGAGGGACGGTTTGGTGTACAGGTGAAGTTCGAGGCTTCTTTTACATCGTAGTTGTTTTCCCAGATGAAATCCCACTCTGACATCAGATAAGGGTAGTCGGAGCTTGTGGTAAGGGATGCGACAAAGTTTACCAGCCTGGTGCCGTTGCTTATCATGTCCTGGAGTGTGGGCCATGCGGTTGGTGCTTCAGTCAGGGAGGTGGGCTTGTAAGCGTAGTCGGTGATATTGGCATCTTCATAAATAGCACCGAGGTCGGCGGCAGTTGCGTTCGAATTGACGAGTAGGATTGTGACAACTAAATATAAGAAGAATATTGTTAATCGAGCCTGAAGGATAATACACCGAGAATGAGTGATGCGGCGCACCTTCGTTGGCGTTGTCGTCGAGCCAGCTCTTGACTTTCTTAAGCCAATCCTTCAATAACCCTGCATCAAGATAGTCGCAGTCTGTGTGACATAAGTGCCATTCTGAGTCGCTTTTGTGTACTTGGGCAGTCACTAAACGGACACCAGCGTCGAGTTGAGTGGTGGTATCATAGTATCTATACGGAGGGGGGCGTTAGAATCCTTTTTTGTCTTCAAGCTATGGTCGCTTTTCACAGAAACATACTGGTCACCAAACAAGGAATCATCGGTACTGGAATCGCGCAGGAATGGACTGTCATGGGCGCCCAAATGTGTGATCTCGCCGTATGTCTTATTGCAAAGGTCGGGAGAGTTGTTACAGGCGGTGGAGGAGGAGCGGGCAGTCAGCGAGTTAGCGGCGACTAGTAGCGGTAGCAACGCTAAAGAGTAGAAGGATCGCATTTTGAATGTATATCAAATCCGGCAGGGGAATGGGAGAATGAAAGAATTCGATAATGAGGAAAAGAAGAATAATAAACCTGGGGAATCGTTGTCACGGAATGTTTAGGCCTGGCCGCCGATCCATACTAAGCGGGTCCAGGCCGCGTTGCCGTCTCAACTATTCTTAGATCGTGGATCTGCCACAGCCACGGCACTTTGTTCATCTAAGTCTTGGCTGTTTGGCTCAACCTTTTATTCGTTATAAGATCTCGTGTTGGTGTGGGCGAAACAATGTGAAAAGTACTGACGACGGAAGATGACATGGCCTTCGGGGCTAAGTCCAAGCGTATTAGACGCGAGGGATCAATTTACATAGATCTGTTGCAGAGTGGCGATCACACCCCTAGAACTTCCAAGACTGAACATACAGGCTATGTATTGAGTTTGGGTTATATTATAAATCATCTATTATATACATGTACATTTGATTTGATACAGGTGTCTAAGCAACCAATCCACGCCTGCTCACCGAGCCCGTCTGCGTGATAGGACAACCTTGACTGAGTTTCTCCAAGACCTCGCCGAGCGTGAAGGATTCACTAACTCTTCAGAACGCAAATATTCCCGACCTTCAAATAGGGTCTCACCCCAAGCGCTGTTTATATCCGCCATGACGCGGTTGAGACTGTAGGGATTGACTCGTCGCAACATGCGGTTAAAGCGCACGGCGGAATGGGAATATGATCCAAACAGCAGATTTAAGCGAACACGAGTTATAGATCGGATGGGACCAGTGTGAAGAGCAAGGCCAGCTTGCTCGAGTTCACGAAGAAGCAGCAGACCCCGAGTCCAGGGTATGAGCTTCTCGCCGGTTTTTGGGTGATGAACGGCATTTTTCTTCTCAGTCTCACGGGTCACACGAAACATAAACCCCCAGGAGACGATGGCCTGTTGCATCTTGCCACTGAAAATAAGAGTAAGCATCCGACTATCGGATCTGACAGGAGATATACGTTGCGATGGAAAGATCCCTCGTAGCTTCTCGGTTTCTTCTGGTCGTTGGATATACTGGCGGGCGAGCCAGAGCGAGCATTCACGCAGTTCATTCCAGTAGTTTCCCATTCCCCAACGCTTCAAAAGTTCCTCCCAGAAAGCGGCGCTAACATAGCATCCGGTGGGAACAACGCGTTTCAAGACTTTGAATACGAACATCAGGGCATCGCGTTCGTATTGTCCGGGGGTTTGCTGTGGTTTATGGTGCATGCGACGATTGGGTAAAAGCTTCTCGGCCATGAAATCCACGCTGTCTTCACTCAAAGTCTTGCCATGTAAGGTGAGCTCGTCCACCACTTTGGAGGCTGCATTAAGCTCTCCGGCGGCCAGATGTTTGCGGAAGTGTATGTCGAACAAGTTAGGGATATCCGGGTAATGTTCGGCTAGAATAGCTAATGAGACATTGTATTGGCGCCAATCGCGAGCCATGTAGTATGACACCAGTAGAGACTCTTGCAGCTTTGCATCTTCCAATACGTCTGGGTGCTGATCACTTTGTAATAAGTCGGAAAGAAGGAACTCGCGGTTCTGTGCTGCTAGTTTTGGCACTAGACGGGTGAAAACGCTGTCTGCGAGTGATATGCCAGACTTGCGGAGGGTTTTGAGATTGGAAAGCATTTCCTGACTATCTTGAACTCTCACGGCCATTTCACGCAAGGTGCGTGGGCCGATCTTTGAGACACCAAGAATTCTTAGCCCGCCAATCACCATATCGAGATTCAAAGCACGGGTCGCAAATAGTCTCGCTGCGATATCATCTTTGTATTGACGCTTGCCTGAGAAGTTGATCTTTGTGTTTTGCTGGTCAGACTCTTTTCCCTCGAGTATCTCATGTAACATATCCTCGGCACGGAATGGCGATGAGAATCGACTTTGAGAATATTGCCGGAGGTTATCATATTCCCTTCGTAGCCCGTAGTCCCTTGTGTACTGCAACAGAGAGTCGAGTTCTTTTAATGAGCTTGGATGATCTTCGCGAGCAACTAGCCATTCGTGCATTGCCAATGCATGTTCTCCATGACCTTGCTCAAGTAGCTTTTCCACAACTAGGCCATAAACCTGGTGATCTGTGGCTCGACATAGCTCCTTCAAGGTCTTAAGTCGTAGAGGGGCTAACTTCGCCCGCGGGGTGGGACGAACGCCAGCCAAAAGAATCATATCGTTGTTATGCGCGAGTATGGGTGGTGAAATTATGTACGGTAAAACCTGTGCGAGATTTTCGGGGCTAGCTATCCCCGAGGCTTGGAGTTTCCCGTGCCATTCAATGGCCTTTTTATCCATGCCTCGTTCCAATAGACCTCCTACAACATGCTCATAGAGTAGTGGCCAGCATTGATCATTGTTTTCTTGACGGATCGTTATGGCGTAGTTCAAGATATGTTCCAGGAAGATCTCTCGTTTCAAGCCCAGGTCAATGAAGCTTTGCCAAAAGAAGTCTGCACGTTCTCCTGTGAGGGGCAATTGCACTCCGCCGACTCGATTTGTCATGCCCTCCCAGATGACTTGGGTGCCATTTTCGCCGTAATGACGTTGTCGAAACCTAAGGAGTTCCTCCCAAAGTTCGAAATTATCCCTGTGTTCCGGAAGGTCCACTAATCGTGTTCCCAAGTTATTCGTGTGGCCAATGTCCGATTCAAATTCCAGCCTTTCTGGATCTAGTAGAAGTTGTTTGATCGAACCATCTGCTGCGTTGGATAAAGCCAATCGGTTTGCAATTAGAGAGGGTTCGGGGGAGTGATGGTCGTGAGAAGGTTCGATGTCGTAAACAGAAAAGCTATGTGGTTTCTTCTTGTGTTTGGATTGCCACAGAGGTCTCGTTTGGTGCGACTTAGACGAATCGCAATCACTGTCATCGGTCAAAGGTAACTTTTTGGGGCATTGTGAATAACATCGAAGGCGCGTGTATCGGCAATCCAGCTGCTCAATTCCGATTGGCAAAGCGGCGATGGTGTCGATAATCGAGAGCGCGGATGGCCTCTTCAATAATCGAGTCAGAGCCGGTCGCATGGGTGCAAGGTATCAAATGGCACCCAATGCTGGACCATGCTGGAAATCGTACAAATAGAAGAAAAGAAAGACTTCGCGACGACACAGCTTTCGTCGTGAGGGCTAGCGGAGCCTTCCTTTTTCGAGCGCGAATCAACGATCCTTAGTCATCCAAATCCTTTATAAGCAGATGAGTTTGATTGGCAAAAAGGCGGAAGAAAGAGGAGGGTCACATGATCATTGAAGCTCGATCCCAAACGTCGTGAACATCACCCCATTCCCTTTTGTCCCATCCCTCAAATCCTCCACTCCCTTACAACCGCTAAAATGTTCCGCACTGCGCCTCGCCTGGCCGGGTATGTCAACGTTGATTCTTGAACTCCCCGACCTCAATTCCCACCCGAATCCCTTCACGGCCTCGTGGCCGAGTGCGCCCGATTTTCGCTTCGCAGTTCCTCGGGGCCCCCAGCCAATTGCTCGACATACTTCCCACTGCACAAATGACTCATGAATAATCAATTATAATGGCTAACTTTGACTGTTACGTTATAGCTTCGTGTTCCGCGAGAACCGTGTCCCTCACTACCAGCGTCTGTTCCAGAACCACGACGGAAAGCGTCAATGGTGGAAGGTCAGCTCAATTCGACTCCGTGACTCTCACAACCCCATATTCGCACCTATCTAACACTGATCTGCCTTATACAGACCCCCCGTAGTGGCTACGTCATGTACCCCTACCTCATCTCCGTTTACGGTCTGGGTGCTGGTGAGTGAATCTTGATCTTGGCTGTAACTACTATCTACAACAGAAAGCTGACTTAATGATAGCTACCACCTACGCTATGTGCCGTATGGTCTTCGTAAGTTCTGAATCCGTTGCCCAACCCACGCGATATTCCTACAAATTGACAATCCCACGTCCACGTCCGCAATCGCAATCTAACCTTTTCAACAGGGCCACAAGACTTGGATCTAAGTCATCTTCACGAAATTAGACGATACCATCCACGCTTAGAGGGATGGTTAAAGGTGCAGGGCTTGGTTGACTCGATATTGGTGTACTTCTACTCCGGTGATGGTTCCGGTGGACTCGCAGGCACACTGTTTGGGGCTGTAAATACCACCAATTCAAGTGCCAATGAAATTGATTTTCTTTCTACAAACATGAAATTCACAGTAGTAGAACCAGTCATGCCAAAATTTTGACCGTTCTAGCTAAATTTGTGCGACTGATTTGACATCACCTTCTTTAAACCTCTCGACTGGTATGATCTTGAGCCAAACCAGGATACGATTATCAGATTTGTCTGCTCTCAATGTATACTTGCGATCGACTTTGGGGTACATACTCCATATTCAATATTATCGGCAAATGGTGGAAGCTCTTGTCCAATCCGCCTTCCGCCCCTTCTCCGGCCGGATCCATAGTGTAGCTTAGTCATGTTTCAAGAGGGCAACAGTGTGCCTGTCAACCAATCTTATCCACAATGCATTATTGGTTCAGATTAAATGAAGGGCAGGGCGAAGCCGTTTCTTCTCGGTGCTTTTTGGCATATTACTTTATTGATTTTCATGCCAAGTCGCATAGCTTTATCGTGCTAAGAAATCAACGGTGTATTCATTGCATCTGGGGTCTCACCACAGAACGTGCCAGGCTTGTGACAAGGGCATCACCTGCGTGTTATCCATTGTGCACCTTGATACAGACCCGAGATAATCCTCATATCGCTCCGAGGCCAGAATATTAGATGGACTCAGCATATACGGAGCGCCCCGCTAAACGGGTTCGGCAAGCCTGCGAGCCCTGTAGGTGAGACATGATTTTTGCCCATAATCCTGGGACCATGCTGATATGCATCTTAGGCGCAAAAAAGCAAAATGCCCCGGAGAGCAGCCTGTATGCTCTCTATGTGCTAGACTACGCCAGCAATGCGTTTATGCTGAGGAGAGACGCCGACACCTGTCCAGTGATGATCCCCAAAGGTTGAGCGTACCACCTGCTTCTTCCTCGCAAAATCTGGTAGGTAATGTTCCTCAGATGATATGAAAATGACTATATTATCAATCTGACAACTCTCAGGAAGATCGACTGTTGAGCCTAGAAGGTAAATTAGGGGCCGTACTTGACCACCTGGGGTATATACCTACACCTACCTTTCGTGAATGTTCTCTATAGATACTATTTACTGATCTGCGGTGTTGCCAGTTCCAGAGCCGACTCTTCAATTCCAAACGGGGTTTCTACATCAACGCCTTCTGGATCAGGCTCTTACGTTATTCTTCCTCCGTGGGAAGAGGTCATTCCTATAGCAGAGCTTTACTTACTATATTGCGAGTCACAGCCGCTGCCTCTATTCCATAGAGACAGTTTCCTCGCCAGTATTCAAGAACGTGATATTGAGGTTATATACGGTATTCTGGCTCTGAGTCTCCGTTTCTCTGATTCATACAATAGCTTCAATGATCCGACTGGACTAGTGAATGGATATGCGGAAGTGGCGCGGGGCCTTGTTATGAAACGAGTCTCAGAAGGGCCGGTTGAGATTTCAACGCTGCAATGCTTGTGCCTTTTGAGTCTGGTTGACTTCACAAGTTAGTAAAGCTCTTGCCTCTATGATTGACCAATACTCATCTGGTTCTTTACTATTAGATGGTAATACACACCGCTCCAGCATTCACAGCAGTCTTGCAATGAACCTTGCGCATTGCGCAAACCTTGGAATCGAGCCTCGCTCTTTGACAAACCAAATTACTCGCGAAGAGCGGAGGCGATGCTTCTGGAGCATATGTCTCTTGAAAAGATTGCATGGCGGTGACTTCTCAATCTTAGATTTTCCAGAAGGAGGAGCGCTACCGTATCCAAATAGTCCAACCAGACCAGCTCGCCTTCTTTCTTCGGAATCTTTGACTCCTGAGGCCCGAAGGAGCGAACTACAGGATCAAGGCATAGTTGCATATGTTATAATGCTGAGTGAGGTATTCTCAAGAACAGCACGCTATGTCCGACTCCGTGGTAGACCAGGGAATGTCCCGCCTTGGTCTCCCGATTCTGAATATTCCAAGATAATCGCACTGCAGATGGAATTAGAGACACGCATGCCACTAACTCATCGATTTAAGCCGGCGAATCTAGGTGACAGGTCTTTAGAGGAGCTCCAAACCCATCGAGAATATTGGGGACCATGGTTTTTGAATCAGTTCATGTATCATACTACCCTCTGTCTCCTGAACCACCCGTTATTACTTTCCCTCAGCCTGCGAACTTTCCGAAGTACTATCCCGGAAATATTTTTGCAGCACACATCTGATCTCATCTCATCCCATACAACTTGGATTATCCATTTCATTAACTACTTCGAGGAGAAATTATTTTTTGTATCAGATCCACTGCTGGGATACAGCGCTGCTGTTGTAGCTACTATTGAGCTTCAACTGAGTTTTACCAAGGACCCAATCATTCGAGAGCAGAAAAGAGAGAGATTTGCAAAATGTGTCCAGTTTGTGCAGCAAATTGGCCAAAAATGGCCTCATATGGCCCGCTTGGTGCGTATTACCAATTATCTTTCTCTATGAAGCCAGTCAACTAAAAGACCATGTTGGAATTCCCAGGCCCAGAGGCTACAGCACCTGGAAGATGCCGTTTCTTCTACCTATCAATCTAATCCGGGCGACCAAAACCAAAGTTTACTCATAGACCTCTCTCGTTTTTGGGAGATCCTCGAGTATTCATCAAATAGTGATGCGGGCTCGGCCCGGCGTCTTTTTGGAGACTCGTTGTATAACGGGCCTCCATCTTTGGCAGCAGAAGTATCTCAAACTTCACCTTTACCTGCACCAACACGTCTGACAGCACAAGAAGACAGGTCACCTGGTCTTCAATCCCAAAGTTTTGCTACCAGCACGGCTTTTCCAAGTGATTCAACATACCCTACTGCCTCACTTGTCTCGCCACAACAGTTGTCATTGACCAATGATGACTTTTCTATTCTGGCTACGAATTTCTTCTCACAAGGTCAAGAATTTCTTCGTGGGGGTGATACCTGGGATAATATTGGTAACTTCTGATTATCGCAGTATCACGGGGCTCAGGTCTAAAGGTACTTTGATCTATCAATTACTCCTCAATAATTACATGTCTCAGATCCTTCAAGGAGAAAAGAAAATTGGAGAAATGCATATATATAATGGCACACTTGATGGAAGTGTTATTATTTTTTGGTGTCTTATGGGATATTGTTTGCATTTGTACAAACAATGTTGCTTATTGCTCGGACAAAGCACCCTTAAATGTCTCCACAAATGTATACACCTCAGAGAAGGTATTGTAAAGAGGAACAGGTGCTGCACGAACAACGCCTGGTTCACGCTTATCACAGATAATGCCTGCATCTTGTAGTCGCTCAGCCACCTTATGCAGAAGTCCCGGCTTGAGTAGCAAGCTCAGTTGTGCACCACGAGCATTGGGATCCGACGGTGTGATAATGTCAAACAGACGTGTCTTCTCGTCAGTATCCTTCAGGAGTAGGAACTCAAGATAGGCAGTGAGCTTAATTGACTTTTGGCGCAGTTCAGCCATTGAAGTCTGGTCGAATACTGATAGCGAAGCTAACAGAGTAGTCAGATCAATGACTGATGGGTTGGAAACAACGTAACCATTAGCTCCGGGGATAGGCTTGAATTCTAGTAAAAACAGTTAAAAGGGGTTCGTTGACAGTCGGTCTTCTGAATGCGTCTTACTGTTGTCCATCTGGAAGCGCACAGACCGATCACCACCGTACCAACCAGTGAGACGGTGTCGGAACTTGGGCGAGTCCTCGCCCTCGCTATAATCTACCTTGCCGTGGCGCTCATGCACGAAAAGACCACCCATGGCACCGGGTCCAGCATTGCCATATTTGTAAGTACACCAAGCAGCGAAATCGACGTTCCAGTCGTGCAACTTGACTTCAGCGTTTCCATAAGCGTGCGCCAGATCCCAGCCTACGATCAGGCCTCGAGATTGGGCATATGCCGTGATGCGGGGGATATCAAATAGTTGGCCGGTGTAGTACTGGATACCAGGTAGGAGAAGAACAGCAGCGTCCTCGGCGTGCTTGTCAATGACTGAGAGAATCTTTTCGGTTGGGATCTCATATGTGTCTTCGTCGGGGCCGATGAGGACCATGTTTTCCTTAGAGTCGAGGCCGTGCCAGGCAATGTGTGATTCAATCGCGTACTGTGTCTGGAATTAGTTTGTAGTTGGAAGTATTCAACGATTTAATCTCTTACGTGGTCACTAGGGAATGCCTTCCAGTCCATGAGAATCTTCTGGCGCTTTTCTGTCGGCTTATAGAAACTGGCAAGTAGAAGGTGCAGATTCACAGTAAGGGTTGCCATCGCAGCAACTTCTTCGGGTGAAGCACCGACAAGCTTGCACATGGATTCTGAGGCCTGCTCTGAGAGTAATTGCCATGGCTTCAATGGAGAATCTTCGACATCAGTGAAGTGACCACAGACGCCGATTGATGACCAGGTATCGAGCTGCGCCTCCATGTACTTGGAGACTGCCTTAGGCTGAATACCCAATGAGTTACCGCAGAAATAAATGCTTGACTCTTTAGAAAGGCCTTGAATATCATTGTTAGAATCCAAATACCGCGATACTTCTTCGATTTGCAGTGCGACATGGACACTATAACTCACCTGGCTTGGCCAGCTTCTTAGAGGCAAGATTAGCTTTGGAAGGAATGATGAACTGGTCCCGTAGCCCACGAAGGGGATCTTGAGCATCTAAGGAAGCTGCATATTCCTTGGTTGCGGCCTCGGCGGGGAAGGTAGGCTTGGTCACTTTGACCCCGTTTGTTCCGTTTGAGCCAGTCATTTTGGGGGATAGAGGGGGACGTTGAAGATGAGAAATTCAAAGGCCACGGGGTTTGAAGGCTAGTTCCCTGGAGTTAAGAGAGATATTTGCTGGAGGATGCTTAGGCTTAGGCAGAAACTGAGATAAGATGTCGCGCACGATCCGCATTTATAACAATCATGTCGAATTGGAGTGGAGTGCAGTGGCATCCGGATGTTCTCTCCGCTTCCGCCTCTGGATCCGTCCCCACACTTTTGGCTTCGGGCTGATCAGTCTATTGAATCTTTTTACTCTCCATATTGTTATCACAAGATTGAACCTATTACAAATTATATACAAATTGTCACGAAGGTTTATATAGTTTAGCTTATCTTAATATTTACTTTTTTACGACCCCTCCATGACTTGTTGCATTCAATCCTTGGGCGGGGGTAATTAAAGCTGGCCATAGATGTTTGATATACTACTGCATGAGATGCAGATATGCACAAGGTGGCACGTTGTACATTCGTTAAAATTCAGGTTGATAAGACTCTCAGAACTATTGAAGTGTATCTGGTTCCTGTGATCAATATTCATACCGGATTATAATACTTGACGCCAATGATGATCTCTCGCACGCCGTTACATCACAGTACGGAACACGGATAGACATCCGGATCGGAAATCCGGGTTTTATAGATTGCAAGTTGCTGCAGTAGCCGATACCAGCCGTTAAGGCGTGTCCCTCACTTACATCAGTATATTTTATTAACATCCGGCCGTCTTGATTTTGCTTGCTAGGCGCTTATTGTCTATTGCTATTTCTATTCATTAAGCTGCACTTTTTATGAGATTATTTTTATTCTCCCTCGGCATTCCTCCACTTCCACCACTGGAACCCATCAGCATCGGCATTATCTATCTTTGGCTTTGAACATACACTGCTTATCTGCCTTCTCTCATTTTTTGTTCCTTTTTTATTCAGTTCATCCGTATAAAATGCTTCAATCACCCAATATTCTCCTCGACGAATACTCCGTCTCCTTTGCGAATGGGTTCCTCCCAGTAGAGCTCCCTCTCGCCAAATTACCAAGTGCCTATTATGAGCCATGGGAAACAATCGCCACTGATTTGCCTGCTCTCATCCGAAATAGAAATATCAGAATGATGGTCGACTCGCTCCCTATCCTCGAAACATCTTCTCTAAAGACAGAGTCTGAATGGCGACGGGCCTACTCTGTCCTTGGCTTCTTGATGCACGGCTATATCTGGGGAGGTGAAACACCTAAAGATGTAAGAACCGCCTATGTAACAACTGCCCGATGAACTCTTCGGTCTAATAATATATATGCACCGAACAGAAAGTCCCTCCTTCTATCGCCAAGCCTTTTCTGGAAATTTCCAAACATCTGGGCCTCCCGCCCTGTGCTACCTATGCTGGCCTAAATCTTTGGAACTACACCGCACCCGTAGGTGCCGACATAACAAACCCTGATAACCTATCTTTAATAACCACATTTACTGGTACTACCGACGAGGAATGGTTCATTGTTATCTCGGTCGCAATCGAAGCAAAGGGTGGGAAACTCATGACCCTCATGCTCGATGCGATTGCAGCAGTCACTGCCAACGACGTCCCACGGCTGACTGCATTACTCTATAAGTTCACAGATGGGCTGCAGGATTTTAATGAGACTCTGAAACGTATGCATGAGAGATGTCATCCGGATGTTTTCTTCTATCAACTTCGTCCTCTATTGGCTGGTAGTAAGAACATGGCTGCTGCTGGCTTGCCTAGCGGTGTGTTCTATGACGAGGGCAACGGTGTTGGCCAGTGGCATCAATACTGTGGAGGTAGCAATGGCCAGAGTTCACTCATTCAAACTTTTGATATTTTTCTTGGGGTAAATCATTCTGCGACCGGGGGTATTAGTGGTCCTTCCGGTTATCTTATGGTAAGTTTTCATAAACAGCGAGTCCTATATTGTCACATCCTATATTTTATGGATGAACATGTTACTAACGCAGATACCAGGAAATGAGAGACTATATGCCAGCTCCGCATAAGCGCTTCCTCGAGACCCTGTCTCACATTTCTAATATTCGTCCCTACGTGATGTCTCCCCAGACTGAGCCCACTTTGAAAGAGGCCTATAATGCGGCTTGCTTAATGCTTGGCTCTTTCAGAGACACCCACATCCAGATTGTCTCTAGGTACATTATCATGCCATCGCGTCGAGTACCCCCGCAACAACAAACAGCGGGAAAGGTCAATCTCGCTACAGCCAGTGTAAAGGTTGAAGAAGTAAACGAGAAGAGCTCGGGGCTGAATGGAACCGGTGGGACTAGCTTGATTCCGTTCTTGAAGCAAACGAGAGATACCACTAAGGATGCTACCTGCTGAGTACTATCCAAATGTTCTTTTCTGTACGTCTCCTTAGCCATGGATGTCTGGAGTTACTTAGTCGATAATAATTACCTGCATAACCCGATATTTTGTAATTGGAATAGTAGGTATTCTATAGGCATAGACTTGTGATTTGGGCTATAGATTACAATAGATATATAGAGGAACTTATGCCAAAATAGAAAGTCCCGACTTTTGTTGACGGGGACCATTAATGTCATTATCAAACACGTGTTGATTATCTGGTATAATACACCTCCAGGGTGGCGGGGCTTTTGGAGCATGATTAGGCTCCCCTTCTCGGACACTTTTGCTCCTTTAACATGTACGACGCGAAGATTTAGGACTTGCGCCTAAATCAAATGTCACGATTCACGATGGCCAGAAAAAGCGTTGGGTATGAGGAGGAATTGGAATCTAGATATTTCTGCGAAGCTCTTGCAGCTTCTGCGAGAAAAGGGAACCTCGGAGCGAATGGTCATTCCGTCGACGAAAGTCCGCGAGTCCACCAGTAACCCGCTAGGAAGATCGAATCTTCCAACGCAAAAGCAGGGATTTCAGTAAATGCTTAACAGGTCGTACCCCTGAAACATAGGGCCTGGAGCCTTGGGAACACTTTGCTTAGTCCGAGGATGGCAAGACTGCCGGGCAAAGCCCAGCTGTGCGAGAAACTGCAATCATCTCTTTTTGGTGGCGGCGGGAACCCCTTCACTTTCCCGCAGCTCCGCTAGGGTCTTCTCTCGTTCAGTCAATCGATCCTTCTCCTCTTTAATCATTCCCTCGACTGTTTTCATAGCCTCTGACATACGATCAAGCTCTTTATTTTCCGTAGCTCGACTGTACGGGTTCTTCGGCGAATCAGAATTCGGCAACTCTGCTGTTCTGATGGCTGCCTGTTTTGAATTCTTGCCCTTAGCCCTAGGTGCAGCACCAGCTGTAGGACCCCCGGTAAGAATTTCGTAAAAGGGCTCAACGGGCTCATTAAAGATCACCTCCTCATAATTTTGACTGGTGACCACTTCGCGACGCTCCTTTATTCCTTCCGCATCGGGGCCATAGGGATGGAGTTTCAGGCTGTGCCAGAGGGTTTGTGGCTTCTCATTCGACTCGGGAACAAAATAGATTTTGATTTGGATCTCGAATTCACCCCATCCTGTTTCGACGACTTCGAACGGTGGCGCTTCGACGGTGCGGACGTTTTGTGCGTAGGTCTCGTGGAGTTTGAATTGGACTTTCTTAATCCAGTAGGAGATGTCTTCGTCGTTGATGCCCTTTACAAAGATGCGCCATTGATGTGTGTGGTCTGTGGGTGCATTGGCAGGTCTCTTCTCGGGGTCAAATGGTTGCGCTTCACTGCCAAAAACTGTGCTTGGTGTATCAGTATTTATTGAATATATATGAATTGTATTCGTCAGACATACTGAATGGGCGGAATACTGAGACACCCTATGAAAGAAGGGATTAGCTTGGGTTTCTGGTTTACTGCACGAAGAACGTAACAACTCACTCTGACGCGCTTATTTGCTGGTGTCGAGGGCATATCGAAGAGCTGGAAGCAATGTAAGATGGATCGAGTGTAAAATCAATGATCGCGTTAAACTGAATTGAAGCTGTTGCGGGCGCGATGGAAAAAGGCAATCGCGATACACGTGACTCGGTGACGGCATGCGGGAGCTTTCGCATAGCTTGATTTCTTTCCAGTTCAATCGATGATACATATTGCGAATCTTTACAAAATCTGCATTGTTTGCTCTTAAAAAAAATATCCACTGTTTCATAATGGCTGCGAAGAGACTTGTGGTTGCCGGTGGAAGCGGCTTTTTGGGTTCGTGATTCATATGGGCTGGTGTTCAAGGTGCTAATGTACAATTACAGGATCTAGAATCTGTAAATCGGCTGCTGCGCGGGGATGGGAAGTCATCTCATTAAGGTATAATGTCGGCCTCGTCATATTCCTAAATATGGCCAATTGATCTTCAAATACTAAAGTTTGTCTTCTAGTCGGTCCGGCGAGCCGCGGTGGGAAACCGTTACCAAGTCCTCGACACGTCCAAGCTGGGCAAGCTCGGTCGAGTGGGCGAAAGCCGATCTTTTGAAGCCTGGAAGCTACAAATCATTCTTGAATGGTGCTACCGCTGTTGTACATTCTATGGGAATCCTTCTAGAGGCCGACTACAAGGGTGTGGTACAAGGGAGAGAACCGATAGTCGGTGGCCTTCAGCGGGCATTTAGTTCATCCAAGTTGGGAAGTCAGGATCCATTATCACGGAAGGAGGGAGAAGCACTTCAGCCCAAGGAAAAAGATGGACAATTGACATATGAATTGATGAACAGAGACTCAGGTATGAACCCATGGTTGAGCAATTGATGCGTTAGAAAGCTGACTTTTTGGTGGAATAGCTATTGCCCTCGCCCAAGAATCCTTGACCGAGCACGTTCCAGCTTTCGTGTACATATCTGCTGCGGCCGGAGCGCCGATCCTTCCAGCCCGGTACATTACCACTAAGAGAGAAGCCGAAGAGACGATAGCCTCCACCCTGCCAGAACTCCGAAGCATATTTATGAGACCCGCCTTCATGTTCGACTCTAGTCGGAAATTCACTTTGCCTATCGCACTAGGGGGACTTCTCACGTCGGAGGTCAACAATTTTCTGGGAAACAAGCTTGGATTCCTTGGAGCCATGGCCGAGAAACCTCTGAAAGTCGATACAGTGGGTGAAGCAGTAGTGGAGGCTTTGGAAGATGAGTCAACAAGAGGTGTGGTAGGGACAAAGCAGATTGAGGCGCTGGCCACCAAGGCCTGGAGGAAAGGGATGCTTTAAATCAACCGAGCGTCGCCTGTTTCTGGCGCTCATAATTATGCACGGAGGCCAATCCCTCCAATTGGGCAAAGCACACGATATTTGGCGGGATGGCGACTATTGTTCTGTTCCAGACTTGACTTCATGAAAGTGCCCAGCGCATGTATATTATCTCTATTTTCATGGCGCATTAAACCTTGGTTCCTCGCTCGAAACTGTCCCGAATCTCTTTGGTGTACTATAATGGACAATCAAATTAGCTTCAATGGTCCTTGAATAATGATAAAAAAGTAACAACAACATACCTTGTTGTAGAAACGAGCAAGTTTTTGGTTGAACTGCTTGTTCTTCTCGTTGATGTATGTCACATCGGCTTCTTCATCACCGCGTCGGTCTTTGCGCTTCTTCAAGCGCACCTCCTCAGCCTTCTGAATATCACCGACCAGTCGGTCCACGGCCGCTCGGTCCGGCTTGTTCTCAGTAAAGCCCACACTATCTGCCGTGGAGTAGAAACTGCCATTCTTGTCGATCGCAATCATTTCTCCATCAGCCGTTTCGACGATTTCGAGATCGCCATTGGCGGCGGCCTTCTCGATCGCAGCCATCTTTTCTCTTTCATAAGCCTCCATGTCGGGCGGAAGCTCTCGCATCTGACGCTTATAAATCTTCCGAGCATCCTGAGTATAATCCTGGAAGGCCACATCGTCGCGATGAGCCTGTTTCTTCGCCATACGTCTATCCCATTTCTCGGATTCATCAACGGTCCAGTCCCAAGCTCGCTTGCGCTCAAAATCTTCGCCGGCGGCTTCTGTGTCGGCTTTGAGAAGGTTGTGGGAGGCGAAATCTTTCTTCCGTGCCAACGAGGTCGCCAGATTTGGATCGGTAGCAAGTCGCTGGGTTTCTGCAACTGTTTCTTTCATGTTGCGTTCATTGGCAGATTTCTAACAAGAGGATCAGCTATTTGGTCGTAACTAGCTTTATATAGCTCATGCGCGCCTCTGGGAGAAGGGGAATCTTACTGCTCGCGCCCTGAGTGCCTTGAATCTTTCTTGTCTCTCCCGTGCCTTAGCGGCCGCGTCGTCCTCTTGCTTGTCAGCATTTGACTCCGCGGTGCTAGAAGTGTTCGCGGTGGGGGACTCCGTCTGGTCTGGCTGTTCGGTATCTTCCACCGTAGGATCTGTCTTCTTTGCCTGTGGCATGGTCAATAGCACGCGTATTTTGATACGCGCGTGGTCGCTGAGGTGAAATTATTGAATGGAGTAAGAAGAGGGACGTTGCTGCAGTTTTTCGCCGACGATTTGATATCAAGTTCACCGCCCTATAGCACCGCCCTGCGTTCTGCCCAAACTGCCACCCCAGACTTTGGCCGCGGCCCCTTATCGCCATCTCCACCCGTGGGTCATTCTGCCCGCGCAATTGTGTTATGTTGAGCAGTGCGCCCAACATGAGAGCCTTAAGACTGAATTCTTTGAGACCAAGAATTTTGAGGAATCATGGCGGATTATCTTCACGATCGGTGGCTCAATGCTACCACCCCTTCGACATTACCAATGAAATCGATTCCAATCTCGGGCTCAATGATCTCCACCCAACCCCCTCACAGCTGCTTCGGGCCGCAATTTTAGGGTCAAGTGATCTAAATACAGGCGGAAATCACGGTGGCACTGCAATTCAGCGAGCTCTGGAGATACTTGATCAAGAATGGGAGTTTGCTAGTCCCCCTCCATCTTTATGGCTAGCTCTCAAAGGAGTCCCGATAATGAATAATCGGGAAGGTGACTTGGTCTGGCTTGACAATGCATCTGACTTATCGGAAATAAGAATAATTCTTGAGAGGGTGCTTGACAAGCTTGGGGCTAGAGAGCTTCACGCAAGGCATTTTAACTCACTCAAATTGGCGTTACGGCGTTGTGAATCTCACAGCACTTACTCAGAGATTACTGGACTCGTGAATGACATTCTTGTACGATTCGAGAAGCTCGACCTACCTGGCTGTCATTACATCGCTCAATTGGGTGTCTACTATGCTGCGTTGAATCTCTCGGTCCCGGCCCTACGCCGATTTATCGCTGTGTGGGACACGAAAAAGAGTTCTAGCGTACGCGAGGATGCACACGTTATAACTAAAGCATTATCAGCGGCAGTTGATTCGGCATTTCATGAGAATCCTCATTTCAATACTTTCACATTACTCTCCGCGATCACATCAGAAGAAACGCTTCATGAGTCAGCCAGATTGCAGGGATTGCATCGATTCTTGTACCCCGCAGCTCTTCAAAGCCATGATAACTTTTGCTCTGAACTACGACTTCTCGCAAAATTGGGCAGTGATCGATCGCTAAGAGATATGTGGCTTGTCATTTTGAAGAAATTCGAGTTCCACGATGCTCAGACATGCCACTCTGCTTATAGTGTCGCTGTGACCTTGGTCCGATTTGGCCGTTCAGAAATGGCTTTGGATCTCCTGGAAGCCTTTTCGAACAAATTGAACGGCAGGCTGCCCAACATTGAGTCGTTTAATAACTTCCAGCTCTTAATCGACGATCATATTATCAGTCAATCACTCACGAATCTGGTTGATGATGAAACCTATAAGACCTTGATGGATACGAGCACGGCCAGCATGGAGCAAAGAATGGGCGGTGATGTGAACCAGCTTTATCCAGAGATCCAGGCCAACGGATGTTCCAAGTCTTACGAAAATCTAAGTCAAATTGTTTCACTATTAAACAATGTGGATGGCGATTTGCTTGACGTAACCGTGCAACCTAACCTAAACGAAGAGCAGTGGGAATTGTTCCACCCAAAACTCGAAGGAGTGGAATTTCGATGGTGTCCTCAACAGTCTCCCATCAACTTTTCAGACTCCACACTTCCAAGCCTAGAAGAGCAGTCTGAGGCATGGTCTCCGGCCTCCCTCGGATTGATGCGTGCTCGCTCTTGGGCCCACGGCATACCTCAGGCGGGGGCCAACAGCTTGCATTTGATGCAGCTGGGTTACCTGGAAATGCGACGTGGTGAGGATGATCCATGGAATCCATCCGGGTATATCGTGGCATGGGATCGTCAATATGGTGAAATGGTGGCTCTTTATGTTGGGGAATTCTCTGGGGCCATTGACTGTGGTCCAACTCCGTCTGACGCCCCCTTCGGTACTTTAATGTATATTCGGCCTTCCGACATGCCCGATATGCTTCCTTTGTTCCCTGATCGTTACCCTCTGGGCTTCCTGGATCACTACTATCTGGATATAGATCCTAGTGCCGATCTGGGCCCGTGATGTGTTCGCCTTCAGACTATTGAACCTTTCTTTTACACGTGCATTTGTTGCAAACTCAATGCACAAGGAAGATCGTTGGAGCGTCGAACCATAGGACGATCTCACATGTAAATGTTGGAGTGCAATGCACGATTTAGCGGTGTATTATAAAATTCTTTTCTAGCACATGAATATGAACAGCATTGTGGAGACCCTTAAAAATTATTGATAGTCCTCAATGCCTCGGGCCTCCTCGGTTTCGCCCCTCTTTATCTCAGTTCGCAAATCATTCCAGTAAACTTCAAGTATTAACAGTGGGCCAAGAGGAAACAGAAGACAATCCACAATGATCAACTCGCCTCATTTCACCGGCGAAGGTTTCCCATCCAAGCTCCAATCAGAGACCATTTCCATGATTTTGAAAATTGCCCTAAAGTACGAATTGTCGTTGTAGCCCTGATCGGCACACACTATGAATATCTGGACCCTCATCGTTATGTGACCCACGAGTACTACTACCATAGAGCTCGTGCTCGTGAGCACGCACCTAAGCATCACTCGCCACAGTGTGGTCTTATGGGGTCAAGAAGAGGGGTCACGGTCCAGATCGACAGTAGGGGTTCGCAAGCGGCCCATCTAATACTTGGGCCAATGTGTTAATTTAGTGCGCTTTAGACTGGATACAGGATCATAGCCTTGGCTGGTCCCAATCTGTTGGTATGCCTATTTTTGCTCTTTATTCCCCAGAATCCTTCTGTCAGCGAATGCCAGTGGTCGGGACAGCTATCTTAATTCCGATGCAGTAGTAAGTAGCCGAGGACTTTTGTGCAAGGCTCTAGATTAGTTTTGTGGTCCACTCTAACTCCACTTTACGGAGTTATTGGGGTTGCTTTGTTTATCAACGTGCTAATGGTGCTATTTAGACCTTGTGGAGAACATGTAAATTAGTCGGGCGTCACTCACTTTAGGAGATAACTCGGCGATCCTGGCGGCTGCGCCGTAGGCTTCTAGGTACTGACATAATTATGACAATGATTATTATTATTATCTTCTCGGCTGTAATTACTTTACTAAAGGGGAGGGAGTTCCTGGCAGCTGGGAATAACCTTGGCATATCTGTGTGTAATATCAGGTGGAGAGCTACGAGTAGATAACGGGCTATCGTATTGTTTGTCCCCAATGTTCCAAGGTTGTTTGCTGTCAATCCATGGATCGTTTCAATGCCGGGAACCCAAAGTAGAAGTCTATATAAAAAGGGTCTGAAAAGCATCTAAAGTTCGCATGTATCCTCTAAATGTCGACTCGCTTCCATAGTTCTTCCTGTTTTTAGCAGATTGCACATCAGGTCCTGGCGTGACAGACCTAATACGAAGTTTGCCTACGTTGCCTTGCCGCTTGGACCCATCCGACCCATCTAATCGTTAAAAACGCTCAACAAAAAGTGGTCCGCTTTTCCTCCAGCTTCTTGCCGGTTGCCTTTTCGCGGGAGGTACAGAGTTGTACACTGTACTGTACCTATAGCTTGGGAGCGAGATCGTGTATCGTGTATCTGATTTTTCCCTACAGGGCAAAATCGAGCCGCTGCCATGCGAGGGATGACCGGCGCGCACTGCCGTGAAACGCTCCAAACACTAAATCTATTCTGATTTCCAGGAAAACGCAAAGCGGGCTTACCGACACCTTTCTCCCCAAGGAAAAATAAAAGCTTGCCACTCTTTTCCATATCCATACAAGGGCATATCGTCATCGACCGCACGGAGCCGTCATGAAGCCCGGACCACTCCCCACTATTACGGCTGGTCTGGGTGCCACTGACGCACTTTTTCAAGATCCTCATTGTGGAGGTCTATGAAGATCTTAGGTTTTGCGGCGTAAATGGTCTGATTTCCAAGATACCGACTCGCTAAGTGACTGGTAATGGAGTCGACGATCTATTCCCCTTGATGGGAATCGAAATTTACGCCGTTCGAACTAGTCGGTCAGTATCCGATCGACGGGTATGCCCGCGAATGTTACCTGGAAACTTGGTGGGTTTGAATTTTGATATTTCTGAAGAAAAATCATTTCTTGGTCCAACTGTACACTTTATAAAGCGGAGATCTAAGTTTGGAAGGGGGTTCTTTATTATTTGCGTAGGATTATATAGAGAGTATGGGATTCTGCAATGGATGCTGGATAAGGAGGGGCCATTGTTTCCTTGAGACACAGCCCCTTTTTATATGGAGCTAAAAACTTACAATTCACAGTCTAATCAGAGACTAAACCTACCCAGTTATTAGTGGTGGCTCTGTCCACAAGGCCATCGTGTTGGTTCCATAGAGATCTCTCTGATTATCCCATTAATCTATTAAATTTTCTCATTCGATTACGGAGGACTTATCATTAATTGCCTCCTTTCTTTTTTCCTGTTTGTCCTATCCTGTATAGTTCTAAATCTCAGCCCCAGATCCTTACTAGAATAGGATGAGGTTCAGGCGACTCTGAGCAAGCCACAACCAGGGTCTTGAATCCCGACGCTGCACCTCAAGGAAACCTTGTACTGCATGACAGGTTTCCTTTGGCGGCGCTAATGGGCTTAAATCTCAACTTCCTACTGACCGTACTTTTCTTCAAGCACTTGGAGACCCTCGGGCGCCAGTTTCTGTCAGGAACAGCAACCGGTTCGTCAAAACCATTCCCACGCACAGGTTAGATTTGTATACAGACATACACAGCCCACTTTCTGCACCCACAGGCCCTTTCCACCCCCGTGGCGAAACCAATGCTTGCTCGGCCCGTTCCCCCGGCTCTTCCCTTTTCATCTTGGGAGTGGAGCTCTAAATCCTAGTCTCTTCTTAGAGGAAGGAGACAGAGCAACCGCCTCCACTATTATAAGTCAGATTGATTGGACTGGGCAGAGCGGGGAGAGAGGGGGAAACCCGGCACGAATCAACATCGAATTCTCCAGCTGAAAAGAGAGAAAAAAGACACAAAAAAAAGAAAAGAAAAGAAAAATTCTGCGCTCAGGATTGTTCTGTTCCCACTTTCTACCAACTAAAGAATTCTCGGGGAGAAATACTAATAAGAAGAAGAAGAAGAAGAAGAAGAAAAAAGGAGACAAAAAAGAATTATTGGTATTTCCCCCCTCGCAGCTCTGTTGTTCATAGATCCAATTTTCCTCTTTTTTCCTTTTTCCTTCTTTCTCCACCGGGCAAACTGACAGCGGTCACACCGTAACCGGGGCCTTCCAGCCCCATAGTTTTGTCATTTATTTTTTATCTTGAGTAAGAGTTCGTCAAAGTGGTTTTTTATTTCTTTCTTTCGATTATCAGATGCTCCTCGGTGAACCGCAGACAGATCCGGGATATGCACCCTGTGGATTTTTGCGTGATTACCCACGGCCCTGCACAACTGGGTCCTTACATATAAAGAAGAAACCCAAAAGAAACCCGAAATCTACATCTGAGACATCGACTTTTTTTTTGTCCCGCGCGGGTGTGGCTGACTGACCGCTTCCTGGGTCGCATCTAATGCCTAAACTTTGAGTTGGATCATCGTTGTTCGGAATACGGTTTGTACTTAAGGTAGCGCAACGGCCGCCCAACGGCGGGTGCGCGATTCCTCCCCTGAATAGATGTCGAGGACCCCATCGCAGCAATGTGGGCATTCCACCCCTGACAGGACTCGGATCGATCCTCGTTCCTATCAGCACCATAATCATCACCATCACCACCACCCTGGTCCTATGCCTATGGTATATCAACCTTATCTGTATCATGAGCCTCGTCATGTGCCCCCACAAGAGCCGCCGGGGTATGCACGCCCAGAACTATCAACGCTGCCTGGTCCTCGACTACCACCCTTGGGTCAAATAATGGACAGCAGTCTAGATCCAAGGTATAGGGCTTATTCGGACAATAGCTATGTGAACTATCAGCCTCTACCGCAAACATTGCCGTTACGGATGCATCATCAAGGTCCTATTATCACAGATCCGCGCGGTGATTATACCCAATATGAAGAAAGATCGAGTCCTATTCTAAGCCATGACGGCGAACTCCCTAGTCATCGGTTGCGGACATACGACTTGGAGTCCCAGTAAAGTTCCTTCTCTTTTCGTTTTTGTCGATTGAAATCTCCACTACCTGTCAGTCGCCCATCCTCGTGTGGTCTTCTTGTTCTTTTTCTGTTCTTGAACCTCCAATCCTACTATAAAGTGGACATAATTCTGGTGGAGATTATAGTATCAAATAAGCAACTCGTATCTGACTCGAAAAAAATCTAGTCACAGCAGCAGTTCCACAGCTTTACCAAGTCCTATATACTCGGAAAAAAGCCCCATCTCCTTCACTGGGTTTCAAGCAGCAGCAATACCAGCAAATACACCAAAAGAATCACGACAGACCGGAACAGCAAGCTACAGTATACCCCATGGTTTTGACAAAATTCTAAACCACGAACCTGAACCTGACCCTGACCCCGAACCATCACCATCACCATCACCTTCGTCTTCACCTTCACCACCGCCATGCCGAGACTCCACTCAACCCAGGTATCACCTACATGTTCGTCAACAGCCCGTTGCAGCACGAGCATGCGGTGCAGGCGATCGAGATCGTCGCCCCGTCGACCCCCCACCAATCGTTCAGATTCTCCTCACCGACTTCGATTCAGAATCCCAAGATGACAAGGACATTCTTCAAGACCCACGGTTCACAGTAGGATGTCTACTTTTCCCAGTCACCGACTCGGGTAATTGGGCCCAGCCACCAGATACAGAACAAGCAGAGAGAGAACGTGATAAACGAGAACCCGACGGTGTAGCCCGTGCAGACGACAATCTATCAACCCCACTCCTCTCAGGGAAAGCATTCATGTCACCATTCTACGTAGATGCAGATCCAGATCCAAATTCTGCACCTACACACCCCTCTTCCGACGATACGCAACTCACAAGCCCTACTACTCAACATCCTGGCTTGCGGAATGCATCGAAACTTCATCAGCCTGCGACGTTTTTTATTTTTGCCGATCTATCTATTCGCTCTGCTGGTCTTTATCGGCTGCAGTTTCGGCTCATGAATTGGGGTTCTGTTGAGGATACCGGCCAATCTATGCCTATTCTTGCTGAAGCTTGGTCTGATCCTTTTCGAGTTTATCCTGCGAAGGATTTCCCGGGAATGAGAGATTCTTCTATTTTGGCTGAAGGATTGAAGGAGCTTGGGTTTGTGGAGTTGAAGACTCGTGGTAAGGGGAAAGGTAAAGGTAGAAAGAGGTCTTGATTATGGTAGTTGACCTGTTTACTACATATCTGTATCTACACCTGCACCTCAATTTCTCCATGATTTCTTTCTTTGTTTCGTTTCCCCCTTTTTTGTACTCTGCACCTTTGGAGCTTCTACCGAGTACCTGCTTTGAATACTGGTGTCTTCTGCGTTTGGGAAGTGGTCAGGAACGGAGACGAACGGAAGGGGCGTTTATTTTGTTCCTTATTCTTCTGTTTTATACTGCTTCGGGCGCACTTTTACGATTTTTGCATTTGATATGAATTATGAATGATGAGGTGAGATTCTGTTCTATTCTGTACATGGCCATGTGGTGGTGCTAGGATATGGGCCTTAGGAGGGTCATGGATATGGTGTTTCTCGGGGTCAGTTTTGGTGTCAGTTTTGGTGTCAATTCTGGGGTAGATGATAAATACAGTAGCAAAAACGATACCATCATGAAGATAGGAATTATCTTCTCATCAAATAGATCGGTTTTCGAATTTAAATTATCCCATCTCTCGCCATCAAGAGTCCGTTCAAATAGCCGCATTGTATCCATTCACCAACGACCCTCTCCTCGCATCATCGCCATAGTTGAATCGCGTTTGAAGGCTGAGTTTCCTCAAAAACTGCGTCATTCAAAATACCCAAGGTGGCCACTGACTGAGCTCCAATCTTTGTCTCCTTGCTCAAATTGACTACTACCTTTCGTAGCGATAGATCATCCGCAGGAAAAGTTGGAGATGTGTAGACTTTGTGAACAGTAGCTGGGAGCCACTTAATATCACTTCTCAAGGCACCAACGGCCTTGCTCCAGGATCTAATCCATAATGACGAGATGCCGTACCGACGTGTCAAGCAATGCATCAAGATATGGAAGTACACCGGAGTATGAAGAAACTCTGTATCCCGATTTCTACCGATCCTCCTACTGTCTCGGCCTCCCTCTTCTTTTCCTTGGTTGGTGTTTGTAGGTATGTCTCTGGTGCTGAACTCAGTGCGAACCTGATAATTTCCTGTGAGGGCCATGGCGACCACTTGCTTTAACAGGAGCGGCTCTTCACCCGATAAATTAAGAATACAAGATGTTCCGGTACTCGACCCAAAGCACTGAAGCCACCGACGGTCTCTCCATCAAACTAATGAGAATAATTGGTTAATTAATCATTTATTGTAATAGGCTCGACCCGGATCTTTGGACTTACTGTGCGATACATTTGTCGACCAAACGGTGGCATTGGGTTAGTATGAGCACCCGGAAGCCTGCATGATGCGTCTCTGATAGTAACTTGAAAGAAGTCGCAAATTACTATCGGATGTTCTTATCGTACTCGACATGAGGCGGCAGATACATGGGTATTCTGGGTTCATGCGAGCAACTTGAATGCAGATCGCTTCAAGAAAAGTTTTCGTGATATTGCAGACCAGGTCAAGATTCCCTGTCGGCATGACCCCACGAAGAATATATTTGATCTAGTTCAAGTTCAGAGCTGGCTTCGATGATATAAAGAGGGAAAGATGGATTCTCATCGTTGATGACATGGATTATGATACGCTTCTCCGCAATCCAGCAGGCGCGGCGACAGGCCAGGAACAACAAGCAGACAACCACTCCTATCTTGCCGCGCAACCACTTTTGAACTTCATTCCGCAAAGCTTAAATGGCTCGGTTATTTTCACTAGCCGGACTAAATAGATTGCATTGAGAGTTGCTGGTCATGATGATATTATTCTGATTGAGCCTATGGTGGCTTCTGAAGCATTAGAGCTTCTTCATAAAAGGCTTGGTCACCAAGAAGAATGCCCCGAAGCACATCAGCTGGTAGAGCAACTTGATTTTATGCCGCTAGCAATTGCACAGGCAGCTGGTTATATCAGAAACTGAGCCCCTCGTTGCACGATTCCACGGTATCTCGAGAGACTAAAAAGAAGCGATCAGGCTTCTTGATCTTAAAACGACTGGATCGTCCGGTGGATGGGAGTCGGGCCTTCTCTCTCGGGATTGGGAAGCAGAAAACTTGATTCTACGCACTTAGATGATATCCTTTGAGTATATTCGAGATATCAGATTATCCGCGGCGGATTTGCTGTCTTTAATGAGTCTATGTGACCGACAAGGGATTCCTGATGCCCTTCTTCACGAATGTCGAAGGGAAAATTTCAACATTTCTAGCAATGAAGACGAAGACGACGATGAAGATCTTTGTCTTTGTGGAACTGACACTGATGAGTTTGACTACGATATCATGGTTTTGGTAAATTATTCATTCATTTCTATCGTGGGTGACGGCACACAATTTACAATTAGACTTGTTCAACTTTCCGTGCGTAGATGGTTAGAGGCAAACATTCAAACAAAGTACTAATGGAAAGATATATTTCTCAGCTGTTTGTGCAAACAGTTCCCAATCGATTATGAATCTGGGGATTGGGTAAGTTGTCAGTCACTCTGTCCTCATGTCAAGTCTGCAATGATGCAACCCCAAGAATCGAAAGCATGCTCTCGGAAGTGGGCTGCATTGCTCTATAGAGGGGCAATTTATGCAATTAAGATTGGCACGCCTATCGATGCGAAGAAAATGACATTGAAATTGATCGATTGCAAAATAGGTCTTTTTGGCGAGAAGCATGAACAAACCCTTCAAAGCAAGATACTTTTAGCGACCGTATACAATGAAATGAGGTGGTTTAAGAAAGGCGAGAAACTTGAAACATAGCTTCTGAAGACTTACCAGTTCAAGCTAGGCGAGGATAATTCTATCACTCAACGGATATTATTACAACTGGGAGGCACTCTTTCCATTCAAGGTCGGTTAGATGAAGCCGAAAAGATGGAAAGACATGTCCTAGAGGTCTACAAGGTTCAATATGGGGAGAATCACTCACAAACTCTGAACTGTATGACCAATCGGCATTGACTATCCAGAGACAAAGCAAACTGGAGGAGGCTGAGAAGCTCGAAAGACTAACACACGGGTTTATGGAGCTAAGTTTGGCAAGAACTTGAATCATTCCGGTATACTACCTGTGAGTATGCTGGCGGCCATGATGCCTGCTACTCAGAAGCCTTTAGACCGAATTATCGGTATTTATGATTCTTTAGAGGACGCCTAGGCAAGAAAAAGAACGGGTTCAAGTTTGGAATGAGCGATCGGGAGCTTCAACTCGAAGTTGAAGTCGCTGCGTTCTCTGTAATTATTCAAACTTTTTGGGGAGGCTTTGAAACTCAATCATGACCATGATGATGGCGATGTATAGTGAATTAAAGCTGTTGTGATTTTGGGCATTTCCGAAACTTCTACCTTGATACAGCTCAATCAAATAAACGGGCAGTCTTGAAATGATTCAAATACACCACCAGGAGTACTAATTTACATGGTACCTATCATACAAATATATACACCAGTGGACGAAGTACGCTCAACCGGAATCATCAGCTCCTCATCTCAATAAAACCAGCTATTGTACAGGCAGCATCTTCCTCGAAACTGACGGCTCATAAGCGCTATCGTACCAATTAGCCTTCAGCTCCTCCATTTTCTTTTGAAAAAGTGGATCATGCTGCATCTGTGACTTCTCCAGATACACCCGGCCATTATGCAATAGACCAAGCTCCCGATCCATCAGCGCAGACATGAAAGCCGCTCCACCCTCCCCATGCTCATAGGCAAGTGCATACCAATCTCTCGCAAGGGTATAATACTCTGGACGAGATGTGGATATATTAACCATCTTCTTTAATGTACTCAAGTAATACCGTGGCCCCCAAGTTGTGAGTTCGGTAGCTTTCGCCTCGCGCGTGGGAATAATAGGTTTCCATGTCGCTAGGGGGTCGGGGTTTTTCTTCGTTGGTTTTTGTTCTCCGTGTGTCGGATAAACACCGAGATAGGTGAGATAGTAGTAATTTGCAAGGAAGAGACATGCTTTAGCATCACCCCCACTGGCAGCTTTGGACATGCATTCTTCATATAGTCCCAGCTTGTTCTGGTTCATCATTAGACCGCCGTATTCCACTAATGCTTGGACGTCGTTATATTCCACCGCCGCAATCTTAAGTGCCTCGTCCGCTCCATCGCGGTATTTCTTTGAATCATAGTGTTCGCCAAGTGTGGCTTGTACAACGGCATATAATCTGTATGGTGAATCTAGAATTCCGCCCAGAGTGATATCTTCGAATGTCGGGGCTCTTCGAGACGATGCTTTGAGATGTGGTAGGACCCCATTTTCAAGAAGCTCGAGTGCTTCGTGGAATTTTCCTTTCAAGCTTAATACTTTTGCATGTAGGAGCATGGCGGCTGGATATCCTTCGTCGGAAAGTTTCTCGTTTTCTTGTAGCCATGAGTTACCCTGGGGTCCTGTTGGTAACGAGGTATCTGTGATTTGTCTACGCGCAAGAGTCACAACTGCCCATGCAGACCTGGCTAGTGCACACGATGAAACTATCCATCCACGAAGTTCCGGCTGGTCAATACTGATCATGAATCCGAGACGAACCATAGCATCGACATCTGAAAGTTCGAAATAGTTAGTGACCTATCTCTCTTCTCCGGACAGACACAAATATTCGCTTTGAACATTGCCCTCAAAAGTCTCAAAAAGGTACAACACTAACCAGTAGATATCGCACGAATCGAGTGTCCATTGGGTGGATTTGTCCACGCCGCAGATATCAGTTTCGTGCCCACCTCATGAAACGTCTTCTCGCTAATCGCGCGAGGAATAAACCCGTCTCTAATTCCAGCGTCATACTGAAACTTCGACACACGCTGAAACTTATCCATCATTACATCCTTCGAATCAAGTTTCCCCTCTCTGTAAGCACTCAACGAGCCTAAATGAAGCCCTCTGCTATCAACAGCATAATCCATTTGTCCCGATCGCTCCAATGCCTCCACACGCGACAGCTTATTCTGTTTGGCTTTTCGCATTGCGTTCGCTGCAGGAGCTGGACGCGACTTTGCTTGTCGCGACGTACTCTGGTGGAATGATCTTGTCGCAATGCATGTTGGCCGGGTACTGGGGTGGAATTTTGCGGGGAGATTAACGGCGTTCGTGTACCGGGGGGTATTTGATATTGTTGAAATTGGAAAGAGGAATGGTCGGGTGTTGAGACATCTGTGGAGGAATGGCGATGGTCTAGCCATTTAAGCGATTGTTGTGGCAGGTTTGGGAAGTGGTTAGTTGAGCTTTCGAGGTTTGAGGTGGAAAATGCGCGGAGGTCGGGGTTGGTCCGCTTTTTTTTTGGAGGAAGCTCGGCATTGACAATACACGTTATGGTTCTGTTTACTAGATACTAATACTGGATACGAGTCTAAATCTACAAGGAACTTGAATAGGAATTGCTAAATGCTCAATGCAATCAATTAAACAAAAACGGGCCCTCTGTACCAGACGGGTCCATAACACAATGCGTATAATGTACATCTGCCCTCATCAACTTGAACCGGGCCAACCAACAACGCTAGGATATTCCTCGTACATGCCCAAGAAGTCTTATGAAAACAAAATAAGAAAGAGCAAAGAAAAGCCGCTCGATCTAATAAGTTCGGTCCATCCGAATTTTCGTATAGTCTTTTTTGTCCCTTGTCCATGTAAATGTAAATGTCAAATTAACAGTTACATTTACTCCATGGAAGCCTTAGCACCGAGACCCTTGAGAGTCTCGATGATCTTCTCGGCCTCCTCTTTAGGAACGGACTCCTTCATCATCTTTGGCACGGACTCAACGAACTTCTTGCTGTCTACCAGTGACAGGCCGAGCATGTTCTTGATCTCCTTAATCACCTTGGGCTTGGAAGTAGCCTCGAATGACTCAAGCTTCAGGTTGAACAATGTCTTCTCGGCGGCGGCGGGAGCAGCCTCTTCCTCCTCAACGGCGGCGGCAGCACCGGGGGCACCGGCGCCGGGGGCCATGGCGAAACCACCAACGGGGAGATCGGGGATGTTCAGGCGGGTCTGTGGTTGATATTGATGTTAGCTTCCTTCCTGATAAATTTTACTTTGTCGGTATGTCTTAAGCGCAAGTTAAACTGAAAGCAAGAAATTTGACATTTCTTGCTTTCGCATCTCCGCTTCTGTATAAACTCACCTTCAAGCTTGAAACAAGATCCGCAGTCTCCAAAAGAGTCAATTGGCTGATCTGGTCAACAATCTGGTTGATCTTAGGGTTAACAGGCGCAGCAGCAGCCTCAGTCGACTCCCATCGGCGGCTAGCCGGTGTGCGAGCTGTGGGCAGATATGTAGACGCGATGCGCAGGGAGGATGGGCGGACGGAGCCGGACAGCTGTCGGCAGCAACGGGCTGCGGCGGTGGTGGGGAAAGACATTGTGGGTATTGGTGATTGTTGAGGTCGAGATTTAGATTGAGAAGTTATTTCTCAATTGGGTGGACCGTGGGATGGATTGAGGGATAGCTTCGCCGCGATACAAGATGAAAAGTGAGGCAGAGTGTCGGGGAAAATCTGGGTGTCACGTGCTCTTTGTATATCGGATTATGTCAGCTTGGATGAACGACAAATCTTGAGGATGGGGATTCAGTTGTATAATTTGATGAGATAAGGTATTATTCTTGTAATCATTCGTTGCGTTTTGTTTTTTGGTATTCTAGATTGGTTATTTTAGCAATTTTGTCGTTTGGGAGTCGGTCTTTTTTTGCTTGTAAAGGGGAATTTCGACGAAGTAAATAGACTCGTCTATCCGGCGATAGTACCATCGATCTAAACACTCGCTGCCTTTACAATTGGCTTTTAGATCACCACATACTACGACATTCAAGATATACGCCCTAAGCAATTACATTCGTAGACCATAATGTATGGATGTATTATCATACTCTGCTATACACACCAGACGACTTTTTGTTTTTTCGTGATATCGTACGGAGATCTATCACCGTCCAAACGGTCTCGAAGCCAACTGAAAAGAAAAAATCCATATAAATGCACGTTAACCACGTTAGCGATCATCAGATTTAATCCTCATCCCAGTTGGGGTTGGGACCAGGTGGCTTAGGTCCACCAGCCTGGCGAGCGACGATGATCTGGTCGACGCTCAGCACAGTGCGTGCGGACTCACTGGCCAGACGAATAGCCCAGCTCTTCGTTGCCAAGAGGTCAAGAATACCCTCCTCCACAGCATCAAGGGTACCGTCCGAATCACCACCAACTTCCAGATCCACACCGGTAGTCCAGAAGGGCTCTTCATCCTCGGATGAGCCCTCCTCTTCCTTCTCTGTGGCGCGGTGGTGTGCGGTGTAAAGGCGGGAGAGAGTCTCGGTGGCGTCGAGACCGGCGGATTCAGCAAGTGTGCGGGGGATGACTTCGAAGGCCTCGGCGTATTTGCGGATAGCGTGCTGGGGCAGACCGGGGGTCTTGTCGGCGAAGTTAGTGATACGCTCCACGAGTTGGATCTCGGTGGCTCCGGCACCGGGGACCAGGCGGGGGTCCTTGGTGATAGCCTTGACGACGTTGACGCCGTCGTCGATGGCGCGCTCAACATCATCCAGGTGGTTCTGGGTAGCACCACGGAGAACGATGGTGGCAGTGCGTGTCACGGCGTTGGCATCTTCTTGGCGGAAAACAGTGACTCGGTCACCACCGATTTCAGTGGTCTCGACAACATCGACTTGACCCATCTCATCGGGCATTGGGGCACCCAGACGGGCGAGAGGGGTGGCACCGACTACGCGGCACAGGCGACGGAGCTCGAACTTAGACAGAATCTTAATCACGAGGATGTTGAAGCGGTTGAGGTAGTGAAGGGCGAGATCGCCAACGGTGGAGCCAGCAACGACCACACGCAGACCGGAGTCATACAGCTCCTTGATGGCAGTCTCGAGGCGCTCCTCCTCACCCTTGGTGTAGTCCACCATCTCCTGGGCATTCTTAAGCAGAACAGTACCCTTGGTCTCGGTTTGGGAGACATCAATTGGGCAGCTGAACACACCAACCTTAGCCCTGCTAGCGGACTTGATAATTCCATCTGGCTCACGTCCAAACACCATACCCTTCACAACCTTAGATTGTTCCAAGCTACCACCCATGATCTTAACAACACGCACGTTATCGACGTTGAAGTTGAGCGGGTTCTTAGGCAGAACTGCCAGAACTGCCTCCGCTACCAATGCTGCCAGGGCATCTTCGGTACCAGATTGCTTGCTAGCAACAACTGTTCGTAGAGCCTTGCTGAGTTCTGTCACGGAGCGCATCTCCTGGAGTCGGTCGACCTCGAGATCTAATCGTACGAAGTACCAGTCAGCATACAAATTCCATCATGAACCATAGATGGCATTATCAGAGCATCTGCATCTGCATCAAGCAAAACAATCCACATACCCTCTAAAACCTTGAGAGCGTAGTTCTGTGCCTTCTCGTAACCCGAAACAATATCACTAGTCTTCAATCCCATACGGATAAGCTCCTCTGCCTTCTTGAGAAACTCGCCCGCCAGAACAATAACCAGGTTGGTTCCATCACCCATCTCCGCATCCTGCTGTTGACTAGCCATCACAAGCAGCTTAGCAGCAGGGTGGACAACATCGAGTTCACGCAGAATCGTAGCAGCGTCGGAGGTCAAGATCATCTTCTGCAGGTGGTTGATGACAATCTTGTTGCGGCCATAGGGACCGAGAGAGGTCTGGACGGTTCCAGAGATAGCCTGACAGGCTTCAATGTTTCGAATGACGGCTCCATCTTCGGAATCGTGACTGGATTAACAGGAGTTAGTAATGCGTTTGAATTGTCGGGGGTGATGCGATGCTTTGCGGGCGGGACAGGGACAGGGACAGATAAGGAGGTGTAGGTGTAGGTGGGATGGGGGGTTTTTGTCTGTTGGTGGGCCTGCAGCTTTACCTTTGATATCCCGGTTTGAAGAGACCCGCTTGGGAGGGTCCAGGGAGGGATAGCGACATTGTGAAAGGTCGCGTCCAAGAAAGATACGACGATTATGAGGGGGTGAGGGAGGGATGTCGATGCTGGATCGAGATGTGCCGGGGATTTTTTGGGAGCTCGGGGATGGTGGGTTTGCTCCGTTTGCACGAGGGGAACTCGCCAGTTGAGGGTGTGGGTTTAGTAGAGATTACACATCATGAATTAAACTACATTTATAGGAGATATTCGGATTTATTCATATACCTAATAATACAATATGGGCAAGTATTTCTTTTACACTTTACTTTGGTTTCTCTCCCTCGCTCTTCATTTCAGAGTCCTAAAAGTTGGTTTGCGAACGGTACGCACTGTGAAACCCGGGCACTATCACAATACAGCAGTTAGTCAATGGTCAACGGTCATTTGAAAAACAGAAAAAATGTCGAGAGCTTCTTACTGTAGCCACCCAGAGAGCTGCATCCGCTGTCTGCGTAGATAGTTTCAGCTTTTTCAAGCCTATAGTAGGTTAGTAATCGAGGTTTGCAATATCACCAACGGAGGCCCCTTACCAGCCACGGATAGCTTCTTCACGGTTGTAGCTCTGTAAATAGGATGTAAGTTAATATGAACCTCAAGGTGCAATTAAATCAAGAGTTCAGACTTACCGAGGGATGAGTGGACATAAATTGGGGTTGAGCCACCTCCTGTTTCTGCATTCGCTGCCATCTGGGAGATTGTCAGTTTAGAGCTATAGATCCAATAAAGCCTGAAACATACAATTTAACAGCAGCTTCAGGGTTGAAGCAAGCTTTGGACATCATCACTAAGAGCTAGTCAGTAATATATCTTTTCTCCCACCCATTGACATGCATACTCAAACCAATGTTGTCAGCCTCAGCCTAGTAGTAGAAAGAAAGAAAAATCAGTAAATCTCTCATACCCATGCAATTGGGAAATATAAGCTCACCTCCTGCGTCCGTGAATTAGGCAAACTCCACATAAGATTCATCACAAATGAAGAAAGTTGCCCGGAAACATCAAACAAAGCCGAAATTAAGAATACAGCTCCTAAAGTAAGGACACTGTTACTCATTCTCTCAGCCGGATGATGCGCTATAACATGCGCGATCTCATGACCTAAAACAGCCGCAAGGCCATCTTCATCTCCGCAAATAGGAAGAATCCCCGTGTAGACAAAGACTTTGCCTCTACAAAGAATATGCAGATTAGCGGACACTCTTGATTTAGATCCGTGTGTTGGGCTGGCTGGCTGGTTGGCTAGCTACTTACCCTGGAAGCACGAATGCATTCGCCATTTTATCATCCTTAATCACATGGACTTTCCAATCAGCACCCTCTAGAGGTGCCTGTGGAATTAATCGTTGTAGAACTCGATCTACCGTCCGTGTAACGGGGTGATGATCTGGGAGAACCTTTCCGCGCTCAGAATTGAGTACCTCGCGATAGCTTTCTTCGCCCATCTGAAGTTCTCGATGTGTGGAAACGCAATTGAAGCGTCGGCGACCGGTCATCTGGTTTTGAAAATAAAGAACGTTGTTAGAAAGGCCCCGCTCTTTCAAGGTTGTGTTGCGACTTACCTCTACTACATCGGTATTGTAAAAGTATATGCCTGAGATGCCTAGTCCGACGACAACAAAGTGCTGTGGTTTTGCGCGCTGAATGAGGTTGAAGAATAATGATTGTGGACCTGGTCTGCTTGAGCCTGAGCCTCCGAATCTATTATAGGTGTTTCTTGAGTAGTTGGAGCGTGGGCCTGAGGAGAAAGGTCTATGGGTTGTATAGAGGTGCGCTGTGGGGGGTTGGGTGGTTAAGGGTGATCGGAGCCGATGGGGTGATTTTGTGAATAATATTTGTGGTGTCCATGGTGTATGGATTCGAGGAGAGGGTGTTTGAACTGTGCGCGACCTATGGGTTCTGGTTGAGAAGGATGCGCGGAGCTGTAGGAGTCGCGGTTGCAGTTGCGCCCACCCCGATAAGGGTGGTCGAGAGGTTTGTACTGCTCTGAGAGCAAACCTGCTTAACATTTTCTCAGGTGAAGCTGAGAATAGTAAGTACCAGGTTATTATTCGGGGTATTGAAAAGAGATGGCTGAAGAGAATGAGTCGAGAAGTGACGAGGGTCGATCTTCAGGCGCGGGAGCGGAGGGAGGCACGGAGATAAGCAGCCATTTCCGGCATTTAGGTAGCACATGGAAAGATCTAGCGGACCGCAGTACATTCTCTAGTTCCAAGAAAACTAAAACTAAAACTAAAACTAAAACTAAAATAAAACTAGGACTAGGTAAATACGTAATGCGAGGCAAAATTAAAGTTATAGTTCACAGTAAATTGAATTATGCAAGGGCGATTGTAGTCCGTTGGGTCATCACAGTACATAGTCAAACAATAAATCAGGGGAAACATTTGGTAGAAATAGAAATAAAGAACCTAACCCATCCTCACACCATAACGAAGACCGTGAGGACAATAGCATAGAAACAGATAAATGTCCACAGACACCAATCCATAGGACACGCGGAAAGACATCAAAAACGAAAGCCCCTGGTATCATGCTGCACAGTCATCGTGGGAACAAAAGTGGTATCATTGGGCAAAAAAGGGAAGAAAAGGGAAGAAAAGAGAAGAATCAAGTCATGAGCCGACTCCACAGTACATGTATCAACCTGGAATAAAAGAAACATGGACAAAAAGATATGAGAAGGGGGGGGGGGGGGGGGGATATGCAAAACAATGAGATGAATAAGGAAAATTAGATAAGTATCGCAGGGGCAAAAAAAGAATGAGGCATTACTCTTCGGTCAACGCATCGTCACCCATTTCACGCCAGCCTTTGGATCGGTCTGTTAACCGGCGGACACCAGAAATCCGCTGGGCCCAATGGGCTTCAGAGGGTGTGCGGTAGGTGTAGGCACGTTGTGAGGAGATGACGCCGATGCTCTGTAAAACGGCCTTGCGAGAATCGCGACCAAAGACAGCTGGGTGGTTGATCCATTCCAGCGCTGAGTCGAGATCAGCGTTGAGGGCGGTCATTGTGTGGGAGTCAACCGAAGATGCTGGTGTGATGGTAGCGGCATCGGATGATGCTGACATTTGGCTGTCTGCAAAGGTGGAGGATTTAGGGGAACTGGAGTTCGGGGTATCTCCGCGACTGCCTGAATCACTGGTACCAGAGGGCCGGGATGCGGCCGGAGGAAGAGGTGGTAGACCACCCTTACCAAGTCCCTTGAGGATACTTCTGGTTTCATTCAAGAGATGCTGACCACGGTCATGTTGGCCACGAGAAACGAGAGTGAGGGCACGGGTCAACATATCGGAAGTGAGAAGCTCCATACGGCGCTGGACAATTGAAGGATGAGGAGGAATTGGAGGAGTCATGGGCCGTTGGTTCTTAGCCTTGGGGTTCGGTGGAAGCATAGTAATAGCAAGGAGGGAAGGACGAGGAGAGTGGGTAAGATGACCATCACGCAGAAGATCACCATAGGTCAGATCAGCTTGGATCAATGGCACCTCTTCCACGCTAAGCACACGTTGCTCATCTCCGTCAAGACCACCGCCCAAAGCCTCCAGACCTGAAACCAAGCTCTCCCATGGATCCTGGGGCATATTATCCTGTGTGGCATTGTCAGGTGAGATTACAAGCTGCACTAAGACGTCGCGCTTATCGCCAAATCTAAGGTCTCCCAGGGCGGCTTCCGCATCCCTACCGGTAGCGCGTTTGGTAGTATGAAGTGCTCCACTGATCTTAACGAACTTTGCAGGAGAGCCTTCAGGCAGATGAAGCTTCAGCTTGACATTTTGATGAGACGTTGTCTGCAAAGCACCGAGACATCCAGCAACACATTCCCGCAGCATCATCCAGTCCTTGACGTATAAATAAGAACCCTTGGTTCGAGTGGAAAGCTCAATTATTGTATCCGGCTTGTGGGTCAGGCCCAATCCAAATGAGTGAAGGCTGACCTTGGCAGCCTCAGCGCGAGATACGACGAAATCAACACTTTCAGGGTCTGCAGTAGAAGAGTCGCTGATCAAAAGAATGGTTGAAACGGGGTTGGTAAACTTGCGCTGCATCAAAAGATCCATCGCAACATTCGCACCCTCGACAACATCAGCGCGGAGACTCTTCTGACCAACTGGTCGAATTGAGTCGAGAATCTTATTCCATCCAGTCCAGTTCTTGGTGGTCATTCCCACCAGAGGCACTCCACCGCCACTTGAACCAAAGGTGACCAAGCCCATACGGTCCCGAGAGCCTAGATTCATGACGAGGAACTTCAGAGCGTCGCGCAGCAAAGTAATCTTGAGGCCTTGCATAGACGAGGAAACTGGAATCACCACGACAATATCAATAGGAACGTGGAATGAGTCGAGTGAAGGCTTTTCTGTCTCGGGATTGCTGTAGTCGGTCATGGCGGTGTTACTTGACTTGCCCGCTCCGTAGGACGAGTTGATTGAGGCCTGACGTTGAACACGGCTGTTGCGATAATCATCCTCCTCGGCACCCGAATTTTCCAGGTCGTAGTCGTTGGCGCGTGAGATATTCTCCACGGGATGTAAATCCATCAGGGCTCGGCGCCACATCTCCAACTGCTGGCGAGACTGGAAACGCAGATAGAAGTAAGGAAGCTCGCTAACAGAAAGGTTCAAAGAGAGAACGGGTTCATCGACACCTGCCTCCAGAGACTTCAGGTGCTTTTTGATCAATATCGAACCCTTCAACGTGCAACGAGATCGTTTGCGCCTATCTGGATCTTCGTATTGGTTTGATTGGGTGGCCTTCTTTTCCTTAACACAGATGAGCATCTCCGCAAACAAGTAGCATTCCAACTCTTGCCACGATTCCCGGTCCTTTCCAACGCGCATGTTTCCATGCAGTCGCAATTTGCCAAACCTGTAAACGATAATTATTAGCATGGGTCCTGGGCATGTGTTCAAGAACGAACGAGATTTTCTCGTGCTTTGCAACCTACCGATTGAATTCCAGACCATGCCAGTTGTCCACTCGATTCCTCAGCTCCTCGGCAACATCATCCAAATTCTCTGCTGGCTCTTGCTGAATTGAACGGGAATCCTGAGAACCTCCGAACCGTGCTGAGAATGGCTCATCCATTTGCTCCTGGGTTGTTGGGCCATGTCGTAAATCGTCGGCATTAGGACGCCAATTTCCTTCTGGTACTTCCACGGTAATCAAGCAAGTAAGTGATTGTTGCTGGCGAGACCGGTTCATAGTGGGGAATTCGCTGCGGACAGTGACGATTGGGGCGGGGATTGGATTCTTGGTGACACCCGGACGAGGGCTGAGATCTGATTCCATGGCTTGCACATCATAGTCGTGACGTCTCCCGCTACTGGTATGTTGGCCCTCGTTATATTCGCCCGAGGAGCCGGCTGCACTACCATTTCGCGAGTGTGGTTGGCGGGGTTGTGAGTTTGTAGTGAGTCGCTCGACACGCTCACGTTGGCTACTAGTATCGCGACTGTCGCGGCGGTTTGAAAATGACGGATCCCGATTCAATAATGACGGATCCCGATTATTAAATCGGCTCCCATTGTCACTAGGGGGGCGACGGTTGGATTGTTGTTCCCATGGAGTCGGTGTTGGCAAGCCACTTGTTAAGCCACTTCGCGTTGTTGCAGTATCGCTCATTGTCACCGAGCGAACGATATTACTGATTTTCTCTGTTGTACAATAACCGTTAGCCCCTCCTGTCTCTCTCCCATGCAACCATATTTGGTTTTTTGGAGGTGGTGCGGTGAAATGAGATACGAACCGATATCTAATACATTTCCACCACGGCTAGTGTCAAGGCCTAACGGCGCATTACATGTTGGACAATATTGGGATTCAAATTCCCGGATATATTCGTAGAAGCATGCCTCATGAGACACGTGGCTGCAGGAAAATTGGAGCACCCGTTCTCCCCGCAGGGTATGTTCGAGCGGCTCCTCGCATACGGCGCATGAACTGCCGATAAAGGTTCTTTCCCTCCGAGTTCGCGTACGGTCAACTTCCATCGCGCCGGTTGGTAATCGACTGGATCGTGAATTGAATGAAGCGCGAGATCTGTTTGAATGCGACAGTAGCGGATCGGGGTAGTCGGAGCGAACGGAGCTGGCTGCGGCAGACGGAGCTCGTGGGCGAGCCGCGTTATTGGAATGACTGGGACCCGTGTAGTTGGAAATGACACTCTCTGGACGAGATGATTCTGTCTTGCCTCGACCAAACGAGCGTAACGAGCGTAGGGTCAAACGGGAAGGTGAAGGTGATTCTGGTCGCGATTGAAATTCTGTACGTCACAACCCTTTCTATTAGCAATGCGGGGCGGCGAGAAGATAGGGTGATGGAGCGGCAATGACCCTGCTGACGGGGCCAAATGCGGTTTTGGACTGGAATGGGTCGGGCAATGTGCAGGATATAGAATCAGAGGAATGGAAGATCATGAAAGATCTGGGACACAGGGGGATATCGTGATGGTGATTTAATTTTTTTTTTCTTTCTGAATGGGGGGGGGGCGGAGCATCTAGACACGGTCTCAGATGGGGAGGATTGCGATCTGGACTCACCGGGTAGTTGGGACCTTCTTCTTGAACCTCGTAGAAAGCCGATTTCAGGTAGATGAAGATGATTTGAATCACTCCCAGACTGAGAATCCGATCTGGGAGAAAGTCGAGGTTTCCACATGGGGTTCTCTTAGCAAGAAGAGGTGGAAAACAGAGGTGGGGGGAGAGAAGAAGGGGAAAGTAAAAAAATAATAATAATAATAATAAAATCAAATAATTAAAAAAAAAAATCAAGTTTAAAAAAGGGAAATAATCCAGAGAGACGCCCCCGAAACCTAAAATGAATATTAAAAATGAATTTCACAGGGGCAATGGAGTTAGAGAAGAGGAGAGAGGGAAGAGGGGGGGGGGGAAGATCGGACTATGGCAAAAGACGGTTAATCCCAGAGTCCTGTATCCAGGAATACCAGGTACCACGTACCAGATTCCCTAACTTGAACCTTTTTGTCCCGAATGTTTGGTTCACTGAGTACCTACAGTAGGTAGATTCTACCTAGACAGTACTTACAGTACTTCTACTCCTCAAATGCTGCAGAATAGGGGTTGATGCCCTCCTGATTGGTGGACTACATGATTCAACAGCCTTAAAACGAGTTAGATTCAATTAGAAATACCCTTTACACTATAATCTACATACAATAAAACAAAACAAAATTACACATAATTTCGACTGACTCTCCTTTTCTCCCTAAACTGTCCACAAAAAAAGGAGAAGGCGAAAATGATGATCGTGCTGTGCCTGGTATCTGGAGAACACGATCGGCTCCACTCCTGTTGCCGACTGGATACTAGCGAACCAACGGAGCCATGGATTGAGTGGCTGGAAAGGTTTAGACGTGGGTCGGATATTTTTCTGTTTTTTATTTTCAATCATTTTCTCCCCCTGGAATTTGATTTCATTAGATTTTATTCGGGGTTTTTTATGATACACTGTACGTTGGCTGGCTGGACCCCCGTTTACATACCTTCTTCCACCTATTTTTCAATCCTAGATGGAGTCACTACACAACACTAGGAGATTTTTAATTTATCCAGAGTAAAAAATCTGGGTCAAGAAGGAAAAAGGAAGATTCCATCCCGCACGGCATAACAGAAAAAACGTGGGTGACATGCCCCTTGCCTACTGCTAAGAAATATGCAATCCTGCAGGACTAGCACTACATTAGTTTCGCCCGACACCTATGCACACATGCACACCAGTATGGAGTGACTGCTGCATACCTCCTTTAGCGCTTCATATATTAGGCCAATTCGTACTTGTATAATCTACGCATTGTTTATTGTTTACCCGTTTTACAAACATCCTTGCCTTACATGCCCACTTAGTTGCATGGCCTTAAACCGGAGATGGCGACTCCCCTACCTCCGTCCCTCGCGGTGGTTCATGTGGTTCATGTAAGTATAACAAGTGGGAACCAGGGTGTCGGGAAGCCCTGCTCTGTACAAGTTTCTGTTGCAAATATGGAACATCCCGTGGAGCTCATACTTTCTCCGCTGGGGGATTTCAAGTGAAACTTGTCCGGTTCAGAAGCTTCCTGCTTCCTCAAGGTGTACGCGTTCACTATCAATCTGAAGATTATTTTGGCCCCCTAGTTCGAGGGCCCGTACTTCGTAGAGTAGCCTGGCCCATACTGGCCTCTGGTTGCTGGGAATCCTGATCGGACTCCAGCCGGCACCAATGCAACCCTCGCAACCTGCGGGTTTTCCGGGCTATTTAGGCTTTCTAGACCTTCCAAATCCTTCTGCGTAAAGATTAATGCGGTCAACAGCTCAAGGCGCTAATTTGTATTCACTCTGTGCTCCATACTCCAGATGTAGAAGGTCGACAAAGCACTTATATCCTTATATCTACTACGATCATATCATATCATGGACTTTGAAACTTCGCCGTACTTAGACACAGGCATATGACCATTCCGTCATTCCCACGGCTATGATCCTCTACTCCAACCCCCTCTTTACTCCAATTCTGATCCCATTCCAATCATCACCATCCCATGACCCTGGATGAACCTCTCACGGTTAATCGATCAGATCATGGCTGGATCCATGGTTTCTCCCGTGCCAACAGAAACCTTCTTGCCTTCCTCTCTCTACCCCAGGTTCTCATCGGAAAAGCAACTACCGAATCCTGAATCCGATTAGATCACGCCCATCTATCTCCAACTCTGGATCTGATTTTGGGAGGCGAATATGGCTCGGGCAGATCATAGTGGGCTGACATAATCCGGACCACTTGCCCGTTCTATCCGAAGAACGAGAACCTTGGGGAATTTCTGTGCGATGTCCACGACAGTGGAGAACCGACAAGACAAAACGGGAAAGGAAAAACCTTTCCCTTGACCCATTTTTATTGCCGCCCGTCGAATCTCATTGGTCCTAAGCAGCCGAGCGTCGATCCTCCCAAACGTTTTCTGTCACTGGCACTGCAGAACACCCTTGCCCAAGGTTCATTTCAGGTCACACGTTAAGCTTTTCGCCGCATTTTGAAAAGCTGAACGTCATTCTTTGATCATGTCAGGTACTCGTCCGATAGATACAGTATATGGTATTTTCCTCTTCGGCAGATGCACCTCGTGTTGAGGTGCCGAACCTTAAAGCGGAGTCTCAATTTCAGGGTGAAGTTGAGCATGGATGGATGGTGGCGGCGCATCATCTCATCTCCTCGATGTCTATCATTCTTTTCTCCGCACGGAAACGACTACCACTACCACCAGATAGGCCTATCCACTACGGAGATTTTCTGGGCCCAGAAATCTTAGCGCGACTGTCGTGACTGGTATGTACATCACGTATCAGTCCGAAGTGTCCTGCAGAGTGGACATATCCACTTTTCTCTCCTCTTTTCTTTCCTGGCTATGCACTGCACCCCCTGACTCTCCGGCTGTCCTTGTTGGTCACTCTGTCTGGGTATAGCTTTCCCTTCTACCAGTTGCGTATGGCATGTCAATCATTCCCCACACTGATCATTCGTCCCACCCCCTAGTGATTTAGATCAACGCCCACGACCTCACGAAATAGGAGAGCTGTCCGGAAAATGTACGCGCTAAGTAAAATTATTTGCACATCTGCTCCTTTTCCCAGGGCCCGCTGGACGTTGCTCTGCTTTTTGGGGCATTTTTACTCTGTACGGAGTGGCTTTTCGGGATTCGGGCGATCCTTCCTCGTGCGCTGCCCTAATTGGCCTTATTTTCATCCGTCCTATTATACAGTCCTTTTTTTTCCCGAGCCGGTACTTGCAGTCTAGCTCTTTTGGTGTCTAGGTAAAGGATGCCAATGGAATTGGCTTTCGCTTTTGTCGGAGAATCATCCGGGTGGGTATCGACAATTAGATACATCCCCGGCAACGAGGATCCGGGATGTGAGCTCACGCATGCACAAACTAAAGTACCAGCCAAAGGTACGAAATACAGTACAAACACTATTTTTTGCTCTTTTTTCGGAGAATTTTCCAGCACGTGTGGTGTGGACTGATCGTTTGTGATGTGTATCCCGCATTGGAGTATGTGCTTTGTCTCCATTCTCCACGGTCTCACCAGTGTCCACCTCGTGCTCCATATCTCCCCTGAGAGCTGTCATCTTGGCCTTACAGAAATTAAACGCTCCATTCTTAATCCTCTGATCGTCGCCACTATCACGGAGCTAACATGACAGCTCTAGTCCCATTTTTAGGCCACTAATCTTGCTTATCGCAATGTTATTTTTTCACCTGCAGTCTAATCGATAAATTTAGGGATTTTTCATCGCACAAAGGCAAAATCAACTAGTTTTCTTGTGGAAATGAAATGAAATGAAATAAAGATTGAAAAATGAGGCCATTGTCTTTTGCATTTGCATGCAGTAGTTTAAAGTTTCTTATGCAGATAGCTAGATCGGGTGCTCTCATGCTCTAAATGGAAGAATAGAAAGTAATGAGCAGGGAAACTGTGAGGAATTTTGGTTTATCTATTTTGAAGAACTAATGAGTTGTACCCTTGGATCTTGAAAGATGCCAATGGACATCTAAATAGACATGTAGCAGAAGTTATCTGCCAAACAAAACAATTGGGAAATTGCTGACAACCCTACAGTGGTCATCACATAGAG